GGGTGCTGGCATCAAAAAGGGCGCGATCTCTTTCTGTCATGAGGTGCATTTGTTCTGCTTCCAACTCCTGCACTTTGGTTTCCAAGCGCTGGATGTTGGCCAAAAGATGCTGGTTTTTCTCCGTGAGGGATTTGACTTGGGTGGCATGGGTGTCTTTGATTTCTTGAACAATGGCTTTATGGCCCTCCAAGGTAAACACGTCGTCTTCCTCGTCCTGAGGGTCATGACTGCCCTCTTTTTCGTCGTCGTCGTCGTCGTCGTCGCCTGATCCAGAGGACGCTTGTTGCTTCTTTTTTTTCTTGCGCAAGATCAACGACCGTTCTAAAATCTGCTCGGCTGTCTTGTTCTGTGTGTTTTCTAGTTTGAGGTATTTATTTTCGGCCTCTAATACCTCTACACGTAACTGCAATTGCTGTAAACGCATGACTAATTCATCCGGCGCTTGTTGAATCGCTTCTCCCAAAATTCGCTCTAATCTTTCATGGGGTGTTTCTGTCGCTGTGGAGGAGGAGGAGGAGGAGGGGGTGGTGGTGGTGGTGGTAGTGGAAGAAGAGGATGGAGGCTGATGCGTGGCGGAGGAAGACACTTGAGATGGGTTTTTTTCAGTGGAGAGAGCCATGGTGGCAGGAGCAGGGATATCTGTCAACATCATGCCATCGACATCTTCCGTGCCATTCGGTTGCACGTCGAGTGGATCCATGTCTTCTTCTCTGACGCTGTGATCCGAGGTATAGGGCAGCTGTTGATGGGGATGAGGGTAATATGCCTCGTCCACGTCCTCGTAGGCTGCAGACTGTTGTTGCTGAAAATACGGTGCAGCCGTCATGCTTTGATATTGACTGTTGGGGGTCATGGCAGGGGAAGGTAAAATACCGGCGCCGTGGACGCTGAGCCTTTGTTGCTTTTGATAGACATTTCCTGTGGGTAGTGGAGATGGCATCGATGCTTGTTGCGGTGATTTATTTCTTGCTGTGGTATGGTTGCTGTAGTAACGATTCGCACTTTGGATACTGCCCGTCGTGCTGGTGGGCGATGCCAATGGCGTTTGCAGTGAGGGCGACCTTGCCACAGCTCTCGTAGATATCGTGGGTGTTTTGTTCTTGTCTCTTCGTATGACTGTTTCTTGTTGTTGTTGTTGTTGTTGTTGTTGTTGTTGCTGAGATTGCTGAGTGAGTTGAGCAGCTGCCATATGAACATAACGAACAGCACGGCTTCCGTTCATGGAGTGGGCAGCTGTTGGAGAAGCAGATCGTACAGAGGAGGAAGTAGTCGAAATAGACTCGGTATCACCATTGCCTAATAAAGTTACTTTGGATGCTATCACGAATAGACCGGTTTGGGGTGGGCAGCTAAAATATCGTACACTGAAATAGAATGTAAACGTTAATAAAAAAAATAAATAAAATAAATAGTTAAATAAGGTGATCAAACAAATGGGTAATTTTTTTTTTAATAAAACTGAAACAGTTGGATTTCAATGAAAAGAACAACTACTCTACCCATTTACTGAGCCATCATTTTTGCCTGTGCCCAGGATATCTAACTGGATACCCGCCCAAATGCCTTCTTTGAATTGCGTAGGACCTATGAATTTCAGAGTACCGACGATTCCCATGGAATCCACGGCTACTCTATCGCCCACCATGAGTTGCATGGTGGTGCTATTATAAACAGGTGAAGCTCGTTTCTCATCGATGTGGTAAGCACCATTACAAGACATGGCGAGAGAGTTAGGTATAGAGCCGGATTGTTGCTGCTGTAAATATTCTGCATCATTCATCATCATCAGAGACGCCGAACGCGGTTTATGAGTGGCCGCTGCTGTATTTGTGATGGATGATTTAGATGCTTTTGGGCGAGGTGAGACTGGAGGGTAGTATTGTTGCTGCTGCGGTTGCGGTTGCTGGTAGAATTTCATTTCTGCAAAATTCATTGTTCTTCGTTTATTAAGCTGCTGCTGTTGTTGTTGTTGCTGCTGCTGCTGTTGCTGGTGCTGCTGTTTAACATGATAGCTGTTATTGTATGATAATCTTCTACTTGGTATTGTAGTCGTTGTTGGTCCAGTGAGGCCAAATTTATTACCTGCAGTGGGTAATCTCGACATTGTGGGTTTATGTGTGTGTGTGCACTCTATGACTGAGGAGACTAATACCAAAAAAAAAAAAAATCGTACAATTTTTTTTTTTTTTTTTTTTTTTGTTCAGTTTCAATTTTTTAAGGGGTACAATTTGCACACACAGAAAAGAGCGGATGTCTACTTGTAGAAAAATAACTGTACCGGGAAAAAAAAAAAGTCAAGTCTTTATTAGCAAGAACTATGCTGCTACTTGATGAATATGTCTAGTTTTTTTTTCAAGTGGATCTTGTTTTTTCAGTAGAAAAAAAGAGGAATACAACTTGAAGATATTTGATGAAATTGAGAGAAATGGGAATAAAAGAAGGTTAAAATGATATGCCGCTTTTTAAAGGGGAATGTTGCGCATACCAACCGTCGTTCTGAGTCGGTGATTTAATTTATACGTGAGCTATATTTGAGGCACCGAAAAAACAACATCTCATTCAAGCTTTCAACAGGAAAACTTGTGATATATACTCGTTCAAACTTGAAAAGCTACGATGACTATGCCAGTTGAAAATTTTTATGGGTCTTTTCTATCCATGATGGTAGCAATTCTGCCTAATTAAAAGTTTGAATGGATGATGTACAGTCTCATCAAAGCCATATTATCGTTATTCCCAAGGAACAGAGATTCAGAGTACTGTCGGAGGGAACGCTTTTTACAGAGAAATGGCTTTACAAGTTGCGCATTTGTATTCTTGTTATGAAGGTTTAGCGGATATTGAATGGGATCCAATATGTCACAAAAAAGGATCCATTAGGCTTTTGTAATTGACAGTGAAATACAGTGCATTCAGTCGTGCCATAACCAAATAATGATGATCTAGCGATGTAGATGCATTATGGTTGCATAACATACATTTCATGAACCCACGATTCGGCTTCCAGCGGCTACAAGAATGAATCAACTGCCCACTCTGAACCGTTATTTGTTATGGGCACGTTGTGACGAGTTGGAATTTTTTTTGATCTCAGGGCAGTAAAAATGGAACTCCGGTCTAACGACTTTGCCTTTTTTTTTTGCGAGAATTTTTCACGTAGAGGTGAGCATGTAAAACCCCTTTTTGTCGTATGGGCAAGACGAAGGCTGTTTTCCGATGAATTTACACATGCATCCGGCACCATGCTGGCTCTTAGCTAGGTCTGGTATACAGAGAGGTTATGCCTATTCTTTTCTTACACAGTAGTGCAGCTAATGAGGGAGGGGGGGCAAAGGAAAAATCTTAAGAAAGTGGTACGAAAGACAGGAAGCCTTCACCCCGACCAGGTAAAAGTGGTACCATCATCCATGCATGCGGTGCGCTTCACAATGTTGCGACTTTCACGGATGTTCCCCCCTCCCTCCCACAACGAGGCACACGGGTAGAATAGCTTGGCTTACGTAGGGGAAATTTTTGGGAGTAACGAGTTGAAAAGCTTCATGCTCAGCCGTTGGAGAGTGTTCAATACTAAGATGGAAAAGGCTTGTTTTTCTTATGCAAAGCAACATGAACGTTAGACTATAAAGGATGAAGCAACATGCCATTATTCAGACAGACGTTTTGAGAAAGACATTTCATAGCCATTTAGCTACGCCTTCTTTCATCTGTTACGGCTGGGCTCGTGATTTTTCATTTTGACACCGTGTATTCAGAGTGCTTTTTCTAACAGAGTGCCCTTGGCGCGACTGTACCCGTTCGTTGTCCTATTGCTATTGCACGTGGAGCACGGGCAAGTAACAGCAGCAGTCAAGAACAAGCTTCCCAATTGACTGCGCGTGCAGGTTTGATATCGTTCTGTGTTTTGTAAAAAAAAAGAAAAGAGGACCCTATTTTGCTATTCTTGGGCGAATTTGGCTGTCCTTCAGATCCACCTGCGGGAAACAAGAACCTTCTCTTATCAAGATACGATATACGGAAATCCAGATGCTTCTAAAAATTTATCTCGGAGCGCACAAAAAAAAACCAAAAACCCAAAACCAAAAGAAAAACCTCGTTTCCTCTATTTTTGGAAATTGATCCCATTTAGGAATTTGGGTGTTTGTTCGTTTTTAGGACATACGGCAAAAAAAAAAAAAAAAAAAAAAAAAAAAAAAAAAAGAAGCAGCCGTTACAAGAGCCCGAGAAATGAATTCAGGTCTTTTCAAATATGAATGATTAGGGATTCACTGCTGATAAAAGATAACCTGACCATGGAGCATGGCGTTACAATTGTATTAGTCAGCCTCTGAAGGAGGACAGACGAGTCTACGTTTAGCGTAGTATGACACGTTGAAAAACTATAAAGTCACTCTCTCCCACGGACCTTTACCAACGTTATTTTTGCGGAACATATCTTTGAAAAAAGCAATAAATTGTATGCTTTTTCTTAAAATAGATAAAATGATGTCCAGCGACAGACACAATATGTTTCGGTGGAAAGCTCTCATTCTCTTTCTCAAATGCTCGAAAAAAAAAAAAAAGTTTCTAAACAACAATAAAACTTTCTGAAAAAGGCAAGTAAACAAATCTCTTTATTGATCGTGCATCATTTTATCATTTAGAAACGTACCGTGTTTACCATAGAAAACAACGAAAAACTGATAGAACGCGCTGTTTCAGGTGTGGTATAGAGGACAAGATCGTTTTGCTTCTTTTTCACAGAAAGAAAGAAGGTTATCTATAGTGAAATCTAAAAGTGCAGAGGTATATAGAAAGCAAATTCATGGTTTTTTTTTTTTTGGTTTTTTTTTCTATGTATTTTGAACAATGAATAAGGATTGTCGTGTCAAGTTGAAAGAAATGTGTATGTCATCAGCGGAGACACGAGTGAGTTCTTTTTATTTCTTTTTTGTTCTAAAATGTTCTTCATTGTGTTTGCTTTTTTTGGAAAGAAAAAGAGAATTTCTTCTTTAGACAAAGAATCATTGATTGTTTGACGGAGGCGTATGTGGCGTTGGAGGAGGTAGAGGAGATAGAGGAGAAGGTATATTGGTTTGTGAACGACTGTTGGAAGAAGGTGAGAATGTGCTAGTAGTCGTGGTCGTGGTCGTGGTGACAGTAGCATTCGTGTGATTATCTTTATGATGGGGGGCAGTAGTGGATGGAGTTTGTTGATGATAAGCTTGTGAGTCTTCATTTAACAAATAGAACGGATAATGTCTTTGATCGGAACAAGAGGCAGACAGAGTACGGTGATGTGTTGACTGTTGCTGAGGCTGTGAATGTGATGAGGATTGCTGTTGCTGTTGCTGTTGCTGTTGCTGTTGCTGTTGCCGCCGAGACTGAGATGTCGTTGAAAGATCGTCTGTTACTGCTTGTGAACCTATCGATGAGCTTCTTCGTTTGTTGGCAGAATCACTCAAGTTACCATCGCTGAATTCGCCTTCTTTTTTGTTTCTTTTTCGTGGCCTACCTACAGGCCGAGCTATGGGGGTTGTGGAAGAGCAACAAAACGTTGAGTGCTAAAGTGCAAGAAAAAAAAAAAAAAAAAAAAAAAAAAAGTAAACTAGACTATTTCTTACCTGCTGCTTCGTTTTCTGCTTTGAATTCTGAAATGTATTGCTGATATTTCTACAAAAAAAATCCATCCGGATGTTAGGGAAAGGAGGGGGGGGGGGGTCCTTTGAATCGTCTCGTTTCGTTTTTGCTCTGTTACCAACCTTATAAGCATCTGTCTTTTGATATTCCTCTACTTTTTTCAGGTATTCTTCACGAGCTCTTAGGGCATTCGCTTCGTACATTTCTTTCTCTTGAGGCGAGATATTCTTCCATCGGTCGCCGATGATCTTTGCAAGATCTGTAAAGGATTTGTTCTGTTCTTTGAGTTCAGCTCTGACCGCGTTTGAAAACATCACGTAGGCTGAAGGTGGTTTGACAGGCGCATTGGTGTCAGGCTTTGCATGGCGATGATATTTCCGTTTCCACAAACGATGGACATTGTCACTGGTCACTGCTTCTTCTTCCGTTGAGGACATGCCACCACCACTTTGCTGTGTCATCGTACCTGCCGATGGAAAATATTCTGCATGTATAGGATTCGTATGATGGGGGATAGCATTCGGATAGTTATGACTATTGTTCTTTTTTGTGGAATGGATGGTGCTTGTACTCGTATTTGTATTTGTATTCGTATTTGTATTATGGGAACTGTTCAAAGACGACGACGAGGGTGATTGTGTCTGAAGCATGGATATAGGTTGCTGTTGTCTTTCGTTGAACCTAGCACCAGCTGTTGTCTTTGCATGACTTGTTTCAGGAGAGGTCATTGTTGTCGTAGTCGTTGTCGTTGTTATCGTATTAGGTGTAGTGATAGAAGTAGCCGTGGACGTAGGCATCGACGTGGTGACAGTAGCTGTTGTAGGAGGAGGAGGAGGAGGAGGGTTGTTCAAAGTAGGTGTAGTAGAGTTTAGGTGAGTAATATGTGTAAGGTTATTTGTTGTATTGGTAGCATTCATATTAAGTGATAAGTTTGAAGACAATCCAAAAGAAGAGGTGGAAGAAGCATTTGTGGATGAGGCAGAGGATATAAGTGGTGAAGCATGCTTAGCAGAGAGTAGTTGTAATGAGACATTCATGGTTTCCATAGGTTGTATTGTGTTCTTTGGGGTGTGAGCTTGAGAAGGTGGTAATTGTGTTGGTAGGGTATAGCCTGTCATTTTTTTCACGGGAAAAAAAAAAAAAAAAAAAGAAAGAAAATGGTCACTTAGGTACTGGTATTCTTTTTACTTAGCAAGTAAACCTAATGTTCTCTATCTACCTGTCAAATCCTTATTGTTGCTTAAAAGAGGTGTGATTTGTAAAGGTACATTGGATGGGATTCCTTTTGCATTGGCTACTGCTCTCTGTAGGAGCTGTAACGTAAAGAAATATCATGATAGTAAAAATGATCGAGGTGATTAGCGTCCCATTCCCTAAGAAATAGTTCTTTGGATAGTGTCTACAAGCAACATACTCTTCTATGACCTCTTTTCACTTGCATCTGAATAAGATCTGTTTCTGTAATTTCCAACAACTATAGAACCAATAGAATGGAAAAAAAAAATAAAGAACAAAAAAAAAAAAAAAAAAAAGCGTAGATCACAAACATGTATTAGTTTTCAGGGAAAATCTATAAAGTAGGAGAGTGTCTATTTTTTCTTTGAAAAACTTTTTTTTTTTTTTTTTTTAAGAGAAAAAATGCTTACAGATTCTGGTCTATCAAAGCCTTCCTCTATAAAGAGATCATAATATTGAACAAGACCACATTGCGATAGAAATAGCTGTACTTTTTGCTGATTTATATATTGCGACTGTCGCTGTTGTTGATATGGGCTCTCAGTAGACATGTTGGCTAGTGGTGTATTTAGCGCAGGTATGTTTGCATCGGACGGCGGTGAAGAAGAGGATGTGATTGAACTGATATGATCTGTATTAGTGCTCTGCTGCATAACTTGATTGTCGAAAATAATTAGCCCAAAAAAAGAGATAACAAATAAAAAGGGAGAAATAAAAAAAAGCGTTCTAATCCAAAAAAATAATGGCAAATTTATCAAATATCGGTATTCTTCTTTTTAAGTCACCCACTCAATAATTTGGATGTTGTTAAAAAAAGCCTGTTATCATCCAATACTTTAAACAGCTAAATAACATGTATAGAAAAAAAAAAAAGAAAAAAACCAGGCAAAAATAAAAATCCCAACTTTTCGTTCGTTTTTTTTTTTTTTTTTTTTTTTTTTTTTTTTTTTTTTTTGATCTTGATAAATTCTCGATTCTTTTTTTGCCTACAAACAGAAAAGTTAAGATGTCGTTTCTTTAACTGAAAGGCTTGTTTGTACACTGAAAAACAAAAAAAAAAAAAGAGAATAGAACTGAAGAGAAAGGGGCAACAGAGTTTCTGATAAATGTTTCTCTTACAATAAGAAACATCAGCTTCAGGCCCAGTTCTTTTTTTGGTGCTTCAGCGAAAGTATTTTTTGTTCTTTTTTGTTCTTGTTTGTTCTATGGGCAAAATACATAACAAATGCACAATTTGTTGTCACATTCAGGGCCCGTCCCGAGCGATCCCCCAAAAAACTTCGATTCACCATGGATCGCTTTTGTTCGGGATTCAATCATTCTTTTTTTTTTTTTTTTTTTGGAGCGTTTTACGCTTTCTCAAAAGCAGTAAAGAGCAAGAGCAGAGGTTCGCTCCCTCTTTTAAAAGGTGTTGGGCCTTATCGTCATGGAGGATGCTGGACTTTTAATGACCCTGGAGCCAATCAAACTACAGACGCGTGCGTATCCTTTCTTGACGCTAGACAATGTATGAATAGCAAGGCATTGGTTGTTGATCTTGGCTCTCCATACGTCTTGATCTTTTTGGAGAGGAAAGGATCCGAGCAGCGGCATTAAAAGGAAAGTAGGGTTGGGAGAGAATTTTTTTACTTTTTTTTTTTTTTTTTTTTTTTTGTTTTTACAATAAACACCTTCATCAAACAGCATCCATTGCGTAAAAGTGTTCGTCATGAGCCAACCATCGTTAAAATCAGCAACAATGACACCCACATCCCCGTCATCGGATGTGACAACAGAGGATGCTGATCATGTAGTCATACCGGCCAAAACATTGTTGACAGGGGCAGCAGGAACATTCGGTGCAGGCATCCTGGGCGCCATTGCCTATACAAAAAGAAAGCAATCACGGCATTGGAAGCAGGATTCAGCTGTGACCACGACGACAAAAACACATCACCCACTCTCCCCAGGAACAGCAGCAACGACACCCTCGACCCAACTGCCGCCAAAGATGACAGCAGCAGAATATGCAGTGGCAAAAAAAGAAGCCTCTCTCTTTGCTTTTAAAACACTTGGCTACGGCACTTTGTTGGCATTTACAGGGGCAGGTTTACTGGCCTATACAGTAAGTTGGTGGCTAGATGTTCATAGTGTAAGTAGGATAACAAAAGATTTCCAAGTGTTCATCCCTTTATCTGACCCCACACACTATCTGACTATGAAATGCGAAAAAAAAAAAAAGTTTAAAGAATTCTCAAGTAAGCTTCAAACGATCGTGCCTCAGAAAACCTCCAAACTACGACGCATGCTGGGAGGAAAACGGTTTGAAATGACTGTGGAAGAAGAAAAGGAACTGGAAAAGCTGAATGTTGAAGATTAAAAAAAAAAAAAAAAAACCCTAAGAAAAGGTTTCTTTACACTTGTTTCAGTTGTTTTATAAAAAGGCTAGAATATACCATAAAGCAACACAAGTGACATGACTATAAAGTTATACAGTAGATGTTACAACGTCATTGTTGTTTAATACGATAGAACATTAGAAAAATGCCCTGGACAGCAGATAGGGCGACCTACATAGTCAACAGTGGGTCGGTCCTTCAACCTTAGTGGGTTGGGTTCTACCAATGCTCACCTACACTTGTAAAAATAAAGAATATCATTGATGCATACATTTAGTCTTCAAAAGCAAGGTCCCTTTTTCATTTTTTTAACGTCATATCTTAGATAGCAAACTATTACTAGGACTGAGCGTAATGCCTTTCATAGAAAAATTATAAATACAGTGGCCATGTGTTCTTTTATTTATTTTTTTTCTTCTCCTCACTGTCATTTTTTTTCCCCCCTCACCCTAATTCACCACCATCATGTTGGAACAAGCTCATATGGAAGAACACTTGTCCAGAGAATGGGCTCTTTTAAAGGATCCTGTTATCCATACTGAAAGACTAGAGGCCATTCGTCAAAAGAAAGGCTACATTATTGATATGGATGGTGTCATTTACCACGTAAGTTCATGGGGCTGCGGGAGTCAATGAACGTTGCGAGGAGGTAGAGGGACTCAATTGTTTATGTCATCTAGGGCACGAACCTCTTACCGGGCGCGAAAGAACTTGTTCAATTTTTGCAAGAAAATAACAAAAAGTATCTTTTCCTTACCAACAATTCAGCCCCTACCCCTCAAGAACTCCAACAAAAGTTACGTCGTCTGGGTATTGATGTGGAAGCAAAACACTTTTTTACCTGCGGTCAGGCAACAGCCCTCTTCCTTGAATCTCAAATGCCCGGCGGCGGTACCTGCTATGTGATCGGTGAGCCTGGTCTCGCTTACGCTCTTTATGACAAGGGCTTTGACATGAATGATCACGACCCTGATTACGTTGTCCTGGGTGAAACATCCGCTATCAACTTTGAAAAGATCACCAAAGCAGTCCAGCTCGTCCAAAAAGGAGCCAAGCTCATTGCCACCAACCTGGACATCGAAACCTTGGATTCACAAGGCCGTAAGATTCCTTCCACCGGTGCTTTTGCCGCTTCGATTGAACTTGTCACCAAGACGCAAGCCTTCTACTGTGGTAAGCCTTCCGCATTGATCATGCGTTACGCTCAACGTGTCTTGGGCCTCAGTCGCTTGGAGACGTGTATTATTGGTGACCGTATGGACACAGATATCGTCGCCGGTATCAGTTCCGAAATCGATCCTGTGCTGGTGTTGTCGGGCGTCACCAAGATGGAAGACTTGCATCAATTTGCCTATGGTCCTTATTTGATCTTGGGTGGTGTTTATGAAATTCCTAGTGACGATCCTTCTCATCATGTCACGGACGAAGACCTTGAAGAAGCCAGCAGAAGAGCCTCTTTCTTGTAAGAATCAACGAATCCTCTATCTCCTCCCTCTCTCTCTTTTATGTAAATAGACCACACGCACACTAGCCCCCACTTCCTTCTATGTAACCTTATTTCTACTGCTTAAAAAAAAAAAAAAAACCTACAATAAACGCTTCTCCGTATGATGTCAATCGATAAAAGCCCTCTTACACTTGACTTTTTTTTTCTTTGGATATCCACCACTCTGAAAGAGCAACCCACAGCGTTAAAAAGTAGAAAGGTGTAAATGCATGTATTATGAAAAAAAAAAAGCAAAAAGGTAGTAAGGAAATGAGAAACTAAAAAGGGATAGAATACAAAGAGTATCGTCATGGTGTATGGTATTTTTTGAAAGGCCTTTTCAAAGATGTTTAAGTGCATGTTTTTCTTCCAAAGGCAGTACTTTTTCATCAATGGCGTCGCATCCGGACGTTGTTTCATCTTCATCGTCACTTCTTGGATCGCAGGCGTCATCCTGTGTTAGCAAACGGACAATGACCTTGACGATCATGACGAACCAATAGACCATCAAAAGGTTCAATATCACTAATGAACCTACCCAAATAGACTGTGTAAAGGGTGTAAAGTATTTGCCCTCGGCAGGATTCCAAGTCATGTCCATATAATATTTGGGCTCGACTATACAGTACACAAGAAAAATAAACATGAGTCCCTTTCTGTATCTTGGGTTTTTTGGTTTAAAATGGTTTGTTGGCTACCTGCTACGCTCCAAATGACAATGGTATAGAAAATGTGCCTTGTAATGGGCCAAGAAAGAGTGAACAGTCCAAATGTGATATTGCAAATGACTTCAAATCCAAGGTATTTCAAAACTTTCGCCAACTATAGAAAAAAAGAAGAGTCAATAAGCGTGCGTCTTGGGCTGACTATAGAAAGTCCTGTGTGTGTGTGTGTGTGTGTGTGTGTGTGTGTGTGTGTGTTGCTCTGTTCTTGGCTCCTCCTCCCCACCACTGCTTCTCCCCCCGCCCCACCCCCACTTGCCACGGGTGGCCCCCACGCTCAACCCCACCCAGCTTTCTTTATTCGGAATTTGAAAGAAAATGAACGGAAGACCTTACCGACAATAATATATCAGACAAATCCATACAGCATAAAACAGCATTGCCAGCCCGCGTAATATTGCAATAATAGCTGGAACCCACCAAAAAGATAGTGATAATATGGTGTGACAGCATCGCGTAATGATCTTTTCTGCGCTTTTCTATATGAAGACAATACATCTGCTGGAACCAAAAAGCGAGCTGCATCAAATAGTAATACTTCATTTCTTGGGAAATGATCTCATGAGGGTATCCTTTCCAAAATTCCGAAGTATTCAACCAATATGGACTATAATACATAATATGCTTGTGTAATGGCAAGAAAAAAATTTGTTTAGCTAGCCATCACGCTAACATATACTTTATTTCTCATCCTTACCATGCCAAGTGTTCCAAAAACAAGATAATACAAGCAAGTGTACAACTGTTCCGCCACTCTGAGTCGTTTCGCTTTTGGGCCGATATGAAAGTGATTCAGGATGGGTAAGCAAATGTGGTTGATAAAGACGACACGTATGAATGTAAACATGTTTGTCCAAAAGAAAAGAAAACAAAAGTCATTTTTGCCCTTTTCAAATTGATCTGGTCCCACTTGATGAGAAACAAAGAAGAATTGGTTGCCTACGGATCGGTAACCAGTGAGGTATAATAAGACAAAAGTCAAAAAGATAGCGCCAGAGAGTTCTATAGAAGAGTGAGTGAGTGAGTACGTGACGTGAACACACATACACCGGTCTTATGTCTGCATCTTGCGAAATGTATACCTGCTTCATATCGTAGACACGCGTTTTTCAGTTTTGAACGAAAAGGTACCGTTTTATTGATAGATACTGTCAGTGGATCCATGGTGATCTTTTCAGACTCTTTCATCTTGACTTTTAGATGCTATAACAGGGAAATTGAACCAAAAAAAAAAAAAAAAAAGAAAGCGAAAAGAACGAATAAAGGGATCAAAAACACATGCGTTTCTTTGTTTATATATGAGTTTGAATGATAAGGCTTTCTTTTGTTGAGTCCAAGAGGAAGATGAAATTACAGTGTTTTAGCTTCAACTTTACACTTTATACAAATTTTATTGGACAATATATATATTTAATTTAGATAATTTTAAATTATTTTAGGATGAAATGGTATAATATTCTTGGACGATTTATTGAATAAATAATTGTAGACATTATTTTGAAGGTCAGTGGACATTTTTCAATTGATAGTGGCATTACTTTAAAGTACTACGAGACGTAATGAGTATTTTAGTGTAAAACAGGTCTTATCAGCAATAGATACATGGTTGTGGTTTACGAGACTTTATTTATGGATCATATGAATTGATCTACGCGTTAAACTAATCCCAGACACGTTCTTCCGCCGCGTAGATAACGGTCGTTGTTGTCAATCCTAATAAAAAATAAGATGTTGTCAAACTAGCATTTACAGAAAATAAGTTTGACATCTTTCCTTTGATTTCCATCTTCTTCTTCTTATTCTTCTTTCATCTTTCTTTCCTCATCCTGATAGCTACTACTCAGCATGTACAAAGCCAAAATCTTGCAAAAAATCAAATCGGTGGCAGAAGCCCATAAGAATAAAGTCAAAGATGAGTCCTTCCGTAAGTAACACATGAGCGCGCTGTTACAAATAAGTTATAGTGGTAATCCTCAGATTATGTTTTGTATGACTAGTAAACATCGAGTGCAAGGATTGCAAAACACTCGGACATTTCAACAAGGCATACCATGAATGCAAGTTTTACAAAGCAGTTTCTGCGGCTGATGGTAAGTATCATGCTCTCACTGCAAGACAAGTTTATGCTTAACGGAAATTTAGTTGGAAGTAGCGGTAAGAAACGTAAGCAATCAGCTACAATCAAGGAAGAAAAGAAGCAAGCAAAGAGAAAGAAGAAGCAAACAACTGGAGATATCAAGTGTATCAGTTGTGGCTTAAAGGGTCATTCTACTTCTCGTTCTCTCGAATGCCCCAATCACATTGCTTCAAAGGAAGAAGTTATCACCTCGACGCTTGGAGAAGGCTCCACTGTATTCACGAGGAAGCTCCCTCTTACGTCTGCTGTAAAGCCAGCGTTTCGCGAACAATTCCAAGAAAAAGTCATCTCTTGCTGCTCTGACATAAGGAGAATAGTATTCTCTAGTCAATTATTCGTTAACTCGTACCTCATTCATTATCAGGAGAATAGAAGGAATGCTAACAAAGGCGACAAGAAAGACACTGATAAAAACAGCAACAAAGGCAGTAAAGAAGCCAACAAAGAAGACAGCAAGAAAGACAGTAAAGAAGCCAACAAAGACAGGTCTATTCCTGATGTATTCTGCCAGCAATTCTGGTATTCAGTAGGTCAGCTTATAACGGGCAAGCAAGTTACTCACAAAACGGCATTATCCGAGGACATAAAACAGTATTATACAGACTTCAAGGCAAAGTTCCCTACTATCGAAGTAAAACACAAGCTGACCGTGGGATATAGTCATTGCCTTACAGAGGCAGCAAAGGAATTGAGCGTCTCTTACACGAACTCCATTGTAGAGCGCTTCGAGCAGCGCTTAACAAAGTTCCTTACTTACAAGTTGAGAACTATGCTCCCGGTAAGGCTGTAACCGAGTACCTTCTTAATGCTCTGCTGTTTTATTCATTTTATTTCTCTTTATACACATTCTAGAATATCAAACGCACTGATGTACAAAGAATTGTACAGCTCTATTGTTACCAATCTGTCTGTCATGGTCATCCTCATTGGCCAGAAAACCTCGAGCTGGCGGCTGTTGACAAAAACCGAATTGAATTACTCTGCAAACAATTTGAAGAGTTCATTCCAGGAGAAGTAACCCTCGTTTCTCTTTCTGCTGCTCCTGCAAAGTTTGTTAATGCGTTACGGAACATACAGTTTACGTACGAGCAAGAACATATACAGCATAAACCGTACGATGTCCGTGTCCTACCACTTCCTCAGCGTTTCTTTCTCTTTCCTACTCCATCGCTGAAATGGCGTTTCATCGCGATAAGTTTAAATGCTCTTACACCCTTCATGTTTCCCGGAAAAGTTGCCAAGGGTTATACAGCCCAACTCGAACAATTCTGTAAAGTCTTCGACTTCAAAAAGTTTGGCTTTAAGAGGTAAAACTATAGAAGAACTTCTTCAGCAAAATTATGCCTAATAGTAAACACACCCCTATTTTTGCTTCTGTCATAGTCTAACCGCTTTGAAGGAAAGTTCTGATGTAATGTTTCGAAACATGGTTAGGTCGGACGGCTTTACTGTAGACTTTTTGTTCAGCCGCAAAAAGAAAACAAAAGAAGACATGACCATTCATAATCATACCTTGACTTTGGAAGATTTTTCTTATGACGAAGTACAAGACAATTACAGACCCGCTTTCCTTGATCCAGGGCGAAGATCTGTCTTCACAGCGGCAATCGGACTAGATCATAACAAACATCAAGTACGCAGCTGCTCTACCAAGGAATATTATCATATGACCGGAAGTATCAGATACGCTGCAAAGCTGGAAAAGAAGAAAGCAGGCACAATTAAAATGATCGAAAGTGGCATACCAACCGCCAAAACTTCTATCATCGAACAACATGACCGTCATGTACAATATATATTGCAGCACTTCGAAGCCTTGTTCTCTTTTTACGGCGAGGGAACTGCTGAAGACAGATTTCGTTTATACCAGGGTCAGGAGCGTGCTGCCAACAACATGGTCAATTTGCTTATTAATGGAACCACAAAGTACAATAAGCAATTGAGGTTGAAGAAGAAGAAAGATCGAAGCAAGTGGCCAAAGAAGAATACCGACAGAATGGCCTTTTGTAAACGTAAAAAGAAGAAGAAGAAGAAGCAAAAGGTTCCAGAAGAGAAGGAAGAAGCAGATGCGAGAGAAGTAAGCGATGTTCTCGCTAAGAAAGATAGGTAAGGTTTTTAAATGATAAGCAATTCATCCACTATTCGCAGAAATATTGATAGAACTCATGCTTTCTACAGTAATCCCCTGAAGAACAAGTGGAAGCCTGAACCCTTTAGTGCAGGCGACACTAAAAAGATCCCTTTGATTGTAGTTGGTGATGGCATGTTCGGGAAGAGTGCAGTGCCCATCAAAGGCCATAAGACTGGTGTCGTTGGTGTTCTGTGGCGTGCATTGAAGCGAAGAGAGGCTGCTGGTGATCTCCTTGCCGTTACAATTGATGAATACTTGACATCACGCATATACAATTGTTGTCGCTCAGACACATTGAAAGCATTAGACACCGTGCGTGGCTGTAGTATCCTTGTTTGCAAAACCTGTAAGATACTATGGAACCGCGATGTCAATGCAGCAAAAAACATGATGGCCATCAGCATTTCGGTATGGAAGTCAACGGGAAGACCTGCGGAGTTTTCTAGAAAACCAAAATCACCCGCATCAACCACTTGAACACCATCCTCTAATCGCCAGCACGAAGCTGGTTTGATTTTTACAGGTAAGCATCTCAATTTTTGTGTAGTTCAATCTTGAAATTATAACTTGAAGGTCTCAAAAATTACTTTTTTCGTCTAGTTATATTGCGGCTTCGTCTAAACCCAAAGCTAAAAAACTGTACCTGGGATTCAAACCCAAATATTTTTTAGTTAATGTTTCAAAATTATGAAAAAAAGGCGCCATTTTTGGGCGTCTTTTACAGATCATTCATAAAGGACCGATAAAGGGAAAAGCGACCCCTTCGAAAGACAGGATGCACCTGAGCCTGTACCTGCTTCTGGTTTTCATATAATGTTGAGCGGTTATTTGCTTAGTGTCATCATCGCACACGATGGATAAAGACGAATAGATGGATCTTTCCAAACTCCTCTGCCTACTCTTTTTACGGATGAATGGATTTTGATGAGGTCGAGCATGGATGGACTAGCTGTCTGTCAAAATGGGAAAAAAAAGAATCTGTCTGCATTTCTATCCTGACCCGTCCTTTCCCTTTGGTTTTTTTTTTTTTAACTGAGCGGGGAGGTTGCTTTTAAAGATAACACACGCGGTTTTTACCTTTGGTACGTCTTTCTATCTTGTCCATAGTGCTTCTACCTTCACAGAGAGCCAGGCAAGGAGAGTGCTTCTTATGTGCCACATCGCCTTTTCTGTCTTGCACGTAGTCTACTGCCTTTTCTTCCGTCACAAAGTTTGCCGAGAGTGTGTCTTCCAGAAAAACCCCATGACCATGCGCTAACTTGGACCGCGAGTCTTGGCAGTTGTTTGAAAGGGGAAAAAAAAAGGGAAAACAAAGGTCCTATTTTAACCAGCAAGCGATGTCACCCTATGACGAGGCCATCCTTCATCTAGGGTCGACAGACGTTTCAAACGGGCCATTTTTATTCAGTTACTTCTACGACTGCATAAAACCTATATTTTTGGGCTTTCGTACTATAAGAAGTCTGAAGTCTGACCCCTTTATTTGATTCGCTTTCTTTTTTTTTTTTGTGTGTGTTTATCCCCTCCCAACCCCTTTGAATAAATAGAGGGGTTTTTTTGGCTTGAAAATTAGCAAAAAAACCAGAAATTTGAAACCAATTCATTCACTTTATGGACTCCTCGTCAACTCAAGATCAGACATTTACCACCAGAGTCAGTTCTTCGTTCCTCGATGGTATCTACTTCATTTCCAAACCCTTTCTTCGACGATTTTTGCCAGATCCTTATACTGAAGCGGGTAACGTGCGAGTGGAAGCCAAACCAGCATCGACATCTCGAGTGACCATTACAAAGATTGTTTCACCCGAGCATTGTAATTTAAATGTAAACACCCGTGTTGAGAAAAACCGGAATACGTATGAATGGGAAAGATATAATATCAGATTCTGTTAGGGTTGTGCGTATGCTGGTATCATTTTGGGTTGGATTGATATTGCTGCAGGAATAGCCGCAAAACGGCATGCTATTTCACCATCGGTAAGATGGCGTGATTTCATTGCAAGCTTTACAAAAAAAGCTATATCCATTCATTTGCTGTTTTCTGGCTTTAGGTCACTCGCTCAGTAGACGACGTTGCTTTTTTGCATCCCATCAAAGTGGGAGATATTGTAAACATCACCACTTGTTTTTTGTTTTTTTTACATTCATTGAGTTGAAGAGAAAGCTTCCCCCTAACTTTGTATCCTTTTCATATGTATATATCTTTCATGTGGGCGCGTAGGTGAGTGTTCAGGCTTCTGTAAACAAATCGTGGAAAACGTCCATGGAAGTGGGCGTCAAAGTAGAAGCAGAATCTCCTTTATCCAATGAACGCTTTTTTGTCGCTCATGCCTATCTTACCTTCGTGGCCCTCTCCCCTCGACCTGAGGCGAAAACGCATCTCGGAAGAGTGCTTTCTGATTTGGAGCCCATGGCCGTTCCAAAATTGATACCTCAAACCGACATGGAAAAGAAACGGTTTGACATGGCAGAAACACGTCGTTTGCAACGAATGCAGTCAAAGAAAAAATCAGATCATCGTCAGCAAATAAGAGACCTGATGAGGGAATGGTCTCAAGGTTTAAAAGAACGCGTGTTGGAAGATGCCCCCATTAAACATCATCCTGGTTATTTCGCAGAATCTCCTTCCAACTCGCCTGCGCTGATCGTACAAGACACAGAGGAAAAGAACGGAGGGCTATCCGTCACCGAGTTGGAGGACCACCAGGCCAGAACGGCAGTGAGACGAGGAGGTAGACGCTACTCTCAAGACCCCAAGTTGGGTCAGCAGTCCGATAAAGAGCAGCTCATGAGTTCCACTTTTGCAGAGGTCGTCGAATTAGTCATGCCACAACATGCCAACACCCTAGGCATCACTTTTGGCGGCCAAATCATGGCCTGGATGGAGACATGCGCCATCACCAGTGCCAACAGATTAGCGAAAGCGTATTTATTGACCGCCAGGTACAGTACAAAATTGATTGGACATCACCAAAAATGGGGAAACCCGAAAAAATGTGGAGGAGGAGGGGGGCGGGGGGAGTCATGAAGTGACTCACATCTTGAGAAATCAAAACCATCATCTTAAAATATACATTGTCGATTAGTATAGATAGTTTAAATTTCATAGCAAGCTCTGGCGTAGGTGATGTCGTCACCATAAGGTCACTTGTTTCAAGATCCTTCAATTCCTCTATGGAAGTCTATGTTACTGTCGAAGCAGGTAAAGGATAGGAAACTCTGTATGCCTCCAGATCGAACCCCCACAGACTCATCTAAAAGGACTCTCTATTCATAGAGAATTTACTGACGGGCGAAATCAAATTCACGAATGATGGATTCTTTACAATCAGTAAGAAAACTACTCAAATCATGGGCTACTTGATGTCTATTGTGGTTTACTGAAACATTTATAACGCTATTTTTATTTTTTTCAAATGTCAATCAGCTGCTCTGGATCATGAAAATGTGCCAGTGATTATACCCAAGGTGCTGCCACAAACAGAGGCAGGTCGTGAACTATTTGATGGTGGACATGAGAGACGTATTAAACGGTTGAATAGGCGACAGGAGGTGATCAGTTTAGTGACAGCCTCACAAAAATCTAAAGATCCTTCCACTCCACTTGATAGCTAGTCAAATGGCCCATCTTTTTTCAAGAACGGAGTTACATCAGCAGCCCTAAAAATCTGAAGACTGCTTTTCTGTGTTTGTTAAAGGTCAAATAAAAAAAAATCCCTAGGAATCAAACCATTTTAAGCTTTTTTTTTTTTTGGACTTTTGAAAGTGTCATCTTTTCTATATACCATTTCTGTTTGAGCAAAATTATACACACCTGCTTTCTCTGTCATGTCCTGTAAAACTGTCCTTGCTTCAAAAGTTTCTGCTTCCTTCAGGTAAGAAAATTGAGTTGTAGAAAAAAACCCGCTATTTAATTCACGCATAATTTTTTAATTTAAAAATAAAAAAAAAAAAAAAAAGATCTCAAATCAAAGAAGATATCAAACATCGAGATATTCGTCCAAAGTTGGTTGGTTTTCTTGCCAATGAAGATCCCGCTGCTATGAAATATGCTGAATGGACAGCAAAGACCTGCGCTGAAACGGGTGTAGAATTTGAACTTCGCAAAGTGGATAAACTAGAATTGGAGGCAAAGATCACAGAAGCCAATGATGATAAAGACGTCAATGGCATCATGGTTTACTACCCAGTATTTGGTGGAAAGCAGGTAAAGCAAAATATGGACGATCAGTAATAATGAATCAAGGACTTAGTGAAAGATGATTGTTCCCCTTAGGATCTGTATTTACAAAGTTGTGTCAGTGAGCTCAAAGATGTTGAAGGACTCTGTCACAAGTTTGTTCATAACGTATATCACAATATCCGATTTATGGATGAAAAGGAAACCATGAAGTGTATTATTCCATGCACACCACTCGCTATTGTAAAGGTACGAATAGTCTTTCAAACCGAAACAAAGAAAGAAAGGGAATGGGAGGGGTGGTGGGGGTTGAAAGAAAGTTAGCAGGTGGTGAAAGAGCCACCGATTTTATTAGAAAAGAAAATCTTATCCTTCACGTCTCTTCGAGTAGATTCTTGAGTTCATCGGCGTTTACAACCCAGTCATTCCTTATGGCAACCGTCTTTACGGACGTACCATTGCCGTTGTTAACCGTAGTGAAATTGTGGGCCGTCCTTTAGCGGCTATGCTGGCCAATGATGGTGCGAAAGTGTATTCGATTGATGTCAACGGCATCCAGCTTTTTACCCGTGGTACAGGCATTAAATTGGCCGCTCATAAAGTCGAAGACATTAGTCAAAGTGTGGAAGAAGTGATACCTCAATGTGATGTCGTGATTACCGGTGTGCCTACTCCCAAATACAAGATGCCAACTTCTCTTTTGAAAGACGGTGTCGTGGCTATCAATTTCTCTTCCTCTGCTAATTTTGAAGAAGATATCAAATCCAAAGCTTCTATTTTCGTACCTTCTGTAGGAAAAGTAACAGTAGCCATGTTGGAGCGTAATTTGCTCCGACTTTATGACTATCAACATAATTTGACAGAAAAGAAATCAGAGGCATAGAGTGGCGACTTTTTTATTCACAATAAACATATTTGTACATAGACTAGATGAGTTACATATTATTCTACAAAGGTTGAGTGAGTGGTATAGATGGATGAGGGTTGTCACAGGTCAGTGTACCGAATAATGGGTACGAACTGAGATCACGGATGACTAGATGAAAGCAAAATAAATTACAAAACCAAAGCTGCCGGCTGCCTTCCCCTTCAGTCAACAATGTTGTATACAACTTTATTCTTGCCTTCAAAATCTAAATAAGCGACCTTGATATTCTTGTTCTTCTCGCATAGATATTGTATCTGTTGATCTGTGGTAGCAACCAATTCGCCTGATCTGAGAAAATATCTATCACCGCAGTTGTTAAATACACAACAAGGAACAACAGCAAAGGATTTATTGTATTTGAGTGCTATATCTACAATAGGCACTGTCGCTTGATCCGCATGCAAACCAACCAAAAGGGTTGTTTCCGACATGAGTTCTTTGTGATTTTCCACAAATGGGTCATCCAGGAGAGTATGTAAATAAGTGGGCTGAATAGTGTATGGCCATTTCTGAGCGTCGAAGTGAATCTCTCTGCTTTTCCAGTCGGGCTGCTCAAGGTCATTGCCGCTTTCAAATCGATACATATGTCTACGCAGTCGTGTGAGCCAGTAAGGAGGTGTCTTTCGTACTTTCGGATCAACCACCGTTGCGGGTATACCAAACCCTCGACTCAAGAACATCGATATCTCACCTTTTCCTCCAGCCACATCCAAAACGTGATCCTTGTCCGTCAGTTGGAAATTCTTCAGTAGCCAATCCACGAATATCAAAGCGCGCATACCGTGAGGTTTCTTGGATGTATGAGGGTCTTCAGGATCAAATGTAGCCTGTTTGCGTGCTCTTTCTCGCTGATATAAAACAATAAAGGAGGGGGGGGGATGTCAGCCATGTTATCAGGATAGCCAATGCGGGTAAAAAAAAAATAAAATGTATGCAAGTTCATGCTACCTCTTCTAACCATTCTTTTCTGGCTTTTACAAAATCTTCACCCACAGGATGCTGAAACTTACAATCCTTTCCTTTATGACATATGTTTTTATTGATCCAATATTTGCACGCTACATTACTTTTATGAATGGACGGACCGTTCGCTGTAGAATTGTTTGCGCCCGTGAGTTCAGTAGCATCCTCCTTCATTTTTTTTAAAAGACTCCCCAAGGGTGGGTCTTGTCTGAAGCCTTCACGCTCAGTGTAAGGTGTTATTATTTTAATAGGTCTGTCGGTTTGCCACACTGCGTAAGGTCTATCTTCAGCTTCTTTTGGATTCAAGGGGTACCCTACTTGAACCTCGACAATCGATCCTGGTTTGCAATTATGGTACTCTTCCTGAAACTGGAGGTAATCTAAAGTTTGATCGTCTGTTCGAAAGAATATCTGTGATTTTTCTCCGGCAGGCAGTGGTTGAACATCAATAAAGAAAATGTTTTTGTTGGCCTTCCTTCTACATCTTATCTGTCCAGTAATTGTCTGAACAATCGCCACCGCCATCCTTTGCTGATCACACGTTGATTTGAATTGAAGGACAAAAGAAAATTGAGGACAGGTGGGTCAGCTGGGCTTATTTTTTTTTGTTCCCATTTTATGCTGTTTTGCGCGAGTAACCAAAGAAAGAAGCAAAAGAACAATAAGATGAACCCCGCACACTTTTACAATGAATAAAATGAATCGTTGTCGTACAATTGAACAATGCCCATTTTTATCCAAGCAACAAAAACAACAATAAAAACGAAGAAATCCTCGAATATAAGTCATGTTGTTCCTTTGTCTCTTTTCTTCCCTCTTCTCATCTTTTCCCGAGAGAAATAGATAATACATGTCTTTAGCGAGCCATTCTACCCGACCTACCAGAATAGAGGACTACTATTCAGATGATGAAAACCCTCCGCCCAGTAGGCAAGCACACAGACAGCAACAGTTGTCTCCACAATCACTTTTACGGCAGCAGCAGTCATTTAAATTGCCTCATCCGTTTCAGCAACAACAACCACATCAGGGAAACGATCCAACTCTTATCCACTATGGTCGTCCACAACAACGAAAATATCGAATGTCTGCTCCAATCTCATTAGATCCAGAGGAACTGAACGAAAGAGAAGAAGAGGAACTGCGAAGAGCTCTTTACGAACTCAATTTACAACATCATTATGCTGACAGTAGAAGAAGACCTCTACTCACACATAGACAAAGTCAGGAGTACATAGAGGATGCTGCTGGCCGACCTAGACAGCACAGGACGCATTTGAATGAGCCTTATCCTACTCCAATGGAGATGGAAGATGAGCTATTTCCACCCTACGAACCTCTTGCACAACATGCACCACATCCCTATTACGCAGCGCCACACTATATGCACTCACAACCCTATCCAGTACCTCCACCGCAATGGCTGCCACCGCCCCATCCGATTCATTCTTCACCCAGGTTTCGCCCTCCTCCATCTCTGCATTCAAGTAATCATGTCGGTGTACCGCCATTTTTGCGACGATCGTTTTCAACAAGGTCGTACAACAAACGTAATAGATCATCTTTCTACAATAAAAATCATGCTACTAAAAACAATAGTCATTTGCGAAGAAAAACGTGGCTGTCTCAGGAACCTGATCATGCTAGCGAGGACTATTCGGACGGTCATGGTCATAATCCATCTGACGGAGAAGAAGAAAAAGCAGAAGAAGAAGAAGAAGAAGAGGGAAAAGTCGACCACAACAATGAACCGAGAAGCTTTGTTGGTTATGACAACACGATGCATCGTCGAAATAGCAATATCCACTTTTCAGGCCGTCGAAGAGCCAACTCTTTTACTGAAGGAAGACGCCCGCCAAATCACTATTTTCAACCCCATCCTGCCTCGTTTATGCATCCTCCTCCCCCTCCTCCTCCACCACCACCACACTTGCTGATGAGAACAGGACCGGTGCCTCCACCCTTTCATCGCAGACGGAGGGTGCATAGCCTACCTACAACCCCTTACCAGACGGATAGCGAGGAAGAGGAAAGTAGCGAAAGTAATACAGCATCCATGATCGAGGAAGATGATGCTGATGATTTGCATTCTCAACCTGGGAGCTTTCAACGACCTCACCGTATGATGAACAGAAGAAGAAGCAGTGTGAGAGGGCGGACCACGCCTCCCACATTTCCGAACCGATCTCGCGTAGCTCGTAGTTTATCGTTTAGTGAAGTCTATCCGCCAGTACCCCGCATGGAGCTTCACTCCCCACCTTCAGTAGCTCCAGCTCCAGCGCCCCCCCTGATGCTACCACCGCCTCCACCTCCACCTCCACCCCCTCCGCCTCCTATCATGGTAGATGCACATCACCGGCCTGCTTCCATGTATAACCTTCCTACAAGTGAACTGTTTGATCATTTAACCGATGAAGGTGCCAACCTTTCAGCAGCGGCTGCAAACGGTATTCCACTCTTTCAACAACAATCACAGACAGCTTCTTCTGTACCCGTCACACCTACTGCTATGATGAATAATCCATTTGAATCGTCGATAGCGGGTATACCCACCATGAACAACAATGAAGGCATGGGCAGTCATAGTCACGGCCCTGATGTGAACAGCAGCGCTCCTGTCAATGCAACACACGGTGAAGGAGTCCATCGAAATCCTATGATGAACCCCACTCACCCAGCATGGTTAAATAGAAACAATGAAGCAGCCTTTCTTCGTCACCAACAGCAGCAGCAACAAAACAGAATGATGGGCATCCCACCACCACCACCCCCTCCTCCCCCAATGTCTCTCTTCAATCATCCGATGATGCCTATGGCTCCACCTATGCAACAGACACAATTTTGGCATCCACCTGAATTATGGTTTCCACCTCCTCCTTCTGGTCAACTTAACGATTTCCCACCTTTGCTACCCTTCTTAAACCCGAATGACCCAAATTTTATGGCACAGGTCATGATGCATGGAGGAGGCGGAGGCGAAGGAGGAAGAGGTGAATCAGCAGCAGCAGCAGCAGCAGAAGCTGCAAGTCATGGTGCGAACGGAAATGGGCCTTCAGCAGCACCACCAGCGTCACCTCAACAGCATCATGAAAAGGAGCAAGGCCATCCAAGACATGTGTCAGAAGGAAGAGACGACCTCCATCATCCATATACATCGCGTGACATGATGATGCCCATGATGAGGCAACGCCCGCCAACAGAACCTATGTTTAGAAAAGGGCTCTCTATGTTGGGAGGTCTGTTTGGCAGTAACAGCCATAGTCAAGGTTATGGCATACCGCCGGCGGATCACTTTTCGGCACCTCTTCAAGCTGACCCTCATTTCTTGAGGCAGCAAAAGAAGGATGCTAAATTAGCTATGGAATATGCAAAATTAGGTACGTTTTATTGTTGGCGAAAACTCATGGATGGACAGGAGGCACACTATGAATCCTTTAGTATACCTAATCAAAAGCATATCAAAAAGAAGCTGAATAAGAACCCTCCTCAAACCCTCATTATGCTCGCCCATCGCGAAAAAAAGTTACAAGGCGAGATCATGTTAGACATTACGCAAAATAGAGGTTGCTCTCTGCAGAAGATAGGTGGCAAGACTATCTTGATTCAATTAGAAATTAAAGAAGAAAACTATACGCCAAATAATGACTTTGTATTTGCTAATCATCCTTCATCAACGAATTAAAATAAAAATAGCAAGAATTTTTTTGGTTTGTTTTTGCCCGCTCATTTGAGTATCCGCCGTCTTCCCCCCCATCCCACCCTTTTGACGAAGATCCCCACATCTTCCCTTCCTTAACTTTTTTTGCCTTTCCAAAATGGATGATACACTAGAACAAGTTCGAGCCAAATGTGCCCTTCAATTAGAAATGTATCAGAAATGTGTTGAAAATAACCCTCATTCATGGGATAAGGCCTGCATACAGCAAAAGAAAGCCTTGACAAAATGTTCAGAAGAAAAGTAATATAGGATGACCAACGGAAATAATTTGAATACAGGAAAACCTGTCAAAAAAAAGCCGAAAATAAGGACTGACATGGATGCTTTTGTTTAGTGTTGGCATTTTGAAATTCGTAAAACAGCAATGTGCTAATCAGATCAACGCTTACGACAGTTGTCTTGCTGCCAATACCGAAAAACCTGAAGAATGCGTTCAACCTTTGAAAGACTTGTATCTTTGCACAGAGGCAGCTTCTATTCTATTCCGCGACGAGCAAAAAGACAAAGCAGCAGACGCTTCACCAAAAAAGAATTAGTCTTGTGTGGAAACGAATGAAGGAGAAGGAGATTCTCTTTTTCAGAATGTAAAATAATGTATCATAGTTTTTGTGTGTATATGTGTATCGAAAACTATCCTACTAGATAGCTGAAGAGATATAGATTATAAATGGATATCTTTTACACCTTTTTGAGTGTAAGCTTCGAATTGTTTTCGTCCTTTCCGGAGCATGTATTCAATCGTTGCAAAATCAGATTTGCGAATATCATGTTGCTTGAATTCCTTTCGTATAAATGCATAAAAACGAGGTCTTGTTTCCTGTTACGTTTGCTTTATTAGAATAGTACATCCTAAGATGACAGACCCTATTTCTGGCCTTACCTTTGGTTTTGCTCTCACTGCTCGAAAACATTGTCTGTAGAAGCTTATCACCTCGTTTTGTAAACCTGAATGTTTCATAGCAGTGAATGACTTGGTGGTGGTGTTTCGCAGTAGTACCTGAAAGATGATGAAAATTCACGCAAGAAAAGAAACGGGCACATGGGGTGAGATTTTCACTTGCAAACATTCCCGGGAATAGCTCATTCTGGCTTTGTCAGCGGCCATTAAAACAGTAGTAAAAAATCTAGCGGCCGCCGCTCAAACATTTAACATAGCCATCACTGACTTATTTGACGAAAGATAACTAAAAAAAAAGAACAAGGGCCTGCCATTATTTAATATTTGAACTGTAAACATGTTGAGATGAACAAAAAGAAAAAATGCTGTTGTGTAATTGATTAGGAATGAGTGTAAATTAGGTAATAGAAAATAACTACATAGAAAAGAGTAACAGGATAGTAGAATGATGAGAGTTTCCTGATATAGCACAAAAAGATTAGAAATAAAAATTAATAAAAAATTGTTGAAGTGGTGTATGGGGCAATCCTTTATCAATGATCATCTGGAGTGATTAATATCGGCGTTGTTGAACGAATTGGTCCGAACTACCAAAAGAATCAAAATTATCATGGTATTCTTCAGACATGTTATTGCCTATGCTACTACTGATGGATTCAGGATGATAGCTCTCCATATCTGCTTCACGTTTACGTTTCTTGTACTTCATTGCCATCATGGTAGCTGCACCGCCCACAACAAGTGCGCCACCAATGCCGCCGACACAACCGCCAATGATGGCTTTGTTTTTCTGACTTAGACCGTCGCTCTGGCCAAGATCACTATGAGCAGCGCCGTCATTAATGGTACCCGTCGGTGTTGCTGTTGGCATCAAGCTGGAAGAAAGAAGAGAAGAGGTGATAGAGGCCATAACAGAGCTACTACTGACACTTTCAGAAGCAGAAGAAGTGGGCCATGCTGTGCTCTCTGAAATAGAATCTGTAATAGAAGCAGTAGGATCTATTGTAGAAGATGTCACAAGGATAGAATCGGTTGTAATGGGTGTTTCGTCGATGGAACTTGTGGGACTGGCTGACTCAGTGGGTGTTGCATTCGTTGATGAGGGAGCCGTGTTTATGGCATCTGTAGGTGTCGGTGTAGGCTCGGAAGTGGATGAATCTGTGGGTAAGAATGAAGTGGGTGTAGCACTATCTGACATAGTCGCAGTAGGAGAAATAGAAAGTTGTTGATCTGTGGGGGTACTGGTATTTATATTATTGTTATCTGAAGTAGGTTGCTGGTCTGTTGAGGTAGGTAGTGCTTGATTGGATTGATCCGATAAAGTAGAAGGTGCAACTGCTTCTGAACTACTACTGTTAGAAGTAGTTTCAGATCGTGAAGGTGCTTGAGTCGAAATTTCGGTACTAATGGCAGGGGCCGGAGAAGCGTTTTCTGTGGTTTGTTGTTGTTCAGTTGGAGTAGCAGGAGCGGAAGAAGATGCCGTTGGCTGCTCTATAGAAGCTGGAGGAGAAGGCTGCTGTTCTTCTGAAGTAGTAGGTACAGGTGCTTGGGAAGTAGCTGCTGGTTCAGTAGGTTGCGCTTCCGGTGTCGTTGGAGTAGGTGCAGGTACTTCTGAGGCTGTAGGATCAACTATTGAAGTGGAGAAAAGTAAGAAAGAATGTAATACCCTGCTAGTTTATGTTTTTGAAAGAATAAAAAGCTTACCTTGATTAGTATTTTCTGTTGAAGTAGGATTGGCTGCCTCTACATATGAAATATGCATAAATTAAACACTATTAGCTGGAATGTACAAGTAAGGTTTTTCTATTGACAACTTTCTAACTTACGGGTAGTATCAGGTTCTGGTGTGGCTGGTGTAGGGACTGTACTAACGTCATCAGCATTGTCCTGACCTTCATTATCATTGTATAAATGTTATTGAGTGTTTGAAGGATCCAATATTCATTGCTCGCTCCTACCTTTATTTTTGCTTTTGTCAGTTTTGGAATCGCCAGAATCGTTGTTGCCACTATCGCCTTTATGAGCATTATTGTCAGTATGATTGCTATCATCCTCGTGATCATTTCCGTCATCCCCGTCACCACCGTCACCACCGTCACTTCCATCATCGTCCCCATTATCGCCCCCATCATCGTCCCCATTATCGTTTCCACTGCCGCCATCATCATTCTCTGAGCTTCCTTCGTCTACTTGAGAATAGATGTCAGTATTTCCTTCCTTATTCCCGTCTTCGATATCTTCAACTCATTCTTCAATAAGTTGTGATCATTTACCGGTGTCCTTATCCACATCACCCTCTTCTTCACCCTCCTCATCATTTTTATCTTCCTGGTTATCCCCGCCGCCGTCCTCCTCCTCCTGCTCCTCCTGTGCCTCCTGTTCCTCCTGCTCGTCTTTGCCACCATCATCACCACCATCGTCTGCTTCATCTGTTTCAGCTTCTTCGTCCTCTTCTTTACCTTCATTTTCATTCTCTTGATTGTCTTCATTATCGTCGTCGCCAGCGTCATCATTCGAGTTGCCTGAATCATCATCTTCATTATCATCGTTCGAAGCATCATCCTCGCCTCCTTCATCCTCATCTTCTTGTCGCTTTCTTAATTTTTCATATAATTCAGCTGACATTTCTTTTTTCTTTGATTTTTATTCGATCTGTATCCAAAGAGAGAGTAAGAGAGAAAGAAAGAACGCCTTTTTCTAACGCTTAAAACAAAGAGAGAAAAGGGGGAAAGAAAGAAAGAAATGTCAAGTTTGGTCTGGTACGTTCCTTTCAAAAAACCCACCAACTTTTACTAAGGTTAAAAAAAGGAAACCTATGTTTCTGTTTTTATGGGACAAAGATGTGTCAAAAAGAAGCGGCTCCCCAAAAATGACAAGATGATGGCGTGTTTTGTTTGAATAAACGGTTGAGGGGAACCAGAGAAAAAAAAAAAAAAATCCAACACAAAAACGTAGTAGAGGTCTGTGTGTGCCTTAAAATAGCCTCCCTATTAAGTTACTGTGTAGGCTTGAACCGCTGTTCATTTAGCTATAAAAAGTGACTTTTTTTGCGTTGGTGTCTTTCTTCCAACCTCATTTGACAAAGATGCTATGTTAGATAAGATAAACATCGTTTCGTTGAGTGATCCTATAGACAACGTCTAATTAAAAGAAATCTCGTGCAAATCAATGTGATAATGTCTGTGTGCGTTATGAAACGATCCTTTGAGGTCTGTGTGTTTGTTTAACATTTTTAAAGCTGAGCCAAAAAAAAAAACAGAAACTTGTTTTGTCTACAAAAATGCATTTTTCCAAACAATTGAGCAAATTTGATATTTTCAATAAAGGAAACTCAGGGAAAAAACGATTGGAGAAACATAGACTGTAAACCAACAGGAGATGGATAGTCTGCAGTCAAAGAGCATTCGAAAGTCAGACTTGACATCTCTGTTCCGTTACTAAATAAAGCTTACTTGTAAATTGTAATTGTTGTGGTGATCGACAAATCAGGGAAAAGTATACCGCAATCAATCCAATCAGGCAAAATCCGAGTTCCGCTGGCAGGTATTATCATGCAGACAAATGCAGGGTCTGCGAATTTTATCTTTACTTATCGCTTTTTACGAGAAGACTGCATGGAGACAAGTAGTATGGAACAAGGATAAGCAGTAAAGAATAAAAGGTACGCCAATTTGTTGGTGCCTTGGTTTCCATTTTACTTTTTTGTGCGTTCATTTGTTGCATTTATGATTTGTACCACAGAGTGTTCAATTATCTGATTAGATAAGTTTTAGGGGAGCTATACCTCGCAATAACTTTTTTCATTGAGAGCCTGGATTGTTTGAGGGATAGCAAATCGCTGCCTACTCATAAAGCATAGCTTTTGTCGATGACAAATAATTTTAAAAAGTAGCTATACGTGATGAAAATATCCACTGATGTATCCCGTCGGAAACAGCAGTTATTCTCTCTCGCTCATCAACCTGCAGTAAAAACGAAGGGTAGTTCTTCTTGCGCAACCCGCGTTTGATCTACTTTTGTAAAACTATTGGGTCCTTCTATCATTTGTACACGTGTAACAACTAAATTAACAATAGCAGATACTGGCGAACACAGGGACACTATTTTAATCCATTCTCGTCTGATAGCCCTCTCACCCTCAGCTTTTGCTGATTAGGTTAGGTTAAGTTTTCATAGTGTCAGTGTGTACAAACATATAATAGAATAATCGACTTTAGGGAAAAAAAACAAAACCTTTCGTCAACACTCTTTCTTTCGTTTATTCTTCTTATTTTTCAACCTTTTACCTTTGTTGTTGTTTTTTTCCGTCTTCTGTTGCTGCTTAGACATTTTTGGTTTCGATACTTTTCATAGACGGTTTTGTTCGTTTCTATAGGTCACCAAATCAGAAAGACCTCGTCATTTTCATCATTCCCTGCCTCCACCTCCCTTAAGTCATCACCTTTACCCCTTGAATTTCAATATAAAACATGGCAAACTATTACCATACACAACAGCCTCAATCACCTTTATACACATCGTACTATCAAGATCCATTGACTGGTAATGATAATCAATATCACGCTTCCTATCATCAACCTAACTACAACAACAACAATGCCTTTGCAATGCATGATCTTCCAACAGCCAACTATTATCCGGAATATAATGCAAAGCATTACCATTCGAACCTCTCAACAACAGGCCATGATGACTATCATCCACAGCCAACTCACACCCTACCTATAGAAGGCCCTATAGCCCCAGATCCGTACCATAACGAGAAAAGGTATTCTCGAGTCGATCGTCAGCCTCGACATACATGTTGTGATACGATTTGTTGCGGATGCTGTACATGCTGTCCGAAATGGTGCCGTTGGTTCACCTGTATTTTGTTTTTGATCATTGTGGCATTAGGCATCGTCGTCGGCGTTCTGGCGGCGTTATTTAAGCAACCTTCTGTAGAATTCACAGGTATAAAAGGCGAGCCAACATTTGGACTCGTAGGCAATAATGTCAATCTGAATCTATCCTTGGGTTTTTCTGTCAATAATCCAAACATTGAAAGTGTAACATTCAAGTCATTAAGCGCAAAGGTAAAATAGAATAGTTGTAATTTCAATATGACTGAATATCCGTACATGAAGAGGAGAGGAAGGGGGGTGATGCGGCGTAATAGAAGGAGGAGAAGTAGATAGAGGATAAGCTACTACTTTTTTAATCATAAGGCATCTTATTTTCTGATGATGTTTGTTGTTTTCGCTTTTCTTTCCTTTATTGTTATTCTGCACCTACGACAACGACAATTATTTACGATGACGACAGGCCTACTATCACGGTGATTCTACAGAGCTAGGAGGAGGTACACTCAACGACCTTCATATAGGTTCCAATGCAGTCACCAACATCTCATTCCCCTTCAACATGTCCATGGATATTATGGCATCTGGGACACAGGCTGTCGTTTACAAACTACTGTCCGATTGCGGTATTTTGGGCGGATCTCCTAAAGATATTTCAATTGATTATAAAGTGATAGCCACTGTCAGCATTATAGGAATATCTATCAATGTGCCTTACTCCAACAGCGTGAACGGTATACAATGCCCTATTGAAGCGAATCAACTTGATTTATTAAACAAAGTAGCAAGTTTGCTCAACGGTCTCACCAATGGCGGCGGCAGTGATGTCTCGAACACGATTAATAGTATAGCTCAATCCCTTCCTACACAATTCAGTGCATTGATACCTACAGAGGCTGCTGATATTTTAAAAAATTTTGACTAGCTCATGAGTCAACAATAAAGAGATAGTGATTTTTGTACATAGAGGAAAAAGACAAAAGGAAAAAAAAAAACCAAAAAAAAAACCACCACTCATACACGCCTATTACTGTACAGTTGATTTAGACTTGGATTCTTATAAGTGTAAACATGCAAACTTTTTTTGATTCGTTTTGATAGGATATAGAGAGCAGTTTGGAAGTGTTTTCCTTTTCAACATGCTTGGAAAACTCAAAATGAAGAAAAAAAGGTTTTAGTGTTGACTGATAATTTGAGTCAACTACTAACTTTTTAACACCACACACCCGTCAGAAAAAAATCAAAACAAATCGTATGACGTTTTTACTTCGTTCAACCATAACAACTCTTTTCAAAACTTCTTCATTTCAAACGTGCAATCTTCGCGCAATGTCTACGCAGCATAACCACTTAAAAGATGACTGTATCTTTTGCAAAATCATCAAGTGAGTTAGTTAAAAGAGTAGTGTAGGGGGAAAAAAATCAGTCATCTCACGGATTCCATTTTTTTGTTTTCTGATAGGAAGGAGATTCCCTCAATGAAGATCTTGGAAACTGACAAATGGTAAATGACGCGACACAGAAGCCCTCATCCAAGCAAAAAGAAAGAGGGAAAAAGCTGACATTTTTCTATTAGTTTTGCATTCATGGATATTGAACCTCTTAGTGAGGGTCATTCTGTAAGTAACTTATTGCTTGACCAAACGATGAGTTGTAAAAAATGTTTTATTAAAGGCCTTTTTTTTTTTTGTTTAACAGCTAATTATTCCAAAATGTGAGTCGTTCATTCTTGCTCCATGAAAATTAGCCTACAGAGCCTCACTTTTGACTCTTTCTTCTTTATAACACGTTAACAAGATCACGCTCAGTTTATGCATGAAGTACCTGAAGATTTTTTGAGCGAAATCTTGCCTCTTGCTAAGAAGATTGCTTCTGCTGGTGGTTATCCTCAATACAACGTCTTACAGGTATGTGTATTTTGAACCGCTCATTTTTGCATGAAAGAAAAAAAAAGTCCTCACGCGTGGTTTTAATCTCCGTAGAACAATGGTAAACTTGCAAACCAAGCTGTTCCTCACGTTCACTTCCATATCATTCCCAAGCCTGATAAGGAAAGCGGTTTAGGTATTCAGTGGAAACCTATGAATACTACCAAAGAAGCTATTAAAGCTCACTATGATGAGCTCATGAAGAAACTTTGAAATGACTCATTAGTCCAACTGCCTTGCGTTAACGGAGAAGCAATAAAATAAAATAAAATAAAATAATAAAGCTATTCTTACACTAATTCCGTTTGAATATCTTTTGAAAATGAGTGTATAAGTGATAAATGACACAGTACGTCTCTGACTTTTGAAAATGAACTGGAAAGTGATGTCCAGCAGTTGTTTAGCATCATCAGCCTATTAATATATAGTGTAAATGTCAAGGGACGGTTATGGCATTTGTGCTAGACTAACTTGCTCAGCTATGTATTTATTTTGGCTTTCGAAGGCTTATTATACATCTCTCAGAGTTATATATGGTCAGAAAATAGATTAACAAACTTGACCGTTGACAGCGAAAGAAGGCTGCATGGCAGGCTTCTGATCACGGAAACCTTGGTTACATTAACCAGTCAATGAACGGCTTAAAGATAACCAACGATGAAGTCATCGATAACCTTGACCTTTCTGCCTATAGACGATAGAGGAATCAATAGTCATCACCTCTCCAGATACAGTATAGCAATGTCTGTTAAAAATAGCTGGTGCCAAGCCGTACGGTTCAATCACGTACACATTTAGCTGCTACATAGTATCAAGTAAATTAGTGCTAAGCAAATGGTTTTGCATATAAAATGTACCTCTCATTACGTTTGTTTGAAACGCACGCGTTGTATGATATGTTGTGGAGTTTTTCTTTGAACCATCATTCGCAAATTAGGGCCTGTCCGACAAAAAGAAAAATATGCAAACATTTCATGTTTATCGTTGGGTATATCATGCCGCTTTGTATGTCTATTTTTAAAAAGCCAAGGCATTTAAGGCAGACTATCTCCAGTCTCGTATCTTCATCGTATTGAAGTGCTAGTTTGACCATGTTGTTATATTCTTTTTCCTAGCTTGGCAAGTCTTGTACCTGCATATCATTAGCGGACATCTAACACTTTATCATATTTTTTTTAATTTTGTCTAGAGATACAAACTCCCCCCTTTCTTATCTGACTTTTTTGATTGATATATTACCTCTTCAGACATCTCTATACAGGCACAGCAAAAGAGAAATGACAAATGATATCTCCTCAAGAGTGATGTAAATCAAAACTGCAACGTATAGCTAACGTCATCAACGCAATTTTTTGAATACAATCTAAAAGCTCCTTATCCATGTGTTCTCAATGTCAATACACATATAGGCAGTTCAACTCGGCGCAGGAGGAGCTAGAATACTGGCGTTCTCGTTCAGAAAATCTCGAAATCAGCTTACAAGAAACTAGAGCAGCACTCGATGAATATCAGGTTTCCTCTCGAGAGTTGGAAGAAGAATTGGAAAAGGAATTACAAGCAACAGAAAAAGCATATAAAGATTTAAAAGCTCGTTGTGAACATTTTAAGCAAGATGCTGACGATTGGAAGGTAGGCATGCTGTTATTTGTTTCAAATGATTCTTTCCAATAAACTTACAGTTTCAAGCGGCGGGTTTTTCATGGCCTTTTATACATGTTTATCTGTACTAGTCAAAATATACAGAATCCAAGCATGAACTCAATTTGACAACGACACAAATGCAAAGAGAAATCGATATCCTGAAAGCAACAGAAGAGTCGTTCAGAAAAAAAATATTGGAATTGGAGTTGGATAATGATGACCTAGAGAGAACAGAGAGGTCTGAAAATGAACTTCATTTTTCTACGAAGAAGAACCAGCTGCTAAGTGTGTTTATCCTTATAGGGCCGCAACTTCCTCTTTAACAGATCTAGAAATGAAACTGAATAAAGCAATCGAACGAAATGTGATATTAGGTAAGCAGCATGCCTATTTTATTGACACGACAGTACGATTGTAGTCGGCTAATGGATGGATCAACAATAGAGAATGAAATACAGGCAAAAGATAATTTAACGGAACAAACGCAAAGATTGAGAGACGAGATTAATGGTAAAGACTGCATGCTGAATATGGAGCATGTGTTAGGATGTCATTAACCATTCGGAAATATACTTAGAGATGACACAAGAACTCTCTGTTTTACGTAACCAGACAACGAAACAATCCGACTACATCGGCAACTTGGAAAACAAAATTGACGATTTGCAAAAAAAGAACAAGCAACAAGCAGAAGCATTAAATAAAGCACAACAGGAACAGCATAATCGATCCTCTACTCCCGAGTCTGGTTCAAGTGGCAACTATTATTCTCACTATGGTCGGACAGCAAGGTTGAGCCGTATTCCACGTACACCGACATCAGGATCCATATCAACCTCGTCTAATCCTGTGAAAATGGTTCAAGAGATGGTCAGCCGTGTTAGAGTAAGTTACCTGTTACTTTTAAGTTTGAATGTCCACATTCCAAACTATTGGAAACTGAAAACAATTTCCCGTAGAACTTGGAATCACGTTTACAGTCATGCCGTTCATTAGTGACACCCCTCTTGAATCCTCCACCATCTTACAGTTCTTCCAATTACTTTTTAGATAGGAACACAACCATGTCAACTGATGAGGATATGGAACACTCTAGTATCAACACTGCTGCAACGATGCGTTCTGGCGCTCCTATGCATCTATCAAATATCAATGCCAGACGACCTTCTGAATACATGAGAACAAGCCTAGATACCAATCATGATTAATCGTTCATTTGATGTAATATAAAGAACAACTCAATAAAAAAGATGAATATTGTAAACTTTTGGCTATTGTTCAAGCTGATCCATACATATATATTAGCTTGATTCTCTATGTAAGCAAGCAGAAACTTGCTAAACAAAGGAGCATCTCAAATATACTAGAGACCTATCTCGACTCACAACTTTAACTTCAGAGTAGGAGTTGGACATGGAATGAGCAACTTGGTATCCCACGGTATACTTATGGTTTCTCACAGTACCTGTCAATAAAACTAACTTATCCGGCTCTTGTGGAATCTTTTGAACCTGTCTACTATCCTTCTCGTCATAATGAGCAATGCAGAGATTATTGTACTTGGCGCTGGAGTCATTGGTCTTACTACTGCATTGCTGCTTAAACAAAAAGGCTACAAAAATGTTACAGTTGTAGCAAAGTTTATTCCAGGGGATGTATCTGTCGAATACACTTCCCCTTTTGCAGGTAAATGAGCTGAGTCGATTTAGAATGACATTGCCAGGATTCATTGAATAATACATTCGATACATCACGTGCCCACTGGAGGACAATGGCAAGCAACGATAATAAGCTACTTCAAAGTAAGCCTGAGAGTCACTAAGCTGTTATGGAAGATATTAGCAATTCAGTCATTGACATCGTCCAAAAAAAATAGAATTCGACACTGTCAGCTACAGGAAGTTTATGAGTTTGGCTCGGGATAATAAAGCTGGAAAACATGGTATCATGGTTATGCCAAGTTATGATTATTATGAAGATGCTTCAATTGCTGAAATATCTCATCCTTGGTTCAAGGATGTAGTGGAGAACGTAAGTGTATCTTTCATCATTAGTGACTTCGTAACGACGACCAATATGAATGGTTTTGTCGACATAGTTCCAATTCCTGACGGCGGAACATAACTCAATTCCAAAAGGTGCAACATTAGGTCATACCTACACAACTGGTAGAGTATACTCGGAAGGGGCTCTTCACGCTACTCAACATAAACAAAAAGAAATGAAAGGATAATGATAAGCAACTTATTTGCTCACTTCTTTATACGCATAGTTGTAATCAATACCCCTTTGTATTTGCAATGGTTGCTGTCGCAATTCAAATCTCTCGGTGGTGAGGTTGTTAAAATGGCTATCTCACATATTGAAGAGCTTTATTCACTTTGTAGCGACTTATCAGCAACGGATAAGCATAGTGAACCGCCTATTGTCATCAACTGTACAGGGTTGGGCTCGAAATTTTTAGGTGGCGTTCGGGACCAAGCTTTATTCCCTTCAAGAGGCCAGACTGTTATTGTAAAAGGATCACACATAAAAGAAACGATAACTTTCTCAAGTATGCTGTCAACAGCAAAAATCTGATATAAACTACTAAAAACTCTTCAGTTGACATACTTTAATGGTTTCTTACAATGATTAGGAAAGCAAGATATACTGTATATTATCCCCAGGTCGGATGGGACAATTGTTCTTGGAGGAACAACCGGCATAAATGACTAGTAAAGCTTGCTTTTAAATGATGTTTTATACTAATATTGTTGAAAGCTGACTGATATTGATATTTTATCATTAGCACACCATTTCCTGATGATAAAACTACAGAACAAATCCTTCGAAGAACAACCGAATTATGCCCGGACTTACTATCAATAGCTGGAAAGAAACTGGAAGTACTGCGATCTGTGGTGGGTTTGCGTCCGGGAAGGAAAGGTGGACCCCGTATTGAAAATGAGGTCATACGTAAGTTCAATAGTGAATAACTAAACATTAAGGGAGATGAGCACTCTTTATTAACAATGTATCATCATGGCAGCCTCAAGAAGCAACCCGGCCCTTCACTTTAAAGTTACCCATGCATATGGCCATGGAGGTTTTGGAGTACAATCAAGCTGGGGAGCAGCCGAGTATGCCATTGAATTGATGGAGCAGAGCCTTAGAACAGAAGATAACAACTCAATTGCAACGAGCAAGCATTCACGGCTTTAAGATAGTTTTATAGCATTAATAGACATACAAAGAATGGATAAATTGTTCTTGTGGTATAAATAGATAAAATTGTACATATAGAGCACATTAAGCTGTGCATGTGATTAATATGTGAGGAAAAGGGATAAAAATTACGGATATAGTGATGGTATAATATGCTTTTCTAATGTTAATTCAAGCTTATCATCATGTCGTTCTATGAGAAATACACTGTTTTACTGGATCTGCAAGTTCTGCCGACGACCACTGACGGAGAGTAGTTGCTGATACGAATACCATACTAATGAAACATGATGGTTAGTTATCTATTGTCGAACATAGAAACTTGTTAAGGATGGATCGTTACCAGAAGCAACTAAATATAATGAGAGCATAATCAGCTAAGCGTCTTGTAGTTGGTAGCTCGACCGCTTTCAAATGAAAAAGCGGCGGAAAGATAAAACAAAGAGGTATGCAAAACAAAGCACCTATTAAAGAGACGAATTTATCCAGCTTGTCTTTTGAACCGACAATGCCAATTCCTGCGCACAAGAACACTATAAGGACTCGGAATACATTCTTTTGCCATTTGACAACCGCATTATTCTTGCCCGACCGTGTTGTGAATAACCCATTTTCCATAATCCGAATAGCAGGAAACAGCTGAAGTGGAATGGATAGGCAAATTGCCAAAGAATAAAGCGTCTGTATAGATGATACCATAGGATCCTTACTCGGCAAATTTAAAAGGATAATTGTCTGAACATTCTCACCAAAAGACATGTAAGAAAGTGCACCCATTGTGATGAACAAACAAGTAATCGCTGTCAACGCCCTTGTAAGAACTCTAGGAAACTCTTTGGGTTTTTTCATAGATTCTGTAATGGGTATAACTATTCCATGGGCAAATTAGATGTTATTTTCAATTTTCCACTGTTTCTCATCGGCCATAAATGTTACCTAATCCTATTCCTTCATACGTAAATGCTGCTGTTCCTATAAACAATGGAAAATGGGTAGGATTCCATAATTTTACATCCAGTACGCCTATTGTTACCAATTCCTTCACATCATAGTAGAATATGTAAACTATTCCAATGACAATAAAAACGTCGGCAATCAATGCAAATATTGATAACCGTTGAATTTTTCGAATCATAGCCAGTGGTATAAAAGCGAAGCTTTGAGCCAAAAGCAATAAATGCATAGGAATCAGCACGCGACATTTTGAGAATGTCAGCACCAAAGACTGTAAGTTCTCAGACACAAAAATCATATACGCACACACAAAGCCAATTTGTGATAACGTAATGGCAAGTAATACTGCTTTTCTCATGCCTGTACCATACAAAACACCGCCCATATCAGCGAAGCTAGCGGGTACTACCAACCGGGTTTGTACTAATAGTAGAAATGACCACAACGACAGTAATGCCCAAGCGATTATAGCAAATATCGAGAATAGTAAGCCGCCGTTATAAAATCTAAAAAAAGAAAAAAAAAAAAACCCCCCATTCAATTGTACGTTAAAACGGTATATTTCTGCCATTCGAATGCCTTGAAAGATATTTCTTTGTCAAAAACTTGTATACTTACGCTTTCGGTAAGAACATGATACCTGTGGTAACAAAGGACTTGAGCAGCAAAAACATAGCTTTTCCGGGAGTTGCTTTTCCCTGCAGGGTTTGACCCGGTCGAGAACGCGATAATAGAGGCATTCTCTCTCGTGCTTGAAGCTGTTTATATTTTAAGGGCACCATTGATCTTTCTGATGCTGAAGCCGGAACGGGTAAAGTTTGCTTTTGTAAAACTTGTTGATCACTGCTACTGCTACTACTTGTAGCACCATAATTTAATGGTGAGCGATAGGCAACTATGTCGCCTTCACGTACATTACTATCCTCCTCGCTACTTTCGTTATCTTCTTCCGTTGAATTATAGGAAGAAGTATCATCATCATCCGCTGAATCCTCGTCACTCAAATTCTCACCTCCAAAATGTCCGTATAAACATAAGAATTCAACAAAACTAGATGTGACAAAATTGGGCGGCTTTTTGCCTTGACTTGCAGCTTTACTTAATACATAGTGTCGTCGGAAACCACCAGGCTGCTTTAAAGATTGAAGGGAAATGTCTATATCCAAATCTCGTATTGCTGGTAACGAAATACTTTGTGTTCTTGTCCTTTTCTGCTGTTTATTTTCGACCTGTGCAGTCCATTTATAGATCTCATCAAGTATGGCTCCCCCCGGTAGAAGATGGTGTGTATTATATGTTGGCTGTTTTGTTGGATTTCGCAGTTGCTTTTGTGTTCTTCTTTGCTGCTTTTGCTGCTTATAATATTTCCGGGAAGGATTAGGTGGAATTAGCGAAGAAGAAGACGTTGGATAATAAACGAGATGGCGTTTGACCACTTTTGCGACCTGTTCAACCGGTAGGTCTATGGTTACTGTACGCTCCATATATTAGTTATGAGTTGGCCCTGCTTTAGATAAAATGGGGATGTCTCAATGTTGTGAATGAGGGGTATGAATATTATGCAGAGAGTTTAAAAAGTGATGTATGAGCAAAAGAAGAGGTTTCATCCCGAAAAGTAAAATTTAAAACACATAGTTTAATGCAAACCTATGAGTGACTGCAACCGTATGAATATTTGTAGACACTATTTCTCTGCACTCTGCTTATTGAGTTCGCCTTTATTTCTTGTGTTCAAATCACCAACATTCAGTTAAACTGCAGGTTTATTTCTTCGATAACTCTTACTACAATCTAGTTTCACAGTAGTCTATACCTCTTGAGTTTTCATGGAGGAAGAAGGTACGGTACATTTCAAATGTTGATCTGATGAACTGTCATTGTTGTAACGCAGAATATTTGTTTCCTGTTCGCTAGAGATATGCAGAGTTTGTCGTTCGGAAGGCACACCAGAGCAGCCTTTGTTCCACCCTTGTAAATGTGCTGGAAGTATACGTTATGTCCATCAAGAATGGTATGCATAGCAATAGAAATTCGTATCAATCACCCATCTTTAACTTTGTTTTCATTTTCCAAAAGCCTTATAGAGTGGTTGTCGCATAGTCGTAAAAAGTAAATACAACATTTTACCTTGTTAATATTTGTGTTTCAAATGAGATGTTGAATAAGCCTATTTATTTAATCGAAAATCAGATATTGTGAACTATGTGAGCATCCTTTCACATTTACACCAGGTATCGCATTCAAAAAAGCTGTTTGATCTTCATTATTCTTTGTGATACCGTTCTAAAAACTCAAATAATTCTAGTTTACAGACAGGATATGCCAGAAGTTTTACCTGCAAAGTTATTCTTGAAGCAGCTAGGAAAAAAGGTTATACACGGATTAACATTAACTCTAAGAGGTGCATTCGTATTATGTATTTGGTTGGTTTTGTTACCTTATTTTACAATATGGATTTGGCGGTTATACTTTTTCTTGGGTGGTAGCTTATCAAAGTTTTTAACGAAAGTACAACAAATTCAATTCAAATTTGGAGTTGCAACAACGAATATGACAGGCGCAGAGAATACGAATGCCACCGCAGAAAACTTATCCTGGTTCCAAGAATATAGATCAAAAATCACCATACAGTAAGTTCTACAGGAATAAGAATTTTAAAGAACATTGCCAACGATTATAATTGCGCTATTGTTTAGGGCATTTTTAGCGGACTGTTTTGAAGGCCAAATTATTACTTGCATTGTAGTGGTGATCTTCGTAGCAGTATTTCTGTTAAGAGAGTGGATAGTGCAAAATATACCAATGAATGAAGCTGCCAACGAAGAGGAAGAATTGAATGTAGTTTACGATGATCTATTATTCCCCGAGCAACAAGAGCAAGTAGTGAATGGCTTACAGGAACAACAACCTCGTTTGGACCGAGAGGGAATTAACATTTTAGCTAATGGAAATGGAAACCAACCTGCTGATGTAGTAGATTCTAACGATGGTAGACTACATCTCCCACTTTCTATAGAGGATCAACTTCATGACAATAATGCTGAACAGTCCAAACGACCTTTTGATCCTACGAACAAGAGTATAAATGACGAGAAGTCAAGGCGTTTCGATCGTGCAGCTTCAATGCCTCCAGGTCTCTCTTATTCAACTATAGAGGATGGATACAACAGCGACGCTTCTGCTGAGGATCAGGATATGGAATCATTAGGGCACCGTAGATCAGCCAGCATGGAGCCAATAGGAAGAGAATCCATGTCGACGACAGCATCTAACAGCGCAGATATTACTGCAAATGCCAATAGCTATCGTGCTGGTCACCCACCTTATGCGCCACGGATTAGGAATGCAGAAGTGCATCCCACATTCAGACAAGGTGCAGAATTAAATAATGTTCAACCTACTGAGGATATACTGCCGTCGATGATACCGGTACAACCAGCCCAACAACGACAGCAACAGCGACAGCAGCAACATCTTGCACGAGAACCTCAAGCTGAAGGTATACGTCAACAACATATAGCTGACGTAGATAATGTGAATATGAATAATGTGAATAATGAAGAAATTGAAGATGAAGACGAGGATAACATGGAAGAGTTTGAAGGGGTCTTGGAAGCTATTGGAATGCAGGGTAGCTTTTGGTCCCTGCTCCAGAATTGTGCTTTGATGGCTCTCTTGATAGCACTCAGTCTTGCGGTTGCTATCTGGATGCCATATATGATCGGAATGTTATTTATCATGACCGACATAGCTGATTTTATACGTTTGCCGCTACGGTTAGCTCGATTGCTGACAGATCCTCTCGTTGATTTTGTATTTCATATTTCAATGAACCTTATTGTACCTTGGTGTTATCAATTCTATCATCAATTTATCCAATCTTTTTTCCAATATGAAGTTTTATTAAGCTCCATCACTCTTATATCAGCAAATATTTCACGTATATACCATTTTATTGCTAACCAGCTTCTGGCTGTAACACCACAAACTACTGAAGCCTCAGTACATATACCCTCATCATCACTTCCATCTCCCTTTTCATTGTTACTATCATCACCTTCTTCTCTGTTTACATCTTTAGCAACTAGATGGAAGGGAGTCGAGCCATTTCTATCCTCGGCTTATCAACGTTACCTAGCATTAGCCGTTGGTAAAACGCCTGGTGATCGCCTCGCGTGTATTTTGATAGGCTATTTTATAGTCACTATTCTCAGCTGTAGATACCTTACGCGGTCGACAAACAACAGCATAGCCCGAGCAATATTCGGTCGAACAGCTCAAGAAGTTATTCGTTACCAAGGCATTATACTCAAGGTTGGCATGTTCATCCTGATCGAACTTGTACTTTTCCCTATCGTGTGTGGATACTCGTTGGACATTTCAACTATGCCCTTATTCAAGGTCGTTACTATTGCCAGTCGGCTTCATTATCTTAAAGAGCATCCTGTTCCTTCTGTTTTCATGCATTGGTTTTTAGGGACTGGATTTATGTTCTTATTCGCTGTATTAGTAACTTTATGTCGTGATGTAGTACGTCCTGGTGTTATGTGGTTCATACGTGATCCTAATGATCCTCAATTTCATCCAATCAGGGAGATCGTTGAAAGACCTGTCTTATTCCAACTCAAGAAAATCGGAGCCAGTGCTTTGATTTATTTGACTGTGATCCTCGTTGGTGTTGGTGGAGTTGTGCACTTTATAAAGCATATTACTGAGCTTATATTACCTTTGCGGTGGAATATACGGTAAAGTTGACCAATTACTCAATTTTATTTGCGCTCATTTGTTAACCTTTTATCCACATTAGTGAGCCTTTATCAACTATGCCTATTGATATGATGGTCATTCAAATAGCCATACCAGCCATCATGAAGTATTTCAAGCCTAAGCGAACGTTAAAGAAGATGTTTATCAAATGGATTACGTTCACTTGCCGTCAGTTACGGCTCTCTTCGTTCATGTTTGGAGGCCGCATACCTGAAGAAGAAGGAACACTGGTGTATCACAATCTGAAAGCATGGTTGCGTCGTGCATTACCTTCTCGATACCCACCGGAAGGTGTTATAGAGAATATTATAGGAGATGATGTTTCTTATTATTGGGACGGACAATTGCTGCGCGTTCCTCGCCATGATAGTGTACCCATCATTGAAAACCGTCGTATGTTGATGCCGGTGGATAACTTTACATTGGAGCCGCTTGACGAACGGGAACGACGTCTAGGTCACCCTGCTTCGACCGCTGCAGGTGGCGATGAAATCAATACAGTTATTGTTTACAGTCCTCCTCATTTCAAACAAAGAATTCTCGCTTTTGTTATATTTATTTGGATAACAACAAGTTTATCTTTCACAACTAGCTTGGTCTTACCGATATTGCTGGGAAGATACATTTTCCGAGAAGGGTTTAATATTGATCATGAAGTGCACGACCTGTACTCATTTGTACTAGGCGCTTTCATTGTATTGCTTGCCGGTACACTCGCTTATCAACTTTTCTGGTCGTTGAAAGATATCTACAGCCAAAATAGTTGGAGTATGATGTACGAAACAGCATGTCACCAACTAAAGCAATGGTCGTTTTGGGTAAAAAAAAAAAAAAAAAAAGAAAAAAAGGACGTATTCCTTTTCTATATTCTTACCATCATTTCTAATACCGTGTCTCAGCTACTACGGTGGACATTTTTCTTTATTTCATTTGGATTTGTAGTACCTATGTCATTAGGTGCATTAGCTGAATTATACCTGTTATTGCCTTTGAGGAAAATGGACGACAAATATCTTACCATTCCATTAGTCCCGATGTGGGTCTACGGCTTCATTTTCATGGTGGTGATTCATGGCTTTGTTGACAACATGGCTAACAATCCACTACGATTGTTAATCAACAATGTAAGTCTTTTCGAATTTATCGTTAACGGCGAGCCATATTAACTTAAAAGCTATTTTTTTAACTGTTTCATTAACAGATATTTCGTGATGGCATCAACAAGATGCAAGTCGGTCTATGTGTTAAGAAACTGTTGGTACCCTTGGTAATTACAACAGCAACAGCGATAATCCTCCCTTATCTGGCAGCTTATGTAAACGTTAAAGCTATGGGTAAGTGATCAAAATTGTCAGTATGATCTGAAGGCGTCTGTCAGTCTCAATGATTGCTGTTCCTAAAATAGGTTTGGAAAATCCAGAATTAAGGGTTCGCTTAATGCAAACGGCATATCCGTTTGCTCTCGTGGGTATCGGAAGCTATTTCCTTGCTAAATTTGCTGCGAAAATTGGCTCCAGAGTAGTCGAAACTGTAAGAGAAGATAACTATCTGATTGGTAGAACTCTACATAATTTAGATGAATAACAACATACCAGTAGCTCCGTCTTTACCAAAATAATAATATTGATGAACGTTGAAGCTTTATGATATTTTGTTACTGATGGTTCTGCTTTGAAAAATCAACACCAAACTTTGTAAAGAACTACAGATTTTCTGCCTTAATCATTATTATCATAGCTTAAATTCTATTATCGTACTTCACCCGTTTGTTATGCTATAACCGGATTGCTTCGGACAAACCACTATCAGTTTTGTAAAGTTAAGCGCTTTTCCACGTAACGTCAACCAAATGATGATCAAAGTATATATTCTCGTCCTCTTATAGCCTGTAAATCTCCAATTTAATTTTATTTTTATATTTGAGCCACAATTGTCATCTGATCGGAAAGTTTAATCATATGTAGTTGTTGCCACAGCTTTGTAAAATCTAACTAATGCAAATATCCTTATCTAAATACTTTGTAAAATATCTTAGCTACAACAACACAAGAGTAGTTTAAATGCTCGAATTAAGCAACACCTGCACCTTTGCAAAGTCTTCATATTTTTTTTGACTACCGTCACTGACATCGGCTAAGCACGGCTTTTATACATATAGCAAATCTAGTCAGTATTTATAGAAATCAGTTCGCGATTGGCTTTCTGCAATAGTTCGGTGTCTGTTTAATGCCATTTTTTGCACAATGCAAATGTGATTAACAAACCGCATTTCATCTTTATGCTCCAATACAATTCTTAATAGTTCATTCGACCCTTGCATAGTGGTGCTCGCTTCTAAAAATTGTATACTACACAATTTGCAATAACGTTGTGGCGTTCAAATGCTGATAAGTGAACACGGTCTCCTCTTTTAGACAATCGTACCAAAATCTTATATAATAAACTTCGCTGACATGAATCAAATTTGGAAGATAGTAAAATATTGGTTGTGCCTTACATATTTTTACATAATGCTCGATAAATGTTTTCTTTCCGTCGCATTTCTCAAGAATGACTGCCATCCTTTAATTTATTTTATTTTTATTTTTTTTATAAATGAACTTCAACCATAGAGCATAGTCCTAGTCGTAGAATCACTATTAAAACTGATAATAAAAGTGAAAAATGGAAGAGTTCTAAACCAGCATTAGGATAAAATCAAGCATAGCGATATGCATTGGCGAAAAGATGCTTGGAGATGCGATATACCTGGGAATTTTACCCTTTGTGTTCAAGAAGTAAAACACGGTAAGTTACTGAAATAACACCTTTATTGGTATATTGTTACCGAGTTAAAGGCTGCCTTCATTAATGCTTATAACCATAAAGAATTTTAGCTAGTCGGTTACCTGTATATGGTAAATTCACCTTGATGATTCGGAGAAATTTTGTAGGAGAAAAACAAATGTACACGAAACCTTGTATTCTCCTTTCATTGTTTGCGCGCATATTTCTTTTTGTCAATATATCAGATTTGGGCATCTCGTCCCGTAAAGCAATAAATTTCTTTTCTTTCTCACATAACATGATGATAAATAAACTGTTTGGAGAGAGCAATCTTGTCATGGATACCAAATTCGTATATATACGTTAAGAAGTAATCGAGTCCATGTCATCAAGAGTTTTTCGCAAAAGTGATATCTTTGTGAAAGCCGGAAATATGCTTATATAGTTCGTTTTACATGAAATGGATTGCTCGCAATTCTATCGGGACCATTGGCCTACTGTTGAGCGATCAAGCAAAAGTTTATTATAGTTACGATATAGAGTAAACTAGTCATCATGTGAATGTAACTTTCAGAAAGTTACATTAAAATACAGACATTGGTGTTACGGTTACTCTTTCGTCTGAATTCTGGCGCCAAGCAGCAGGTCTTTTTTAATGATATAAATCAATTTGAAATTGACTTATCCTTCAACTTCCTTCCTCTATCTCCTCACATTTAACATTTGGAAAAATAATCTCCCATTCATACTAGTTTGAGTGTCAAGGACCATCAACAATGAACCAAAGCAATGTAGACGACTCTCTCGATCATACCCCTGAAACTTCTTCTTTCAGGTCTGCCTCTTACTTCACCACTCAAGACAGCAGTGAGGAATGCATGGTAAGATACTCTCACTTTGAGGCTTTACTGAGCTTAGATAACTTTTTGGATAGTACCCAACAAACTGCAAGCACTCATAACGCGGAGAATACCAACCAGCAATTACCAGTATGTACGCAACCACAAGCCACCAACAACTACATTACTCTTGAAGGACTTCTTTACACGGGCGACGTGTTATTTCCTTCATGCCAAACACAAGAACTCCAAAGTGATTATACCTACTACCAACGTAACCAGAGCATCTTCAATCACACTGCAGCTCTAACACCCTCTACAGTATCATCAACAATAAAGTCCACACCCTTTGACCTTTTATCTCCACCTAACTCGGCCATCAATTTAGCAAATGGCAGCAGTATGTCTCCTCTATCCATTGAATCTGATTACTTTAATAGTGCACCAACAATATACGAACAGGATAGACATTGTGCCAATGCCTCCAACAATTCTAGCGCAAGTCTTGATACTTCCTTTATGGTCCAAATACTACCATCAGTAACCGGACCTTTGTGCGACATCACTCCAAACACCTCCACTGCAACATTTTGCTCTTCTACTCTTCAGTCGCTCACTTCGACGCTACCTACAAGTTTCTTGCAAGTTGATAGTAGAGATATCACAGTAGCAGCGGTCGAAATACTTGAGTCTGAGAAGGAGCCATCTGTATACAGATGTCGCCGTTTATCTGTTTCATCAACAAGCTCTGCATTATCTGCAGCATCTTCCTCCTTCTCTTCTTCATTTTCATCTAACGAGGGTTTGTATACTATGGCCATTGACACTTCTGTCATTAACAAGCCAAGACGACACAACAACATGTATCATTGCGAGTATAAGGGCTGTTCCAAGTCATTCACGCGAACCTATAATCTGAAATCTCACAGAAGAACGCATACAGATGAAAAGCCTTTTGTCTGTGATATCTGTTTGAAAGGTTTTGCTCGACAACACGATCGAAACCGACATGCAAAACTTCACCTTGGAGTGAAACCTTACCCGTGCCAATTTTGTAGCAAATCATTTGCAAGGCAAGATGCACTAAACCGTCATTTGAAGAAGGATAAAAGAAGGATGAGGAGGATTATGGGCAGGAAGGATATACAGGCCATGGATGAGAATGAAGATGCAGAACAAAATGATGAAGACACTGGTGTTGATTTGATGGATATCTACCCACCACCTTGTTTGATGATGAAGATGAGACAAAGACAGCAAGCGTTAAGAAAGAAAAAGTTACAGCAGCAACGCCAATTGGAAAAGCTGCAGCGAAATCAACATTAAACAAAATAAAGACAGAAGAATTCCTATATCTTGTCTGGCACAAAGAATAGACGGGCATCCATTTACAGCAAAAAGTCTTTGCTGACTAGACATTCATATCTGCTTCATCAATCTTTGCAAGAATATATTTACATTTCTAGATATGCTTTCACTCCCTTCAGTTAGGTTAATATAGCTTTTTTTAACGTAGTATGCTTCTTTTTTTATTTTAGACATTCCGTATGCATACACTTTTCTGATATTATCTGCTTTTCTTCCATTTTTATGTATTACATAAACACCATTTCTATCTCTCAACTTGCAATTAATCACTTCTTATTTAAACACTTCCTCTACTAATTAAAATTGCATATGTCGTGCTATCGGTTCTTTTCCTTTTAACACTTTGTTGATGATAGATCTGAGACAAACTCAATGTAGTTAGCAACGAATCGTATGATTTACCTTCTGTGAGCAAACGTTTTTTGATAGGTTACACAGTGATCCCACCTGTGTCTCTACTCAGACTTTACATTTGGCGTTTTTTGCTGGTTTTATCTCGAAAATGTAGTGTAACCAATGTACATGCACGCGAAACTAAAAAAATGGGCACAACAAATTGTTGGAGCCATGCTGATTCGTTCATGCGAAAAAAAAAAAAAAAAATGAAAAATCTATCTGGTAAGACTTTGGATCGCTCATTTTTACAGTTTATACAAAGTGTTACATTTCGTAGCTCGTTCTCAAGGAGATATGAGACATAATATCTGTCATGAAGAGAGTTTTAGATTATCAAGGAGAAAAACCTATATGGTTGGAGCGAGCAATTAAAGCAGATGAATCATAAACGATGCATTTGCTCTATCCAATCAAAAAATTTTAGGAGCCTCTGGGCTTTTAGGGCAACAATTTTGTTATAAAGTTAGCAAAGAATTCAAGATAACATCCTGATCGTTTCGATATGACAAAACAACATAACCAACAAGACGTCTGGTCTGCCGACAACTACAATAAACATGCTTCTTTCGTTCCAAAGCTCGGCTCGGTCATTTTGGACATGCTGAACCCGCAAGCTCACGAAAACATTCTTGATCTTGGGTGCGGTGACGGACTATTAACCAAGCAACTAGCGAACCGTTGCCGGTCTGTTACAGGTATTGATGCAAGTACCAATATGGTGACAAAAGCGAAGCAATCCTCAAACGCAGAGAACATAAGCTACCACGTAGTGGATGCATTTGACTTGGACAAATGGTTTGATGATGTTAGCAACAGAGACCATTCTATGAATAGTCAAAAGTTTGATGCCGTGTTTTCAAGTGCAGTGATGCACTGGTTGAAGAAGGACCCCGAAAAAGTGCTTTTAAACATTAAGCATGTCCTGAAACAAGGGGGACGATTTGTTGCTGAATTCGGTGGCTTTATGAACATAGGAGGTACGATATAAATATCATCGGTAAAGTGTTTAGAAGGTTGAACATAAAAATTGATCCTTCCTCTTTATCCCGCGTCAGAAATACAGACTGCTTTGATTGCCGCTTTGAATAAGAGAGGTCATGATGGCGAAAATGCCTCTCCTTGGTTCTTCCCATCAGATGAACATTACAAAACACTTTTGGAAGAAGCAGGGTTTTCTGTTCTTCATTGTGAATTGGTGCCTCGCATGACAGTCTTGACTACAGATGTGGTGGGTTGGATTGATACTTTCGGCTTTGATTTCTTAAAAGTCTTACCGAACGACGAAGAAAGGGAAAAAGTGAAGAAAGAAGTGCAAGAACAGTTGCGGCCAGCTTATCAAAGGGAAGACGGAAAGTGGGTTGTGATGTATGTGAGACTACGTGTCGTTGCTTTGAAAAGATGATTTCAAGTAAATAGCAATAGGATAGTAGGTGTACTTTATTGTATTCCATCTTTTCTCATATAATTAAACGCAAAGAAAAAGGATAGTATAGAATATATTTAAAGCTTAATGTAAAATGTACATGACGAATATTAGGGAGGATGATGTGAATTAAATGTATTGTTTAACAATTTTGCCGTCGGTTGTGTTCAAGGTATATCTATTGTTTACAAATTGCTCGGATGTATAGAAGCTTTGCACATCTGTGATATTCGCAGCCTGTGCACGGTGTTCAAACTGTTTCACGCTAATACTGACCTCTGAAGGAAGTCTGTTATTACGAAGTTGATATATTCTTCGTTGTTCAGTAAACAGTTCATCAAGTATGACGAATAACATCTCGTGATTATCACGAACGTTTCTGATGTATTTCATGAAGCGCTATTTTTTGGCAAGCAAAAAGAAATATATCAGAGTAAGTACCTTGACGAGTCAAGTAATGATTCAAAGTCGTTAAATACTTACTCTACGAAGCGATTGCATAACGCTGAATTTCTGTGCGCTGATAAAACTATCCAACGTGACTCTGATTGCCATGTCCACATCTTCTGCACGTACATATTCTCTTAAATGCATCTTGGCATTAGCTTCAGCGAGACGAATCATAGATTCTAAATGACGGACAGTGATAGGAATACTCGCACTATTCAGTGATTCTGCTCTCAATTCTGAGTAAAGGGTAGCGATTCTCGCTTCATCCACCTGCTGTAATTTTGGATGAATCTTTTCACGAGCGTACATGATGTATTTCCTTAGTAAGTCCTGATCAATAATCTAATTTATGTCAAATTCGCCATAGAAGTGGCTGATGAGTTATATTTTTTTCTTTTTTTTTCTTTTTTTTTTTGACAGTTTAAAAAATGTTTGAGCTTACATCTGCATCCTGTTCTCTAGGTTGGGCAAATCGATCGTCCATTTCATTATGAAGGGGGTGACTGAGGATATGACTTCCAATAACGTTTTTAGCTAGAGTATGATCTTGATCTGGATTAACGATATCTTTCACAACACAAAGCACATCGAAACGAGACAAGATGGGTTCTGTCAATTCAACATTTTGGGAGAAAGGAATCGAAGAGTTGTAACGGCCACGAATAGGATTTGCAGCCGCAATGACAGAGCATCTCGCCTGTAATGTGGTGACAATACCAGCTTTTGAAATAGAAATGGATTGCTGTTCCATTGCTTCATGAATAGAAGTACGGTCTGCATCATTCATCTTATCGAATTCATCAATCAAACAGACACCACGATCCGCTAACACAAGCGCGCCACCTTCCAATGTCCATTCACGCGTGACAGGATCTTTATGAACTGAAGCTGTCAAACCAACAGCACTTGCACCTTGACCTGTTGTGAAAACGGCACGATGTGCGGTCTTTTCTACGTATTTCAAGAATTGCGATTTGGCAGTACCAGGATCACCTAGCATGAGGATATTAATGTCGCCACGAATCGTATGCTTATTGCTGATGTTCTTGGGAACGCCACTAAACATAGCTAGAGCAATAGCACGCTTGATGTCCTCATGACCATAAATGGATGGAGCAATACTCTTCATGATCTTTTTGCCAATACGTTTATCTTTGCCCATGGCAATAATTTTCTTTGTATCCTCTTCAGTGAGTTTATATGCCGCAAACATATTCTCCTTCTTATTGATGTGATTGGCTTCGATGATGGTGGCGAATACTGGGAAGCCGTTTTTGGTACTGAGGGATGCATCAAAGTTGTTACGGTAAATACCGGTCACTTCAATTTCCTCTCCTGGTTTCGCTTGATCGATCAAATCCCACAAACAAATCACTTCTCTGTGTCGAGGTAAACGGCCTGGAGGTACTGTGCCGGGTGATTCCTGAATTGTCAGTTTTTGATAGTTACGATACACGGTTTGCTCCATATTGACGATAAAAGGCCCCTTACTTTGACAGCTGGGACAAGTGTTGATTTTAATTTCATTGTGAATATCTTGGTAGAAGGGACCTAAAAGGGCTGAACATTTACCGCAGTTGTACTTGACCCATTTTAATTGAGGGTAAACGCCCGTACGACGAGTAACGACACCCGATACACGCACTAAACAATTCAATTGATGTTGTCGCAGATCACGCAATGAAAGATCTTGAGGTAAATCAGTAATTCTAACATGAATCTCTTTGTGAATACGCTCATAATCTGGGAATTGCATTAAGGTGACTTCTAAGGCTACTTCATCCAAAATTTTCAACATGGCGAGAGGAACGTTGGATAAGAAATAGGCGAGAATGGTCCGATTTTGAGCAAGATGGTCGAAGCTGACTTCAAAGGATTCTCTGTTGCATTCACCCATGTCTCTAATACGTCCACCATAAACGGACGTGCCGTTTTCATCAACGTAGGTTTGTAAGAAACCCTTGAACTCACGCTTGATAGCACGACGTACGGGTTCTCTTGTAACCCATACAGCCAGTGACGAATCCTTTACGTTTCGAAGATCATCTAATGACATTTCAGGCTATTCATTCGGAAAAAAGGGTAAAAAAAAATAAGTTTGGTACACTTTCTCAATGTATAAAAATACCAAGAGTAAAACGTACAACACCATCCTCATCATGGTCCAACTCTTCTGCATCATAAAAATGACGATGTCGTCTAGGTGGTGGTTCTGTATCATTTTCGTCTTCATTCAATGCAGGTAAAAATGCTGCTGCCACGTTTCCGGTTCTACGTCTGATCTCTGCATCCCGTCTGTTTAAATTGTTTTCGAGGGCATTACGTTCGCCAATATCAAGAGGTGCGTAATGAGTATCATCTACACCCTCCTCTTCATAACGATCAAGTTGTTCGTCAGGGAAATAATCTCTAAAAAAGAGTCGTATCAGAGAAGGGAATGTCCGTCGTCGATGAAAGGAAAGGGCAGAACAAACCTCTCAGCATCATGGAACATATCAATATCGTCGTTGTCTGAATCATCCAATGCATCGTTTTCTTCGCGAACTTCATTTTCAGCCACTTCGTCAATAACGTCAGAGAAAAAGTTGGGTGTTCTCTGAGTCTGAGGGAAAGATGATTGAAATAGAGATGACATGGGCTCGGGTGACAAAATATCGGCTTGCGATTCGTCTGCCTCACCAGCATTGCTATTTCTTCTTCTCTTACGATCTGCGTTGTTGTTGACGTTATTAGACTAATGAAACAATCAAACAAAAAAGGTCAGCGACGCTGAACAGTATAACACAAGATTGCCAAAAAGTTGACTTTGTACCATCGTCGATTGGAAAAAGGGAAAATGTCAGAGAGTAACTGGGAAAAAAAAAGGGGAAAATGTAAAGAAAAGCGGGTCAAAATTTTTTTGGTCAGGTCAACAACGCGTTTTGAAGTTTTTGTCTCGTATTTGACTCAGACATCCATTTTTTCGCGACGGAACCCGCGTGATGGCTTATATGACATTTGGCTTTGTCTTCTTTTTGACCAATCAAAATTGTCTGTGGTTTCGACCGAAAAAGGTACGCCGTTCAGTCAACAAACAGAACATAGGGAAGAAGCACCTACTAGGCTATAACCAATAGAAATTATACAGTTTGGTTAACTCACCTCTCAATATCGATAACCCGTACCTAACATTTTAAAAAAATTGGAAAATATAAACAGTAGAATGCTTCTCAAGACAATTTCTTTAAACAAAACAAAAGAAATAGCCAGGAAATGGAAATGGATAGCTTTAAATTAATGAACTGAACTAGAAGATGATAGCTTCAGCGTTAATATAATCTAGACTACTATATGAGTCTGATGTTATATAGATTGAGATTATTCCGTCAACAAATAACTTATTGTAACTGTTGGATTGCATCATTAAAAGCCTTTTGGGCATCTGCATCACTGAGTTTCTTTTTCTTTGAGTCCAAACTCTTCATCAGATCCTTGCAGTTTCTTATCACTCACTTCTTTGAGAACGTCTTGATCGATATTGCTACAGTCTGGAGCGGAAGGAGGAGCAGAGAGAAGCGGCAGGAGGAGTAGAATCATCAGGAGAAGAAGGGAAGAGGCCAAGGAAGACGAAAAAGGCCAACTAGGTAAACCAGGAAAACCAAGAGAACCAGACCTTTTGCAACGGGTAAGGTGAATATCATTAAGACCGACGGCTTCAACACCGTTCAAAGCAGAAGTGTCGAGACTGTCAGAGTTGACAACTGGTGAGGCAGACAGGAAAGCGAACAAGCAAGCAGTAGAAGCGAGAGTCAGCAAGTTTGAGTTGCATTGTGAGTTGGTTTGCTTTTATCTAGGCAAGAAAAGCTTCAAGGAAGAAAACGGTATATTTTGCAAAATTGATATCTTTTTATGAAAACAAGAATTATGTAAAAAAGCAAGCATTTTCTTTTATACTCTGATTGAAATTTCCCTGCTTAAAGATGCCACTGAAGATGTCCGTAGACTGTAGATCTATGTTAGACTAATTCCTGTATCTTATACACTTATAAAAACTTTGTTTATGATCGAAGCGTAAAGAAGTGGGGCTCTAATTGCTTTGAGCTGTATTCTGTTTATCTGCTCTTACTTCTTTATAAATGAATACATTGTTCGAAAGCTTACATAATAAGCAGGAGGCCAACCCTGTTAACTTGTTGTTGTTTTTTTTTTCTTTTTTTACTTTATCTATCTCAAAAATGATATACAGACTGACAGAAGCAATGAGCAGTAACTATTTTTTCTTAGTTTGAGATAAAAAGTCCTGTATTATTTGGACTCTCAACTTGAATAGCATTGGATATCGACAATCCGCTCAAAAAACCCAGTTAATAGTCTTAAAAGATGGTGATATGACAGTGTTTATCAAAAGTTAGAGTTATTAGAAAGTGCGTTGTCATACATTTTTATATACATGCTTCTTAATAAACGTGTAAAAATTTCCAAAGAAAGCTTCAAAACGCATTATAACGATGAATGCATGTACTTTCAGGATAAGGTTTTTCCCAAGCACTGTATTTGATTGATGACAAAGAAAGGAACAATAGTAATGATAACTTAGTACTGTATAGTTATCAAAAAATGATGAAACTGCTTATGTAAATAGGTCAATACCATGATAATTTTATTCCGATGGTAAAGCAACTATGTTGGTGAGCAAAAGTATTAGTAACCACCGACTTCACAGTACTGGAAAGTTTGTGCAGTGAAAGACGCGGTTTTATCGACGATAGTTTTCAGGATATTTTATGTAGCAAAGTGTATTATTTTCAAGTTTGGTATTAGCGGGAATTGTAAAGATATTTGGTTAAAAAAAAGATAAAGAAATTCGACGTGATGTTACATGTTTATATACATAGTTGGGTCAAAATTAGATGAAAAATGGTGGTGTAAAATTGTACGTCAGCTAAAAGGAACAAAAAAGGGGGATAAAGAATAAAATAAAGGAGTTAGTAAAGGAAAGAACTGGATTTAGGACAAGCCTTCGGTGGATATACGAACTATTATTAGAAAGAAATAAAAAAAAAAAATAACTGTCAATACTTGTAGGCAGACATTTATTGCAAAGCACTTACGTGAAAAGTTTATGATGATAGCCACCACCATGAATAGAGTCAGCATCGCCGGGCCATACTTGTCAGAGTAATCACCGCCTTCTTTGATGGTGATACTACTTGCGCGAGTATGGAAAATATAGAGAGCATAGACCATGACGATCATAGCCACAACAGTAAAGATGATGGCAGAGATACGTCCAATACGATCAGAAAAGTTCAACAAGCCGATAGCTAAAGCACCTAGTAACAAAGTAAAACGTATCCATGACAAGAAGGTACGCTCATTTGCAAAATAGGTCTTGGCAGGTGGTGCAGCGACAGGTACGACAGCACGAGGACGGCTCATACCGCCCTCCTGCTGCTGTTGTGGATCAACTTGCTCTTGTAGGCTTGCTGTATTATCTTTGCCTCTAAACAAAGCTTTTGATTTTTTGAAAATAGACTGTAAACCCGCTGGTGATAATTTTTTCTTTGATGGTGTGGATGCAGGTGGGGTCGAAGCAGCTATGGAAGCATAGCTCGCTTCCTCATCGGTTAACAATTCTTGTCCTGCTGTTGTAGCTGTTGTATTACCGGTCGAGCGTTTTCGTAATAACGGCGTCGTTTCATTGTCTTTGTCAGCATCACCCAAAGCTATCCTGACGCTATCGGTTGTGGTTAGTTTGGACCCGTCACTGTACAAACCATCCGAGTCGAAAGAAGTAGAGCTGCTATGAAGAGCGTCAGGCCGTTTGACACCAAACGAGCGATCGACATTGGGCTTGCGAATATCAATGTCCATCTGAGGCAACCAGAAGGGCAAGACATTGATTTTATCCTCTAATAAGCTAGCACAGCCATGAATAAATTTGGAAAATTTTGGCACGGATTCCACGAGATGCGAGTTGACTAATTCTACAATCCATTTAGGAGGTTCTTGGCCAAATTGCGTTTGGAGCTTCACTTCTAAAACGGCATAGGGAAAACGACACACATCGCCTTCTGGCAGCTGCTTAAAAGGGTAATCGACGCCAATATCCATGCGACGCCAGTTGTTTCCCGATCGAACGGTAGTTTCATCATTATCCTCACGAACCATTGTCAACTCAGTGTCTAAACTGATACGCACACGCGCATCACCCGGCAATTGAAACGCCGTACGGTTATAAAACGTACGCATCATTGGATGGAACTTGCGGGTGAGGACAGCGTACTGAACTTCCTGTGCTAGCTGTTCCATTTCCTCAATCTCCTTTTCTGTCTTTGTGCCTTGTTCTCTTGTTTTGGCAAACAGTTCTGTTGTGGTGATCTCGCCCTTTAAAAAGGCATTTAAGTATTTCTCTTTGATCGGAAATCTCGCTTTGACGGATTTTTCACCGGTCCAATCTTCATGATGCGTTTTGCGCTCGACAAAGATGGTATTGGTATCCATACCGCCGTACCACCGCATACGAATGGCCTGTGCGCCTTCTGATTTTTCTAACCGGCCTTTATACAAGTCAAAATCGTCGTTGTCAAAGTAGACGCTGGTAATGGCAGAGTCTTGCTGCTCGAATTCTTTGTTGGGGTTAAAGACAAGGACTGGCAGATGCTTCAAGATGATTAATTTCAATTCAGTAATGTTATCAGGATGTACCCTATAGACGAAGATTGAAAAAAAAAGGGGACATTCAACCAAAGCGGAAGGGGAAATTTTTCTTAAGTTCAGTGTGTGTTCATCGCCTTACCAATATTTTGTTGTATTTCTGACAAAAGCCGACTGTTTGCCGCCAGCGCCCGAATCACCGCCACGCTCTTTGCCTCTTGTTCGAACTCTGTCGTAGAGTGTGGATATACGAATGATGAGCGCTTCATAATTTTCTTTGTAGAAAGGCTTAGCATTCAATCGCGCATTGAACATTGGTTTGATAGGCCAACTCGTCACTTTCTAAATAAAGAAGGGCAAGGGTAAACAAATGATCGTAACAAAACGGGGTTCCGTCAATTAATCAGCATTATCTTTGCTTATCTCTAACATTCGGCCCAAGCGATGCCTTGGGCCCTGCACTTACATCATGCTTTTTGGTGATCTTTAAAAAACCTGTATAATTCAAGCGAGTGAACTTGGCCAAATCATGAACGTCTGCGATGATTTGGCTCAGTTCGATTTCACTCGTCGTAAACTCGTCCTCGCCTGGGTTCTCTTTCGTACACAATGCATCCACTTCTTTACTTTCTTCTTCAATATGTTTTGTTATCTCTTTCAACTTGACGATTTGAAAGTTGTACACTTTGGCCAGCTCCTTTTCGAGCTTTTCAACAAATTTAGATTCATCCTCCTCCTGCCACTCAGCTTGTGGCAACTTTTTTTTCAAAATAGCTTTCAAACCATCATAGTCTTGAAACAAGGGAGATGGGTGGGTTGGATGGTAAAGATGAGAAAATAGATCAGAACAGGTTGATCGCGCACCATCAATTGAAACGTAGGATAAAATTCATGCAAAGATAAGAGAAATTTACCCAAGTAATATTGCGTCCATTCTGGATTTAACGATGTCCTTAATGTATATCCAAATTTCATAGTATTCTAACGTTGAAGGAAAATTTAAAAATGGGTTGAATTTGCGTCGACAAAAGAGGTTTATTCAAGAAAAGAAGGAATGAAAAGTTTTCTTTTTTTTTTTTTTTTTTTTTTTTTTTTTTGTGTTTTAGTTTTGCCCCAGCTTTCGAAATTCGGAAAGTTCTCCGCAAATTCATCAAGAGAGCAGTAAAATGCTGCTTAGGATACTTCGGGGGCGATATGGCATTGTTAGCCGGAGATCAGTAACTTCTTTTTCAAAAAGCGACTATTATGTGTGTTTGATCAGAAAACAGCAGTGCTATTGATGCCTTACATATCAGAGTGTTTTTACATTGTGATATTTATTATTTCCTGTAACATTCGTTTCAATTGCCCGAGAAGAAGCAGCAAATTCTATTCTTACAATAGAGCAATGGAAGCCACTCTGTTGAATAAGTCCCATCAGACAGATATTTCAACTTGGCAAATAAAACCATCCTTGCCTCCAATTTGATAGACGTAGAAAATAAAAAAGGTTTTGTTAGTCTTTACGTGGCATCTAGTATTTTACACAAGCACTTGTACATTGCTAGTGCATGGAAAAGAAACACAGTTTAGATATGGTTTTAGATATAGCTGAACAAAATTGATGGTCGTGTAGTAATGGCATTTTAGAATGGGGCATGTCCTTCTTTGCGTACATATCCATCTATGGCTGTCGAAAAGAAAACGTAGTTTGTCAAATCATCAGAGACTCACCGTTATTACATAACCAGCGAAAGACCCTGATCATTTCCATCGTTTTAAACCCCTTTGGTATGAAACTTGCCAAAATAGGCGTACTTTTGAACAGGATATAGAGAATGAAGGAAAGTTTTATTAAAATCACATTGTGATGAAAGGAAAAAGAGGTGTGTACAATTTTAAATAAGTAGATGTTGGGATGGGGAAAACAAAAAAAAAAAAAAAAAAAAAAAGGTATTTTGTTAAATGCTTGTGCGAACTGTGGGTCGAATGTTACAATGTAATGATATAAAAACGGAGGTATCTAAATGCATGAAGAAAAGGGTTGGGTGAGCTCCAAGAAGCTAAAGAGAGAAGAAAGTGTTTTTGTTGACAAAGGTGATGATGACCCTTCCGACGAAAAAGGACAAGAGTCATCTTATTGTAGTCTTGGATGCTTTTGGTAATGTTGATCTTCAAATAAAGATAGTTGCGCTATGTAAGGGGAGCGTTTTCTGTCATTCGAGTAATTCATAGTATCGATGGAGGAGGTGGAGGGTGGTATAATGGCTGTGGAGCTGATACTGGTTGTTGTAGTACTAACACTATCATTCTCCTCAGTAAAAACGTCAGGAATTTCCGGCATGAGAAGCGCACCATCCTCGGGATACTTGTACAAAGGAGGAATATGTGTCGTGAAATGTGGCTCGGGTAAATCTTCGGGTGATCTGATGGGGCTTGCAACATCAGGCACGTCACACTAATGAGAGATAAGGGAAAACCACGTGAGTATGGAGTATGGGTTACGGAAAAAGAAAAAATATCTGAAGAAAATTATACCTTATCTAAAGCAGGTGTATCCATATCTTCTAAAAGCATCTGAATAAAGTCGCACATATTTCGCTCAAAATAGATGAATGGATAAAGTTTTTCTAATTCTTGAAAATGTTGTTCTAATGTGTATCCTTCTTTGATATGGGTAAACTGCATTGACAATGAAGAGCAAATTTAATATGTATAGGGAAATAGATCATACATGCCTATCATAGTTACTGTACCTCTTTTTCCCGTTTATGCACTTGAAGCTTGAAAAGATACATTGTTCTGGTTTTAGGGAATAACAAGTGATGGTCTGCCGCCTTGACATTCCAGATATCGTTCTCTTCTTCTTCTTCTTCTTCTTCTTCTTCGTCTTCATCCTCCTCCTCATCATCATCATCATCATCATCCTCGTCGTCACAATCATCTTCTTCGTCTTCATCTTCAACGTATCCATAAGAGAAAATCTCATGAATGGCTTCCAGTCCAGTGCAACCATCGCACATATATTTTTGTATTGCAGCTTGTGTCAACAGATCCAAGAATAAGTCATACCAACGAGGGGGCATTCCACCACCCATCACCTGTTGACCAGCAACAGTTAGGGGTTTGACTATTTTACTCTTATTATTGGTAGGATCTTGTTGTTGGAGCTGCTGGACATTTGTGCTGCTATTTTCCAAAACGGATCTTAATTTATTGGCACTGGTTTTTAGAAAAGCAGGGATAGCTTCTGCTAATCCAGGTACAGAAGTTCTGTTTGTTTGATTCTGAAGTTGAACACAGATCGAATGCCTGCAATTTGGGCGGCGATGGCGGCGACAATAACTCGGTTGAAATGATTTCGAGAATAGAATTTCCTCTCTGCTAGAGCGGCTGTTGCTGCTGCTGCTGCTGCTGCTTTTTTCATGCTCATCTTCTTGCTGGACAGTATGGTTATTCGTATTGTAACAGCGACGAGAGGCAACAGGAGCTGAAAAGGTCACATGATGATTACGTCCGACTGCTAAATTAGTCAATTGACATAAATTCAGTCTTTGCTCGAATCTCTTATCTGTATAGCTGTTTTGGTTTGATGAAGAAAGTATGCCTGTAAGAGAGAAGGTTGTGTGAGCCATGATCGAGTTGTAAAGAAAAAAGACGACGGTAGAAGAATACCTTCAATGACTGATTCAATCACATTCTTCTTGTTGTTCTGTACGTTTAGACGACGACTACTATTGCTGCTTCTGCTACTATTGCGTGTTCTATTACTGCTCTTGCTGTAGCTGCATTCTTGTTCCTCGTCTTTTACTTGGTCCTCTTCCTCTTCTTCAAAAGCAAATGCATTTTGAAGTCTGGACTGAATTGACTGATGGAATAAATAGTCTAATATCAAGTCATTCGTGGTGGAGGATGAGTTCTGTGTTTGATTTGAATTCAACACGGTGGATGTCTTGATTGCCATGTACTTTCGTATTTCGATTAAATAGGTCGTCTTTTATTATATAAAGGGATAAACAACGCGCTTATAATAGTGCAATTCCTGATTGTAAAAAAGGCAAGCAGTTGGCTAGATTTATAAGAAGAACAAAAAAACAACCAAAAACCAGGTTGAATGGGAAATAGCCGGGTTAACTTATTTTATATTAGTTTTTTAAAGCAGCAAATTAGAATATACTGGATCGGGTAGAGCAGAAATGGATAAAAAGCATCCGATACAAACATCCCACAAAACACGTCCTTATTTCAGCAGACCCTGAGAGAGATCCTCATTGCCAACAAAAAAGCGGATAAATGCGTGTCACAAAGATAAGAAAAAGAAGGTTTGATATGCATTTCGTATTATTTTCGGGTGATTTCGCTTTTAACTTTTTTGTTAATTTTTTTTCTTTTTTCTGGGCATTTCGCACACAAAACAGATTTTCCCTTTTTGCACGCCTTTCCACAAACAGTACTGTTCAACTCCCACATCCTTAAATTCTTTTTGTTCTTTTCGAAAATGGGAAAGTGACGTCTATTAGATAATTCAGATCTGTCAAATCTTAAAATAGTAATTTATATCTTTCTTTTTCTCTCTCTCGCTGGCGTTCAGCTTAGGACGCTAAAATACGTCAACTGATACCTGCAAAAACAGATAAAAGATGTCTGTTTTAGCAAGCAAAAATTTTACAAAGCAATAAAGCAGCAACTCGACGTCGGACGGCACTTTTTATGTCGATTGACCGTTCCGATACTGAAGAGCTGCCAATCTAAATGGAGGAACCCAGCCTCCTACCTACCATCCACGGCAAATTTCCTTTCGACATTTATCCGAAACATATTTGTTCACGGAAAATGGGAAATGTTGTATTTCTCCAATCCATTGAATGGGGAGAGAGTTATCAGATTTATAAGCCAGTCCTACGATCATCCTCACGACCGTGCTGCCTGGCATGCCTGGCAAAATGGAATAAAAAACGTCTCTACGTTCTCTTGTGCTATTGGCTCTTTAGAAATCATTAGATATCTCGTTCAAAAAGAAGGCTGGGGTGCTTAAAGTCACTGGCTTAATGAAAAGCAATACATGGCTCGAGTTTTCTATGCAAGAATGAACTTTTTTTTTTGCCATTGTAAACAAATAGCGTAATCTTTGTGTACTTAAATTAAAGTAGCATTGTTTCTTTAGTAATATCTCTGCGGTTAATGAAATAAAAGCATGTATTGTACAGCTTTCTCTTTCGTTTTGAAACACAAACTACTTGTAAAGACAGTATTGGCGGAAAAGAAAAAAGGAAACCCGCCTGCTGTTCTTGGCTATTCAGAGGGTATGAATGGCTTCAAGATAGCTTATCTAAGGGACTTTCGAAAACCCCCTTCATACGATGTCTTCACGTTTCGAAGTCATATGGTTATTTTGCTAAAGAAGTCTTGCTGCTTTATTGTAAGCATTTCTGCTACATTAGACATTTGAAAAAGCAATAGTGAAATAAGTTGATGATACGAAAAGAGATGTACAGTGTATATTTTACATTCAGAGAGTAATCCTTCTGAGGAATGCAGCACAGTTAGAGAGTTAACCTGTCCTTTTACGAAGGAAGCACTTGGAAGATGGGCGCTCTGGAACGATCCCCTCCACAAAGAGCCTGCTATTGAAAGACATCAAGATATATGAATTATCTGAACCCCATTTTCGATCATCCTGGTGCAATTCAAATACGTATTTTTTGAGTTTACTTTTTTGCAAAGAATGCCATCTTTTTCTGCAAATCATAAGAATTCGCAATACAACCGATTCTTTGGTTTCTATGGAATTATTTTGCAAATGCCTGCCCCGTTCCCAACATAGAGAAGCCCTTGGTTGAAATTGACAGCAAGTATCTCAACTGATTTGGCTTGAGGTGGCTGTTAAACTGGTAAGTAAAAATTAGAAATTATGCAACCAGTGAGCCATCCTGTTACTTGTATATCTTTATGCTAATAAGTAGATTATTCATAGCAGAAGCAGTAACGATGAAAAGTATCTCCGCACGTGATGTTCACCAATATTTGTAAAAAGGCACACAACAGTACAATGAAGATATGAAACCCCGCCCTGGGAAAGGCTCTCACTCTCTCTCTCTCTCTTTTGCAAGCGATTATAAAAAGGATATGCCCCTATTTTTCTTTTGGTTCGTTATTCCTTTTCTTCTTCTGTTAAGACAGAAAACCTTTTCTTCCAAAAGCTTGTTTTTGATCTTTTTGCCTTGTTTCTTTCTTGCTGAAATAGCCACCTTTCCACTCATTTTTTGATAGAAACAATCTTTTGATTTGGGGTCTCTTTTTTTGGACAAAGAAAAATAGACAACAAATAACTGTTTTGATTTGCTTTTTTTGCTATTTTTTAAATACGAGAACTATTTAAGAAAAAGCAAGTTATCTTTTCTAGCTTACTATTCCCTTTCCTTCCTTTCATTTTCGAACGTATTGGAAAAGAGACCCTACTGTCAACTGATTTAAATGAATTATAACAATAACGAAACTATCTTATTTGATAACGAAGGCTATTATTACTATGAAGAAAATTACCAGCAACAGCAAGAACAACAAGTAGAACCGCAATATGCCGCCGCTGCTTATCATTACCAACCCGACTATCCGCCTCACACTGCATCCAACTTTACCATCGAAGACTATGAAAATGAATTGAGCTATTTCACACATTACGATCAAGAAATGGAAGAGGCAGTCCAAGAGGCCGACAATGACGACTATGGCTATAACTATGGCTATAACTATGGCTACGACGATAGTTATGAAGAGATGGATGAAACAGAAGATGTCGAATCATCTCAAAAGCCGACAATAGACCACCTTATGGACGACAGTTTGCTGAAATTGATCGTGGATGTTCAATCGTACCTTGTAGACGCCTCAAAAGATTCTCCTTTATTGGCTCTTCAATACAAGATGTACACCTATCTCAAGCAACGTGCCTTGGAAGTGGGCGTGGACATTCCTACCACAACTGCTTAAAGTTCAGCTCGTCATCTTTTTGATTCTTCAGATTTTCTTCTTATTACCAGTGATTATGTCATATACCTCAACTCTTTCACTTATTCCCTACTATCCCTTATTTACCATTACAAACCTCTCAATCATGTTTTATTTTGGACTCAAAATATGTTTAAAAAACTTTTTTAAAAAAAAAAAAGTATAAAACTATATCTCTTAATGCCTAAAAAAAATAGAATAAAGTATATCCCTTTCAACACGCACACACACACACACAACCAACAAAGAGTTTGAGTGTTGACAAGTGTTTCTTTTTCTTGGGTCACTTTATTGAATCGTACAATTTTTTAACAAGAGGGTGTGTCACTTGCAAGACCTAGTTGTTCATATTCAATTCATTGCGAATACAATCCATGTCAAAGATGGATAACTGTCCTGCAGCTGCCACGGAGGGCAAAGCTGGATGAGTTGCAGGACTCAAAAATGCATTGGCCACTCTCGAAAACTTGCCCAAGGGGCCCATATTAATGAGAATGACTTCTTGATCGGCTTTAGGATCTACCATTTTTCTAAACTGTTCTAGATCGACGTTGCTCCAAAAGGAGGTTGCCATGCCCACCAGTTTAATAACGCCAGCATGGTCATAGGCCTGAAACAGTCGTTTCGCCTTGGAAAACATCGAGTTCATCATGGAAGTACAAGCAGGAGACCAGGCATAGTCGCCGTTGGGATCATGAAAGGACGCAATTATCTTGGTGTTGTGGTAAACGTCGCGGTTGAGCTGCATGACAAGCTCCAACTGATTGTGAGGTAGCGTTGTTAACTCTAAATCCACGTATTCGCAACCCCAGCGATGGCCCCATTGCAAAAGATGCAAATAGGTGTCTATTTGCGCAGGGTCAAATTTGCCCGCTTGAGGAGTTGTCCGTACAGTGTAAATAATAGGGAGCGATGTCATACGGCGCAAATAGGCAAGTTGTTTTCCAGCTTCTTCAATCCAAGCGTTTGTATCTTGAGCAGTGTCTGTCATGGCTAACTGGTCTACTCTGTACTCCACCGCATCTGCTCCCTCTACCCATTGGCTGAGTAGGTTCGGCAACGTCGTTTGATAATCGGACAAAGTAAGGCTGAGGAAGCAAGTCTGCTTCCCTTTCGCAGCAGGTTGAATATGACGTGGTTGCAAAATGCTGTTGATTAACTGCAAAGCTTGGGCTGCGAATGGTTCCTCTTCTTTCTCCAAAACAACGCATTCATACCACCTTGCGCTCTCGTCCGACGGCGACTGCATCGAGCCGGCTATCTCGGTAAAGTAGATCTTGACAGGTGCTGCTTGACTGTTGGCACTGACGCATTCGATATGTTCTTGTTGGGCAGCTACCTCAAAAGTATACCTACTTTGTAGTTGCTTTGCGAGCGTCTTTAGGCATCTGTAAATACTTGTGTTTGCTGCCACAAAAAACAGGCTTGCTGGTAACGGTCTGTTGCTGTTGTTCTCTTCTGCGCTTTGTTGACTCACCGTTTGGGAAGAGATATACCGATGCAATACCTTTTCGATGTCAGCATCCTGCACATCAGAGGCTTTCTGCTCCCATGGGTGGCCGATAGAGCTCAGTAATACGATGCGTTTTTGCGAGCCCTTGTTTTTCTTATCGACCCTCATTCGTTCCATCACCGCTTCGACCGTTAGCTTTTCTTTAGCAGAGGCAGTGATGTCGACGGGTAAGCCATAGAGCTCAAGACAGCTTCTGAGCCGTGGAATCACCTCAGGAGAACAGTGACCGAGCGCACAAGATAACTCGGTTTCATGTAAAAGCCCCAAAGAAACACATTCACCATGTAACCATTCAGGATACAAGATGGCTTCATAAGCATGCCCGAAAGAGTGCCCATAATTCAGCAAGCCGCGCAACCCTCCCTCTCTTTCATCTCGGGTCACGACGTCTGCTTTGAATCGTGCAGAAGCGCCGATGACGCTTTTCAAAAATTCTCGATCAGCGCCTATGTATGCAAAGAAAAAGTAAACAAAAGGGGAGGACGGGCATTGGATTAACCTTCAACTCTCTCCAGTCAAAAAAAAAAAAAACCCCCATCAAAGCCTCCTTACACAATTCGTTCATTGTTGCGGAATCACTGTCAAGGTTTTTTAAAGCTGACTCTATTCTTTCTTTGCCATTTTCGAGCTTTACAAACTCATCCAAACTTGAAATGGCAGCCGTCTAAGTAATGGAAAATGAACGAGATTCAGTTCCCTTTTGCACACATGTTCCCCTCGCGCCGCCTTTTTTCTCCACTTTTAAAAAGCCCCTTTCTTTTTTACCTTGATCACTTCAGCCATACCATTGGCCAGTTCACGCTTAGGTAAAGTCTGCAACATGGACAGACTGATATAGATACGCAGAGGTTGCCAAAACGTCCCCACCAAATTCTTTCCATACGTCGTATCAATGGCAGTTTTACCGCCAATACTAGAGTCTACCATGGCCAGCAGCGTCGTAGGGATCTGAACAAAAGGAACGCCACGCATAAAGGTGGAAGCAACATAGCCGACCAAGTCACCTATCACACCACCTCCTAGCGCAATCAAACAGGTATCTCGTGTGCATGCCGAACGGAGAAGATAGTCTTCAATCGACGCCTTGGCAGCCCGACATTTGGATGTTTCACCAGCAGGTAAGATGCGAGTGAGCAGTCTTTGTTGCAAGGACAATCGTGATTGTAGAGCAGGCATGAGCTTTGGAAGATACAGCGGGCCTATGTTGTTGTCAGTAATAATAACATACGTAGAAAAGACTTGCTGAATCGAGGTGGTGAGGTCTTGCGCAATATGGTCCAGAAGATCAAAGCCAATATGGATCACATCGGGTGTGTTGAGCACAGAAATAGTTTCGACGCTAGATTCAGTTACTACCATTGTTATGAGATTCCAAACAGAGGAGACGGCGCGAAAGATCTTTTCGTTTCTGACAATGATGAAAGAAAGGACGAAAAGAAAGAACAATAAAGATGAAAAAATGGAAATATAAAAAAAAAGTTGCTTTGTACCTGAAACTTGCTACAGTGAAAGGATGAAATTTAAATAAATCACTGCTGGTACATAGTACAAAATTGAACTTCTTCTATGTCACTTTTAGACACCTTGCATAAGCTAAGTTGTTCCCATTGTTAAAAAAAGAAAAAAAAGAAAAAAAAGGTCTTGTGATGCCTTTTTTGCAATATGAACCGACTCAGCCTGACCATAATAAAATTTTATAGTAACTAGAACTCTCGATAAAAACGGCTCTTTATTGAACGAATCGCCGTCAAACTCCCCTTTGTCTGTAAAACTTATGAATGGTTATCGTTTTGTCCAAGTTGATGACTTTTCTGATCTGTCATGTTTCACTCTTCATCACAGAGTAATAACTCCGCTCACTTTCAAATTTGCTTGCAACAATAGCTTCAACCAGGAAAGAAACAACTCTTTTTTTTCCATTTATTTCACATACTTGGGCAAGATCTGCTTCTATAAACATTATTGAATTCAACAACTCCATTCAAAATCCAACCTCATCTTTCTGATCAAAATTTTTCGGACAGAAGTAAACAAACAGAAAGAACAAAAGACAATAGATTGGGACGGAGAAGAGAAAGATCTTTTAATTCAATGTCGGCCACTTTGACAAAGAAGAATCATGATCAAGTGAATCCGGATGCTGTACCTATCGATGCGGGGATAATTCGTTGCATTTGTCCTTCCATTGAGGATGATGGTTTTACTATACAATGTGAACATTGTTATGTTTGGCAGCATGCTTATTGTGTTGGCATTACGCATGCCACCATACCCGATCACTATTTGTGTGATTGCTGTGCTAGAAAGCAACAGCAAAAGAAGGGTCCTAAAATGTCGAAAAGGATACCCATGTCGAAGAAAACTCTACATAGACTGGATGCTGTGGTGGAAGAAGGCTCTCATCAGCTGATGAGTGAAACAAAAAAGAAAAAGAAACGTCCTTCGAAAAGTAGAGTGGTCTCTCGATTTGTACACTCTATTTTTAAAGAAGCAAGAGAGCGTTGGACGTCAAGCCAACGATGGAAGGAATACGTAAAGGAAACAGCCGTATCAGCCGTAGATGGCATGCACCCTCCTCCGAGCGCAGGGCCCTTACTGTTTGATCACGGGCCTTTTGTCACCATGGATGCCATGACTTTGTATACAAAAGGTGTCCTCCTCAATACGCCCGTTTCAAGCAAAGGACTTTTTGCATCTAAACCCATACCAGCTCGACGTTATTTGCTGGAAGTGACAGGCGACATCATGCTAAAGTCAGAATTCAAATTTGATCCTATCAACGACTATGTCATCTTGGGCACACCTCTCAGTCATATCATGTTTTATCCCACCTTGGATTTATGTATTGACACACGGCAGTTTGGCAACAAAGCCAGATATATTCGACGTTCCTGTCATCCCAACGCAGAATTGAGAAATTTGTTTTTGCCCTACGCCAAGGACGACAAAACCATTCATTTGGGTTTATTTGCACGACGTGCGATTGACAAGGGCGAAGAAATTACCGTAGGCTGGAATTGGCAGAGGGGACATATTGCTTGGAAAGAGAATATGAATTGGCACTACCATTTGAAAGAAAAATCAATGCATGAAAGTGGCGGAAATCAGGTCATTGATGAGGAGGAAGAGAGGAGACGTAAATCCACCATAAAAGCTTTGTTGACGAGATTTGAAAAGGAATTTGGCATGTGTGCCTGCGTCAATAAGAGGAAATGTTTGATTCAATATTTAAAGCGTCAGTCTGCCACGCCCAAAGAGACTGCCTCTCAGCGTAGAAAATCAAGCGTGCCGAGCGTTGCAGCGTTTAAGAATGGCAGACGAAAGTCATCGGTTATCTTGCTCAAACCGAAGCCTGTCCACCTATCCAATAGTGCCACCCACGCCAACATCATTACAGTGAAGAGTAAGGGTTCGAAATAACGATAAGTGTAGGACGGCTGGGGAAAAAAAAATACATATCTTGCTCATACTGCTTTTTTTTTTTTTTTTCAATCATTTTATTAGAGGACATCAAGGATATGTCAGAAGATGAATTTTTAGATGTCGAAGGAGATATTGATATTGGAGATGAAGAAACAGCGGTCACCACCTCAGCTCCTCCACTCACTGAAGATAACAGCGGTGAAGAAGATCATGATGATCTGTCTTCTTTATCTTCCTTATCTAGTCTTTCAGTGTATGACGATTCAGATGAAGAAGCATCAGCGAATCATTCGGAAAAAAGGAAGAAAAAGTCATCCAAAGACGGCCTGAAACGAAAATTGGGCGATAAAGGCTTCCATCCGAACAAGTCGTTCAGAAGAGCTACAGATAAAGCAGGACCCTTGATGGATCAGCAGGAGACACCCTCACCCAAGGAAAAGATCCCTAATTTGCCGCGAAAGAAATTGTGGATGCTCAATTACATGAACACGGCACAAGTGGCTCATTCCATTGGAAGTGCGGCTTTATCGCCTCAGAACGATTTGAAAAAGGAGGAACACAAGCAATTGCAAGATGGGCCTTTATATAAAGATACTGATAAGGACAGCCTTTGCATGGAACAAACCGAAGAGATGACAGCCATATCTAAAGCGGAAGAGGAGCATATAGAAATAGTTGACTCCACATCCATGATCGATATCATTACAGTACCATCATTATCCTTACCTGTTCAGGAAACTGAACAACAAGCGGAAGTCATTATTAAGAGTGAAATAGACAGCCGTGAACATGAAGTGGCAATGACTACAGATACCCAAACATCAGTGATGATAACGAACAATAATAATGAGATGACCCCTCCAGCAAAGAATAGAAGTGATAGTATACCAAAGAGCGCTTCCTATAAAGAAGAAGCAAATGAACCGACAGATGGAATGGATATTGATGATGGTGAACTTAGTGATGCTTCGACTGTTCAGTTGGACGAGGATGAAATTAAAGACATATATTCAAAAAGTGATATGGTTGGAGAGCGAAACACAGATGCAGCAAGCTCATGAACATAGTCATAGAGGATTATTAAAACAATCAACGTTACCCCCCTCCCTTCATCAAAAAGAAAATGGTTTTTTCTAACCTGAACTTCATCAATCATACCCGTACCTTTTTTTTTTCTTTTTTTTTTTTTCTCTACAAAATTGCATTCCATATTTATTCATGTTTGGTCAATAAAAAGCTTCAGTCCGACGAAACTGTCAAAATTTTTTTGATAAATATTATAGTATCTGCTTTATCATAAGCCGACAAAATGGGTATAAAATGGTAAACGCAGAGTCGGTCCATTCCGAAAAGAAAAGAGAACTCTACTCACTGGAAACAAAAATGAGAAGAATGGGGTTTTTTATTTACAAATTGCTACGTAATAATTTACGTAAATAATCATAATCAGGACGTTCCTCAAAAGCAAGCGTTCTAGCATACTCAATGAACGTGATGATGCCATGGCCACCGTGCCTATAAGAACCCGTGGGCGAGCCATCTAGCAGCAAATCTTCCAGGAAGGTCGATTCTTTGATTGCTTGAATACGATCCCAACCTGCTTTGGATGTTCGGGCCGTTACACCCGACCAAGGCAAATCACCCGCCAACAGCAGATCCAGGAGCAGATAACCTAAACTTTCAATATCATCTCTTCTAGCATGAGCACAACCACGATGCACGTTTAAAGAGGCATACCGAGCTGTTCCTGTTTTGTGTTTGATGGGTCGTTTTCGCTCAGGATAAGGCTGACCTGTTTTGGGATTACGCCACCAGGTGGCGAGTCCAAAGTCAATGACATGAAGATCGGATGATAATGCATCCTTAGAGTCAAAAAATCGATGATGGTCGTTGTTATTTTTCTTCTCTCCTTTGTAAACATTACTGTCATTGTATGGGTTTTTGGTTCTTTTGTCCAGATGAAGCGGTTGCTTTCGTACAGGGTCATGTTGTTCCCAAGATAATGTAATGCTATCGGGTGGTGAGGGAGGTAGTTGGACAGGAGAGATACGAGTACCATGATGAGTGTGACTAGTAACCGTACCAGTGGTGATCGTACGATAAGGGTATAGGGAGGATGATAGGATGCTCGATGTTCTTGCCAGTGAAGTCCAGTTCAATCTTGCCATATCATGTGCACCACATGATTTAAGCAATAAGAAATTCTCAGGCTTCAAATCACGATACACAATTCCTTTACTATGTACATATTCTAAGAAGGAAAGCTACTTGATAGGCGCTCACATCAGTTTAAGCGAAAAAAAAAAAAAAAAAAAAGTGCTTTCTTACCAACTGACATCCAAAGTCGGTGATGAGAGTCAAAGCCATATACTTGACCGATAACTGCAATTCTCTTAAATTGGTGCCTAGTAAGTCAATGACAATGCAATCAAAATCGTCATGTTGTCCATACCAGTGACATTTGGGAATACAAGCTAGTGATAGGTAGGTATGTATGCCAGGTGGAACCAGTGTGAGTCATACACAAGCTCAACAACAGTAACCTTTCTCATTCATTGTTACTTACGCCCGCCCTTCAATAGAGAGTACATCAAGCTTTCATGACGTAGTTGTGGACAAGGGACATTGAGAGGCTCCCGTTTAAGTGCATAAAAGCGATTTGTATCAATATCTTTGACTGCAATGTGCAGATGCATCCATTTGCAATATATAAAATAGAGCAGGGAAATTTTTCTCCTTTTTTAGGTTTGCCTTCCCAGGTTTTACAACTTAATTTAGTACATCAATGCAGAAAATTTTTACCTTTGAAAACCTCGCCGAAAGAGCCTTCGCCTATCTTGGAGATAACCAACCATTTGTTTCTGACAATAACATCTCTTCCTTGAGAGGAATGGTCCATATGAGTAAATGGGGTGTCAATAATAGCAGATGAACTAACAAAAAAAAAAAAAGGGGGGAAGGGGTATCTATCTTGTATATGTATAGCTGTATATAAACTACAAAAGAAAGACTATGTCAAGATATGCTGGAAATAGAGGCAAAGTGGGGCGCACACTAAGAGACACACCACAGACGGAAGGACACACACACACACAAAAAAAAAAGAAGAGCTAGAGGAGGAAGGTAAAATGACGACAGAAGATAGTGATGCTTTTATTGCTTCGTAGCGTTCTTTCTCTTCTTCTTCTTCTTCTTCTTTTTTTTTCTGCTACTTTTCAGCTTTTCTCCCAAGCCTTTTGAGTCTATTCTTTTCTGTAATAAGTCTGTCTTCCTGTGATTTCTTCTATGCCCTTTGTTTTTTGCGAATTTTCACTGCAAAAGGAAGAAAAAAGCGCCGGAAGAAGGACGTTTTCAGCTGAAAGGTTTAAGCAAATTGAAAATTATTACTGGATGGATTATCTTTGACGTCTTATAGAAAATCAAAATTGAACAGAAAGAAAAAGGTCAAGCTTCAGAGATAAATGGGAGCTGCCTGGTAATTTGAATAAAGAAAAAAAAAAAAAAAAAAAAAAAAAAAAAAAGGAGAAAAAGGAAATTGAAAGAACTGCTCTGATTGAGTTTGCTAGAATATTTATGGATCACGCTTTGAAATGCATGAATATCTTTGGCCTTCTTTGTTTGTTACATCAGTCATTTTTTAAACGTAATTTTCTACTATCACAGTGAATGTTTTTCACTAACAAAGGTCAACAGGCCCTGGCCTACAAGAACGTAGGAGGCTTCTTTTTCTAATCGCAAGGCTATCAAAAGGGTCTTTTATGAAAAAGAAGTGATGTCAATCCTGACTGTAACAAGCCGGCTTTTTTACAGTAACTGAAGCAGCGACGATTGAACCGCTACTGTTATACCATACTGTAGGTGAAAGAAACTTCAATCTCAGCAGATGCACCAAATTTTCCTAAAGTGTACAAAAATGTCCTGAAAAAAAGGTGTTATAAGAAGGAAAAGCTTTTGCCCGAGCAATATTGCTACTACATTGAACTTTGCTTGCACAATAAATATCACAGACAATGGATAAGATTGTTTGCACCTTTTAAACAATGCTTCATTCGCTTATTGAAGCTGTAAACCCTTTTGTGACAGTTACATCAGAAATGAATTGCATGATACAGAGAAAAATGTATTTCACGTCATCCGGAAACGCTCACTGCATACATTCTGCACAATCGAGCATGTGTGTCGTGCATGCTATTTTCATTAAAGCTAAGCTTCTATACTGATGCAAAAACGAACGACTTCGCACAATATAGATTCAGGTCCGACGGTACTGCATATTCATGTAGAAATCATATCTTTACATTTTTTTTTTCCCTTCCATTTTGTGCACCTTCTTTCCTTCCTTAGTATTGTGGAGAAGGTCACGTTTAACTAAAAAGACATCAAACGCCTTTTTGCACATAGTTTCATAATCTATCTTACATTGCTAATTTTGTATATGTCACAAGCATCATTTTTACCACAACAATACAGCAATAGCAATCTACACATGGTCTCAACTGCATCACGAATAGCATCATCATCAAGTACAAGAACCACCAAAGTTATTGAAGAGTTACAAAAGACTTTAGACTCTATTCAGAAAGAAGTAGAGAGTACTAAACAGCAGGTAAATAGAATAAATAGTCTACCTAAAACAGATGAATTGTAAAATAGGAGGCATATGAGCTCACGGAGAATGTTCAATACAATTATCTTATCCGGGTTAGCTCCAGACTACCAAAGAGAGTAAAGAACAATTAGAAAAAGAAAATGAAACTTATATCCAATCCAACAAACAACTCCGAGTGGATATCAACAAAGTCCTTCAAACCTTAGAATCAAAGCAAGAGCTACTAGAATCTACGAAAAAGTCATCACAATCAATGGAGAACAAAGTAAAGCAATTGAAAGATGAAGCACTGGCGGCTAGGAAAGAGTTGGATGAATTAAAACAAAAGGAAAAAACATTCCAAACAGAAATATGTAATATAAAGACACTGAAAGAAACTCAACGACAGCAGCAAGTAGCACTTCAGTCATCCATAGACAAATCCCAGGCGGATTTTGATAAAGAAATGAATATGCTGCAAGATTTATTAGATACACTCATCCATAGTATAGACAATATGAAAGCGAGGGATATCCAAAAAGAGACAGAAACACTCTTTGCAATTCAACTCTCGGAAAGAAATGATCTATTTACCCAACTGAAAAAGAAACAAGAAGAGTTAAAGGCTGTGGATCAGCAATTTATTGATGACATCAGAGACGAACTAAGAGATTTAACAGATCAAAATAATAATGATAATAGAACACTGCTAGACGAAGTGGCAAACAGTAGGGAAGGAGCCAATGCGCTCATTGAACGTATAAAAACAACAGCTTCATCCTTATTAATAAACGAAGAACGTTAAGAAACTCAAATTTTAATAATTCTAAAATTCGACATATTGTAAATTGTGACTTGAGCAGATGCAATGGTGCCTATCCATTTCAACATATGTAATCTCATTGTAAATGAAAGTCATTTAAAGATTCTTTTTGTCTATCATTTGTTGCCTTGATCAGTATAGAAGGTCAAACCGTCTGGAAGTACGTCCGTTATAAAGACGACAAACAACAGCTTGGATTTCATAATAATTACAAGCCATGACGTAACATCTTCATGTAATAGCTCCATAAGCAGTGTTAAGTATAGTGTATCTGTTCATTATACGTAGACCCCGATAGATCACACTATTAAATCATCAATGACATAAAGAAGGGGTATAGAACATATAGAACATATACGACAATTCTTCTTTGGTCAACATTAACAAAAAGATATCGAACCGTACCAATCCGGACAACAAACGTCGGTGCTTTAGACAATTCCGGCAAATACCACGTGATAAGTGAGGAATTTTAGCTCTTAATTGAAAGGTTTTTCAAATTTGCAGCTCAGCCTTGTTAGCTCAGTCGGTAGAGCGTTGGACTTTTAATCCAAATGTCAGGGGTTCGAGCCCCCTATGAGGCGAAGTTGTTCTTTTTTACCTTCTTTTTTATTTTCGTGAGGCGTTTCTGTTCGTGCCATCAATGATTCTGTGACTTTTTGTCGTGTTATAACGGTAACTTGAATATTATAGAACATGTAAAAGGAACATAACTCTCTGAATAGAATAAAGAATCATCCTCTTTTTCTCTTTTCTAAAACTTTGTGTTTATTGTAAGAGTACCCTTGTTTTATCGTTAACTCAGTGCGCGGACTTTATTGAAGGTTGTTGTTACGAAATTGTACGAGTCAAATTATGTTGTTAGGAGTCAGAAGGAAGAAGAGCTAATGCCTGAAGTGCAATTCTATGATGTTTCTGCGCATTTTATGGCATTTTTGTTGAATCCAATGGTAGGTTTTACGGCCAACGCCTGCTAATTTGACCCCAGTAGTGATGAGAATAAAATTTAAGGGGCTACTTTCCTTTTTAGAGCTGTCTTTTTATGCAGAATTGCATAATGGCTTTTTTTTTTTTTTCTGGTATCATTCAAGCTCTTCTCTTTCACTTCACTATGTCTTACTTCTTTTCTATTTTTTTGAGCTGTATATTAGAGACATATACCATTTTTACCAGTTGATCAATGATAGAGTTGATACATAAAGTTGAAGACGTAGCACTTTCTTTTGATCTTGCACCCGACTTTCGCGGCATACTGAAAGGGTTTGCTAATGATGTTTCCGAAGGATGCACATTAAATGGTACTTTAGTCATGACTATACGTCAGCGTACAAGGGTAAAGCGGCTGGAAACAGTCTTCGCTGGACTTTGCCAGGTTCACTTTAAAACAACCAATGGAATCGGCGTACCAACTACAGACAGGACGGAAAGAAGAGGAATTTTCTTGAAAAGAATTACACATTTTGATGAATATTCGATTCAAAATGACGAAGGAAGCAGCATTAGAACTACCTTATTCGAGCCAGGCGTTTACAAGTTCCCATTCTCATTTGCTATCCCTGCAACTCTGCCACACTCATTCAAGGGCAACCATGGTAGTATTGAATACCAGCTGATAGCGACAGCTGGTAGAAGTGCCTTTGTCTCAGATCTTCATCTATCGATACCTATTGTGCTACGCAGATGTTTAATGAATGATTTAAGTCCTATTGCTAGAACCATGCAAACTGTCACTGGCACCAAGAATGCACATATTGCCTCCTATTCAGCAACGGCCCCTTCCATGGTGTATTCTGAGGGCGGTCTGCTTGAACTAGACTTTCATGTCACGTTGAAGGACCCAGCACGATTCTCTGTTCGTATGATTACATGCGGATTGAAAGAAATAGTCTCCTATAGGACTACTGGCAAAAGCTCTCTCACAAATCAGCGCTACCGCTATGATGAAACAAGCTATCCCTTGGGTTGCAGTACGTTTTTCCCCTCCGAGCATCCAGATTATAATCCATATCAGCCACACAACTACAATGCTATCTTTCGATTATACCCTAAAATACATACTGATAACAGATCAAAACTGATTGCAGTTAAGCATATGCTGACTATACGAATGATAGTCGGCGATAATAGAGCAGTAAAAGGAAGGCGGAGGATGTCAGAAAGTGATGGGATGTTCACGAGAGCAACGAACTATGAGAAAGGCAAAGGTCGCAGGCATTCATTACCAATGGTTAACGCCAGTAATCACAGAAAAAATTCATTTTCGCCTCATTTGAATCATCCACTCTCTTTCCTGACGCATCTTTCATCAAAGATAAAACATCAGCAGCATGATCGTAATGCTCACGATAGTACGCAGCTTGCGCTACATTCTACATCTTTCCCAAATAATGCAAATGATGACGAGACCATTGCCTCTTTGGAAACATACCACCCTAACACCAGCAGTTCATCTCGAGTAGTACCCTTAACATTGAATGTGGCCCCTACAGTATCTGGAGCAATTTCTACTAGAAACCGAGCTCGTAGATCTGATATGCATACATTGAACGCTTTGAACATGAACAGAAACAACACAGCAACAGAAGCTGCTACGATGACTCAGACACAGTCCGTAGATGACATGGTTAGAATATCCGATTATAAGTTTCGCCCACGTTCTCAACGTTGTAACGAACGCCAGCAGCTAAGTACAACAGAAGAGCAACTGCCATCATGGGCTACGGATGAACACTCAATGGCATCTTCATCTTCTTCATCCTCTTCGTCATCGTCGTTGGAAGAAGAAATAGCAAATAGGGGTCAAAATTTGTCGATAAACAATCATTACAACTTTTTTCACCATCATCGAAACAGTCAATTCCTAAAAGAGGAAGGATCATATGAATGTGAATTGAAACTACCTGTGATAGTCACATCCAGAGAAGAATACCGTGAGGGTGATGTACCTGCGCTGCCAGACTACCAATCCATTGGAGATGAGCCACCAAGTTATCAATCAGCGATTCACACTCTTCCACCCGTTCCAGTCTATCCAACAGATCAAAATGCTTAAAATTTCAACTACCAACTCACTGTTCGCACATCAATGAAACATGGAACATTATAGTTGTGTAAACCATTTTTTATTTTTGGATTTTCTTGGAACAGCGTCTGAATGAATATTGTTAGTAATAGGGTGAATAGTATTGCCAGTTTTACATCATTTCCTCGTTTAGCGCCTTACGACATGTGTATTATAAAGATACAAGGAGCATTTTGGTTATGAATTATCTGGGAGAAAATGGCTTGATGGGGCAAGTGAATGTAACTGTTACTTGAACTCTATGGCTACAAGCACGCTCGCCTGCCTCAGTCAACAAAATATGCAGAGAGTTGGTTACTGAGCAGACTCGTCTCGAAGATTTATATTAGGATCAGCTATCTAATAGTCTGTAGAAGGATTGTACACCCTACCGTTAAAGATGAAATCATTCTGAATCGTGCAACACTCCTTTAATTTTGGAATAAGCTGTATTACAAAGATTTCTATTGAACAAATAAAAAAGGTTGTAAAAGTAATCGTTTCGTTGTTTTTCTTTCCTTATTACTTGATTATATACACACTCTTTCTCATCCATATTTGTCTGATTGGCTTTTTCAACTAGCTTCTCAATTCATTTTAAGCTTTTAACTCCATTCCTTTCTCTAAAAACACTCTCCTTAACAGAACAGCTGCAGTGCACGATTAATTACATTTATCAAAAGCTCCTCAATTAATTAGCCATCATTAAAACCAGCATTCTAAGTGACAGCAATGAAACAATATTATATTGACACCTTTCTTGTAAGTTTTCTTTATTCTTGTTGTTGAGTCGATCGAGAGATCTCGAACAGGGAGCGATCTTTTGTCTGACATTTTCCGTATGTTTACCTACAGAGGAATCGTCCCAGCAACGGCATTGATTCCCCGCATTCTCGGTTATTATCTGCTTTGAAGTTGAATGACGAGCTTGCTGAATACTTCAAAGACCGGTAAAATCAACACTGTATAATAATTATCTATCTAATCGCCTGTAGCTAAAGAATATATCGTTCCTCTCTTATAGCGCTCAGATTGAGGATACGTACGCAAAGAGTATTTTGAAACTGACGAAAAAAAGCTATATCAGTAACAAGCAAGCTTTGGGGTAAAATAGTGTATTCGGCAATGGCATTAGCAGAGCAAAATTTTAAGAAGGCTAATTACTTTTGGTACTGTTGTATAGAACCTTTTTACCACTATGGGAAATGTTAGAGAGGGAGCTATCGCACAGGGCTTCCATCAGTAATGATTATGCATTGAACATTTTGAAGAAAGTCGAACAGCTTTTACGGCTATCCATAGTTGAAGACCCAAACTACGCCGATGTGCATAGGGTAAAGAAAATCATCCTTGGTTGTCTGTATATAAAATAAAATAGCTTATTATTTCATGTTAGATGGAGGAAACGATCAAAAAACTTGCTCGGGATTATGATGAAATTGATAACAAAATTGAAAAGGTCAGTACGGATTCACATTATGTTGTTTTAAATTGATACAAACCCGCTGACTACAATCCAACAGTTTAAGAAAAGCGCAAAAAATGAAGCTAAAATGACAGAGTATACAAAACTACTAAATCAAAAATTAACAGAATGGAATCAATATGCGCCAGAATACTTGCAGGTATACTTGTTTAAACGAGAAGGAAAAAGAAAAGTATGCTAAGGAACCTGTATCATTAGAAACTACAAACTGTAGAACAGAATCGCTTAGAAATGCTAAAAAATGCAGCTCGGGAGTTTGAAAAACTACAGCGAATGCATGCGGAGCAACTCATTGAGGTATGTGTATTGTATACCATCAGGTGTGGTTATCGAGTCTAATCATTGACAAAAAGCAATCATCTATCAATAAAGTTGACTGGAAATGTTACGACGACAACCGCAAGTCTTATTGTTGAAGATGAGATAAAATATTTTTGTTCCGCTCACATCGTGGTAGAAACAGTAAATACAGTATCGAAACCATCATTAGCAGAAAATAGCGAAACTGTTCCTGCTACTACGGCTGCTATCACAGCTGCAGAACCAGAACCGTCACTTTTGACGAATAAGCATCATGCTGTTCCGGAACCCTCGATCTCAAACAAGTCTAATCCAGCACCATCAATTAACAAGAAGCAAAAAGGAAGATGTAACTAAGCAGAAATGAAATAATAAGAGAAAGCCGTCTTGCCGACCAGCTAATTATTCATTTTTGTTTTGTCCATCAGTTTTTACAAAATTATCTATTCGTCGAAAGCCGAAATCGAACACCGAGAAAAAAAACTCACAATATCGTGAACAGTTATCTGTGCCTACTGAAGCAACAACGACGGTTCAGGAGGAGGGAGGTATAGCAATGCGACAAAGAAGCGGTAGTAATGCTACAACAAGCTTTATTATGGAACCATCGAGCAGCAGTAGTTTTCGGTCCGTTCATGCTCCGGCTGCAGCGGGAGAAGGCAACCCTGATAGCCCAATAGCACTGAATAATGAAGTGCATCAACAGTTGAACAAGTCAGCAAGCATGGGAGACTTGCATAACAAAAAGATCAACAACAGTTTTGTGAGTAATAGCTTAAATGGAATTGGCTCATCATCCACGAAAGCACCAAAATGCGTTAATGGAAGTGAATTGATATCTGCTACTCAACCGGTAAAGATACATTTGTTCATCGAAAACAAGGTTAGGTAAGCTTACCTTTTTGAACTTTTCAAATTAGCCGCTCATTTCAATTGATGATGAGGGTTATTCCATACCACCACCAAACTACACCGCATGGTCAGGTACCAATTCAAGCGATACACATACACTAAGTGATTCGTTGTTGGATGTGGAAGATGCTGGGTCTGATGCTGGAAGGTAAATATGTGATTCATAACTACATAAACTGCGTATATAGAAGAACGAAACATGTAATTTAACGATACAATGACGGCTGTAGCTTATTGAGCAATAATCCGCGCTTACGTGTCGATATCAAGAGTGAAGTTATCAAAGAAGAAGACGCATCCAAATCAGCAGTTGCTCTTTCGCGCGTTTCCACTTTGCTAAAAGAGGTAATTAACTTTTTTGCTAATCAAATTCTCGAAATACAACATGATCTAATTGTTTCATTAGAAAAATTCTGCTAGTCCTAGAAGGCTTCGTGGCCGAAGAGAGTAAAATTAACCTTCTGACTAGTTCTGAAAGATATTTGTAAAGTCTCAACTGAATTAAAAATTTTTTTTTTCTCATATTAATAGAGTAAGGACGACGCAGCTGTACTCCGTTATTGAGCAGCAAGTTCCTGATCTACCAAACTCAAATGGCTCATCCAAAAATGTAGTAGTAGCATCGACCTTAACAGCCAACAATATGAGTAATTCTTCACTTGTTGGAACTCCTGTCAGTGGCGAGACTTCTGAAAACACTCCCAACGATTTGTCGAATCCATTTGAGACAACTTTATCTTTTGCCGCAAAATGCGAGCAGCAGCAACCATCTGAGAAAAGAGAAAACAAAATGCCGTCTATTCAATTCCATGTCAACGAAACTATCCAGGGACATTTAAAAAGCGGTCAAGTCCAGTATTCTGTTGCCACTGGGACAATCAGCGTGCAGTATAGCGGCTACGACTCCTCTGGTGCAGTAGAAGGGCCTGCAGCCATTATTGACCGTGATACTCATTTTACGATCTGCAGTAAGAGCCCTTTGGATAGTATTGAGGCAATAAACACGGAACTTGTATCTTATGTTGATATGTCTAACAGTAAAAATACTGAAAACGACAGCTACTACTACAGCTTCGAGATCAATACTCAAAAATTAAAGGAACTAGCACAAGCATTGGCTGCCAAAAACAGCGACAACCCACCTTCAACCATAAATTGTATACGATACAAAAAACAATTAGATTCTTTACCGCTAATTGTCAAACCCGTATGGAAATGTGATTCAGAGAAAAGCAGACTCCTTATTAAGTACTTTAAGAATCCTCATCTTCCACAGCGACAAGGAAAAAAAGTAACATTCGAAAATGTTATTTTCGTCACAACAGTTACGGGCCAACCTCAAAATGCAATGAGTATTCCTTCAGGCGAGTTGATAGTGCAACAGCAGCACTCACAAAGTAGGATGAGATGGGTTATTGACAATATGAATAATAACAATGGCCATAACGGTGATAATGATAGCATGAATACTGCTGTCGAAGAAAAGGAGTCCATCATCAAAGCGCAATTTATGACTTTGGAGCAAGGATCTTCGCAACCTATTGCTGTTCGTTTTAAAATGGTTGATCAGTTACTTACTGATTTGTCCATAAAATATACCAACGATAACAATACAACGACCAAGGACCTAATTATAACTAAAATGGTGAAATCTGGTGAATATGTTGCTGATGTATAATATGATAACTGACATGATAGACATTCTCGCAATAAAAATTTCCCTTTTCTACTAAGACAAAATTCCTTTCGTTTTTTTCATCAAAGTTCAAAATCCTTTTTGGGCACTGGGCATCTTCTATAGTTGATTGAATATTGGCTAGGTTTTCTGTTCTGCACAGAATATGTGTTTTAATAAGGATTAGCAATATGTATTGTATACTTTTGCCAAACAAATTGTAGTAAGAACTCCTAGTTCAAAAAGGATTCATTAATCCTAATGTGGGAAGCTTGAATAAGCTTGGTCATACAGCAACTGAAGAACAATAATACAGTATCATGCTCGCAGGACTTATACAGTAGAAACTATAGGCTGAGTTGGATATATTATAATGGGTAATGTAAAAAGATGAATAGTAAAGGGTGCGTATGGAGGTATTTGCCATCATTGCTTATTGTCTTTAATGAAGGGATCTTTGGCAGGTATACGAGACTTTATTGTTGTTGACAGGTGGGAAACAAAGACAAAAAGTAATGATACTTTTATCAAAAAACTTGGCACATTATGAAAACTCCTAAATTCTTTACCACCGTAGCATTATGAGCAGCTGCACTGTGAACAACTTGATTAGAAAAGTATGGTGGTATTAAACTCATTAGAAGCGTGTAAACCGACAATTCCCCTGCAATCGGTATGGCACGGTGCGGCTTCTTCAATATGGCATAGTCAGACAAGACGTTCACGTTAAAAATCAATTGCTGCCGATAATGGATCTTAATGTTAAAAGCTCTATGGATCAACCATTGCTCAGACATACTCCACACTAATGTCTTGCTAAGGTAAGTTCTAAAACGTAACTTGCGTAAATCTAAAGGTTGTATTTTTATTCTTCAAAACGGTCCTGATTATACTTTCAGAGTTTTCCCCCAGCGATCAGTGATTCGGTATACTTGATTTTCCCGATTATCGATTCTGAGCGTATAGAATGTTTACTATTTTGTGTCAAGTATAGATATGCGTTCCAAATTCAATATACTATTTTATGGTATCAGAATTTCAAATACTTTTATGGAAAGTATTGGTCATGTAATCATCGATGTTTTCCATCAGCTGAATATATACCTTACTGTCTCATTATAACTGTCGTATTTGAGGGTACATGATATACAAATATTAAAGATATAATTCACTGTATGAAGGATAAAGATGAATTATACAATATTGCAAACCAGAAATAATTAGAAACTACATAAAACTCTAATATATGAGTACCGTGAATTAAGTGTTGTGTTTGGTTGACAGCATCATGTGAGATGTGGAAAACGCGTATGCAAATTATACAAGATCCTCATATCTCATTACTGCTGAAATAATATAAAGTAGAGTAGGAAACGAATATAGAATAAGTGATGGTTCTTATACGAAATTAGCTACCTCGTATAAGGCTGAACAGGTTGTCATTTAGGATATATAGTAGAATTAATATATGGACATGCAGGATATATTGATTCAACACCAAGGTATAATAGGTTATAAATACTATTCTTTGCCTTCGGTATAAAGAATGTTTACAAGATAATAGGCTGTGATCATCCTTTACAATAACTGTTCACTCAACTCAAACACCACGCACGAATACCATTTTCCTAATTAATACTTTTTTCATGCAAGCAGTGCTACATAATGGTTAGCACGGGAAAATAGATTAGTTGCATGATCACTAGATCAAGCCCTGGATACGTTTACAAGTCCACCCGCTCCGGGTAGATGCGTAATCTCCTCAAGGAAGAATTCTATTCTTTTACGGTTCAAAAGACGTACGTCTTCTTTGAGTAGAATAAACTCAGCTGTCAGTTTCTAGGTTCCGCAATATGAAGAAGGTATTTTAATTTTTGCAGTAGATATTTTTCTTTCTGAATTTAACTTGATTCAAAATAAAGACCTACTAGTTTGATCTCGTTAAGCTTTTTACTGTTTTAACTATAAGTGATATTTAACTCTACAAGTCGTCAAATACCACAATGACTATAAGAACCCTCAATTTGATTGAACAATTTACTCATGATTTGAAGATTTTCGATAGTCCAAGTATATTCATGGTCATCTTTGACAGGCAGGATGTGATCTAGAGTAAATGCATAAAAATTACTCGTACTGATTAGTCTTACAGGTTGATTAGTGATTGCACAACGAAGTTGACTTTTTATACAAGAATCTATGGGGTCCTTTTCTGCACAAATGTCGAATTCCAAACGTGGGGTTTTCCTTTTTTGGCGTTCACGTAGCGTCTGCATTCGTAATCTCATAGCTCGTTCAACGGTCAACATATCATCGATTGATTCGTCACGTCTTCCTGTTAAAGGCCCTGTCTTCACCCAATCAGTTATTTCTGTAAAGATGTGCTCATTATTGCCCATTTGTCTCAATCTATGAGATAAACGAACGGTGTAAACGAACATTGCGAGCTTTACTCATTCCCTCAGCATATATAAAGATAAAGGAAGAGATCGTAATTACCTACAGCATCCGTTGCAATATAATAAGCCTTGACGAATATATCCAGCTTTCAAGGGGTATTGAGATCATCTACAAGTTGAACTTTACAGATGGAACAATACACTACGGCTGTAAAGTGTGATATTTGTAGTACTTTTTATATTTAGCGAACACGACTTGAAATCAACTGTAACGTGAAATGAGTCTCCTTATCAGAGAAGGGGGCGTTTATGGCAAACTGAATGTTTGTATTTGACAACAAAAGAAAGAAGAAGAGAAAGCAAAAAATGGAGTTAAATACTCGTTCCTGAAATATTCAACCAGTAAGAAATGCAGCATATATATATGCGCATGTCTAAAAAATGAAAGGTAACGTGTACTAAGTGTTATTATGATCCTATGATCTTAATAACCTGTCTAGTATTTGAAGATGTGTCTATTTTGTGTTTATAGATTATTGGAGATATGAAAATATCACACCATTACCGTGTATCATCGATACCTTATGCCCACTCTTTTCTGAACAAAGACTTGACAAAACGTTGTAGAAGGCAATTGAAATACAGTAGACTAACAGAGACCTGAGCGTATAATTCTGGACAGTATTTCTTACCTCCTCACCATAAATGAAAAAACAACACATTAGAGGCAGTACTTCAAATGGTTACTACATATCAGAACAACTTCGGCTATCCTATCAATATTTCTGAAACATTTTTATAGAGTACAGCAGTGATATATGATACATAGTTAATAAGTTGGTATTAGCTACTATTTCAACTTCTATTTTTATTTATTTATTTATTATTTTTTTGAAAAAAAAAAAAAAAAAAAAAATAGGAAAGAGAGGAACCTCCAGCACATAAGAGAATACTGTAGAAAAATATCTGTCTGTAATACATAAAGGTCTCCAGTTTGGATGGTTTCAGTCAACAATCTTGTCCTTCAGGAAGTATGTGAAACAATCAAGATATTGTTATTAAATAGATACTATAACAGAACCTCTGCATGCATGACATATCTGTCTTCATAACGCGTAAATCTACTTCAGTTAAATGAAGCCAAGTAAGATAAATAGAACCCTCCTGCCCTTAAAGGTTCGAATCAAAGACTTGTGATATATTGATCGAGAAAGCAATAGTCGTGGCAGACATCTTCTCTTGCCTTTTTTTTTTCTCCTAGATTTAATTATTTTGTTATAATACTAACATTAAATAATTCGGCTGAAATGCTGTATGTCTCTCAATAGGAAGTCAACAGCTGCTATGTGGCAGGGAAAAAAGGACGAAAACAATCCAACGGTTACGCTAACAAAGCTTCAATGAACAATCAGATTTCTTTGGAATTAGCATGAATACATAGAAATTGCATCAGATGTAAAATCTGCATATTTCACGAGCAATGGAAATAGGCACTGAACCACCGGCACACTGCACATTCGTTCGGAAATACTTGTTTTTTCTATATTCCTTCCAAGAGTTTTTTACTTCAAAAGGCCGATTTGCATGAATACGTCATCATCAAAGGTAATGCCATAACGACTTTACTCTCAGAAAAAGTTTGAAAAAAGCATCATGGAAGGCTTTGATTACAGTAAATTCGACAGAGCTTCGACAAGGAACAAAATGTTTTAGCGATTAAAAATGCGGGGCGGCTTTCGTTATGCCTTTGTATTCTTTTTCATCCGCCGCCCGTGGTTATCCCATATTTTATTTTTAGGCCCTCTTCCTTCTCGACTTTCTTTTCTTATTCCTTCCACAAATATTTATTCTTTCTCTATGTTAATCCGTCAGCCCTATTTAAATACGTACCGAAGGACGGTATCATGCCATAATTTAGCAATTTTAAATCTACTCAAAAGAAGATTTTCAGTTACTAGGCATTGTGCCTATAAAGATTATTACTTAACCAAAGGCGTGCAAGGTAAGAATCAGTATCTACGGGCTATCACCAACAAAAGACATTTTTACTTTTCATTAATACTCATATTTAACGTTATCCTAACGTATAATTTGTTTTTTCTAGACAGTCAGTTGAGGATAAACCTGAAGAAACCGAGTCAATTGTTAGGAGTCTGTTCTTCAAGAGGCACTAGACCAACGAATGAAGATCACTATTGTGCAGCTAGCTTGGAGTTAACTGATAGTGAAAGATTATTAAAGATGGATAAATATGCAGAACGTGCTTACTTTGGAATATTCGATGGGTAAGAAAAATGAGGTGCTGACTTAGAACAAAATGAATCAGTACATTTTTCACTGATCACGTTCGCTTCTTAGTCATGGTGGGCCAGTAGTATCAGAATGGTAAAGATAGAACAATAAAGGTAGAGCAGAAAACGAGTCAGCTCGCTTAGATTTCCATTAACAGAGAAGAAGAAAACGTTCTTTTTTTTTTCTTACCTTGAATTACATCAATGGTATAGGCTTGTAAAGCACTTACATGAATATATTGAAAATGTCACTTTGGATGACTATCATAAATCACTTGAATTTCTACAGACATATCGAGGATATTTCCGACGATTCCCCGTTCCTTCTGTCTTGAAAGATGATGTATCATCGAATATAGAAACCAAACAGAAAGGAAAGGACGCCAAACTCAAAACAAATTTGTCACTTGAACAAAGATTGACATTGGCATTTCTAAAAGCCGATGTGGATGTATTACAGCAACTGCGAAGTAGCTTACAAGATGCTCATCAAGATCATGAAGGCTCTACAGGAAGCGTTGCTATTCTAGAGCCGCGAGATAAAAAGCCTTTTTGGGATAGCGACGTATATGATATCATTATTGGCCATGTAGGCGATACAAGGATTCTATTGTGTGATTCACGAAAAGGTGAGGTCATGCAGCTCACCACTGGAGATCACCACCCAGGCAATCCTGCAGAAGTGGAGCGGTTAAGAAAATATGCAGGATTTGTGACAACAGATTCATGGGGAGATGAAAGGATTATGGGGATGTTGGCTACCAGTCGAGCATTTGGTGACGCTAAACTGAAACGCTATGGTGTTTCAGCGGAACCAGATATAGTGAGATATAAGGTTTCAACCAAACGTAATCCAGCCGCTTTTATGGTATTGGTGACAGATGGGATAACTTCTGTTTTGTCAGACCAGGAAATAGTGGATTTGGTAAGAGCAGAAATGAATCTATGTTAAAAGAATAAGCGTAAAATTAATACAAATATAATTCTGCTTCTGTTTGTCGTAAAAGGTGAAGCAATATAAAGACCCTAATACGGCTGCTAAACAGCTCGTGGACACTTGTGATCAATTACAGAGTGATGATAATGCGACTGCAATGGTACTCTTTCCGCTTTGCCAAGTTTAGAGTAAACTATCTTAAAATGGTAATATAACTAAATGAATTGATTCTTCTGGTAGGTTATCCGGTTGAAGGATTGGGGAAAGAAAATGCAAGATTTTACGAAAGACCTTAGAACATACAAGCTAGAAAATACATCAATGAGTCGTAGACAGTCATGGTGATCGATATAGAGTTTTAGAGCGTATTCTATATCCGTATATATGTATACTTTACAAGCCATTTGTACATATCTGATTATACCAACATAATGCCATTAAACACTAACAGCTTTATTCCTTTGGAAATGGGCTTGCTTCCTATTGGTTGAGGCACTGTTGTACCTGAATTTAAAGAAGACACATTAAACGAAAATACGGAGCCTAATGCTTGCTCTTTCAGAGAAAAGTTCTATTCAGACGGTTTAGTTAACTTAAAATAATAATAAAAAAAAGAAAGACTTTGAGTAAAAGGAACTTTGAAAGTGCTATAGCTCACATTTTACGAATTAAATACAGTGATCTTACTACAGTGCTTTCGGTTTTAATTTAGACCTTCTTGTATACAAAATTGGATATTTTGATTGACTTAATTCAGAAAATTTAAGTCATTATTTTCGGACTAGTTACTTTTTACATTTGAACACTTGTAGTAAACATCTGAGGCCCGCCTCTTTTTGCACGCATTTGTTGCAGTAAGTTTTGTTGTTTGATCGGCCCAGACGTGCAAGGGTCGTAGATGAAAAGAAGGTTGCAACTGGCATTAGACAAATTGAGACCAATCTACCGACGTGCAAGACTGTTCACTCCGAAATACAATATAAGTTGTACCTTTCTTATGTATTGAGACATATCCAAAGCTTACATGAATTTTATGGCTTCAACTCTGCCAAATTCATATTTAACGACTATCAAGGCCGTCAAAGAGCTGAGTGAAGAGCTCGCAAACATGCTTCTGATGGAGGCAAAAAGTATAACCCCAGAAAAAGAAAAAAAACCAACAAGAATAAACGGCGTAAAAGAAAGTTGCCGAGAGGAAGCAAGACAACGAAGAGTAAGGTACATGCAAGAAAAGCACAGAGGGCTGCAGAAAGGAAGGAAGGACAAGAGAAGAAGTTAACGATTAATGTAGAAGCAGCTGCGCAAAAAAGGTACGCATTCATTACTACTGATTCAACAGTAACTGGTAACTATATAAATACATTAACTTGTCCCTTGCAGATACAAAGCAAAGACTGTTAAGAAATGGACCGCTGCTCCATTCTTTGAAGACCGCAAGAAAATCCCATTAGTCATTTTTGGTGACGGGATGAAGAACAAGGATTGTGTTTCATTTAAAGGCCACCCAGCAGGTGTGACAGGAAAGTTGTATCGTACTCTCCTGAAAAGACAGCGCTGCTTTCTTGCTGCGGTGGTGGACATCAACGAGTTTAAAACCTCAAAGGTGGGTCCCAAATTGCCAAATCAAGTGCCCTTCTCTAGAAGTAATGTCATTTTCGTAGGTTTGTAACAATTGTAATGGTGTCGAAATGAAAGAAGTACGAATTTCGGACGGCTACAGCGTCTATGGTACCAAGGCCTGCAAAACCTGTGGTATAATATGACAAAGAGACGTCAATGCGGCGAAAAATATGCTTACTATTGCAAATTCCGTATGGGAACACAATAGCCGTCCCGACATTTTCTCTCGCCATCGCCATAACGAAAATGGTGCTGCAGGTTCTATACCGACGGCTTAAAGATTTTTACGCGTTTAGGTGAGTTCATCTTGTGAAATTTGTCACTGTACATTTCTGAGGTTTTATTAACTGCTGTTTGAGTAATAGTAGTTCGCACATTTGGCATTGAGCAATTTGACAGAAAAGGTATGATCCCAAAAACTATACTTTTCATCCAAAATAATTTTTAAATTAGTCTGCATTTTAATTGTAATATAGTCTCAATTTAATAGCCATTTCGTGCGAAAGTCAAGCGGAAAAACAGTACAGTGCTTTGAAAAATTACACTAAAATCGAAACTCAATGAAAGCATGTACAGCCAATTTTGCTGCATGTGTGTGTAAATAACCTTCTTTTTTCTGTTTCTCTAACAATTTTATTGTTTACCACTTTTTTCTCTTTGCTTTATTATATCTCTTTCTAAAAGACTCTGTCTGTAAAGAATACTATCCATTGAATAGTATTCGGAAAAGATGATGTCAACAGAAGATCCATCCTTATTCGAGGAAGATGCATTCTTAAGTGGAGGAGGACAAACTTTAAATGATGAACTACTTGGTAAAGGATACATGAATGAGGTTCCTCTTGGGTGCTCATCTCTAGCAGCAGAACTCCAATCTGCAATGACAACCATTCCCGAAGACACGAACGGAGTTGCTGAAGAAAATTTATCAATAAGCAATAGCAATAACAATAATGATGTGGAATATAACGACTCTGCAACAATGCCAGCTATCTTGAACAACCATCATAACTTGATAACAGCGGAATTACCGGCTAATACGACGCCTTCAAAATTGGCTTCTATGGCAATGGAAAAAAGATCACTATCGAACGAAATAGTGACCATGACAAGCCCATTGTTATCTCCTTTACAGTGGTCTACTTCTTCCACCCTTGGTTTGCGTAACAATGGCGGTAATCATAGCAGAAGATCATCCTTTTCTTCTTCTACTTGGTCCTCTTCTATGAACAATGACTTCTCACCGGACTATAATGAAGATTTAATTATTGATCCATTTGAAGTATTAAAAAGACAATTAGAAGATTTAAATACAGCTGTATGGGAAACAAAAACGCTTCATAAAAGACTTTTAAAGACCTTGACGATGGATGAAACAGCTTTTGGCATCTCGACCAGAAAAGATGCAGAACATAGCAATGCTTTTACGCCGCCTTTTGAATATGTAGTTCAATCGGTTATCAATCTTATCGAACGTAAATCTCGCGACCGTGAACGACAAATCAGTTATCTACGCAACGTGGACAGTACGCTTAGGAAAGAATCGAGTTGGATGACGATGAACACGATACGAGAGTTGGAATTTTTGCTATCGTCAGTCAAATCGACGTTGAACGACTCGAACTATGTGTATCAAAACCCTTTACCTATGATCCGGGATTTAACAATAGAGACAACTTCAGCAACCGACTCACTTGAAGAACTAAAGGAACTCATGTATGTGAATAAGAGGCAGGTACAAGAATTAAATGCTAGATTAAAATCCATTGCAAAGACAGTACATGAAGTAAGAAAGGATATGAGAAGAATGAATCAGTTTTTAGAAGAGAAAGACGATGAAGACGACCTTGTTATTCTAGAAAAGGGTGAAGTTACTGAAAGAGTAAGAGAAATTATGTGGGGTTTAGATGATTTGGATACTGAATCGACAAAGAAATTAGAGAAAATGCAACACTTTTGGGATACTATCAAAATCTCCAACAATACTACTGCAACTTATTTGACTCATTCTGTTTAAATCATACAATCGTTCTGTTCTATCTATGTCTACATAATGACCGATATCACTATATTCCCCTTTCTGCCTTCCTGCCTTCTTTCTTACGTAATATCTTTATATCCTTTCTCTATATATCTACTCTTTCGTAATTTTAACTGAAAATAAACCCTATGTTTTATACTTTTGACTTGTGAGTTTATTCCTGAAATCAGGGGCGGGCAAAGCAATATCTATTTGCCGGCCATAAATAGAAGCAGCATCTATTAGCAGCTTCAAATTTTCGCTTACAGCTGACAATAGTATTCGCTCTACAGATGATAGGCCTGCCGACCTAGCACCAATTTTCTCTCTAAAGTGAAATCCAGAACCCATCGAAAAATTTATAGTTTTACCATAAAGTAGAAACGTACTGCTCTGATGTCATTTGCCAAGATTCGTCATGAAACGAGAGAAATGGTGAAGACGCATATGGCTGCGTTTGATTCTTCACACGATATATATCATATAGATAGAGTTGTTAACTTGGGTAAGAGACATCACTAGCATAGTCATCTAGCTAACGCATTGCAACTAAATATTGAACATTTATCACTGGGATAGTGCAGCCATTGTTATCGCCAATGATTTGATTGAGACAGGTAATAGAGATGTGGATTTGGAAGTGGTCATCTTGGCAGCACTTTGCCACGATATTGGAGATCATAAATACGCAAAAAACGACGAAAAGGGACTACAGCATGGCATCGTTACGGCGTTTCTAGAAAGGCTAGGGTATCCTAAAGCTAGCTTAGTAGGAAAGATAGTAGATCATGTTGGGTTTAGCAAAGAGCTCGGTTGGAACGATGCGTTGGATGATCCAAAGATTGTTCAATGGCGTAATAATTGCTTAGAACTTCACTCGTAAGAAATCAACATTAGAATTAGTAAAAGAACTTGAGTTGATTGATATCTCTTTTCGTAATAGAGTCCAGGATGCAGATAAATTGGATGCTTTGGGGGCATTTGGTATCTTGAGATGTGCTGCTTTCAGTGGTGCCAGAAACCGACCTCTTTATATACCTGCAATAGACGGACATTACCAGCATTCTTCTGAAGGAGCCACCAAAAAGGATTTGACAAGGGACGAGTATCTTGCGGAACAGAGTAATAAACAGAGCTCAGCCATAGCCCATTTTCATGGTAAGAAAGTATACAGTGTTTACTAATATTAACATCAGTTCCTAAGCATTCCTTTTTTTCATATACCCATGCTTCTTGAACAAAAGACAAGTTATTTAAACTGAAATCGATGATAAGAACTGCAAAAGGTAGCGAATTAGCAATTGAGAGGCACAATTTTATGCTTACATTTGTCCAGCAAATAGAAAAAGAAATAGAGCTAAACAATTAAAGTGCTTTCTAATGGACAATTTCTGTAACAATGCTAGTGCTGTATGTAAACGCATTAGAGATTATCTTAATTCTTATATAAAGACCTCTATTTGGGATTGTTTATTGATTTTTATAGAGATTAGTTGTGCTCTGTATGCTGCACTGTGTTGCTGTGTATTGCTGATAATGTCAAGGTAGAGGAGTATAATGGATACCCCTTTGAAATTTTTTGTGTTCCTTCCTTTTTTATGCAGCTGCAGTATCTGACTTTTATTTTTCCCAAATTTCTATTGTTTTTAACCCTTTCTAATTCTTTCCTTTTGTCATTGACCCGCCCTTTCCATTTGAACTTGATTTGTTTATGCACAAGTTATCATGACAGCAAATAAGCACTCGATTAGAAACGTTGTAGGTGTACATTATAAGGTTCTAAGAAAAATAGGTGAAGGAAGTTTCGGTATCATATATGAGGGTTAGTCTTTACATGTCGAAAAGAATAAAGCAAATTCGCAGTAGCATATTGACCGTAATAGTTCACTTTCAACACTATGTAAACAAAGGCTGCAATTTGTTGACAAAACAACCTGTGGCCATCAAATTTGAACCAAAAAAAACTAGCGCACCTCAACTAAAAGACGAATATCGAACATACAAAATGCTAGCAGGCATTCCTGGCATCCCAAATACGTATTACTTTGGACAAGAAGATGCTTATAACATTCTTATTATTGATTTGCTGGGTCCCAGCTTGGAGGATTTATTTGATTTATGCGGAAGAAAGTTCTCAGTCAAAACAGTAGCCATGTTAGCAATCCAAATGGTATAATACACTACCGGAATTCAATATATGTGAAAGGCAAACAATTATTTCCTTGGTTATGCTTAAAGATTTACTTTGTAGGTCACATTGGTCCAATCTGTTCATGAGAATGACCTTGTTTATAGAGATATCAAGCCTGATAACTTTCTCATTGGTACACATATAACATCAGCATTGGACATAGACACAGGGGAAGTTGAAGAAGCTCAGAAAACCAGTTGTGATAGAAAAGATGAAGACGGTAAAATCTACATGGTTGACTTTGGAATGGCCAAACTGTATCGTGACAGGTTAACCAAAAAGCACATTCCATTTCGCGAAAGAAAAAGCTTATCTGGTACAGCAAGATACATGAGCATACACACACATTTAGGCAGAGAACAATCGAGAAGAGATGATCTGGAATCCTTAGGACACGTTCTATGTTATTTTCTGCGAGGTCAGTTGCCTTGGCAGGGCTTAAAAGCCGCTACAAATCGACAGAAATACGACAAGATTAAAGAAAAAAAACAATCAACAAGTATATATGACCTTTGCGAAGGCTATCCGAGTAAGTGAAGTAGATTGGCATTACGAACAAAGGCCTATCAACGGCTTCATTTATTAAAGAACGCTTTTTATATTCAGGACAATTTATCAAGTACCTTCAATATTGTCGAAAGTTGAATTTCGATGAAACGCCCGATTATGATTGGTTAAGGACTCAATTTCTGGATGTCCTTCGGGATTTGGGTGAAGAAAACGATTTGGTCTTCGATTGGATGCTATTGAAGGATAAAAGAAGGAAGAAGATTAGTTGGCAAAAAGCACTAGAAGAAAGAAAACGACAGCAGCAGCAGCAGAAGAAGCCGTTGTTGTTGCCACCGCCGCCAGACACCGGCAATATTGTGCCTTTGGGAGGACCAACGACAACGGCTGCGACTAAACTTAATGAAAACTTTCACTCACAGGAGCGACTTGTAAAATCACAAGCAAAAGAACGTGAGCAAGCTGGGATTGGGGCACAAAATCTTTTCACGGACGATCCCAACTCTCTGCATTCGGCAAAACATAGTGGATGGACAAAGATCAAGTCAATCATAAGTTGTGGTTTGTTCAACTGACCCTCATCACAAAGATTATAGCATGTTTACTGTTTTCAATATTTATTCGTCTTTTTTGATCTTCTTACCACTCGTATAATAACGTGCACCAGTCCTTCCGTTCTTTCTGGTACATATACTATATCCTAGTTCTACTCTTTACTCCCTTTATAATACACTTGATTATTGAATAAACCACTTTATTCCTATATTACAGATTTGCTCAGTCATATTGTCTATATGGAGACTAGCTAAACTGCTGAAAAAATACTTAAACACTGATATCAATGCGTTCTCTTATCTTACTCAAATCGCACTTGATCCAAGATTTCTTTTACAGCATAAGGGTATTTTGTGTGCCCGTCTATATCCACTTTGATATTCGTAATTCGGTTATGGCCATTCGCTCCTAACACCTTAACTTCTTCCAGGCCTGCCACATTCATAGCGAGGGAATGTAACCGATAGACAAACGCCAGCACCCAATCGTTAGGCGTATAACAATTAACGAACCGACCCGATACCACTGAGACAGCTTGCGCCCATTTTAATGAAATATCTTCATCTTCCTCCGGCGTTGAGACAGTAGAGATGGGTGCACCCATCATTATCACATTGTCTATATAACCGTATAAACCTCTTTTTTGAAGTTCTAATAAACATTGCCAGATCACTAAGCATCCACAACTATAGGCCACCTTTTTATAGCGTTTTCATGTATGGGTAGAGCCGATACATATAGTATATTAAACAGAAACAGAAACAATGATTTGAATGAGAAAAGGCATTGGTTTTTATTGATAATATATGATACACCGAAAGCCCCATCGAAAGGCTCTAGCAATTGATAATATATGCTAACAGAAGGGAAAGTATTTTGTTTTTCTACACTTACCAAATTACATGGACGATGACCTTGGACTCTTTGCTCAATGATATCAGCCAGCACTGTTTTCCAATGCACAAGACATTAGTTTTACGGACTTTTCTTTCAATTTTCACACTGAAGTACCTTCTCCTGCTTTCTTGGACCTATCTACAGCCATTTGCCAAGGATTATCAATAACATCTGCTAATTTCATCACTGTCGCAGGTAATGCCACAGCAGCTAATGAAATGATTGTGTATTTCATAAGTATCTACGGCTCATTACATATCTCTGGATTTCTTGTTTACCAAATACTGCATGAAGAACAGTAGCTCTTGCCACTTCCATTCCCGCATATCGAATAGCTGTATCTTTTACAAATTTCTTGAACGAATATCCTAAGTCTAACAAGATATCTTGTTCGTAATTTAAACAGAAAACATCATTGTTGGCCCTATTTCCTTCAAATGCTCGCTCCCAAGGTGTCTATCGCGCATAATATGGGTCATCAACACTTTGCTTTCTTAACACAATTGCCAATAGTATTCATATCTCTCTCTCTTTTTACCGTAGATTCATCTTTTGGCTCTAATAGAAAACCCGAAATGCAGATTGTGGCATTTAAAGCAGGCACAGGCGGTAAATCCGGATCGTTCAAAATCTGTTGAAACCGAAAATCTTCAATTCCTTTCATCCGTCTATGCATTTTCCAACCTGCCAATCCACCTCCTGTTAGCCCAAACAAACCTGTCACCAGCACGACACCTCCGGCTGTAGCAAAAAAAGTGGCCCCTGTCACGCCTACCAAAATAGGAGCCAAGAGAGGAGCTGCTAATCCGCCCGTGAGGGCTATCACAGCGCCACCGCCCAATATTCCTGCGCCTGTCGCCAACCATCTCAACGCTTCCTTTTTCTTATTTGAGTTTTCTACAGCTTCGCGTACTGTGCTTTCAATCTCTGCTTCGCTTTGACCAGGATGTTGCTTTTTCTGTTGCTCCAACATACCATAATACACTTGCTGAGTGACGCTTCTCTCAACCGCGCAGAGGTCGCTGATTCCTTGTTGGAGCTGGAGCAGTTGGGTCAGAGTAATCAGAAATTGACGTGATCGGGCATCATAGACCATGATATGTCTTCTTTTGCTTTGTGCAGCCTCTTTCTTCATAGCGTCTGGCGTGATGTGAAGGGCAAGTGCCAGCATGTCCATCAAGATTTCGATTCGAATGTCACGTTTTTCGGTAGACACTTGTCGGAGAGCTTGGTTGAGCGAGATATAATGAGCTTCAAGTTCGGGTTGCGTTAGTTTAAGGTAGTTAAGTATGGTTGCCCACCACTCGCGAGACCATAGTTCGCCTGAGAATGGTGCAGTTTGTGTAAGCGCTTGGGCTGATATACGAGCAATAGATAGACGCTGTTCTTTCGTCCAAGTGGGTAGAGCTAACTGTACTATGGATTCTGCTTCTTTAATATCCTTATTTGTCATTGTAATTTATATCTTGACAGAAAGGTAGGTCAACAAAGTAAAGGAAAGTTCACAAAAAAGAAACAGGATAAAGATTAGGTTTTACACTAAACATATTTTTGTTGGCAATTCAAAAAAAAAAAAGTTTCTGTTTAAATTAGTCTGTGCAACTGCCCTTTTCATGCAAGGAAAAAAAAAAAAAAGTCACTGGGAGCTCCATCGCACACATAAATCGATAGACAAGATGGATAGGTTTTTTGATACTAAGTGTACATCTACAGAAACTGGATTAAGGTCAAGTACATCTACTTGAACAAAGAAAAAGCATTATGATGGCCATTTGTACCGTGCAGTGGGGTTTTTTAGCCACTAGTGATCTAAGCCCGTTAACAGGTTACTTTACGATGTAAGAATAGCAAAGCTATCATAAAGCTTTTGATAAAAGATTGTTTGTAAAATACAGTTTAACTAGTCAAAGAAACACCAGTTTTATTAAGTGTAGAATAAGATTAAAAGAAATAACAATTTGAGGCAGAGAAAAATTTAAAAAGCAAACAACAGGATATCGAATGCCTGCTGTTGATGAGATGTAAAGCAATAGGGATATTACTGTTTCAAGGGGATTTTACCTTCCAAACCCAAAAAGATTTGATATAGAATTTGAATCTCACTATCCAGAGGACCAGGTATACAATATCTCAAGCAATCATTACCACCAATGTGACCATCTGGTCTGAGATCTTCCAAAGCTGCTAGATCTACAAATAAACCACCGGCTGCTTCGACGATAGCACGAGCAATTTGATTTCGACGTTTGAGCTCACTCCAACCAAAAGGTAATCGTTTCAGTTCTTTATCAGAGAGAGGTTTTTTGAGGGGACCTGTAGCATCGTCGCAATAAGGATGGCCAATACTGGTTGAACGGTAAATGACAAGTGTTTTAGGGTATTGTTTACGAATGGTTTGAATGGCATCAACAAGGCCATCAATAAAGGCTTCATCACTCTCGTGCACAAGGCCACGGCTGAGAATAACAATAGGGTAAGTTCTTAGAATAGTGGTTTGAGTAAAAGGCCATTCAATAACGTCGGCTTTTGGATGACCATGATTTTGATACATCTTTTGGCGAACGGATAAAAGATCGTTACGTAAGTAACGCATATTGACTTTGGGCTCTGCTTCACAAAGTGTGTGATCTATAGTTGAAAATGTTTACTTGACAGTTAAAATGTCTGCCTTACCCAAAGCTGTTTCTCAATTCAGTTCGGTTTTTTAAAGACAACTACTTTACCTTTACAATTCAATTCACCGAAACAAACTGTGGGACCATTACGCATACTATCCAAAAGCACCTCATGCATTTGATAATGTACCAAATCACCTACCAGCAATATATGTCTTCCGCGCAAAACATCACATAATCGTTCGCGTTGAAATGGCATTTGAACATCACACTTGGATTTCCACACCCACTTGACAGCATCACGATATTCTCCTTCTTGACCGCCTTCTTTTCTGAATCTCTTATCGCATTTGCCGTAAATAGCATCTTGGAAGTGAGGCATAATAAAGTGGCTATCTGAGCGTACCCATTCACCAGTAGTCCAACAATCGACCAAATCACGAAAAGCTTGTGTTGAATTCTGATCTTTAAAAACGGATCCCAAAATACCTTCAAATTTCATTTTCTTTTTGTTGTTCACTCTAAATACTTCTAAAGCTCTGTCGATCATTTTCTTGGTGAGCTCATCACGTTTCTTTTCGGAAAGCTTAGTGGTAGTATGTTGAGGATTTTGCAAAGCGTCTAAAGCTGGGTGAGGTGTTTTGTACCAAGGAAAATCGAAACGTAGTTCTTGATAATTGCTGTCTAGAGTGACATCGTTGGCTATGATGGGAGGTGGTGTTTTCGTCTGTTGTTGTGTTGGTGATGATGCTTGATTAGATGATAATGTTGTGAACTTTGTAAATAGATGAAGTATTAAGAATAAAATCAAAAAATAGATCAAGAAACGGAGCCAGCCCATCCTTCGCCATCGAGATGATTCCATGAATTGTGGCATTTTATATCAAAGTCTATAGTGTCTGTATCTGAAAGTAACGGCTGGGCTTCCTTCTATCACTTGTATGAAAGCAAATTACTGATGTAGTTGAACAAACACGAATGTATGTATAGACTTTTGTAGTCCGGAATAGAAGATAAAGGAGGAAAGAAAAAAGCGCAGAAAAGCAAGATAGATCACTAGAGCAGAACAGAAACAATATCCAAACAAAAAAAGTTAAAAAGAACCCAACCCTTTCCGTTTTGGGTTAAGTTGGCAGATCTTCTTTTCAGTTGAGTTTCAAAAATCGATTTTGTTGGCACTGTTCCCCTTACCCCATCATTATAGCAGAAACGCTTGCACACAATGGCTAATTAACTAGCAACAAGTAAAGATTGAGTGATACGTCTTCAATAAGGTTTTGAAAGAAAGTAGGCCTTTTTTTTGTTTAAAGTTTTTGTCACTAAATGAAATAATTTGTTTGATCTTATTCTCGTTTGGTAGCATTAAGCCCTTTGTGACAAAGGCTTGTTCCACTAAATGCGCAAGATTGCCAATTAAAGCCTTCAAATTGGTTGTGGAACATTATTGCTTCTTCCAATGTAATTGTTAAGTAAAAGGACAATAGAGGAAGTGGGATCTCACTCGTGCCAAAGCTCACTTACATTATGTCTTTCCACAATGTCAAATTGGAGTCAAGCACAACGTAGTGCTCGAATTGCCCTCTTCCTAGCATAAATACCTGCGTTTAGAACAAAATGTACCTACTGCTGCCACCCTATTATACACTGCCGCTGACTTAGCTGGTTGTATGAAAAGATAATCAGACTAATGTAAGCCTGCGCCTGGCTGTTTAACAGCCATCCAAGAAGCTCGCAATTCCTCTCTCATAGAATTCATAAAAATATACTACCCGTATCTCTTCTATGCCCAACAGATGGCTTCTATTTCCTCACAGGGCATTAACGCAGGTGATGAAAATTGTCACTCAGTGTCAATCATCATTCTGATGTAGCCCTAATTAACGACGTGACCTTATTTATGAGATTTGTAACAGCTAGGAATATCAAAATGAACGAATAAAGAAACGTTGACGATATGAATGCTACAGTTAATAATAGATTGTAAGAAGAAAAAAGTATGCACCTCAATGCCACCGACTAAAGTACATACTGTCGGCGCAATAGCTCCATACTTAAGGCAAATTCCCAATATTATTGCTGTTCAATAGCTTCATTTTTGCTATAGAATTAGATCAAATACAAAAATAGCTTCAGTAATTGAATACTAAATTCATAGGAATACCAAATGGCAGCCTAGAGTATCAACCATCTCTTTATGATAAAGCCTTCCAGACAGATCAAGTATATCTTATCATTAAACGGTTATAAGAGAACATCAGAAAATGCTATTAATAGAGATTTTCCTTCTTTATGTCCTTTACTTACGGAGCATTGACAAGAATGCACTTTGCTCATGTTCAAACCAAATTCCATAATAATCTTATGGTATCATTATTTACGTGCTGTCTGGTTTGAAAAGCGTATATATGTTTCCTGTTCCTCCTCTATTGCTCTCAAATCTCTCACGTCGAAACTTGTCAGCATCTTTCCAAGTAGTTTCTCTTTGATGCACACAGTAAATTATCAGTATTTATTTACACGTGGTTCTTCACCTATAAGTATATCATTGGCTACAACGGTGTCTTCCATTGTAATTCGTCGTCAAGAAAGGCAGTAGGGCCGTTCATAATATACGTAAATTCTCTTCGTTAATAGAATTTAAATAAGTAAAACCAATATAAATGCTCGTTAGAGGGCAATAGATTAATTTGTGCATTACACATGACTCATTTATGCTGTAAAACAAGGAGACGGTAAACTTGCGATATGTATTGTTCGCTCCTCTATGTAGTTTAATGGACAAATACACTAATTGACAAACCATTGGTTTCGCATCATCGGTAGATAGTGAACATTCCATTGTTAAGAGAAACCCATATTCGCATCGAAGCCAATCGAGTTATAAAACAGCCACTACGAATAGCGAAGAAAGAGAGGCAGTGCCGGGCTGCTTACTAGAAACATTCGATAACAGGAAACGGTTATTTGAAGTCGAAAAGTTTACACATTTGACTCGCATTTCGAGCAGAACGGAAGAAAAAAGCTGGTTGCTATCTACAATGCTTAACATTTGCCTTTGTCTTATAAGAAGCCTTTGCGAACTGCTTTGATAACTTTTTATGAAAAGTAATATAGTTGGCTGGCGTAATGAAAATTGAAGTCTACAAGCCTTTCATTATAGGATAAGGATGAGCCAGTATGTCAAAACAAGTATTTTCTTGGCTCATTTTTTTCATTTTCTAAGAAGGACTTGCCACTTTTTACTTGTCTTTTACAACGCATTGCTCAAGAATAACCTGTCTTTTTATTTGAAATTTTTTGTCTTTGTCTAAATTCTTTGTAATGAAGAGAAACGTTCAATGGAAAAAAAAAATGATAGAAAAACAGCGTTAGCAGATATCAGTTTTGATGAGTAATGCATATGTTGCTGAAGTGTACAATTTACTGCTGGACTTTCTAATAGTTATGTGGAATTAGTGTAAAATAGAATGTAGTTTTGAGCAAAATAAACTGTAGTCAAACGGAGTGAATAACTCATTCTGAGAGAATGAATGAAGAGCGCATCTGCAAAGTGTAGCAATGAGTAGAGAAGTCCAGGCAACAGTGTGGAATAAAAGCGTTGTATTCGATGTGTACTTGTCAGTTTTGTTTACATTTGCAACTAAGTAAAAGTAAAGATGAGAAGCTAAGATGTATCTCATAATGGTTGCTGTTGCCTAGCGGCAATCAATACAGGATGTTTGGCAATGCAATGGAAGTAATATCTCCTCTTCTGACTTCACAGTGTAGCGAACACTAGTCTATTGTCGCTTTTATTTTTCCTAGGCCAGGAATAACGATACACAATAAAGGATACTAAACGTATTTGTATAACCATTCTACTTGCTTGTAGACTGTAATGTGCGCCTTGTATTGCCGTTAATAATCAGTGTAGGATAATAATAAGAATCTCTTTGCACAAATTACTCTTTTTTTTGACCAGATAGCCATAGTATAGTATAGTTTCCTTATTCTTATCCTAAAGGAACTATATATTTCTTATATTGTTGACAAAATATAATTATTCTGCATATAAGAATCAGTTATCTCCTCCATTGACATATGAGACATTGTGTTTAAACAGTGAATTTGGTTCCACAAAGCCTTGGGATTGGAAGAAAGCTACACAGAGATAACTGCAGCATTTTTGAAAAATGCTCGTTGTTTCAAAAACTTAATTCTTGTTCCTGTTTCCCCTTTTCTCTTTCAATTTACACTTTGCGCACACACAATGACAGCAGAAGCCAACGTAATTAGCAATTGGTTTCGAACAAAAGATGGCCATGAGCTCTACACAAAAACTTGGAAATCAACGAATCAGCCACCCACTGCAATGTTAATGTAAAAACAAAAAGAGGTTGTTATTGAAAGAGTCGAGAAATTAAGCCTGTTCTTGCACATATACTTAGTTTGGTGCATGGTTTTGGCGAACATGTCGGAAGGTACGATAGAATGTTTACATATTTTGCTCAACAAGGCATCGAATCCACTGGTTTCGATCAACGTGGTTGGGGCGAAACAGCAAAAAAGACCTCTCTTTTCGGCAATAATGGAGGGTACGAAACTGCGTTGAAGGATATTGATGAAACCATCAAAAGCATTAAAAGAGAAGAAATTCCACTTTTCTTAATGGGACACAGTATGGTAAGTGGATGATTTGTTTCTTGTTTAGAATTTATCGTTCTACGCAGTCAGCTTAACCTAAGACTCATCCATATGATAACTTTTAGGGCGGTGGTCTCATTTTAAACTATCTAGCCAGAGGGGACACCTTTGAAGGTGTAAAACTACTTCGAGGAGCTATTGCATCTGCGCCCTTAGTTACATTATCAATGCCAGTACCTGCTATAAAATACTATCCACTTCAATTTCTCGCCAAATTTCTACCTAGTATTACTATAAAAGCAGGTGTGGATCCTGCTGGAATTTCACATGACGAAGAGGAGATACAAAAATATAAAGATGACCCGTTGGTTCACGATTATGCAACTTTAGCCACATGTAAGTAATAGAAATGAAGTTAATTTTTGTGTAGCAAGACATTTAACGTATCATACTCCCCTTTACCATGACAGTGAAAGGATTCCTTGATGCAGGAACGGATCTTTTGAAAAAATCATTACCAAAATCAATTAAAACGCCTATATTATACTCTCATGGTGATGCGGACCCTATCAACTCTTTTAACGGATGCTCAGATGCTTTCGAAATGACTAGCAGTGAAGACAAGGAATTGAAGAACTGGAAAGGATTATACCATGAATGTAATGTATACGGATTCCTTTAACTTTTTACCAAAACAAAGCAGATATTAAACGCTCTGTATGCTTTATGAACATATAGTGCACAATGAGAAAATGCCAGAAAGGCAGCAGGTCACTGATTATTATGTTGAATGGATGAAGAAACGCTGTTAGCCAGAAGTCCCAAGAATAGTTGTTGTCATGCCTCTGGATTAAGAAAATGATGAACTACCCTACTTTACCTGTTACTGAAATTGCATAGCCCAAATACTTGTCTAACGATACCTTTTCCCTATATTTCCTATTCCTCACTTATGCTAATAAAAAGCCTCTAAAGATAGTTTGTTCTCTTGCTATAGCTTTAACCGTTCAATCAAATGGTAGTATAGGGGTAGTAGCATTATATCAAACGGATTTGATGAGGCAATCAACATCCAAAGGGTTAAAAGGCAACACATAATAATTAACATATAAATTTACTAATGCTTGTTGTAAAAAATCACTAGTGTCATTGACTATTGTATATAAAATATGTCCTATAGTATGCGGCAACAATTTTGTAACCTTTTGAATTTCAAATCTCAACAGCCTAGCATGCATTTTTGTCTGTCTTCCTGTATGATTAGGGTGATGCTTTTGGGAATAGCATTTTATCTTCTTTTATAGCAGATTTGAAAAGGTCAAACAACGTTTTTGCGGTAAGGGGACGTGGATTCAGTGCCTGATTTATAGATGTTTTATGCAGCTCACTTGCAAGCAATACATTTTTTGTCAAGAATATGTGTCGTATTCTGAAGAATAGATCAAGTGGTCATCAAGAAAAGTCAATCTCCTATTCAGGAGCAAGAACAAATATTATTGTGCCATTGGAACCGAAGTTTGCTGTTGCTTATTTTGACGGATTTGATTTGACAGGTTGGGCCGTTTATGAGTGTTTGGGAAGTCATGTTGCAACTGTTGGGTTAAGCGTATATCGATGGGCGACCTCGGACTGAAGATGCTTTTTTAACAATTTGCTTTATTATACCCAAGAGAAGTATTTCGGTGGTCTTTTTAAAACCACATTTGCAATTGTCCTAAAGTCACTAGTCTTCACCAAAGTGCAGTACTATAATATAAGCGTCAAAAAGAAAAGAAAACGCCTGTTGTTAAAGTTGAATTAAACGATTCTTCAACTTTGTAACCCAGTTAAGTATTTTTGTGGTTCACAGTTGCCAGCATTTCCATTGAAACAGCCATGACTGAATCGTACTGTACCAACGATGAGAACGAGATTACGATCAAAATTGCAGGTTATGATCCAGAATTTGGCAGCTGGATACTGAAAAGCATGTTTCCTACTCCAAAAGAACTATTACCATTGATCGGTGAGAGAATAGTTTTCACCACACCCAGCAACAGGCCTCTTTTGACCAAGGAAAATGACAACGCCAAAGACGCTGATAGTCTGACGAAGCTTTACTGTAGCGTTGGCCAGGACTTAGACGTTACTGTTATTGAGAATATTTATGACGAAACATTCGTCTTAGACGACGACGAGGTGGAAGCAAACAGCTGCAATCAAGGGAAATACACAGCAGAGCGAGACGAAAAAATAGGAGATAATGCGACTGTCGCTGTACATCAAAGTAGCGGTTCTTTAGATATTGTTGACAGTCTACCATCAGAAGCAAAACTTAATAACAGGCCTGGAAAACAAGATGAGGATACAAATGATAATAGCAATAGCCAGAAAAAGAAAAAAAGAAGATCATCTACCGATTGGGATTCATTGACCACTCCTCTAAACCCTGCTACCACGGTTGGACGACGTAAAAGAAGGGTGCTGCCTGCTGTATTTTCAATGGCTACAAAGAGCCGTCAAATGTCTGTGCAAAGCGCAGAGGGATTATACCAAGGTTTAAACGATGAGCAAAAGAGAATCCATGATTGGATTGTGGCCGAAAAGGAAAATGCATTGATCACTGGCTCTGCAGGAACTGGTAAATCAGTTTTACTGAAGGGTATAGTAGCTTTGACACGAATGTTATATTGATCGTTTTGCATTGAAGTGAAGTGATCAATTTACCTTTTTTACTATGCCTTTTAGCGATTATAAGTACAGTTAGAAGTAAATACGCAGATAATGAAGTTGCAGTTACAGCATCAACAGGCATCGCAGCATTAAATATTGACGGTGTTACAGTGCACAGGTAAACCTGTTTTGTAAGGTTATTGTCGAACTTTTCTCAGCACTTAGCACTCTTGCAGTTTCGCTTCTGTAGGCCTTGCTCAAGAAGATGTTAATTACTACGTCAATAAAATCAAAAAGACAAGCTCTGCAAGAACACGATGGTTGCGAGTCAAGGTTTTAATTATCGATGAAATATCCATGATAAGTGGTAGACTTTTAGATCTGTTGGATCAAATTGCGAGGAAGGTACGACTATCCAATGCTCCGTTTGGTGGTATACAGGTAAGCAGAATGAAAGTATAGAATTTATATTATCTGCATTGATTAACCCAACCAAAATTCTACGCTATTTAGGTTGTCTTCTGTGGAGATTTTTATCAGCTGCCTCCTGTTGCAGATCACACAAAGCCAAACGATGATTTTGCATTTAAAGCTCGATGTTGGAAAGATTTGAACATGAAAGTGATGCTCCTAAAATCGTTCTTTCGTCAAAAGGATTTTAGTAAGTTTTTAGTAAGTTTTGGTAATATACCATTCAACAGCTATGATAATAAAATATGTTTACTATCACATTAGAATTTGTCAGAATATTAGAGGCTATAAGACATGGAGAATTATCAAATGAAATAGCGCAAGAAATACAGACGTTAAGCCGTCCTCCAACAGTCAAAATCGATATCAGCCCTACCGAACTGTAAATATATAAATCGTTTACTGGTACATTTTAGCAATCTTCTGTGCTGATAATTGTAAGCAAAATAGATATCCAAGAAAGAAGGAAGTGGAAGCTGCCAATAACAAAAAACTACAAGAATTACCTGGTGAAGTGCATTTATTTAGGGCGCAAGATACAGGCTCCTATACTGTATTGGATAATTGTATCGCAACTTTTTTATTAACTTTAAAGGAGGGGGCGCAAGTAATGCTTATCAAAAATCTCAGCAAAACATTGGTCAATGGTTCCATTGGAATTGTTATTGGCTTTGAAACGAGTAACACCGGTGAGAACCTCCCAAAGGTTAAGTTCAATAACGGGGAAGAGCGAGTGATTCATAGAGAACTATGGCAATTTAATCAGGGGGGTAAGTTTATATTTTTCCAAATGCACAATTTTCAATAAGAGGATTGACATTGAAATTGTGAGTAGATACAAAACATACCAGGGCACAGATACCGTTGCTCTTATCTTGGGCCATGTCCATACATAAATCGCAAGGACAGACAATTGAATATGTGAAAGTAGATCTAGCCAAAGCATTTGCAAATGGGCAAGTATACGTAGCATTATCCCGTGCAAGATGCATGGAAAACCTTCAGGTTAAAAATTTCAAAATAGATAGCGTTAAAACGAACAAAGCAGTGAAGGACTTTTATGCACAGATTCAAGCGATGAACTTGCAGTGAATAATTTGTTTCAAATAAACGGATCTTGCATATACTGTATCGACTTCCATACTGTACTCTCGACTGACTAAGTCGAATTTTCAAGTAAAATATCATTCTATGTCAGTTTTCATGAAGTTTACTATCCTTCCGTTGTTGCTAAAGGTGCCAAAAAAGGTCGTGTCTCTTTATGGAAAAGAATTTATAATATGTCTTAATCCTTTTGTCTTTGGCGTGAGTCCTTGAAATTATATCCTTCGGCACTCGTGAATGTTCCGTTCTGGTTCACTCGCACAGCGATAATAGTTTACTTCGCTTCCTTTTACGATAATCTTTATCTTTTAGGGTGTGCGTTTTTACTTTTGCCTTTGCATGAATTCCAGCTCCAGCGGTCACGAGACGATTTTCGTTTTCTGTGATGTATTGCCTTTTTGCTCCTTTCCTCAGATAATGGATTGATTGGGAAAACACAGGATCGAAAACCCTGAATGAGTAACACCAATAATAGCATTAATAAAAAACCAGAAGCTTTACATTCAAAAACGGTCAACCCTGCTAATCTACTTGAATTACAAGTTCTAACAAAAATCGTCACCGATCTTCAAAAACGTAAACAGAAGGATGGCATTCGTGGCTCAATACCCTACTTGGCAAAAATCGTGCAGATCGTTGAAAATCAAACATTAGAAAAACCATCATTATCAGCCAGTCAACAAGAAAAAGACAAGTATTATAAGCGGTTAAATGAATTAAGAAAAGTACAAGCAGACGCTTATGCTCAATTAGCCGATGCTTATTTCCGCACTCAAAATTTTATATTATGCGAAAGTAACTTGTCCATCGCCGTCAAACATTGGGAAAAATTACTAGAGCATGACGCAAGCTCGGTCAAATACTGTCAGACACGACTGAAGGATGCTTACGAGCAATTAGCGGAAGCCTACGAACAAATGGGGAAAGAGAATCTAGCGCAACACATGAAGACACGAAAAGCAAAATTGCTGAAAGAGATTGCCGAACAATCTTAAATTCATATTATACCAAAAGTTTTGATGAGCATATCAGTAACAGTTAAAGCATATCAACATACTATCATCCCATTGTATTCAATAAATATATTCGAACCTTATTTTACAGTATATCGAGAACAGTATTACTTCTAAGTTCTGACGGTTTTTATAAGATGAAATGCATTATGTGATTACAGAAGATAAGTAGTATGAAATATAATAAATTGTTATTTTTTTTTTTTTTTAATCTAGCTTGTTTTCTTTAGATTTCCTCTTCCTCTTCTTCTTCCTCTACAATAATTTTTGAAGTCATGGGTGTACTCCTCGATTCTTGCATACCATAAACGCTGAGCCTTGATCTAGGCGTAAATTCAAACCGTGAGGATCGAGGGCTGAAGAGAGAAGTAGTAGGTGAGGACAACGAGCTAGAAGGAGCACCAGGTAACATTGCTTTTTCCTATATGATTTTTAAAGAAGACATTGTTTAGGGAAGTGCTCGTTCTTTCTCATATTATTGAAAGAATGAAACTTACAGAAAGTGTAAGTGGTTTGATAAGTTTTCTGTTACTGGTGCTCGTTTTCTTCATTTCAAGCACTTCTGTTAATCGAGAATGATTATTAGAAGTTTGCTTCTTCTCTTCTCCTTTTGGAAGAACAATGCTTTCAAGTTCACTTTCAACATCGTTATCTGTGTTCTTTACAAACGGCTCAGCAGCTGTTGTAGAGTTCATCGGAAGGCTGTTGGGTACAGATGTGGTATTATCAGTCATAGTAGTAGTTGTTGTAATTATAGATGTGAAAGGTTCTTCTTTCAAACGTTGTTCTTCCTGTGACAGCATCGAAACAGACTCGTTTATCTGTAATGGCGCCGCGTTACTTTCATTGCCAAAAGTGAATGACGTTGATGAGTCTAGTGTGCAATCAAATTGCTCTGACTGCTGCGTGTGTACAGGTAGCGAATTTCTGTCATTAGCGGCCTCTTCAACATCATCATCGATAGAATCACTGCTAGTACTGTCACTGTTACTACTATAGCTACTAACGCTATCATAAATCGGATCCCTTCGTTCACAGAAATTGTTTGCATCATGGCACAAAATACTGGAGGACGGATAGCGTTTTGCTGTCAGCATATCAATCTCTTGAAGCTCAGCAGTATCTGTCAAAATTGAAAAATTGGCGTCTTTTGTAGATGGTGACATGAATGCTGTAGTAGGTCGAGGCATTAGCAACATATTATCAACAGACGCGATATCTGAAATATATTGCTGATATGTTATATTATTGCTATAATTAGTAGTAATTCTTCCTGTGGCAGAGGAAGTCCTCTTGCTGCTATTTGAAGCGGTCGATAGCCGTCGACTAAAACGCTTGCTTGTAGTTGGTGCAGATACACCCACACTAATAAACGCCATTTTATCTATTTCACCTGTGGGTGGTGTGGATAATTGTAAAGCACGTCTTCTATATTTTTGTTGTTGTTGAGATGATAGTGAGCCACCATTTCTATAAATAGGCGAAGATATAATCCTGGAAGCATCGTTGCTTTGCACAGTGGTGTCGAAGTTACGATAACTGGAGGGTGAAGCAATAGGTGAGGAAACAGTAGAGCAATTGGTAGAGGAGCAATGTCGTTGCTGCTGTTGACCAACTGTGTTAGTATTATAAGCTAGAGTCGGAGAACCAAACCATGATTTGACAGATGAAAGCCATGATGGTTTTCCGTAGGTCGTAGATGATGGAGAATGAAGGGAGTGTTTTGGAAGAACAGGAGATCCAAAACCAACCGTTTCTATTTTTTGCTGACTTGCTGAGGTAGGTGGCCGAGGGTAGGACTTTAAGTATGATGTTGCTGTCTCTCGCGGCTTTTTGAGCGAACCATCATCGTTGCAATTCACAACCCCTATCTCGTTGTCTTCAATACTACTTGTCTGAATACCGCGGTCAATTCCGGTTTTGTTGGTTGGCGTGGTAGTAGTAAAATCAAACGGCCTGAAACAGGGATGTGTTGCCGAGGATTGTTTTTTTGCTGCTTCGCCAAAAGAGGCCAGAGAGAGCAACATATTTTGATTTCGAGACTGAATGGCGGAGACAAATGCATCAGGAACAGACTGTGATCCTTGTCCAGAGGTGATAGATGGATTTTTTGACATATTTTCTAGTAGAATGTGCCATAAGGTGCTTGAAGTATCGCACTGTCCAGATTGCATCTTAATAAGGGCATCTTTATCAAAACCTGCTGCTGTCAAAGCAGCAAATAAGCGTTGCTCTACAGGAGTCATAGCAGGCAGCTCATGCTGATGCGAAGTAATGGTATCGTAATGAAGATATTTAGACGTTTTGTGAAATGAGGATGGTAGAGAAGTTCTATAAGGAGGTTGTTGTGAATGGTGGTTATGCAAAATTGTATAGGAATATAGGGTTGATTGTTGATGAGGGGATGATAGACTTGTAGGTGCTGAGAATCGTGGAGATTTTTGTTGCTGTTGTTGCTGCTGTTGTAGTGATTGGGAGGGCCTTAACGTTATGCCTAAGCTAGATCGTACATGTGGCGAAAATTTGATTATCGTATCAGGTAGTGCAGAGTCATTTGCTATAGGCTTATTGATAGGGTCAGAAGTGGGCGTGTCTAGACTGCGGTTTTTTTCTGTAAGAATGGTATTCATCTCAGCTGCAACTACGAGATCGGCAGTGGTCGTTGAAGTTGATGGAGTTACGCATGTTTCCTCTTCTTCAAGTGATGACTCGTCACTGTGAGCTTCTGTTTCCTCCTGTGGTTCTTCGTCATCATCTACTATTGTTGACGCCGTTGTCCAAGGATGATTTAAAATGGCATCTATTGTCAGTCTATTTGATGGCACGAGTTGGAGCATATTCGTTATAAGGTCGCTCAAGTCTGCGGAGAAATAGAAGGGTATCACATAATCCACTGCCACGATCTTTCGTTGAGTGACTACGTCAGAATCATCGTCAAAAGGATATTCTCCAGCAAGCAGTGTGTATAAGATAACTCCTAGTGACCAAACATCACACTCTATAATCAAATTACGATTATTAACGCTGGTGGTTGACCGATTTAATAGTTTCTCAAATCATGGCATTACCTGGCCCTCTATATTTTTTGCATAATATCACCTCTATTATTTTTGGTTAGAAACATTTAATTTTCAACCAAGCTTCAGCAGAATCATTCGAAAATTGTTGGCTTCTTACCAGGAGCTGAATAACTAAGACTACCACAAAATGTTTCTAAAAATTGGTTTTTCTGCGCAAAACGTGCAAAACCAAAATCGCATATCTTGGCATTATCATTTGAATCCAATAAGATATTCTCTAGTTTAAGATCTCTGTAAAAAAAAGTAAAGTTCAGAAATGGGAATTAATGAATATATTAGGAGTCATATTAGCAGGGAGACTCGTGAAGAGGGCTTTTAATTCCTACCTATGCACTATGCCACGCGTATGACAATATTTGATGGCATCTGCCAACTGTTGACACCATCTGCGCACTTTGGGTTCGGAGCAGCGGCCGGTAGGTTCTTTCGTCAGAGCATCTAACAAATCTCCATTAGAACAATACTCTGATATGATATGTATAGCCGATTCTGTTGTAATCATTTCGTATAACATAACAATATTAGGATGCTTTAATTGTCGATGGTGATGAATCTCTCTAGCCATCATAGCCGCATGCTGTTTACTGATTTTCTTGATTGCAACTACTTTTCCTGTTAATTTATGGAAGCCCTTTTTAACCTTCCCGTAGGTTCCCTGATCATACAATAAAAATTAAGGATCGTTTGTAAGAGACATTTAGCTATAAACTTACCCAAGTCCAAAAAAAAAAGAACCGTTACCTGGCCAATAGTTTCTCCTATTGTATAGCAACCAACGGACGTTATTTCATGCGACGATAGCTCCTTAAGTAATTCGGTATAATCTATTGCTAGCTAAAGAAGCATGAGAAAATTCAATTTAGCATTGGCTTTCCATTTTGATACACCTGTATTTTTTTGATCTACTTCTAAGACGGATATTTTACTTTAGCTTGTTGATTGTGTGTAACAGAATTTCTGGGCGAGCTCAACATTCAAGTAAACGGTTTTATATAGAAGATATAAGGATAGTAAAATAGAGGAGTTATTTGTATATGTAGGATATGAAATACAGATATATCTGAAAAAGGAATGGAAGAGGTCTACAGATCAACGAGAGGTATTATTGATCGTTATTAACAGATTAAAGAAAAATCTAATATGCAATATGAAGTATGAGATTTAAGATGGCTGTTGGTTGGTATAAAGACTGTAAAGATGTTAAAAGTTGTTGTATCCAGATCTAAAGTCGTAGCATGAAGGAAGGTAAGCTGATCAAGGGAATCTAATCCAACTTTGTTAATGGTTCTAAAATACAAATTGTTAAAAGAAAAGAAAAAGAAATAAAGCAGTAATAGACGTGCTTTTTTTGCCATAAAAAAAGGGGTTAGAAAGTTATGGGGATTTTCGTCGACTAACGGTGATTGTTAAAGAGTCCAATCGAGTAATACCTAAAAATTAAAGTTGTACAAAGACTTTTGCACAACGTATGTCGCTGAAGAACGCCATTACGATTCATATCGGCTCTTGAGTATAATAAATCGTTGTTAGCAGTCTTTTTTTGTTCATGTGTTGCACATTGAGCACCCTTATTTGATTGCAAAGATGTGCTTTGAGAAGGCATTAAAATGATGAAGTTGCTTTAATTGTGAATTAATGCACGCTAAAAATAGCAGTGCTATTACGATTACCATAATGAAGCAGCCTGCGTAAACAATCTATTTCTATTATTCTCAAGCCGTAGTAAGAGAGTCAAAAAATAAAGCTTTTACTGTACCTTCATGTCTGCATATATAACCTTATAAACAGTTTTTTGTAAGTATATAAAATTCATTTTCTCAAATCAGTTATTAGTTATTTGCGGCATTGGATTTATAGGTAAATGAAATGCAAATCCAGCTTTACGCCAGAGAAACAAAATACAACAATGAAGAGCAAAGTATACATGTATTTATATATGTATGCATATAGAGTTAAGCGGAAACAAAAAGAAGACATGCAAGAACGAAGTAAATGACAATATAAGTCCCAATAAACGAACTTTGAGACACAGATTGATCGAAATATACATTACAAGTTTACCTATTAGTAGCCATCGACTATTGTCGTTAAAACAGTGTATCAAAGAAGATAACTGAGAGAACTAAGAGAGAAAAAGCTGCTGGCTCGCAATGAATAATGTAGTGATATATTTTGCAAAAGAGGTTCATTAACTAGTGAGTCTATAGAGTGTATCAATAAGTATAATATTTAACAATAGTACAACGATCTTTGAACGACCATTGGCGAAAGCACTGAAGAGGAAGGAAAAGAAGAAGAAGAAGATATGAAGAGGAGGAGGAGGAGGAAAAGAGCTGAATACTTTTAATTGCAAACCTTTCGACGCGTCCTTGAAATATTCTTCATCATACCATTTAATCTGACTTTTGGTGTTCTACATATCGACAAGACTAAACTTATAAAGAGCAGCATTCGAATTTTGATAAAAGCGAGTGTAATATTTCTCTAATCCCATGCTGCATATAGTACAATCTGGGGAATTAGAAATGATGACAACCTAATTTTTTTTAAAAATTAAGTATATATGTGAGTGGAAGAAGATAGGTACCAATGACCTCAAGAAGCTTATGTTGAGCAAAAACTGGTGTTCTCGTGCATGCATTGAATACCGAGAGGTTAACGACAAAAGATCCTGACTGAATAAATTTTGTGTAAACAGTAGGAATTGTGTTCGAAAGAAGGTTGAAAATTTGCCTCATTTGCAAAGAAGTAATAGCAGAAGTATACAAAATCCAGAAGTTAAAACTCATATCTATTGATATAGAGGATTAACGTTGAGAGTAAAGATATGAAAAATACATTATTATTATACGCTATTGGCATTTTATCTATAGTTTCGAATCGAGCCCTTTAGACTGATTGTTCAAATAGGCTACTTTTCCTTTCTGCAACTGAGCCTATACTTCAGCTGTTTCTGAAGTCACTACCCCTAATTTTCATATAATGTTCTTTTTTAAAGCAGTCAAAGTCGGATAGCGTTCTACAAGACAATTGATTTTGATATATAAGGAATGTTCTAGCTTTTACTTCTTGAAACCAATGGCAGCTCAACGCACAACTACTTTATTGCATTACTTCTCGCACTCATAGAACTCCGGGGGGGGGCGTTCAGTAGGTAAATGCCTTGAAGCATTTCACACACTGAAGTGGAAGTGCTGACGTAATGCCTTCAAAAAAGTCAATGATTTAGATTTTGATGGAGTCTCAGAGTCCTTACATTGATATTTACAATCTTGGAAAGATTGAAAGGGTATGAGGAAGACTCTGCTCCTATTTTTGTTTTATCTGATAATAAATAAATGCATCAATTTGGTATATGTTTAAATGCTAAACTTCAATACCAGACTGATTTGTTTTTTCTGCGAATACTAGCAAGTTACAGCTTGTATAGCTGACAATATAAAAGGAATATATAACACCAGAAAACCTCAATCACAATAGTTGACATACGTGTTCAACTCAAATTCTTCAGTGCACTTGTCCGTTGTAGATTCACTTCAGCAGTGAACGTTGCATAGTAACGAAGCAATCTCTTCGCATAAACTCTGTATGCTCTACTAACCAAACCATATTAAATGATCAATGTATCAAAGGAGATAATTCTCAAGGCCGATAATGGAAAGCTATAAGTTAATAGTATACTGTAACGAATGCCGAACTTCTTCGATGCGGCTTAAAGCAGCATATCATCGATATAAAGAGCATACTAATGCAATCGAAAAGAATATTGTTACATATTCCTGCTGACTCAGAGCGTACATTATCAAGAGGAGCCTTGCCAAAAAAAAAAGGTTAACTTGATAGCCATTATCCCTGAAAAAAACTAAAAATTCATTTGACAAAGAGAATATGTAGTGACATTAAATAGAATAATTAAAATCTGTATAAAACAAAAATCAAACAAATTGGACTAGGTTGACAAAAGTCAAAAATATAGCTGGAATGTCGATCTGTATAACTTGAAGAAAGTAACCTACCATTGAATAACAAATGGAGAGTGTTTCTCAAGGTTGATTGTAAGGAATTTGCATCTAGTTTCATCATTAACGTAATTCTTTCATCTTAGCTTGTCCTCAAACAATATCGAGGAGCTGATCCAGAAAGTTAAAATTGGTCATAAAGCAAACAAAATGGCAGCTATAATATAAAAAACCCTTCTTCTACTTTATCTCTGGTTTTTGACCAACCTATGTCAACTATGGCTTTTGTATTGCCAGCTAGTGTCTCAAGCTCGAGCGCCTTGATTTAAGAATAATCTAATTGCGCGGACTCTTATCTAAACCCAACAAGATACTTCTATTTTACGCTTACAAAGCAGAATACAAACGTATCCTTTTTTTCATAAAAATCGTTATTGGAAGCTTTTTTGATATAATATACTTTTTTCAAGCCACTATCTACTAAAATGTTATAAGAGGAACCTTACCAATTATTACCTTTTTTAATTAAAAAACAAAACTACTTGATTGTTGACCTGCCGAAAAGAATACATCGACATGCGTAAAATAGCACTTTCGTTGGCTACATGTAAAGCGGTATAAGAATGAACCATGCATCGGAAAGACTAAACTGATGCAGACGTTTGCTTTAAACTTAGTACCATAACTTTTTTTGTTGTTGTTGTCATAAGTAATGTCCGTTTTGGTCATTGTCTAGCTGTTGCCATACTAATTGTATTCAATTTTGTGTACAAAAATGTCTAAATTTAAACCGAAATTACTGTAGCTGAACCATAGGGGCCCAGCCCCCGGTGGAGGTAGTTAGCACCTTGGCTTTCCAAGCCAATGATTGTTGGTTCGATTCCTGTACGCCGTTGATATTTTTTCAGCTTTGATCCCTTTCTCTCTGCTATCCTAGGGTTTTTTAATGCCGCTATCAAGGTGGTTCTTAGTCGGTGTTGGTGTTTAAACAAGTTGTGAATAATTGCGCTGCCCGCCCAGGCTTAATTAAGCAAGATCCCGAACCGCGCCCAAAGTCTTAGCCTACCAATTATAATGATTAGTTTAGCCCCTCCCCCCTCCCCCCCATTTAGATAGTATACTGTTTCGCCCACCACGGCACCCTGACCAACACTATGCATCGCTCTATTCTCAAAAAATAGAGCTGCCCCGGGCAATTTAGATAAGCTTTATTATCTCGTGTCCATTGGGTTTAAATATGTCAGTAACAAAAATCCTTGTTTATGCGTAGTTGAACCATAGCATCGACTTCGAAAAGGCACAAACACAATGCCTTCGCCGTATCTTTGGAGGTTCTTCCCGTTCATCCGTGCACATTATGCTGCATCTGTTAAAGCTTCCAAAGATGCGTGAAAGACTCCACATTCTCCAGGCGAAATTTCTACTGCGGTCCCAAAGCCTGCCTGATAACGCCCTGCTTTAAGTGCCTACTTCCTTATGTCACTCAAGCCACCAGCAAATCTCTTTGGTCCCAAATGTCAAAATCTAATTTAATTTGGAGAAGTCATTCACCGTTTCACAATAGGAAGGCTTTACACCAGGCCATCAAAGCATATCGTCAAGAGAACTTAGACGCCGTCCGTTCAGCGCCCAACTCAAAGTTGATAAACCAATGCCGCCCTAACATTTCTCTTGATCCCATTCTTTGGCTCCCAATGAGCTTTATTAAGCGTAGTCGCTGTCTTCGTTGGAGACTGGGCTGGCTTCCCAACAACTACTCAGCCCGTTGCCTATTCCACCCTCTATGCACACTCACTAAAGCCCACGCCATTGAATGCCTACAAATGCATAACCGCCTGCAACTTTCGACAACTGTCTTTGACCCCATTTCTCATTTGTTGAACCAATTCCCCACTCGACCCATAGAACAGCGTGCCAATGCCCAGTTCAACGGAGTATATCTTGGCCAATTGTTCAAATGCTACTCTATGAAATCGATTACCTCCAGCACAAAAAATGCCCCCTACCCAGTCAGAAACATTAGGACAGCCCTTGCTAGACTGGTTCTATGCGTCCACTACCATCATTACTTGGTTGTCCCGTTTTTACCAGTTTGCATTGTGGTCTACTGTCTTTTTTTTTTTCCCTAGTCCTCTTTTAGGGTTTTTTAATTCCATAACGTATTTTGACCTGCCCAGGGCAATTTTCTGATATATAGTTTATCTGTTTGCCCAATTGGGTTAAAAATTATTTAATAAAAAATCATGTTTAATCGTATAAAAATGCTGCTTTTAAGGCTTCAAAAATTTTGAACAACTTTTGGACCATCAGCTGAAATTAATCTTTCACTTATCAAAAAAGGAAACGACAAGAGTACTGTTTTTCAACCTGACATTATCTTATCAACGCAGCTTGGTTCTTTTCTCGTAGAAATCTATAAGGCAGTAGTAGGCTTAAATTAACGCGTCGTATTTTGCCAAGTCTATGTACCAATCTTCCATCAGGCTTATCTCATCTCTTACTATCTATTTAACATCTAACATACATTATTACTGATATGGATATTTATTTGTTCACAGAGCGCTTTCAGAATGTTACATTATGTGCTCATTTCCTTAAAATAGCAATAGTTAACCGATCGCAAATTGGTTGCCTTTCAATAAATTGAAAGCAGTGAAAGAGGCCGATTGGCTACAAGATCCATATGATCAATTTTCCAATTTAGAAAAAAACCAAGCTATCAGTCGATATAGAAGCGTTAATACCGAGTTAAGACACCCAGGAGCTGGTTCGACACTTTGTTGGTATTGTAGCTGTTGCGTGCTTCCACTTTTTCTTTATTGTCTTTTGCTAACGACTGTGTTTCTCGCTAAATAAAAGAAAATCATTACTATTCGCTGTTTAAGCCGAATAAACATCTTTTTTTTTTTTTTTTTTTTTTTGTTCTAAACCTGTTTCTTTTCGTTCACCTTCATCTTATTCTGCAACGACAGTGTGTCATTGTTCTCGTGCTCTCGAAGATGGTGTCGCTGAATGTATTTGGCCAGATTTGTATCTAAAATACAGTCTTCTGGTTTAAAAGAGCTTCGACATAAAGGACACCTCGTACGATTTTTTTCTCGCTGATAAAGTGGAATGATATCGCCGGTTCGAGTATCAATACAGCTACAATGGCAATTGATCAGTGGCATCGATAGCGTACGGTTGTTGTTATAATACATATAATGCGATAGTCTCATGGATAGGCGGTTTAGTAGTTTTTGACGGTATTGATAGCATGCACTACAAAACATGCGTTGGAGACAATCTCTGCAGAATGTATGTTGACAAGACGATAACGTGATGGGTTCACTGTACATAGAAAGACATATGGTACACTTCAGTGATTCTTGGCGGCGGCTGTTGCTGATACTGCTATCTAGTTTCAATAAGCTTTGTGTAAGAATTATTTGTACCTGTCGTTGAAAGTTGGCGCATGAATTTATTCCTTTTCTATATGCTTGTTGCCATTGTCTGTGCAATTGCTGCAGCTGTAGGTCGTTTTCAAAAAGGAGTCCAACAGGGTGATCATCGTGCGGTTTATCAAAAGTCAAGAATGCCTGCGCTTCGTCTTTTCCGTCAGTTAATGTAGAGGCTGTAGCTGCTATCTTACCCATCCAATCTCGGAGCAATATGAACTGACTAGATATATAATAATTATGTATGCAAAGGTCTTTTCTAACTTGATATAAATACTTTATGCATCTTTTGATTTTCGATATATTCGCTCCGTGCATCTGTAAATCATGAAGGCAAAAGTAAGTGTTCTATTTGGCTGGTTTTGCTATTCTTCACATTCGAACTTACTTTAAGAACATCATGCTGTCTATCTTTTAGTTGTTGATAATGATGTTTAAATTGCTGCTTTACAATTTGTAACTCTGTGGACGCGTCTTCTTCTATCAACGTTTTGTCCGTGTATAATTTTGTTAGTGCTGTTTCATCCTTATAAATTGCGCTCAAATTGAATGTTGAACCATCACTCCAATCCTTCAAGCATTCAGATATGATTGGGTGAGCTGATGAACTCAAAGTTCCATTATTTCTATATCCTTTTATACTGTTTGAGGAGGCTGAGAGCTTATACGTATTTACAAGCCCCAGAAAAATAAACAAAAACAAATTTCGTTCAGTTTTATGGCTACATACAAATAGATAGCAAGCATTAAGTCTAAAATAAGCAATATGGCTGGTTGAGACTTACAGTTAGCAAGATCTTTGATATCTTTTGAAGGCGGATATGCATTACAGATAACACTTTTACATTTGTAGCATCGATTTTATTCAATCTTAGAGACCATGTGTGAAGGAGCATTCTACTGTACTTATCGTTATTGTGTGGTTTTAAGCCAACTTTTAAACTACTGACAATGTCAAAGTCGGCTACCCCCATTAAACTATCATTGTAAAAATGAGATTTCTCCAGTTCTTCGGACATGATACGAAAGGGTTCAGTGTCGATTCTAAAAAGCTTGCTATTACACAAGTCTTCTTCTTTGTAATTGTAATTAAAGGAAAGGTGTTGCTTAAAACGAGACCAGCAATTCATCATTGAAAGAGATAAAGAATAAAGCAGTATAGGATGGACAGCTATAGTGATTTGAGCCAAGTAAAAATAAAGGTGAAAGGTAAAGAGTAAAAGCCATCTCAAAAAAAAAAGAATAAAAAGGTCAGGTACAACATTATATTTCTTTCTGTACTTTTGTCAGATGCACGGTCGGCATGAATCATGGTAATAATGAATTATATTTACATTAATAGGAGACTCTATATTGATTTGAACATGAAAAATGATGTGGCCATTCTTGCTTGAAAAGCATATTTACACATCAGTTCGTAGTCTTTCATTGTCCATCGCTCTTCCGTTGGTATATCTGCAGTTGGCACTTTCTTATTTCCATATTTCTCTAAATAGTGTCTATGTTTATCAAAAAGCCTAACCACAACACAAAGAAAATAAGTAAAATAGAATGTTAAAAGAAGGAAGTTTACACAATCATCTTTGACTTCCCTTGTAGAACAGTATCACACTTACATTTTGTATTTGGGAACATTACACACACCTCCAGTTACAATCAAAAATGAGTTTTCGGGAAGCCCATTATACACACGGCGAATGTAATCATCCATTCTCTGCAGTTTCATTGCTACGGCAGATTGTTCCTTTGTCGCCGCACTTGGTACAACACTAGGTAAATTGTCTTCTCCTTCTTTAAGTTTCACTGCATCGTTATTATGGTCTACTGTTTGATAACGAGTAAAGAGAAAGTTGGTATCTTTCACCTTTTGCATCGTAAGCTCGACCAGTTCCTCATCCGTATCTACACGGTGATACTCTCCGGCTGAGGAGGTAGCCCCAAAGGATCGACGCTCACTCTGACTACTTTCCAAAATAGCACTCGATCGGCTTGGGCGGAATGCTAACAAGCGATCCATAATCAATTCAGTCTGCTTGAAGCGGCCATATCCAGGCTTGCGTTCCAGCTTAAGTTTGAACAAATCCAAGGTAGCACGGGCATCTTCAGCTGAATCGTGTCCTACATGTGAATCGTTACGGTCTTGAATCTGACGTTTAAGGTAACTACGAGCCAAAAAACGAAGCGAAGGTTTATAGGGAGGGCCACGATGATGATCAAACAACAAGGATGTATCGACGCAGTAGGGATGTGCTATTTTTAAGGCTTTCAAGTCGTTTTCTAAACCGTGGCCCACGAGAATGACGTCGTGGTTGACAAATTTACGGAAATGCTTTTGTGCACGACGATGTGAGCAGGTTGCTTTTTTCATATCGGCAGGTGTAATACCAGAGTATTGTGTTAGGTAATCAATGATAGGTTGATCAGGCTTGACCATTTCATCCAAAAGTACTGATCCATCTAATTGAGACAGAAATAGAACAATTCAAAGTCAATTATGCAGCCAACGGATGCCATGAATTAATTCGTTCTCTTACCTTCATCAATCAATGTGACACGTGCAAGTGAGCTCCCTGCTACAGTCAAAACCATTTCACAATCTACAGCAATAATTCTCTTTGGCTGACCTTCTTCTCTAGGTTTCTCCGGAGGACGAGTCTCTTTCCAACCTTCTGGCAATGTTACTGATGAATCCAAAAAGGGCGCAATAGGGTAGTCTGCCTTCTTCATTTGTTCTAAAGTGAGCACATAAAACTCACGCATGTTATTACGAAAAGTATTGAGCTTTTCTTGTTCTTCCTGCTTAAGTCGCTCTTTCTTAGAATAAGACATTTCGCACTGTAAAATATCAGCTACAGGAGAATTGAATCGACCATTTTTGCCTGAAATCTGATTAACGACCATATACTGGCTCTGTTTTGTCAGAAAGGGCATGGAAGCCTTTCCAATCCATTCCTTTTCATCCAGTTGGCTGAGATCAATGAAAGGTGTAGGTTTGAAAGTGCCTTCCGGGACGCCAAAAAAGGTACAATCCAAACCTTGGGCAAACATCATTACAACGTGGTTTATTTTAGATTTGTTGATGAGTTGACACCAAGGTAAGTTGGTGGTTTCTGATAAAGCATAAAGGACGAATTCGCCTAGGTTTTTGGTAGGAATCACTTTCTTTACACCAGTAGGAAGAAGTTGGAAGTCAGGTTTGGCAATGACTTCGCCATTGACATTTTTTTTGGCTTGTTTTCTCAGCTTTTTCTTTTGACGGATGGCTGCTACTTTGGCCAAGATTTCTTCCTGTGTCTTTGGTTTAGCAGGAGTCCATTTTTTTGTCTTTATCTTCTTTGGTGTGAAATTAGAACCTCTTATTTTGACGGGTGAGCTTTCTGACGGTTCAGCAATAGATACAGGTACAGGTGCAGCAATAGGTGTGGGGATAGGTTTGGACTGAGTGACTGCTGGAGCCGCTGCGACAATAGAGGGGATGGCCGGTTCTGTTTCTCTCGCAACTCTACTACTATTATCCGCTGCCTTCACGGTCTGACCTTCCGTGTCTTTGATTTTTTCGTTTTTCTTACCATGCTGCTTCTCCTTCTTCTCTTTCTTCTCTTTTCTATCCTTTTTGTCTTTTTTGTCTTTTTTGTCTTTTTTATCCTTCTTGTCCACTTTCGCCTTCTTTTTCGTGACTGTAGCCGAGTCTTCTATGACTTCCGGAGCCGATCTCTTTTTTGACAGATCGCTTGGTTGATCGTCGACATTGTCAAAAGTTATATGCTTTTTTTTGGTTGCATCGTACTTTACAGCAAATTTATCGACATTAGGAGTGAACTTCATGACCACAGACACAAAAGGGCGATCTACTGGTATGTCCTAAGAGAAGGGAAAGCGAAAGGGTTGGTACTCCTTCACTCTTTTTTTTTTTTTTTTTTTTTTTTTTGCCCTTTAAGTATAAGACAGTCCCAAAAGCCCGCCGCCTTTTATACACATTGAGTAACCACAAGCTTTCATGAGCTCCCTGTCCCTGAAGCCTGAACTACAAATGTGATTGAAAATAAGGTGCGGCCATTAAATAGAAAAATGTTTTAATCCATAGCCCTGTACAAAATTACTACTGAAGTAGTTTGTCGATAGTACTAAGCGCAGCCAAAATTCACTTATTGACAGGGAAAATAACAGGTGGGATTTGACTGACAATATTTTGGAATCATATCCAATGGTGATTTCTTTTGAATTTAGACAAATTTGTCTTTGCTTAATTTTTTGGGGGCGCATTTCGTTTGAATGAAAAAAAAAAAAAAAATAGAAGCAGAAGAAACAACTCAGCCTAATTATAAGTCATAGCTCTGTTTCGTGTCTCTTCCTTTGTCACTTGCGAATTTAGCACGTTTCATAACAGGACTAACGAGCCACAGTTGAATTAAATAAAGCCTTTTAACCGCACCCGCTTGATAAGAACTACAGAAGAATGCGTGCGTTTGACTTCTTTTACTAAAGAATGACAAATACAAACAATTAGGCTAGAAGTCAATATGGACACAGCAGATCACTGAAAAGGAATCAAGGATCTGCAACAAATACATTTTTCTTTCGTTTTATGTTTTCTCTGTCGAATAAGATAATATCATGTATTACAACTTACAAATCAGGTTCCAAACTTATTCTTCCTCTTCATATGCCTCATATTTCTATTCACTTGATTAAAGTGTATCTATGTATATACCGCTCTACATTTGCATAGTGACTGAAAGACATACGTCAGCATCATCTTACGTTTTCTGAATACGAAAAGGGCCTTCCCACCAGCCTCATTTTGTAACACGCTCGTTACTTTAAAAAGTCTGTTGAGATTTGCAGCTTCGACGAGGTTTCAAAAAAGAAAGAAAAAGAGAAAACCGATCATTTATAGGCTTTCAAAAATAAACTATTTTTGTGGACGACTGTTACTTATATAGTTCGGCAAAAATGTTTCTTGATAAGTATGAGATGCATCCATTCGTACTGCTTCTTCACAAACGCTTTTTTCTTTTGTTTCAGATACTATAAGGTTTCTGAACAACTACTAGTTAACCTATTTTATAGCTGGTGAGTGTAATAAATCACAATCAAGTTGCATGCATTTACTCGGCTTTGCTTACCTTTTTAGGGCAACTGAGCAACGTTTCATTTTTAGTGAATGTGAAACCATATGATGGGATTCGAACAACGCCCTCAAAAAAACAAAAAAAAAAAAAGGTAAATTATCATTGAATGAATGACGCGCCTTGATATAAAAGGTTTAAATTGCACAAGCTGCTCTTACTGTGGGTTTTTTTTTCCTCTTCTTTATTTTCTTGCTTTTCTTTCGTTTCTAAGAAATCATATATTATCATAAAGATGTCTTACGCTTATCAACAACAAGGTGGCGAAGCTAACTCTTACCAAGGTGGTCAAGCCGCCTCTTATCAAGGAGGTCAAGCCGCTTCGTACCAAGGTAATCCATTTTTCATTAGAAAAGAAGGGAAATAGGGGAAGTTGTGGGATGGGCTCTATGCGGACGAGGAGTTGTATTAAGCAATTATATTTTTGTCCCATTCATATAGGTGGTGCCCCTCGAATCAACCCTGACCAACAGCAAGCCGCTCAAATTGCTAAGCAACATGCTGACGATGATGATGATGATGACAGTAAGTATCTCTGATAAAATCTTCACGTCTGTGTGCATTTGATCTGAAAAAGAAGAGGGAGAGATGTCCTTTAAGGGCAAAATAATGCGTTTACTTATCATTGCGAAACAGTTATACTAAACTACTCTCTTTACCTCACTTGCTTAAACTCGTAGAGGAAGGTTTCTTCAAGTCCATCCTTTCTAACGTCCTAGATAATGACGATGATGACAAGGAACTCAAGGAAGATGATGCTCAACAAGCCGCTCGTGCTCATGATGAAGTTTACAACAAGGGCAATAGCGAAAATACCTCTTCCCGTGACATGGGTATGGCTGCTGCTATGCAAGCTTTCAAGATGTTCTCCGGTAACAACAATCAATCTGGCGGTGGCGCTGGTTCCAGTGCCATGGTTGGTTTAGCCATGGGTGAGGCCATGAAATTGTTCAAGAACAAAGGTGGTGAAGAAAAGGGTTTCGATAAGTCCGAACTTATTCAAACCGCTGTCAAAATGGCCATCAAATTATACCTCGCTAAGCAAGCTGGTGATGCCGCCAGCGGCGGTCTTCAAACTGTCATGAATATGATGGGTATGGGTGATGATGATAAGAAGCAGCAACAACAACAACAACAACAGCAACAACAAGAACAAGGCGGTTTCTCCAAGTTATTAAACAAGTTCTTTTAAGAAAGAGACTTAAAGAATCAATGTAATATAGTATCCCTTCATTATTAATTTTATCCAACATTTTTTTCCTTTTCTATTATGGAACGAAATTTAAATATCACTGTTGCATCTTTTTTGCATGATTTCTATACATTAAGAGATTAAGGTTTTTCGGTATTACTCTTTTTTTTTTTTTTTTTTGTTAGGCTGTTTGAGCTGTCAGCTTGCTCTGCAAATTGCTCAGCGATTCATATGCAGGTCATTTAGCTGCTTCATGCCGTCTCTTGAGGAAAGAATGCAGCCAAATTGAATTAATCGCAATGATTCCATATCTTTTATTAAGCGTATTTGGAGCGTAGTCATTATTCTAATGATTCGGCCATCCTCCTAGGAATGCACAGTCATGCTTTGCTGCTCCTCTTTTACTCAAAAAAGCCTTGTGCTACATCTTCTAGCTCGTTGTTATAGCCTATTGCTGTCTTAATGTTGTAACTGTCCATATCTACTATTATGGTAACTTAGTAGAAATATGTTGTTGCTGCTGCAATTGGGTACCAACAAGTGTAATGCTTCAACTGATTCATTCAAATTGTGAAAAAGGTTCGACAAGAGCGTTTTGACAACTTGACATTTCATATACCTGTTCTTGAAAGTGAGAAAAAAATTGAAGTTATATACTATCCTGTCAATGTAACCGACATTATTTTACCTTTTTTTAGCATCTAAACGCCATTTAGTTTAGCTTAGTTTTTTGTTTTCGACATCTTTAACTTTCCTTCTTCTCTTGAACAAATCAAAACATGTTCTTTGGTTGAAACGGCAAAGGTTAAGAGGCACTTGAAGCGGTCACGGTTGGCCTATGACTACCAAAAAATGACCGCTCTGGAGTGTGGATGGAACGTTGGATGAAACTGGTAAGGAATAGACAATAAGTTCTCACGGCAGGTACTCAATTGCGACATAAAAAATCAACTTAGAAGCTTACTAGGCTCCTTGCGCAAGCTACCTATAGCATTAATATTACGTGATATGATTGCCTTTGCTTTTTTTATCGTTCAAAACTTATCTGTAGAACTACCGCTTTTTTCGAGGCGTCGTGAACACTAAAGTCAAAATTATCAAACCCACATATAATTTGTATCACTTAAATGGAGCTGCTGAATTGAAAATAATGGCTGTTGCTGCTTTACCTTGATGCACACACTTAATCCTTCACGTTTACGTGGCTCTGAGAGAACTGCTGTTGTTGTGGGTCAGACAACCGGCTAAATTTTGTCCAGTTTTTCCTTGTGTTTCAAGAAACCAACTGTTATAGTTTGTTCGTCCCCTTTCCCCTTTCCTTCTCTTCTTGTATACAACCTAACCCCGCCATCATCGTCCCTTATCATCTCCCTTCCCTTTTTTTTTTCTTTTTTTTTTTTCGCCCCGTTAAACCAATGATGCTTAGGCTTATTTTCTCCTTCTTCTTTTCTTCTTCTTCGGATTTTTTTCTAATTCTTTGAGTCATTTTCTTTCAGTTTTGAAGCCAACACAGGATGTACGAAGGCAAAAAAGATAAACATAAAGACTATTCGTTAGGCCTACATGGTGCTGCTATGAATGGCAATGTTGGTAAACTATACAGTTGAATATGTAACTGCAACTCAGTAAAAGAACATACATTTATCTGGTTCCGTAATCATTTTCTTATAAGGGCTTGTCAAGTTTGCATTGGATCATGGGGCCGCCATTGATTCTGTAGTCAATGGATACATGCCTTTACAATTGGCCTGTATTAATGAGAATCATATTGCAGTTGTACAATATTTGATAGATAGAGGCGCCGATGTGAATGCACAAAAGTAAGATGATAAAAATCTCCATTCAATATTTTGAAAAAAAAATAAAATTCCCTTTTCTTATCATCTACGAACCTATGGATGGGTTAGATGGTCTAAAAAACATAGTGTTGATAAATCACAAGCAGTAGCGGGCGCCACAGGCTCCACAGCACTTCATGTTGCATGTGCCAATGGATGTACAAAAATTGTTGATTTACTATTAAGAAATGGAGCTAAAACAAATGTTCGAGATAAGTACAGTTCTCGACCAGTAGACGTAGCCGCCGCCAAGAATCATACAGAAATTGTCCGCCTTTTGGAAACTTTCGAATCGATGGAAATGATGTTACAAGGTTTACAAGAGGGGAAAGATCATGTGCAAGCCAGTCATATGCAGAAAAAACAGCAGCAGCAGCAAAGGCAGGGCAAACAGAACTTGCTCATAAAAGAAGGAGGAGGTCGACGATCTATGGATACAGCTTTACTATCTTCTTCGACAAAACAGCAGCAGCAACACAATAGACAGCAGATAACTAAATCATCCAAAAGAGATCGATTAAGAAGGCCTAGTTTACCCTGTGTCATTGAAGCACAACAACAAGGATTAGATATACCTGATATATCCACTTTGCCGCCACCGAGACGTAGTTTCAACGTATCAGTGAGACCTTCACCTGAAGAGCTTTTGATGGCTCATTATCCAATCGCTACTGCTTCTGCTGCTAAAAATAACATCCCTCCTTCGCCACCATTGGAATTAGCGTCTTCAAAATCCTCAGATGACTCCACCCTCCTGATGACACATAATGGTAGTAATCCTGGAAAAGAGGATTGGTACAGCCATGGTGTGATAAAACAGTTTGATGACGAAAATTACCTCATCTCCCTTGAAAGAAGAGCTTATGGCTTTACCTCACCTATTTACTCTACTGTTACTAATGTTTCAATGAATACTACCGCTACTACTACGGCTGCTCCTGATGCAACGACTGCCGATATATTTTCTACTATCTCCACAGAGGGGGCCTTCACAGAGGATGATGCTGATAAGAACGAAGAAACCGATGGTAACGATAAAAAGATAGCCATCATAAGGGCACGGACAACCCACGACTCTTCTCGTTATAACAGCAATAGCAACACTGTAGAGTCTGCATCCCTGAAGAGATGCAATTCGGATGGAAGCCATTTACGTGCGACAGCTTTGATTAATAATGCCATAGCTGCCAATCAAATGCCTCCCTCTCCTACCTCACTACAGCAACAACAACAACAACAACAACCATCCATGAATGATTTTGAAACAAAACAGGAAAATAGCAGTAACATGGATGAAGAAAACAGAATGTCACTATCAACGTTGTCGTTTTCAGACGGTAGGAACAACACCAATGACCATTATGGCGCTGCTCGTCATAGTATCAGTTGCCACAGACCCGATCCCGGACTATTGAGAAAACCGAGCACAATCAATACCACTACAACTTATAAAGTGAAAAGATCTTGGTGGCCTACAGGATCACGGAAATCAATTGATCTTTATCCAGCAGGAAGACCATCTTTAGAAAGCAACCCACGAAGGACGAGTCTAGACTTTCGTCCTAGCTTAGACAGTATCTCTCAATTTGCGAAAAAGAGTATGGAAGGCCTATCTCGTAAAAGCACAGACATTATGGATTTTACATCGGAGGATCGAAAGAGAATAATGGCAAATAGCAGTAATAGTAGCAACACGGCAAGCAGTGGCGGGAATAGCAACAATCGTGGCTTTTTATCGCGATGGTGGTCGTCCAACAGCAACAACAATCCTTCTTTATCTCCGTCGAACATGAACGCTACTGGTTACAAAATAGGTAGAGACTAGAAAAGTCACTATGATAACAATAGAAGTATATCCTGTTGATCAGTGGTATGGAGGTTCGCTATTTTATTCCCTTTACAGACAACAAATTTGATTTTATCCCAACAATTTCTCTTCCGTTATATATTCTTATAAACATGCACACACAATTATTATATATAGTACAACAACGCCTGGTAGCTATTAAGTACAGAAATCGTTTTGTTTAACACAGAGTAGGAATTGTATACATCTTGAATAGTTTCTTTGCTTTCCTCATTTCTCTTGTATAGTGTAAATAAAAAAGAAACACTTTCTTTCAGCAGTTTAACATACTGATATAGTGTGCCAGGCTCAGGTATATCATTCTTATTTGCTTATAACGCCTCACTGTATCATCCGCTAGTTTCCTCTTACTGAAGATTCTCTTCATTTCGATACATTGGCTTCCTTTTTTTGGTTTTTTTTTTTTAACATTCGAGGTATATTATACATAGTTTATTTTCCATTTTCCTTAAATACCAGCCATATTGATATATTTGATGTGCATATAATCATCGATACCAAACTGTGAGCCTTCACGACCTAGACCAGACTCCTTCACACCACCGAAAGGAGTATAACAACTTGAGATGATACCTGTGTTGACACCCACCATACCACTTTCTAATTGTTCAGCCACACGCCAGCATCGGCCAACATCACGAGAAAAGAAGTAATTAGCTAGACCGAAAGGTGTGTCATTGGCCAAAGAAACAACTTCTTCTTCGGTTTCAAAGGGAAACAAGGCGGCGACAGGACCGAATGTTTCTTCAATTTGAATTTGCATATCAGATCGCATGTTGGAGAGAACAGTAGGTTCAAAAAAGTTACCGCCAGCATGTTTACCGCCAATAAGAACTTCGGCGCCCTTACTGACAGCATCTTCAACATGACTCTTCACCTTATCCACCCCCTTGGAATTGATTAATGGACCATGTGTAGTATCCTCGTCAAATCCGTGACCAATCTTGAAACTCTTGACTTTCTCAACAAGACGATCAGCGAATTCTTTATAGACGCTCTTTTGAACAAAGATACGGTTGGCGCAAACACAGGTTTGACCGGTGCCTCTGAACTTGCAAGCAACAATAGCTAATAGTTTCAATATGAATTAGTGAGATCTACTGTCTTTTTTTTTTTTTTTTTTTTTTTTTTTTTGTTTATCTTACCATCAACAGCAGTGGAAATATTGGCATCATCAAATACAATAAATGCTGCATTACCACCCAATTCCATAGAAACTTTCTTCATGGTGCCTGAAGATTGCGACATCAATAGCTTACCAACATTGGTCTATTTTTTTTTTTTGTAAGAGTAAAATTATTTCTTAGTTCCCTCCATTCATAAATACGAACAAAATTCCATGTTAACACTTACTGAGCCAGTGAAAGAAATCTTTTTGACAATGGGGTTTGTACAAAGTTCTTTACCAACATCAGCAACATGATTATGGGTAGGAATAATGTTAACTACACCAGCAGGGATGCCAACACGCTTAGCTAATTCAGCTAAAGCGAGAGCAGAGTAAGGGGTTTCAGCTCCAGGCTTAATAACAACTGTACAACCCGCAGCAAGAGCAGCACCCACTTTACGAGTAATCATAGCGGCAGGGAAGTCTATACAGATACATCATTGAGAAAAATGATGAGATTTCGCTCCCTCTACATGGAAAGAAAGATGCAAATGAGTTACTTACTCCAAGGAGTGATGATACCAACTACACCAACAGGTTGTTTGATGGTAACAAAGCGTTGACCGGGCAAATGGGAAGGAATAACAGTACCGTAAGTACGTACGGCTTCTTCGGCGAACCATTCGTAGAAGGAAGCAGCGTAGGTGATTTCGCCCTTGGCTTCAGTATAGGTTTTACCATTTTCCCAAGTCAAAATAGTAGCAAGATCTTCTTGATTATCCAGCATAGCACGGTACCATTTTAATAGAAGGTCATGACGTTCTTTCCCAGAGGTTTTGGACCATGTCTTGAAGGCATCGGAAGCGGCTTGGATAGCTTCTTTGGTTTCTTGGGTGCCCATATCAGGCAATTGACCAATCTCCTTATCAGTGGCAGGGTCGATAACGCTGAACCTTTCAGTGACACCTTTGTCAGTCCATTCGTTATTGATAAAGGCAGATTCCTTGAATAAGGTAGGATCCCTAAGCTAATACCATTTTGATCGATGAAGTATGTGGTTACAATATCGAGGGTTGAAGGAGATAGTATTCAACAGAATAGGACATTAGTAAGTTGATATTGCCATACAGATTTGATATTCTCATAATACACCGCAGATATAGCACGCGCTCTCATGCTCCATCTCTCTATCTCTATCACTTAACTCTAGTTTGAATTTCATTTACCTTGGGAATAGTGACGTTGGAAACCATTGTTCTACAAATCAATAAGGATTGAGGGCGGATAAACTTATGAACAGGAGTTGAGGTACGAGGATTGAAGCAAGTCTTTAGATATGAGTTCTTCTGCAAAGCAGATCTAAGCATTCCTTTGGAAAAAGAAAGAAGAGGAAGAGAGAAACTATGTGGAGTAAGTAAAAATTACGCCAAAACCGGACACTTTATTTTAGGTGCAGCTTCGTGTGAAAGGCGGGACTTTAAACCTTATTACTCAACTGTCAAGATTTTTAGTCATGCATCCAGATTTCCCCTTTTATCAAACGTGGCAATTGGATTGAAGGCGGTTTGTGAACAAGGACGTATTATGACTCTTTGCCGAGCAACAATCAGTACAGAAAAATATACATATGGCTTGCGCAAGTAGTTTGAAGAAGCAAAGAAAGTCCAACGTAAAACACTGATAATGATTTAATCATTACCTTATCAGCAGCCAATCAGGGCAAAATTTCTCGATATTGAAAAGAGGCATTAGTTATTTACTTGAAAGCCTATTCTAAGTGGATATTACGTGTTTACGTCCATTTCAGACAACTTGCAGTTTAATTTTAAGCTTACTTACAATTTTATTGGAACAATTGCGTTTAACTTATAATGATTTGGATCACCAGTTCATAAGGCCGATGTTCTTTCTATAAGTATTTTTCGCAGAGTGTTTCTGCTACCTAGTCCAACCTAGGCAATCATCAAGCATGATTATCTCATACGCTTTCTGAATTTGAAGCGATAATTCATCTCCCATCTGCAACGAATTGCGTTGGATATTACTTTTAATCCTTGATCAGCATTCTCAATAAGGTTCAAAAATGACGAGTAGGAGGGCATGAATAAAAGCTTGTGGCCACGCTTATTGATACCCTCTACAACTAATTTGCAATGGTAAATTCTATAAAAAATCCTTCTATATCGTGTTTATCCATTAGGTCTCTTCATTTTCTAGCGATGATTCGGTCTCCGGTCTGTAACGCATGTGAACCATGTAAGAAGTTTAAATTGAACAGTTATGAGTTTGAATGGTGCTTGCTGCTTTGCGGAGCAACGATATCAGCATAACATCAAATCAAATTTCCAATGTCTGCATATTTTAAACGTGACATTAACCACGTAAATCATATTGTTATAATAAATGTTGTTAAACGTAAGCTTTTGTTGCCAAATTTGAAAATCATATTTATGTTTCAATTTCTTCAACACCATTCTTCTATTCTTCTTTTCTCCCTCTTTATTACCTCTCGCTCAGTGCTATACGCATGTATAAGAGTATTATCATAAATAAAATCAATTCAGTGAAAGAAAGTACACCTAGAAGGAAAATCCGTTCGGTGAAGGCAGTGAGTTGTTGAGACATTAGTAACCTTGTTGTGCATTTATTCAGACCATACCAGATGTAAAGACTGTAATGAAATGGGTCACTTTAATAAAAGCTACCCGGAATGCAAATATTATAAAGCTGTATCCGCTGACAATGGTAAGTTGAGCATCAACCTGCTTTTAGTCACACAAGCTGAGTAACAGACCGTCTCATACTCATAGTTGGAAGTCGCAATAAAAAGAGAAAACAGAGTGAGAGTGTTAAAGCAGAGAAAAGGCAATGAAGAAGAAGAAGAAAACGGCATCACAAGCTGTAGAGTGTCCAAGTTGTGGGAATGATAACCATGCTTCCTCTCGTTCGCCTCTTTATTCTAATCACATACAATCAAAGGGGAGGCCATTTCATCTGCCCTTGGTCATAATTCTACTATTTTTGTAAGGAAGATTCCTCTCGACCGTGCCGTTTTGCCACAGTTTCGTGAAAAGTTCAAGGAAAAGGTCATTTCGTACTGCAAGGACATTAGAGCTATAGTGTTCCGCTGCCAACTATTTGCCAATGCCTATCTTGTTCATAACAAGAATGACATTCCTTCAAAAGTCTTCACACAGCAATTTTGGTATTCCATTGCGCAACTTATTACGGGTAAAAAGGTTAATCACAAGAAGGCGTTGAACGACAGCATCAAAACTTATTTTGATGACTTTAAGCAAAAGCATCCGACAATAGTAATTAGTCATGGCTTCACCAAAGGCTATAGTCATTATCTCAAAGAAGCTGCCAAGGAAATAAGCGTTTCATATACTAACTCCATTATTGAGCTTTTCGAGAAGCGAATGCTTAAATATCTAACCTATAAGCTACAAAACATGTTTGTTGTGGGTCTCCTTTCCACTACTCTAATTTCAATTTCTACCTTTTTAATTGCGTGTATTTGTGTTATTATCCATAGAACATGAAGAAGGTCGATGCGGCCAAAATATCAGAAGCATACTGCTACCAAGTAATTTGCAAAGGCGGACCCAAGTGGCTCGATAAAATCATCCTTAATAATGAAGACAAAAGCAAGATAGAGATGTTGTGTAAAAGCTTTGAAAAACTTGTGACGGAGAAGGTTACACTGCTTTCCTTATCGTCCGATCCCACGAAGTTTATCAAAGCCTTATGGCACATCCAATCCTCGTATGAAAAGGAACATGACGAACATGCAGCTTATGATGTCCGTAGATTACCATTACCCAAGCGCTTCTTCCCTTTCCCTTTACCTTCGCTCCATTGGCGTTTCATTACGATAAGCATCAATTCGCTCGTCCCATTCTTGTTTCCTGGTACGCCTCCTAAAGGCTATTTGAATCAACTCGAGAAGTTTCACCAAGTGTTCAGCTTCAAAACGATGGGAACCAAAAGGTAAACAGAAACAGTTTTGGCTGAAATACTGTCTTTGGTATATACTGACTTTCGTTTTTATGACAATAGTTTCAATGACCTTAAGACAAGCCAGGAAACATTATTCCGTAATATTGTCCGTTCAGATGGGTTCACTGTCGATTTTCTTTTCAGTAAGAAAGGGAAAGCAAAAGAAGAGAAGACCATCGAAAACCATCGGTTGACTTTGGAGGACTTCGATTTAGCCGATATCGAAGCTGGTTATAGGCCCTGCTTCATTGATCCCGGGAGAAAAGACGTCTTCACAGCAGCGATCGGGCTGGACGATGAAAAGCACCAAGTGCGAAGCTGCTCTACCAAAGAGTACTACCACATGACTGGTAGCATCAGATACTCTGCAAGGCTAGAGAAGCAGAAAGCGGGTAAAATTAAGGGCATCGAAATTGATATTCCAACTGCCAAGACAGGCTCCAAAGCCCAATATCGCTGCTATGCAGCATACATCTTACAGCACTTAGAAGACTTGTTTTCTTTCTACGGTGATGGCACTGCCGAAGATCGATTCCATTTGTACCAGGGACGAAAATGTGCTGTCGACAAAATGGTAAACATGCTTATCAATGACAGTACAAAGTATAATCTGGATCTCAGATTAAAGAGAGAGAAGAACAAAATAAGGTCTCCAAGAGGAAAAATAGAGGCAAGATGGCTTTAAAAAAACGACGGAAAAAAAAAGAAGAAAGAAGTATGAAAGAAGAGACATCAGAAATTAAGGTGGAATGGAAGACAAAAGACAGGTAAAGTTCATAAACGATAATCATCAACTACCTGTAGAAAGTAACATGCTTTTTATAATAGTGTATCAAGCGCCAAATGGAAACCCGAACCCTTCAATGTGGGTGATATAAAAAAAAGTGCCTCTCATCGTGTTCGGTAATGGCATGTTTGGTAAGGACAACGTCGCACTGAAAAGTCACCGATGCGGAACGGTAGGTGTTTTATGGCGCTTAAACAACGCGAAGCAGCCGGAGACCTGCTAGTACTAGAAATCGATGGATTCAAGACGTCTAAAATATGCTCGTGCTGTTCCAACGATACTTTGGAGAGGTTGAAAGGCGTACAGATCTACAGTATATCTGTTTGCAAGACTTGCCCTATACTGTGGAACCGAGATATCAACGCCTTAAAGAACATGATGAAGATCAGTAGTGCCATTTGGAAGAAGTTGGGAAGACCGACACGACCAAAAATATAAGACTCCCCCTACCTTCAACATCGCTGGAACGAATCCAGTTTGATTTTTACAGGTAAAAAGAACGAAAGCTTGTACTTTCTTCTGTTGTGCAAACTGTCTAACATTTACTCTTAACGGCTAATATTATATTGAAATCGTTTGAACATAATCTAATTATAGTCTAAAAATTATGTTTGTGTTGTCGAAATCTGAAGTTAATAAACTGTAGTCGGTTACAAAGCACAAATTTACATTCAATGGGATAATTTTTTAAAAGGAAAACATAATAGCGTACTGTTAAAAATATATGTCATAAAGCTCAAACGTCGTCTTCAACTTTTTTTTCGCATTTGTGAGGGTAGTTTGAGCCATGTATAGGTGCTAAACACATTTCGCAGGTGATTTTATGACTCGCAGGTGAATAGAGAGGAGTAAAATTTGCGTACATAGTAGGCGTTGGAGACAGTGTAGTGTTGTACTCCTCTACACCCTTATAAGTAGCGGGGAAGTCGTCGATATAAGTGGTTGCTGTGGATCGCTTGGTATCTCTCCTTGCAGTATTAGCAGTGGTAGTGCTGGTATTAGAAGCAAAGGTCGAGTCATTCAGTCGAAATGAGTTTTTGCCACTTATTTCTTTCTTATTGTGAACGACAACACTTTCCAGACTATGTCTTGCTGCAAAAGAAGAACATTTTTCAATATCATCCACATAAGAGCCCTTTTCATCATCTGAATCTTCTTCCTCTTCAGAGCTATCGGATTCGAGAATGTCTGCAACAACAGTCTGTTCAGCAGCAAGTTCATTCGTAGGAGAAGCTTGCGATTCTTTTTGCTTTGCACCACCACTTGATTTGAACTGCTTGATTAAGAGATAACTGGTAATCACCCCTATTCAGATAAGCCATTGTTAGCATATGTTTACAGTAATAGGAGAAGAGATGTGGGAAGCTGGATGTGCAATATCTTATTTAAAATGGTATTCACTTACAGTCAAAAGAGTACAAGTCAGCCGATAGCCCGCCCATTGCTCGTGCAGATATCAGAATGGCCGTGAGGATATTGGAGGCAATAACGCCGACTCTACGAGGTTGAAAAAGAAAAATGCCTATATATCAATAACCGAATGTGACAAATTCAGAATATAGACCAAAACGACGAAAAAGAAAAGGTCGTCCTTACGAGAAGATAATACCACCAGATAAAAGTGACTTATGCAAGTTATTTCCAAAAGCCTTATAGTGTCGATAAATAACCAGAACAAAAGCGAGAGTTAAAAAAGCATTACTTGCAATATCCAACCCTAATTTAGCTAATGCTGGCCATTCTACTATTTAAACAAGGTCTAAGGTTAATTACTTTTTGCGGGGGAATAGACAATAGAGACATTGAAAAGGCTTACAATTATACATCTAAGGATGTGTAAAAATGGTTAAACCTGGGTACAATCATTATAGATAAACGACAAATTATAGATTCCGTTCGCTTACCACACAGTTTCCTATGATGTCTTTATACGTAGGTACTTGTCCCCAAAGAGCGTAGACAATCGTCAAACCAATATAGCCAGTATTGATAATGGATCCAATCACGAGCAACCATGTCGAACGATCATAACAAATATACGCTTTGTATAGCAAAATAGTTTGAATACAGCAACCACCTAAATTTACCGCAATAATAGAGATCCAGAACCTCTGTTTTTAAAAAAAAAACATCGGATGAACATCAGTATATAGTTCAGCATTTACAATAGAAATGTAGGTATAGAGGCTTTTTACCACTTCACAGCTCACAGGCGTTAAAGGATTTAGGACACTACACGTTATCACGACAAAGGCAAGCACTGTCTCAAAAACAACGGCAAAATGTAGTCCTTTGCGTACTTTATATGCTAGTTCGGTAGCGGTCATAATCTGCCATACACAACAAGTCCAGCAAATGCCCATGTAGACAATGGTTGTGGCTGTATGTCTGAAATAAGCTTGTGATTCCTGGTTGAGGTCTTCATATTTGATATCTTCCACCCTTAGTGTTGTATTCATCGTTTATATAGATATAAGTTACAGAAAGTTTCAATAGATAAGGTAAGTTTATATAATTGATTTGAAATTTAATTCTGCTATAGAAGGATAAGAAGAAACAGTATCTTCAAAGACTAGAATATGTAATGTTAACGAATGAAAAAGAAAAATAATAGAACAGAACGAAGGTTCACTATTTATATTTCTCATTGTCAATGGAGTCTGAAACAAAGAGACGATGCCTACAAGAAGATGCAAGCAAGAGGTATTCTCCTTGATACACTTTTTTCAAATCCTAAAAAAAAAAAACCATAAGTAAACCCGCATCCATCATCCAGGTTGGAGAGAAAAGGCTGATCAACTCACTTTCTTTGAAATGTCTGAATTAAGAAAAATAAAAGAAGAAAGCAAGAAATAGACGCGAGTGATGATGATTAGTTATCTGAGGGAAGAGGGAATGGTTAATTGGCAGATTATTATACTGATCAATTTACACGCTTTGTCATTTTTCTATTGACAATTGCTGAACTAGAGTAAGAATAATGAATACAAACATTCATTATGGAGCTACAAGAGCATGAACCGAGAACTGCAAAGTGATCTTTATTCTGTCAAACGCATGGGAGGCAGCGAGTTTTACTTTCTTGATTTGGTGTGTAAATATGGAAGTCTTTTGTTGCTCAGAAAAGGCAATATTTCACGTCGATCAATTTCACAACAAAACGTTCCTATGCTATGCCCGTAGTTAACTGCACAACCTAAATAGGATTGAAGCAACTTTCTAGCGAGATAATCATGCAAAAGCACTGCACGACAGTGCGATAACTAGAAGCCCCTATAACAATGTTGGACAAGCGTTGTTAAGACTGTACATACGGAGCATTGCAATAGATGTTATTTTCCTTATGAAAACTACACTTTCAATTTGAAGGAGTAGTCTATCGTCCTGCAAGAAGGCAGACATGCCCTTTTCCATCCAGACACTAGTCTACGGTGCGAAACACAAGAGTATAGAAACAAAGAAAGGGATTTACGAGCACTTCGAATTCTTTTAGATAGAAAAAAAACCGCCTAAATTCGGTCCGGAGAAGCCAAAGAAATAGGAAGCCGATCGCTTCCGCAAGAGATCATAGTCGCTCAAAATTTCATTTGCGCACACCAAAACATATAGGAGTGGAATTTCGTTTAAATCTAAGAAGCTTTGGTGAACAATAAGCTTTCTCTCAAATCAGAATAAATCATGGTATGTACCAAGGCAAACCATCCATCAATAAGTGCATACATAGTCATTGTATCTAAGGAGGAAAAAGTCAAAAAACGATCAATCCATCCATTATGTATCAGCCACAACACATACTCTACACTCATCGTCAACACTTAAACAATCAGTCAGCATTAGAAATGTCACATTTTGAAGGGGAGGGGGATTGGCTGCATGTTAAGTGATAACTATATTTTGAGCGATTGTCAACCTACTGAAGACAGGAACAGTAGTAAACAACTTTCACTCGCAAAGAATTTGAAAAGTAGTATACGATCCAGATGCAGTGCTCAACTATTCATATCACCACAAACCTTACCCCGCTGCCGTATTACTGATCGGAAATCGTCCATTCAGTCTCTTTACAGCTTGCAGACTTGCAACCATTAGATTGAGAAATTGATAAGCTGCACTCCTGTTCATGATATATGACTATTGTACTTTATTGAGAAGGATGGCATGGCTAATTTCGTTCTTTATTTGACTTTTTTACTCACAATTTATGTATATGTTCTTTTATCCATTTTACGCAATTCCACTTATAGGCTGACGCTGCTGTTACTATCAGAACTCGCAAGTTCCTTACCAACCGTTTACTCTCCCGTAAGCAAATGGTCGTCGATGTCATTCATCCTGGCCTCCCCAACGTCAGCAAGGACGAACTTCGCGAAAAGATCGGCAAGATGTACAAGTCTGATAAGGAAGTTGTTTCTGTCTTTGGTCTCAAGACTCAATTCGGTGGCGGAAAGACTACTGGTTTCGCTTTGATCTACGACAACCTTGAAGCCATGAAGAAGTTCGAACCCAAGCACCGTCTTGTTCGTTACGGTATGGCTGAAGCTCCTAAGGGTGGTCGTAAGCAACGCAAGGAAAAGAAGAACCGTGAAAAGAAGTTCCGTGGTGTCAGAAAGTCCAAGAAGCCCAGAAAGGAATAAACGGATCACCATCATTATTAGTAGTAATATTGATTGTATATTTTCCTCTGCAAAATTTTCGCGCATGCAAGCAAAAAAAGATGACCATTTTGGTTCTTTATTTGTTCAAGCAGGAAAAGAAATGAAAACACATTCTTTTACACGCATATTCTTTCTTTTTTTGATTAAAATGATTGTTCAAAACTACTTTTACAGTAATAGTATTAAGTTGGGGAGCATGAAATTGTACGTATATACTTCAAATGGATGAACATCAAAAGTATTTTTGTATGTATGAAGGAATATTGTTATTGAATGGAATCGTCTTTCGTATTTGAGTGAGGTTTAGAAGGTGTGTTATTCTACCTCTCGGACGAAAACGTTAAGTTAGGACTCAATTAGATTGATATTTCAGTATACGATGCATGACGTGGACAAGCGACCCTATCTTTTTAATGATATTGTCATCTTGCGGTAGTTTTTCGAATTGGACTTTTTAATTTTCCTTAGAATCGTATTGAATTCTTTAAGAACAAGGTGTTTTTTAATGAAAGTGAAGAAAAAAGTAAAATAAAGCTAAAAGTTTGCCTTTGGATAAATGCTTATAAGGAAATAATAATATAAGCGCTTTTATGCTCTTTGTTCACCATTATTTTTCTCAATAGTACAACATATAACTCTCTCATCAAAAAAAAAAACACATGAAGTTTGTAGCATACAATCTGATCCTAACGGTGGCAGCAGTCTTTGTCAGGGGCGTTCATTCCTCAAAGTTAGTAGCTATTCCTTTCACGGGAGTTCGACATCGACGAGGCACTGGTTTAGCGGCCTCTGCTGTAAACGTTCCGCTTGAGAATATTGATGTGGCTTACTTAATCGACATAGAAATTGGAACACCTCCTCAACCCTTCACTTTGCTCTTGGACACAGGCTCATCTACCACTTGGGTTCCTGAGAAAAATTGCGGTAGGTTATGCGGCTACCCTAGCAACACATATGATTCCGCCGCTTCTTCCACCTTTAACGAAAGTGCGATGCAGAACTTGCCGTTTGGTATTCGCTATGGACGAGGATTTGCTCAAGGTTATTATGCTCAGGATACCTTAACGGTACATGGTGTGCCTGTACCCCGCGCTGTAAGTAAACATTGCTGTTTGATCTTTGGAATTCAAGAGTAACGACGAACTGTGCATAGAAATTTGCGATATCTGATTCTAATGATGGAGAATTGACCGCTGCGGGAGCTGGTAAAACCCAAAAAAAAGAGAATTTTGTTATTGGAAAAACTGTACTACTCTAACACTATGAACTTGCTCTATTTACCAGACGGTATTCTTGGTATGGGACCAGATAGCCTAAGTCGGTACAATAATCCTGATGATGTAGTCGTCCCTACACTTGCTACAACAATGTATGAAGACGGCATTATAGACGAGAATGTGTTTTCCATTTACTTCAAGCCTATCGATTATGATGATACCACTATTGAGCAACAAAGACGAGTCAATGGAGCGATCGTCTTCGGGGGCGGTAAGAATACGTAATGGATGAGGACGAGTGATTTTTATTCATACGAGATATACTTGTAGTCGAACCTGAATTGATCGCTGGTGACGTAAAATACATGCCTATCACACAACATTTTGACTTCTCGGTAAGAGCTACATAATATTGGGAGCCATAACATGAGAAAGTTACTCAAACCTACTGCTTCTGCGTTTCCCTTCAAAAAGGATTTTTGGGCAGTTAATGTCGATTCTATCGCTGTTGGAAATGGCTATCGTCAAAACTACGAAGCAGAGGAAATGGTGGCTCTGGTTGATACAGGTCAGTACGAGTATTCAATTTTCAATTATGATTTAATCTTAAATAACCAGCGTTTTGACTTGTTCGTAAAGGCTCGACATTAATTTACCTACCTACCAACATCATATCGCAAATCTTCTCAGACATTCGTGATGCCAATGTTGATGCTAATGGTCAATACATTGTTCCTTGTCAGACAGAGCTATTACCAGACATCAACTTCACTATTGGAGGTAGTAACTTTACTCTTACACCCGAGAATTATTTGATTACAGAAGGCCCTGTAAGTCTAGAGTCTAACCTTTAAAGAGCAGCAGTAAGAGATGCTAACCTTCTTTCGCACCATTACTTTATCTAGCTAGCAGCATTTTCAAATGATTTCTGTTATACCTATTTGACAGAAAGCCCAAACTATATTGATATTATTCTTGGCTATGGATTTTTGCAACATTATGTTTCTGTCTATGATAATCAACTTCACCGAGTGGGTCTAGCCAAGAGAATGGAATAAGCATCTTGATACTTTTTTTTCACCACAGCTGATCCAACCCTCAATACAATTCAGTATTATTTATTTTATGCTGAAAAAGATAGAATAAAAGCTCTTCTCACACACTATTTTTACACTTCTTTCTAAATGGTATTTTTATAAATTGATACAGCCTTTATATGAGTATTTCTAGTTGAAATACATGTACTCGCCCTTGCCGTTGTGATTCATTAGCTTCTTATATGCTATATTGCCTTTTTGAGAAAAAACGTAGCAATGGACATTTTTACAACTCTCAGATACCTCATCTGTAGTGCTCTCATTGTCAAAGTATATATTTCAGCGGAAAACCAACGACTGGACTTTTATTAGCTTCAAAATATTGATTGCTGCTGAAAGTGTGTGTTTGTAGCTTAAAAGTTTTACATGTCAATTTCAATATCGCTCGTATATTCAATTAAAGAAGAAGTTGTTTGATTAACAGCAATTCATCCATTTTATAGATATGCATTCTTGACTTGTTCTACTTATTGCCTCCTACTGTGTTTTATTATTTCTCCCTTACCTCATTTCCCCATTGCAATACCGCTTTCTGTGTCTTTATCATCATCTAATTTATGTCCAGGCTCTCTTGCACATGAAAGAATCCCCTTCCCTAACAGAAATTTCATATACATATTATCATGCTTCTAAACATAAAACGTAGTATTTATAAACAATAGTTTCTGAAAAGAGAAAGGGAGGAATCCAATTTCCTCTTGTCAAGGAAAGCATCAATAGTTATCGCTTCCTTTATTACATTTATGGCCTTTTACTGAAGTTCACTTGGAGGTACTTATCGACTTTTGAATAATACAAACATTTCTAGTTCTGATGGCTTCATCTCTGAAACAAAACAATTGATATTCGGTTTGTATTGGAGTTGCTTTCGCTTTGGTATCATCAGGTTTAGGCATCGTGTGTATGCGAAATATTGGGAAAGGTTTCAAGCCCTCCTTCATTCAAAGAGGAAGAACAAAAGCCAGAATCGAACTGATGAAGAACTCATTGAGAAGAAATGGCCACAAGAGTTGGGAAATGGATGCTGTTTACAGCTTTTTAGTTCTCCAGAAAGCTATCATTATAACCGCCCGTTGAATTTCAACTCTCGAAATGGCTTTGCCTTTTTTTTACAAAAAAGTCCTTCTTTTTAAGCCCTTTTTCAGACTCCTTGAGCTACACATCACAGTGTTCTTATTCGTTGTTTTTCTCGGAAAAGCCGAGGAAAGTGGAAGAATAGGATAGCAACAAATTAGCAGTAAATGGTCGGAGCAAACAGTGAATGAATCCGATTTGAATCAAGGATGAAGGAAATAGCATAGTAATACCATTGCAATTTGAGAAAATGTGCCTGAGTCTTCTCTGCAAAACTGTATTTTTGGCAGTAGTTGAAGCGCAAGAAAGGGGTTATACCATCAAATTTGTTCTAAATCAAAAAAAAAGGTAAAAACTTCAAACTGAGATTGTTGCTGACAACCGAAAATGGTGATTCATGTTCTTTTTGTATTGATCCAATGCTAAAGTGCTGAAAATATCTCAACATAACCGTAATATAACCAAAACAGCAACATTCTATGTATACTATTTTGATGGAAATTCATTTGATTAGCATCCTTTTTTATTAATGAAAGTAAGTGTACTATAGGAGGGTTCGCTGTGAGGTAAGATCTACTTAGTATTACTGTTGAATGAGATTCGATGCTGCAGATGAAGGCTGTGATTTGTCAAACCAAAGCTTCACGGATTTGTCTTGGTCAATAGAACCCGACGCAATAATATTCATCGTAGGATGACAAGCAATGCAAAGAACGACATCTGAATGTCCCTCTAGCTTCTGCACTATCTCTTTTGTCTGTAAATTCCAAATATAAATACAATGATCTTCACTTCCACTCACGATCCATTTGCCACCTGTCACACTGAAACTGGCAAAAATGCAATATTTGTTGTTTTCGTGTCCTTGATACGTTTTAAGACATCGACCGTTGTGGTAATTCCATAGCCGTAAAGTATTGTCTAATGTGGAGGAAAGGATATATTTACCGTTGGGTGAGAATTTGACAAAGGACACAGGTGGGTTGTCATCATCAACCAGTGTCTTTAGACATTGTCCGCTGGCTGTGTCCCAAATACGAATCACGCCGTCATGACTACAGCTCACAATCATCGTACCGTCCCTGTTGAAATGCACGGCTGACACAGGGTCTGAATGCGCCTGTAACGTTTTCATACATTTGCCTTTTTTCACATCCCAGATTTTAATATTTTCATCGAACGATCCAGAAACGATTAAGTTTGATTGAGGATTGTAATTCACACAAAAGACATAATTTGTATGACCTTTCAGCACTTTGACAGTATCGCGCTACAAATTAAAAAGTTGAAAAGAGAAAGAGAGAGATGAGGAACTTGTTTCGCTAAAATAAGGCGAGCGGGTTTGGATAGGCTATGTCAAGGCTTACAGTGGCTAAACTCCAAATACGAATGGTCCTGTCGTCTGATGCTGAACATAGATTTTGTGAATCAGAAGACCAAGCAACGTCTGAAATACCTTGTGTATGTCCTTCTAATGTGGCTTCATATTTTCCATCTAAAGCGTGCCAGATTTTGATCGTTTTATCGGCAGCTGATATGTTTTCCCAATGCCAATAAATTATTCAACTTCCAGTTAAAGTAGTGTCAAATCAAAGAGAATGAAAAGAGAGAACTTACAGCAACTGGCTAACCATTTGCCATCAGGTGAGAATTTAACACTGGAAACTGACATACGGTGACCGACTAACGAATATTTTAATTCATATTGTGGTTTACGTTGTTCTGGACGGGGTTTTGGTGGTTGTTGCGGTTGTTGTGTTGGTGTTGATGTCGATTGTTGTTGTTGTTGCTGTGCATCTGTTTCTTGTCGTTTTATAGCTGGTTCGGGGGCTGCACCATTAGCATCTTCTTCGCGTGGTCTCTTTGCAACATCATTTTCACTGTGTGAATCCACTGCCAAAACAGAAGGCAGAAACGAAAAAGTTAGTCCCTTTCTTGATACAAATTCAATATACTTTGTGTTCTTTTCTAAATAATTACTTGTATTTGTTCAATAATAAATAATTTCTTTGCCAAACACCAAACCACGATTGTGAAAAACTTTGATTTTTGAAATGGTTATTCAATGGTAACAAAAATTCCTGCCACTACTTTGGTAATTTTTTTTTTTTTTTCTCAATAAAAAAAAATGAAACCACCTTAGAAGAAACTAACCGCAAATTGTGACAATGAAATGTGACGTCAGTCTGAATTTCAAAAAAGCGGCGCATGTTCAGTTTTTTTTACGACAGCATCTTTTACTTTCGAATTTTAAAGCTTGAGTTTTATATGGAGCGTTCCGAGATAAAACAGGACATAATTGAAATATTCTGTTAGAGACGAAGAGCGAGACTATCGTTGCCAACAATAACATTTTAGAGGATTTCGTTCACTTCAACCCCGTCAAAGATGGCTATTATGTGACAGACAATAAATCCAGTGAAATGGATATTGACTACAACGATATCCAAACATTGGTTCAGTACGGTGAACCACGATAGCCTGCAGAGGCTCCTAATGTTCAAATATCAGACGTAGTTGATGAGTTGCAATTGTATATGGAGGCGCTTGACATGGAGGAGACGAAACAGCGACGAGGGTATAATGCCTCTTAAATTAAGAAAATGCTCTAACGTTTAGAAGAAGAAGTCAAAAGTGTTACAGAAGCTGCATTTTTTCAGGGATTTCGCGCAGCTCAGCATACAAATTAGTAAAGAAGTCTGACCTTAGCAGTAGTACTATAATCCCTTTGAGTCCTACAGTAGACGAGTTGATGGAACGATTGAGGTTTAGCAAGAAGTTGTCACCTGAGCACACTGATTTCATTTTGAAACTATCACTGAGTGAAGGTTGACACCACTTTCACGCGTGTCAACCTCACCCTCTTCCAATTTGAGGATGAAGCAACCTTGGTAAGTAAGCTAAAGAAATCTATGGCCATTTATGGCAAGGTGTGCTAGATCAAGATGCTTACCAATCGAGGTTTCTTTGAGGGCGAACTCTCCATGTTGCTTCACCAGCGGTAGAGATGACGATGGCTCTTCTCCTGTGCAACATTGGATCGTAAACTGTTTTTGTACGAATGGGATACGTTAGCCTGCTGCCAGCTGGAAAGGCGTACCTCCTGTCTGTTACTACTGTCGCCAAGCTGGGCAGGTTCGTAAAGACTGTTCAGCTTTGCAAAATTTGACCTGCTACAAATGTCATCGTAAGGGTCATATTCGTTGAAATTGCCGCATGGAAGACGTTCCTGTTCCTGTTTTGACAGCTAATGAGCAAAGTGATACCGACGCCATCGCTGAATATGAAGTTCTGAGTGAATTCACCAATGACGAACGCTCCATCGATAGTCCTACTATTACCTCCCATCAATGATGAGTCTGCCCTTATCATTCCGTAAAAGGCAAAACGCTATGGATAGAATGTCGTTGACAAGTCATTGCTACTTGGCGTATACGATGGTCCGTATGTTGTTATTCTCTCAGGACTGGATCACTTTCACCATCGCGTTGATCCACCACCCTAGACCACTCAGGCCAACAATTCATAGATTGGTTATCATTATAGCTGTTAGTATTCTGAGTGTTGCCTTTCCTTCCTTTTCCTTTCTTTTTACCTTTTGTCCCCTAAAAGGGATTTTTTTACAATCAATTACAACCACTGAAACTGGCCAGAGCAGACACAATGTATTAAGACATTACGTGCTCACAGGTCACAAAAAAGTTTTTCAATAAAAGAAATATTTAACCATATTATACCATACCTTGGCTATCTGTGTTGGTTTGGTGAGAATGCATAAGATGTAATAGTTGTTAATGACCAATGCTGCAAGACAAATACGACAATGATAAGCAGAGGGACGTAAAGAATAACTGTTTTGGAATCTACATAACGATTGGCCTGCCGGCTTTTTGCACATTTCTAATAAGCATTGGATAAGGGATATCATCCATATCTTACATATGTTTGTGCTTTTTTTTTTTCAAATCGCTAGAAAACAAATAAATAAGTATTCTATACTAATATTATTTACAGAGACAATGCAGCATAATATAAAAAAAGAACAATTAGTATGGTTAGTTTAGAAGCCTTTGTAAACATCTATTCTAGTTTTGGTACTGTTGAATGCACTAGAATGGTGGCGTTTGCTGTGCTTATAACGGAAATATGAACAATCATCTCTAGAGATACAGTAGATCCTAGCTGTGCAGTCTTCATCATTCTTCTCTGTAGCCAAGATCTACAGCATTTCTTTGCTTGGCGTAGTTGCGATAGGATTGAGGAAACAAGTGCTTTGTTTAGAGAGATTGATCACAACACCGAGCGTTAAAGCCCTTCTCACTGATATGAAGAATGTCCACTATGTCAAGTGTAGATTCATTATCTATTCACTGTGCAGTAGCTATTCAATGGAAGGTAAGAGACTAGATGTATAAGAGTAACTCTATCCTCCTTCTGATGGACATTCTGCATAAGACTGAAAGAGAGATGAAAACAGTTTATTTATAGAATGATGAAAATGAGTACATGTCAATATGCAAGAAAAAATAAAAATGCAGTTGTTTACTTTCTATCCGGATAAACATGGGACTTCACCATCTAGAAAGCGTATAAATAGGTAAACTGTCTTTCATGGGTGTGAATGGCAATTTCACCTTTTGCCCTCCAACCAAGTCACTTTTCCTCACTCGCTCGCTCAATTATGTCCTCGCCTGGTGTACTCATGTTGAAACGTCATCTGTTTTTCGCGATATTCAGTTTATTTGTATATACTGTTTTTGCTGCTTCACTGCTAGAAAGTCTCTATGGACAGGGAGGAAAAGAAAAGAAAGAAGGACTGATAAGGATAAGGAAGGAAAGAGGTTACGATCGATATATCCTTCATTTCTACTACGATCATGGACAGAAACGCGGAAAGACAAGCTGCTCACTCAAAAGAAAACAAACCCTACGGCAACTCAAGCAAGGAAATCCTGTACTGTTTGAGACATGCACGCAAAGTGATTTGGAGTACGGCATTGAATGTGAAGTAGGAAGTATAAAGTATCAGCCTCGATGTGCCGAGTGGCAAAGTACCTGCACTCAAAAATGGCAAGGAACAGTCATGTACGATGATTGTCAATACATAGCGACATAGGGAATCCATATAAACATACGTTTTGATCTCACATCTGGTTTCGCTTTTATAAAATTTTCTGATCCAGCTCAATGACCTACAGTCTAATAGATATATTCCCCCTCCCCTCCCTTCTCCTCCCCATTGTTGATTCAAATAGCAAGCTCATGGACATGACTGTATTCATCATTCAATCGAACCCATTATTTCTGTACATGATTTATGCGTATATAAATGTTGAATAGGATGACAATGATTAGGAGTTTTTTTTTTCATTTTTCTACAGAATGAATAATCTATCTATCTATCTATTAAAAGCAACACATGCCATCCTATGGGTTTAGATCAGTCCTTTGGCAACAGCAATTTCTGCATTCAATACTGAAGAACCCGCGGCGCCCAAGAGAGTATTATGCACTAGCAACATAAACTTGACATCCAAAACAGGACACTTTCTCACTCTTCCGACGGTCACAGTCTGACCCTTTAAGTTTTCACGGTCCAAACGGGGTTGAGGTCTATCCGCATCATAGTTGACGACAATAGGCTTCTTTGGCGCCAGATGGCATCCCAATGTTTCTGCTTCCGACTGGTAGTTTTCCAATACTTGGTAGACTTCCTCTATGGAGGGAGAGGCATGAGCAAACTTGACAGAGACGCTTTCGAGATGACCGTCCAAGACAGGTACTCGGGTGCAAGTAGCAGAAACAGTGGTGGCGTTTTTGTCTTCAGACAAATGGACAAAGGCGGTCTTGTCGTCGGACAGATCGCCCAAGATCTTACCGACTTCCCACTCCATTTTTTCTTCTTCGCCGCCGATATAAGGCACGACGTTATCGAGGATATCGAGACTTGGCACGCCGGGATAACCGGCGCCACTGATGGCTTGTTGAGTGTGGACGATGATGTGGGATAAAGGACCAAAGGCGTCCTGAAGGGCCTTGAGAGGAACGACTAAACCGGTGGTAGAACAATTGGCATTGGTGATGATGAAGCCCTTTTTGAGGTTGTAAAGCTGGCGTTGATGAGGAATGATATCGAAATGGTTGGCGTTGACGGTGGGAACGATGAGAGGGACGGCTGGGTCTCGACGATAATTTTTAGCATTGGAAAATACAGCTATGTCTTGTTTCAACATGGCCATTTCTGTTTTGATATAAATGATTAGTTTGTGATGCGTCCTTCTTTACCTGCCCAACTCCCTCTTTTGAATACCCGATCCAACGCTTGTTTTTTTTTCTCTCTATTTACCAATATCACCAGCGACATCGGCATCCAATCCTGAAAATACAATATCACAATCCTTGAACAATTCCGCTTCACATGGTTGGACGACCATGTTGGCTACGTGGTCTGGAATAGGACATGACTGTTTCCAGCGCACAGCATCTTTATAAGGTTTGCCTGCAGATCGAGCAGAAGCCCCTAACGCATGAATAGTAAAAATGGGATGTTCTGCTAATAAAAGAATAAAACGCTGACCGACTGTTCCAGTAGCACCAAGAATACCCACTTTTTTGCTGGACATTTTTATTCAATTTAAAATAATTAGAAAAAAAAAAAAAAAAAAAAAAAAGAGAGGGAAGGGAGATGGAATCTTTCTGTTGCAATATTAAATCCGGTAGGTTTTCTTTAGAGGCTCTTTTTGTTGGTCTTTTTTCAGTTGGAACGGAACAAAATGGTACCTGTTGAATTTGATTGGCTGCCTGTGACTCATCCTAACGATCCCCTTTTTTTTTAATTTCCATTGAACCGAACTAGAGGTCGGTCCTTTCCTCGCACAGAACGCCTCACCCACTTGAGTACATTGTATGGATATATCGCTAATAGTACAAATGGGGGTGCTTTTTATTGATACTTGTTATAACATTGTTATTTATCAAAGCCTATCCGATTGGGAGGGCGGGGAAATAAGGGTAAAAAATGTAATGAATGAGAACAAAAAAAAAAAAAAAAAAGATATGTCTATCTGTAAAATGAAAAAAAAAATCTACATTTTTCATTTTTTCATTCAGCATGCCAAGAGAAAAAAAAAAAAAAAAAAAAAAGAAGATCATGATAAATTACACTGTTTTCGAGTTGTTGTTGGTATCAGCATTCTCTCTTTTATTTTTAAAAACCTATGCCTCCATTTATAAGACTTGGCACCCCATGTATTTGAGAAAAAAGAGGTGGTGGAGCTGGTAGAAGTACGAGTAGTAGTAGTAGTAGGTGCTGTGGTAGTAGCAAATGACCGAAAGGAACTGAAACTGGGTCGACTGATACCGAATGTGGCAGTTGAAGATGCCATGGAAGGAGACGAATACAATAAATTGACAGGAAAAGAGAATGAAGGCGAGAGGATGTTGGAGAAACGCTTCTTTTCGTTTATGGTAGCGTATTTTTGTTGTTGTGGCGGAGGCGTGGTTGTATATGAATTATGACTCGGGGTGGGAGTGATGGGATGATGGGAGGGAGTCGTGTCTGATGCACCACTGCTATGACTATGACTTTTACTGCTACGACGATGAGCGGTAGTACCAGAAGAGGAAGAGGATGAAGAATAAATAGAAGAAGTAGACAAAGGGGAAGCGGGCAACCCTATCGCACGACTATTACGTTTGCTGCCGCCATTGAATTTAAGATAAAAGTCATTTGACCAAGGTATGAACGAATTGACCCTTAAAAGCTCCAAAATAAGCTCTGCAGCTGCATCGAAGCAATCGATCTTCAAGTCTTTATGATTAGAATCATCTATCTTGAGATGGTTGTTGTTGTTGTTAGATAGGACAAGGATGTCTTCACGTAACTCACAAGGTATGTTGATTTCGTACGGTGAATTGACCAAAATGAAGTTTTCTATCATCTCTTCAAACTGAATCCAACTAGGATTGGCTTTATAACGTTGTACGTTTTGCCAAAAGTACAAGTTTTCGATGCAATACGTTTGGTGAAGATAGAGAATAAAATCGTCGTAAACCTCACTATTTTCTTGTTGTTCTAAAAGGGCTGTCAGAGATAGGTTTTGTACATTAAGAACACTGTGTGATGATGGGTAGTGATTGGTATTTTTATTCATATCGTTAGTCGAGGCAGCCATCGTCGTTATGGTTGCGTATCAAAAGAACAAAATAAGGAAAGGTGGAACTAAGAAAAAAATAGAGAAAATAAAGGGAGGGAGTAGTTGCTATGGAAGCTAAAAATAAGAATTTGCAGTCTTGCTTTCATTTTGGAAGGCTGCCAAAATATCGCTCTATGTAAGCCGTAATGTGTGTGCGTTTAGGTGTGCGCAAGTGCGTTTTTGTGTGCCTTAAAAGAGAAAAAGCGTCAAAAGAATGACGTTCGGGTTGTACAAAGCTTTGAAAAACGTGGCACCAGATCAACAATACAAGTTTTTTAAGGAGTCCAAAAAGTAAAACGATTCTTATATAAAATGGTACACAAAATAATAATTAAAAAAATAAGAAAAAGTCTCAACTCTAAAACAAAGAATAACTGTCATACATAGATGGATCATTGTTATTTCATTTATGTGAATAATAGCTCGTACAAGACAATGGTCGGACGAGTATGATCACACCATGTCGATAAATTTGCTGTGAAATGATGGTTTACTATGATACAACATCACTACTATTTCTTCTCAAAGGAGAGTGTTGAATATGCAGATGATGTCGTTTTGGTTTGAGAAGGGTAGAGGTATGAATAGTAGTCGTAGTAGTAGTGGTGATGGTGGTGGTGTTATTAGCAGTAGTAGTGTCAGACAGAGCCAAAGGTGGTGAGAAAAGAAAACTCGAATGACTTGTAGTACGTACGATCGGCAATGGTCTGATCTTGGGTTCATTCTTTCTGTGGTTGCTGTTGGAAGGAATAGAAAGGGTGCCTGCAGGTAGACTCATCATTTTGCGATGTTTCAAATCTTCACGCGATACAAACTGCATGGTCACGTTCTGTTTGAGAACGCCATCGCCTCTATCTTTCGTGGTGACGTTCGTGGAACATTGACTCAACTCTTGCCACTGAAGGGTGTTTGCATTCAGAGTATCCAATAGGATATTATCACTAACACCCTTTGTTGTCGTTGTAGTGGGATCATCCTGCGTATCATCAATGTCGTTATAATGGCTGGACAATGATGGTAAAGCTAATATAGCAGCCACTTGTTCAAAGTATTCTTTCACTATATTGTTGAATCTCACGCCCGTACTGGCTTGAGTATTTTGCATACGATCCATACCTGGTGATATTTTGGGAAACCCAGCTTCTCGTTCATCATCTCCTTGGGCGTAGAATTCTTGCACGACCAAATCAGACCATTGTTTGGAAATACGCCAAGGTCGAATTGGATTACTTATGTCAGCAGCATGGAGGAGGACACAAGCAAGAGCAAGTCTTTGTTTTGGTGAGAGCTTGAAAGAGGGTGGCGGTGGTCGTGACGACTGTGATGATTGTTGTGCAAGGTCTTCAAGAGGAGACGGTGAGCTTACCAATGGAACAGAAGAAGGAGGAGTGATAAAGATACCTTCCGGTAGAGAATTGACAGTTGTGGATGTGGAATGGGATGATTTACTAGAAGAAATGACAGAAGTAGTGGTGGTAGTAGTGGTGGTAACTGTTGATGATGTAGGGGAAGGATGAGGAGAGGTAGCATAATCCTCATCCAGTGAGAAAATCAGCTGTTGCTGAGTACAGCTACTATGAATACTGCTTTGTTCGTCTTGTGCGGTAGGTAGTGGTTCAGTTTCCATCACTGAGACTACCATGGCTGATAAGAGTTCAGTGGCCAAATTCTTGTCTTTGAGAAACTCGTGATCATTAAATACTGGATCATCGTCCTCCTCTTTCTGCAATGGTGGTGGCGGTCGTTCTTGTTGTTGCTTTTGTTGTGTTGATTGCTTGTCGTCATCTGTCGGCGTATGTGTCGGTTCAAGATGGACATTTGCATGATCAAACATATCTCGCAATATTTTTGCCATTTTCAGCAAATCATGATGATGCTTCATATCTGTCAAGAGAATAGCTGTCTCGATCCATTCGTGAATCATACATTGTTCTTCCATGGAGGTGAATGCATGAAACAAGCGATGCTTCTCGATTAATTCAAGAGTAATGTCTACTGATAATGCTTCTAAATAGGAAGTGTTCTTTTCAAAACGCGTGGTTAAGGGTGATTTTGTTCGCTCATGAAAATCGTTATTGCGACCATTCTAATGAAAAAAAAAGCGTTGAAAAACAAGAACGAGTTAGATCTAAAGGATGCTATGGACATAGTTGAATAACAGTGATAGATTACATGTCCTGCATCGTGACAGATGGCAGCAATAAAAATGACAGCGATTTCCAGCTCCATGATGAAATCAAACTCTCCTTCTACTGCTCTGTTCCTCATTAACTCCATATAGTTTGAATACAGCATCATCAGAACGTCACAACCATGTCTAAAAGAGTGATAAGGGGTATCTTGGTATCTCTCTTGCACATCGATCAAGAAGTCCAGCATCTGTGAAGGTGTCACTTTCAGGATATCCATCACTTTCAGCTTTTTAAACATGGCCAATAGATAACCGTAGATTTCGGGCAGATCGTAATCGAGTATATTTAGATGAAGAACAGCATCAAAAGATCCTAACAGCGGTAGTGCTAACTCCTTTGGCCGTCGAGCGTCATGCATTTCCTGTTCTGCTTCTTGACTTAGTTGACTAAACCAACGTGTATATTTCTGTGGGGGGGTGGAGATAGGGGATGAGCACAGAGATAAATTGTACATCGGTTTCTACGCTTTCTCACTTTTTTCTAGGTCAACTTACTGATTCAATTTTTATCAAAATATCCGAAGGCAACTCACTATGATGCTTTAATAGAAACATAAAATAAATTCAAAGTAGGGGAAAAGTGCAATAAAGAAAGGGGAAGAAAAGAAAAGTATAAATAATTGGGAAAAATAAGCAGTTGACGGATGTCATATGTCACTTGTCATCTGTCTAATTCTTAATCTATCCAATAGGTCGGGATGATCACGGGTCTTTTGCTCTCTTTTTCTGTTCATTGATTGGATGGGAAATCGGCAAAAAAAAGAGAAAAAATCTTTTAGTTGTGGGGTTATTTTTAAAAAAGAATTAAAAAGTATAGCGTAAAAAAATACTATACAATAAGAACGTGGTATCTAAGCATATGACTATTTACAGGTTGTTTCATTCTTGAATTTGAAAGCAGAAAAAAAGAAAGCTTTCTATAGGTCATTATCCATGGAGAGGCTGAATTTACGTTTGTTACTTTTGTTACTGTCAGAAAGAGTAGTAGAAGCGCCTACGGTTGTTTCTGATGCTCGTTGTTGCAATACATCTGCTTCTAATGCATCCAGATCCAACCCATCGAGTCCTGAGAAACTACCAAAGAGATCCTCTTCATCTTCCTCTTGACTTGTTACTGGGATAGCGGGGGGTTGTGTTTGCCGTAAAGGAGAGGGTTGTGGGGCTGTGAAGGCTGCTGTAGATGGACGAAGCGGTGTAGACGTGGCAAAGGTGTGATCTGGAGACCATAAATAGCTCGCATTTTTCTCATTAATGTCTGCGATCTCCTCTTCTTGCATAAACCTATCTGGATTATATAAGCGGTTGGGTGACGGTTCTGACGAGAGACTGTAAAACATGTTATGTGGTAAATGCTGTTGTTGGAAAGGTTGATTCTCTTTATCACACTCCCTGCTGCTATCTTTGACGTTACTGAGATGGCTTGTTGCTTCTCCATCCTCCACTATTACTTTAGGCATTTCTTTCGGTCTATCTAAAAGGGCCTTCAGCCAATGATAGATCTCGCCTGTACTATCTGTTTCGATTTTAAACCCTCCACATCGCACCATGATTTCTTGCTGCTGCCTTTTTTTATTGAATCGTTGTTCGAGTTTTCCAAAGACAGTAATGCAGCAAGACACAGCGATGAATTCTGCATCTTTTCGATTCATGATAGTAGGTGATAGGATAGCACGGATAACACTTGTTCCGTCATCTATTGTTTCCAGAAAGGTAATCATCATTAAAAATGACTTGTTGTATCTCCCAACCCCGTCAACGTTCTTTTACCTATCCAGATATGAGTTTCGAAACTATCATGATTCAATTTAAGACGTGCTTGTTTTTGTTTGACAATGATACCATTTAATCTAGGCCATGACAGAAAAAATAAATATCAACGTGGTCTTTCACCATGGACGATCGATGAAGTAGCAAGACTTTACCTGGCATGACGATAAGTTAATCTCGTAGATTTTGTTGTGAAAGTGTTTTGATGTGGATCAAAACTGGATGTCACGACATCCTTGATAAACATGACATGATGACATTTTAGATTCTCTTCTCTGATATCTACCATGGTGCGGGTATGAACCATGATTCAGAAAGACAATTTTATTATAAATTTTCATGCTCAATATATGTACCTGAGAAATGGAAAAAAAAAACCAAAAAAAAACGCGTCGTTTCTTTAAACGCGGTAAGAAAAGAGAGAGAGAGAGGCACACCTCAGGAACAAGCAGGAACAAAGCACAAGAAGAAATCAAAATTTATATGGCGTCATCAGATAATCTGTTCAGTTGAAATACTAAACATTGCGTACCTAAAACGTGCTTTGAGTTTATTCAATGCTACTAACTGTATTTAGCATGTTGGCTCTTTCAGACAGCAGAACTATTGGTTTTTATACTCACCTTTAACCAAGGTTTCAACTTAATATTCAGCTAGTTTGCATAGTATGTACTAGTCACCAGAACACAGACACTTTCTTATTTACCAAAGTATATTATATCTATTTACAGATTATCTCCCTTCCATTCATAGCTATTATGAGTGACATTCACCTCTTTAGGAAATAATTGTGTATTTTTATTGCTCATCTTTATCACTTTTATAAAATCTTAATGAATAGTCGTACAAGTAAAATTGGATGAGGAACAGAAAAAAAGAAAAAAAGCGTCCTCCTCATTGCGAGACAGCACAGCCTAAAAAGAAAAAAAGTGAGGTATCACACAGGTTACACTCAAGGGGTTGTCGTGAGTGCATGGTGGAAGAGACAGACAGTCTATAATAGCTTCTACTGTCATTTCTACAAAGACATGCGTGGCTCGCTGATGATGTTCAGTATCTATGTATGCCGGTGTTGGATCACATAGCCATGTCCATTTTGGGTTCAAGTTGGATAAGCAAAAAGTAGGGCAATGGATAGCGTCCGTCAGCGCATACTGGAGAATTGAGCAACACAACAAGTTACATTTTCAATAAAGGAATAGTAATGCAATCTATTACTGTTTGTCCAACACGAGTGCAAATGGTTCATGATAGAGTACTGCAAAATGGCGGTAAAACCCTCTTCACTTTCCAAATCCTTTATCCAATCTCGTTTTCTGTGTCTTTATAAAGAGAAGCTCGCTCTCTCTCTCTTCTCGCTCTTTACTTTTTGTTGCTTTTTTATTGTCTTTTCTTCTTCTTGTTGTTCTGTCTTTCTACCTCACAGTCCCATTCCTTTCATTATAAACCATCCTCTCTCTCTCTTTCTTTCTCATTACAGAAGCCGAAAAGTGCAACAAAACAAACCAACTTTGATTAGAGACGCATTACAATAGTACCCAACTCTCCTCTTTTCAGATACAGTCTATCACCTACACAAACAACCCAAAACCCTTAACAAATGATGCAATTGAAAACTCTTTCATTAGCTGCCATTGGCCTTCTTTTACTGAGTGGTCATGGTAGCAATGCCGTTCAAGCAGCAACCATCGATGATGTTGCTGTCGTCCGTGGTGGCGAAGAACAATTGTCCGACGCTTATCTTTCACTCTTCGATACAGAGGAAGACCAAGAGACCGATTTTGAGTTATCTGAAGATTACGCTGATGAAGAAGACTATCACCCATTAACCAAGCGCGGTGAAACTTGTGCCAAATATCATACTGGTAAGTGTTCTTCTGCCTCGCACACACAGCAATAACCCCAGTCATTCATTCCTTTTGTTACAACAACAACCACAACAACAACATAGTAAGTGGTAGCGATTCTTGTGTCAAGCTGGCCAAGAAGTATGGTGTTACCTTGCAAGATATTTACGATTGGAATCCTCAGATCAGAAAAGGATGTCCCAACTTGAACAATGGCAAAAAGTACTGTGTCAATATGTCTTCCGGCTCTTCTGATAGCAGCAGCGGCAGCAACAGCGGCAGCAGTTCGAGTGGTTGTGCCAAGACTCACAAAGGTAAAAAAAAACCACCAGAAACATCAGCGATTGTTGAAATGGTAAACTCACCTTTTTTGCCCAAATTGGATAGCTACTAGTTCTGACACTTGTGCCAAACTAGCCAAGAACAATGATATGAGCTTGAGCACCTTTTACAAATTGAACCCTAGTGTTCACTCCAACTGTGACAACTTGCACACTGGCAAATCCTACTGTGTCAAGGCTGGTACTTCTTCAGCTTCATCTTCTTCTGTGTCCAACAAGATTACCAACTTGGCTGCTAAAAAGAAGACTTCCGCCAGCAAGAAATCTTCTTCTTCCTCCTCCAAAAAAGAAACACGCAAGAAATTACAAACCAAATCTGCCTTTACTTATTATTGGATTGCTCAACCCAGCGATTATACTGGTGGTAAGAAGGTCTATGTCAAAACCTGCAGTGGCAAAACCATTGGTTCTGTTGGCGAAAACTATGCGGATGCGCTTGTCATGGAAGGCACAGGCGTGGTGGGCTCCAAGATTGTCAATTTGGGCAGCTGTAACTGCAACAGTTACAAGTGCTTCGAATTGGTTGATAAGAGTTCTGATCCCTTTGGCTTGACGGCTTATGATACGCCTCTTCGTCCTTATGTCACGATTGCTTCCAACGACATCAAGAAGAACACCAAGATTTACGTTCCTGCTCTGGTCGGTTGGAAGATCCCTGGTTCTGGCAAAACGCACAATGGCTGCTTGTTGGTCGACGATCAGTCTTGGAGTTTCAACGGCAAACATATCGATTTCTACGTCTATTCTATGTCCAATTACGAAAAGTTGGATAAGCAACATCGTATCAATCATGTAGATATTTATGAAGGTGGTTCTTGTAAACTTCTCAACTACATGTAATCTTTTTTTTGCTACATCCCTGTCCCCCTTCCATTTATTTATTTGAAATATACTCTACCACGCGCGATGGAGACTAATAAATAATTATATGAAAGATGAGTGTAAGTTGGAGGGCGCATGATTTTTATATATCTGGCACGAGACGTGTTTGCATAACCTCCGTAACGTTTTTCAAAGTCAAGATACTATTCATTAAGTCCACATGAGCACATAATCTTGGTGAGATTGAATTGCTCCCCACAGCTAATGCATCGTTATCAGACCGGCTCTTTTACCTCACCCGTTCATCTCGGATAATGGGTGGGTTAATCAAATACTGAAGTCGCATTATCGCCATTGCGGTATACCTTCTCCTGCTATGGCTGTACTACTTGATTAAAAAAAAAAGCATATGACCGTGTGCCTCCAGATGGTTACGAAGCACTTTGGATTTCCTAAGTTCCCTAGTGTCCTATTTATCCAGTCTATTTTTTGACACAGAAATTGTTTCCCTCTCTGGTAATAAGCATACAGCATGGCTCCACATTGCTAATTAGGAATCCTTCCTTTCATTACAGCTGAAAATCTATCTGCTGCAAGATATCTAGGCTGACCCTCTCTTAACCTCAAATGCCCAACCAAGACGTTATGTAGCTTCTATTGAACTGTGAACCATCCATCACTGTAACCTACTGAAGCAACGAAGATTATGAGTCCGAGGTGCCTTACTAGTTGCTAACTCCTTTCTACGTAGCAAACCGTGACATATAGAGCATGTTGACGTTGTGCCTGTAGATTGGATTGATAAAATTCCGTAACTTTGTGGTTTCTTTTTGGCATGTTCCAGCTTGGGATGATATATGCTCACCTGAACATTTTGGTGGTTTAGGTTCGCTGGATCCGCATCATGAACACTTGGCTTTTCATCTTGTGTATGTTCAGTGCCTCTTACAGCCTCTGAAAGCTTGGCCATTTTCAATCAATTCTACGTTCATAAACTCTCCTCTTGGTCCATAACGGAGGTTCGCGCCGTTTATCATAATGAAATTCGGTTCCGTCCAACCCATACGGGCTAGTGTTATACTATCTAACATTCACTGTAGTAGTTCAGCTTCCCTTCTCCCTATTTCTTGCAAAATGTCGCAAATAATCCTTTTTTACTATTTGTCATAAGTTACCATTGATTACGTGAATCTGATACAGCAAAAAAGTTATCTGGTGGGGGAGGGGGGGGTTCCAAAGCCGTGCATCCATCACCCTAATAAACAATGTTTACCTGCAAACACTCAATTAGGTGTCTTCATATGTACCATCGATCACAAATGTTCCTCACAGTAAATGATCCATCATCATTTCGCGGAAACTACTTAACGGCACAGCCCAATACAAATCTTGCTTAAGCGTTATCAAGCTTATATGATCCGTCTGATGATGACGCTTTTCTATGCTGTCTATTTTATCGGTCCGCTCAGGCTACGTATCGTTAGTGTTTAACGCTGTTGGAGGAAACCAACTTTGCGATACACATGGTGAACGTTCCTGTATCATTGGAGAGATCGAATCAAGTTTTTATAATACGTAAAAAAAAGAGGGTGACAATGTCACTCTGATGTCAAGGTGTCAAATCTACTATCGATAAGGATCTATTTATCCACGTGATTCAAATTTAATCACGTTACCTCGTTCATTTTTCAAATAATTTAGGGAAGGGGAATCATAGAATGGTAATTTTTCATACATAACAAAGGGATAAAGGAGAAATTATTTACACAGTGTTCTAAATCATACTTTTTGTAATCAGGGTTTAATCCACCTTGACGACGGATACAGAAGCGGCCTCAATCATAACGCGGTTTTGTGTGGTTTCGCCCTTTTCATGATGAGGATACGTAGCAATAACAGTGCCGTTGCAATTAACAGATTGATAGAAAGTGACGTTGACGAAAGGATCGTTCATTTCATACGAACCAACGTCCGTGTTGGTCAGGTTCCAACAGGGCGTCATAGCACCGTTGGTCGCCTTGATATATTGAACTTGACCTTGATGATTAGGTTCGGAATAAATAGTCATTCTGAATTGACGAGGTCTACGCATAGGTGCAACAGCAGCAGAAACCAAGCCAACACATACCACGGCAAAAAGTAAAGTGATCGCGGAACGAAGCATTATTACTGTTCTTTACGAGACTGAATGAGTAAGTGACTGTTCGGGTAATAAATAGGTGTTGAAGAAGAAATAGAAATATCTGAGAAAAAAAAAAAAAGGTGGAAAAGAGAAGAATGTCCTTTATATAATGTTTTCCCCCCTTCAAAATCCTCTGCTCTAAAAACAGAAACTGTAGAAAGATAATATTTCCTTTTTTAAACTTTTTCTTCTATGCCGACCTTCTTTTTTTAAAAACGTTGTTGAGACGAATGACAGCAAAAAATGTGACAGAAAAATTGTCGTTTTCCGTCAACGCAGACTCATCTTTTCTATTAAAAAGGGTACTTTTTTGTTTTAAGAAAGCAATTTCGTATCTGTTGTGTCATGAGGCTGTTTCAGCAAAATAGCTCACTTGTACATAGGACGTTTTTGTTAAAGTAAAGACTGAAAAAGCCCTTCTTTTTGCTTCAACTGTCCAGCAAAAGAAGAATCTTTCTCTTTTATTCATGCAGAATAGAGGAAGGTTACACGTAAAGTGATTTGTTACACAACGAAAGCATAGAAAGTGTTCTCAGGGCTTTTCCCAAAAAGTAACAAACAAATTGATGTCATAAGCTTTGTCTTTAGCGCATTTGTTGTAAGTATCCTGTTTGGCTCTAAGGATGGAGAAGAGAAACTCACCCGCGGATTTGAATTTTCCTTTTTCTGAACCTTCGTGGATTGTATATTCGATGTGATTGAGACAAAATGTAAGCGAAAGGGGAACAGAACAAAGTAGTGTAGGCCAATGTATACTGGCATTATGTTTGTGGCTGAGATATGACAAAATCTTATCAAGTTGTTTAAAATTGATAAGAAATAAACTGTACTTGCCTACGAATGTCCGTGTTCCTTGTCTCCAATTAAAAAACAAACTCATATGCTGACAATGGTCGTAGCCTATCAAAAAAAATTACCTTATTTGGAAATGCCAAAGAACAATTAAAAAAAAAAAAAAAGCCAGCTTTTTCTTAAAGGGTAGATGAGCGGCGGTGTGTATAATTGTGCAGGCCTTTCTCCAAACTGTATTTATTTTTTTATTCTTTTTTTGTAGAATGACTGAGACGGAAGAGCCATTGGAAATAACCGACACAGCAGATCAAACATCAAGTGCTACTACAGTAATAACATCCAATGCCCTTTCAGAAACAATCAATACAACAACCTACAGTGTCTTTATACCCGACTTCCAATCAGTCCAACCTTCCCTCCTCAGTTCGACAAAAGATCGCTACAATGACACTATTCAGAACAGTTTAAGAAAGGATCGGTCAGTAATTCAACAAACGATGGATATAGATCGACAACCGCACCATAACAATTTCTTCCGCAACGTTAAATGGTAAATTGAAATCATCCTCCCATCATCCAGATCGATCATTTATAAAAAGACAAAACCAGTTCATTGTGTTCATGGTCAGCACGAAACTCAATACAAACAAATGATTAACACCTTATCACTGCCTTTTTGGTTATAGGTCGCCGGATGGAAATTATTTACTGTCAAACTCTGCAGATGACGTGATACGACTATTTCAATTGTAAATAATCATGTTGGTATTTTAGTCAATGGCTTGGGAAAAAGTGTGCTCAATTTTTTGCTGTTGACGTTTCTATGATAGACCTTCCAATGCATACGAGTCAACAGAAGACCGTACCATCCAAGACTCAGGAACGTTCATGATGGAACCTCTGATGGGTATAAGAGAAGGTGAATCGGTTTATGATTTTGCCTGGTATCCACTGATGAATTCACAAGGTAAGGAAGAAAAGAGACATATAGCCACGCTATTTTTGTACTTACTTTGTGCTTGGGTTGACTCTAAACCCCTTTCTCTTCCCCTCCCTTGTTAGACCCATCTACATGCTGCTTTTTGACGTCTGTCAAGGACCATCCTGTACAACTCTGGGACATGAATACAGGTACAGTGCAGTCCAGTTACAGCGTGATTGACCATTGTGAACGCTTCATCGGCCCCAACGTCATCACCTTCAACCCCGACGGGACAAAGATCTATTGCGGCTATGAAAACATGATTGATATCTTTGACGCCTACACGGGCGACCGTTTCAAGCATCCCACCATTACGACGCGAAAGAAAGCCAAGAAGGGACAGAAAGGCTTGATCTCCTGTCTAGATTTCAGTCCTGTCGATTCTCTTTACGCCGCCGGTTCCTACAGTCAATCGATCGGCATTTACGATACCCATAATAACGAGCTTTGTTTGAAATTGGTGGGGTTCGAAGGCACAGGCGTCACCCAAGTCAAGTTTGCGAGAGACGGATATTATCTGTTTTCAGCGTCACGACACGCCAATAGTATCCTGTGCTGGGATATCAGAGATTCGGCAAACGTACTGTATGAATTGCCTCGACCAGGAAAAACAAATCAGAGAATACAGTTTGATCTAGATGTGTCCGGCAAGTATTTGTTGACCGGTGACGACAAAGGACAACTGTTGGTCTATGATGTGACAACGGCAACACCACACACGACGGCAGAAGACGGTAGTGCAATGGCTACAGCTAGGGAAACAGAAATAGAGGAATCAAAGCAAAGACTCGTGTCATCGTTTATAGCTCACCATGGTAAAATCGCATGGTCTTTTTATTTTTTAATTTTTTTTTTCCTCGCTAGTATTCGACGGATAGGTCTAGTCTAACCCTGAAAAAAAAAAAATGAATTTGTTGAATAGACATCTTGTCAGGAACGAGTTTCAACCCTGTCTACCCCGTGGTAGCAACTTGTTCAGGGCAACGAAAGTTCAAAATACCCGATAGCAGTGATGATGATGATATGGATGACGACGACGATAAGGATAATGATAAAAAGATGCTGACGCACGATGACAGTGTTATCGATAATAGTCTAAAAGTATGGAAGCTTCCCGGCCAATATGAATGGTATACTTACGATGCTCCCACGACCTTGGTGGAGGAAATGGAGACACTAACGCAACATCAAGAGATCAGCACTGTTTGATATTTTTGAACTTATTGCCTACTTTTTCCTTTCCAAAACAAATTGTACATATTATATATGGATACATGTATACCCTCTCTCCCGTTTGCTTTTCGAAATCAAATTTATTGCTGGTCCAACAATTCGTCCGACAAGGAGCCTACTTTGAAATGACAATAAAAGTATTTCGAGAGCATTCGCCAGAGAACAATAGAGTTTGATATATACTGATTCCGGTTGCATTGAACTTGAAGTTTTTTCATGGTGCATAAAGCATCCATGGAGAAATTGGCCCTCAGTAGGCATGACCGAAAAGCCTATGCTTTAAGGATATATAAAAAGTGATCAAGGTAGTTCGCTGCTGATGAACTCTCTATTGAGTACAACAAGCATAAAGCAATTCACTCTATTGCTACAAAGACCGACTTTTTTCCGAATAAGAGGGGGCTCCCCAAGAAATGCATGATGACAAAGAGTGTGCGTATGTGTGGGGTCAGAATAAAAAGAAAAACTACACTTTATTCCCATTAACAAAACAAATAACTTTTTGATTACAATCTTCTAAGATAATTCATATTTGGAATCAAATAAAACGCTCACACTTTCACCGAAATGAATTCGTCTGATCGCTTCTGCAAACAAAGGAGCAACAGGCAACACTCTAAACTTGGAGCTTCTTCTCAAATGTTCTTCTTGAGGCACCGAATCACTCACAATGACATGATCCAGATAACTCTGTTGAATACGCTCCACAGCATCTCCTGAGAGAATAGCATGCGTTATCAGAGCATAAATCTTTGTCGCGCCGTTTTCATGCAATAGCTTGGCAGCCTTGGTGATCGTAAAGGAGGTATCGGCAATATCATCGATCAAGATACATACTTTATCACGTACGTCGCCAACCAGCATGAGATCGTGCTTTTGAGGCTTGTCAGGTCGTCGACGTTCTTTGTGAATGAGCGCAAAGTCCATATGAAGTTTCTCTGCAATGGAAGTGGCACGTTTGGCGCCACCTGCATCTGGGGAAACAATGACGGCTTCTTGATAATTGGGTATGTTGCGATAAATATATTTTGCCATAGAGGGTAACGAAGATAGATTATCCACAGGACAATCAAAAAAGCCTTGAAACTAAGGTTCAACAATACCAGGCATTAGTTTTTATGAAATAAGCGTACATTGGGGTGGGTAGCCCACCTTTTCTTTTCCCCAACCCTGCCCTTTCCTTCACCTACATGACACTACCCTACCCTGCCCTTTCCTCTCACAATAAAATGTAAATACTTTACTTGCGCATCATGAAGATCCATCGTAATAATATGATCAGCACCAGCACAACTTAATAAGTCAGCAATCAAGGTACCTGATCTTGCAACCCATTGTTTATAACCATCACTATTGTTGTTATTATTTGAGTTGGACATCGACTGTTGCTGCTGCTGCTGTTGTTGTTGTTGTTGTTGTTGTTGTTGCTGTTGTTGTTTCTGCTGCTGTTGCTTTAGTTTCTGTTGTAGTAAGTTGACTTGATTGCTCGCTATAGCGTTGCTGTTATTTTGTGCTGCCTTTTGTCCCAATGTAATCTGTTGCCCCATGGTATCCAGATCACTGCCTGCCAACCGACTAAAGGTCGCGTTGGGTACAGCAGGTTGTTGGAAATGAGGATGATTCTGTTGTTGTTGTTGTTGTTGCAAAGAAGCAAAAGGATTATGCTGGGACTCGATAGCTTGTTGATGATCCCATGTCACTGTTTCATTTTTGGGTGTAGAGGGAACAGATACATTTCTAGGCGTAGAAGGTACTGTCATTGGCGGTGCCCGAATAAAAGGGGCACCTGATCGTTTGAATGGTGCATCTGGCTGTCTTGAGTAAGGGAAAAAAGGTAATACCGCAATCACTTTACGAGCGGACGCTGTTTTGCACGCCTGAATCATGATGCAAAGCTCAAAAAAGTTATCGTTGACATGTCCACAGCCAGATTGGATAATAAAAACGTCTTGCTCACGGACAGATTCGTATAGTTCAACACTGGTTTCATTATTGCTGAATTTAGACAAACGTGATTTCCCTACATCGACACCAAGACGATCGCATATTTCTTGAGCAAGCTTTGGGTGGGACGATCCACTCAACACAACAGGTCTTCTCATTATTTAAAACTTTAACGAGAGCAAAGTCGTGTCTATGAAGTGAAGCTGTCTAATGCTTAAGTACACAAACTATTGGAAAACAACAAAAAAAAAAAAAAAGCAAAGGAAAAAAAAAATTTCACACAAATTTTAAGGAAATTTAGATGATGGGGAAGGGAAAGAGATGATTTCATCTATGCTAGATCGGTTAACCAATCATAATGAATAAATCATTGAGTTTGTGCGCCATGCATAAAGCAGGTTTGTGAGTTTGATGTTTATTTTGACAGGTCATCACAACAAACAAAGAAACCAAAAAAAAAAAAAAAAAAAAAAAAGAAAAAAAAAAACCAGATTCTTCGTTTGAAATAGCCATTGTACAAAGGATTGATTATTATGAGCTTTCTATCTTTTTAGTTTGAAATGCTCAACATTTAATGCAAGTGTGTATAATATCCAATAGGTATGGAAGATGATATAGTATGGACATGCTCTAAACGCGAGAGGCAACCCAAATAGCAGTCTTGCAACCTTGTTTGATGACTGCACTCAGTAAGCTATGAAGAGGTGCTTGACGCGCATCATGATCGACGGCAATATCATGATGTTCCAATTCTTCATCTCTACACTTGGCTACAGTCTATTTCCCATTCAACATTCAGTCAGTTTTCGTAAACAGTCCATTATATGTATTTTATATGCCGACTAAGTCCTCCTCTTTTTATTTTTGGTCTTTACCTTGCACAGATATTTAATTTGCTCATTTGGGTTACGAATAGCTTGTAACTCTCGCAATTGATCGTTATAGTGATCGCCAATGACAGTTTCTACCGCTTCTGTACACGCCATCGCCGCCTCCTTTCCTAATAAAGCTGTACCTGCTCCTACCGCAAATCCTGCTACTTCCCAAAGAGGTCGCAACAAACTAGGTCGGACTCGATGTTCACTGATTAAACCACTAAATAATTCTAAATGACCACGCTCTTGATCCCACATCATTTCGAGAAGAGGACGTAGCTTTGGATCGTGGCCAAGAACGGCGATTTGACCTTTATAAATGTAGTAAGCGCCTACTTCACCTGATTGATCAACACGAATCATAGGCGCGATGAATTCCTTTTCTTCATCAGTAAGCTCCCGATGGTTGGGTAGTGGTGCACTGTGCGTAGTGTTATTGTTGGCACTGCTGCTGCTGCTGCTGCTGCTGTTGTTGTTGTTGTTAAGTGGAGGTATTTGCGTGGCCAAAGTACGTTTAACCATAACGCTTGAAGATGCCTTGGTGAGCATCGAAGGACCTACTCGTCGAATAGCAAACATTATTTAATGTGCGTATGCCTGTATAAGATAACTCAAAAAGTACTGTAGTGAAGGTATCAATGGAGAGTACTGATAAAACCAGAAAAAAAGGAAAACCCCCCGCAAAAAGGAAGTCATCAACAGCTGCATATAAAAAAAAAGTAGCGTGATTTTGCCATACTAGAAAATCGTGTATAAGCGGAATAGAAAAAGATTCTATCTCTGAAAGGAACTGTAACTTTTGTATATAATGAAAAGATGCAAACTATATTCCAACACATCATTTAGCATTCAATAAGGCGTTCTTTTAAACGCACTTTCATGTAGTTTTGACTGCTCTACCTGTTGTCTTCACAGTCGACATAGAACGGAGTTTCATTAGAATTCATTTAATCCCCATGCAACAGGGCATTTGTATTCATCTTTCCATCCTTTCTTCAATAATCAATTATTCAGTACAGGATACCCCCCCCTTCTACAATAATTAATGACAATGAACGCAGTGGGGCAAAATGTCACCCATTCTACAAGATCTATATTGCATAAGCGTCAACAAATCACGCTAGCCTTGCTAAAACCAGATATTTGCGCCAATCCGTTATTGATCGATAAAGTGAAAGAAGCCATACGAAAAAACAACATGGAGATTGTGCACGAGAAGCGAGTCTTATGGACTGAAAAAGAAGCAGGACAGTTTTATCAGGAGCATCAGCAAAAGTTTTTTTATCATCGTTTATGTGGATATATGACAAGTGGGCCTTTTCAAGCCATGATTCTGACTTCTCCTAAAACGAACAATGTGATAAAAGAATGGAGACAACTGATAGGTCCAACTCATCCTGTCAAAGCAAGAATACACAAACCAAACACATTGAGAGCCTTGTATGGCTTAACAGATACCAGAAACTCATTTCATGGCTCAGGTAAGTTTTTATTCTGCGTCCTCATTGAAAAAAAACTCTATCTCCAAATGAAAAAAGTTGAATCCATAAGCATTTACTTTTTTTTTTTTTGGTTTTTGTTAGACTCTGATGAATCTGCTAAAAGTGAAATTGCATTCTTTTTCCCTGAACTTTTTACTTCATCTTCAACGGCATCATAACTTCATATTGCTGATCCTTTTAATTCTTATCGATCTAGATTGTAAATAAGTTTCCAGAGGGATTTGATAAGATTAGCTTTTGAATAAGAAGGGTCAACTTCAGCCTATCATGTATATAAAGTATATTTCTCACCGGTAAAAAGAGCTTGAACTCAGCTGGTAACTCATCCTCTTGATATAATCTATCTGTAAAATACACCCGTCGTATTCTACAGTTGGCATGTATTGTCACTCGTCTCGTCTCACTGTAGTTTGTTCCATAAGCCTTCTTCACTAAATCGCTAAAGTTTAGCACCATTTGATTCCAACCAGGATCGAGTCGCATGGGCATCGTCGTTATATATGGTTTTACTCGCGTTGTGATTTGATAGTTTGAAGCTCTGAATCGTCTCACTTCCTTTTTGTCATCTTCCACTTCGACTTCAAACGAGAAATATTTTTGCAAGTTTTTAATGACAAAGACGAGATAAGGAAGTTTGATGCCGAGCGTTGTATTAGACTGAGCTGGGCAGGTGATATAGGTATTGGAAAGATTCGGTGATAAAAGCTCAATAACAGTGGAACTGATCAGATCATCGGCCACAAGGCTTATATGAGCTATCTGTTCGTTTTCTTCCATGTCTTCTTCATGATCGTCTTTGTTTACGGCTGCCGATCGGGCCATTGCAGAAGATGTTGAACCGTCTGGTGTTTGGCATGACCATAACTGTAAAGGCTCGGTGCTATAGGAGGCAGTGATATAAGATAAAGAAAGAATGGATAAAATGTTATTCTTTCTCAAAATCGAGTTCGCATGATCGAGAAAGTTTGAATCATCATCTTTTCAGTTTACCCTAAACTGTATAATATAGATAAAAAACCTGACTTGTTGCAATGTAAGTTGATAGGGTCAATGTATAGACTGCTCAACTTTTTCAAATACTCACTTGAAAGGTATTTCGAAACATAACAAAACTGGTGAATATGTTAAGTTAAAACTGATGTGAGGATCTCTCCATCGCCAACGGCTGCTTGTGTTGAAGAATTTTGACTCAGAAGGAGTCGGCTCAAAGAATTTATGCGAGCACACCTATCTCAACCCAATTTACTTGATCGCGCCAAAATATTATGTTGATTTCAACATACACTTTATTATTTTAGATATAGACAGGCATAAAGAGGATGAAAGAAAAAAGTACCAAATGCAATCATGTTCTAAGCTCGGCGAACAAAGGTTCTTCCACTCGCAGTCTTCTTTTCCACATTCTGATTCTCTGGCTTAGCTCTATTTAATACTTTTAGGAAATCACGAACACGAGCTCTCATACGTGTATGCATATACGCTTTCGAACATTTGATATGATAATGAAGATAATCACGGAAGATTTGTATACGTGAGATGGTTTCTTCACGTGCATCACCCCTAGCAAAATGGTTAGGGAAAAGCACTAATGGCAAGCAAAGTGTAAATGTATCAATACCCGTTTTTAACCTCATTTCTCTACAATCCTAAGCTTACCAAAGGTAACATAACTGATGTTGTCACTGTCCTTCAAATCCAAATTACGAAGCTCCATGGGTGGTTCACGGATGGAATATAAAACCTGTGGTGCGTTTTGTAAAGCAGGTACACGGCGACGGGCATCGACAAATTCCTATAATGATTCCATACATTTCGTAGACATGTATTTATCAATGTCTTTGTTGGTATAGCACATGCCATCTATCTTTTTCTCCATCATACCTGTAAAAAGACCTTGCCAAAGATCTTGTCAGTTTCATCTTTGAAAGTTGTACTGAAAACAACCGTAACACGATCAAAGCTAGATTTGACGTAAATGGCTTCCTCTTCACGATAATGAACAGCCATTAATTCAGAATTGGATTCTGTCTTTTCCTCTTTTTCACATTGTTCTTGCTCTGCGAAAGCTCTTTCGAAGGGTGCAGCCAATAAATTACGCTTTAACATGGAGATTTTTCTTATAATATCATCCTGGGCCTCTAAAAGAAAAAAAAAAAAAAAAATGACTATCAGAGAGGATGTATGATTGTTGGTTTACTTCTACAACTATATGGCAATAAAATACTTTACCAGCTTCAGAGGGTACTTTCTCTAAATCAATAATCAATGTTACATCATAGCCTTCTTCGGGTGTGGGGGCCAATAAGTCGCCATATTCACGTTGCAAAATTTCTTGAGCACCATAGTTGAATAACTCTTTTGAACAGGCCCAGCCTAATGAAATGTGAACAACAGATTTACTTTCAGGTGTGGAGATGTGATAACTGACACCGTCGAAATCGGCTACTCTCACTTCAATGGCGTCTGATTTGCCTCTGCGCAAGTTTCAAAACAGAGAGAGAAAGAGAAAAGGAACATCGTGTCAGATTCTTTCGAGTTTGAACATCATCTCTATCTCATGTCTTCCTGTTGACAAGTGTTTTATTCTTTTCAAAAAATAATTACTCTTTAATTCTGGACTCGAGGGTATTCTTGATAATAACGTTGTGATAATCTAACAAAATCATTCTTGCGTATATAAAGAGGGGACTATAAGAGCAACTAAGAGACAAACAACAACAGCTTGGCATGAAAAAGTTAATTAGCAGTGTTTTGAATCTCCGCCACACCATCAACAGATTGCAAGTCTTCTAAGGCTCTGAGACCTTTACTCTCTTTTTTTCTTTCTTTCTTTTAGTGCCCCACCCAAAATTGGTTACTTTGTTCAAGACGTCACTTGGTACCTTACTGTGGTGAATTAGAGTGGCACAACAATGAAGTTTTCAGGCTCATTCTCCATTTTTTTGATTCACGTGCAACCATAGAATAAACACTTGCAAATCAGCATATTTCTCCTTCATATAGAATTCATTTTGACAAGCTTTTCTTCTTTCCCTTCCCTTACCCGAGTATTAAAATGGCATGTTGGTCAGGTACCTTTTTAACAAAGAAGTCAAATAGAGATCCATCGGTTTAAAGTGACTCATCTTTTTATGATTGGTAGCACTGACAAAGAGGGGTAACAGTGATGCTGTTACCAATGTTATCAATAAAATGCTGATGCTCATATCAAAAGCAAAAAGGCTCAAAATTCCACCGCTATGGTTTCTTGCACTTATATTCCCTGTTGCCTTTCAGTCCTTGATCTTTAAAAGACGAGGCAGCTATTACTATCGAGTCGCTGTGTTCCTTATCAATATCGGTATTACTTGTGTGTACGGCATGCTCGCTTCTCTCACTTTTCCTTTGATAGGCAAGCAACATCTCATCCTTTGGAGTGCAGCAAAACTCCTGCATTTTCTTAATAAACATCTATTAGATGTCGAAGGCGTCGTTGCTGAGAAAGATAAAAAGAACTATGCTCGGGACGGCCAGCTGGCCATCTACGTTTGCAACCACCAAACAATGATAGACTTGCTACTTATGGGTGCCTGTATGCCGAAACGAATATCGATTGCTGCGAAAAAAGAAGCCAAGCACTATCCATTTTTAGGACAATTTTGTATGCCACCATTTACAATTGCTTGCATAAATGGGGCAGTTCATAAGCTAAAACCTAAATCTCTACTCTATAGTGAGTTTGACGAATGCCATTTTTCTGGACCGTGCCAACCGAACGAACGCCGTACATACCGCTAAAAAGGCAGCAGCAGATATTCATCAAAAACAAACAGGTGTTTGGATTTTTCCTGAAGGAACAAGGAGTGGTGGACAAGAAGTAGCTCTATTACCGTTTAAAAAAGGGGCATTTTACATGGCCACGCAAGCCAAAGTGCCTATCATTCCCATTGTTATGGCAAACTACAAACATATCTATGATGCCGAGAAGAAATATTTTGGACATGGCAAAGTGAAAATTCGAGTGTTACCGGCTATTGATACGAAGGAAATACCTGACCATTCGGCAGCTGTGGATAAACTGGCCAACGATGTGCGGAAAAAGATGTTGACAGCATTGAAAGAGATTTCATTTCCAACAATAGCAGCCAATGAGATGGAGACATCATTGCAATCTAGAAGCTGTGAAATAAGCAAGCTCTAATTAGATACCTGACTCGCTAGTTTATTTTTTTGGTTTTTTTGGAGGTCAAAGGATAAGCTTGCGTTTCCATCCCCTTTTTTTTCGGTAGATGTTGTATGTATGATTTTATTATTAATAAGGTACAAATAATTTCCTTTGGAATAGATAACTAATTCATCAAGCGCATCATTGGCTTTTTATAGTCGTTGAGGTGGTATAGCGCAAAAGATGATAGTAAGCACCACAGATATGACGCTGCTAAAAAGCAGTAACCAGATTGCTCTTGCATGTAAAATACTTTTGACCTGTGGCTGTGATATTTTATTGAAATGAAATACTGTTGTCTCGCTGTGAAAGGGGTTATAAAAGATGTAATGTGTACAGTCAATAAATTGTAGGCACGCTCTTTTTCTGTTTGTTTAGTTGCTCCTCCTCTACCAGGTAACGTGGAGGCTTACCTAAGATTGAATACGATGGCCAAAAGAGGATCCAGTCGTGTTATAAATACAAGTAATTGGTAAATAGCAAACAGAAACGGTAAAAGTATCTGTTCCAAAAAAAAAAGGTTGAATAAGTAAGCTCAAAGGATAAAGTACTTCTTTTCGCCTTACCCAGAAACGCTTTCCCCATGGAGAGTATCCCAGAAAAATGAAGCTAAACGACATTGATAAGCCTATTGTAAGACAAATGATGCCAAACACTAGGCGGTAATATCGCTGCCTATCAGTGATGTTTCCCCAGACTTTCAATCGCATAAATGAAGGGTATGCCCATCTTTCCATATACAAAAAGGCGGCGTATTTTGCATCAGCAAACAACATAGGATCAATTCGTATTTTACCGTTCGGATGAACATATCGCTCAATAACATTTGCTCGGATGTAGGTAGGAAGAATATCGTTTAAATTCTTCTCGCTCCCATTCAAGAAATAAGTAAGTACTATGCGCTCAGTGGAAGCGGATAATTGTTCTAATAAAGTTGCTTGGTGGCGATAGTTTTTATTTGTCGAAATAACATTGTCATCGTCAGCGAATCTTTTCATGGTCGTCATACTGCTGTTGTTTGGTAAAAAATGCTGAAAAACAGATCCACGATTATTTTCAATGGAGTTTATCATAGGTTGCGATATCTGATTCATATTTTGCTGGTGATGGTATAGTCGCTGTTGCTGCTGAGTCGCTAAGGGGGTATTTATAAAGGAAATATCGTCGCTTACACAAGCTGTAATATCAAGGTATTTAGTGATAGGTTGATCATCTTCGTTATATTGTTGTTGTTCTGTAAATAATAGGGATGGTTTGGTGTACTGCAGTCCTTCACTCAATCTCTGATCGGCTTCACTATTTTTCAGCGAGTAATAAGTAGTGCCGCTGTCGCTCAGTAAGCTGCTTAATTCGGATGTTGATGCTGAAGCAGAGCGCTCCATTTCATTTGTGAAAGGATATTGTTGCTCTGGATGATGATGGTTGCTAAAATGACTCGTGCTCTTTAGCATACCAACGGGAATGATTGCATTATTTTTCTTTTGTCTTTTTAGAGTTTGATCTGCCATTTGCGGCACTGCTGCTTGTTCTTTCAATAAAGACTTTGCATATCGACGCCATAATACTTCATGATGCTTCACATCGAGATAAAAGTCTAATAAATCATCCAATTCAAATTTGTCCCTCATCACAATGTAGAAATTATACAAGCAAACTGGCGGCAAAGTCTTTCTATTCAATATATCTTCCAAAGTAGGTAAACTGTATAAAAAAGATTCTGAAGACATAGTGTTTATTGTGCGCAGTGGATGAGGAAAAAGAACGAAAAGGAAAAGATGTTTTATAAAAGCACAATTGATTGTTTTATCTTTGACATATAAAACCATGTGTTTACAAAACTAATAAAGGTGGAGTTTTAAGATTCGGCTCCTGTTGCCTCATACAAAGACTTTGAAGGCTTACATACAACTAGGCATGTCATTCAAGCCATATATGAAGAATATTATTTCGGCATTACAAATAGTTTGTCTTCCCATTCAAAACCTTAGTACCATTACAATAATTTACCATAGAATGAATGCATACTGGAGCAATTTTTTTGTACATGAACCAACAAAGAAACTCCACCACAAACTCCGCTCAGAAATAGTTGAATGCCTGTCTGATAATGATCGCTTTTCGACGATGGGCATACTTGATCTTTTTTATTATCAAAAATACTGCTGTTATACACATGTAAAAAACTTTCTTATTGCATAATCCAATCTTTGATATTGTCCAGTTCCTGTTTTTCAACTGAACATGATTCGAAATCAACTGTATTATCCACGTGATCGAATTTGAAATTCTCTCCTTCATACCCCAGATAAGCTTCTTGTTCCTCTTCATCATCCACATCTGCTTGCTGTTGCTCCACTCTTGCTGTACGTGTTGCACGTAAACGATTCCTAAAATTACGGCAGTGTATAAACTCATGTTACTCTTTAGTTACGCATCTGACTCGTGCATACTGTCACAACTCACATTTCTGCTTCTAATAATGTCTTGATTTTCTCGACAGGTAATGCTGTAATCATATCTGATTTATTGCAAGCAATTAAAATAGGTATACGTTGCTTTTGCACTTTTGGCTTAGCCAGTATGTCGTATAAATATTCAGCAACAGGCCGTATTTGTCGATTTACGGTTGTACTATCAATCACATAAATGATGCAGCGTGTAACAGGTAAAAAGTCAAGATATCGGTACCGAACACGATCGTGTCCTGGCATGTCTACAAGGTCGAATTTCTGGAGAAAAGAAAGAATAGCATGTTATAAAATCTTTGAACGAGAGCAAAAACATATTGCATTTATTTTTCACACGTCGCCTGTACCTTGTTGTTGATGGTAATTTGTCCTTCATTTTCCTTCATCGATGAGACAGTTGGGTGTTTTTTCCCATTCTTTAACTAATCGTCAAAAGTAGATGATTGATTATTAAATGGAGCTGTGAACGTCGCGTTGGAGTTGATCTGCCTTACTGAAATATACAAAGCGGTCTTGCCAGCGCCTGTTGTACCGAGTAGTAGCAATGTATTTTTGCTTTGCTTTTTGGTGAAGAATGTAAGTCCAACAACTAGATTCAAGGTTGTTGAGCATAACAAGACTTAAACCTCATTTAGATGACTATCAACACTGTTTCCTCTACCTGTTACTAACAGAAGTATAGCAACTGCTATGGCAGCTGTTATCAGTTTGTCATTGTCCATTGTTATTTAAATGAAAAGGTTAAAAAAGAAATAAGATTTCTATACGTGAAAAGGTGCTGAGGCAATTCAAATTGTGGGTACAAGCGGTAATTTAATGCAGATGTCGAATTTTGAACTTGCTATTTTATCATCTATTTACTGCTTAAGTTCTTTGTTAAGGAAACCGAATAGGACAGGATTAAGCCATTCTAATGATTGACATATCCTTATAGCAGCTCGCTTTTCATTTTCGAGGACTAAAATTCTCAATGTAGTTGCCATGTCGGTTACTATTCATATAAATTAGAAAGACAAAACCTACTAGCATTGTTTTGAAAGGCGTATCCAAAACTCGAGGGAAGCTTTTATCAGGTTCATTCTGTCGTCGAGACGATAAAGTCTTTGGATGTAACAATGTATGGCCATATCTTTGGGAAAAAAGTGATGAGAATGATTCTTCCTTATCATCTTTTCATGTTGCTATAGTAACAAGAAAATAGATACAGACAAATGCAAAAGGGAAAGAGCTTTGAAAGGGAATGAAAGCCTACTACAGATGTAAAACTTGCTAAACTTTACAATAAAATGGTTGATATGATTAATTGGTGTGAGTAGTTCATTTTTATCTGTATATTACATTCAAAAAAGATGAAAGGCATAAGGAGTAGCGACAAATTATTTTTCAGTCTAAGTATTGCTATAGGAACAGCACCAAGCAGCAAGAGCAACATCTCCATCGGCAGCATTGCCTTCATCATCAGCATCAGCAGGCCATCAACAGCAGCATCGAGTCTGGATGAGTAGCAAGAGCCGCAGAGCCATTGAAGCGATTGAGATAAAGAGTCGAATCAAAAGGAATAAAATGTAAATGAATCAAGAGAAAGTCTTGACCGTCGTGAGCGCTAGTGTTGATTTTCTTGCTTCCTGCCCCCAGGCTTTTGTAGTTTCTTTTATTCCTTTTCATCATCTGCCAGCTTTCATTGTACGCAACATATTTTCAGGCAAACGTTTTATATGTTCGATCATTTTCTCCTCATTAATGGTTAAACAGGTCTTGAAGCAAAATGAGCAGATTATTGAAAAATCAATAAGAAGCAATAATATAAGTACTGGCTTTACAGCAATAAAAGACATTCGTTCGTAACGAACAAATTACATTTGCCATCGGCTTCTCTGTATCCAGGCGCGACGTTGCCTCTTCTGAATTGATTTTGCACAAGTCTTACAAGGTTTAAAAGATTGTTTTCAATCATTGAGTATTTGATTGATGGGAAGGCAGTGACCTAGGTCATAAAATACTGTAATATTTGATATTATATCCATTGCTCCCTCGTATGTATTCGTTATTGAAGGAACATATTTAATGAATTCATTCCTTCAAACCATAAATAGTTAATACATCAAAAGGAAAGGAATCATTGTCACTTGTCGGTTTACTACAAAGTAGAACTGACACGTTAAATACGTAAAATCAGAGAAAGTTAATGTTGCAATGATAAGAGCCTTCTACTATTTTTCTGTCTGTTCAAAAAGAAGCCTAAACTAATCATCAACTTTTTCAAACTAGATACTATGTAAATACTTTTTTTTTTCTTCTTCAATCGCTTGCTTTGTTTCATCTCTTACTGAATATAACTAGCATCAACATCATAAAAAAAACAATTGCCGTTTTTTTTTATGGTAACAGCTTTATAACATACTCCCATCATTTTGCTTCTATTGTCAATGAAAGTCAAACCTGATTCTATTCCAAAAAAAAAAAAAAGTACTGACAATTAATGACACTTAGTTCCATATCGCTTGTCATCACCGTCGCAGCAGTTCTTAATTTATTAAATCAGTAATAAGGACAAACAAAGTTAATCGGGTCGCATCGTTCTGCTTTGTAACTAAAGAAATAGAAAGACTTATTGCTGAGTTTTCGCTATTGATACTATTTTAGTTGCCAAGTAATAAGTTTTTGTCTGTGTAAAATTATTTTATAGCCAAATATTCTGACAGTTTTAGTATGATCCTCCTTCCCCATGCATGAAAACTCTTACTGTTGCTACGGGCGTTGGTTTTAGTTTTGGAGGTGGTAATACTGGTATAGACTCTGCCGTAGACACGAACAGAATCAATGATAGAATGCCTGTATTCTTTTTTATTGAAAATAAAATGGATGAGATTTACGGTTACTATTTACTTGAAGGAATCCTTCACAATTCAAACTATTGTTTCTAGCCTTCCCAACTGTGGTGTGCATAAGCAGATGTTTTTCAAGTTGACTTTCTCTTTGTTGAGGAAGAAGATGGCAATGCTGTCCTTTGAGGATGCTACTATACTTACGATGTGTCTTCGCCTTAACCGCGATGTTGTAGTGATACCGTTGTTAGGAAAATGCTCACTTTTCGTAAGCGACGAAGTGGTTATCGATGTCAATATTAATAAGAAGTTTGATTATCCTGGTTTTTTTTTCAAGCTGAAGCGAGTAATGAAAACAGCGTGAATAAAGACGTTGAAGAATCCTAGATTGCCGAATAAGGCAATATAGACTGTACATATTTCATGCTGTAAAATGTGGAGATCAGTCATGTGCGTTGGCCCCCCTTTTTTCTTATCATTTTCACATTTTTAGACTCCTTCCCACATATCAATTTTGGAAACTCATTTCTTCTTTTCTCACTCATCGATCACCCGTCAGTAGCTTCAACCATGGCTAGAGGAGGTGACTTCGAGCTTGGAATGCCGGATGTTGAAGGCATGGACATGGATTACGAAGGTCCTGATGCTGATTACCTTATCGATACGACAGATATATATGAACAAACAGTTTACGAGAATATCCGCGTTCAAAATGATGAATGGGAAATCATCGATGAAAGGTAAATCGTGTGTTCGCGTCTCAGTCCAAAGTACAACGAAACGCTATGAAACGCCTTTTGATGGTTGACGCTTTCAACGTCTATTTCTTTTCTTCTCTACGCACATCGTAGTGAAGCAGCTCCTTATTTACCAGATACAACTACGAAACGAAAAGTAACCATTGGCCTACAAGAGAACAGAAAAGAAGTCCCCTTGTCTCGATTTGATTCCGTTCTGCTAGGTAAGTTCTCTATCTGTGCTTTATCATAAATACGGTTCCTGAACAAAAATCGTACAAACTAATCATATGCTGGGATTACAGATGACTACTTTGAACTGAGGAAGGGACATTTATTAAATACAGGCGGAAGCATTTGGGGTTTAGACTTTGTACCTAAAGGTCCTGCCGACAAAGACGATAAAACATCATCCATTCAGTACCTGGCAGTAGCAGGATTGCGAGGAACAACAGATCAAGAACATTTCGGTCTCAACACAATTCAGCCTACTGGCACGTATAAGAACGCCATTCAACTATGGAGATTAAAACTATCCACGAAGCAAGCTCCTGAAAGGGCAAGGTTGGACATGTGTTTGCTGCATGATTTTGGTGTTATTTGTGATTTGCGATGGTGTCCTTATGGTGTCTTTGAGGATGAAAATGTAAAGAGGATCAATATAAAGACAGAATAGTTGTGAAAGGGGTCCGTGAAACTGACAGTTTTTTACTTAGACAATGACGGAGGACATACCTAAACTAGGTATACTATCGTTGGTGTGCGGAGACGGCACAGTTCGAATTGTAGTAGTACCACAACCGAATGCAGTGAGGGAAAACATGTGCTCCAAAGATGATCAAGACACAACGAAAACCATTTATTGTAAGTTAGAAAAAGGTCATGGAAGGATAGGGGGTTGAACGAGGAAGATGGAAAGCTTAGTTTTCGTTTCTACAGTAAAGATAAAGGCAGCACGATGTACATTGGGACTTTTGAATACGTCCGCCACTTGCTTATCCTGGGGAGGACATAAAAAACTTGCTGTTGGGCATGGCAACGGTAACAAAACCAAACAAAAACGTTCTCTCCTACTGAATGGTTGTAACTGACAGTCACTTTTTTTTAATAGGTCACCTTAGTATTTGGAACGTAGAAAGGGCCTTGAGACGTCCCAATGGTAATGATATCACGAAATCGAAACTTTTCTTGATGCTATCGCTTTGTTGTATGGATTCATGTATCCGCTCGCTCAACTGGAATGGTTATCACGACCCCACTAAAATATTCATGGGGGGCTATGACGGTCAAGTGTTGGTATTTGATACCCTTGATCCATTCTTTACGAAAACAATGTTTCGAAGCAGAGGGCTTGTCTGTGGGACAGCATGGAGTCATCATTCGCATATTTTGTTTCACATCGATAGCGACGGCCATTGCAGAGGAGAAGGCTTTGCTAAAGACAACACGCAAGTTGGATTCAAATACGGTCTCGTACAAGGATTTGTTTGGGAAATGTGCGTCTCGCCCCACCACGGCCATTTCGCCGTGGTATCGGCTTTGGGCTGGGTCAGATCGAACAATATGTTTATGAACAAAAAGAAAAAGCTTAGTGTTGTGCAAAAATCAGTCTATAAATTGCATTACGATGAAGAGACCGACGAACTTCGATATATCGATGGCATAGGTTATCATAATTTGGATGAACTGCGAGCTTCTCCAGCGTATAACCAATACGGCAAATCGCTCATGTCTATTCATAAGGTAAGCATGGCACGTTTAGTTGCACAAGGTGTGTGAGTAAGTCATAACTCAAGACACTTTCCATCACTGATTCTATAAAGGCTGCTTGGAATCCCAATCGATCTACATCAGCTTTTCTTGCTACGGGCGGTGCAGCTGGTCTGTGTCGAATTGACTTTGAAGGAAAGGGTAGCAAATGGAATTAAACTCCCACAGCTGATTCAGCATATACCTTTCCTTTGCACATTCATTACGTTACAAGCATATTTTAATGACAGCAAATAGCTTGCCATTGGTGACCCATCCATATGATGTTGTACAGTGTGGTTAGCAACTTTGGTTCCATTTTTTTCTGTAAATCTTTTCATTATTTAAAGCAACAGGAGGTTGTCTATTCCTGACACCTTTTTACTTTTTTGTCTTTTTTCTTCCCATCATTCATTGCTGTAGTTACATCAATATACCTTTCTAATTTTTTTTTGCCATAGACACAATTACAACTGATTCTTCATATGACAGTCCTAGATACGACATTTGAACCCATTCCACCAAGCCATAATAATAATAATAATGTAAAAGTGATTGCTAAAGAGGACAGTAACCATGCGTCGTCGCTATTAGCGGATGAAGAAGCCTCTCTTGATCTTGTACAGAGTTTGCGTGAATCGGATGATTGGGAAGAGATAGTTGCTTATGACCACTTGAGTGAATCAGCCAAATCTCATTCTCTCACAGCTACCAGTTTAAGGCAACCTCATCTCATTGAACGACGACCTCTCAAATTTTATAATAAAGATAAAACCAAGTGCGTGATGATAGCTCATTTGGGGCCTAATCTGTAAGTTATACTGGTACCAATTTCATCCATAGGACACGTACACACACACAGATTTCATGTAGATTAACTCTTGAATTTTTCATCAAAAAGATGTGGGCATGATGGTATTATCCATGGGGGTTTGGCGGCTACCTTGCTTGATGAAATGTTAGCCTATGTGGTAAAGTAATAGAGGAATAACAACTACTTTTAAGAGCAAATAGTATGATCCATACTTAAATGTCAGCCCTGTAGACTATTCCTCATCTGCCTACTCGCACAGGATTCACAGCGAACCTGAATGTCAACTATCGGAAGCCTATCGTGTCTAATCAATGGGTTGTCATTCGAGGTGAATTTGAAAGAACAGAAGGCCGAAAAGCGTGGGGAAAGGCTTGGATTGAAACAACCGACGCTAGTCCTGTTCTTCTTACTGAAGCGACTGCACTGTACATGGGCCCTCGCAGCAACTGATGTTTCGACTATGAATGGGATAGAGGATACACGATTGGATTGGCCCACTAGCTTAGTCGTTTGGTCTTCTACTTATCATAGAACACCTATTTTTGAGAAATGAGTCAGATAGACTCGCAACCGACAACGTTTCCTTTCAAACACAATAAAACTTATTAGACATAGACAAACCCCCTTTTAGGATAGTTCAATGGCGTTGTGGCTGCTGTTACACACACAATGAAGGGTTTGACATTCAAGATACTGCTTATGTAATAGGCATTACGACTTTTGGAGAGCACACGAAGTAGGGTGCATTGATCGATTTCATGAATGGGGCAAAGTCTTTACGTGTTACTGGATGATCAGACATTATTAAACTATGCCTATTTCATACTAGATTGGTCAAAATGCCCTTCCTGGGTTCCTCTCAACTCATAAGGTATTTCTATCTTATTGAAGCAGTCTCTGGATGGAAGCACGTCTGTTTGGCTGCTTTTGTTAAGCAGTTTAGTACTCATCATTGGTTTGTTGTTTTTTGTCATTCTCTTGGTTGCGGTGCCAAGACAAATTATGAATCAAGTTGGCTTTTTGGCCATTCATTCATCAAAGGCAACACCTATCCAGCCAAATACGATGTCAATATTCTTCTTATCTTTTGTATCTCGCCTTTCACCTTTCTTTTCTGTTGATAACTGAGGGATACTCTGCTGAATGGTAAGGACACAGCAGTCAAAAAGGGCATAGCCATACCGTCACCCTCCAACATATGAAGAATGCTACCTATAATGAGGCATTTCTATTGGCTTTACAAAGCCGGCAAATCGCTTATAAAATTCCTGATTGAGTAGGTATTCAGAGGAGGAAAAAAAAAAAAAAAAAAAAAAAAAAAAAAAAGATTGTGATAGATCGCATCGGAGCTCTTTCCTCGTGGGGGCGGCGGCGGCGGCGGCTCTGTAAAAGCCCGTCCAGAGTGAATGATAAGAGAAGGGTGTCGATCGGGAACTTATGCTTAAAAGGGACGCTCGTTATACAGTGCAAACATAACGCGATGCCCTTGATCATAGAATAATGGGTTCCCGTACATGACGTCGTTAGGATGTATGTCTCGAATCGAGCACGTTAATTTATATCTCAGCAGCGAGCAAGCAAAGAGCAACGTATCCTCATACAACCAGAATTACAACAGCAAACAAGTGTCATCATTTTGATCAGAAAGAGAGGTACAAAGATTGGGGTACCACAAACCGTTCGTTCAAAAAGCCATGTGGTGCGAATGAAAGAGCGTACAGGCCTTATTGTTTTTTTCTGTAAAACTATTTTGTTTGATAATATTCTTCTCTTTTTCATTGTTAGCAGAATATCTTACCTTGATTTGCACAGATTTAGCTTGTCGTTTTTTATATTTTTTAAGGTTTATTGTTCTTTTAGATTAATCTTATGTCAGCTTCTTAGAAATCATTGGATAAGAATCTGTTTAATATGAGCGTATATCATTTATGCATCATCCTCTTCTAATTTCTTTTTTTCACGTCGTTTTAACCGGTCACATACTTGTTTATTTGAAAGCAAAATGATCCCGTTTTTTTAAATCTGTAAAGGTCTCTCTTTTTTTTTTTTTGGTTTTTTCCCTTTTTTTTTTTTCCTTTATTATCTTTCATATAATTTGATTCCTTTGCAAGTCGGTATTCTATTATGTCGGAACAACAACAACAACAACAACAACAACATGAATCATTGAGGTCTATTTTGGATAATGATCTCTACAAATTCACCATGCAATATGCAGTGTTGAAGCAATATAAACGAGATATTCCTGTCGTATATCAATTTACCAATCGTGAAAAGGAGCTTCGATTGAACGCAGAAGCTTACAATTGGCTGACAAAGCAAATCAATGGTAAAATAGAGCCCTGTTAGAAAAAAAAAAGGAAAGGATGGAAGCGAGAAAGAAACTCACATTCCCAATAACGAGTAGATATGGAGAACCTTCGACTGACGGAAGCTGAACGTGAATACATGTCAAAATTAACGTTTTTCGATCAAGACTATATCGATTATTTATCCAAATTTCGCTTCAGACCACGTGAGCAGGTCAGGACAAAGTTTGACGAAGCCACTTGTGATATGGAATTGGAAGTGATAGGTCAATGGCATGAAACTATTCTATATGAGGTGCCTCTCTTGGCTCTGATATCTGAAGCTTATTTCAAGTTTACCGATCGCGATTGGAATTACGATGGGCAAGTAGAGAATGCTGAAAAGAAGACAAGAGCTTTGGTAGAACATGGCTGTGTGTTTTCAGAATTTGGTACGCGTAGACGACGTGATTTCAAAACACACGATTTGGTGATGGATACACTTGTAAAGACAAATAAAGAGGTGCAAAAGGAATTGAAAGATAAGAAAAAAGGAAATGTGTCGGGTACAAGTAATGTGTATCTTGCCATGAAGTACAACACGGCAGTCATTGGCACAGTAGGTAAAACAAAGAATCATCTACCCTTTCATGGAGACTCTTTTTCGAGAGTTTGAAATTGACTTTTTTTTTTTTTTTTTTTTACTATCCAACAACCCATTGTAGCTCATGAATTCTTTATGGGCATTTCTGCTTTGGAAGGCCTAGAACATGCCAATCATAAAGCACTTACTATTTGGCACGATGTTTTTCACGGTAATCTATGTTATGCTCTTACCGACACTTTCACCACGGATGTCTTCCTCAAGGATTTCGACAAGGGTCTCGCCAGCAAATACGGTGGCGTGCGCCATGATTCGGGCAGTCCCTTTGATTTCATGTATAAAATGGTGGATCACTACACATCATTGGGTATTGATCCCAAGACCAAAATGCTGATTTTCTCCGACTCTCTAAATGCCGAAAAAGCCATTCAGCTCTATGACGAAGCCCAAAAAGCCAATATCAATGTCACCTTTGGTATCGGCACTTCACTTACGAATGATTTCCACAAAGCCAGTGATAAGAGTGTGAAGAGTAAAGCTTTGAATATTGTCATCAAATTGAAGGAGTGTAATGGAAAACGCGTCATCAAGTTGAGTGATGATGCTCTGAAGCATAGTGCAGATGCTGCTACCATCGCAGCTTTTAAAAAGGAATTAGGTATTGCTATCTAACAAGAGGGTTCGATAAAGTAGGGGCCAATAGCGAAAAGACTGGCAAGGGCTATAAACGAATCGTCATGGGTTCTTCCTTGATGAGCCTCTTTGATCATGTCCGCTTTCCTCCTCCACCTGAACATGTCAACTATTTCCCTTTTATATATTTACTCTTTATTGAATAAACAACTAAACTGTCCAAGCGGGTTACTATGGTGGCTTTCTTTGATTCATCGTGTCAGCTGAGTTATAGGGCTCTCAGTCGCTTAGAAAATATATTCTCTTTGGGTTCTTTTCCTTTTAGATCACTTTCCATAGCCTTGGTGAAGTGAACAGTCATCCATGAAAGGACTCTTCTCCAGTACAGACGATAGGGCGATCTTTGGCATCGCAAGAAGGCGGTTGCGTCAGGCATGATAGGGTCCAAAGGTAGACTTTGCAAATGACAATGGCGCTTCTCATCATGAAACCGGTTTTGCTCGTAAAAATAAAATACAAAATAGCCGCAAGTTCAACCCTCATTAAACATGGAAAAAAGGATGGGGTCCAATCGTTGGGCTCCTTTTTTAACGCCATTAAGCATGCCTTTCTTTTGTACATAGGAATGGTTAAATACGTACAGTCAAACGCGTTTCTCTTGTCTGTCTATTTGTTGGGTAAGCAATCATGGCCAGTTTTGATAGTCACCATGCGAAAAAGAAGTAATAGTGTCGATTTAGAGGTCAAACATTCTAGACTCGAGACCTTGTCGAGGTTGGCTGTGCTTTCTCTGTTTCTCGTCATTGTCGGCTTGTTTAGGCTGTTCCTGAATTTACAAAACAGTAAGTTATCAGCAAAAAGAGGAAACCAGATAAAGTCGCAGCTAGAGAACCCAACTATTCTATTGAATGAATGCAAACTTTTTTTCAGAGTAACATACCTGTGTATGTGTGTGTGAAGTGGTGATGGTTGTTTGCGCCGCACGATGCTTTTGTTATCTCCGCGTCCATAGAGTATGCCAAACTACATGGGTTATGGGCAACGTCATGTGGTATGAGTGTTAAACACATGGCATGCACGATAACAGCCTGTCAACATGCGTCTGTAGAGAAAGATGTATTCATATCTTCCTATTTGTTTGCTCATAAGATAAAGTCGATTCACTGCCTCGTCATAGTTATCTTTAAACCTTAAAAAAATACAGATTTTTAACTTAGGATGCGGACTTTCAGACGAACAGAATAATAGATTTAAGCAATACCGTCAATACTTTTTAGATTTTGTTACTTACAGTTTGAAACGGATTTTTTAGAATTTTTTTTCTTTTTTTTCGAGGGCACTATAAAAACGGAGGGGTGATGAGGAAACAAGAGCAATAACCAGCGCGCTTAACTATCCTGTGTAATATATGAAGCATACTATAACATCAAAGATACGCCACTGTCTGTATATAGCAATAATTTTTCAGAACTTTGGTGCATGTTGATAAGAGCCATCACTTATTGAGTCAGTTGATCGTGATGTTGTCAAAAAAAAAAAAAAGGAACGCGATATACAATAGAACACACAGTGTTCTTTTCCTTTTTGCTTTCTTTCTTTTAGACAAAAGTGGAAAGGCAAACAACGCCTCCCAGCTCAGAACGGCCCTTATAAAGGCCCAAGCTGCACATAGGTAAGACTATCTTATGAACGACTCTCTATCAAGAAATCGTCTACGTTGCTCCAGTGACCCACACATTAATACCAATGGCATACAATGATTCTTTGAGTGCTTCTTTGTCCAAGCCAGTGTTGTCAAAAAAGCTGTAAAAAAAGAAGCTCTCCAAGAATTCAAAGCTGATAATAAAACAACGAAAATGGTTACGTGTCCATCCTGTAAGCAAGCCACACATGCATGGCCTACAAGCAATCTGTGTCCGTTCAAGAAGGCAAAAGTACCTATGGATGGTAAAGATGAAAAGGTGGAAATTTGCTTTATCAATGAATATATGGCTAGCTGTAATAAATGCAAGCATTCGACTTTTGGAGAATGTAAAGACAGCGACGTCAAAGCGAAGAGTACATGCTGTATTGCAGTATAAAACTGTAATACAGTTTGGAAGTGCGACGTCAATGCTGCCAAAAACATCTTTCAAACGAGACCTACATGTGTGATTGATATCACTCCTTCACACATCCCTACAGTGTAAGTTGTAATATATTCATAAAGTAAACAAAGGCCGAATGCTTACTGTTTCGACCTTATTTACTCAACTCACAATTCGGTAACAATTTGGGTAATCTCTGGTAAGTACGTCTGAATTTATAATAGAATAAATCTAAAATAGGTTGCTATTTTCTCTCATAAATATACTTTATTTTTCCAAAGTTGCCTAGTTGTATTTCCGATTGTAACGAAAAAAAAACTGTATAAAGTAATTTTACCAATTTGTTCTCAAAGGTTGTCTTTTTTTTTTGGGTTTCTCTGATAAGCGATGAGTTTTCAAGTTTCGCTACATGTTGTGTATGCGTTTTTGTTGTCAAATGAGATTTGACTGGGTAAAATTGGGGGCGTGGGGGCTGAGATAAGAACCCTTTTTTTTGGATTCTTAAACCATACAACCAAAAGTGGGCATATAATAAAAGACTTCTTTTTTCTCAATTTTATTGGCCAAATTGGGGGGGGGGTTTTTTCTTATATCAATCTAAGAAACGCGAAAGTAGAGTTTATTATTTCAACTCTCTACGAGAAGCTGCTTGAATGGATGGATGACTTGTATAACCTGATCCAGTAAGATGAATGATCACGTTTTCGGATTCATGCAGCAAATAAGGTAAAATGAGGGACACCGATCCATCAAAAGAGTATGTTGCACGGGCCATCATTTTCAATGTAACACACGAGTATTTTAATAAAAAGGTCTCCATCTTTTGGTCTCACTTTTTTTTATTTCCTTTTGATATTTGAACATTCTATGATAGTGTGTATGTTTTCGTAAGAAAGATACGGATCAATGACCCTGCTTTTCTGTCTTTCTAAGGCTTTTTAGGATTGCGGAAAGCGTGTCTAGCAACAACCAGAACAAATTAAAAATAGAAAAAGAAGGAGGCATCGAAGGGGAACCGAGGAAAAAGGACACTCAATAAAAAAAAAAAAGAAAAGTGAGACAGCATTTTAAAAACATTTATACAATATGGTTTTTTTTTTTTTTTTTTCTTCTGTTCTTCTTTTTTCTTATTTCTATATCCTTCTGACAACAAATATACCATAAAAAAGAGTCCTGTGACAACTATAGCTGTTCATCAAAGAACAAAAATATATTTGTGACCATCACGTTTATCAAGCAAACAAGACGTTATTTTTTTGTCTCTTAGTACAGCCCACGACAAAGACGGTGGCCACTTTTTTCATATACCCAATCTAACTCAACGGTCAACTTGGACGCTGCTGTCAACAACATTCCGACAAGGTAACGCAAGACGAACGCCGACAGCCGCAACCACCATAATTAAAAAATCGTGATAACATCATGATATCAGATGATAATAAAGTAGTAAGAACATCCAATGCTGCTACTAAAAAAACGAGTCGTCATCTATGGTAACTTTTTTGTAGAGTTTATATTTACTTTTTAAAAAATATTCATTTTTTTTAAAAAAAAAAATAATATATATTTCTTTTTTCTTTCCAACCTTCTCTTCATCATGGTAAGGTCTCCTGATGATCAGCATCCTGAATCTTTATCACCAAGACAATTGGAGAGTTGGCTAAGAAGCCATCGCTATCCCACGACAGCCATACCATCGCCCTCTTCTTTACCCGTGGCGGAGAGGAATGTGGCTAGAAAAAGATCCATCTTGTCTCTATCTCCTTTGTCATCAGCATCAGCATTCACAACAGCCTCTACCGATGGTGTCGATAGTAACGATAAAGAAAAGGAGGAAAATAAGAAGAAGAACAATGAAGAAGAAGACGAGATCAGTGACAGTAGTAGTAGTCGAAGCAGTACAAGTAGTACTAGCATTGAGGAAGACGATCCACCCACACCCACACCTTTTGATCTATTCCCTTCAGGTAAGGAAAAAAGCAACAACGCCACTTTTTTAAGATCCGGCTGACTAAAAATACCACTGTTCTGTCTGCAGTCACATCAAAACAAACCAACTATGGTCATCTGCTACAAGACGAAGATCGTAAAACAAGATTATTACACTACAGTTATTTCTTGGCGAACGATTATCCACAACAACAACAACAGAAAAGCATAGAAAAGAATTTCGGTATTTTACCTGCTCTATCTACAGTCTCGACCGCCACCACCGAACCAGCCTCTGTAAAGACGACAGGCATTTGTTCTATCCAAACGATGCATGGTCTTTTGTTGGAGCCACCCACGTCTCCTATAAAAGAGTTGTCCATGCATGTCGATCGTGCTCAACCTCTAACGAACCAGCCTCCTCATGATCGTTTCAACAGCGAACTCAAACGTCAAAGCTCCTTTTCCTCTCATTCTTCGCGACGATCTTGGTTGAACGGCCTATTGGAAAAATCAACGCAACAAAGAAAGAGATTTTCCGAATTATTTTCATTGAAAAAGTCGAAAGGTTCCACGACGATGGAGGATGCGTCGTCGTCTATAAACGTCTTGGGTCCTCACCGTGAAGAAAAAAGACAACAACGATACTATGCCATGATGCATCAGCCTCATTCTCATGTTGTCACGTCCCTCCCCGCCCATGACAATAGGTCCACGATCATGCCCCTGGCTTTGAACAAAAGTAAAAAAGCACGACAGCCAAAAGACCATCACGATGCGGCGTCGTCGTGGAGCAATAATGATGTTATGCAGGATACCAACCGCCATGGCGCTACTGCTTTTGCACGATACCTACCCAACACGGAAAGGACAATGTATAGAATGTCCCATATCAAATTGGCCAATGCCCGTAGACCTTTGCAGCAACAAGTCGTCATTTCCAACTTTATGTATCAATACTTGTCTCTCTTGCAACAACAGCATGAACAAACAGCCTCCTTTTACGCATCCTCCACCACCACCACCACCGCCACCATGAGACCAGCTACGAGCTGTATATTCCATACTACAAATACCATGCAAAACGCTATTTATTATTACCAACAACAACCCTCATGGAGCGATTCCACACAACATCCTCCTCCTCCTACTATGCAGAGGAGTCATAGTAGCACAACGATCAAAAGCAACATTTATAAAGCCACTTGTTCCACGTTTGAGCCACCGGCACCTGGTCATTCTCCTCACCAGCCACAACACCAACAGCAAAGACACACGAATAGCGTCTTTTTATCGTGTCCATCCAAAAAGAAATCGGTATTGCTGTTGCCACGCAAATCCTCCCTCATACCAGCATTGTCATCAGCATCAGCATTAGCCACCTCGTCCTTGGCATCAAGTACCACCCTGGGCAGCCACAGACCACTTGAACAGAATCACACATCGTTTGTTATGGAAAAAGAAGAAAAGAAACAAGGCAAAAAAGACAAATATAAACCAATTAGGAATGGTCAGTTTTTGATGATGGAGAAAAGGATGGTTCAAAGTGTCGTTTAATTCATGTTCCAACAAGTGCATTTTTACATTGATGTGAAGAAAAAAGAAATAAAAAAAAAAATAATAGATCATGCATCCAGCGTGGGTCATGTAACCATCCCCCGTTTCATTGAAATCTATGCAACCAATCAAGATGAAGGTTTTTTTTTTTTCTTTTGCGGTGGTTGAATGCCCAAAAAAGGGACATTTTCCTTTTTTTTAATATTTTTAACGGCGATATGTATATTCATTGGGGGAAGAAATGAGGCATTTATTCAGTTGGCTGTTGTTGCTGAGAATTAGAAAGTTGGGTCGATTCTTTAATGGCCAATAATTGTTTGGCTCGGAAACTCTCATAGTGAATCATGGCTGTTGTTTCAATCAAGTCTTGGAGATGGGTTCTCGTCAAAAAGTTGCGCAAATGAATAAATTCACAATGCTCGGGATCTTCCACGTCAATGACAGCACCCCAACGTGTCTTTCTACCGCGCACTGCCTTATTGTCTATCACGACATTGCGTTCAGAGCCAACGACAGCAAAAGGAATCAATTCCCAAATGCTTTCGTTTAATGCTCTTTCTTGCTCCTCATCTTCTTCGCTTTCATAAGGATAGAGTCTAATATTATGGAGAGAAAGTTCGGCCTTGATCTTTGTCGTCAAAAAAAGCAAGGACAAGAAAGAAAGAGAGAGTATAAGTGAATAGGATATTCTCGGCGATAAGACATGGCCCATAGGGGTTACTACTTACTCTTTGCTTAAAGGCATCACGTTCTTCTATGGTAAGAGAGTCTGATTTAGCAATCACAGGGACGACATTCACGACTTCAGAAAGCTTTTTCAAGACAACGACATCGATCGGCTTTAGAGAATGGCCTGAAGGAGTGATAAAGAACAAACAGCAATGCACACGGGTGTCTACAATGTAACGTTCGCGTCTGGCTGTCAATTCTTTGCGCAAATAAGCTGAATGTTGATCCTTGATGTATTTGATGATGGGTTCCCAGCAATTATCATTGTTGACATTATCACCATAACCCGGTGTATCTACAATATTCAATCTTAGACGAACCCCGTTTTCCTCAATCGCTATTGGATGATCAAGGAGAAAGAGGAGAAGAGGAGAAGGAGGAGGAGGAGGAGGGAGAAAAAGTGAGTATGTCTCCTTTTATCTGATGTGTGCGTGCAGTTTGTTTTTTCTTTGTTCTCAATGACGATGAACTTACTATGAGATACGGATTCAATCTCTGTGGTTTGGCGAGTCATTTCAGCCGCATCCAATCTACCTTTGCTTTCAATTAAATGAGAAGCAAAAATAGTATTGACAAGCGTTGATTTTCCAAGGCCAGATTGACCTAATAGAAAAGGGTTGTTTATTTGCTATGCACTCAAGTCTTGGTTTTATCCCCCCCCCTTGACCATGTAGTGTTGTTGTTGTTGTTGTTGTTGTTTATCGCCCCTCACTGTGTTGTTTTTCTCCTTACCCACCACCATCACATTGAATTGAAATCCTTTCTTGAGTAATTTCTTTTCAATTTGCTGAGTAATGGTATCGAAACCAACATAACCATTGAGTGGTGTCTACAAGATGGATGGAGTGTATATTTGCATTTGTAAAAAAGAAAAAAGAATAAAGTAGAACGTTCTCTTTTGAAAAATACCTGCTGAGGCAACTGCTGTTGTTGTTGTTGAAGTATTTGTTGTTGTTCAATCGTAGGCGTGGCCACTGCAGATACAGACATTTTGCTTTAAAGAACAAAAGAAAAGAGATATAAATCAATAAAGAAGAGAAAGAGGGAAAAAAAAAGCCCTTTGCTATTTTTTTAAAAAATAAAATGAACAAAGGGGTAAAAAAGGGGTAATACAAGAAATAGAGAATATTGAAAAAATCAAATAAAAAAGCCCTTCTTTACACGTGTTTATAATGGAATCCATTCCTATTTTTTTTTCTTTCTTTTTTCTTTACTTTTTTTTTTTTTTTTTTTTTTTTTTTTTTTTTTTTTTGTTTGTCATCAGGAAAAAGCGAGACTTTTTACTTTTGTTGTCAATAAAAGAGGTGATGGATTAAAGAGATCAAAAAATACAATATTATGATTCTTTACTCAAAGCTCCGTTTGAATAAAAAAAAAATGCGGGGTCAAACATCTGAAATCAGTACGCGCAGTGGTGGTAGAATGAATATCACTGTTGTGTCTTTTTGACAAAGAGACGTTTTTTCAGACAATGTATGAAACCCTTCTCGTTTGAGAGTCAATGACTATAAGACGGACTATGGAAGAGTAGGAACTAAGAATAATGCTTTCCTCTTTAGCTATCCAGCAAAGACATTCTAAACAATGACTTGCAGTGTCCAACCCTTAACGTGTGCTTAGTGACTTTAAAAAAAGCATTGCCATTGCATGAAGGAGGGAGGGGATCAAGGGAGATGAAAATGGTGTGACTGTAGATAGATAAAGTAAAAAAGAAAAGAAAGAATTTGATTTATTCCTTTTCCCCCTCTTGGGCTTTGTTGTAGCACAGGATAGAAAGAGATTCAAAAGGATCGTCTCTTCATCTTTACTTTTAGGTAGGCACTTCTGTAAGCGTATCTCTAGCAAAATCGATGCAATAAAGTATGCTTGGGATGGATTGGCTATCCATGAGAGTTTATCCCCTCTCTCCCCTTTTTTTATTTTTATGTTTCCTTCTTAACCTGCCATTTATTCGTGGCTTGTAAAAGGCATCTTTCTCCCTTGTCCAAAATAGATGAGAGGAAGAGTGGATATCCTTGGCGTTCCTCTTTTTAGAAAATTAAGAATTTTGATGTGTATAAACCCCGTGGCAAGAGATTAGAAAAAGCGTGGTTTTTTTTTTTTACGTTGGATAGGCCATTTTTTGTGGAAAAATAAAAGGGGGGCGGAGAGGAGGTGACAAGTGCACACCCATGCTGATGGATCCTCCCACAAATAGTTTATTTCGAAACAGCTTAAATGAATTAAGCAATTTCTTTTATCGGGGGAAGATGGACTGTAGCATCATTTATCAATAAAAAAAAAAAAAAAAAGAGTCATTAAACCGTGCTACATAGACCCATAGGGCGTGCATAATCGACAACCGAGTCCCAATGGGAATGTGGATGGGGGACTTTTTTTTCCAATGTTCTTGTGGACTGTTTGTTGCCGCTGTACAGCGCATCTTGCAGATCGATTTGCGTCTTTATGTATCTCTGTGATAAATACTGCAAGTATTCAAGTGAGTCTAAAGGAAGGATGCGTCTACTGGATACAGGAAAAACACGCAGCACTTTTGGTTTTTAAGCTCATGGATTTCTCTTTACACACTTTACCCACTGTCTTTCTCCCTTTGTTCTCATGCCCTCCCTTTCCTCTCCTTTTTTTTTGTTTTTTTTTTTCTAATTCGTCCTTGGCTTTTCTTCCCTTTCACTCTTCATACGGCTTTCAAGGGTAGATACATTTGTATTGATAGGGCGTCTTGTGGGAAATGGATCCTCTTGCTTTGTTCTATTCAATAGAGAAATAAGAGGTAGAGGATTCAATCGTCATGAATGACCGATGAAAGAAGAAAGTGAAATGCAATAATTGGGCTGAATGCCACATGCAGGGAGAGAAACGGAGAAGTCCTTTTTCCAAGGGAAAACGAGATCTTGAACGATAGACACACACGCACATCAAATCTCGAATCCCGACAGCAGCTCCATCATGGTCGACAGGCAAGTGCATATGAGCAGCCAAAGGAAACAGATTAGAAAAAAAAAAAAAAAAAAAAAAGCTGTTGTGTAACATTTGTGCGTGTTATTGAAACGTGTAGATAGAATAGATCATATATGTCAGAAAATGCACTTGTCAGCAATTCACTCACATTGTAGGACAAGAAACATTCCGAAATGAAAGGACGGGCCTTTTTTTTTTTTTTTTTTTTGCAAAGAGAACTGTAGTATAAGCATTTCCAACGAAGCACATGCAGCTCTCTCTCTACCGCACGCACCCACACACACACACACACACACATACATATATCTCTCTTCATCTCCTCTCTACTGTCTATCAAATAGATAAAAGAACATTTCCATCCGATTTTCACGCTTGTTGATCGACAACATCCATTCATGGTCTGTGATCATCCCGTCCCGTCCATCTCATAGATACCTTGCTTCTCGTCTTTTGGTTTTTTTTTTTTTTTCTCAGTGAACAAATAAGGCATCATGCTCTTTTATATTGATCCATGGTCAACAGCCATAGACACACAAAAATAGACTTGAAAGGAGGGGGGAAAAAAATGTTGTCCGGAAAGGAAACGGGTGATACAGGAACGATGGCGAACAGACAATGGCCACACAATCCCACTACTTTAAGCGACGAAAAGAGCCTAGCGGAGTCCGACGAATGGAAACCATGCTCTCAACATGTGGTACATTTTTTAGGCTACACGACCATCGATATGACATAGCCGTGCTTTTCACGAAATAAAGGTGATGGAAGGGAATAAACGATGCATGGAGCATTCTTCTATGCCTTTAAAAGACATCAAGCTTCTGTCTTTCTATTTATTTCTCGCTTGCTTGCTTGCTTGCTTGCTTGGAGACTCAAACATCATTTTACAAACTAACTGAGGATTTTTCAATAGTGAGGTTCATTCAAACCAGAAAGAGCAGGAGAAATACAGAAAGTTTGAATGGAAAAAAAAGCAGGAGTAATAGAAGACTATGTAGTCGTTTTCGAACAAAAAAAAAAAAAAAAAATAAAAAATTAAAAAGTCATTGAAGGGAGGAGGTGGAGGAAGAGGAGGAGGAGTCAAAGGCCCAATACAAGATAATAATTACAAAAATCGACCTACACAACACCAGAAAAAAAAAATAACATAAATAAGGATTTTAAGCTTTTTTTTTTTTTTATATTGATGGAAATTGAACATTTGTAGATCTTTCAATCAACTTTAAATTTATTTCCTTTTTTCGGGTTGGCCGTTGTCTATCTTTTTACTGCTTTCATTTTCTCCTTGAAGCCCTCCTCCTCCCTTTCAAGAAGCCTAGAGCGAGCGATTCACAGTTGAAAAATAGATCTACTGTGGTGTCTATTACGCGTTTTGGCATCGATACGCACATACATAGACACAGAAAATACACTCAGACACACGCACACAACGCAGGAGTGGAGGTTAACAAAGAATAAGAGTAACCCCCTGGATAGTACAACGCAAAAAGAAAAAAAAGTTTCTTTTTTATGGTGTGCGTGCGTGCGTGCGTGTGTGTGTGTGTGTGTGTGTGTGTGTGTGTGTGTGTGTATTTTATGTGTGTGTTGCTTCCTTTCATAAAAGGAGAAGTGCCAAAAAACGATAGAAACCCTTATTCTTTTCTGGAATCTTGTATAAATACTAAAGTCTTTTTTTTTTACCATTATTATTTTCTTCCCTTCTTTACTTTTTTGCTTTTCTTGCGTCCATCTCTTTTTTTTTTTTTTCTTTTTTTTTTTATCCTCTATTTTTCTCTCAATATCTTTGTTCGTTGCTTGACAACTTACTTTGACAACAAAAAAAAACCAGCCTACTATCTATTGTATTACAACCTCTTTTCTTTTTTTTCGACCGGCTTTATTGATTGAACGCCCTTCTTTCATTCATCCCAACTCTAAACAAAAAACAAAAAGATTCTTTATCGCGAAACTATCTAAAAACAACAACATGGAGATTCTCGAACTTGTTCATCAAGAAAATTCATTAAGCGTCGACCGACCTTTTGAATGTACTTTTAATAACTGTAAAAAAACCTTTGGACGAAGATCAGACCTCGTAAGACATTCTCGCATTCATACAAATGAAAGGTATGTCGATATAGCTACGCAGCAGACACACAGACATAAATTGATGATAAACATTCTGTCAAAATTGGGATTTAAGGAGTTGGTTGGCAAGTCTAATCAAATCAAATTTCATTTTAGACCATATAAATGTAGAGAACCTAATTGTGGCAAAAGTTTTATTCAGGTAAATATTTTTTTATTTTTTTTTTTTTCTCGATTGTAGGGAAATAAGGAGAAAATAAAACCAAAGGTATTGATAGGTTTTTTCCCTTACCTTTTTTTTTGTCTATTTTAGCGCTCTGCTTTGACGGTGCACATGCGGACCCATTCTGGTGAAAGGCCTCATCTCTGTGAATTCCCTCACTGTAACAAGAGTTTCAGTGACAGCAGTTCTCTTGCTCGTCATCGTCGTACACATACCGGCAAACGTCCTTACAGATGCCCTTTTGATGGCTGCTCAAAGAGCTTTGTTCGTAAAACCATCTTGACAAAACATATGAAGATGGATCACACCACCAATGGACGCAGACCTTCTGTTCAATGGCAGCCTTTTATCGAAGAACGTCGCAAATTGATGCTTCAACAACAACAACAACAACAACAACAACAATTGCAGCAGCAACAGCAACAGCAACAGCAACATCATTCATTCACGACAGCCTGTGCTTGCACAGATTGCTATCCTTCGTCCGTTGGAAAGAATGAATCTCAGCTGTATGTCTCATCACCCCCTACTACCCTCATCTTGTCTCTTTATGATGAAAAGACCACCACGAGCCCTACCTTAACAAACGATGATGCATCAAGTAACAGCAGTAGCAGTAACCCTTCTTCTCCCACCAGCACATCTTGGCCTTACTCTGCGCCTCCTACCTCTTTCCATTCTTCAGTACCCTTCTATCCTTATCAACAACAGCAATCACAACCACAACCATATCAACCACCTGCTTTGACGCAACAACCCCTATTAACTGAATGGATCCCTTCCTACACTACTCTTCATCAGCAACAACAACAACAGTCTCATTTTGTTCAACCCTCCTCCATGGACTCTACTGTCAAACTACCCAGTCTATCCAACTTGTTGTTATCTCCCTCCACCTCCACCCAATGCGATAGTGCTTGTTCTTTATATTAATTTTCTGATCATCACTTTCGGCCACTCTATCCATCAACCACTCTTTTTTTTAACAAGATGCCATCATAAAAGAAGAAAAAGGAAAAAAAAAAAAAAAAAAAAAAAAAAAAAGCAAAAAAGACAAAAACTCGAAAAAAAAAACCCTCAACCAAGCAACTCTCCTCACCATTTCAACATCATTACTCTATTTTTATTGCAAAATAAGTTTATCACATTTTCTCAAAAAAAGAAAAGAAACTACTTTAAAAAAGAAATGCACATTGGATACCAAAATTTCTCTTTCAACTTTCTACATACACAAATTCAACTAAACCACATACCCTCATTATTTATTCTTTTTTTCATGATCAAGTCACTATGTTTCTCAAACCCATATGCTTATTGATATACCTTCTTTCTATGCTCTCTCACTCTATGTCTACTATTATCACTTATAAAGTACATTCTATTATCTGCTTCATTTTTTCAAGCTTTTTCTCATTCACCTTTGTCTCTTATATCCCCCACCCCCATTAGCTTAAAATAAACTTATTTTGCCTTTAACGAATAGCCTATTTCACACCTCCTTTCTTTTTCTGTCTTATCGACTTGTTGTGCGCGCATTTCATGTGCACAAAAGAAAGGGGACAAAGCGAACATGCGCACACACACTTTGTCAAATTTTGTGCTACAAATTATCTTTATCACGCTGACCAAATGCTCTCTTTCTCGTGTGACGCTGTAGGATGTGTGTGGTCCAAAATAGTAATAAAGTCTTACAAACCTATCGACGCCCAAGGGTCTTTTTTTTTTTTTTTTTTTTTCTGTTTTTTTGTAAAAACAATAGGAAAAGACAAGCACTCACTCCCTCCCTCCCTTCCTCACCCACTCTCAGAGACGCGCAGAGACGCGTTTTATGTGCACCATGTGTTATCAGAGGCCTGTTTAGGTAAGACCATCTTTTTTCAAAGACGAGATCGATTCTATATTCATCCTACTAAAACTTTGTACGATTATGAACATCAAAAGAAACCAAGTAGTCTCCCCAAATCGGAGCTTTAGAAGGATATTGCGTAGCAAACTCACTGGGTACCCAATCTACACCATGGTTGGGTGTCATGAATAACTCTTTCGTCAACTGTTGTCTACCTTTCTTTGCCATGGACGCTAATAATTTCTCATCAAAATCTTGTTATTACAACGGTATAGATTGATCTCTACCTTTGTTCCTTTCTTTACCTTGTTCTTCCTTTATGCTTTCGTACTCTTTTTCAAGCTTACTTAATTCATCTTTCCAACATTCAAGTTCCTTTTCTTTATCACTTTCATCCTCCCCATGGCTATCATTTTCTAAACGCCCCTCTTCTTCTTTGGCTAGAGCGGCTTCTTTTTCTTTGAGAAAGCCTTGGCAAGTTTCGATCTGTAGCATATATTTCGACGCGTTTGTAAATTGCTCACGTCGAACGGCTCTCTCCTTATATTTTGTCAATCGTTGGATCTGTTGTCCGAGCTGTCCTATGGCTTCCATAAGTTGAAGGCAGGATTCCTCTTTCTGCTGCAGTTCGGAGGTTCGCTTGTGAATACATTGTCTCAACTCCATCATCTTTTCCTCTAATCTGTCACCATCCATCCCCGGGGTAGGTCGTTTTAGTATACATCCCCTCATCCTGTCACAACAAAAACGCTCCATTCAATTTATTCTAGCTTTACCTTTTTATATCTTTAGCGTTGGCTTCCTCTCTCATCTGCTCCCGCGATTCTAGCTGCTCAAGTTTCAATGACAAAAGCTCCATATCGGCAGCCATCCGTTTGTCTCTCCTATTCGTCTCTTCTAGCTCGCGTATCTTATCTACCGTCCATTGTACATCGTTTTCCATTACCTGCTTCTCCTTTATCCATCTTGTCCATGTTCTATTCACTTTCTCCTCTTCCTCCTTCAGCTCTTCTTCCTTTTTCTCAAGGGCCAATCGTCGTTCTTCCACATCGCTTCTTTCATTGTTCAAGCCTTCCGCTTCTTCTTTAAACTCATTTTTTGTTTTCTCTATCGCCAACGTCCATGTCTGTATTTCTCTCTCTTTCTTTGCTTTTTCCGCTTCGAGCTGCTGCCATTGTCGTTTCAAAGCATCCATTTCCTCTTGCAATTGCTCTACTTCTTGTACCAGCCCCTGTTTTTCCTGTTCAGCCTCATGCGTCGCTTCAGCAATCAAACCCTCCAGATCGCGTTCGTTTTCATGCAGTAGCTGAATATCCAACGCAAGTTCTGATTTCTCCGATTCGAGCGCCGTTTGCTTGGCTTTCACTGCTTCCATCGCTGATGCTTTTAAGCGATCTGTGTCTTGAATAAACTGCTGCAGATGCCGTGTGCGTGTCTGTTGGGCCGTCTCACAGCAACGGAGGAGGGGTTGAAGGAACCCTTCCTCTTCTTGCATCAGCAATTGCTGAAGGCGTTCACGCTCCTTTTTTAACTTGACATGGATCGTCCTTGTCAAATAAACGTTCAGTTCGCACATGCTGTTTTGCAAGGATTCTTGTTGTTGACGGTATATCTCGGCCGCTTCGAAATCTTCCTTCGCTACAGCTTCACTTTGCTGTGCTTCAAGTCGATGTAACTTTTCGCTCATCTACAATGACTCAGATTCTCATCAGTCTCAATGACCACGGATGAACGCTCATCATCACTTTCTTTCTTTGATAAGTTGAACGCCACACTGTTACCTCATCGATCGTTTTCTGCGTCTGCTCTCCTCTTTTACATAATTTCCTCAAGGAATCCAATCGCTTCGTTTTCTTTTCTTGGAATTTTTCCCAGCGAGCTGTGTGATGTAAAAGTTGCATTTCGCAATCTGACTGTAGCATAGATTGGACGACTTTTTTCCCTACTGACTCTTCTTGTCTTTCTTTTGAACCGTCAACATCATCGCTGTCATCGCCTATACAATAGAAATGAGTCCATCTTGGGGGGGGGTAGAAACAATGCTCATCCAACGAGGCTTGTCCAATTCGGTTTCAACTTACTGCTACTATCTATCTCTTGGAAACATGGTTGTAAAAGTGAGCTACTCGTGGATCTGCCTAGGCATCCAACCGCAATTATTTTGAACAAACAAAAAAACCAGCCTTGTTAGCTATCCATACGACCATTCATCAAGTCAATCAATAATCAAAAAGAAAGAAAACCTTGTTCAATAAAACTAAACGTGGGCTGATGGACCATCTGATCCAACTTTATATCACTCAAAGCGCCCGTGCTATGACTCCAATGGCTGCTTCTACTACTACTACTACCACTACCACTACTATTGCTTGCTGTGGTGATGCTTGGCATCAACTTGTTCTTCAATACATGGTTTCCCACTTTTCGTTGACTTTCATTCTTCATAAACTCAAATGCCGACAGGAAAGGTCGGTTGTTGTTTCCTTTTCTTTTGCTCGCTTGACTACTACTTTGACTACTGTTGTCAGAAGTGCCTTCACCCTCATCTTCTCGAAACATATCTTCCATGATAAAAGACGACGAAAACTTTGGCACAACCATCGAAGTGAACCGTCGATGTCTTTCTGCTGGTAATGGTCGCTGATCCGCTGGCTCCTGTTGTGCTTGATCAATGAACGAGAAAGCTGACCGCCTTGAGATACAACTCTTATGTTGGCTCTTCTGTCTGCTGCTTGTATCATGGTGCGTCATGAAGACTGCATCAGAGAGAGCAGAAGAAGATAAAGATGCTTGGAGCGATGGTGGCTGTTGCTGCTGTGTTACATCATTGACACTTTGACTACGCTTATCATTCCTCAATATCTGTTCATGAAGTGAGCCTAAAACTGCCCTATCGTGGTCATCGTCATGGTCGACATCTCGACTGACGGATTCTTTACTCTCATCGACCTCCACCAAGTTTTCAAAAACATCGGACAAGATCATTTCAAAGGCTAATGGATCGCTCTATTCTGGAACAACCTTTGTCAAAGAATGATGTACCAAAAAAGAGGAGGACTTTTCGCCTTCCATCTGCATGAAATGGAATCAGTATAATTTAAACCCCGTTTTCAACTCTACCTGTTCATTTTCGACTTTTCACGTGCCAAACGAACGAGAGTAGAGTAGTTGTTGTGCTCTCAGCTTTCAAATAAGAGCAATAATACAAAAGAACGATCTCATTACTAACCATTCATTCGTCGATTCATTTATTTGTACTTTATCTACTCTCAACCAACTCAACCCATCTGTAGAAATCCGCACCGCACAGTCACGTGCTATCAATTTCATAAATTATCTTCGTATTTTATTTCCTACTCTCCTAAATATAGGAGCTCGCTTAGCTCAGTTGGTTAGAGCGTGGTGCTAATAACGCCAAGGTCACAGGTTCGACCCCTGTAGTGAGCAGCTTTACTTTTATGTCTTTTTCTGTTGGGGTGCGTGTAGCTACTGCTGTATTTTATTGTTGGGAAGCAAAAAATCCGTTTTGTCTCATCCATTGCTGCTGACAGCTGTCTATATTGCAAAGCACACTTTAGGGAAGTATAGAAAACGCTTTCAATATACTACTGAGCTAAAACCGGTGCTTTGGCAAGGCGCTACAACGGCTCATGGAATTCTTTCCGTGCAAAATGTACACTGAACGACTTGCATAAAGTTTGTCATCATCTATTGGTTTTTTCATCTGATATTTGCTTCTCCCAACTCCCCATATATTCAATATCACTCGTGGGCACTCGTTTAAAGAAAAATATATCGTGGATTTGAGCAACATTGTACTGCTTACTGGAAAGGTGTTCCACTGTAAAGGCATTAGGATTGTATTCCTTATGACACAATGGAAAATTGAAATATGAAAGTCTTTGGTAACATAAACGGCATCTTATAAATACAGCCGAATGTAATATAGCCTTGGATGATATATCCTAAACGCTTTAAAGATGACTTCGCATAAGAAGCAACTACTCATTCATAAATTCTCACTTTACGTACTTATTATCCTCTTAACCGAATTATCATGCGAGTAAACATAGTGTGCTTTGGAATAAAGACAAGAACAAGAACTGTGCCCTTACTGTAATGCTGAAATTTTAAAGAAATATCGTGTAGATATTCCAGAAATCTACTTGTACAAGTAAGATACGGTCGAGCCTTACATACTAACCTGTATAATGCTAGTTGAGGTTTTAGTTCATGGGACCGAAGCTCACAGAATCCACAGCCTCAAAGTCGTATAAAAACCGCAAATTGAAAGAGCCACGGGCTTTTTTTTTTTATGAACTTGATGCCGCTAACAATGAATTGTTATCGCTAACAAATGAATATGAACTGTAGCAACAGATGAAATAATGCAATACAGTTGTGTTTAGAGAGAAGAATTGGTAAAAATAACAAACAAACAAATGCCCAATCTTTGAGAAGGAATACAAACGTTGGTATATGTCAATGGTCATGGTTACTCCTTTACTGTTCTTCTACATCAGTCCAGCATATAACAGTAGTCGATTTGAATATTTTCGATCGTTAATTCCGCGCAATTAACGGCTTTTGTATTGCGTTGTGTGCAGCAACTAAGTGGACTTCATCGGTGAGCAGCCTTTTTACTGCTTTTGTGCTGATGTTTTTTCCCGAAAGTTCCAAGGTCATTGAATTATATTCACGTGTCAAAGATTTTTACAATATATGCTTGGAAGTTTGAAGAGCTAATAAAGTGAGATTAATATCAAAGCCATGGTTTTCTATTTTTAACAATGACTTGATTTGATAAATATAGCTTGGTCATTTATTCTACCGATACTACAGCGCGTAGTAAGGAAATCAGCCTAAACGCACAAAGAGTCGAGCCAACGCAGTCAGTAATTTTATAAGCATGAGTGCACAGGGGTTTCTGTTGGCGGTTACAGAAGATTCGCATCATGGAATATTATAATCTGTTATAATAGTGCCCTATTTTGAATAAAATGACTTGGAAATGCATAATATGGGTTGAGTATAATATGTGTGCTTAAGAAATATGAAGTAGGATATACAATTGTTATCTTTACCATTTTGCTGAAGACCTTCATTTTGATGCTTTCTTAAAGTCAGATCAAAAACTGTCAGCACGTTCTATAAACTATCAGCTCGCTTCTTCAATAGTTACTCTACAGACGACGTTTCAACTCTAAGTTCCTGCTATATCGCCTTAATGTGCCATTGTCACAAGCTCGTCAAAATGGGTTTCTGAAATAGCAACTAAAAGGACAGGCATGTTACTAAGCAAACATGTTGTTTTTTGTTGTTTACTCCTTTGAACTTTTTCAAGTTACAAGCGCAGAATATAATTTAATATAACAGTAATATAATGGGTAAAACTCCGGTCCGATGTGATAGTTTATTAACAGAAATTGTACAGCTCTTTTTATTTTTGGAGCCAGGACGGAATAGACGTCATTTGATGATGAAGAAGAGAGTTCCAAGTGCATTTTGAATCGATTCAAAGTATAAGTTATCCTTCTGGTACAATTATAGATAGGTTTACCTAATATCAATGGCTAGTCCAGACTATTCGTCATGCCATCTTTCATACCCAAAGGCTTACCTCTAGCGCAAGAAGCATACAGCTTATATCGCGCAAAAGATCATTCTACGACATTACTGTAAATATTGGAGCTCTTTTGGAAGGTCAGAAAAGCAGGTATAGAATACTTGGATTATCAGTTTCATCATTGCGGCGAATCATATGGCGTATGTTTTATTTGTTTCACTCGGTACCTCTTTTCACTTGTCCTTCCAAGGTAGGCACATGCGCAGGGTCCACTTCCCTAGCGCACTAATTCAACCGCTAAGACTAGTTTGTATAGATAACACGCAGTTTTATGCTTTAGTTTTCCGGTGAGTTTTCCAGGTTCACCACATCAATCTGTACTGTTTACTGAAATCGGAACAGGAAAAAAAAAGATCCTCGTTTTTTCTTATTATTCTATTCGCAATCACAAGAAAACATATATAAAGAGTGCGCTTCAAGGAGAATCATAGGAAAACATCAACAAATATTTTTCATAAAAGATAATAAGGAATTTATAGAATGTACTCTCGCTCCGCTATTGTTTACCTCACCGCTGTTGCTGTTGCTGTTCTTTGCCTCTTAAATGTTGCCTCTGCTGCTCGCGGCCCCCATTCTAAGGAAGTGACAAGAAAGACGATGAAGAAGGCTATCAACAGACATCATAGCAAGAAAGTTAACAAACTGAATAGACGTGGTCACCACGATGATGATGATGATGATGATGACGATGAAGTTTTTGAAGGCAAGGCTACATGGTTTATTCCCCATAAGCACCACGGTGAAATTGGTGCTTGTGGTGAATATGAAGCTGATGATGACTGGATTGTTGCCATGAATGCTGACCAATATGGTGATATGGACGAAGTCAGTGATGATGTCTGTTTCAGAAAGGTTCGTATCTATCACGATGGTAAATCCGTTGATGCTACCGTGACCGATGCTTGTCCTTCTTGTGATTATGGTAGAGTATTTTTTATTTTGCAATCTGTTTTAAATTACTTATCCTCTTAAACCTTACTCACTCTGTATTCTTGTCATTGATAGGTGATCTTGATCTCACACAAGTCGTCTTCCAAGAACTTGGCAAGTTGAAGACGGGTGTTCTTGACATCACCTGGGAGTTCCTCAACTAAAAGTAATCCATGAATTTCTTTCTCTTTTTTTCTTTTTCTTCATACCACTGTATAGTATTTTGCCGCCTTCACCTTTAAATACCTTATATAGACCATGATTTTTCGTTACATTTCAATTGATTCCTTACATTTAAACATTCCTTATTTCTATTGCGCTTTGGACCGCTCAAAAAATCACCCATAGAAAAACACACATATCTTTTGCTGTACTGCTGTTTGTTTGCAGAGAATTGATAAGGTGAAATAAAACGTGTGGAGTATACCACCCTGAAAACATTTCTATACATTTCGATAAACACTAATTACAATACTGTTGCTTTGATATAATATTGCATACGCCATTAATCATTGTAAACGAACGTTAGAATGCGCTCTGTCAGAAAAGCCGTTAGCTTTTCTTTTTCAAATTCGTCCATCATCTCAATAAAACTTTGATATCCAAGAAAAAGACATTTCTCAGCCCAATGGATATTAATATGTATGAGAGGTGAACTATGGCAGATTGCAATTCAATTTCCGATCAACATAGGTGAAGAGTTCATACCCTTTTTCTTGCTCTCATTGTACCATCCTATCTAATGTTCAATTGGAATGATAGCACGATATTTGCTCTTAATAAATGCCTAAGATAGCAAAGCGGATGAAAAATAAGATGTCATTCGTCTAACTGAGGCGCAACAGCATGAAATATCAAAGGTTCTGTTTAGACGTAGAGCACGTCCACTGGCAAGAATGAAGATTGATCAATCAAGAGAAAGGTCAAAAAAAGCGATAAGTAGCATCTATCAAATAAACGGTTCATACAAGATTATAGCAGCAATTTAAATTCGCTACGATTATGATCACTAATTTGTACATATATGTACCTCTATGGGCAAATTTACAAAGACGTTTGAGAAATGAAAGCTTGGAGCAGCAGAGGCAGAGAGATTATAATAGTAACGACGCGCTTTGACTACATTCTACGGCCAGCCAAAGAGCAATAAAGATGAAACAAAAAGGTATCTGACTGAGATTGATAGAACTAAAATAAATCCAGTAGGCTGATTATCTGCTTGTTCCCTCTCCTTACTTTTTCTTGCCTTTTTTGCTTTTGTTTACTACTGCTGTGATACGACAACTAATGAAAGCTGTTGTCAAGCCTGCTGTGAAAAGCATTTCCTTAAATACAATGCATTTTTGGCAAGTTCCTGAAACCATAGAGAAGCTTTAAGAATAAAGAACAATGCTTTCTGACTGTTAGCTATATAAAGCACTGAAAGAAGGAAGACGAAGACATAGGGGAAAAAGGTTAGAAGAATAAGTAGCGGGATGATATGTTGGCGTAAAAACAATTCATTGAATTAATTTAAAGAACAGTTGAACCGTAAAGAAAAAGTACTTATCGTTGTGTACATTATGCTATACAACCTCTGTATGAAGGTGGGCACACATAATGGGCGTAAAATGCATCATGAAGAATTTATCGTAATTTTTATTAAATCCCTCCTTGTCAAGCGTTTAAAGTTCGCATTTCACTTTAAATGGATGGCGATAGATAGCACAAACACTGTAAGTGAGTGCTTGGCAACGTATATAGGACAAACAGGGTACGTTGTGTGAAATGAGTGGATTTTCATTGGGCCTACAGAAACCACTTGAGGAAATACACGCGTGTTATTTGTTTATTGAATGAAAAAATGAAGCCGTTTCTTCTCTTTCTTTTTGCAAAAGATTCAAGAATTCATTATTCAAGAATGTTACCGCTGCTTATACTAAGCTTTATAGCCAGCATCATTGTTGAAATAAGCAACTTTCTGTTGCTTTCCTGTCTCTGTCCATTTGCGCTCGTTCATCGTCTCTTTTGCTGTCTCATCTGCCACGTTGGCCTTTCATGTGTTGCTCAGCCTTCTCAGGTAATCTGCTCACGCCGTTCTCTGCTTCTGCAGAACATTTATACTGATATTATCACACTATGCTGCCCCTTTACACGGTTTTTGCTTCCTCTTATGGGAAGAAGATTCGCCTGAACTCCATACACTTTGCAGACGGCTCGCTTTTGCCCTTCCCAAAAACACGCTTTTTTTCTTGATGCCTCTAGGTCTTCAGTATCAAGCACACTGATTTGAAGTGTGTGTAAAATTTTGTAAAATGATAGAATTCGAGGCGAAAACAAAAAAGACAGAGTAGCCGACAAAAATACACTATGTTTTATTTTTGGTTTATTTTTCCTAGGTGTGTTAAAGATGCTATGTACATTATAATTCTTTCTCTTGTTCTTCTTCTTCAATGGAAGGAGCAGCATTGATGGTAGGTCTTGCGCCTTTAGGTAAAGCAGCCACTTTTTTAGCATGTTGTTGTTTCTTACGAATAGCAGCTGGCACAAACTGTAATGCTTCCTTTTGGAGGTCACGTAATTGAGGTTCTGCAGAAATAACAGGAGTGACCTTCACGGCTTGCTGTGGTTGTGAGGAGGCAGTTGTGGTAGCCGGTCTTGGCGGCATATTATGGAGAGTACGGTTGGGATAATAGTGAACTGGAGCGGATCCATAGGAAGATGCAGGTGGAGGAGGAGGAGGTTGGTATAGCATAGGTCTTTGCTGTTGATCTATTAAACAACAGAAATAGAACAAGGATGTGAGTTGATCACCAGACAAGTACACAAACACACACACAAAAAAAAAAAAAGCACTGCTAAAGATACTTACATGGCATCATGCCTACTGGAGGAGGTAGTGGGGGAGGGACAGGCATTGTATTTATATAATTTGGGTGGGCATATGGGAAAGGTGGTGGGGGCGGCGGGATTGTTCCTGGAGGATAAGCTACAGGGAAGGGTGGTGGACCAGGAGGTGGAGGAGGTGGTATTCTTTGTTGTGCTGTTTGAATGGGTTCTAATTGTTCAGCAAACGGTCTATGTGGGGGTGGGCCTGGCGGAAGAGGTATTTCGTATTCATCGTCTGATTCTGTCAACTCTTTTTTCTTTGGCTGCTTTTCTTCTTCCGTTGTTCCAGCCGTAGATGGTGGCGCTGCTACGGACTCGGTAGGCAGTGGTATATCTCCTTCTTCTTCTGCTTCTATAACAACTTTTTCTTCTTGATCTGAAACATTGAATGCCTCTGCTTGTTCGTCTTCCTCGTCGCTCGTACTCATATCACTGTCGCTGTCATCACTGCTAGAACCTGAAGTGGAATCAGACTCTTCATCCGACTTACTCGTGGATGTGGATGTTTTCGATTCTATGACAATGTTTCGGTCGATTGAGTCATCCGTTGAGAACGACACACATACACACACTCTCTCCTGTCTACACTTTTCAAAATGATACCTTTCTTTTTAACGGGCACAAATGCACCACGCTTCGGATCGAAAACCAGCTTTCTCGATTCATTTTCATATTTCTTTTCCTGTTCCTGAAGTCGTGCTGCCAAAGCTGCTTGTGCCCTATCATACAATGTGGAAGCATGTTTAATGTCTGGGAACTACAAAAGACATATTTTTTTCCCTTTCGTTACCCTGTAAGCTCTGTCGCCTATGTATCATTGAACCACATTGAAAAAACATCGATAGAGGAGTGTCAGTGAATGGACAAGAAATAAGTCGCCTCGTTTAGTAGACATGGTTTACCTTTTTGGCTTTTGCAATTTTCGCAGCTTCCTCTTTCAAACTTTCTAAACGTGCCTGATTCGGCTTATCCAACTGACCAATTTTAGCTGTTTAGATAAAAAGATAGAATTAGCCTCTTTCATTGAAAAGTAAATACGGACGGTTGTAGATTAGAAAAAAGATTGACCTAAATGTTCTAATCGAGCAATGTCCTGTGACACTTTTCCTAGATCTTTCTTTGCCAACGACTGCATTCGAGCTTGTTTACGTATTTCTTTGTTCTAATGGTAAACATCCGTAGTTTATTGTTAACACACATTTGATAGGTGGTTTCTAATGAAAAAGTGCTGTCGTTCTGCTAACCTTTTGCAGTTCCCGCTTTCTTTGCTTTTTACCTGTATAAAAATCGTAATGTTAGCCAGAACGCGACCCATCAAGAGATTAAGCTCAAGCTGTACTTACGCAAAGCATCAGCGGGATTCATTGCTCTTTTTGATTTTCCCATGTTGACTTGATTAGATGAGCTATTTTTGACAAGATCGATATAAAATCAAACCCAAAAGGCTTGCTGCCAAAAAAAAAAAAAAGACGAAGAAGAGGACTGAGTATGAAAAAATACTGTCCTTCTCTTAAAAAGACCAAATCGGTTCACCGTTGTCGAAAAGTACAATGAGATTCGCCAATTTATAACCAGACAAAGACACGACTTGAATACTGCTAAAGCAGTAACTCCAAGTTGACTCTGTTCCTTAGTCAATCGTAGCAGCACAGTGATCATTTTGCTTTGTCTTTTCGTAATCGAACGATGGCCATTTTGTTCATCAAACATGCCGCGTTGACGTCAACCGGTCGGTCACGTCTTTAACAATAACAAAGGCAGTTCTTTCCTATTGCTCCGTTGACACTAAAGCAAAGAAATTTCCCGGGGTAGTTTCACAATTTGTACATAGAAGAAGCAAATTTTGAACTACTCTACCGCATCATTCGTCAGTGACTCCCCTTCTTCATGACGCGGCCGTGGACCCAGGGTGATGGTGACAGGTAACTATGAGGAAAAATTCAGTTTTCTCCCTTTCCTTTTCGCAGCTGCATTACAGAAAAACGAGCTTTTCTCTTTCTCTAATACGGACCTTGAATTTTTTCCATTGAATAAGCTTTTTTGACATTGAATAAAAAAAGGGGTTCACTACAGAAACTTTATCTTTGAATTGGAATATCTTGTATATTCCACCTATTTAGTAATTTTGGCAAACGTTAGGGTTCTTTTTTTTCTTTCAAAGGGGGAGAGCGAGACTCGGTAAGCTTAATGATAAGCACAAGATTATGTCATCTTTATAAATAAAAAAAAGATTCTATGCCCTTTTGTTACCCTTTCTTTTTCTTTTTCTTTTTTTTTTTTTTTTTTTTTTTTTTTCCATTCAGGGCGGAAAAAATGATAGAAATGTCCGATCTCAATCCACCAATCACTCCATGGGTTGAGTTAATTAAAATTCATGCGCATTTTTGTGCTCCAGTATTTTGCAAAAAGTACGAGATAGGGAAGCGAGTGCAAACAGTAAGCTAATGAGAAAACTCTCGCTCTACTGTTGGAATATGAAAAATAAACTATCTTTTTTAACAATGGAATGAAAAAGGAAGAATAGAACAAACGGGCAATTTTACATGAAAATAGCGGGTATTTTGATGGTTCAAGTTGACACCATCTTCTTTATTTACAAAAGAACTCTAAAAACACAGTACTATTGACACCCAAGTAACGCCACTCATTCGTCTCCTCAGGGAAATAAAAAAGGATTCTCATGGGCTACTTTTCTCTCACCACCTTGGAGATTTTTGGAAATAGACAATGTACTGCTTATTCCTATCGAATGATTGTAAAGCAGAAAAAAGTAGAATACGTTATGAAGCTACTCACAAAAGGAAACCATGCTTTAGAGGTGTTTTCGTATAGTTTCTTTTTTCCTTTTTTTTTAATTCTCTTTCCAAGAATCGCCCGTTAACTTTAATTCTGAAAAAAAGAGCATGTGGTTCGATTGTCTAGTTTTTGCTTCTCTAGAGTGCGTGACACGTCAAAAAGCGTAGGTACGTTTGCTTCTTGCACGCTCATCGTGGCTCATGCATCCAACAGAGACACTATTTACCCCATGGTGGTTCTCTACCCCAGCATGACAGAAACAGCCGGATTCTGAATTGAGACAAAAAAAGAAGGCGAAACAAATTAAAAAAAAAAAAAAAAAAAGAAATTGACAGGTTTTCTTATCATATTCGTCCTTTGTTTCTTTATGGGAAAAAAAAAAAAAAAGAAAAGGGGAAAAGGGAAATTTTTTCATGCAGCCCACAGTTGTCTGTATTCATCACACCACTGGAACTGCAACAACAACTTTTACATATAAATACCCTCTCCATTCAATGTTGACCAGTTTTCTTTTTCTTTTTCTTTTGAAAACAAAACTATACAAAACACACTCAGATACATATAATACTTTACTATCATGGATTCCCAATTTGCGCCTGAAGAAGACTATAATAACGTCGTCGACTCTTACTCTGTCACCATCAATGGTTTCATGTTCTGTACCCGTCATGGTCTCGAAGTCTGTGATAAATGTCCTACCGATAACCGTGCTGCTAACAACATGGTGGTGGAAGATAGCCTGAAGGAGAGATTCACTGAAGACGAATACAATACCAAGTGGAAGGGCGACGAACGCGAACCCATTACTGTCGCTCACAAATGGGTCCGTGTAGGTAAAGGTAAACCGGGTTGTATGGCGCATAAGGAAGTAGCTTGTAAAGAATGCTTTGACTGGGGAGAGCAGCTTTATCGTGGTGTGCACGGTGGTCGCAAACCAAGAGTGTCTCGTCTCAAGAACAAGAAGGAAAAGACTCATGATGAACGTATTGAATAAACTGGCTTTTTTTCTCTTCTCTTTTGATATATATATATAAGGAACACACATACTTCCCCTCCAACCTACCCTTAATACACGCGCGCGCAAATGTTTATATATATACATATTTTTCTATTAAACATGTTACCCTATTGTCCTCTCTCACATACAACAGCCCAATTTCCCAGACACAAACAAGAATAAATAAATAAAAAAAAAAAACCAAGGTTATCTACTTGCACCTAACCATTTCTCCCACCTGATGCTGACTGTATTTTCACTTACCCCATGTTGACATGGAACTCAAGGAATAGTGGCTCTTTCTCAAAGGAAAAAGTCCTTGTCGACGGGTTCTCCCAACATCAAGTCCATTATTTGAATCATGTGTCGTTAGAGCAGAGACGCCAGTTAGAAGAATAGATATAGGCCAAGTCGACTCTACCCAAGGAACAGCTTGAGATTCTTGGCAATATCTAATCTGTATTTCAATGAATCTCCGTTTCTATCCAACGAGACAGCACATGTAGAGGATGACGCTCGCAGAGTGGGGGTCATTTCTCGCTCCAAGGACATCCATGTTCGTTTCTTCTTTTCTCCGCCCACCCCCACCCCCCGCCTCTTTCAGCTCTACTATGGAAAAGAAATGTGGGGGTAAACTGTTTATCAATCCTTGAGTCGATTGGTTGGGAGAGGGATATTTGCTTATGTCAGTTTTTATTTGCCCATTCAAACATGAGCTTATTGTCCTATTTTCTCTTTTTATTTCATATAAAATAGAGATAGTTTTTCTTGGCATCTTTCTTACTCTCACTCCACTCTTTAGGAAAATACTACATTCTTAAGCAGCCAAGCCATCATGGATTACGATAAAGTTTTGGCACACATTCAACACACGTCAGAACAGACAATGCAATATCTTTCCAACAGGTCCAATTTGGAAAAAATCGGTAAAATCACTGCCATTTCTGTAGCGACCTACCTAGTAACCAATGTAAAATGAGTCAGGACAGGGAAAAAAAATAAAAAATAGACATACGACGAGAAAATTGACAAAACTATCTTTTGACTAGAAACTGTATGATGCATTCCTGGGTCCTCTTAGTCATGTTCCCGGCCCTTTTTATACAAAGTTCTTGACTCTGCCACGTTGGATTTTTGATAGACCCGCAGGCACAGCGTAAAGTAATTTCCTTTCCTACATGCTGATCACATGGAGAGTGACAGACTACCAACTGACTACCAACACTCTTTATGTGCCTATAGGTACAAGGCGTTCAGAGACTTGCATGACAAGTATGGTGAAGTGGTTAGACTAGGTCCTCGAAGTATCTCTATTTCCAACAAGGAAATGATCAGACAGGCTCTTGTCACAGAGGATCTTCCCAAGGGCCCCCTCTATAAACTCTTTCAAAGTAAGCTGAAGATGCGTTTACGCTTGTTGATCAAAGCTTATTCATTTCCTTTTCGTCTCTTACCTTACCTTAGGAGAGGGTGTTCAAACGTTATTTAGTACAATGGATCAAGATTGGCATAAAAAGAGAGTAACGTATCACATTGTACTTTTCTTTTTTTTTTTTTTTTTTTTTTTTTTCTTGACCGCCCCCTCACCAAGCGCATCTTCTTTTTGATCTGAACACCTCTGACGCGAATAGAGAAGAATTGTCTCGCCTGCATTTTCCATCAAATATCTAAACTCGCTAGAACCCTTTATGGTGTCTGTCACTGAATCATTGATCAAAAAGCTGGATGCCGACATCGCTGCTTCCCTCGACGAGGCAAAGTATGGTACTGTCGACATCTGGAACATGGTCCAACGTCTCGCACTGGATGTCATTGGAGAAACCGCTTTCGGCCAGAGTTTCCATATGGTGGAGAACAATAGTCATTTTGTTCCTGGCGCGATTGCTGAACAAATGCGTCTCAGTGCTGTCAGTGTCGTCTACCCTCTTCTTTCCAAACTTTTCATCAAGAATGCTGGCAAAAATAACCCTCAATTGACAAAGGTAAGTGAAACACAAGCGCCCCACCTTCTCCCCCCCCTCCACCCACGCCCATGGTGCTCACACATGCTTCTTCTTCTGCTGCTGTCTTAGTTTTTAAACAATGTGATTGAAGAGCGTCTGCATAACAAAGAGAGCCAAGAGCGTAAAGATATTCTCCAATTCCTTATCAACAGCAGCCAACAACAGGCTGCCGAGAGCCACAATGACAAGTTGACAGCAGAAGCCATCATGTCAGAGACGGTGTTGTTCTTGGTGGCAGGTTCCGAGACCACATCCAACACGATCGGTTTTGTTTTCATCGAACTGCTCAATTATCCTGAACACTTGAAAAAGCTCTACGAGGAAATCGATACGGTCGAGTGGGAAGAGGGCCAGCATGTCTTTCACCACAATCAAATCAAGCATTTGCCCTATCTCAATGCTGTCATCAACGAAACATTGCGTTTGGACGCTGTAGCTGCCGGTGCTTTACACCGTATGACTGTAAAGCCGACTGTGCTGGGTCATCTCTCCCTTCCCGCCCGCATTCACGTCAACTGCAATATTTGGCATGCTCAAACAAGTGACAAGTATTATCCTGATCCTTGGGCATTCCATCCCGAAAGATGGATAGAGGGTACAGATGACTTGGAAGCCTTCTTCCCTTTCAGTGCTGGGTAAGCTATTCACTCTATAACACACATGAAAGCTCGACATGTGTTTCACACTCTCACCTTCCCATCTTCCATCCCATCTTAGCTCCCGCAATTGTATCGGCAAGAACTTTGCCATGCAAGAAATGCGTATTGCCATAGCGACCTTGTTAAAGACGTACGACATTGCTCCTATTCCTCAAGAAATGGAAGACGCCACATCACGTAGACACTTTATTACCATGACCGTTCAAAAGAATAGTTTCAAGATCAAAATGAAGCGTAGAATCTAATGACCTTTTTTTTTTTTACTTTTCTTCTCATCCCGCCTCCCCCCGTATTCTCTCTCTTTTCCGTATGTACATATGATTATTTATGAATTCAAATAAACGCCCTCCGGGTAGACAACGCGTTGCGATACGCTGGTTTTCTTACTCAAGCAGTAATAATAATAATAATAATAAGAAGAAGAAGAAGAGGGGGGGGGGAAGGGATATCGTCTATAGTAAGTGGCATAAGAGCTCATCTACATACACATACACACGCAAAATCTATTCATGTACAGTTTCATTTTCGTTCTCGTCGTCGTCGTCGTCCTCGCTATCTGAAGAATCCGTGGTTTTAGTTTTCATACGATCCAAGACGATATCCATCATGGAAGGTTGACGCCCTAGGCCAGATACGTGTTCAGCAGCAGATGGGGCATCATCAAAGTCGTGTCTATTTTCATAATCACGGCAACCATAGAAGGAACCCACAGGCGTTGATTCACTCAAAGGATGAGGTTGACCGGGAGTCAACGTGGCAGCAGGACTTACTTCAACAGGAAGTTGGATGCGTCCCTCTTCCAAATCGACTTCTTGCTGCTGCTGCTGCTGCTGCTGCTGTAATTGTTTGGAAGTGTCTTGAAGTGCAAACGGTAAAGGAATTTCCTTGATAGCACGGTAATTACCCACATTATTGAGATGCTAATAGATAAAAAAAAAGGAGATAAGTAACCACGTGTCCTGTTGCGACTCTATTTTTTTTTTCCTTTTTTTTTTTTTTTTTTACTTCATTTTCCAAACGGAAAAAGTTCCATTGAATACGACGATAGGCTTCTAATAAAGCCGTAAGAAAGCCAATCCGTTCACCCTTGAAGCCAAAGCCAGCGGAATTGAGTGACCATGCAAAACGCAAGAGGACATTGATAGGCGCAGCAACATAATAGGCCCATCTGTAAAAAACCAGTTCATCCCGCAGTAAGAAATGAGAGCTGTGGGGCTGAAGGAGACCCCAATCCATTTTGACATCCCAAAAAGAAGTATACGTGGAGTTGACAAGGGAGCACAAGACCCACGTCATCTCCATGGCGATGGAATGAGCTAGAACCCAAACAAGAAGAACAGATTCAATGGTTTTGGCAAACATACTTTATCTGGGATGGGACGAAAAAGACTTACGGTGCATTCTTCGATAGCCTGTAGCGAGCGTCGCTGCAATGCTTGTACAATACTTTAATCCGTTGCTGAGATGCACCTTCTCTTTCGAGTCGTTATAACGACGGATACATTGCAACAAACGCCACCAGGGCGGAAGACTGGCCAGGAAGGGCGTATACCAAAAGATCTTGACAGGGCAATTGCTTTGAAGATCATTCCAATGAAAGTTGTAGGCGCAAACAAAGTAAGAAAACGTCCAAAACGAGTACGATAGACTGTTCAGTTCATCCGCAATAAAGAAATCACGAAATTCGACAGGGAAGAAATAACTCAACACAATGCGGCCCAACGAAAGATAGAGCCAGCGACGGGAAGAAAAATACAATATCGGGAAAGGGCACGTCATGATGGCCACGGCAATCACAAAAAATAGAAGCGGGCAAAGTTCAGATGGAACCGTAGGCGCTAATATTTGCGCCACATCGATATACATGACGGCGCCTAGTAATAAAAGCATCAAGCAAGGAAGCTACCACCGCCCAGCCAAAAAAAAAGAAAAAAAAAAAAAAAAAAAGAAAAGTGCAGTTTCAGCGCGAGTGTATCATTGGAAAAAAAAAATAAAAATAAAATGATTACCTCTGCAAATTCATGATAGTTCAAGTTGTGTCGTGGATCCACTTCAAAGATAAACTTGTAATTGATATGTGATCGAGACCAGACAAGTGTATTGACAGAGAAACCCAGACAAAAGAGGATAGGTAGTGCAAAACAAGCATAAATCTGCATATTGAAATCAATGTTGGGCAAATGCGCTCGGACTTGTGGATCCAAGCCCAATTGTAACACACGTACAAACAAAGCGACGGACAAACCAATGTAAAAACCAATTCGCCATGTTACCGGTGTATAGTGCTAATAGGATATCTCACTCGTCAGTCATGTTGTACCCAGCTCCCAGAAAGGCGCCTATTTTCTCTTTTTTTTTTTTTTTTTTATACCTCATCTTTCTCAGGTGTCCTCAGCTTGGCCATGCCTCTCCTGCGATATCCATCTGCAAATTCTTCAATGTAAAGATTCTATACAGTAGAGAAGCGTTATCCCTCTTTTAGTAACAAAGCCCAACCTCTTTTACTTTCATCACTTGACACATTTACTTCTGTTCCTCTGATAAAGTCGTCAATTTTGTTTGAATCAACCCAATGGTATCCTTCTACTTTATGCATGTAGAGTTTACTTGCTTTCCATCCTGCTGTTTTATCGAATTTCTTGAGAATTTTTTGAAATCCTGTCAAATTCAATATCTGAGAGGGAGGTGGTGAGTGCTTGTTACTTTTCTGTGAACAAAAAAGCTCTACTTTTTACTCTGTACGAGCGCAGTAATTCTAGACTACGATAATATTCCGTAATTGCTTTCTTCAACCTATTTCTGGCGACCTAGGGTGCATGATGTCAGTGTGAAAATTCATAACACTTGATTTCTCCAGACCCCCCCCCCTTTCATTGGTTGCTTTACCTACATTGTAGCTCATATGATGGTCTCCATTGTACTTGACAGGCGCAGGTAATGTGGGTCCATCTGATGTCATCGCTTCTTCTGTAGAACCCCGTCTTTTGAACCAATTTAGAGGGTTCAAACGTTCACCACTGTGTATGACGCCATCTCCTGATGTCTATACGTAACATCAACAAAATAGACGTTGTTATTCGCTACCCTCTCAGCTTTCGAGGAGGGGTGTGTTCTCTTTTTCTTACACTTTCGTGCTCTAGTTGTTTGGCAAAGTCTTGCACTAATTTGACTTGTAGCTTCAACGCTTCATATTTAGCTTCCGCTTCCCGTTCCTTCTCTAACGCATGTCAAAAAAAAAAAAACCCCTTTTTGTATGAAAAGATTGAAAAAGAAAGAAGAGATCCCCATTTTTTTTGTAGTACCATTATAGAATTTTGAAATCTTTTCAAGATCTTCATCTAGACGGATAAAGAAATATTGTTCTGGTTCAGTGGCATGTCTTCGCGCTTCGTCCAACAGTGAGAGGGAACGTAAATCGGGTTCTATTCGTAAAAGGTAGAACTTGTTGACAATACAGTTTCATGGACACATGGTTCACATTTTCCCTATCTTATGATGTTTACCATAAGGATCGTCCTGAGAATGGAGGCGCGATACTGAATCTATCCGAGGAAGGGTTGTGTTGCTTGCTAAAATATCCCTTGGCTGTAATCCTCTGTCGTCCAAGACGGAGGATTGAGTGCGGTTGGGTTTTCGACGAGAGGTTCGACTTGTTGCCTTTGGATGGGCGTGCCTATCTTCCTCATTGTCTGCATCCTCCATGGCGTTCATGATATGTCGGATATGCAACGACTCGTCTGTTGGAGATGTTTTCCGAAACTAGCAGCTCGAGATAGTTGGTTTTCCCTGATACATACATACATACATACATACATAGGCTGCTGCTGTCAATTGAATTACCTTTTCAATGGCTCTTAACCGTTTTTTCAAGCCTTTGTAATTGATGTAGGCTTTTCTCCATTCCGGAATACTGTCTGCTTCCAGTGTCCTAGCAAATTTCATTACTGAACGAATGACGGGTTGCTATGAGACGAATTCACTTTATATTAAAAATTAAAAAAAGAAAAAAGTCCTCAAATAGATTTTTTCCTTTGTTTCTTTATTGGTTTTTTTTTTGTTTAAAAAAAAAAGTTTCAAATCCATTTTCGTGATGCCTTTTCTAAAAGAGTGTTGACTTGATGACACGTGTTTAGGACAAATGGCTTGAAATGACAGTGTTTCCTTGTAAAAGAGTCAGATCAAGACGCGCTTTAGTGTTTTATCTTTGCTCATCGATTTCTGATGAGCAGCAAAGAATGATCAGAAATGATGCGGTCAAGTGAGGCAAAAAAGCTTTCCTAATTTAAACTTTAATTTCGTCTTTTTTTTTGTTTGCATCAACAAATCATGGTGTCACAATAAACAGAAAAGCGATGTCGACGTTTGCTAAAAGACAGCAAACATGCACATCATGGTAAAAGGCTGCTGAAAGACAACTCGGACTGCATTTCTTGAACGATAAACATCACGTGAGCGTGGCATGTGCATAAAAAGGATAATATCAGATCGTTTATTGCTGTGGAATGAATGAGTAAAAAAAAAAAAAAAAAGAAAAAAAGAGGGACGCAACCGTCCCGTAGATCAAAGCGGTAGACATATAAAAGGTTCGTTCGTTCAGGTTTTTAGTCAAGGGCGCGTGCTTCTGCGAGATACTTCTTCATTGCGGCTTGATAGCGTTGTTTCTCCGCTTCAGCTTGTTCAATGAAAGGCTACACAGCGTAAAACAAACAAAGAGAGTGTTAATTTTTTTCACACTTTCTTTTTCGTTGTTGTTGCCTCAGGTTATCCTCTCTTTACCTTCCTTTCCATATCACTGAGCGCCTTGAACTTTTTAGCAGTAACAGTGGCTTGCTTCACGATGGGAAGATGAACAATTTCTGGGTCGCGTGCTTCTCTTAAACTCCTGGCATACAAGAAGAAAGCATTCCTGGGGCGCTTTGGCTCCCTCGGATCTTTTAATAAGCCCAAGTTGTGCTTTTTTCTCAATAAATTTTCCTTTCGGATCTGTTCTGGTGTTGCATTGTTGATAGCTGTTTCGATACCGTTGAAATGAGCATTGCTTTCCTGTTCATACTTGTTTATATAGACCTGATAAAACAAGTGACGTTAATAAAGGGCATGATAGGCTGAAAGACAGGATAGTCAACAAAAGAAAAAAAAAAAAAGGAGAACGGCCCAAACTTACTTGCTTTTCAGAATCACTTAACGCTTTCCATTTGCTAGATAAACCTTTCACTGAAGCAATGATATCTATTTTACCATCAGGTCTTTTGAACTGATTGATGTGCTCTCGTTGATATATCTGCCAAGCACTGACGGGTCTTGGAGGAACTTGAGATAAGACTATAGACATAACTCCAACGTAAGACGATTATCATTAGAAGCAAACATGGCACACTACTTACTACTAGTGAACTTTTTGGGGTTGAGATTCTTGGTAGAAAGTTGGCGTGCTTGAATCGCTAATGGCCCTACAAATGTCATTTTGTTATAATGTGAAAGAAAAAAGCAACAATACTGGGGAGCGGGGGATGAGGGACATGAATAAAGGGAGCGCGAGAATTTTTTTATTTATTTTTATTTATCTGCAACTTTTTGCATATTAAAAAATTAAATTTCCTTCCATTCTCATTGGATAAATCCGTAAAGAGCTTTTTTATTCATTGTTCGTCCTAGATGACGTACATGAAAAATATTAGCCATCCAAGATATGGATATACCTTTGAATTTAAAAACATACTCGCTGACCACTAGCGTTGTATATTATCACTTATGCCAGGCGTACTTATTTGTATTACTTTGAATAAAAATTTTGCTCGTACGGAAGCATTAAATCCAATGTCAATAGCTGTTCGTATTCTCTTAGTATGAACCAATGGTATGCAGCCCATCGATACATCCACGTTAGTAAGGAATTTTTGAATAGATTATGCGGTATTATCAGAAGGGCTTGATAGTTTGATCTCATGAAATTCAAGGAAAATAATAGATGGCTTTCTAACTGATTGCTAGACTTGAATGTAACAGCCTTTGTGAAGCAACATTTTGGCGTTTAACTGCTTGTTCTAAAAGTATGATTTTGAAGATCAATTGAGAACTTTTAGCTTTAGTGCTTTAGTACGTCAACAGCTATTTTAGGTTGTTATGTAATATCTAAACAATATAATGTTGAGAACTCGCTCTTCAATGAATGTAATTCAACAACGACAAAATAGGTCGGTTTAAAACCTATGACAACGACTTTAAATAATGAAAAAATCAGTCTTGTGTACTATCAATTTACTGATAATGGTCTATAAATGAACAATATAGATCAATTGCCCACGAATTAGTTTTTACAGCTCATGAGGAATGTAATCTTCGCAATGAAGAAGGGTCAACAGTACGTTTAAACGAAGATTTTATTACATAATATTAATTTTTTAAAGCCCAATGGACACGAGATATTAAACTTATCTAAATTGCCCGGGGCAGCTCCAAAGGCTTAAAAGAAACTAAAAACCCCTTAGGGCTCAAGGGTAAAAAGGATTATGTACTAAAGGATTGTGGGAGGGGAAGAGGGTAACCAGTCGAGCAATAGGTGCCCTAACCGAGGAGTTGTAGGCGGCTCTTGAGAGTGGTGTAAGTAGTCGAGTTCAAACAAAATGTGACAAAGTGCTGGCCATAGAAAATGCCAGTGTTGTATTTGGGATGGGTTGTTGATCGGATGTGTAGGAAGACGGTTGAGGACATAGGATATGGGATCACAGACTGATGTGGGGAGTCGTAGGCGGTGATGCATGTTTAAACAGGAGATAGCGTGGGACTTTGTAAGTAATGACGAAGGATGTTTAAGGCAATAGGTTTGATAGCCTCCAGGAAGCCAACCCAAACGCCATCGGATACATCGGCTGCGTTCATTAGTTGACATAGGAATATAAAGGATCGGGTCGATCATTAATCGAGAACGGCATTGAGAGATCAGTTTGGAGTTGGGGCTGTTCGATTGTTGGATGTGAAGGAGGCTAGTGCGGAAGTTAGCAATACAGCGTCGCAGAGCAGTTGATTCAGATCGTTGATTGAGCGGAGAAGAAGTGTAATCTTGCCAGATCGGAGAACGAGCAAGCTTGCAATATAACGAGTTACTTTGTTGCTGGCCTATATATGGGAGTAGTATCGAGATTAAAGTATCAGTAGGCAGTGAGGTAGAACGTAATAGGAACTTAGCTTGTAGGACGAAGGAGCGTTCTTTCATGGTGGGCAGATTGGCAAGGTGGAGCATAAGTCGGGCAGACGATCTACTGGACCCACCAAAGATTCGTCGAATACACTTGTTCTGGGTATCCTCGAATTGTTTATATTGCTTCGCGGTTAGGGGGCTAATGGCCAGTCCGTATTCCATCTTTGCGCGGACTAATTGGGCATATAACCGTAGTGACAGCAGTTTTTCGAATCCACCAGGATTGACACCGATTGCTGCTAATTGATTCATCGTAGTAAGAGCCTTAAATGTGTTAGTACGTGCTAGTTCATTTATATCTATACTACCACCTGGTTGAAAAGGTATCCCTAGATACGGAAAAGTGAGCTGACGTTGTAGAGGAACTCCATAAAGCTGGTAATCTATAGGGTGCGTTGATCTGTCTAGTATAACACATTTATTCGGATGCCAGCGATAGCCTAGCCGAAGACTATGAGCTTCACATTGTTGCAACAGGGTCTGAAGATGATCTTTATCAGTAATCAAGACGACATCGTCGGCATATAGTAAACAGTTGATATTTAGAATCAATTCCGGAACAGGCAAGGAAAGATCCAGTGGGCTTGGACGGAGCAGTGTAGGTAGTTCGTTAATGTAATATGAATAGAGTATAGGAGATAGTATGGATCCTTGAAGGACACCAGTAGTAGGGGTTTCTTAAAATACAGTGTTTTAACTGCTATTTCAGACTTTTCACAAATTTTAATGGACAATATTAAATTTTTAATTTAGACAACTTTCAATTATTTTACGATGAAGCGGTATATTATTCTTGGACGATTTCGTTGATAATCAATTATCCAGTAACATCCAAGCTAGCCCTAAAAATGAGTCTTCATTAGTAAGGAAGTCGCTAAGAAAGCTCTGATTGGCTTCACTTTGCAATAGGGTGAGCTACAAAAAGCTTGACAACTCTTTCGTCAAATGACGATGTGTGTGATAAGACCAACCAGATATTCGTCAGTGCCTTTTTTGGAACTTTGCCCAATGATAAAGACGTGTCTTTCTTTTCTCGCGTTTTTGTTGTCAAAGTTAAATTATAATGAAGAGGTTCTTTTAAACGAGAATAAGATCCCTTCTTTTCCGTATTTCGCATTTTTTTGTAACTTACAGCTCTATTCATGTACAAAAGTTTTATTATACAGAAGATTAGATCTATTAAAGAAAAACATAAGAACCAGGTTAAAACGAACCCATTTGGTAAAATGCTTGATAATTGTAGGAGAACCGTCAGATCAAGATATAAGGATTCTGATATTTGTTGTAACTTTTTAGAACATACCAAGTGTCGAGATTGCTATAAACCAGGTCATTTTGACAAGCGTTACTACAAATGCAAGTATTACAAAGCCGTAAATGCTGATGATGGTAAGCAATAAATCTAAATCTATCTTACACACAGCACTTAATTGCTTATGAGTAACCTCCTTAAAATTGGTAGCAGTGGTAAGAAGAGAAAACAGAGTGACCAAGTGAAAGAGAAGAAGAAAGCAGTTAAACGGAAAAAGACCACATATACAAACAGCCTTGTTGAGCTTTTGAGCAGCGAATGCTCAAATATCTATACTCTACCTTGCAAAATATGTTCCCGGTAAGGATTAACTTTACATTAAACCAAACAGCAGCAAATTCAATATTCTTTTCTCTTTAGAGTATGGTAAAGCGCGATGTTGACGAAACCGCAACAAAATACTGTTATCAAGTGATTTGCAAAGGCGAACCCGAAATGGCCTGGTAAAGTCAAGTTAAACAGTGATGACAAAATAAGAATAGATAATTTGTGCAAGAACTTTGCAGACCTTGTGGAGGAAAAAGTTACGCTTCTGTCATTGGCGGCCGATCCGGTCAAATTTGTCAAGCCCTTGTGGTTTATCCAAGAATACTACGAAGAAGAGCATTAAAATCATCTTCCCTACGATGTTCGTAGGTTACCATTACCTCATCGCTTCTTCCCTTTTCCAACTCCCTCAGGCTCGTCTGAACAGTCTAAGAGATATACTATTTATATACTAAAATATTTAGAGATCCTGTTCTCATTCTATGGGCCTGGTATGGGTGAAACAAGATTCCGTCTGTATCAAGGCAGCAAGTGTGCTACAGATACAATGGTAAGCATGCTAAGCGATGGAGGTATCAAATACAACAAAGAGAAGGGAAGAACAGACGAAATGGCCAAAGAAGAAGGGCAAACCTAAGCTTCGTAAAAGAAAAAAAAAAAAAAAAAAGAAACCAAAAACGAAAGAGAAAGAGAACCACATCTGGTAAGTCTTGTAGCGATTAACTGTCAACTGAATTTGTGTAAACTCACTCTATTATCTTTCTTCAACAAGACAATGGGCCCCTGACAATATCACGTTGAGTGGTAGTAAAAAAGTTCCTTTGATTGTATTTGGTGACGGGATGTTCAACAAATCGGCCATTTATCTAAGGCCTTAGAACTGGTGTCGTTGGTGTTCTGTGGCGTCCATTGAGCGAGGAGAGGCTGCCGGCGATTTAGTAATGGTAACCATTGATGAATATCTTACCTCTCGAACGTGCAACAATTGCCGCTCGAACACCGTTGAGGCATTGAAGACTGTTCCAGGTCAAAGTATCCTTGCCTGCAAAACCTGTTCGATACTTTTGAACCGGGACGTCAACGCTTCTAAAATCATGCTGGTAATTAGCGTGTCGATATGCAAGTCAACGGGAAGACCTACTGAGTTTTGTAAAAAACCAAGGAAGTCACCCGCATCATACGCTTAACAGCATCCTCTAATCGCCAGAACGAAGCTGGCTCGATTCTATAAAAATTGTAGTGGTGGCTCGTACATTTGCTATGGAAATCCAAACATCAATCTTACTTCGTCAGTAGCGATACTTTGACCCGTCTCCATCAAGTAAAAACACTGTAGAGCTTGACCCATCTGTTAGAATACAAACCCAACGGCTAATGTATAAGTGATACGCTAACCAAAAAGAAAGAATGTACTCTAGATAATTTTTATTTTCATCTTCTAAGATGGGATGGTTCGTCTACTAAAAATGAAATAGATAAAGGAAGAAAAAAGTCTAGTATGTGATATCTTTTAAAAAGGTCTATAAATTTACATAAATTAGTCAAAAAGCTTTGGGTGAAAAGAGAAGAAGCCTATCAAAAAAATAGTCTGCTTATCTACCAAAGAAAAGAAAAAGAGAGAAAGAACCACATGTACGCAGTTACTATATCCATTGCTCTTCAATTATCGTGCCCATTAAAGTACTTTTAAGCCTACTTCTAGCCACAGCCACCCCTTGTGGTTATAGGACCCGGACCTTTGGGTCCTTAAGGGAAAAAAAAAGAAAAAATTTATATTTTTATCTCGTTTTAATATTTCTAATGCAATATTTTATTTATTTTTTTATTTTAGATAAAATTTATTTATATTTATTATATAATTATTATGGACTAACTGTATACACCCATGATGAGAATTGTGTAGTACCTCTACCGTCAGCACAAATTGGAGGGTTATTAGCATTTGGACTTATACTAGGTGGTTTGTTAATGAAACATAAACAAGCTTGTGAGTTTAAAGCAGTACCACCCCAACTTATTGAAAGACCGTCTGTAATACCGAAGTACCATTCACCATTAGGTACGTGTGGTGAAGTTGAACATACAGTATAACAACTATCTCTTGTAATTGGTTGGCTATCTTTTAATTCTGCATACATATCAAAGGTATTTCCGGCCGTCCCAGGAGGTAATACATAATTGATTACACTTAAACATTCACCAGTATTAAGAACAGAAGCTGGTATTGTAGGTATTAACGTTTCTATCGTAGTAACTGTTGTAGTCATAGATGTGGTTGTTGTAATAATATCTGTTGTAGTTATAGGTTGGGTAAAAATGCTGATGACAGTAGTAGGACGGTCGACAATAGCAGTTTCTGTGGTGGTGGTAGGTACTATTTCTGTGGTGGTGGTAGAAACTGGCACTTCCTCAGTAGTGGTTGTAGGAACTGGAATTACTTGCGTAGTGGTTGTAGGAACTGGCACTTCCTCAGTAGTGGTTGTAGGAACTAGAATTACTTGCGTAGTGGTTGTAGAAACTGGCACTTCCTCAGTAGTGGTTGTAGGAACTGGCACTTCCTCAGTGGTGGTTACAGGGATTACTTGCGTAGTGGTTGTAGGAACTGGAATTACTTGCGTAGTAGTAGCAGTCGAGGTAGTTGTCAATGTATTGGTACATTCATTGACAATATGATCTGGGTGGGGATTACATCCTTGGAAGGCATCGCAGGCGCCGCCAATAGCGTGGTAATCGTGGATTTCAACACCAGCACTCAAGTCGGACCAAGTATAGTCCCTACCTACGACGGTACCAGCAAAGTTACCTGTACTACCATCAATAATGTGGGCTACAAATAGGAGTCATTAGGCTTTTTTTTTGTTTTTTTTTCTTTTGTTTTCATACATGACTATTGCAGAAGATTGGCTTACCTTCCGGGGCCATGATCAAACCACCCAACTGAGAAGCAGTGGCACGGTAAACGGTGATTTCACCATCACGCAAGTAGACGCCTCGGTCGTCAACGGGATAAATGTTCCAAACAACTCTACAAGGATTGAGACTATCAAGAGGATCATTGGTTCGAAGGGTGAGGGTGCCACGATTGATGACAGGAATCTATGTATCGTCGAAAAGGAGGGGGTTAAAAGAGGCATATGGACGAATGGCATCGAATGATCAACAGCGTTTTTCCACTTACATTAAAGACATAAGTCTTATTGGGATCAATAGGTTGGAAACCGTTCCAATTACCTGAGCCTAAAAGAATATTGGAAGGGTCTGATTCCGTATTGGGGTCTCGACTACATTGCATTCCTCCGCATCCGCCAAAAGTGATAACCTCGTAGTCAGCATCGGATCTGAATTGAGTAAATGCGCCGTTGGGTTCGATGATAGCAGTAGGATCCATATAAGCATAGCCTTCATTGTTATCTAGGGCAGCTTCTCGAACGGCAAAGAAATCGAAATCGCCGGTGCCAAGTTGGTTAGTCACTTGAAAGCCGGCTTCTGACTCTCTAATTTGGGTCAGGGTGCCACCGCCGGCGATCAAAGCGTTACCGTGGACTTGTGTATTGGAAGTAATGGCAGTTCCCCCGACAACAAGACCCATAGAACCGATGGAGGAAGGATTGTCATCACAGTTAGAGCCGTTGTTGGCGTTAAGAACAGAATCGGGAGCAGTGAAATTGCCACCAACAGCGAGAGGGCCCATGGTACCAGAACCACCACCCGTTTCAAAATTACCAAAGAAGATGGCATTGAAATGGCCGAACTGTAGTAGACATTATGTTAATAGATGAAATGGCATTTCATGACAAATAGGATAATCTTTTTTCTTTTTCCTTAAATACTTACAGCATCGTTATTTAATCCATAACCAGCACATGTACCAGGATTAGGGTTACCAGGATTGGGGTTACCAGGATTAGGGTTACCAGGATTAGGGTTACCAGGATTGGGGTTACCAGGATTAGGAGGATTAGGAGGAGGGAAAGGAAGTATACCATGATGGGAGCCATGATGGGAGCCATGAGGAGGCATTACAACACGACCTCTTGCATGTACGCTCGTGACAACGAGCAACGTTGAGAGTGCAATAGATAAAAAGCGAACCATAGTAAAATGAAAGGGTGTACTTTATTTCAGTAAGTTGATGTTCAAAGATGAAGAACAATATATTCGTCAAAGTCGAAAGTCAATAGGTTTTCCTTTATACATGAAAAGGGCTTGAGGTGACGATAAGTAAGCGAATGTTGGTCGTAATTTTAACATAAAAAAAAAAAGCTCCATCAAGGCAGCACCATTTTGTATGAGGGGTTTTTTCTCATGCTTTTGAAAACGGTCTTCCGATTTCAATATTTGATTGCTTCTTTCAATTGAACCACATTCCATCCTTTCAGGGCTTATATCAACATATCAGTGACGAAGTGTTTAAGCAGCAAAAGTGATGAACAAGATTCTTTACATATGATGGTGTATTGACTATGAACATCTTGAGAGCAAATAAGCAAAAAGACACTCTTATAGGGTTTCAAGTAAGTGCCCGCTTGTCTTCGGAAAATATACAAAGACTTAAAAAATGTTCAATTTTGAAAATTTAAAATCGCACTGCATTCCTCTTGAATTTCAATAACATCATTGTCTTTGGTCCTCCATATTTTGAACCCAGTTTGCCAATAAAATTCGATGTAGACATCAGTTGAGTAAATAGAGGCAGGCCATTTTTTGTTTCGCTCCTAGCCCAATACCCCTTTTGTTCAAATACTCTTTACCAGCAAAGTACAACTACAATATTCGGTATTAAGGAAAGAGCACAATATGAGCACTTCTGTATGGCATTAAACGTTTGGTTGCTCTTAGAGTGTATTTAAAAATTTGAAGCAACGAGGTACACTTGTATTTATCTTTCTTCATCGGAATGAAGCGTTTACATTACAAAACGATTGTTATCAAACGCCAGCCTTCTATATCAGCACGTTATTTCTCAACGCATTTTGGTCTTTTAAAACAAATGTTATGGTTTGGCTTAACCTTCTGATGGCTTGCATTTCCTATACAGTCCTTAGACTTACTAATTGTAAATAGATTGTCTAAGAGTCCAACAGCCCTATAAAGTCTACAAGCTACTAAACTCACATTCGTTAAACAAAACACTGTGCTCATAAGAAAGACCCGTCTTTATAAACTATTTGCCTTTGGTATTGACGTAGACGAACACTCACCCAAACAAAAAAAAGTTGTGAATATGTTTTTTTTCAAAATTGTTTTCTTTTGGGTAAGTTAAAAAAAAAAAAAAAGAAAAAAAGAAAGGGCATAAGGGTCTATATACAATGTATATATATACGACTAAAAGATGTATAGTAAGTCAAAAGGCAATTTAACTTGTCGGTCTGACGAGTCAAAGAGGCCATAAAAAATCAATGATTTGCCAGCCTATTCATATCAATAACAAAATGTGTGCGTGTGGCTGTCTGTCTCTCTGTCTGTCTGTCTGTCTGTCTGTGCGTATAGTCTAAAGTGAGTCATAGTTTATCGAGGTTGCAAGAACTTAGTTGTTGGAAGGACGGAAAGGCGCTGGGAACGCAGAAGGATCATACGCAAGAAAACCATTTCCTTCTTGATAAGCAGTTACTGTGCGCTGTGGTTGCTGTTGTTGTTGTTGTTGTTGAGTAGTCGTAGGATGAAAATAAAAAGTATCACAATGAGAATAAGGAGGTGAAGTCTTTTGATGGTTCTTGTTACGATGAGGAGTCGTGGTGATGGTGGCGGTGGTGGTGGTAGTGGTGGTGGTAGCACTCGTAGTGACAGGATGAGGTGAACTGTGATCAGCCGTAACAGCAGGATGACCTATGGGTGCGTCTTTTGTTGTGGTATGGTAAGGGTGGTGATGACTGTACACGTACATGCTATGTAATTGTGGCTGATGAAGTGAGGAAGAGGGATAGGCCATATCAACATGTTGTTGCTGTTGCTGTTGCTGCTGCTGCTGCTGTTGTTGTTGTTGTTGGTCAAGGACAAAGGGACCATGATAGGGGCTCTGATGGTACGTCACGGAGGGGGGCTGAGAAGACGGCGCAGGAGCCGCAGGAGGCGGAGGATGAACGGTTCTTAACCATTGGCTACAATACGCTGTCGACAAGTAGGTGGTACCCTCTGCTGCATGGGAGGGCGCGTGGATATCGGCTGTGATATACTGTTGCTGTTGTTCAGAGGGTGGCGGTGGTGCCACGGGGGATACTTGCGGCTTTGAGGATACAGTGGCTTCTACCAGAGGTGGTGATTGATTGAAAGGCGTCATTTGGTGGTTCAGCATAATATCAGAGTTGGCTTGGGGTGATTGACCATTGTTGGCTAGTTTGTAAAGCCGGATTTTATCACCTCTTGTCGCTGTAGCCATCATCGAACTGTAACTTTCCGTGAACCCAGCATAATCAGGGATCATGAGCGTACTACATGTATCCAGTATATGGCTCGAGTCGATACCTAGGGTCGCAGCTAAAGTTTCAATGTTTTCCTGTAGTTGATTTATGTCTTCTGTGATGGCCTTTGCTGATCGAGACGCACTGTCATCAAAATGAGCTACGTCTGAGACCATCTTGCTGTCGACAAGAATGTTTTCCAAAGGTTCAAAGTCCGGACGGAAATCACTCGTAGAAGACTTGATAGCAGCAGAAGCATGCTGTGAGGAAGAAGATAGCATGCTATTGTCTTTTTGAATCGACTCTTGTCGCTGCTGCTGTTGCTGCTGCTGTTGCTGCTGTTGCTGCTGTAAAACGGGAGCTGTGGACGGTGGTTCTGGATTTCTTTTCTTGGCGCTCTTTTCACCCATACTGATGCCACTATCGATACTTCCATCATTGCTGTCATCAGAGCGAGTAAGATGAAGTGGGATCGTTTTTGTTGTCCAACTGCTATTGCTCTCCATGGGTTGCTGTTGCTGCTGCTGCTGTTTCAAGGCTGAAACGGCCGAGGTAAGTAAGTGATGATACTGTTCCGGTCCGCTGCTATCGAGTAGCATCTTCTCTTGCTGCTGCTGTAATAATTGGAGATGGCGATTACCTTCTGACAATTGACTCAAAGCCTGTTGGTCATTGGAGAAGACAGCAATCAAGAATCGCAAGATTTTCGTAATGACGTCTTGATGCTTTTGATGCTTTTCCCTAGCTGCTAATGTTTCTTGCCATATAATTTCATTGTCTCTATGTAGATTACGTAGATCAGCAGAAATAATCGATTGATGCTTCTTGATAGCTATGATTTCTCGAACAACAGAGGCGAGGTTCACCTTTTCTACTGTGGCATTCATCATCTGCTGGCTGCTGTCACCGTTCGCCGACTTGCTGGCTTTTCCACCCGCTATCGACACATCGTTACCATGGTTGTTTTTGCTGTTGTAACGATGGTTTCGTTTACGAGTGACCAAGACCAAAAGATCAGGTCTGTTGCGTTGAAAATAAGGGCTGCTGAATTCCCAGATTTCGTTGTTGTTATTTGGGTTTTTGGACTGACGACTGTCCTTCAAAGCAACTTGATGTAGATGCGGCACTTTGTGGAAATCATACATATTGAGTTGCCGTACAAAAGAGGCAAACGTGTTGTGTTTGTAGAAACGTGGCAAGACCACTTTGGCGAATTCTTCATGCCCTTGGACTAAACAGAGGACATATTAATAAACAGGATCTCGCAGACAGTGAGTAGCCGTTGAACAAAACAAACCTATGAAAGAATCTCCATCTTTAGACCATCGAATATATGGATCAGTTGAAGGGTCACCTACCATGCTTTAAATAGGCACAAAATGAAAAGGGCAAAAAAACCGTTTACCAACGATATTCTATTTTCCTTTTCTACCCCTTATGTCCAAATAAGGCAACGTTTCTTTTATTTTCTTTTTATTCGAATCTCGATTTCTTTTTTCCCATTCTCTCTTCTACCTTTGCTCTCCCCCCAAAAAAACGATTTCCGTTTCATCGCCAACACCCACTCCCCTCCCCCCGAATTGTCTGAGAAACAAACAAAAAAGGATCCATCTTTTTTGTCTACCCTCTATATATGTCTATATTTTGTTCCTTATTGTTCTATTTTTTTCTTTTCTTTTCGATATCTCCATATAGACGCGAAACCCCCAAACTTACTTGAATAATTTATGTAAGAAAGCAGGTATACTACGCTGTGAAGATACTTTATGTGGTAGATTGATTGTTGCTGCAGTTGTAGTAGGAATAGTGTTTGTCCTGGATAAATCAAGCATCATTTGTTGAGGCCCTAGTGGGGGTGCTGGTGTTGGTTGCCGCTGTTGTTGATCACTTTTCCTTCTTTTCTCATGACGGTTGGTTGGATCAGTGACTGTAATCATCGCATTGTGTTGGTTGTTCTTTAATAAAATGAATGGGGTCGTATCCGTGGTATCCATTACCCGCGAGGATGGGGGTGATGTCGTCATAATAGCATGGAATCTTTTTTGACCGATCAATGGGTCATTGGTATTCTGATTTAGCAAAGAATGGCCGATCTGATTCGATTGAGGAGGATCCATGCTGTTGGATGGCAAAGAAATTTGATTTTTTACTTGAAGCGATGATGTTTAACAAGTGGTTTATAAATAGTCTTGCATATATCCCCTTTTTTTTTGCACTATAGCCTTGTAATATAGATATGTATAATTAAATAGACGAGTGTATGTGTGTATGTGTGTGTGTGTGTGTGTGTGTGTGTGTGTGTGTGTGTGTGTGTGTGTGTGTGTGTGTGTGTGTGTGTCAGCGTGAGTGTATAAAGGTTGATTAATTATTAGCTGTATAGGGTATAGTTCAGGATAAGCTAAATAGGCGGTCACGTCGTAATTGTCGATGGTAAAAAGTTGGGGAATCAAGATTAAAAAAAAAGAGTCTACAACATATACAGAAAGTGCTATAAATAATTCAAGGCAAAACGTGACGAGGCTGAAATTAGAAAAAGTTCAAATAATGACTGCCCCAAATCAGAAAGAGAAAAGAATAAAAAAAAATATAAAAAAATATAAAAGAGAGAAAAGAAAGAGAAAAAAAAGTTATATGCAGTGCAAATGATCGCAGCTAATTTAATTCTTGAATGTTGCGTAGGTTTGTTTTTCTTTTTTTTTTTTGGGTTTGACACTTGCAAAGAATTCCGAAATTTACAAAAAATAAAAGTAAAAAAAAGTTACTGCAATTTTCCAAATTGATAAAGAACGCGAAATTCGCCAAACAAAGAATTTTATGGATTTCAATGAATCAAGAAAATAAAAGAAAAGAAGGACAGACAGAAATTTGTTCGATTTTCCTTTTATCTCAAAAAGCTTAAATGAGAGTCCGAACTTACCTTTTACACACAAAAAGATAGGAGTAGACGATCGAGCAAAAAAATCCAGAAAATATTGGATACTGGCTAGCCCTATTCAGCTTTTACTAGAGCTTCTAAACTATTCTATATGTTTCTGCGGGGTTATCTGTCCTTTGTAACAAAAAAAAAAAGGAAAAAAAAAGACCTTCAATCTATCTCTTTTTTTTTTTTTTTTCCTTGACTTTTCTTGACTTTTCTTGACTTTTCTTGACTTTTCTTTTCTCTCTCAAATACAAGTGGTATTCAAAAAGCAAATGATAACACTATAAAGAAATCACAAAAGTCATCCAACGCGTAATGGCCCCTCTATTTTCCCTCAATTGTTTATAGGATCTTACATCATTTTTCAGAGGCTGAGTTGAGACCCCCTCCTTTCAAATAGGGGTAAATGAAACACTTTAACCTTGATTATCCATTTAAACATAATAGTGTGTGAGATTCTGCTTAATAACCAATCTAGATTCAGAATCTCATCCAAGCTTGATCGTGTTACATGCACAATGACACACACGCTCGCACAACGAAAAAGAAAAACCATCAACACCTTTATAAAAAAAAAAAAAAAAAAAAAAAAAGAAAAAGCTTTCAAATAACATTTCCCGGATCTCCAACGGATATTGAATTTTTCCCCCATGGCACTTACGTAAATCTACCTTTCTTTTTTTAATTTTTGGAAAGGCTTGGTCAACTCAAAATACACACGCTTTATTTTTTTTATATAATGGCCACAATGAAGAAAATAGCTGCAGTGGTTGGCAGTTCAGGCATCGGTAAATCGAAGTTAGCAGTTGAATTATGTAAAGCTTTAACAGGACAAGTCATTAATGCCGATGCTTTACAGGTAAACAGTGTTAAATCAAACAAAAAAAGAAATCCTGACCCTTCATCGTGGACCATTACCATTGACTGATCCGTTTGGGCTATTCCACCCTGTTGATGGAAAGGTTTACAAGGGACTAGATATTATTACCAATAAAATACCTGTTCACGAAAGAGAAGGTATTCCACATCATTTGATGGATTTTCTAGACCCTGAGGAGGAATATCAAGTCAACAACTTTTTAAAAGATGCTTCAACAAAGGTTGGTGTTTGTCTTCCCTTCTTATGAATGTTACCGTACCATGATATGCATGACCTCCTCAACGCTATTTTCTTATGTGTGTGCGCGCGCCCTAGATTGATGAGATCATACATCAAAACCAGTTGCCAGTCGTTGTGGGTGGTACACACTACTATGTACAGTCCTTGCTATGGAAAAATACGACGATTGGAAGTGAGAAAGGAGTAGAGGAAGAGTTTTCAGAATTGGATTCAATGGAGACAAGCGAACTCTATGAAAGACTCAAACGTGCAGATCCTGTCATGGCCACAAAATGGCACCCATCAGATCGAAGAAAGATTCTAAGGAGTTTGAAGGTAACTTTTTGCACACTCACATGATCATCCCACTGGCCCTCCCCTTCACGGCGACAAACCGTTCTAACGTCCGCCTCGCCCCCTCCCCCCCATCCCCTGCTATGATAGATCTTTCATCAAACCGGTCAACCGCAGAGTGACATTGTAAAGCTGCAAAAGGATCAGTTTGATCTTCACGGACTTAAACCTCGATATAAAGCCTTGATTTTCTGGCTGTATTCGGAACCCGACAACTTGAACCCTCGACTGGATGCTCGAGTAGACCAAATGATCGACACAGGCTTATTTGAAGAGATTAAGGATTTGCGACGTAGAGTGAAAGAGGGCCAAGTGAGGATGCCCGGTGAACAACTCGAGAAATATCAACGAGGACTATGGCAGGCCATAGGCTACAAAGAGTTTGACCCTTATTTTGAAGCATCCGAAAACAGTAGGCAAAGTCATGAACAATTAGATACGATCAAACAGGAATGCGTAGAACGTATGAAAGCAGCAACGCGACGCTATGCGAAAACACAAATAAAATGGATCAAAAAGAAATTAGTGCCAACAGTGTATCAGTCCAAGAATAACGATGTGCTGATTTATTGTTTAGACGCTAACAGTAAGAGTGAACAAAAAAAAAAAAAAGCCAGCGGAACAATTGGGCCTCAACACTGACTCCATTCGATAACTCCTCTGTGATGTAGATCTAGATCTTTGGGATACAAATGTGAAGGACAAAGCAATCGAAATCGCGAAACTATTTGCGTCGGATCAAATGCTTCCCGAACCGGAAACTTTAAGCGAGGTAGCAAGCACCATGCTGACATTGAGCAAAGATGTAAAGGAGTAAGTGCGTCTGCAACCCTATTTTTGTGGATATTTGCCGCTTTCAATCTGAAAGCATTTTCATTCTTTATAGTACACAAACAAAGATTTTGACTTGGAGCAAATATACCTGTGAGACCTGTAAAACGGAGAAAGGGGAACCTCTGGTATTGAACGGGGAGGAGGAATGGAAGCAGCATCAGAAAAGTCGATTTCACAGAAAGTATCTTAAACATTTAAAAATGGAGGCTATGCGTAAAGCGCACTTGAAGAAAAAACAGCAACAGCAACAAGAAGAATTGCCTTGATGAATGAATGATATTGCTGTTACCCTTAGCGAACACTGCTTTTTATCAAAAACGTTTTTATCAACTTCAAAAAAAAAACGTTTACTCGGTTAGCTGTTCTTACTATTACCCTTTAATATGCTTTGTGCGTAAATCAATGAACAAAAAACAATGACATCACTTTCTTGTTCGTCCTACAGTGATAGAGTTTGCACGAATGATAGCTTAATGAAAAATAGTAAAGCAGGTTTGATCTGCTTCCGAATAAAGTTTTGTGCTATTCCACGATCAGGTAATGACGCTATGTACTATAGAGAACTCGTACGATTCCAACTGCGCTTCCATGTCTGCTTCCTTTTCTAGTCAGAAACTTAGCACCACACCCATTTTCACTGTAATGATGATTATCTGTTAGATTCAAAGATGAACCAACGGCGCGGTTGCGGGTTTTTGTGGTGGGTTGGTTTTTTTTTTTTTTTACTATACTACCTTAACTTGGCTCGCATTGTGTCATGCGTTTTCCTTTGCCCAAATCAATTGAGCTTCAATTCGAGCAATGTCTTTAAGCAGCAGTCGATTCACTAATAGACTTTGCCTTTCATTTCATGGTCCTGGTCTGTCTGCAGTTCAATTCTTAATTGCTTATCCCATCAAACTTTTTCGTCACCCTTCGAAAAGACTAGAACGTTCTTATCAGCTAATGGTTAATAGACTTTTCTGCTTTTGAAAAGGAACTCCAATTATCTTTTTTCATTCAGGTACATTGAAAAATTTGCATAACCCCTTTGCACTACAACCTGAACTGATGATGCAGACAGAACGGGTTCCCTAATAGATCTAACAGTGAACGATAAACAATGTAATCATATTTAAATGCCCTAAAGCCAAATATAAAATGCAATTCTCCTTTCGCTGCATTACAGTCCTTTCGCTGCATTACAGTCCTTTCGCCGCTATCTGTAATCTAATATTTTTCCGACACCAGTCAGACAAAATAATTATTAACAGTTCCCAAAAGCAGGCAGAAATGATGCAGATTGCACTACAGTCCCCATCGTATATTTGTATATAGTCAGTGTTGATGTCGGTAGAGAATGATTACAGCCATTCGAGCACTAACTCAACCATGAAACACGATAAATCCATGCATAGAGCAGCTTGTGTTAGGATGGATATGGAGGGTTTATAGCAAAGGTGAGGGGTCGTTGTCATCAACTTTTACTGAAAGACGCAGAATTTTGCATCCTGCCATTGCTGCTTTGGTCATCCATTTGATATAGTTCTTTTGCATCCCCATCTGGTAACCGGACATAATCAAAATCAAGCCCTTGCAGATATTTTTGAGTAATAAACAGGCGCTGAGGGCTTTTATTCTCCATCTACCCAAAACGGGCCATAAGTTGAGAGGTTTTCTTGGCTCTAAGAAACACTTTCAGATAACTTTCTAGTTGTATGCAAAAAAAAAAAAAAAAAAAAAGAGTCTTTTCTTAAAATACCTCTTGGGTCATTTGCATCCCCCTCTCATCCTTATGAGCCATTCGTTGAAATGGTTTCTTGGCAATAAAGTATTACCATGCAATAATCATCAATGCAAGTTTTCCGTTCACTTCAAGCTCCCACTATAGTTTTTTTTCTTGTTTTCTTTCTTACGAACAGTAAGTGGTGATCAAAAAGAACGATAGCTGTATGCATCTGCTGATGATCTGAATAGAAGGATAAACTATTGCCCTTTTTAAAGAAACTTCTCAGTATTCAAAGTACAGCAGTACAACCCCCCACGACAGGAGAAAGCAGGCATGTTCTCATCTTTCGGTGATAAGTTATGCACGACAGTATGAATAAGCTTTTAAGATTGCTGATCATTCATTGCTTGTTCATAGGGGTTTTTATTTCATTTCATTTCATTTAAGGCATAGTACGCAGTATCAACAAGCGAAAAACCTTGTACTTTCACGTCGAGTTTTAACCGATAAATTCAATACAATTGATCTTCTTATTCCAGGTAGGAGAGATACTAGGTCTTGACCAATCTTCAGTAGTGTAACCAGCTTCAGAACCGCCACACATAACTTCACCGGAAGGCTTTACCTTGGACCATAAACGAACACCAGAATCAATGGCGCTTAAATCGATTTGGAAGCTTTGAACTTTGTTTTTACATTTAGCAGGGACATTATGGTATTCATGCCCGTAGACCCAACCAGCGCTGACTTCACCACACTTGTTTTTGTAGTTCTTGCTTGTATATAACTTGACCGTAGTGCCTTGGACAGCAACAGCCAAGAAAGAACAAATAAGGGCAATGATAGTGAGTTTCATAGTGGGCTTCTTGTAAAGAGGTAATGGATCCACCTGGAAGTTCAAAAAAAGGGAGAATAAGAGAAAAAAAGGGTTTTGCTAGATTCGTCTGCTATCAAATATGCTCTTTCATACAATCTACTCGCACCTTATCTGATCTCGTGTAACTTCAAAAGAAGTAACAAAGAAAGAAAGCTCACAGAGCTACGCATCATCACACATACCGACGCATAAAATAGTATTTTTGTTACATATAATAGAATGTAACCTTACTGTTCTATCTAGGAGAGCATTTCTTGATCCACAAAAATTGGGCTTCAAAGCGGAGCAAGTACTTTATATTACTTTGTTCAACTTCAAACCAAACTAAAAATAGTGCAAGGATCCATACGACTTCAAAAGGCAAGTGTTATCTTACCAGCACTTTTGTACGTTGGCGCTTCCAAATACATCTGTCGAATCGAGTCACAGTTATAGAGCCGTCAGCGTACAAATCATTTCTTGTTCGTGTTTAACGTATAAAAAAGTAGCCCTCATACTTTTATGATTGCATTCTCCGTTCTGCAAAGGTTACAGAAGGTTGAGTGCAATATGCATCGCACAAAGAAAGCTGATCATGGTTGAACCATGCATAGAGTAGCCATAAATCTCTTCGTTTAGCACAGGAAAGCGGCGAATTTTCTTTTCTCAGCGATACTGAAGCTAATAACCTTACTGTATTTATCCCTGTTCCCTCAGCCCAGAGTAAAATCCTTCTTTCTATCATACATTGTATTTCACTTCTGTTAAAAGAGATGGCGGAAAGAAAGTTTGTAACCAATTGATCACCAAGCTATGGCTTAAATGGATTGTTACCCACTTTTTTTGTAGTATACAGTCAGATTCTCTAAAAGGTTATTGTAACTTTGACTATACTTTTTTTAAGCCTCATTCACGATCTTGCATTAGCACTGACACTATTGCAGATCACTGCCGTTTAAGCATGCTTGGTGCTACTGTATATGATCATCCCAAGTTGCAACCAAAGTATCGCTGATCTCACTTATTTTTCATGCACGACCTACTTTTGTCAGGTGTGTCACTTTTTAATAAAAGAATGATAAAGACAAGTAATCAACAATGAATGGTAAAATGTTTTGAATAACTAAACATTCCCTACGCAGGATTCATACCATGTTTTAGGCTGTTGAATAAACATGAAAAAACAGCCTCTACAAGAACATTATCATCAGTAAGTCATACAGGCTAGTAAATAAAATTGTACAGTGAAGAAAGTAGCATATTGTTTAAACTATATACATCAATTTACAATGGCCAACTGTCAAGTCTATAATGTATATCGTAAATTGACAGTATGTGCGGTTATTAAGCGCGTTCAGTGGCAAAATGGCTACCACCAATCTATTTTGGGTTTTTTAATTCCAACATTCCTCTTGATATTGCCCAGTTTTCGTCATATTGCCAAAATAGATCTCTGCTTCTTCAGCATTCAAACCTCCTTCTTTCATAAATACTTCTTTAAATGCAAACGCCACCTGGCCCGGCATCTTGTCCATCGATCCAGACAAGACAACCTTAGCCTGCTTATGTTCGATCCAATCCCAAATTTGCTTGCCATTCTCTCGAATTTTATCCTGAACATACACTTTTTGCTCTTGGTCCCTTGAAAACGCCGTGAACAACACCAACTGTCCTCTTTCAACATATCTTTCCCACTGCTCTCTATAATAATAGTCTTTGTCATGGTGCCGACAACCCAAGATAAGCATGTTTTCTTTTGCTTGTTGAATCTCAATACGATGTTCCAAGAAGGATCGCATGGGTGCTAAGCCTGTACCAGGGCCAATGGCGATAAGAGGTATATCTGATGATGGAGGTAAAGACATGGTACCCTTAAGGATGCGGACACGCGCGATCGTATCGCCAGGCTGCCACGTAGATAACCATTTCGTGAATACACCACGGCGAATACGTCGCATTTTCGTCTTGTATTTGACAACTGCCACAAACAATTGCATTTCCTTTTTCTTAGTATGGACGCTGTCGTTGATGCTATCGCTGTTACCGGCATGAACTTCCAAACAGGAGGCGATTGAAAAACTTCTCGGTTGCAGAGAAGGGAATAAATCCAAAATATAATCAAAAGGAATATGGAAGGGTTGAAAATCGTATAGGACTTCAGCAATGGTACGTCGAGGTCGAGCACTATAAGCCCACATGTCTTCTTGTCCCTCTGGCGAAGCAAATTCTCTCAACCGCTCAGCATGATTTAAATCGTCCGTGGCGAAATAAGCAAGCATTTCAAAAAACGAGCGACGTGGTACGCCAAACAGATCCAAATGATAAATAAAGATGTCTTTAAACCGAATCTTGTCAGGCCAATGAGTAGGTAATTTGACATTGTCCGAAGAAGGAATAAAACGCACGATTTTATCAGCGTGTTCCGTCCATCCCATAAACTCTAGAAATAGATCCACTTCACCAGGAAGATTTTGAGGAGGAATAACAGCAATATCTCCCGGGTCGTAGTGAAACTTCTCATCCTCGCATGTGACTTCAATATGTCGAACGTCTTGAAAATGGTCTGTGGCTGTAATGCGCTTATTCTCTTTCACTGTTAAATTGAATTCGCCAGGAAGTAGTTTTTGAGGAGCGACGCATCGGGTATCTTTATGGTTATTTTCCTCATCTTCTGATAAAAATTCCATTTTGAAATTTGGTGGTAATAATACATCGTCGGAAAGGATGGGCTTCTTTGTAGGGTATTTCTCTAATAAAATATTCCATAACTTCTTTGCCCATGGTATAAATGCACCGTCTAACCTAAGACCAATAAACGAAAACCGTCTCTTCAAATTAGCAACACAAACACAGGCTTCATTTGATCTGTTGTAGTTGATTAAAGTAAAATTACCCTTGATAATGCTGATCATCGCAATCCGCCCTATCAATAACCATATTGGCACCTAACTGAATTAATCTTCTATACAGTTTCTTTGCTGGATAATTGAACCTGCCAAAAAATATATCAATTTAGATTCTTCGAAACTATATCGGTTGTTATAGTACTTACTTTCTATACGATGAGTCACCTAACCCAATGACAGCACAGTCAATATTACTTAAAATGTCGTTTGGCAAATTCTTCCGTAACAGAAACCGCCAGAATCTCTAATTAACAATTTATTATAGACATTTGTCAAGTTGATACACAGTTTCTTGTTTAAAGCTGAGTATATTCCATATAAAAAGTGTACCTTCATATTGGTAGGTTCGGCACCTTGACCTGTTGTTGAACAAACAAAGATAACAATCGTCTCATCTAATAACTGGCTCTTTTTTTGTTTGTCAAAAAGAGGTTTTAAAAATATCAGTCAGGCTTTCTAATGTTTATTCTTCTACTGAAGGGATGTCACCAAGATCGCTTTTCTTCGCTTACTTTGTCATACTCATCCATCGCATAAACTTTTGTGTTAAAATGACGGCGTCTAGCTTGTCGACCCAGGTTTTCTGCAACATCTTGAGCGCAGCCCGTTTCTGACCCATATAGAATCAGCAAAGATCGATCCTCCATATAACGTAAGGAATTCGGTTGACGACTGTGCTACGGATTTGATTAGTAAACAAAAACTTTGTTAAAATGTCGTTTCAACGCTTTAAATTCAAATTATGCACAATCAGGGGAAAAAATCGAGAAAAGACTTCGAGCCGAAAAAATAATATAATATCAGGTCCGTTCCGCGGGGGGAGGGGGAGTGGGGTTGGGCAAAATGTGCAAGCAAAAGCAAAAAAGGTAATATGGCCATATCCCATTCCTTCTCAATCCCTTCTCACTAATTCACAGCCTTTATATAAACGATCATGGGCGGTAAGCTAATCAATCCATCAATCATATAAATGCATCCTTTATAGTAGATGAAACATTCATGTTCTAATTCTTCATCGACTCACTCTTCTGGTACAAAGCTTACAAATATCTTGAAGAGCTTTCCAGAAAGAAGCAATCTGATGTTGCTCGTTTCTTACTTCGTGTTAGATGTTGGGAATATAGGTAGTTTATCAATAGCATAATATACAATGGTAGAATTTTCATTTTATTCCTTCATACTACGAGGAATGAAATCGAAATTCTTTTTAGGCTTGAATACGCCCTTTCCTGCTACTCTTTTTCTCTTATTGAGAACTGGGTGGATCTACAGGAAAAGAGTTTTACAAATTCATCCGATGAACAGAGTTGTATATGTATGTGTTAAATTGACCCGCTTCCCTTTTTTCCCGGATTTTGTTCAATTTCTAGACAACTCAACGTCATCCATCGTGCATCTCGTCCTTCCCGTCCTGACAAAGCCCGTCGTTTAGGCTATAAGGCTAAGCAAGGTTATGTTATTTATCGTATTCGTGTTCGTCGTGGTGGCCGTAAGAGACCTGTTCCTAAGGGTGCCACCTATGGTAAACCTGTCAATGAAGGTGTAAGTCAATTAAAATACCAACGCTCTTTGCGTGCTACTGCTGAAGAACGTGTCGGTCGCAAATGTGCCAACCTTCGTGTTTTGAATTCCTATTGGATCAACCAAGATGCTACTTACAAGTACTATGAAGTGATCCTTGTTGATCCTTCTCACAAGGCTATTCGTCGTGATCCTCGCATCAACTGGATCGTCAATGCTGTTCACAAGCATCGTGAAGCTCGTGGTCTCACTGCTGTCGGCAAGAAATCTCGTGGTCACAACAAGGGTCACCTTTTCAACAACACCAAGGGTTCTGGCCGCCGTGCCACCTGGAAGCGTCGCAACACTCTTTCCCTTCGCCGTTATCGTTAAATGAAACCTTCATATTAGTGTATGTAGTTGAAATAAAAATGAGTCAGCTATGCATGACTGACTCATTTTTTAAAAATCAGAACATCACATTCCATCTTTTTGTACATAGTTCTTTTTGCATTCGATTTGAAGTTCCAATATATTTATTTCCTTGTTGAGATTACATATTGTCCTCTGTTTTTATTTGTTTTGTACGTTATTATCTCTTTCTTCTAAGGCTCGTAATAACATTTTGATGCGATATTCTGCTTTATCGTTAGCAATACGCAATTTATTGTTCTCCATGATTAATGCTTTGATATTCTCGTCTAATTTATTGCCAGCATTGACATCGCCGCTGTCATGGCCGAGCTGGCTTATCTGATGACCTGGATGTAGTCATTGATTAAGAGAAGAAAGTGTCAGATAAGAACAAAGTGGAATCTTTCATCTTGAACGGTACCAAAACACTTTACTTTTAAGATTGACAATTCGCTTCAACTGATCCACTTGACGTTGCAGTGCCTCGATGGCCACATTCACAGGCGTGTCGTGAAAAAAGTGATCTTTGGCAACTTGTTGGCTTTCTTCGTTACTAGACATAATTGACCGTACGGCTTAAATATAGTGAATCTTTATTGTGTATTTGAAAATATTTCAGCAATGGATGTCATTTCTTTTTGCCCTGAAAAGAAAATGTTTTACTGTCACAGGCTATAGAAATTGCATACAACACGACCTGCAGTTTGTCTGTGCTTCAATTTTTCTCGGCGGCAGCATTTGACAAATGGATAAGTAAGCTTTTTTCATTAAGAACAATTCAAATTGCACTCAAATGCAATTGTTAAGGAGAGTTTGCCGTTCATTTATAGTTAATATCCGCTAGCCAACATTATCGTCAAATGTTGGAATTATATTGAGAAGGGAAGGGGGAAGAGTTGGGCGTCACGAAGATTCTGACGATATCAAATAGCTAGCTACAAGAAGTTTTAGTTGAATGCGTGTACACATATATTACTTGCATTCAAGCTGTACTGGAACCCTGTATCTCCCATAAATCCATAGTATGCCTAGACTTATGCTTGTTTGAACAAAGTCATATTTTGTGCAAGATAATAGTATTAGAGTTCACTGAGAAATATAAAATATTGACATTTGCATTCATGTGGTTCTCTTTAAGAGAGAACCTCTTCGTTGCAACCCCTTTTTTTGTTCTAGAACAAAAAAGGTAAGTATCTTTGCTGCTCTTTCTTTCTGTTCCTGACTCTGTGTTTGATAATCAGAGTGTTGCGTGTTGTTGTTGTCTGAGTTTACATAATAAATCATATAAATTCTTTTAAATTAAACAAAATTTACAATTTATGGTAAAGGGAACAGACTAAAAAGGGACCAGATATGCAGCTCCACTGGTCTCGAAAAGATAAGAGAACTTGATACGTTCAATTTAGGGCAGATCTTCTTAGCCATTTTAGAACTAGCATATGAGATTACGTGTTAAGGTCATTTCAAAATGATTTTGTATATATACTTTGTATGGCTCGAACTCATTCGAACAATAAGAACAAGGAATGCTGCTTACTTATTTGGGACTAAGCACATGAACTTCTTTTATGCAGGGAGATTAAAAAGCTTCTTGAGTCCCAATGTTTGAGCGTTTTTTTTTTATTATAAACATGCACAATTAGGATATTAAACAATGTGAAGACATACACATTATATGTGCGTATACACACGCACACACACACACACACACAAACGCATATGTTCGCCCTGATTTCAAATTCGCTTTTCGGTGTTCTTTGCTGGAAAAGCTATTCCATGTGCAACTTTTCATTAAAAAAATGTAATCCTATTTCGTCCTAAAAAAAGATTTTCTGTCATACACATGGATTTATTTTTTGTGCACTGAAAGTGCAGCCAACGAGCCTCATTTGCTTGGAGTGCGTTCATACTTTCCCCTTTTCATCTTCTTTCCCTTCTTTATCTTTTTCAATCAATTGCAGCGGATTTCTCTTTTCTTTCGATCTACTAACTACTACTATTAACTACTCTTACATCCCTTTATCTGCCACTATTATCATTACTTCTACAATTGTAATTATCATAAACACAACACTCTCGATATTGAAATGGAAGGGCCAGCATGTATCGGTTGTCAAAAGTCCATTGAAGAAGGCTCAGTCATTGCCTTCGGGGAATCGTTATTTCACATTAAATGGTACTTAAAGACAATTACTGATAAAAAACGTTAGATAACCTTAACTCTAATTTCAACGTTCAAAATCAACCAAGTTTTGTTTGTGCAAAATGTAATGAAGCAGTAGATTGTGATTCAAATTTACTATTGTTGTCCAATGGAAAACCCGTTTGTGAAAACTGTTCTTACTTATGCCATGCTTGTAAACAAGTGATACGAGACGAAGCTATTATGACTGGTAAAAACATTCGCTTTCTAAAAATACGACCATATAGAGGTATACGCGACTGACCGAATATGATTACAACTTAATTATGAACAAAGGAGACGATGCTTATCATGCCGAATGCTTTCAATGTGTTTCTTGTAAGAAAAAAATTGAAGACTTGGTGTTCACTCAGACAAGCAAAGTAATGTAGCAGAAGATTCATGCAATGCTACACACAATGTAATATTAAATAATAATCTTATTTTTTGTAGGGTATACATTGTACACCATGCCATGAAAAAAGGAAAGCAGAAAAACAAAGGAGACGAGAAGAACGAGAGAAGCGACTACAATTAAAACAACAACAGAAACAAGTTAAAACAGACGCAATTAACATGAATACTACTCAGCAGCAGCAGCAGCAGCAACAACAACAACAACAACAACAACAACAACAAGTACAGCAGGTAAATTGCGACTTCTGACTTTATTGATCTGCCCCTTTTTCCATAAATTTACACCAGAAAAACCTATTTTTGACATTCGTTTGATTTTTTCCCTCATCATTAGGTCAACACATCCATAGCCCAGCCTTCCACTCCAGCTATAGCGACAGATCCTCCAACGCCATCTCGTTCACGAAGCAGCTCAGTCGATGATACCAATGGAAAATACTTACCAAAGCCCTCTGCTACTACTATAGCTTCCATTAGTGCAACTACACCAAACTCACCTCCTTCGACCACGTCAGATTATAACATTGCTGTCAACACGACACCTAATATAAAGTCTCCCAATTCACCTCCTTTATCTATAAGTAGCCCCACTACTACCACAAACACTATTTCTGCGGCCGCTGTTAACACTACTACATCTGCTACATCTGCTGCTCCTATGCTAGAGCTAGATTCATTAAACTTGTCATTCTTTGATAATGACTCAACTGACCTCGTTAACCTTACGAAAAAATTAGGTGCTAACATCTCTATGGATATTTATGGTAATCACATAGTCAATGATAACAGCAGCCATAACAATAACAGGCAGCAACAACAACAGCAACAACAACAGTCTTCTACTATTAACTGTCATAATAAAACAACGGAAAATAGGATCACAAGAGCCTCGCAATTATTAGAGTCCTCATTGGGCATGATGACTGATTTCGTAGTAGATGGGTTTCCTTCTCCACCGCCCAAAGATTATCAAATCTCAACTCATACTACGAATGCTGCTGCTACTACCAATCCATCGCAAGACAGCAAGTCATCGTTACCGCCATCGACCTCTATTTCCTCAGCATCCTCACTTTCATCATCGGCTGACTCAGCTATTTCCCCTGTTACCATTACAAATGGTAGTATGATCGGCATCACTGCTGGCGCTGATTCAAATAACATGTCAACAAATACCAGCAACGTAGAATCTAGTCTTCGTGTCGAACTTCAATCTGCTCAAATCAAGATCCAAGCTCTGCAAACCAGCCACGAAAAGATTAAGGATGCTAGTCGAAAAGCGCTTGACGAACTTTCTCGAGCAAAAGATGAATTCACGAAAGAAGTACAACTTCGACAACAACAAGAGTATCTTATCCATCAGCTCAAACACCAACTTCACATTGCCTATCAATCCGAGCGTTTCACTCGCCCTGAACTTTCCGTTATCACCAAGGAAGAAATTGAACGCGTAGCACATATTCGCGTAGAACTCGACAAAACATGCAACGAATTGAAGAACTATCGCAACTTACTGATTCAGGATATCGACGCTTTATCGGCAGAAAAAAGATTTGAGGCTTTGAACAAGACACTGTCCAACTCTTTCAGATTGGAACAAGAACAATTACGCGCAGAGATCAAACAATTAGAGGACATTCGTGACGACATTTTACATGAAATGGTCATGCTGAATACAAAAAATGCTGAATTAACCGAGATGAACAATGATTTATCGCGACGTATGTCGGAAAGGGAACGCGAAGCAGCGGCTGTGATGGCAGGCACATCCTTTTTATATAATCACAACAATAGCAATCACCAACTTTTGGGTGTTTCCCCTACACCAAGTTTATCTTCAGAAATTCATTCACCTTCCACCATGATGCAGCGTAAATCTTCTGAAGCAAGCATACGAAATTTCCACCCACTTCAACAACAACAAACCATAACGTCAGCAACAACAACAAGTACAACAGCAGCAGCAGCAGTAGCGACAGCAGCTACCACTACTAATACTCCAAAAATGTTCAAGTTGAAAAAGAAAGGCGGGAACATGTTTTCTAAACTGAGTGGTAAAAGTAAATCGTCCAACAGTGCTAATACGATATCTGAAAATGCAGCAGCAGCAGCTATTATGTACGGTGGCAACGGACAACATCTTCATCAGCAATATCTCAATAGCAGTAGTACGAATATGCTGATGAGCGGCAGTACCTTAAGTCTACCAACTGCCAATAACAACAACAGCAGTGCATCCTCAAAAGTTTCCCTAGAAAGTCAGCAACTACAACAACAGCAACACGGCTCTCACCTCTTTTTGCCCACTTCTTTTCTTAGACCTTCCACAAAATGCGATGCATGTGGTGATAAAATGTGGGGGTTCGTTACAAACGAACTTAGATGTCAGCACTGTCTATACACTACTCATGCACGTTGTCTATCTTTTGTACCACAACTCTGTCAAGGCGGCAATAGTAGTTTCGTACTCAACAGTGACTCGGTCTTTCAATTACAACGACCTTCGAACGAGAGTAATAGCTTACATGAAGGTGTGGCTATTACTACAGATATCGCGTCCTCGAATTTATCTTCAACCTCAACACCTGTCCACCCTTATCAAACAATGACAACAACGACAACAACTTCAGCAACCTCAGTAGCAGCACCAGCAATGACACTCAAGTTGTTTGGAACTGATTTAGTAGAACGTACTCATTTTGAATCAAGAACCATTCCTTATATTATTAAACAATGTATAAAAGCTGTAGAGAAACGGGGGATGGATTATGAAGGTATCTATCGAAAATCAGGTGGTGCAGCACAGATCAGAACTATTGTTCAAGCTTTCGAAAACATGAATCATCATACAACGACAACGACAACAGCATCGGATAATGCTTCTTCATCATCAAACAATAGCAACAATGATGAATTAGTGCCACCAATCAATTTGGAAGATGATGAAGACATCAATGACATCTGTGCGGTGACAAGTGTTTTGAAACAATACTTTAGAGATTTACCGAATCCTTTAATACCCTACAATTTATATACCTTATTTATTGATGCAGTTTGTAAGTTACCGTCAGGAATTGTAGGGTTTCGATATGAATGACAATGAGGGCTTATCTTTTTTTTTTTTTCCCTTTAAAATCTTTCTACATTGTAGCAAAACATGGTGGCCAAAGTCAAATAGACAAGTTCTCTGAATTACTATCTCAGTTACCTCAAGTCAATTACGATACTTTACAAGTCCTCATTAATCATTTACATCAAGTTCAGTCAAGACATCATGAAAATTTGATGACCATCAAGAATCTGGCTATGGTGTTCGGTCCTACACTTTTAAGAGATGAAGAAGCCAGTCGAGACTTGATTGATATGAGTTTCAAAAATGCAGTTGTGGAAGTTCTGATTACTCATGTGAAGGAACTTTTTACCAAAAGTCAATAGTTATTGTGCTTTACTATCTTATAAATATGTAATATCATCTAACACCTTCCCATGTCACACTCTTATTCTACTTTCGATCTTAATATATATATATATATATTTTTACTCATTTTACCTCAATATACCTTTAATTGGCAATATAGTCAGTAGCATACAAGCTTTCATCTATTGAGATACACAACGATCCTTAAAAGAAGCGTAGCACTTTAAAAAATCCTTCTTTTTGGTTTTTGTTCTAAATCAATTAAAAACTAAAAATCATCAAAGAAGTTTCAAATGATATATTTTTGTATGTAGTGAGATATATATGGTAAGAGCAATATGGTATAGTATATACATATATATATGTATATATTTAAGTCAGTAGAAAGATATTTGCGGAGAAGGGGGTATTCAGTATTTAAATAATGGACGTTCTTTCCAAGCCAACCGTCACTTCATTTACTTGCTGATGTTGTTGTTGTGGTTGGGGAAGCCTTCTTCTTTCAGCATGTTGATATTGATAAACTACTCTTCCTCCTGCATAAGCATTTCTATACAGATCTCCACTATCGTTATGATGAATAGTGTTACCAACTTCTTCTGCTCCAACTGCTGTAAAGTTTCCTCCCTCATGACGATAATTGTTTATGCCAAAACTAGCAGTAGTATTGGTAGTAGTCATAGTCGTAGCAGCAGTTGAGGATGATAAGTGTAACATTCTCATACTTGATGTAATTGCTAGCTGCTGCTGTTGTTGTTGTTGCTGATAATGATATTGATGGTAATATTCAGATCTATGATGCTGTTGCTGTCTTGTCAAAAAATACTTTCTCAGTTCATGAAATACTTTATGTCCGCTAAAAACACAAAAGGTTCTTTGCAATTCTGGTGTATTATATTCTCTAGGAGGAGGTCGACAGAATCGTTGCACTATTTCTTGACCTACTTCCTCTTGCTGCATAGCTGGTATAAAACTAAGACTGAGATGAGTGAGACGACGACATTGTAAGATAAGTGTAGCAATGGCTGGTACAGTTAACTGTTCGCAGTACGAGAGATGAACGCGTTCAAGAGAAGATGATGTTGATGTGTTGTTTTTATGTCTTTTTTGAAGACTATTGGATAATGCTGATTGTGATGATGTCGTAATGGAACTGGATGACTGATAACGTGCCAAAGCAAAAATGGCTTGGTTGGTAATGCGATGACATTTCACGAGACCGATACGTTTTAGCTTTTGTAAAGTAGACAGCGCTACTACTGCTGTATCTGTCAATCGATGGCAACTTGTCAGATCAATATAACGAATACGCGGGCAATGAGCCACCAGTTGTATGATAGCTTGATCGGTGATATGTTTACAATTTCCTAAATGAAGATAATGTAATTGATGACCTAAGCGTGTTATGTAGTGCATGACAGCTGTATCCGTGATACGACTACATTTGTTAAGAACAAGATTCCGAATTTTGGGTGCAGCTTGCGTGATATAATCAATGGATTGATCAGTAATAAAAGAGAGATTGGTGAGTTCCAAAATACGTAGCTGGGCAAAGAGATTCGTAACAGGTTGTTGCTGAAGCACAAGAGGCAGAAACCCTTCGTCAGTTATTTGAGAGCAATGATTAAGTTTTAATTCTCGAAGCTCTTTGCAATGTGTAAAGATGCTTTGCAAGGATTGGTTGGTAACGCAGCAATGAACGACATCGATTTCCAGCAGTGATGGACAATGGGTAGTCAGAGCAATGACGGATGCATCTGTGATAGATCGCCAATTGGATAATCGAATCTAATATAAAGACAGTGCTGTATTAGCTTCTCCCTATATCCTCTCCTTTTTGTTTTTTTCTAAAAATAGTTACTTACTCTCCTCAAATCATTACAATTTTTGGCTAACTCAATGATACTCTTATCGGTTATTCCATAGATATCTTCTTCGTAGGCAACCTCTTCTTTTCCGTTATTTGATGCTGACTGTAGTGCTTCATCCTCATCTTCGCCACCGCCGTCCTCATTTTCCTCATCTTCCTCATCTTCCTCATCTGCAGATATCCGTCTTCTTGTGATGGTAATGGTATTCTCGTTTATGTTACTGCTGCTTATACTGCTACTGGAGCTTGTACTGTTATTACTATTGTTACTACTTGCAGTATTCGTGCTGTTACCATTGAAATCGTTGTTATTCATCAAAACGCTGAGATTCAGTCCTTGTAACTTTGTACATGTATTCGCAATCAATGCTACTGTTTCGTCTGATAGATGAGGAATATCAGACAAGTCCAATGATAACAAATGACTAAGCAGTAAGCTTGTTGATGGCAAGGATAGAAAGGTTTGCAATCCTCTATTGGTTAAATGATGACAGCCTGTCAGCGTGAGTCGATCTAGATGTTGACAGCAGTTAACGAGAAGATATAGTGTATCGTCACTTATGAAATCAGCAACGGCGGAGAGATTGAGACGTCGAATAAAGTGACCGTAACTGCAGTAAGAGGACGATTGTTGTTGTTTCATTAATACCCTTTGGACCTGAAGCCATGTTTGAGGTTTGGAAATGATGGGCTTGTGCCATAGCAATTGAAGTGAAGGGTAACTCCAATTCTTACAAGTCAATGCACAGTTCAATAAATTGATGGCACTACTATTACTACTAGAAGTGCTGCTGCTATTACTCGTTGAAGCGAGTGTGTAATCATTAGTTGTTGAGACATGGTATAAAATCTTTTTCAACAGTTCAGCAGGCAAGTTTTGAATATGCATACTTGTATATCAGAGACAGAAAGCGAGAGAGATAAAGAAGAGGAGGAGGATTTAGAAGAAAAAGGGAGCTGATCTTTTTTATGAATCAAGGGGTCAGCGGAAACGGAGAGAATTTATAGGCGTCCTAATGTTAAACAGCAACGCAGCAATATGATGTGAATAGAAAAGGAAAAGGGAAAGAAAAAAAAAAAAATACAAAAAAAAAAGCTTGTATGCTTTTATTTTATTATTTATTTCAAACTTAATTAAGCTCGTCATTTTGCAATCTGAATGCACGCCTTTCTCCAACAAATAGATAAAGACATTATAGTTATTTTACTTTACAGCAGGAATTAAAAGCTCAACCCTGACATTTCGTACCTAATCTGCGATTTTTTCTGTTGCTATTTACTATTATCTTATTGAGTTCATCATCATCGGGGAAAAGACCATCGCCCCTTATTGTTCTCAAAAGCACAATTAGAAGAACATTTGGGCTTTGACCAATGACAAATATTAAAAATGGGAAAAAGTGCATGAAAATCTCGTTTCACAGGCAGAGAGTAAAGGGTAACTGGCTTGAGTATACGTAGTATGTACACTCTGACAACGGAATTGTCATACTTCAATTTTCTCATTGTATACATAGCATAACAAAGTAAAGAGAAGGGACCAAAGCGAGCCGTCGGACTCTTTCCCTTTATTGGTCTTCATCGATTAAATTGATAAACATCATTTTGTTATAAGAGCTGCTCCAAACAATTGTCTATTAGCTTAGCCATAAAATAGTATATTGAAACTTAGAGAAGGCGCACTCATTCTTAAAAAGGCTATACTGGTTGCTAAATAAAGTATACTTATCAAAACATTCTTTTGTAGCAATTTTTATTGACTTCGGCTGTAAAAGGAGTGATACGCTGAAGCACTTTTCCTTCGGCCACGCACACGCACTAGCACACACACATACGCATGATTCATATGCTTGTAATAATGCTTTAACAATGGGATAGTCATGATGGTAGTACACATAAAAACAGTTTTCGTGTTGTCACAGTGCCTATTGGCTCTGTCATACCTTTCGCTCACACATCCTTTTATTTGTTTCGCTGTACGACAACCACATCACTTCCTATTTCAAACCACATGATAAAGGTCGGTGCGCTAGAACCCTTCCAGGCGTATCAGTATAAAGCATATTATTGTTATTGTATCTGCACCGAAAGCTTAATTTGTCATTGCAACAAAGGAGATTTGTCCTCGACATGCTTGCGTACTGTAACGTGAGCTTTTTGGAAAAAATTGGCTTGTTTTTTTGGAAGTTTCTGCTCTTTATGTTCAAGCTGTTAGTAATGCAAGCTATAATGTAGAAGGTGACATTATTAATCATTCGAAAAGAATGACGTACGGACAAATGTACGTGTTCTCTAAATAAAAAAAAAAGGCAGCGATCAACTCAATCTCATCCCATTATCTGTTGTTCGCCGTTTCGGGTGCGTTTTGTATGTGCAACCCACATTGACAAACGCATTGAACCAACATACACATCTTTTCAAAAGAAAAAAAAAAAAGGTTTAGCTTCCTAGACTTTCCCAAATCTTTCGATTTGTGTTCTCTTTTCTACTCCACAAAACTGACACATTTTGGCTCCCCTCACCGCCCTTAATTCTTATTGACAATGGATCTATTTCCAGGGTACAAAAGAATAGGGATTTATTTTTAGGTTCAAAAATTTTAAATAAATTAAATTGGAATAACTATTATTACTACAACAACAAAGGAATAGTTCGTCGGACCATACAGACATACAATCTACTTAGTCTTCTCTATAAATTTCAGATGAAAAATGCGGGATATTAATAGAGTCTTTATCAAAATTTAATCGATGTTTTAGGGTATCTTTACCAACTTCATCTTTTGTCATTGTCGCTGATGCTTTAGACTTTGAGTTGGACTTTGACGCCATCGATTGTCGTCGATTAACGGCTACTGCTTCATCTTCTTCACTAGAGCTATTTTTATCAGTGCTATTGTTTTCAGTCATCGAGGAAGAAGAGGTAGATGTCATTAAATTGCTGTCTTCTTCAGAAGGTGATGACATGACTTGACGAAATTTATCAGCAATTAACTTCGCCTCAGGTGTACTCAAGAAGGAGTTATTTTTGATGGGGGCTAGGTTTCTACGAAAAACGTCACCTTCATACGATACTGGCTTTGAATTAAGGTAATCTGTTTGCGATCGCGTCAGTTGAGAAACTTCTTGTTGCTGCCGCCCTGGCTGTAGCTGTTGCATTGTTTGTTCTTGTTCTTGTTGTTGATGAAGTTGTCGTTGAGGATCTTCATGCTGTTTACGTTGATACAACAGGGATTGTTGTCTTGTAAGTCTTTTTTGTCTTTGCATCTTACTGTAGAGCCAAATCATGATGGAGACAGCGATAACAACCACCAGAATAGACGAAATAATGATAGCCAAGACCCATTTCTGGCTCAGCGTCTCTAGATTAGCCACTGATGATGACATTGGTGTTGATTCTACATCACAATATACAGTTACAGATTCAAATAGCCAATTAGTCCTGACTTAACCACAAACGTAGTACCTATCTCTAACACTATCACTTTCGTTTTCGGTTTTTGTTTTTAATACTTTACGAACAAGTTGGAATTTGACATAGTTATTAGGATTGAGCAAGATATTTGAACCGGAAAATGTGGGATCATATTCATTAATATTGCCGTCACGACTCTTCAAAAATGCTATAGTATTCCAAGTTTTATTTCCATTTTCAAAGTTCATCGCACTGGTATTCGACACTAGAGGCAAAGGTGCCGGAAACCAATCATCCGTTACTTGAACCGATAACGAGTTGCTGTTGGCATTGGTCAGGTTGAACCATGACTTTAACGTTCTTCTTTCAATATTGTTTATTGTTGTGGTGGTCAAGATATGAAGATCAAAGTTGATCACGTTCTGTTATTGTTCGTTTTTATGAAAATTGGTTAGAAAATGTCGCCTAAGCAACTTCCGAGTCCTTCACCTTTTCCATACGATATCTCACATACGTTATTGTTATTCGTTCGAAAAAAGGTGTTGCTATTGAATAAGCACTTATTAATCTACGAGTCATTACAGTCATACATAATATGCTCGATTAGATGATAAAAAAACTTACTTATCATTCCAGATGAAATCATATTGATTGTTATGGTACCAAATATCATTTGATAAAGGTGAACAAAATATAAATGATCCGTGACAAACTCTTCTAGCATTCACTGATGGAATTGTCACTACAGCCGATTGTGTAGGTTGGGTATGATGAAGCACCAGCAGGCTAAGAATTAATATAGTGAGTGAAACGAAGTTTTGCATCTTTGCAGAGTCTTAATCCAAAAAGCAGGAAAAAAAGAGGAAAGTAAATAATAATGATTTATAGTGAGAGATAGAATAACAAAATATAGGTTTGTTCATAGCAATCTACCATGAGTCTGTTTAATGAAAAGGGATATAATTGAATTTTTCAAATATTATTTGAAACTGTGCAAAAAATTCTGCACAGGCAGTAATATAGAGATGGAAGGACCCCCTTTATTCATACTATGACTTAATTTTACCCCACCTCCACACAAATACATATAAAAAGAAAATGAAATAGCCCGTGATTTTAGCTTATTTACTTTATGTTACGGTGGCATGAAATTAGACGTTTCTTTACTAATCTTACTACAACTATGTAATTGAAATGAAATAATATCCCGTTAGTTGAAATTGATTGCATGGAGATTCTATCAGAGTATATCAATAAATTTAAAAATTGCAGTTATGATCGATATACCCATCAATAGTAAGGTATAACGAAAAAGGGAGTGTAAAAAAAAAAAAAAAAAAAAAAAGAAAAAAAAAAACAATCAGATAAAAACGGAATGCAAGGTGAAAATGCTTCAAATGTGCAGTGATTTAAAAATAGGCGATAAATACGGTGCGATTACATAAATCAACTATTAATTAACATACTCAACAACGATCAAGTACATGCATGCGTAAAATGTCATGGGAGAGAGGGAGAGAGAAAAAGAACGCACTTCTTTAAACTTGATTCTGATAGAAACCCATTTGAAGAGCATAGCTTTACACCTACTTTTTCTACTAGAAAAGTTTCGATAAAGCTCATAAAAAGTATAATCTGCATAGTTTGACAATTTGTTGATAGTATGCTTTTCTTTAAAGAAAAATTGGTAGACTTATGCTCTTATTGTGAGCTTATGCATATCTGAGCAAAACTTACAATCAGTTTGTTAAGACTGCTATGTCTTCAACACCCCAGTACCATTCAGAACGAACATAGACTTCCGCCATTTTTGAAGTGTAAATCTTACATCTGAATTCATGCCATATATCATCTTGCCCGTATGTCTTTCCCGAATAATGTAGCCAACACGTCTACTAGATGTGCAGTAGATGCCTAAAATAACTTCTAACCATATTGTACTGAGGGAATATTATAAGTGGTCGCTTATCTATGACAATCAAGCAATTCATAATTTACTTTACTTTCTCATAATTTGTTTACTCTAAAAAACATAATTGTTCTTCTGGTTACTTTTCGACTATTCCCACAGTACAAACATGCACATTAAGTTTCATTGCTTTTTCTGTCAAACCAGGCAAATATCCTCGTAAGAGTAATTAATAATCCCGCTCAGATTTGGGCTTTTCGTACAAGTTGAAACTAGTCGAATGTCTCCAGTTGTATATAATGGGTGCTGTTAAGCTTAATTATCAATAAGTTCGGAACATTTTTCATTTAACTTGCGTAGAAAAAAAAAGTCTGTTCCTGAAAAATATATATGCCCATAATATACGATCTCGTGTTCTATAACTTCTCGTAGTTCATGTTGTAAGTCTGTCTTCCATTGCTCTTATTAAGTGAGTAGCATCTTCAAATTGATCTCCAAACTTAAAACCTACTCAGATACTGCCATATGTTATTTGAATCTAATCCTCATAAATGCCCTTATGCAGTAGCTGTAATAAAAGGTCGAAATATCGCGGATTGATATAAAAAATTTGACAATCGTTTAACATTAACATGGTCAAGCTTACCATTATCATATTCGATTCCCATAATCACTGGGCACAGCCAACCAAAACATTCTTTCTATGGTGAATTGTATGATTGATTCCAATTCCTTCACAGTGGCAATATGACAGGTTGAAATATATTTGCAAGCCGTAAGCAAGCTGCTTTTGCTGCCTGATTTTGAACATTTAGCTGATTTTTAACAATTAAGGTGCGGAGGGAAGGAAAAGAGAATCTATTTATGGCAAGAAGTATGTGGATATGCTTCGTTGAAATGTTAACCATCAGCGAGTACTGTAATATCAATGTTGAAAGGATTATACCAATTTTCGAAGCTGCTTTATAGACATTTCTCTGGAGGATGAAACTTACGCTAAATGCATATGCACAAAAGACCTCATTCATCGATCTACCCAATCCGAGTAATCAATCAATGACGTTACTTAAACTTTCTGTGCCTAGAATATGCATACTGGTGCCAAACTAAAAAAGGGTCATTGGGAGTTTATCATTGGTTATAAACAAAAGGCTTAAAATCTTTTTTTTTTTCCCTAATTGTTCAAACTGCCTAAAGCTTTTGATTGGTAGTTTAGCAAGAAGTCTCGAATTTTTAGGGAAGCCTCCAAGATTCCGTCGGCTAAATAAAAGGGGAAAGCTGCTGCTATTAAGCTTTTGTTTTCCATGTCAAATCAATAATTACACTTCATCAATATGTCCAAAAACTGTAGTCAATCTTTAGAAACAGGATTCACCAACTTATCACTCAATGATGATAATAAGCCGACAACCATCAGCAACAACAATATTACTAATATTGATATAACGGCAGTAGAAGGAGGGGATGAAATACAATCATTACGGCGATCAAAATACAATATCTCAAATGCATATAACAGTATTCCAAAAAACTTTAACCTCATACAGGAATGTTCTTCTTTCCATCCATTGGAAAATATCATGTTAGCGCCTTCAACAACAACAGTACACCCCTATGCTCTAGACCTTTCGGATTCTCAAGATGATCTGCAACATATAAAGCAAAAGAACAAAGATCAGGACTTAGATGTGCTGATCAACAATTTGAATCTATCGTCCAACTCAGTAACACAGCGACAAAGATCTATGCCTTACTGTATATAAATGTATAATCTTCTTTTAAGCGGTCACTGTTATATAGTAGACAAGCTGTACAATTCAAAACACATACTAGCCCCTCCCACCCCTTCCTCTCATTACATTCGATTATATCCATACTTTTCAATATTAATTTTCTGTACATATAATTACAAGTATTATAATCCCTTACCTTTCATCTCTGTACGTATAAATGCCTTAGAATGAACTAGCAGTTAAGCTTCAGGCGTCTGCAAAATATTAATTTAGTGATTTAATAAATGTATTTGCCCTTCAGTTTATAAAGGCAAGCGAAATAATGAACAATCTTTAACCAACATTTTTGCGCTTTTCATTGTCATTGTTTTTGAACCGCTTTGCAGTATTTGCTGGTCGTCGTGCTCTCAAACACGATCCAGTACTGACGCTCACTCGATCAACTACTTATATCTTTGATGCCACGGACCTCGCATTTTGTCAATCAACTTGATTGCGTTTAAACCTCGCTTAGGGAGGGCCTCCATAAAGATGTCACTTTTTCTGCAGTTTAAGACTTTCTACAGTTTTATAACATTATAGATACATTATATCTATATGATATTGAGATTTATAGGTACTTCTATATGTAAAAACGATAGCACTCAAATCGACCAAAATTCATCATCTTTGATTGTTTGGTGCCACTTTTTATAAATATTTATTGATTTCGTCCTCCATATTGACCTAGTCCACCATTTGAGCGAAAAAGAGGCAGGTTCTCTATTCTTTTATATCCCCTTTTGTTCGTCTAAATTACTGTTCTGCTGCAATTTTCTAACATCTATAGGTGAGAAGCTGTTGTACACACTAAATCACATACAGTTAAGCGCCTGTTGAAAATAGTTGATGACGTACATGCCACATTAAAAAATTTTAAAAGTGTATTATTTCAAACGACTCCAATACAATCTTCCATAAAATGTCTGATGATTCATCAGCTATTCCTATCTCTAATTAGAGCCTTATTTCTCAAGTGTTGAGCGTATTTGTAGCTACATAGCAGCAAGCTGTTGCAGATTCGTACTAAGTAATGTCAAAAGGGTGCTGAAATGGGAAGACGGTACGTTGTACCCAACCTATTTCTATATACCAACAATATGAAGGAATGTACTTATACCTTTCAAGATGCTGTTTTACAGAAATTTTTCCCCGACTACAAGCTTATCAGCAATATACCCAATTGGACTAATAGCACCACGACTATCAACAGCAGCATTACCAGCACCATACATTGGGTCGGCTTTCGATAGAATAAGGGCAAGAACACCCAAGTACCGAGTTGGAACTTGTCTATCAGAGAAAGCTATATTGTACATACCTCCAACGATACCTCTGACTTCTATGTCAAGCAAATGTTTTCTCTGATACGAAACTTTGGTTGGGGATTCTGTTCTGCACAGGAGGCAGTTGTCCTGATTTTTGACGAATATTGGAAGAATATTCTACCACTAATATTTTCTTAAGGCATCCAAAAGATACCAATTATCAGTACGAAGCTCGTTATCTCAATACCCCATTTAAAATTTTAGACGCATGACCAAACAACAAAACGATACCCATAGACGACGTCTCAAATACTTGATACCCTTCATCACACCCGATACCCCGAAAGATACCATCATAAAACTTATTCATCAACAACCGCATGCAACACTAGCTGTAGAGCGGTATTGCTTTCATTATTACCTAAAATACCCGCACTCAACAGTCAAACGCTATTACGACTTTATATATACTATCATTAACGACAGTTTCAAATATACCCCGATCATGAGAAAAGATCGACTGTATGTCATGAAACAAGGTCTTTCAGTTCATAAAATAGAAGACCGCGATCGACCAATTCAATTAACTAAAGAACATTGTCCCTAATACCATAAACTCAATTATTCCCATAAAAAAATTATTGAAAGATTGATACAACGTATAATTATTATTCAGACATGTATGTTCTTTAAGTAGTATATATATATATATCAATTAAAACGATGTAATTTATATAAATAATAAACTTTATAAAATACACATTCATATTCATTGCAATCTACTGGATAGCTTAGCTCAGCACAGCGTCAAAAATCTCTTTTGGTTTTGTTTCGCCTTGGCAGAAACGTCTGCTTCTCAAGTGTGGGCGTTGCACACTCCACCATCAATTTTAACGAAAAGGGCTGTATACTAAAAAAAATCAAAGACGAGTACATACCTGGATATCCCGATCTGAAAGTATCGACTTCCTGGTGTTAATAAAAATATGTTTGTATAATTCGAAACCGTATTTTTATATCAACAAATTTACATATAAAGGAATGTATTTATTCTTTGTGATAGACGCACTCAATTATCTTTGATTATGTTGAATATTTTACGAAGTTACATAGAATGTGCTAACTTAAAAACAAAGATTATTGGCTTTTTATTAGTATTCAATTACTACAAGGTAATCAGCACAAAAAAGATCAAACATGTGTATTTATTACACAAACATACATTTATCAGTTTTGAGCTAAAAGGGAGCCAATTTAAATCAAAGTTATATAATCACAGTGAAAAAGTGATTAAAAGTTCAACATGAAGCATGCTTCTTCTCTATTTAAAGAGATGTTACAGCCTAGATAAGCTATAGGACTCATCAATGCAGCCAATGTACTATATGGAAAGAATGATTAGTACAAATTTTTCATTAGAGAATAAAAACTTAATAAGCTCATCCGTCGCCGAGAGAGGCTTTGATTTAGCAGCAGCTCATTGATAAATACAAGCTATATGTCTTATCCTTGAATACTATTTAACGACTGCTCCTGAACCTTCTATAACGTATTTGTATAGGCTATAATACTGTAAAACTCTTAAACTTCAGAGAAAGCGCCATTTTTATAGAGTCCCAAAGCGAGGTCCAAATGATATTAAGTTGATTGATAAAATGCGAGGCCAAGTAGTTGATTGAGAATTGAGTTTATTTTCCCAAGTGTGAAAAAAAGGTGACCGTACTTGGGCACTGAGAGCGAAAATTGATAAATCGAACAAAAAACATGTGTTAAAGCCAAAAAAAAAAAAAAACTTGATCTTTAAATTATTGGATTGAACATTTGTAGATCGTTAATATGGCCTATAGTCGAAAAAAGCGTGGTGCCAACCGCAATAAGGTGAGAAACTCACGCATCGTAGATCGTCAAAAATAAAATAGGAAATAGTTATTCTGATCCTTACATTTCAAAGTCTGAAAATGGCAAACGATCTGATGACGCTAAAGGTTCCTATGCAGAAATTCAAAGAGACAACGCCAACTTCAAGAACTATTATCAAGTAAAGCTCAGAAAAATTAACAACCTTCCTGTTAACGTAGAAAGAGTATCAGCTATACTGAACAATTATGTTAATAGCAACAAAATATTCTATCACCTGAAGAGTTTGAAGAGTTCTACTCCCATATCAAAACCATTCTTCCCAGTACCTTCAGAATTACTGGTAGCAGAGCGTAAGTGTGTGTGTATGTAGGGCTCAAGGAGATGTCTCTGTTTCGTATACAATGCGTTAAGCTTGCTAAAATTTCACAAATTCTCGCTTCATTAGTGCTGCTATGGAGATCCTAAAAGTAGTGCAAGAAACGTACGTTCCCAGTATGCAAAATATTGTGATTGATGATGTTAAAATCGAACCACCAAAACCACTACCTTGGTATCCTGAAAACCTTGGTTGGCAAGTCAATGCACCCAGACTTGTTATCCGTAAATCACCTGAATTTCAAAAATTCCATCGATTTATTGTAGCAGAAACTGAAGCTGTAAGTTAAGGACTGCTTAAATCAACAGTTGGTCTATTTGTATACTTACAATATTTGTGTGTGTGTGTGATAAATTGATAGGGTAATATCAGTAGGCAAGAAGCAGTGAGTATGGTCCCACCTCTTTTGATGGATATTAAACCTCATCAATGGGTATTGGATATGTGTGCCGCACCTGGCTCCAAAACAGCGCAAATTATCGAAGCAGTGCACTCCAATGACAAGTTGAACGAAATGCCAAGTAAGCATGGAAGCTTAATTAACATTCATTAGAAAATACGAGAAAAAACTGATTTTTACTGATATATTCATTTGCTGATTCTAAATTATAGCTGGTTTGGTAGTTGCAAATGATGCTGACTATAAACGTAGCCATATGTTAGTTCATCAGTCAAAAAGATTGCAATCACCCTGCTTCATGGCCACCAATCATGATGGCGCTCATTTCCCCAACCTTCACGTTCCTATGGACGACAGTGAGATTAACACCAGAAACTGTCTACCTTGGCAGTTTGATCGTGTTCTTTGTGATGTTCCTTGCAGTGGAGATGGTACTATCCGTAAAAACGAAAAGATCTGGAGAGAGTGGTCTCCTGGCAACGCTTTACAACTTCATACTACCCAAGTGCAGATTTTTAGTCGTGGTTGTCAACTTGTAAAGATGGGCGGCCGTATTGTCTATTCCACCTGTTCATTCAATCCTATTGAGAATGAAGCTGTTGTTGCTGAAGTCCTTCGTCAAACTAAGGGAGCTATTCGCTTAGTGGATGTCTCAAGTTCCTTACCAGAACTCAAGCGAAAGCCTGGTTTGCATACGTGGAAAGTCTCAACCAGAGATGGTAAACGCTTTATAAACTCTTTGGATGATCTTGATGAAAAACATCGTCGCAAATTCCCTACCACGGTATTCCCTCCTACAGCCGAAGAAGCGAAAGAGATGCATTTGGAGCGTTGTCTCCGTATCTATCCTCACCTACAGGATACAGGTGGATTTTTTGTAGCTGTTTTTGAAAAGGTGGGTCCTTTGACACCTGCAGATCGATTGAAGCTGGCCAGACAACTGGGTCAAGAAGTAACCGAAAAAGAGGTTAAAGAAGCTGAGAAAAAAGAACAGGAAGAAGAAGAAAAAACGGCCATGGATGATGATAATGTAGGTGAAGAAGTGACTCCTTCGAAACGTGGTAGTCAGAGCAGTGATACTGAAGACTTGCCATCTAAAAAGGCCAAGACGGATAGTACGAATGCACAAGAAGAAAAGGACGAAGAAGAGGATGATTTTGTTAAACCTTATGAAGGAAAACCCAAGAAGGATGTCCCTGGTATCAAAGAAGCACCTTTTGAACTCATGCATCCTGATTCGCCCGATTTTGACATTATTACTGACTTCTACGGTTTGGATGCTAAATTCCCTCGCGACCAGTTCCTTTTACGATCTGATAATAATGCTAAAGGCCGTAGTCTTTATTTCGTCTCTAGTGCTGTGAAGCGGGTCTTACAAGCTCAAGATTTCCCTCGTCTTCAAATTGTTAATACTGGTGTTCGTTTATTCGTTCGTCAATCTTCACCTAGCATGGATGAAGGCGGTGCTTGCCCTTTCCGTTTAACGTCTGAAGGACTTCCCATTCTCAATGATGTCTTGAGTGACAAACGTCGTATCATTATTGGTATGGATACTCTTAAAGTTCTGTTAGTAGAAGCCTTTCCTATCATCGACGAATTTCCTGAGCATGTACGCGCTGAATTGAATGCATTAACCATGGGTAGTTGTATTGCCCATATCGATCCTACCAAAGGAACAACAGCAGAAGAAAGTGAGAATCATCATTTCTCTGCACCTCTCATTTTACCTGTTTGGAAAGGAAGAAACTCCCTCAACGTTTTGCTTCATAAAATCGATAAAAGAGCATTATGTCAGCGTATCTTTGGCATCATACCCGGATCCACACCTCAACATCTTATAGAAAGATCTTCTGAAAATCAAGCACTCCGTGATGAACGCGATGCTGCAGCTGCTGCAGCTACTGCTGTTACAACAGTAAGCGAAGAAAAGCAACAATAAAAGTGTAATTGCGTTCTAATATTACGATCTAAATTTTGGGCCAAATTCTGTGATACATTCATCCATTTTATTCATCCTTCTTGATAATCCGTAATCATTTTATTTCTTAACATGTTATCCATGAGCAATTTGATTAAATGCAATACAAAACTGTACGAAACGAAAACAGCCTTTCTTTCCCTGCATATGGTTGTAAGAGGAACTTACGTTACAATATATTACAGTCCAGCAAATGGTATCAATGCTTTTTTACTTCAGTTTATTTATATCAACACAGGAAATATTTTCCACTACACAACAAGCACAACGGGCAAGACATTGTAATGATCAGATACATAGTTGCAATATCAAATCAGTCTTGATAATGAATTTCTGATCTAAATTATACTATACCTCAATAAAGATACTTCAGTCTTTGGCACATAAATTATGTCTAATTGATGTCTATCTGATTGTTTGTTCTGATTGATAAGAGTCGTCTGAAGTACGGTTATTTAAGCGAATAATATGATTGAAGATAGTTAGCGAAGATTAAAATAATAAGGTAGTACTCGATGATGATAGTATAATAAACTTCATTGTTAGAGTCACTACTTGATAATGCAGCATTTTCACAACTCTTACTTTATATGAGTACAAATCAGACCATATCTTCGATATAAAGCATGCCATTATAATCAAAGAAATAACGCATTCTTACTGGCTTCAATTTTCAGGAACGAAAAAAACAAACCAGGAAACGACAATGAAAAAACAAGAGAGCCCCTGAAATCCTTTCATCAATGTTACCGTTCCATCTTAGTGCTTTACACCTACTTTCTGTTTATTCTGCACTGCTTCCGCTTCCGCTATTTTATTGTCAAATGCCACCTATACCCTCCTCCTCCCCTTAAGCTGATATAATACAAGGCGCGTTTGGCTAATAATTTTCAACTAGCTGTATCGGTTAAAAACCTAATGATGAAGTAAAAGTTTGTATAAGATCGCCGTTCGTTAAACCTTCGTTATTATACACTTCTGCTTTTACCGTATTTCTTTGAAGCGTCTCGCTTTGTCCGTTTATTAGCAGCGAACATCTCGTCTAATCTTTCTTGATTGTTCACGGCATGTGCTGCTAAAGCCATAATATTGTTTTTCTTTGACTGAAGCTTACTTACACTCATCTATTTAAACAATTGTGTCAAATCAGAACGCTCACTTGACACAAAAAAAAAAGAAAAGAAACCACAATTATGGAGACTTACAGCAGGGCCGGTGTGGAATTTGGGAGCTTGGGTAAGAGTCTGGGCGGCTCTCCATTCTTCAGAAGGTAAAATATCTTGTTGATTGATGGTTTTAAACTGAATATTGCTTTCCCCTTTCGCTTTCCTGCCTAGTAATCTCTCCAACTATTATAAATATTGCATTAGAATACCATCCTGAATTGAAGGGCGAGTAAGGACAAAATCTTGGCTTACATCAATATCATTGCCATTATTGGGATCCCCTTCATACCCTTCTTGCTGTTGGTATTGATAATATACGTTTGGATCGGCAGAATACATGGCATTTGGATCATAAGCATATGCATCTGCCGCTGTTATCACTGGCTCATTATATTGCTCAATTTGGTCTTCGCTCGGTTTCTGAACAGTGATTGTTGGTTCTAGTGTTGGCATTTTTGGCTTGGTTGATTTTACCATCAAAGGTTCTTTCTCTTTTAGCTCTTTGCCCACTTTAAAAAAGGACCCTGTGAAACCAGTAACAGCTGTGGTATCTTCCGTTTCTGCATCATTTTGTTTTTCTTCCTCAACTGCTGTTCTTTCAACAGGTTCTACTGTAGCTTCGCTATAGTTGTGCTTTGTTGCTAAATTATCGTTTTCATTATCTTTTGCTATAGCTTTGCCTTTCTCTCTCATTTTTTTGGCCAAGGCGTATGGTACAAATGCTTCATCCGTCGTTGTTTTTGTAACAGGAACAATATGAGTACTATTTTTGGTCAGTGGCGTATTCTTTGGTTTGGGCAAGAGGTCTGCTAGGCTTAGACCAGTTGTTATCTTTGTCCGTTTTACTTTCGGCTCATCTTCGTCGGCATGATCGTTGGTTAATTTAGGAAGATCAACATAAACTGTCTTTTTCTTTGTCGGCGGTGGCAAGAGACTGGACAAACTTCTTTTTGTTGCTGTAGAGCTGGAGGATATAGTAGTGGAAATCGTTGTTGTCTGAGATGTTGATTCAGCATCAGAAGACTCAGAATCAGAACTGCTGTCGTAATTTACTAGAGACATAACGTAGCGTAAGTCTTTTGCTGTCCAGTTGTTTAAAAGGTGATATTAAAGGTAATTATGCAAATCAAGAAAAAAAAAAATTCCCCAAAACGGTCCTAGAACCCCTTCAAAATACAGATTTAGACGAAGAATTTTATTGCATCCAGTTATATCGCAGCTTTGCTCTTTTTTCATCAGCTGCTCTGCGACGCTGTATCGCTAACTTCCGTACTAGCCTCCTTCACATATGGAACAGCCCCAACTCTAAACTGATCTCTCAATGCCGTTCTCGATTAGATTACCGACCCGATCCTTTCAACTAATGAACGCAGCCGATGTATCCGATGGCGTTTGGGTTGGCTTCCTGGAGGCTATCAAACCTATTGCCTTAAACATCCTTCGTCATTACTTACAAAGTCCCACGCTATCTCCTGTTTAAACATGCACCACCGCCTACGATTTCCCCCCCATCAGTCTGTGATCCCATATCTTATGTCCTCAACCGTCTTCCTACATATGCGATCAAAACATATCCGATCAAAAACCCATCCCAAATACAAAACTGGCATTTTCTATGGCCAGCACTTTGTCACATCTTGTTTGAACTCGACTACTTACACCACTCTCGAGAGCCGCCTACAACTCCTCGGTTAGTGCACCTATTGCTCGACTGGTTACCCTCTTCCCCTCCCCCAACCCTTTAGTCCATAATCCTTTTTACCCTTAGCCCTAAGGAGTTTTTAGATACTACTCAGCCTTTGGAGCTGCCCCGGGCAATTTAGATAAGTTTAATATCTCGCGTCCATTGGGCTTTGAAAATTAATATTATGTAATACAAGCTACTTCAAAAAGTAAACTGTAACCAAATGGCTAGCAAAAAAATCAAATTTATTTCAATGTTAAAAAGTAAACTGTAACCAAATCACAACAAAGTCTTTTGTTTAAATAATATCTGCTTATTTTTTTATAAACTATTTCAAAATCTGTATAATAATCGGAACCTACTTTTACATACCAACAGTCATTACCGTTTGGTTGACTAGAATTATATACTTTATATCCGCCCATTGATAATTTGAAAGATGTTTTATCCTCATTCCATATTATTTTAAAGTTACCAGATGCTGGATAAAAAGCCAAATGTTTATGTGTATTATTCCAGTCTAACCAAGCGCCTCCCCAATGTCTTCTTATTCTAACAACATCATCATTATCTTCAAATATATCAAATCTGCAATTTGTGTTATTTCCTCTACATAACCAATAGAAATCTCCAGCACTGTTTCCTTCTGAACTAGAAAACCAATAGTTATCTTGACCAACAGCTTTGATAAGAACATTTTCATAAGTAGGTTTCGACATTTTATAATATATTTCAGTTTTTTAAATTAAAAGTATGTATTAATTAAAAACCTCTTGTATAATATTTTCAATTTATTTATTTAAGCATAATTACTATGTGATGGCTTCGTAGCTGCATGACATTTGCATCACGGGGGTTTTGAAACAAGACTTGAAAACAAACATTTTATACAGCTGATAAAAAATGAAACGCATTTCCGCACACTCCACCCTTCTCGCGGCACCGCTGCATCTCGCTGGAGTAAGGCTGCATCGCTTGGAGAATTACAAGAAGCTGGTGTTGTCATATGGACTATTCCGGGTTCTTATGCTTAAAGTTGTAATAGTTGCGTTAAAGAAAAGAATCTCATATAATGGATTGCATAATCTACCACATAACCCCTCCCATATAATTTCACATAACCCACCACATATTTTATGTGGGGTTCTGTAGTGGATTATGTGGGTTATGTGGTGGGTTTCTGTGGTGGGTTTACGTGGGTGGATTATGTGAATTTTCCATCTTATGATGATGTCCCTATTTTACATGTATACAACGCGAACACATGTAACATAAACAAAGGAAACGGTATAGATTCCTGCTATATATCTACTCGTTTTTTTTTTTTTTTTTTTTCTTTCCTCACTGTATCCGGTGTATCTGGTGTCTGTTGTCTTTTTTTCCCTTTTTTTGGTTCGTTATAAGTCATACCATGACAAACCGGGATGAAAATGAGAGTAACTAGACACTTCGGATCTAAATCTCTTTTTTTTTATAATCGCGAGCCTTATTTAGTAGTGATTGATGCTCTTCTTTTGTAGCATTTCCATACCTCCTATAATATATAAAGACGAATTAAACACACCTTCAAACATTTGACACGTTATTATGGTCATAAGAATCACGATAACACTTGTAACGCGTCATCTTGTATTTCTAATTATGCGTATATTATAATGCTACAATATTACTGGCTGAGAATTATTAATTTTGCAAACATTCAGTTTGCCGTGATTTTCAGTGTATAATAAAAGGACTAAAGGAGACTCATTTCACCTTACAGTTTATATCAATTATAAGTCACGTTCACAACTAAAAATAACCTCAAATATCAAACTACCCCATTAATTTCAACTTTTGCAATGAAAATAAAATTTGTCTGTTACAAGGCAGTGATAATGTATCAGAAACTTATTTGAAAAGATCCACCAAAACGTACAGACTGCCTAACATGAAAACTTATTTATCTTTTTCTGCTGCTGAACTGCTTCAAAAATCTAGACACGGACACAAAAAATGACAAATACAATTAAAACAGTTTTCATTTAGCCAAGCATGATAACGACAAAATAAAAAGGTACTCTTTTATTATCTAAAAAAATATATAAAAAAAATTTGTATGACAGATTGGCTCATCCTTACAACTATAAGCATAAAGACTCAACAGGCGGCACCACGTGTAGGTTGTCAAATAGCCACCCTCGCACCCGGACGCCGCCGCCCCAGTTTACATGGGGGATCGCAATAGGTGGGTTAAGTGCTTTCACAAACACAATATCCAAAAGACCGGGACCGGAACGCTACCGCCCCAGTTTACATGCGAGGTTGGAGGTGGATTAAGGTTCTTTACTGGGCGAGAAAACTTCTAAAAGACCCACTTCCCTATAAAAAAAAAAAGCAACCAACTTACAACAAGAAACTGAACCCACCGTATTACTCTAGCCATTATAAAAAGAAGGATATCTCCGTAAACCAGACTTATTTGAATGGATATGTGAAAGAGTAATAAGAGAAATTTTGTATGAGACTTGATGTTACCTGCCCTATTGAATAGATATAGATAGGCCGCGGAAGAATGCATTTTTGCCTAGTTTGTATGTACCTGAATATTATGGTTGCTATCTCACCAAACTTGTCATGCATGATTTTGTCTCTTAACCAACAAAAAGGAATTATTTAAACACGGGAATTGGATAAGGAGAGAGTGCATGCTTTGTAATGCATAGTGTAAATTCTATAACAAATAAGCGAGACAGAATTCTAACAGAAATGATTTTTTCTTTATTTTTGATAACTGTCGTGATGGAGATGATTTCTTCAAATTTACAGTTTTTAATTTAATCTGTTTATAGAAGATTTTGAATCAAATACTCATATTTATTCCTTACAATTCTTCTTTTGTAAGTGCACAAACTCAAGATCATTATCTCTATAGTGTACATCTTAGTGCTACATGCTTTGTCATAAAGCGAAAAGTGGTGAAGTCGATTTTTAGCATTAAGCTTTTTTAAGGAACTCCGTTTTTTTTTCGGTTTTTTTTTTTCCTTGCTTTTTGCAGCGCTGTCTATTTCAGGTAAAAGGTACACAACAATTCTATTTATTTTAGAACCTGTATGAAGGATAATAAAGGCTTGAAAAACATTTTTAATTTCTTCATCTCTTATTCCTGATATTATCAATTAGCAAAATTCACATACATTATACGTACATTTTTGTCTACATATATATTCCTATCATTTCATTAAGTATACCTTCGATAACATATTACCATGTTAGATCAACTATATCAGCTTTTCTGCGTACCAAAACCGCCTTCTCTATCCATTTCTGATCTAAAATGCAACAACTTCAATCAATTCATCGATAAGACCATGATGTCATCACTGACCATTGACGAAAGCCAAAGCTTGCAAAAAAGTGCCACAGACGAATTATCGAAGCTGATAGCTAAAAAAAGCAACAGCCCCAGCAATACAAAGCGCATGATTAATGACATGTTCAAAAGTGCAGCAAAGGCTTGCCGTATGGATCGTGAACGCGCTCTAATCCATTGGTTAGAAATCTGCGTTTTTACAGCACTTGATCTCCAGGATACAACAGGTAATAGTGGTAATAATAAATTCTATACAGAGAAAACTGCTCCTACAATTGAGGTAGTTTCTACCTCGACTGAAAAGAAGAGGTCTACTGCACCACAACAACAACAGAAAAAAAATAACCGTAATACGGACAATAAGAAAAAGACAGCTAATGAAGAGAAGAAAACTAGACAGAAATATGAATCTGAAACGGATGTTTCATGGGAAGAGGATGATGGAGAAAGATATGAACTTATCGGCGCTTCAGATGACGACTATATACCTTCAGATGATGAGGCAGTTGTTCCAAAGAGGACAAGGCCCGTTAGAAAAACAGCTGTGGTTGCTAATGGCGGTAGCCCTGATGCGGCGAAGAAAAAAGTGCAACGGAGAAAAAAGAAAAATGAAGGGCAAGTCGACCCTCCTTCGCCTTCATCAAAGTTAGGAAAGGTAGCAGAAGCAACTTTACCTGTGCTTAAAGAAGGTGCTGGATCTAAAGCTGTTGTCAAATATTTTAACCAAATTGATGCTCCAGTTGCGTCTAAATCGACCGCTTTGTTAAATGGATATTTCGCTAGAGCCTTCTTCTTCCCATCCTCTGACAGTTTCAATGTAAGTTGGTCATCCAATGCAAAGGTTGTGGGTAAAAGAATTCATTGAAAAAGAAGTTAACTTTGTGACAATAATCGCCCACAATTGCTATAGGCTTTTATTTCAGTCTTGAATTCAGCAACAAAGACGATCGATATATGCGTATTCGCTTTTACAGATGATGATGTAGCTGACGCATTGATAGCTGCCAAGAAACGTAACGTAGCCATCCGAATTATTACAGATAACCAGCAAGCAGCGGGTAAAGGTGCTGATGCTAAAAGACTATCAGAATCTTACGGTATACCATTTAAAACAGATAACACGTAAGTAGCCCAAAGCCCAAAGTAGTAGAGAGCGTAAAGATTTGCTTAAAGCTTTTCTTTCAAATTTGTTCCCGGCTGTACTGTAGAACGGGTTATATGCACAATAAATTCGCTATTGTTGATAGTGCAACCTTAATCAATGGCAGTTTTAACTGGTCTAAGGGGTAAGAACCAATTTACCGTAACAGCTAAAACTATCACATTAAACTGATATCCTTTTTTAGTGCTCGGTTTAAAAACAGGGAAAATATTATGGTTACCAATATACCACTCTGTATCAAGGAATTCCAAGCTCAGTTTGATGCTCTGTGGACAGAATTTTAGTCCTTGCACAGTTGCTTTTTCAACATTTGATATATACTGATCTATGATATCTGTTACTATCTCCCACCGAATATTGGTATCTAATGATATTTATAGCTCAGAAGCTTTATATTCGTAATATTCAATAAATTTTAATGAAACAAACTTCCTGATGTTTGCCAATACTGTGGTAAGTTAACTACATATTCGTCTTATGATTATTTTTATTGTATTAGCTGCTAAATAAATGATGATATTTGCTTAGTTAGAGCAGTAGGTTTTTGTTTATGTAAGCGTACAATAGATAATGGTGAAAAGCATAAATAAGAGTGCCGAAGTCCAATTAGCCATACAATTCCTTGACTGACCACTTCTATTGTTGTTGTTATGTGCTGCAAAAATAGAACCTTCACCAACACCTGACGGGCGTGCTTTATTAGCGTTGCTGGATGTTGACGCAGACGGAGCGTAGGGGCGAATGACAATTGGAATCGATGTGTTGGTTTTTGAAATAGAGTCACTGAACACGACAAAATAGTTTCCAGGTAATGTCGTGTTTGGAATTGAGAACTAAGTAGAAGAGGGGAAAGGTAGAGTATGATGTGTTATTATAAAGCTATTATTTCGATAGATAGCTGCCTTACGCTCAATTGATGTTCGTAATATATGAATGTATTGAGAGTCCTTTTAAAGCTAAAGCCCTGAGAGATATCTGCATTTGGTGTAATAACAATGTCGGTGAAATTGAGATTGGGGTCCTGTGTCGTAAGCGAGATGGATAAGGATAAGCCTGAAAAATGAGTCTGTGAGTATCAATGAAAGAACATGCTTCATCAATTGTTTATTTCATGCTATCAAGCTGAAATAATTATAGTTACGCTTGGGTAAATCAGCATCATCAGGTAAAGTGTAAGCAATCGGCAACATTTGTCCAGCAACGTACGGAGCATTAGGCACAGGAAGTGTCACATTATAGGTATGCGAGGGCGAGACTACTTCTGTAGAAACGATTTGTGCAAATAAGATTGAACAATAGGCAAGGAAAGTGATTATCATGTTGCTTTTTCAATTACGAGAAGAAGAACAAGAGAGAAAATGCCTGTTGTCTTCAAATATATTTATACTTTTTGTGTTTATCGTGCAACTGTTTATTATGCATGGCTTGTTACCCACTCAAACTCATATAATGTGCATGCAGATGCGGCTCTATATCAACAATATATGAGTTGTAAACACAAAAAAATAAAGGCTGTAAACACAAACAGATGTTTATCTCCCCACATAAATGAATTTAAGCATTGGTCATACATTTGAAATTTGCTATGTTCACAATTTCCTTCGATCATCTCATTGTCAAGCGTTTACATTCTCGTTTACATCATTAACAGTAACTAGGGAACATTAAATAGATCCATGAAAGGATAACTATGAGAAAAGATGCCAGACGCAGATTGTGCGTAAATTGAACTGCTTGGTGTAACAAAAACATGACAAAGAAGCAATACACAGAAAAATACACGAACTTGTTACAATGTAGATCCTCCTGTTATTTGCTTGAGCGCGAAGGATCATTGTCAATTTCCTTCTCAGCGCAAGTTGGAAGAAAAAAACAGAGTGCGGCCTCATTTAGATCATGCTTAGGAAGCATTATTCATAGAATGCTTTGATGAGAATGCCTTAAATAGTTTTAGAAGCAGACTATCAAAAAAAGTGAGAGGGATGAACGAACAAAAAATATGTCATTATTTTTCCTTTATAATTATATTTTGCATGTGTGATCTTCTTCTCTTTAAATGAATGAGATGTCACTTTATGGACGACCCTAGCCATTAGTGGTAACGATGTCAATAATCTGTTGGAAATTCCTCAATCTCGCTTATGGCCGCAAGTATACTCGACGTTGCTCGATGATAGGATGCTATTGTGCTTGCTTCTTGCAGTCTGCCACAAAGGTAAAGAAGTAAGAGTAGGATTAATGCTACTGCCACCATTTTATTACGGGTTTTTCGCTAGCTGATGCTGATATTGTAGCAATAGAGGTTGCTGTCGTATTTGTGATCCAAGGATTTAGTCCGAACATTGACGTATGAGAGCCCTTGTTCTCAGCGGTTTTTGTAGCTGCTGTTAAGAATGAGGTTCCTACGACACTATTATTATTATTTTTCAGCAAGGATTTTAACTTTGCTTTCCCGATTCCCGCGAGGATGTATATGACCCCACCAACAAATATACCAATGAAAATCATTAATATTACAATGAATTGTTTCTTCCTACGGACGTTATTGCCAGTCAACCACAGTTTCCTGGTCCTTTTTTCCTTTTGTTCATTAGTTCTCTCTCTTTCTCGGCAGTAACACTGTAATATCTTGTAATATCTTTCTTCCCCGGTCTGCAGCTCTGGGCCCATACAGCGGTTAGACGTCAGTCTATCTGTTGTCCTTCTTGGAGAAAAACACGCTTTCCAGCCAACAAATCTATTGTTACTATTGTTATAATCACGGCAATCATAGTTGATTGCATTGATGTTGTCATTGCAATATTCACTACCATTTTCTTCAATTATCAGTGTCTGTTTATTGGATTCTTGTTCTTTATTCTCTAGATTATCGTCCGCAACCAACATTAAGGCAGAGGATGTGCTTACATCATCAACTCGCTGATCGGTCTTTTGTTGATAATTGCTGGCTTCGTTTGCTTGTTCATGATTTGCGTTCAATGTCTTCTTCTGATATCGTTCCTGCCAATCCTTATTTTTCTCAACAAAGTATGTATGATATTCAGTCGGACTGAGACTACTATTGCTTCTTGTCTTAGAAGGTGATATAGATGGGGTGCTTGAAAGAATTGTTACACTATTATCAATAGCAATACCAGTATCTTCATATGGATTATCATTATTCTCTTCGAGCTTGCTGTTGATAACTATGGTTGGTTCAAAGAAAACTGTCATATCGAAGGACATCTAACTTATAATTACACTTGATGTTTGCAAAACTATGTTGCAAATTTGTACGCTAAGGCTAAAAAACACAAACTAGAAGCAAAGAAGCGAAGAGAAATGTTTTAAGCCTTATTGAACATGTCTTTATTTGGTGAGTCAATAGTATATATGAACTATGCGTAAAGTATATAATCGATCATTCTTTTTCAATGTAGTACTGACTCTTTCGAATTATATTTTCTGAAACCTAATAGACCGTCAAGTTGAGCAGTGAACGATCTCATCATACATCTTCATTATGTTATCACATTATATCTGCAAGGGAAAACATATGATGTCTGTGAAAAAGAAGACATCACTACCCGGTTAAAGCATTTATTTGATTTGAAGCATCTACCGCAAATCATACAATCTGCAGAAACGGAAATCTAGAACCGGTAAACGGTATTGCAAAAGGAATTTGCTGCATATCAGTTGATGATTAATTTCGGTACAAAAAAGAGAGAAATCGTTTTAAATTTTTCCAAGTTCTCAATTAGCATATAATGATGGCTGATAGAATTTATTTGATATATCATACAATATAATATTCGGTTGTAATGGATAAGCTTGTTATTCTAATCTAATTCCACGGATTTTCTACCACTGCTTCGCCCATCCAATCTAAATAGGTATTACGATTATTATGACTGATAGTGGTAAGGCTGTTGTTATTGGTGTTACTTATAATGGGTATATTTGTCATTGAACCAGTATGCATATCATCTTCAATACCAGCAAATGCGATATCTTTACGTTCTTCAGCTACACGAGCAAGGAATGTTTCTTCTTCCTCGGCAGTATCATGTATTATGCTTGAAGCAGTAGTAGTAGGTTTGGCGGTAGTACAAGAGAATGGTGTACCACCGCTCACATTATGACTACTGTTCCAACTTTGAATTAAATCAGCAAAAGCTGTTCGTTTTTCTGGTTCAATGTCTTGCTCTTGTACTATTAAAGGAGAGCTCTGAGAAGGTTCTACTTGTAATGCGAAACTTGGTTTTCTGACAGAAGGATCTAACCATGGATCATCTACATGAGTAGGCGGCGATATAGAATAAGTTGCTGTTGTAGGTGTACTTAATGACATTGACATGAGAGGAGGTGAGGGTTCCATAAAGTCCTCGACACCCAAATCTCCAGCCGTACTATATATACTGCTAAATATAGTATCATCGTTGTCATTGATAGTTAACCCTTCCATCAATTCAGGTGTGAAAAAATCAGCCTTTGAAAGAATCGGCTGTGTCTTTCGAGATGTCTCTGCTGAAATAAATCTGCTTAGATCATTAGCAAACGCCCTTGTTGCTTCATCCTCTATAAATTGGACATTATCTCCAAACGAACTGCTGGTCTCATCACCATATTCCTCCTCAACATTACCATTAATTTGTTCGTGTGAATGCTGTACTGATTCGCTTCCATGATGAAATTGTTTTGCTTTTTCCTTCATTCTTTGATATTTTTCGAATAAAGAAGCTTTTTTCCGTAATTGTCCTCCATCTTCGCTCTTTTCCTCATTTTCGTCTGTTTGTTGTGAAAATTGTTGCCCTAATTGTTGACCAGATGGCGATAGAGGTGCTGTTGGTGATGGCTGAGCAGAGAAACTCGCCTCGCGAGTTGTTTGTTCATCACTGTTTTTCATATCGTCTTTGGATGCCTTGCTTTTAACAATAGTGGATACAGTAGAAGATGAAGATAGCGAAGAAGATTTGGAAGAGTGAAGATGGCGATTTGATTTGAAAAATCCAAAGAATGATGATGAATTGGAAGAGGTAGGTTGCTTTTCATTGTCCTTCTTATTGTTGGTCTGTTCCTCGTTTTTTGGTGCAGCAGGTAATCGTTGTTCAGCCTGCACAGCTTCGGCCTTGCTATTTAATGGCTGTTGTCGTTGTGACGGCAAGTTAATCTTTTTAACGTTATCGTCGCTTATATTTGCTTGTTGTGATTGTTGCGGTTCGATGCGAGTAGGTGGAGTGGGAGGCGATAATGCCGAGAGTTTTGACGACGGCACTGGAGGTGTTGAGGGAAATTGCTGTTGTTGCTCTTTCGCCATTTTGTAACGGCTGCTACTGCTGCGACTACCTCCGAATAAAGAATCTTCATCATCCTCTTGCGAATTCGATTTGAGTGTAGCAGAGGATCGTTTAGACGGTGATAGTGGTCGGCTATTAACATTACGGTTAGGACTGACTCTTTTTTGGCTCAACTTGGATACATCAATATCTCCAAAGAGACTCGAACTGCTGCTTTTGAGTTGGCTGTTGGGTCGGATGCTGTCGCTACTGCTTATACGAGAAGTATGGTTCAATATGGGGGTGCTGCTACTTGTATCATTACTGTTAAAGTTCCCAGACAGTAAAGGGTCATTGGTGACAGGTGAGCTAGTTCTTGCGCTATGACTGGAAAATTTGCTTGCAGTTGTTCTTTGCTTTGATGGAGTAAATAATGGATCATCTGTAGCAGTGGAGCTGTCAGTGACTGAGGTAGCATTTAACGGATCTACTTGTTAAATTTGAAAGTGTTAGAGATTGTGTTAGAAATCAGCTCACTTATCAAGTCATCTATTTTCTCTGCATACTTCACCATCACCGAATAAATGGCCATGTTTGGCTCTTTGTTTTGACTTAAAAGACATTCAAGTAATTATACACAATATTCTGTTAGGGAATTGAAATAGCTGAAGAGACGTTACAATATGAGGTAAGAGAAACGGGAATTAAATGCTGTTCAGCTGATAAACAAAGAATTAAATTTGTCGAAGACCTTCGGTAGACTTTATTAAAACACTTTGGACTTCCCTTATTGGACTGCCAGCTTCAATTGTGCTCGTATAAATATAGGTCATCCGCTTTAATAAAGATCAAGCAAACAGGGTTTTGTTCAAATGAGATCAATAATCTTGAGGCAAACCAGCTTATATCTCAGAAGATTCTTCTTTCAAACAACTTTTATCTATAAATCCCGCTGGTAGTAACGGTCTTCAATACGACAAAGTAAGTATAAATCCTGTTATGTTGTGGAGTACTAACTGAGCAACTTTCGTTTTCAACGGCAATTTGTTCAGCAATATGGTAGACATTTTTCAGCAACATTTATATCACACTGTTATAAATATACTTGCAGTCAAAGTTACAGTGTTTTATGGTCGATGAATGCTTCAGTAAGGCTTCTTTAGAGGAGTCGTGACAGATTACATAGAATATGTTAAATTAAGTTGAATGCATTACAATGATTGGCATATACTAGCGTACTGTACCTGTGGTGAGTGATATCATTAACATACGCAACTAAAAATATCCCACATTCTGCCGCTGCTAAAAGGTTCAATAGGATGATGACCTATGGTTCGAACCGTACCTTTATTAGCCGTCTCTTTCTAAATGCCATAACCGACAACTTTGTCCGATAATGGTCAAGGAGGTACGTTTTATTTCGAAGACTTACAAACAACTTGATGATAATCGCTTCTCTTTGACTTTCGATAATGTGAAGTACTATCTTTTTCGTCTGTTTGACCCTCATTTGTCTAGTCTTCTTCCTTTTACTACTTATCCCGCTGTTAGCAGTACATTTAGAATTTCCTGATGAGTGTGATGCATTCCTTTATTAAACAAAATGGTGTAGAGCTTATACTGTAGACGCTTTGCATAGCAGCCAGACATTGAAACGTATAAAAAGCAGAAACAGAGTTTCTGGTTCTGCTCTCCGTTTTATATGAGGGTTTCCAATAATATCTGAATACTAAAAGCCTACTAATTTGGATCGAAAGTTGACTGGTGCAGCCAACACTTCTAATATCTCACTGAGATAACCAACTTATACAGTCCCTACAATATCAGATTCGAGGCTCAGAATGTAAACTTGAAAAGGTTTGTTTCAACCATGGTACAGAAATATATCATACATTTCTCTGCATATAGTGTCGGTGCCTTTGAAATATTTGCACTTATGTGTGGCTGTGGTAATCTACAGCTTGATCTTATTGACAAATATGTTGTTTATTATTGTTGCCTTGTGTCTTATGTAAACAAATTTTCGGCCCATATTGACCTATCAATATCTCGTATCGTTGTCCTTACTGGAATAGAGCAGGTAAAAATAAATTTCTAAACTGAAAGCAAATGTAAAACACGCGCGAACCAAAGAGTTTGTGTATTATTTAAGTATAAATGGATGAAGAAGGCTTTTCATTTTCAAAGAAGTTTGGCTGAAAAAGCTTCAACTTTCAAGGCAGGAAAAGGATCCATCCAATTTCTGAATTTTTTGGGTTTTCAGCGCCCCACACTGAGAGGTTGAACCTGACTTCAAGCCAATCAACTTTAAATCATGCACTTTAAGCTTAGGCTTCATGAATGATTGGTGGTCATTCCACGTGAAGCGATTTTTTGCATTGCATATAATCGAATACTGATTCTCTTTTCGCTAACTCTCCTTTCAAGACAACAGCTAATGTCGACTTATAATTACATCATTAAAGTAAATGTCAATGGTTTACGATACAAAACGATCTTATGCCATTCATCTTTCTTAACTCTGATTCTCTTTTTCTTTTGCTTTCTTCCAAAGTATATTATAGTTGGAGATTCGGGTAAAATTGATACTATTCAGTAACTTAACGTATAGTGCAATACTCACAGTACCCTGACGATTGTTTTTTTTTGCTTTGACTTTGTATTAGGTGTTGGGAAGGTTTGTATATCTTGATAAATTACACTCTATTTTTGTAATACCATATCAGCTTAACATTAAGACTTTTTGTTCAGTCCTGTCTCCTGTTACAATTTACAGATAAACGATTTTACGCAGGCCGTGAGTTAACCATAGGGTAAGAAGGACATACAGGGATGAAAGGGTTCTTTCTAGAGTAAGACAGCAAAAATTATTAATACGCTCGCAGGGTTGAGTTTGGTACTCGATTTATATCTCTGAAAGATGGAAAACAGATCAAACTGCAAATTTGGGATACCGTAAGAAAGGCTTTTTTGTTCACTATGAACGAACAGTATTAATTTACTCATATTGTACGACGTGGTCTAAAGGCTGGACAAGAGAGTTTTCGAAGTATAACACAAAGTTACTATAGAGGAGCCGCAGGCGCATTGCTAGGTATTATTATACATTCTTTCAAGTTATTGTATATTGAACTGCTCACCAAAACCTTCTCCTATCAAATAGTATATGATATCTCCAGGAGAGAGACCTTTGAGCACGTTTCAACATGGTTATCAGGTATATTAAATTGATATATGGATAAATCAGCTGTGCAAATGAATCAGCTAAAACAAATGTACAAAAAAACCAGATGTTAGAAGACATGCCAATCCTAATACAACAATAGTTTTGGTTGGGAATAAGTGTGATTTGGATGAACGACGAAGACAAGTGACGAGAGAAGAAGGAGAGAAATTTGCTAAAGACAATGATATACCACTGTTTATTGAAACCTCTGCAAAGTCGTCTGAAAATGTAGAAGAGGTGTTCTCTATAACAGCAGAGGATGTCTATGATAAGATAAAGTCTGGTGTGTTTTCACCAAATGAAACGTCTGGCATACGCTTGGGACATTCACAAAGCACTATAGCTGAAGAAACACAGACTAGCGGTTGTTGTTAATTTATTATATTAGCCTTACATAGTATTTTTGCAATGTACTATTAATTTTTCCATATTATAACCATAACCGATACACAATAAAGATTTAAGGAACTTTATGGGAAGAGTATATTAAATTTAAGCAGTGGCAATATACTTTACGAAAAGGAATGTAACCGCTGATCAGTTAATAAAGCCAAGAGAGAATTTTGTCATAAGGGGTATCTAAGCTGTTTAGGAGCAATCACAATATGCCAATGTCTATACAGCGTGCAGGAAAAAGGAACAAAAGTTATCGAATGGAATTGTGCTACTAGTCTTCGTCCATACTAGAAGAGCTATCAAACGATTCTAATTGCTGTTTTTGTTTTTTGCACTTTTTCAGCTGTGCTAATACTTCAATAACAAAGAAGGATAGATTTCTGTTATGCCTGTACTTATTTTTAGCCCGTTTCATTAAGGATTCCGCAATCGAAAATTGATTGACACCTGTCAACTAATGTAATAAAATATTATGTTAAACGGCACTCTTATATACTTCTAGATTTGCTAAGTGAGTTTACATGAGCATCTTGTATTTGATCGTTTTCCAGTTTTATAGTTAAAACTGCTCCCTTCGCTAATGAGTCCATGACAGTAACCTTTATAAGATCTGCAGCCCCAACTTCAACTTCAACCTTATGTACACCCAAGATTTTCCCAACTTCTCGTAATGATTCCTCATATCTGTTTTAAATGTGTATGTAGGTGGTTATGAAAAATTAGTAAGTGTTGAAGAGAAGCAAGGTATGCGCATGTGCGTAAAAAGTGAGTTTACATGGTATATCTTTCTTCAATAGACTTATCCCTTCCCAGGTTATCCTTGGTTGCTGATATAGCTTTCACTCTTAATTGACGAACCTCATCTTTCAAAGTTTCCACCTCGTCTTCCAAATCTTCGAGATTCAACTGGTTATTAGCAATTATATCTTTTTTATTTGCCAATGCTTTTGATAATTCTGTAATTTGCATTTGCTGCTCATAAAGCTTCTGCTTGGCTTTATCTATGGTCATACCATCCTCAATATTGAAGGATTTCGCTTTTGTATTTATTGAATCGATTTCTGTTCTGATTTTATTCATATCTTCATAAGTTGCAAGCAAACCGGGTAATTTCTGATCTATCTGTTGCTTCACTAACAAAAAATGAAATAAGGCGTGATGAGTGACAATTGGGCAAGCGAAGGATGAATTGTAATTACGCTACGTTCAACAATATTATCTGTAATTTTCGTAAATCGTTGCTGTAACGTTTTAATTTCTTCAACAAGGCTCGGCTGTTGTGCTTCTTGTGAAGTTTTTAAATGCTGATCTTCTGTAATATTATCTTCATTCTCTGCATTACCCTCTGAAGTAACCAATGCCGTTACAAGCTTCTCAATAGATAATACTTCGCAATAGTTTTTTCCGAGAATTTTATGATACTCCTGTTATTCAGTTTTAATTTCATGAGCATAATAACACAATTAGACAGTTTTCTCAACTTTCTTACCAACAGATCATTGAAGGAAGACGCTAGTTTGTCCGCATCTACTAAAAACTTGCTATGATTCTGCGAACCGTTGAGGAAAAATCTGAATGCTGTACGAGTCTGTTGATATTGCGTTTCTAGTCTAGTAATGGTATTAGAGATCAGAACGATGGGCTTTTTTTGATGCTGTCAAATGTTTATCTGAACTTTACTCGGTTATGCTCTGCAAGTTGAATGTTTCTGGAGAATTTTGCGACATGATTCAAGAGCGATTTGTTTGTTCTTTGTGAAAAAAGCTAAGAAAAAGGTTGCCAAAGCCAGTTATAAGGAAGAAGAGGGTCGAATAACCAGGCACGGCATTCAAAAAATTGTTAAATAGATTGCCATTGGAATTTGCTTACTATCAATTCAAAGTTCGTGTTCCTTTACAATTACAAATCTACTCTATAAAATGTTAAAGATAATTTATTATTGCAATTTTTTATTGCCCCCTTGTCTGCAAGAGGTACTTTTGTACATTCAAAATAATTGAGATGTTGCTGCTATAGCAAATAAAATTCTTTAATGTTTGTTGAGAGAGCAGTGTCGTATACAAATTAACTTCATTCAATTGACATCTCAACTGTTTATTAACTTGATAGGAAAAATCAATTTTTTTAAACGACGGTACCAGAAGCAGAGGCGATACGAGGCCACAAATCAGCACATTCCTTAGCAACGGGACCAGTGATGGCGGAACCCTTCATTTCACCCTTGGGGTTGACGATGACACCAGCGTTATCTTCGAAGTAAAGAAAAACACCATCTCTACGGCGCCATGCCTTACGTTGACGAACAACAACGGCGGCCATGACCTTCTTTCTTAATTCGGGCTTACCCTTCTTGACGGTAGCAACAACCATATCACCACAACCGGCAGCAGGAAGTCTGTTCAAGCGACCCTTAATGTTACGGACGGCGATAACATACAGGTTCTTAGCACCAGAGTTATCAGCGCAGTTCATGACAGCACCAACGGGAAGACCGAGGGTCATACGGAACTTTGTGCCGGAAACTTTAACTATAAAATAGATACACACATGTTAGTTCTGATTGCTTCTTCTAAAGTTCAAAAGACCAATCGAGCTTTTTTCTGACTAGGCGACATGTCGACATGATGACGCTGATGATGGCAATGAGGTGAACAGATTCGCCATAAATAACCCTTTGAAATTCTTCAATTCTTCCGCTCTATCCATTGAGAAGATCCATTTCCTTATTTCTATGCATTGCTTCGTCATCAACATCATGTTGCAGATTATTGACATTCTAATAATCTATCCACTTCGACAATTAATGCATCCAATACAATCCATCCATCCTAAATAGTGATCATCTTTCGTAATCATTGCCTATTGATGGTACATCATCCGACATGTCTTATTGCCTTCGACTGATGCTCTAGTTTGACGCCTACTACTTTACCCTTGGGCATTATGTAAAAATAATGAGGAGAGGAAGATCTATCCGTTTCGCTAATTCCCCTCCCATTTTTTGCTTCCCTCCTCTCCTTGATTTTTGGAATACAGTGTTTTAGCTTCAACTTTACATTTTATACAAATTTTATTGGACAATATAGATTTTTAATTTAGATAATTTTAAATTACTTTAGGATGAAATGGTATAATATTCTTGGACGATTCATTGAATACATAATTGGAGACATTATTTTGAATGTCAGTGGACATTTTTCAATTGATAGTGGCATTAAGTTAAAGTACTACGAGACGTACTGAGCATTTTAGTGTAAAACAGGTCTTATCAGCAATAGATACAGGGTTGTGATTTACGAGACTTTATTTATGGATCATATGAATTGAACTAGGCGTTAAACTGATCCCAGACACGTTCTTCCGCCACGTAGATAACGGTTGTTGTTGTCAATCATAATAAAAAATAGATGTTGTCAAACTGGGACCATTTACAGAAAATAAGTTTGGCATCTTTCCTTTGATTTCCATCTTCTTCTTCTTATTCTATACTTTCTTTCCTCATCCTGATAGCTACTACTCACCATGTACAAAGCCAAAATCTTGCAAAAAATCAAATCGGTGGCAGAAGCCCATAAGAATAAACCCAAAAACGAGTCCTTCCGTAAGTAACACATGATCGCGCTGCTATAAATAGGTAATAGTGGTAATCCAAATCATATTTCGTATACTAGTGAACATCGAGTGCAAGGATTGCAAAACACTCGGACATTTCAACAAGGCATACCATGAATGCAAGTTTTACAAAGCAGTTTCTGCAAGTGACGGTAAGAATCATGTGTTCTCAATACAGGACAATTTTATGATAGCTTAACGCAAATTTAGTTGGAAGTAGCGGCAAGAAACGTAAGCAATCAGCTACAATCAAGGAAGAAAAGAAGCAAGCAAAGAGAAAGAAGAAGCAAACAACTGGAGATATCATGTGTATCAGTTGTGGCTTAAAGGGTCATTCTACTTCTCGTTCTCTCGAATGTCCCAATCACATAGCTTCAAAGGAAGAAGTTATCACCTCGACGCTTGGAGAAGGTTCCACTGTATTCACGAGGAAGCTCCCTCTTACGTCTGCTGTGAAGCCAGCGTTTCGCGAACAATTCCAAGAAAAAGTCATCTCTTGCTGCTCTGACATAAGGAGAATAGTATTCTCTAGTCAATTATTCGTTAACTCGTACCTCATTCATTATCAGGAGAATAAAAGAAATACAAACAAAGGCGACAAGAAAGACACTGATAAAAACAGCAACAAAGGCAGTAAAGAAGCCAACAAAGAAGCCAACAAAGAAGCCAACAAAGAAGCCAACAAAGAAGACAGCAAGAAAGACAGTAAAGAAGCCAACAAAGACAGGTCTATTCCTGATGTATTCTGCCAGCAATTCTGGTATTCAGTAGGTCAGCTAGTAACGGGCAAGCAAGTTACTCACAAAACGGCATTATCTGACGACATAAAGCAGTATTATACAGACTTCAAGGCAAAGTTCCCCACTATCGAAGTAAAACACAAGCTGACCGTGGGATATAGCTAATGCCTTACAGAGGCAGCAAAGGAATTGAGCGTCTCTTACACGAACTCCATTGTAGAGGCTTCGAGCAGCGCTTAACAAAGTTCTTTACCTACAAATTGAGAACTATGCTCCCGGTAAGGCTGTAACCGAGTACCTTCTTAATGCTCTGCTGTTTTATTCATTTTATTTCTCTTTATACACATTCTAGAATATCAAACGCACCGATGTACAAAGAATTGTACAGCTGTATTGTTACCAATCTGTCTGCCATGGTCATCCTCATTGGCCAGAAAACCTCGAGCTGGCGGCCGTTGACAAAAACCGAATTGAAGTACTCTGCAAACAATTTGAAGAGTTCATTCCAGGAGAAGTAACCCTCGTTTCTCTTTCTGCTGCTCCTGTAAAGTTTGTTGATGCGTTATGGAACATACAGTTTGCGTACGAGCAAGAACATATACAGCATAAGCCGTACGATGTCCGTGTCCTACCACTTCCTCAGCGTTTCTTTCCCTTTCCTACTCCGTCGCTGAAATGGCGTTTCATCGCGATAAGTATAAACGCTCTTACACCCTTCATGTTTCCCGGAAAAGTTGCCAAGGGTTATACAGCCCAACTCGAACAATTCTGTAAAGTCTTCGACTTCAAAAAGTTTGGCTTTAAGAGGTAAAACTATAGAAGAACTTCTTCAGCAAAATTATGCCTAATAGTAAACACACCCCTATTTTTGCTTCTGTCATAGTCTAACCGCTTTGAAGGAAAGTTCTGATGTAATGTTTCGAAACATGGTTAGGTCGGACGGCTTTACTGTAGACTTTTTGTTCAGCCGCAAAAAGAAAACAAAAGAAGACATGACCATTCATAATCACACCTTGACTTTGGAAGATTTTTCTTATGACGAAGTACAAGACAATTACAGACCCGCTTTCCTGGATCCAGGCCGAAGATCTGTCTTCACAGCGGCAATCGGACTAGATCATAACAACCATCAAGTACCCAGCTGCTCTACCAAGGAATTTTATCATATGACCGGAAGTACCAGATACGCTGCAAAGCTGGAAAAGAAGAAAGCAGGCACAATTAAAATGATCGAAAGTGGCATACCAACCGCCAAAACTTCTATTATCGAACAACATGACCGTCATGTACAATATATATTGCAGCACTTCGAAGCCTTGTTCTCTTTTTACGGCGAGAGAACTGCTGAAGACCGATTTCGTTTATACGAGGGTCAGGAGCGTGCTGCCGACAACATGGTCAATTTGCTTATTAATGGCACCACAAAGTACAATAAGCAATTGAGGTTGAAGAAGAAGAAAGATCGAAGCAAGTGGCCAAAGAAGAATACCGACAGAATGGCCTTTTGTAAACGTAAAAAGAAGAAGAAGAAGAAGCAAAAGGTTCCAGAAGAGAAGAAAGAAGCAGATGCGAGAGAAGTAAGCGATGTTCTCGCTAAGAAAGATAGGTAAGGTTTTTAAATGATAAGCAATTCATTCACTATTCGCAAAAATATTGAGAATTCATATTTTCTACAGCAATTCTCTGAAGAGCAAGTGGAAGCCTGAACCCTTTAGTGTAGGCAACACTAAAAAGATCCCTTTGATTGTAGTTGGTAATGGCATGTTTGGGAAGAGTGCAGTGTCCATCAAAGGCCATAAAACTGGTGTCGTGGGAGTCCTTTGGCGTGCCTTGAAGCGAAGAGAGGCTGCTGGCGATTTACTGACGATAACAATTGATGAATACAAAACCTCTCGAATATGCAATAATTGCCGTTCCGACAATCTTGAAGCATTGAAGACTGTTCCCGGCCAAAGTATCCTTGCCTGCAAAACCTGTTCGATACTTTGGAACCGGGACGTCAACGCTGCTAAAAACATGTTGGCAATTAGCGTTTCGATCTGGAAGTCAACGGAAAGACCTGCGGAGTTTTCTAAAAAACTAAAATCACCCGCAACAACCACTTAACACCATCCTCTAATCGCCAGCACGAAGCTGGTTTGAATTTTACAGGTAAGCGTCTCAATTTTTGTGTAGTTCAATCTTGAAATTATAACTTAATTGTTTTAAAAATTTACTTCTTTCGTCTAGTTATATTGCGGCTTCGTCTAAACCCAAAGCTAAAAAACTGTATCGAATAAGTTGCTTCCTACTTTTGTACATAACAGAAAAATAAAAGGTCATCTGTTCCACTCGTAGTGTCTGTCATGAATGCATAGGACTTTATGGATGTTGAAATATTGCTTTTTACTCCATCAGCTTCTTTAAGTATTTGTTCTGGAACCCTTATGTTCTCAGTAAAACATGCAGCAGTAAGAAAAAGCCTACAGAAAGAATATTAAAGGCAATGTAGTAGCCTCATGGGAAGGTTAATTTTTAAATACCTATACTACACGGTCTGCCGTTACTATAGAAATATCGACCATTGATTAAGTAACGATGGGGTATATCAGGTTGTTTCAGGTGTTCTTGTCACCAATTTGAATTTATACCATAATGTGCTAGTCAAACAGAGTTGTTCGAGAAGTTTAATAAAGTATATTTTCACGTATACGTCAAAAATAAATGACGCCCATCATAAATATAATTGAGGTTCGTAGGAAAAACTGGTTATCAGCTAAAGTTTGTTAAAAATTTTCCTAGGTCTGAGGCATCGGATTGCAAGGCATAGTATAAGAAGTATTGAAACTTTGAACTGGTCGAAAATGGTAAGGGCTTTCTCGATCCGTTAGCATGAGTAATAAATATTTGCTACCTTTAACATAGAACGTTTCATCATATCTATCAATACGCTTTCTTTACACAACGCGCTTTACGTCGTATAACAATGGCCATAACAGCAGATGTGGGGGAGTAATACAACATGATATTATTATTCTAAAGACAAATAATGGATACAGAGCAGGATATCAAATGAAATAAAGGATAAAACTATAGAAAAGGTGTCGTTTTCGGAAAGGATAAAGTATCTCTTTCTCTAAAACATGGAGGCACTATCGCCCTCAGTCAATACGTTATTTTTATGTATATGTAATCTTGACAGTGGTACAAGGACATATCAAAAGCCTGCACCAGCCATTGAGGTATTGAAATGAACTACTTGATTCACTACCATAGCATCTACACCATATCGTTCTTGCAACTGTCGATATCGAATATCCGAATTTACATCACCGGCCGTTACTAGAATGAGACCGCTTTCCTTAGCTGTTTTAATCAAGGACGGCACTTGAACCAATGTATGTGCACCACATATCATGCCTAATAAATTGTTTTGTTTGGCAAATTTAACAGCTTCTTTTAGGGAAGAGCAGCGGATATCATCATTTTTATAGATATGATCATGGCTTATCGCTTTCTCTTCTTCTGTTTCTACATCTTCTCCTTGTTGCTGCAGCTTAGTGCTCGTGGTACGTATCGAATCGTCTTTGAATGTTTTTCGTCGTTTAGTACCTCGATGCATATTGGCCCCGCAATATGTACCGAAAAATACAGCATCTATACGATCAAGAGTAGGTTAGCCTTTTTGATCTCGGCATGTCATGCTTCTGGTCATACATACAATTAGGCTGTTTCCAACTGACTACCATACAAATAGCCGGATTATACGAAGAGAAGAATAAACTGCGGCTGGTAGTATTAGCTGGGAGCGATCGTACATGATCATAAATGCATTGTAAAACAGTATCAACGAATGTGTTCCTGTCGGTGATATTTGTAAACGAATGTAAAGTGAGATCGCTCGATAAGGGGTATTTAAGTTCTAAATGAAGACCCATAGATGGAGGTAACATCTGTAACAGAAGAATTAGAAAGGGTGGAAGTAGAAATCATGACACAGCTGGTAGAGTCAACTAAGTTGGATTGCCTGTCGCTTACCTCTAATACTTGCTCTAGGGATACGAAGGCTTTACAATCTCCCAATTTTTGAATAATTAGACTGTTTCCTGTCACAGGGCATACACCATTTGCTATCTCATCAGGATTCAGTGCCTCTTCCTTTAGCAGATACTTGCCAATGTTAAGGAACTGTTCTAAAGTCACATCAGATACTGTCAGATCCAAGCCTCTGTACGGAATCATCCAATTAGCGTATACCACTGGTATGAGATCTCTCGTGAGCTGAACAACCACCTGCACATAGTCACCCGATAATGAGGAGGCTGTAATAAAAGAAGATGCCGTTGATGATAATGACGATGGATTATTATTGACGATAGTGGGAGAGTTCTCTTTGATAATATTTTGAGTTATCGTCGTTGACGTCAACCGGGGAGGCAATTGCTGTTGTTCTGGACCTTCAGCTGTAGCTGAAGCATTTGCAGAGGAAGCAGAGGGCTGAGGTAAGACAGTATTGGTTGACTTCCAGTAAGTTTCAATTCGGCCACCAATTTCCAATTGAACACCTTGGAAAGGACTAATAACTGAATAGTCGTAAGATAACTCACCAATCACCTTAAGATGTCCGTCTAGAAGTGGTATAGTGCAATGCTTCTCGCCTACTTTAAAGTCAACTGAGAACAGCTGAGGTAATGCTACAGCACGACCCAGCACTTTAGAACCAAACGTGGCCAATATATCAAACTCTAGCAAAAAGTTATCTAGTCGATCAACCTGGAAATTGAACACATCTCGATCATCTACCAGTGGGAGGATGACACTGTGCGGAATCATCCCAGTATCTGGTTTTGAAGATATGATCAGACGTAGCGAAGAGATTTGAGCATTATCATATAGGCGAATGGGAGGTTGCTTGAGACTGATTTGAATCTGATATTTGCGGTCAAGATAACTATGACCATAGATGCGGAAAGGAATGATAGGTGGAGGCAATGATAATGAGGGTATCATATCTAAACCGTCCAAATCCATCACTGGATCATGATCATCTGCTGTATTGCCATCGGATTCAGTCGGAGTATGAGAGGCTGATTGCGATACTGTTGGAGGTATGAGCTGATCAACAGATTCTACTTCACAACCAGCATCGAGCAGGAGCTGTACACAATCCATATGCCCTTCCCAAGCAGCGTAATAGAGTGCTGTCTTGTTATTCTCGTCTTTCACATTAATTTTACAGCCTGCATCGATAAGTTCGCGAACGCAATCAACATGGCCATCGTTAGCTGCCCAGAAGAGTGGTGTCCAGGTGTTATATTTATCAGGTTTTTCAAGTTCCTGTTTATTTTGAGCAAGCACACGACATAACTCTGCATGCCCCTGACGAGCTGCTAGATGAAGTGGATAGAGCGATTCGGCGTTAGGCAAATTTTTGGCACCATGATGGTAAAGCATAAGAGCAATATCTGTATGACCGAAATGGCAGGCGAGTGATAAAGGAATATGATCACCTTCATGACGGGGTTCAATATTAGCATTTGCTCGAATCAGAATTTCAACACATTGTGTATGTCCATTCATAATAGAGTAAATGAGAGGACTAAAACCATCATGATCTCTGCATTCAATATCACTGTTGTGTTTTAAAAGAAATGAAACACAGTCGCTGAATCCGTTCATTGTTGCATAATGCAGAGCTGTTCTACCATAAGCATCTGTAGATTCGACAGAGGCTCCATGTTTTGTACAAATCTCCAGTATATCGAGACGTCCGTTCATGGCTGCTACATGCAAACAAGTACGCTCAATAATATCATCGACGTACTTGAAATTGACCAATCCCGTATTGATGAGAAGCTGAGTTATCTCTGATGAAGCTTCTGAGCATGCATTCCAGAAAACACGGGTTAACCTGCCATGATCTTCGGCTGACGGATTGGCCGTTATCCTGCCCAAAATATCTTTGACGACGGTCGTTTGACTGCCGGAAACTGCTTTCACGAGTTCTAATTCTATATCGTCAATCTCGTCCCCCGTTGCAACAAAGTTTGTTTCCATGTTATCAGCGTCTTTATTATTGGGCGGTGGGCTCACAGGTATTCCTTCTAGTATATTTGATAACTCGATTCGGTTGGCTGAAGCGAGATCGGCTAATTCACATAATACTTGAGTGTTGAAGCATGGCTGAATATCGATTTGACGCGACAAGTATAATTCTTTTGTGCATGATTTGGATCGTTTGTCCCACTTTTTCAATATTTTTCTGAAACCTTCGTTATTAAGCTCTACGTATTTCTATACAGACATGTTAAAAATTAAGGCCGAACAGCAAAAGCTTGTTCGACTCTCAAAAATATGTTACCTGAATTTTTGTTAATTCGTGTTCGAATTGAACAAAAGCTTCTTGGATAGACTTGAACAAGGTAGAGGCATGTTTTAATCTTCTGAGGTCCGACTGAAGTACTTTCTTCTTATCAATGAGTGTCCTTAATCGAACTTTGAGCTCATTTTCTTTTTGTAAATAGAATGAATTGATCTAATAACAGCGTTCGATTGAAAAATGGTGAGAAATTGTTTACGTTTGCCTAGTAAAAAAAGAATAATTCACGCCTTCTTACTTTCTCGAGCTCACGCTCTAATTTGAAGAAAAAAGCTGCCTTTTGTGATTGAAGTAGTTTTGCACGATCGCCATCTAAACCAATAGCTGGTAAGCCTAAAGCCTTCAGACTATCTTCAGGTGTTTTAAGTAGTGAGCTGATAAACTTTTTTAATCCTTTATAATCCAGATAAAAAGAACTCCATTCAGTAAACTGTTGGCTTTGTATTTGCTTGCCAAACTATGAAAGTATTCCAGAAAAATGTTAGAGATGCTGTTGGAACGAGATGTCTCATGACGAAAAGTTGTTTCTGGTCATCTACCTTCATTAGTGAGCTGTGCTACTTTAAAAACCTCGATATTTTTATTCCTGCGGTTCCTGAGTTAAAAAGTTGTTGTGGAGCTTTTTGATCGGTTGAACAGCGTCTTTTCTTTATTTTCTATTTTCTCTTCTTCTGTTTTTTTTTTGTCTACGAAGATGTGATATGTGTTTCACACTAGAGAAGCAATAGACTTTACGATATTGATAATTTAGTTGAGAAAGATGGTGAAGCGCTCATGTAGATTTTAGATATTTGAATTATAATTGAGCTTTTTTGCTTGTGACTGTAATGCAAAAGCTTATAAGTTTTTTTGCGGAACCACTACAAAGCATTCCTTGGACACGAGGGACAATCTGTTGGCCAGAGATAGTCAGTTTGTAAGCGGAGAAACGAGCTCCTTAAGTTCACGTAACCTCAGCAAAGCGTGAAAAAATGAAACTGAAGTTGAACAAGCCCGACTTTTGGGACCTGATGATTTTTGGTTATCCTTATTATGAAATGGTGCGTTTTGTTGAACTTATTCTGAGATTTATAAAATAAAAAAAAAAAAAGAAAAAATCAAACGAAAAATATGGCTTGCGGCTCCTCGACGCGTACTAAAGTCTCAAGAAACCAGAGCATCTATACAATATACTCAGGGTGGTACCATCACAGAATATTTTTGTAAATCATTCCTAGGAACCAATGAAATAGTCAATATTCCACAATTGGTTGCAGTTCACTATCTTATAAAAATAGCAGCATGCATCACATCCTGAGTGTGTACGGTAATATTCAGAAAACGGATAAATTATTGATATCAACTTTTGTTCCTCTACAATAACGATACACATTTCTGAGAATCAACTTCTTTTGATTAAGTTTAGTAATATACATTGTAAGTTCATTAAAAGTTAGTTTTAATTTAGAGGAAATAGTTATAGAAGTTCAATGAAGCGTATTTTTGGGGAGTTTCGGGAAAATGTCAATAACTTAAAAGATGTAGGCGGCAATAGCAAAGACGGTCATGAGGATAGTATTAGGGGTCAATTGGATACCAGCGGAAGTACCAGCGGCAGTGGCAACGGCAGTGCTGGATCCGGAAGACGCCTTGCTATCAGATTTACCTGAAGAAGAAGGACTAGTGGTAGACGAGTTAGTAGCAGACGAGTTAGTAGCAGACGAGTCAGTGGCCGCGACAGCGCTGTTAGCACTGAAAGAAGGGAAAGAAATGGTGGTTTCTTGGTAAGGATGAGTAATATTCATACAAGTAGCAACATCAAGGATATTCTTGTAAGCAGCTTGAATCTTGGGAATGTATTCCATAGCAAGATCCATGGTAGTATTATCAATTTCGTGGGTTAAAACAATTTGGCCGCTATTAGCGAAAGTGCCATTGCTGCCCATTTGAACAAAGTCGTTATAAGTGGCCTTGACTGCATCAACGGTCTTGGTACTACCAGCAGCCCAATCGTCAGTATCAAGGTTCCAAAGAACAGTTGTAAGGTTGAGTTGTGTAGCGATCCAACGGACACGGTCATCAACATCACCAAAAGCCTATAATTTGTACAAATAAAAAATAAGGGGATACATGTTAATCACTTTTGACTATTGAACTTTCTCCTACAAAAAAGGCTGTCTGGAATCATGACGGGTAAAAATTTGTTTGTTTTTTTCTTTAGGGTTTGGAAAAAGTAAATACGTACGGGACGCCAATGGATAGGGGTAACACCAGTAACCATCTTGATAGCCTTTTGAGTATAGTAGAGTTCCGCCAAGACTTCTTGATTAGTCAAGGTAGTCATCAATTGATGCGACCAAGTATGGTCAGCAAGATGGTGTCCCGCCTTTTGACCTCTTTGAGCACCATAGGGCCAATTGATAACGTTGGAACCGATGTAGAACATGGTGGCCTTCAATTTTTGTTGTTCAAGATAGTCATAGAAGGCGTTATGAGAACAATTAGGGCCGTCATCAAAAGTAAGACCCCAGGTCTCAGGCTCAGGACAAGCGTAGATATCTTCATTGACATCTGGAAGCTTGGGCTTGGTACAAGTAGAGGCAGACCACCAACAATCGGGATCGCCGTTTTGATCATAACCCTCCATATTAACAGAGCCGTCTGCATTCATTTTACGGACGGGAATGTTGGGCGCGCTTTTCCAATCGATGGAGTTGTAAAGAGCCAAGAATTCAGCACTCGTATTCATACCGTTAGAAGTGGCAATTTCCCACATGGTTGGCCATTCCTTTTCATTGTATACAAAGTTAGAAGGAGGTTGATAATAAGTACATTCTGTATTGACATCGTAGGAAGTAGTTTGAGGGATGTCAGGAATGACGATATTGAGAGGATCCACTTTAGAGTCAAAGGTCTTCCAATAATCTTGAGGCTTCGATAGTGTTTTTGCCGTTGTCGTGGCGTTGCTGCTAGTGCCGGTGCTGGTGCTGTTGGTAGTAGTGGTAGTCGCTTGAGCGAGTTGGGTTATTTGAAGAAGTGCAATTGCTACTGCAGAGACTTTGTAATACATTTTAGCAAGGTGATTATATTATTTGAAGAGATCTAAGGAATGGGAGGGTTGGGAGAAGAAAAGAAAAGTCTTTTATAAACAAAGATGATGGTGCTTTATTTAACCTTCCAATTTGTAAGGAATAAAGTTATGGATAGTAGAAAACAAGATCAGTAAACCTGAATGACTTGAACGATATTTAAAGCATGTTACCAGAGAGCGCGGAGACAGATTCTCATGTAACATAGTAGTACTGTATACGTACTGAGAACAAGATTACATCAACATAGAAGGTTAGTCTAAATGTCAAATTTTTTTATTACATGATGATTGCAAAGAATTACTCTACTTTTATTTTACAATAAGGCTCTAATCTAACAATCATATTTTCTGTATGGAAGCTTAACCTTGTGATCTTCTAAAGAAGAGATCAGCGCCAATTTTATACGCAGAGTATAATACAGTTCGGTGGTTGTACCTTTTTTCTTCCCCTGTATTCAGCTTCTACTGGTGTAACAACATATCTTGTGTGCCACGTATCTTTTATATATATATAATTAGTCCTTAAAAGCAATCTTGCCTTTTTCTGATAATCTATCCAAAGAAAGTAATGAAAACGAGGTTTTGCCCAGACTTACAAACAGTTTCGCCGTGTAATTAATACATGTTTGGCAAACAGTTATGGATCACAAAAATGTGAGTTAAAAATTGAAATAATGTAGACAACCAACAATTAGTAACTCGGTCTGCACCTTCCTACGTAGTTGGGTCTCTGCTGAAATACTACTGTTGTAAAGTGTCGTTTAGGCTCGAATAACTTTGTCACTGATTTGACATCGTAAAGCTGACATTTATAATCGCTCTACGGGTGCTAATTTTAACAACATGTGGAAGAACTAAAAAGGAAAAGGAATATCAATTATTTGAGAGTTTGAGACGACAATAACCCAGGAAACCAGACCTTTTTTCCCTGCTTCTACTGAACAATAAACTGAACAGCCGATAGTAAATGAGTTTCACGTCAATTTTGATGGTTCTATACATATAACGAAGTATCTGCAACAATAGGGCTATTAATAATCTCCAAATTTCCTTCGAGTAAGAATTTTCGAGTCCTAGAATTACAGTATAACCGTAAATGGACTCTTCATTCTGGTCAACGTTTACCCACGTTATCCTATCCACACCTGGATCAGACATGCACAAATCACTTGGCATTGTCTAAAATAAATCTCAACAATAAACAACTCTAGCTTCAAAAGAAATAAGTGTTATACAACAGCAAATATTAAAAGATGGTTTGTTTTGCGAAAAAATTCAATTTGTCATGTCATAATTGGCTTTGCCAATAGATATTTTTAGATTATTCTGTATGTGCCGAAGAAAGCCATATTACCAGCTCTATTAATGGCTTTTCATCAAATGTAATTGTAGAGTTCTGCGTCAGGGCTCAGCCCAGTTGTAGTCCATAAGTGTTCTGGACAAAATAGCTTATATAGCAATTGCGCTATAAAATGAATTATATGTTTACCTGGTGTAGTTGTGAAGGACCAGGCCGATTGTTCATTTGATTTTTAAGCGCTAAATCTGTTCCGTACACAAATCTTTTGTAACCATTTATTTCTCTCTACGAAAATGGATTTAATATCACATAAAATCAGAAGACAAGAAGCAGGCATTTTGCATGTATATGATGTAAAAACGGCTTGTCATCAAGCCATCCAACACTGCTTTTCTGATGAATTGGAGTCCTTGAAAAAACAATAATTCGGCGAAACCAAGACACATTCTTGTGACGTATTCCGAGCTATTACAAAGTGCGTTGTCACCGTAAGCTTGTCATCTCAGATATACAATATCTATTGAACTTCTTCGGTTGATCAACTATAAGCATGATTTATACTAATGCGACGAACGGATGATTTGTTACCGACATTTGATCTACGAACAAACTCCTAAAACTTTCGGTTTCAAATAAAAGATCGACACAAGAAAAATTTTTTTTTTGCAGAATATTAATGTCTGACAAAAGGCAATAGTGACATTGTACAAAGGCGTACACTTGGCACTTATTCACGGACAGTAACTTGATCCTTCAACAGAAAATCTTTGAGCTTTTGCTTGTTGGTGATATTGAGAAGCAATTTACTGAAGAGTAAAAGCAAAGGAATGAAATGCATTTCGCACTTGTTTCTTATTGGGAGAAGACGAGAAATCAACCATCAACATTTGATCAACTTCCATGATATCTTAGGTTTTTGAATAGGGACAAATGTATACCAATTTTAAGAAAAGCCAACTATCGTCTTCAGGCTCAAAGTGCATTGCTTTAGTTCAAAAGGGGAGAAAATCGATTGTTACATCGCTTCAATGAAATGAGTGATATATGCATTGACTATGACAGCGTGTTTTACGACTTTTTTTTTTTTTTTTTTTTTTCTTTTTGCATCCAGGTTCCTGCTTAAGTTTATATCATCTCAACCAATTGTAGAATTGTATATTCGAGCCAATGTAATGTAGGCATAGCGCTATATCTCTTAAACCTGCATTGCTGAGTAAGATACTTTGAAGAATAACTCAGCCCAAGAAAACGATTATAGGAGCTGAAATAGGAACAAGAATATTATGGATGGTCAAAATAATGATCAAATCAATTTGCGAGCAATCATAATAATAGCTATGCATCATTGCTCAATATAAACCTCAAACGTACTCTGGTAAGCGTCTCTTCCTTCCGTATCTCACGCTAATGCTGAAGAAAACTCTATAGCGGAGTTCATTCGCTACTTGCTTGCTGATAGCCGTATATCAGGTTTAACAATAAGAGATTAGCTATTTTTTTCCATCGAAACTGGAGACTATAATGTTTGACAATTCTAAAACAGTTTTCACATCGTACTTTGATCAACTACAGAATTAGCACAAGTATAGTCTAATGATATAAGCTACCCCAGATGATTCCATTGAATGAAAGTATAGAGGAGATGTCTTAGTGGTAGAGGTACGATGAAAAAAATAATAGGCGTCTCAATGATAGCAGTGGTTTATGTACAGTACAGCCATGTCAGATATAGTTTTAGTTTCTGTTCGTCGTAAGGGATTTTAAAGCGCCACTAGGTTTCAGGGTTCCGTCTCACTCACCAGTTTTCATACGATTTCCAATCGCAGAAATTCTGCCTCAATGGTTTCAAGTCGATATAAATTCTTTCAATATATCCACTTTCTGCATCCTTTCCTTTTCAAATTGCTTTTGGTAGCACGACCCTTCCCCAAGCCTATCATAACACCTATCTTGTAATCCATAACTTTTGTTGCACTCTTCTGACCTTATCCTTGTTAAATGGATAATTCTTTCTTGAATACATTTCCGACATCTCAGCAACCAATGTTTGCTTTCCCCTTGGATGGACAAGTAGGATATAGTTCTGCTCCACAACAAGCTCCAACACCAGCAGCTTTACAACAATGCGAGGCACAACAACAGACGCAAACACAACCACAGCCATTACAACAACAACAACAACAGCAGCAGCAGCAGCAGCAGCAGACGAATTCAACGAATGAAAACAATTACAGTTTTGACTGGCAAGGGCACTCTCATTTAACGAATAACCTGGGCTATAGCGAAGTGAATGATTCAAGCTTTACGAATCAAGCCCCTTGGTCAGTGCAGCCAATATCGGGCAATGGCATGGATGGTTACTTGACACCCACCAACTTAGAGCCCAATTACAGTCCCAACGAACAAGTAAACTTTGTAAACCCGTTGGATACGTCCGTCAACACCCTTTTTCCGTCCTGGGATACGAATGTTCAAATACCAGCGACTATTAAAGAAGGATGGCCCGTTACGAACGATAACAATAATAACACTAATTTTCAGCAGGCTCAACAGTTTCCTTTACCTTATTCTTCGCCAGCAGGGCAATATCCGCTCTTGCCCTCTGCGTGTAATGCAAACCCTACTTATTTCCAGACTACGAATACCAATTTAGATATTACCATTTCTACTACTGCTACTAATACTCCTGCTACTACTCCTACTATTATTTCTACTCCTCCTCCTCCTCCTCCTCCTACTACTTCTTCCGGCGCAGCCTCCGTCTCGACGAAGCTTAACAGTAATAATACCACTACTTCTAATAGCGATGATAATATTCCCCTCGTATTCAATGACCATACCGAATTCCCTTCGTTGTTCTTCATCGACACTGCTGGAAGCCCGGGGTACCATAGATCTTCTGTTTGCAACATTGACGGTCATCCATTCCAGCAACAGCATGTTCAGCGACCAAGACAGTCTTTCTCTCAGGAAATAACCCCACCTCCGTCCATCACTGCTTCAGGAAGTAACTCGCCAAATAGCAGTATCTCTATCTCTACTCCGCCGCCAATGAATTATTTCTTGACATCGCACCATAAGCCTCAACAACAGCCACAACAGCAGCTACAACAGCAGCTACTCCCTCCAACGGTACAAAATCAATTACGACTCAACAGCAGCGGTGCTGTAAATACTACTCTTACCATCCCTACACCAGCAACAAAAGGCCGTCGTGCAAGTAGCAATAACCGTCGCAAGTCAGAAAGCAACACAGCTAATCACAGAACGTATCGTCGACGGGCATCATCACACCCTTCAGTTGCTTCTGTTGTCTCACTTTCGGCGCACGAACCGGTTTCCAGAATCATTGATGGCATTGAATACATTACATTCTTATATTCTCATGACCGTCTTATCAAAGAATACACCGTCCGCACAGATGTACAAAATGTGAATTTGGATGTTATTCCAGACAGTTTCCGTGTTCAAAATGCTGTAAGTACTCATTCTATGGATACCCTTTTTACCGGAACTTGATTTTCTAACCTTTACCTTTTTTCCCTTTTCCTATTACGTAAACAAAATAACCAACGGAAATCCAGATTTATCCTCGAGCGAATGTACCACGGGAAGAGTACGATGGAAACCGCTGGGATTATGAGACTAGATGTAATAGACTTGGTTGGGAAATCTGCTGGCTGAATCAAGAACAATTATGTGGTCGTCGTGGACTTATCCAACGCGCTGTTGACTCTTATCGTAATCGCCATGCCGAGTTACGTTCTCGCCGTGTCACTCGTCAAGAAAAAGTAAATAATGGAACTTTAAGAAAACGCAGTAGGAAGAAATCGTTCATTGCTCTTCAAGGATAAATACAATCCCTATCAACGTTTACCATTTTTAATATACCTTTCGCATGCGCTCTCTCTTCGTATCCTTTTTTTAGTACACAATATCAACACATTCAATAGGACTGAATTAAGCAGTAGCTGACAGATGATCTCAAACGCACCTTTATCTGATCACAAACTCATCTTTTTTTTGCAATTATTATTCATTATTCGCATTTTATCAGACTTAATCTTTGCATGATTTTTATGTTAATTTTCGTTATAGTTTTCTTTTTATTTTTCTGTTTATAGCATTTACATTATTTCTTAAGAACAGTAGTAAATTAATCTTATTTGTAGGTAAGCAGTGCCATGAAATAAAAATGCCTTGGTAAATTTACCTGAACCATCAGGTGAGCATTTTGTCCCTAGCGCGTATAAAACGAGCTTTCGCTCTTGTCAAAAACAACGTCTAATATTTTATCTGTTGTGTGGGACATCAAGGGAGTCTCTCCCTTGTGACGTGCTCTATACTTTCTGAACGGCGACTGTGCGGATCTTGTTTAGACAGGTGATACCTTTCCGCACGGTACACATACGGTCAATCAAACCTTTTGAAACGCAAAATGGAAAATTTCTGTTTAAAAAAAATCGGCATAAAATTGGGTGGAGACGGTTTTTTTCCAGCAGTTAAACCCATATACATCTTACCCGTCTTTCATGTGTGGCTTGAACTTCTTTTTTTTTTTTTCCAATGAATTGAGTTCTTAGTAATTTTTACATTAGAAATTTGCGCGTTTTTAGGCAAATAAGTAAGCATTTTTTACTAACAGCTTGTAGAATTGCTTTATTAAGTCTAATACAACAAAATGAATAGAAAAAGTTTTTTTTTTTTGGTTTCCAAAGTAAATCAGAATGTTTAAGATCTGCGTAAGTGTGTTTGTATGTGTGTGTGTGTGTCTTTCCCTTATCTATACCACAATGTATGAAAATGGGCATTGACACGAAAGGAAAATGAGCCCCCGCTTTTTTTAAACATCGAACTTGTTTCATACGTTAAAGCTTGCACGGAAAAGAAGATGCAGACTATCACAATTTGAGCTTATTTATAGCAGTCGCTGCCATGTGCTTATAGATATATAACATTATGGAAATATATTATGCATCAATGTCAACGATAGAAAAAAGAACGTATAGCTAATAGATATTCTAGCTGTCTTGAGGCTTTTGATGTTGGATCGTCAAAACAGCCTTTCCATGTTCTCTTTCTTTTCTAGTTCTGCAAATAGAACAAAAAGGATGTACTTCTATTACCTGTTTAGGTAATTTCAAAGAAATTCTTTCGAGCTTCAATCGGGAACACAGTCTATTCTCACAAAACAGAAACGCTTAATTTCAACGACTGAAAATGTTTCTCTAGTCTGGGCCCTTATAGATAGAAATTCAATATGCCAAAACAACTTTTAAGCGGTCGGCCATTTTACTTTTACGAAAAAAGGGACATCGCTGCAAACTATCGCTGGCTTCAACCAACTCTATGAATACAACATCGTAGTATAATGGTATCTCAATGCTAAAAATTCAAAAAGTGTTGCAAGGGCTCTGCTTCTTTACTCGACTGTTCAGGGCTGTAGCAGGATAACTGCACCATTTTGCTATGGCTCACAGCTACTTGCAAAAAGGGAGCTATCTTGTTGTTTGCGAGATTGGAAATGAGATAAAAAAAGAAATTTCCATTCGTTGCCGCTGTTGCGCGTCTTGCTCACAGTATTGTTCTTTCAAAATCGTCTGTCCACTTCCCTCTATTACAACTGTATTCTTTTTGCCGGTTTGAGACAAATCCCAATGATCCGGAATTCTCAAGTACTGGTTTTTTTTTTTTGCTGGATATTCGCACAAAATGGTTAACAATTGAGACATGTCTACAGATAAGATTAGCCTGATTCAAGTAAAAATGACTCAAATGTTTAGCCTTTTACCAAGCGATAAACAGTGGTATCAAATGCCAGGAAAAAAATACAAAAAAAAATAAATAAATTCAGTGGCATCATCCTTCTAGCAAAAGGTGGTCTGATGGATGAGCTTTGCAGTTCTGCTCGAAAGGAATCTAGGAGCTTCTGTTGAATTTGAGCGTTCATGTCAGCTGCTGTTCCTGTCACTCGGTAGCAGTCATTAAGGCGGATGTAGCAGACAAATACAGTTATGACAAACGCTTTTCGCTATTCCAATACAACAAACGCTCAGGTACTATAAACAAAACCTACTTTTCAGGTGTCGGTAATAGGGTACAGACAAAGAAGAAGCATCAAGAACTCAGCGAGACATTTACCTGCATGAGGAAGTTTTTTTTTTTCGTATTGCCGACTCTATTACTATACAATGTCATGCTTCAGTATGGCGCTGCATTCACATGACGCGCACTAGAAGAGTTAAAGCAATAAATTCATATGAAAGTCTATATTAAATGGGCAAATGGAGCCTCAATTACCGTTTTCAACAAAACAAAAATTGATATCGATGAGTATTACACATTAGTAACTTCGATTGCATATAGTCGCGATCCTTAACGGTAAAATGCTAATATTATATTTGCTCGTTGGTTTCGAACGCACTCTAAAGCCAAAAGTGTCCTTTCTCCTGACAATTTCATTATGACATTGAAGAGTCCATTTGATAATACAAGTATATAATTGCTTCCATCTGTAGAATTTTTGCTTTCTATGATCCCTAGTGTTACTCATTAATACAAATTAGCGTCTGACGGAATCCCTTCATCATGAAAAAGTTATCCAGTCTCTAAAAAGATACATTACAAGTTGATCAATCAATAAGAGTATGAGCATAACAAGCAAGTTGCTTGCACTTCTTTTACAAATATAGATGACTAGGAAAAAACGCTCAAGAACATTATCATTTTCCATCAAAGGAGGATATAGCATTGTTATTATATGTACATATTTAAATTCTACACAACAACAGACCATTTATGCAGCAAATCTGACCTTCTTCTTCGGTGCCTAAATGAGAAATGAAAATAAAAATGTTAGTTGTAGAAGAAGGATGGTGCGTATATCAACAGGATGTATAATTACAGGAGCAGGCATGGATTTCTGGCGTTCAGACTCTAAGCGTGCTTTGGTCTTTTGTTTCTTAGCTTCTACTTTTTTCTTCTTTTGATCACCAAGATATGACTTCTTTATCGTTTCCAGTTCTTGCTTCTTTTCATCTTTTTTCTGCTGTCGCTTGGCTTCTTTCTCTTCAATAATTTTCATAGTACGAGCCTGTGTGCAAGTAAAATGTTGGAATGATGTACTTACCAAACTGTTACCTCTATTATTTTTACCTTTTTCTCTAATTTCTCACTTTCTTTCTCTTCCACCTTCTTTGATGCTTCTTCTACAAGTTTTAGCATGAAATCCTACGAATGCAATAACCATGAAAGAGGGAAGCTGTGAGATATCTATGAGACTAACAAAAGAATGGATCAACTGAATTGTTACTTTATTTGCAAATTTTGGATTGTCTAATTCCGAGGCTCCTTTAACTCGTTTCTTATGATTGGGCTTTTTCACTTTTTTCGAATTATTAGGTGGTATCTGATTTTGTGATGAATATCAATCGTTCATGTTAACATTCAAGTTCTCGAACTTTTTATACGTGCTGTAGCTTTTACCTTTGATGACTTAGACATGCTGGAACTACTGATTAATTATGGAGAGATCGATCAATTTGAATCTACTTTTCTGAAACGAAAAAATATTTGTGTGCCACTCTTCAAAATAAGCGGGGATATAAAAAAAAAATAAAGTAAAAGAAATAAGAATGACAAAATAAGTTTGGATTTATTTGTTGCTTTTGTTAAGATGAGAACATGATAAAGATAGTATGGATTAGATAAAACTGGTAAAAATTGGGTTTTCAAGTCAAAGGAAAGTATGAACTGGGTATCTTCATTATTTTTAATGAATTAAAAATATCGGCGTTTTGCAAAATCATCTTCTAACTCATTAGAAGCTTTCCTTTTTGCACTTTGTCCTTCTGCTTGAGTTGTCTGTTGCCTGTAAAATAAGTCTTGACAGTTTACAGCGCGAGATATAATTATTTTCTCCGAGGCTATGGGTGAATACAGATGCTTGCCTATATCTGTAGTCAGTTCCACATAACCAAAGATATCGGAGGGAGGATGATCGTTCGATCGCTGCAACTTTTCTTTGATTGCTTTGCGATATGGGGGTAACAACGAACTGATATAGCGTCTCACTAGAGATGGATCCCTGCAGTCCATCTCTGCCGCCCTACAGTAACGTACATACTTTCGATTATATTCTTGAATACTATCATAATCTCCCATTCGCAATTCAAACAAACACTCGGCAAATCGTTGCATTCTGTACTGTTTTGCTTGTACAGAACGAGCACGGTCGTGGTTGGTGTCCGGTTTAGAGTTCTTTGATTTTATCGGACCTGATGGTGATTGTTTTAACTTCGACTCGACTACTTCGGGTCGTAATAAAGAAGTAGCAAAGCTCTTCTTCTTCGGCAAAGAATTTTCTGATTCACTTTTAACAGAAACAGTAGTCGCTGCCTCAGCAGAAAGAGGGGTATGAGGCGGAAGAAGTGGCGGAGTAGGAGGGGCCGTGGAGAATGGATCAGGATCAGGAAATGCTCTTTTATACAGATCCTTGGCTTCCTGCCATGTCAGATTCTTATTGAATATATTGGAGTTTGCCCAAACACGATGTTCTTCACTTGGAAGTGCGTAGACCAGCATTTTCTCCCAAACGTCTTGTAAAGTATAACCTGTCTTTTCAGCAAATACCTTTGCAGTTGCTTCAAATTGATCCAAGAAATGAGATGTAACCACCGAGGGCGGTTGCAAGTATCTCTCAGGGGAAATCTTCATCTCGTGATCTGTTTCATGTGGCTGCAACCGATGCTGTTGCACAGCAGGTTCTGGCACCGCAGAAATGACGGATGGTGTAGGAGACACGTCCATAGGATCAAAAAATTCGTTCGATGATGCAGGCTGCTGCAGAATTGTTGATAAGAGTTGCGATGATCGTTGCTCAACAAAAGGAGTAGAGGACAGTTGATGTGGCAAAAATACTGTTTCTTGTAAAGACGATGATTGCCGTAAAGGCGATGTTTCCTTCAAAGGAGGTGTTTGCTGTAAGGGCATTTGCTTCTCCTCTTTCAGTAGAAAACTAGGTGCTGCAACATTTGACGGAGTGGAATTGATGACCTGTTGTGGCACAGGACTTGATAATCGCTGAGAATCGAAACTCGCATTTAGAACATCCATTGTGCTATCCTGCTGCATAGCAGGCGGCACTGTGGATCCAGCCATATTATGGACATTATAAGCACCTCCATCGGAGGGTGATTGTACAGTCTCAGTTTTAATACGGCTTACAGAACCCAAGTCGTCTTCCTGTTTCACTTCAACTAAAATGTCATCTAACTGTCGCAGATACATCTCAATCTCTGTTCTTGGAGTTTGAACAGCAGATAATGCTCGATGTAATCTGGACAATGATCGACGACAGGATAAGGAGGCATTGTTTGTAGAAGACTTAATAGATAATTGTTGCTGATGATCCATAATTAATGGATGCAACGTCTGCAATACATTCACTGTATTTTCCACAAGCTCGAATTGAGTGAGTGCCTCCTCCAATTTATCTTGTAAGTCATCTGAATGCTTATTGATGGCTTGCTGTGCTGCACTAGCAGCCATCACGAAACTTTCTGTAAGCTCCACCAAGTGGATGGCTTTTTCGCGTGCTCTAACAATTAGCGGGTCTTCTATGTTCATATTGGATGTTTGTTGTTTCCCTCCGCAGATCAGTCGGCAACAAAAGTTCACCAGTAGCACTAAAACAATTCTTTCCAGATAAATAAGAAGAGAAATTGGGATTGTCGCCAGATAAGGTAGAAAGAGAAAGGAGAAAGACATAAAGAGGGAAACGAAAAAATGGGAGCTTTTTGTTTGTTTTTTCCCAATTTTCGCTTTTTTTGTTCTGTGACTTCCCTACTGTTGATGGAGAGAACCACCAAAATTACACTTCTGTTTCTGCTTTTGCCCCTGAATTCTTATTGCAGACGACCAAAAAGAATTAAATTATAAAAAATGTTTCAAGCGCTAGCAAGCAAAAGACTGTTACGAAGTACCATAAAACTCTCTTATGTAAAATACAGTCAACCACAACATCGTTTATCTATTCGTACTTATATACGACCTCACTATTACACTGACGTACAAAATACGACCTTGTCGAAAGCTTTACAGAAACAACGAGATCCCATACAACGATTCAATCGACAAGTCAATAATTTGGATCCCAATAAAGTACTCTGGACAGTTATCGGGACTAATGTTGGCGTATTTTTGATGTGGCAATATGCATACAGCACATACCGAACGTTTGGGGATGGCCATTGGCTCCAATTCATGACCAAACACTTTGCAGTTTCTCCTGAAGCAACTTCTAACGGACGCTATCATACATTGTTGGCCTCATGTTTTTCGCACCAACAATTGGACCATTTAGCAATAAACATGCTTGTATTGCACAGTATGGGCCAAGGAGTCCTTCAAGCGATTGGTGTTTCAAGATTTTTATTACTTTATGCTAGTGCAGGAATTGTATCCAATTTAATTGGTAATGGCTACAAAAAATACGTACGACCTTGGCTTGAAAGAAACCAGTTTGTATATAGCAGAAGAAAAGAGCTAATTAGATCAGTTGGTGCCTCAGGTAAGAATTGAGTAGGGCATTATTTGACGTGTATAATAATGTTATTCACACACATTGAAATAAATATAATAGGATCCATCATGGGCTTGATTACATTTTTCGCTTGTGCTTGTATGTCTGCACCCTTGCAATTGATCGATGTATATAAAGCTACAGAACTCTAACTTTAACACATGCTATTCTATAGTTCCAACATCTAAGTTTTTGATGTTCTTCATTATACCCATGCCAGCACCCTTAGTTGTGGGATTATATGCGGCATACGATATGTACAAAGCTACATCGTTGAATGTAATGTATAGACAGTTACGCTAATTCACCTTTACACAATGGAATCAAAGATCTCTAACATATCAATCTGCGTAATAGACGGGCATTGTAGATAGTGCAGCACATTTGGGTGGTATGGCATACGGGGCAGGATATTGGTTCCTGAGAGTTCGTCCTTTACTCAGAAGCGGTCGCTGGCGATTGTAAAATTTGAAATGGAACGGCAGGAAGAACACATCGCATCAGTACAAGTTGACTGGATATTAGGCTCAAAAGCTACTGTGATTAAATCGAATACCAACCATTTCGCTTGTATACCTTTAATTTTAAGTCAAGAGAGTTGATTATTGAGTATAGGCCTCCTTGCACTTTAAGTATCTTTATATTTGCTGTAATATAGTGAATATTATAAAAAAAGCTATGTGTGTGTTGTCAACAGTATTCAATCGAAGACTACGCTTTCCAAATGATTCAGTTCGCTAACAGTTGAGGTTGTCATCTTCTCTTCCAAAGAACCAGAGGTTAATTTATAGGCACTAGTCAATTTGATGAAATCACATTTTTTTGTTTACATTTGCAAAAGCGCATAGTAGCTGCGCTACTGCCTATGTCAGCTATTCGTTAAGGAAGGCCAGGAAGTATGTTTGGAATTATGCAGTATCGAATTAATTGTTGCAACAATCACAGGAAATGGTCCATAAGGCAAAGTGTAAGCCAATCCGGAAACAACTATTGCTATAACAGAAAGTTTTGTCCCCACTGCGAGCAGCTTGTTTGAACACCATAGATGGGCAGTCGAGATTCACTCACAATAGGACTCCTTTACATCTTTGAAAACTTGTATTACACTTTATTTTAAGTGGCCGTCTCGGATAGGATGATTTGCTGAAGCAATACAACAGGTTTGCGATATCATACTCCTTGGTGATACAGACGTGTATGTTGACCACGTGATTGCTCCTTCCATCTTTTGCGATATATTCTGAATCCTTTTACACAAGAGTCTATGGGTTTATCTCTATCGCTTACGAATAAAAAAAGGTTTGCGCCTTGGCTTGATGACTGTTTTGTTCACTATAGAATATTTGTTAGCAGATTGTTTTAAAGTATGCTCTCGAGATGGAGTATCTTTTCTGTTAATGATGAACTGACGCTCTAAAGCACACAGTCTGCGTTTAAAGCTCTTTACCTTTTGTGACTTATTCTACTCCTTGAACAATAAACACTACCAATTCTACAAACTATTTTAGCTGATTCAATGATAGAAGCCATAAGCGGATTGGCTTCTTCATTAACTTGTTCCGATATTCACTACTTGTATTATACCTGTCTTTGCGTTTGATCCTCTCTTAGCCTCCAACATTTTCTTTTTCAAAGCCTCAAAGCCATCATCAGGTTTATGTTTCTGGAACATGTCCCCATGGACTTATGTTATATGCTGTCTCATACTCAACCGGACTTAGAGTTTGGTACGCCAATTTATTTTCGGACCTGTCAAAGGCTTCTGAGAGCGATAGGAGTTGAAGTGGTTGTGCCCTCTTTGTGCAATTTTTGTGCAAAGATTTTTGCTTTCTTTGTCCTTTGACAAAACAGCTCCACTAAGTAAATCAATAAAAACTAAAGAAGAGAGAAAGATAACATCACTCGCATTTCATCTTATTTCATAACGTTCGATGGCTATCTTTTTCTTTGTGCACGAGCGTAACGGAAAATTTTTCTCCGGCGGGCCACAATACACAGATGCATTTGTTGCGACAGCGGGCTTATAAATGAGTTTTTTTTTATTGTTCTGTTGTTCCCGCTTCCCCCTCGGTTCCTTTTTGTTCTTATTCTGTCCTTTTAGTAGCTTGGCTTTATTTCCTCGTGAATGTGCAAGATGGATTCCATTCAGTCAATTCTACCTTATTTGATACCAACTGCTATTGCTGCTGGCACTGCTTATTACTTTATGAATAAGAACAGTAAAGCTCTACTTAAACGCTTCAAACTTTTGTAAGCTATGTTTACTGATACTCCATCAAACCTCCATAGATGAAACGCTCGACGTCAAAGTATTCAAGAAGTTCAAGTTAGCAGAAAAAATTGTTATTAATCATAATACAGCCATGTAAAATTTGTTGGAGTTCTATAGCCTCTTTCGAAGAAAGCATATCATTCATTGTCTAATCTATCATCTTGCGCCAAAATAGCTATCGCTTTGCTTTACCTCGAAAGGATGCTCGTCTTGGTCTTCCTATCGGTCAGCACATTTCAGTTATGGCTGAAATCAACGGTAAACAAATTTCTCGAAGCTACACACCTACAAGTTCAGATGATGATCTTGGTCACTTTGATTTACTCGTAAAGTCTTATCCTACCGGTAACATATCCAAGTTGTTCAGTGAACTCAAGATCGGTGATGAAATGTCTTTCAGAGGCCCCAAGGGTAATTTTGTGTATACACCCAATATGTGTAGAGAAATTGGTATGATTGCAGGTGGTACCGGTATTACACCTATGCTTCAAGTAAGTTGCAGATGATAGTTGAAAGTATAAAGCAATAAACGAGAAGGATGTATCTGTATCACGTTATTGATTGTATTGCTTCTTTCTCGGTAGATTATTCATGCTATTATAAAGAATCCCAATGATAAAACCAAGGTGAATCTTATTTTCGGTAATGTTACGGAAGAAGATATTTTACTTCGCGACGAATTGGATGAAATTGCTAAGAAGCACGATAATATCAACGTATATCATGTTTTGAATAATCCTCCTCCTGGTTGGACCCAGGGTGCGGGTTTTGTCACCGCTGACATGATCCGTGAGCATTGTCCTGCTCCTGCAAGTGACATTAAGATTTTGCTTTGTGGGCCTTTGCCTATGCTCAAGGCTATGACAGAACATCTTGTCGATTTAGGCTATGACAAGCCTCGTGCTTTGAGTCAGCTCGGCGATCAAGTCTTCAAATTCTAGAAGGCCTTCATCATATGCCTAATCTACTAATTCCTTGTAATATTATTACCTCATCATTATCTCTGTAATTAAAAAAAGTTGAGAAAACGTACGATTATCTCCTCTTTTCATTCATACCAGAGTGTTACCTGCGTGACTTCCAGGGCTTTTTTCTCTAATTGCATAAATTTCTGTGCGTAATTTGTTCAAATACTTTATTTATTCAAAAAATATACCCATACGTCCCTGGTTTTTCCTACACTTATAAACTAAAAGTATAAACAAAAACCAAAAAACGGAAAATGGAACCTTCAACTTTCGAAAAAATGAAAATGGGTGCTATGATGGGCGGTACCGTTGGCTTATGTATTGGTTTCGTTTTCGGTGGTATTAGCTTAATGAGGTAAAAAAAACCTGACTCATTCGTTCAGCAATGGCATCCACGACGACCTAGATGTTGATGTTGTAGTTACTCAAACTATTAGATTTGGATCCGGAAATAAGAGCCCAATAACAATGTTGAGCCAATATATGATAGGCTCTGCCGCGTCGTTTGGCTTCTTTATGTGTAAAGTATATCAGCGCATCACTGCTTTTGCTAAGAATTATACTAAGGTACACTTCTATTTGCAACAATAGCTATAGGATCAGTTGTTCGCTCAGAAGCACAAGGCTCATTACTTACTTACAAATTGAACAATTTGCCAGTTACCGTTAATAACCGTTCAGGAAAGACGAATATAGAGAAGAAATTTATATACGAGCAACTCACCAGGGACAACAGAAACTAGCAAGTTACTGTGCTCCTATCCCAAAATTGCTGGATAAACCAACATGTATATAGAATAAAGATACCATCTCAATGATAATGGCGAAAATCTTTCATGTGTTTTGGTTTCTTCGTAGTATCATCTGTCGAGTGAAAGCATAAGACGCCGACAAAAAAAAAAAAAAAAAAAAAAAAAAAGATGATCATGTTTAGTTTTGTACATAGGGAGAGATGGGTAATGAAAATTTGTAGGATAATTGTGTGTGTATATATGTACTATGGTGAACTCGTTAATGGTCAAATTATAAGGATAAATAGAGATGGGGGAATATTTGTTTGGTGTTAAGTATATTTAGTAAAATCAAGAAGGGATTCATGGGAGAAACTAGCATTATTATCTTTACTATTGTTTCCTGGTTTTGGATCGCCCAAGCTGGCTGCTGTAGACGCTGCTGATGCTGATGCTGCTACTGCTGCTGTAGTTGTCTTTCCTGCTAATCTTTCTTTCACCCGCTGTATTTGTCTAAGACGTTCTCTCCAGTGAGACACGTATTCTCTCTTTCCTCCTGCACTGACACTTTGCCAGAAGACCTGCGCAAAGATGTTGGCATGAATAGCCATTTGTCGCACAAATCCTGACAAAGATTGAGCACTCACCAATGTTGGTTTACTCAATGGGCCAATATCAGGCATATCCGGTCTACGCTGCATTTCTACTTTAAAGAAAGTATATTCTGCTCCAATTAATGCATGAGATGGCGAGACAGCCTCCGTCGATATCGAATGCGGAGATACCACAATGTTTATGAAATTGAACTGGGACGGTATGGTGTCAAACGCATATTCTGCGCCAGAATCATTATATACAATCGACACGTAATCATTGCCAATATGCCTTTTCTTTGCACTGCATTGAGGGTCCCTATCCAAGTTTGTTGGCATAAGTGTAGCTATATGGAAAACTGCTTCTGTGACATCATCTTTCCAAAAGTAAGCATATCGACCGTCAACATCCATTTCTCGGTCCAATCCACCCGTATTGCCCTTGAATCCTTTCAAGCGTTGAATGTTGCCCAATGAATTCAAAAATCTCACATAATCTGGTGATCCATAGGTGTTGGCAAGAATATCAACTTCATTTTTTTGATTTTTACCAACGTAAAGAACACCTATTTTGTGGAAGTCAACTACTGGAATACGATCAAATGTTGCCAATGTCCGTGCTGTAGCTTCATCATCTGGTAAAGGTGGAGAGATCTCCATTGACCGAGCAATATCAGGGTAATTATTGATTTGCAGATATAAAAAGCCTGGGTCAATGGTATGTTCTATTTTTCGTGAGTAAGAAACTGAGCTGTTCAAAGAAGGGTTGGTATCGTTGCATGCTTTGGGCTCTGACAGAATCTCGTGTATAGTTGAGTCAATAGCTTTCGTAGGCACTGTGTTCTCTTTGTGGGTAGCGTGGTCTGTAAGTACCGATGAGCTAGGTGAATTGATAACGTCAATTTCAGATTCTTTATTGATGCTGTCTTTAACATGTCTTTGCGACACAGAAGATTGTCGGCTCATAGCCAGGTGAGGTGATGCTGTGCTCTCTGGAGAGTCAAGCGACCCTGGAGTGACTGTTCCTGTACGTTCAACATCTACAATGAAGGTCAAAAATGAATGAGATTGTTTGACTAGCATTGTGAGCATACTTTAACTTTATTTTGATCTTATACCTTGCTGTGTAATATCGCCAAAAGTGATACCCAAAGCATATCCTCGGTTGCTTGTATCTGTTTGTTCCTCTTGATTGACTTGATTGTCTTGATTGTCTTGATTGTCTTGATTGTCTTGGTTACTTCCATTCTCCTTGCCTGTCTCAGTGGTATTGGCTACTGCCTGCATTACCTTCATATCGGCCTCTTCTTCTTCCTTTCTGTCTTTTAAAATCTTTGCTGCCATCAAATCAGGCTGATATTGCATCATTAACAATGCAGGAAGTGTACGATAATCTATCTCGTTGGATTTAAGTTTATTTTCGATGTAGCACATCATCGAAACTGTACCAGAAGGTCGACGAATAGTGATCTCTATCCAACCTGTCGATTTAGCTGTTTTTAATGTCAATAAAGTATGCCCATAAACCCATGTACGCTGGCTTCGCTTTATAGACGATCCTTGTTGTTGTTGTTGTTGTTGTGATAATTGGGTATTCGTACCATCGCCATCACCCATCAAAATTTTAGAAACAATTGATTTCTCAGGCGCTAGACTGACATCGGCAAAAGTAAATCGGGAAAGCATATCGATACAAGTGTAGGTCTGCTCGTCTATCGATTTACCCATTGATATACCGCTTAATAAGCGTTGAATGATAAAAGGCACATGCTTGCGTCGTTCACGAAGCGGAATGGATGTAAACCAGACTGTGATCACCAAATACGCCATGGTTAATACATACTGTTTTAATGCATCTTGGCTCACTTCCTTTTGAGATATGCCTTGAGTCAACAAAGGTGAAGCAGAAGGCGTGCTGAGAGGTGATGGTTGTTGTTGTTGAGAATGTGAGTGTTGCAAATAGTTCAATGCAATGGCAAATACAGGCTTATACATGTCTCCTGTGAAATTGGCGTATAAATTTGGTAACCTCGCCAGGGAAGACAGGAATTCAAGAATATGAACTGATACGCTGCCTACAGAGATGATTTGTGACATACGCTGCAAGATCTCGTTCAACATCTTCGTTACTGATAAGGGCATTTCATAACAACAAACATTGAGAGAATTGATACAGAGTCGCGTGGCACTCGTTACCTGCATGATGCCGACATAGAAAGCATATACAATTTCATCCTGATCTTGTTTTGGTTCGGTAAATATGCGTCGGTAGGAAATCATGACTGTTAATAAACTGTAAGCATGGACAAGCAGATCATTGCGTTTGATGTTAGCAGGTAAGTTAGTGACCGATTCTAGAAATTTGCGGCTACTTGTCCATCTTACAAGTCGTCGGCGAAGTTTGTTTACATAATTGGAGGCACCGCAGAATAAGTGCTTATTACTCAATTGCTGTGGTAATCGTTTCAATACAAATGATATAACAGTCCAGTTTGGTGAATGTGATAATATTCGTATATAAGACCTTAGCATTTCATCCATATCCAATACAGCCTCATTCTCACTGGCTGTATGCTCACTGTAGGATACAATATTTGGTGCGGGAAAGAACGTTGTTGTGCTGTTTTGTGTACTGGGCAGCGGCATTTTCTCGTCTATTGAACGTTGCTTAGCAGGTGTAACAGAAATAAAAGTGTTGATCTTCTTTTTTTGCTCCAATTCCGCCCTTCTTGTTCGCTGCTTAGACCGTACAAAGGCAATGACACCATCAACTTCCTCTACACCTGTTTTGACAAACAAAATATAGTGTTAGACATCGGGAGGTTTTAAAAACAGCTGTTATTTTGACTTTGGTCTAAATGCTCAATACAACTATTACTTACAATCTTCAATAAGATAGAGATGATGATTAGTAGGGCATCTTAATCTCAACAATAAATCCAAGGCTATGATTTTTGGGCCTCCATAAGGGCAGAAAAGATCCGCTCGATCATTAGCAATCTCTGTGATAATGTTGAATGTTTTTGCACAATATTTCGCATTTGATGTTGTTAACAAATTCTCAAAAAGCTCTGTAAGGCCGCATGCAGCAGCAATGCCCTTGCAAATTTCGCTTTCGGACAGCGCATCCGAATCAATATCTGTGATAAATGCAATATCAGTAGCAATCTTTTGCTGTTGTTGTTGCTGTTGTTGTTGTTGTTGTTGTTGTTGTTGTTGTTGCTGTTGCTGTTGCTGTGGTGCTACTAATGATTGTTGAGAGATGGAACCACCTGTTAGTGGCGTGGTAAATGATGAGGGTGCTGTTACAGTATTTGATGTTGCTGTGGCTCGGTGTATCTGTGGTGAGTGAGGAGAATGCGACATGCGCATGTTAGAGACTTTAACGTTAGGAACAGGCGAATTGTAATGGTGATGGTGATGATGATGCTGGTGCTGACGCTGAGTCTCTTCTGAATTCACACATTGACAGCGCGTACATTTCTGTAATATGGATATCAGCTTGTCAAAAATTTGGTCATTTTGGCAATCTGACAAGGAGGATATTAATAGATCTATGGCTGTTTGTCGAATATTGATATCTGTTTCTGAGGGTAACATTTCCATCATAGGAATAACGATATTTTCCAAAAGGACTTCGGAATAAAAGTCCTTAACGGCTGTGTATATATCTGACACAATATTGAGCATTGTCAATCTTAGGGTAGATGTTGTTGTTACTGAATTTGCATGAATATAAAATGTGGTAGCGATTTCTTTCAGCAATGTCAGCCAATCATGGCTAGAAGGTAAAAATGAATGTTCAGTAACATAGTAATTTAATAATAACGTCGCTGTTGTGTCAGAGCAGAAGGTACGTAGTTGATGCAGGACCTGCATGAATCGGAATACAGGCCCTTTGTAATTTTTCTCGTTGTGTAATTTTATCAGTAAATCAACAAATATCGAAAATTGTTGGATGCAAAATGAGCTTGAGGTAGCAGCAGAGGCTATATTGAACAACTGAACATCGTTATTGCTGTTATTATCTGTTATTTTGAGGATAAATCGCGTGATGACATCAACAATATCCCAGAATACTTCCCATTCCATTAAACCGAGGTTAAAACTGTCTGATTTCAATAAGGGTATCAAGCATTTCAAAATCGTGCCATTGAGCCCGTCATTCTCCTTTGAGGCAGCTCGTTTAAAATACATCAGAATGACTGAATCTGATACTGTGTACGTCTCTGCTCCTGTTTTATCATTCCTACCCCAGGCTGTTTCGCTTAAAAGAGTGATTGCTCCTTTCATAATATCCCTCGAATCTTTTCTCGATGGCTGCTGATCCAGTAATCGGCATAAGCTTAATATAGCAGAGTGAGCACAATGTGATCTGAGTAAGTTATGGAAAATCGGCCAAGAAGTCAGCAAATTGCCTGACTTTGTTCTTTGCTGAGAATCCGGCAAAATAACAATCGATGCAGCAATCATTTGTAAGAATGGCGTCAATGCTTCGAATGGTACAAATCGATATCTAACTACAATATCAGCAAATTCCAAACATGCTTGAATATCACCTGTGTGCTGTGAGCTAAAAAATGCTTTATGGGTTGCAAGTATAACCTGGGCGACTTCATCCTCTTCAAATATGGCAAAATTAAACTTTGCTATCACTGTCAACAGATGTAGTACTTCACTCAACCAAGGGATTGGTTTTTCAGCTATCTGCGGTTGTTGCTGCTGTTGTTGCTTTTGCTGTTGTAAGGCGATTTCCATCCAATGTATTAACAGTTTCGAAATATTCTTTTCAAAGCCTGAAATATCTCTGCCGCCTTTGCAAAGTGCATATAAAACCTTATACATATCCTCAAAATCTTCCCAAAGTGTATAGGCCCTTAAAGAAGCATAAAATGTCACACGTGCCATACCCAAATCAGCATATTGTCCTGTTATACAAGCAAGCATAAATTCAAAAACGGTATGGCGAGCTTCACGGGGCATAGTGGGCTTTAAAATATCTTCTACGGTGAAAAATACATTCTCCAAATGAGTAAAGCGATAAGATTTGCAAATGTTGGCAAACGCTGTCAGGTGTTTACAACGAGACTGCATTGGTTGAGTTTGCTCAAGTAGTGGCAAAATCGGTCGAGCGTCTAAAGGTTGGCTGATGTCTCTATGCGGTAGATTCAGACAAGATTCAACGGTAATTGACGATGCACGTGGTCGAAGTATATTGCTTAACCAGTGATTGGTACTGGATTGCTTTTGCTGATTTGTAGACATGGTACTTTTATAATTGTGAACGATATAATAAAAAGTCAGAAGAGAAGAAGTGGGAAGGAAGAAAGGTTCCTCTAACTTGTTTCTTCTTTAGGTTGCTATTTGATTATGGTATAATTGAAAATTTCAATATATTTTACTGCTACAGTGTTTTTCTTCGTGGTGGAGACGGGTCAAAATATCACTACAGACAAAGTAAAATGGATGTTTAGAATTCCGTAGCAAATTTACGAGCCGCCACTACAATTTTATAGATTTTTTACCTGTAAAATCGAACCAGCTTTCGTGCTGGTGATTGGTAGGATGCTGTCTGAGTGAGGCCTTTTCGGTGAAAGTTTTAATCATTATAGAATGAAAACAAATTGAATCTGTCAATATGAATAAAGTACAGAGTGTTTTATTCACGGAAACAGTAATTACATTGCTTATTTTCGGATCTCTTATTTAATGTAAAGCTGTCGGCTAAGCAATTGACAATAAAACTATAGCTGTAGGATAAATTAAAATGTCCAACAGCAACAACTACACCTTGCGAAGTGTCACATCTGTAACTTAGCGCTAAGCATGAGATGAGAAGAGCTATCAGATACGCGCAAAATTCTGGCTTTGCTGTCAAAACCATCATGAGAGGCGATGCATCCATGTTGATAAATTGCCATATTCACGGTCTATCTCTGTGAGGATAACATGAAGAAGACAAAAGATACTACGCTGCAAGGTATGGCAGCACTAAAGCATGAGGTGGAATGCCATACTCCGGAGAGCCAATAACTGCCGGACTGACAAGAAATTACAAGAATGGGCAGAACGATGCGATTTAATTTTGTCAAAACAACGGGGTTTGGGGAACTGTGAAATATTCAAAGGCACGGTCTGCCTGGGTATATCGTAAAAGGATATGTCAACTTAAACAAGGAATATACAGGTACCAAAAGGTACCTTGAAGTAATAAGCTACAATTTGCAACTCACAATTAGTTGTTCTTTTTCTAAATAATGCACCAATATTAGACAGGGTTCACTGACCATTAGCTATAATAACAGTACAGAATTGGCCCGTTTAATGAGTTCCCCATATTTTAATGTGAAAAATTACTTAGTGTAAACGTATTTCCGGCGGTTTTTCCGGTGTGCATAATTTCTCCCTTATGCTCTCCTTGATATATTTATATCACCTGCTTCATGAATAATAAACATATCTTTTTACTGAATTATCACACGGCTTCCTTCACTCCTATGGTGCAAGAAACCATCGCTATCAAAAATATTGCTGTAGCGGCTAATTTAGTCAGAGATGCAATTGTCAAGACTCTCCAAACTACGGCGACAAAAAAGCAGAAAGCTATCGGAATAGTTGCTGCTATCCTCGTCTCTTGCTATATCATAAGAGATCGTATTCTCAAACCGCCTAAGAGTCTGCGTCATTTGCGTTATGAGGGATTTTTTCAGGTTCTGAAGTCTATTTTTAACAATGAATCGTACTGGGATCGAGCTCACAGAAGTATTCTACCGATTATCAATAAAGAAGATGAGAATGGTCTTTACGTAGTAAGCTATGAAAGTCATTAGATTTTCACAGTATTCACTGCTCTAACAGTGCGTATATCTGTTTGTAACATAAAGCGTCCTGGAACAAATGGCTGGGAAGTCCATGTGACAAACCCTGCGGCTGCCAAGCTTATTTTATACAAACATGGTTAGAACAGGTTTCGCTCATATGAGAGCGTGAGCGTAATTATGTAAATTGCTCCTTACTAATAACAATTTGATAGACAAATTTCCCAAGAGAGAAATCCAAGAAAAGAATAAAACAACCACACTCCTCCCAAAATTTGTAGTAGGCGGTAGAAATATAGTCTTCCTTAATCACCAGGAATGGAAGGCCCAAAGAAAGATTGTTAACCCGGCGTTCCATCGTTCTGCACCAGTAAAGTTGTTTGGCGAGTTGACTGTAGAACTCTTTCGCGTCATGGACAAGATGAATGAAGACACCATTGATGTAGGTGATATAATGCAAAGATTGACTTTAGATGTTATCGGCAAAGCAGGATTCGGTACTCTTCTCGTTTAGTGGAAATAACGCCGTAATCATACATTTAAGTTAACTGACTTTATTGTGTTGTATAACAATAACAATTATAGGATTTGATTTTCATGCCATCAGCCAAAAAGACAATAAGTGGGTCAAAACTTATAACTCTGTGATCAGCGGTATTCAAGATCCACTGTATGCTATATTCCCCATTCTTGATCGCAAATTTCTGTGGCTTTTGCCTAAACGTAGAAAAGTTCATGAGGATCTTAATCGTTTCTTAAAAATGCTTGAAGAGGTAATCGAGGTGAAAAAAATGGCTATCAAAAATGGTGACACTCAGAACAAAGACCTCGAAGAAAACGAAAAGGATCTTCTTACCTTAATGATTGAAAGCATCAACAGAGGAGAAGGCGTAATGACTGACACAGAATTGAAGGTAGTAGGCTGTTTGTACATGGCATCGATCAACAACGAATAAATGCAAGACATACCCTAACTTTAGCGTCATGATTCCTTTTTGTAGAGTAACCTCAGCTTGTTTTTCTTAGCAGGTCATGATACTACATCTAACACACTTTCGTTTGTTATTTACTATCTGGCGAAAAATCCTGTGAGTGGCATGCTTTTTAACAGTAACTGCAACAGTTGAAATACTTACAATGACCATTGGCTTAGGAAATTCAACAACGCGCTAGAGAAGAGGCTGAAGAGATTCTGGGTAAAGGCCCTGGTGATGTGTTGCCTACGCTTGAGCAAACAAAAGCAGCCACATACATTGATCACGTAATGAAAGAGGTATATTCAATTTTAAGATAATACATACTATTAAAAGCATATTGTAGTATAGTTTAAAACCCCAACTCACATAATAACAACAATATAAAAAGACACTGCGCATTAATGGCCCTGTCACGCAAATTTTCCGTACAAGCACTGAAGATACTGTACTGTCAGGACAATTCATACCGAAAAAAACGGAAATTGTTGTTGATATATTCAACATTCAGCATAGTGAAAAGGTTTGGAAGGATGCTGATGAATTCAATCCTGATCGTTTTGCTGAGGGTGGCGAGGGTGATTTAGCTACTCGGGAAGGCCTCGCATGGTTGCCTTTTGGCGGCGGCGCACGTCAATGTATTGGAATCAATTTCAGTTTGACGGAGCAAAGAGTATTTTTATTGATGTTGCGTAAGTTTTTATGGAAAGACGCCTTAACTGTAATTATCCTACGTGACTAATGATATGTATTAACACAGTGAGAAAATTTACCTGGAGTTTACCCGAGAATTCAAAGCACAAGAACAACGTAATAAGCAAGGGAATCATAATCGGCCCTGATCAGTTATATGTCATCTTTAAGAATAGATACTGAGCACTTATACATGGCCTATAAATACTAGCTTTAAGGTTTTCTTGAATGCTACGCAATCACTTACTATTCATACTATATGCTCAATATTATACTTTGCTTATACTCAAAATTAAATGCTCATAAAAAGCCAATAGTTTCTATCGCAATGTTCATGTCGGAAGTAATTTCATTGGATGCGCCGCGCAAACTTGATTTGACGTTGGCACCTTTATAAAGGTGTCAGCAGCATTTTTACAAATGCCTGCTTTTCTGCTGTTTGCCTTAAACCGTAATCAATACTCGCTTATTCAAACATGGATCTTGGAAGCTCTTATGGACTTGGTGGGCCTAACATTACAATTAGAGAGCTAACCAAAGATCGTATAAACTTCATTCTAAGTGATACTGATCTTAGGTAACAATTTTCACTTAATTCAAATTTTATCGTAAAATCGCACGAGAGGTTGCCTTATTGACTTTACTCGTGATTTAGTGTTGCCAATGCTCTTCGTCGAGTTATGATCGCCGAAGTACCAACAGTTGGTAAAAGGATACATTTATGGCAATATTTCTTCCATCGCTTACAACTAATGATCTTTTTCGATGTTAATCTTGACCTCAGCGATTGATATGGTAGAAATTGAAACAAACACAACTGTGTTAGCCGATGAATTCATAGCACACCGTCTTGGTTTAGTACCAATTGATAGTAGAGACGTTGATAAATTACGTTATACCAGAGTATGATAATGCGATTCCTCAATACAAAGAATATTGTTGTACACATGGAAACTGAAGGGAAATTCTTCCGTTGCGATTTAGGATTGTACATGTTCACAATATTGCCCAGAATGTTCAGTGGAGCTGACGCTTCATGTTAAATGTACTGATGATAGAACAAAGGATGTAACAACCAGGGATTTGACGTCCTCAAATCCTTCCTTCATGCCAGTTGTACAAGGTAACTTATTATGGCTGAAGATTGCTTTACTGGAATGTTCATAATTGCTAACATCTCTTCTGCAATTCAGATAAAGACGATGCAGGCGTGCTTTTAGTGAAGCTACGTAAGGGGCATGAATTAAAATTAAAGTGTATAGCAAAAAAGGTAATATTGATGGCGTTTGAAAGGTAATTGAAACCGAAATGGTTTTATACTAATGCCTCTTAATACAGGGTGTTGCAAAAGAGCATGCAAAATGGAGTCCTGTCAGTGGTGTGGCCTTTGAATATGACCCATACAACAAACTACGACATACAACATTTTGGTTTGAAGAAACTGAGGATGAATGGTAAAATGATATAGTGGAACGAGTGACCTGATGGTAAAGAAAACATCTAATGCTTTATTTGCACCATTGTAGGCCACTGAGTAAAAACGCGCAATATGAAACACCACCCGATAAAGATGCTCGTAAGTTGCCATAACGAATCGCGATTTATTACAGACCATAATACTTATACTTTGCCGTCGTCACAGCTTTCGATTATAACGCTAAACCCGATAAATTTTACTTTGAAGCAGAGGTAATTTTTTATAATCAATAGAATTTGTGTATCTTTCAGCTTACATACTTTATTATATTTAGACGGTTGGTTCTTTAGCACCCGAAGAAGTTGTGACGATGGCTATGAAAACACTTGTAGATAAGCTCGCGTATGTACAAATGCAAATTCAAGAGGAAGTGGATAATAAGGAACAAGATAGCGCCAATCCTTGGGGCGGTTATTAATTGTTAGTGCATTAGGATTGCTTAATTATGTACAAAGTCATTAATGAATTAAAAAAGTAAAGCACGAAAGCATCACACGTATTACACGTACGCACATCATTATGTGATAGTTTATTAAAGATTAAATGTAATTTGACATTATGAATACATTCGTTATGACTTATGCGGATAAAGTAAGACTACTGGGTTATTTTCTAATGATTAAAATTGTTATTTGCTGATAATAGAAGGATGATGCTCTTTGTAATATGCTACACTTAATTTGATGCCTTCATCAAGGCCGACTTGGGGCTCATAACCCAATAGAGTTCTTGCCTTGTCAATGTTGAAGTAACGTGATGACATAGCTTGTTTGATTCTAGCTCTGGATAAACCTTCCTTAAGTTGGCTCTTATCCCAAATTAATTGCTTAATACTGAAAATAGTTTCGCTAATGAGGGCAATGACCGTACTGGCGCCTTTAGATAAGATAACCTTCTTGTCGTTAGGCATGTAGTGACCATATTCAGCCCAAACCCTAGAAGCAAAATCCCAGAAAGGCACAGGTGTTCCATTTGTCAAATTAAAAGCTTGGCCAGCAACTCCAGAACCAGGAATAGCCAATTTCTCAGCAGCCAGTACATGAGCATAAGCAATATTACCAACATAGGTAAAATCCATCAAGGACTGGTTGTTGCCAATTTGGAAACGATGTTGGCCTCGTTCACATACTTCAATCATACCAGGAATAAGTTGCCTATCACCTGGGCCGAAAATAGCTGAAGGGCGGATAGTGCAGGTTAGTAATCCTCTTTCGCCATTAGCGGCTAATACCACCTTTTCACATTCCATCTAAAAAATTAGCCATAGAAACAGTTAATACTCATCAACCATCATTTGCTGTACCCTTCTCTCGATCCACTCAGAGAGCGCCCACTTTATTACCTTAGATTCAGTATAGACATCGATTGCCTTTTCTGGATAAGGTGTATTTTCATCAATATTAACCATAGGCTCACCATTAGAAATAACACTTCCAGAGCTTGTCACAACGAGAACCTTGATGCCCTTTTCCTGACAAGCTTTAATAACATTTTTGGTACCATCCACATTAATGCCAAAATACAAGTCTCTAGGTGGATTGCTCGAATTCACGTGAGGAGGTGAGGCAGTATGAATGACAGCCGTGATGCCTTCGAGTGCACTGTACACATCATCGAACTTGCGCAAATCACCTGTGAAATATTTTACATCGCTTTGAGGCTCCTTAGGTTCGGAAATGTCAAATACTGAAATAGTAGAGCCATCTTTACGCAAACGGATCTGCTCTATAACATGTTGACCCAAGAAGCCATTACCACCGATCACCAAGTAAGAATGCATGTTGCAAAATTTCGAAGCTTCTGACTTACAGTGAAAATGGAAGGGAAAAAGCTTGTGCCGCGTTCTCTTTCCTCTCTCGTTACACTTTCCCCTTTTCGCAGAGGCAAGTTTGTTTAAGCGGCGCATTATTTCGATAGCTGTGTGCATCCCCGCAAACGTTGCCTACTACATTATTAGTTGTCCTCGCTGGACACATTATCACTAAACACGGTTTTCTCATGCCATTTAGCTGATTCTCTATAAATATCACAATAAACATATGAAGTGAAACTCTAGCACTAACCCTTTTTTTTTGAATTGTAGTAGCTCATAAAATCTATATAGCATATAGTATTAGTAGCTTCTGAAGGCACTCCTTCGCCAAGTAGCTAAAATAAGAACCCAAGTAAAATCTTCAATTTTTATTTTCGTGTAATCACAAAATCTGTAAACTGGAACTATTCATATTGGTTCATCTGGTTTTTTTCTTTTCTTTTTTTTCGTTTTGCCTTAAAGGAGCGTATGCGCGTATATACATATATGATAAGTCCTGCCTTAAATTGCCGATATTCTACTACTCTTCACGTTTATGCATGATCATCGTCACTCTCATCTGTATCATCTGTTCGTGCCGCTTTGGCTGGGTATCCGTCCGCATTGTCCCCCATCGTTCTCTTTACTACATCAGAGCCTGATTTGTCTTTGTATATCTTTAATCTGTATGTACCATCCAACTTAGCAACTGCATCTGACTTTGTTTTGGCATATTCAATTTTCTGCAGTGTATATTTTGTAAATGGTGTTAGAATTACCTTCAAGCTTGGCTTCAAGCCTGTGTACTGCTTCTAAAAAGTATAAAAGGCTTACCAATGGTTTGCCAAAAAAGGTAAATCCATTCAAGCTTCTTTTGGCTGTGGTTGCAGAAGCAATATTATCATAGACTACAAAAGCCTGCTCTCGCATTTTGTCCGTTTTTTTAGCAACGATGTCGAGAATTGGTCCATAAGTTGCGAACAACTGGTATAAGGATAACCTCAGCTCTAAATTTCCGCGTTGGGAGGGTGAGTTACCAAATCCAATTGAGCAAAAACATGAATCACTGTTACCTTCTTTATTCACTCGACCGTTTATATTACTGATGTAAAGTGTTTGATTCGGATCGATTGTACTCATTCTTGATTATAGCAGTAAAGAATGATTTAATCGCACTTTTGAGATAATCGTTTTTTAATGTCTCACTGCATGCTGTGACGCGACGATATATTCATTTTCAAGTCACAACAATTTCTCGTCTGTCTTCGGAGAATGTGTGCTTTATCTGCAAGCCGTTATGTAAATTTGCAGTATCAAAATACGTCGAATCTTATCTATAATAGGGGAAAAAGCTACGAAATGGATGAATATCCACTTTTATAAGTCGCAACAAAAACAAAAATACAAGGACCTATTCAAGCAGCTTGATTTAGATCTAGAATCTTTCAATGTCTATTCAAAAATGATATTAAGTGAACAGGAACATCAAATATCGAAAATATTCGAAAAAATAGAGGAGAAAATCCTTTGTATATTAGTTTTGGAGGGTACAATACCCATCTTCTTCATCATATCACAATGCTGCTGGTATTAACGATGTATATCAGGTACAATAAACGCTACAGAATGTTTAGCGACACCCTCTCCTTGCCGCTCAGTTAAAATGATGAATTAAATTTCTGAGATATTGAAAAGATATCAGTTACGTTTCATTTCAAGAGTAGTTCTTCGTTTCACATTTATAATACCTTGACCAGCATTGCTTATGATTATTACGTATGACACAATGAAGGTACAGCGAAGAAAGAACAAGACAGAAGGCTCTTCATTTAATTCAATTATGATTTCATCAGTTTAAGGAAGAAAAGAAACCGATTGCTGGCTACTCTTCAAACTCACTCAAGATTTCAATATGTATTAACCTTACAGATACTGCATCAATATATGCTCTTGCTAATTTGCTCCACTATTCTTCTGCGAACCATTTATTAGTATCAAAGTGCTGCTCATTACATTGTCTTATGTAACTAGCTCAAATTATGTTGGTAGACGCATGTCTGAAACGTTCAGCAATTACGTACCAGTTGAAGGCTTATACTGTAGTTAAAGGAAGACGACCGAGCAACCCTTTGTTCAATGACTGTACTGTAAATACATTCAAAAAATTTTAGAATGCATGTAGAATATGTAGAAAAGCTTTGAGCTACTTTTCTAATATTTGTTCGGGTATATTATTGGATGTGTCTCTTTACTTGTACTCAATACATCATGTAGGAATACAAAATCTATTAATTACAAATTCAATTTATAAATATAGATATTTACAAAAATGATGGTATACGATGATTGATGGTTGAGATTTTGTTATGTGGAATGATAGAACCTAAGTAAAGTGGGAAAGAAAAGAGAAGGTCAGAATGAGGTTCAATTATTTGAAAAATATGCAACAATTCATGCAAGCACTCACTTCTTATTGATCAGATATATTAATAGATTGACGTTGACTGTAGCCATTCCATCTAAAACTTTCATTGTTTGTATACCTTCATATTGTGTCTGTAGCAGATCCTCGTACTGCACATCTACATGCAAATCCTGGTTATGTGACAGTGGAAAATATCCCTCAAATGTAATGATACCAGCACGATCCATTGACAAAATAATAGTGATACGAGCATAAAGCTTCTTTGGTACGCCAACCAAATCAATGATAATGCCCCTGTCATAAAGCGCCTTTGCTGTGTATTTGAAAGAGCCGAATTTTGGCACCAATCCACGACGCTGCAAATTCTTCATATGGAAATATTGTTTCGTAAAAGGAAATACAAACTTCTGCTTCTTTCCTCGTTTTTCAGCCATGTTTTTCATACAGCCGTCAAGATATTCTTTGTAACTAGCGCCTTGATCGACTAAGAACTGCTTTTTCTCCTGCAGATGTTTGAGAATGTTTTGAAGTTTCTTTATCTCGGCGTTACGAAGCTTTCGTCGCTCGCCCTTCTTAGTGATATCAACAGCAATCATATTGATAATGCTTTGATATCCAGGACTTTCTGGTATAATCCCATGCTTCATCAAATGGTTATGAAGTGTAAAGGTAAAAGACTTGAGCTTCGAAAAGCTTAACCTACAGAATTTATATATAATGCATTCAATATTAAAAAAAGCGATATTCGAGCAATTAGCGATTAAGGTATTGCCAACTCACTCTTTAACGTCCATTGAAGCATTCTGATAGCCGAACTTGAAATGCCTTTCGCGATTCGCTCTTTCCATTTCTTGTTCAGAACCCTCTGAAGGGAAAGCTTGCTCACGTACCAGCTTCCAAATATCTTCATGCTCTTCTGTTACAGGTTCCTTGAATATATCTTCTAGAGTCGGTCCTGATTGGACTTGAATGACCAGCATCACTAATCGCTTTGTATCCAAAAGAAGTTTTTTTATATCACCGCCTGCTTCTGTAGGTATATTTTCGCGACGATCACTCAGTTCAAGACGGAGAACATGCAAAGGTGCACTTGCTTCAAAGTTTTTAGGGGCCTCGCCCAACTCTGCTAAAATAGAATGCAAAATGCCAGTATTGTTTCGTTCGATGAATTCAACATTTTCTTCCAGTAGTTGATGAATATGGTACAACTCAACAGGATGAACATATACTGTGGGCTTTTGTGTATTTGTATAATCTGACAAATGATCCATACCGAAATGCTCTTCTGGATCTTCTACATCGGTCAAGTCTAAAAACCACTGTGTAAATCTCTCCGAAGCTTGTTGCATGTATTCATTCAAAGCATTGAGCTGAACATTATGCGCATCGAAACCTTTTCCGTTGGAAATATGTTGTAACATTTTAGAAATCTCTGCAAGATTTTTTCGTTGTCCTGTGGTAATGTCGTGACCCACTGTCACATATTGCTCAGGTGCTGTGATGACTGGGCTGAGATATCTGTAATAGATAAAGTTACCAAGAATTTTTATGATTTCTTCAGAAGGCTCTTCAGGGAAGTTGTCTTCCATGACTAAACGAAGCTCCCTAGCAATGACCCGCATGCCATATGGCATTGTCTTGACGGTCTTAATGATAGCTTTCAAAAACTCCTCTGTGATGTTGCGAAGTGAGGCAAGATGTTCAGAAAGAATACGTGTAACATCAGGCTCCTGAAGTGCTTGTGCTAAGGTAATGTCATACGGTCTTTTTGATGGCTGACCAGATGCTGATTCTTCTTGACTGATACATTTCTTATATATGATCATAGGATTTGTCTCCAAATCGAGGTCATTGTCATTTAATACCTTGTCAAATAAGTCTTGGAAAAGAGAAGAAAAGAATTCTCTTTCTTTCGCACCACGGTTGACTTGAACAACAAGCTTCATAAAGGTATAGTTGCCTCGCATAAATTCTTGAGGATTTTTTACGTGCTTCATCTCTTGTACGATACAGGCCTTGCATAAATTGATCAATAGGCATTCTTCACGGGCATTAGTGCCATAACCAAATAACGCGAGGACAGTAGCATCTACCTTACGTTCGCCCTTTTTCTCAGCTTGAACTTGGCCACCAGCAACAGACATAAGGCGTGCTAGATAAACAGGTTCAGTTTGTAGTAAATAAACAAGCTGCTGATATAATTCTAATTTTTCGCGATGGGATTTGTCCACACCACGCAAATCATACGGATTACTGGAGGCACTTGAGGACAGTATCTGAGAGAATCGTTGTTGTCGTTGCTTTTTGCGTGTATGACCGAAAAAGGCATTACTCAATTTCACGACTTCATCCAGGGTGACAGCATTTTTAACCAACAGTGCGATTTGGATATCGATCATTCTAGCTTGACTGTCAAGTTGATTGTTCTCTTGAATGGATTCAATTACCTTTTGACGTAAATCTTCAATAATAAGATCTTCGTCAAAATCGACGTCGTTATTGCTGAGCATATGTAGAACACTTTTAACAACGCCCACAGAGGGGTTTTTTTCATATTTCAAGCGTTGATATGCTTTTTCATGAAGTTGTGCTGTATATTTGCCCTCTTTTCTTAAACGACCGGCATGTAATTCATATTGTTGAATTTGATGATATTGCTGACTCAGTTCTTTCATGGCTAAATGGCGTCGAATCATTGCTTGCAATGCTATAACCCAGTCTTCTGGACTTGCAAAATAGTCCAGCTTCTTTTCGCCAAAGCGACGATGATTGAATGCAGACTGGATGCGTGCGTGCATTGCCTGAACTGTAGCTGGTACTGATTGATATCGACGCTCATGTTGGATCTTTTGTAATTTATTGCGAGCCATATAGGTACGAACACAGCCTTGCACTGCAACCAATACCTTTTTATTCTTCGGCGCAGCAAAATGGTTCTCTAATGTCTCAATTCTTTCCTCTATGTCGTCGTAATCATGATCAGGTACGTCCAAATCGTTGTCAGAATCTGAGCTACAGGTGAAAGAATCGCTGTCGGCATCTGTTTTAAGAATCAAGGTGATTATCAGCAAAATTTGCAAGTTAAAATATGTTTCTGTGTATCAACACACCTAAAAATGTGAGTCTCTGCATAGTAGGTACTGATATGCTCTCCTGTTCATCACTGGAAGAGGATTTTGATTCTGTATCCGAGTCATACAAATCTGTCATCATCAGGAAATCCTTTGGCTGTAGTTTACCTACTTGTCGTGTTTTTGGTATGACTTCATTACTATCATTTATCACAGCATCATCTATAGGTTTAAAAGCAAACCGTGATCTTTTATTTCCATTCAATTCCTTCTGCATTGATAAACCGAGGTTGCTGAAGTTTGGCATGGTTGCGCCTGACATTTCCAAATTACGTTGAGTGGCTACCAAGACAGCCTCTGAGAAGTTGAGTTCGCCGTTCAAATTTCTAATTTTAGGTGCTGAATCATTTGAATAAAGCCAATGACTAATGTTTTCAAAAGAGCAAGAGTTTAAAGCTGGTTAATTACTCTTTTTCGCTTCATTTTACTTGGTTAGTTTTTTTTTTTTGTTTTGTTTTTTTTTGTTTTTTTGGTATACCTAAGAGCATGAATACAGTAAATCACCTTGGGTATGTTTTTTTGATCGTATAAATCAACAAACTCGAACCAAAAAATAGAAGGCAACCTGACTTCCTTCAACACCTGCAGAAATGCATTGATATTGTTTGAACGTAGAAATTTGAATTTTTCATCACTCGAAATGATGCTGTTGATAATTCCTGGGTGAATTCTTCGTGCTAGTTTGGCAAGTACAACACCATCATGCAGTGTTTTTTCTATTTGCAGAATAGATGCTTCTCTATCATCGTTGTTATCAATCCTTTCATCCAGAAAATCTTCAATCCATCTGGTGACACGTACACACAACCGCAAGAATTTACAAAAATAAGCATTACTAAATTAAGACATTGTTTTTCTCTTTGCACTTTCTAAAATTGCAACTAACGTACTCTACAGCTTCAGCAACATGACAAAGATATTCATGGGCTTGGACGAGATTTCTCATTTTATCAAACCATCTTCTATCATTTTGGGTTTCTTCAGCCTTCACTAATCGTATACGATCTACAATGACATAAGAGTTGAGCAAAGTCAATAGCTTTGTCGTCAAGTGTAAGAAACAATTATTCAAGAACAATATGCTTTACTTGTGCCTATCATTAACAAGAAAAGATTGTTAGATTATGGAATCTGTTAAAGCGTGGCTTCCTTGACTTTGTATTGAGATATACCTGCAACGGCTTCTTCGTCTTGCAGATGGATGGTCGGTAATTTAACTGTGCGTTGCATCCAGGTCAGGATTTAAAGTATTGTAATTAAAGGGAGATGCTCAACTGAAAAAGTACAAAGAAAGAAAAAGGGGCCAGTAAAGGCATTCAAAAATAGCGTTTTGGTCCCTTATATATTAGGGCAGATTTGACAACAACAACGACAACAACAACAACAACAGCTTAAAAATGAAATTCCTATATTCGGATAGTTACTGGAAAGAGTAATGTTTTGTTTCTGATCGTACATAGAATTAAAGTTTTTTTCTTTTTTTTTTTTTCCTAACAATGCAGCCTCAACATAGTATACAGTAAGATCAGTATGAATTATCAAAGTTTACTAAACAACCAACTAGACTTCTATATTCAAATCCATTCAATTGAAATCGGAAGGGACATGTGAGTAAACATTTGCTAGCTAGCAAATTCATGTTGGCTTTTTGTCGCAAAGATTGTGTCGAATATTATCGAAATGATGAACTACATGCTTCGGTTCCTTCACACAAGTTCAATTTGACTATTCGAACCCGTACAGTTCACGAAAACCAACGAGGGCTTCAAAAACCACTATTTCATCGCCCGCATTTTTGATAACTGCAGATGGCAAGTCGCGGTGAAGATAGCACTCGTGTGGCTTTAACTACTGAATCGAAGACCATTCAACGCCTGCGAATTCAACCGCCAGGCCATTATCAAAAATAAGTCGCTTACTCTTGCGAAAGAGTTAATTAAGACACCTTCATATCCAGCAGCTGCCATGACTTGCATAGCTCGAAGGAATGAAAATAACTGATGGTGCTTGTGTATTGATCAGGTATCTAAATAACAAGCAGAATCGTCTGTCATGATACCCGTTACGGACATCTACAAGTACAAATTTTGTCATGGCTGTTGAGCTGTTGTGGTGCATCATTTCTTATGACACATTATCTGAGACGATAAACAAGGTGGGATCGATCAGAAATAGCTGAAGATTTGTAGAGAAAAGCTTTCAACTCCAGGCAAAAGAAGAAGAGATAAAAACCATTCGGGAGAGAAAGTGATCAAATCTCTACACACAGGTTGGGAACTGGGACAATGATAAAGCACGGCTCGGAAAGCGGTGAAAAGTTTCCTCAGCCTTTCCTCATTTTGCGTAACTTTTAATGTGCGACAAGTATAGAAAATACTCGCTCTTTGAATTTCGACTCAGCTACAGTTTCGGTTTTGATTTAGACAATCCAAGTAATTTTTTTCCGATAACTTATTTCCAAAATTCGGATACTTTCAGTATATCCACCACCATCACTACCTTCGTCTGAACAAATCTCGATTTTTCACCCTCTGCTTCAATATCCATTGGGAAATATGGGCATCATTTTTTCGAATGATATTTTTGCCATACTATTTGGCCCCCCATCCGTCCTTAGTAAAGTTCACAATGCTACTTCAGTGAGCCTGTCTTCTTCACAGCTCTTGCTGGAAGCAGCTGCCTTAGATTAATTATCCACCACAGAAATTGCCCATGTCTCATCCCTCAGTGATGTGTGACGAATTTATTATTTTTGAATGAAAATAATCTACAAAAAAAAACAAAAAAAAAAAACTACTTTCAGTAAACTATCTTAGGCCTCTTCTTTCTGCACGCATCTTGCCCTTCAGCATGCCTGATCCAACCCCTAAAATCTTCAAGAATAAACGTTTGGCAGGCTTCTACGATACGTGGTGTAAGAGGTTATTGCTGTCTAATGGTGCGCCTTTGGTGTTATTTTTATCCTTAGCCTAGCGCTTACTTACAGGATCTGTCGTATTTGAGGCACGATGGTAATATTATATGAGTAAATCACTCATAACGTCTAACTAAATGTAAAATAAAACTTGATCTCAGATATGAGTACTGCTCATATCTTCGTTCCCGTTTGGTAAGCGGTGTGTTCGATTGCATACATTTGAACCTTAGATCAAATGTATAACAAATAAAGATAAAATAAGAAAAGAATATGGATTGAAGATAATTCTTAGGTGAGATTAGCTACCTCACATAGGATCTGAACATGTTATCTTTATGAAATATTTTTCACTTAGATTATCTATGGCTATATGACGTTTAGGTATATAGCAGGATTGGTATATGTACTCGTAGGATATATTGATTCAACAACCAGAACATAGTAGGTTGCGGTACTGCTCCTGTTCCGGAAATAAAGTATGGTTGCTCAATCACTCTTTATTAATACAACAACTGTTCACGCAATCAAAAGAACACCACGCACGAATATCTCTTCCTAGCTAACATTTATAATCATTCCCACAGTATCTGAGCTACACAACTGGTGGCTGATAGATATTGGATTATAGATGTAGCTGCATGATCACCCTGGATCTGCCAGGATAGCACATTACAAATCAATCCACTCTGGGATGGACGAGTGATTATCCACTTAAAAGGAAGACCTATTCTTTAACGGAAACCTGATTCTGAGTATTATCTGACCATAATACATCAGTGTCAGCTATAGATCCCGATACAATCATTTCGTAGACAGCAAACACAATAAGTCTTTATTAATAGCAGTAATTTTAGTTTTCTTTTCTTTTTCTTTGGTTTGTTTTTGAAAGAGAAATAAAGACGGTGGTTTGATTTTGAAAGAGAAATAAAGACGGTGGTTTGATTTCGTTAAGTTTTCGTGTTTATTCTCTCTTGTGTTATTCTTTACATTTTATCTTATAGTTAAAATTAGCGAATACCACACACTCGATATGGTACAAGCTCTCAGCCACTAATGTCATCTGGAACCGGCTCCCGTCAACCCATGATCCTCGCTCCTTAAACAAAGCGATTCGTGTCTACCGTCAAGAGAATCTCAATAAACTGCGGAATGCGACACATCATTCAAAACTACTACTGCTCTGCCGTCCCGTTATATTGCTCGACCCCATTCTCTGGCTCCCAATGACCTTTGTTGAACGTGATCGATGTCTACGATGGCGCCTTGGCTGGCTATCCAATAACTACTCAACCAGTTGCCTCTACCATCCAACGCGTACACTTACAAAAGCCCACGTCATTGACTAGCTTAAGATACACAACCGCTTACAGCTTCCCCACACCATATCTGACCTCATCTCTTTTTTGCTGAATTTGTTACCCACCAGTCCTTCAAGGCAGCACAAAATACGGTGCCACGCTTGGACACTTCGATGGCCCACTCTGCAGCTAATACTATCTGAAGTTGACTACCTCCAACATAATAAAGAGCCTCCAACACCGCCAGAAAACCTAGGACAGCTACTCTTGGATTGGATGTGCGCCCGCGATAATTACACCTTGATCGTTCCGTTATTCCCTAGTTTGCCTCTGATCATCTTCCCTTTTTCCTTTGTCCCGTTAAAGGTTTTTTAATTGCCTCACACTTTCCTTGAACCTCCCCAGCCAATTTTGATAAGTATTTATCTGTGTGCTCATTGGGTAAAATCTAATTGTAATAAAATATCTCTTTAAACGTATACGGCTGATAAAAAACCAAAATGCTCATGTACAGCTATTGTTTCATAATGGCGCATTTTATGTTGGGGATGTATTCTTATTAATAATAATATTTGATAAGAAGTATAATTATTAGTCTTTCAATTGCTATTCAAAAATTACTTGGTGTTCAATTTTTGAGAAGGGTAATTTCATCTAGTTATGTAATCTTTCAACGCTAAATGAGTGTTACGTTTCTGATTACAATATCAGATAATCATTTTTTGTTATACATGTACACTACAATTGTGTGCGCGTGTGCTACATAACAAGTATATTGCGCACAGATATGTAGAATATGGTTATCTACACTTTTGGGAGATTAAAAGCTGAAAGACAATGCTGACGCAGGTTCCTGAAATCACACCGTTTAATATTCACACTAGCTAATAGGAAAACCTGTATTTTTGCCTTTATATATAAAGCCTTATAATAGATAGTTTATTGATATAGTGCTCAGTACTATGTAATATATTAAATGAGTGATGTTATGTAAACCGTGGTATGACAGTTAGAATCTGTATTATAGATCAACTGACTGCACAAGTGCAGTGTTCCGCTTTCTCTTTCTCTCTCAAATTGACATTGCTTTTATTTTTGTAGAATGTTAAATTTCCCCAAAATCGGTACTCTTTCAATCCTTGAACTCATATCCTCAGATCATTGATTTCTGGCGCCAACAAAGTCGTACGAAAGGAAGGCAGTAATCAAAAGTGATGGTGCTTATCTCCATTACAACAAGGTGTAGTTGATAATGTCAACTGCCGGATGATGTTATCCATCAATACGGTAAAAAATGATGAATTTTTAACTTAGTAGTCTCTTCTGATCTGAGAAGCTTAAGTGATCTACGCAAATTTGGTTGGCTACTTCCAGTTCTCAAATTTTTGAGTGTACATCATTGTAATCTTTTTACAGGACTTTTCCTTGGGGTAAATAGATCTGCGCGTATGTCTTCCAGGCCGACAGTTGTTAGTTTGATTTCTATTTTTGCGGCACTAAAAAATCCTAGGAAACAGAGAGGAGAGGGAGTACAATGTTAACGACCGTTGGTGGGTTCCGGTTGGTGTCGGCGCTCGAACCAGTTATGATTAATTGCGGTGCCCGCTAAGGCTCATATAATGATCCCTCTCTGTCCTCCAATCTTAGCCAACCGTTTATGATGATTACTTCAGCTCCCTCCCCTTCCCCCTCCCCATTTCAAATAGTAGGCTTTTCCATCCACCTCCTGCACCTCGATCTGTGTATAACAGCTCTTCTATACAATAAGAGAACTTTCTCGGGCAAATTTAAGATGAGTATCTCATCTCGTGCTCACTTGGGTCGTTAAATAAAAATACATGTTTAACCATAATATATTTTTTACCTTCTTTAAAAGGTTTCCCTTTATAATTAATGACCATTAAAGCTTTTTTTACTTGTCAAAATACGATTTTATGAATTATTCAACATGTAAAACCCCCCCTTCCTCCAAAAAAAAAAACAACAGTGGCTTACAACACATTATTACTTTTGGATAAGGCGCGGTCTTAAAGATAAGATGGCAAGAATAAGCCAATATGTTCGAGTAAGACCTGCTTAATTAGTCTTAAGTTACACGGGAAGGGTGCTGTGCTATTTTTATTGAAAGAACAGAAATTAAAATCATTTTGGTCCCCTATTAAGGACCCCTCCTTCTTCCACATTTGCCAAGCAATAGTAACAATACGAAACACTGCTCTTCCAATATTATAAGATATCATATACTTTTCCTAGGCCGTCTTTTTCTTTCCTTTTCTTCTTCCAGTTCCACAGCAAATACCCCCAATCTCCTTTCCTTATTTTACCATTCTTCAAAACGTCTTTCATCATTGTATATATTAAAAAGAAAAGATGTCATTTAACTTATTTGAGCAGCTCAAAAAGCATAAGAAAAACCTGGCTTTGAGTGTGGGCGAAGATGACTCGATAGTGAATCAGCAGGGTAATAGTTCAAATAGCACGACTTCTTCGTCAACAGCAAAGCGGCTCATTTATGTAAACATGGATATACCACCCGATGAGCTTGATGATTATGGTCAACCAACAGCTCACTACATATCAAATCAAATCAACACAGCTAAATATACTTGGTACACATTTTTACCGAAAAACTTATTCGAACAATTTAGAGGCGTAGCCAATCTTTACTTTTTGTTTTTGGTCGTTATACAAATGTTTCCCTTATTCAGCACATCTGCCTCACCAGTGCTAGTAGTTCTACCTTTGGCAGCCATTTTGATTTTGACAGGCGCAAAAGATGCTGTAGAAGACAATAAGCGTCATAAGACGGATGAGAGCGTTAATAAAGCCATCACTTACACATTGTCAAATTGGAAAAATGTAAATATACCTGTATACCAAGTTCCTGTGTGGAAAAGATGGCTTAAAGCATTGAAAAGCATGCTGCTGTCACTTCGCTTCTCCTTTCATCACCATAACAAAAATCAACAATACGAATTACAGCAACATGCATCTAGATCAGGGCTACGCAGAACAGATACAAACCTCAGTGTTGCCAGTAGTAGATTTTCATTCAATCCACCAAAATCACCTTCTGTAACTTCATCGATAAGAAATACGCTCAAATCAACAGCCTCATTCTCAAAGATGGTGATATCAGCGAAAACAAGAAAAAACCGAATGCCTTACAGGCCAGGCCAAGTGCCGCATTCTGTACTGAGATCGAATCATTTGTATTTAGATGAGAATGATGTTAAGAAGAAGAAAAAACAATCCACATCAGCACGGCAGCAACTAGATAAACGATGGCGTCGGACATTATGGGAAAACATCAAAGTGGGCGATTTTTTATGCCTTCGTAATGGCGATGGTGTGCCTGCTGATATGGTCATCTTGTCCACCTCAGAACCAGATGGACTATGTTATGTTGAGACGCAAAACTTGGATGGTGAAACCAACTTGAAAATAAAAAGATCTTTACAAGCTACCAACGAGATCACTACACCGGAAGACTGTGAAAGAAGTAAATTCTATATAGAGAGTGAAGCACCACACGCCAACTTATATTCATATAATGGTGTTTTGAAATGGAAAGTCGAACAGAATGACCTGATCAGAACAGAAACAACGAGGAGAAGAGGGGAAGGAGGGAATAGTAATGATGAAGGGTTCGCAACAATGATATCGCAGGAGGGTTCTTTACCTTCATCAGCGGGGCCAGCAACAATCCACGAAAGAAGAGCGGGAAATTATCATGGTCAGAGGCAATATAGTGTTACTGCTGATGTATACGATGATAGCCAGTCAGTGGACAGTGACGATACCTTGCCTCCGGAGGTATCGCATGAGAAGACGGAGGCTATTACAGCAAGTTCAATTTTACTGCGTGGATGTGTTTTGCGAAATACGGGGTGGGTAATTGGACTAGCATTGTTCACCGGAAATGACACAAAAATAATGTTAAATTCGGGCAAAACACCAAGTAAACGAAGTAAAATAGAAAAAGCTACCAACCCATATGTGAGTTTGTATACGCTTTCCAAAAAGTCAGTTACCCATACTCTGAACTTTATTGATCGTTGTTCAACTTTAAATATTATAGGTTATTGTCAACTTTGTATTATTGCTTATCTTATGTTTGATTTGCTCGATTGCAGCAAGTATTGTATATAATAACGAAACGTCTGCAACATTTTTCGAGAATAAAGATGCTGAAAGTGGAGCGATGGAAGGATTTATCATGTTCTGGTATGATCATCAAGAGAAATGCGTACTTTTCGATATGATGTGCATACTCATCTGATTATCCATTTAGGACAACATTGGTGATCTACCAAAATATCATACCTATTTCACTGTATATATCTGTGCAGATAGTAAAGACGGCAGCAGTAAGTTTATCAATCCAGAACAATTATATCGCACTACAACTGTAAAAAGTAACCAGTAAATGTGATATATATTATACTTTAGGCTTATTTTATTCATACAGATATCGATATGTATAATAAAAAGCTTGATCAGCCATGTATACCGAAAACTTGGAATATATCCGACGATCTGGGACAAATTGAGTACATTTTTTCAGATAAAACAGGCACATTAACACAAAACATTATGGAATTTAGACGCTGCACAATCAATGGTGTTTGCTACGGCTTAGGCGAAACAGAGGCCTCTATAGGAGCGAAACTCAGAGAGGATGAAGCAGGAGGTACTACTGCTGCCGTGAAGGATTCAATGAAAATTGCAACTCAATTGGATTTAGAGAAAGCCAGAGCAGAAATGTTACAGAAGCAACGTGATTTATTCAACCATGCGTATATCAATCCTTTATCTACCTTTGTCGATCCACAATTATTTGACGATATCAAAGCTGAGAACGAGCATTCACAGAGTATTGTTCACTTCTTTTCAGCATTGGCCCTTTGCCATACCGTTATTCCTGAAATACCTGACGACCAACCTCATAAAATAGAGTATAAAGCGCAGTCACCGGATGAAGCAGCATTGGTTGCTACAGCTAAGGATATGGGATTCACCTTTGTCGGTCGCGAGCAAGACAATGTCATTGTCAACATAATGGGCGAGCAGCGTAATTTCCAATTACTGCATGTTCTTGAATTCAATTCAACTCGAAAACGAATGAGCGTTATCATGAGATCACCGCAAGATAACAGAATAATTTTGTTGTGTAAAGGCGCGGATTCCGTCATTTATGAGCGGCTATCGACTGGACTAGAAAAAAAGGACGATGAAGCATGCAAACGCCAACTTAAATTGAGACAAGACACGCTCCACCATTTGGGCGTATTTGCCAATGAGGGCCTGCGCACTTTATGTATTGCCAGCAGACTTATTGATGCAGAGGAATATGAGCAATGGGCTAAAAAATATAAGGCCGCTTCGAATTGTATTAGCAATCGAGACGAACAAATCGAAAGCGTCTGCGAAGAGATTGAGACATCTTTGACTTTAATTGGCGGCACAGCCATTGAAGATAAATTGCAGGAAGGAGTGCCTGATACTATTGCTGTGCTTGCTGAAGCGGGTATCAAAATATGGGTATTGACAGGCGATAAAGTAGAAACGGCTATCAATATTGGTTTTGCGTGTAATTTATTGACAAAGGACATGCTGTTAATCAATATCAGTTCTCGAAGCGAAGAAGAAACCATGGAGCAGTTGAGAAACTCCCTAAACGAAGTAGGAGAAAAGTCTAAATCACAAAAGTGTGCATTGGTCATTGATGGGGAGTCGCTCAAATTCGCCTTAGAGTCCCAATGCAATAAGGAATTGTTGGAATTAGGAACGCAATGCTGTGCTGTTATTTGCTGCCGTGTCAGTCCAATTCAAAAAGCCAAAGTAGTGAATCTCGTAAAAAAGGGATTAAATGTTATGACTCTTGCGATCGGTGACGGCGCGAACGATGTTTCTATGATACAGGAAGCAAATGTAGGCATTGGTATATCTGGAGAGGAAGGCAGGCAAGCAGTTATGGCCTCTGATTACGCCATAGGTCAGTTCAAATACCTCAGCAAACTTTTGTTGGTGCATGGTCGTTGGTCTTACCTTCGTACTTCGGAAATGATCTTCACCTTCTTCTATAAGAACATTATGTGGACATTTGTGTTGTTTTGGTACCAGTTTTTTTGTGGGTAAGTGTATACGTAATCTATAAACCTACATTACAATCTTATAACACAATGATACTTTTTTGTATATATAGATTTTCTGGAACAATGATGTTCGATTATTCTTACATTACCCTTTACAATTTGGTTTTCACTTCACTACCGTGTATTTTTGCTGGTAAAAATGTACTATAACATTGCTTTTTTTTTTTTTATTGCTCCAGCTCGCACTAACTGTTGTCCTGTAAACTTCTTAAAGGTATATTTGATCAAGATTTAAAAGCAGAATATTCCTTCAAGTTTCCCCAGTTGTATCTTCTCGGGATTCGTAACGACAAATTTACTACCTCACGATTTCTTCTCACCGTTGTTGATGCGATTTATCAATCCGTTATATGCTTTTTTATACCGTATATGGTGTTTGTTGGACCTAAACTAAGCAGCAATGGCTACGACACAGAAGGTGTCATTGAATTAGGAACCTTCATCGCTGGTATTGCTGTTGTAGTTGCCAATGTTTTAGTTGGATTTACTATCTTTAGCTGGACTTGGATTACGATGCTCTGTATTTTTCTTTCGTGCACTACGTTCTTCATCTGGGTTGGCATTTATTCAAACATCTTGACATTTACATTTTATGGTGAAGCAATTCTTTTTGGCGAAGGTACCTTCTGGCTATGCTTAATATTGACCATCATGATTTGCTTATTACCAAGATACATTGCGAAATACTTTTTGCAAGCATATTACCCATTTGATAATGATATTGTTCGCGAACGCGTCCTTTGTAATAGTATTCATTTTTCCGATATACGCGCCTCTGCATTGAATATTTTGAATCCCAACAACTCTTTAGTATCATCACTCTCAAATGAAGAGGAAGTCTTACCTATCAACTTGTCCAGAACGCGTTCTTCCTCAGAAAGCCATCATCAACAGCATCGATTTGCTCTGCCTTTCGTTGGGAATAAGAGTTTCAGGGACAGAAAGCATCCTTCGCCAGCTCAATTTGAACTATACCGTTCAGACACTAACAATTCTCAAAAGAGCGAGATTATGAATATGAAAACGGGCAAAAGGATATCGTTCACAGGTTTCGCATACTCTACAGATGATTCACATGTTTTCGATGAATATAGAAAATCCGTTTATCGAGCTAATACAGGGAATTTTTTCAGCTTCAAAAAATTTGTTGACAACCATTCTAACCATATCTCACAAGCGAGCTTCAATAATAGCCAAGATTGGATGCCAATACATAGTCTTCAACTGCGGCGTAGCGAATGTGAAGATCCATCCCTGTTATCAACAAGATCTTCCAATAAACGTAACAATACTTTCAGCAAAAAGATGCTTCACGCAGTTAAGAGACGTTTAACACAGCATTCGAAATCAAATACTGCGAATACAATCAAAGATATAAACAATCATCAAAAAGATGTTTTTACAGAAACGTCCTCCTCAAACCTCAACATTGGCAATGTACCACTAATACCTATCAGTACCGCTGTTGACGACAAGGATAAAACTAATCATGCCACTATAGCGGAATTTCCGGTACCAAAAGAAGAAACGACATACCCTATATCTCAATTTCAACCTTTAGAACCTAACTTATTGCATGACCATCATCAAAGCAGCCATTACAGCCCAACCTCGCCATTTTCTTCTTCCAACAATAACCAATATGATTCTGAAGCTCAAGACCATCAACAGAAGCATACACCTTATGCTATTCCTTCAGACAGATCTTCCCCCTCTCCTTCACCGACGCATTATTAAACAGAAAAAGAAAATTTTCTTAACGAGCTTGCTGCTATTGTCCATACTGTAACTTAAAAAGCAATGTTTTTTACTGTGCTAATACTTAATAAATTCTATAAATCAGGATTGATATCAAGAGTCAAATTATCCCACTAGTTGGTTAATAAACCTTCAACACAAAACTAAGCACTGCTATTGAGTGATGTTGTTGAAGCTAGAATCTCTTTGTCTAAAACAAGATATGGAGCATCGGCAAAACGCGCAAACAAAGCATCCGTGCATTAATGCCTAATTGCTGGTTTTACGTCATTTTTTCCACACAGTTGAACAATAAGGAAATTAAGGTTACTGAACCGTCTGAGATTTTTCTTTTCGTTATGGCGTTCACTTTTCATGAAAGACAATATGCTGTATTTTACTCTGCTCTTCACCTTCTCATCCTCTGAAGTCGTAAAATTTTGGGTCTAAACCCGTCAAAATTAAAATAATTAATGGCAGATGATAATAATGCAATCAGCAATGTGAGTAAAGCATCAGTCTATGATTGGAAGCTACCTAATAACATACATTTACTCAGTGGTTTTATTGTTCACTCAGACGAAGAGCAAATATGACAGTGGTTCTTCTGCTTATCAAGGTAATATGGTATCGGCTTTGGCAATTGCCTATTTAAAGACTAACAGTTATTACTGCTCTTAATATTCAGAAAGCTATATACCTGCCGTGATAGAGTCAACAGAAACAGGACAACAGCGAAGACAACGTCCTTCTGTTTCAAAAACACTTAACAATTTATCAGAAATGTCGATTGAATGTAGCACAGTAACCGATCATTCACAAAAGCTAAACAGTGCATTATATGAAAATGAAATTGGTATCGATAATCAAAATAAATCGATTATTGAACAAAAAGTCAAAAGCGTGTTTGAATTGCCACATGAAGAGAAACTCATTAATGGTACGAAATGCCCCTTATTTTGTTTGTCACAAATACTTAAAAAATGAAAAAAAAATTCAAATTATTGACTTTATATCAGAATATCCATGTTATCTTATTAGGTGGGTTACATTGCCCGGATGGATGTACCTTACAAATAGCTTCGTATGTTTCTACGCTACGTTACCAAGCAAAAAGGTGAGACATACTACATATCGGCCTATAACAAACAATTTGCAAAAAAAAAAAAAAAAAGTCTTTCTTCTGAATGCATAATAACTGATGTGATATCCTACGTAATTTTTTTCGTGTATACGCAGCATGACCCGTTTAAAACTGGTTATTTATCAAAGAGAAAGCACGTTACTTCACCACGCACCCACAGATACTATTTTGAGCTAAAACACCACATCCTGTTTTGGTCTTCCAGCGCAGACACAAAATATTCACCCCTTGGCTCTATAGATTTAAGATATATTATCAAAATTGAGACATCAAATGTAAAAAAATTCGCTTTTAAATTGTACATGAAAAATCAGCATATTCACACCCTCATGGCTGATTCTGAAGTTTCTCGACGGGAATGGATGGATGAATTGACAAGAGGCGTGTTTATGGCACAGCATGTCGAAAACCGTGTCAGAATTATTCTTCCATTAGCAAAAATTAGTAGTATCGATAAATCACCTATATTCCAGTTCACAGTTAATATTAGATTTCGATTCTGTGAAGACCCTACTGACGAAGGTGAAGATGTGAGTATAACATATGCCTATTCTTTATAGTTGTCATTGTCTAGTATGGGGGCGTTATGTTTTAACTGTTTTAGACAAAAAGTATTATTTTGCTTTTTTTCCTGATGTCGATGAAGCACATAAGCATATTGTGGAAACATGGATGTCGGCTACAGGGAATAAGCAACCGATGTTAAGCACCATGAGCAGCGATTTGCAATCTACAACACCTACTGCAGCAAATACCTTTGCAAGCTTTGAGAATTTATTTGAAAACATATCTCCTACTGCACTTCCAGCCATGTTGATGGGAAAACTAATGAATGTTGCTACTCTTTTTCAACAAGAGACTAGCAATAATGCCACGAAGAAGTTGTCTGCGATGAATGAAGAGGAGCATCCACATTCTGAAAATGATATGGAGGATGTATCTTTGAGCCAGAAAAGTCAACCTACCGCAACAAAGCATTATAGTAGTAGACATAAGAGTATGGAAATAGGACGAAGCTTACTTGAATCTGCATCACTGTCATCAAATACCTCTACTATCGCTTCGAAATTTAAGCGAAATACAATATTTTCTTACAGCAAATCTGCAGTAGCTGATAAAGATAAGATAAGTAATTCCGGATCAAGCACAACTTCAACGGCAACACCAATCGCTCAGGTAAATCCTGATAAGGAAATGGCAAGTGAGCATTCCACACTGACCGCCAAGCCATCAACAAAATCAAGTACTTACTCCTTATCCAAGATACCTCGTGCAGTAACAGGTGCGCTGAAGCACCCATTAACATCCTGGAAAGACAGTAATAATACCGAGAGTGACGCAAGTACAACAGAGTCTACATCAAAAGCCGATGAAGAAAAAAGTAACGATCAGACTGTTTTGGATGTAGAACCAGTGGAGGCAAAGATACCAATAAAAATAATGGACCAAACGCCTAAAGTGGCGCACAAAACTAGGAAAAGTCGAACTAAATCCTTCGGCTCAGCATTATTGTCAGGAACGTGGAATAAGTTAGCTACTGGTAGTGCGGAGCTGTTATCTTCACAGCAACAGCATCCAAGCAATACAGAAGCTTACCAGTCTCATCCGAAAGGACAACTATGGTTGAATCAAGCAATCCTTAATGGTCTCGTAGACATGATAAGATTGAAAAATGATACAGATAGTTATAGTGATGATGGTAGAACCAGCGATTATCCTTTGGCAACGACTTTTGATGATGAGAAAGAGGAAGTCAATATACCGAACTTCGTCGTAGGGCCGCATTCAGCTGAAATATCTGCTTCGAACCCAGAATACGAAGCTGAGGAGCAGCAGGCTTTAAATGAACGCTTACAGACGGCTTTTCCTATGCTTCTTGAAACAGGGATAGAGGTTGAGGCGGGTATGTTGCATTCCTAAGAATAAAAGAGCTTGCTAAACTCTAATTCTCTTATAATGATAATTACTTCTTGCTTTTTCTGGAATAGCCTTCAAATGCTCATTCTGGAGAACTATCCCTTATGCTGGTCGTATATTTATTACAGACAAATACTTTTGTTTTCATAGCAAAATTCTAGCAGGCACACAAAAATTAATAGTACCCTGGACTGATCTTATTCAAATCAGTAAGCTCAAAGCAGGAAATTACTATTCGACGTTTTGTATATCTATGACGATCAAAGATACGACCGAGGAGGTACTACTATCTGATTTGAAATGCCTATAATTTGTTCAAACTAACAGAAAGGAGAAAAGATTTTATTTGATTTCAAAACAGCAAAGTTACGAGACATATGTTATGCAGTATGCCAGCTTAAAACATCATGTGCTGTTATGTTTGACGAACGGTAACGATATGATAACAATATTCCTCAAACTTGTTCTTTCTGATAGACTTGGATATTTTAGTTCAGTCATTTCTAGAGAATCGAACGCGGTATCAATGAAAAGTGTATTGTTGGATCGACCTGAACATGTAGTACCACCTAAAGAATATAGTAAGTAAATGCATATCAATTTAGGAAGTTTACTCTATTTGTTAATGAGACAACCGCGTCTGATTTTTTTTTTTTTTTTTTTTTTTTTTTGCCTTCAGGCGGACCACCATTGCTTGCATCATCTTCGTACTTAATAAATACGTCGACAAAGCATAAGCGACCAGAAGGCCCTTTACATATTACCTGTTTGACTATTGGCTCGCGAGGTGACGTCCAACCGTATGTAGCCTTGTGTAAGGAATTACAGAAAGATGGTCATCGTTGTCGTATAGCGACTCATCCTGAATATGAAAAATGGATTCGACAGCATGATATTGAATTTAAATCCGTAGGAGGAGACCCAGGGGAATTGATGGTAACCGAAATATAGGCACGAGCCAACGGCAGAGCGATTGATGTCTAACCATTATTTGCATTGAATTTCAGAAACTATGCATAGACAATAGTTTTTTGTCAGTGTCGTTTATAAGGGAAGGGACCAAATTTGTAAGTTGGAACGATTGAAGAAATATTAATGTTATAAAGATGAAGGCGTTGATTTACGTTCATACAATAAAAGTTTTACAGCTGGTTTAAGTCACTCCTCGAAACGGCGTATGAGGCGTGCAAAGGCACAGATGTACTAATTGAAAGTCCAAGTGCGATGGTAGGTATACATATGGCTGAAAAGCTTCAAATTGCTTATTTTCGCAGTATGCCCTTTCCGTTTTCAAGAACAACGAAATTTCCGCATCCCTTTGCCATACAGCCAAGTACCACCGTGCCAGGCGGGCGTATATACAACGATATGACCTATATGATGATCGATATGGCTTTATGGGCTGGTACAGCAAAGCAAATTAATCGATTTAGGCATAAAGTACTACACCTTCCTTCTACCACTCTAGATGAATTGGAACTATATAAAGTACCTTATATCTACTCTTTCAGCCCAGCCGTTGTGCACCCTCCCAAAGATTGGCCTGATTACATTCATTGCACAGGTTATTGGTTTTTAGACAATCCAGATATATCGTGGAAGCCCGATTATTCACTGCTGGAATTTCTTAATCAGCCCAACGACAATCGACCCATTGTATATATAGGGTTCGGTTCCATCATCGTGCCTAATGCTGTAGAAACAACCCGTATCATCATTGATTCGGTTTTGAATGCTAACGTAAGAGCTATCATTTGTAAAGGTTGGTCTGCTCGTGGAACATCAACAGAAGCAGCACCATCATCATCAACAGCAGCAATATCTAGAAAGTTTAGAAAAACACATAGAAAAACAAAATCGCTTGATACTGATAACGATAATCTTATACAGCAGCAGCAGCAGCAGCAACAAGAAGAAGAGCAAGCTTTGCGAGCACAGGACAAAGCTAGCGATATTCTCCTCGATAAATACCCGGGTACCATTTATCAATTGGATTCCGTTCCCCATGATTGGTTATTCCCCAAAATTCAAGGCGTTGTGCATCATGGTGGAGCAGGTACTACAGCAGCCGGTCTAAGAGCGGGTCTGCCAACAATCGTTAAACCGTTTTTCGGTGATCAGCGATTTTGGGGTCAGCGCATAGAGGAGTTACAAATTGGCGTCTGTCTCAATAAACTAGCAAAGGCTCCATTAACAGATGCTTTAACAGAGATAACGCAAAATCAAGCGATGATAACGAAAGCACAATTGATTGGGGAAACAATTAGAAAGGTACATAGGCAAAAGAATAAAACACACATACAGACACACAAATTTATATTATTGAAATATAAACTAACGATAGCCTCTTATTACAACTAGGAAAATGGCCCACGCAACGCTGTTAACTGCATTTATAGAGAATATGAATTTGCTAAACAACAAAGAACTCGTTCTTATGACTAAACTATCGATAGATATATTTTATACCTGAGTGTGTTTCCTTTTCATATCTCGAACGTTCTTGATGTTCATTCGCAGTTAAAGAATCGTTGGAAGAATAAAAATGCTAAATGAGAACCACTTTTCAATGCTCTCAGGTGAGTTTTGCACAGTTTAGGCTTATACTGGCTCTCACAATGGCTAGGCTGCATAGCCAAATATTATTGATTCTTGCCTTCAGTAACATATCGTCTACGCTAAATCATATTTGGGATAACCAGAAGCAAAGGAATTGACGAGATAATCACTTCTGACATCAAAGCTATACCAAACCAGGAGAGCCTTTAATGAGCAGAAATCAGCGTAAGAGTAGACATGGAATAAACGTAGAGTTCGGAGTGGACGTAGATTTAGGTATGAAACTAGCATTGTCTTATTAATTGACAAGCCTGCTTTCCATAAAAAATGAATTGCAGTATGTTAGGAGTTAAGGGTGGCTATGAGCAGAGCCATCAGAAAGAAGCCACAGGAGCATCAAAGACGAAGAAAACATTAGAACTGTTTCAATGTCACTGCTGCTACACTGGATGTGTTATATACAGTTATGAACAATTTCAAAAGAACGCTATCTTGTTGAAATTCGTCTATACACCATTCGAAACAGATTGCAAAAACCAATCCTGAGTCGAGAATACGGATGTATGTATCCTCCATCATACCTCCCATAGCCTGATAAATAGAACAGTTATGTTTCGTAAGATGAGGAGAAAAGACACGATCAAAGACAGTCTAACTATAAAGATGATTGATACTAGTACATGTATTGTCATAATACGTCCATCGTTATTCAGTTTCGCATCCAAAATTTATTCTAACAAAGAGCCCTTATAAAAGATTGCACCATCAAATAGAAACAAATCTGTAGATTTCTGCAATCTGTGTTTCGGTATAAAAAACTTCTTTTGGAGTTAAGGGTATGATTCGGCTAAATCTTGAGTTATTGTTACACGTAAAAGTCCCTTTTTTTTGGGTTCACACCAGGAACCAGGAACTATTTTTATAACCGTAATCGTTCATTGTAAGTTAAGGGTAGTGTTAAAGACTGACGTAGTAGTCTTCGACTCTTCTCCCAGTCCTTTTCTATTTCTTCATCAGTTTCTTTCAAGGCAGATCCTAATATTTGATTGATGTTAAACGATAAAGAATGTCTGTGAGCCGGCAAGGGTGGAGGCGAGAATGTTGTGGCGTTTATTGAAATTCGATTATTCATCATATCGGTGTCTTTGTCAGCGAAATTAGCTTGTCCTTCTTGCTTTCTTTTACGTTCATTATACTCTTTCGTAGTGAATCCATGGGGTATAAGAGTAGTCGTAGGAATGATTCCATCGTCTAAAGAAGCTGGTATGTGATCTGATGCTGATGAAAAGGAGGAGTTATCGTAGCCAGAAGACGAAGAATCGTAAACTGCGAATGACTTTGGTTGGCTTATCAGGTCAGGCGCGCTTTCCAAAGAAGATAACGTACCATCACGCAGTACTTCAATTTTATCATGCACATGATGTCTCTCAATCGATGAGCAGTTATATGCTGAAAAGGAAGAGATATTCGAGTGTGAAGATACCACTGATCCACTGGTACAATGTTGCTTGCGGGCATTTCGTTGTTGTGAATTCTTGAATGGTGTATTAATATTAGTACTAACAGGTGATAATGCCTTGAACAAGGATGACAGGCGAGCTCGCATGTTTGATGGAGTATCAGAAATACTATTGGTTTTCGAGTTTTCAATACTCTTCGTTATTATTCTCAATGAGCGTCGCTTTGACTTCTTATGATCACTAGAAACAGTAATGGACGTAATATCATCAGAATTCTCAACTGCTACCGTTGCTGCATCAAAGTCTACATTTTTCCGAAACGGGCTAAAACTATGTGATCGTTTAGGGAAAGAATTTGTCATTATGTCCTTTTGACAAAAAGCGATATCCTTGAAGGCTATTGAGGTAAGTAGAAGTTCCACTTTAGTTATCGATAAGAGAAGAAAAAGTGAGTTGAAATAAAATTAAGAAGAGGGAAGAAAAAGAAAAAGAAGGTTGGGCGTATGATCATGTCTATGACAAATTTTACTTCTTAAGCTTCAAAGAGTCATCAGGTATTTCGCTTTTACTATTCACTGCGCACACACGGGAACATCCCCGGAAATTTATTCTTGGTGAGGAAGTAGCGCAGTTACAGAAAACTGTCTGTTAATGAGAGAATTACGTTAGAATTCTCAAAGGACTCTTTTTGCCTCATTTTTCACTTCTCATGCCACGTTAAATTGCATAACTAAGTGCCTTATATGGTAGCGTTTTGAAGAACGTTTTACAAAGGATAGGAGGCAATGACGACAATCTAGTAAATTCAGGCCGAAGATTTTCTTTTTTTTTGGTGTTCCTTCGAACATTGGGTCAAACACAACATTGTACACAGTAATAGAAAGCATAAATAGAATGCTTAGTTGGACGTTTGATCCTTGTTACTGGGAAAGTTGGCTCATTGTTCAGCCAAAAAATACGGTAAGCAAAGATAAGTATCCAGGAAAAGAAATAGGAAATCATAGATGCTTAGATACTAATACTGCAGATATAGTAGTTCTTCCTCTATAGCATCATCCGTCTGTATGCTCATATCTTTTGCATGTGTTGCTTCGCATGCAATGTGAACTTTTGAGGGAACTAGACCTATTCAAATCTACATGAAGGCGTATTATTCTTCAAAGAATACTCACTACATACTAAAAGATGATTGTAGTCTTTGATCCTTCAATAGGAAACAATCTTACATTTTGAAAAGAGTAACAAAATGGGAGCATGCAAGTGCTAATACCAGCCATAGGTTACACTGGCATCCCTTAGAAAGTTTAGGTCACAAATTTTAGTTTGACAGATGGTAATAATGGTACTTGCAATTTCGTTGTCATCATTGATCATCATTATTATTTATTAATATAATTAGAAAGGCGAAAAGGAGTAATATATAAAGAAATCAGAGGGAAGAGGTAATGTTGCTTGTTGATAAAACAAATGCAACAATACTTCTATACGTACGGTATCGAAAGAAAATGTTTAAATATAAGGAATACAAGATAGAGATTGGGTAAAGTTAATTGTTTGTTTTTACAGAAAATATAATAAATGGAGAAAATAGTATTAAATAACTAAAAGAGTACTAGCTTAATGCCAAGTTTTTACATACGTAATGAGATTATTGATGGAGGTGGTTGATTTAAGGATTTTTGTGACGATTCTCGACTTGTGTCCCATTCTGTATCAATTTCTTTGTCTACTTCATCTATTACAGAGCCTAGAATATCACGTACATGAGTTGCTAAGCAAAGCAGCTGTTGTTGTTTTGAAACAGAAGAATTTTTAGGTGCGATGGTAGCAGAGGTAGACACACCAGGTTGCAAGCGCGGTAATGGAGTCAGCGCTTTAATTAGTGGGGCTACTGTCGTTGTAGAAGAGACCGACGTTTTGGTTGGTTGATTTTTTTGTCTTGGCTTCAAAGGAGGTATGTCTATCACAATATTTGCTTCTTCAAATGCACAGGGTGGAGCGATAATAGTTGTGCTTGAGTGCACCTGCCAAAAGCTATGTTCTTTGGTCAGCTTCTCAGTATGTTCTTTCTCAATTTGCAACTGTTGTTGATAATCCGTCATATCCCCTTCATCAGAAGAATCATCACTGGAAGAAGAGGCAATAGCAGCCGTACACTCATATTCTGTATCTAAGTTGTTGTGGAATATTTGTCGTGGATCTGCTTTGCCTTTTCCGAAACCGTGATAAAAATCAGGTGGGTGATAAAAGTTATGCACAGGCACTGGTGGAGGAGGTGGAAGCTGTTGATCTTGTGGAGTAGTATAGTCTGTCATGTCCATTTGATCGATTTTAAATCATTAAGTGTTAAGAGAGCTGTTGTTTAAGAAGAATGAAAGTGTTAGACGTGCAAGTAAAAAAAAAAAAGCACAAAATAATTTAACAACTGTGGTGTATAAATAAGTCTGTCCTTCACATGATAGAGGGATCCCGCAGAGGCTGAACTTTTACTAAAATTAGGCTTTGAGGCCTTAAAATAAATCAGAAAATTTAACCAACGTTTTCTTATCTATTTTCGGATACATCGGTCTTTTATTTGTTTGGAAACATATGAATGGAGGAGGTATATGCATACAAGCTTTCCTGGCCACTGAAGAAACCATGTGATTTATTTAGTCATTACGTTTAGCACAGTCATGTATAAGTCATATAAGAGTACAGTCCTTCCAACGCCAAAGGGCGGCTTTAAAAAAAAGGCGGGTAATAAATCTTTCCAAAAGATGGATTACAGTTGCTCATTTTAAACTTTATAAGTATCGTATAAGTACAATCAAATTTTGTATCCTCACCTTCACTTTCAACGGACGACGCTCCATCCGGAGGGGGGTGTGGGGCGGGTAATGACGTGTTTGGTAAGATAACAACTACAATACTTGAGTACGTACAACCAAGTAGAAAATACATTCTACTATAGTCTATCTGTATTGCGTTGAATGGTTGCATAACTTTGGCTTGTTTAAATGGAGCGGGTCAATTGGTGCCTTGCTCAGATACTCCTTATGTGACTAATAAGACAGTATTACTTTAATAGCCAACTGAAAGAGCCTTTGTTCTATGATATACCTTGCAATAAACTACTTAAGCTTAATAAGCGTTGTCAGCGAAACATATCCGGTTCAGATTCATGAATAACCACCAATTCGTAACGCTTCAAATTGAAAATACAAATTTTGAAAATAAGGAATTTGCAGATTCACATCATGCCAACGTTAGAACGATCGTAATAACGGCTATCTGGAGCCTAAGGCATGCACAAATTATACCCTTCGTTTTCAAATTATCGCGCCAAATGTAGCACAAAGATCTGATTATGCACGTAAAAAACCAGACAGACAGATAAACGCAAAAGGATCCTTTTATTCATGCACAGATAAGAGAAGTGCCGTGAAAATGCACAAAATGGAGTTAACAATATTTACAATTGCTTAAGACGACTTTTCTTTGTCGGAGGATATCTTCTGTTTTTTGTTATTATCTTCTTCTTCCTGATCTCTTGTACGCTTGCTAACATTCGAATTATCTGTTCTAACAATTTAACATCGGCTCGTCAGCAAAATGAGTTCATGCGGTTTTTTCCATCACACTCTTTTCTCATATTGCTCTATACCTACAAATGCTTGAGAATAGCCTCAGCAGTGGATTCCTTCGTTTCTGAGATGTCAGATTCAACACCAACATAAGTGACTTTGAGATCATCGACAATCAAAGCGAAACGCTTAGAACGAATGCCCAAACCAGCACCAGTCAAATCTAAAGTCAAGCCTAACTTATCAAAGAAACCAGTGCCGGCTTCGGAAGCCATAATAACCTTATCTTCAGTGTTTTGGTTGACAGCAAACGCGCCCATGACAAAAGCATCGTTCATAGCAACACAGATGATCACGTCAACACCAGCCTTCTTCAATTCATCGTACTTCTTGACATAAGTAGGGACATGCTCTTCAGAGCATGTGGGAGTGAAAGCACCTGGGATGGCAAAGATGATAGCCTTCTTACCTTTGAGTTCCTTAGCAAGGTCGTAAGAAGCAGGAAGAACACAAGCTCTGGGGTCGCGAGTAGGATCGTAAGGTGCGTATTTGAGGACGACAGTAGGAAGTTGGTCACCAACAGAGATAGTCTATTGTACAGTTCCAATGTATCGCTGATATCAGCGCGAGCTCTTATCCTATCAAATGATTAATATTAACTTACCATTTCGATGAATTAATAGAGTTGAAAAAGAAGAGAAACAGAACTAAAAAGAAGAGCAGTTTATATGTAAATGTTTGTTTGGGCGGACTTTCCTTTTTTTTTTTTGAAAGAAAAAACTACCCAACCCAGAACACATCTTCGCAACAACTACGTAAAGTGCAAAATCTTTTTAGTTTACGAAAGAAAGAAGAACAATCTGATAAGGTAAATTAAACCGGCTTTGTACTAGAAACGACTTCAAGCCATAGTGTATTCTACAGCAGTGGTTGCACAGTGTCAACTAGTCAAGAAGCCCTTTATTTTTTAATGAGCCATATCTTGCGTACGCCTTTCAGAAATGCAATGTGAGCAATGCAGACTATAATGGCATTTAGTTCTTTTTTTTTTTTCTAGGCTCAGAAACGACACAAAATCCTATCAGCTAACGGTAATATGCGGAGAACTTTTTTTTCTGCTTTAAATGTAAATGGCCAAAGCGCAATCAAAATTCCTTTGACAATATGATATGAAAAAAAGGCGTTCCTTTTACAGAACCAGCTCGATGCAACTCATTTAATTGTAAAACGCTGGTATTTTCTCTTTTTATTTTCCTTTTTTTTTTGTTTATATTGTTGAACGTACTTTTTGTGCTCTGACTCTGCAGGCTTTAGAACTCAGTTTAAGCTGATCTAAAACGGGGAAATCAATATTTGAATGCTTACGATAATAATTTCTGATTGGATCAGTAAAGGTACGCGTTTTTGTAAATTGTTCAGGGTTCACATCCACGCTAACTCGCATTTCGGTAATATGTATCGAACAGTTTTATTAGGGTTAATATTGAAGGTTTTTCAGGAGATAGTGAAAGGGGAAGATACGTAAGTTGAAAATGTGGTGAAGTGAAATATGTCCAGATTTTTGACATTAATTTCATAATCTTGGGTTATTTTTTTTCTATAACAGCTCGATCCTTGTTGATAAATACAGCAATATCATGCTCGTCTTCTAAAGGCAATTGTATACGCTTATTGCTGAAAAAAGTGCAGGTAACGAGTAATGTTTCTAGCGCAAATAAACCGACAATGACGTATTTTAAGCCGTAAATAAATTCGAAAAGAAGACAACCATCACCTCGTTGTTGCAATAGACATACTCCGCTATTGCTAGAGGATGTGTATTGCATTACTTCTGATGTTTTCATATCAAAAAGGATTGAAAAAATCCAGCTGAGTGCTAGCCCCAACGGCATTAAGAATTGACAAGCCATTTCTAAGAAACTACTGTTGCTGCAATTATCTTTATATTCACTATTTTCGTCTTCTTCTTCGATGTAGCTTTTCTTCATACTCGTGGTGACAGCAGTAGATTGACTGAGCAACATAAATAAAGGACAAAATATGGATGCTTGTGCGGCAACGAGAGTCGATATGAGTCTACGGTCACTGATTGTTTGCATGATCCATGTTGTAGTTATACTTCCCAACTGTTGTGGTTGATCATCATTGTCTGTTGTAATTGACAATGGAAGGGAATGATTGCTGTAGAAGCCAAGCGATCCAATCACAATACAAACAGCCGTGATTAACGAGATTAAACGTAGGCAATTTAGATAAGTTGGTACTGAACTATTCTGTTGCATTATATGATAGCTCTTCATAAATAAAAATGGCAAGCAAAAAGGGAAAAAGAGACCACTTTATATTATTGCATATTTTTATGATGCACATGGAATAAAGCATGCTCAAGTCAAGATTGCAACATTTTTTATGATTTGTTTGATATGTATGTGCAGCAGCAAGCAGCAGTAATCATGATAAAGGTTAAATGAAACTCCGGATAATGGCAACGCTGCTTTTGTGTGATTGAGTACAACAGCAGGTTTCCACCATTTTCCATTTTAAGGTTCCCTTTTTTCAAATAATCATTTCACCGAACGCAGTACCTTTCTATTTTCCCTCATAAGCTTTGACTATTATTGCTAATCGGCATTGCCTCTTTGTTGAGTTTGTCATCACTTAATTTCTTTCCTCTTCCTTCTAAGTTATCAAAAGCCTATGAGTTCAGAAACACGGCCAGAACAGCAGCAGCAGCAACAACAACAGCGACCTAGATATTGGTGTCATATTTGTAATGCAGAAGTTCCCATTTATATGGCACCCGATCCTACTTGTCAACAGTGTAATGAACAGTTTATTGAAGAAGTAAGGGCTTTATTTAATGCAATGGTTAGTTCACCTCGCTTTCCTGTTAATTCATTATTATACATTTGTCAAGGTTCAAGCCGAAGACGATCCTCGAGAGTTTCTTGCTGGCGGAAACAGAGGTGGAGTTGCTGGAGGTGAAGACAATGACATTACAAGTGGAAACTTTCGAATGCCAGAAGGCGGCACTACAGAAACACGCCTTTTCACTTTCTCGCCCTCAACAGGTAGATTCACAGATATGACTGGAGGAGGAGCAGACATGAGCGATGATATATTTCAATTCTTCGCACCTGCTTTGCCGGGCCAGCGACCTACAGGCACAACAAACGCATCGGCTACAACACCAGCTGATAATAATCAAACTGAAAATCCTAATGCATCGTCTTTTGGCAATTTTGTACAAAACCTTTTGAGTAATGTGTTAGGAGGCCAGATTCCGGGCCAAAGTGTTGAAAGACAGGAAGGTGAGATGGAAGGCGATCACGAACATAGCCAGGAAAATACGCAAAATCGTTGGCAACCACGAGAGGGTACACCCATGGTTATTATGAGTAATATTGATGGTAGCTGGAGAATGCAACGTATGCCAGGCGCAATGGATAATAATAATGGCGAGGATGAGAATGGACAAACACAGGACAACGATGACAGGAACAATGAAAACGAAAGTAGAAGAGGAGCAGAAGGCTCCGGTGTTGGTGGTGGTATTACAGGGTAAAACAATAGATTTTTGATTAGTAGAATGGTGTTCCCTTAGGTATCAATATTAATACACTTTACCAGTCTCTTGCAATTCTTGTCGGCAATGACAGGCGCTCCTTTTGACGGCGGAATAGTTGGAAACCCAAATGATTATGTTTTTTCTCAAACAGCTTTGGATAATATCATCACTCAATTGATGGAACAAGCTGGAGGAGGATCAGCTCCTCCACCTGCACCTGACGATGTTATAGAATCATTGAAAAAAAGACACTTGACAGATGAAGAAAAGAGTAAGTGTATCTTTACTAATTAGTATAAACATATGAGCCAAAACCAGTAAAACTAATTAGATGAGATAGACACTGAGACGGACTGTGCCGTTTGTAAAGACCGGTTTGGTGTGGAGGAACAAGTGATTGAACTCCCCTGTGAACATATTTTCCATGATGAATGTATTAAACCATGGCTGAAATTAAACAGTACATGCCCGGTATGGTAAGTTGGTTGGAAGGGTTTTCATCAAGTATGATTTAACTGTGCTCACCATACTTCTGATATGAAATAGTCGTCATACTGTATTACCTGAGAACCCATCGGAGAAAAAGGATAAGAACGATAATAATAATGCCAATACGCCACAACAACAGCAGCAGTCGACAACAACATCAGACGCTAATGGGCCAACGTCCACAACGTCAACATCGACATCAACGTCTATTTCAGCCGATAACACCACAAGTAATACTAATAACACCTCTAATGAGAATACCAGCAACAATAACAGCAACCAAAATCCCACCACTGAAAATGCCAACAATAACAATCAAAATCCCACCACTGAAAATGCCAACAACAATAATAACAGCCAAAATTCCGCAGAGCACCTTGGACGTGGTATAAGTGCAGCCTTTAGCACTTGGCTAGGCGGTGCTGGGGGATTTGGATTTGGTGGCAATCGTCATGGAACGATCAATAACGGCGACAACAACACAGCTGTCAATAATCCTACTCCTTCTGGCTTTTCTTGGTCTATAAGTACCGGTGATAATACCAGTAGACCAGAAAGTATGAATACGTTGAGAGGAACAGGCTTCCCAAGTCGAGAACAGCTTCAAGCATTTCTCGATAATAGATTGAACCGAGTTAGTAATAATGCACAGCAACAACAACAACAACAACAACAACAGCAGCAGCAGCAGCAGCAGCAGCAACAGAATGAACATAGAGATGATATTGATCGTCATTCGAATGATGATCATATGGATTTGGATCTGGATTAGCGACCATAATTACCGGCTTAGACACATACGCTTGTAAGCCACTTATTTACAATAACTCAATATTGTACATACGTATATACACACAGGCGTATATATTTCTCTATGTATGTATGTGTGCAAAAAACATTCTCGATTACATCATTTGCAGTAGTAGATACCACAGTAGTATAGTAGTATTCGACAGCAATAAAAATTTTCAATACATAATTGTGTAATATTGGTCTACAAGCAGGGTATATTAAAGTGGCGAGGAAGGATATACATTTATAAACACAATTATGTTGTCATAGAAACAGTGGCTCGCTGTTGCCGGTTCGATGCTAAAGTAAGCACTGTTTTGAAAGACTTCATAATGAAACCTATTGATGTCATGATTATACCGATGCATATGGCAATAGAATAAACGCAACCATACTTAACAGTAGTTGATGAGTTCAAGGTTGTCTACAGCAAAAAGAAAAAAGATATACGTTAATTGGAAAATACACTAATACTCCTTCTATCCCACATCCTATCTTGATGTTTTACTGCATAAGAGGCTCCGTAATGGGACAATACAACCCAGACAACTTTACTCCAACCTTTCACTTTGGGCAATTCATAAAATCCTTCAAACGCAATTACCATCCAGCACAAGTGTAACAAAGAGAACAATGATGTCGTGATGGCTGATATGAAAAATAGTGTAGCTTTAGGGCAAGACGTACACATCAAGACCCCAGGCCCCAATGATTCGACTAAGAGTGAAATGTAACTAACGAGCGCACTCATAAGTGCATATCCGTATCCAGACACTAACAGTATAGTTGTTCTTCAGCATACAAACATTCAAATTAACGCCCTTTTATTTTTTGATATATATTTACCAAAAGCAAAAGATGTTTTGTTGAAGGGTGATTTAGGGTTGGTTGAGATGTTGTTGAGCCCTGATTCAGCTCGAGAAAGTAAAAGATAAAAGCCCCACCGACATACTTCTTTTATAGCTACACTGTAAGCTATGCTTATGTAATGATTGGATTGGGTTGCTTTTGCAAAATACCATATAACGCTTGATAGTAACAGTGCTAGCAAGCAAAAGAATGCACTTTTTACGGAAGAAGACAGTAAGCTCAACTAAATCGCTGATCATGCGCATGTTAAATTACCTTGCCACCATCAACAAAACATATTGCGCATTAGGAGCGATATATAGAAAGAATATAGACAGCAAAGGACTATAAGCAGTTAACAAACAGCCAAAAAATGTACACAGTGTCATTTCTGCTTATTGAATTATCAGTCGTTCTGAGGAGTGAAAACGGATAGTATCCAACTGTCCTTGAAATTGATTAGTATAATAGACGTTTCTAAATTCTCTTTAGCAGGGCACTCAAAATTAAAAAAATTGTTATAAAGTTTACTTATTCAAGTAGTCGAAGATATTATGCATTCCTAAATGTGAAGCATCTGCTACTATTTTGTTTATCCTAAGATATGTGTATGAGCGACCCTCACTTGAAAATTAAAAGCAAGAAAATAAAGAATTTTATTGAGACACTGCATAGAGTTAATGAAACATTCAAAGATGAAAGCAATTTGAGGGCCATAGCTAGATAATATACATGAAGAAGCTGAAAAAATAAACTAAAAAATTGAACAGTCGAAGATACATGCTTTGAGGTATAAAAAAAATAAGAGCCATCAAAGTCTATGCAGGATACACAAAGCGGTTCACAAAAGCAAAATAAGCTCTTCATTAACTTGAGCTACGCGCTTTGAATAAGTGAATATAATGAACTCCTGACCGATTGAGCGAGAACTCTATTAAGATATGGGTTTTGATTTATTATCGTTTTATTTTATTTGTAAAGTTCAGAGCAGTTATAAACTGCTGATCCTGTCTTTAGAAAACCTTCAAAATTTATCACGCCGCATCAACGTCAATAACATTTACCAAACCTTGCAATGGTTTTTTGATTTGGTTTCACACCACCTCTGAAAATTTTGCTGAATATTAGTATAATGCTGCTCTTTGCTATCCGCAGCTTCTTGTTGTATGCTGGTTTTCAATAAGTTAGCACGAACGGATAAGGCGTTGCCTACGTACGTAACAAGTTGCTTAAAGCTCAAAGGTTTGCTTCAACTTTCAAGTAAGTAAACACTAAATCCAGGTACTCACTTAAAAAGTCAAAAGTTATCCCTACTCTTATTCTGTTACTGATAGCAAGGAAGAAATGATAAAATAGTTGAGGAAGGAATTGATTTTTATTAAAACCGTACTGTCACTGGGGTAAATGATGGAGCCGATTTTGAAGAGATAAATTAAAGTAGCAGGAAGATAGCCGTGCAAATCACAATTGCTAAGTTGTAAACAGTAACGATGTTGTGATAATGGAAATGGACATTGAAAGCCAATGTGGCCTACAAATATGGTCACTCTCCGTTGACACACGTTTAAGTCGGCATGCATCACGATACTACAGATGCACTATTTGTCGTGCGCCCGTTTTTTAAGACCCGTCGATAGAATTGCATCTCGTCTTCTTTTTATGGATCGGCTACCGTCTTCAGCCATCGGAAATATCAATAAAAACAATGTGCATTTACTATAGTAAAATACGGGTTGTGCTGAAGAAGTAGGCTTCATACATTCCCGAAGTTGAAATTTGAATTCTCATCAAACCAAAAAAAAAAAAAAGAAATCAGCCAATAATATTTGAAAACCAATTATAAAACTCCTTGCATTCAAATTAAAGGGTGGGATTTTACGCGGCAAGGTTTATTTTTCTCTTGAGATAAAATTTTTTGCTTCTTTTTCCTTTTTCTTTCCCCATTTACTCTCTTAAGCATTATTGTGTGCATTTAAAAAGAATGGACAATACCAATAATTATAATGAAGAATACAACCCTATGTCACAGTATGATCCATTTTATGGAGCAGTAGGGAATCAAGCGATGAATACTTTTGGCGGTAGTAGCAGCAACAACAACTTTCGCCGTGAAAATAATGACTATAATAATAACATGAATCGAAATAATCGAGGAGGAGGTGCTATGAGAGACCCTAGAAGACGTGAGCGGTTCAATGACAATAATAAGCCTTACAATAAGAGCAATAAACCAAATGCTCGTGGCAGAGCGGCGCTCGCTAAACATGAGTATCAGGAGGATTCAGATTATCATGGTAAGCTTTCTTTATATAACATGCGTTAATCATATGGTATTCTTCCCTTCCTTTGCCGACAACCACATCATAGACTTCTTTCTTCACTACTACTGTTTCTCTTGCTGCTCGTATTCTCTTCTTTTCAGTCAATTCAGTCTACTTTCTTTGACATTCTGTTGTGTATCACTGACAGCTGCAATTTTTGATTATCACTTCACACTCATTCTATCCCTGCAGCTTTTTTTGAACAACTTGTATACTTCAATTGATCGGATCAGTCATACTCTCATCGTGTCAGAAGGGCTAAGTTTGCCTGTCATCATCATTCTCTCTCTCTCCCTCTTTCTTTTTTCTGCGTCTTTCTTTTCAACTAAAGAGAAGATACTTACTATCATTAACTGAAAATGAGAGCTCCTCCTCTTTCTCCAACTACCATTGTGATTTACTTATAGCTAGCACAGACAGCTTAGACATACACACAATTATCTTTGTTAGCAGAGAAAAGTCCACGACGAGCAAGAGAAACAAGTAGTCCCTACAATCTTTTCAAATCATACCACTTATCAGTTGCTATCACGATCAACCCACCATATATTTCCCCTTGATTCCTATTGTTTCTCCTTTCTGCAGAAAATGTTTATAGTAATTCCTTCCTTTTGTCTACTTTCTATGATATCATTCAGGATATGACGATAATAATGAACGTTTACCTCCACATATTGAATCAAGAGTTGCTAGAGAGAAACCCTGCAGAACATTGTTTGTAAGAAATGTTCAGGTAAATTCACCTTCCTATTTCTAACAGAAAAAAGCGAGGAAGATCTTCATTTTGGCTATAACATGCGTCATACATTTTCTCTAAAACTCTTGATATATTTAGTATGCAATTCCTGAGAATGAAGTGCGAGCTTTATTCGAAAAGCATGGTGAAATCAAAGATGTTTTCAATTTAATTGAAAATAGAGGCATGATTTTTATAACTTTTGTAGGTTCTCATAAAAACTTAGCCTTAGAGAAGATTACGTATTGACGCTCTCTTATCTTTCATTGCACATAGTATGATGTTCGTGCAGCTGAACGTGCCAAGCATGCCTTGCAAGGAACCTATCTAGCAGAAAGAAAAATAGATGTACATTATTCTTTACCCAAGGAAGAAGAAGAGAAAGCTCGGTGTGATAGGACTAAAAATCAGGTAAACATTTGAACTTTCAGTATATTTGAGACGAAAATGTCCTTTTCTCTAATCATTTCGAGTATGATAAAAAGGGTACTTTACTTTTTACACTGAAAGGTTCAAGTATTGAATTGGATGATAATGAATTACACAGATTGATGTCTTCATTCGGAGAAGTGAAGGCTATACGTGTGCCGAACTTTAAGAAAAGTCAAGCACATAATTATAGTCAGCATGAAAGGAATCAACAACGTTTGGTCGAATTTTACGACTCAAGAGCATGTGTGGCTGCATACGATGCAACCTACGATAAAGAGTATAACGGTGGTAGGTGGGATGTGGCCTTCTTTTGGGACCATCCTTACAAAGAACGTGTCAATTCACATGCGAGGAGGGAGAAGAACTCCGAAAGAGAAGATAACATGGGTAGAAATAGACGTCGTAGTGATTCCACAAGACGCGATTACAACAGCAGTTATAATAGCAATGAACCTTTGATGGGTACTCATAATGTCAACAGTAATCACCATTATACTACCTCACCCAATCATCCCGCTCCTCATCTTAATCCTATTCCTACAGGTCTTCCATCAAGTGCTGATCCCAGATTACAGCAATATAATCAATATTATCAACAGCAGTCACCGTTACAGCAACCCTTAGGTATTGCTCCTCCTGCGGCTGCTGCGGCTACATCTGCCGACACCGTAAGATTAGAACAAGCTCAAAAAGCACAACAAATTCTTTCCATGTTAGCTCAGCAACAACAACAACAACAACAACAACAACAACACCAACAGCCTGCTACACAGCAACTGACGGCACCTTTTCAACCTACAAATATTCAGTCTCCACCTGTTCCTCAGCAACAGATGCCTTTGCAGCCTCACCAGCAACAGCAACCACAAAGCTACGTTCCTCCAGTACCGCCTACAGAAGACCAAGCTTCTCAAGTACAACAATTATTAGGTTTATTGGTAAGTTTGTTAGGCGTTCGATACATGTATATTTTTATATTGATAGTCGAGATGCATCTTCTAACCACCCTTTCGTGTTGTAGAGTCAAGCTGCTCAACAACAGCACACTCCTGCTCAACAATCGGCTCAATTACAGCCTCACTCAACAGCTGCACCTGCACCTATCATATCTCAGGGTGTTGCACCTATTCCAGGTATGGATCCTGCTACTGCTTTAACTCAACTAGCTGCACTACTTCAACAGCAGCAACATCAACAAAATCAATAAATAAATTCTGAATCTGGATATAATATTCGCGTCTATTTTTTCTCTTTCTCTTGTTTTCCTTTCCCTGCTTCGCCCTTCAACATGATATTTTGTTTTAGTTTTTAAATGACTCATTGGTGTTTATTTACAATAGATCTAAATGCATTTAATTCAAGGGAATGGGGAGGCGCGAAAAAAAAAAGGGATGGTTACAATAGATTAGTTATTTACGAATTACTTTTCGCTTTTTGGTATAGTTAAAGTCATCATCATCGTCTTGATAACTGTCTTCTTCTTCATCGTCATCATCAATAATAATTCGATTTCTTCTACTGCTACTATTCGTAATTCCTCTTCGCCCTGATCGTGCTTCTGCTGCTACTCCCGCTAATTCATCTTCTTCCTGTTGTAATGCTAAAGCCATAGCAAAGTCATCATCTGTATTTGGTATTTCTGACATGGGATCATCGATCTCTTCCTCTTCCTGTCCATCCTCTTCCATATTGTTATTTCTTTGTTCCTCTTCTTCCTCATCGTCTTTGATGGTTGACGGTTCTGGAGTGCTTGGTGTGATAGGTGTACCAGGAGTATTAGGTGTACTAGGTGTAGTTGATGCTGGTGATTTGGATTCTACCTCGGACTTGAAAAGGAGAATAATTGAAGAGCTTAGCCTTACACTTCGAAGACATCTATCAAAACATCTTCTCTTTCATTCCTTTGCTATGTTACCTTTAATTTTTCCATACGATCTGGATGCACAGCTTTCATCTTTTTGATATTTTCTTGTACTTTTTCTAATTCAGCTTTCAATCGTCTCATTTCCTCTCTTTTTTGTTCAAGAATCACTATAGGCTAGTAGTCGAAAAGAAAAAAAAAATCAGACATAACAATCTCTATACTCATAGATCCGCCAAATTCAACGCAAATATTACATCTTCTACTTTTGGTAGCTCAATATTCTTCCATACTGATTCTGGTAGTTCGTATCTAGCAAATTTAGATAAATGTAGGGTTAACTGTCTTTTCTATTCTATTATATCTTCGTTACTTCAACATAAAGCAGTGAACTTACGCCTCCTTATTAGCTATCACTCTTTTTCTTAGTTCTTCACGAGAAAGTTTGCCACCTGTATTTACAATACAATTGTTTTTACGTCGAATATGACTTCCTTGAATCAGTGAGTTTTTCTGTCCAATAACCTTAGGATCAATATGCAAACCAGCAAACTCTGTTGTTGTTGGTTTTGACGAAGGGATATAGATGATTATGTTCAGTTATTACAGGTATACAACCCTAAATTTCTTTTTATCAAACATACCAGCTGTGCTTTGTTGACCAAGTAAACGTTGCAACTGCAAATTCATTTGTGCGTTGGTTTTACCAGGCAAACAGCCACTTTCAATAATCTTGGCCCAGTTACCAATGCCAAATTTCATCAACGCCTTTCGCAAGATTTCTGATTCTTCTTCGGTCCAGCCGGGTGAAAGTGTACAATTCCAAAGACTGGCAGAATCATTGGAACGAAGCACATTACGTGCACCAGCTGTCATACTACGAGGTTTGGCTGCTATACTGTTGCTCATGTTATTCTACTTTGTTTTGTTTTTGAGATCCAACTGAAAATAGAAGGAGACTTATTGAAGAAAGGGACAGTTTTGTGAGTTTTATAAAACTTATTGATCGCTTTCCCAAATTTGACCTTTATGACGCGACTTAAACGCGCTGCAGAAAGTCTCAATTTTAAATCAGCAGCTTAACGGAAAATGCGTTTTTGTAGCTTTTCGTCTACAAATCTTACTAGTAGGCACCCTTTTTTTTGATCACTCAAGAAGAAAACTGAGATAATTCGACCTATTGAGCTTTATCGATTTTACCTGCACAGTGTTTTCAGTTTGAAAATCCAAAGTTTTCAAAGTGCCTTCATTTTTGAGCGAGATAACGAATCCAAAAAAAAGGAGTATTTGAATGTTCTCTTCATTCTTTCTGCCAACCAAACATTATAGTCGCTTTCAGTTTGCCAGTCGTTCATAAGAACCAAATTAGGATGCATTAAAGTCTTGAACTTCAGTTTCTCAGATAATGACTGAAAAGTAACAGTTTGCTTTGATAAATATAAACATTGCTCTATTTGCTAATTTTCGTAAGAGGATGTAATTCACCCATAGAGCTTACACTTTATGCATGTTACATGGCCTAAATAATAGCTACTATAGAAACTCCTGCTTGCCAGACTACACAAAAATTCCGGGAAGTAAAGATGGTGTTGAATGCTAATAAGGTTCAGCCTGTCTCTCTACAGTAACCTATTTATTCAACAATTAAAATGCCACACAACGATTACAATGTTGGACCTTGAACTGACCAAGAACTTTCTTTTACTATCAAACATATCTCTGAAAGGAGTAATGTAGTGAATGATGCTTTATCAAGGTTTTCTCTTTTGGAGCTTGACGTTAAAGATACTACCGAAAATGACCCGAAAAACCTTTACTATCATTCAATAACCGAGGACAGCAAATATTATAAGCCATTGCTTGATAAGATTTATCACTACAATGCCCATTTTTAGTTACTCAAAGGGTCAAACAGAAAATCAAAAGAAATCTTTAAAGACAAATCGACCAGCGTTTTGTACGGGTTTCAACGACCGAAGATTAAACAACGAGATTTGGAAGTTGGCTGAGGCAACGCCCAAAACTACCTCGAGTAATTCCAGTCAATCAAGCGATGGCCATGGGCACTTCGAAAAACATGCGTTCTGGGTGCGACCTTTTACTAGCTATTGATGGCCCTCTGCATTTGACGATCTTAAGAAACATAGCACCACTTATGAGCCATTTTCTCAGAAGATCATTAAAACTCAACTGTTATAATTTGAGGATTGAGAAGAAAGCAGTGTGACGTTCTTCAGTCACATTTTTCTGCTTTTTTGACAGGAAAAAAAAGTTAAATGCAGTTGTATCAGCTGTAGTTACTTCCTCTGAAGCGAATAACAATATTTCGATCGGGTTTACTCGTCCCTTGATTTCACTTCTACTCTTGTAAATCTATTTAGCTCATATAGATCGCCTATATCGACGTTTTCAATTACTACATTGGGGATGCCAGCAATTAAAGCAGCAAAGAAAGCAGCAGTGCCTGCCGAAAAATTGTCATTGAAGAACATTGCAAAGCATAAAGCACCTTACAGTATTAATCTTACAAAAAATGCGTGCGGCAACATCTCAGAATATCCCATTGAATTTACAAAAGATTCAAAGTGAGTATCTTGTACTGAGTCAGTTTAAAGCGATGCACGTTCTTTCGACTTGGCAGTGATCTGATCTAATTTCACCTTTAGGTACTTCTTTTCTTCTGTCGGATCTTGTGTCAAGATTTATAGCGTTGCCACTGGTGCTGTTGTCAAAGTGCTTTCACAATCGCCTTCTCTGGGAGGGCATTTAGATACAATTACTCGCGTTATTCTGAACCCAAAAAACCACCTTCAGTTATATACAGCCAGTTTGGATGGTACAATCAAACTCTGGGATTATAATGATGATATTTTACTGAAGACTTACGATATTAAGGCACCTATTCAGTCGATGGAGATTTGTCAAAGGACACCTGAATATGCATATTTAATTGTGAAAAAAACAGATAAAGATGGAAAAGGTAATAATTTTCAAAGGCAATATTGTAGATTATTAGTTGTAACTCTGTGTATTATGGTCTTTCTAGACATAGCATCGAATAACACAGCAGTTTATCGATTCATGTTTGGCAGTTCAGATCAGGATAGTGGATTGCGTCGTATTCACACATTGACAGATTGTCGTTCCATTGATATCAGCAGTGACGGAAAGTGGCTCGCATTTGCGGCTCGATTCAAAGTGTATATTTGGCCAGTAGTATTAGAAGAAGACATGGTGATGGAAGACGATAATGATAAAGCAGATGTTATCGAAGCACAATTGAGGCAACATGCTTTTGTTGACATGACAACGGTGCTCAAATTTCACCCTTTTAAACCTATCTTAGCTGTAGGTGATGAATCTGGTAAAATTACCCATATTACCAACTTCACGTCTGAAAACGAGAAAGATTATATACGTTCCATTCATCATTGGCATCATATGCCTGTGGATTGTTTGAAGTTCATGGAAGATGGTTCATATTTAATGTCAGGTGGTCAGGAAGCAGTTATTGTTATTTGGCAACTTGATACAGGACATAAGCAATTTCTGCCTAGAATGGGTGGCGGTGTGACATCTATCACCATATCTCCCAATCATCGATATTACTGTGTTGGGTTGAAGGATAATTCAATCAGATTGATCAATAGCATTAGTCAAACTATTGAGCAAGTGATTCAAGGTCTACAATATGGTAAAAACTCACAGCTTCTGATAAGTGGATTCAATTGCTAGTGCTAACAATTTTATTCTACTATCTATAAATAACAGCCAAAGCAGAAAGTAACATGAATCCTTTATCCACGGGTCTTATTATTGAACCTCGTAATCGCCATGTTGTACTGAATGGTGTTCAAGGCAGTCTTCAATTTTACAATGCCATTGCTGATAGTCATGTTATGGATTTGGAAGTGGTTCCCATGAACCGTATTGTTCGTTCCGGTGAAAGGGAAATTATTCATGCCCACGTTGCGCACGTTGCCTTTTTACGTAGTGGTGAATGGATGGCCACCGTGGATATGCGTGATGATAAAATTACCACACCTGAACTCTTCCTCAAGTTCTGGCAATGGGATCCTGATACCCAGAGTTACAAGCTTCACACTCGTGTGGATTACCCTCACACCAAGCCTATCACCTCCTTAATTTTCAATCCCACCTCACATTATCGTCATAGCAAGGGCTTAATGGCCATAACCACTTCAGAGGATAAAACTTTCAAAGTATGGAATTTAAGTCAAAGCGGTAGCAATAACCAAGCAGCCTGGGTCTGTCGTTCTGTCGGTGTCTATCGTGACGATACCCCTACAACCGCTACTTTTTCAGAAGACGGTAGCATTTTAGCCGTTGCTTTCGGTCAAGCCACCACTATTTGGGATCCTTATTCCAATTCAATTCAGGCTGTTTTTGCTCAGCCTAATTCCGAAATTGTCGAGAAACTAGCATTTTTGGGTGACAATTGTCCCTTTTTGATTGCCATATCCAAAGAACACCTTCATGTTTGGAACATTTTGACATGTAACGTTTGGTGGAGTTATAAGATGACAGTGGATCACTTTTCAGTCAATAAGGACAGTAATCAGTTCGCAGTTGTTCAAAATCACCCCTCTTCTCGTCATACCACTAATATCAAAAAGAATGATGATAATGGGCTAAAATCACGTATTGTTGTGTTTGATCCCAAATCGTCCGTTCCTCTTGCACTTTATCATTCAAACTATACTTGTCGTGGTATCGCATGGCTTCCGAATAAGGTTCAACAGCAACATGACGGAGACGAAGTTTTCCATTCGTCTTCAACACTTATTTGTTTGACCAACACTTATGAACTCATTCTTCATTCTGTGAAACCTTCCACCACAACAGAATCTGCCGGGCAACAGACAGAGAATGCCATGGTCTCAACAACACCAGCAGATCTCCAAAATAGCACCATCACAACCGAGAAATCTTTGTTTAATGACATGTATGGTAAACGGGAAAATGAACGTGAGACAGACGAGCAAACTCGTATACGCCTTAAACAAGCACAAGCGTTACGTGAAGAAGCCATGACAGTTAATTACAGCAGCAGAAAGGGCAAGACATCGTCATCAATACATAGAAATGGAGAAGTGGAAGATGAGACAGGATTATCAGCACCTAGTCATGTCCTCCCTGGTGTAGAATCCTTATTTGATACGTTCATGACATCTATTATGGCGTTACGCATTGAAAATGACGAGGAGAAGACATCAAGTTCCGTGGATGCAATGGACGTGGATGTTAATGGTATTGAAGGAGAAGCAGAAGAGAATCAAAATACTTCAACAGAAGATCAGCACTTAGTGGGTGATACCATTTTGGGTTTCGCAGCAGAAGATCTACCCACCTTGACTGAATTCTTTGCAAATGGCTTAGGTATGTATAATAAAGCATTTGATTATTTTATACATAAATCTAATCATTTTTGTGAATTTGGTTTTAACCTTTTTCCCAGCTCGAAAACCGGTCGTTGAAAAGGTTCAATCAGACTCTTCCTCGGACGATGATGATTCAGACGACGAAGAAGATCCTTCAAATATTGACTGGTAGATTTATATTTATTACATTACATTTTGTATTTTTGAAAAAATCGACAGGTTTCGTTATACTTCTTATGAATGGGGTAGTATTTTTAAATTGAGCAATCATTGGTTGTTTACTTACTGCAGCGTTCTTAATGCTGCTGGTTGTCATCACTGATATTTTTGCCACTTTTCAAATGATAAAGATAATGTATACTGTCCTGTTATTAACAGAGGATAAGTACACAACAGCCTTTGTTGGGCTGGTAACCTTAAGAAATATATAATAGAGTTTTTTGCTTTGTGAAAACATCATAATCTACTCAACGTCAAATGATCCAGAGATTATGGTCAATCTGTTTCACTTGACTCGAACTTCTCGTCATTAGCCTAATACTTGAAAACGTCAGAACTCAATTAAATAGTGTAACTAAGGGTTAGAATTACCTGCCCTTTTGAGTAAGAGCCAGGAACACGAGATTAATAAAGAGGTTCTCGTCATTTGGTTACAATTTTCTTTCGAAAAGGATGATCGCAAATTAAATTTGCTATCAAAACAGACAAATTGCGGTATAATGAAGCTCACACAGCCAGACGATAATAAATGTACAAAAAATTCTACTACAGTGATGGGATAATACCACTTCTGAAATTTATTGGGAAAAGTGCCTAACGTCAAGCAAACCTTGTTTTGGACGTTTGCTCTTCGAGAATGCCATAAAATCGACGCGATGGAAGTAGATATTATTGCGTTAGTATATGACCGCAGCTGCTTCCTGTCGTCAACTCGTTCGCCTGAATCATAGACGAAGTTGAAAGAGCAGGGTAACTTTTTCGTACATGATCAACATAGTTTTTCCTCTTGACCTATTGTCGAATACTAAAACGTTATTTATCTTTTCCGGGCTTTTAACATACAATTAATGACAATTAGATGCAGCACAAATTAACCAAGTATGTAATTGTAACAACAGCTTTTTTCAGTTTCTCCACCCCTAATGCATTCATGACTAACAGATATCAGGAAACGTAGTTGAAAATCAGTAAAAGCTAAAGTAAAGGTCATTTAAGGCTTTAATGTAGTAAATTTTCTATTATAATTAAGATAAAAATTGCTCTTGCAAAAATCAAATTGGTTTATATGCGAAGGTATTAATCAAAGGTATCTGAATAAGTGAGCGGCTCAAGCAATTGGCGCAAATTTGGTATATTTAAAAAGAAAAAACAAAAAAGACCAAGCATGACGATGAGTCGGGTGTATGTAAAAATTGCTATTAGCATTGTAGCTACTGCTGCTGACTAACCTTAACGGCAGTATTCAAAGCTGTTCTTTTACAAGTGACCCATTGAGATTCCAAGTCCTGAATCCATGATAAAATGATTTTCAAGCGATCTTCTAAGGCACTTGTTTGGAGTAAATTATAGCGTTCAGAATTACCCACAGGAAGGACAATACCTGACCACCAACATATGACCACAGGTTGAAAAGGAGAAGGTAAGACACCGTGAAGACTCTGAACGGAATCTAGCCAAACGGGGCCTAGCAGGCCATCCACAGCACTACAAAAGGAGTTGGTAGGGTTACTGTAAGCGAGTTCACTTATGAAATTGTGAATACGGCTTGATAATTTGATGGCTGTAGCGGAAGGTGGAGCTGTAATTAGGGGATTCATTAAAGAGAATGAATCGCCAGGAGGTGATGTTGGTGTAATAACAACAATTGCATCTTGGCCTTGGTTAAGTACTTGTGCTGTTGTTGCTAGTTCTTCAGGGGACAAAGACGAGTCCGAGAGTTCAGTATCTGTTTTTTCTTGTTGCTGTCCTTTTTTCCATTGCTGATTTATGCTTTCAAAATGATCAACCCAATGTTGGCTGTTGTTACTGCTATTGTGCATCATCGGCGATGTCCAGTTAATTTGTGATTCCAGTTTTAATTCAATATCTGCATAAATCAGATCATCGGTTTCCTCATGGATATTGATAACTTTAAAACGATCAAGGCCTTGAATATCGATGATAAGACTGTCACTTCTTTGATCTACAGATTTAACTTTTACTATTGTACCCTTATGGCCTTCGAAAGTGGCAACATCCTGCCGTTGTTTACTGATGATACCAAGGCAAAAACATTGATACTTTTGACATGCAAGTAAGGACCGGATGAAAGCAGATCTTTGTTTCTCGGTAAAAATAGGAATTCTGAGCTTTTGGTATGGTAAAACGGGGAAATCAAAGACATTAATGGGTATATTCGCAAAATTTGAATAAGGATCAGTCGATGGTAATAACTGAGTTGTATTCTTACTGAGAGAAGTAGTTTTGGCAATTTCAAGTCCATAACTGCTGTAACGCGTATCGTTATTGATTATAGTTAATATATTGTTCAAAATGTGATTCGTAGGTTGCTTTTGAAGATACTGAAAACTGGGCAATCGCTTTTGACATATGCAGCACGTGTCATTAGCTATCTTATATCGAAGTAAACATAATTTGCAAAAGGTGTGGCCGCAATGATTAGTGATAGGATTTTCAATCAGATGCATCCCAATAGGACACCGAAGGACATCAATTGCATGCGATCCAAGTTGCTCAGTGGTCATAGCAGTAGAGGCAGCTTGGTTAAGTTTAGTAATCGACGTATCTAAACACAAACTGGGACCGAAAAGATGCGACTCTGCTTTACATTGTTTGACAGGACACGCAAATATTGAATGTTCGAAAGCCTCTAGAGACGGCAAGCATGATACGCAAATAGTATATCCGCATGATATTGTTACAGGCTCCATTAGTTGATTCTGACAAACAGCACACTGCAATGAATAAAACATATTTGGGAAGCTTTATCTAAAGTAAATATAAGACGGAAGAGAGGCAATGATGACAATGAAGATACTGACGCTTGTCATTCTTTATTTATAAGGATTTTGTACTTATAGTAATTACATAAATCATCGAAAACGGAGTTAATTAAAATAGATTTAGCATTGCAATTTCCTGGAAATCACCTTCATCTGCTGTATTTTCGATCCTCACGCAAATCAGACAAGCTTACTCATTTTGCAGATTTTGACTTTTACCTAATGGAGGATTGCTTCGAAGTTTGATTTGCGCAAACTTCGGTGTCGTACGAAGTAACGGGCTTTCGACAGGATAAACTAAGAATAAGACGTCTTCCAACAATCATATTTCTTGTTATACTTTAATCTTTTCCTCAGATTTTTCTTAAGTACTAGCCATGCCATAAAGCCTGTTATGTAAGTAATCTACAAAAGATGTATGATAGCGATTTCGAGTATACAAGATATGTACAGTAAAAAGCAACAAGGTGAAGCATACTTAAGGAGATATATACATCTGACAAGAAAAACAGTGACTACTGTAGTAGAGCAACAGTTCTATAGTACTTATTATCATGTTAACATACTCTGACGTTTATATCCAAAAGCGTACATATGTAAGAAAATACGTAAAATATATTATGGATACTGTGATGATTGCTGAAGTCCATGCTTAAACACTCTGTTGAGCTTGTTCGATCAAAAAGTTACAGCTACCTTCCCCAGAAACTCAATGCCCTGAGATTCGAGGGACACTTTTCTAAAAATTTTGTAAGATTACAGGAGTACATCGTGAGCTTCACCGCATCTTCTTCTTTTTTCTATCGCCTTAGACACATTTTAACATACAGCATGGATTCTTTGGCTCTAGTAATATATGCATCAATAGTTTTATTTTCAGATAACCATGGAAATAATTAATTTGTTGACTTTGATTATGTACGATGAACTAATGATAATTGTGAGGAAAGAACAATGAATACTGGTTGTTATACTTGGTTTGCATTTTGAAATGATTGTGTGAAAGCTGTTCGTTACGTGCTAAGCCCTATAATTATTCTACATGATTGTACATCCACAGCCGGCTGTAGGTTCTGCGAAAGGATCAGGATTCCGATTTCCCCAAACAGACGGTACCATCATGTCTTGATTTGTTTGGCAGTATTCAATTAAACTAAGCTTGAGAAATTAATGGCATTGTTCATTGAACTTCAAAGTACAATGAAATATTTCGAAAAGTACTTACGATCGACTTGCTTCTGATATAGGTATACGAGATATTTCTAATTGCTCTTTTAATTTTTCATTTAATTCGAGCAGTTTTCGTAGCTTAGCTTCTGCGATGGCTTGTCGTGGCATGGTTGAATCGTGATATATGTAAGAGTGAGAAGAGTAATATTGGCCAAGTTGTAGCAGTAAAAGAAATGTTTTAAATCCGTCAGGAGAGAGCTTTATTATTAAAGAAAAGAGAAAGAGATCTATTAAGGAGTAATTTGTTGTATTCTTATCTACTCCATGAAGCTAGTCCATTTTTTCCTATGCTGGATTCAAAAGCACCAGGTCTCTGGTGCGGTCCTTCTGTCCAACATTTGAAAACGTAGCTGAACAAAAATAGTTTACAACGTACACAAAAAAAAAGACAAATAAATATATGCTGCAGCCGACAAATAATATCTATCTCTGGCTCTCTTTCTTGATCGAGGGCAGATCAATTTAAGCTTTAACACATAGGAGATAAAAGCCCAGCGTGGTTACACTACAATATTTTCGGCTCAGATTTAGGACTTTTTTTATTTGGCAAGATTCAGATTAATCAAGTGATTGTTTTTGGGCGAAATTCGGACACTTTTAGTAAGTTATCTAAGATTCGCTTCTTTCTGCACGCATCTGTTCCTTCAGTCTGTCTGAAACAAACCTTACAATCCTCAGGCGTAACCGTTTTGAAGGCTTCCACGACACGTAATATCAGAGCGTCATTGTTGTCTAATGGATACCTCTTATTTTGATTACAATCAATATGTGATATTTTTTGGTATCAGAAGAATTATTTAGTTTAAGTAGTTAAAAGTAGAGACTAAGTGAGTCAGCGAGACCGAACTATAGTTCTTGGAGGATTTTTATTTTGGTTTAGAATTTGGATGGTCTTTTATATGAATGCGAGTTCTTATAGTGGAATTAAGAAAGTAGTAATTACAATCGACTAACATTGTTCCTGTTAATGAATTGTACAACGCCGGTGTGCCTGGAATCTTATTTGTTCCAGTATATCATAACTGGTAAAGTCAGTAAATCTGGATTGTTTTCCAGATTGTTATATGAAAAGAGGTCAGACCGTGACATAATAGTATGGTGCTTCCTTCGACACAAATCACAAATTAGATTTCCATCTTTATCATGTGCTCGTAGTTGAGTGGTTTGTTGGGATTGATGTTCTGAATAGGTTTTCTTGAATTTTTGCTTATTGTGTCGATAACCTTTCGGAAAATTATCTACATCCATCGGTGTAGGTTCATTAACATCATCCTTTGGTTGAGCGGGATTTTGACTGTCTTGTAGTTTTGCTCTATCTTCTACTTCGACAGTTTTGTTGACAAGCTGTTCCAAAGTAGTTAGATTGAGTGCAGCTTGCAATGCAATCAAAGAGAGACGAATTTCCGGTTTATCCAAAACTGAGTAAACACCGCAATCTTGGTATCTTCAGCGTGCTTTTCAGTAATTAAGCTTAAGAGGTACTCAAATTTTGTAGTATGTAATTGAATGGATCCGTTAACTTCTTTTCGACATTTTTTGACATTTTTTGAGTCCCTTCAAACGTCTTCGGTAGTCAATCTCTTCATAAATGCCAAATCTACCGATTAATGATTCTCTCATCGAGTGCCACTTTGCGAGAACTGGTGGTGGACGACGAGATAACCAGTTTTGGATATCTTGAGGCATGTATGCTGCAAGTTATTGAGCACACAAGTCTAAATAACTCACACCAGAAAGTTTGGCAGTATGTTCATAATCAAGAATCCACATACGTATGCTGGTTTTGCGTCATATTTAGGATCGGGGGCTGTCCTACCTCTTTCATTCATCATATAGAGACGGAAATCGGAAGCGTAATTGGTACCTGAAAAAGAATGTTTAGGTAATTGATATGCTGTTATGAGAATGGTTATTGTTGAGATTTTGAGGCCTAACTGAGTGATAACCTGTTATAATAAATGAGGTAAGAGCTGTGTTGTAGGTGGAGGATGCGGATGTGGATCCTGTGGAGTGTCTAAGAGAACGAAGTTGTAAATGTTGAGCTAAGTTTTCGAACGATAGAAGGGCAGGTGGGCCAAATGAAGATCAATCCAAGTACGTAGGATAAGGCAGAGGTACGCAGATGCTCTGCGGACGCGTTTTGCTGAAACGTCTCTATTAATGCTTGATCTCTTAATTATAAATAGAGGTAGGTAGCTCCGATATGTTGAGCTGGAGCTTAGTGTAACAATTATTATGAGAGTAAAAGATAATGTTTATTAAATTTAGATTCCAATTATAACTTTACATGTTTTCGTATCGCATGCTTACAATGATGTACAGCATAGCTCCTTAAAATAACATAGGCTTAGTGGAACAAAAGGGAACAACAACTTCTAGAGCATATCCATGAACAGGAAAAAGGTTGTACTTTCCTTTTGCCTTAATCTTCAACACGATGTCAAATATATCAAAAGGTAAGTGAAGACTCTCTGGCAAGTTGCATAACAAAATCTTTAATACTGCTTAATGATGGGAAAGCTATGGCCAACTACCTAAACAACAAGGCGCAACGTCTTTAAGTGATTTTTTCACCACAAATCGACAGTTGGTTGAGCAGTACATTAAACAATTCGACAAGGCAACTGATGCAAAAAAGAATCTTCAGGAAAGATATAGAAAAGTATTCAAATGGAAGAGTCCTTTAAGAAAGAGGAATCCTGGTGTACAGCTAGATATCAAAGAAGCTTGGGTCAATGCAAGGGCAAAACGAGAAGCAGAGATTTAAAAGGGTTCTGTAGCCAAAGCTCTCTTGAAAGTAGGTAGAAAAATGGCAACAACTCTGGTAAAGGTAAGTTGTAAGGGCTATGAATTAGGATAAGTTAGGGAGCTCACACTTTATTTGTTTGGAATTAGTCTCCTCCTACTAAACCGGATGACAGCCAGTCTTCTCCTGCTCCACGTAAACACGCTTATCCTGATTCTGCAAAAACTGCTCATTCTCAGTCTGCTCTTACTCCCGCATAAGTTTGAAAGTACAGTTCTAATGAATGAGAATATGCCAGAGTGCTTTAAGCGTTTTAGACAGTATCAAGAAAGGGCTTTTGAAACAGCCAAAATTCAAGACTTATTGACGTGTTTGGTGAGACAATAATTACAATACTCGAGTACGTACAACCAGTAGAGAATACATTCTACCACGGTCTATCTGTAGTGCATCTAATATAAATTATGTACAGCCTAGAACAAGATAACAGTCCTGAGTATATTAATCACACAATAAGCATCTGAATCTGAAATTAATGACTAGCAACATTTCTCCACAATAATATAAATTCCCATTAGACCTTACAGAGGAAATAATCATTCTACTTCATCTGAAGAACAATAAAAACACTCAAGTTCATAGTCATCGACTTACAACCGTTATCAATTCCAATTAAAGCATTTACAACACTTATTTATTAAAGGAGACTTGCTTGAGATACTGTAAGTCGTTCTGCGCAAGTAAATTAGAAAGCAAGGTATTAATAACCATACAAAGATCGTTATACAACATTGTATTACTTAAGAAGGGCCTTACGTATCCTGGAATGGACTTTTCAATAACAAATGACAACTTGTTGAAGAAATTTGAGCTCTGCTCCACAAGCAAGATCGAAGACTCAATTTTCATGGAATTAGTACATATCTTTAGAGTAAAGAAAATACATAAGGGAGAGTATTTTTGGATATAAGAACATCTCATATCATTTCTTCTTTCAGGGTAACATTCGTGATAGAGATGAAGTAAAAATTCAACTATTTGACCTTTATAAAAAAGCAAGCAAACCGGACAGACGAATTATAGATGTTTTGATAAATCTGTATGTACTACGCATAAGCTTTGAAAAGTTCAACCAGTTACTAATAAGCAATAACTTTTAATCTCTAGCTTAAAGAAACTGTCAAATGATATTATTAAAAAGCATAAGATCGAAGAGCAAGAACTCTTAGTGAATTACGTAGATTCTATTTTAAACCCTTGTTACATGATCCTGGTCATGAAAAGTTATTCTTCTGGTATGAAGCATTAAAAAGCTTAGAAAGCGAGTAGTGTGGTATTTCCATACCTCCTATAATAAATAAACACGAATTAGACACACCTTAAACTACTAGACTCGTTATTATGATTATAGAATCATAATAACACTTGCACACGTCATCGTATACTCTAAAGACATACGCATACATAATGCTGTATTCCTACTGGTTAAGAACGAGTATTTAGCTCCCTTTTTTTTTGTATCTCTCTCCTTTTCCTCCTTTCTTTTGTTGTCAAATACAAACATTCAGTTTGCCATGAACGCTCCCTTCTCTGATTTTCAGTGTATAATAAAAGGACTAAGAAGACTCATTTCATCTCACAGTTATTTCTAAGTCGCGTTCACTAAACCAAATATCAATTACAAATATCGCAAAATTGCATTGTTATGGAAAATATCAAAAACGCCCTGATGCAAGCTGTTTCTCTTAGAAGGTGAAGCTTTTGGTTTCGTTGAAGTGAAGCCGGAGTATAAGAAGAACGACGACGTAAAAACACATGAAGATTTATTGAGATAGTCGTTGTTTGGATTAAAGGCACTTGAGCAGCATGATGCCAAATGCATCTTGTTGTCTCAAGTAATCGGTAAAGTGAAGTTACATGTAAAAGTTACCAATATAGCATACATTAACATGTAATATAGGATGCCATTTTTACATTTATGGATGTTTTGGTGAGATTCAAGGAGCTGTCGGAGTGGTGGAACTGACCGAAATAATCTTGCCAATGTCATTGAAAGAACTACCAGGTTTTATAATGAAACTGGACGATCTTAGAAAAATTGACAGTTTTTACAGGATGCAATGCTTTGAGAAAGCGTGGAAGAAAAGAAAGGCATCAAGTGCCATAATTCTTGATGATATCCTTAACTCCAATGCTCCAAAGCACAAGAAGGTCGCATTTGATTTTTAACAGTTTATGTCATAAATACCTATGCTTGCATAAAAATAAAAGAAAAGCTACACCTATGTTACCATTTAGTTTCTTCATATAATTGAAAAGACGCACGTTCGAAATGGCCATTGACATGTCCCTGTTTTAGCTATCAATAAGTAAAGATGAATCGAACCATGTTTTTGTGCAAAGTGAAGACAGCTGTAATCTTTTTAGCTTCCTGTTCTTATTAAAAAAAGTTAGCTTTTCGTTTACAATATGATTAACCACGCCCTTAAAAAAGTCCGGATAGTCAAGAATAGTTAATAGACAGTGTATTATACAGTAGGAGTTTTTCGGTAGCATCGATAGAATCTTCGATTTCTAAGAAATGCTTTGCGTTGAATTTTTGATAACTGACAAGAATTTTTCCATAGGATTCAGCTCAGAGGATTTTAGAAGTAAATATGTAGGTCTAAAGCGTTTGGTCACGATCATTTTTGTGCTATCTTAAAATTTATGGGTGCATTACCTATAATAACATAGAAGTTTTTCAGTTCAGGGAGTTGTCTATTTCGTCTGACGTTTCAGAAATAAAACTTTATACAATGGCTAGTACTAGTTCCCTTTGCTTTTTTTTAATCCTGGATATCTTCCTCTTTCTGTTTCTATTAATCATGACTTTCTTGAGGTTTAAAAGCTCTAATCTTGACTGAAATAACATCCTGAGCTGTTATAGCTCCCAAAATGCTGGTGCACCTCTGATTAAGCCAGCGTTAGGGCCTCTCATGTTGGTATCGAAAGTAGTTCCATTCACAAAAACGCAGTTGGCTAGGTAGTTCATGCCAGTAACCTCGCCAACCCATTAACAGTGTTTTTCAGATTCTTGTTGCTACCTCTTGCTGGAAGTTGCAAGATTGCGGTGGCTATAAACCTTTATTTATGCGTCCTCTGTTCGCATTTTAAACCTTGTAGAGGAATGCTGGTCTAAGACTAAAAGTAATATGAACGCAATTTATTGCAGAAGGGGGATGAACTATCGCGTCGGATTCACAAAACATTAAGCCTGATGATTGCCTTGGCGAGACATACAGAAACATTCTGGCATAGCTGCTTATGAATTAGGATGCGAATTGTCTATAAAAATTGCAATCGTTTTATAAATGTGTCTCTGTCCTCTAATTCATATAACAATCTGAGAAACAGGCATTTCATTAGGCACACTGCAACCTTACTGGTTATAGATATCTCGCAGTGGTGTTGTACAATTCATTAACAGGAACAATATTTCTCGGTTGTCACTACTACTTTCTTAATTCCACTATAAGCTCAGTTCTACCTCGCATTCATATAAAAGACCATTCAACTTCTAAACCAAAATAAAGATTATCCAAGAACTATTCTCGGTCTCGCTGACTCACTCAGTCCCTACTTTAAAACTTTTAAATTATAACTTTTGATAACAAAGAATATCACAGAATGAAATGCAAATCATCCAATTAATTATAAAACATCCAAACCGGAAGGTAAAGCACAGCTAGAAGTACAACAACATAGAAATAGGAATAGGAAAGGGCATGTTTACAAATTGAGTTTTATTATTTGGCAAATGCCTCACTAAACATTAATATATTAAAAATCAACTGCAGCCTTCATATTCTTCGGCGTGTGGCAGTTGATAATATCATCAAGGTTCACGTTGCTTGACGCTCTTCTTTTGTTCTCCTCTTCACCAAAACATTGAAGGCGGAAGAATTGACCAATCTTCTTCAGTTTATCAAGGCTCATTACAAATCCTGGTACCTAACGGGGAAAAAAAAATTGATAAGATAATACAAGGAATTGCTCTTCTATTCAGGTTTGTCTCACTCTCATCATTTATGGTTGAAAAGTCTATTTGAGGGTATGCATGGTTTTTCTTCAATAGTACAATATTATACAAAGAGCTATCGAAGTATTTAAAATAGTGTTTTCAAATGTGAAGGATAGAATGACTTACAGTATCTGGAATAGATCCCTGTTGATAAATAATCGTTTCTTTTAACTATTTTGAAAAACTCCTTAAAACGCTTAGAGCACTCTGGGGTATCCTCATTTGTTAGAACTGTACTTTTGAGTTCATTATCTTCGGTAAATTCAAAAATCAGCTTGTCCTCAGCGTTGCTGCTAGACCCTACATTATCATTGATAAAGTTGGGATTATGGTTATCAGCAAGGTCACTTGCGCCAGCAGTACTAGTATTAGGGACAAGTTCAGTAGAAAGTGAATCAGAGGCATTGAAGATGCCAAAATTTGATGGGCCATCAGGCCGAGTAGGGTTAGCGACAGCTTCTGCTTCATTAGAGTCCAAGGTGGGTGTGGCTTTCTATCGGGCAAAAAGAAAAAAAAGAATATTTATTCAAAGTATCCCAATCTTTCTTTTTTGCAATTTACCTTCAATAAATTGACCGCCTTCTTACCGCGGTGTGATATTTGAGGTTGTTTTATGCTTAATGAACGCGACTTATAATTTGATATAAACTGTAAGGTGGAATGAGTCTCCTTTAGTCCATTTATTATACACTGAAAATCAGAGAGGGAAGCGTTCATAGCGAATTGGATGTTTGTATTGACAACAAAAGAAAGAAAGGAAAAGAAGAGAAATAAAAAAAATGGAGTTAAATACTCGTTCCTGAAATATTCAACCAGTAAGAAATGCAGCATATGTATATGCGTATATTTAGAAATACAAGATGACGTGTACAAGTGTTATTATGATTCTATGATCATAATAACGAGTCAAATGCTTGAAGGTGTGTCTAATTCGCCTTTACATATTATAGGAGGTATGGAAATACCACACGCCGGTATCCAATATAGCAGCTGAGACGCGGCTTGTTTGAATGTTTGCAGCTCTTTGTACTCTGGCCTTCTCTTTCGATTGGGATGTTTAGCTCTGAATGCTGCTTCAAATCTTTTCTGAAGGTTTTTTTTAAGCATCAATTGCTTTATCAAATTGGCGGATTTAAGCGTTTACAGAACTTTGGTTTGCATCGTGCTTTTAAAGTAGTTGAATCGGGTGTTTCCAGGTAATCGGCCATACCTTAGGCATTATACAAGATTACAACTTAAGCTATGTCAAAATTTCAGGAAAGCATTACTTACTCTTAGAAATATCTGACATCTAGCAATAATTTAAAATAAAACAATTTGAATAGTAAGAGAAAAGGAGCGGATTAAAGTTCGAGTAACTACCAAAACGTGCAATGATTTTTAAGCTCCAATTATGAGGAGGTCACTAATCTATCATTTGAATCAAAACAATTATTTTTACTGTAAACAGCTCGATGTAACGTCTTCCTGATCATTTGATTTAATTTTGAAAGAAATGATGTTCCTTTTTTAAGTTATTGATCTACAAACCCAATTTATTAGTGTTAACCTTCCTTCATTGTTATATGGATCAAGAAAGTAGTGTTTGACTAAACAGCTCTTCAAAAACTGTATCTTCAAGATGAACATTTGCCCGTGATGTTTTTGTGTGTTTTGACAACTATATGTCCGCAACTCAGAAAGATATATTTTTTTTATTAAAATAGAGTTTGCCAACGATGTACCTCCTATTTTCATGTATAATGTTATGGATGATATTCTTAAAGATGAATTTGAAAAGCAGAGACTATAAACCTGCTTACCTTCCTCCTTATTCGCTATTTCTAAACTCAATGAATTATTTGATTGCAACCGATATTTATAGTGATAGAATTATAAAAATAAATGCCGTCAATAGTGAAAAATATGGTATAAATATAATCGAAAAAAATTCATCACAAACCTTTGTACTTTATGGCAAGGTTTCTGTGGCTCGTTATAGACAGTTTATTCAGAATTTCTCAATTTAGCACATACTATAAACTCTTTCCACTTCGCATTTTACTTTAATACATACATTATTACCAATAATCAGTAATGGTATGATATTTCGCCTGAACAGCTTAATGATATCTGATAGCAATAATATATGTCACTCAATTTGACAGCAAGACGCATTACTCGATAGTCAAATAAATAAATTCTATATTTCACTTAGTACAGCACGACAAAACGACAGTGATATTAATTTGCAATACCATTAGAGAAAAACAAGATAATACAATAAAGTTTATTAGGAATCAAATAATCTCAACAAAATGGTTATGGAAAGTCATCAATCGCGAATGAGATAGAAATCAAGTGTGGCAATATACGCATTCTTCATGGCCACGCTTACTGTACGAATGAAGGTTAACTAAAAGCAATCTATTACGAGACAGAAATAGCTTTGATATCTACGACAATGGTAAGTACACTTTCAAAACTGTGCAAAACGAAGAATTTCTTTGTGATTGTTAGCTTTCATTCATGAGGTACAAAAAGTATCATTTGAGACAGTGGCTTCGCGACATTTTGACTGCGATAAGTAGTTCGCCCGAAGAACATAGTAACGCCTCGCTCTAATCGTGATAAAGGATAAATAAATCGCCTTTAAATAAGAAGAGATACTCCTCCAGGAGAAGTAATTACTCAATAAGCTGATGTAGAAAGATTTCGAGTCTATAAATTTTTGAAAAACTGTTTTACTGACTTTTTTACATGTCTTAAATAATAAAATTAGCTTAGGATAAGCCATAATTGTAGGTCAAGCTCACCGACAATCGACTTTTAATGCTACTCATAATCAAAGTCGGCGAATCTTTCCGGCATAAAAATAGGCGCTACCAAAGACCAAATATAAAGCAAATGGCAAACCCAACCCGATACAATTTTAACCCATACAGCTGTGTAGCTTTGTCCAATACGAACGAGATCACCACCGTCATGCCCAGTACCATCCTCAAAATTGATTGTGTTCCTAAAGAAGACAACATATCAATAATCTAGCTCCATGTTTTGAACAGACGTTTCCCGAAATACTAACCAGTTAGTTAGAACCATAGAAACATACATAGCAGCGATAGCAAAAACAAAATGAAAGAAAGAATAACTATATAGAGAGCCAAATCTTTCATCATCCTTTTCGTCAATATTACTATCAATTTCATCGTCGTCATCATCGTCTTCGTATAATACAGATCGAGGTAAAGCGCTATAAACAAATTGAGAATGATGACGATCAGAACTTTTGCACAGACTAAAAAGTCCAGGTCAGTTATACTTACCCTTCCTCAACAGCGGCAATCAAATGTTCTCTAGCAGAACCTTGTGAGCTCATTCGCTTGGCGCCATCTTCTACTTGATTTGCCATTAATGGGACAGCACTCGACGTGTCCAAAGGTTCATAACTGCCTAGTCTTGGCCTACCTGAAGATTTTCCTCTAATAAACGCACTATCTCGTGTAGCTGCCCGACTCGTTGAATAAGCAACTGCCAAAAATGTAAAGATAGCACCTAATACAACAGATGTTGTTTGGGGGCCAATTGATTTCCGCAAAGGATTACATTCTTTATCATTTGGTTCGTTAGCTACGGCAGATAACACCAGGTAAGTACAGTAAATAACTACGATAGACGCTTGCGATAGACCAGAGCGAGAATTAGCCTCTTGTACTCGAGGAGAGATACATAATAAGGTAACCAGGACACATAAGATCAGGTTTAGTGTGACAAAAAACTGATTCAAAGAACAACCGTTTGAGGCAAAGAACCCGTACATGATGCCTGTCAGCGTGATAGCACTGGCGAACATAAGTAGCGTACCAACTATCAGAATAAGAGCAAAATTCCATCATTAGTACAGAAACACTTTCTTGTCTGTCTGTTACCCATTTCGATGAAGACTTACATATCAGTATATATTTCCATAAATTTGAGTCATTTCTTTCATAATTGATCATACATTTTTCGGTCCAACTATGAGCAAAATCGACCAACAAGACAAGACCGAAAAGGATAAAGATAGCTGCACCAAATAAAGCGAAATAATTACCCCAGGCCATGAAAAATTCACTTGGGATAAAGAAGGAAATGATAATCAGGACAATCCAGACTAGTATTTTAGGACCCCACCAACCGTTTTGTATAGCGGCTCTCTTTTGTCGACTATCGTGTACACCAATCAATAAGCATCCTAGAATGGCATGAAATAATATCAATGCAAAAGAAACTCTATGAACCTAATATAACAAAAAAAAAAAAAAAAAAAAAAAGCCCACAAAGTAACTTAGAATGCAGAAAGGTATAATTGTCTATTTAACATAGATTTCATTAATATTCATATTTGATCAATTGTTTAAACCATACCCCTATGACACCATAACAACTTCCTTCTTCACAGTCGAATTTCATATAATCCAATGTCAAGTGTTCCAGCTTTTTAATAGCCCAGTTGGATAGCATAAGCCATGCAAGCTTATTGAAGATGCCAAATAAGAGGTTCGAGATGATATTGTCAGTCTTTCTTTATTGGAGAGTTTCAAAAAAATGCATGAATTTTTGTAAGAATTACTTACAATAGAATTGAATAAAAATATGATCTACCCCAAGTGCCAAACCAAAAGCCGTATGTTAGCATTTTCAGATAAGTATAGCATAAATCATATTAATACTTACAGCATATCCAATTCGTGTTGCTATAGAGTTGTTACAGTTACAGCTTTTACAAATGAATTGCCAATGTCAGCTGTCGAGATCATTAAGCTCTCCGTTAATTACTGTTGTCTGACTTAAGCGCAGCCTACCTTTTGAAGGCTAAGGAGCAAGCTGCAGCTGAAAAGCAACTAGCTATCCACCCTCCTACACTTGATAGAGCAGGTAATGCGAGGCAACTTAACGCTGCACCCATTTTGTACGATGTTAGCAATGAAGATTGTGCAAAAGTTAAAAAGAGGCGAGAAAATAGGGTCCTCGGACAAAAAATTAGGCCATTTCTTATTTCCTCGTTTGCAAAAAAAAAAAAAAAAAAAAAAAAAAACTAAAAAACTACCAGACAAAGGCTTTTCCGGGTATAAACTACTGTTTACATCACAATGACTCTGGTAATATGTTGTATAAGTCAACAACTATTTGAGGTTTATTGATCCGGAAGTAATATGCATATTTTAAAGCTTCGACAAAGTCAAATATGTCTAAGATTATTATGAAGATAAATAGTAAGTAGAAAGTACTTTCGTAAGACAAATTGGATATAGTGTATAAAATAGTGCTAGAATGCCAGAAACAAAGGAGAAGGTATTAGTAAAGGTAGTAATAAAAAATAGATGGGATTGACAGGAAAATGGTCGTCCCCTAGGGTGCCGATGTCCAAGGTAAAGGCCCCTTATACAGTGCATTGTTTGATGGACAATAGTTGATTAATGGTGCTAAAACTGGACAAGAAGCAGCATAGGCATGTCTTCTACGGAATGGATTTCTTATAATTCGCTTTTGCTTCAAAATGCCATGGCATCCATATAGATCCTTTTCAAAAGGTTTGTAAGAGTTCAAAAGTTCGCCTTCCTCCCTTGCCGGATCCTCAATTTTGGGGTCAATTCCGATATAGTGAAATGACTCTAAAGGGTACTGAATTGCGTGCCTGTGAAGGTCCTCAAATCGCTTTCGCTTAAACTCGAAGCCGACGACAGTAATTTTTGTAGGATAGTTGCCTAACATTTCTGAAAACCGACAGATAGAAAACAGCATATTTTCGAATGAGTCCCTCGCATATTCTTCTGTTATCATTCTTTCGCTGAGTCGAGACTTTTCCTCAGCTGATAATTCAGTATTACTGTCTAATAATATTCGAGCAATTTGCCAATAAGACAACGATTCTGATCGAGGGCCTGCATTGGGTCTTGTCTCTCCACTAATCATTGAATTTTCCCTTTTGTTAACTTTTGCATTCAAAATCTATTTCACGTTAGCCCCTTTTTGTTTTTACCCAGAAAATATTAGCACAGCCTTCAAATCGTGTCTTAATAGATCAATGCCTTTCTGTATATGTTCTATAAAAGTGTTTATTTGTCTGCCTCGTTTTTGATAAGGCTCCAGCACCCAATTGTCTTCTTTATAAATGTCATCTGGTGTTGGTGCACCTGTATAAATGGCGTGACCAGCGATAATGATGGCATGCGAATTTTCGGTCAAAGGTATTGGCGGTAACGGATCGTGCGAATTATATATCAGATCTGGTGCTTGTGAGGCTTTCTGATTATGTTGTATAAAGTTAAGGAACAAACTGAAAAACAGCATGGTCAAAAGTATAAGTACGGGTAGCTGTCTTTTGTTGGCTCGTCTCCAAAATGATGAGTATGTATTGCTTTTCGATTGCCGTTCTGTAAATGAGGTTGTGTCTATGTGCAAAGGCAATATATTTGACTTTCTCTTCGCATTATGTGTATTCATAATTTGTGGATAATCAGTGAGAAAAAAAAAGAAACTCAATGGTATCAATAAGCCAGAAGGAGTTATATATAAAGGGAATTCTGTAAAAAAATACCATCAAATTTTCTTTTCCAGCTGCCCAACTGCAAACCGACTTCACCGTTTCTTTGATAGAAAGACTGCACCTCAACGAGCTCCTATTCAAGAGACCTACTCTAAAATTAGTTTATGAATATGTACACAGATGATGGTTTAAACGTCTAAAGAGAGACAATTAGAGAGTATATTTGCCTCGAAGGCTGAGCGATTTCAAACGTATTTGATGTACACGAATTATTTAATTTTAAAGAACAAATTGAGGAATATATACTTTGATATAATTGATTAGTCTTTAAAAAAGCGATGATGGAGGTAACAGCCAAGCTACTTCGAGAGTATTCCATGCTTTCTACTTGTTTTTAACTTTTTCGCGGTATAAATTCTGCATTAGTGCCTTCTTAGAAAGTGAGATGCTGCTTACCTTATGAATGGTTAAGGGACCTTTCCTCATGGAAATAATATCTTCGTAACAAAAACTTAAAGAAAGGTTGTCCATACTTGCTATTGCCAGTAGCTTCTGTTGCAGTTGCTGTTGGATGTTCATTTCCAGCGCTTGTGTCTCTTCGGTTTTTTTAGGCTTCTTATTATCCTCCAGTTGATCTGACTTGAAGACTTTTAGTTAGAAAACACATCCGTGCCCTTGATCCCTTCAATAGTCCTCCGCAGCCAATGCTACTGTATGTAGCGTCCGTTTAGATGATATGACTACATGGAAGATTATCCATTAAAAATCATAACGCTTAACACAAGAGATATCAATTTTTATTTTTAATTGCAAAGTTATCGCTCTATTAATATAAAACATATGAAAAAAGAAGGCAGTAGATTGCGTGGAAGCAGTAGACACTATTTGAAAACGTTTCGAGGCGCAAGTATATAGTTATCTCAGGTACCTTAATCTATGGAAGTAACAGTCTTAACAGAGTCTTTGCTGAGTAAGAGTAGCGTCCATTCAATCGTGCGATACATACATTTGGTAAAGAGAGGAGGGATATCAAAGAGAGCGCTATGAAAGGAGTAATATGCGACAAGAATGACTGATTGATGACTAGTTGTCAAGGCGCTGGTTTTTATTGTATAGTACTATCATGACAATAAGTACTAGACATAGTCTTCTGTATGGAGGTCGTAGTTCTTCTCTATAAGAATACGAGAAACAATGGAATCAATTTATATTTTTTTCCTGCGTAGCAACTCGGCTGTTCCATTTTGTAGAAAAGATAATAGAAAGCCACTTTTCCTTCAGTCTCTCATCTTTTTCTGATATCTTTCTAATCGGATGTCACCCTTTGAACCCATTTATTGGTTCGAAAGGGTCTGTTATCTTAATCAAGTCTGTATGGTCTATAAGGACAATATGTAATTTATAGCGTTTATTGAAATATAAAAAATAACAACACTGAAAGACATAAATTAAAGCGTAACAATGCAGAACAGAAAGAGTTTTTGTATTTCAATGAATGTACTTATGCTTCTTCTTCGCGTCCGAGCTGGAGTTGCTGTCCGTTGAGTCATCACAATCGAACAGCAATGATGTAACGAAGGCACTTGTTTGCATGATCACGTCCTGTAAAAATAAAATAATTAGCACTGGTCGTACCAAAAAAAAAAAAAAAATTACTAGTACTACCTTCATCAGCATTATTTTTGCAACAAAGGATGGCAGCTCAGGGAGCAAGTTGTTGCTTGTTGGAAGCTCAACAGTATATTCACATATGAATATATATGGTCCCTCTGTATGGCCCCAGAGAGAATACATATATATTTGGTTTACTATTGGGGGATGCAATGGTAGTTAGTACATGACTGTTAAAGACGTTTGATGATGCTTACAATAGAATTGAAAGCCAAAGACTTTCAGATCTTTGGTTGATCTGCGGCTCTTATTAGAATTTCTTCGGACAATGTCTTTGTACATTGCCTTCAGATTTCTTGCAAGCTTCTTTCTATTATTCAAAAAGTGAAGCTTATTAACCTTGTTGTTTGGGCCAGATATCTCCATGCTGGAGATATCAAGACCGTAGCTATGACTGTTAATTATCACATCCACCTTGTCGTCGACAGCAGATCTCTGTTTCTCCAACAAGGTGGCATCTTTCTTCTTTTCACCAATTCTTCCAAAGGCTAAAGTGGAGCTCACCTCTATTAAACCAAGTCAGTAATCGCAGCAACAATGTGATGGAAGCAAACAATAAATAAGGTATACTTACACCAAGACAGCAAGCTCATTTTTCAAAGAAGATAGTACCAATTGTACTAAAGGAAACACAAAGTAGTAGGAGTACATGGGCTCACTAACCCCTCTGGCTAACATGTTGTCGTTGGCATGTACTACAGACTTACTACTTGAACTTATATTAGTAGGAGAGACAAAAATAAAATGGTATTACAACTTACAAAAGCTTGCATATTTTCAAGCAGTTCTTCCTCTTCTGCTTGTCAACACTGCTCGGCTGTTGACGAAGCCTCGTCTTCTCTTGATGGAAAGTACTCTTGAAGTGCTCGTGATATTTTGAAGGTTCTAAGCAAGTTGCATTTGTGATATTTGTAGTTGATATTTGGTTTAGTGAACGCGACTTATAAATTGATATAAAAACTGTAAGGTAACATGTGTCTTCTTTATTTGACAACAAACAAAAAAAAAAGGGAGTTAAATACTCGTTCTTGAAATTCCCAACCAGTAAGAATACAGCATTATGTATACGTATGTCTCTAGAGTACAAGGTGACGTGTACTAAGTGTTAATATGATTCTATGATCATAATAACGTGTCTAGTAGTTGAATGTGTGTCTAATTCGTTTATTTATTATAGAAGGTATGGAAATACCCAGATTATGCAATAATCCAAGAGTAATATGATGTTGGATACAACAAATGTCGACGTTTGTTTCAAAGAAGATCCATATGAACCTCTTTTGCAGTGTAATGAAAGAATCAATTCGAATCCTTTGATATACAAAAGATATCGTACCAGCTCATATTTTAGTCAGAAAGATAGATTAGAAGTTCGAATTTAAATAAACTATAATACATTTAATTGCCATAAAATCGAGTTTAAGTAATAAAAAAATCTATGCCCTAGTTGCTATATTATACCTAGCGTCCCCTTTGTTTAGGGCTTGGGCGACAATCAAACAATTCTAAATGTTCAGGATTATTTAGCAGTTGTTCATTATCGAAATATATGAATTGGTTTTCATAAAAGAAGAGATCAATAAATATTTTCTGGAGACTTGGGTATTCTCTGGACACAAGGTTTATGTTAGTTAATTGCTACTATTGTAAAATTTATTTTCTTTGTTACCTTAACAAGTTTTTGAGATCCATACTATTAGTTGTTAAGCCAGCATAATCGATTGATATTACACAAACTTTAGTATTTTTTTCTAGAAACTTTAAAAAGTCTATTGTACATCCATGTGTATTGTTTAATTTAGACATGATTTCATTCTTTTCATCTTCTAGATCACGTTTAGCAAACTGTTGCTTGGCTAAACTAACAGGCGAAACAAAGACCTTGTCTACTAATGATCTTTTGTATAAAATATCAACCATTCTTTGCAAACAAGCGATTCTGTTTCTTGTCTCGCCTACAGATTTCCTACAATATCCCACAATTTGATATCCATCTTTTTTCATTTCATTTATTTTTGATTGATGCCTTGGCAATTTTTCAACTATAGTTTCTGCGACGGTATCTATAAAAGGAGAATCAGCAAGTCTTTTATTCCATTATCACTTTTAAACTTACCATAATACACATGGTCAAGGGTGCTCAATTGTCTGCTTCTTAATTTCAGTACCTTTTTGTCTGTCTTTACGATTTTTCTTTCAGGTTCAGTCGAGGTCAGGTCAACCTTTTGTGCATTCAACCACTGACTGAATGCTAAAGGGGTTTTGCTGTCGGATTTGTGACTAAATTTCCAGATGACTGACATAATATCCTTGTCATATACAGTTGCTAACTTGTAACGTGGATCACAAAGGTTTTCCTCTTTTGGTCTGAAAACGTAATTGATGAAATCAACAATTTGGCTATCATTTTCTATATTGTAAATTTTATATATTTTATTTTAGACGTCAGTTTATTTCCAAGTTGTTTGTTAGTTTTACCAAATATGATATTTTTCTTGTCTGCATTGTTTGCTGTTTCTTCAGCGATTTCTTGTTTGGATTTATACAGTTTATAGAAATTTGGTGCGCCATATATTCGAGACTTGCAGATGAGCATAGCTTCATTAAAATTATTAGTATAGCAAAGGTCGACTTCGGGCGATGCTTCAATGTTCTTCAAGCACTCCTCAGCACTATTTTCATCGAAGGGTTTGCAGTAGAATAGGCAGCTAGCTTCTTCTTTGGAAATCATGTGAAATAGACTTTTTCAATATTTTCTGAGCAGTGAAATGGTCCGGTTGTAGTGTGCAACAAAAGGGAAGAAAAGGATTTGCTTTTTTATTGTTATAAAACGAAATAAATTTATTGTTTAGGAGGTGTGATCTTTATATAAAACATCTCACAAAATGCAGTTTCATTATCTTGTGAGATCATAAATTATACTGAATAAAAATATCGTTTACTCTCCTAAATAGTTGTCACACTAAGCTATAGCTTCACATGGCGAAGTTACCAACCTTTTAATTATTATTAAGAGATCAAACGGCAATACACACGCTTCCACAGTCAAATGCATCCGCAGAGCATCTACGCCAATTCTCCCTTCCAACATACTTTGATCGATCTTCATTTGGCCCGCCAGCCCTTCTATCGTTCGAAGACTTAGCTCAACATATATGATCCCATTCTCGTAGACATTCATTTAATATGACAGGTAATTAGACAGCTAGGCGTCAAAATATCAACGATGACAATTTTAATAGCAGTACAACAATGCCTGAACATTCTTTTCAGGTACACATCACAACGTTTCTGACCTTTACCTATATATGATGAATGAACGAGCTGGACAGCCCCCCAGTCCTAAATATGACCACAAAAACGGATCTGGATTCTTGATAATAAACATACTTCCAAATTCATAATGTGAGCAATCTAGGTTTGTGTGCTTGATGTCTTGCATCATATATGTCTCAAGATATCCAAAACTGGTTATCTCGTCGTCCACCACCAGGTCTCGCAAAGAGGCACTCGATGAAAGAATCATTAATCGGTAGATTTGGTATTTATGAAGAGATTGACAACCGAAGACTTTTGAAAGAACTCAAAAAATGTCGAAAGGAGTTAATGACTCCATTTGATTACATGCTACAAAATTAGAGTATCTTTTAAGCTTAATTACTAAAAAGTATACTGAGGATACCAAGATTACGGTGTTTATTAAGTTTGGATAAACCGGAAACCGTCTCATTGCAAGCTACAGTTAATCTAACTACTTTGGAACAGATTATCAACAAAGCTATCGAAGTGAAGATAGAGCAAAACTACAAGACAATCCACAACCCGCTCAACCGGAGGATGATGTTAATGGACCTACGCCGATGGATGTAGATAATTTTCAAAAAGGTTATCGACACAATAAGCAAACATTCAAGAAAACCTAACCAGAACATCAATCCCAACAAACCACTCAACTACGAGCGCATGATAAAGATGGAAATCTAATTTGTGATGTGTGTCGAAGGAAGCACCATACTATTATGTCACGGTCTGACCACTATTCATATAACAATCTGGAAAACAATCCAGCTTTACTGACTTTACCAGTTATGGTGTACTGGAACAAATAAGATTCCAGGCACACTGGCGTTGTACAATTCATTAACAGGAACAATGTTAGTCGGTTGTAAATACTACTTTTTTAATTCCACTATAAGCTCAGTTCTACTCGCATTCATAGAAAAGACCATCCAAATTCTAAATCAAAATAAAAATCCCCCAAGAACTATTGTTCGGTCACACTGACTCACTTAGTCTCTACTTTCAACTACTTAAACTAAATATTCTTCTGATACCAAAAGATATCACATATTGATTGCAGCCAATATAAGAAGCTTTCCCAGCGTAATAAACACAAAAGACACACAAAAGAAATTCATAACGTGTAAACACAGATACCCATCCGTAACAACACATTGCTCATTTGGGCAAAACGCGAGTCAAATTTGCCAAGAACCAAATTAGTCATACAAAATCAACATTGTATCGGTTTAAGGGATACTGGTGCAGAAATTAGTGGTATTAGTAAGTCACTATTGGAAAAATTGGTGTATCCGTGAATAGTAAGGTAAGCCTTCTTTATCGGGACGTAAACGGTAATATCAATAACACATGCGGCATTGCAAATTTAACTTTCGGTGGCACATTTCAAGTACATGTGATTCAGGGGTAGATCACGATCTAATTATCGGATGGGATATTAATGTTTCTCTGCAAGGCCAGGTAGATGGTAAAATGAAAACAGTAAATATCCAGTTCAATTACAACAGAATCATTATACCAACTACTCAAGACCCACAGACCATTAATGCCATAGCAAAGTCAAGCAAAGATACAGAATTCATCACCAACATGATTCTCTCCGAATTAAAGACGTAATAGCTGATAATCCAAACCGATCCAAAGTATACACCTTTGTTGAATTCGAAAATAGCACTGGGGGATCATGAACCAGTCTTTGCTAAGCCTAGAAGGTTTCACTTAAGTTTGGAACAAAAAATCAATCAACGAGTGGCAGATGGCATCATGTCAAAATTTTCCTTTTCACAATGAGCAGCCAACGTTAGACCAGTTGACAAACCAGATGACTCATTGCGTGTTTGTGAGAATTATGTGAAACTCAACAAAATTGCCACGCCTATTTAAATCCTTTTGTCATTATACATGAAGCTTTACAGAGTATGGGGAAAGCCAATTTCACAAAAATCGATCTTGCTTGAGGATATTATCAGATACCAATCAAACAATTTGGTAAGATAACTGCACCTGTTACCAATTCCTGCTTTTAGTATTCAACGTAATGAGCATGGGTGTGATATTTGTGGTTGTTTTATGCTTAGTGAACGCGACTTAATTTGATATAAACTGTAAGGTGAAATGAGTCTCCTTTAGTCCTTTTATTATCACTCCAAATCAGAGAGGGGAGCGTTCACAGCAAACTGAATGTTTGTATTTAAAAATAAAAAAATAAAAAAATCCTCGTTCCTTAATTTCTCAGCCAGTAATAATGCAGCATTATATATGCGCATATTTAGAAATACAAGATGACGTACAAGTGTTATTATGATTCTATGATCATAATAACGAGTCAAATGCTTGAAGGTGTGTTTAATTCGTCTTTATGGAAATGCCACAATGGGATTACGTAATGCGCATGGGGTTTTTCAAAATGTCATGGACAGCGCATTGGGTGTGTATTGTTTTAACATACATTGTCTAGTTGAACGTTCTCATGAGTTTCTCAACGAACATGGACGACCATATCAAACATTAGAATGGTGTTGGGAAAGATTGCGTTTTGCATTAAAAATTAAGAAAAAGTCAAGCGGTCCATTTCTCTGCTTAGAAAATACAAAAAAAAAGACAACTGGTCCAACCGGTCCAACCGGTCCATTTCTCTGCTTAGAAAATACAAAAAAAAAGACAACCGTCCAACCGGTCCAACTGGTCCATTTCTCTGCTTAGAAAATACAAAAAAAAAGACAACTGGTCCAACCGGTCCAACTGGTCCAACTGGTCCATTTCTCTGCTTAGAAAATACAAAAAAAAAGACAACTGGTCCAACCGGTCCATTTCTATCTCTCTTTAGCGTTTCGAATGCTTGTTGTTGATCCTTTTTTCTAGGTGAAGTCCTGGGTTTTCTTTTTGAGCAATCTTAAGGGTTCTATTTTCGATTGATACTGAGATTAAAGCGTTGATACACCGGCCATGCCGGAAAATTGCTCAATGTCTTGTAAACAAGTAGGTATTATGTACTCCACAATTGGCTTGATCATATTTGGATTACCCTGAATACCTTGATTTGCAAAGAAGAAATCCCAAGCATTCAATTTTGTTTAGCCATTGGCATTTTGTTAACTCGTTTGCAGTGAAATGGACCGGTTGCCTTTTTTTTTATTTTCAAGCAGTGAAATGGACCGGTTGACTTTTTTTTATTTTCTAAGCAGTGAAATGGACCGGTTGCCTTTTTTTATTATTTTCTAAGCAGTGAAATGGACCGTTTTTTTTTTTTTTTTTGTATTTTCTAAAGCAGAGAAATGGACCGGTTGGACCAGTTGTCTTTTTTTTTTGTATTTTCTAAGCAGAGAAATGGACCAGTTGGACCGGTTGGACCGGTTGGACCAGTTGTCTTTTTTTTTGTATTTTCTAAGCAGAGAAATGGACCGGTTGGACCAGTTGTCTTTTTTTATATTTTCTAAGCAGTGAAATGGACCAGTTGGACCGGTTGGACCAGTTGTCTTTTTTTTTTGTATTTTCTAAGCAGAGAAATGGACCAGTTGGACCGGTTGGACCGGTTGGACCAGTTGTCTTTTTTTTTTTGTATTTTCTAAGCAGAGAAATGGACCAGTTGGACCGGTTGGACCGGTTGGACCAGTTGTCTTTTTTTTGTATTTTCTAAGCAGAGAAATGGACCAGTTGGACCGGTTGGACCAGTTGTCTTTTTTTTTTGTATTTTCTAAGCAGAGAAATGGACCAGTTGGACCGGTTGGACCGGTTGGACCAGTTGTCTTTTTTTTTGTATTTTCTAAGCAGAGAAATGGACCAGTTGGACCGGTTGGACCGGTTGGACCAGTTGTCTTTTTTTTTGTATTTTCTAAGCAGAGAAATGGACCGGTTGGACCAGTTGTCTTTTTTTATATTTTCTAAGCAGTGAAATGGACCAGTTGGACCGGTTGGACCAGTTGTCTTTTTTTTTTGTATTTTCTAAGCAGAGAAATGGACCAGTTGGACCGGTTGGACCGGTTGGACCAGTTGTCTTTTTTTTTGTATTTTCTAAGCAGAGAAATGGACCAGTTGGACCGGTTGGACCAGTTGTCTTTTTTTTTTGTATTTTCTAAGCAGAGAAATGGACCGGTTGGACCAGTTGTCTTTTTTTATATTTTCTAAGCAGTGAAATGGACCAGTTGGACCGGTTGGACCAGTTGTCTTTTTTTTTTGTATTTTCTAAGCAGAGAAATGGACCAGTTGGACCGGTTGGACCGGTTGGACCAGTTGTCTTTTTTTTTGTATTTTCTAAGCAGAGAAATGGACCAGTTGGACCGGTTGGACCGGTTGGACCAGTTGTCTTTTTTTTTGTATTTTCTAAGCAGAGAAATGGACCGGTTGGACCAGTTGTCTTTTTTTATATTTTCTAAGCAGTGAAATGGACCAGTTGGACCGGTTGGACCAGTTGTCTTTTTTTTTTGTATTTTCTAAGCAGAGAAATGGACCAGTTGGACCGGTTGGACCGGTTGGACCAGTTGTCTTTTTTTTTGTATTTTCTAAGCAGAGAAATGGACCAGTTGGACCGGTTGGACCAGTTGTCTTTTTTTTTTGTATTTTCTAAGCAGAGAAATGGACCGGTTGGACCAGTTGTCTTTTTTTATATTTTCTAAGCAGTGAAATGGACCAGTTGGACCGGTTGGACCAGTTGTCTTTTTTTTTTGTATTTTCTAAGCAGAGAAATGGACCAGTTGGACCGGTTGGACCGGTTGGACCAGTTGTCTTTTTTTTGTATTTTCTAAGCAGAGAAATGGACCAGTTGGACCGGTTGGACCGGTTGGACCAGTTGTCTTTTTTTTTGTATTTTCTAAGCAGAGAAATGGACCAGTTGGACCGGTTGGACCGGTTGTCTTTTTTTTTGTATTTTCTAAGCAGAGAAATGGACCGGTTGGACCGGTTGGACCGGTTGGACCAGTTGTCTTTTTTTTTGTATTTTCTAAGCAGAGAAATGGACCGGTTGGACCAGTTGTCTTTTTTTATATTTTCTAAGCAGTGAAATGGACCAGTTGGACCGGTTGGACCAGTTGTCTTTTTTTTTTGTATTTTCTAAGCAGAGAAATGGACCAGTTGGACCGGTTGGACCGGTTGGACCAGTTGTCTTTTTTTTTTTGTATTTTCTAAGCAGAGAAATGGACCAGTTGGACCGGTTGGACCGGTTGGACCAGTTGTCTTTTTTTTGTATTTTCTAAGCAGAGAAATGGACCAGTTGGACCGGTTGGACCAGTTGTCTTTTTTTTTTGTATTTTCTAAGCAGAGAAATGGACCAGTTGGACCGGTTGGACCGGTTGGACCAGTTGTCTTTTTTTTTGTATTTTCTAAGCAGAGAAATGGACCGGTTGGACCAGTTGTCTTTTTTTATATTTTCTAAGCAGTGAAATGGACCAGTTGGACCGGTTGGACCAGTTGTCTTTTTTTTTTGTATTTTCTAAGCAGAGAAATGGACCAGTTGGACCGGTTGGACCGGTTGGACCAGTTGTCTTTTTTTTTTGTATTTTCTAAGCAGAGAAATGGACCAGTTGGACCGGTTGGACCGGTTGGACCAGTTGTCTTTTTTTTTTGTATTTTCTAAGCAGAGAAATGGACCAGTTGGACCGGTTGGACCGGTTGGACCAGTTGTCTTTTTTTTTTGTATTTTCTAAGCAGAGAAATGGACCAGTTGGACCGGTTGGACCGGTTGGACCAGTTGTCTTTTTTTTTTGTATTTTCTAAGCAGAGAAATGGACCGGTTGGACCAGTTGTCTTTTTTTATATTTTCTAAGCAGTGAAATGGACCGGTTGACTTTTTTTATTATTTTCTAAGCAGTGTTATACATATAAAACTTCCCATGAATCTCAATATTTTATAAGTAAATGTATTTTGTATGCATTCAGAACTAGAAACTCTTAAACTTAAGAAAAAGTGCCATTTTCATCGAGGCCCAAAGCGACGCCTCGCTCAATTAATTACTTATAATTTGATTGCCAGCACCCTCGCATTTTGTTGGTACTTGGTCGTTTTGTAAAATTACGAAACAACGGACGCAAAAAGTGAGACGGATGGGGTTAAAACGCCAACAGCTTGACTTACACGTGAACCTGATTTATGATGAGGGCAGAAAATCCAACAAATGCCATGGAAACCGAAAAATGTATCAACAATGATCACGTTCAAGCGATCAGTTATAATCACCTAAGAATTCTTTGTCAGTAAAGGAAGAATTGGACGAGGAGATTCAAGAAATAAGAACCAAAAGTTCAAGATGGTGAGTCAATGGAGCTGCTGGTGTTGGCTTCCAAAAAGAACCGTGTCTTTGTAGTCGAAGCTGGCTTCAATACGCAACTTATGAGAGGCCGTACGTGGTCCAAATGCGAAACATACTCTACTGTTAAAGTATAATTCAAAAAGAAGCCAATATTAGTTCGATTGGCCGGAATTGCGCAGCGGTAATTGATTTCTCAAGTGTACAACCACTGAATGTAAGTAATTCTATTAAGGTCGAACAGCAATACCAACAACAGCCTAGGACGGAAAAGAGAAAGGCTGACATCCAAGGACTTCCAAAAATGCCAATTAAAGGCACCACTTCCTATCATTACCTGAAATTTATGGAGGGTATAATGGACATGTTGGACAAACTAGACTTGAGAAAGGCCATTTTATTGTAATGAATAATTGCAGAATTCAGCATGCGTAGTTCGTTATCGATACTATCAACAAACGCAGCTACAAGCTGCTGTTCATGCCCCCATACTCACCATTTTGAAAAACAATTGAAGAATGCTGGGCAAAATCAAAGCGAGCATTAAAGAGACCCTTCAGAAAGGTGATGAGCTTTCTTCTCGTATCAATGAAGCAGTTGAAACAGCTATATCGGGTGATTGTCATGGATGCGTTAAATAGACACGTTGAAAGCTTCTGGGAGAAATGCTTACAGGACAGAGCAGGCCTACGATAAACGATAGCGCTATTCCAAAATAATTATCTCATTCACACATATTGACGTCTAGAATCATACAAGATCTACAATAAAAACCCTACATAGTCTAAAATAAAGGTTTATCGTCCATTTCTTCAAATATTTTAATTTTAAAATAACGAATAATAAATGCTTGGCTCGAACGTCTGCTTTTGTACTGATGTGGAACGGTCACGGCAGCCAAAGAATCAGACAGTTTAAATTTTCTCTCGACTTTTTTAGTTGCTGCAGTATCCCACATACAACAGATTGCAAATTATGACTCCAGCTAAAAAAGAAGCAAAGAAGCCTTCAAGCAGGCTACTAAATATGAAGGTAGAAAATTTACACATGGAAGCTGTTTGAGCACTTACATAAAGTTGATCTGTACGATTAACCAAAGAACAATGATCGATTAGTTCATGCAAAGAAGCTTAGAAAAGGAAATGAGGGAAAATTTGGAAAAGGAGAAGAAACGTATTGCTTCTGAGTCAGAGTGGGTGTTGGATAATAAGTTGATTGATACACAGAAACCGTAAATATTAAAACTATTTTCAAGAAGAAGAGTATATTTCATGAATGAATTCTCATTAATTTTATGATATGGTACAGTAAGATACAGATTCAATACGAAACAAGTTATTTACCATTTATACAAAATTCAGTAGCAGCTCGAAGATCATTTAAAGAATTTAACAAGACAGTAGAGGTGCGTTAGATGACTTTTCTATCTACAAATTTATCATTTATTTATACCTTTGCGCGCTTATAGGCAAGAGAACAAGAAGAAGAGCAGGAGCAACGATTGGCGCGAGAGGAAAATGTCGAAAAATATTCACAGATGACAGATCGAGAATTTGGTAACGAAATGCAAACAATCAGAAAGTTATCAAAAAACCAGCTCAAGAATAACCGTAAAAGAGCAAGAGCTGCGATGAAAGAATCTTCAGAAAAACGAGCAAAACCAGCAGATACCGGGTTCATTAAACCAGAATGATAACCAAGCAGTTTTATTAGGACTCTGGGAAGTTGTAAATCAGGGCCCCTTCCGCATGTACATATATAAATATGGGAATTTATCCTGTTTTAAAAGCTTAGAATATCATTTTCTGATTTAATAGCATCATAAATCAAATTTACAAAGTAACATCAACAAAAGAATCTGAAGCCGAATATGTCATATCAAAGGAAAATACGCTGATTGAGAGCGTGTGTTTTAACGATTGTACGTTGTTTCGCCTTGTGTTAAGTCGTTTGATACAGTAAACCAGTGCTTGCATGATTTTCGTCTCGCGAAAGCTTATCTGTGACCAGCTTACTCAAAATTAAAAAGTTCAATAATTTTGGATTAAGCTGACGTGTTATTGCCTTTCGTACTTTATCTTACTTTTAATCCTTTCCGACCTCTATAAAAGCTAATGGACCTCGTTGCACGTAAAAAACTGAACCTGGATGTTCTGAAACGGCACGATCCCAACATCTGTGACATTCTCGATCAATCAGCCCATGCCGTTGTCTACAAATTTGACATAGACAAAGCCAGTTGGGTAATATATTGAATATTTCTGGCTGAGGTCTTTCCAAAAGGGAAGGATGATAGCTGATATGAATAATTATCTACCATAAAAAGGAAAAATTAGGATACGAAGGTGTCATTTTCTTAACACAAGGGTAAAGAAAACGCAACACTATCTTTCATTATTCTTATTTTACGCAGCGGTATCGGCTATGCTTACACAGTCTTCTTTTTTCCTTCATTTGAACTATCCATCTGAACAATAGCAAAAGCGCACCTTATTTTGGTTTATATATTTTGAATCGACTTTCGATAGAAAACTTCTCGTTGCAATTGACGGATTTTGAAGAAATTAATCTGACAGATGAGTTTATCATTTATCAAACAAATGAAGGTAAAATAGAATTCAAAGTGACATTTCGCAAATGTACCGAACTCAATTACTCATACCGAATTTTGAAAAAAAAAAGGTGAAGCTTGTGCGCTATGGTTATTTGAAAAGAGAGACCGGGAACGAATCTTGTCAAAAATATTAAAGTAGGTTCAACGTAAGAGCAGTTGCTGCTAAGAAGCAGTGTGGTCCACACGTATTAACCAATTATGAAAAAAAAAGGCTACATGAAGGTATAAAGGCTCTACCATCAACTCAAGTTAAACCAGTTGAGCGAAGAGTGGATATACTACAAATGCTACAGAAAGCAAGCAACAATCCAAGCACTGTAAACAATAACAACAATGCTGGAAATGAGCTGTTTAAGATGTTAGTTAATGGCAGGGCACCACAGCAACAGCAACCACAACAGAAACAACAACCCACCAACATGCCTGTACCTCAATTCAATGCTTCTCCAGTCATTGGACGTTCTCCGGCTACAGCGATGAATAACAAATTACAAGAACTATTTAATAACGCAAATAACAATTCTGCTTCCGTAACAACTACAACGACACCTAGAATGAACCACAATAATGACATTGCAGTGATAGAAAAAAATCTTGAGAATATCAAAATGAGCAATAGTAATGATTTGAATCAACAGCAACAACAGCAGCGAAGAGCTATAACGAATGGAGAGTTAACGAAACCATTTTATCCACCTTTTATGAATCCTCCTACAACTGTGTCTACAGCTTCAAATTTGAATATTAGTGCCCCCACTATCAATAAAACACCCATCACATCACCGAACCATAGAAATACTGGCTCTTTGCTACAAGCACTTCATGGAGGGCTGCCACATCCTCCACAACATCCAGCAGCACTTTCATCGCAGCCACACCTACCAACGCCACCACCCCCTCCTATGCCGCCCATGGGCTTACCATTATTACCACAGCAAGTGATAGGTTTGATGAGACCAGAAATAGGCAGACGTTTTGCAGGCAGACCATTGTTATCCAAACCAGAGTTTATTCAACAATTACTGAATATGATTCAGGTAAAAAGACTTGAAGCCTGTGTGTAACTAAAGGACAAAAGTACTAACAAATTGTGGCTGTTATCATATAGTGCGATCCTACTTTTTTTGAAATTCTTTATGAAAGTTATAAGGCACAAATGGTATCCGCTCCTCCTCCTCCTCCTCCTCCTATCCAGTAAACATATACGAGAAGAAAGATTTATGCTGTGTACGAACAAATTGAGAATAAAGGACGAAAAGTCTAACTTGTTGTATTGTTGCAATAGACAGGTTTAGAGCTTTGCTAAACACAAATTGAATGTTTGTATTATTCATGCAAAATGCTCCGTTACTATGTTACTAGAATCTGTGCAATGATAGCAGCACGTTATCTCAACCGACGCTGTTAAGGATACATTAAGTATAATTATGAGCCTGACCCGGTTTTTGCCGTGCTTAACATTATAACTTTGTCAAGTGTGATTGATGGCTTCAATTTGTCAAAGTATCATAAACTAATGCCTAATGAATTGAAATTCCGCTACTCAGATTTTGTTGTGTATCATTAGCGTGCTTTTACTGCCTGCATTGTCGTTTATACTTTTTTGAAAGCTATGTCTACTGCAGTTCCTGCTTTACCACCTCGCTCTGCTACTGTTGCAGGTACAACAAACACAATTATTCAATCTTTAAAAGACTGTCCTTGTTATACCCCTGCGGCCCTATTACAACATCTCGAGAAAATCGTCATCACCACCAATGATCATCGTCACAAATTTACATGCTTCGGACGGATTACAACGAACGGCCAAGATACAAGTATTGAACAAAAGTCAAGTTTGCCACAACAGCAACAACATGATGCTGTACAGCTGATAGACATAGTGCCAGCAACGGATGACCTAACTGAGATTACGCCTTTCGTTTCTTTTTCAGATAACATTGAGAACGGTTCAAACAACACTACAATCACGACTCGCTTTATATGTCATATTTGTCATACTTGGCTTCTGCTGACCACCACTACTCAGAATAATTGCACAGAGGAGGTCGAAAATAGGAAGCCCTGTTTAGGACTTGATTATCCTTGTCACCATTATCATTCAAAGGCACTTGAAAGTAGCTATGAGTGCTGTGGCTGTAACTATACTGTATCAGTCGAATGGAAAGAACCAATTATCTCAACAACAATTTTGAAAGTATTGGAAGCGACACGTAAAAAGTCTACATCTTTTGCTGAAATGATGCAGCAGCAACAAGGAGAGAAAAAGCCCACATTAGTCACTACCTTTGCAACTTTATTGATTTATTTGAAGGATCTATTATCAGACGTTAAACGGAATATCAATTCTAATAATCCTCACTTTTTGGCACGCATCGGTTTTGATCAGACCAGGTAGAGCTTGAGTCCTTTTCTTTCAAAACTGTACATACAATGGATAAAATGACCTAAATGCTCTCTTTTATGAATTGTATCTAACATACACTGATGGATACAAAGTCAGGCTCTGTTAGAATGTATTGGATACATATTAAATGAGGAGCAATATTTCATCCCTCCTGCTGTTGAAACTATCGCCGAAAAAGATAGGCTACAACAAATCCAGCAAGAACTTATGCTATCATTAAACTCGCTTCGCCAAGAATTAGGCGTGACAACCGTACCTAAATCAAAAGGTGAGGAAGGATTGCAGTTCAACGACAATGTCATATACGAAGAATTGGGCGTTGTCGCATCGCTTGAGCATGAAAAAGCAATGAACCAGAGTGATGACTATATCAACGATGCGTACGCTTATTTTGGCTTGACTTCCGGCGCTTCTGACAGTCTGGTGACGTGGGCATATGAAAAGTTACTGAATGAAACAACAATATTAGTGGATGATTACGAAGCTATGGATAATCTAGTCAAAATTGCCAACCACCGAAGTCATTCAGATGCTTTACAAGCACTGGTTGCTTGTGAGCGTAGCAAAGGCAGGATTGGTCACAATGATGTGGGCGACGCATATGCTTATTTCGGTATCACAGCCGATACTGCTGAGGATGTAGAGTTGATAAAGGGACTTTATCGCATTAAAATGGGAGATGAGCCTGCAGAAAAAAACACGCATCAAGAAAAGCTAAAAATTATTGCTATTGCTAGAAATAGCTTTGATTTATTACAGTTTTTAAAACGAGAAAAAGGCATCACAGCTTCAAGTGATGGCCCTGCTATAGAAAGTTTGACGGGAGGTAAGAGGGGACTCTTATTAAATTCAAACAAGAATGAAGTTGTTTTAAGAAACTGACGCGTTCCATACGCAACGTAGTTCCTTCATCTATGATCAATCAGCAAGTGAAAACGTACGTTATCCTTATTCAAACCTTTTCTATTTATCGACGCACACGCACATATGAACATGTCTTTTAACTTTAATTTCTTTTTCTTCTGAATGGGACATTCGACACTTTTCATTTGATAGACCTGTTGGACTGAACAACATAGGGAATACTTGCTACTTTAATAGTTTATTGCAGGTATATATCATAACAATCAAAAAGTGTTATTGTGAAAGATACTAACACCCTGTTGTCAACGTAAACAGTATTATAACGCAATTATACCTTTTCGCGAAACCATCATCAACAATGAGGAACATATCGAAAGTGAAAATAGTGAGCTTAAGCGAATTGGCAATATCGTTGTGGATCAATTGGAAATACGCCGCGCAAAAAAGTGTAAGTTTGTTTGTCTTCTTAGACTGGAGGTTATCTTTCCACTCCCTGCTAATACTATATTGTCTCGTTCTGAAGTTGTTGGGTTGTTGAGAGAATTGTTTCTGAACCTACAGCATACCAATGAGAAAGCAATTTCTCCACAATATGACTTAGCTTATATGGCCTTGTTGAATGAGAAGGAGGAAGAAGAAGTTGATGAGAAAGCAGATAGCGACGTTATAATGGCAGATAATGACACTATAGAGTCATCAACAAATATTGCAGAGGACGAGGCCCGCGATGATTCGGGAAATAATAATAACGTTGTAGACGGTGTTAATAAGGTTGAATCAACTGTTGAGAAGCCTGCAACATTTTTAGCAATGGCCAAGAATGTGAATCTTGAGGAACCAGTTATAGTTGAGAGGGAAATGATGAACAATGATGCACAGGAACAGCAAAAACAACAACTACAACAACCAGAACAATTACAGCAGTCTACTCCGATAATGGATGAAAGGTTACCGGACGAATTACCACCAAGCTATGAAGAGAGTGAAGCTAATCGTTCTGTATCAGTATCAGAGTTAACAGGTCAAAAAATGTTGGTAAACAATACTCCAATAGCAGTTGACAGTGTTATCACTTCAGCCACAACGAAAGAAGTAAAAAAAGTGAAGCCTAGTGTCGACTCCATGCTATTTGGTAGACAACAAGATGTCACAGAATGTATGAGCAACGTCATGTATCTTGTCGAAGCAGCCTTGAAACCTTTGTCCAAAACAGATGAAGGAGAGCAGATAGATGATATGGTGCGCCAGCTTTTCTATGGCAAAGCTCGTCAAATTCTAACATATCATGACGAAGTCGCCAATAAGACCGTCACCAAAGAAATGGAAGAAGACTTTTCCCATGTTATTGTGGATGCATCCGAACAAAAAAATTTGTATGATGGATTAGATGAGTATTTTTTTGCAGATAAAGTGGAAAATTATCAAGGAGGACGAGATGCTTTGAGGGAAGTGACTGTAAAACTGTTCCCTCCCATCTTCCAAATTCTTGTGCAGCGCGTGCAGTTTGATAGGGCTACAGCCAATGTTTACAAGTCGAATGAATTCATTCAGTTTGATAAAGTGATTTACCTTGATCGTTATGCTGATAAAAACTTCGAACTTTTAAAGGATAAGAGATTGCAAGTGAGTCAGTGGAGAGCAGAATTAGAAAAAAACAAAAAGCTTGTTAATAAATATACCAAATTCAAGGTGAGTGTTTATGCTAAAACTATATATACGAAGAATAGAAAATTAACTGCTTGGATTGCTCTTTTCGAAGAATTCCAAATTATCTGTACCTGAATTATTGGAAACAACACATCAAATATTGAAAGATTTATCAGTAGGAGATAATTCTCGCAGCAAAGAAGAGTTGGAAAAAGCATTGAACATATTAGAGAGAGAAAAAAATTATACTCGACAAAAGATGGTTGAAAGTACAAAAAAGATAAAGGATTTGGAGGAGAAAATCAAGCATCAGTATGATGATTGCCAAGGAATGGCCTATAAATTGCATGCAGTATTTATTCATCAAGGCCAGGCAAGCTACGGGCATTATTGGATCTATATTCTTGATCATAAAGAAGATCAATGGTGGAGATACAACGATTCACAAGTGACGAAGGTGCAAGAACAAGAAGTGGTCCGTGATACGACGGGCTCAACAGCAAATGCATACTTCTTGGTCTACATTGAAGCAGATAAGGTGAATGAGCTTGTAGAAACTGTCATTCCTAAATAAACGATCTACAATTGCTCTATTGTCTGTAACTGTGTATGGGAATTATACCTACGAGGAATGGTGAGAAGAAGTTCTTTTATTATGATTGTTACTGAGTTCTAATAGTATTAGTAGTGCAACAGCGATAATGCAGCTTACTTAAAAGTGTTATAACCGGTTTTTTTTTTCAATTTTTTCTTTTCTTTCTTCTTCATTTTCATTAACATCAATATTTTTTAATATAATATGAGTCAACAACCACCTCCACCTATGCTTCCACCTGGATGGTACGTTTAACTTCTTTTTGTTTTTTATAATTAAAATTGCTAGTATTTTGACTATACCAATGTCTTCTATCAAAGGATTGCTATTTGGGATGAAACAAATCAACGTTATTATTATGCAGAAGAAGCATCGGGACGAACACAATGGGAACTGCCCACAGGCACATCCACTTCCTCACCTCCGACAAATACCCGAGCCGGAGGAGAAGCAGCAAGTTATAATAGTGCCAGTGGTTATCCACCTCAACAACAACAATATTCGCCTTACCCTAATGCACAGACAGCTACAACAGCAACAGCTGACGGGGCTGTTGACGAAAGAGGAATGGGAAAGATGTTTACGGGTATAAATAATATGGAATTCTTTTCTTGGCACTTTGTTAGATTCTTACTTTTTTCAACTGTGCATTTACTCTGATTAGGTGTAGCTGGTGGCGCCTTAGCAGGATCTTTATTAGGGTAAATTAAGTTTCAGCGACAATCAAAATTACCATCATTGATAAAGTATTATAATAGATATGCAGCAGGGAAACTTGGTGGCCACAACAATAATGTAAGCTGAAGATTGTGCTGTGTATAATAACGTATATATCCATCAGCTGAGCGGCTAATTTTTACTGTAGCATCAAAATAACCATTATTATCGTCCTCCACCACCTCCATTGGGAGGCTTCGGCCAATTCTTCGGCGGCGGAGGCGGCGGAGGCGGCGCTCACGGATTGATTAGCTCATTTTTACCGGGAGGTGGTGGCCATGGAGGTCATCACGGCGGAGGGGGAGGCTATGGTGGATGGGGTCCTTTTGGTGGTGGTGGTGGTGGTAATGGTAACCATCACGGCGGCGGAGGTCACCATGGTGGTGGTGGTGGTGGTGGCGGATGGGGTCCATTTGGTGGTGGTGGTGGTGGTAGCCATCACGGCGGCGGAGGTCACCATGGTGGAGGAGGAGGAGGTGGTGGTGGATATGGCTTCGGTAAGCAATTATATCATTTTACCGATTAACAATAAAATATTCCTCGTATTCACTGCTTTCATTATAGGTCCTTTTGGAAAGTGGTAGAGATAACAATAAATACCTCTTGCTTAGAGTTTAATGCTCTGTGTTGGTACTTTTTAGCGAACGTCAGTTTGCTCTACAACGTCTCGTAATGGCAATACTTCGCTTTGCATTTACCCCATTGTAAGAGTTTTTATCTATATGAATGGAGTTGGTCATAAATGACAATAATAAAATGGGTGTTAAATTAGCCTACCGTATGATGACTGTTAGATCATTCCCAGTTGATTATTGCTCTGGACACTAACATAAAGATACATAGTTATTGTGTGATTGTTTCTATAAGAACAAATGTGATAATTCACGATTACAGCGAAAAGGAAAAAAAGTGGTAAACTTAGTCGCGGCTATGTGTTTTAAAAATTTCGAAAAATCAATAAAAATACTGCTTATCATCATCATTCTGTTCTTAAATATAAGATGTGATTTAAAACAAGCTTTGTGCTAATGTCTTATATGCCACATTATGAATAGTTCAAAAAGAGCTGATTTAAAAAAAGACTATAAAAACCATATTTCTCTTCTCTTTTTGCTTACTGTTCTGATTTGCAGCGTCTCTTTATGGCTAAAAGAATTAAATAGCGCTACAATAGCCTTGAATAAAGAGAATACATCGGATCAAGTAGTTTATATTTTATTTCTGCACTTTTATTTGCTTTTGTCAACTTTGTCAAGTATACACTATGGGTAAAATGAGAAAAGTGAAGCTTCTTTACTCTGAGATTAGATTTGTTAATATGTGAGCTTTTAATTGCGGGACAAATATGTAAATGGTTATACTTATTTACCAGGGACTTGGCTTGTGCTTCTCAGTAAAGTTGCTCCTTCGTTCCAAAGCAATTTATAGGGTAGCATATGCAGTTTTATTTTGCATTATAAGTACTAAAGTCATAAACGGGAGGAAGGAGGCTTTTGGTTACGGGCATGGTTCTCCCTCTATGTGAAGTGGCCTTAGTGAGGTTCAAACAACACAAGCAATATAGGCATCTTTGCGTTCCAACGATCGTCATATAATGTATACAGCGCTTAGAAGACAGGAAGAGAAGAGATAGAAAAGAGCATGGTTTTCGGTAAGATGAACACTTGTTGTCTGGTTCGTATGTGAGACATCACGCTTTAAAACATTCTTTCTTTAAAGTTAGCCTGTTCCTAGCGAAATACATAAAAATATAGCTTTTCTTTGATTTGAATAAAACAATCATTAATATAATTACTACTGCGTTATTATGTATATCATGCTTTCTAGTGAGGATATGCTTTATTGGTACAACTTTCATTATTTATTCGATCAATAATTAAGGCTATAGTCGTGAAATTCTTTAAGTGTTGATTTTTATGATTTTATTTTTTTGTAAAGTTGAAAGACGCGCCAAATCCCGCTTTTGCCACTTTCCCTTTTCAAAAAAATTACATAACCTTTTTTTTTTTTTTTTTTGTACATTATACAATATTAAGCAAACCCTTTTTCCAACATATAAACAGGAGAAAACAAAAAAAAAAGAGAGAAAGAAAAAAAAAGAATTTGTCTTATTTTGCATACCATTTTCATATTCGTATTTATATATTGAACTCTTCTTTTTCCAATTGTACAATTATTATTCCCCATTTTTCTTCAATTACTTACTTTATTGATTTCCCTGTCAAATTATGGATGATCGAAACTATACAAGATCGAGAGATAGCAGATCTATAGAACGGAAACCCGATAGACGAGGAATATCTAATGCGGAGAAAAGAAGCAGAGACGAACACTATAGTCGACCAAGCAGCAAGGACGATGAACGTTATTACCATCACAGTAGCAGCAGCAGTCATCGAGACAAAAGAAGGAATTACGGGTACGATCATCACAGCAGTAGCAGTGGCAGTAGTAGACATCGGTATGATAGAGAAAGCAGTAGTAGATATAGCGATAGAAGTCGAGACAGAAGTCGAGAGAGAAGCCGTGATAGAAGCCGGGACCGCAATAGAAGTCCAGAGGATTACCGCGATAGATGGTCCAAAGTGTCTTCGAGACGACCAAAGAGTAGAGAAAGAGACTTGACATTGGACAACAAGGGTAGTCATGGTCATCATACTAGCAGTACTATGAGTAATAGCAGAAGAGATTATCGCGATCAGGGTTATTACCGACGACCAGAGCGTGAAACTGACAGCAATGATGCCATACCGACTGGACCAAAAGCCGATGTGCTTAGTAAACACACAGCTGCAGCAACAGAAACAACACAAACGGCTTCTGCTGCTCATGAGGAACAAGATCGACTACCTACAGCACCAGCGGCGTATTATCAGCAGCAGCAACCGAACGATGCAAACAACAGCTATTATCAGCAATACCAACAAATGGACCCTCAACAACAGGCAGCTGCTTCTGCTGCATGGAGTAGTTTTTATGGTTATACAGTGACGGATTATAACACTACTTATGGTACAAATTATACACAAGAAGAATACCAACAATACATCCAGCAATATTATCAAACTCAACACCAAGATCCGAATAATTATTACAGCTATTATGATTCAGCTTACTATCAGCAAGCGCAACAACAAGCTATACCCCAGAATACTACAACATCAACAACAACAACAACAACAACAACAACAACTGCTAATGCAGCAGCCACTTCAGTAATAGATCATCCAACTATCACTCATACCACCACGCCTGCTATCAACACTGTAAACACATCGTTAGCATCAGCAACAACGTCATCCAAGGGGAAAGACAGTGATAAAGTCTTGAAAGAAATAGGATACCCATACCAAACTCAAGAAGACCCTTCTATTTTGTATGAAAAGATCGGACAGGTTGGAGAAGGGACTTATGGGTAAGATGATTGAATAGTAGTGTGGCTTGAGCTACGACAAAGATAGATATTGAAAAAAACAATGAATTTCTTTTTTATAGCAAGGTATATAAGGCACGCAATTGTAAGACAGGGAGCTTGATGGCATTGAAACGTATTCGAATGGAATCTAAAAAAGATGGTGTAAGTTACCTCATGCATGAACAAAAGAGCAAAAATGTATATTTTCGATATCCAGATTGCATTAAAAAAAAAGGGTATTTTATAGTTCCCTATCACTGCTATGAGAGAAATTAAACTTTTACAAAAATTGAAACATGAACGTATTGTGGAATTACAAGAAGTGATGGTAGCAAAAGGTTCAGTCTATATGGTATTGGAATACATGGATCACGATCTCTCAGGCATTCTGGGGCATCCAGAATTTAAATTTGAGCCTGAGCATACAAAATCATTAGTAAAGCAAATGCTGGAGGGTTTGGCTTATCTACATGACATGGGAATACTCCACAGAGACATAAAAGGTAACAAAGAGAGAAAGAGTAGACATGGCACTGCTTGTGTACTTAGTCAAGTTTTTTTGCACATGTAGGATCGAATTTGTTACTGAATAATGAGGGAGAATTAAAAATTGCAGATTTTGGCTTGGCAAGAGTATTTGAAAAAAGCAGAAGTCATGATTACACCAATCGAGTGATTACCTTATGGTATAGGCCACCTGAACTCTTATTAGGCGCTACTGCCTATGGACCTGCTGTTGATATTTGGAGCGTTGGATGTATCATGCTAGAATTCTTTACAGGAAGAGCTATTTTCAACGGTACAGATGAAGTCAGTCAACTAGAATGCATTTATAAAATTATGGGAACACCCACAGAAGAGAACTGGCCCACAGTGAGATCTTTGCCGTGGTTTGAAATGGTGCGACCGAATAAAACCTATGAATCGAAATTTAGAGATACATACGAAGCGTAAAGACGGTTTGTTTGAAGTTTCTTTCTGCTACGGATGGCGAAGCTCATGTTTCCCTCAACATTTTACGTATAGTTTACTATCGCCTGGTGCGTTAGAATTGGCAGAAGCTTTATTATCATTAGATCCCATCAAGAGACCCACGGCAGCAGATGCACTCAATTTCAAATATTTCAAAGAAGAAGGCCCCAAGCCTATAAAGCCTGCAAAGTAAGTCAACATCCACTTTCATCCGCACAGAGACAGTTTTAAGAATAACTAAAATTGTATATTTTGGCAGTTTATTAAGCGTACAAGGTGATTGGCATGAGTTTGAATCCAAACAGCGAAGGAGACAAAAGAATTCTTCCTCGAATATACCATATAAACCTCACAATCATGTTGGTCATAAGCAGAGATCAGCAGCAAGCTCATCTAATGCACGTCCTGCTCCTCATTGATGGGATGATCCAATTGATTAAATAAAAAAAAAAAAAAAGTCGTTTTGGGAACAAGTGAGCCTGTCGTTTTTTCTTTGTGCCACCATTGTCTGTCTCTCTCTCTCTTTCTCTCCACAGACAGTTTTCGTATTTTGCCCTGAAATTCAAATCTCCGGTGACTTTCCTAAAACAGGTAATAGATGTAAGATCATCTTCCCTTTTGCCCTTTCAAATCACTTACTTGTCAAGAGCAATATCATTGAACAAAAAAAAAAAAAGTTAAAACCTACTCTTCTTATATTTTCGAACCGTTCTTTCCTATTCAAAACTCATCTTTATTGAACAGCCCCCCCCCCTCCCCACTCTCTCGTTTTTTTCTCCAACTGTTGATATTCGACTTCTAAGAACGACAGGATGATAACCACTTTTTTAAGTCAGCATAGCCGTAGGGTAAGCTATCAACCAAGGGACAAAGAACAGAGTAGAAAGTCGAATGCAGTTCATAACGAAAGTCCCATGTCTTTCTCTCTTTTTTGCGAAATGATCGTTTGATCTACGTATATAGACCACCTACAATGCTATTCGTTGGACGACCAAGCGATCGTTTGCCCATATCAGCAATCCTGTTGTTGAAAAGGATTGTTCCTCCATCACACCTCCTTATGCCAAACTAGCCAAAAATCTGGATTTGGTCAAACGTGTTTTGGACAATCGACCCTTGACATTGGCAGAAAAGGTCGTTTATTCTCACTTGACCCATCCTGAAGAGACGGTACCCGTTCGTGGAGAAACCTATTTGAAAATCTCACCAGGTAAATTGACATTGTGCTATTTTATGGATGCTCTATGAGAACCCTAGGGAGATCGAGAGAGAGAAAGAAAGAAAGTAGAGACCCTTAACTTTTATTTTTCTGTGACGTGTCATGATAGATCGTGTGGCTATGCAAGATGCTTCAGCACAAATGGCCCTTTTACAGTTCATGCTCTCGGGCATGTCTACCACTGCTGTACCAAGTAGTATTCACTGTGATCATTTGATTGCAGCCAACGAAGGAGCGGATAAAGATGTGAGTCAATCAAAGATAACCAACAAGGAGATCTTTGACTTTTTGGAAAGTGCAGCCAAGAAATATGGTATTGCGTTTTGGAAGCCAGGAAGTGGTATTATTCATCAAATTGTATTGGAAAATTATGCTGCTCCTGGTGGTTTGATGCTTGGCACCGACAGTCATACGCCCAATGCAGGTAACATTTTTTTTTTTAAAAAAAAAAAAAAGAGAAAGAGAGAGAGGCAGGCTTCAACTTTTTTTTTTTTTTCGCCTCCATCATGGACTCTTTTTTTTGTAGGCGGTTTGGGTATGATTGCTATTGGTGTGGGTGGCGCGGACGCGGTAGATGCTATGGCCAATATTCCTTGGGAATTGAAAGCGCCCAATATCATTGGTGTGAAACTGACAGGACGATTGAGCCCCTGGGCCAGCCCCAAAGACGTGATTCTCAAACTAGCAGGGCTTTTAACAGTACGTGGAGGCACGGGTCATATTGTGGAATACTTTGGCGAGGGTGTTCAGACGCTTTCATGTACGGGTATGGCGACGATGTGTAATATGGGGGCTGAAGTAGGCGCCACGACCTCGATCTTTCCTTACACGGGTCGTATGCGCTCCTATTTGGACGCGACAGGCCGTCATGCGGTGGGCCAAGCAGCCGATCAGCACGCCTCTTTCCTCCAAGCGGACGCCGGCGCTCACTACGACCGCGTCATCGAGATCAACTTGTCCGATGTAGAACCTCATATCAACGGACCGTTCACACCTGACTTGAGCACGCCCTTGAGCAAATTCAAGGATTTGGTTTTGGAGAACGGATGGAAAGACGAAGTGAGTGCTTCCTTGATTGGCAGCTGCACCAATTCATCTTATCAGGACATGTCCCGTGCGGCTTCTGTGGCCAAACAAGCGAGTGATGCAGGTGTGCCCATCAAGGCACCATTTTTAGTCACTCCGGGTTCGGAACAAGTGCGTGCCACCATTGAACGTGATGGACAACAACACGTCTTTGAAAGTGTGGGAGGCCAAGTGTTGGCCAATGCTTGTGGACCTTGTATTGGTCAGGTAAGAATATCCATCCATGATGTGCGTGTGTGGGGGGGGGGGAGGGCGGAAACATAGCATCACCATGCCAACTCTCCTTGTTTCTTTTTTTTTTTTTTTTTTCAGTGGAAACGGTCAGAAAAGAAAGGCAAAGAGAATGCGATTTTGACCTCCTTTAATCGTAACTTCCGTAGCCGAAATGATGGTAATGCGCAAACCATGAATTTCTTGGCTGCTCCTGAGGTAAAAAATTTAGGATTGAAAAAGAAGAACGATCGAGAAAACAGTATGGGGGGGTTTTTTTTTTGACTCTATCATTTTTTGCAATGAATGATATAGATTGTCACGGCCATGGCTTTTTCAGGCAAGTTAACGTTTAATCCCATGGTGGACAGTTTAAAAGATAAGGATGGCAATGACTTCCGTTTCCAGCCTCCCACGGGCGATGATCTTCCTCAACACGGATTTGAAGCAGGCAGAAAGACCTATGAGCCACCCTCACCGACACCGACGCCTGACGCTTCGGTTCAAATTACGATTGATCCCCAGTCCAAACGACTTCAAGCGTTAGAGCCGTTCAATGCATGGAACGGTGAAGAATTCAAGAATATTCGGGTGCTCGTGAAAGTGAAGGGAAAATGTACGACGGATCACATCTCAGCGGCGGGACCCTGGCTCAAATACAAAGGGCATTTGGAAAACATTGCTGAAAATACCCTGATTGGCGCTTTGAATGCGGATAATGACAAAGTCAACGTGGTGCGCGATGTGACAACGAACCAAGACGACACGATTCCTGAAGTCGCCAAATCCTACAAGCGCCAACAGATCGAATGGACGGTGGTAGCCGACCACAACTATGGCGAAGGTTCGGCTCGTGAGCATGCCGCTTTGCAAGTACGTTACCTCGGGAGTCCATTGATTATTTCACGCTCTTTTGCTCGTATTCACGAAACCAATCTGAAAAAGCAAGGGGTGATTCCTTTGACGTTCAAGAACGAGGCTGACTATCAAAAGATCAACGGAGGGGATGTGATTGATACGGAAGGATTGAAGCATTTGGCGCCGGGTTCACCTGTGACATTGGTTGTCACCAAGCCGGATGGTACTCGCGTGCGTATTGAGGCTGTTCATACTCTGAGTGACGATCAAATTCAGTGGATTCGTGAAGGTTCAGCGTTGAACCTTATCAAGAAGAAAGTCTCTGCCCAACTCTAAAGTTATCTTTCATGTACTCAACATAAGATTATTTTTTTCTACCTATTTTATTGATAGAATATACCTTGATGCAAAAAAAGAATGAATTAAAAGTACTTTCTTGCTTTCGTAACATGTACGTCAACAACAATGAACGACGACCGTAACATGCTGCCTGTGATCGGGGTGTCATGGATCCATCTATTTTGTGACGGTAACATAGACTTGATAACTTGTTTTCCATTATACGACCATGACTAGCCAATCGGTTGGTGGTGTTAATTTAAAGAATAAATGATTGTGACAAGGTAACATGAGTCACTGTGGATGAGTATCCCTATTGAAATAGATATAATAGAGGACCGTAAAATGGTAGCGTCGATGGGAGGAGCAGCTATCGTGCTTGATAGTGAAAAAAGCCGAGGGTAGCTGGACGGTATAGGAATAAGCTATGGTATCCCTTTTTCGTTGGTTTCAAGTCCGATAGAATGCCATAAAAAGGATGCCTGCTTTGATCCAAGCTGCTACCATTTTAGTGTAACGCAGCACCAACATAAGCAGCCACCACCGTCAGAAAACGTGTCTGTGCAACAGCAAAAGCAGCAGCGGCGAATGGACGCCATTCATGCATTCAACAGAAAGAAAAAAACGACGTTTTTGTGAATCACAAGCAAGAAGAAAAGAGCAGAGAAAGCAGCATCAAAGAGAAAAGATAGAGTTTGAGCAAGTGTTATAAAAATGACAACACGAGATGGAAAGGAGGATGGAAGAGTTGAATTAAGCCAGGCAGCAGTGTCTTGAAAACGAACAAGAGGCCAAGCAGTCTACTCATGGGGGGGGCGGGGAAAGTGAGCGTACTTCTCCACGTCTTGATCCCTGGGTCGCTGCACCGGTCTTTTCAGCAAGTGATGAAGGAAGAACAAGACAAAGGAACCAGGTACACAGAGAAAAGATCTGCAAGATGTGAAAGCTCGTATGACATTGATTCATTTCTCAAAAAGTCAATGCACTCGTTTTAGAAAAAGAGGAACTCCGCAGACGGCTCATTCAAACCGAGAAAAGAGTAACTGAGCAGCAGGCACAAGAAGGGACATCAACGCAAGTGGACAGCCCATTCAATGTCGGCTCTCCAACGTACATTAGCGGAACGCAATGATGAAATAGCTGAATGAAAACAAGACATGTCCCATTTGAAAAAAAGTCGAATGAGCCAACAACTCAAAGATCATGAAACGCGTTTGGCACCATCGAGTGAATGGCTCGCGTGGGAGATTTAAAATCTCGATTAAAAATGACATAGCAAAAAGAAATGGATACCTATCCATTGCCCAAATGTCCAGAGAGATCCGTAACCTATCAGGACGCATGGTGGAGCTTGAAGCGGAATGATCATTCGTCCTGGGCGACGACGAAGCAGCAGAAAAACAGGAACGCACGGCGAACGACAGAGACCATGCGGATCGAATGAATAGCCTGAGACGGCCACTGGACCCACCTACCCCCACGACAATCCTACAAATGCTTTATGACTGGTACACGTGTTGCGGAGGAAAGAAAGAGAAAGGACGATGAAAGAACAGGCTCTTTTACAATGACTTGATTCCGCAGAACAGCAAAAATCGGTTCTGTAGAGAAAGAGACAGTTTGTGCTTTACAGTAAACATCTGGAAATGGTAAAGCCATTGGGCGAATTGGACGGGGTTCACTGTAGGAATGGGCTAAGAAAAAGGGCGAATTGTTGGTTTTTGAGAGGCGGGATTTCATTTTTTGTATAAATTGGGGTAATCGCTTTTTCTATTTGAGATAAAGAACCCTTTTTTTTTTCCCCTCTTTCTCCTACTCCTCCCTCTCTTTCTTTCTTTCTTTTCTCCCCGCTTTCTTCCATCCTTTATTATCTATTCTGAATTTGCGCAGCACGATAGCTCTAAAGACACACAAAAGAAAGAGCCATTAAGATGACAAGACCTATTTCAATGACAGCAAGAGTAACCAAAAGGTCACCGTTATCTGGTTACAAAGAGAACAACACGCCAGCGATACCCAAAATGAAAGTCAAGCCGTACATTCTCCATAACAATCATTATAGCACTACTGCTGCAACGACCACCTCCACGTCACCTTTATCATCGGCATCCTCCTCTTATTCATCTTCATTCTCATCGTCATGCAACAGTAACAATAGTCATTTAATAGGTACCACGGCCATTCCGACGTCGAATCCTGCGCAACCACAGCAAAAACTATTTACACAAAGCTTCTGTTTTAAGCACAAGAGGTATTACAGTGTTAGTTGGTGTCCATCCTGTTCCTTTGACATTTAGCCCTTTTTAGCCCCCTTTTTTGAAAAAAACTTTCAAGGGCCCAACCTGTTGTACATATTTAACATTCATGAATTCATTCACATATATAAACTAGATACTCTTTTTGGGAGCCCTTTATTTTTGTAATCAGAATTGTTTGAAAAATTGATGGACCTGCCAAAAAATAAAAATTTTCTCTTTTTCCTTTTTTTAAACTCAACGGGTTTATATTCCAATGTTTCAATTTTACGAAAGTGGGGAAAAGCGGGGATGATAAATGATGGCTATGGAAGAAAAAGGCTTTTTTTTTTTATGAGTGGTGAAGCATTGTTACAGGTTAATGGGAAAAAAAAACAAAAGACCCCTAGGCTGTAACAGTGTAAAAAAGTTCAAATGTTTATTACAGAAAAGAGTCTCAGAGAGACAGAGAGAAAGAGCAAAAAGAAGGACAAGCATTCGCATTTGGTAATATCGTTTATCCGTTGCCGATAGGTAATAAATCTAACACAAAGCAAGTAAAAAAAATGGAGAACTTTTTCAAGAGGAGAGGTACCAGATAGACCCATTAGAGAGAGAGAGAGAAAAAAAAAGTCACAAAGTCACTCACCAGCATTTTCTGGTCCATCGGCAGCGAGCTCAGGTCTGGATACCTACTTTTGCATGTGGCAGACCCAGCTCACGGCTGTTTATATTTACAGTATACGGACGCGCCCCTCTTTTCTTTGGTGTTGAATTCATTCCATTTGTTGGGCAGCAGCACCTCATCCTATCCCAAGACATGTCCAGTCTAGTTTTCTGCTAGGAGCTTACCTGTCAGACTTTTCTTTTTTTTTTTTTTTTTACCTGAAAGTAGACATAGGTAGTACATTCTTTACAGCCAAATCATGATATTATCCATATAAAGAGCAAATCATGAGTGTGGTTGGAGGTAGAGGATCACTCTTGGCTCCTTCACCCACACACACCCACACACCCACACACCCTAGTTTATCGTATGACAATATGTCCATTTTTACTTTATCAACAGTCGTCTTGAATCCAATGAAAACGTCCATAGGATGGTTTTTTTTTTTTTGGCGCGCATGAAAATTCCACTCGGACGATGCCGAGAATGATATTTTCTTTATACATTTGCGCGTTGAAGTGGAGACCCATTTCTGTCACTTTTTGTCCATTCTCTTCCCTCTTTCTTGTACATTTATTATAGAGACGTCTTTTCGTCTTTGTGTATCAACATACATGAGATGACACTTTTTTTCCATAAAAGCAAAAACGCGTCATGATGGATAAAAAGACGCAAGATGGGCTGTACAACTGGTTTTCAAAGCTGAAGCGTACAATGATAAAGAGAAAGGGATCCACACTTTGACTTGCGCATCTTTGTAAGCATGCTCGCATTCACATCTTTTTCTGAGAAAAAAGAAAAAAAGAAAAAATCCACTTTTACAATGCCAAAAGTGTCGGCTTTTGATAGGGATGGGGTTTTGTTGTTCAGTATTTGGAAAAAAAAAGAAACAAGCGTTGACCTTGAATTTCAATCGCATATCGCGCTCAGAGATCGATTTCTAACGCAAAAGGATGGAGGGACGCTGTACTTTTTATGTAACGTTTATGCCAAATGCGGAAATGACCTTTTTTTTTTCTTTTTTTTTTTTTTTTTTTTTTTTGGTGCTATTCAAAGGTAATGCTTCTCTTCCATGCCAATGTCCGTATTGAACAAGTAGACGTGCTGGATTATAATTGAAAAAGCATGGATGAGAATGCTCATAACAGCTCATCAACGACTCATTCGATCTCATGTAGTCAGACCGAGGGGATGGAAGAAATAAAATATGGGGAACACCTATGACACTGTATGAAATCATATCTTTAAATTATCTAATCGAGATTCAACAATAAGGGAAATTGAGATTGTTTTAAAGCTACTTTCAAACTCGATTGCGCTGTTCAGGCACACAATTTTCTTGTTTCTTTTCCACACCCATTTCTCTTTCTTGTATTTTTCTTAAAAAAAAAAAAAAGGGTGCTCTTTCGTCTCTGCCGCCCCTTAACAGACATAATAGGAATCCTCAGTAGTTTTCTAGCAAGTTCTTCAAAGTTTAATGAGTGATGATTTTTCTCAGTCACAAACGAAATATTTTTTTTCTAAAAGATTCGATAAAGATCCATTCATTTCTTAAAACGGGGAGGAATAAAAAAGGTAAACCAAATCAGGCAACTCCAGCCAAGTGACACAAAACACAGGGGAAAGAATCTGGATTAATCTGTATGAGCTCTATTAAGAAGGAAATTTATTAGGTAATGTTGATTTCATCCTTCTTTGCCCATTTTTACCTATATGACATCAGATGTAGTCAATCCATATCGTGTTCATTTTCATGGAACGAATGGAGGGAGTGTGTGGCTAAAAACACCATGCCACTTTCACGGCCTTTTTTTTTTTTTCCGCAATAGTAATAATCTATATAAACCGCACATTTCTGCATACTTTTTCAGTTTTAGGATCCTGTATCAGTTTTAGGATCCTGTATTTCGGATATGGGAGTCGTTTCCGAATTGCTTTTACTTTTTTATATTACAAAAAGGCTATTTGACATAAGCTCAACAAATTCACGGTTGAGAACCAATCAATCGACTGATGGATTTCAAGAAAAAGAAGAAAATGTTGGATTTCCCCCTGAAAAAAAAAAAGGACATGCATCCCGTTGAAAGGGGAGGAAAAAAAAACAAAAAAAAAAAAACGCCATGGATCCCTCCATAAGAATGATTGGAGGATTTTTTTTATTTTATTACTTTTAGAAGAAAAAAAAAAAAAAACAAGCGTACGGTACCCTCCTCCTCACCTCCCCCCACCTCCCCCCAACTTTCTGCACCCCCCATTGTTTATTGCCTGTTCGTGTACAACCATGACCGAGAATGGGCTGTTCTCTTTGGGTTCAACAGCCATCATGTCCTTTTTCAAAGTGTTGAAAAAATGTCATTTTCCGGATTTAGAGAGAGAAATTCCCATTATTAAGATGAGAGAGAGAGTATGGTTTCCTTTCTTTTTCATCTTTCTTTCTTTCCTCACTCTTTGAAATTTCGACGTTTTGGCCCGTTGTTTGCTTTGGTAAAGGTTCCGTGGAGAAGACATCATGAACACAAATTAAGAAAAAGGAAACGATCCAAATCGAGCAACCATGTTTACCAAGAAGAGTGATAGAAGGCAATAGAACGATTCATTTTCTGGTCCACCGTGCTGCGTAAGAAATACCCGAGTGTGATAGATAGGACTCTAAGTTTGTCATTGCGTCCAAAACAGTGCTTCTCGACCAAGATACTAGGCACACATAGACATCCCATCCTGCCCTGAAATGAACATTGTTGTCAAGTAAACCGCATTCAAATTAGAAAACAAAAAAAAAAAAAAGAAAAAAACTAAGAGAGTGGGTATCACATGTAAACCGCACGCGTACAATCACGGTTTTTGTTAGCCCTCATGCTTTTGACAGCTTTTTTTTTTTCGCAACTCGATGTCTGTTTGCTCCATTCTTCCACAAGTCAATACAACGATGAAGGGAAAAAAAAAAAAAGGTTTGTATCGCCACACCCCTTTTATTTTACTATTATCTTAATGACGTTGTACCTTGTCTATTTACACACATCTATACACGTGTATATACAATAGTGACATAGATTCTGACAGCAGCTTTATCATTGAACGCAAAAGAAAACAGTCAGACAACTCTCCAACTTTTTTTTCTTTCCAGCTGATGTACCATGGCCGATACTTTTAACCGTACGGAAAGAAGAAAAAAAAATAGGTCCCCTCCCCCCAATAGGAATACTTGAATTAGAGTTTCATCGACAAGCATGTTGTTAATAACACACGCTTATGATAACAACATGCAAAAAAAGAAAAAAAAAACATTCAGCGACAGAGAGAGAGAGTGAAAAGAGGAAAAAAGCAAAGTTTGATCTTTAATGATCTTTATTGTTCTGAATTGTTCTTTTCCTTAAAGGCCAAAATAAGAGATCGTCCGGCAAACTGTCTTACAGTGTCGTGGATAGGTTTTTTTTTTTTTTTTTTTTTTTTTTTTGCTTTCTTGCACGTTTTCCTTTCAGTAGAAAGCATGGTTATTTGATTTAAATTGCTCTATATGACTTTTTTTTTTCCTACATTTTACGTCAAGAAACATAAGCTCCTCTCATTTCTCCTTGAAATTTAGTATAAAGTCAGGAACGAGTCATCATACATTGGGTTTATGTATGTCCAGCAAGGATTTAGGGTGGCAGAAAGAACAAACCTATACCGGCAAACCGTAGTCAATGTAACAAACATTTTATCTCTATTACCAAACTTTAGTCACTCATCCACCCCCTTCATTTATTTATATTACTCAGTACGGAAAAGGTGGAAAAAAAAAAAAAACCAAAAAAAAAAAACGAACATCAAGGAGGTGGGTTCAGTTTGGAAATTGAGATCTTTGTACGACATGAATGTCGTTGTCATCCTGCTTCTAGAGTGAATAAGAGACAGAATAGCAATCAAGCCCTTTTGTGTATAAATAAGGTATATGCCACACACGCACACACACACACACACACACACGATATATATATATATTTATGTGTGGATGTGCATTATACACACACACACGTAAAAATAATATAAAAGGGAATCCTTTTTGTTGATCCCTGTTCCTTTTCTCTAACTTTATCTCTTTTTTTTTTTTTTTTTTTTTCCTTTTCAACCCTTTTTACCTATTCATTACTGTCAGTGACTTTTTTATATCATGTTTGATCCAAACTATCTTTATATCCATCAGATGAACCATGCGTTGTTTAACGATGCTCCTCTTTATGACACTCATCCTCTTGGATCGTCGTCTTCTTCCCAAAGCCAATTCTTACAAACAACAACAACCGACACTATCGCTTTCGAAACATCCTGTCCTGTCTGGTGTTCAAGGCAACAGCCTTCCTCGTTCGTTATGCCTACAACGACAACCACTACTGCTACGACGACTACAATGCCCACCACGACCTCGACAACAACGACAACAGCGATAGAGCCATCCGTCTTTCCCGTGTTTCCTTCCTTTGAGCTACCATTACAATCTCTTCAGCAACAGCACCCACAAGAGCAACAGCATCCAGAGCAATTTTTACTCTTCCAAAGCTACTTTCCTATGCTTGAGAATGAATCCCTCTTTTCCATGAAACAAGGCAAAACAGCCGCCACTTACGCTTTAGACGCATCGTCCTATGGTAGTTATGAAGCCATGACCACCCACAGTACCTTTTCAAATGACACCACACCCTCTCTCATGTCCAATCCCAATTTTTCACCGGTAGCCAGTAGCACCAGTTGCAGTAGCAGTACTTCTACATCTCCTTCCTGTTCTGATTTGACTTATTGGCCAACACTTCACAACAACAACAACAACAACACTTGCCATAGCATCCCAACCATGGCGACCGTCCCTACAATGACGTTGACTTCCTTTTCGCCCATCACTCCAGCCTCTTTAGACAACTTGGAAATCCCGTCAAAAGACAAAGGCGCCTGTTGTGAGGACAAGATCAAGAACGAAAAGAAACAACCCATCCTTCAGACCCTTCCGCCGAAAAAACCTGTTCCCCCTCCTCAGCAACAGCCACGGAAGCGATCTTATGTATGCTCTATTTGCTCATTTGCGTTTGTTCGCAAACATGATCTCCAACGCCATTCGCGTGTTCATACCGGTGTCAAACCCTACTCCTGTCCTAGCTGCCAGAAAGCCTTTGCTCGCACCGATGCTTTAAAAAGACATTTACGATTAGAAATTGCGTGTCGAATGGATCCTATTGTTCAACGCTTGAAGCAAACCGGTGTTCGACGTTATCGCAACTTGTAGAAAAAACAAAAGCCTCATCTTACAACCGCGGCCCCATTTTGACACGTTCTATACCATATGATTTTGTACATAATAATCCATATACCATTTCTTTTTTTCCCTTTATACAACCCCCCGTATCATCCTTTTTCTTTTTCTTCTTTACATCCCAAAAAAAAAAAAAAAAAAAAAAAAAAAATCAAGAGGAAGGGCTTGCCCTTACATCCATTACATAGTATTTACTCAAACAATTGGCATATGTATATACAACCACACATTCTCTGTCTCTCTTTCTGCCTCAGCCCCACTCCTCTTTTTTTCCAGCGTAACAAAGCTCTCCCTTCAATTATGCGTTTGACATTTCATAATGATAACGATGATGATAGTGATTTATTATTGACATTTTTCCTTTCTTTTTTTTTTTTTTTTTTATCTGAAAAAAAACCGTCTTTTGCAATTGATTCATTTTTTCTACCCAATATGCACCTTTTTTATGTTATTTTGCACAATTATGGTAAAATTCTCGTTTACAATTTCTGCATCCTATTTTTTTTTTTATTATTTTTTTTCTAGCATATTTTACAAATGCACATTTTGATGAATTCTCTATTAGAACAATAAAAAATTGTGGAGCAATGTCACTTTTCTTGTCCGACTTTGAGATTTTCCTGGGTGATACTTTTTCAGTAAAAGGAAACTGTCTTTTAGTCGATTTTTCTATTCTTAGTCAGTAAACATCAGTGGCATCACAGTAACGTCAATGCTTCCATAAGGTTCTCGTTGATAAACCCGAATTCTGCTTTTTGAGGCTAGTCCTATTTATGAATTTTTGATCCAAAGGCAGAAAAAATGAGAGCGATTGTTGTACCGATACAACAGAATGAAAGTAGCGTGTCAGATTTATCAGGCCATGTATGTTGTATCACGGTAACCGTCACTCAAAAAAGGAATACCCGCCTACTTTACCAAGAAGATGATAGAAGGTAGAAGCAACTTGCGATCTGGGCTTATCTTGAAATAATTCTTCTGTAGTCATCACTCGAGTAGATACACAACTTAATTGCCTACATTTTGGGAACACCAGAAAGAGGGGAAACGGGGGAATCAGAAAAGGAGAGGGTCATTGTTCGTTCATGGCCACACACACACACACACACACACACACATCGCCCAATACCAGGCTTTTACCTGAACAGATCGCTCAATGAGTGATGAGAGCACTCTTCCTCCTCCTCCTCCTCCTCCTCCACTACTACTTTGGATGCAGCACCTTCATCATTCAGATCTAAGTTAGCGCAAAAATGTCAAGTAACGTGACGTAAACAAAAGGGCACCCTCATCTGTGCGCAAACAGTGTATGCTCCTCGTATCTTACCAAAATGAGGACGCTGATCCTCCTCCCCCGTCTCATCATAGTTGTTTATATCGTCGTTCCCCATGATATCATCATTATCATCAAAAGGTATATCAAATTGCTGCTGCCAGTAGAGTCGATCCCTTTCTCTAAAAAAAAAAAAAAAAAAGCACACTCTTTTTTGGTTCGTCTTTCTCTGTCTCTTACCCCTTAAAAAAAAAGAATCTTTATCCTCTGATGACGCACCTCTGATCTAATTCAATAGCATTCTCTTCTCCAACGACCCCTCCTCCTTCCGATCCAACTCCAGCTCCTCCTTGTTCCAAAAGCTCCAAATGATGCTGCGCATCTGGCGTATGTATATCTATAGGTTATGGATCCGTCATCATCGAGGGCAGGGGAGGTGAGGACAGGATATACAATGAATGAAAAAGAAGGATGTCCGCCCACATCATGGCCATTGAGTATGAGTAAAGCCTTTCCCTCAAACTATTACCCCCCCCCTTCTCGCTTTGTGCTTTTTTCGTTTCACTTTACCGGATTGGGATCCCATGGATAAAGGACCACTCGTATTGTTACTACTCGAGTGGTTGTAAAGAGGATTATGTTGCGAAAATTGAGAGGACGATCGATCCCTACGATGATCGAAACGTCGCGCAACTTCTGCAGCTCGACCCAATTCTGCGCCAAACTGTATAGAGAGAGTATACATAGACGGAACAAAACAAGTGATGCTGTAAGTGAGTTCCATTTCCTCCTTTCTACACCGAGGGTATCTTGTTGGAAGGTTACCTGTTGGTTTGAGAACCTTCTATTCCGTCTGGAAAATAGTAATGAAAACTCATGGACGGCGACTCCAACTGCTGGAGCAGCAGCAGCTCTCGGTAGCCTTCTTTGTCCTTGTCTTTCTCTTCGGATAGCAATGAATGGATCATCGCATGTGCCTATCGATGGCCAAAACGTACTCATGGGATGAACCAATAACTGTCTTTTTTGTTCCATCCTCCATCTTTCAGGAAGAACAGGATGCGTCAAGCGTGTAGAAGAAGCTGCCATCCTACTGACAGTCGTAGTGGAAGCACCAGGCACCACCACCGTATTTTCAGCTGCACCACCACCAGCAGCCGTAGGGACAGTGATGGACGATACGTCTTCCAAAAATGGTACAATCATTGTATCTTCTTCCCTTTCCATCATCATTCTTCTTACCAAACGAGGACGTCGACGTACAGGAGGCACCGGCGAAGGTACAATCCTAGGGGTAGCATCGTTGTCATCATACATGTCCTGTGACGACGCAAAAAGAGAGCCCTCACTACGGCTTCTCCCGGCCTCCAGTGGTAGGATGGCTGAATATTGGTCCGTAGAAATCGAGCGGTGATCATCCTCTTCTTCAGGAATAAGCGACGGTAGCTCAAATACCCCTTCCGCACCCGCACCCGCACCACTACCACCACTGGCACTGTGTCGTCCTGGTGGTGTTGACAGTGTGGACCCCGAAGAGGGAGTCGTCGCAAAAGCGTTGCCAGCGCCAGCAGCACTTTGGAAGACAGAAGATGAAGAGCACCGATGGCTGATAACGTCATCACTGGCTTGAAGAGCACCCCTCTGCCGTTCCTAATAACAACAACCATGATACAGAGAATCGTTTCCAACGACCATGAGTAAAGTAAGATAGTGTAAGGTTGACGTGTTACCTATAGAAAGTACTCAAAGGAACAAACTATTTTTACCTCGCCATGCACTTCCGACGTATACCGTTGTAGAGCCTCCGTCATATCATTCACGTCCACATCACTGTCCATTACGTTAGACGGATGAGAAAAGCACGACCCGTATGTTTCAAAAAAGCCATGATCAACCGAACAGTAAACTTACAAATCATCTCCATAGTCCATGATATCTGCAAAGATGTTCAATTCTTCTTCTCCTTCTTCTTCTTCTGGATGTTCTGGGACGGGAATATCACCCACCCCATGGGCTCGATCATGGTCATCGTGTCTATCTCTGGCACCTTGTCCCGCAGCCACATGCATGCTGTCCAACCTGGGCAAGAGTGAACCGCTGTGAACAGTAGACGCCGTCGGTGAGAAATGACGTTGAAACGGATGGGGTTGGAAAAAGACATCATTCAAAGCGGAACGGCTACCACCCGTAGGGTCAGCCAATGGAAGTGTGCTGGCACTTGTCAACTGAAGAATAGAACAAATACTTTCTTCCAGTTCGATCAGATCAAAATCTCTCTGATCGGGACGGAATTGCTTATCATCAAACTAACAAAAACATACCAAAGAGTTTTTTATTGGTTAACCTAACGCTTCCTCACGGTGTCTTCCTCTCTTTCTTTTTGGCGGGTCTTTTTGCCAAAGTGTACAGGTACTTTACAAATCACCTTTGAAACAATAATAAAGAAAAAAACCCCAAAAAACAGACACTTACCAGATAAGAAAAAGCAGGTGCAATGGTAGAGGATGTATATTCCAACAAGTGGTCGTTGTCCACTAATGTAATGGTATTGATACTGATGGTGAACGATCAACCCATGACAATGAAAGGAACCGGTTAAAGCAAGCAAATTCAACAACACAATCAACATCACCCCTTTTATTTTCTTACTTGGCAAAAGGCTTTTTCATATCTACTCCATCCCTCCTGTCACTTTTTGTTAAAACAAGCTTCAACTTGTTGCTTAATGTCAGCGAGTCCTCTGTCAAGTTTTAGAGAAAATGAGGTTAAGCACCCAACATAGGATCCACTGATACGACCATGACTTTTGTTTTCTTTACCGTATAAATATTGGGATTGATGCCTCATGATATTAGAAACCCCATAAAGCAATTTTGCCTTTGTTCCCAGCAGCATTGTCTGATCTTGCTGCTGTCCATCAGTGTCGTCTTTACAAAGTAATTCACTATAGGGTGACAAGGGCAAAAGTAGTATCGTGTCTATGACTGCTTTTAAGCACTCTCTCCTTTCTTTCAATAGGGTATTATTCTTTTACCATAATTTAGGGATATCATACGCCAATATATGATTGTATTTGACTTTTTTTCTTAACCGGTAGTTGGCATTTAAGCCAACAGTAGCGGCATGCCTTTTATGTTTGTGAAAATAAGAGTCATCCGTTAGGATAGAATGGGCCATATTTACATAGGCAGAGTGCGTGCTTATATGTACCATGCCATCGAAAGGTATTTATTATTATAGATACTAATGTTATCCATGTCTCTATTGGTATCAGTAGTGGTAGGTGCAGGTACCATTCTTTTTACAGATGTATATATAATCTACTACAAAAAGGGGAGGGGGGAAGAAAAGAATAAATAACGAAAAGAAGAAGGACAATCTAATCTAATACTACTAAGTAGTCATCCAGTTTCGATTTAGGTTTTTGCGCGCGATGCTGGGTGCCAGTGCTATTATCATTATCAATGTTGTCATGACTGTTGTTAATGATAGGACTACTACCGCTCCTACTACTGTCACTGAGATAATGGCTGCTCATCTTATTGGCTGAAGGCCAGGAAAAGGAGGATGGTGATGATGATGATAGCAGTTGTTGCTTCAAAGCTTTCTGTTCATTGATCTAAAAAAGACCCAATGAATGAGTAAAACACATGTCTATGAAAAGAAGTGGGAAGAGAGAGTCTTGCCTGTTTATCTAAATCCATAGCTTTTAAATCCAATACGTGGGTCGCTGGTAAGATGATGTTATCCACTAAGCTTGTCACCAACTGACCATATACACTCGCATTATACAATTCTGTCATCTTGTCAGGCACCGATTTTATACTGCCAGATACTGGTTGGATTGATCGCGGTGATTGACCAATATCACTGTCACTTTTCCGCTTATTTCTCAAACTATACTCAATACTTTGGTTGGACACGTAAAATTCTTTTTTATATTCATCGTACATATGCTCCGGAAGGCTCAGGAAGAGTTCTCTAGCGCTGTTCGCCCTATCATCATGAGCACGCCCTTGCATGACTTTCGTTTTTGACGTTGCTGTCCCTGTTGCTTTTGCAAGCACTGTCGACGGTTGTATTACCAAGTGTATATTCTTCTTTTTGGGTGTGTTTGTATATTGATCCATCTCTGATTGAAAGCATGTGATCTGAACCTTTTCAGTCTGTAAAGAATCCAAAATTTACAGAAGTATCATTCGTTAAAGTCATCCTATTTCTCCTAAACCGTTTGTTGTTTATCTACTTACATTATCCGTATTATTATCAAAGCAGGACACGATAATACCAAAAAATCTTTCATCCATCATTTGTTGTGTTAATTGTGTTTTCAAATCAACATGGGAAGGAAATACAGTTATATGTGGATGACTATGATACTATGATATTGTTTTTGAGTCAAACAATGGTGCAAAATTAAAAAAAAAACCAAAAAACGACCCTTCTCAGGTCACTACATTTTTACCCAACCAACCACCATCATGGGTGTTCCTGTTTTCTTGGAAAATTCCTATTGTTAGCAAAATAAATATCGTTACAGTTTGTAATATAGAAAATCGTCAAAAATGGGGTTGTCTCCTTCCTTTACCTCAGCTTGAAGTGCAGCCAAGTGTAGACTTTCAGCTGCTATTTCCACTCGGTCTTTACGCTTATCTGATCGGGTCAAAATCGAGATATGCCTCACCTGTGCAACTGTTCTTGTTCCTTCGATATATGGATTGGTATTTGGTACTGTCTAGAAGGGTACATCCATAAATATTTTGTTTGACCTGGAGGCTGCACTATCTACAGACTGTTGCAACGTGAATCTGACATACCTCCCAATAGCCAATCAGCATACCAATGATCTCTTCCTACATCAAAGGAATGTCAACATATTGTCTTAGCCAACAGGCTAAAAAGGCATTCAACCTTACATTTTCGGTAGAGTAGGCATGCGATAGTATTAGATGATATATATCTGCAGGAAGGACAACTTTGTCGAGCATAACAAATGTATTGAGTGCAAGGTTTATCAAAGAAAAAAAGAGACAGAGGCAAGAAATACGCATTATTTTTCATTCCCAATAAGGAATTCTAGATAGAAACACCCAAATCGTTTCTACACTTTTTTTTTTTTTTTTTCAAGACTAGATCTTTTTTGCTTCAAACAGTGATCATCTCCAGATCAAATAACAATTAAAAAAATGTCAACTGTAATGCTTCAATGTTGAATCAAATACTATCTAACTGTTCACGAACCTGATCAACTTACCCGTGTCTCCATCACTTTAGAAAGAAGAACAAGAGCAGCTTATGCAAAAACCAGAATGGTACACTAAAGCACAAGATTACTGGAACGGCGTTACAGCTTCCGTCGATGGCATGTTGGGCGGTTTCTCTGTCCTTGATCCTATTGACGTCAAAGGCTCGTTGAGCTTTGTGAAAGAGTTCAACCACTTGGCAGGAGGTTATGCTTGCGATTGCGGAGCAGGTATTGGTCGCGTTACCAAAAATTTCTTATTGAAAGTGCCTTTCGCCAAAGTAGATGTGGTTGAACAAGCACCTAGTTTTGTTGAGCAGGCCAAAGCAGATTATTTGAAAAGAGAGATAGATGAAGGTAAAATTGGAAATCTGTATTGTCAAGGCTTGCAAGATTTTGTACCTGAGGAAGGCAGATATGATTTGATCTGGTGTCAATGGGTGCTGGGCCATTTGACAGACGGTAATAATAAGACGTTCTTTTTTTTAAAAAAAAAGGCTGCCATTGCCTGAGAGTGCTTTTTTTGATCTGATTTGCTTTTACGGAAATAGACCACTTTGTTGATTTCTTCAAACGATGTATAAAAGGTTTGAAGCCCAATGGTTTGATTGGCGTCAAAGAGAATAATGCATCAATAGAACAAGGTGTTTTCGATGAGGAAGACAGTAGTATTACGCGTCCTAATTCTGAACTAAAAGAACTATTTAAAAAGGCCGGCTTAACGTGCATCAAGGAAGAATTACAAAAAGATTTTCCTCAGGGCTTATTCCCGGTTCGAATGTATCTATTAAAACCTTCCTCAACATCGTCATTATCATGAATAAGAAATACGTAGTAGAATAAATCGCTTGTATATGTATATAGATATATCGGTGCATAATTTAATAGTCAAAATTATCTAGTGCTGTTCATCAATTGTTCTCAATATCCACTGTAGTTGTTGAACTTCTCTCACTCAGTTCACTGGTTGAGTTCAATGTAGGAGACGAAGGATGTTGTCTTGACAGTGTTAATGTATTACTAGCCACACGTTCTGCTTGCTTTGGATCGTGAGATATCCATAAACAAGTTTTCGGTTTCAATGCTTTTTCAACTAACTCTACGGATTCAGGGTCTAATGCTGAAGTAGGTTCTGTTATAAGAGATAGATGAAAAATTAGGAGTTCGTCCTTAATTGCCTATTTAAGAATGTTACTTCGTTTCGTATTTTACCATCTAATAATAAAATATCTGGGTTAAGAGCAATGGCTATAGCTAAAGCACAACGCTGCATTTCGCCACCCGAGAGATTGCTCCACTTTTCGTGGAAATGGCTCTCACTTAAGTTAAATTGACAGCCGATTTCAACCTGAATTAGTTTGAATCAGTCAGTACAAGTCAGTTCATTTTTCTCTGTTACCAAAAAATCTTTCTACCGCTCCTTTACCGGATCGTCTGTATTTTTGTTCTTCTGACTGGCGTATTTCTTCACCATTTTGAAAAAGTCTAAAGGAGTTCCTGGGTGGACAGCAGGCCTTTGCGGAACATACATGACTCTGGAACGCCAAATAGGAACTGTGTAATCATTCACGTCTTTATCAAATAATGTGCAATGTCCCTTCTGATAGGGTATAAGTTCTGCAATACATTTCAACAAAGTGGTTTTACTACATTTATAAAGAATCCAAACAGAAATTCGTCAAGATTATTGGACGGTCATGCCTTTACTGTTCAGCTGCATCTATCGGTTAAGTGCTTGTACGTATTCACTTTACCCACATCCACTTGGACCACGTAAAATCAATGTTTCTCCTTCTTCTAAATCGAACGATATATCTTTGAATAACCATTTACCTTCAGGTAATTTCATGGAAAGATCTTTTACACTGAAGATAGGCATATTAGAATATATGTACAATTAATCTGAAAAATTAGAAAAAAGCCAAAGGGGGAGAGAGAGAGCAGAAAGATGAGACGCAAAGTGAAAGGAAAAAATCGGTGCATAAACAACTGACAGAGATTTTGAGTCTCCGACTTAGAGGAATGGCCAGTTCAACGTCAAAAATTAGCGCAGTGATAGGATTAGCTTGCTTGTATGCAATAAACGATATAATGATACATATACATGACTTTGGTAAAGATAAGCACAGCAGTCTATTTTACCACAATTTACAAAAATGCGCTCTTTTAACTTTATCAGTATGCTATGAACCATTTTATTGATCGTAAGCCGCTCAACAGGATGACTAATGTTCAGCAAAAGCTGTTTGATGGCAGAATGTCTTACTACAAGAGTACGACGCTGTTGGAGAAATTAGTAAGATTCCAAAACTTCATAGAATCAAGAGACAGAGGAACAATAACATTTGTGATTTTAGCTACAACTAGATTGGCTATCAATATTGCAGCATGGGGTGCTGCGTTCTAGACATTCGTCTGTCAGACGAGAAACTCCTTTGCGTACCAAATGCTTAGATGGGGGCTATGAATCCTGAATAGTATGAAATTTTGTACAGTTATTACAAATGTGACTATATCTGAACATGATGTTACCAAAGTCAAATTTGGCTAGGCTTCTTGGTGTTGCAATTATTGTCCAAGATAAAAAAAGCCGTGCATAAGCCTTATTACTCTGGATAAACTCAAATGATTTTGCAAGATACAATCCTATGAAGCTGTCACAGCTCGATAAGCAAAGTCAATTGCATCTATTGCTGCTCAGAACTTCTTCTGTCTTTTAGTTATTTGCCTAAGCTGCAAAACACATGACCTGTCTTATCAACACAATAAATTTGGCAGAAATAGGACGAAGAGGAAAACTGCACGAACATTCTATTGATAGTATAAGAGAAATGAAAGAAATGCCGTTTGTACACATCAAATAATGTCCACAAGAAACTTCCGGTATCTGTGAGCTTTAGTGCTTATTGAGTAATGACTGAAAGCCCGTGCACGATGGAATACAGAGACTTGTTTTATAGAGCAACAGCAATTATAGGTAATCCTGGGTGGGAAAGAGCATTGAAAACAGTATGAAATTCATGAACTGTCTGTTATTGACTACTTCCTATTTTTACTCTAGTTGATAGCTTACATTAGTTAAATTAATTGCTTCAATATGAACTCTTTCCTAAACTGCTGCAGTTTACTGCAATTACAATAAGTCATTTTTACAAAAGCTACATTTTATGGTTGTTTAACATCCAGGAGCTTACATTCCATAAATCAGTAGCAATTCATCAAAGTTTCTTCGAGCTAATAAAGAAATTTGAAGTCATTAAATGGAACCATTACTTTTGTTAGCAATATCTCTGGTAAATCAATCTAACAACTAAGTAGGTTTCTGGTGAAGGTAGAAGCAAGCGGACACGAGCACTTTTTTGTGTATCATCTCGCTACTGCAATTAGTTGACTAAATCGTTCATAAACAAATATCAAATTTGTATGCTCATTGATTTGATAATTCATATTATTAATACTGCTACTATGGTAGAAAGAAGGTGATAGTGGCGAAATAGCTCAATATGATGGTCTTTAAAGCCTTCAATTCGAGTCAGTGGGGTAAAGTAAAAGAAAGTCCGTGCCTGAATGTGACGCAACGTGGTAGCGGAGAGTATTTTATAAATTTCTTTTTTTTGTTTCTTTTCGCCCTTAAAAACAGAAATTTGCGGGGGTGAATGGTGTAAACTTGTTAGTGTGGGGCAAGCTGCTCTGTACAAGAACTGTCTATTATCCCATTGAAATTCAAAGTCCTTGTTTAATATTATTTTCTTATAGAATAGAAGCCTTTTCTTCTTCTTCTTCCGCTAAACAAAAAGAATACAGCCAACTATAATCCAATAGCAACTAACTAAGTTAACCACCACTCCCCTTCTCTTTTGTTTTATTAATCTTTTTCAACATATAAGACCAACACCCCCCACTCCAAAACCGAAATGTTGCGCATTCTGAATCAAAAAGCTATAGCACGTCAATCACCAGCGATTTTCAAAACTGGAGGTAATAAGAATAAACCGAGATTCCGAAGGAAAGACTATGTAACAGCTGGAAACGTATTCACAGAATAAATTCCTCATCGTAGTTCGTGCATTCAGTGCCTCAACCAATGTCAAAGAAGAAGTCGAAGTATTCATCGACGGCAAATCAGTTATGATTGAGCAAGGTGCCGCTTTAATTCAGGCCTGCGAAAAAGCAGGCGTTGATGTAGGTTCAGTCCGAAAAGCTATGTTTGAAAATGCACTTATTAATATTGTGTAAATTTAGATTCCTCGTTTCTGTTATCATGGTAATGTTATTATTTCACCGTTTCAAACATACTTTATCCATTACGAGCCGAGAATATGACTGAGATGAAAGGAAGTTAGAGAGACTTGTCAGAAAAAGCAGCACCATTTATGTTCACAGCATTAAAAACCATCATAAACAATGCAACACTTTCTACAGCTCTACTATCACTTTTGGTTTATCTCACTCATTTTGTTGGGCTAGATATTGCACTTTCGATTTGATCCATTATTCTTCCATATAAGTTTATGCTGACGGAACATCTTTCTTTTAATTCATTTGAATGAATAGAACGTTTATCGATTGCTGGTAATTGTCGTATGTGCCTCGTCGAAGTTGAAAGAGCACCCAAACCAGTTGCTTCTTGTGCTTATCCTGTTATGCCTGGCATGAAAGTCAAAACCAACAGTCCTATGGTTCACAAAGCCCGTGAAGGCGTTATGGAATTTTTACTTTACAATCATCCCCTCGATTGCCCTATTTGTGACCAAGGTGGTGAATGTGATTTACAAGATCAAAGCATGCGTTACGGTTCCGATCGTGGTCGTTTTAATGAACCTATGGGCAAGCGAGCCGTTGAAGATAAGGATTTTGGACCTCTTATTAACACAGCAATGACACGTTGTATTCAGTGTACCCGTTGTGTTCGTTTTGCTAACGAAGTTGCTGGTGCTACTGAATTAGGTACTAGTGGTAGAGGTAATGATATGCAGATTTCCACCTATATTGAAAAGACCATCGATTCAGAAATGTCCGGTAATATGATTGATTTATGTCCTGTGGGAGCATTAACCTCAAAGCCTTACAACATGCGAGCAAGACCATGGGAGCTGAAAAAGTATGAGACCATTGATGTTTCCGATGCCATTGGTTCCAATATTCGTGTTGATACCCGTGGTGTTGAAGTTATGCGTATCCTCCCACGTTTGAATGAGGAAGTGAACGAAGAATGGATTTCAGACAAGACACGTTTCTTTTATGATGGTCTCAAAGTTCAACGTTTGACCACTCCTTTAATTCGTGATGGAGACAGATTCGTGCCTGCTTCTTGGAAAGCTGCTCTCGAGCGTATTGGCCAGGAGCTCAATAATGTGAAAGGTAATAGTGCAAAAGCCATTGCTGGTCATCTTGCTGATGCTGAATCCATGGTCGCTTTGAAGGATTTAATGAATCGTATTGGTTCTGAAAATCTGACTATTGATGCTCCTAACGGCGCTAAGCCTCTTGCGATCAATGCCGATTTCCGCGCAAACTACATCCTGAACTCCAGTATCGTTGGTGCTGAACAAGCTGATGTCGTCCTCATTGTCGGCTCTAACCCTCGCCATGAAGCTCCTATTTTAAACACACGTTTCCGTAAAGCATGGATCCATAATGGTCAAGAGTTAGGTTTGATTGGTCAACCTGATGATTTAAACTATGAATATGCTCATATCGGTAGCAGCTCCAAGGACATTGAAAAAATTTTGGATGGCTCTCATCCTTTTGCCAAGTTATTCGCTGAGGCCAAGAGACCAATGATCCTTGTCGGTTCCAGTGTTGTTGAAAACGCAAAGGATAGTGAATACCTCCTCTCCAAGGTTACTGAACTCGCCGAAAAGCACAAGAAGACACTCTTCCAAGAGGATGGATGGAACGGTGTCAATATTTTGCAACGTGCCGCTAGTCGAGCTGCTGCTTATGAAATTGGTTTTGTCCCTACATCTAAGGAGGCCGCTTCTTCACCTGTTGACTTTTTATATCTCTTAAATGCTGATGAAATTACAGCTGCCGATGTTCCTAAAGATGCTTTCGTTGTTTATCAAGGCCATCACGGTGATGTGGGCGCTCAATATGCTGATGTCATCCTCCCTGGTGCTGCATTCACAGAAAAGAATGCTACTTACATGAACACAGAAGGACGTACACAAATTACAAGAGCTACTGTCAATCCCCCAGCTGCCGCTCGTGAAGATTGGAAGATCATTCGTGCTTTATCTGAAGTTGCCGGACATACACTACCTTATGACGATTTACAATCTGTCCGTTCTCGTCTTTCTGAGGTCAGTCCTGCTTTAACCCGCTACGATGTCATTGAAACTCCCTCCATATCGCAAATGGGATTGTTTTCTCAACGTAAACCTGAAGCTAAGTCTACTGGAGAGATTTTAACTTCTGTAATCAAGAACTTCTACCGCACAGATCCTATTTCCAGAGCTTCTAGCACAATGGCTAAATGTACAAAGGCATTCTTACAAGGCAAAGAAGTCGATACAAAAGCTGCTGAAGCCAATTCATAACTTATTTCCTTAGACACTTTGCTTCTTTATCTATGAGTCTCCAAAAAAATATATCGAAGTCATCTATTTCTGTAGAAAGATTCGGAATGATTTGTAGAACAGCAATGCTTCATATCAGTCCTAAAAATAAATTTATCCCCCCTTTTCGTAACCATAATTCATGATTTAATCGATACTCTATACATATAATGTTACTCTAATGCAAATAAATACGCATCTTGATAAGTTTCGTCAGATGGTATGTGGTGCGCTTCTCTAATATGTCAATCTGCACCTGTTTTGAGTTTCATTAAATGTTTTCTGATAAAGAAAAAGGAACGTTTTTTCATTGACGATGTCATCATCTTCTGAGGTAGCCCATTTTACGCTCAAATAAACTCATAAATCGATCGTCAAGATAATATAGAAAGAAATCAGGCATATTTGGACACTAAGAGAATTTCCAACGTAAAAAAATAAATAAATAAAATAAATTCTGAAGCGATTAAACAAAAAATTCTTTTAATTCTCTATTATACATTGATTTGCTGTCTAATCTAAATAAGTTATGAAGTAAGCTGTACAAATTTTCGTTTCTTTTCGTCATCAACAGGTTTATCTACATCTCCATCAAGGAACGCTGATGTATTCCTGGCCTTGTAGTCACGTTGGATATATTCGAGGGCTGCTCTATTATAACCCATCACATCCTTTTGCCGTTGCAATTGGTTACGCAGATGAAAACGAATAGAGTCCAGCATGGGTCGCATCATCCTGTTTGCGACGATCTGGTTATGATGTGTTTTTACTAAAGCAAAAAGCACTCGAGATACCAGTACAATACTCCAGTTCTAATCAAGTGAAATTATATCAAATCACCGGAAAAAAGTTAAAATACTTGTATTAATTATCTTATTCGAGTATCTATATCGCTTACCTTTTTGGCCCATGTTTCGATATATGAGAATAATGACATAACCTTTGCGAAGGGAAGAATCAATAAAGCCTCTTCCAAATCATTTGCTTTGATTTTCTTCAACACATCCAACACATATCGATCAGGCTCCAGATCCATAGCTCTTAAAATGGCATGTCGCTGAGGTGGATCCGCTGGCAAACCACGAGCTTTTGCTTCTTCATATGCTTTCCAGCCATTCTTTTCTTCGTCCGCAATATCCATAGCTTCTATTAATCGTTCACCTGCTTTTAAGGTTTCCATTGTTTGTTTACCAGCCGTATCAACTTCCATATCATCTCCATTCACATCTGTTCGTTCTAATTGGCTCACTAGAGTATTTTCATACATTTCCTCTAATTCTTTTTCACGCTCTTCTTCCAAGAAAAGCTGTTCGTCTGTCTTCTCCCAAATACGTATTGACCGATCATGTGAACCTGTAATAACATAAGTACCATGTTTGGCGACGGCTAGAGCCCAGACTTCACCGTGATGACCTTCTAATTTCATTATATTTTCAAATTTATCGCCATCCCAATATTTCACGGTCTTATCCTTACTGACAGTAAAGAAATAGTGGGTACCCCAAACGAATTGGACAGACATAACACTTTCTTGATGCGCAAATAGAGATTTGTGACAGTCACCGAAATCCAAACCCCATAGTTTGACATTTTTATCAGCTGAGCAGGTAGCAATGAGGGTATTATCGGAAGAAATATCCATGGAAAGCACAGGTAATTTGTGACCGTATAAAGAGAGGAAGAACTTGAGTGTGTCGTGATAGAAAACCTTGACAGTAGAATCCAATAGTGATACCGCCAACAGATTCTGATCAGGGCTATAGCGAACACATAAAACCTCGTCTGACATTTTCAATGTTCTCATATGAATAAAGGTTATTCGCTTGACAGCAGTATTCTTCTGTTGTACCATATCGAAATCCCAAAATTTGACATCCTTGTCTGCACTACCGGTGACAAAGCCACGTTTATCTGGTCGTACTTGCAAAGAATAGATAGCGCCATCATGAGCTTTCATGGATTCTATCAATGACGATGAGCCAATATCATAGAGTTCTAATTCACCGGTCTTTGTACCAATTAAAATATGTTTGTTGCCAGGTAAAAATGCGCTGCAAAGCGCAAATCCACATTCAATGGATCGGATACAAACTCTCGTCTTCAAATTCCACACCTTCAATAAATTACTGGATGCAGATGCTAATAATTCATCATCAGAACTGAGTGTCAAAGTACGAATATCGGATCGATGTCCAGGCATGTCTACTGTATATAATTTATTGAATCCTTGAGTTTCTTCTGCTATTTTCTTCTCATGCGTGACCGGCACAGTATATGCTTCTATCGTATTATTGGATAGTGAGGCTACAAGTGATATCTGTCCAGCCTTATCTACATCCGCTATAGGTGCAAAATCAAAACTGCGTACTTTGGCAGGAGTTCTGACAATGCATTCAGTTGTATATTCATCATGTGCTTCGATTTCGCTACTCACTGTAGATTCATCTTTTCCTTTCTCTTTCGCTCTTTTCTTTCTTCGTTGAATCTTTTTACGGATAGTTTCGTGATCTCGTACTCTGTAGATTTCCACTGATTTATCATTGGCTTGTGCACCGACAAATTTTCCTGAAGGGTGGAAGTGAATTGTAACTATACGATCGCGAGATTGACGAGGTATTTCGCCATATATATTAATGGCTTTCTGCAATGTAGCAGGTACAGGTGTTACTTTTGTTGGTATATCACTATCGACATCCATGTTATCTTTTTCTTTTGCTTTCTCTTCTTGCTGTTTTTCTTGTTCACCAAGCGCTTCTAATGATAAGCCTAGAATTTTCCAATCAATCTTCCATGCTTTTATATGATTTTCTGCTCCACCTGAAAGAATGACTGTCTGATCATTGGAGACTGCAAAAGACCATACTTCACTACGATGGCCGACTAGTGTTTCTCGACAATATTGTGCTGATAGATCCCATAATTTAATGAGGGTATCTTTTGAAGCAGAGAGAACATAACCCTCACTGGAAACACCAACTTCAGTATCTTCAGCATCGGCCACCTCTTTGGGATTCAAAAAGGTCAAGCAGGTGATCTGATCTTTGTGTCCTTTCAATCTGTATAAGCCGGATTCGGCTATGATGTCCCAAATAATTAAATCTGTATCTCTGGAGCCTGATGCTAAACGGGTTCCTTCACTGTCAAAAGCCAACGCAGTGACAGCACCACGATGACCACTTAAGGTTACTGAGGAAGTGTTGCCCTCAATATTCCAAAGTCGAATTGAACCGTCGCCATAGCTTTGATAAAATAAAAAAAAAAAATAAGTAAAAGAGTTATGTAAGTTCGATTTCTTTGTCAAAAACAGTGCTCGCTTCTTTCGCCTTACCCAACAGCATAGTCTTTGTTGTTAGGACTTCTTGCAATACAAGTGACTTCAAATTTATTTCCATATTCTTTCCATCGCCCAACCTACAAGTACATCCAGAGGAAGATAGACTTAGTAACTGTTTGATGACGATGCGCAAATCGAGCTTATTACCTCGATTCCCTTCTTAAGATCCCACAAGATGACTTCTTCCAATGCAGGCGCAATGGCTATCTTTCCTGTATGGTCATATACAATATTGGACGAATTGGAAGCAACAACACCAAAGGTGGCAAGCGGCTCATAACGAAGATAAGCTTTAACCATCTTTCTTTTCTTGAACTGAAACGAAAAACGTTATTGACGCAAAGTAATCAATCTTCTGGATTAAATTGATACCATTTGATATTTCCAAAGTTGAATAGTGTGACGTTTATTCCTTTCTCCCGCATAAGACAAAATGCTGTGTGGCTGATACATACTATTATGCGGCGTTTAAATTCCAAATCAAATTCATGCAATTCAGGCAGGCACAAGCGCTTCAGGCAGCTGGAGCAGTCGACTAGGAACAATACGTATATGAACACAAGAAAAAAAGTCGACTATAACTTGCACTGTTTAACATTGTTGATTTTCTACTGTTAGCTCTATATATAAAGTTTCCTTCCTCTCTTACCGAACTCCAGCTAAATTGTTTTTGGTAAAATCAAAAATTTAGCAAAGTTGAGGTCTAGTCGGTTTACCCAAACAATATTTGCATTGGGTGTAAGTGTATATCTTAATTAATGAAGTTATTGAGAAACGGCTAACAATCCTTATCAAAACCATAACAGCTAATCGAGCTTGAATGTAAGAAGGCCATTGTATTCATCAAGGTTGAAAGCGGGGTACGAAAATAAATGACAAATGGGCTTTTCCCCTGTTCGTGATTAACTGTATAATTCATTTATTTTTCTTCATTGCTGCTCAATACAAAGTATGCCTCTGACTAAACCTCCACCACCACCACCAAAACCCAATTTCGGTGAACCTTCCACACCGGAAGATTTTAATGAAAAATTTAAGGCAAAGGCTACTACAAAATACATGAACCCTTGTGCATTAGAAGAAAAGCAAAGTATGAAATGTCTAGATGAAAACAACTATGACAAGCAAAAATGCGATTACTTTTTTATGCAATACCGTGAATGCAAAAAGAAATGGGTATATAAGCGCTAGAGCATTGCTTGTAATTACAATTCTACAACTGACTATTCCGATTTAAAAATTAGATGGAACAGAGACGAGCACTTCGACGATCTGGCCAATTATAAACTTGTGCATTCTCAGCAAGCTAGCAGCAAAATATAAATTTTGCAAATTGTATTACAAAATGATTATAATCTCGCCAAGTTTTACCCTGTCCTCCAACATATAAACTCGCTCCCCTTTTCATTCTAAAAGCGAAATGTCAAATGTACCAAGTGAATAAAAAGGCATGATATCAGAACGATATTTATTCAATAAAATGATGTTAAAGCTTTGATTAGATAGTTTAATCGAAAAGACCTAATGACGAATAGTTAAGGTTAATAAAGTTTTGTCAATAGACCATTCACTCAATGCATAACTATATACTTACCGAAGCCCATATCGTCATCAGATTCTTCCTTTTCTTCAGCCTTTTCTTCTTCAGCAGGAGCATCACCACCAGCAGCGGCAGCACCAGCGGCGGCAGCACCAGCAGGGGCAGCACCAGGAGCACCGACGTTCATGAGGAGAGACTTGAGGTCTTGACCAGCGAGGGCCTTAGCATAAAGAGAGAACCAGATGGGTTCAACTTCGACACCAGCAGCAGAGACAAGAGTTTGGAGCTTGTCAGCCTATCAGAGATTAGGAAATCAGTTGCTTAATCGATTAGTCCACAGTTATAAGTTGAATGTAAGTATCACTCCAAATGTTTTTTGCTACAATTCCTCCGATCCGTTTGAGGAAGAGTGGTGAAGTCTCAATCGAGGTATAGAACTTACAGTGATTTCGATGTTATCATCCTCAAGGATGAGGGCAGCATAAACGACGGCGAGTTCAGCAGACATTCTAAATTGGATGGATATGATGGATTTTATGTGGCAAAGAGTTGCGTTAATACACAAAATACAAATACGAACTATTTGTTTAGGACGACATCTTTTGATAGATGGATGGATTTTATTATTATATGGCTACATACGCGTTGATTTAGGTACTTTAAGAGGAGGATCCTTATGGTGCACATGTTGGCCATTGTATTTGATTGAGGGTGCCCGTTGTGGCGGGTTGCCCTCAGTTTCTCATTTCAACCTTAAACTCCGATTTAAGCGATTGTTCTGGCCCGCGGTTTTCTCTTCACCGAAAGCTCGGTTTGATCTGTAAACAGTTTATGCGCAGTAACGTTTTAAATTGACTTTGTTAATATGATTATTTTAACCCTATGGACGCACAGAAGGTTACATTTCATAATTGCTTAGGGCAGCTCAACAAAGTAGAGAAGAAAATTGAAAAAAAAAACTTGTTAAGAACAAAAGAAAAAAAAAAACGGAATTAACAGAAAGGCCATGTGTTAACGGGGACTAGGGCGCAAAAAGCCAACTGAAAAGGAGCTGCCTAAGTCTCTGACGGTAGAGGGGCATTTATCGTGTTGGAAATTAATAGCTTTGTAAAAGTAAGAGTCGAGCGATAGGTCATGCTATGCTTCAAGAAATGGAAGCTATTGCACGTTGTTTTGTTAGTTCGGAGGGGAGCGTGTTCAACAGGAGAGAAAATGGGTCGGAAATGGTACTGGGCAGGTGGAGACGGTTATGTATATTCAAACATTCAATGCCATGATCTTTTGTGAGGTTACTTGTCGGGCATGCCCAATTACAGTCCTTTCGTATCACATTCGGACAGTGTCAGAATTGATTAATGATCAAAGGAAAGATACAGATCAGACATTTGAGACAAAAAACTCTAGATGTATCTTTTCGTAAAAATAGACTTACTTCCTGTAGAACCTTTAAAGCTCTCTTTGGGGAGAGATAAACCACGCTCATTCAGGTACCTCTGACTTTTTCATAATTGTTCCACATCAAATGTGCAAATTAGACTCGCAAAATGTTAATAGCGGAATTAAATCTAGTTCAAGTTAAGCAAAAAAGCAATATAACATCTTGAGATACAAAATGGTATAAAAACATACAAAAGGCATACGTGCAACTAAATCTTCAATTCCATTGTGCTACTGTTCCTATCTCCTACTACTATTAAGTGAACCATTACTTTAAACATAACTGTGTACTAAAAACGAGGACATTCTTTTTTTTCTACTAGCGACCAATATCTGCATCTTTGGTGAGCAACGACAATTGTTCAATGCTATAAGGCAGCACAGATTGTTTATATGTATGCAGATATTCCTGAAACAGACAAAATGATATCATTTTGTATATAGTTTGCTAACTAAGCAAACGATCTTATTTCTAATGCATTATGCAATGTATGAAACAAAAATGGAAGTACGTCAATTGGCAACGTAATAATTTAAAAAGAAGGGCATTAACAGGGAAAGATTCTGATGGTTTACAGATAAATGTTTTATTTCTGTTCAAGTGCTGGAATGAAGGAGTAAAGCAGTAAAAAATGGTATCTGTGATAAAAGAAAAAGTGGATAAAATGGTATGCAAATTAAGGGTATCGAATAAATAATGTTACAATTGTCTGTGCGCTTTCAAAGTAATCTTATTGTCTCTTCTGGGAATGGCCAACAATTACTGTTCTCTTTATCCTCATTTTCTCCTGTTATCTCTTGCTGACGTAACTTCAGCATTTCTTGTTGTTGCTTCCAGCTGCCCACTCGTTCTCTCAGCTTTCTCTTCAAATTGAATTGTCGATGTAAGATTATTCTCATATCATCTTTTCGATCTTTTAACCGTACTAGGCTGGATTCGAGGAACTTTCTTAATTCCATAAGCTCATTATCTGATCCACCACCAAAATAGGCTTCAATTGGTATCAAATTGCTTAGGTTAAGTGAAGCAGCATGAGGTGTGTTATCGACTAAAAATGTCTTGCTTAAATCTCTGCCTAATGCACACAAATCTTTAATATACATTATTTCTTTTGTCTTGGCTGATTTCATACGGATACATGAATTTCGACTGAGCATGTGCCTAATGAGAATATTTGGACGTAAAGCATTTAACATATAAATCCCACTGATGATTGAAAGAGAAAAAGTAAATACCTTATCAAAACACCTTCTGGGTCCAGACAATGCCTCGCCATGCTCGCATAGTCTTCCCTTCCTGCCGTCCATACAACGATTTCAAAAGATTTAGCAGCCCAACTCAAGAACTCAAATACGCCAGGACGTAATTTGCCTGCTAACAAACAACTGTAGCCATTTTCAGCAAAAACCATATAATCTGCTTCTATTCCACTGCCGTTGTCTGCTGTTTTACTACGATAAGTATGGATTAAGGTTTCATCCAAATCCAATACTAATGTGGGTTCATTATCATTCTTTTTTGGTGGCAAGTGAGGTCGCATGCCTTTCAATCTGGTATGGATAGATGGCCAACGTGCCATGAGCGCATCTAATGTCGAGCATTCATAACTACGAAAAAAAGGTTATAGAGAATAATAATTAGATTACAACTTAAAGGTCTACTTTCTCAGTTAGACTTACTCATCCAGTTGCTCAAGTAAAGAATCTATCTTTAGAATGGGATCGTTTCGGACATCTTCCTCCTCCTCAATGAAGCTTTGGGTTCTGGAAATAGTCAAAAGAGGCGGGTCTTTGACTAAATCATTTTCATTTCGTTGCTCTTGCGCATCACTAAAGTCCGTGAGCACATTGTCGGTGCCATGAATAGTATTGGTAGAAGTTAATGCTGTTCTTGGCTTAATAAATTTTGTGCCACTATTGCCTTCTTGTGATAACTTATTGCTATTGGCAAGTTGGTAACGAGTGAGTACCATTCAGTCGACAATTGTTCTTCTTAAAAAACAAGTATAGAAAAGTAACAGAGAATAGGAAGGCAAAGAAAAGAGATTGGAAAATATATATTCTAATGACTGGAGTTGAAAATTTTTTGTTTTCAAGGTTTGGAACATCAAACAAATTCAGGAGCATTAACCTGTTTTGTGCAAGATGAAAAAGCTATCCAAAGTTCTTTGTCTTTTCGGCTTTCTGCACTCCTATTTACCATGCGTTCCTTGATCCTGAACAATGAATTTGTAATTACGTATTTATTATCATATCGAAGCCACGAGGGCATACCATTTGTAATATTTGATACTGTGTTATTTAAATGGACGAAAATAGAATTTATGATAATAATGAAGAAGTAGTATTGAAGAAACAATTGATATGAATAAATAAACTAGATCTGCAATTGATAATTCAATTTTGACTTAAGGTCTTTCTTGGAGCTTATGCCTATAAATCAACAAATAAACCAACGTGTATCTTATAATGTTGTTCCCGCCATCTTCCTTTGTAATTATATAAATCAGACAATAATTACCATTGTAATAAATGCAATATCAAGTTTACTATTTTCCTAGATCGGCAATTGACTGCGTTTGGTGGAAGCCTCTTCTATTGAATCATATTTGACATTTATATGCACAGATATTAATACTTTAAAATTATTTATTTGGAAAAGGCTGTAGCCACGTTAATTAGCATACAATCTAGTTATCGGTCATTCACTTCTCGTCATTACAGTATATACAGTACAAACATGTTTTAGTTGCTATATCATAATTTAGAAAAAAAAAAGAGAAAATATTGCATCTGATTGTTTACTCGAAAGGCATATAACATTTTAAATTTTAGGTAATTGTTAAGCTCTTCAAAGGTTAGAAAACGGACCCATGCAAGATTCACTAGGATAATGAAACCTAAAAGCTATGGTATCAGAGTACAATATACTTCACACAAAAAGCAATTCAATATTCATTGATTCACTCCCTTGATATATATTACTAAATAAGAGAGAAGTGTCCGTGAGTTGTCGTTAATTGACGATACGCACGACGCTATCAGTACCATTTCATCTAAATTACTTGAAAATGATATTCTACTTTTAAGCAAACATCAATTTCCATGCGCCCAAGATGGAGTGCATAGCATATTGTACGTTTGTATCTAAGGTTTTCGACGACAACTGTCAACCATCAATTAATCATTGTTGTTAAAGAGCAGTTTTACACAGAATATACAATTTATTCTATCTCTTATATTGCCTTCATGACCTGTATGAATAGCAACCACTTAGACATACTGAACCGATGTATCCGTTTAATGCGTTCAGGAACTCTATTCGCTGAGGATGTTTATAGAGTATAAAAGATTGACGATACAGTCTTCGCATTTATCGTATAGCGCGTAACAAAAATCATAAAGTAGGCTCAAATGGCACCAGAATATACAGCTCGAAAGACGTCAGTAATTAAAATAAGGCTTGTTAGACAGACACTTTGTTGTCACAAGTAAAATTTTGCTACAGGGGTACCAAAGAACGATACTTAAGACATATGTACTGGTAAATGAAAGAAAAGGGAGAAACAAAGAGGACGAAGATGTAACATGACTGTTTAATATTCGCAATTAAAGAAAAATAATAGTACATCATATCAAATTCTATCTTTGCGGCCAAGAAGCTATCATCACAAGCGTTAAAGTGTTCTGACATGGCTTGTCATGGTAAGCTTATGCTTGCTTTATAATATTACATACGCGCGTTGAGAATGTGTATATACTAATTCGTCTTTGCAGGCAGCTGTATGTTAAGATTCTCTTCTAGTCGGCTGATCAATGTAAATGGTACGAGTCCACTAACTGTAAACAATCCAAAGCGACAGTTGGTTGACGGAGCGTCGGCAACACAAGACGCAATATTGGGTCCTACTCAATAACATTAATTCTTATCGGAACATTATTTTGTCCGGAGAGTTGTGGAGCAATGATGGCTCAATCTTGCATTAGTAGCAATTGGGAGCTTTTTCACACAAATTGTAACTTTCCTTTCTCTTTATACCACACGTAGTTATAAGACACGACATTCACCATTTTCATAACATCGATACTATAAACACGAATTAATACGGAGCATGGGTTGTTGCGGAAGCAAAATAGTTCACGATGAGGTAAAGGTGCTTCTTATTGGTACTAATTGGTTTTCTGTGCACTCTAACTTTTTTATTGTTTTCGTTCGATTAGGACGATGTCAGCCAACCTTTGTTGAACGAAGACACCAGAGACAAGTAAATATCAAGTTTTTCTCTATTCTTTGTTCTCTTACTTTTCTCCCTCCCATTTAACCTTTTTTTCATTCTTATCAGTCGTATGAACTATCAAACATATGAGACAATCGATGTACAGAAAGAACAAGAATTTTGGAATAATATTATCGACAGGACTACCCAGTAGGTTCAATGATCAAAGTGTTTGTATTATCAGAAATTCTAACATTTCTTATCTATTTAATCAGAAATCTAATTGATATTTCGAGTTCTCAGACAGAACCCTTACAGGAAAATGACATACAAGACCGTGAAAGAAAGTATAAAAAGATTCTTGAACAATTGAACAGCAAGAAGACAGTAGCAACTACATCATCATCGTCTATATCAATAGCAGCAGAAACAGCAACCAAAGAAGAATTAGATATCAACTTACTAAATGCGACTGCACTAGACTTGATCAATAACAGCAATGCAACGGCATCCGCTACAACAACAGAAAGCGGAGAATTTGATTGGATAGATCAGTCTATGCAAGATATACGAAAAGCACTGGACCAAATGCAAATTAAACCAGTAGGAGACATAGTTGTTCACTTAACACCGCCTTCTTCTGCGCCAGGCTTAACGATGAGTAATGGTAGTAATAGTATGATAATGGATAGCAATAATATTAGCCATATGGAATCCAATAATACCATGACCTCATCCGCCAATGGAAATGCAACAACATCATCGTCATCAAATACCATCCAAGCCTTTTAACACATCTTTATAATCATATAACAGCACTAACGTCTATTGTAAGAACTAGTGCTTGCAGTAATTGTAGTAAAATATATATACATATCATATTTATACGCAAAAGCCAACATATCTAACCCTGCCAACATGAGCTTCTTATAACTTCAATAAATCGACACGTACACTTGCAAGTCTATCTGCTGCAGTAGGTTTTGTGGGGTATAAGAAAACTCTAGAGTAAGTTCCTGATGTTATGCCTCTGCATAAATTGCCGGGATTAATACAAACTGTCCCTTCCACATTCTAAGCATCAGATGAAGAATAAGAGTCAATGCCATTCTCTCATATACATTTTTTCACTTGTGAAAAAATTCAAAGCAACTTACTCTAACAAAATGTTTCAACTGTGATGGCAATATCAAAATATCCGGCCTATACGTTAATTGTACATTGACTAACTGATCGGCGTCCATAATACAACTTTCGTCTACTTTGAATGGAAATACCGGATGGAACGATCTCTGTTGAAGAATGTGTTTGAAAAAGACGCTTGATCGGTCTGTGGCGTTATTTCTATATTGTGAAATTAGTTAGCGTACGTTCAGGGAAAATTCTCTCACACATCATAATCACGCCTTACTTTGATATTTCTTCTCTGGCTATCTTGAAAAGGATGTCCAAATTCCCAATTGAAATCGTGTGTTGTGCTCCATTCAACTGAATAGTGCTGGGATTACTCAGCAAATGAATTCGTTCATGATTGATAATATTCTGTTGTTGTAGATCTGTAAAAGCAGGTTGAGGAAAAATGGGATAAGGTTGAATCATATCGTATGCATGAGGTACAATAAACACTTGAGTACGGGGGCATTCTTTCAATAATTTGTATAAGCGCTCCACAACTTGTTCTTGAAACAATTGAATCAGGGGAGATTCCACTTGGCCAGTTGCTAGTTTACCGTGCTGAACAGACAAAAAGGGACCCATCAGCAGGATGAACTCAGGCTTACTTTTTAAACACATAGAAAGGAGAGCTTCCAACGGTTGAAAAGATAAGTCATCGTTCAAGGTGAAAGGCCCTGATGCTACGATCATTTCTAATGGTTGTTGTTTTGGTATATCTGCTTGATCATTACTTTCATCATTATCCGTGTCCATACTCTCAAACGTAAGTAAATTATCAGGATTGCCAACATCCAGTCTTTCTGGCACAGAAGGCTAACATCATTTATATACACCTATCGTTAAAAACATTCTGTCTTTTCAAATTTTTGTTTCAAGGATGAACTTACATAAAATATCTTTTCCGCATGAAAGATAGAACCGTTTGGATTAGTACCTTTAACACCCACGATTTGCCCAGGGAACAAAGAATATTGTTCAATTCTTGATAGGTTTAAGGGCACCAATTTGCCCATACCTAACTCTCTGGATGTTTGTAACATGATTGTCTTCTCACTCAATTTTTCCGATTCATTTAATGAGGGATCAAGGCAAATTCGACCAAAGGCGTAAATAGATTCTTGACTGGGTTTCGTGGGATTAGCATAAGCTTCTATTTCCTCCGAATGGGTTTCTAATATGAGTTGGCCCACGTATTCTAATTGTTCATCGAGGTTATCCGTTTTCTCACGAGCTTTTTCAAACATGAATCGATATGGTTGAATAGACTGAAGGATTTGCACATCAATTGGAGTTGTCTGCTGTGGCTCGTGCTGTTGTAATGGTTTTCGTGCGGGCAATTGGGGATTATATTGATTTTCGACAATATGCGACTGCTTTCGTGTAATAAATTTACTAGAGGATTGTGATCTATCAGAGAGTTTGTTAATAATATTCTTCGTTTTATAGTGTTGAGATGCACGCATACGAAAAAAAAAGACATAAAAGCATTGTAAAAACTTACAATTGAGTATCAGATACAGATACTGCAGAGGAAGTTAAAGGTACTACTTTCTTTTGTTTAAAGGTTCCATGCGAGACACTATGATTTTACAGATATTGAATTGTGAGTGGATAAAAGCCAAACAAATCAATGAATACTCCCAACTTACAAACTCTCAATTGCATCTTCTTGGCTATCCATTGTTAAGCCATATTCTGACAGATCCATTGTACTAGAACGTTTCACCGGCAGCCTACCAGTTGCTGTTCGTCTAGTCTTCAGGTTCCTGTCGAAATCTCTCTGTAAAGACTTTTTCAAAAATTTGATATATGCAACCGAAGGTTTTAAAGGACAACCCGTGTTTAAAGCATAGGCTTCCCATTTGTGCTTGAGAGTTTCTGGTGTTAGAGAAAAACTTGAGCATAGGGAACTCACTGCACATACAGGGTAGAGATGAATGTTTGTTGATTTTTGAGCAAGATCGAAAGGTCAAAAAAAAAAAAGGAGAAGAAAGGTGAGCATTGAAAGTTTACAATTTAGTTTTTTCTTTTTAATATGAAAATGAGACTATACACGCTGCAATAACCTCGTTGTCGTCAGGCTGTGATAATTTAAAAACTTTCTCTATTTGTTGACGGGAAGACATTTGAAAGCAACTGATCAGTAAAACAGTTCGGCAATAAAGCTCAACATCACTTTAATAGACACCAAAAAAAAGGCGTTCCGTCTTTTAAAAAAGCGCGCCGATTTTTGCTTTTTGTCGCGTATCACTGCATAACTCCGCAATCATCTAATAACTCTTTGACTGTAATGGGCGGTACCTTCAAGTTTTAAGTGCACTTCCTGTTCTGATAGTTTTTATAGTAGTGGGTAAAACTACATTCAATTATCATTCATCCATTCACTTTTAAATGTTAGGCATGATTTTCATTAATGTATTAGAACAATAGCACAGTGTCCCTCTGGAATAGCAAATGCTGGGCCACACACAGAGTGACAAATGTTGATACGGAAAGAGGATAATGAAGACTATGTAATACATGTCAATGAGTATTATCGCACTTTATAGGCTACTTTATTTAAAAAATCATTTTCTGCAGGACAGGTATGCCATGAACAAGATTTAGAGAATATCATGAACGCGCCAATCTCATGTCTTTCCAAATTGAAATGCTGATACTCATTATGTTTTTTGCTGCACTGACATCGCGGTTCTATAGTATCTTACAAGTTTTGCAAACAAGGGTACTACAACCAAGGACGGTGTCAAAACGCGTCTAATGTGCTTGAGCGGCCAAATAATTCTTTTTATCCTGATTCCTATGGATTTCTTTAACAGATCTAAATTTCTGTATTTGAAAGGCACGTCTTACGCATTATAGATCACCTTTTTTTTTCGATTATCCAAAAAAAAGAAATGACGAATACGGTTCGGAAATGGAAGACAACGTTAATTTTCGGGCTCAGTTCAAATTAAAAGTTAAACTTTTTTTTTTTTAAGTTCCAGCAATTATGGCAAGCAGTGGCATAACATATGGCAGCCTCTCTGATAATGATAATGATCCTCTTACGCTTCCGATAACAGCTACTGAGGAAGAACAGCCACTGCAGAGGAAGCATTGGCAATTGCGGTTGGGCGAAACACTGGAAAATGAGAAATTTCATATGACGATTTTATTCCTTATCTTGGTGGACGCATGTTGCGTGCTTATACAAATTCTATATACCTTTTTCCACGAATGTCAGTTACCCTTATCCTACAACAATTCTGATGATACTAGCCTATTCATGATGATGAATAGCAACCAAAGAGATGGTTTTGACGCTAGTGATGTCAACTATTTGTTGATGGCGTTTGAGATCGCAGAGGCGATTAGTTATATTATATGTTTTGTTTTCGTCATTGAATGTGTATTATCATTGGTAGCTTTTGGGCCAAGATTTTATCTCCCTGGGTTTCCTCATTGGAAACTGCACTTATTTGATGCCTTAGGTAAGCTAGAAATGTATTAATGAAATAGATAAAGTGTTCTTGGCTGCTAATGCACAAAGTAGTGATTGGTACCACGTTTGTACTAGAAGTTGGACTTCGAGGAAAAGAGAGAGAAGTAGCTGGGTAAAGTATCATTCATGATAGACGCTATATGTATGCAAATGACTAAAAGCCTATTCATTACTTTGTATAGCCTCTTGATTATTTTCCGTTTTTGGAGAATTGTCAAAATCATCGAAGCTGCTGTGATGAGCGTAAGCTATGCTCATCAAGAAGAACTAGAAAAACTAAAAACTGACTATACAACATTAGAAGCAGCCTATAAAGCTGAGCAAGCAAGGAATAACGAATTATTACAACTGAACAAGAATAGTAGGTATTAACAGTGGATAAATAAAAGGCAAAGAGCTTCAATCGAAGCAAATCAATGCAAAGAATGAAAAGATGTTATATAGAGTTGGGTTTGTATATGTACAAAAAAAAGAAAGAGGAAACAACAGAGCAACAGATTAGATTGAAAAAAAAAAAAAAGAAAAAGAAAAAGGAAGTCTGGCTATTACAGTAGCCTAAGATGTGGCGTTAGGATTGGAAAGAGTAGTAGGAGAAGTAGGATTAGTATTTGTGTTGGTATTACTCTCACTACCATTACTGCTGTAATTGGATAAATAAGAAGAGGCTAGAATAAACATTGGCTTTCTTTTAGGTGTTGTAGCATTCGTATTATTAGGTGTTGTCCCTGGAGAAGATGGTGTGGTTGGCTGTGGTGACATAGATTGTGCTGGAAGAGCTGTATTTGCTGGTGTAGTAATATTAGAAGCACTCGATTTCTTTCGTTCTTTCTTTGATGTTAGATTATTGGTGGTGCTGCTATTACCAGAAGTTGAAACTGTTGTTGATTTTGTTGTATTTCGACTATTATCGTTATGAGTACTATTCATCATACTGATATTATGGTTATGTGCCTCTTTACTTAAAACATCGTTCATATGCTTGAATGTGATTTGATTCTTCTTTTGCTGCTTAGCTATATTCAGATTGTTTAAAATAGCGTCATTTGAGGGGTTTTGAATGGCATCGTTATTGTGAGTTCCAGTAGCAGTGGTTCTTTGACGAGCGATTCGAAGCGCATTGTGAGCTAGCTTTACATTTTTACTATATCGGATTCTTTTACCATTAGAAGCTCTTTTCGGCGCATTTAATGGTGGAACAAATTCTAGGGCTGGAGGTGAAGCAGCATCTTCCAATGTAATATCCGAATCCTTTGTACTAACTGCTGGTGATGGCGCCGGCATATTTGGTAATGCTAAAGGAGTAGTCGTGCCTGCTGTTGTAATCGCTGGCACGTTTCTATTTGTCAACATTGTAGCGGTAGAGTTACTGTTCATGGTATTTGCGTTCGTGTTTGTATTATTTGTAGTTGCTGTAGGCGCCAGTTGAAGTGTAGTATTTGATGTAGAGCCAGACGAATCTAAAAAGCCCATATCAGTTAAGCATGTAGTTATATCCATCATTGGTGTATTGATATCTGCCATTGTATTATCATTGGTATCTGAAACAGTCATATTGTTGTTTGTTGTAGTATTACTGATGGTAGCGGTAGGTGAGCTCGTGAGTGGACCGAATGGATCTGCATTGAACATTTGACTCAATAAATTGATCTCAGCCATAGTTGTATCATCCTCTTGATTAACAATAGTAGTAGACCTCTCTTTGGATGTTGTGTCTGGTGTTTGTGGTAAATTCAGACTGAAGCCGACTGTGAAATCTTGGATCAGTTTGTTTAATCGTTTCACTTCTTCTTCCAAAGTATGGATGCGTTTATGTAATCTTCCACAATATTGTTCACAATGCATATTAGCCTGTGTTTGGGTGCCTATAAATGTACATCCTTCATTTGAATAAGGACAGGCATAAGACTGACATTCATTTTCATGTTTAGCCAAATCCTTCAATAAAAAAGGTTGACACAATGGCATTTGGTTGGGGCATGTTATCAGCTGGTATAAACAATTTTTGATGTGCTCATCTTTGTTAAACTCTGTCAGATTGATTTCTGTACATCCTTTATCCGCATTAGGACAACGAATAGGTTTGAATTTGCACTATTGAATAAAAGCTCACATGTTAGGAATGTATAAGATGGGATAAGGTGGCTTTTTTTTTTATGTTTATCTTATTATGTATCTATACCTCTGACTGGTGATTGTCAGAAAAAAGGCCCGTCCAAGTACATCCGTTGTCAGCATACAAACATTTGATACGTAAACGACTAATTTGTCTCTGAGCAAATTTTGATAACTGGAAAGATTTTGAGTCTAGATTTGTCATACACAAAGGACAAGTAGGTTGCTGTTTGATATGACTTTCGATACAATTTTTACAAAACATATGGTCTATATAGAGGACAAATTAGATATCATATAAGAAAAGACATAGTATATACATAGATAGCTATACCTTCAGGACAATGGACCTGTAAAGGATCCTCTAATACGTCTGTTGTTTTGCAAGTCAAAGAAAGAGATGAGATCTCAATGTAGAGATTGGAATCGCCAAGTGCTTCCTTTTTTTTTTATTTACCTGAACATATCCCACAAAGTAGTTCAGGACAAGGCTCTCCTATGAGTAAATCCACCTTTTTTGTCATTCAATTTGATTGTACTGTTTAACAAAATGATGGGGTGGGGGGTTTTTTTGGCTTTTTTTTTCGTTTTAAAAGAACAGATATTCTATCTTAAAGAAGAACAGGGTAATAAATATGAGGGAAAAATAAATGATGTGTTGCTGCTCTCCCACAAAAAAAAAAAGAAAACGCGATTTCACGCACACCCGTTATCGGAATTGAGATCTTTACGCGACGTGAATTTAATTCAGTTACCAATTCCCCAATATGGAAATGAAAGGGATAAGTCGCTCAGTTCAGTTCAAAGTCAACCCCAAGGTAGATAAATTCCCTATGGTTTATGACTTGAAGGCAAAGAAAGATTTAAAGAAAGGTTATTTAAGGGTTCGTGTATACGACAGTAGAATCTAAGGCTGGAAAGAACAGAAACCTGTCATCGAAGCGAATATTATGTACCTTACACTTTGCATGCAACATTCTTCGAGCAAGACTAACCCTATACGTAGATGGCGCATATAAGGGAAGCACAAACAGTGCATGTAGAATTTTCAGTAATACAAAGCTTTACCGATGAGAATACTGCCTACCCAGAGTCTCTTTTCGTAAAGCTTTTCAAAATGCGTAGTCTAATTCAAGCCACTCTATTCTTGTATACCTCTTCTATTGTCAAGTATGTCAAAATAGCAAAACTTATGGTAAACCAGCTGTAGATTAAAATAGGACACGAGTTATAGACAAGTACTTGTATTCTCGATTAACTTTTTTTTTTTTTCCTAAAAAGCCAAATTTCGCAGCGTTGGACTTTTTTAAGAAGAATGCCTGTCATTAAGGAGTGGGGTTTTCGTTTGTTGTACTTTTACCAGGGAATCGAGGATGATCTGTTTGCAAATGATACATGTTCTTGACAGAATGACGTTCTTGTTGATGAAGAAAACGCATCACTCAACTTGTCAAAATGTTCACGTTTTGGCTCTAACTTAGTCCAATGACGATGTTGCATATAAGAGGGAGTTGTTGTCTTTTTTTTCCAAGTTTGTCGTCATACAGCAATATCGTCCTGACAATTCAATAGATCACGTGGACCAAATCAAGGGGCCAAGTGCTACACTTCATCCAAAAGGCGGAAAAATTCGGATTTTGTGAGATAAAAAAGGGTGAGCAGTCAATGCATCACTAATTGTCCGTATGATCAAAGGGAGAGATCAGAGGTGAGAAAGTGAGTAAGTGTCAGTGTAACAAATGACCTTTCATTTTTTCATTTTAAAAAGTAGGCTAAATTTTCAATCTTATAAATTTGCTCCCCTTTTTTTTTGCTCCAAAAACAACTCAAATAATATATTTTTTTTGTTCCCAAAAACAAAAAAAAAGACAAATATCTATAACTGCTACAGTTAATTATCAAACTAGTACTACAACCTAATAACGTACCACTTTATTCCAGCATTCGAAAAAAAAAACCAGATATAACATAAGGAAGCAGCAGTAATCACTACAAGCAAAAAAAAAAAGGTTTCTTCTTTTCAACAGATCATTTTCTTTGTGGACCTTCTTTATTCCTACTTTTAATAAAGAGATTACCTCAAAGAATCAGAAAAGAAGAACGAAACAATTATTCAGCAAAATAATAACCACAGCTTTAGAAGGATTTCAACTTCATAAAGGGAACCAGAACAAATATTAGAAAACGTATCTTATTATGTTATTTTGTTCCAAGGACACAACATCTACAGCAATAATATATTACTACCCAACCATAAAGAAAAAAAGAATACTAAAAAAAGTCTGAAAAAGCACTAGCATAAAAAAATAACCCAACCAAAACTTCATTTAATTAATTTGTTACATGACCGAGAATTTTATCACTTATTTACTATCATTTATTGGATTTGTACCTATACAACAACTTCAAGAAGAACAACTATTACAAGAAGCAGTACGAGATGCGGAGAAATGCCAGTTTTTGGTTGATTCTGCCTTTGTACTGTCTTCTTTCATGAACCTCAATATCAATGACGAAACAGAAGCAGATACAGAGAAGGAAAAGAAAAAGAAAAAGAATGGCGCTGCGACCTTGTTGGATAAATTGTCTAGATTGAACCCGTGCCAAATCCTGTCTGATTATCCATCAGTGCCTGTTCCTGAGTCGCAGAGAAGGCAGTACGAAAAAGTGTACATTGAATCAATGAAGGCACGGAAACAGCAACAATCACAGCAGAAAAGAAAAAGCGGCAACAGTCATCATCAAAGCCAAGGTAGAGAAGACGGCTTGCCATCGGTACCTACGCTTCCTCGTACGCCTCCGTCGCCTCCGTCGCCTCCGCCTACATATGAATCGCTTCGAGACTGTCTAACGGGCATGTCGATGACGCTAGAAGAACTGAAGGCCTTTCAACTGCAGGCAAGGTCTGTGGCGAACAGCCTCAACCATTTGAGACGAAGTGAACAATTTGCCAGAGCTACCGAAGTGGCTGTTGCTCTCGAAGGCATGATCCGTTCTTTACATCTGTTGCAATTAAGCACGGATGCAAGTAAATGCAGCAACAGTGACAGTAGACATCATCGCAGCTCTTCGTTCTTTTTTATTATGTTTGGTTTGATCACTTTGGGACATGAAAGTCTTTATGCACCAGCTGAGGTGCGCCAACAGATATTCTATCAGTACAAATTTGGTAGAAGACTCATACTTGAAATGTCCACTGCATTAAAGAATTTTGAATCCACTCCTGTCAACGCTTCTATTCATAGTAGTAGTTATGGTAGTTATTATTCTTCACCATCACTGTACTCTTCCGCTACTTCGACTATCGCCTCTTCCATGACGATCAATGGAGAGGCCGAAGGGTATCTTTATTGGTGGTCTTCTTTATACGAGGACGAAGACTGGCTGTCCTATCTACAAGATGTTTGCTCGAAATTGGTAAAATATGATATTACTTGGGAATACAGAAGAGAATATCAAGATGTCGTGCAAATTGCTGAGCGTTATTTTCAGACTCAAAGACATCATCGTAACATTCTTTAACATTTGAAGAGAGCAATGGGGGTCACCTATTTATAAATAGCATGCAAATAAAGTTATACTTTTTTGCCGCTTCTACTCTTATCAGTGCTCCCCTCCCTCCGCACCCCCCCGCGCATTCGTTTCTTATCACCTTCCTATGATACATATACTTACATTATCATATATGCTACTATTTCTTTTTTTTGTTGATCCTACTTGCATACAGCACCTTATCATTTTCTTTACGCATGCGCGCAAATTTAAGTAATAAATTCTCTCTCTCTTTACTCTTTGGCGCCAAATCTGATAAAAATGGTGTGATTTCTTCTGCAGACCAAAATTCTTTTGCCCCAAACAATACTGCAAATCGTCGTGCTGGATCCATCGGTAATGCAGATACCGGGAAATAGCTTATATGTTGCTCCACTTTTTGAACTTTGGTAATTTCTGTCAGCTTGTAAAGACCTTCGATGTACTCCAGCTTAGGCTCAAATAGATTAAGACTCAATGTCTTCCACATTTTCATAAAGTAAGATAGCTCCCAATTTTCATAACTTTTGTTTTGAGCATCGATAAGCAACCATTCACCCAAAAAGCGACACACTTTAGCTTCGTCGAATCGAACGACAGTGTCATCATGGTTGTCTTTGGTTCCAATCTTGTCCGTGACAAAATGGTTGATACAGGCCAAGAGAATCGGATCAGAGAGATCCTCATCTTCTATTAATCCTTGCATTCGTAATCCTTGTCTTTCTTCTGTTATACACTGTTTGACCTCTCCAAGAGTGATATGCTGAAGATCTTTACTGTGAAAACTGGCATTGGTAAAAAAAGCGTCCAGTAAACCTAACAGATAATCTCTATCAAACATGCGCATATAACCTCCGTATCCAAATACACTCTTTTGTTCTAATCCATCAATGAGTTCACTTTCACTTGCTTGAACAACGGATAAAATATCGTTATATGTGTATAATTTCTGCTTTATTTTAAAGAAAATAAAAAATAGAATGAATAAATGAGTTTCGTTATCGTCGCTGATTCAGTCCTTACCGTATGATCATAATTGCTGTCTTTCTTTGTTCCTGCATAAGGTGCCTGCATTAATAATTCATCAATTCGATTCAAGCGTGGTATAGTAGGTGCAAGCTCAACATAGTTGGAAATATCGTCATGCACCAAATACTGATCAACATCATCGATCGTTTCTTCATTTTTCGAGATCAGTAGCATAGAATTTGATGTATGCACTTGTCGAACTTGGTAAGTTCGTGCATTGGTACAAAGGACTGCTTCTTCATCGGGCAGGCCTTTTATGAATACACTATCGTTCGCAACAGGATGAGTATTCTTTCTACCATTTGCATAAGTAAGCCATTCCAACTCTACCTTTGGCCTCCTGGTTTAAAAACTTCTTGTAATTCAGGTGTAGCAAGTTCTAACAACTGATATTCACCTTTTTCAAAGTCGCTACTGTAAATAAGATTTGACGTTGCTGTTGATTCCATGGAATTGAAGGTAGTGCTGACAAAAAAAAAAAGAAAAAAAAAAAAACCAAAAACACGATGGATGGATTTTCTAGATACTATTTGATGCGCGCGGTAAACAGTAATGACGCGGTTCTCAAAAATGTCTCTGCCATTTTCGGCATCTTCGTGTAGTTGATAAAATTGACCCTGCTTCCAACTCCAGATCAACAGCCGTTTACTGCTCTGACTTCAACGCGATATAGCCATTTATCACGTAACAGTTAAACCATGCCTTATTCAAACCTCTCTTTACAAAAATCCAATGCGCCCATCCCACACACACTGTATTTTAGGTTGACTATTTGTCCCTTATTGTTTCAAAAATTAAAAAAAAAAAACGCTTTCATGTTTAAAATGACTGAAGTTTATCCATTGGCCTACAACACGCTTGCATTGCTAGTATTTGAGCTAATGATGATAAATACACCTTTTGCTCATCATTGGGTCATCGGTCAACCCAGCCTTTCTACTGTTCGGCGAAACCTCATAGAGCTACTGTAGCACGTCTGCCTTTCTAATGTATTCTTTAAATTGTGTAATTCCTACACCAAATCTACACACATTAGCATAAGACTCGGCTTTTTATTGGATGTCACAAACATCTGGAGTTGGATTTGAAAAAATGGAAAAGTCAGAAACGACAGAAAAAATCTTAGAATGGATAGCTGATGGAACGTTCGATTGCGCTAAAAAAGCTATTGGCTGATCTGCTCAGAAATCATACCCGGAAAAGGACCAGATTTGGCAAATATGGGGTCTTAGTATTTTTTTGTAACTTGGATCACAACACAGGCTAACCATAGTGTAGTACATGTTAGAATGACACGCTAAAAGAATTTCATATTTGCTTATGTACCTACTGCAGTCAGATCATTGGAGTCCCATCACTTTGGTGAGTATTATCCAACGCAATAGAACAACTATGAAATGACCTGGTCTGTGGATTTTTGTAACCTCGAATAGCTTCGATCCTATTGCTTGTTTTTGATTCATAAAAGCGTTTTGCCGAGTTTATTCTGTTTTCTTTTTTTTTAATATTTTTTTTTTTTTTTTTTTCTTTTGTGTGATCTGGGTTTTCTATACTGGAGAAGCCGTGATAAATATAAAGGTAGCCTAATCACCAGTAAAGTTCGATTGTTTTGTTTTTTGTTCCCGTTTTCTTCACGTCTCGCTAGAACAACCATTGATCTCTTCATACGTTTTGTCAATGGAAAAGAACAATCAGCAACACAGTACAGAAATTACTTTTGACACGCGAACCAATCTTACGCCCAATGATAAAGACTGTTTTCAGATAACCCACAATGAAAAGAGTGCCAACGGCAGAGAACCATCGATCGCTGCGACTTCTGTCAGCGACACAACCACCCAAGCCATCGATAGTAAATCATTGCTTCAGAAAGTGCTGATGAGAAAAAGAAACCTTATACGCCGAGATTCCTTCAGAAGGAACAGAGATTCAAATGCGGCAGCACAGCAACAAGGTCCGCCTTATCATACAATGAAAACAGAAACAGTGGCTCAATTATTGAAGTCCGATTTGCAAAATGGTCTGCAGGAAGCTGTCATCGACGAAAGACGTACTCAATACGGCTGGAATGAGATGGAAGGCGAAGGTGGTGTCAATCCCTTCAAATTACTCTTGAAACAATTCTTTAATATCCTGGTCTTGATCTTGGTCGTTGCCATGGTCGTTTCTTTTGTTTTTAAAGACTGGGTTGAAGGTGGTGTGATCGCCTTCATTATGGTGTTGAATGCAGCTATTGGCTTTGCACAAGAATATAAAGCAGAGCGTACAATGGAGTGCTTAAGACAAATGGCATCCCCCACAGCACAGGTGATCCGTGATGGACATTCAAAAACAATTGCTACACGTGAGCTTATTCCTGGCGACGTCATTCTTTTGAAAAATGGAGACGTGGTGGGTGCTGATTGCCGTATTATCGAAGCTTTTAATGTCGATATGGACGAAGCATTATTAACAGGTGAATCTGTACCTGTTAGTAAAGTGTAAGTTTTCTATCTATTTTGTTTTGTTTTTTTTTTTTTTTTTTTTTTTTTTTTTAAAAGAAAATGGAATTATATGAACATCGGACCCGGTTGACGCTCCCTTTTTTTTTAACGTATTTCTTCTAGTAACGATGTATTGGAATCTGCTGATATTCCATTAGGTGATCGCATCAATATGGCCTATTCAAGTACCACATTATCCAAAGGTCGCGCCAAAGCGTTGGTGACATCTATTGGCATGCAAACAGAGATTGGTAAAATTGCTAAACGTCTTATGGACAGCGGTGATAATGCACGAACACCTCTGCAAAAATCATTGGATCGTATGGCCATTGTACTTTTAGTGGTCGCCATTATATCCTTGCTCATCGTCTTTGGTGTTGCTAGATTTCAATTGGACGACCAAGTCATTCTCTACGGTATCTCTACAGCTATTGCTGTTATTCCAGAAGGCTTAATTGCTGTTGTTACTTTAACTCAAGCATTTGGTGTGAATGCAATGGCTAAGGCCAATGCTCTTGTGCGTCGTTTAGTGGCTTTGGAAAATCTCGGTTCGATCACTAATATCTGTTCTGATAAAACAGGTACTTTAACCCAATCAAAAATGGTGTTGACTCAGTTCTGGAGACCCGACACTGGTTTCCACAGGGTCTCAGGCCTTGGTTTTGATATTCAAGGTGAAATTACGCGTTCTTCTGAGAAAGATGTTGCCTCTGCTGAGAAAAGGGTAGTGAGTAAGGACATGATGGAGGAAGGTTTACAGCAATTGGTGCGTGCTGCGGCACTTTGCAACATGAGCGAACTGCGTCAAGATAAAGAAAATGGAAAGGATTGGTATGGCATCGGCGATCCCACAGAAATTGCTTTACAGGTATTTGCTCATAAGGCAAAGATGGGAAAACCTGCCTTGGCCGATGCAGGTTGGAAGTTAACAGCAGAATATCCCTTTGACTCGTCTATCAAACGAATGACGGTACTTTGCCAAAAACCAAATGACGAAGCCAATACGACAGCCACTCCTGGTTACATTGCTTTCATGAAAGGTGCTACTGAACGTGTTCTGCAATGCTGTGTGGGTGCTCATCTTTCTGACAAAGTGGGAATCCAACATATGACGCAAGAGGAACTTCAACAGCTTGTCTTACCTCAAGTGGAAGAACTGGCGAAAGGTGGTTTACGGGTTCTCTCTTTAGCTGCTCGCTACATTCCTCAAAAGATGGTGGATGCCGATCCTTCTTCCCAACCCACACGTGAAGACGTTGAACAAGAACTCATTTTCTTGGGTCTCGTTGGTATTTACGATCCTCCTCGAGAGGCGTCTAAATCTGCTGTCGAAAAATGTCATCAAGCAGGCATTACCGTTCATATGCTTACGGGTGATCATATCGCCACTGCTACTGCCATTGCTCGTGAAGTCAGTATCATTCCATCGGAAGGGGATGTGAGTCATTTAGTGATGTCTGCTCAAACCTTTGACAAGATGTCCGAAGAAAGTATTGATCAACTTGAAAATCTTCCGTTGGTTATTGCTCGCTGTAGTCCTGATACGAAAGTCAAAATGATTGAAGCACTCCATCGACGTAAACGCATTGCTGCTATGACTGGTGATGGTGTGAATGATAGTCCGTCCTTAAAGGAGTCAGACGTCGGCATTGCTATGGGTCAAGGGGGCTCGGATGTCGCCAAACAAGCGTCAGATATCATTTTGGTGGACGATAACTTTGCAACCATCGTAGCTGCCATTGAAGAAGGACGACGTGTGTTTACAAACATTTCCAAGTTTGTCGTTCATATGGTCTCCGTGAACGTTGCAGAGTTGACACCTCTGCTCTTGTGCTTAGTGTTCCGTGAAGGCCACAATATTGTCTTTCCTCTTTCGCCTATTCAAATTCTCTTTAACAATTTAGTAACAAGTGCACCGCCTGCTATGGCTTTGGGTCTGGAGCCTGTCCATCCTAGGCAAATGCAAGTTCCACCTCGAACAGATAAAGAATCACTCTTTTGTTATCGTAATATTCTTGATATTCTCTACTATGGTGTTATGATGGGTCTGATTTGTATGGCAAACTATGCTATTGTTATCTATGCTGCTGGCAGCGGAAGCCTTGGCCATGATTGCAACAAAACTTTGAATGACACTTGTGTAGATGTCTACCGCGCAAGAGGTGCTTTGTTTGTTACTATGACTGTTTTGCTCTTGCTTCATGCTCAAACCTGTCGTGATCTTGTCCATTCAACTTGGACTTGGAAGGGCTTCACTCACCAACAAAACTACTATATGTTTGCTTCTTGGGCATTCGGTTTTGCAATTATGTTTATTGTGCTCTATGTTCCCGTTATCAATACTAGCGTTTTCAAGCACCTTCCTATCACTTGGGAGTGGGGTATGGTGGCTGCTTCTACTGTTGTGTACATAGTACTTGCTGAGGGATACAAGCTTCTCATGAGAAAAGCTTTTCCAAAAAAACACTAGATAATGGGTAGACAATTTTTGTACTTTTTTTACAACAATCAGCGATATACCACTTGTACCATATATGGATAGTTTCTACCTTTAATTGTAATAAATACATATGCTGAATTTTGTAATAAAACTGATAGGGCATTGTCCATTTTGCATTTATACTTTTGTTGGTTATTTTCAAGCAATCGAAATCATTAAGAACAATGACGCCTGCTCCTTCGCTTCTAGAAATGTTAAAGAGCGCTAAAAGTTGCAGTTTATAGTTTACTAAATTTAACAGTTGACGCCTCTCGCAAACCTGTGAAAGTAAATGAGATAATGTCGGTTGCTAACGCAGAGCATCTTGGGGATGCACCCGAAGCTTTGGAATGAGAGCTGTTGCAACGTCCGGATATACTCTATCCTAGAATCCGTTCCTGAAAATTCCTGAGTTTCAATTTTATTAACGAGCAATAAAAACTTGGATCAATCTGGAGAAGATTCTTCAGGCATCATCGTTTCTGTCAGGAATAAATAACACAGCTGACGATATATTCTTCAAATATAACATAAAAGAATATTAAAACTGCGTGCATATAGTTCGTATTATAACGTTAAAATTACATAGAAGCTTCTGGGTCTTTTGATGACGACCAATCTTAGTCCAGAAACAGATTCAGAAAACAGATCAGCCAACACATCATCTCAGGATCTTCATCTTTGTGCACAATGTCAGAATCCTGCAGTTTATATTTGCAAGCCATGTGGCTTAAATGGACCAAGATACTGTTCGGATATATGCCAGAAGAAGCATTGGAAAATAAAACATTACAGAACTTGTGTGGCGGCAATAAGAAATAGACAAAGACAAACGAGTTGGGTAGCTGCTCCGACAACAACATTAACAACAGAACAATCAGGTGCAGACAGAAGTAATAGCAGACTATTACCAAGTATGACAGTACACTCAAGTAATAAGTACAAATCAATTTCTTTTTTCTCATTAGGCAGTGATGTGCGTTCCAAGCTTCCCAGATCAAAATGGAACTGACAGATCTCTATCTATAAATCATTTGTACACTTAGGCGAGGATATACCATTGAATGACTTACGATCAACAAACAGACCAACAATCCATAGAACTGCAAACCAAGAAATCAATAATGGAGATGAAGGACTTGGCAATGAATCAATGGCGGATGAGCTTCGTTTTTATACAAATCAAATCTATCGAATTATTAAGCCTGTGGTTGCTTGTATAATATTAAGTATCTTTTGGGTTAAGGTTGCATTTGATGGCCAAAGTGACTATACGTAAGAGATCGAGGAAAAGATTATACAAACAGATGGGATTCTAACCTACTCTTTCAACTTGCTTCTCTGTTTCTCTCTCTCTCATAGTCCAACCCGTCCCAACTATGTAAACGTGCCGAGCTCTTCTCCGGGTAGTACTTCTGGATCAAGCACGGGAGTATCGAGTGATAATGATGGTCGTCCTGTGAACTTGACTTCTTCATTTACAAATGCGGCCATCATTATTGGACAGATTATTGCCGTCACCATTATTATCGTGTTTCTGTTCAAGAAGGGGTGGATAAAAGTTTTGATAGGATTCTTCATGGTTGTTGTTTCGATGTTGTTGGGCTTCATGTCTTATATACTCATTCTGTAAGTGTTTGCTCAGTAAAACAAAAAAAAAAAAAAAACCGTAATCGTAGTTGTCTGCTCACACTTTGGAAATTATATCTATTGTTGGATATTTAAGCAATCTGATACAAGTATTCTTTATACCATTGGACTATATCACTATGGTCTTTGCTTTATGGAACTTTGCTATCGTAGGATTAGTATCTATTTTTTGGAAGGGCCCTTTATGGTTACAGCAAACGTATTTAACTTTGATGAGCTCCCTGATGGCTTTTTCTTTGACGTCGCTGGAACAATGGACAACTTGGATTTTATTGGGGTTGCTTGCTATATGGGATCTCATCGCTGTTTTATGTCCGTTTGGTCCATTAAAAATGCTTATTGAGAGTTCAAAGAAACAACAACGTGAAGTGCCTGCACTTTTATACTCGGTAAATGCTGTTTGGTTTATGGCAGCCACGCATGATCACTTTAAACTGTCTGATAGTATTATATCATCAACATCAGCCATCTCCTTAAATAGTGATGCGTTATCTACAAAACTCTTGCGCGATGAGCAGCACCAGCAAAGCAACAATTTTATTGTAGAGTGTCAGCAACATGCTAGCAATAATAGAATGAGTCGTGATGGATTTATAAGACTACCTGATAATAGTAACACATCAATAGAGAACAACCCTTTTGCGACCCAGCATAGTCTAAACGACATGCTTCACGAAAATGACTCAATAGCAACGACAAATCAAGCACAGCCTAGGGAAGATGAAAACAGAGAAGAGAGAAGACAAGCAGAAGAAGTAAATGATGATTATGATGAGGACGCCGAGCGAACAGGTCTCAAGTTAGGCCTAGGGGATTTTGTATTTTATAGTGTCCTGATTGCGCGAGCAGCCATGTATGATTGGATCACTACCATTTGTTGTACAGTAGCAGTATTGACGGGCTTAACGGCGACTATTTTCTTACTGGCAATTTTCAAAAAAGCCTTACCTGCATTGCCCATTTCTATTGCTTTTGGTATATTGTATTACTTTGTTGGAAAAACCGTTTTGGTGCCTTATGTGAGGACTCTTTGCGTCTTTGATATGATTGGATTATAATGTTTGCTTTTTTTCTTTACGTATAAGTAAATACAAATTTCTATACATGCCACTTCTTGGATTTATATCAATATGACAGTTTATTGCACGTTTGGCGTAACAATTTCAAATAATAGAATAATCGAAATAGTAGTTCCAAGTAAAGGGAACCATACTTTAGTATCTTAGTAAATGGTACTGTAAGGGTAGATTGTTTGTATATGTATATATGTATGCTTCAAGGTAAGTGATAGTTTTTACAAGACTATATATGTACGGTAGATCCATACTCATATGCGTCAAGTTATATATTAGTGTTAATTAAAACAGATGTTGAAGAGGTTTCAAAAAGTACCAGCTGCAGTCGTTGCAGAATTATTATTGTTGTTATTGTTAATAAGATCATTCGGGAAAGCGGAATTTGGTGTTATTCGCAAAAATGCGGAAGTGTGCTGCTTCATTGTTGTTCTTGACTTTGCGTTTTCTTGAATTGATCTTTTTGCTGTAGTTCCGTCAGTTGATGAAGACTCGTCATAATGGTGCTGATTGTATTTGGAAGCTTCATCTGAGGAAGATAACTGTAAAGTAGTTGCTGTCGGTGAATGTGATCCCGTTCTCAGTGACTCTCTAACGCTGCTATTGTTATTATTTGTTGTTGCTGTTGTTATTGTTGTTCTTACAGATGACATATCTCGGAACACTTTAATTTTAGGTTGAGAAAATAGGCTCAATTTGTTACTGTCACCACTATCATCATTCAATAGATTTCGGATAGCTGCGGGCATCCTTGAAGATGTTGTAGAGGAAGGCGAAGACGAAGACTCATGATTACTTGGTTGCAATGGAGGAAGCCGATAGTCGCTACTGCTAGCAGTCATAGAAGAAGTTGCGGTTGAGCGCTGTGCTGCTGACGATGATGAAGGCAGATCCGAAAGCATCTGTTGTTGACGGTGATGGTATTGCTGGTAATACTCATCATGATACCCGTGACCGGAATCTTCTTGGATTGTTCTTTTGTGGTAATCACCGTGCCTTGTCCTACGTTGTTCATACTCGTTCGGATTATAATCCTCGTCTTCAGTAGGTCGCTGTCTCTTTTGGGCATAAGAAACATGCACTCTTGGAGCAGTTTCACATGAAGGTACTACCTTATTGGAGGATGAATCGTTGCCATGATGAAGTGTATAAGCGTTGGAATCAAGGAACTTCGGGTGTGTTGCTAATGCTTTGTTCGTCGTCGGTAAAGTCACGGAAGTAGTGAGCGTGGAGCAGGTGTTTGTTTGCTTTTGTTGAAATTGTTGATGTTGAGAATCAAAAAAACGAAATTCGCTATTGCTCGAACTGATCATTGCTCGTAGAATATTTTCAATTGCACATAGTCTCTCCTCGATAGATTGGATATAATTATTATTGCTATTAGCACTACTATATCTATAACTATCAAGAATGCTATTGGCAGTGGTTGGCTTAATAGTTAATATACTTGCATGATGATGATCATCTGCAATTCTTGTTTGTTGAGCTATTGATGCATTGTAAGCAGAAGTGTTGGAGTAAGCCGACAAAACAGTACTGGTAACTAGCGGTGGTGATGGTTGAGCGACTCCCGCTTCGTTGTTTCTGCTGCGCTGCGAAGCGCTGTTGTTGGCTTGATTAATTTTATAATTGTTGACATAGATACACTCTATATCAGCTTTTATACAAGTAGCACATGGCCTTTCTCCATTACACTTGGTCTTTTTCCTACGACAACCTCCACAAGCGCTGACTACTTTAAGCCTCTTGCGTTTGATAAGTTTATCCGTACCGTCAACAATTTGTGCAGTCTTGTTAGAATTCATGATATAGGACGATTCGAGAAAGAAAATAGATAGCTGAGCAGCTGTGCATGAACACGAAGATAGAATGAAAGATAAAGGATCAAAAGAGAAAGTTACGACCTAAATGTAAGACTGTTCTTATTTTTAAAGGGAAGAAAAAAGCGAAAGAAAAAAAGTAAGGAGATGCATTCCAAACCAGAGACTTCATGATCTCTTCTCTTTTGCCTGTCTCTCTTCGTATTTCAAAAATACCGCACGGATTTCTTTTGTAACTTTTTCAACTAAGCGAAAAAGGAGAAATAGTGAAGCACGTTGTCATCAAATAAAATGCAATGGTCTATGATACAATGGTTTTTAAAAATCTCAAATTGCCTTTGTATTTCCATGGAAGAAAACACCATATTACAAAAGTCTCGTGCAAACTGTCTAAGTTTAGGTTAAATCGGGTCCGCTAGCACGATATGCTTTCTCTTTCTATTCTTACTCTGTGTACCTCGCGCCACATAAACATGCAAATAGGCAGGGTCTACTCTTATTCATGAATTTGGGCGCGAATTAAAGGGCAACTCCATGTCTTTCCAAGGAAATGATCGACAACCGACTTTCCTATTTTTTTTTTGTTTTTTTCTTTCTCTTTTATATGGTTGGTGCTTTATTTACTTCATAAATGAGAATAAATAAAGGTCAAATCCAACTTTTATACCGACTAGTACTTCTCTGAACATCCAAGCAAAAAAGAAAAAAATCAACCTTGCATCATTTGTGTATGTTTATATCAACGTAAGAGAATTAGACAGATTTAGGAAAAAACAATTTCGGGAGTAAGACGGAAAGATACACAATACATATCCTTTTTTGGGGCCACTGTACGGACCCAATGCAGTTTGAAGTGATTAGCATCGGTTGGACACCCGATAATTTGGTTTATACGCTAGCAATTCGGGTTGATAAATATCAAATGTGCGGTTAACTAAGTGCATTGTATTCTTTGCTTCCTTCATATTGACATTCTTATTTCCATTTCCATCCCCATACCTGTGTGATATCATCTGTGGGATCAGAGCTTCTCGTAAAACAATAGCAATGAATCAGCGGGAGCTTATTTGGCTCCATCGTAGTCGCTCTTTCTCGATATAAGCCCTTAAATGTGTCTTGATTATTTATGATTTGGATATACTGGAATCAGCTGACGTCTAAGTTAAACAATGACAATTATGCCTCCTTACCTAAAAACTCGATTGCAGTCGCAGGTAAATTCATAATGAAATGATTAAATGTATGTCCAGTTTCGATATAAAGATCATCCACTGCTTGTCTTATGAAATCCCGTCCATCCAGATTGAACGTTTTAATGTTATCTGATGAGATCTGTATTATTATACAGTACGGAAGAAATAGACAAAGTATTAAATTATATAAGGATCTCTATCATGCTGTGTAACTATCACCATCGTCATGTTTAGGTTTCCCCAAACTTTTACCTTATTTAACTTGACATTTTCGGATAGCCACTGAAAGGAAGAAGGATTAAGATCATTTGCATAGACGTAAGCACCTTTTTTTGCAGCAGGAATTGCAAATGGTCCTACGCCTGCCATCACATCACCTTCATAGTTTAAGCAGTTTTTTGCCCTGTAAGTTATGAATTGACACATTTCCATAATGATAAGTATTTCATAGTGGGTTGCTTACATATGTAATCTCCTTTTTTAAATAAACCGATAAGCCGACGGTGCTCAGCTTGCAAGCGAGAGTTCCAGTAAACTTTGGAAAAGTCAAATTTGAATCGACACTCGTTTTCTTTCTACATAAAATAGCATTTAAAAAAATATAGTATAGATCATGCTTCTACCCTTACTGCCGTTTACAATTTACCAGTTCTGTGATCATATTTCGATCCCCTGCTAAGATCTCCATCTCAAAATTTCGATATGTATTGTCGATAGTGCTGGTCTTATTTACAACGCTCTTGATTTTTTTGTTTTTCTACTTAATTTAATATTTTTTTAATCCATAAATTTGTCCGATGTAAAGTATTTAGAATTTTTTTTTTTTTTTTTTTTTTTGCCTTACATCGAGTATCACTTGGGCTATTAGTGATTTATAAGGTGCATTCTCTTCCTTCAGGTTCACATGCGCTAAATAGAGCAGAAGCGACAAGGAGTGGTATGTAAGAAAATTATAGGTAGTTTGGACATTAGAATGCATATCGTACCTATATGTCCTGTTACAGTATAAGAGGAAGGTGCTTCCGCATCGCCTTCCAGCATTACAGACGACAAGATCTGCTCTGTTGTCCAATAGTCATAGCTCAAGTCGAAAGTATATGAAACTATGTCATGGTCTTTTATCAATAGGAATTGTTCGTTTGAGAGGTCTTCTTTAACATCTGAGCGAATTTTGTGTTAAAGAAAAAAAGCAGTTCGTAGAAAGATGACACGATCAGATACCATCCTGATTACTTTTCTTAAACTCAGATTCTATATATTGTACCTTTTACATGAAGACTCAACAGAATCAATTTTGTATCTGTTGCAGCATTATTGTCTGACACAACATTATGTAATCGTGGCTGATTCAATAAGACACTATTGATGAAGATATGGATGTATTAAAGAAGGATGGCAGTCTGTCAATTTCCAGAGTTTGAATCATAAAGAAACAGAAGAAAATATGTCAACTTGATATCCAAGTTGTACTTTATTTACTCGTTCAAAGCGATGGTGATTTGCTTGACAAGCGATGCCGAAACACGGACAGCCAGAGTTGTAAATGTTTTCTTAAAAGCATCTCTGTCAAGTATCCTCATGTCTTTATTTTGTGGTGGTGATAAGCTCATTTTATTACTCTTTATTGTTATAGTTATGTATTCTCGTTGAAAGCAGCAGTATTGGGAAAAGAAAAATCAGGTACAATTTTTCTTGATGTACTGTGACCTTTCAATAACCGAACTTTTCTTTCATAACGGTCACTTGTTCCCAAAAAATTTTTTTTGAAGCCTTTAAGTTTTCGCGTTAAGGACTTCTTCATTGGCACTTCTTTCTTTCTTTTTCTAATATATGGAACGGATGCTCGCAACAGATCATAGTTTAAGGTAATTGAACAATTTCTTTTGATTATGTCAAAAGGTGGAATAGTGATGAAAGTTAAAAATGTATCACACTGAAAATCTTGAAACTACCAAATGGGTAGTTCTTGAAATGTAATCTTCTCTCTGAGTTCCACTCTTTGACAACTATCATGTATATTTGTTTTCCATGCTATGGAGGTATTAATCATTCTTTCCATTTTACATTACTTAGATCTCTATGACTGCCATTCTGATGAACTTCTTATACCATTCTATTTATTATAACTATCTCTGAATAAACTGACAATTTTTACAAATTGCACATAAAACTGGTCCCCTTCAAGTTTTGTTGCTCCATTTCAAACTGTAATATAAAACTCTTATCAGTTTATTACTCCAGCAATAGTAAAACTATCCCTTGTTGGCTCATCTACAATGCTTTTAAAAAAAAAGTGGGTCTGAAACCTGACAATGATAGCCTGTTATTGTAAACCTATATTTCACTATCTCAATCGGAAAAAACCAGATCTATATTTAAGTAAGGCATATGTCATAACAACCGCTTTGAGCCTTAGTAAATGCAGCAACTAAACCACCAGACGTTAGATGTTAGACACTACAAACAGGCTGTAGGTTCCAATATGCGGAAGATAGAATACTTCGAAGTTTAATAACACTACTATTATCTATGCACTACAATAGCTTTTATCATTACATCAGTTTCCATAGTACTAACTGTTCAATGAGAGCTTTCAGTCGTCTGCAATTTTGCAGTGTTTCACGTTTATCCAGGTTACTTCAATAAACGTTCAATGTTTGAATTTTTCAAAGACTGAAATCGGTTAAAGATAGAACGCTTGCGCATATTATAGACGTTTGATTGACACTTCGTTTCGTTGAAAATATCTAAGAGTAGATGTAACGAATTTTCCTACTACCTAGATTGTTGTTCCAAACGCATATCAAAGTTACCAAAGGTACAAAGTCTATGATATCAATTTGATCAGTATTGGGATTCAATTACAAATCTACTTCTCGATTTTATGAGAAAAAGCATCAACAAAAACTACAGCAGCTGTTATTTGTCCAAACAGCTAACCGCCAGTGCAAAATTATGAGTGAACCGCCGGTGCATCAAAACTGAACGACATGACCATTCATCTACTCCATTGAGAAAACGCTATTGATCATTGATTATCTCTTTATACGGACTGGACAGCATCGCGTTGCTACAACTGAACAATACAGCTATGAGGTGAAAAATAGTCGATGAAAAACCAACGAATCGGTGCAAGATGTACTTTGTACGATAGTGTGAAAGACTTGGAAATCATTTACCTCTTTCATGTGGGCCCAGCAGCAAGGGGACTCCCAAGACTGCTCGTAAAGCTGTTGAGGCATAGACTCCACTAGTTGCTCAGATGCGGAGGTATATTCGTACATTCTGCTCCGTGATGAGTTGAGTCTGAATTGATTACAGAGAATTAAACATTTTTTTGTCTTTTTTGTTTCCCCACATTGCATAAACTGCATTAAATTTGAAGTAGACTCACGAATGAGCCAAAGTGTCAAGTGCTCGTCATCACCACGTTCGTTGAGAAGAGAATCGAAAATCGACTATGATGCTGAACAAACAGTAAGTTGTTACATAAGATGTTATTCAGAGATTAACATGTTTGCTAATCAATACGACATCTGAATCTTTTGGGCTGTCTATAGCTTTTTGGACAAGTAACTGTTTTTAAAAAATGGCTTGGTTTGATCCACAGCAAAAGCATACATCATGAGGAATACTACACTCCTATACCATATGAGTTGATTGGTAAAGCCAGCATTCACAATTAAGCTGCTTCTATTACTCCTACCTTCAAGACCAATCTATTCATGTGCTTTTTCTCATTATTTCTGGGCAGATTCTGCTGCTTCATTCATTGCTAGTTTGATGCATGGCATATCCAGTGATTTGATATTGATGACAACCAATTTAATAGAGACTCGCAGTTACAGAGAAAATGTGAACTTCATTCGCAAAACATTAACAAAAGCTCAAGTTTCTTGTCCTTCGTTAATTTGTAGCCTTTGGTATATTGATCAATTTTATCGAAAACCTTGGTTCAGAACGCAATGGAATCTTAAAGACTTATTTTTAGCTAGCATTGTTGTTGCAGACAAGTATATGTAAGTAATCAATGGGTGTAATATGATAGAAAGCATATATATATATATATGTATATATATAAACTTAATATTGTGTGATGGTTCATTTTAGAGCGGATGCTACTTGGATCAATTCAGATTGGGCAGAATGGACACATTTTACTTACTCCACTGACAAAATCAACCAGTTAGAAAAACGATTTCTAAGAGATCTGGATTACAAACTCTATATACCAGAAGTTAGTTATAGTAACTTTGTAAGCTATTTAGAATTTCGCCTTCATTCGCGACAGCTGTTGGGCGACAATGTATTGCTTCTCTCTTATCGCAATATCGATGTGTTGAGTCAGTCTTTGAACCCTATCTATGTGAAAAGACTCCAACTGAATTTACGGCCCTTTGAAGCAATGATATTACTTGTAAAGCAATCAATTTATATTCTCGCTATGTATGCAACTGCCTTGGCAACCATCGCCTCTACTGGATACATTCTATTGCACTCTAATATTCAGGAATTTTTCAACATGTTGCTCAAGGGAAGAGAAGACGATATAGCTATGGTGGTGTTGACAGGTATCGAGTTTTATAAAGTTGAACTGTCCACCACAGTACCTACGTCAACACTAAGATCAGCGACAAAGCCACCCTATCATGCTAATAGTAGCTTAATCAAGGCCTAGTCTATGCGCATTGTAGGTACCTTAGCTTCTGCAAGCTTACGTGCTAAAGTCAGTAATCCTCCTGTTTCTCGTGCAACAAAGAATTTCACATGGCAAATCACACAAATTGCTAAATTAAATTTTTTAGGCACTAGATTCTCGTTCTCTCAATTTCATTTCTTCTTTCTCTCTTCCCTCATGTAAAAAAAGCAAGCTGAATGTCGAAAAGGAAAAATAAAACCTCAGAAGTTATTGATAAATGGACTACTGCTATAAACAATTATTCACCCATCAATGTCACATTTCTCACTCATCCCATCAATAAAGCACTTAATGAGCGAATACGATCTCTTGAAACCCTATATGAGAAATCCTCAGTGTACCGCTTTCTCATCAGACAAGGTGTGCATCCTTTGTTGCTATTTATAACCGTTAGTACCTCTATTGGTTATGGGTTGCAGCGTTCTTATCAAAAATCAAGCAAGCTGGTACTCCAACTTGTCGGTGTAGTTTATCCTACTTATTGTTGCTGGAAATTACTCAAAGGCAATAAGGCAGCAATAGGAAGTCATTGTAATGGTAGTAGTATTACGCACACGGACAAAAATGAACAGTTGATGTCCTGGTTAACTTATTGGGTGATATTTGGTGCCTTTCAAGGTTTGAATGAAAAGAAATGAAAACCAACAATAAATGCACTGTTTGTAGCAGAAAAGCTAACATTAAAGTATTTATCTTGAAAGTGCTGGATCACTTGATGCTTTCAGATTTATTTCTGCTCCCAGCAAAAAAAAAGTACAACTTGTATAAATTATTCACACTCTACTGGGCACAAAATCCTCACTCAAAGGGTGCTTATCTACTATATAAGTATGTGATTCAAAAGCCACCAGTACACACATCGAAGGAATCCTCCTCTTCAACCCTGACGTCCAGCTTTGATAGAGAGTTCAAGCAGATATTGACCGAAAGCAATGAGGATTTAAGAGCGCAACCAACAGTTTTGGCTAAAACCGAAGAAGAAAAGCATAATGAATTGAGTATTTATATACACCGAGATGAAAGGCCGTCAGTAAACAGTTATCGATATTTGGATGGGTTTGAGCCACCCAATTTGTATAGTGACAATCGAAATATCAGTAATGATAATAGCAGTAGCAGTAGCAGTAGCAGTAGTAGTAACAGTACCAGTAGTGTAGATACTATTGATTCTGCCAGTTCCAAGCAATATTCTACATCCCATAGTCTTACAGCGAAGGAAGAAGAGGTAGTTATAGCAAAAATTAGATTGATATAGAAAGCAAGGTTGTCTGTCATTCATACTAATTTCCTTGCACGTGCGTAGACCTTTTCTTCATTAGTAACGTCAGCAGAAGCTGCATGGACTTAGTACAGCTTTTTTTCAACAGAGTTAGCACAAATATAGTAATCAAGTTTAATCATATCCTCTCAACGACACCTCAGTGTGGCTATAAAATGCCTCTATTCTCTATTGAATTCTATTACAACAATTATACACGCTATATCCTTTATACTTTCTATAACCTTACTTATGTATATCAATGATTATAAAATCACCTCCTTGATATGAATTGAAGACAGTTTGAATTTCACATATTAAAATAAATCTAGAAGATGGAAAAAAAAAGCTACTCTTGTCGTTCCTGAAGTAGGTTACCCCAGAATGGAAGGATCAAATAAAATAAAGGGCAATCTGAGTTACTTTTGAGCATTGTAGGTTTCAAAAGAACAATAGAATTTCTGCTAAAAAAAAAGCGCCTTCGTTCCAGGTAAGGTCTGGACAAATAGGGCTGTATCAGACTATCATAATGTAAATTTAAATGCACTGACAATAAACTCCCCAACAGTCAATCAACAATACCTTGCTTTCTTATCCCCTTGCTTTTTTTCTGTTTGGCCGTATATACATATTTCTCAGTTTCAATAATTTATATGCAGTGTTTGATTTTGTGCAGTTTTTCCGTCATGACTTTTTATCAATCCATGCACTTTTTAGAGTCATGAAAATAGAAGCCTAAGATATTTAAGCTCTTTGTTTTTTTCTAGGAAAAATGCACAAAATAGAAGAGTTATCCAAGGAGATAGAGTTTCGAGTCTACATTTCAAGAATGGAAGGTGTGGAAATAGGCAAGTGATAAACACGCTAAAAATGCAAACTAAAAATCTAAACGCGACAGCCTACAGATATTGTCCCTCCTTTTCTATTTTTTTTTTTTTTTTTTTTTTAACAAAAAAGTTATCATTTTCAAATTGCAAAAAGACAATGATCGTTAAGAACTGTATCAGCGCGCAATTGTAGCGACCATAAGAAGGCTTCAATAGAAGAGACATCTAAAGTGAATGAGCATCCTGTGATAAGCAGAGAAATGTTGGACAGTGCGACCCAAGTTGTATTTGTACGCTGGAATATTTTTTTTCTTTTTGTCGTATTGAAAAAAAAAAAAAAAATAAAAAAAAAAAGGAGAGAAGACTGGACTGGGAATTCATTAAACCTGCAATAAATCAAAAACCTTCCATTCTTAAGTTCTTCTTTTACTTCTTCCAATCCCTTTCGCTTCTATACTCGTTTTTTTAGTTAGTGAAAAGCTGCTACAAGTACTTCTCTTACACTTATCATCGTACTTTTTTCATTCTGTAAATTTTCTGCAAAGACAAGCAAGCAAAAGGATAGAAAAAAGAGAATAAAGAAATTAACATTTTATTCTTATTTTTGGGCAGTTGAAATCATCTATTTATTTGTCCCTGTCTTCGTGTATTTAAAGTCAACAAACAGACGGACACATAGTGGTTAATATTTATTATCGTATTCTACAACTTGTATGGCAGAAATCATCAAAGAGGGTTATATATCTGTAAAAGAAGACGGTCTAAGAGCATGGATTTGGTCGAAAAGGTTCTGCGTCTTACGAGATCAAGCTTTGACCTTTCATCGAAATGAAGTATGTATTGAAATCAGCTTGTATATGGAAATACAATTATGTGTCAAGTTACTTAATTCTTTTCTGATTGTAGCAATCTGGGCAATGCGTTGCTTTAATATTTCTGAAAGAAATCACTTCAGTGACAAGAACTGACTTGAAGCCTTATTGTTTTGAAGTGGCCACAGGAGATAAAACCTACTATCTCGCGTGTAAAAATGATGAAGAACTCTATTCTTGGATGGACGAAATCTATAATGTAATTCAGAAGAGCTTTGAAATGGGAAATTGGCATTGTTCACAAACATAACAAAAAACTGACATTGTATCCTCTTTCTTGTTTCCTACGCCTTGCGAAATTTGTACCTTTGGATAATGTTTTTAGCGATCCACTGTTGGTGTTGGAGCTTCAGTTCCTACAAACTTTGTTCATGAAGTGCACGTTGGCTTCGATCCTAACACTGGTGCCTTTACAGTAAGTTTCTCTTTTCTTCACACACACACACTCTCTCTCTCTTCCACTGTTTGAAAGTTCACGCTTTTTGTGCAACGCATTTATTAGGGTTTACCTGATCAATGGACAAAACTACTCAAAGGGTCAGCCATCACTGCAGAAGATGCGGCCAAAAATCCTCAAGCCGTTTTGGATGTATTAGAATTCTACACGGAACAAACAAGGAAGGAGGCTGAGGAATATGGTACCTCCAATCTCCAGGGTGCAGTGGAAAGAAGAAGTGATGGTCGTTGGGCAGCTTTAGTGAATGACCCTCGTTCAAATCCATCCTCCCCTACTACTCCCACCAGTGCCAACAGGCCATATAACAACAACAACAATTTGCCATCTCAACATCGTCCCGCTCCACCTCGACCTGCCCCACCTCGTCCCGCTCCAGCACCACCTATGATGAATGGTGCTAATGAACAAGACATGAACGAGATGATGGATGAGCTCTCTATAAGAACCCCAAAATCTCCAAAATCGCCCATGGGCCCTCCTTCACCAGGATATCCTAATTTCAACTCTAGTAATAACAATGGCAACAGATACCCACCTAAACCAGAGCCTACCAAGTCATCCACATTATCATCTAGTACGAGTAATAGCAATAACAACAATAGAGTACCTGCTCGAACAACAAGTATATCAGCTTATGATGAACGTATCATGTATGAACGCGAGAAACTAGAAATTGAAATGCGCGAAAGAGAGAGACAGATAAGAGAGCAACAACAAAGACAGCAACATCAAAAATTACGCGAGAAAGAGCAGCAGCAGCAGCAGCAGCAGCAACAGCAGCAGCGATTATTACGTGAACAGCAACAATTACAACGCGAGCGAGAGAAAGAAAGAGAAAGAGAACGTGAAAGAGAAAGAGAAATTCGCGAACGGGAAAGGGAAAAGGCTCAGCAACAAATGTCGAAGAAGAAGGTAGAGCAGCGTATCAGTACAATGTCAGAAGCACAAGTGATGGAAACGCTGAGTAAGTCAAGAATCACAAATTAGGTCTCGGCGGATGTTCAACAGCTTACAACTTGTTTTTTCAAATAGGAAATGTAGTGGCGAAAGGCGATCCTAATGAATCTTACAAAAAACTGAAGCGAGTAGGCCAAGGGTAAGAAAAAAATGACTCTTTCCTATGTGCCAAGAGTCAAATGATTCACCCAACATGTCTGATTTTGATATAGTGCCTCTGGTTCGGTTTATGTTGCTTTGTCTCTGGCAACCAATACAAAAGTGGCTATTAAACAAATGGATCTAGCACATCAGCCTCGTAAAGATTTGATCGTTACAGAGATCATGGTGATGAAAGAATCTCAGCATCCAAATATCGTTAATTATTTGGATTCATTTTTATTGAATAATGCTGATTTGTGGGTCATTATGGAATATATGGAAGGTGGTGCATTAACCGATGTCATTGATAACAACACAATGACAGAACAGCAAATTGCCACAGTTTGCCATGAGGTAAGAGAGAATGCAAAAGGAAACTCACTGAAAGTATTGATATTAACATTATACTCACCTTTATTATAATAGACAACCGCTGGTCTTTTACATTTACATTCCAGAAATATTCTACATAGAGATATCAAATCAGATAACATTTTACTTAATGCTCATGGTCAAGTAAAGATTTCTGATTTTGGTTTCTGTGCTAAACTTACTGATCAACGCAGTAAACGTGCTACCATGGTGGGTACTCCTTATTGGATGGCTCCTGAAGTCGTGAAACAGAAAGAATATGGCGCAAAAGTGGATATTTGGTCTTTGGGAATCATGGCCATTGAGATGATTGAAAACGAACCACCTTATTTGGATGAAGAACCTTTAAAGGCTCTTTATTTGATCGCTACGAACGGTACACCTACGTTGAAACATCCTGAGAAACTATCCAGAGAATTGAAGGCTTTTTTGGCAGTGTGTTTGTGTGTGGATGTAAGATCAAGGGCGACAGCAGAAGAGTTGATGAATCACGAATTTCTAAAGAAAGCCGGACCATTAGAGACATTGGCACCTTTACTCAAGTTCAAAACAAGACATTAGAACTACTTATTATATTCTTTGGGACAAAAGAAAAAAAAAAGACAACTACTTGGACCTACTCTCATTTACTCACTATTACTATAGTACACCTACTATTTATTCCCCTTCTATTCAATCACTCTCTTACTTTATATATATACAATGCTATATCTATATATAAACAAATTGTTCTTCTAGCTTTGTGGAAAACAAAAGACTTTAAGAATACAAGTATATTTTTGCTGTTGAGTTTATTCACTATGCGCATTATGTTAATCCTTCGTAACGTCATGCTCCTTCTTCTTTAAAGGCCCTAAACGTGACAAAAGACTATCCGGAATACGGACTTCTTTTTCACTATTGTTACTTTTACTCGAAACCTTACTGGGGTCATACGGATGCCTCGATTGAACTGCTCGAGAGCTTTGCCTTGTCGGCGAACGGCTTCGACTTCTTTGATTTTGATGAGTTCGTCTATAATCGTTATTTCCTGTTGCTCTTTCTACCTTCTTCCCCAGACGACTAAATACATCTCTTCCATCACCTCCATTACGCTTCATTCTATCCACATGCAGTTTACGAGCTTCCTGTCGCTCTTTGCTTAGTTCCTGGCCATCCACACCATGAATCATATAATATCGACTACGAAGTCTTGCTCCACGTTCTTTTATATCTTCATCCGTAGCCATGCGAATAGAGAGGGTTTCTACACGGGAAGGCTGATTATCTTTGCTATTTTCAACAATAAATGGCTTAGCAGGTAATAAAGTACGGTGGTCGAGCGTTTGAATTTGTGAACCGTCCTCAAGCAGACTTTGAGCTATTTCAGTCGCTTCTTCGGGTGTATTACAAACGAGGTTGCAAGACGAATCGTTGATCCATTCCAACTTTGAGAGAAGCGGCGAGTTAACATAACCCTTAATATCGTCAGTGGACAGATTATCGACACCATGTAAGAAAATGGCGGTGGGTCGAGGTAAAGCTTCAAACTGATCATAAGGACTGTCTTCCTTTTGTATTGAATCGGTATCAGGCTGTTGTTGTGCAGCCTCTTCTGACGCACTTGTTGTTGTTGTTGTTGTTGTTGTTGTAATCGTAGGCACTTGTGTTTCAAACTGTCCTTGTTGAGGCTGTGAAGATGGTAGTTCAGAGGGTTCGCCAAGTAATTCAGCCTCAAGCTGTGTGTCAATGTCATCTGTTATAAAAGCATTGGGTGCTAATAATTCTTTTTCCAGTTCGACATCTAAGTCCAGATCTAAGTCGCACGGGTTATTGCATTTAACGATTTAAGTAACTTACAACCTTTTCCTGTATTACTGGTTGTTGCGATCGTTTACCTATATCCATATTTGATTCAGTCATAATTAATGCTAAAGGAGTGCGACCAATGTCTATAAGAGGAACAGAAAAGAAAGGAATTTGGCTCACCGCCTACGACGACGCTTTCCATTGGTTTAAAAGCTTGGTCAACAAAAATCTCTATCCATACATTTAACATAGCAGAAAATGTAAGAGTGAATATATACTTATAAATGGTCAGTCTTGGCGTTTAATTTATTGCTATATGGACAAACGACAAAGCTATGCACAGCAAGTTAAGGCTACGTAAAGGGGATCTTGCAACCGTCATGAAAGCGGCTATCACTATCAGTTTCAGGTATTGTAACAAAAAAAGCGAGTACCAAGGGCAGTGTCTGTGCCAACTCTTGCAGCTGACATAGTTATCGACAGCACATTTGTTACAAAAAGGGTGAAAAGACGAAGAACACAATCGTCAGTTCGAATTTACATATGATCGGGTTTAACAAACCTACGTAAGCTTTGGCAAGTTATCAGCTGGTTAGGCGTTAACGGGTGCTAATATATATAGATTCCAATGATGACAGTGCTGTGTTTGACGGCAACAATCAGCAGTCGCTGTGTAGTTTAGTAAGACTAAATTAACCTTACAAGTTCTATTTGATAATGTTGGCCTGTCCATTTTGATCAGATCGTAAACTTTCTGAGGGCAATATCGCACATATTTGCTATGTTTTGTAGAATAGGGTCAAAATACAATTAGAAACGTCGAAGGTGTATGTTACATCTAGTAGTTTGTGGACAGAATGTTAACAAAATCGTTCAACCAATTCAATGTATCCCAAAACCATTCTAAGGCACAAGTAGCAGTGTGTATGGAGTCGTCTGCGAGCGCCGAGTCCTATTAATTTACAAAAATAAAGCATCTTATTGTTAGGAGATCTTGAGCACGTATACCGCATTGATAAAGTCGGTCAAATGATCATGACTAGCCTACTGGACACTCCAAATCACAAAAGAAAGCTTGACGAAATCAAACCACCGTTTACTTTTCCCCTTTTTTTATATTTTTTTGTTTTCTGCTTCAATTTAGACTTGCTGGCAGAATTACGTGCTCTACTTTGAACAAACTAATTAATCTTGGAAGCTAAAAGATCTCAGTTTTACAAGAATTTATTACTAATATGCACAGACTCTATACCAACTATAGGCTAGTAACATCATACGTTTAGATGCTATTTCTGAATAATGGTAAATGAAAAACTGTAGTTGACAGTGTGAAAGTTTCCGTTTATTACGTAAATCAGTATTATTTACAAAGGCGAATGCATACCAAGCTATACAAATGCAAATATAGTAATAGTTAGCTTCAACGAAATCAATCTCGAATATTTATGTATCATACTTACTTTAGTACTAAATTCGAGTTTTGATCTTTTCTGGAAACGCGTAAATTCATTATTATCATGCCATTTGACCAGCTCTTGAACTGGAATTAATACAATTGGCCATAAAAATATACAAACATAAACAAACCACGGGACTTTATTCAACGCGAGCGGGCCATGAGCAAGGGAAACAGCGCAGAAACAAAATTGTAGTATTACACTTAAATGCACACAATAAAGAAGTTATTAGTTCGTAGTGACAGTCAAGTATGATTTAGACACGGGAACCGCTATTTTACCTTAAGAAAAATGCTCCTACCCAAACTCTATTTCTGAAGGGTATAAATTCTATAATGGATGAAGTTCTATGAAGAAAAGAGAGTGACACCCAGGCTAAAAAAAATTATTTTTTTCCGCGTGAATAAGATGTAAGCGTATTTTCTCACACGTAAAAGGAGGAAGGATCCAAACTTACCGAGGTACCATACAAATGCTATCAGCATAAAATTCTGCGCATAAGTGATTGCCCATTGTTCTTCGACAGATAAATGATACCATCCTTGTGTACCAAATTTGCCAAAGACATTTGTCATGCTATCATCTAATATGCAAATCAAGGACCTACAAAACGAGAGCGGACGTTAATTAGAATTTACGTTGGTTTTTTTTTGGTTTTTTTTTTGTGATTCCAACTTACATAGCATAAACAGCTATCGACATAGCAATAACAAGAATGAAGCGAAGTACGAAATACGCCATGAATCGCCAAAAGTCCTGTAAATGTTCAATATTTTTCCCTGAAATAAAAATGATTAGCTCGTCAGCATTTCCTTCAACTAAAACCTTTCGCCTGCGATTTCCTCCTTTTTTTTCCCGCCCCCCTAAGTTTTGTCATTTGGCGCGTAACGACTGTATTAAAAATATTACCAGGCATCAGCAGCATAATATTATCTTCATGTGGTGTAAACAACATTGACATAGAAAGAATAGGTAAAATAATGCACAGGAGCCATAGAATTTGATAACCAGTCAAGATGGGTGGTAAGAGTAAGCAAAAGCTGAAAAACAATATTAATGATGTGGACATGCATCCTGAGGCATAAAACGCAAAACCCTGTATGAATGAGAGAAAGAAAGTACAGACGTGTCAATTAACAGCACCCATCCGTAAGTTGCTTGGTATAACTTATAAATTTTTGCTTACCATTCTAACGCAGCTTAACAATCGACGCGCATCACGGATAAGCTGCGTTACAGCATACAAGCTGGTTTCATACTGCATGAACAAACCACAAGGTAAACTACATAAGGAAGCTCCAACAGCCAGTGGCGGCTGACGATCGTTGGTAGATAAGCGGCCCTTATTTTGAGCACGGGTATGCATAGGTTCCATAGCGATACTAACGTCCGACTAAATTGAGGGTAAGCAACGATATGAACAAGCTGAAAAGCAAAGGAAATTGTTATCCGAACTCTGTCTATCTTTCTGACTTACTAAAGCAAATGATTCTGTATTCTTTGTATTTAGCGCGTTACCAATGGTACAGACCACTTCTCCATTTTCTTGAAAGATTCTGATCATCTCTTTCATAGCTCTTGGCGTGCATTCCGCAAACAGAGAGACATGCAAAGGTATATCGTCCACATCTTCCAAGTGGGGCCGTATTTCATCAATACCCCTTGGTAGTTGTGCCTTGATATCGTGGGTTTGGGAATACCCATTTCCACAATTCTCGTCATCATCAGGATTTGATAGTAAGATACAACTATTCCAATCGGTTTCAAGACCAAGTCTCTCTGCAAATGCCTTAGATTCTCTTTCAGCAGTAGGAGAAAAGTACACAAAGCGAATACCAGCAAGACCAAGATCTTCAATAAAGTCCACAACATTTTGTTTAGGTTGATGGCACATTGCTGTCATACCAAGGAAAATTTGACCCTTCACTACCTCTTTATAAAACGTAGCTTCTTCCTGTTCGTCGACAGGTTCATCCTCTTCAAAAGAGTAATCACTCGAGCCATCGGATGGTGAAGATGAAGTACTACTTTCTGTGGAAAGAGTAGAGCTTTTAGATGTTCGTCGTTGTTTCTGGTCATCATCTGCTCCTGCCGTATCTTCAATTTCAAGCAATTGGCTGGATCCGTTTATCAGATCTTGCTTTACAAGGGAATGTGAAGCCTCCGATGCTGAGTCAGTACTGCTACTACTGCTACTGCTAATCTCAGTAGATGAAGATGAAGAACTACTATCAGAACTTGGTGGTTTATATGGCAACACTACAAAGGCGCAACCGGGGTCTTGATTTTCATCATCTGACGGATTCAAGAAAGATATACGGTCGTCATTAACAGTATTAATAGGTCGGTACGCATAAGCAATACATTGCATATCGTGCACAGCAGCATTTTGAAAAAAGTCATTAATCTTTTTCTCCATCTATCCATACAGATCATGAAATTGTTATAAATTTTGTTATTGTACACTTATAACATATGAATTGACGTTACCGTTTCGCTCATAGTTTGTAATGAATGACCATCCCAATAATCTGAGCATTTATCCATAACAAGAGATGGATGGCCATCTGTTAGCAATTGATAACTTCCTATAAAAGTCATACGGTTATCGTAAAGTTTCTCTTTCATTTACTGAGCGAATGTCATTGTCCTATACCTGAGGATTTCTCTTCAAAAACGGTCGAAAGAGCATTGGGTACTTCAAATGGATAATATTTGCTATACTTGTAGCGTGGCGTATTAAGTATTTCATGATAAGGCGCAAAGGTATAAATTTCTGCTCTTAATGCAAAAGATTGAAGAGCTTCTTCTCTAAACCCAATGCATTTACCTAATCTGCAGAGACAAGCTATAAATAGTAATAAAACTCGCGGTTTGGTAAGTGAAGCCAAATGTTACTACACGAGCCAGCTTAAATTGTTTACTAACATTGTCTGGCAGGCGATGTTTTGCCATATACATGCAACTTGGAACGTCGACGATGATATTCAGATCTTTTACGGCTTTGCAATACACCACAGTTGGTATTTAGCATGAAGTTCAAACCAAGGGGCTTCAGGCAGGGTAGATATTGTTCCCAATCTTGATCTTCAAATTTCAGACCAGTCTCCTCGTCTGAATCCTCTTCGACGTCCAAATAAGCGATATCTTCCTGAGTATTGGGAAACATTAATTGCTCAACAGTTGGAAAGGGCTAAGAGAAGTGATAGTCAACAAAAATTATTAAGAGGCATAATCAGCCGTGATAAGAGAATAATTTGAATTTAATACCCAAATTACGGTTTACTTACGTTGGCAATAGTCCCCTCTTTATCTAAGCAGCAGATTACGGTTGTGCTGCCCAAAGATTCTAATAAGTTAGTTGACCGAGTAAGAGACAAACTATCCCATTTTGTCAGTAAAGATAAGAATCGATCCCAAACAGCATCTGAACGAGAAGCGTAAAACAAGGTAAAGTCAGCTTCTAACTTCATCTACCCTCTCATTATTACCTTTATCGCAACTTACTTGGACTTAATTCTAAATCTTTTGTAGGTGGTGGTGCTTCAGCATCAAACTCATCCACCTCATCATCATCTTCATATTCTGTTTTTGAGATTTGTAGCGCCTCGAATAAGATCAATAATTGGGCATTTCCAAAGCTTCTTGCAATAATCCACATAGTGGGTAAACATAAGGGTAACAACGGTATTACGCTATATATTGACATGGTAAATACTTCTTCAATTAGTTGATCTTTAGGGTAGTGATTTTCCATGACACTACGCAAACCAAAACGCAAAGCATTAACCATGACTGCCATGAATAATAGAACCCAAACAATGTATCGATGAAAGATGTTGAGAATCACTTTGCTTTCGTAATGCATGACAGTTTTGGGTCGTTGTTGGGTTAGAGCACGCCGTAAATTCTTTTCAATAGGCGTCTCGAGCAATATAAATTGATGACGACCACGAAAACGCATATACTCTTCCATTAGACCAGAAGGGGGAGGGATACCAAAAAAGGAAGGTTTGAAGGTTTGATCTTTGGCAATGTAATACTCGCGAGTATGTAACGGGGGCCCTTCATCAGAAGATGACGAAGACGAAGAGGAAGGGGAAGAGAGAGCAATTTGACTGCTTCTTCGTCTTTTTAAATCACTCTTCGAGGTAGCGGTTGTAGTATCGGCTAACGTTTCACCATCATCGTCTAATAAATGTTGATTGCTTGTACGGCTAGACAGCTCCACTCGCTGCTGTGGTTCATATGGTGCTGAGAGTTCGTTTCTTTTACTAGAATTTTCATTTTCTTCAGCTTCCTCTTCTGCGTCTGAATTGCTGATGGGCACCGTCTTGTGTATATACTTCATTCGTCCTGGTGCTACATCACCATATAGCATCTCTACTACATCACCTTCCACCAACAAGTTGACGGGAAATATTCTTACCACACCGTCACGTACTACTTTAGCTACTGACATAGAGGGTATGAAAGGAATTTTTGTGTCCTGTACCATATTCATACCGCTTCTCTCCAAAGCTTTTATAATAGCCGAAGCACGATCTGTCATTTCTTGAGATGCAAGAGTTTTTTCACGGTAAAAAATGATACCGTTCCACACAGTAATGCCAAGCAACAATATTGCTTCTACTAATAAACCAGTAAGACGGAATTGGTATGGTTGCGCTCTGTAATAGCTTACAATATAAATAATCAACAAAGCTACGCCACACAGAGCGTTGAGTATCATAGGTTGTATCAACAAGAAGGATTTTGCGCTTATTGTTTTTCTTATGCGAGACCTTTCTTCATCAATGATACTGTTTGCAATGCGTAATAATTTGTGAAGAGCCACTTCACTGGAAAGACCTGGGTGACGACTGCTAGATTGTAGACTTTCTCGTCGGCTCCATGACTGCGATTGTAATGCATTGACTTGCAAGACTTTCTGTGTCCTTCTATGCAATCGTTTCGGGATGGAACGACGACGATTATAGTTCCAGTCATGCTGATAATTCTGATAATGATGAGGCTGTTGTTGTTGTTGAGCTCTACGATAAGCTCGAGCATTTCGTCTCATCATACGCTCACGGTCTCCAGCGGGCATTTCATCGTTCAAATCATCGTCGTCTTCGGTATACACAGTTACCATTTCTTTACTATTTTGCATACCGCCTGCTCCTCCACTTTCTTTGGAGGAACTTGCAATATTCTTGTGCTTATGATGACTCTGTTTATGTCGGCGATTATTGCCGTTGCGATGTCGTCCATGACCGCCATTGTTTTGATTATCTTCTGCTACTAAACCTTCTTCTTCGCTCTTATTAATAGTGCTATTGCTATTGTTTGAAAAAGGATTTCTCAAAATTGATCTTTTACGACGAATAGTGCCTTTCAATTCATCTTCATCATCCGCTAGATTGCTTTCTTCCTCCTCCCTTTCATTTTCTTCTTCTATTGATTCTTCTTCTTCTTCCTCTTCCTCTTCTTCCCCAACATCTGATAAATCGCTATTATTATCGCTATTCCTGTTAATAATCATACGCTGCTGTTGTTTCGGTAGTTGTGCTTTATTACAAGATGGTTCACTGCTGTTTGTATGCATATTGTGTAAGGTGGAAATATGCTCCAGCTCGGTTGTTTGATTCAATGGTGAGGCAGCAGATAAACGTCGTAAGTATTGACTATTATGTCTATGTTGACTTCTATCGGATTCTACGTCGGAATCTCGTCGAACAGGTGTATAACAAAAATCGCTTTCTGACTCGTCATCGCCCGATCGAAACAGATGGCCCAGTCCTTGTTTATCTAATCGTCGAGGAAGAGAGCTGCCATGATCAATAACAACTTGAGCTGAATCACTGCTAGAGCTACTGCTACTACTACTGCTACTACTGGTACTTTTCTTGGAGGTCCTACTGGAAATACTGGCTTTATCATCGTCATCGTCATCGGTGCCGCTTCTTTTACGATGTTTGCGATGTTTTGACTTATGTGTCGTACTTAAAGTCGTCTGTGCGGAGTCATCTAATAAATTGTCTTTGCTATTCTCATTGTTTGATTCAACGTCTAACAGAAAATACGTTGTACCTTCCTCATCGTGCACTGGCTCTGGTAAAGCATTCAAAGGTGATGAAGAGTTATTTGACTGGATTGAAGTATGACGAGAGGAGGTACCGGCGTTGGTCTGTTTCTCCACGTCGCATGGTACAATATCATTTTCCCCACTCATGATAACTCATATATATTCTATCGACCCTTCTTCTCAAAGTAAATCTCTAAGAGTGAGTAATTGAGGAGACGTATGATTCGATGATATTTCACTAAAGAGTCTTAAAAATCCCCAACGTATTATTAGTGTAGGTAAAAAAGAAAAGACTAACTCACTGGTCGTCTTTTCATGTACTTTTCGCACAAAAAGATATCGAAACGAACGTGGCCCGGCTCAATTTCAGTAGGCTTAAAATCTGGGATTAAAACACATGAAGCTGGATAACTCGAAAACGAATACCATCCTGGTAGCGCAACTCTAAGAAAAGAAAATCAGTAGTGCTGTCAAAAGCCTTAGCGTGTAAAAAAGGAATAACCGCATCTCACATTGTGGAATTTATAGAGTTTATTTTGGTATAATAACAAATGGCATGAAACATCATTTTATTGTTTTGAACACAAATACACCATAGTCGTTTTGTTGTTGATACCATAAAAACTTGGCTATTTATGCCGCCGCTATATTCCTTTTTTTTTTTTGAATCCCAATCGTGTTATGCTGGTCTGAAATCAAGAAAAACATCATATAAAACCCACTTAAAATGGACAATGAGCTAGCCAAAAGGATTGCCTGAAACGCAAAGCTGCTACTAGATCAGAAGTTTGCAAATTGAAATCGATCTGAAACCTCTTCCTATCTTATAGCAATAAGTCCTTTTGAATACGCTTTATAAACGACATGTCCATCAATTAACTTTACATTATACTTCTACAGTTATTCCTACTTTTTTTTTTCACCTTACTTCATTTATTTGGTAAACTCCACTTTTTGGTCTTCATTAACTTTTATGCATGTCAGTATCGGTATTGGTGTCCTCAGCGTTAATCTGTATGTGTGTTAATGTAAACGATCTTTTAGTAGTTTATTTCTGTGCATAATGTTGATTGAAGCTGATAGTATCTTATCGTTGCACTTGAGAAAAGAAAAGATACAATAATGAAAAGATATCCAGTCCAATTTGGAGAGGGCATCAACCGTTTAACGATAGGAAGGCTCTGCATCAGGCCATCAAAGCATACCGTCACGAGAACTTGAATGCCATCCGTTCCGCGTCCAATTCAAAGTTGATAAAACAGTGTCGTTCAAACATCTCTCTCATCCCATTCTTTGGCTTCCGATGAGCTTCATTGAGCATAGTCGCTGTCTTCGTTGGAGACTGGGCTGGCTCCCCACCAACTACTCAGCCCATTGCCAATTTCAGCCCTCAATCACTCTCAGTAAAACCCTCGCCAATGAATGTATACAAATGCACAACCGCCTGCAACTCCCGACAACCATCACTGACCCCATATCTCACCTGATGAACCAACTTCCCACTCGGCCTATAAAACAGCGTGCCACGAGTTAACTAGAGTATTTCATGGCCAACTGTCCATATGCTAATGAGATCGATTACCTTCAGCACGAGAAATGCTCCTACCCCATCAGAAACATCAGAATAGTCCTTGCTAGACTGGCTCTATGCACCCACCACTACTAATGCTTGATTGTCCCATTTTTCCTAGTCTGTATTGTGATCACTATCTTTCTTTTGCCTTGTCCCTTTTAGGGTTTTTCTATTCCATAACATATTCTGACCTGCCCAGGGTCTGATATGTAGTTTATCTATGTGTCCATTGGGTTCAAAATTTATATTGTGTTCAATCGTAATGAAAATATACTGATATGCTTGTTTAGAGAAAGGATTCTTGTAAATTTCAAACTGAAGTCAGCCAATCACAGAAGATAATGAAAATACATATAAAAGCAAATGGAGTTATAGAATAAATCCTATACATTTTCCCAATCTGAACAACAGATTAAAGGGGCCCTATCTTGATTTGACAATTGGTACTATAAAGTTTAAGCTAGACTCTATAAATTTATAAACGATAATTACTTATCAATACTCCTAATTGTACGGTTTGCTGTCGTTGGCAATAGTTGTACGATTGAGCAATCGAATTTCCTGATTGCAGTCTCTAATTTAATCCCCGTGTCACTGTGTAATCATTTAAACTTAGGCCTTCTATTGTTATATGGTACAGAACCTTATTAAATGCAGTCTAGATACATCGGGTAGAATATATTCTCTAAATCGTTCTATGTAATTGACTATTGCAGTTGTTATCTCACCAACCGTCAGTCAGTCATTGTTAGCTCATTTGTAGAAAGTAACATTGCTCTTATATATTCCTAGGTTTGGTTACTAACTCTTTAGAAGGTGGAAAGACTGAAATATTTTGTGACATTATCCAGATGGCGGTCAAGACAGAATGCCAGAACTTGTAGAATTTAATTGTCTAAAAGTGGGGCAACGCTTTACTTTTGGTTTCGAAGAGTAACTGCGCTCAACAAAAGTATCAATGAGCATATCCATTGTACTTCTATATAATGTAGCATTTCATCATACAAGTGATGGCGGAGAAGCTGTACAAAGCCTTGGGATCCACAGCGGCAAATGCCCGCAGAAGTAACAAAAATTTGAAGAGGCCATGTAGCTGCCCAACACTAAAAACTTTGAAATTATCGTGAGAATACATCTAGAAGAATCGTAATAAATCGTCAATCAACCGCAACAATGATTTCAACAAGAGTTCATGGTGTTATGCTATGTTTGCGTAGAATTAATATGTAGGAATAACTTAGCAATATTCTCACGCAATACAGTCTTTTAAGAACAGGAGCGCTTCGCTTCTAAAAGACTATAACGATTATATTAACGACGTTTCAGAGAACAACAATGCACAATGGATTCCAAAGTGAATAGCCAACATTCTGTATAGAGCGACATTCCTCGAATTAGTTGTATAGAAGTAACAATTATCTCATATATCTTATTGAAAGATTGTACACCATTTATTATCTGCTTTTATATGCATAAACATCACTACCAACATTTTGAAAAAAAGGTAATTTCACATTCTGAATGAACAAGTTTTGTTTGTTGTGTCTGAATATCTATGAGAACTTAATAGTTTGGTTTATCATTCAGTACGGATAGGAATTTTTTTGGAACAATCTTCGGTGAAGCTTCTCAAATAGAATTGCGAGAGAACCGAATAGATGCGTTAACAGACGGTTTATCGTTCTTAGGCATTATTACGAAAAAGACAATGATAGAATGTACAACAAAGGTAGAAACATCAGAGAATTTCGTCATCACTGAGGTAAGCCTTGGGAGAGCGGGAACCACTGGTAGTTTGATACATAATACGAACAAAGGCGTAGAACCACACTAGTTAATAGTATCCAGATATTGAAGTCCAAAGTCTTCACGAATGTTTATAATTCCAGTTCATAACGAAAGATAGATGATTATTTACGTTGTACTAACAGTTAATAAGGCATTGCTCAATGATAAATAATTTAGAACTTGTATGTCATACTGTGGAATAATAGTTTTCATGAAGAATTACAATATTTTTATTAAGGGAGTAATGGGAGAAACAACAAAACTCCTCGACTCTTGTTTCTAAAGCCTCTTAAATAGTTCATTTTCCCTAACAACTGTCGTTTCGCTGAAGGAGAAAGCGCAAACTGCAATGATATAGCCAGATAAGGGGTAGCACAAACCACTGTAAGTTGTAAATACAGTGTCTATGCGCACCATACGTTTGTTTATAATGAGCACAATTGCCAAACTAATTTTATAGATGCGTTCCAACCATTTTCTGTTACATCTTTTTCAATAAACACTTCAAGAGCCTGTAGTTTGAAAACCAGACGCCAACAGTTCTGCTTGCTTTAAAAGACATATTCTTACAGTCATGCCGATAAGTAATCACAAACCACTACATCTGCTCGGATTGCCTTCTCCTTAACACAAATACATGCGCTTAGAGCAAGATGTGCCTACTGCTGCCACCATATCATACACCGCCCATTGGCTTGGAGGGCTAAGAGTATGAAAAGAGAATCAGACTGACGTACGGCTGCGCTTGGTTGTCCAACAGTTATCCACAAAGCTCGCAATCCGTTTTTGTGCCTCTCACAAAAAAAAAAAGAAAAAAAAAAAGAAAATTAATCAAATCAGATAGCGCTTGCTTTTAGATAAAAATAAGCTAGTATTTTACCTTGATATTCTTACAGTCATGCCGATAAGTAATTAAAATCACTACATCTGCTCGGATTGCCTTCTCCTTAACACAAATACATGCGCTTAGAGCAAGATGTGCCTACTGCTGCCACCATATCATACACCGCCCATTGGCTTGGAGGGCTAAGAGTATGAAAAGAGAATCAGACTGACGTACGGCTGTGATCAATACTTATAAAAAGGCCAAGCACCACAACTGCTCGGATTGCCTTCTCCTTAACACAAATACATGCGCTTAGAGCAAGATGTGCCTACTGCTGCCACCATATCATACACCGCCCATTGGCTTGGAGGGCTAAGAGTATGAAAAGAGAATCAGACTGACGTACGGCTGCGCTTGGTTGTCCAACAGTTATCCACAAAGCTCGCAATCCGTTTTTGTGCCTCTCACAAAAAAAAAAAGAAGAAAAAAAAAAGAAAATTAATCAAATCAGATAGCGCTTGCTTTTAGATAAAAATAAGCTAGTATTTTACCTTGATATTCTTACAGTCATGCCGATAAGTAATTAAAATCACTACATCTGCTCGGATTGCCTTCTCCTTAACACATGTAAATGCGCTTAGAGCAAGATGTGCCTACTGCTGCCACCATATCATACACCGCCCATTGGCTTGGAGGGCTAAGAGTATGAAAAGAGAATCAGACTGACGTACGGCTGTGATCAATACTTATAAAAAGGCCAAGCACCACAACTGCTCGGATTGCCTTCTCCTTAACACAAATACATGCGCTTAGAGCAAGATGTGCCTACTGCTGCCACCATATCATACACCGCCCATTGGCTTGGAGGGCTGATTGTGTGAAAAGAGAATTAGACTAATGTACGGTTGTGATCAATCTTATAGAGAGGCAGAGTGCCACAACTGCTCGGTTTACCTTCTCTAGCACAAAGAAATATAGCTAGTACTTCATGCTATCGAATTAGAATGTCGATTTTTTTATACAATCCTGCTGTTTTGTTAGGTAACAAAAGAGAGCCAAAAGAAGCCGGAAATTTTTCGTTGATTGTACATGATTCGGTGTTTGAAAATTGAGTGAGGTCACCTACAGTCGTTCCACTCTCAATTCGAAGTTTTTTGTAAAAAAAAATTGGGGGACTACCAGAAATAGTGATTGTTCGAAGTTAATTTCGCGGATTGAACGACTGTATAGTTGCACTAATCCTGGTTCATTAGCTGCTAACAGCAGTACACTCCTGTCATTAATGAAACGGATAACGTGCTGTCTTTGGCGAAATTCAAGGGTTTTATCTCCGATGATAAAACTGTCACAGAGATCAAACTATAAGTTTAGAATACATCTTCTTTTGTGAAAGACCATTACAATCTTTTAATACCGTCAGTTTCTACCCCTCCGATGGCTATAAATTCGATCCTTTATCTATAAATAGATGAGTAAGTAGTGATGACCATTGTAGCCAGATAAATCAAATGGTTCAATCGCTTGCAATAAATGCTGCTGCTTTGGAAGTTATTCTGAAGGATATCATTAAATACTGTGGTATCTCTTGATATCAAAAGTAATAATTATTAAGTTTTTAAAGTAAAGACTAGGTGAGTCAGCGAGAACGAACAAGGGTTCTTGATTGAGTTTATTTGTGGTTTGAAATTTAAATGGTCTTTTATATGAATGCGAGATAAAACTGAATGCAGAAGGTAGCAGTGACAATTGATTAATATTGTTCCTGTTGATGAATTGTACAACGCCAGTAAGGTTAAAGTGTGTCTGAAACCTTATTGATTCCACTGGGTTAAGGCAGTAGATCTGTATATATCATATCGTTAACATTTCTTAGTTCGTTAATTTGATGTTCTTCGCTGTTACAAGATTCATAAATGACATCGCGTCATTATTCAGGACTACACTAGCATCCTGATTGGCACTAAGTGACAATTTCATCATCTTCTTTGACGTCTTGCTCAGAAAATAAGAACCATCTTTTTCGTATAGAAGAGAGGGAAATGGATATACTTTATATCTGTATGGAAGCCCAGTAATAGATCATAATTGCACAGATGCAGTGTTGCATTTGCTTCACATTTCGAAGATAAGTCTATTTCTATCTTTTATCTTGTTCAAAGCAAAAGTAGAGACTTGGTATACAGTTTGGGGCGTAGCTATGCGGTTTTTCTTGGGACCACTATACACTTCCTTACCAGAATGTGTCTGTCATATTGCCACACTATCATTGAAGAATTCAGCTATATCCTTTCTTTGTATTTTTCTGTAGACTAAGTGAAGAAAACATAGCGACTGTTAGCCGCTAATAATTTTCGCTTTTTGTCGGCGTCATGTTTCGACACGGTTTGCCGGTATTTCCTAAGTCAGAGTATTCACTGGTATAACATCCAATTCTTTTCTTATCATAAAATAAAAAAAGATCAGCAAAGTTTTCTGAGTATAATAACTTTGGTTTGTTACAACATTAAGTATTAGTTCACTTTGGCGAGTTTCTGACTTACCTGCTTCTACCTTGTACTGTTGTATCTTTTGTGAATACTTCATCTTTCTTAACAGCTTCGCGTAGCTGGCTTTTAAGGTTATCAATTTTAGCGCAAAGATACCTTTAAGTGCTTAATGGTAATAATCGAAGTTTTCTTGAATCCTTGTCTTAAAATTGGGTAAGAAATGTACATAACATGAAGACTTCTCGCTTTTGGCAAAGTAAATAAATAATGGCTTCGGAAGTGCGTTTCCACTGTCTGCAATTATCAACGTAGGACCTCCGTTTTCACCGAACCAAACAATGTTCTTCAATTTGTTTCACGAACTAAGTTTAGAAAACGATTAAACAAGATTTTTATTGGCAAATAATTTTAAACCCACATGAGCACATAATCATTATGAGAAGGGTGCTAAAAAACCTTTTGATAGTCAATAATAAGTTTAGAAAACGCTGGCTTCAAAACTTATTCAGCCATTAGCTACCATAAAAGCGTTTGGATAAGTGGGATTACCGGGACTACTAACAACAACATTTACACGAGGGAACCTGTTTCTATTTGTCTTATACTGTATGTGGCGTCAAAGAAGGCAATTCTTTGAGCCAAGTTGATATCTGCTTTATGGCTGATACACATTAAGATCTTCTGTTTAGTTATAGGAGCTGATGCTGCAGCAAACTTTTTATAACGTTAGAATAAGATGCATCATATCATAATCGCCACGTTCTGGTCTCTAATTCTATTTCATAAAACATTTCAAAAAATTCAAATTAATAGAAAAAGATACAACGCTAGATATCGGCTTTGTGTGACAAAAAACAATCGTGAAATTGATTACTTGAAGGACATACTATAAAAAATTGCACTTGGGTTGTTGACGTAAACTAAACCAAACAAGAGGGGGCAGGAGGTTGGTGTTGATAAGGCACTGAAAAACACAGGTTACAATAAGAACAGAGATACGTTTATTGACAGGTAACTAGACGAAAGGCGGAGTACACACATTTTTGTTAGAAGAATTTAGTTAAAAACACTTAAGAATATATTACGGACTAGAGATATGTCTTACTATATTGTAACCGATCAAACTTCGTAATCTCAGTGAGTCCAAATTATCATATACTTCCTCATAATAACGAAGGTATTCAATACAGTAAAAAACATTTGCTGTACATATACTCAATATTTTGAATGTCTGTTCACAGTATATAAAAAAAGTAAAGCAGGAATTTTCAGCAAGAAGGATGCGATCGGCCTGGAATACGATGAAAGAGACTTGGAGAAGCAGAAGTGAATCCAAGGCGATATTACCAGTAATATAACTATTGTATTTGAAAAGAAAGGCCATTGAGTCTGTATACAGTCTTTAAGCCGTGTGGGAATCGTGGGTTTTAGGATAGTGGCACATTACTCAAAGAAGAAAATAAACGCGGTGCATAACGTATCATTTAAATGAATATAAGGAATTATATAATACTTTTATTAGAGACGTTGTAGAGAAAGCAGAAATAGCCTTGGCGATCTGTCCAAGGCATAGTATGAACTAATGAGTGGTTTTCTCCAACAGCACTTAAGGATCCTATTGCAATGTCCAGCAGCAACAAATGTCTTTTATACTTGCCACTCTTTGCCCACAGCCCTCCGAACTCTTATCCCTACAACTATGGAGATCAAATTCAAAGATAAAGGGCCAGACACCCTCGTTATGATGCTCAATATTCCAAATAAGGCATACTAATCATGGATAAGCATTCTATTACAATTATAAACATTAAATGACATTATGTACGAAGATATAAACTTACCCTTCCAGCAGTTTTGCTAGGAGTCAGTTCATCCGATCGATTCTCCCTTCAATTTTGTACTTTGCCAAACACGATATCTACAGTATAAAGACTGGATGCATGACTGAGTTGAAAACTAGTGCAACAATACAGCAATTCATGCATGTAAAATAACAGGAATAGACCGTAATCTTTATAAAAATGAAATCATGTTTATTTTTCAGCCCTTTCACCGTTATACTTGCAATTTTCATATGGTGTTCCCAAGAAAGCCTTTGTTAAACTGTTTGAAAGGAGATACAGTAATTCCACTTCAACTCAGAGAAGCATTAGGTATAAATGAAGGTGTGCTGGCTGGTGAAGTAAGAGACTGGAGCACTTTAAATAGTCTCATCAACAGCTACTTCAGCCACGCTGAGGATCATAGCCTCGGAGGAGATGATTTATTCAGAGATACTCTTGATGCACTCGAAGGTATTAGCAAGCTAAAATTCGCTGATAAAAACACCAAGCAACAAAAGAAAAGTGGTTCTGTTCGCTTAGTTCTAGTGAAAGATGATCAACTCACGCCAGTTCCACAAGCAAAACTATTGATGGATTATTGTAGAAGTTTCAGAACATATTTATTGAATCCAGCGATAAAAAGTAAATTTTTGTTTCTGTACGCTAAAGTAAGGAATTTGAAGAGAAAAGAGGCGGAAAGAATTAGAAGGCAGGAAGAAGAAGAAGAAGAAAGAAATGAAATGCTTCACAATGGAAAAATGATTGCCTATCTTGCCGCGAAGAAAGGTTCCTCCGAAATCCAAGACAATTTACGTGCCCGGTTACCTCAGAGAGCGAACAAGTCAAAGAGAAAAGGCGAGGAAATGGAAGTAGAGGAAGAGGAAAGAACTGAAGAAACCAAAAGAACAAAAGTAAAAACAGTATCACCAGCACCAGCAGAAGAAGCGAATGGTCTGATCAAACTCCAACTGTGTCAGGTTAGGTTATTCTTGACTAACATTTTTCAACATCTCTTATAGACTTTTCTTTCATTACAACAAGTTCTGAAGGAACATACGATTATAAAACCTCGGATGAAGATGATGGTCAATTTATCGCTTATGTCACAAGCTTTGATGAATTTAATCCTATTTCTGAGGAAGATCTCTCCCAATTGAAGTATATGACAAACGATCTGCCAATGGATGAAAGATTGTAAGAACAAATTACTAGTAACCGCGCCCTTATTATAAATTAATAGTTGATAGATACATGCTATTCTTTAGAAACATGTCAGGTATTACTTTTATAGACAACGTCAATAGCGGTTATCTTTTACCTGATGCATTAGACAATGACATTATCAATATGATAAACAAATTTATCCGTGTAAGTCGTACATTGCAACAATAATGGATAAGTAGGCTAAAATTGCTCAATTACGTTTATTAATAGGCTACTGAATACCGTACGAAGGATATGCTCCTTCTACCAACCAAAATCGAACATATTAATATTGTCTCTTTGCTCAATAGCAGGTAAAATATTCTCTCTGTACAATATTGGAATGTTGATCCATGACCCATTCTTACTTTTTATGACACTATAGCTTTTTCAACAACTGCAAAAATGACGATCTTTGCAGATACAGCTACCGATACCATGAATCTCCTGAAAATTTGAAGAATATGGAGAACGACTTTAAGATCAAATTCGTGGTTCCATTTGTTAATGCTGCTTTTGATGTCAATGATAAGTTGGTTGTTTACTGGTAAATTATCATATCACTAGCAATTTTTCTTACTATTTAACGAATATAAATCTAGGGATACCCCCTTGGATCTGTATAAGAACTCTAACATGAAAATACAGAAAAGGCAGACTCCGGATGCAAAATTCAAGACAATCGATGGTATAGAAATTGGAGTCGTAGAGATAAAGCCATTCAACACACCAACCGAAAAGATTGAAGAAGACCGAGTCCGACTTGCTGAGATTAGCAAAAAAATGCTTCATAGAAGAGTTCTGGCTGCAAAGAGTGAAAGAGAACTGATAACCTTTGCAGTTATGATTGCAGGTAAAACGCTGACTATTTCTTAGTATAAGTCAGGTTACCTTTTATTGACACCTTTGAAAATAGGCAATGAGATTGAGTACTTCGTCCATAAGTATAAGCTTCAAGAATCAACCTCATCAAGCCTGTATACCTTTCAGCTTTTGAAAAAGTCTGTTCTCCCCACTTTCCCAAATACGTATAGTCATATGCTACTGTCATTGGAATTTTTAAGCCACTACAAGGTAGTAGAGAGAAAAGACGTTTCATTCAAGAAGAAAATACAATAACTAAGTTGTGTGATTTATCTAGAAAATGATGGTTGATAGTATTGCTTTAGCTTCTGATGTTAAAAAGCCGTACCTTTATGCAGATAGCCACAAAGACTTTATGCCAACTGTAACATTATTAAAGCTTAATGGGGACTAAATTATCCCTGTCATTCAAATTTAAGCGCTTTATGAAAAAAAAGGCACCACTTTTAGTCCTTGTCTGCAGCGATCCCATTAGGATTCCACTCCGTGCTTTCCCTTGCGACAACGATCCACTTGAAAATTAAGCGAAAACATAGGGTGCATTATTTATCCAAAATGTCTTTATGTCCATCATTTAGAAAGTGCCTTCATCATTATGTTGAATCTTTTATCAGGATGACAGGCAGAAAATATGCGACCACAATCTTCCTGCCAATTTTAGTTGTTCCGACAATTGGTTTTTTTTACAATTTTTGTGTGTTGTAGAATTTTGCCCTTTATTCCATTCTTTTTTTGTTCATTTACGAAACTGATCTACTTCAATGAATGTCGGTTCGGAAGTAGATGTGAACTCTACAGAATATGATATAAATTTGAAATGTATATTGTCTAGCCCTCTAAATGATGATGGTAGTATCCATGTTGACAATAACTTAAACAACATAAAGCATATCGAAACGGCCCAGGATACAGTAGCAGAAGAGCATTTTAAGGATACAGCAACAACTTCAACAATAGTTACTGCAGGTAGCAATTCAAGAAACACAGTAGTCAGCCTACATCCACTGTCACTTGCTGCTGAGGCTGATGTTGAAGATAGCTTGTCAACAATAACGCAAAATACTTTGATGAGTAATAATAAAAGCTTAGAGTCATTTCATAGTACAAGCACTGATATTATATGGTACGATTTCACCGCTATTATCCAATATAAAACAAGATAGATCGGCAAACTGATGATTAACAAATTTCTTCTCTGTCAAAATAAGGGTTCCAGCAGATAAGCATCCAGAAATTGCACCAGATGAATTTGCCAACTTCATACAAACGATGGGAGTCAATGCTACAAGACGTAGGTCTTCAAGTATACATAGAAAGAAATCTATCCTATCCCATTCCGTGAGCTCTACATCAACTTTTAAGGATGGCGAATCAACAATGGATGATGACGTTGATGAAAAGCAAGAAGAAGCGGGTGGCGAAGATATATCACTCAGTCGAACCTTATCAGAAAAGAAAAGACTATTTTTACAAAAAGTATTGAAGGACGATCAACATACAGACATGACAGGTAATAATAATTACTAACAAAATAGTAACTTGTTTGAAAATATAATTGATAATTCTTATGTTTCATGTTAATTTATTGATTTGCTATTTTTATCAACAAACAAAAAAACTAACAGATAGCAGCAATAGTAAAAATACAGATGCATTTGATCGCGATTCAACTTCAATTGATGATTCCCGTATTAATACTTCTCGGGCCGACAGATCTTTACTGCGTCGATCTGCTTTTTCTGCTCGGGGCAGAAGTCGCAGATCAGTCACCAATAATAGTAATAGAGCTGTCGACGGAATAGCGGGGGAGATGGATGGCATTTCATCCACTAAATTCCACCGACGTTCTTTATCACAAAGAGAAGCAGCAACAGCAGCAGCAGTTATAGATTTCTCATTGGATCCTGATAGCAGTAGTAATGCTTTCACCCCCTCCCTCACCAATTTTACTAGAAGCAACAGTACTGCAAGCAGTAGAAGTAGCAGCACCACAAGCACTTCTGCAGTTATGTGGGATAAAGTCAATGGCATAAGTCTGATGGATCAATCTACCAGAAAGGCAGACTATATTGATATGGGAAATGAGTTGGAGAACCCCACTTTGCCGATGCTTTCACGTGTGCAAGAAGCGGAGTCACAAGTTTTGTCATCGTCGTCATCGCAGCTGATAGCTGAAGAACAGTTAGACAATATCAGTATAAAGTTAGACAAAAAAGAAGACGTATTGCCATCAGCAGTATTGATAACAAAGGAGAAGCTAGAAGATGAGCTCATAGTAAAAGAACCAGAGAAACCTGTAATACCTGACGACGTCATTACTGAGGAAAAAAAAGAGGGGAAGCAACCAAAAATGGATGAGGAAAAGGACGAAACGATTATCACAGCTATGACAACGACAGAAATGGGCGCGACGCTAACGAAAAGCGATGCTGAACAAAAGTTAAAGCGGCCTACAATTATCCGCTCTGAATCGGATATTGTTAGTGCCGCCAAGACTATTCCTGCAACTACAACATCCAAACCGGCTAAACGAAACTCATGGTTTTCGGGTCTATTTACAAACAATACGAATGACAAGAAGACGAGCCTTGCTACTAAAAAAGAGAAAGAAAAAGCTAAAAAGGCAGCTCCTACAACAACAGCCGTTACTACCACTAACAACAACACTGCTGCTTCGGCCTTTTCAGGATTCGCATCTATATTTACGCGATCTTTGTCTAAATCCTCGGGTTCAACTCCAACAATTACTCCTGCGAACATTACCTCTAAATCAAAGTCCAAGCAAAAATCTGCGAATGAATATCAAAAGAAGAAGAATGCTTCTGTCGACAGCAGCAGGAATAAAGCAAACGATAAAACCAGCAAATCCAAATATCCTACTCCTCCTACTCATGCAGTTACCGTTTCTACCACCTTACTATTTAACTCTAATAGATTACCACTTCACGTTGAACGTGCAATTTATCGACTTTCACATATGAAGTTAGCAGATATCCGCAGGCCTTTACGTCAACAAGTGTTGATATCCAATTTGATGTTTTGGTATCTATCTATTCAGCAAAGTGCTTTTCGTAATCAAACAACTTCTTTGATACCAGAGCATCAACAACAACAATCTTCATCATATAACAATATACCCTCCTCATTACCAAAACAACAACAATCGACAGCAAAGAAACCTCCTAGTAAAATGTCAAAGTTTATAAGCTCAGCGAAAAAACGTAGAAATGAAATGGCACAGTTTGTTCAAAACTATCCGGTTGTAAGCGTAGAAAGTAAAAGCAGCACTGTTTCTACTGCCCCTACAAACAAGAAGATTACTAATGTTCAATTCAGTCTACCAACGTTACCTCCTCATTATTATCGAGCGAACAGTACTCACTCTATCAAACAAGACGAATTCGAAAATAGAGAAGCTGATGAGGAAGATGATATACCTTTAAGCCAGTATAGGACATAGTCACTCGAGAATATATTCAAGCCACTATACATATATCTACTTTACCACTACCTTTTTCTTTTCATTTTAGTATCCTATTTATTAGCCTCACTCAGTTCTACATTAATTAATTTATAATGACACACTTTCAAAAGCGAACTCATGCTCTCTTCTCCTGACGTATTTAACTGTCATCGGTACTATAATTTTCATACTACTTCTACTTTGTGCAAGGTGAGAAGCTTCTTAGCCTTCGTTCACGGAATTTGAATAATAAAGTTTCAGTAACCAAGCGATAGAGATGATCCTTCAAAATAAGCTACACACCTCGTTGTGCCTTTTTGACTCCCTCTCTCTTCTTTCTCTTTACCTCAAAATTACATCAAAGATCATAATAGATAGAGCATCCTCTCATAATAATTCCATAAAGCCAACAAAGCCAGTCATTTTAACATCAAGTTGCTATGGGGAATAATGTCTCAACCAAGAAAAGCAGTAATTATAAAAAGAATGGCAAAAGAGGCAAAAAAAGTAGAAGCATGCCTTTACCGCCTCGTATAGAAGTAGAAAACGAGCATTCTACAAACACTGCTCATTCCGTCAATTCCATATTGATCACTTCAAAAAACCACAGTAGTCATCAAAACAATATGTATCATAATAAGCCAATAGCGGAGTCGTTAGCACAATTAAATCCAGAATACCCAATGCCGAATAGCAAGAATAACCATAATGATAAAGAAGATGAGTTTTTGAATACCAATCAAGATACCTTAACAAATCGCTCACTGACACCAGCACCCCTCTCCGTCGCAGCCGCCACAAGCGACGATCCTTATCACGGCAAAGTTGAAAACCCGCAACAACACAAACTTTTAGCTACATCCGATTTTTGGCCTTCTCCTCAGCAAAATTCGTTTCAAGGACACGCTGTCGAAGATCATAACCAGCTAACCGTGGGTTCTTTAAATCAATTAACTGTCAGTTCTATGTCTTCCGTTTATTCCACTACAACGAATATTGATGAATATATATATCGTTTGTTAGATGCCGGATATGCATCCAAGGTATCAAAGCATCTCTGTTTGAAATCTTCCGAAGTAGTTGCTATCTGTCGAGCTGCTATGGATATCTTTTTGAGTCAACCTGTAACGTATTTGCTTTCCTGTCCGTACATAGTTTATACATTCTCTTGTATTTGACTATGATGCATTGCAACTCAACTAATTATCATCCTATAGACTTTATTAGAGTTATCTCCATCTGTCAAAATTGTAGGTGATACTCACGGGCAATATACTGATTTGATCCGTTTATTCGAGATGGGGGGCTTTCCACCTACTTCCAATTATTTATTCCTGGGTGACTATGTGGATCGTGGAAAGCAAAGTTTAGAGACCATCCTATTACTCTTCTGTTACAAAATCAAATATCCCGAGAATTTTTTTTTATTGAGAGGAAACCATGAATGTGCCAATGTAACCAAAGGTAAGACAAGCGATTCAAGAAAAAGAAAATTTTCTTCCTTTATACCGATACCCTATGAAACTCGACGTAATATAGTGTATGGCTTTTATGATGAATGTAAAAGGCGTTTGAATGCCAAGATGTGGCGCACATTTGTAGATGTATTCAACGCTTTACCCATCGCTGCTCTTGTTGCTGGCAAAATATTTTGTGTACATGGTGGATTATCGCCTTCTTTGCATCATATGAACGATATTCGACATATACAGCGACCTACCGATGTACCAGATTACGGTTTACTCAATGACCTATTATGGTCAGATCCTGCGGATATTAATGGAGAATGGGAGGATAATGAACGAGGTGTATCCTATGTTTTTGGCAGAAAAGTGATCAATGAATTTTTAGCCAAGTTTGATTTGGATCTTGTATGTCGAGCACACATGGTAGAGTATTATTTGATATATTATTTTATTACAAGATGAATACTAATGGTTTTTTTTTTCTTTTCATCATCAGGTTGTAGAAGACGGTTATGAATTTTTTGATAATAGATCGCTTGTTACTGTATTTTCAGCACCTAATTACTGTGGAGAATTTGACAATTTTGGTGCTATTATGAGCGTAAACGAAGAGTTACTATGCAGCTTTGAGTTACTTACACCTGCGGACCATCCGCTAGCCAAAGAGAGGCTCAGACAGAGCAAAGCGAATAGCAAAAAATAGCCAATGAATAACAATAAATTCACTGTTTACAGCCACTGTAGTCGTCTTTTGGAACCAAACGGTTTACTAACCAATGATATTCATGCCCTGAAAACAAAAAATTCTGTCAAATGCGAGGGCCTGGCACATTCTGTTTTCAACAGGAAGCTATGCATGTGATTGATAATGTTAACGTTCAAGCAACAAAGTGGGTTATATCCCTCTTTTTTCTTTTTCTATCTCAGTCTTTTGCCTATTGTTAGAACTCATCAGTGGCTATTTGCGAAAAGATGCGCAGAAGAATTTATTCGAATTTTCCTCCATGCACATAGTAGCTTCCAATAATTTGTTGAATGAGGAGCAAAACTCGTGAAACAGACATTCCTTACAGCGAACAATTAGAGAGTATAAGTTTAATTTTGTATAGCACCAAAACCATTAACTGCATGGACTGTTGGATTCTATAAGGAAGTGTACACGTTTCGCTTTAAGAATAAAGAACTAAATAAAGAATTTAAAGTCTTGTTTTTCCTACCATTTTTTTTTATTTAAAAAAGATCATTTAGACCACTTATAAAAGTGTCTGACGGCATAAGTAATTTGTTTGAGTGTATTTGTGCTTGAAGTTGTTATCTTACACTTCTTGTACTATGTTTCAACCTTCGCATTATTGTGCCTGGCCTTATTAGACCCAATTATTGCTATGGCATGGACTCAATTTTTTTAGTAAGTTGATTTACATTTATGGTTAATTCATCCCCTTACTTGCGGTGATAGCATGAGAAGAAAAAAATAATCCCAAAGCCTTTACCACCGTGCAACTGCTTCATTGCTAATGACCAAAGGCATTAAACGATAAAGAACGTCGTCATCATACCCATGTTAAGGCGGCCAGTATAGGCCTATTCTAGTCACTCTTTGATTGATGATTGATACATTATGGACTTTTCACCTTTTAAACTCGGTTGTGCTACCCTTTTTTTGAGCCGGATTATGCATGAGGTTCTTCCTTCCAATTGAAACTCCAGTTTCGTGGTTCATTCTTGCTGGTCTTTTTGATTTTCGTTCGAAAAAGTCTAATGAGTTAACTACAGCTAGAGATGAGAGACAGAACATCAGAATTTATTGCACTTGTCGAACGTATCAAAAAGAGGAATGCTCTTAAGAGAAGCAATAATAATAGTCCAACCATAGAGAAGAGCCAGAGGCAAGCAAATAATGCCTCTCGTTCATCTGAATTTTCTCGGATGGCATCTCAACTAAGTCGACAGATCGCAACTACGTCTGAAAAACTGGAGCAACTCACTTATTGTAAACACTGATCTGACCACGTAACCATTGACTTGAACATGTCGATTATTAATTTTTCTTGTTTGTTTTGGTATGACATATAGTAACAAAATTGCATCATGGACTGAATGATACAACCACTACTGAAATTACTGCAAGTATTGAGATTAGCTACAAAGTGTAGACATATAAAACGCTGTTAAGACCTATTGACATTCTTTTTTCAAATCATCAGACTTTACAGCAAGAAATAAAACAAGATATTACGAAACTGAACCAGCATTTGAATATACTCGAGTCAGTAAAAAATGGAACAAGACCGAACTCGAAACAAGCAGGCGAGCATTCCAACAATGTCATTTTATCATTACAGAATCAATTAGCCAAAACTTCATTAGGGTTTAAAGATGTATTAGAATCAGAAGTAAGATCGCCACTCAAATAGACCCTCCATTCCAGGCTTGAACTTGTTAAATTGATTTCCGTGACAAACATAGGTTGAGACAAGACAGCAGTCATCATCACCACCACAACAACAACCGCGCCGACGTATGAATGTTACCAGTGTGGCACCGCCCTACACTCCTTCACCGCAGTTGTCTGTGTCGGGCTCCACTCTCTTGGACGACTCCCCACAATCGTTAGGTATACCCATGATCGCTCCCCAACAACAACTTCTTTTAGAACAAGAACAACAACATCAGTTACAAGAGCGACATATAAATATAAGATCCAATGCTATCGAATCGATTGAAAGCACGATTGCTGAATTGGGGGGCATCTTTCAACAATTAGCAAGGATGGTAGCTGAGCAGAGAGAAACAATTCAACGTATAGATCAGAATACGGACGACATCGAAATGAACGTGATGGGAGCACAAACGGAATTAATGAAATATTATAGAAACATTAGTACGAATAGATCCTTGTTTTTAAAGATTTTTGCTACCATTATTTTTTTCTTTATACTATTCACCTATATCATGTAGAGATCCATTTACAATATAAAACAAGTGGGTCCAAGAGATACAATAGAAAAGATGTATGGCAGTTGTGCTTTATTTAATGACAACTTTCATTGAGATCATTACCGCGTATTGTACCTTTTCACTCGCGGCGTCTATAGGTATTTCTATTCATTTGCCTTGCAAGATACTATTTATTCAGAGTTTTATTCTACGTTTTGAAGTACTGATGAGTCCATAGTCTATTGTTATTTTGCTTGCCTATGATCCTCCGTTTGTCATTTAGTTTAATTTACTTTGTTTCTATTTTTGTTTCTACATTCATGAATTGACAACGATAAGCTTTTTGCAATCCGACTACAAGATATTGCTTGCTATTAGCTTCTTTTATATGATACACTTCGATGGACAATATATACCTGCCAAGTGATCGGATCGAATCAAATCAATTAGGTCCCATTGCTTCCTATTAGGGTAAGAATTATACTTTTGTTGGAGTTCTACAGTCCGCCGTATTAAAAAGGAGACAGATTCGCGCGCAACCTCAAAAATGCAATAGATCTTCATTTGTTCGATTCCAACATTTTATAAACATAGTATGCACAGTCAACAACATCCTCCACCGCTTATCTATAATCCTGCTGCCGGTGTCGGTGGTGCCACCATACCACACCTCCCACCAGGTTGGGTAGAATATCGTGCACCTACAGGTCAACCCTACTGGTACAACACGATGACACGGCAAAGTTCATGGATTTTCCCTTCTGCATTCGTTGCTAACCAACCACTGCCACGATCCTCACCCATGACGTCTCAACAACCTGTAGTGGAAAAGAAAAAAAAACACCAAATAAAGTAAAATGAAAAGCAAATGCTCTCGATGCCTTGATTGCGTGCAATGAACAGAAAAACAAAAACTAATGTTCCTCCACCCTGCCTTCTTTCCGATTTGCATAGAAAAAAGATTCCAAACACACACTGGCTGTTTGTGATTACACCAGAAGGCTACGAATTTTATTATGATCGTGAAAACAAAACATCTGTTTGGGAAATGCCAGAAGAGTTGGAAGAGGGTATGGCATTATTAAAGAAACTAGAAGAAGAGGAAAAGGAAAAGCAAAGGAAAGAAGAAGAAGAGGGTCGAAAACGACAGTTGGAAGCGGAAGGAGCTTTAGAGCAACTGGAGGAAGCCAAAAGAATAAAGTTAGAAACGGGAGAAGAAGGACAAGGGCAAGGCAGAGAAGCGGAAGGAGAGCAGCGACAAGATCAGGCTCAAGTACAAGCACAAGAGAAGGAGGCGGAAGAGCCTCAGGAAGCGACAGAGTACAGTATAGAGAACTCGTGCTAAAAGCATAAGTGAAAAAGATAGTTTGACTGACCATTTTATGATGTCATGTAGAATGACAGAAGAGGATATTATGTGGCAATTGCAACAGATGGAGCAGGACGAGGCTGAAGAAGAAGCAGTGGAGGTGGAAGAAAAAGAGCAAAAGACACAACCAGCATCATCCACTACTAAAGACAGTCCACTTTCAGAAGAAGAATGTATCAGAAGATTCAATGAATTACTGAAAGAAAGAAATATATCACCGTTTGCTGTGTACTCTGCAGAATATCCTAAACTCATGTCTGATCCGAGATTTTCTTGTAAGTTCATCCCAAACGTATGATGTATCAACAGATGAAAAACATAATTGACAATGAACTATGATATGCATAGTGATACCCTCTCATAAACAGAAAGCGCTATTTAATAAATACTGTAATGCATTAGGCGAAAAGATCAAACAAGAAAAGGCGCATAAAAAGGTAAGATAGACTTCTCCTCAATGCACAATGAACAGGCATTTTACCCAAAACGTTACATCTGTACTTTTTAGAAACCTCAAGAAGAATTTAAAGAACTACTAGAGCAAAAAGTAACCAAGAAAATGTATTGGGAAGACTTTCGTCGTAAATACAAAAATGACCCTAGGTTTCAATTGAGCCATTCAAGCATGACAACCAAGGAAAAAGAGGCATTATTCAAGGATCATGTGAAGCATCATTTGAACAGCAAGAAAAAACGATCGCCCAAAGATGAATATTTCGAGCTTTTACGTGATACAAAAGAAATCCGTCACGGGGTGCGTTGGAGAGACGCTAAAAAGATTTTGGAAAAAGATGATCGTTTTTGGTTGGTTGAATCAAAAGAAGAAAGAGAGGATTTATTCAGAGATTATTTAGAAGAATTGTAAAAAAAAAGAAAAAAAGAAATGAAAATCTTTTTTCGTGAGATCTTTCGAATATCGAATATACAAAATAGTTGAATAATAATAAATAAGGAATATGAAGCAAAAAAAAATAAAAATAAAAAAAAATAAGGGCAAACAGTTGAAGAGGGGGTTGCGGGGGTTGGTTTTTTTTTTATATCTTATGTACAGGGCAAACTTATATTTTTAATTACACGTTATAATGGTAATGGTATATTTTGGGTGGTTCAGTTGCGAATCTAACAGAATGCTGTTGTTGTAGTGGTTGTGGTTGTAAATGGTTATGAGACGTCGTCGTCGTCTTAGTTGTAGTTGTAGTTGTAGTTGTAGCTGTAGCTGTAGTCACCGTCTGATGTGTTGACGTGGTTAATATAGATGGTAAAGAGACATTGTTTTCATATAAAGTGTAATGAGGCGGTGGGTTAGTAGAATTGTAATAAGTATTGTAGGCTGTAAGAGAGGTATCATGAAAAGAAGTCGTGGATAAAGTGGGCGTAGGCGGTGGAGGGGGTAACAATGGATTATAGGCCCTTCTAGAACCTGTAAATTTCGATTTAAGCATTTGCTCTTCCGGCTGATTTTCTTCTTTTTGTCGTTCTTTTATAATAGCTTGTATTAATGCAAAACTATCACTTCGACGATGGTGTTTCTTGAACGTTGTCGTTGAAGGAGACGGAGGAGGAGAAGGTAAAGAAGCCATCATCATCTATGTGCGCCTTTGTGAGCTGTAGATATACTATGCCAGCGATTGTAGATACTTGTAGCGACAGTGATCAATGTGTATAGTCTCAAGAAAGAAGGGAAAGAGAAAGAGCCGAAAATATTTTCAGAGGGGGGTGGATGTAATGAAAAGAAAGAGAAAAAAAAAAAAAAAAAAAAAAAAAAAAAAAGCTAAACCAATCATTTCATGTCGATCCTTCATGTCGATCACTTTTTTTTCCATTTTTCTCGGTTTACAGCCATTTTTCCTGTTTTGCCTTTTTGCCCACCCCTCCCCCTCCCTTTATCTGTCTGCCTTTTTCAAAGGCAAAATTCACTCATATTTTGTGAATTAGCAGTCCATTATTGATAGTTAGTCAATCCATTCTTCTTAGAAGAATATTGATATTTAATACATAATAATCTAATAAAGATGTCTATAAAAATATTGCGGACTTCTCTTGGATTTCGGACAACCCTACCTAACACAGTTTATGTACGTAAGATGTAAGAAGGTTTATATACTGTACAGGTGTGCGGTGGTAATTTTATACAATTAATGCGAAATACATTAGTAGCCGAGTTACGAGTTTTGCGGCTTCTGATCACAGCCAATCAAAATCAATGTCACTGGTCAATTAAGAATGGTGGCATTGGCCAACCAAAAGCAATGCCATATTTTTAAAAATGTAGTCACTTTACGCTTGCTTCGAATCAGGTACTGAGTGTATTTTTTCTTTTCGTTTTTTTCTTTTTCAATACTTTACGATTCAACATGAGTACGGTATTTCTATATGAAGATGGACATGGGAATGTTATTGATGAGAACGGTGGTCCTGAGCCTATGGACTACATCGTTGATCAGAATGAACTTATCGTTGAGACTATTGCTACTCACACAGAGTACTTGGGAAATGCAGCCCCCATTGAATCTTCTCTGACTTATCCAATATTGGAAAAGCCAAAAAATGAGGATGTTCATATGAAGGAGGTAAAACCAAAACGAGAATAGGTGCGTTATACAGTTCAGGATAAAGCTAGGTTTTCCGATCTGAAGATTGAAAAGTGTATGACTGCAGCAGCTGCAGCAAAGCAGTTGGGCATTCACCCTCGAACAGCTTATAGATGGGTGAGCCAATACAATGCGTGCCCTGACGGTATTTTTGATAGCTGTAAAAAAGTAGGTCTTAAGTATATCTTGACTGAAGAACATAAAACGACTGTTATTAACTTCATTGAAGCTAATCCCTCTGTTACTGTTGTTGAAATGACCGAGCATTTATTGAAGCAATTTCATGACACGTAAATGTAACCTTTCGCTGAAAAAAGCAGATTTTCATTCTATTGAGAGAAACAGTCCAGCGAAGATTGAGGAACGGTACAATTGGGTTTGCAAATGGGAAAATACAGACGTGAACTTTCTGACGAATTGCGTATTTCTTGATGAGTCTGCTTCTGATATAAATATGAAACGCTCAAGAGCTTGGTCCAATAAAGGTACTCGCGCTACTGTAACCAGACCTACTACAAGAGCAACTGCAACATCTATACTAGGTGCTATTTCTGCCTCACGTTTGATTACCGTCGGCGTAAAAAAACCTAGACCTGCAAAGAAGAGAAAACCTGATGGATACATAAGCTTACGGACTGTTACTGGTCACTATATCAGTTTCTTAAAAACGACACTCGATAAAATGGACAAACACCCACATATGAAAGGCTATTATATTGTTATGGATAATGCACCTATTTATACACACGAAAATATAAAGAAATATATTGAGTATCGAGGATATAAATGTGTGTATCTTCCTACTTACTCTCCTGAACTTAACCCAATTGAACAATTCTGGGCAGTGGCAAAGAGTAAGGTCAAGCGTCATAGGTTTTTACAGGAAGACACTTTGTCCAAGAGAATTACAGAAGCCTGCAACAGTGTGAAGCAAAGTCATTTCAAAGGATTCGTCTCGCATTCTTATCAGTGTTGGGACAAAAGTCGAAACAGACAATCTATGTAGTGACCCAAACAAATGTGCGATTAAAGGAAAACGGTGAGTGGCAAGACCAAAAAAAAAAAATCATGATGGTATTTTTCACTTTACAAACGATGTGATACCAAATGAAGTGAAAAAGAAGCGCTTACCTGGTATCAAACCGCTGTTTTTTTTCAGAAAGTATCCAATCACATTTCGCATTCAAACGATGTGATACCTGTCGTATTTGAGGGTAGATGATATAATTCACTCTATGAAGGATAAAGATGAATTATACAATATTGCAAACCAGAAATAATTAGAAACTACATAAACTCTAATATATGAGTACCGTGTGTGGTATTTCCATACCTCCTATAATATATAAAGACGAATTAGACGCACTTTCAAGCATTTGACTCGTTATTATGATCATAGAATCATAATAACACCTGTACACGCCATCTTGTATTTCTAAATATACGCATATACATATGCTGCATTTCTTACTGGTTGAATATATCAGGAACGAGTATTTAACTCCATTTTTTTTGTTTCTCTTCTTCTTTCTTTTGTTGTCAATACAAACATCCAATTCGCTATGAACGCTTCCCTCTCTGATTTCCAGTGTATAATAAATGGACTAAAGGAGACTCATTCCACCTTACAGTTTATAACAAATTATAAGTCGCGTTCACTAAACATAAAACAACTACAAATATCACATACTGCACCTGTTTGATATCTAGTAACGAGCAAGTTTCACTTCTGTTGGTATCAGTATCATTATTAAAAATGGCTGAGTTGCCATGCCAGCTGTTTTCTTTGCACCTTCCGCATAAACATCGACCTGGCACAGATCTTATGTCAAAGCACGTTTTATTGGATTCCACCGTCATCAACATGGTTGTTGAGACTGTAGTCAATCCCAGTGCAAAGGACCAATATTCGCCTTGGCCTACCGAATGGCCGAACGGTAGTATCTCTGACGTTTTATATTTGCCCAACACATTCGATGATGGCAACCTCCCTCCTGTTTTAATTGAAATACAACACACAGTTGACAACGACTTTCTTTTGAGAGTCATGACTTACGCCATTTCAGTTTATCGACAACACAACAAGAAAAAACCGATTGTGATTATATTTACTATATCTTCATTGAAATACTAGGTCTCGAAAAAAACAATTTGCAACAAAAAACATCGTTTTATATTGCAATACACTTGTCAACCTTGGGCTCATGCCTGCTATATCATCGATAAAAATTCATTGCAATCAAGTTTGGAAGAACCTTTACATCCTTTTGTCGCATTATCTATATTTATTGTCACGTTCTGACCTCTAATTCATATAACAATCTGAGAAACAATCCAGATTTACTGCCTTTACCAGTTATAGTGTACTGGAACAAATAAGATTTCATCAGGCACACTTCAACCTTACTGGTAATCTAGATATATCTCAGTGGCGTTGTACAATTCATTAACAGGAACAATATTACTCGGTTGCCACTACTACTTTCTTAATTCCACTATAAGCTCAGTTTAACCTCGCATTCATATAAAAGACCATTCAATTTCTAAACCAAAATAAAATCATCCAAGAACTATTGTTCGGTCTCGCTGACTCCGCTCAGTCTCTACATTTAAAACTTATTAAATTATAACTCCTGATATCTTAGAATATCACATTTATGATTGGTCAGCATCCTTCGCTTTTGGCCAATCCTTACCGTGCCAACCCCATCATCCAGCAACTATATTCCATTGCTACACGTGTTTTTAAAGAACAAATAAGAGAACATAAGCCTGTTGAAGATCTGATATCACTTTGCCTGGAAACGGAGAGTATGATTGCACAAACAATAGCAACATTACATGAAGAAATACCAGACACAACATTGTGGAAACGTACGAAAAAAGTTCTCATCGATGGCAAGTTAATCCCAGAAACATATAAACGAAAATATCAAACAACAATGGAATCCTCATCTTTGGAAGAACGCTATGAAGTCAAATTATTACAGATGGAAGAAAAAGCAAAATGCATAGTTTTTTTTTTTTTTTTTTTTTTTTTTTGAGGAACAAAAATAAAATCATGTCACTGTTTATCATTTCACTTTATATACTGATCACAAGGCTCTCACTTACTTGCATACACAGCCTATTGCGAATAGTATGATGATCAATTGGCTCGACACTCTACTGGATTATGACTTTACAGTGATCCATCGACCCGGTATCCAAAATATACTACCAGACAGATTATCGCGTCTATGTTCATGAGCTTTCCATCTTTATTTAGTATTAAAGAAAAGAATGAAAGACTTTTTGATTAGTTCATAAGCTATCATTGAATGAAGAAGAGGTTCATAAGGATCGTCATTTTTTTCTCTGATAACGGTGCAATGTTGCTTGTTTTGTTGCTTAATAATATTTGTTGTCATTGTTTGACTGATCTTCTGCTGAATGAAGGTCAAATTGATGAACTGCGGTAGGTGGCTGATTTATTGGTAATACACCGCCTGGACACAACTCTTCTAACTTTGCATCAAAGATTTTCTTGTAGGACAGAAAAGGTTAGCTTATCATCATGAGCAATACTTCTGCCGTTAGACTATATTACCTGCATCTCATTGGCATCTTCATAAACAAATGAACCTTCTTCATTAAATGTTCTTGCATTTTCAAACATCAAATGGAAATCCTCTCTAAATTGTGCTATTGTTCTATAATAAGTAGAATGGATGCGCTTCTTGATCATGTGCATGGAAATCGGGTTTTTGATCATGGTGTAATACAAAGGATAATCTCGTTTGCTAACAAGGTCCATAAATAATTCGCTTCTACTACGATAAGTTCTACAGAGAAATAGATCATCATGTGAGCGGACAGCATTGTTACTTCTGGCTCTACTGATGAATAACAACACTTACTCTTCATCTTCTTCTGTGGCTTCTTCCACAGCTGTATAACATTCCATCATGATTCTTGTCATTGTTTCTCTCACATGACTCGGTAGTGTTTCAGGCTTATTCAATTCTTCATTTTTACGATGTTTACGTTTCGTTGCATCGGCTGTTTCTCCCTTCTTGGGTCGTCCTCTCTTTTTGCCCGTCATCGTGGCTGCGGTTGTGGCACTGCTGATGGAGACCTCATCCAATGGGTGGCTTCCATCACGTCGGCCGCGGCGTCCTCTCTTTGCAGGTTGTATCGGCTCTTCCGATCCGTAGTCCTCACCCGTGAGTTTCGCTAGACGCTTCTGACGACGTCGCTCTTTCTTTGCAATCAACTCATCCAAATCCACATTATCGTCTTCCAGCGCATTCAGCCATTGTTCTTCTGTTAAGCCATCGTCATAACGCACATGATCACGCGCTCTTTGACCACGGCCCAGCACACTGGGATCCTCTTCTTGCGTGGGTATAGGATCATCATGCAAATAAATCTCGGGCAATTCAGCTTCTGTAATCAAACGTTCAGGCTTGCCACGACGGCCTTGTGCTTTCCAAACCCGTAAATCATTGTCTTCTCGCTCATCATCAATACGGTGGAAAATAGCAAGATCGTCATCACTGCGTTGTAGCATCTCGTTCAACTCTTCATCATCCACATCTTCTTCTTCGTCATTGTTATCGTCGTCCGCTTTGTCTTCCAACAAACTACGCAAAAACGCTTCACGATCTTCCTCTGTACTGCGGTTATCGAATTTGCCTGCTTGAATCACTTTACCGTCAATGTCCAGCTTGTAGTTGGCACGAGCCAAGATATTCTCTTCTACTGAATTGGTCGAGATCAAACGGAAGATACGCACCTCTTTTGTTTGCCCAATACGATGGGCACGATCTTGCGCTTGTAAATCTTGATGGGGATTCCAATCAGAATCAAAAATAACGACTGTGTCGGCTGTCTGCAAATTGAGACCAAGACCACCCGCACGCGTACTGAGCAAGAAGACAAAATAAGGCGAGTTGGGCGCATTGAACTCCTTTAATAACTGCGAACGATCATCTGCTTTTGTAGAACCATCCAAACGCAGATACGAAAATCCTCTCCAATTTAGGAAATCTTCCATGATGCTCATGATGGCCGTCATTTGGAAGAAAATCAGCACACGATGCCCTGTGGCGCGTAATTTGGGTAACATACGGTCTAGCAATTCGAATTTGCCCGAGGTACGGTACAAGAGTTCATTGGAGAGACCGCTGGGATTCACAAGATTTTCGACCTCTTCAAAAGCAAAGGGGTGATTACAGATTTTACGCAGCTGCATGATGGTATTGTTGAGACCCTTGACAGCGGACTTGCCTTTGGGATCCAAGGAGGTATAAAGTGTGCCATTGCGTTTCATTTGTGTATACAAGTGCGTCTGAAGCGATGACAATTTACATTTGATCACACGCTCCACCTTATCAGGTAATTCCGCTTCAACATCACGCTTCAGTCTTCTGAGCAAGAAGGGTCGCAGGACTTTGTGAAGACGTTTGATAATCAACAGCTGTTCTTCTTCATTCAGCCCGATTTTATCAGCAACACCTTGGTTGTTGAAAGGCGTATTGAACCATTCTTCAAAACTCTTGACACTTTTAAAGATTTTAGGCAAGATAAAGTTGAGTAAAGCCCATAATTCTGGCAGATTATTCTTAAGGAAACAATGTCATGTCGAGTGAGCAAAAAGATGCAAAAGACACCCCCCCCTCCCCCCAAAAAAAAACCTGACAAACTCACCTGTAAGGGTGTACCAGTGAGAATCAATCGATATCTCGTATGGTAAAATTGCCGTAGCACAGTCGTCAGTTTCGAGTTTACATTTTTCATACGATGACCTTCGTCCACAACCATATGCAACCATTTCACTTTACTCAATGTAGGTCTGTCTCTGATAATGTATTCAAAAGTGGTCAACACGACTTGAAAGTCGTGATAACGCAATTCGGCTTGCAATTCTTTACGGACTTCAGGTGGACCCTTATAGACAATGGTCTTGACAGAAGGAGCCCATTTTTCAAATTCCAGTGTCCAGTTCGTCAGTGTCGAGAGAGGAACAATAATAAGATAAGGACCATTCTGTCTTTTCCTCTCTATCAGATAAGTAATCAAACTGATGGTCTGAATCGTCTTACCGAGACCCATTTCATCTGCCAAAATACCGTTCAAGTGATTGTTATACAGCGACACCATCCATTGCAGACCCTTGATTTGATATTCTTTCAAGCGGCCACCCACCAGAATGTCTGGCTGGGACACCTCCTCCTTTATACGGTGTGTCACCTTAAAGTAATCGTTATTGGTAGGATCTTCATCCAGATTTTCGTCCTCGTCATCCAACAGATGGTGGTCCTCACGATGCACACTGTCGTTTTGTTGTTCACGCACGGCCTTGGTCAATGAATCCAAAAAGGTGCCTGTTTGTCGCAGCAGCTGTGTCAATCGTGTATCCTTGGCTTCATCGATCAACCGCATGTACGCTTCTTCATCATCGTTCTTCAAGGCACGAATACGCTCTTTACTGATGCGTTCTGCACGCTTTTGTTCTTCCTTTTCCACATGCTGATGGTAAGACAAGACAGCACGACCCAGCTTGTTTTGTTTCGCACGATGCGTTGCTTGTGCCAACACCAAGCTACGTCCATGATCGCAGATCGTTTGTAGGTAATCCAGGTGTTTCTGTTTTTCACGATGCTCGCGATCCGTACGTTGCTGACGCTCAATCTTTTCTGTCATACGCGCTTCACGCAATGATTGCTTCTTCATACGACGGTAGGCAAGGCGATCCGCTGACGTCGCTAACGTCGTTGAACGCTTCATTCCGTGAATGATTTCATCACGCACTTGTCGTTGTTTGCTCAAGAGACGGAGCGCTTTGAGTTCAATCACCGCTTTGAGTTTGATCCTATTGACAGTGTTATTGTCGTTGTTGAGATTGCTCGGCAGTTTCTCGAGTTCTTGAATACGATATTGGATACGAGCAAGCTGACGGCGTTCACGTTCGGTAATGATGGAGTAAGGATCCATACCAGTGGGTGTAATGCTTGGAATCAATAGACGTTGTTGGCGTGACGCATGTGCAAATGAACTGATCGGCTTCTTTAACAGATCATAGGGTGGAACATAAGCATTGAATGGTAGTGAGTTTTTCGATGCGATTGTTGTCGAGGTCGTAGTAGCAGCCAGCACATCGGTAGGAACAGCAGGAGCGCCTTCCGTAGCAGCCGCTGTGGAAGGTTGCTGTTGTTGTTCGGTGTGAGTTGCTTGAGGTTGTATGCTTAAGGCCTGTGCTTGTGTTGTCGGTTGATGTGCATTAGGAGCAGTATGAGTGACAACATGATTGGCTTCCAAAGACATTCCAGGTACTGGTGCTGGTGCTGGTGGTTGAGAGGGAATCGCAGGTTGACCTTGCTGTGCTAATTGTGTTTGGTTAGCTGCCGCTGCTGCTGCTGCTGCTGCTGCTGCATTTTCCATGGCAAGAGCAGTTTGCGGTGACAAAACGGCTTGTTGTAAATGAGGTGGTAGCGCTAAATTCTTTGAAATAAGCTTATAAGCTAGAATCTGGTACTTTAAAGCGGCTAGTTGTGATTGTGAGAATGCGAAGGGTGCATCCGGTGTTCTGACAGTTGATGGGCCCATAACTGAAGGCGAAGCGCTTGGTTGCGATTGATTTTGTGGCGTCAATTGTTGCTGCTGCTGTTGTTGTTGTTGTTGTTGTTGTTGCTGTTGTTGTACAAATCGTAAACGACTCATGATTTGCGCATACTCAGGACTATTGTCCTCTCTTGCTCCTTGCGATTGTAAAAATCGTGCGCGCTAAAGTGAAATAGATTGTTCAGATTAGTACAAAGAAGAGGGCATTTTCAATGAGGAAACGCTGTTAACGGTTCAGCAAAACCTTGAAAGAGACCTACTTGAACAAGACCATTTATGTTGTTTTGGCCACCCATGGGCGGTGGATGGCTAGATGCTAAAGTGTTCATTTCTTTCTTTGGACTTCTCAATCAATTATAATTCCTAACATTTGGAAAAGTTAATGTGTAAAAAAAAGGGGAAGTGTAAGAAGAAACGCGGAACGTTGAATAGGCGCAGAGGTTAATATTTTTCTCTCAGAAAGCAGAATAACCTATGCTTAACCTTCTTTTTTTTTATTTATTTTAGCTGTAAAATGCTATAGAAAATTGATCCATTTACCTTCGATTTACTTTGAAATAGATTATTCGATTTCCAAAAAAGAAGTTCAAAAATCGAAGAGGACAAAAAAAAAATGATACGGTTTTAGTGATAAAAAATAAAAAAAAAACTTGAGATAAAAAGGGGGGTTGAAGCAGCTGGAATGAATGAGAAAAAAGGGAAGCAGTATTAAAGTCACACCGCATTGTTTCCTCATCCAGCCTTGTGATTCGTTGGCTGGTACACTCTTTTCCCAATTAAAAATTGGAATGCTCTCAATAATCAAATTTTGGTACGAATTAAGTGAATAGTTTGGAATATAGCTCGAATGGACACAAACCTTTACTTTCTACTAGATTTAATAAAACGAAAGACAACACGCTCATAGATGGACGCTTTGCCACACCTTTAGATGCTGTATACTATCATGTCAGTGACTGTCGCCTTTATAGACATCTCTTTCCTCTTATCTTGTTGATGGAAAATTTATGAACTATTCGGACTAACTGAAATTGGACATGTTGGATTGGTTACATTGGTAGGGATAAAAGTATAAAATTGAAACAAAAAGCACTTATTCTCCAAGTCTGAATAATGGCAGAAATTCAATACACTACAAGGATTGAGACTTATTCATCTCAAAGCTTTTCAGAACGTTCTGGAGAAGGCATTCTTCAGAATTGATATATATGAGGCACCATTTTTCAAATTGGAGATGAAGAATAACTGTAAGAAAGAAAAGGACATTTTTCAATTTGATATTGATGCAATAGATGCGTGCTTTTGGCTCAGAGGAAATAGAGTGCAAAAGATACAGATTTTAATGACATTCACGAAACCTATGTATCATAGTGTGGTCATCCAAACTAACTTGAACAGATTTTTTCATGACTTAACAATGGTTCAGACTAGCTTATGGCTATTGATGATTTTATACTCGAAATGTGACAGCACCAGCTAAATCTTGCGTCGATAATGAATGCCTCCGCCAGCAGAAGCTTGGTATTTATTTTCATTTTCGATAAAAGGAACAGGGAGACCGGTCCACTAGTCTTTGTTTCTTCGACTGTTCATCTATAGCAACTATGAATCTTGTATTCATCGCGCAAAATACCCCCACAAGGCGTTGTTTAAAACAGTATTTTTCAAGGCATATAGTCAACTGAAGCAATTAGTACCTTGCTCTTTTCTATGGCTGAACATATATGAGTCTTGCCGATGATACTCAAATGCTGGTGCTATGGCGTTTAATTTTACTGCATTCTGGAAATTAAACATTTTCCGTCATGATGGGAGATAATCACCTCGATACAGCAGTGTCTAACGAATTAGTTTTGTACTAACTAGAGGATAGAAGCCTAAAAATGGGGAAACTTGGTAAGAAGCATCATACAAAAGTGTACGACTCCTTTGACAAGCGGCACATTTAATTGATTTAACAGTTTAGTCTGAAAAAATTCAACTGATATTAAATGGTAGAACAAAAGCACGCTTTAAAAATGTACGGCTGCACGCGTATATGTATCAAATGAATCTAACGCGATACTATTCATCGTGGCTTAAGTTTAAGGCATTGTGGCAAAGCTATATTGGCAATATAAAAAACGAAAGCCATGTCGAAATTTAGAATTGATATTATTTTGAAATTTATTTCAATTGTTATTGGATTGATACACGTCACCTTTACCTTTTTCCTTCTTTCACTTTTTCCTTTTTCGAGATACCAAACAACCTTTTTTTTTTTATTTTTTCTCTACTTACTTTTTCTCTTTCCTTCCCTTTGAGGTATTCCTTATTTGATACAATCTACTGCTTTCAATCTTACATCTCTTTTCTAACACCTTTTTCGTTTTTGTCATTACGTCACTGAAAATAGACCTTACTTGTTTGTCTGCATCAGCTTTCGATATTATATACAACTACAACCAATAAAACTATATAATGACTGCCGTTAGTTCTGTTGCCGACGTCGATGCTTGGATTGCACAACTCTCTGATTGTAAACAATTACCAGAAGCTGAAATCAAAAAACTATGTGATAAGGTATACATCGGCAGAGGGTTAGGAAGAATGGCCTTACTTCTTTTGTTCTCGAGACTACAAAGGCTGAGCTTCGCTTTGTATATCACTTAGGCACGTGAAATCCTCATAGAAGAATCCAATGTCCAGCCAGTCAAATGTCCTGTTACTGTTTGTGGTAAGCATTTCGTGCCTATTTTATCTTTGGTGTTTCCGCGAGTCATACGGTACTGAAGCGAGCTCTTTCTCTCTTACGTTAGGTGATATTCACGGTCAATTTCATGACTTGCAAGAACTATTCCGCATTGGTGGTAATTCACCCGATACCAACTATTTATTCATGGGTGATTATGTCGATAGAGGATATTATTCAGTAGAGACAGTGACCTTTCTAGTCGCTCTTAAAGTGAGATACAAAGATCGTGTGACGATTCTTCGTGGTAACCATGAATCACGTCAAATTACTCAAGTATATGGTTTCTACGACGAGTGTTTAAGAAAATATGGCAATGCTAATGTCTGGAAGATGTTTACCGATTTGTTTGACTATCTACCTTTGACTGCACTGATCGAAGATCAAATTTTTTGTTTACATGGTGGTTTGTCTCCTTCTATTGACACATTGGATCAAGTAAGAACGTTAGATCGTGTACAAGAAGTTCCTCATGAAGGCCCTATGTGTGATTTGTTATGGTCAGATCCAGATGACAGATGTGGTTGGGGTATCTCTCCTCGTGGTGCTGGTTATACATTCGGTCAAGATATCGCAGAAACTTTCAATCATAATAACGGCCTGACATTAGTTGCAAGAGCACATCAATTGGTTATGGAGGTGAGCTTGGATTATTAGTGACAACGCGCTTTATCTTTCCTTAACGTTCTATTGACTTATCTCTGTCCCATTTCTTTTTCTACATTAGGGCTATAACTGGACTCATGATCGTAACGTAGTAACTATCTTCAGTGCACCCAACTACTGTTATCGTTGTGGTAATCAAGCAGCCATTATGGAAATTGATGAACATATGAAATATACATTGTAAGTTCCTGTTTTTGCTGGGTAGGAGGTGCAGCTATCTAAATATCGTTTATTGATCTCATCATTTGTTTACTGTTTTTTAGCCTCCAGTTTGATCCTGCCCCTAGACGTGGTGAACCACATGTTACCAGACGCACTCCAGACTATTTCTTGTAAAAATTCCCCCCACACACATCATTCACAAAACAGTTTTTATGACTTTTTCTCTTCTCGTCAATTACGGACTTTCAAGACCTTCTTCCTCTCTATTATAAGGAGATCAATATACTTAATCATTAAACAAAATCACATCTGATACAATATCCTTTTTTGCTTCATGCAACAACGTTAGTCCAAAACCGTTGCATTATTGAAGAAACTGGAGGACGATTTAGTAGTAGTACAATATACAACAGCAGCAAAATATACACAAAAAAAAAAAAAAAAAAAAAAAAAAAAATCTCGCGATTATATGATTGTAACAAATGTATCCGAGCTGTCTCCTTATAATAGTTATTTCTCTTTCATTCCTTTTTCTTTTCTTTTTTTTTTGTTTTTGACGCAATTCTTTTCTCTTTCGGCAATAATAAATCTCGTTACATTTATATCCATATTGTCTGAAAATGCTGGTATTTTTGTTTTTGTTGAGAGGGAGAGAAAGATCCGTATCCTTAATTACATCTATTTTGAGTGTCAGTTGGAGCCCGGGTTTAGCAGGTTCAATTGTCCTTCTGAAATGCCTTCTTCTGGCTTTTTCAAACAAAGCACTAGGTGTACGGTTTTATGACGCCATTAAATTGATAGAAATGCGATATGGAAGCTCTATCAGCCTTCTTCCACCAGAAAAGAGACTAAATCCTATGAATAACAAGTCAGGTCAACTGGTGTACTGAAAACGCGTCGAAAGGTACCTCTACTCCAATTTTCAACCTTGCGCAAGTGAGAATCCTCTGTTTCTCGATTTTATGCTTCTTCTCTGTCATGGCTTTCCCAAAAATGATCATCAAAGAATCCTTAGACTAGCGTTGTATTACACACATCCTTCTTTCGCAACGGTTGCTCAATACGTATCCTACGCTTCCCAAGCAGGTCTCTTTTCTGCCTTATTTCAATTGCTCGCTGCATTACAAGTATCATACGTTTAGGTATTAGCGTAATTTATTATGGCATGATAGGTACTGCTTCTAACAGAATACGCACACTTCAGCCTATGCAATTCCATCTAAATCTCTAATTTCAGTGCCTCTTTCTATCTTTTCACCTCTCATTTTATGCCCCTGTAGATATATTATCTCTCTCTTCATTGTCATATTCAATTTCAGTGGCTCAACTTTTTAATTTATAGTTTTATGATCAGGATAGCAGTATCTAGATCCATTTTCTCTTTGTATGTGGGGCGACCCCTAATTGAATATCCGATCTTCGCGCACTACATTTTATTTCTAAATGGTTTCTGAGAACAGGCTCTTGATGAAATCCCTCCTTTTATACATCCTTCTAAAATGAGGTAAAGCATTGCAGCATATACCATCCATCTGATCCATCCATCGATAACATACACTTAGCATATGTCTATGCAACCTTATATGTAGTTAGTGGATGGTTCGCCCTGAATTTTTTGCTTCAACTTTTCTAACAATACTTCTCATTCTTTCCATTTGAAATTTCAATTTTATGCATTTGAACAATCGTCAACAGCAAGGTTAGCGCTAGTGCCGTTAGAGATATTGTCAACCAAATCCAAGCCGCTTCTCAAGAAAAGAAGCGTAACTTTGTCGAAACCGTCGAACTTCAAATTGGTTTGAAGAACTACGACCCTCAACGTGATAAGCGTTTCTCCGGTACCATCAAGCTTCCCAACATTGCTCGTCCTCGTATGACCGTCTGTGTCCTTGGTGATGCTTTCCACTGTGATCAAGCCAAGGGTTGCGGTATGGAATTCCAATCCGTTGACGATTTGAAGAAGTTGAACAAGAACAAGAAGCTCATCAAGAAGCTCGCTAAGAAGTATGATGCTTTCTTGGCCTCTGAAGCTTTGATCAAGCAAATTCCTCGTCTTTTGGGTCCTGGTCTCCACAAGGTCGGTAAGTTCCCTACCCCCGTTTCTCACAACGATTCTTTGGTTGATAAGGCCAATGAAATCCGTTCCACCATCAAGTTCCAATTGAAGAAGGTTCTCTGTCTCGGTGTTGCTGTCGGTCATCTCGATATGACTGAAGACCAATTGGTCGCTAACATCATGTTGGCTGTCAACTTCCTCGTTTCTTTGTTGAAGAAGCACTGGCAAAACGTCAAGTCTTTGTACTTGAAGTCCACCATGGGTAAGCCTCACCGTCTCTTCTAAGCATTTTTTACCTTTTCCTGTGTATATTATTCAATGGAATAAAAGAACATGATTGATAAAGCAGATGAACAATTATACGCATCATTCTTGAACGCGAATATTTAAACTTAATGATATGTGAGCGATGATAGCTGAAGGATGGATGAGAGATCGACAATGAGAAATGCTATATTCAATATATAAAGGCTGAAAGGAAAAAACGCACGAATGTCAATTTTTCAGGTCACTTCAATTATACCGATATGATTAGACAGGGAAACAAGATCTGTATACAAAAGAATCTTAGTGATCCATTGCAAGCGTGCCTGAATTTTTGTCAAGTGTACAATTACTTTTCTGACTTTTTGTAAGGCTGGATTCAAACTTGGTCCACCATACCACTTAGAAACCGCAATTCGTTGTTCGCTGTCACCAGGCACCAGTTTTACCATATTAATGATTGTGCTTTTGATTTGCTTTACTAGGATTGACGAGACCGATCTATAATATCTTACTACCCATGCGCATGCGAAATATGTTGTAGTGAATTCGATGTGCACTGCTGCTTAGGGTCTCAAAGAACTCGAAACATTGTCAATCAACTTCAGAACTGTTTTCTCCTAAGATGTATCTGTCGTATTTGAGGGTAGATGATATACAAATAGTAAAGATATAATTCACTTTATGAAGGATAAAGATGAATTATACAATATTGCAAACCAGAAATAATTAGAAACTACATAAACTCGAATATGTGAGTACCGTGAATTAAGTGTTGTGTTTAGTTGACAGCATCATATAAGATGTGGAGAACTCGTATACAAATTATACCCAAGATCCTCGCGCCTCATTACTGCTAAAATTTAAACAAAGTAGAGTAGGAAACAAATATAGAATAAGTGATGATTCTTATACGAGATTAGCTACCTCGTATAAGGCTGCTGAACAGGTTGTCATTTAGGATATATAGTTTACTTATTTTACTGTAATACGTTACTATATGACATAGGATATATAGTAGAATTAATATATGGACATGTAGGATATATTGATTCAACACCAAGGTATAATAGGTTATAAGTACTATTCTCTGCCTTCGGCATAAAGAATGATTACAAGATAATAGTTTGTGATCATCCTTTACAATAACCGTTCACTCAACTCAAACACCACGCACGAATACCATTTTCCTAATTAATACTATTTTCCTGCAAGCAGTGCTACATAATGGTTAGGACGGGAAAATAGGTTAGTTGCATGATCACTAGATCAAGCCATGGATACGTTTACAAGTCCACCCGCTCCGGGTAGATGCGTAATCTCCTCAAGGGAGAATTCTATTCTTTTACGGTTCAGAAGACGTACATCTTCTTTGAGTAGAATAACTCAGCTGTCAGTTTCTAGGTTCTGCAATATGAAGAAGATAATTAAATTTTTGCAGTAGATATTTTTCTTCAAAATAAAGACCTACTAGTTTGATCTCGTTAACTTTTTATTGTTTTAACTAAGTGATATTTTACTCCACAAGTCGTCAAATACCACAGATAGAACGAGACCGAAAAAGTCAGATAATTTTTATTTCAATTTTGAGAATATGAAGGCTTTATATATTTTTCAGAGAATTAGCTGAGCTTATAGAGAATGTTAGAAAGATGTAGTTACAACCAATGAGTACTAATGGATCTAATGAGAGATTAGTGAAGGCGTGTTCTTACACTGTTATGGATCTGATACCAGTTTGACTTGTGAACAATTGCTTAATCGACAATTCAAGTCTAAGTTGACAGCCGTTTATGCTGTGTTTAAATTAATTAATTCTCACTCGTGTTTCGATACCGTAGATAGTGATCGGGACATGACAGACCGGATTAACGTCCGAGTTACTTTTAATCACGTGAGCTAATTGTTCATTATAGGTACAACAATTTTTTACCATATTTTTAAATAATGACACGTTAGGAGTAGTAGTCCGTGAAATAACTATGGTTGGTTTTCCAATATAGATTTTGTTGTACTGTTTCTTAACTTAGATATAAGATTGTTATATGAAAGAAAGCTCATTTATTAAAAGTATATTTCTCTTATCTACAGTGACTCACAAAACTGCGACAATGTTTTCAAATTTTGCATAAATCGCAACTTTACTATCAATTTTCCTTAATAAAGATACAAAATGAAAACGAGTAATAGAATAAGGACCCTTCAAGCTCTTATTTCATATCTAGTTTGTGGCATTTGCATGAACCGATCACCCATCAATTAGGAAAATTGACCGATGGGCGAATTTTTGGACATCACGCATAAAATGAGAGATGTCAAAAGATCACTTGCCTACAGAAAAGCGAAGGGATTTCTGAGTTCTAATGGAGTCAATTACTATTAGTACCATTCATTTAAATGCTTTTAATGCTTTTTTCCGTTTTTGTTTCGTACAATTTAGACATTTGCACCTAACTCATTAGTCATTACTCCACATTTACAACTAATCACCTTTAACTCTAGCGATGAGACCAATTCCTTATGATAAAAAGATGGATATTCTATCTAGACTTAATGGTACTGAGTCAAACAGAAGTATTGCCAAAGCTTTTGGAGTTTCAACCAGAACAGTCGACCGCATTGCTAAAGATCATCAATCGGCATCTGACAACAAAGGTGGTAGACCATCTAAAATCAGCAAATTGCTCGGTAGAAAAATTGTAAGATCTTTTTACACTGGGCATTTTATGACAGCTGTAGAGGCTGCCCGGAGCCTACGTGCTCAAGGGTATGATATTTCTCCTCAGACGATACGCAGATTCCTGAAATCTGCAGACTTTGATTCAAAGATTAAGAAGTCAGCTCTGCCACTGACTAATGATCGACGAAAGAATCGCTTGAAATGGGCCAAAGCTCACAGAAACTGGACGGTTGAGGATTGGAAACGAGTTGTTTTTAGTGACGAAACTAAAATAAACCGTTTAGGTTCGGACGGAAAGATGTGGACTTGGGTTAAAAAGGGTGAACCTCTTCAGGAGCACAATGTCAACTTCGCTTACAAAGGTGGTGGAGGAAGTTTGATGTTGTGGTCCTGTTTCACTCAATATGGACCTGGGTTCATAGCCAAGATCGAGGGCGGGATGGACGCCAAATTGTATTGCGAAATACTGAAGGGTGACTTTATGGAGACCCTTAAAGATTATGGGCTTAAAAAGGATGATATTGTCTTTCAGCAGGACAATGATCCGAAGCATACTGCCAAACTGACGAAAAAATGGTTCCAAAAGAACAAGGTGAACGTCTTAGACTGGCCTTCATATTCTCCGGACCTTAATCCAATTGAGAATCTGTGGTTCTACTTGAAGTGCAAACTAGCAGCGTACGATACAGCACCGTCGAACCTAAATGAGTTGTGGGAACGAGTTGCGGAGGTCTGGTATAATAAAGTTACGCCAGAACTATGCTTGAAACATATAGAAAGTATGCCAGCGCGAATTCAAGCTGTTATAAAGGCAAAAGGAGGGTGGACGAAATGGTAAATCGATGGATGTTCTCTGTTATTTGTTGTCACATCAAATAAATTGTTGCTCCGAATCTGTATGCCCTACTTTAATCCCACTTATCTCATCAGTGTATCTGACTAAAACTTAGCACATCTTATAGTATTTGAAAGCTGAAAACCATAGCTTTGCAATGGTGTAATTTTTTTAGTAGGTTTAGGAGGGTCTATATACTGTACGGTCAACACAAAGATTATTTATGCGAAAATTTGAAAACATTGTCGCAGTTTTGTGAGTCACTGCTATTTATACTATCTACTTCCGCTCATTCATTCTACCGAGCACCGAGCCGGACCTCACGTGCTCTAATTCTATTGATTGGGCTGACAATCCTTCACACTCCGTATCAATAAATAGTCCTCAATGGTCCAGTGGCTAGGATCTGTCGCTTTCACCGACATGGCCGGGGTTCGATTCCCCGTTGGGGAATTTTTTTTCATTTTACTTTTGTTCGTAGAAATTGTCGACTGAAAGCTCGTAGTGATGTCGTGTGACACAGATGATATCCAGTCATATCATTGTCGTGCACAAAGCGACGAAGACACGAAGTTTAATGATAGGAGAAAAGACTGGGGTTTTATTCTTTATACAATTGTTGCTTATATATACTTATTCTAAGTTACATCTAATTTATCTAAGGGTAACACGACATCATAGTATTATAACTAGTATAAAGCTGCTTGATATTCGAATCAGAATACAGGGCACTTCTTCCTCTTCTTTTCAAATAAAAATATAGACTGTAAAGTAAATCATAAATTCAGGACACGACAGTGAAAATAAAAAATAAGAGATTAACTATGATGTTTGTAGTAATCGCTGTGCTAGAGCTCGAGTTCTTAATAAGGTTCATGTACTTTTTCTTTATCTTTTATTTTGAGCAGTATGGTTTTTCAAATAGTTGGGACTTAAATCAGCGTTCTAATTCATGAAGAGATAAGCGGTGGTGACAGTAAGGAACCTTGCAAGCCTTAAGATGTCACTATGGTGTTATCATGTGGAGATAAAAACAGACAAAAGGATATACTTAGCTAGAATAAGCTTCAGGACTATGAATAAAAAAGATGTGAAATGTATGTGAATAAAACTATCGTTATGCATTTCAATATGATGCATTTTAATCATCATGTCGTCAGACTGTACAAATATAACTGGTATCGTTTGAGTGCTGTTCACATCATTATATAAGCGTCAGTACGAAGATTGTAATTTGATTTATAGCACATCCCCGAAATAAAATATACCAAGCAACGACTTGGAGACAACAAATATTTTTTCACAAAATGTAGCAATGATAACAAGCAATCTAAAAGTATTTTGTAACTATTTAGTAGAGAAGGTAACAAATGGCTTTATTGTATATGATGAGACCAGCTGGCACACATTGTGCAAATATATATGTGCCAAAGTATAATGCTTTTGAATTTTGACCGCCTGTAATCAGTTTGAATGCTTGATTCCTTCCAAAATTTCATCAATAGCCAGCAACAATGATTGATATTTTTCTGTAATCGAACTCATGTGGTTAGCCTCTGCCAAGCGAAGTTGATTAACCTATATCAAGCAGTAGATTAGGATGGATACTCAATTAAGATTGCTTCTTAGGCTGATAGTTACCTCGGATTCTATTTCGCGCAAACGCTGAGCATCAGCAGCACTCGCTGTTTCTGATTGTTTGAGCTTTTCCAATTCTATTTCCCATTTCATGCTTTGCTCTTTCCATTCTATATCTACCATTTGGCGTTTTTCTTCTCTCTGTACTGCTATTCGCTTAAGGTTTGCTTCATCTTCTTCATATTTTTTATTTACATACTATTTCAAAAATCGAACAGAGATGAGAATTTACATCAAATCGAAAGTTTCGTAAAATGCATACGATTCTTACGCTGATTTCATTTAGCAATTCATCTTCCTTCATTTTTTCTTTTGCAAAACCTTCTTTCATGGTGTTAAGCGTTTGTTTAAGGCCCTCTGCTTGTTGAACCTTGTTCTTAAAGTCGTCAAAAGATTGGATGCATTTTTTTAAGCACTATATGTTGTAATAGTTTAGTGTACAGTCTGATAGTTAATTGTATATCCCATTCTTTCCTCCTTCCATAGAAAATATACGTTACAGTGCTTAGCGCTTTCATTTCTGCAATAGTCCTATCTGCGTTGTCCACTTTTGATTGAGCTTCTACCATTTTTTGTTCAATTAACGGTTTCTCCTGGTTCAGAGTTTCTATCTGTGCCTGTAACTCATGTATGTCTATCTTTGAAATCTCTTTTAACGTATCTACGCGATTTTGCTCTTCAACTGTGGCCATATACAATTCAGACTGAATAGGGGGAAAAAAAAGAAAAAACCACCAGATAATAAGTATAGCCAATTGTTTAAAGAATTAATGAACTGCTTTGTCTGCCTACCATTCTGTCTTTCAGTTCCAATTTCTTCTTCTTCTGGTTCGAAATAGACTTGTTTACCGTGTCTAGTTCCTTTCTCAGTTCTCGGATGCTTACATCCAAGCTTTCATTTTCCATAAGCATCCTTTCGCTCTCCTTCTCCGCCTCTAGGATGACGCTCTCTTTCTCCATGTAATCTGCTATCTTTTTCTGCTTCTCTTCTAGCAAACGTTGGTTTTCATCATTGGCTGAGGTTATTTCGTTGATAGAAGATGCGAATTTTTCATAACACGATTTTTGAACGTCGTAAAAAGCTGCAATATTGGAGACAACCTTTTGAACAATTAGCGCTGTTGAATTGCAGTAGTCAGCGTAGGTAATAGGGCATCGCAATCTTTTTAAAAAGCTGTTGAATTTTTTGTAGAGTGTCACTTGTGTGGCAAGAACGTTCGATGGCTCCTAGACAGGAATAATATACGTTGCAATACAGATGATTTTAGTGTGCAAAAGACCAATATAGTGAGGTTCATCTGACTCATTGAAATAATACCTGACTCTTTTTCTGATCATTCTGCTGCTTTGAATTCTTCTCAGCCCACCAGAAGAAATGGTTATACAACAATTGATAGAGAGATCGAGTTCGTTGCGGGGAAGGATTGGTTAGATCGTTCTCTTTAACACCCAAATCAAGCTCATCATTAAGGAATATTAATAGTTGTTGTACGTTTCTAATAGGAAATACCGAAGCTTGCAATGTTGATGACCGTGAAGACGGATGACCCTCTTGCAGCGGTTGCTGCTTAATCGACTGTATTCTTCTCTGTTTTAGAGGTCGACCGGAGGAAGGTACAGGTAAAAGAGTTTTTTTCTCTACTTTGTTCACCATTGAATGCATATTAGAAAATGTAACTTTTTTGATCGATCGAGGATTTAGCTATCTAAAGGAATAGTTGAGCCGCTACAGTTTCATGCAATCTTTACCAGACATGATTTTACTCACCGATATTTCTGTTCCTGAAATTGATGCGTACTTAATAGGGGAAATCTACCTTGCATTCAAGTGAACTACTTTAATTCTGTATTTGGCTGTTAAATATTGATAGAACTCTGTCATGTCTTTCTAATTTAAGCGTTTTACTATGCTCATTCTGTTTACTCATTCTGCATTCCGGGCATCATCTCTTTAAGGATATATATGTTGGCAAAAATCATTGTTCTAAAACAGTTCTATAAAACGAATGTCTTCTATTTACTGCTCTCCAATTGATGCTTGAGTTTATTCGCAAACAAACAGGTCGATTTACCTTTGCCTTTCGCTTTTCAGGATGCTTCTAATGGATAATTATGGCAGCTTAATAATCCGGATTGGTGCTTCCCGTTGATTATAGGAACTATTCTGCTCTTACAACATTTGTGTAATCGACTATGTTGTCTAGACATTCTAACTTTACAACTCTTACTTACCCTTCAATTATCTCATAAGCTTTCGTGTGTGATTTGGTTATTTGTCTCACGTTTGTGGTCCCTTCTCAATGGAATACAACTTGAAACTTTTGTGGGATCTACATTCCCATAATGGCTTTCAGTGAGACTTTCCTTATCATTATTGCCATTTAAGCCCTTGAAGGATCATAGCACGTATTTGGTGCATACCAGTAAGGACGCTTTTTTATTTCAAAAAATTGACTGGGCTTTCTTTTCTTTTACACCAGCTGAAGCCTATGGAGAATAATGGTATCTTTTGTTTTCAGTTAGTATATACCTATATCTATAAATATCCTAATCAAGGTCAATATTATACACTTGAACATTGTCATTTTATTCTGTATTATAGTCCACCTAGATATCGAGAGTATATTTCATACGGAAGTTTGCTTATTGTTCCTCTCACAATAGGTTTTTTTCTGCCCCAAACACTTTTTTATCTCTTTTATTTACCACTGCGTATATGTCACGACCTCTGGTTGATTGATTTTTAAGCCACGTCAATATGTTACAGTACGTATAATAAGGCAGTTGTTAGGCAACAATTAGGATAGCAAGGTACAGAATCTAAGTCAGTGTGCTCTACTATTTCTAGACGTCATGTACCAATGTGACTTATTCAGTCTGAAGCAATGTGTTCATTCAGTAGTTAGTGACGACACCGTTCAGTGGTAATTAACCGAGCTACAACAGTTGGGTATGTTTTTCGTTTTATTATATTGTTTTTGAGAGCCCCCATAGAAGAAGTTTTTTACAATATCCACAATTATAACAAAGGTGCTTTGTCCCTACATGTTTTTTGTTTTCATTCAAAATTCAAAATGTTACTGTTGATTAAAGCAGATGGTTTTCATATATTTCCTTTTGTTTTCGTTTCTCTCTGATATTTGTATTTATATTTTAATACAACCTAACTTCCGTTCAACCACCGTCCACTCTTTTTGTATGGTTCCATCAGCATGCTTTGGATAAATAAAGCAGGTCTACTCACCTTTCTTTGTCACATTATTCATAGCAGTCGAATCGCTGTTATATTTGATTCATTAAACCAATATAGTTATTGATGCAAAATAGTCTCAGTAAAAATGATGAAAAAAACATTGCCGTCCCAGAGCAGCCTTGTTCTTTCTTTTCCTATAACTGCAGTAGTATAAACATTTTCAAAGTTTCTATTTGTTGACGCTCTGCTGTATTTTCGAATTGTACGAAGAAGAGTATGCGTATATTCTAGGCTAAGGAAATCGCCCGAACAAAATATATGAGAAAAACCTAAATCTCAAATTCTTATCGTTCTTAGGAACCACTGTTCTGCATATGCTTAAAGTCATAGATCCCAATCTTTTAGTGTAAATCAAAATTAAATGAAAAAGGACTTCGTGAAGGACCAGATATACACATAGGATATCTTCTAAGTGAGTAGAGAGATAGTAAGTTAATGATAAATGTAGTGAGTAATGGTCATCTGTCTTAATTCTATTTAGGGATTAGTTGCTCTGTGAGCTCATCCACTATCTGATATATATACTGTCTATGTTTGGAAGTAAAGTAATTCTTCAGCATCCTTCTATTTGTAGCGAAACTTAATTATCATGGTCATTGAACTCTTTTGTGCAGGTTCCTATTCGCACTAAATTTCAATAGTATACACAATATCCAAATTTCTGTTAATCGAAATAGAAATTTCGGCTTAAGTGGCTATATTTTAAAGCGTCAAAAGAGCAAATTGATTAGTAGAAGAATCTAGGCTGCTTTTCGGTTGCTGAGTTAGACCTAGCCTTAACAAAAATACAATGTAATTACCAAAACATTTACCTACTGACCCAGCTAGAACAAGCTAATAAATCGTTCTAAGAAGAGAATGTTTTGCTTGACCACCTTCTTTTTTTTTATAAACAATCTTTCAATTATACGTTAACTTCACGACGGTAATAATGGTGGCTAGAAGCGTCATTAAATCAAAGGCTGCACTCGCTCTCGTCAGAGAAACCCACAAAAATTCAGTACGTCTGAAAGAAAAGATTGCATACTTTGTGTTGTTCAGCGGCTGTAAACATGGGTATGCTAGTAACATACACCTTTCAAGTATAATGATTTTAAAAAATGAAAGGTTTATCGTTGATTTCTTTAGGATTTATCTTTATGGATTAACCATATGAAACTTGTCGTAGAGCGTGATATACTATTCTTTATTTCACTACTGTTACAGGATCCTTGAGAAATTGGTATCGTGCATCATGCTTCTTCTTCAAACCGTTTTAAATTTAGGATTTGTCGATGTATAGGTGTCAGAGAGATGCTATTATGTGCTACTTCATTTCTAAACGTGAGTTCTGCTACGAGTATCTGAATCCTCATTGTTATGAGTTTGTTTTACACAATATGATCCATAATTAAACAACTCATCAGTGCAGGTACGCGATCGTTATTGAACGCTGAATAGGTTTTTATCTCATTTTTTGGGCATACGCTAGCCTGAAATGTTGACGTTATATAAACGTTATATCAGTAGAAAAACCTGAGTACATTCATTAATAGCCTATGATATGTATATTGCTACATTGACGCAGAAATTGGAACTGTTAGCGGTCTTTAGTGTATACCCAAGCCCTATGTTCGCATCTTTCATAGAAAATTTGCTGTAGTTACGAAGCTTTCATAATGTGCCTAGTTTTTGTTTCTTTCCGCTTCGATTCCTCCTTAAAACACTAGAGTAGAGGACTAATAGAACAATCTCAAGCCTTCGGCTCAATGCCATATAGAAACGGAGGCAATACTTTCATAAAAGGGCATTACATATATTAAAGAAGGTTGATATGTAATAGAACTTATAGAAGATTATAGCAAGTCAGTTATAACGGTAGATTATTGGTAAAGAGAAACAGTAACTGCACCGACTTCCATAATCCAGAATAAACTACAATCATGCTGTTTAAATACCTGTCCTTTGTACTAGCAGCTCTAGTAGTGATATAATGTATGCTATTGATACGAACTGTTTCCAATTAATATCGTTTATTCCTGTAAAATATAAACATTCTTGTTGCTGATTTTTCTGCTGCTGTTGTTCGTCTACACGCTACAATTTTAATATCAGGTAAGGTTTCAGAATTGTATATATTAGGCTCCATTGTTCGAATTACCAGCAGCAATAAGAATTAATACTTTCGAGGTAGAGCTAAGAATTGGACGAGCATCTTTTTACAAGCACTACTACTTCAATTTGAACTATACCATTTCAGTCTTGCGGAAATTATTTATGACAGGTTTTACCAATGATAAACGAGAGCTCTGTTTCCCGCAGTAGTGATAGTCTTTTTTAACATTTCCAGCTAAGGTCATTGAATCATAAACTATATCCCTTATTGGTTTGAAATTTTTTTTTTTCTGAACCAAAAAAAGGAAAAAAAAAGCTCTTTTTTTTTCCCCTTTATTTTTCGATACTTTTACCTTACATTTTTTTATAACGAGATCATGACTGGAGAACAGTTAGAGTGGCCCGTTAACAAGGTTCGTTCCACCTTCGTCAAGTACTTTGAAGATAATGGACACGTATTTGTCCCTTCTTCCTCCACCATCCCTCATGATGATCCTACTCTCCTGTTCGCAAATGCCGGTATGAACCAAGTAAGTATTTGGCCGAGAATAAACGTTTGAAGAGAAAAACATCAGTACCGAATAAGTGATCACATACTCACGATACATTCAAAAGTTCAAACCTATTTTCTTAGGTACACTCGATCCCAATTCACCTTTGGCTAATGTTAAGCGTGCTTGTAACTCTCAAAAGTGTATTCGTGCAGGTAACAAACAAGATCGATTAACGTAGATCGCAAACTTTGATCAACAGTATTGACTGTAAAGAATCATTTGTTAATACTCACTAGGTGGTAAGCATAATGATTTGGATGATGTTGGTAAGGACACCTATCATCATACCTTTTTTGAAATGTTGGGCAACTGGTCTTTCGGTGATTATTTCAAGGTGGGTTTATAAACTGTGGAACAGATTTGTATTTTATTTGGAAATCAATCAATTCGACACTGGTTGACCATTTGTCGTTGTGTATAGGAAGGTGCTGCCAAGCTTGCTTGGGAGTTTTTGACTAAAGTAATCAGTCTCCCTGAAGATCGTCTTTATGTCACTTATTTCGGTGGTGATGAAAAGTTGGGCCTTGCTGCTGATCTTGAAGCCAAGCAAATTTGGATGGATCTTGGTGTTGAAGAGAAGCGTTTGATTCCTGGTAACGTCAAGGATAACTTTTGGGGTAAGATTGCTCGATCGCATCGAATAATATTATAGCTGAACCTCGGTAAAGAAAGAAGAATTAATCATTGTTATATTCTAGAAATGGGTGAAACTGGTCCCTGTGGCCCTTGTTCAGAAATTCACTATGATCGTATTGGTGGTCGCGATGCCGCTCACTTAGTCAACATGGACGATCCCAACGTCCTCGAAATCTGGAATCTTGTCTTTATGCAATTCAACAGAGAACAAGACGGTACTCTTCGTCCTTTACCCAGTCAACATATTGATACAGGCCTCGGCCTTGAACGTCTTGTTTCTATTCTTCAAAACAAATATTCCAACTACGATACCGATTGTTTCCTTCCCTTATTTGAAAAGATTCAAGAATTAACCAATGCTAGACCTTATGCTGGTAAATTAGGCGATGAGGATGTTGATGGTATTGACACAGCTTATCGTGTTGTTGCTGATCATATTAGAACCTTGACTTTTGCAATTTCTGATGGTGGTGTACCAAGCAATGAAGGCCGTGGTTATGTTTTAAGACGTATTCTTAGACGTGGTGCTAGATATGTCCGTAAATACTTCAACGTTCCTATTGGTACTTTCTTCTCTTCTCTTGTCGATACTTTGCTTGTACAAATGCATGAGGCTTACCCCGAATTGGGTAAGAAGGCTGACGAAATCAAGAGCATCCTCAACGAAGAAGAAGTTGCTTTCTCCAAGACACTGGATCGTGGTGAAAAGCTTTTTGAAGGTTATAAGAACAAGACCAAAGAATCTGGTTCTGATGTCATGTCTGGTGACGATGTATGGCGTCTCTACGACACATACGGTTTCCCCGTCGATCTTACTCGTATCATGGCTGAAGAAAATGGATTAAAGGTCAATGAAGCAGAATTCGAAGCAGCTCAAGAAGCAGCCAAAGAAAAATCTCGTAAGACCAAGGGTGGTAACAATGGTCAAGATGTTGTTGCTCTTGATGTTCACGATTTGGGTGCCTTAGACAATAACGATACTGTCCCTAAGACTGATGATCACTACAAATACTTGCCTGGTAACATCCAAGCTGAAATCAAGGCTATTTTCTTTGAACACAAGTTTTTGGATAATACCAATGATATTCCTGAAGAACGCAACTTTGGTCTTTTGATGGACAAGACTAACTTTTATGCCGAATCTGGTGGTCAGCAATATGATACAGGTTCTATTATTACTTTGGATGGCAATACTGAGTTTGTCGTAGAAGATTGTCAACTCTTTGGTGGATATGTCCTGCATGTTGGCCACCTTAAATATGGTCAATTGAAAATCAATGACAAGGTCGAACTCACCTACGATGATTTACGCCGTTTCCCCTTGAGAAATAATCATACTGCCACACACATTCTCAACTATGCTCTTCGAGAAGTACTTGGCGAGGATATTGATCAAAAGGGTTCACTTGTTGCTCCCGAAAAGTTACGTTTCGATTTCTCATTCAAGTCCGCCGTTAATATCAAGCAATTGGCCGAAGTTGAAAAGATTGCAAACGAATTTGTCGCTAAAAACCTCAAGGTTTATTCTAAGGAGGTTCCTTTATCCATTGCTAAGGCCATTCACGGTTTGAGAGCTGTCTTTGGTGAAACCTACCCTGATCCCGTCCGTGTCGTTTCAATTGGTTTTGACGTTGATGAAATTGAAAAGGATGTGTCTAATCCTAAATGGAAAGAATCCAGTATTGAGTTCTGTGGTGGTACTCATGTTGATAAGACTGGTGACATTAAATATTTCGTTATCCTTGAGGAATCTGGTATTGCCAAGGGTATCCGTCGTATTGTTGCTGTTACGGGTGACGAAGCTGCCGCCGCTCAGCGTGAAGCTGAAGCCGTCGCTAAGAAGATGGATGATTTGAAGAACTTGAAGGATGCCGAATTGGAAGCCGAGCTTAAGGTTGTATCTAAGATTTTGGATGCTGCTGTCATTTCTGCTGTTTCCAAGGCTGCTTTCCGCGATGAGTTTGCCAAAATCAAGAAGGCCTTTGATAGTGCCGAAAAGGCTCGTAAGGCTGAGCAAGTCAAAGAAGCTAGTGATGCTGTTAAACGTTACTTCGAAGAACATCCAGAGGCTCAATATTGGGTTACTGAACTACCTGTTGGAAATAACAGTAAGGCTTTAGGTGGTGCTATCAATTATGTCAAATCCAATTTGAAGGACAAGGCTCTTTACGTGATGAGTGCTGACAAGGCCAGCGGTCGTGTTGCTCACAACTGTATTGTTGGTAAAAATTGGATTGAAAAGGGATTGAAGGCTTCTGAATGGGCCACTGTTGTTTGTGAGAAGATTGGTGGTAAGAAGGGCGGTAAGGATGATGCTGCTCAAGGTTCTGGTGATAAAATTGAAGGGTTGCAAGACGCTTTGAAGGCCGCTGAGGGGTTTGCTAAGTTGAAAATCAGTGCTTAACCTTCATCATCAGCAAAAAGTACACTTATAAGTCAGGCTTTTAGTTTTAGGATTGGAATTTTAAAACATTAAACAAGAATACTTGACATTTTCTGGTGGAGTTCTTTCAAATGTTATGGACTATTTTTTTCTACCTTTGATTCTGACTATTTTCTCTTTTTAGTATCATGTCATTTCCCCTTTTTTAATATGTTTTGTAATACTACTTTTTTTGTTTATATATAAATCTACACTTCATGCAATTACATAAAATATAATAATACTTCTGCACTGTGTAAATGGCTCTTCAATTGTGGAGACATATCAAATTTTATTGGTCGCTCATATGCTAGAGAGATTCAGGAACAGCAGCCGATTGTAAGAAGTGTTGAAGTCTCTTCCCCTACAACAATCTCAAAACGAAGTCTTTTCTCGTCCATAAAGCTACAGTATACCTAGAGAGCTCTGTATTTGTATCTCCCAAAAAGTTAAATAGCACTTAAAAGAAAGTCGGAAGATACTCGAAACAAGGTCTGATTTTTGAACATTTTAGAGAAGCCATGAAGGTTGGACGATTCTTGGCGATGCTGTTCTTGAAATATGTAAATTATTGCTGGAAAGCCATTTCAGCATTTTTTTCCTTCCCTTCTTTTGACTTACAGACTCTTTGAATGGCCACTCCTCTTCTTTCCAGTAATACAGCTCAGACACTTGGAGCTGCCGCGTCAAACATTGCGAATGAGGCCCGATTCTCGTTTTTACAAAAATTTCGTGAAGGGCGCTTAGCGAATATCAGACCTCTTGGTGATTTCTTTGACAGGCACAGATTCAGCTTTACAACCAATTTCCATACCATCAGCCAGCGATGGAAGTGAGTTTAACTGTTATAAAGTCATTTAGCAAGTCTGCCAAGGAAAGTTATTGATTTCGTTTCTATTCTTGCTCTATTAGTTATAATTTGCAATATTTTTCAGCCAACTACTTCTTGATTATTCTTGCACTGGGTATATATGCAATGTAAGTTGGAACGGGTAACTCTCGGTTACTGAACATTCTTTCATTTACGCTCACATATGCTCACTCTTGAATGTAGTATCACAAGCTGGTGGTTAATCTTTACCATTGTTTTCTTATTTGGAGGATTCTATCTGATTTCTCGATTAAACGGACCTCTCACCATTTTCGGTTCCACTTTATCACCTTCTTCACTTTATGCTTGCTATGCAGGTATTTCATTGTTATTATTGCTTTTCTCTGGTGCTACCGGTGCTATATTTTGGATCATTGGTAAGTCAAGCTCAGCAGTAGAAATATTACGACATTTAACATTAACATACAACTTGTGATTCCAGGCGCTGCTGCTATTATCATTCTTGGACATGCAGCGCTTTTAGAACCAGGATTAGAGGGTGAATTTTCGGCCGATGTTCAAGTTTAGAATAAATCTAGTCATAACCTATCTACCTACTCAGTACTTATAATACATTAAAAATTCACCTTATATAATCCATCTTTGAACTACAGACTTTAAAAGTGTCTACCAAACTTTTTCATTTGAGCTACTCAATTGTGTCAAGCTGTAATTGCACAATGGAATATAAATATTATCTCTTACGGGAACGTGATATTTCATCTGAACTAGCGCATGAGTAATAAGTGTGTATTGTTTCGCAAGCTACAACTTGAATGCAAAAAGGAAAATCAATGATATGCATATGGCTTTGTTAAAAGTGGGTTTGGCTCTTGTATAGCACTTGTTGCATAATCTGAAACTAAGGATGGTTAAGCATAAGTCAGATCAGTTACAAATCCATTTATTCAATATTTCGACAATTGAATGTTTGCGCATAGCCTTTGCTACGGGTATAAGGTATAAGGACAAATGATGACATTGAATCCTTGAGTGTGTTTTATGGATTTTTAAAAGTAACTGTACGAGATCTTTTTCTTTATAAATCGGTGCTCGAAGACTCCGTATAAGCATGATTTTGGTCTGCCATAGTGATGCGAATTCTTTCAAGGTTGAATGCTTGCTGTATAGTATGCTATGCGTCGTCTTCTCTGTAGCTCCTGCTAAATCAATTAATTAGCCACAAAGTAAGCTCAAACCACCATGTTCAATTACTTACCAGATATGTTCTCTGCCGGTCGGAAGCGCTTTTTCGATCCTGAATCTAGGGTATAATCATTCTCTTCACTTTGTATATCAGGTATTCTAACGCGTTTCAAGTCGACAGTAACTTTGGCAGTATCTTGGGGTACAGATGTTTGTAGCGGTGTTGATGTATTAACCTCTTCTGTTGAGAATGGGAGGCTTGTTTGTAATTCAATATCTTCTACTGCTTCGTCACTCCAAAAACATGTTCGTAAGCTATCCAATACATCAAAAAGCTCGCTCCTTTGTACATCAAAAATATTTTCACATAGAGGCCTCTTTGTCTACAGGAGGCAGAGTGATTAACATCTTCATTCACATTTTTTCAACTCATCAATACATACCTGATGTGGTTCAGCCCCTTTTATAGGCCCTATCACTTGAGCTAACTGGTCTTATGAGTTTATGTATTACATATTTAAGAAGGTTAACAAGACCTACTTCTGACAGATCTGGGTACACTGATTGCATCAACAACAAGAAATGAGAAAAAGAGTTGAGTTTCAAGCACAATTTGGGTGTGTGTCTTGAATTTGTCTTTTTTTCTTTTTTCTTCTTTCCCAAAGATGCATAAAATGGGTGCTAATAATGTAAATCTATTAAGCCCACCAGAACAATTCGGCATTGTTGAACCTGGGATTTATCGTTCAGACATGTTACAACAACATAACTTCTCCTATATGAGGCAGTTTGGCTTTAAAACACTTATTATGTTGAGTCCAGAATTACCAAACAGAGTAACATCAAATTTCATCGAAGAAGGGAATATAAAACTGGTGCATGTAGGAATGGCGACGTGGAAGCCAACACAACCTTCCACATGGCGTCCTGTATCTGAAGAACTAATCAAAGAAGGATTGGAACTGATATTAGACGTTGAAACACATCCTATATTGATCATGTGCACGTAGAGTATTTCAGTTTATCAAGCAACTTATGTGAACGAGTCCAATAACATTTCAGTAGTTCAGGAATACACGAAACAGGTACACTAGTGGGATGTTTGCGGAAGCTAGAAGGCTGGAATTTTAGCTCAATTGTGACAGAGGTAAATAATACTACCAACTCCAAAAGAGAGAAGAGCGGGTCGTCTAATAATTATGCCATTGTTTAGTATCGATCTTTTGCTGGCACAAAAGCAAGATATGTCAATGAGCAGTTTATCGAACTTTTCGACCTTGATCTGGTAACTCTTCCAGTTCATTTACCACCGTGGTTTATAGATCAACAAAAGATGTTGGTAAGTAACACGCTTATTTGTTACATTAAATGTGCTATTAAATGGTACTTTTGCATTTTTAGGCAGAGGAAGAGGAAAAGCTGAGAGAAGGTCTATCACAGAAGTAATAGGAGAAGCATTTGATAGAATACAAAGTATTTATTATTGCTAAATTGTAAATAAAAGGAAGTAATCGGATATAAATCAGAATGATATATGCAGGGTATGTATTGCTAATAAATAGTTCGAAAATGGAAGTAGTAACATTCGGATCATTTATCGTGATTTTCTTCCAAAGTGATTGCCTACACGAATCTTTTGTGACAAGTTAGATAGCATTCAAGCGAGACACATATCAGGTACTGCTTACCAGGGTTTCTACGGTTCTGTTAGAGTTGAATAATAAATCACTATCGAAAGTAATCTTGCCTTTTTCAAAAATAACAATAAGAGTAGACCCACCGAACGCGAAATAACCAAGCTCATCAGTCCGTTTCAAGAAGCAACCTACTTTCGCCGTTAATATAATAGATCCAACAAGCATGGCGCCTACACAGACGATGATTACTTTTCCAAATTCCTTAGATTCCATTGAAATAACTGTTCGACTGTTTTCTCCAAAAACATCGATACTTTGATATACGTGAGTCTTTTATTCCGTTACACATGCTCCAGAGCTTGCTATAATTTTATGCATTACCTTGTACGAATAGCCATTGGGTTGACCGTATAGTATTGTCCTTCTATATGTTTTACTTGAGTTATGGTTCCGTCTACAGGTGAATGAAATCGATGATAATCTTGTGGGGCTAAACGAAATACGCCCAAAGAACCGCCTTCAAATTCTGTTGCAAGTTTGGTGTCGCTAAGTAGCTTCTTTATACTGAAATCGATACCTTTGATCCACAGCGTTGTAGCCTCTGTAATGCTATCAAAGACTGTCATTCTACAATCGGCAGGGCTGACAGCGATGGCCGCATCGTCTGGCGAATCAATGGGTCTTGAACCTGGTTTTAACTTTCTGTAAAAAAATTGATTGAAGGTTTTAAAGCTTGACAAAGGCCGTGCAACATCATCCAATGAAATGTTATGGAATTTGATGAAAGCAGGGATTTCTTTGGCGGATCTAGGGGAGTCGAAGCGACGTCCCTGCTTCAATGTCATATTCGTTAATAAACGTTGAGCTGCTTTGGATTGAATACCATGCTTCATTCTTTTATATACAAGTCGCATGCCCAACCTGACATGGGCAGCTATTTTCTCTTCAATCAAATGTCCAGTTGTTCGATCTTGCACCAATATGTTTGCATTATCCTGACAATTAGAGTTGCTGCGAATCAGTGAGAAAGGTCTTTAACACACCGTAGAGCATAAAATAGAAATGTATACTTACTCTGCCTAAGGAATATCTTCCGTAGCTTACTTTACGTACGAGCTTTCCAAGCCAACGACGTTGCGCATATGCTTCTGTTAGAAAGTTCTGCATCAAGAAACGATCCACTGTAGTCCAATCATTAGCAGCACAAGTCGCAACGTGCGTAAGGATATCCATTTGCGACTTTCTGGAGAGATTTGGTTTATGACAAATGGGACATTCTTTTAGGCGAATAACCTTTTCGGCTACGTATTGTCTCTTTTGCTTATGAAAAGCTCCATCCTTGCAATTTGAAACCGGACTTTTATTGACCACACTGTCAACCCCTTCTAAGAATATATCACCCACTTCCTCAATACGCTCTAGAGAAGGACTTTGTAAATTTAGAGAGTAATTGAATAATTCAGGATCAAGTCCGGGAGGCATATCATCTTCTTCATCATCTGTAAATAATAGTGAATCCGAGATTTCTGTAGTTTCATCATCATCGTCATCTTCATCATTTTCGTCTTTATTTTCACAGCCTTCAATTACAGTGTTATTCCAGCATTTTATATCGTCGTCATCATTTACAGTAGCCCCAGTGTCTATTGTTTTATTTTCTTCTGATGCATTTATACGTATACCGCCTATTTCTGAATATAGAGTACTGTTATCTTCGTTTTCATTATCTTCTCCTTTAATATACTCTTCCAAGCATTCTACAAGCTGATTCAATGTCAGTTCTTCGTCTTCATTTGGATCTTTCCCATGTTTTCGCCAAAAGGTTTTTAAAGTAGCTTCACTAATAGTTGAACCTATTGTGTCCAGCATTGTTTGTACCTGTAATAGGTTTAAGGTGCCTGACTGTTCAATATCGTACGTCTTTGCCAATGATGCCCAAAATAGCTTTCTAATTTGCTGGTATGGCATAAATTTTGCACGAATAGTTAAAGTTGGATGTTTATCTTTCCATTTCATGGGTTGATCCAGTTGCAAAGGAAACGTCAATAAATCCATATCCTTTTCAATAGTATTGTCATCATCACTAACTGCTTCCGCAAGGCTTATATCTCTGCTAGATTTGTTAATGATATCCTGTATAGGCAGTTCGCACCAAGCTACGCGACCATTTCCAGAAAACTTTTCCCTATCGTAAATAGTAAATTTGAGATGGAATGTTGTTTCTGTGTGTCTAATGTGAAAGAAGAGCTTTTCATTCCAAACAGGATTCAAGTTATGCCTGATAACTGTTGTTCTAAAAGTGGTGGTGCCATATGACACAACAACAAAAGGATCCATATCAAAGCTGGTACGAGACACTAAAATTTATTGAGATATCAGGCGAAGCATAGGTCGGTGAGCAGGCATGGTAGTAGTGCAACGGTTAAATCGTGTAGATTTACTTACGGTTTCTCTCTGGTGGCAGGTCATTTGCGCGACATATCTGCAAGAAAGAAACGCCAATGACGTCCTTATCAAATTTACCATGGAAACTACGACGTTTCTTTCGTTTACTGCTTTTCTTTGTTTGCCCTGCAATATTACTTTGCGAAGAATTGTGTTTATTTCCGAAATAATCGGACATTGTATCACTGCTCGTTGTTGTGCTAAGTGTTCCAGATGAACTTTTACTGCTATTGCTAATAGGAGAGATGTAGTACTTTTGATCATGCGGTAGCGAAAACGCCAAAGCAGATGACAGCGCCAAACCAGAGTTATAACGTCTTCCATCAGTTTTGCACGGAGGCGTTACTGAAATAGATTGTCTTTGGCGATGAGAATTTGCTAATTTCTTCCAGACTTGCTTGATCTTTTGTCCTTTACTTTGCGATTGTTCCCCTTGGCAATCGTCGAACATAATTTTAGAATTCGACAGTCCAGCTGTCATAGATTCGGATAAGGCTCTCCTTCTTATTAGTCTTTCTTCTGCAATTGGCGGTGGGTTATGCAGAGTACTAGTAGTTCTGGAGTGCCGGTTGGGTTCCATAGTTGTGAGGAATTGGCTTTACTGCCAGTATTGGAAGAAAAATTTCAGACAGTCTTATAAAATGCCAAGTAATTTGTCCGAATTGCCTGCTTAAAAAATTAACCATATTACAATGTATTTTCTACGGTCATTGGTGTAGAAGTTAAAGTATAGCTATCGAAAAGACAAATTCAGTTGTAGGAATGTTAGTTAGGAAAACCGATAAATTTTGACAGTGAACCAAAAAGGGGTTAAACAAGCACCTTAATCTTACTACCTAAGTTATTCTCTTATTAAACAAATATATAAAGTATCATTTCCAAATGGCTATCACTAATTGTTAATGCTTAATGATATAGGAAGGTTTGTTGTACATGTAGCAAAAGCAAGCTATGTCTTTTTTTTCTTGAAGGAGGAGGAATACACATTCGAGTACCCTTTAGTAAATTTTAATTAAGATTAAAAAAATAAAGAAGAAGAGAACAATTGGTATAGATGAGAGAATAAGAGAAAGCAAGGAGAGAGCAATGACATTAAGCCAAATGTCTTGAATGATAATGCAGGCCAATTTTAAAGTGGTTCTATATACATTGATAAGCTCTAGATGAATAGCTATCGCTTGGCTGTTAGATGTAGGCAAGCTAGTCGAGACAGAAGCACTAAATCAAGTACATTTAGTATTTTATTCATGGAATATATCGTACCAGTATGTCCAATTGTAAAAGCTATTCACTAAAAAAAGATATAACTTTGTTTTACATAATTTCCAACCTAGCATAACGTGATGAACACATAATAATGTCAACCTAGAGTAGTGTTGATTAAGTATTGTTACAGTCATTGAGAATTCAGTATCAACAGGTAAACATCTTCAGTGGAAGGTTTCAGGGACCAAAAAGCTTAAAATTCTCCGAAGACAGAGATCTTCAGGAACAACGTACGGGAGATAACAATAAATGCTATCTAGCATTTTGTGGAACCTTTCAGGATGAGGTAATCATAATATGATGAATATCTGGGTAGATAATCAAATGTGACAGTCGGTATAAAACGGCTTTTGGTTGATCAAAGTAAGAGATACAGATAACCAAAAGGTGGGGATCCATTAAGAGTTGTATCCACAGGAGACTGCAGAAAATCATTTGTTTTTCAAAATAATGGCGCATGTCATACTCAAGGCCGTTATCGCACCGATCTTGAAGGTTCGTCTATTGATAGGAGTATTGATTTCAAAAAGGTTATCAGCGACATACAATGATTAACAGCTTTTCTTAAGAACAAAATCAAAGCAAAGGTTATCTTTGAGCGATATGTCGTTGGTTTTTAGGCCTCCAGTATTTAATAAGATGGAGCAGCTCTCGCAACAGTAGCTAATGAAATACGTACGATTAATCGGAAATATATATTCCCCTTTTTCCTGCTTCCTTCTAGCAAGTGAAAATAATGCCATACTTCGAGGTAAATCACCCGCTGTAACTCTTAATAGTACGCGTTTTCTGCAGGTCTACGGGTTCGATCAAATAGAAAAGTATCCTTCAAAATTCTCATAGCTCAGGCGTTGTTCGCTTTGAAGTACGCAACTATACTTCGAAACAGACAATTTTAATTCAGCAAACAGAAGATCCGGCTCTTCATTAACGGCAAGTGCCACACTGACCCGACAGTAATTAATAGCAATGGATTGTCCTTATGCGGGATAGCGGCGTTTGTCACACTTTCATTGACGACACGTTCGGTAAGCAAAGTATTAGCCACTGTTGCCAAGAGAAGAAAATAGGGTTAAAAAAAATTGCCAATGACAGGGTCCACTTGAGTTACTACAAGCCTAGACTTTAAATTGTTGACTAAACAATTGCAAGGCAATAAAAAGATTACTGATCCTGAAAAAAGGAGTGCTCACCATAACTTGGGCTGACGGAGCGTATAAGTGGTCCGTCTTTCGATGTCTTCCATCAACACTCGAACAGTGAAAGATTCTTTGTTCCCTAGTCCATACAACTGCGCAGAAAAGAAACCTTTTTTTTTCATACTACTGGTGACAATTGTTGACCAGCAAATCCTTTTTTTTGTTGGAGATTCACTCAACGTGAATAAATCGAAGACTGAAGTGAGTGAAAGCTATATTGCTTTTTACTGCCATAAGTACTTGGTTTGACCATACAGTGGACATTTTCTATAAATTTACGATACACCCGCCAGTAAAATTAATGCTACGCTTGCCTTCCATAGGATGGTGGGCATTCGACTTTTTTTCCCTGCTTTTATTCCAAATTTGCTGAAAACAAAAACCAGCCTTTCCATTCGTTATAGCCTTGCAAATTTTGCTATGTTCATAAACATACTTCGAGCAAGTAAAAGCAACTTGTATCAAAAACATATAGCACCAGTGCGTCCAAAGGCGCTCTCCTATCAACTACGAGTTATATCTGGCATAAATACTCCTCCACCATTACTGAATCAATCTGCTCGCATAAGAACATACCATGCCGCTCCTGTCATTCTTCAGCCTCAACTACGAGCGTTAAGTTTTTGGACGATTCCTAGAATTGCTATAAAAACAGCATTTCGAGCGACCAAGATACCTTTGTTTGCAGGTGGAACAGCGTTGGCAGGTGCTAGCATTGCTTCCAATAAATTCCAAGGTACCTTTCTAATAATAAAAAAAAGAAAACTTTTCATGCAGACTAATATTTCAATTTTTTCTGAAATTAGATTTGGCAGACAAAAGTAAAGGTTTTGTACATGATAGCTTGACTACTGTTGAATCTTTCTTTCAGAAAGCTCAAGAGAAAGTAGACAACTTTGATCTTTCGATACCCGAAATACATTTACGGTTTCCAGAGTCAGTACGCAATTTGTTGTTCATCAGAAATACAGCAGAGGAATCGAAATCCGTCAATCATAAAATAACAGATACTAGTAAACAGCAACAGAATAGTAACAATAATGGTGGTAATGATGGAGACGAAGCAGCCGCAGCAGCAGCCGCTAGCGCAGCTGGTTTATCCATGTACTTGAATAAAGATGATGAAAAAGACGAAGAGGAGGAGGATAGCGATGATGAAGAAGAAAAAGAGCAGACACGAAAGAAATCAAAAAAGAGAAAAGGTTCCGAAAATGGATTTAGTGCGCAAGACGAACAATTAATGATGTTGACGAGGAAATTGATTGAAATTCGTTCCATTCTTATGTCTATCGACCATAACGAAACCTTAAAGTTGCCTAGTATCGTCGTCATAGGCTCACAAAGTTCAGGCAAAAGCTCTGTATTAGAAGCTATTGTTGGGCATGAATTTCTTCCAAAGTAGGTAAAAATGGGAGCCAAAGCTACAAATAGCAAAGGGAAAAGAAGAGTCAAACAAAAAAGAAAGGAAAGCTAAAAAGTATTACTGATCATCTCCACTTCTATTGTATACAGAGGAAGCAATATGGTGACAAGAAGACCAATTGAATTAACACTGATCTACACTCCAAATCAAGAGGAAGAGTATGGCGAGTTTCCCCAATTAGGCTTAGGAAAGATACACGATTTCAAAAAGATTCAAAAGACTTTGGTCGATATGAATCTCGCTGTTTCGGAAGCTGAATGTGTTTCGGACCAGCCTATTGAGCTTCGTATCTACTCTCCCAATGTTCCAGATTTGACGTTGATCGATTTACCTGGCTATATACAAATTTCGAATCGTAATCAACCTGAAACACTGAAGAAGAGAATCGAAGAGTTATGTGAAAAATACATTAGAGGACCGAATATTATACTTGCTGTTTGCAGTGCAAATGTTGATTTAGCCAATTCTCCAGCTTTAAAAGCGAGCAGGAAGTGGGATCCTTTGGGTTTACGAACCATAGGCGTGATCACGAAGATGGATCTTGTACCTGCGGAAGTCGGTGCGTCTATTCTACGAAATACTGATTATCCTTTACATCTTGGTTACATTGGTGTTGTATGTAGGGCACCAAACAATGTGAAAGACGTGAATATGACAAACGCATTGATAAAGAATGAGGAGGCCTTTTTCAGGAGCAGTATGATATTTGATCAAAGGGACATTCAAGTGGGCACATCAAATCTACGTAATAAGTTGATGAATGTTTTAGAGCAGAGTATGGGAAAATCATTGTACAGTATTGTAGATGCAGTGCAACGAGAGTTAGAGGAAGCCAGATATCAATTCAAAGTGCAATACAATGATAGAAGGGTTACAGCGGAATCGTATGTCGCAGAAACAATGGATAGTTTGAAGCACGATTTTAAGGATTTTGCAAACAATTTTGGTAAACCGCAAGTCCGTCATGAAGTACGGTCGATGCTAGAACAACGGGTACTTGACATTTGCGCAGAGCAGTATTGGAGCGATAAGAAAATAACAGAGTTACCAAAAGCATTACCAGACGATATTTACTGGTTGTACAAAGTCGATTTTGCTGCTGCAGCTTTAACGAAAAGTGGCATAGGAAGGGCCACGACCCAGTTGGTTGTTGATGTTCTACTACATAATATGGATAGATTGGCAAATGCAGAGCCTTTCAAATATCACCCTGAGACACGAAAGCAGATCATGAATTTTACAAGCGAAATATTGAGATCAAAGTTCTTAACGACTAGCGACCAAGTTGAAAACACGATAAAGCCATACAAATACGAGGTAAAATACATTGTTTGAAATGGGGTAAAGAGATATATTACAAGAGAACTGAAACTATATCGCATGAATTTTCTCCGTTTTAGGTAGAGGTAACTGACAGCGAATGGAATGATGGTGTAAAACGTTCTATTATTCTGTTAGAAAAAGAGTTAGAAATGTGTGAAGCAATGTCCAACTCCATCAAGAATTCCATTGGGAAGAAAAAGTTGAAAAGTGCTATCAACTACCTATTAGAAAAAGAGAAAGACGAGCATCGACGCGAAGAAAGTGCGAAAAATTTGCATGACAATGAACATCAACAGCAGCAAGTATTATCACTTGAAGATGAAGACGAAGAAGAGGAAGTCGTGAAATCCTTCTATAATCCAAAGCTATTAGAAAAAGCCAAAGATGCGATTTATTTACGTGATAGATCGATGATACTCAAATATAGATTAGCAGCCTTGAAAAGTAGACAATGCAAGAGTTCTGAAAACAAGCAATATTGCCCAGAAGCATTTCTCAATGTGGTGGCGGAAAAGTTAACTTATACGGTAAGTTAGAATTATACATTCTTTTAAGACCTTTCTTTTTTTTTTTTTTTTTTTTTTTTTTTGCACAAGCATGCGAAATTTCATCAAATTTCCATAAAGTCTAATATTAATTTAAAATTGTGCATTCATGTCTCACTGTAAAATAGGCTGTCATGTTTATTCAGGTTGAATTGCTGAACGAATTTTTCTTTCAGTTTCCTCGAGAAGTGGACAACAGACTTGTATACATTATGGATCGGAAGCAAATCCAACAGTTTGCGAAAGAGAATCCATCGATTCAGAAACATTTGGACCTTTTGGAGCGCAAAATGAAACTTGAAGAGGTCATGGATAAGCTGAATTATCTAGTTAAACGACAAGCCGATAGACAGGGCCATACTACTTCTTCAAATACTTCACGGTATCACTCATATATTTGAAAGAATCGCTAGTTGTACGTGACGACATTCTTAAATATGTACGTATAAAATTACATATATTTAATACCCTCTCTTCTCTTTTACCCCAAAATATAAAGACGCTAAGTTTACAAAAAAGAAAAATGTTTGACATTTTCTAATATGTTTTATTTGCAAAAAAAAAAAAAAAAAAAAGAAAAAAAAAATTTTCAGAAAAAAATGTTTGTTTTTGTCTTCCACTTTTATCTTTTCTTTCCAACGTTCTCTTTTTGTTTGTTTGTTAAACACAAAAAATTAAAAAGAATCTTTAATACTGACGCGAGAAAGCTCCCAAAGTTTTTGAAAACGATCATGGATGCAAACACGTTCTTTGGCAGTAATTCTTTCCAGGATTACATTCCTATACCTATGGGAGACAATGATATGATAGGTTACTCCAAAACCTTATACAATCAAGAGAATGCTACGTTCTCTGGAAATACTAATAAAGTGATCGATGGTTGCGAAAGCGGAGTGGAATTGTCTGCAGTGTCAAAACCGACCTTGGAAAGTCCTATACAGAACATTTCCGTTTCCAGTATAACTATTCCTCAGGAACCGACATTTGCTACACCCGCGCTTACTCCTGGATTATCAACACCATTAGCCCCGAGCTACAGTAATGAGTTCGTACAAGTAAAGTTAGCCATGCTTTCATCTGAAACAAAGTGATCTTTAAAATGGACTCAAAATTAACTAATCTATTATCTGTTTCCGTTATCTTTTTTATCTTTCAAACACAGGAGTTTTTACCGCCTCTCGAATCACCAGCGGCAACACCTAACTATAACGAAATCTTACAATTCCTAGATTCAGCAAATGAAAATTATTTCACACCCTTAACTTCGCCTGCTTTGCAGCCAAATCAAGAAAACTATAATGTAGACACCTTTTCCTTCAAATTTAGAGAACAAGATAACTCTACAACTGCTAATCAACTAACATTAACCACCAAAAAAGAGCAACAGCAAATGGCACAAGCAGCCATTAGGCCAGCAAACATCTACCACAGTCCTCTAGCCCTGTTGTCTAATCAACGCTTAACGCCTGCTTCACCTTTAACATTCGAAACATTCGGTAAATCTCAGGCACCTGTACCAGCAAACGTAATAGCAGCAAGCGCTACCGTAAGTTTACCAACAATACCTGCTACACCTGCATCTTTAATGAATATAAACAATAACCGCGAACGGTCTCCATTGTCCTCCGATCAAGAAACAGCAGCAGCAGCAGCGTCTAAAAATGCGCCTCAAGTGCACGCGGCGGGATCTTCCTCGCAAACGGTAAATGCTTCTAAAAAAAGACAGCTAGCAATTTCATCATCCGTCATCAGTAAATCATCTCCCCGCGCATTGAGACCCAATCTGCATAACACTAACCCCATTGGTAGTAGTGTGGCCCATTCCGCCACAACCTCGTCTCTCAGTACCATGGATAATCGTCGGTCTGCTCATAAGGTCGCTGAACAGCGAAGAAGAGATATTATGAAACAGAGTTTTGATTCACTGAGAGAGGAAATTGTCGATGTTCTTGTTGCAGACACAGAGAAATCACGAGTGGAAGTAGAGAGAGACGTCAAGTTCATGAGCAAAATTGTTCTATTGAAGCACTCGTATGAATATATCGTCCGTTTGAAACGAGAAACAAGATTTAAGGATGATAAAATGAAAGAAATGCAAGAAGAAATAGATCAACTCAAAGCACAATTACAAAAGATAAACATAGCTACAACCGCTTCCTCTACAAATAATGATGACAGTGATAATAAAAACGATACGCTATCATCTTGAAGCTAACAAGATGTATACTAAATTAGAAGCAGGTTCTAAGGTTGGCGCTTTTAAATGCTAGACATTTATAAACTATTTTATATTAGATATAGTAAAACCATACGTTGGAGAAAGTTGAATTCTATATGGTAAACTATGTGTTCGCACCTGCGTGTACTATTACTGATATTTAACAAAATTAGAACATTTAGTCATTAACGCTTGCAATGCTCATAACTTGATCTTCCGCTGCCCGTTTTATTCCTCTTGCTCATCTTTATCCATATTTTTTACGCGAGGCTCCGCATTGTTAATCATTCTTAACCATTGCATACGGGGACCGGTCGGTGACAGTTCACTTATTCGGAACCCATATATGCGAGGAGTGAAAATTCTCGGTTCAACATGCTTAATACAATCAGGAAATGCTTGGATAAATAAATGAGGAAATGTGGTACCAAAATGAGAGCCTATGAAAAAGAAAAATGTAGCATATCCAGTTTTTTGATGAAAAAGAAGATAAATAATGTAAAGGATCAGTCAGCAAATATTTCATTGTGCTTAATGCATACTCACTCTACGCGTATACTTAGTAAACTGAATATCTACCGTCAATATTTTGATGTTTTGGGTTAGGTGGTATATAAATGTCCTTACAGTTGGGACAGTAAAGGCGCACAGGGCCTTGTTTGGGCAAGTCGTGTTGACCGCAGGGTAATAAATGGCAATCATCGCAATAAACTCGGGGACACTTTCCGAAGTCTCCAGCTTCATATTTCTCATACATTTGGAACATTCCTTGTTTTGTAAGGATAAATCTCTGGTGAATAAGGCCATATAATAGTTCTGCTGACGGCTCTAGTAGGCTCAGATCAGGAACACGACTGTACATTTCGTCGTCAGGTTCGAGATCCAGTATGATTTCAAGTGTTTCTTTATACATTGGAATATGTTGATTGAGACCGATTAAGTTAAAAGGATCTTCAATGAAATGCTCGTCAACCTCTGTGTAGAACTTGTTTCTTCTGTTCGAACAAAACCAATTAATCCACTATAAACCATTGTGTAATATATGCTTGTTAGTATGCAGACGTATAAAAGCAGCGAATTCAATTTGAATTCAAAGTCTGTCCTTATTGTCTTACTGAAGAACGTTGATCGGTATCCATTGCTATTTGTTCACCATCTTCTACAGTTTTTCATAAACATTCAACGTGATTTTAAGACTTAAATATGAAATGTAAGCGCATAACATAGAGCACATATTCCAAATCGTACTTACGAGGATCACAATACTGATCCATAGTTTAAAATCGAACACAAAAAGTAAGCACTAACTGAATAATTTATGCTGTTCTAATTTTCAATTAAACAACCCGAAAAGGTTACAGCGAAAGTCAGCTGTCAGCGTTCCTTGGTTGGCCTATCTATAGCTTAAACCCAGCATTAAGTTGACTATAATAAGATGAGAATGTTAAGCAACGATAGATAGTCGATGTAAGAAGCCATCGGTCTAATCAATAATGAGACAGAAACTCTAGCTGCAGCCATAGTAAGTAACAGCTGCCAACGTACGCGCAACATGATTTCGTATATGTTGTGCATGGCTGGTAACGTTTCAAAAATTAAGTCTGGAAGGTAAAAGTATTCCGACTTCTGCATGCCCAGCCCAGCCCACAGTTGAAATGAAACAAACTTTAGTGTTCCTGAAAAATAGATTAATAACGTTGCTTTTAAATACCAATAACACTGGGAAAATGTAAACTTGTCATCTAGATACAACAGATCCTATTTTTGGCTGTAGGTACAGTATACTTTTTCTTTGGTTAATTTACTAAACTACCATCCAATTGCACAGCCATCTCCTCTAGGGTCGCTGCCAGCCGCAAGCACTCTATGTCCAGTGCGTTCGTCTCTATGGCAACGGATAATTTGACCCCGACCGAAGTAAGCTCGTTTGTGGTTGCTATAGACATAACAAGTATGTCCCTTTGATCGCAATTCTTCAATGATTTCATTGGGAACCCCATCTTCTATGTAAACCACGGAATCATTGGTGTCACTCATCCCTAAGGCAGCGGGTGGTGATTCAACTGGAGGGTCAGTAGGGGCCACACATAGGCGAGGAAGATCCAAAGCATGTTGAGGGTTGGATTGATAATGTTTCATGTTTAGGATGACCTGAACTTGTCCTTGTGGTTGCATGAAAGCTCCCATAACTATTTTTAAACAATGAAAACCAGACGTCAAGATCTTTGTGATATTTAAATCACTATAAAGTCTATTTACCGCCGAAGCAGGCTTCCAATTCATGTCCTTTCTCGGATTTGCGAGTAATCATCGAAGGGATAATAGTATGGAACGGTCTCTTATTGGGACCTAAGCAGTTTGGGTGGTCTTTGTTCAGACTGAAACCTGCGCCACGGTTATGCAATACGACACCAGTACCTTCAACAACTATATATGACTATATAATAGTTTTAATCAATTGAATTTGCTGCCCTCTTATACTAGAGCATTCTATTTCATTTTGCACATTCACACTTACACCGAAATTTCTTGATATGGAGTTCTACAATAGAAAAAATGGTTGTGAGTGAAATTAGTCACGTTGTTTGAAACATTTTAAGCAAAGTAAAGTAAGCACTTACAATGAAACTGCATGCGTTTCCCTCTTCATCGACTACGGAGAAATATACTGTATTTCCGTTTTTTTCAGGATAGCCTTTTACTATTTCGTTATTTCTGGTATCTAAATTGATGAGCTCTGCACGTTCTTTCAAATAATCCTACATAGGTCAAGCCCCATGCGTTACTACATAGTTGACAACCTCCTTAATGATCGGAAAGCGTTGACATTTGCAAATATACCTTGCTTAATAATTGCTGAGTAGGCACGTGAACAGCATTAGGATCCGCGACATAATGCATTGTGTCAGCAAATGCAATCCGCAATGATTCAGTAACGATATGCATATATTCTGCAGAATTATGCTTGATTTTGGAAAAGTCGACTTTTCTAGATTTTTCCAAAGCCTCAATGATACCCAAAGCAATCAAAGCAGTGATGCCTTGTCCATTAGGAGGTACTTCCCAAACGGTCCATTCATGATAATCTAATGATATGGGCTCGACAAATTCGCTGGTATGGTTTTCAAAATCAGCCTTGGTCATCAAGCTACCGCGAGCGTTTAACGTATCGACTATAGCAGAAGCCACAGCACCGCTATAAAAACCTTTTTTACCCTCTTTAGCTAAAGTTCGCAGAGTTCTAATAATCAAAACGAAGCAGGTGAGTAAAATGGTTATGCTGCTGGTTGAGATACATAACATAGTAAAATGCGCTCACTTTGCTAATGTTGGAATGATCATGATCTCTCCTTCTTTAGGTGCTCGATTATTATCAACCAACCATTCATGAATCGTCGATTTTGGGTTGGCCGCCCGTACTCTTGGAGCAGCAGCATTCCACTATAATGTGAGAAGAGAGATCAGTTATGCATGATATAGAATCACAGAAATCTAATCAAAATAATGTTACACAAGTAGCAGATATATGGGAAACTGGGAACCTGTAAATGAAATGACTCATGAGCATATCTATAAAACTCATTATAAAACATTTTCAAGCTTCATATTCTGATAACTCACCCATTTTCAGCAAGATCAATAGCAGGTGTAAGAATTGTCTCGAGATTTAACTTGCCTGACCCAAACTGCTCCACTGTATCAACCCAAGCAGCGGGTGTTCCAGGAACAGTAACTGCGTGCACACTGTCGCCAGGTAGATTTCTTCCAGAAACGCCGGATCCCAAAACATGTTCCAGAGTTAATGCTGCGGGTGTACTTGGGGATTGCCAGGGAGGAAAGAGTAAGTTTTCAGGTCTATTGTGTGTTGCTGCGACTATATATATACATAAACTATAGATATCCTACCGTCCGGAACCGTTCAATCCTTTCACAGTACGAGATTTTGCGTCGTAGAAAAGGCAAAAAGCATCTCCACCCAATCCAGTTGAGCCAGGCTCTATAGAAGGTGTAGTTAGTAATTTAGTATTTACAAATATAATGCTGTGCTATATCTTACCGGTGACATTCAAAGCAGCAGCTTTTATTGATCGATGGAAAACTATTAGCTTCATCATATCGTTTAATAATTAAAGCAGGGATAAGTTTACCTATGGCAACTGCTGCATCCTTGAGAAACGAATAAAAAAATCTTGTTAATACTAAACAGAGATATACTTGATACAGAAGGTACGATTTCATATCAGACTTACAGCAGCATTTCCACCTTTTTTTAAAATATCTATGCCAGCTTGAGTGGCCAGAGGTTGCCTTCAACGGAAACGATAAGACAAGTAAGACATCGAAAATTGCTTGCGGCTGAACATTGATAGGCGATTGAGTTTCATTACTTACGAACTGCAAACCATGGCATGTGTGCCATAGACGGTTGATCGACGAGATATAAATGGAAGCTCGACAAATGTCATATCAGTGATAAAAGTCTTGGGTTTTGGAAAGGATCAATTTCAAAAATAGACAAGGTAAAAAAAAGGCGAGCAATGATTTACTTTTCAGGGCTTTTTGATCAAAGTAAATGTCAGGTATCACAAAATATACGACTGACTGTTTGAAATATGCGTTAGTTTTATCTTATTAATCTCTTAGAACATTCTGAAGCATAATCGAACAAATCGATAAAAAGCAAATTTTGCATTATAACCATCCAGTTGTAATTGTAGTCGAAATAAATTTCATTTATTCAACAATAATAATGTATATATGAGAAAAAAAGTTATGTGCTCCCAAACGATATTGGCACCCAAGTCCAATACCTTGGTTTACCGTCAGATTGTTCTAGTTCACGCATAATCATTATATATCATCATACATACATATTATCTAAAGAAAATAAAGCGTAATAGCAATTAGAATAAGCGGTGAGGCTTACCCATAGTGGACTTCAAGTACAAAGACTTGACGTTTTGCCAGTGCTTCTTCAACAAAGAAACGAGGAAGTTGACAGCCAACATGATGTTAGCGACCAATTGGTCTTCAGTCATATCGAGGTGACCGACAGCAACACCGAGACAGAGAACCTTCTTCAATTGGAACTTGATGGTGGAACGGATTTCATTGGCCTTATCAACCAAAGAATCGTTGTGAGAAACGGGGGTAGGGAACTTACCGACCTTGTGGAGACCAGGACCCAAAAGACGAGGAATTTGCTTGATCAAAGCTTCAGAGGCCAAGAAAGCATCATACTTCTTAGCGAGCTTCTTGATGAGCTTCTTGTTCTTGTTCAACTTCTTCAAATCGTCAACGGATTGGAATTCCATACCGCAACCCTTGGCTTGATCACAGTGGAAAGCATCACCAAGGACACAGACGGTCATACGAGGACGAGCAATGTTGGGAAGCTTGATGGTACCGGAGAAACGCTTATCACGTTGAGGATCGTAGTTCTTCAAACCAATTTGAAGTTCGACGGTTTCGACAAAGTTACGCTTCTTTTCTTGAGAAGCGGCTTGGATTTGGTTGACAATATCTCTGACGGCACTAGCGCTAACTTTGCTGTAAGCGATTAAATCGAAATGAAAAACATGTCAGAATGTGCAATTCAACCAAATTGTTTAGAATCTTGAAGATGAGTATATCCAATCATTGGTTCAATTCAATAGCTGTATACACTGTCTTCACAATAAATGATGCTTATAATGGATGGATGGATGATTTTACCTCATATTGAGTAAGGATAAAGAAGTAAAGAAGGAAGGCCATCATTTTGACATGAGCTTTTCGAATTAAAGCCGTTCGAGTAAAATTGCTTGCTCCTATTGGTTAATTTCCATTTTATTGCGCAGGAGAAAAGAAACTCCTTTTTTAGAGCTTAATGGTTCGCTCATGCCTCAAAAAGGTCCAACAGACTTGGTTAGTTCTTGTGAGGGAGTATAAACGGAAGAGAAATAAAAAGAAAAGCTGAAGATGGTTTCGATAATTCAGGAGCAATATAATTGCTTGATATTAATGTTATCTCTCAGTTGAATTAAATACACATAGTGAAGATACTATTTATTACACTCGTCTACCGCTTAAAAAGATTGAGCTTGCATCTATTCGAGCGAGAATAAGAACGTATAGGCTATCAGCTTACCAAAAAACTCTCATATAGGAATGAATTTTATTAATATGCTCATGAAGCTGCATTTGAGCTACTTTAACCTAATATATATAAGTTGGCAGTTGCAGAATAAAAACCAGGCTTCTTTATCAACCGTGCTCGACAATACTATAAAATCATCTTGGCCGGCTATCTAGAAGCATCTTCAAATCAGCATTGCGTCTAATCCCAATTTTAAAGCGAATAAATTACGTAGAAAATCAATGAATATAGGTATAGTTTCCTCAATCTTGTTATTTCAGTTCAACAATGACTTAGGGTGTATAATCGACTCTTCTATGCGGATAGTTTGAATGAATTAAGGAAAGAGCGGGGCAGCCCTTGTATAAAACAATTCCTGCATAATTTCTCGATAAGAGTGCACTACACAAAAGAGGTGCTTTGCTATGGTGGTTTTCTTCTTTGTTTTTTTTTCTTTTTTTTTTTTTTTTTGTTCAGAGACTCATAATTGTAGAAGCCTGTTGTCAGCTTTTATAAACAGATTGCTGAATAAAAGGATCGTCTAATTACTATAAGCAGAATGTCCCTGGAGTCGCATTAGAATAGTATGAGTACTTCAACCATCACAGTCTGATGATACGGGCTAAAAGGTAACATTTGTCCCAGAGCTCATGCGATTAAATATGATTAGAAGGACGCAAATTGTAGTATTTGGATATTGAGCTGAGAAATATCATTAATCCATCAACAAAAGAAAAAACACGCTTTAAGGCTATACAATCTTCAGATGTAGTTGTGAAAACATTCCATTTACCTTGCTTTAAGTTCTATGCTGCAAAGGTGCGACTTGTAGCTCAGTTAGTTATAAAGTACGTAGTTCGTCAACATGGAACGGGGATTCTTCTATTAAACCAGCCAAATTGCTATTAAATAATGCTATCGGAGAAGTGAGCAATTAGCGCCATACCATTCTTGATTAACTCCAATGGCTTCTAGTCTATTTAGGAATAATCGTCAGTTAAAGAAGCCGAAGCTGTCGTCTAGTTAATCTATTGGAGAAAGGGAGCATTTCCATACAGTACCCTCGATGGCACAGATAATTCAATGTTCGAAGCCTCCTATATATTGCAGTCAAATAGTTTAACTTGGATCAATGCTGTGATTTACATCTTGGTCACTTTTATTGAAGCTGTTAATATAGGCGCCGATGATTGATAAGCAGCGTGGAGTTCTATGGGTTTATGTGGATCCGCACAAGCCCATATATGCCTGCTCGGCCAAATAACTTTAACTAATTGGCTTCATAAACCGCTTATAAAAAAACAACATTTTCACACTTATATCCATTTTACGGTTTCTTTCTGCTTTGTGAAATAAACACCCAGACGGGCAGCTATAATGCAGCTTTTTGTTTCGTAAATATTCCTACATTAATAAATAGCTTATCGGCCCTTTCCATGAAAACCTGCCAACATTTCTGAATTGCTCGGAATTGATAACATTTAGATTTGTTCCCTGTGGCTACACGCGACCTCTGACCAAATAGGTAAACGTATCTCAGCGAAAATGGATAAATACGTTCAATCACTTTTTTCAGGGGAATGGGTAACCTATGACCTTGAATTGTTTGTAACTGCTTCATTTATTACTGTGGCATCTATCGCAAACATCTTTGTTGCTTTCTTCAGAAACTATACTGCCAACTTTTCTTTTGAAAAACAAAAGGATTTGACCTTGTATGATGATATGTTGTGTACTCTTTTCTATTTACATTCATACAGACCGAGCTGCTTAATCTTAGCTGTGAGTCTTTTACAGTTGATTTGGACAACACAAACATAATTTTTAGACGATAAATAGATTATGTTTAAACTAATTCAATATAATAATAGGCCGTTAAGAGTGAATGTTAGACAGTTTGCACAACAGTAGAAAGTACAAGCTTTCGTTCTTTTTACCTGTAAAATCAAACTGGGTTCGTTCCAGCGATGTTGAGGGTAGGGCGAATCTTATATTTTTGGTCGCGTACACTCTTTCGGTCTTCCTAACTTCTTCCAAATGGCATTACTGATCTTCATCATGTTCTTTGAGGCGTTGATGTCTCGGTTCCACAGTATATGACAAGTCTTGCAAAAAAGTATACTGTAGGTCTGGACGCCTTTTAACCACTCCAAAGTATCGTTCGAACAGCACGAGCATATTCTCGACGTCTTGAATTCATCGATTTCTAGTACTAGGAGGTCTCCGACTGCTTCGCGTTGCTTAAGCGCACGCCACAAAACACCTACCGTTCCGCATCGGTGACTCTTCAGTGCGACATTGTCCTTACCAAACATGCCATTACCGAACACGATGAGAGGCACTTTTTTTATATCACCCACATTGAAAGGTTCGGGCTTCCATTTGGCGCTTGATGTACTATTATAAAAAGCATGTTACTACTTATAAGTAGTTGATGATTATCGTTTATGAACTTTACCTATCTTTCGTCTTCAATTCCACCCTAATTTCTGATGTCTCTTCTTTCATACTCTTTTTCTCTGCTACTCCTTTCTTCTTTTTTTTTTTACCGTCGTTTTTATAAAGCCATCTTGTCTTTATTCTTCTTCTTGGAGACCTTGTTTTGTTCTTTTCTTTCTTCAATCTGAGATCCATATTTATACTTTGTACTGCCATTGATAAGCATGTTTACCATTTTGTCGGCAGCACGTTTCCGTCCTTGGTACAAATGGAATCGATCTTCGGCAGTACCATCATCGTAGAAAGAAAACAAGTCTTCCAAGTGCTGTAGAATGTATGTTGCATAACAGCGATATCGGGCATTGGAGCCTGTCTTGGCAGTTGGTATATCACTTTCGATGCCCTTGAGTTTACCAGCTTTTTTCTTCTCTAGCCTTGCAGAGTACGTGGTGCTACCAGTCATGTGACAGTACTCTTTGGTAGAACATCTTCGCACTTGGTGCTTTTCATCGTCCAGCCCGATCGCTACTGTGAAGACGTCTTTTCTCCCGGGATCAATGAAGCAAGGCCTGTAAACAGCTTCAATTTCGGCTAAATCGAAGTCCTCCAAAGTCAACCGATGGTTTTCGATGGTCTTCTCTTCTTTTGCTTTCCCTTTCTTACCGAAAAGAAAATCGGCAGTGAAGCCATCTGAACGGACAATATTACGGAATAATGTTTCCTGGCTTGTCTTAAGGTCATTTAAACTATTGCCATAAAAAACGAAAGTCAGTATATACCATAGACCGTATTTCAGCCAAAACTGTTTCCGTTTACCTTTTAAATCCCATGTTTGAAGCTGAACACTTGGTGAAACTTCTCAAGTTGATTCAAATAGCCTTTAGGAGGCGTACCAGGAAAGAAGAATGGGACGAGTGAACTGGTGCTTATCGTGATGAAACGCCAATGGAGCGAAGGTAAAGGGAAAGGGAAGAAGCGCTTGGGTAATGGTAATCTACGGACATCATAAGCTGCATGTTCGTCATGTTCCTTTTCATACGAGGATTGGATGTGCCATAAGGCTTTAATAAACTTCGTGGGGTAGGATGATAAGGAAAGCAGTGTAGCCTTCTCCGTCACAAGTTTTTCAAAGCTTTTGCACAGCATCTCTATCTTGCTTTTGTCTTCATTATTAAGCATGATTTTATCGGGCCACTTGGGTTCGCCTTTGTAAATTACTTGGTAGCAGTATGCTTCTGATACTCTGGCTGCGTCGACCTTCTTCATGTTCTATGGATAAATAACACAAATATACGCAATTAGAAAGGTGGAAATTGAAATTAGAGTAGTGGAAAGGAGACCCACAACAAACATGTTTTGTAGCTTATAGGTTAGATATTTAAGCATTCGCTTCTCGAAAAGCTCAACAATGGAGTTGGTATATGAAAGCTTATTTTCTTGGCAGCTTCTGTGAGACAAATGACTATAACCTTTGGTGAAGCCATGACTAGTCACTATTGTCGGATGCTTTTGCTTAAAGTCATCAAAATAAGTTTTGATGCTGTCGTTCAACGCCTTCTTGTGAGTAACCTTTTTACCCGTAATAAGTTGCGCAATGGAATACCAAAATTGCTGTGTGAAGACTTTTGAAAGAATGTCATTCTTGTTATGAACAAGATAGGCATTGACAAATAGTTGGCAGCGAAACACTATAGCTCTAATGTCCTTGCAGCACAAATGCCCTTTTCTTTGAACTTTTCACGAAACTGTGGCGAAACAGCACGGTCGACAGGAAGCTTCCATACAAAAATAGTAGAATTAAGACCAAGGACAGATGAAATGGCCTCCTCCTTTGATTGTATGTGATTAGGATAAAGAGGCGAACGAGAGGAAGCATGGTTATCATTCCCACAACTTGGACACTCTACAGCTTGCGATGCCGTTTTCTTCTTCTTCACTGCCTTTTTCTCTGCTTTAACACTCTCGCTCTGTTTTCTCTTCTTATTGCGACTCCCAACTACGAGAATGAGATGGTCTGTTACTCGGCTTATGTGACTAAAAGCAGGTTGATGTTCAACTTACCATTGTCAGCGGATACAGCTTTATGATATTTGCATTTCGGGTAGCGTTTATTAAAGTGACCCATTTCATTACAGCCTTTACATCTGGTATGGTCTGAATAAGTGCACAACAAGGTTACTAATGTCTCAACAACTCACTGCCTTTACCGAATGGATTTTCCTTCTAGGTGTACTTTCTTTCACTGAATTGATTTTATTTATGATAATACTCTTATACATGCGTATAGCACTGAGCAAGAGGTAATAAAGAGGAAGAAAAGAAGAATAGAAGAATGGTGTTGAAGAAGTTGAAACACAAATATGATTTTTAAATTTGGCAACATAAGCTTTCGTTTAACAACATTTATTATAATAATATGATTTACGCGTTTAATGTCACGTTTAAAATACGCAGGCATTAAAAATTTGATTCGATGTTATGCTGATATCTTTGCCGCGCAAAGCAGCAAGCTCCATTCGAACTCATAACTGTTCAACCAAAACTTCTTACATGGTCCACATGCGTTACAGACTGGAGACTGAATCATCGCTAGAAAATGAAGAGACCTAATGGATAAACACGATATAGAAGGATTTTTTATAGAATTTACCATTGCAAATTAGTTGTAGAGGGTATCAATAAGCGTGGCCACAAGCTTTTATTCATGCCCTCCTACTCGTCATTTTTGAACCTTATTGAGAATGCTGATCAAGGATTAAAAGTAATATCCAACGCAATTCGTTGCAGATGGGAGATGAATTATCGCTTCAAATTCAGAAAGCGTATGAGATAATCATGCTTGATGATTGCCTAGGTTGGACTAGGTAGCAGAAACACTCTGCGAAAATACTTACAGAAAGAACCTGGTCTTATGAACTAGTGATTCAATCCGTCTAAAGTTATACGCAATTATCTGGATAAAAATTGTAAATAAGTTCAAAATTGAAAATGCAAAGTTGCCCAATAAATATTGCAAGTCGTCTAAAACGGACGTTAACACACTGTGATATTCACATTCGAAACCACGTCATCTATTCAATTACCGACATTTATCAGCGAGTTACGCGTCGAAACCAAGGAAAGCTTAGGAAGGAGAAATATATGATATTCATCTTCAACTTTGAGCCTGTTTTCGTTTAATTTCTAAGATCCAACTTCAGGACAACTCTTAAACACAACAACAATTCAAAATGGTAAGGCTTGCTTTACCGTGTTTTAAACGTTTCAGCAGCATAGGAACAGAATATTGAACTGGAAAAGAATAACCACGAATAATTTTCTTTTTAATTGCAATAGTCGATTATGCAATATAATGGTGGCTCCGTTGTAGCCATGGTTGGCAAGGACTGTGTCGCTATTGCAGCAGATAAACGTCTAGGTCAACAATTCATGACTGTGTCAACTGAATTCCAAAAGATTTTCAAAGCATCTGAAAAGACGTTTGTTGGATTACCTGGTTTGGCAACTGATGTTTTAACATTGTAAGATCTAATACCACAGTTCATACCTTCTTATAAGCAGCACTTGAACCAAAAGCATTAAAATTCACTCATGGATCTCGTTTCCCTGTACTTAGAGCGGATCGTTTCCGTTTCAAAATAAATATGTACAAGATGCGTGAAGAAAGAGAAATGGAACCAAAAACACTCGCGCATATGGTGTCATCTACCCTATATGAGAGAAGGTTGGAATTTTTTTTAATTATGATACTCACATAATCAACGTTACGTTGAATCCTTCAAAAAAGTCGCAATACTCACTTAAAGTCAAATTTTTAGATTTGGACCTTATTTTGTTGAACCAGTGATTGCAGGATTAGGAAAAGACAATAAGCCATTCATATGTTCTATGGATTTGATTGGATGTATCAACTTTGCAAAGGATTTTGTTGTGAGTGGCACTGCAGGATCAAACTTATATGGTATGTGTGAATCTCTCTGGGAACCAGATCTTGGACCTGAAGAACTGTTTGAGACCATCTCTCAAGCATTATTGAACGCACAAGACAGAGATGCTTTGTCTGGCTGGGGTGCTGTAGTTCATGTCATGTAAGTGTATATACCAGATAAATGAGAGAAATACGATTTTTCTCATTGAGAATATCTGTTGCATTTATAGTACACCAACTGAAATTATTACCCGTTCACTCAAATCACGTCAAGTAAGAACTCTTCTCAATAACAATGTATACTGCAACACAGAAAATATCAACTTAAAGCTTTCTTTTTTTATTAATTTAGGATTAACTCACTTTATACATTTTAAGAAATATCAACATTGTGATAAAGATATGATATACATACAAATGACAGGAATAATACAAAGTTTGTTATACTATGGTCGTCGTATTGAAATGTTGGTATAAGACCATTCAGTGAATTTGCTGTGGAATATTACGCTATTGACGAAAGTTTATTACATTTTCTTCCATTCACCACCTTCCTTTCCAGAAGCAATCACCAGACGGTTGAAGCATTCATCTCTTCGCAATACATTTTCAAATTTAAGCACCATACCATCGGCCATGGAGATATCGATACCGCTACCATGCCAAACTAGCATATTGTATTGTTTCGTCTTCTTCACACCGATAATATCTTTATAAGCACATTCGACCAACACTCTTGCACCCGCCATACGTGCAGTTCTGAAAATGAAGCCTTTTCTTCCCAGCTTGATGCGTCCGGGTATAGTGCCCTTATAGATACATCCAAAAGCTGTGATATAAGCATTTACGAGAAAAGGGTTGGTTAACATATGGTTAGAAAAAGCAACATTTATGTATTTACCATTGGGATCATCATCATTTGCAATTGCTTCTTCAGTTTCTTTCTTCTTTTTCTCAGCATGTGAATTGACTGATTTCCTCACTTTGTTTGCAGCAGCAGCAGCAGCCAACATAGCCAAAGAGGTTGCGGTTGTTGTAGCTGTAGCATGAAGACTTGGTCTATCCTCTGCTTTTGGTTTTATATCCATAGCTCTTCGAGTCAAATGATCTGTAAGGTCGGACATAGAGGCAGAAAATTTTCCAGATAATGGTTCTAAATAAGTATTGATGCTGTTATCAAACGTTATTCCAGAATCTGAGGATGCTAAGGTATGAGATTTCTTCAATATTGTCTCAGCTGTCTCGTCACTATCCTCAGAATACTTGCTGCTTTGTGACAATCGCACAACTTCCAAAGCATACTCTGCATCATTAGGCACATCCCATAATAACAGGTTCAGTATGTTAAATAGTCGGCGATGACGAGGATAATGTGAACGGAGTGCCTGTAAGACAAAAAATTCAAAACCCATATAGAAGAATGTGAATTTTGCTATAAATCGTACAGGGAAAAGGCTTAAAAATAAGGAAGAGGCCAAGACAAGTATAAGTAAGAAGCGAGTTTTAGCAGGTCTTTTCCATGTGAGTAAGCTACAACAATTTATAATAGGTTAGATCGTATGTTGTATTTGTCGAGAGTAACTGTAAATTAGACTTTACTTTTTAAATCTTTCGACATAGTCGACGGTGTCAGAAAACTAATCAGGTTAAAAAGTTGATCCTTTTAATAACTGCATATTACTAATTGACCTTCTTTCCAGTAGCCTTGAGACTTACCATCATTTGTATTTTGGGGCCATATTTTGTTGTTATATCACTTTTCCATTCCATAACATCTAAATGATCAAATATGTTGAAAGTCGAGGCTGATTGTGTCGAATTCATTTTCTTTAGGAGTTTTCTATTCCACGATTTAGCAGTGCCCTCTACTTCTGGTTGAGAAACAAAAACTTCTACACCGTACTGAGTAAACAGATTGAGCCTACATGCAATAATAGCTGCTGCTAACCAACACGTTGCAAATGCCAAAACAAGGTCATAGTACCAAAGGATCAGATAGAACTAGATATGTAGTTAAATAACTTATTAACTGAGTTTATTAAAATTGAGACAAAATTAGGTTTATGTGTTTTGTAATACTTACACTAGCTAAAGCTCCTGTCAAAGCTTTGTTTTCCCAACGATACACATACTTTACTTTTCGTGCTGGTCCAATGAGTGGAGCAATTATGGGATATAATCGGTCCACATCATGCTTTATTGTGTTTAGTGAAAAAGGCTCAAGTGGTCGATCAAGCTCATCATAAGCGGCAGAACTTATAACATAGAGTATCCACTACAAGTAAAATCAATTCGCCTCAGCTTTTCTTTTTCTTTCTTTGAAAGCTGGTTTTATATTGATCAACTACAGTGACTTATGTCCTTACGGCTTCTATGAAATCCAGCCATTTCGTTGACTTCACAGTATTATCGTCACTCTTCACTTGAAAATCTGCTAATGTAGGTGGATGTAAGAGACCTGGTCGATGTCTGCGTACTTCTTTTAGATATTTATTCAAATGAGCTGAATGTTCCTCCGTATTGAGAGCTCTATCATTGGTGGTTTCATTGTCAGTAGTACTGGTAGTGATTACAGCAGCAGTAGCCTTTATCGGGTCAGCTTGTGCGTCGTTGAGCTTTGAGATATGTGGTATTGGATGGTCGGTTAACGTATTTTTGTCCGCGACAGGTGGTTTGGCAATGGCATCCTGCAGCGGTAGTAAAGAGGGGGGCGCAGGAGGTGGAGTGGTGATTGGAGGAGGAACATTTCTAGGAAGATGCACATTGCTTGACATGATCTGTATTTTTGTCGAGAATCCCGCTGTCAAAGAACTACGAATGCTTCAAGCTTTTATTTTTTTTTCTTTTATGTAAATAATTTAGTCTAAAAGAAAGAGATCGTGCAAACTGATCCGTGCAGCTTGCTGTTTGGTACTTCCTTTATTGCATTAAATAAATCTTGAAAGTTATAGAGCCGCTTTAATAAACCGCAGCTGCTAAGCAATCATTTGCAGGCTTAAAGATCAAAGGTACAAAAATAAAGTTTAACAAATTTATGTAGTAGTGAATAAGCGTGATAACTGCTTCATCTTTCCATAATAGAACGCTTTTAAAAAATGCTATTGAAAGCCTTATCCAAAAGGCGGTGGTGTAATCTTCATCTTCTTTCTTAATGACTGACTTTTAGGAAATTATCATCATCCGCGACTTCGGTACGGTTAGCAGCAAGATCAGCGGATGGACGCGTTTGGGTATAATTGTCGCTTTCACTTTCCGCTGTATTTTCTGCTGCTGTTGCGTGAGCAAATCTTGCGGGTCCTGAGGTAGTATCTTTCACCAGAGAGCCAATTTTTCTACTAGTATCGTCGTTAACTAGTGGTATTTTACCATCTTTGTTAGTACCACTGTTGTTATCGATGCAGTTATTTTGTTGCTTTTGCTGTCGGGCATGCTCTTGTCCGGACAAGCGACGTTTTTGGTCATCTTCTTGTCTCTGTCGTTCATTCACAAATTGTTGAAGAGCGTTGAAACTTCCCTTTTTCCTTCCTCCGCCTTCCAATACCACGTCAACAGCTGGTAAATAACGTCGGTTGTGCCATGAAGGGAAAGAACCTTGCTGCATTTGACAACCTTCTTGAGAATAAGGGTAATATGGATGTTGCGACATGTTGATATAGCCTATATAGTCTTCTAGAAACAAAGATGTTCTAATAGAAGCGATAAAGAGAAACGACTAAAATAACTGAAAAATTCCTTCCTTTAAAACATTGCGTATTTTTTAAGCAATTGACAGATCAAACTGTCACTGAAACCTAACCATAAAATCAGCAATTCCGGTTGACTATCTGAGACTTCTATGAAAAGTGTGCTATATAACTCCATAACATCGGTTGAAGTTGCACCAATGAAGAGGCTTATTGTTTTTTACGCTAGATTTACGAAAACATAAAAAGGGCTACACGCACTATTCGGTATGCCGTGGCGATTTTTTTTTTATTTTCCTTTCCCTTACATTTAAACTCAGCCTTTGCCAAAAAAATTTACCTGTACTTTGATCAGATTTTGAAAAAAAGAGCATTTTCTGCATCATATCGCTCAACCTTTGAATGACAGGAGAACAATGACGTTGAATTTCCATCGCCGAAATAATATCTCTTGTACCTTATCCTTTTTTTTGTAAGTGAACGTTGGTCAAAGCTTTGCTTCTTTGTTTTTGACTTTCTATTTGTTTTAGAATTATACCGCAAATTTAAGCGTTATGGCTTTGGCACCTCAATTCATTGGACATCGTATGGGCTCTGCTCTTGCCCCTCATACAATTGAAGTCTATTTAGACTATGTTGTGAGTATCAAACCACCATTACACATTTGATATATCGAACAAAATTATGAACTGTTAAATCACTTGGATTATCTGTTACAGTGCCCATTTTCAGCCAAGATGTACAAAAAAATTCGTGAGGTGAATCTATATTAAAGAAATGAGATTCCTTTATTTTCCCCGTTTGAAGCTACTAACGCTTTTGATTAGGACGTTTGGCCCTATATCGAGCAAAATCATTCTGATAAATTTCAACTTATCTTTCGCCAACAAGTGCAACCATGGCATGCTTCCTCTACTACTGTTCATGAAGCCGCTCTCGCTGTTGAAAAGATCGATAGTAGAAAATTTTTTGATTTCTCTGATGCTTTATTTGCCGTCCAGAAAGAGTAAGGGAACAATGGGTTATTTTAGAATGCTTTGAGTTGAAGTAGACCTTATATTAACTACTTTCGTTCATTCCATTCTCGTATATATAATGCAGCTACTTTGATGAGGCCGTAGAAAGCAAGACTCGCAGACAAGTCATTCAGAGTTTAGCTAATCTCGCAGAAAAAGTGGGCGTTTCCGGAGAGAAAGTGCTGGAATATCTTTCTAATGGCACCGGTGAGCCAAAAAATAGCGGCAATAAGGTCACAGCTGACTTGAAATTGTGCGTTCGTATTGGCCGTCAAAATGGTGTTCATGCTAGTCCTACTGTTTTATATAATGGTATTCGCGACGATAGCATTTCTTCAGGATGGGAGCTTAATCAATGGCAAGAATTTTTGAACAGCAAATTATAACCGTCTACCAGCTGATGTCTGAAGGGCAAAGAAATGTCAAAGAACTATAGCTTCTTTTGATACGAAAAAAAAAGTTATCCTAATTGAAGACAATGGATGATCTTGTTAAATAAATGCTTCTGGATCAAATAAATAAGCAATGGTTTATTTTGTATGATGATGAGTAAATGATGGATGGATTGCAGTGTGAAAACACGACTACGAACTTGAAAGGTTACTTATGGTCAATGTATGTATAGAAATCAAAATATAGGAGTGGTACAATATCAGTAAACGTTTTGACAAAATTGGATGATTGTTGTGCACAATTTTAAGCAAACATTTTGGCGAATGCATTCTTTTCCTTTTGTCTCTTCGCTGCCAACTTCGCCTTAGCATTGGCTAACTCTTTCTTGATGGCTGCATCAGCAGAGTTGAATTCTTGAGCTTTGGTGAGATCTTCAACAGCGCCTTCTAAATCTTTAGAATGAAGCTTGGCCAAACCACGACGGAAATAGGCCTTGGTACGATCCGTATCCTTCACATATTTGGCATCGTATTCTAACACCAACGAAGTAAGGTTAATACAGTCAGCATTGTCATTTAGCTTGAGATCACACATAGCACGGTTAAGATAGGAAGAAAGCTTGATAGAAGCATATTGGACACGAAGGTCTTCGGGATCTTCTTCATCGAAGGCAGGCTTGAAATTCAGATAACGAATAGCCTTGAGGTATTTTCTAGAAGCTTGCTCATAAGCGCCCTTTTTAAAATAATTGTTGCCGATATCCTTGAGTTGAGAAGCGATTCGGACAAGGTCGGGTAGTTCCTTAGGGCCTTCGTGGTCGTCAGCAAATTCTTCATAGTTATCACCGTCTTCAGCAACAGGTATGCCATCATCTTCACCTTCCGCTAACTCACCACAGTTGGTGATGACAGCCTCTTGCAAAGGCTTGTCTTGCTGGGTTTCTAGGAACTCAAGAGTACGAACAACACCCTTACCCTTTAACACCTTACCGAAAACAACGTGCTTGTTGTCCAAGTGAGGTGTAGGAACGGTGGTGATGAAAAATTGAGATCCGTTGGTATTGGGACCAGCGTTAGCCATTGACAATAAGAATGGCTTATCGTGCTTTAATTCAAAATTTTCATCCTCGAACTTTTCACCATAAATGGATTCACCACCTGTACCATTGCCTGCAGTAAAATCACCGCCTTGAACCATGAAGTTCTATTTCAAAAGGTGTTAGTTCTATAGTTCTACTACTGTATCCCTCACATTCCAGAACCCTACCTTGATAATACGATGGAAAGTACAGCCCTTATACGACAAAGGCTTGCCACTCTTGCCTTCACCTTTTTCGCCTAATTTCCATGAAAACGTAAATGTAATAATACTGTTAACATTCGTCCCTATACTCACAAGAACTAACATGCAAATAAGTTGCCTTACCTGTACAAAGGGCACGGAAGTTTTCGGCAGTCTTGGGAACAATATCTCGGAACTATTGTCATAAACATTATAGAATGAGTAATTGTATTTGTTGATAACTGACAATCCAACTTACCAGTTCAAAGACAATACGACCCTCAGGCTTACCGCCGATAGAGACATCAAAGAAACTATATAATTACATAATAACCGCAATCAAACCGCGTTAATCCATTGACAATTATCATAAAAGACTAATTTTAAATTTACACTCTAGGGTTAGACATCGTTGCTAATCGGTTACGAGTGATTTGTGTCGAAAAGGATAAGAAGGAGTTAAATGAGTAGAAACACAAAGAAACTCCTTAACGTCAAAATTTCAGCACACAATTTATAGTCTGACAGGATCGTCAACGTCACAGAAAAAGTTGGACCTGAATCCAATTTTCCAGAAAAATCTACAAAAAGTAGTAGTTAGATCAAAAACCCCAAGAACACGGAATTGCTGTAGAATATACTACGATGGTCTCAACATGAAGAAATGAACAATAAAAAGTGAGCATATACGAACTGAAAAATATGGCGGACCAAGAGATTTCTTAGATATGATTATGATATATCAAATTGAATAAAGCACGGAAAAATAAATACAAATAATGCGAGCAGTTTGTGGCGATGAAAATATTGAACTTTTTGGTTTTTATAGAGGGTTTATAACACGCTTTAGTATTTGAGAGCACGCTCCTCTCTTTTCTTCCTTTTTGTTTTGTTTTTCGAAGCTGTTATCAACACTGAGGGCTTCCTCACTTTAGCACTAGTTCACATCAATGAGAAAAACAAGCCTCGTCGTATGGAATGAAGAAGAATAAATAGAACATAACACCATTACACGCTAGTGTATCAAAGCTAGTTACCTAATACCGGAGAACAAACGTCGGTAGAATCATTACAGAAGGTCGCAAAACGAAAGTAAGTATAAAGGGTAATCATGATCCCGAACACAGCACAAACAGTAAGAAAAATGGTAGATTGTATTATTGATGCTTACGAAGTACATTAGAAATATCCGGGCATGAAGACTGATAAGTTTCGCCGAAGGCTGTATAATGTTTAATTGAAATTGAACGTTACATAACCAATTTCTCAAGGGACTAATATGTCTGCTTTGTTTTTCATATGGCACGCCCAAATAAGCCAAATTAAGAGACTCTTTGTATTTTCGAACACTTGAGAGGGTTATTCATGCTAATTTTTTTTCACTTATTGCTAGGTTAGCTCCTTTCTAACCCTTATGGTGCTTTTGGTCGACATATAATAATTTTTAGATTTTTGTCGTTGACTGGTCCGAACGAAAGTATACCATTTAAAATCATTCATCCACTCTAACATGATGCTAGTATTTTAAAATAGCGATCACATAGAAAGCATTATGAAAATTACTATGTATCCCACAACAAGTTTGGTTGACTTCGGGTCAAACAGAAATAGTAAGCCCTTCAATAACTTAGTTTAAGCGTTAGAAGTGCGTTACCCGTGATGTAGCCTTTATATTGTGCCCATTTCTTACCCTACTGTAGCTTATAACTTCTTCATCTCTTTTATTTCTTATTATTGGAGGGGCAAAAACGAGGATCAGACAGGAACAGTGAAATAATCCTAGTTTCTTCTTTTGTCTACCAAACTGCTCCTCTTTCTTTTCTTTCTCATCATAGAACACAGAACAGCTGAGAAAACCCCATTCGACAGCCTCAGCATTTAAGGTCTTTCATGAACGAAGTAGCGAAAGTTCTATTTCTCGAAAATTGCGGTATATATGCACTTGAGAATTCCATTGCCACAAACAATTCAGCATCACGCGTTGTCACTATACGTGATCTTGAAGAGCATTTCGAATCAAGTTGCCCTACTTTTCTCGCTTTAGTCAATGCCACTTATGCAAGCCTTGAAAGTTTTTTGAAAAAAGATGCCAAACAAATTGTACGTGCTGGTCTCATTCAGAACTGGCGTGATTGGATTTTTGAAGTGATGGATTATGAACGTTACGAACGCGATCGTCGTCAAGAGTATGGTATATTTTCTCCTCTCAACCGCTTATGCTCACACGATACGTTGCTATTTGTACTTGTTCATCGAAAAGCTCTTGGGAAATACACAGGACAGCGTATCAAAGACAAGAAAGCAGAGAAAAAGGTGCGTTTACAACAAGAACGCTTGGAGCGACACAGTGAACAACAAGTGGCAGATCAGATAGCAACGGAACAGGAGAAAAAGGAGCTAGCAAAATTGGAGAATCACCGGCAACAGCAAGCGACTCAAAAATCAACAGTGTCTTTGAACGACCAAATTATTCAATTGTATCATACTAAAAAGATGACACAGCAGTTTTGGGCAAACTCAAAGTCTTTAATATTAAGGATTCAGAAAATGATCAATAATGCTTTTCGCGGCAGAAATTATCAAGTAATGTTATTTGGGTAAGATTTTTCTAATGTATATGAACGCACATTCAATAAAAAGAAGAACTCAAAATACTGTTTACTTTATTTTGTATGTTAGTTCCACTGCTAATCAATTGTGCCTAAAAGATGCAGATCTTGATCTTTGTATTCGTATACCAGACGACCAATTTGAATATGACCAGTGCCAAAATAAGTACAAGAGTCTTTATGGACCAAGATCTGTATACAATATGAATTATATAGCCACATTGTTTCGCGCTATGGGAATGCAAGATGTCGAAGCCATTGTAAACGCTAAGGTACCTATTTGTAAGTTTGTTGATCCAGTAACAGGCATCAGGTGTGATATCAATACGCATAATGTGCTCGGTTTAGAAAACACAAAATTAATTGGGCAATATATCGATATGGATAAACGTGTTCGACCTCTATTGATGGTGATTAAGTATTTTGTGAAGCAAAAGAATTTAAATAGCTGTAGGTTACTTTGTCACCATATGAAAATTGTCATTGCAAGAAGCTATTCGTACAGTGCTTTCTAAACATTCTCTCATCCTCTAAAGCTGTTGGTGGCACACTAAGTAGTTATGCTTATGTCATCATGCTGATTCACTTCTTGATCGTAGGTTTAGAAAATCCTGTTTTGCCTTGCTTACAAGACCTTAACAGTCTTCAATGTTCCTCCTCACAATGTAAATCCAAGCGCAATGCACGCTCTTTCTATGGCAACACTATTTGGCAGGACAATCAACTTTGCGACCTGCGATACCATGACTGCGTGCGCATTCAAAATACGCCAAGTTACGACGAGCCTAACTCCCCTATCGGCGAAAACAGAATTGCCACGCTATGGTACGGTTCAAACAGAGACTCCATAGCAGAACTTCTCCATAAATTCTTCCATTATTACTCAGATCCTCGTAACTATGTCGTATCTATTATACAAGCCAACGGTGGACTTGTCGGCGCCAGTGAAGATGATCGTATATTTCGAAAGCATCATTTTGTGATACAAGATCCTTTCCTAAGGAAAAAGAATTTGGCTAGGACCTGTACGGAAGTAGGATCAAGAGCCATATTGAAAGAATTTCAGAGGGCGGCTAAATTGACAGCACCTCACTTACCCTCTTATAATACCCAACTGGCTAACTTATGTGATCCATCCAATATTCTAGCCAGGCCTTTGGATAAGCTTTGTATGGAATACCGAATGAAAAATACGAAACATGGAAGTTCAGCCGAAAAGCGAGGTGGTGAATTTTTGGATATACAACAGACACTATTAACAGCACAGCAAGAACAGCTTCATGAGGAAGAAGATAGTCGGCCACAGCAAGATCAAGTCATAGGGATTTTTGAGGAGATAACACAGGATGATTTTGAACAGCAGCTATCTGGAATGGCTCACATGACGCCCGCTGATGCTACCCCGACAGCAACACCATCATTAGATACTATGGCTGATACACCTGATACCCTGCCACAGCAACCGACTGAATTGACAATGTCGCCACCTTTAACCGTAAAAATGCAAACGGAAGAGCAAACAGCTGGAAAGGAGATTAAAATGAAAGAAATACAGGACTCTACAGCAGCACAGTCCGACAAACGTATCCATGAGGTAGATCCTTTCACATCAACGACAGTGAAAGGAACGATGAATGATGAACCTATCATTAAGCTAGTGAAATATCTCCTTCATTATTATACACCATATGAAAAATCAGTGTCTACAGAGGATAAACAACAGCTCCAACAGCTATTTTCTTCGAGAAAATTTGTACAAAGAATGCTAAAAAGACCCGCTGTTGAGATGGATAAGTTAATTTGCGAACCTTCATTTGAAGACGTTCCGCCAAAGCAAATCTCCTTCTTGATAGCGCAGCTAAGGTATTACATCGATTCTTACGTCACGGCGGTAGTGGAGAATGACGACACTTTCAGGAGTACAGGATATGCTCTGGTAGGGAAGCAAGTCGTTAAGAAGGAATATAGTGAGTCACGGAAACAACACGATAAGAATAGTTGTGAGATAGCGTTGTTTGGTATGAAAATCCATGATTCTGACATTGATTATGTGTCTTCCGACTATGACTCGGATGACGGATTTGACGATTATGGCCCTTGTCAAGAAGGAGAGGAAGAGCAAATAGTGCCCAAGCATAAAATAGTAAATGCAAGCGAAGAATCCCAAGTTCACAAGTATACTCGGGAAAAAATGAAGTTGACAGCGGCACCTAACGGCTTCAAAAAAGAATACACCTCAAGCATGACAAAAAGGTATACGGATGACAGTAAGATAGATCTTCATTTCCTCGTCAGTAAGGTGCCTAAAGAAGACGATAGCTATGAACTTTTTCAAGAGTTCAGTTGGTATGGTCAGGTTTATGAATGTAGACTTGCTGAAACACTTGAAGACAACAACAATGACACGAGCTACAGTGACCACTATAATACTTGGCATGTGCACATCAAGTCTTTATTCGGCCTATATACTTCTGGAGTGTTTTTCAATATAAAGCTAAATAAGTATTTAGAAAAAGATCATGACGAGTATCAAGTATCGTTACCTTCGCTAGTCCCTTTCTAATGAAAGGTCCCTTATTTATTGTATTGAAATACCAGAATAAACAAGTCATCTTTATAGACAGGGCTATGACTGGAGCTTTGAATTATCTTGATTACAGATAATTGCACGTGCCAAGAACCCAAACAGAGCTTGATTCACAATTACACAGTGATAAGTCAATAAGGTAGCATGTGCTAGTGAAAAAAAAAAAAAATATTGAATGTAATATATCAAGTGCTTTAATGACAAAAAGAAAGAAAAGTGCAAGCGAAAAAAAAAAGAAAGCAATATGAACAAAAAGGAAATTTGAATCTAATTTGTATAACGCGAATTCTTGAGCGTGAGGGAATGTAAATTACGTGATTCTTATGACTAGCAGTAGAGAGAAGTATGTACTAAGAAGATTATGTAATATAAAGTGTAGCAGAAACATGAGAGTAAGATAAAATTGTTTGTATAATGAAGATTAATGTACAAAGAAAGAGAAAAAGAACAAAAAAAAAGATGGACTCTAGTTACTCTCTTTTACGACAGTCTTTCCTTTCCTCCAACCATAGGATACAATTCAGCTTGCTGTTGTTGCTGGTGCTGGTGATGAGTTCTATTACTTTGACCTGCTGTTACATTGGCTTCACCATTGAAAGTTTTGGCAGCAACAACATAAGCATCTTCACCCGGCAACAATCGTTTAACGCAAGCAATAGTCGAAGGAAGCGTCAGAAACAACCAAGCAGCAATGGGTAAAGAAGCGTAATCCAAAAAATTCTTCCAGGTACGTGACTCTGATTTCGGCTTATGATAAAATTCGCGATCAATATACCTATGCAAGTGTTCGTAAATGGCCAATGTACCAAATAGAGGGAAAGGCAAAAAGATAGTAATTATCTTGACTACAGTCCACAACTTGTAAAAGAAATCTGAGGTGAGCAAAGGGTTATTGGCAGGCGATACGATGGCCATCCATGAGAAAGGTGGAAACAAGATAATCTGCATCAAGGGTACAGCGGCAAACATCAACCAGCCCGAGGAGGCAGGGATGATGTGTGCTTCACAAATGACCGAACAGGCTGCTAATTTATCAAAGAACCCTGTTGAATTGGAATAAGGTGGGCAATCCATAAAGATATTGCTGGTACTGCTGCTGCTGCTAGGGCTGTTATTGGGGCTATTCAGACTTTTACCAAGAAGGTTCATACGGTTCAGTTTCTCTCTTCTACGACTGTGGTTCAAGCTGGACAATGTATGGCTGATGGTATAACCTAGATCGGCCACACCTTGGAAATGACGTTTTGCTTGTTGATATCGAGCATAAATATTACGGAAATAACCTTCGCATTGCACATTGGTAAGATTGATGGGTACATAGATAGATGCTGTTCTTGCCATACCGTCTGTTTTGAAGAAACATTTCAGCCACATATGCATATCTTCACCAATAGCATCAGCTCCTATATCCCAGAAACCAACGCGCTCAGCCAAGAGATAGGATAGACTATAGTTTGAGCAAGGAACGCAAAGGCCATCGGAATTGCTAAGATTGGACATGACAAGAGCAGCCCACGTGATATCTGTCATACGAACAGCGGCAGGTACTTGATAACAGTTACGAGAGAAAAATATAGGCGGTGCACAAATGGTATAGTAAGGATCTTCTGTACGGCTAGCGAGTGCATTTTCGACCTCCAAAATATACAGTTCGGGTAGACCTGCATCAGAATCCATGATGGTGAGGATGATTTTGCGCGGATCGTAGTTGTCAACTTTAATCATTTGGTGTTGACAGGCTTGGCGGACAGCGTAATTGACATTGGAGCCTTTGCCGCGATATTCGCCTGGAATATTGACAGGGTGACCGGTGATGTAAAATCCTAAAAACTGATCTTTAAAGTATTCTTTGATTCTATGGCCTTTCTCCTCCCATCCTGACTCAGATGCTTCCATTGCTAAAATAATGACATAGTTTGTGTTGGCATGTCTAATGTTGATATCGGTGTAAAGTGCATGTTAGACGATATACGTACAAGCGCTGCAAGCTGGCTCAAGCCTTTTATCTTTTTCTTATTAATATTACCTATGAACGGCTAATCTACCAATGGTATCTTTCAACAAGCCTTCTGGTTCGCAATAATTGGGGATGACAAATGTATGTATATATTGGTAGGGTTGCTGTTGTGAATAAGAAACCATAGACAATTTTTGTTCTTCTTCCAATTCAATATCATTGTGATTGGAGGTTTTGTTGAAGCTTTCAACATCATCGTTTTGTTTAGTTCGGTTCCATTTGTCAATAACAGCTCGCATTCGACTAGAGGTCACATAGAATTTGCATACATGATTGACTTGCTGATACAAAAACACAGAGAAATAGATAAATAAAAATAGAACGTAGAATCGAGGGAACAATAATGGACCCAAGGGCAATAATGCCAAAGAGATAATGGGCGTTAAAGGTGCAACCCATTCAGACGGTGAACTTAGTCGACTCCTACTACTACTGTTGGACATTATAATGGTTTGTTTGATTGTTGGGGAAGAGTTCGTTTGAAGATAGCTGTCTCTACTTTCGTGTATGACTACTGCCTGTTGCGATAACTGCTGTTGAAAAAGGCGGCAAAAAGAGGGTCGTGTTCTTTCTAACTGCTTAGAGAAAAAGGATGATGAAAAGCCAAATTCTTTGTTCGCTTTGCTTGTCTGTGGAGGCTTGGTTTTAAGGGGAACGGGGGTGGTGGGTGTTCAAAAATAGTTTAGAAAACAGAGAGAAAAAAGGAAATAAAAAAAAAATAAAAAAAACAGCCCCTTTTCTATTTGGTTGATTTCTTCCGTTCTGAATCTGATAGCAAATGCGATGTTTAAATCTATACATTGAAGGCTTGGGAAATGGATTTTAAAAAAAAAACATTGATAAAAAGATTTTAGCCAATCAACAGCGAGTATTAATATGAAAGGAACGGTAACTGAAAAAAGGTTTTTTTTTTAAATTGAAAATTGACAACAAATACAGTCCCTTTTTCGCTTAATTTTCGCACAAAATGGTTAATAAATTGAGACAATTTTTTCCATTTTGAATTTAGACTAATATTATAATAATTTTGGTACTATAAATGCTCAATGCCAAACGTGCGACCTACTTTTACTCAAACAAGGTAAATATACTGTGTTAAAGCACAGAATAATCACTCTGTTTCAGTATGGCAGGAGATTTCAAGCAGTAGTCAATGAAAACTATAGAAACGTACAGAGAAGTTTTGCAAAATGAACACCTAAATGCCTAAGTATCTTCAAGCCGCCTGGTTCGAGGAATTGACAGCATCGTCTTCGCTACGGCGATTCTGTGGGGGTAAATTGTGATGGTTTTCTATAACCTGCCCCGGCTAGAGTGGCAATAGTCATCATATTTTTAAAGCGTTTATATCATATTGCCAGAGTATGTGACAGAACTTTCCTACTTTAACAACATGAATCAACACCAATCTTAACGATTTCATCTTCTTAAGCAAGCAGATGTTAAAGTAACATTTAAAAGTGCATATATAAGTAAGGCATATATTGCATTGTAAAAGGAGAGTTTAATTACCTGCGACGTGCAATAGCCTTCAATCTCAAATCATTCACATCGGATACAACTGAATGCCTGGTTATCATGGCAATCAAGAGGAAAGTATGTTAACGATTATTGTAGACAATCATAGGATGAGTACTCAAAAGTAAAGGAAGTCAGTAAGGCAGAGCATCATAGCCTTTCGTTGTGGTAATCGGGTAATAATAAGTTATCTTTCAGAAGAGTGCAAGAACATGAAAAAGTATTTCGGTATTAATGTGTGGTCTCAACCATTTAAAGAATATACGATTGTAGCAAACAGATAGAAGCAGATACCATATATATTTTTCATAATTGTAGGGTTTGCCATATCTTTTTCATTGAATATACATAAAAAAGATAACGGGCATCTTATTTATCGGTTATTGATCCTATACATGAGCGCTAGGCTAAGGTTAAAAAGTAACAACAAAAAAACTCCATGAGACAGCAATAATGCCATGAAACCACGTGCCAGAGAAATTGTTAGTTCTGAAGATTGTAAAGGTTGGATCAGGCATGTTGAAGAGATAGATACGTGCAGAAAGAAGTGGGCCTAAGACAGTTTACTGAAAGTGTCCGAATTCTGAAAATATGTAGTCGGAAAACAATCAGTTGAATTGTCTGAATTTGGTTTATGAACTTATCCCAATTTTTTATGAAGGATATCTAAATATAAGCCGAAAATGCAGCAGTTTCGGTATGACCTTCCATCCACCCAAAATACCCCCAAAGTCGTAGGGCGCAACTTCGCCAAGACGTTGCACTGGCAGCAGTTTCCATCCCTTACACCGGACTATTGCTATCCGCAATTCCCTTTTTGCACGGTTGAAAAATTAAAAAAACTCAACGTGGCATGATTTGTTGATTCAGCCATTATTAAACCATCATTAATAAAGCATTATTCAATCTCGTTCAGCACCGTGCTCCTTGTCACTTCTAATTACTTTGAACCAGAAGGGCCTCTCTTATTAACTTAAGTCCTTATCAAGTCCGTAATTGTTATTAATGCCATCTTTGCATACAGGGCCTATTTTTTTTTATTATTCGAATTTATATGTAGACTTTAATCAGCCTTTCTAGACTTTCTTTGTGCTGCGGCTGTAGTGGCTACAGCTGCTGTACTTAAGTTCTTCTTGTCGTTCCAATACATGATTACTTGCAGGAGCAAAATGCCATTCAAGACGGTGGCACCTACGCCACCCAACATAATCAAAGGATCACCTACTTCGGTCATATTGGTAAATACACGCGCCGCGCTACCTGCAAAATAATTCACGACTGTAAAGACAGACAATTGGCCTGTTGATTTGTTTTTGAAATTGGTTTGGATTTGTGGTATCTTGGAAGATAAGTTCAAAGGAATGGTCAGGGCCAAAAGACTGCTCATCAATACAGCGCTCACCAATTTTTGGTTATTGAGAACATAAAACGCAGCCCCGAGGCCTAGAAGAGTTATCAATAATGACGCGTGCTGTCTAGAATATACAAACATCAAGCTTATAATGACAATATTTTGAATGACAATGAACATCATTTCGCCATAGGTACTAAAGGGGTTTCCTTGACGCATGTTGTAAGCTAAAGTGATAAAGTAGGATAGTGTTTCGATGATGTAGCTGGAGAGCGATAAGCCAGCAGCGGATCTGTTCTTCAAAATAGTAAGAATTTGAGGGATCTTGACAATGGATCCACCTAGAACGATTCCAAGACCAAGGCCCTTACTGATACTGTATTTGATGCATTCGGTGTCGTTAAGTAGGTTCAGGTTTTCAACAAGGGAAACGTAACATTTTTCACCAATGATTTGGACAGCAGGCTGTCGTAGAATGGGCGGCAATTGCATTATGATCTGACAGTAACTGTGACGCCAATGAGAATAAGAGCGATGAGGATGCCTAGAAACGAGAAAACAAAAAAGCGTGTCTATCTTTTAACCCTTTCACCGATATCACCAAGGGCAACAACAAGTCGAACTCCGCAACCATAGGGTTGCAAATTTATGCATGCATTACTTTCCACGCAATGATATATCACGTATTCAACTTGTTTTTTGTTTCTGTTTTTCATTCTGCTGCAGTATACATAGAGTGAGCTTCAAAACGAAGAGGGTTGTGCAGTGCCTTAGTCATCCAATGTAAAAGGAACGTAAAATGCAGTCATGCTCCATTCTCAATAACAGTTTGTCACGTACTAAATCACCATAGCTGCACCAGATACAAGTGCCATTGATTTCAGCAGTCTTCATTATGAAAGCGTAAAAAAAAGACCTACACAAGCTCTTTCGAAAAGACAGGTCCTTTTTCACTCTGATAGTAAACGCCATGCACAAAAAAGGATGGGTTTTTTTAATTGGGCCATCCACATGCTGAGTATCGTCTTCTTAAATTTTTCTGTTTTATCATTGCCGGTTTCTTTGTTTTTCCCTCTTTCACACCCACACACAGAAAAATACCAAAAAAATAAATAAAATTAGACGCATCATGTCCACAGCCACTGCTGCTGCTTCTCGATACGCGAAACTACAGCAAACAAGAGATGCTGTGTCTCATATACTACAACATTATGAAAACTTTAAAAAAATCCATTCTATTCAACGTCCAATGGTGATAGGTGTATCAGGCTGTCAAGGCAGTGGCAAAACCACATTATGTAATACCCTCGAGTCAATCCTCTCTAGAGAGCCTTACCATTTGAATGTTGTGAACTTCTCCTTGGACGATGTTTATTTAACGCATCAAGATCAAGTGAACTTGTCAAAAAACAAATATCCTTCTAACCCGCTTTACAAACATAGAGGACAAGCAGGGTCTCATGATTTGAATTTGCTCAAGGAGACCTTTCGATCTTTATTACATCCTACTGATCATAGTGCAGTACGTATACCCATCTATGACAAATCAAAATTCAAAGGAGAAGGTGACCGACTAGATAAAAAGGGCTGGAAAGTCGTTAAACCGCCCTTCAACATCATCTTATTTGAAGGCTGGATGAATGGATTCAAACCGTTGGCGTCACAAACAGCTATTGACACGATCATTCGAGAAACCCACTTGCTCGATAAACTCAACTTACCTACCTTGACAGCTGAGCATCTATATCAACTCGATGAGAATTTGGTACCTTATGAAAAGGAGATATACCCGTTCTACGATATTTTCATTCATCTCTCTCCAGAGAATCTTCAGCAGGTTTATCAATGGCGTCTCGAGCAGGAACATACGATGAAGGCGGTTCGAAAAGTAGAAGGGCTTTCGGATGAACAGGTCAAAACGTTTGTGGATACGTATATGCCAGCCTATGAGCTCTATTTGCCTAGATTAGATACAAACGGCTTCTTCGACGACGATGTCAAAGACAGTCGCAAAGACCAATACAAAGGATTAAAGCGACACCTGAAAATTATTTTGGACCCTCATCGCCAAGTTATTCAATCAAAAGCAATATAAAATAGCTTTCCTTTTTTAGGCCCTTTCCCCGCTTCTACGTTCAGGCCGCTTTGTTTAGTTTTCATTCTCATCTCATAAACAGGGAAAATTCAGCAATTTTCAACGCATTTTGTTTCGATATCTCTCTATCATTTTCGTACTGGTTTTTTTCTTTATTATTTCATTTCTTTTTGTCTTTTCATACCAACATACAAGCATAAAATTGATATCGATCAACGACAATCCAAGAAACAGTATGTATCAACTTGTCATAGTACATGTTTGTACCTTTTTTTTTTTTTTTCTCCTTCATTTTCTTCCATTCCGCTTTTCAAACCGCTTGCCAAAAGATGAACGACATGTGGATACAATGGGGTCTTCATCTGTATTGCGTGTCGAAGGGCATCAACGAGAATAACATGTTTGTATTCGTTTCCCTAGTGACGCTCAAAGGAAAGAAAAAGCCAACAGCAGCAAAAGAAAAGTTATATTCGCCTGGAGATATTATATTTGCAAAATTGAAAGGCTTTCCATGGTGGCCGGGGAGGGTAAGGGCGCACAAAAAAATACAAAAAAAGGTTACGAAGAGCTCACTTGAGAAAAGAGGTGGTTGATATCTTGTCCGTATTTACTTTACAGATTGAAAATGAGAAGGATTTGCCTGAACATATTATGAAAATCAGACGAAAGCAAGCAAAAAGTACAACTTACACTATTTTTTTCTTTGGCTCAAACGATTAGTAAGTGTACCATTGCTTCTTTTGTCACTTGAAAGAGGATCATGTGTGTGGGTGTGGGTGTTTGGTTGGGTTTGAGATGCTAAACAACACAAGAAGGGAGCCACGAATGCAGAATAGATCCGCGTTTGATAGGACGATTGTTGCACTGCCAAAGGAACGAGATGGTTCAGTCTTTATTGCCGTTGCACCTAGACCAATGCATCAAAAGACAGGGTGAAAACATTCAAAATTTTGCTAACCGAACTCCTTCTTCCATACAATAGCCAATTTTTCAATCCTAAGGATATTCGCCCCTTCGAGCCTAATACAGTTAAAAAGGATTTGGAAGCGCAAAAGTACAAAACAAGAGACTTACAGGAAGCAATTTCACAGGCAATTGCAGCAACAAAGAAAACTTCAGTGGATGTGAAGGAGGGAAAAGCAAAGAAAGGCAAGCAGAAAAAGGTTGAAGAGACTAAGATTGAAAAGGTTAACCAACAAAAGAAAGAGGACGTGGACGAGGACACGAAGGATGAACCAACGAAGGATACAAAAGCTGGTACATCCAGAGGAAGGGGTCGTCAGAAACCTACTGAGTCACTCGCATCTGTGGCACCCATGGAAATCGATACAACATCAACTCCAACCACAGCGAGAAGTACCAGAGGTGGAAGGGGCCGGAAAAGCGTTCAAGATGAGAATAAAAATGGAAAACCGAGCGCTGAAGAGAAAGCTTCAATTGAAAAAGGAAAAGAAACCAACGACAAGAGCAAACCTAAGAGGAAGGAGAATATGGCTAAATCTACCCCTACCATTACAGGAAGACCGAAGCGTACACGACGCAGAGCAGATTCTGAAGCACCACAGGATGCCAATGACAAAAAGAGAAGAGTAAGTGTGTGCTCTTTTTTAATGTTTTTGCTCGACAGAAACGAAAGACATGAATGCGCCAAATGTTGATTGGTTGCTTGTCCATTTTTATCTATACAGCGTAAGTCCTTATCAACATCATCAGCACCAGAAACGTCCAATAATGGACCTATCGTTGCCGTGAAACCGGAGAAGGAGGCAAATCATGTTATACCCGAAAACCATTTGAAACCTCAAGTAAATAACGTCAATAACAACGCCTATCAACGAATACGCTATGAAAATGGATACATTGAATTGGCACCAGACCAAGTAGAAGAATTTAAAAAGACCAAAGATTTTTTGCGCGTATATCAACTTAGACATCGACTCCAGAAATATGTTTATAACAGGAAACCGGTAAAAAACCGATACTCAAGGAAAGACAATTGGGAATGGCTGTAGGGAATGATCCATTAACGTACGCAATTCTATTATTATTATAGGGTGATATTCCAGAATCCGAATATGGCGCAATATCCTCACTTGTGAAGGATATTGAAAACGAAAAGAATATGACAATTGATCTTTTGAAGGTATGTCATTTTTATTCACTGCACTCTCAATTCGCGCATCTCGCCCTGCTCACGTGCCCTTCCTTCTTTTGGATCATGATAGTATACCAAAATTGGAAAAGTGATTAAGCTTACATCTGCATATGATTATGGCGAGAACGATAAGTTTGATATCGCTGGACGTTGTAATCAAATTATAGAGAATTGGAAACATTTAGTGTTTGAGTATCAACGAGACCCTGAGCCGTTAATAGGGCAAAGAGAGCACGAAGGCCAAGTAGAAGACGAGAGTTTATAAGCCAAACGTCGTCAACAAGTATTCATTTAAAATTGGCCCATATCCCATTTACGTTATATCAAATATTCCACAGCTTTAAATATCTACGCTTGCTTTTATCTTCAACCCTCAACCAATATCTTTTTTTCTCTTTTATATGGACAAATATACGCGCCTATGGACCATTTTTTTCAACAGCAAATATACGTATCATTAAAACACATACTCAGCCTCTTCATGCTATGTTGAACAGCCACTCAATGTATTTGTATTGTACGTAAAATGGTGGCATCCCCCACACCCCTTATTACCAAGCAAAAATCTACCATCATCATTCTATTCAATTAGATCAAACATGTTGACATCCATAACGTCATATTTCCAAATTACCACATAACATACAAATTTAGAAAGAGGGCTTTTTCAGGAGACAAAGTATCTAAATGACCAATAAAAGTGTTCCATTGTTACCAAATCCATATAAAGATCAATGATGAACATTTGTATCATTGTAGGACGTGAGAAAGGCGAAGCACCTTGAAGCAATTTCCAAAATAGTCATTACCTCTTTTGGATCATGTTCTATTGATGATTTCTAGAAACTGCAGCAAGCTTTTGTCAGACGGTGGCCAAACAACAAAGGGCCAAGGTTATTAATGAATTCTTTCATCTCAAAATGATTGCATTTTTTCAAGTCATAAGAAGTATATCGTATATATCATTAACGAATCGTTCACAATCTCATAAGTAGATTGCAAATTTTGGATTCGTTGCAGTCATTTAAACATGATGAGTGATCACGAAACTCTTGATTGAGGCAAATAATAAGATTGACTGTTCAGGACAAAAATCCGTGAATTCTAACTAGGAGAATCCTGAATGTCAAACGCAAATCAAAATACAAATTTAAACTTTCGATTGTAAAGAAAAATCTTTTTTGCCAATGATATCAAAATAAATAAATTTTTTAAATTGTCTGCTGACTTACATGGAAACATATTGTGCGTACTATTTGTAACATTATTAAGAGTATGTCATATTGGTAGTAAACCCGAAATATTCATTCTAGACCCTTCTGATGACATTGATTCTGGTTCTGAGGAGGGTAGAGAAATAAACATACTTGTAGGAAAGCGCCTAATTTTTTATCCATACACTACGGCTGGTGGGCAAAAGAAGTGCTTCCTACAAAACTGACGTCTTGATCTTGATCACGTTGACATTACCAGTCGTTAGAAAGATGAGGCAGTCATAAACCTATCAGATTACGTACGGATTTATAGGATATAGGCCTTTTCAGTCGTAATGACTTAACATTTGATTCATGATACGTTTTTGCGCATTCTTCTACAATGCAGCCCCGAAAGATGACATTTTCGTGTGACCATGGCCACTCCTCTGTCGGAAATGGAATTTGACTACCGTGCTTATTGTTTGTTCTTCTGTTATCTTTTACTTTTTACAAATGTGTGCATTTTTCGTACATTAAACAAAACTTTATATGTGGTTATGATCCAACTAAAAGAAGGATAGTCCGGCTAACTATTTAAGCCAGATCAAAGATTTTCTTGATTTTTTTTTTATTTATTTAGTATAAATAGAGTTGTTTTCCCTTTCCATCCTCCTCCTTTTATTACAACATAATACAACAAACTATCACAAATGCAACTCTCCATCAAAACTCTTTTCAAGCGTGGTCAAGTTGAACAAGAAGTCACTGGCGCAACTACTAGTCGTAACTACGGTGCTCCTGGTAACAACAATGATCTGATGCCCGTCTCGCCCATAGACAGATACCAAAATGATCCTGTGCGTACAACGTCTCTACCTGATACAGTCGGTAACTTCTTCGATCCTATGGGTGGTAGTAATCGTCCAGCTTTTGGCACGGATGTTACTGACACGGGGGCCTAATGTCTCTATGAACTAGTTCTATTTTATGAACTATACGCAATTCTTGCTATACATTGTTATTTTTGGCATCCACCTTTTTAATTCATTTCAACTCTAAATCTTTTTATCACCTTCATACTATATCTTCTCTTGATAATGCATCAAGTACATCATTTTTGACCAACAAAAAACTCCACAAATTTATTTATTCTTTACCTCATCATAACATTATATCCTACCACTGCTACATTTGTTCTTTAAACATTATTTCCCACTAGCGTAGAATTATAACACTGTAATAATAAACAACATACTGAACAAAGACAAAATCATAGCTTATCATATTGACTGTCGAATGCTTCTAAATTGAGCTCGCATAATCTGATGTTAATACATACGGTTATCTTATCTCTTGAACAATGTTGCTGTTATATGTTTATGGTATGGTTCGAAATCAAGAAAAAGCGATCAGAACAGAATTTCAACCCCTAAACCGTATGGTTATTGGTGGAATACATACAGCTAACATTTTTTTTCTTGTACAACAACCTTTTCGAGATCAACAACGAGTGGTTTAAAATATTGATCGAGTAAAGCGCTCAAAAATTAAAGGCTCCTTTTTTAATAGACTATCTATACCTATCATATTTTTTATACACGCTACTATCATATAAATGCTGACCACTCGCTCCCACGTATACAAACATAAAATATAGCTTTTTAATAGGTACACTACTATGTAATTTATAGTACCTACTACTGAACCTTATATTTTTTAGCGTCTTTTTTTTTTTTTTTTTTTTTTTTTTTTTTGTATACATCTAATTGTAATTAGTGGGCGTTTCAGAATAGTAAAGGATGCGCGGGTATACGTCTTTTTTTATACATATTCAAGGGAACTGCATCCATATCCGTATTGGAGAATGGTCGCTTATTCCTTCATGCCCTGTTCTAATAAAGGAGAACTCCGTGATCACGTGTGTTATTTAACGTTAACGAATAAATAATGTTTGTACAGAAAAACAACGTCAACCCATATTGATTCGATATGTGTGTATCTCTTCTGATTTTCGCAGTAAAGAACAGGTGGTTTTGGTTATATACAATTTTTACGTTGAGGCAATCATTTAGCATTTAAAAAGTCGTCATAGAGCAGTAATGTATGTCGTACGCTTACTGCTTCTTGTTTGTCTGGTATAAAAGTATATTTATTTACGATCAGCATTGTATGATGCGTCAATTATTGCCCTTCATTTAGATCAGTACCGTCATCGACGTATATAGGAAGAGTTGCCTATCAGACAAGGCAGCTATGAAAATATATGATACATGAGTATTTCCAAAAAGTGACTTTATTGCTTACTTACCTAAGGTATAGGTACAAAGGTAACCATCCTGTGGAAGCGTTTCTTATTAAGCGGTGCTGCCTGCCACCTGATTACCTTTGTGGAGGTCTTTCATTGACGTATGCAGCCCACAGTCTTATAAAAAGCTATCTGATGTCAAGAATTTGAAACGTAATATTTTTTGAAATTTATTGATTTAATCGTATAAGCTTCAACTAAATGATCATAATGAACAGGTAATCCAAAGGGTTATACGAAAGAGTGATTATAGTAGATTAAATCGTCTGTCAGTCTTTATTTTCAATGAAACGATTACATATAGTATGATGAATAAAAATTATTTACAAAAGGCGCAATGCCTTGATTAATAACGAGTAAATGTTCCCTTTGTAAGGTAATTCCCGGCTGGTTCCTTCTTGTCCTTTCCACTGCCATAAATACTCTTCACCGCACTCGACAAAATGGTGCTCTTCTTCTTTGCTGCTAAATCTTGTGCCACCTTATCCAAAACTGCTGTTGCTGCTGAGGACTGAATAGTAGGTTTAGCTATCTTCTTTGATGAAAGCAGACCTGCTGCTGCTGCTGTAGCCTTATCATCAGTATCATGTTGTCGTTTACGCTTCTTGCTACTTTCCCCATTCTTCTTTGCTGCTTTCTTTTCGGCTTTCGCTTTTGCCTTTTTTTCTTCCATAATTTTTCTCATTTTCTCTTGCTCTTCTTTAGGTGGATTGATCACAATAACGTTCTCACTTTCAAAAGGTTTTCCACAAGTGACGCATTCTTTGCTTGGAATCTCTTTCAGTGCCTGTTCAGCAAAAACGCATCCACATGTATCCAGATAAACAAATCGATGCTTTCCGTTCATTTCTTTCATTGAAATAGGACAAATAAATTTACTTTTCACATCCTTATCCAAACTTCCTACAGTTGCTGACTCTTGGTTTATTTTCTTTTCGCTGTAGGCTGGGTTCACTGTCAAGTTTAACAGCTTGACATCCTTTTGTGATGTGATGTGCGAACAGATCTTGTCCGCATCACCATATACACTTTTGTCTATCAAATATTCTATTATGGCATCTTGGTTATATAATTTCCCTAAACCATCTGAAACAATAGGGGTCTCGAGTACTACCTATCAGAACATGAACAAGAGTTTAAAACTGTTCTTTTGCATATGAGAGACCAGATCTTACAAACTTTATATTCTTACCTTTGATAAGGCACAATAAAACCAAGCAGCGATTCTTTCCAAATCAGGATTGAGAAGAACTTGTCTTTGTTTCTCTTTGACGAGCTCAATGCGTCGAGGTATAGATCCACCATCGTTTCCCATGTTGTGTTTATAATTGAGTTCCTAGAAGCTGGAAAGCAAGAAAGAAATAAAAATGCACAGCTGTTGGAACAATCATTCAAATAGAGTCACTGCTGAGTGTTGATGTCTCAGGTACAACCAATTACAATTCAAGATATCTCTGAACAAATCAGCAAACACATTGAGTTCCAGTAATACTCCCCAACTTGGCTCATTCGTCATGTTTGTGCTGTATGTAAGTGCATAGATAGTTAATGCTAATAATCCCTGTTCAAATAGAGTAGCTTCAGACATATTCAGAAGAAAGGTTGTAATCGAGGTACTACAGGAACAGCCCGCCTACAGTTTGGTAACGTAACGTATCCATAAAAATCTGGAAATCTCACAGTTGCTGCATATCTAAAGAGATATCGTGGTACGAATGATTGAGAGAGCTGTAAGACAATTATGAAGCTTGTAGTACCGGTGCATCAAGTTCTCTAGGTATAGTGAACAAGTATAGGAAAGATTATATATCTGAATGGCTCAAGTTGTGATACATTTTACGTTAATTTCCTAACTTTAGCAACCTGTGGCTGACTCAGTTTATTAGATACATTGGGCGGGCACCACAATTACTGTAATATTCTCGCGTATAAAGTTTTGAGACTTTGAATGCTCGTCTGATCACAATTTTATTATAACTGCTTCGTGTAATAGATAGGGGGGGGGGCGGGGGTGGCGGCAGCTTTCCGTTACATACCTTTATTGAAACAAGTTAGTATGCATATAGATGTTCGTTCATGATTGAATAACGTGTCCCAAATGCGTCAGAATTGATACATGGGCATTTGATTAAGAAATAAATCTCTGAGAATAGTAATCTATTGAGCATTTAATAGTAAATTGTATGTTTGATTAATCGATAATTGAAGGAAGAAAGATATTATATAAAAGTAAATATTATAAGCATATAAAATATACATCAGATAAAGTATAAAACGAAGTGTGTGTCTTTTTAGACATTTTTCATTACTATACTTTAAGCGGCTATTGAGCGTTCCAAAAGACATCACTCGCTTGTCTCATGGGACCACCTGGCATTATTTTGTCTTCATAGTTAGGTGTTGCATCCCTGATGCTTTGTTCGTTTTTGCCAGGCTCTGCATAGTAATTTGGACCTGGGAGATTGTCTTGGATTTCGGAAGATTGCATGGTTGATGATCTTCCTTTGGAATAATTAATGTTAGGCGGTTCAAAATTGCCAAAACCTTCATTTCTTTGAGAGATTGTATCTCTGGAGCTGTCGTTAACTTCATTTTGCGCATCTAAATTATCTTGGTGAGGGTCAAAATCAGTTCGGCTATTCATATCCGGATGCGAATGTTGCGTCATGGGAGCATGAGTAGAACGTTCAGTATTTTCAACACTATCTGAGTGCTGATCATTGTACTTGTTATTGAGATTTACGCCTTCATTTATACTATTCTTATTACTCGTTTGAGAAGAAGAAAACGCAACAGGTATGAATTTGTTGTTATCCTCAGGATGAATAATTTTTGGATCATCAATGGTAGTTGGTTGCAACTCCTGCTGTTGTTGTTGCTGAGGTAGTTGTTGAGAGCTGTCAATGGTTCGAGGAGAAGACTCGTCAAAATGGCTATCAATAATAGCATTAGAAGATGTATATGCTCTTTCTAGCTTATTATTATTTTGGTGGACATCTGACAATGCAGCGCCAGTATCAATTGGTGGTAGTGTAAAATTGTTTGTGACTGATAGTTGAGGCGCTTTTTCAACGCTATCTTCTGGCTTCTCTACCTCAACACTATTACTACGTTTATCTGTAACGTCATCATTCATAATCGGCATATTACATCGATCAATTACTGGTTGCTCTTCGTCAGTTTGTACCTTTGACTGGAAGGAATGATTATCAGGTACGATTTGCTGCTGTGGCTGTTGCTGAGGAGGTGCAGTCTTGATGACACCTGTTTCTCGCTGAGACACCATAGCGTCCAAAGCATTGATCCATAATTTGATCGTATCTGGTTGAGTAGAAGATAGTTCTAATGATTTTTTAGATCCCAAGAAAGAATGTAAGAGTTTGCCTTTCAAAACAGCTAACTGATCATTAGGATCAATCAACAAAGTGCATCGTGGAACAAACAGAGAGAGTTCAGACTTCAGAGGCGCTTTAAGCATGTGCTCTTTGTCCCTAAATTTATATAACATGCCAACTGTTGGTTGTTGTTAGTATGAATGATAAAGAAAAAGTAGATGTGTTCATTAACAGCTTTGAATATTGGGCCTTTACCTGGACTCAAAATATAATATTCGTCATGCCATTTTTTGCCATAATGTCTTTGCAGAGTTCCTTCCATGAGAGGTTGTACAAGGGGATGTGTAGCGTTGGGAAAATCGAAATGATGCTCATCCTTAAAAGCAGCGTTGGTTTTTACCAGTTGGTTCTCATGATGTTGGACAAAATCCCAATATTCTGAATCTGTTTCAATAGCCTTCAAAATAGCAGCCATTTTATTGACGCCCTCCAACGTCTCCAGATGGTGCTCAACACGAAAAGTTTCAAAAGTGGTGAATAAGTCAGTGTACACATTAATAATTTTTTCTTGCTCGAATTGGCGATACATGTCTTGAGTATTCAGGAAGCTCTTATGTAATTGATTTTCGTGTTGATACAGTTCTCTAATAGAAGCAATGACAACTATATGGAATGTTTGGTTGAGTCTATTTATACGCCAAACCGGAGGCTTAGGAATGAGAAAAATGCTGCTTTGATATCTTACCATATTTTATCAATAAAGGATCTTTTTTAGGAATGAGATAATTACTTGCTGCTTTTTCTTGACTATTGACTACTTTATAGAGCTCAGAATTCAGCGTTGTAATATCTTTATCTGCTCTTTTACGACAGTCCCATAACCCTGCTGTGTACAAGTCCCTATTAGATTTGAGGGACTGTATCATCGTGTAAATGTCCTTCAGCATCACATGTAAAATAGGAACAATTTCACTATTGATGAAATCAACAAAATCCTCGTGAATTAAGCTATTTTCACGGGTATAGTCCTTGAAGGCTGCCCATGCGTCTTGTACACCATTCGAAGATTTAAAGTGTTCTCTTAATTTGGCAGGGATGTCGAACGTATCATCAATTTTTCTGTAACCTTTTCCAGTATTCAATTCCACTTTTCTAATTCTTTTGAACATTCTAATCTGTTGAAATATACAGTTTAAAAATATTGCATATAAGTATTCATGTTCTTGGGTAAATGTCTGTGAAATACGCTAATACGATTACCAAAAATTTGACAGAATCTTGCCAAATTGTTAGCCGTTTGCATAAAATTTTGACAGGTTCGAGTCCATCTTTCATACTATATATGTATTTTTGCATTGTCCTTTTTCTTGTAGGAAATCCTATAGCAGATAGTGTTCTTGGTTTTGCTCTGAATTTGGGAGGTGGTGATATATTCGCTGATGCTGATGCTGTTCCTCGTTGCTGATGCTGAAGCTGAATCGAGCCGCCATTAGTACCTGAGGAAGAAACAGAAAGATCGGTAGGGCTATTGCATAATTGTTTTGAAGAAAAGTGCTCTCCGTCGGCATCGTGCGTCAACCATGGTAAACCGGTTTGACCAGCAGTAGGCTTTTTAGCAGGTTTGGTGTATGCTTTTGGAGTATTAGTGCTATCCGGCTTGCTGATCATGGTGTTCGTATTGCTAAGTCGGTTATGATTCATAACAGCAGGAGGAGAGTTTGCCAAATTGCTGTTCATGGATACCCTCACTGGCGACACCGGAGGTGTGATCATTCCAAAATCTTTGGATGGCGGCGCAGATGACGCTTCAGTCTTTTCATGAAAAGCAACATTTTGGTTGTTGCGGTTTGGATAGTAGTCGTTTGCTATTCTTGGATCCATAATGATACTATAAGAAAATTGAGAACAAAAGAAAAGAAAAAGAAAGTTTATTGATCGTAACTGAATTTTTCTCTTTTTGAATTAAGATCATGAAGTTGAGACAACTAAGGGGAATTACCTTTCAGTATGGACGTAACTTCAAAAACTTAGTACAAGACACTCAATTGATTTATCTCTTTTTAAATGCAAGAATAGGGTACTTGATTTATTAAGGTTGCACCAGTAAGAAAATTTAAGCAGATGCTATGATCTGATATTGACGTTATCTTTCTCAGATCGTCTGCTTTTCAAAACCTTCTTTTTGATTTATGAAATTATATTTGTATTAAGTACAATTTCCAGAGAAAGGAAAGTAACAATAACTAATAGAGTAGCGCGCTTAGTTGTAAGTGACCTCACAGATGTAAGGGAACTGCCTTCTCATGGTTAAATAACGGTTGAAAGGCGTCGTTTTTTTGATGTTTGCGGTTGGTCATCTTCATCTTCAGCTAATTCAAACTCTTCCTCTTCGTTGTCTTCATCGATTTCGTCAACTTCTTCCTCATCTTCCTCATCATTATCATCATCGTCGTTCCTTAGTTTACGCTTTGGTGACTTTCTTCTGTCTTCATCCTGCCCATTTATTAGAACATTCCTGCTATTTTCAAGTATACTATCTTCCGCATCTAACAGATCTTCCTCATCTGTCTGCTCTTCATCGTCTACAGAATTATTAGCAGCTTCATCACCTTCATCTTCCGCATTACCCTCCGTCTCAGTATTGTTTGGCTGCTGGTCTTCGTTTTCTGAATCCTCATAAATCTCGCCATCATTGTCTTCTTGTTCTATGTTATCATCCTCTTCGTCTCCTTCTTCTTCTGCCTCTTCTAAGACTTCTTCTTCTTCCTCATCCTCCTCTTCTTCATCCTCGTCCTCATCATCTTCGTCTTCTTCTCCGTCGCTGTTCTCTAAATCCTCCTCTACGTCTTCATCCACTCTGAAACTATCCTGAAAATTTCGTACTTTTGTTTTGAAGATGGATTCATTCATGGGAGTAGATGCTGCTACTGTGCTTGCGTTGTGTACAATGGGTAATACTTTATGACGAATTTGGTATAATGATGAACTTTGTTGCTCGTTATCCATCGAATAGAATAATAAATGACATTGTTCCGTTAAATAGTCGAAGCGATCTTTATAAAATCTAAAGTCTTCTTTCATGCTCCTGCAAAGTTCATGAATTGCTGTGTGTTTCTCAGATAGATATGCTTTCAATGGTTTTTTTCTTGCTACTACAGCGGTTTCAATAGACTGCATTTGTGATACAATAGCTGCTGCATATGCCGCTTCTTCATTATTATATCTACCAGTTTTCAATATGTTGTTAAGTACTTCTAAATGTTAATGACAGGGTACCCTCAATTATGACACCATTTGAAAAAACATAGGTGTATGTACGCGCACACAAGTTCTTTCTCTTAAATAAAACTTACATTCCGAGTGCTTTGTGAATTATGTTTGGTTTATTGGAATCGTCATAACTTATCAATACAAATTTGTCCTGTTGTCTATTTTGCTTCGTTTGGACCATGCGTTACTTTTAATACTTTCTTCTAAAAAATATATAGGAGCCAATTTACTGTAGTTATAGACAAGCGATATAGACGTTAACAATAAACGAGACGAGAAAGAGGTAAAAAAAAATAAATCTTGTCATCCATCTTTCCTGCACTTTCTGAATGGTCACAAATATTGCCCCTACAACAGAACAATGAAATTTTTCAGTCTGTTTTCCATCTTGTATTTATGGATAAAGCAGCGAAACTCATAAAGCCGTACTTGAAAAGGTTCATTTTACAAATTCATCCAGATTACTTCCAGCTTGAGCCCATAAAAAAACAAACCAATGCTACTTCCTTACAAAAACTGAACGACATTTTTTCCGATTCGAAAGCAATCAGGTCACCTCTATCCGATAAAACCGTTCGACAACCACTACAGTTAGAGTTCTATTTGAAGAAGCAAAGACAAACAAACGCAGATAATAAAGTTATAATCGCCTTTGGTGCTCAAGATTCAGAATGGTCAAAAATACATACGTTTTTCCAACTATGCCAAAAAGCAGGTCTACCTGTTTTAGATGCAGATATGGAGACTGTCCAAGCTATGCTACAAAAGATGGAGGAGGCAAATAAAAGTCATCATAAAAAGATGACATTAACTGAAGAGTTTGCAAAAAATCTTTACAAGCAATATAGTTACAAATCTACAACTTTAACTACAACAATAACAAAGGAAGGCCAACAGGAACAGCAGCAACAGTGGCAAATGAAAGATATTTTAGATAATGAGTTAATCATGTTTGGACCACTAGTTAATAAAGAAACAATGGCGAAAGAACTTTGTTTGCGTCTACCAAAGTTGATGCCTGAACGATGGTGGGGTAAACATGGTCTTTTAGTGGTTTCTCCTACTTTTGAAGTAAAGCCTACAAAGGGAATTATTGTTCTTAGAGCAAACATGAACTTGGAAGGTAATTTAAACAAGTTTCTTTTTTTTTCACACTTTTCATGATAAGCAAACCATCTAACGTCAAACTCTCTCGAAACAGATATGCAAAAATGTATAAAAGAGCAAACCGAAGCTCGATGAATAAATTATTTATTATTCAGCTATATTTTGAAGCAGCAATAACAGAAAAGGACCCCCACCTTCAATAACGGGTCTGCGCCTTCTCTATAGCTACATGTATGAGTCCATTTCCTTATCAACTCTCCTTCAAATATTGGATTCAGAAGACCCTTGAAAGCTGATCCTCTTCTCATAATTATCGTAGAATGCTAGAAGTGGAAATAGGCATGCGAAAAATTTTCTCTAAGCGTTGACGAACAACCATACAATACTCATTCTAAACTTAGTGTACGAATATTGCTGTTTGCCTCTGACACGCATGGATCTACCGTTGACTTACTGTAAAAGTGTTAGAAAAAACCTAGGAACAATATGCGGTCGCATATTTCAGCACCCTTTCTCTGGTCTATAAATTAGAGATTTGTATTCAACTTTTATATCGGGTTATCCTAGTTATTAACCTGTAGTAATAAATGTGGCCCCTAAATGATGAGCTATTAATCGTATTATCTTTCAGATTCAGAAAACCATTGAATCATAAGTTCAAGGTTGAGACTCAAGAATGTAGAACTTACAATAAAGAGCGAAGTTTAGTGCATTAAAAGAAAAATGTTTTGTTATTGTTAACTGTATGATTGCTTGAAATACTCCTACAATAAGTCTTATTGCAAGAGTCCCAACCACTGTCTGTGCTCGACAAGATCAAAATTGCAGGCTGTTCATCCCATATTGGATGATAATCTGGCTTTTAAAATCTCCACAGTTGTAAATCTCAACCTGAAGGGGCTGGTGGTGGATCATTGGAAAAAAAGAGACTTTCCTTTCCAAATATTGAAGAACGTAACCTAGCCCAAACCTCAGAAAGGCTACAAGAACAATCGCTGAAGCAGATCACACTATTTAGCTATAATAGCATCACTACAAGTATTAGCACTTTCTGCTATCTAACTGAATGGAAAGTGATAGCTATCAGCATAATTGCAGTAAAACCGTCTATCGCGCTACGCTTCGACAGGCCTTGATGGCCGGAGCAGTGGCAGGAACAGCTGCTGACTCTGTTCTATTTCCATTAGGTAACCTTTCAAGGGAAAGAAATCGAGCAGTCAAGGAAACAATATTTACTTGACGACGACGATCTGTACCCTATTGACATTTCATTTGCACTTGCATTTGCTCCGTCTAGATACCATTAAAACAAGGTTACAATCGCAAGGCGGGTTTGCGCTGGCAGGAGGGTTTAGAAAAATTTACTCAGGCATGCTTTCTTCTTTTGTTGGAAGTGCACCGAATGGTAACTCATTGAATGCTGTATATATGACGGGGAGCAATTGAATTGAGCTGAAAATTGACCTTAACTCGCAACTTTTTTTTTTTTTTTTTTTTTTTTTTTTTTGAAGCCGCTTTATTTTTCGTAACTTACGAAGCAATCAAACGACTTATGTATACCACCTCTTCAAATAACCATCAGGATTACCAACACCAAAATAACCAACAATTACAATCATCTTATATTTATATGACAGCCGCCACTTGTGGTGAAATAGTAAGTTCAGGACAAATCGCACAGAGTACACACAGCTATAAATTTCTTAATTCTAACAGTAATCATTTGTTTACAGTCTGCTTGTACAATACGTGTCCCTACTGAAGTTATAAAACAACGCATGCAGATCAATCAATTCAGCACAACCTACAATGCATTATCGAGCATATTACGAACGGAAGGCATTTTAGGGCTTTACCGTGGATTTCTACCAACAGTTGCCCGAGAAATTCCATTCACTTGCATACAGTTTCCAATGTATGAATATCTTAAATACAAATACAGCCAGCATCATGGAAATAGGATAGTACAGCCTTTTGAGGCATCTATGATGGGATCAATCGCAGGAGGTATAGCTGCAGCTATAACAACACCTTTAGACGTATGTAAAACAAGGATTATACTTTCGACAAAGTCTTCAGAAACAGGTACTCGACCTTATACAGATATAGTACAAACGATGAAACGGATTATATCAGAAGAAGGACCGAAGAAATTATTTGCTGGAATAGGGCCTCGTGTAATGTGGATATCGCTTGGCGGTACGATTTTTTTTGGCGTTTATGAGAAAGGCTTAAAGACATTCAATGAACTACAATTGTTAGAAAGATGATAATTATTTAAAATTGTGTGTAAGAAGGTTATTTTGAAAAGAATAGATTTGAATCCACCTCTCCTTTCCTTTAATGTAATATTAACATTTACTTGTATTTTGATACACTACTTTTGATCTGTTCATTGGCTTATGAAGTAATGTGAGGACTTGCTTTTGTTGGTTTGATTCAAACTTGTGGAACAGTGAAACAGCTTACAACAAATTCTGACATAAGCATTGAAAACCTAATGCAGCAATGCAGTAAAATTTCAAGATCAGCTAACATGAAAATAGCACAAGCAAATGTGTTGTAACATGAGCTTTTATAAAACATATATATCCCTTTCTCTCCTTTACGCTGTTTTCGACTCCATAGAGCACACATCTTAACAGATTAAACCCATTAATGCCTGTCCCTTCACTTGCTTCAAATTATCAAAAACCAGCTGGCTTACCCGTTCATGCGGAAGACGCCAAACAAGTCAAGCTTTTTCAACCTTATCAATGCAAATCTGTCAAGATGCATAACCGTCTTGGGGTTTCGCCCATGTGTATGTATAGTGCTGCTGATGGCATATTGAACGATTTCCATATTGCCCATTACGGTTCATTAGCTCTTAAAGGGCCTGGTCTTGTCATGGTGGAAGCTTCTGCGGTGGTACCAGAGGGACGTATTACACCTCAAGATTCCGGTCTCTGGAACGATGATCAAATGCGCGCACTTCAACGTGTCGTTGAGGTCATTAAGTCCCAGGGTTCTGTTCCGGGTGTTCAAATTGGTCATGCTGGTCGGAAAGCCTCTACCTCACCTCCTTTTAAAGGCGATTATGTCGAAGAAGAATCGAACGGAGGCTGGCCTAACAATTGTATGGCACCTTCCGCTATCCCATTTGCATCCCATTACCCAAAGCCGCGCGAAATGACTCGAGAGCAAATTCAGGATACAATTCAAGCATTTGCCGATGCTGCTATAAGAGCTGATAAAGCTGGTGTTGAAGTTTTGGAAATCCATGCCGCTCATGGATATTTGATTAGCACCTTTTACTCTGCCAGTTCGAACCAGCGTACAGATAAATATGGGGGTTCTTTCGAAAACAGAATCCGATTATTGCTGGAGATTGTACAAAGTGTGAAGAAAGTATGGCCCGACGATAAACCTTTATGGGTGCGTTTATCTTGTTCGGATTATACCAACCCAGATCCCATGGGCGAAAGTCCTGAGGGCTGGGACATCTATCAATCGGTAGAATTAGCCAAAAAATTGAAATCATTGGGTGTTGATCTCATTGATTGTTCAAGTGGTGGCATCATTAAAGGTGTTAGATATCCTACTGAAAAGATGTACCAAGTACAATTTGCCGCGAAAATCAAACGGGATGCTGGTATTGATACCGCTGCAGTAGGCTTGATTGTAGAAGGTCGAGATGCTGAAGACATCTTGCAGAAAAATGAAGCAGATTACATTTTAGCAGGCCGTGAATTTCTAAGAAATAGCGCTTTCGTGTTGGTAGCTGCTCAGGCTCTGAATGTTGAAATTACTTGGCCACAACAATACTCATGGGCTGTGAAGAAAGCCCGTCGACAAGATGTAAAGTAAAAGCCTTCGGAAGAGCAACAGCAACAATTGAAACAGACATCCGCTGGCAATGAGAAATTGTCAACCATTACATAGAGGAAACAGTCTATAATAGATATATTGTGTTTTTGTATTTAACCGTTTACATTATGTACAAGTTTTCATTAAATGGTCAATTTTATTGCTGGGAACTTCAATACTGTTGACCTTTGTCAATTTCTGTTTTCAGCTTTTGTGCAGTATATCTCTTGACATTACCATATTTCCTGTTATTTCTATGAAGCTGTTATGGGCAAGCCCAATGTTCTCATAAACACATATGATTTGGTATCGCAGTTTTCTGCGTTGTATTTTCATAAAAAGTTGCTATAACCTTTTGATACCATGCCTAATCCAGCTTGTTCTGCTTTGTCAGGTCGAGGAGGATGCTTTGTATCATCTCATGTTGAAGTTTCCCAAAAAATGGTATCTTTGGACTCACCTCTTACCTTTACATATCCCTGGCTTCAATATAGAGCAGCCATAGTGTATTTATACACTAAATGCTCTGACCTTAGCTGATATGTCCGTGAACAAAAGCATGTTTATCATATCCAATGTAATTTGAGAAATATGGTACTACCACTGGCAGTATGCATCCGATGCTACTGTTCCGACTTCAATAGCTCATATGAAATGTCTAGACCTAGCCTTTATGAAAGATTAGCGTTCTTTGATTCATACTTTTCTTGTATAATCATATGAGTTCCTTTCTCCTCCTTTTTCGTTCCGAGTTCCACCTCTCTGTGTATGTGTGACTCCAACTATTTAGCAATAAATAAATAACCATTACGCCCTAATGAGATAAATTAACTCTTTCCTGTTCTTTCATACACTCAACTTACTACAACAATATATTGTCACCATGATTATTGAAGAAGTATATAAAGACGGTACGCGTTGTTAAAAAAAATTGATGTTAAATATACAGCGTGAGTCCTTATAAACAGTGACAATTTTAGAAATAGCTTCACAGCTACTTTGTCAAGAAGGAGAGAAATTAAGCTGGAATAAATTTATCTTGGATATGAAAGATAAAATAATATCAAATTACAAGGGGGAGGAAACTAAACTATATAAATCACTATGGAAGCACGCGTATAAAGTTGTTGCTAAAAAGTTGAAATTGGAGTCAGGCACAGCTGACCATGAAGATGAATGGGAAGTAATCGAAAAAGAATTATCCAGCTCACACAACTCACAATCAAATTCTTCAACACCGTCAAAAACTAGCAGCAATAGAAACAACAAAGATAGCAATAGTAGCACTTCTTCGCTTAATTACCAAAAGAAATTAATCTCAACCGATTATATTACATTGAAAGACATCCATAGCAAAATAAAAAATAGATGGATATTGAGTTCAGGAACCGATGTAGAATATACAATTTACAATGTATCAAAAACGTTTAATTATGTCCAGTAAGTAAACCTGTATAGCACCAGTTTTATTTGTATTTTATTATTGACACTTTTTTTCAGCCCTGCACACTCAATGATTTTCAATCCTAATGATCCTATTTGGCTCGATCATTTCAGTTCAGAGGATCTCGTAGAAATAAAGGAACACGTTGATCACTCGCTAAATGATGACCTACCTAGCGAACTGACAGACATATTATTATTACTAAACCAAAAGGTAAAATTTTTATTTTTTTTCATTTTTTTAACTCCATTTTCGTTAATGTTATACCACCAGACAACATTCAGAGCGATCTACGATGCTATGGAGACTGTGCATGCGGACCCGGTTCATGATAAAGAAAAGTATTGGCTCAAAACTAGCATAATTAATTATGCTTTGCTCTTCATCAATGGATCTACTATAGCACCGAATAAATCTGAGGCAGATCATTTGGACGACGTTTATGGTTTCATCAAAACCAGCAAACAGCTAAGTGGCACTAATACTGAAAAGTAAGTCATGCACAGCATTGGTACTATGAGAGAAGAGCTGTCTTGACGGATATAAAATATTTTGATTTCATAAATAGAAACACGCGAAGCACTGCATGTTGCGAAGAAATTAACAAACATCGACTGATAGGTTCAATCAGCAAAATCAATAGGACAAAAGCAGCTAATCATGCTGATCTGGTATTTAAATATTTGACTCATGAAGTTGGATGTGTCGAAGTTGGTTTACACAACAATGGTCCATCAGGAACGAAGGAGTTGCAAGAATTAGAGATAAAAACACCACTAATGTTGAAAAGTTTCATCTTACATCTTATCAAAGACTATGAAGTTATGCCCAAAAAGTTTAAAGTCATTGCAATAAGTGGTAAAATATATATATATACATAAAAGGATTCTCGTCCATATTAATTTCATATTAATTGATCTCTTTGTTTGATAGGAACGTATATATCTGCTCAAATAATGACGTGTGATAAAGGATCTGTTGCCCTAGTAGGTACATCTCGACGCTATCATATGCCAGAATCCGTCGCTGAAATACCAAAACGATTGCCACCCGTATTAAAGCTGGTGTACAATTGTGCTATGGCAATTCAATCAACCACTAACCATTTGAAAGCAATTTCTGCCTCAATTTCGCTGAATGAAGGCTCTGAAGTATATTTCCCTCCGTGTTTCCTTGCGGGTGATAGAAAAAGAACCCATCAACTGCTTTCACGGACTAATGACAAACTTTATTCATTATAACATATGAAAAATAAAATAAAAGAACAAAAACTATTTTACTAAAGAGTGTAATCGTAATAATACTTCTGCAAGATGTGTAAGAAAGAGTCTCTCTTCGCTTCAAAGCATTAAGCTTCTACTAACAGGAGTAACCACGAGAAGGTGAAGACTATATACTCCCAACCCCCAGAACCCAAAGTTGCCTCCTGCCGAACTACTTCTGGTGTACGAAGAACCAGTAAAGTAAAACGCAGCAACCAAACCTGATTCGACGGACCCCTATCAAGCTACCACTGGAGTACAATAACGGCAACATCCAATTCTCACCTGAAAAGAAGTCAAAGGCAACGATCCAAGCTACCACTGGAGTACAGTAGCAACATCCAATTCTGACTTGATTCAAGATTTCCCCAAGCTACCAAAGGAGTACAGTAGCAACATCCAATTCTCACATGACAAATAGTCATGCTACCAAAGGAGTACAGTAGCAACATCCAATTCTGACTTGGATCTGATCTGACTTTCATCAAGCTACCACTGGAGTGCAGTAGCAACATCCAATTCTCACATGACAGATAGTCATGCTACAAAAGGAGTACAGTAGCAAAATCCAATTCTCACTTGAAAAAAAGTAAAGAAGAAATCCAAAAGGTTGGCAGTTGCACCGCTTTATATACGCCTTGTATCGTAAACAGAGCGCTCTTTCAAAAATAGTCTGATGACGTAGATAGGGCAAGGGGAATCGCTTATTTCACCCTCACTATTTAGCTGAAATTAAAAGATGATGATGTAACAACAACGCTTTTCATAGAAAAAGATTTTACACATAAGAGCAGCCATTACTACCTATTAAGTTACAAAAGCTATTTCTTTAGTTAAAGGTTTGTTCCTTGATCTTATTTCGAATGCGGGAGGGCGTTTTTTAAAGTACATGTGTAAAAAAAGGAAATGACGGGCTTAACAAGTATATTTACGTACTATTTCAAACCAGATCAATTACGCTTAAATAATACAATAGATTGTCATTAATATTTATGGAGTTGGGTCCGTAGTTTTACTGTAGATATATTTACATGTGTTTGATTTGTAAAAGTTAGGACTTTATATAGAAGTTTTGGATCTTCGATCCTCCATTATTTACACTATATTCAACTTCGCATTCCAGTTCTCTTGGGTTATCTACACCCTTATGGCAAGTAAAAACACCACGGATCTTATCACCTGCCTTTACTTGGATAGGTTCCTCCAGGATAAATGCTGTCTGCTTCCAATGTGTATCTTTACCGAGCGGACTTGTAGTTAAATAAATTTCTCCCTTTACCTTCTCTGCTCCTCTATCGGCGGGAATATCATGTCCATCACGAGTAAACCATGTGTCAAACCAACCACCAAATGCATACAGTGTACCATCTTTGTTGATTTTCATTTCATATTTACATACAAAATCGAGCTGTTTTGCCGTGACTGTCTGCAAAGGTAAATCTTTCAACGTGATAATATCAGAAATCACACTTTCTGGCTTCAAAAAATCGATCACTGCTTCATTTAATGTAGGTTCTTTCATTGCTGACATTTTGAAACCGTACACGTCATTCCAAAAATTAACGCGGTCATCTTTCAAGTCCTCATCATCTAAAGCCGCCATCAAAATGCGGGTCTGACTGGGTGCCATGATACCCTTTGGTGCTAACCAACGATCACGAGCTACAAGAACCGAATCCAACATGGCTTCAAACAAAAGGAAGTATCCCATCCATTCAGAAACAATAATATCGACCTGAGGCACGGGTAATTCAATCTCTTCAACTTTGCCTCGAATACATGTGATGATATGATCAAGCTCGTTTTCTTTGATATTGCGTTTTGCTTTTTCAATAATGGCAGAATTATCAACAGAAAATACTTGTTTTGCACCGGCTTTAGCGGCAAACATGGATAAGATACCAGTGCCACATCCCACATCCAATACGATTTTGTTCTTAAAGATATCTTTGTTTTCGTAAATGAAGTCGCGATAAGCTTCGGTTCGAGCTGTGTCTTTTAACATTTGTTCATGGATATCATTGTGGGCATATCCGTTAAAGTAATAATTGCCTTCGTCAATAAACCCCTTATTCACTTGATCATTTTTGTTGCTGCTGTCATTGGCAAGGGGTTCATAGAATGTCTTTTTGACCATCTGCTTGTATTCTTCAAATTGCCCTTCAAGATTGATTTTGGACTCCTGTGAGGCTTCTAACAAACTCAGTAAATGCTTTTCTAATTCTGTAGTAGCCTTGAGATTGATCAAGTCTGGTAAGGCTGAATTTGATGTTGTATTACTACTTGTAATAGTAGGCTCCTGTTGTTGCTGATTTTCATTTTCAACGAACTCTAATTCTTCGAATGCGAAAAGTAAAGGATCATCTTCCAACACAGGCTTTAGATAAACTTCGTCTTCCCAGAACTTCTCTTCACCGTTGAGTTTTAGTACATTCTCAGCTGCCAATTTTTGCGAACGAACATAGTTGATCAACCGAATGCATTGATAAAAATCGAGCTGCAAAGAGTGTTTCAATGATTGGAAGTCGAATTGATGCGCCTCTTTCATATGTTGAAAAGCTTTTAAAGGATCTGCAAGTATATCTTGACAGAATAAACATTGTGTATCAGTTACTTCGTCCTCATCGTTAGACCAGTCATCCCATGCTTGATCTGGAGTTAAAGAAAGGTTAGTTACAGTGCGTGAACGTTGATACTGCGCTATAAAATGCTACCTTCAGGATCAACTTCTGAACGCTCATACTGAGAACTATTTTCAAAGGAACGCGACATTTTCTACTATTCGCAAGTAGCGTTCAATAAGTAAAAGGGGGCATTGCTGATACCAGAATTAAGGTTCCTGCGAAAAGGAACAAAGCCACATATATCGAAGGGGAAAGATAGTCTCTGGAAAACCTCACAGCTGCATAAATTTGTTATCTGGACCTTTTTTTCCCGATTGAATTCCAGGCATATCTTAAGGTGCGAGCAATAAATTCACCGCTTTTGATAGTTTATTTGATTGCTAATTGATAATCAATAACAGATGCAATTAGACAACTTTCGAGGACAGAATCATTTGATTGTTTTTTATGAAAGAAATATAACATTATACGTCAAAATAGTAGAATACCATGGGAGAAGGAAATATTAAATGCGCCAGTTTAAAAATGGACAAGTTGGTATATATACTTTTTTAAAATATTAGCTTTGAGCAATGAGCGTGCTATCTTTGACTTTCACCAACAAGCATATATTGTTATCTGTGAAGAAAAAAAAAGCTCTGCAAAATATCGTTATACTATGAGTGTTCAATGTCGGTGTATTTCCATTTGTAATTGACTCAAAAGTCTATAGTATAACTTTGTTAGTTTCTCCTTCCACTATATATTCTATTACCACATTGATGTTACCTTGCAAGTTGATCTCTTTCATCTATAAGTGAAGTGCGTTCTTTTTTTATGTCCTGTATCAGCATCTCATTGTTTGCTGCTATTAATTGCCAATGAGCAATCTTTTCTTCTGATTTACTGAGACGACTTCTGGCATCATTTAATTTGCGCTGTTGGTGTTGTCATTAAGTCACGTATAAGAAGAGAGAAAGAATTACATATAAGCATTCTACAGCATTAACGTGATATACTATAAGAATTGCCTCAATAAAATGTAAACATAAGATGAAATCTCGTCAAAAGTTATAGATGGCATAGCTATCCCATTTTTATGCATAGCAACTGCATAGGCTATATCATAACTCATCCAACCCTCGCTATCGATATCGCTGAATTTTCGTTTATCCTCATAATAATAATAAAAAAAAAAAAAAAAAAAACACCGTTAAATGCAATATTAAAAACTAACCTCATAGCCTTCAATATCTTTTTCAAGCTTTTCTACTATTTGGTCCGTTTGCACCTTCAATTCTTCTGTTTCTCTGTGCCTTGATGCTTCCATGGCTTTAATTCTGTAGGAAAATTTTTCCAATTCACGATTTTTGGCATCTAACATAAACTGATATTGTTCATGTAAAGTCTGCAGCTCTTGTCGATGTTGTTCAGCAATTTTTACCAGCCTGCTTTGTTCCTTCTGCTCAAATTCTTTTATCTCATTGGCAATTGTGGTGCTCTGTTGCTCTGGACTACTGATATTACTGCTATTACTAAAGTCATTGCTACGAGGTCCTTTGGGTGATCTTGGTGGTGTGCTCGCTGCTTGTTGTAATTTTTTTTCTAGCAATGCAATACTATTTTGAAGCTCTTGTATAGTAGCTGCTTTTTCCTGTTCTGAAGTCATCCATTGCTTTTCATGTAGCTCTTTCAAATCTTCAATTTTTTTGTCAAGTGCCTCAATTTCTTTCTGTTTGCTATCAATAAGATATAAGCACTTTTGATGGTCAGTCCTCTCATTAGATTGCTGCTGAGACGTAGCATTACTGACTGAGGTAGGTGAGAGTTTTGCAGACGTTTCGAAGCGGGCAGTAGCTGCCTCCAATGACGATTGCAAAATATCAATCCTGTTATCTAATTCTTGAATATGAATACATTGCTCGTCGATCTGCATTTCCTTTTGATTGCTTATCTCCAACAATCCAGTGATTTCTTCTTGATGTTTTTCTTTCAGCTTTTCTATGTCCCTCTTATGCTGTTCTTCTTCCAGTGACAAGCGATCATACAGTTGATCAAGTTCTTGCTGAACAGATTTTATCTTTTGCAGCCACACTGAAGTACTATCGTCGTTGCCATTCTGTAGAGCGCGAATTTCATCGCGATAGCGACGCTCCATAGCTTCATATTCTGCTTTGCTCAGGCGCTTGTACTCTTCATAAGCTTTTTTTACAGTATCGAGTTCCTGCTGAGTTTTTCGTTGTTGGCTGGCCGAGTAGGTTGTTTCTAATTCCTCAATCTGCTTTTTAAGGTTGATGATAGTGCTCGCTTGATCCTTATTAGATGCTTCACAATATGAAAGCTTTTCTTTCTCTACCTGATATTGGACATGAGATGCTATAATACCTCGCTGGTTACTACATATATTTGCTTAGAATACTTACAGATAACCTTAACTCATAACTTTCCATTATGCTTTCTTTTTCAGCAGCATGTGCTGCATTTAATTTGCTGATTTGCTGCTCATAAATAGATGTCAATTCATCACGCAAATTTGTTAGCTCGGATTGAAGAGTGGCTTTATTTTTTTCAAGTTCTTCCTTTAACTGTTGTTCATATACTGCACTAGTTTCAGCTTCTATAACCTATTCAATACGCAGTGGGAAAAAGTGTTTGTTTCATCATTTATATGTCATCGTGTAAATAGAACCACCAAACACCTCAGCTTTTTACCTTTCTGTCGGTTTCTTGATCGAACACAACCTCCGCGTTTACTGATTTATTGAATCCATCACAAGCAGAGATGGTATCCTTGCGTTGAGAATATACACATTAGACTGAATTCTTATACATATCGCAATAAGACACAGTGTTTATGCTCACTACTTTTTGTTCTTCAATAGCGGGTTTTGGACTGGTCTCCAGTAATAAAAGCTTGACCTCATTCTATGGTAAGTGAAAGGTAATACGCTATAGCTCCATATAATCAGTATCTTTACTTGCTTCGAATTACCTCTCTCTTCAAATTCTCTTTAACTTCCTTTAACCTTTTAATCTCCTCTTCTTTTTCAAGCAACTATTAAGATATGGTAAGAATTTGCTCAATGAAGTATAAAGAGACTTTGGCTCCACAGTTTTACCTGTTGCTTCAAAGTCTGTATCTCATTTATTAACTCAACGCCTGCTACTATGGAGGCGCTGGAAGTAGATGCACGTTTTTTATTTGTAACAGAAGCGTTTGTTGAGTTATTATGAGAAATGACGGATGACCTTCTCGACAAGGTTGTTGTTGCTGTAGCTCCTGTTGGTGTTGTTGGAGATGGTGGTATAATCGACCTTCTGGTTCTCAGTGGAGTAGGTGATTTAACGGTTGAACTTGTTGTTGTTGTTGGAAGAGTGCTACTAGATTTGTTATTAATTGTCTTTGAAGAGTTGGTTTCTATTCTTTTTACATTTGCTGTTGCGTTTGCTATTTTTGCTGAGGAGGATGTTGAGCTTCGCACACTAGAAGTAGAAGATGTGGCAGAAGAGGCTCGGGTTTTGGAAATAGAAGGTGAAGAGGTCTTAATGCTTTTTGCGGCGACAGAGGAAGCCGACGCAGTAGAAGCTCTTTTAACTGAACCAGTAGCATTGGCGGTTGGCGTAACTGTAGTATTGCTGTTGGCATTTATTCGACCAGTTGTTGTAGTAGGTTTTGTTGCTGCTGGGGAAGTTTGAATGCCTAAAGACGCTAACGTCGATTGTCGTCGTTTAGTTGTTACTGGAGTTACCTTTGTTTCAATGGATGGCTTGTTATTGTTGGCCATACTGTCTGGGTAGAATATTTTGTAGATTCAAAAGCAGAGAAACAATACTTTGTTGAAAGAAAGAAGTATTATGGTAAAATAATGTAACAACCTGAATAAAAGGTGACAGTTGGTGATGAACTCGGCTGCGTTTCCTTCTTTTGAAAGTTTAAATAGAACAAGGTTCATTGGTGATACCATCACTAAAGTGCTTTTCATTCTTGTCGTATAAGCTGTAGTGTCAAGGCTCTTGTCTAAATAAGGAACGTCAGCACGAACTTCTAAGGTTTTATATTTGCGCTTTTTCTAGAGATGAATTCATAAACCAGCAAGGGCTTGAACATCCTAATTTCAGCAATCTAGGAATATTACAGTTCATGGTGGAGGTATTGCTTTATACAGGTAGATCCTGTACAACGTTCACTGAAACGCGTTTTATCAGTCATTTGGGAGCATTTATTTTATTACGTTATATTAAGGGGTGAGGAACAATTTTCCTCTTTTCTCTGCTGATGGGAATCGACATAAACTGAAAAAGACAGATTTGAATGAACCTGTGGAATTATTGTGCTTTGAACGGAAGTGTTATCCTTTCTACTGTTCTATATCGGTACCGCTCCGTTATATGCAACAATAAGGAGTTGTCGGTTCCTCATATTTCTTATGTAGAGACGCATTAAATAATTGTTGCACTTTGATTGTGCTTATTTTTGGGATTCTCTTTTCATATTGATGATCCCTGAAAAGTGATTATGTGCAAATCGTGTACCATTTACTCCTGATTGAAGTACTTGGATGTAGATGAAGAAAAGATGTTTATGTCCGATACAGCTTTGTTGTATGTAAGCCTGGACGTAAGCGATGCTTCAAGCTTTTTCACAACTTCTAAACCATCGCCTTCTTCGTATCTTTTCATTCGCGTCAATGGCAGTTGGAGCTTCGACATGAGTATACAGGCTCCCCTCCCTTGGTTCAAATATGTTCCCATGATCATCACTATATACCCAACCTTCTTTACTGGGTGTTATCGCGACCTATAATTCATCGACGACAAAAAGTTACAATAACTCGTCAGATTCTGCTGCTTTAGAAGAGGTGAAACAATCATTGTTCTTACCTCTATACATAAAATCGAATCGACCCATGGACCCGTTGTATCTATTGCCCACTCGCTGCTTTCTTTCCATTGATAGCCGTCGGGAGGTGAGATCGCTGCTATATCTTTAGGGAATGATGATGCTTCTGTTTCAATAGAGGTAGACAAAGGAAGTCTGCCATCCTTATTTTGTAACAGTGATTAAATTAATGCTTGTACGTAGGAGAAGAACACAGTCATAAAGATGATCAAGAACAGATGATTACCTGCAACGGTAGATAGCACTTACGACTAGGACACCAAATTTGGCTTTCAAAGATGGAAACTTCATGTATAATCTCTTTGTTCTTCTCGAGCCTTGATTTCAAATCAGTATATCCTTCCAACCACGCTTGCGTACTTTGCTGATAAAAGCGAATCAAATAAGGCTCGAGTTCATTTATAATGTATTTTGCGAACCTTGTGTTTAGAATGAATACCGATAACCCTGATATTAAAAAAATGAGGCGTACAGGAACAAAGTAAAGAGCAAGCGCTATAAAGATGGTGGGAAGCAACAGAGCTTGAAGCATAAATATAGTTCTCTTTTCGGAACTCCAGTTGAAGTAGTTGGACTGTTGTAATAACACCCAATCGTAAAAATCACTGAACTCGCCCATATTGTTTTGCAAATTTTGTAAATTACGCAAGTACTCTGGAGAGTTCTCCATGGCTGGCTGAAACAGTTTGGAGATATTGGAGAAGCGATGAAAAGGTACGTTGCTGTTATGTGCTTCCTTATTAGCATCTTGTGTTAATGATGATGCAATTGACAAAGACGATGAAGAAGAGCCTTTCCTGACGTCCACGGTAGCTTTGTTACGGTCACTTGTCAAGGCAAAATATAGAATGGCGCATTGGGGTATGAAAAATAGTAGTTTTGGGTATATGCCTTTTTTTTTAAAAAAAAAAAAAAAACCAAAGCACAAAGCTTATCAGTGATTTGGATTCTACATGGTATGCGTAGCCTTCCTCTATAAAGCAAACTTACAGATAATACTGTAAGATAATAGGACGACAAAAGTATCGATGGGGTTGTTCCAACTCAGCAATAACAGCAGTCGATCACGAAAAGCAAACACAGGCCCACATCGAGATACGAAGCGAGTAAAATTGATGGTTGAAGCTTGGGGATTAAGTGGTGGTTGATTAGCCAAGTAAGCATTGTTTGGAATAGGGTTGTCGACAATGGCGTCAAGAACAATATTTTGGAATTTCTTGGAAGTGACAATAGCCATCAAATGGTTTAGACTATCTGCAGTAGTAGGCTTATCACTTAGAGGAGTTACAATAGAATGAGAGCTACTGCTATTATTTTGCCGCTTTAGATCGCTGCTTTCAATACGATTATGCTGTGATAGTCGTTTAAGATATTTCTCTGCTTCGGATTCGGAGCTTATTGCCATTGCTGCATCTTGGAGTATTTTACTACTTTTACAACTTTCTGTATTACTGCTATCTTTCAAAAATCCCTGAGATACAGCAATAGAACATTTGGCGGCTGTCTTTTGACAGCTATGATGACAGTTGTAGCCGCAGTCTTGCCAATTTTTGCGGGTCAAACACCAAAACGGTTAATGGATACAGCTGGAAGATAAATTGACCTTTTTCTTTATATACCTCTACATTGAAGGCCTTGTCGCCTGAGCCCCCATAAGAGCTGTTTACATTTATCACAGTAAGTTAAGTGTGTAAACGTTTTTTCGTCAAAAGAATGACTCATGAGCTGTCAAGCAATGGGGACGAGAATGAGATTCAGGTGAAGACAATAAAAAAAGATGAAAATGCATTTTCCAAACGGCTGATTTTAAACAATCAATTCCGAATCTGAACCGAAAAGGACTGGATAAGGCTAGCTGACCAGTTCTTCTATTTCCTCTTCGCGTATCTTTGTGGTCCTTTTCGACATTTCATAGCGATCGATTGACTTGGCTGGGTTCTAAGGGCAGCATGTCAATAGATCAACGATCCAAGTTGACATTTAAAAAGCTTTGGTCAAGCAAAATACCGGATTCTATAAACTGCTTGACCGTTGGAAAACCGTTCCTTGAAGAATTAAGTGAAGAGAATGACATTCTCATCGGCACAACAGCTGGTCGTGTGTTGATACTGAACCAAACAAAAGTGGGTTTATGCAAACAACAGCTTTACATCAAATGAATGATAGTCAGTTAACAGAGTCTTTCCCTACACCTACTCTCTGCCACTTGCACAGCCTTTAGAAGGACTGTTAGAGACCAAAGGTGGCTCTATTAAAGCTATTCAGTTGCACGATCTAACAGGTTTTCGAGCCCTTGATCTTGCTGTGGGGGATTGCGATGGCGTTGTCACCCTTTTTTCTCGACAGCAGATTTTAAGTAAACGAGAGTTGAGTTCTGCTATAACAGATATATGTATTCACACAGACCTGGGTAAAAAAAAAGACGTAGCGACGGGGTAAAGAATACATCCGAGAAGAAAGGAATGTAACAACTAATCTATCTCAACTTTTCTTTCTCTTTTTCAGCGGGTGGGTATCAGATCATTGCAGGAGATATAACAGGTTCAGTTACTAGTTTTCAACAGCATGATGCATTGTGGAAAATTAATATAGCAGAAGAATCAGCCAAGCTGGTGACACTTGGTTTGGTAATAAAAACAAGACTAACAGTGTTTATCACGTCTACTCAATTGTCAAACGAATGGAATGATTTATTTTATTGTCATTTTGTTAGAGAGGGCGGCGCTCACCTGCCATTCGATGTTTACTATCTACTATACTAAAAGATCGCTTTGGAATGGATATGTCGTGCTTACTTGTGTGTGATGGATGGCCTTTTGTACACTTTATTCAAAATGGCGAGAGAATTCTTACGCTCCAAACATCTACGGTGATACATTCTGTAAAGTTCATATCTCCCCACGTTCTAAATCTAGAAGACTAACTGATACCACTTTATACTTAAAAGATGTGTTCTGGAAATTTTCTGACTACCGAAGGGTATGAGAAACTTGTTGAAAAACAAAACAAACGAAGAGCAACCGTCGAATCTCCAGAAAAAAAGCTAACATCGCAGCAAGTACTCATGGCGGGAGCGGATGGCTATGTCTATATTATGATTGATTTTGAGGTATAAAATGTAGATGGAGGCATTTTACTTTACCAAGCGAGAATTGACATTTTATCATTTTGAAAGATATACCAATGGTTTAAAGTAGGGTTTTGTTTAACGAAAATTTTGAAATTTAGACCTTCCTCGTTTAAAGAGGAAGAAACAGACATCATCCTATGCGTGGGGCATTCCAATCAGTTGTTAGGCTATAGAAACGGTGAGGTAAGTTGGGGCAGTTATATCAAGTTTTCGTCTATAAGAAGAGGGACAAGATACTGAAGCATTTTTTTTTCTCTCTTTTCACCATGGACACAGCTAATATGCCAAATTGTTACTTCAGACTGGCCACATGCTATCACACTTGGTGACGTAAATGCGGATGGCAGCGATGAATTAGTAATAGGAACTTTGGATCAAATGATAGAAGTGTTTGAATGGGAAGCTAAAGATATACCGGACGCCTTTTAATGTACTATATTTTGTTATTGAACATACCCCCCCCCCTTCTCCCTTTGAGTATCCCATGATCATTAAGAAGAAAACAATTTCACGAGCATAATTTATGGCAACTGTTTTGCCGGTGATCCTCTTGCAGCATTTTCATTATGCTATGGCAAACAAAAGATAATGTTGCAGCGTTTTTTCTATCCATTCGTTTTTTTCCTTGCAGTATCAAGGATCAGTGATGGTATCGCGTATAAGCTCAGCATATATGCATCGATAGAAGATCTCTTATTTTCATTTTAGTGCAACGTGGTGGATAATGTGGAATTGCAATGCTGTGTCACATTCCATTCGATCATCTCTTTTGATAATTGAACCACCGTCCTGTGTAGTAGAGACATCATCAATAGTCACATCTAGGAAACCTTTAAGATGTGGGGGCAACACAGCAAAGACATTGTCTCTTCTCTTTCCACTTTGTGGCTAATATTTAAGAGATGAAGATCATTGACAAGATAGAGCAGGCTCAGAAAAAGAATGCTATAGCATACTCTTTTGAATACTTTCCTCCAAAAACCGAGCTGGTAAATGAGAAATGAAATCAGCTACGCCGTGATAAAGATGACAATTGACAGGGAATTCTGGGAATATAGGGGTTCGCTAACCTTACGGACCGTTTGGGTCGTATGGCTCAATTAAACCCTCAATTTATATCCTGTACGTGGGGAACAGGAGGGTCTACACATGACCGTACCCTAGAGCTTTGCTCTGCCGCTCAGCATCTTTACGGGCTAACCACGTTGATGCATTTGACATGCACTAATATGGGAAAGACAAAGATCGACGATGCTTTACAACAGGCACAAAAAGCAGGTATTCGTAACATTTTGGCTTTAAGAGGCGACCCACCTCGCGGTCAAGAATACGACTGGAACGCCGAGGAACAAGAATTTACACATGCCATTGATCTGGTAAAGTACATTCGCCAACACTATGGAGATACGTTCAGTATAGGTGTTGCAGGGTATCCTGAGGGGCATCTGGGTCAAGTGAGCAAAGACGAATTGGAAGAACAGCTAGAACTCGGTTACTTGAAGGAGAAAGTGGAAGCAGGAGCTGATTTTATCATGACTCAACTCTTTTATGATGTGGATGTATTTTTGAAATGGATAGAAAAATGCCGAGAGCAAGGCATTCAAGTTCCCATTGTAGCAGGCATCATGCCAATTCCCACTTATCATAGTTTCCGTAGAATGGTACATCTGTGTCAGTTAAAAGTCCCTGAACGTATTATGAAAGATTTGGACGCTATCAAGGTAAGAGGGCAGAGTAGAATGACTCGAGAATCCGACGTGGTATCTAAGCTCGTCGTTTCTTGGTAGACAGACGATCAGAAAGTGAAAGAATACGGTGTTCGTTTAGCAGTGTCTATGATCCGACGCCTTCATAAAGAGGGAAATATTTGCAATTTCCATATATCCACGCTCAACTTGGAGAGGTCGACGCGTTTGATTCTCGAAGAGTTGCAGCTGCATCGGCACGAGGTACTGAAACAAGCCAGAAGAGCAAGAATGCAGTAAAGAGAGAGAGAGAGAGAGATTCTTACTTTTATTTTCTCATCAACACATCATGAAGCAGAAGGATCAAGCGTCGATAGCAGAGAAGGTTGCACCATGGGTGCCTGTGCATGATCCTGCTCGAGCAGAGCTATGGGATGAATATCCCAATGGTAGATACGGTGATTCTCGTTCTCCAGGTAAGAATAGCAGAGGATATTGTATATGTGGGGGATAATCAAGCTCACCTTGTACATCCAATGATAAGCTTTTGGTGAAATCACTTACAGTGCTAGTAAAGCGCTTCCTGTAAGTTGAAAAGAAAACCTTGATTTGTAAACAATGGATCTCACTTGAGAACTAAAGAGTAATATGTTTTGTGAGTAGACTTCTCGAGCACCCTCTAAATGGGGACAGCCCAAGACGGAAGAAGATATTACTCAATTGTTTGTCAAATATATCAAGGGCGAAATAGACTCTTTGCCGTGGTGTGAAGAAAAACTACACACAGAAAGTGAGGCCATCTGTCAGCGGTTGTGTGATATCAATCAGCGCGGTTATTGGACTGTTAGTTCACAGCCAGCTGTCAACGGAGTACCCAGCCAGGATGCAGTCTACGGATGGGGACCTAAAAATGGATATGTGTATCAAAAGGCTTTCATTGAATTTTTCGTGGCAGAAGACAAAGTGAAGGAATTATTACAACGATTGCAGCAAGACGAATGTATCACTTATTACGCAATTAATTTAAAGGTAAAAAAAAAAAAAAGAAAAAGAAAAAAAATCTTAGTCAAAGGATGTAGTGGAAGCGGAATGAACAAAGATCAATATTTGATAGGGGGATTTTTGCACGAATGTATCTGAACCTGATGCTCAGAATGCGTTGACTTGGGGCGTTTTTCCCGGTAAAGAAATCATCCAGCCTACATTGATTGAGAAAGCAAGCTTTGAAGCATGGAAGGTAAAGAAAAAAAAAAAAAAAAAGAAAAAAAGAAAGAGATGTAGCAAAGCTTATCGTAAAAAATATTTCTTTTTTTTTTTTTTTTTTAACATGCGCGCGTTTCAGGAAGAAGCATTTGGCTTGTGGTCTGAATGGGAGGCTCAGTATCCGCGTGGCAGTCCCAGCCAGAAACTGTTGAAGGATACCAAAGAAACATATTGGCTGGTCAACGTAGTTCATAACGATTATCAAAAACCAAATCTGCTTTTTGATGCAATCTTGTCGTGATAAGCATTCCTTACATTGTCAATATAGAATTTATTTGTGTGAATGTGGATTGTCTTTAGTAAAACGTGTGTAGTTTGTTAGTTTTCTTTAGGAACATTTGTTGCAGTCCTCCTACAGAAGCCAATGAACACAGTCGTGCGTTTGGTTCGCAGTGATGATATGATATCTTGTTATAACTAGATAATAGGATGATGGTGCAAATGATTGAGAGATTTCAAATCTGATTTATTATTTTAAAATTAAATTTTAAAATAATTATTTGGTTTCAGCTTTTTTCTGTAGTTTTTTTTCTTCCAGTTTATTTTGTGTTTGAGAACAATGGGAGTAGCAGGAGCCATAAAAAATGGTAGTAAGTGAAAAAAGTAATATGAATGAAAGAGTATGTATATATATATATATATATATATATAATATATATAGAATAATATCGAAAGGTGTTTGGGAAACAAAGAGAGTCGTAAGTACTAAGGACAATCATTATATTATTCGTGCAATATTGGAACGAAACAAATATATAACAGCGATGTGTTTAGAAATAGAAGCAGAGAACAAAAAACTTATTGTTTCTATAAAAGAAAGACAAAACGGGTCAATCAAGTTGCTTATCAAGGAGCTAACTGCTGTCACGCTATGTATGTTACTTACATTCTTTTCAGCTTCATAACGCTTCTTATCAGCTTCAGCCTTATCATTGTAGGGCTATTGTAGGTAATAAAAGTCAATTATCACGTCAGCTATTGTGTCTTTCAAACAAATATCTCTATTTGTATTTTTATACCTTCTTTTCTTCGTCAGACATGGCCTTCCACTTTTCACCAAGGATCTTACCGATTTGACCTGTTGGATAAGAATAGGCAGATCATACAAATATTGTTTAGTCACAGCTTTTTTTTTATTTTATTTTTTATTTTTTTTTTTTTTGGTCTCTGGGCCATCCGCTGTCCTTGATCAAATCATCAAGGTTTTCCCTATAGATAAATAGATAACGTAATACTTTACCGAATGAAGCTTCAGGGTTCTCAGCCTTGACTTCAGCACGTTTTTCTTGAGAAAAGAACATATACGCAGACAGACCACGCTTAGGAGCATTGGGATCCTTCTTGGCACGTCTCTTCTTCTTGTCCTCAGGATCAGCGCGTTTCTTTGTAGGTTCCTTAGGCATTACTGATAGAGGTATGTGTTGTTAGTCAAGCAACAGAAAAATACAATCGCGTTCTGCAAAGCAAAGATGAATTTGAATGTCAGTCGACCCACTTACTGTAATATTATTTAATAGCTTGTGTATAATGAAAAAAGAGAGAAGAGAGGAAAAAGAAAATACAGAGCGTAAAAATCGGGTTTATTTTATTAAGGAGATAGAGCGAGAAAATTTTAGTGGGGAGGGGGGGGGAGGAGCGACTGATTTTATTTTTTTTTTTTGTTAATTGGTTTTTTTTTTTTTTACGCAGTATTCAAGTCAGTGTGCAAATAAGTGTGTGTGTGCGTGTGTGTGTGTGTGCGTGTGTGCGTGTCCTTTTGTGTGCGATTTTCTTTTTTTCCCTTCTTTTATGTGCGCGGTTTGCATTATTGACCAATGAACGCAGCAGATGTAGCATGATAAGGGCCGCTTAATAAGTCACTGTCTCCGGCCAATATTGCTAAATTTGATAATTGCTTGCATTGGATTCGTTCAGAGGGCCTTTTTTTTTTTTTTTTTTTTTTCTTATACTGAAAAATTTGAAAAAAAAGCGAAAACACTAATTTTTTACGCGCGGTAGCCAGGCGTGTTCAGGGATTTTTTTGGCCCACTCTATTTTTTTTTTTAACAGTTTAAAAAAAAAATAATAATTAAACAAACAGTCCAGAATTTTATGCGTACTATTTTTTCAATTTCGCTGCTTTTCTTTCTTTTTTTTTTTTTTTTTTTTTTTTTTTTTTTTTGCAACATTTAGGATAACCCTTTTATTTACCTGGAATAGCATTGTCAGATAATTGAATATGCGTCATAATCGACTTGATCCTATCTGACGTTTCTATCATTACACCAACAGATGGAGGTTATTCCAAACTCAACAGCAACATGGATAACAGTAGTAAATTACCTGGATTCATTCTAGATGCTGCGTCCAGTTCCAGACTGGCAGCTTTTATAAGAGTTTCGTTGTCTGCTGTTGATAGGGTATCTTTTACTTCTGTGTGTTCAGTCTCGCCCTCCTCGTCAGACGCTAACTGTTGAAACATCCCACTCTCCTCACCATCATCGTCTTGAGGTAATTGCTGGTAGTATTCATAACCTGTGGTATGCGTGCCGTCTTCTTCTTCTTCTTCTTCTTGACTATCAACGATGGCCATAGGATCTTGAATATGCACTACTTTTAAGAGACCAAAAATAAGACTGAAGGCCTCGTATTAGCCCTCTCCACAACTGTGACTTTACCTGCGTCTAACTGTCGAGCGAAATGCTCTACTTCATCGTGCTCAAAAAGTATCCGCGAATGACCATCCCTTTCTGTAACATCGACGTCTATGTATCTTTGAGTTATCCAAAGCTTTCGTTCAAGCATGTTCTCCTATTGAATTACCCTCATCGTCCATTGCACCTTGATGTTCAATGTTTTGTTTCATTTGCTTTGTTTTGTTTTGTTTTGTAGCCTAATGAGCTAGAAAAGTGAAAGAGAGACGAGCAAATGTGAAGGAGTTTTAATTCCAGCTTTTTTTTTTTTTTTTTTTTTTTTTTGGTTTGCTTCTTTTTTCATTCCTGCACAGAATATCCCTTTCTCTAATGACTTCGCTCGTTGATTATACCTCCTCATCATCTGAAGATGAAGTTGAAATTGCACCGAAAAGGGAAACAGCCGATCGAAAAAGAAAGGCATCGGCGAGTAAAGATACAACGACATCAAATAAAATGCCAAAATTACCTGCTTTCTTCAGCCCAACTTCTACTGTGAGTTCGGCTTCTTCCATGACATCGCAAAAGAAGGATTTAAAGGGAAGAATACGGACCGTTCCTCATATAGCTGACAGCTGGGCTACTTATGTCTATTGTAAAGGTAAGGCTAGATGAAAGGAGACCGTCCTATTTCTTCGTATTCCATTCTTAACAAATCAAAGTGGATTTGTCCAGTGAAATGAAAACTTTATCACCTCATCTACTCCATAGCGAAGGTGTAGTGCTCATAGAAGAACAGCATATAAGTCTGAGCCGGCCTGTCTATCTCAAAAAGTTTCAGCTGGACTCTTTTGCAAAAGACGTGAGGGATACATTCAGCGGTCAAACGCCCTTTCATGTGTCCTTTGCCCAAGCAGCCACATTGGTCAATGATGAAAAGACACGCGCCTTCTACACTCTAGAAATCGGTAAAGGTTACAACGAACTTTACTCATGCATGCAATCCATCGATAGAGTCATGAACAAGTATCGTCTACCTGTCTTTTACGATCCTCCCCGCTTTCATACCAGTATCGCATGGGCTCTCAGTGAAAAAACCATAGCCTCTATTCGTATACCCACCTTTCTATTGGATCCTATAGTGAAAGATGAATATTTGATAACAAAAGTCTATTTAAAGATGGGTAATAAATTAGAAACCATTGAGCTAACCTAAACAAGGAAGAACAATAAAAAAAGTTCCAGGAGGGTAAAGAGCTCACACATTGGCCCACCTCTGTCATTCTGTTGTATCATCGGACTCTACCCAGTATGCTTTTTGCCTTACCCATACGGTCTTTTGTTGGTTTCTTAAAACCGTCTCATGGAAACAGTTAAAAAAAAAAAAGAAAAAAGACCTGAGAAAACTGTCATGCTGATGATTTTGTTAACGTGGGGTTGACACCGTGTATTTTTTATCAGTGACTTTTTGAAGGGGAAATCCCCAAAGGGAAAACGGTGTTTCACAGTAAGTCCACGTCGAAACCCAGGGCCTCGTTTCGCTTGTTTTTTCCTTTTCTTTTCTCCAAATTTTAATCATTGATTATCGGTTATGGATCCTTACGAATTCACAACATCAGTGGACCATGACCACGATCCATCGGAAGTAGATGAAGATCAAATGAAGCAACTTGAAAAGGAATTAGCTCCAACAGCTGCTGATTACTATGCTATATTGAACATTTCAAGAAAAGTAAATGCTTACCCCTCACATTATGCCAGCCAGCAGACAATAGATTAACCCTTCTCCTGGTATAGGCAACAGAGGACGATATCAAAGACGCTTATAAAAAGCTATGCCGATTCTTTCACCCAGATAAAGTAAGAGAGCTATCCCAACCTTGCAACTGTCATGGATCTATCAGCGATTCGTTTGTAACGATATTTGACAGCTGTATTATCCATCTTTTTTTATTAGCATACGGATGAAGATAAAAAAAAGAGAGCAGAGTCGAGGTTTCAAGTCATTCAAAAAGCCTACGAAGGTAAATCCCGCAAGCCTACTGGCAGGGGGGGGGGGAAGAGGGAGCCTTTAGGATGAACTTGAATGGTGAGGGACTAACGTATTTGTATGGATGACGAAAAGTTCTGTCCAATCCACAATTGAGAATTATCTACGACACATACGGTGAAGAGGGATTAAACGCCTCATGGGATCTTGGTCCACGCTACAAATCAACTGAAGAATTACGCAAAGAATATGAAGAATTAGCAAAGCAGAAACGAGAGCAGGATCTAGAAAATCTAGTACGAAGCAAGAACGAAATCATGTTGACCATCAATGCCACACAAATATTCAATGCCTATGAGCCATCACCCTTATCCTCCTTCGGAGGCCCGTGGGGGAACCTAGGAATTCAGCCATCCCAACAACAACAACAACACCCAAAGAAAAAAAATCGTGTACAGCAATGGATGCAACAAGTGAAAAAGGGAAACGTCCATCAACTGTTCATGCGTCACTCGTTCACTACACAATTAGGCCCTCAAACTCAAGCGATTGTGGGAGGCTCCATGGTGAATCGGTCAGGCATGGGTAATGGCTCTCTCGTGGGCACCCTTCGACATACATTCTCTCCAAAGCTTTGGGGAGAAGCCACCACCACCATCTTGAAACCACGCATGGTGCTGTTGAAATCTTACTATTCCATTTCGGCCGATAGCTTTATCAATTCCAGTGCTCAATTCACTTCCGTGATAGATGGACCACCTGTTCTATCCGTGACGGCTGGCCGACGTTTATTTTCCACTACAACAGGTTATATCACTTATAGAACAGGAGAATGGTCCCTTCTTGGCTGGGGAAGGGATCAGGCATTGCAAAAGATGGATAAATCTTCAGTCTCGCTGGGTTTAGCAGGACAAAAGGGTAAAAAAGGCAATTTCAGCACTGAATTACAGGTAAAAAAAAAAAAAAAAAAAAAAAGGACGAGAGAATAGCGAAAACAAACAGCAGAATGGATGTCTTACCATGAACCCCATATTAGACGGGTATATTAGCATCCCACATAGCCGGTGAATATAGTTACAAATTGCCACGTCAAGGTCGTCTGCGAATAGCTTGTTCATTATCTTCTCAGGGCGGTGTGATGGCCAGTATCGGTAGCGATCATCGACTGACGGAACATACCAGAGTAGGTATGACTATGGAATGTGGTTTGCCATCGGGTGTCATTCTTAAACTAAGGTATACAGAGAAATGGAAAAAAAAAAGAAGAAGCGGCCTATTCTATTCATATGTTCTCATTTCGGTTTTTCATCTTACATCAAATGAAATACGAATCATAGGGCGTCTCGTCTCGGTCAAAAGATTGTATTACCTATCATCCTTTCGTCCGACTTAGATCTTAAATTGGCTTTCTTCGGTACAGTGGTTCCCGTTTCCATGGCCTTCGCCTTGGACTACTTTGTGTTAAAACCCCGTCGACAAAGATTAATTAAACAGTAAGGGATACCTCTCTCGTGTACAGAAATAGTAGAAATAGTGAATTCTTACCTGCCACACACCACTCTTCTTTCACTTTTACATAGAAAAATTGAAGAATTAAGAGAGGTTCACAAGGAATATCTTGAAAATCGCAAGCAAGAAGCGCTGGATGCGCAACTGATTATGTCTGACATAGCTGAAAGGAAGAAGAATCAAGAAGAAAAAAAAACCAACGGTAACACACAATGCGCAGTTAAAATACCATACCTTGAAAAAAAGTAGAAAGCCGCGACTTATCCGCATGGGTGAAATATAGGTTTGGTGATTGTGAAAGCGTGGTACGGCCATCTAGAAGACCTGGATAAACATGATAATCCAGACAATGTGGATGAAATAGAAAGTGTGATTGATGTAACTCCTGTTGTACAGACTTTGGTCAATGAGTCTAGGTTAACTATTCCTGCTGGACATTCCAAGGTAATAGACGTCGTCTTTAAGCAATTTATATAGAGAAGTGGGGGTTGTGTAGATTGAAACAAACAAATTCCTTTTTTTTTGTTTTTTTTTTCTACTGAAATGGCGATAGAATAACATTCTCGGGTTCTATGATCCTTGCTTGGGTGAAAAGAAAAAGTTACGTGTACAATATAGATTTAGACATAGACTACATCAAGTAACAGTGGAGGATACCGCTCCATTAATCTGCCCGATGCAAGGTACTTTATCATGATGAGTACACAAAAAATGGAAAGAAAAAGAAAGATGACTAACTGTTTTCTTAAAGCACACCTTGTTTAAACCAACATGGCGAGCGCTAGCGACCTTTTTTTTACCTACATGTGATTTACCATTCTAAATATACTGTCATTTATTCAAAGTAAAGTGTAAAAGACAGATAGACATATAGGGTAACTCCTCTTTCTCTGTTCAAGTCCATAAAAAGATAAACCGATCCTTACCTACTCCTATCGTGCTTTATTTTTGCAAATGTCTTTGAAAGAGGCAGACGATGGCCATAAATGCTAAAGCGTTTACAATGATTATCTATATACAGATTGTTTACCACTATCTGTACCGATTCAAGCGCGCGTATGCTTTAGAGTTTTTGGTTCGCCAAATGCATGGAGACGAGTGCTTGGTTGGGAGTATCGTACGGTATGACTCACGAAGAGTTGTTGGATGTAAGAATCAGTTTACTTTTTTAGTAGCTTACAGATGCCATTGTCTGCTAAAGTTGTGATGACTTGCTGGATATCATCGCTGTTGTGAAGCCGTTCTTTGCATACATTGTGGATGATCTTTACCGATCAAACATCAACACATACGACTTGATATGGTTTTATTGAGCATGTTTGTTGAATAGCTTGCTTAAGTTGCTCTAACGTTGGTGAACCATTCCATCGCAATAACTATAATACTGAATCAAATTGTACGTCGTAAAAAAATCGCGTCTAAAGCACTGAAAGAGGTTGTGACCTCGTTTATTCTCATAACATGATTCATTTGTAAATACTGTAACCATACGCCTAAATTGTTTTCAATGAGTAATAGAGGCAGTCAGAGAATAGCATAGCTTCCTTTCGGGCCACTTTCTTTAAACAATGTAACGCAAAGGGCGTTCGAGACCAACAGATGATTATCGACAACAAACACATGCTAACTGTCAGTATTGAAATCAAAATGACACCGATGCTTTGTAGTACCACTTTATCACTGGTCAAATACAGTTCCCATCCGATATTGAAGCACCTGGGAAGTACGTTGGAGATTCACCACCACGCTATCAGAGAACCTCCTAAGATTCACTCTGTTTTATCGTGCGGCAAAAAAGTTGCAGGCACTCACAATAGAAAGAGCATTTCATTCAATGTAAAATAGGTTAAGAATCTACAAAATACCAAAACGGGGAATCGGTGAATGTGTGTTCATAAAATCAATTTCGGATGAACAGCAGCAGCCTATTGGACCTCCTTATAGATATCAAATGTGTTATAGCACTATTACGATTGAACTTTTGGATATGCATCGTAGAAAACAGTGTCAGCGTCATAGACGCTGTTGTTGAAAAATCACGGCTGACAGTGCCCTTATCAAACGCTAAGGCTGGATGACGATTGCCATAACTTCGTGTAACATTACACAGTAAGGATTTTTATTATTATATTTCTTTACATTCATCACAGAAGTGTCATCACTCTTCAAGTGCTATATATACACAAATGCGCATGGAATTGGCTTTGTTTATTCGTTCTATATCTAGACAAATTGCTTTATATATAAACTTGCAGAGAAATGGCATAATACTGTTTATTTTTGTATAATTTTTACCATGAACCAACAACTTGAACTTTGGCTTCTTCTTTTATGATAACTAGTGGCAGTGACTCTGTGTACAAAGTCAAATCAACAAGAAAAAAAAAGAAAGGCCAGTTTTCCAGGGGCCACAAAAAAACATTTTACCCAATAAAGTACCACAACTGGCTGCACAGAAAGGAAGAACGAGCCAAAAAGTATAAAGATAGTAACAGCAACCAGATTGTAGAAGAACAATAAAAAAAGACACCCTTTGCTCCTTATTATTTATTTTTTTTTTGTTCTATCCGACAAGAAAAAAAGTAATAATAGAGTCCCTTTCTTTACTCTTTTTTTTTATTTTATTTGTTTTTTATTAATCGTTTCTCTTCTTTTGCTTTGGGTTCCGTCTATTTGAATCACATCAAGTTCTATAAACAGTCAGGAACAGAAAGATTCTTTTTGCCGGTCAAATCCTTTTTGTCTGTAATTAAAGAGCTGTCTCTATAGTAATCCATCCATCATCTTTCCTTTGTACATTTTTTACACATATAATACATTGAACTGTCTTACTACACCATATCCCCACAAAAAAAATCAAAAAAAAGAGCCTATTATCCTATTTGTAACAAGCGATATTATAATAGTTAATGTCCAGTAATAATAATCATACTAATCGAGGGTATCGGCCTCAGTTCGATCCAAGATTATCCCAACAGCAGCAGCAGCAGCAGCAGCAGCATCATCAACAACAACAACAACAATATGCAATGAGACCAGTCCCTCCTCAGCATCACCAACAACAACGTATGCAGTCCTTTTATGCCAATCGACCTAGTCCACCTCCTTCGCAACACCAATCTTACGCTTCTAGTCCCCGTCCACAACATCAAAACCATCATCAATATCAGCAAATGCATAATAACAACAAATCACGTACGTCCATCAATCCTTCTCCCCATCAGCAGCAGCAACAGCGAATGTACTCGTCTGCAAGACAACCTACTCAAAGAATGCCTGCTGGTGGTATGAGACCACATCCGTCACAACACCATCCTGGACAAGGTGCACCTTACCCACCCATGGTACCAGGGAGTAACAATCAATCTGCCATGAGCGGCCCTTATCAACGAGTAAGCATGAACCGCTCCCGTTCTTTGTCAAGACCTGAGAGACAAAGACCCCGAGCGGGTATGATTCGTTCCCCTTCTCAACAACAACGTTTACAGCAGCAAGCAAGATATTATGGTCAGCCACAGCCACAATACCAATCATTACTCAATAGCACCCAACATCAACCCTCAATGCATCAACGACCTGTGCCTCCTAACAATAGTCATCCTAACCCTAATCACAACGGCAGGTTCCTGAACCCCATGTCGAATCGTTTACAACAGCAACTACAACAGCAAAAATATCAGCAACAACAGTTGTTGCAACAGCAACAGCAACAGCAGCAACAACAACAAGAGGCTCTACTAAATCAGTCTTTGAACACGAATAACAAAAAATTACAAAAGTCCCCTCCGGATGAACCAGAAGAAAAAATTAAAGTCTTGACAAGTTGGTGGGCTTGGATTGCCTACTTGGCCACCTGTTGTATACCCAATTGGTTTTTACGGATTTGTTTAAAGAAAAGGAATGCAATGGTACAACAAGCTTGGCGAGAGAAGGTAAGCTACTACTCACTGATGTGTTGCTACATTGCCCTTTTCACTGATAAATTAGACTGCTTCTCACTGTACTAATCATCCTTCGGTGAATCTATTCTGTATAGCTCACCCTTTGTTATATCATCTTCTTACTTTGCGCTGCGTTGGCTTTCGTTACTTACGGCCTCAATAGGACTTTGTGTCCTACTCCCGGCGGTAACTCTCCATTCTCTCGTGTTGTCAATGGTCAACGTATTCCTGTATACTATAGCAGCGTCCGCGTTTTCGGTCAAATATATCCCATGGACGTCATGAAATCCTTTTTCGCCAGCCATGGTCTCAATCTTACAAACGATTACGAGAACACCGATATCAGTGGCATCTTTAACGGCGACGTTCATAACGATTGTGCACGTTATCCCATTCCCAACCATGAATGTGCGTTAGTAAACCCTTACGGTGGTGGTTTAGCTGCTCCCGATAATAGCTGCCTCTCCTTCGCTGAACTGAAACGGTTCTACAAGTCCAATACCATCTTGGGCTTTGATTGGCAAGATTTAGATAGTAAATTGATGTATGGAAGAGGTTTAGTGCTGGTTGGCGATTCTGTTTTGAATGTCACTGATTACCTAATCAACAACCAGTCCTACTATGGTCAAGATGTGGATCGTACTATTCGTACTAATCTTGCAAAGGATGTCAGTTATGCTCTATTGTACACATCCAACGGCAAAAACGCACGTAAATGTTTAGCAGCTCGATACAGAGTAGGTATCATGGAGACGGAGACAGGTGGTTGTATCGCCGACTCTATTATTATGACCTTGATGTTGGTCGTCATTATTGTCATGATTGTCATTCGTTATGCTATGGCACTTTTATTTCAATGGTTTATCTCGAGTCGTTTGATCAAACCCGGCGGCAGATCAAATTGGCTAGCTTGGCGTTCCATCAAAGGTGGTAATGATGATCCTGCAAACCATATTCCTGGCCCTTACAATCATTATGCTGGGATGCAACAACAGCAAGGCTCTTCGACATCGTTAAACTCGACATCTTTCACAGGATCTACATCTCGTAGCACGCCCAATATCAATAATAATAGTTCTATTATGGGCTTGAATAATAGCGGAGCTCGTTCGGATATTGTCACAACGGAATTGTATACTGTCATGTTGGTAACTTGTTATTCTGAAGGCGAAGAGGGTCTTCGTATTACCATGGATAGTTTAGCTGAAACCACCTACTCCAAAAAGCATAAGGTAAACAGCAACTTTATGTTGACGATAAAATTACAAAATTACGTAGCGTACGTAGTCTTAACTCAAACATGCGTTTATGTTACAAAATAAGATTTTCTTTGTTATTGCTGACGGTATGATCACTGGCGCAGGCGAGACAAAATCCACGCCCGATATCGTTATTAGTATGATGGATCTAGACCCTACCATGACAGACCCAAAACCTGCTTCTTATTTAGCTATTGCTGATGGTGAAAAGCAACTTAATATGGCCAAAGTGGTAAGCTTAAGTTGTTGGCAACATTTTGCATTGATCATTCCCAGTTTATTCTTACATCCGCAAATGTTATAACTATATTAGTATGCGGGCCATTATAAAGGTGTTCCTTGTATAACAATTGTCAAATCAGGTACTGAGGAAGAAGCAAATGGTTCAAAGGCTGGTAATCGTGGCAAACGTGATTCTCAGGTAAGAACACCAGTGACTTTTCTTCCCCTTTCCGGTCAACTATGCAAAGTAGACCCACTCATTACCCTACTGATTCATACAACTCCCCTTTTAGCTTATTTTGATGAGTTTCTTCCAGCGTGTACTATTTAACGATCGACTGTCGGAACTGGATTACGAAATGTTTTGGAAAATGACATGGTTGATGAAAGGCGTTACGCCGGATAAATTCGAACTTGTTTTGATGGTGGATGCAGATACCAAGGTTTTACCAGATGCATTGACGTATATGGTTGCTGCTATGGCCAATGATATTACCATCATGGGACTATGCGGTGAAACACGAATTGCCAATAAACGAGCCTCATGTAAAAGCAAATATACTTCAAAATGATCAGCAAAATAACTTTATAGTAACCATTATCTTTTGTCTTCCTTTAGGGGTTACTGCAATTCAAGTATTCGAATACTATATTTCTCATCATTATGCCAAAGCATTTGAGTCTCTTTTCGGTATCGTTACATGCTTACCTGGGTGTTTCAGTATGTATCGTATCAAGTCACCTAAAAATGGTGCTTGGGTGCCCATTCTAGCCAACCCAGATATCATTCTGGAGTACAACCAGAACATTGTCACAACATTGCACGAAAAGAATCTGCTACTTTTAGGTGAAGATCGTTTCCTTTCTACTCTCATGCTGCGTACCTTCCCTCGTCGCCAAATGATGTTTGTTCCTCAAGCACGTTGCAAAACTGTCGTACCTGATCAGTTCAAGGTCCTTCTATCCCAACGTCGTCGATGGATCAACTCCACCGTCCACAACTTAATGGAACTTGTCTTGGTGTCTGATCTCTGCGGTATTGCCTGTTTATCCATGCAATTTTCCGTGTTTGTCGACTTGATCGGTACGTTGGTACTTCCTGCCGCTATTGTTATGACAATCTATTTAATTGTTGATACTGCGATATCCACCAATCCACAATGGCAATCGCTTGCTCTATTAATTGCTATCCTTGGTCTTCCTGCAGTTTTGATTGCCATCACAACTCTCAAATTCATCTATATCCTATGGATGTTTGTCTATATTTGCGCCTTACCCATTTGGAATTTTATCTTACCGCTCTATTCATTCTGGCATTTCGATGATTTCTCTTGGGGTGCAACGCGTGTTGTCGCTGGTGAAAAGAAAGATAAGGGTCATGGTGATGCTGAAGGTAAATTCGATCCTAGCCGTCTATTAATGAAGAAATGGGAAGATTGGGAGCAAGAACGAACGGGACAACGCTTCCATCAACATAAAAAGGCTTCTCCCCTCAAGACACCTTATGATTCCATGACAAATTTGTTGACCCCTTCGCCTACAACAAATACTACGGCGAGTACTTTGACTCCTACTACCACCAATACTGGAACATTAGGAGGAGGAGTTTATCATGAACATGGCAGTGGCATCCCAATGTCGCAGACAGTATCAGTAGCAACACCTACACCACAAGCGCCGGCATCGTTTGGTAACATATTTAATGATAGAAAAATGTATGGTTCATCGCCTGTGCCAACATTAACGTCCTTGCCGAATCAACAACAATAAATAAGCACAATATACCATTCATATATAGATATGTATTCTATATAACAATTATAAAGAAAAAAAAAAACTCACAATGGTAACACACAAGTGTAATTTTTGTAAACTTGTATACAGGAGTATCGTAGCAATAGTTATGACATCTGGTAATCCAGCTAATGACAAGCCAAAGCGCGTAAAATACCCTTTCACTCTATCCACGTCGTCTACAAATCACTTAGAAGGCGATTGTCACCCTCTTTAAAAACTATAAATAAATTTTGGAAAGTCTAACCATTTCTTATGTGCCAATTGTACAATCACATGTCTCCTTAACGATGTCATTTGCTAATATTTTCCTCCCGTAGGCACGTTGATCTATACATTTCTGATAGTAACCATACTTGACTGATAAGACTGGAGTATCTAATTTTCAACAGTGCCATCACTGTCTTAATTCCATGCTTTTCTCCTACATTTGAAATAGGTAGCAAGGATAACCTCTTCACCAGTAATAAGCTACCTGTAGCTAAGTCATCATTATAGTAATTTTTCTACAATAAATAGCCCGATAATCATAAAGCGCAGATGTTGATATATATTCATGGCGAACTGCAATTTTTCTTCGGCTAGGTTCCCAGCTATGTTACAGTATAAGCATGGCAAATCATGGACAAACTTTTCCTTTAAATATACTTTGTTTATTGCTTGCTTCAACACAATGTGTATACATATAATCGAGTATTAATTAAACTGTGTTTCTGAGGACTATTCATAATGAAAAGTTTAGAGTGTGAGCTTAATAGCAGGACAGGTTTCATTTTTTCCTTTAAAAGCTTACCAAGAACAACGGTGTCGCCACGCAGGAACATCTTGCTCACGAAACGATCTTTATTTACGGGTTTGGCTTTAGCTCCCTTACCACTACGAGGTGTTTCTGTCCACATCTAGATAGAGTGAGTCAATTTAATTTCCGTTAATTGCTTTGTCGATGAGCGTTTGTTATACGTAATTGAAAAAAGGGCGTGGTAGGGATCTATCTTATTCCTGCTTTTATTTTACCTCCTTCACATTTTCAAGAACCATATTACAATGACGATCAAATGCCTTCACACGTGCTAAAAGTTTATGATTGTTACGACAACTGATCAGGATCTGATTATTGTTTTTGACAGATTGTTGTAAAACTGAAAGTGGGCCGGTGTTGAATTCGAGTTCTTCTTGTTGACGAAGTTCTTCTTCTGTCATTTCAGACTTTGGCTTATTCAATACGGAGCTATAATAAGTATGTTACAATAGTGTTTACATAGTAGATCAAAGCTTTGAAAAGAATTCGGTGAGTTTTTATACCTCATGTTTGTATGTTTATATTGTTAATGGGGACGGCGTAGGAAAACAAAAAAAAAAGAACGAAAAAAAAAGGAAGAAAATTTGTAGTTCACTTTATTCCTTTTGCCCGTCCGTCGTCGCAGCTTAAACAAATCACTCCCCATTCCAACCCCTCATTACACTGGTAGAAAGCAGCCAATATCTCTTGTAAATTTCTCGTGTTTACAGCGTCTACATCTATATTATATTCATTGGTTTGCCTCAAATTTGGACCTCATAGTTTATATACCTTATCAGTATGAATAAACGTCTACTATGGTGAGGGGGTGCAAATTTATTGACTCAACTAAATTTACGTCTCTTGCAATCATTGGAGACATATTATCATTTAAGCAGAGCTTTTCAAACGAGAGATTTCTTTTTTAGTAAAAAATCTAAAGCCTTTTCTACCTTGCGGGTCCTGACAGGTTGAATGAAAAGATACAATTAACTCTTTGTCAACGCACACGTGGCTGTCAAAAAACTGTAATCAAACCTCTTCATAAGACATTTGGCCAGGCCTTAGCTGCACGTATAATGTTCCAGTCTCCATGATAGTTTTTTGAATTTTTCCATTCTTTTCTGTCATGTCCACATACAGCGGATCGTATCGATCTCCAGTCACCTTAATCGACTTAACATTGTCAAATGTTTCAAAAACTGCCGGTGCTTCAACGCGTCGTTTCTTTGTATTTCCAGATTGGTCTTCCACTGTTTCTACTATCAGAGGAACTTTACACACACGGTTTCGTACCGTGTCAAAAGTAGTAATCCATCGCCTGTCCTTTGCCAATATCCATAGATGTCGGAAAGCTTGTAAATGATAACGATTATCCCGTGTTGATGTTGGATAGAAGGGGTAAAATGCAATGAGTAATCCGGCTACAGCCTCACTCGTTGTTTTGAGAGTATAACTTCCCAGACCCATATATAATAACCCCAAAGCCATAGAGACAGCCATATTATCACCATAATTGACATCATTAATGCGTTGATAGAGTTTCTTTAAACGGTCGAGAAGTGTCAGATTACCTGTTCCAGCCATAACCATAGCCGTCGCTGTACAAAGTACATTTATGCAATTGCGTATCACTGTTTTAGTGACCTCTTTCTGCTTGGTGGTTAAAGGAACACTCAGTGTCATGAAATAATCCAAATAGTCCAAGAGGCATTGAAATGCCGTTTCATCCCTTGTACCCGCATATTTCAAACCAATGCATTGGCAAGCGCCACATATAATGTAATACATGGCTTGAACAACGGCCTCCTTCTCTGCAACTTGATTGTCAGCCATATAATTTGGTATATTACCTTGTACCCATGCTTTTGTAGGCTGTATATTACTCCACATAATTATATTTTTAGCAATAACGCGGTGGACAAGGAAGTCTACGGGCATGTGGTCTATCATAGCTGCTGTATGTGGTAGCGGTATGCTATCAGCGATTACTTTGCTTTCTGTTTTGAGATACATTAGAGCTAAAGCATATGTAGCAGCAGGTGAAGTAGCAGTCATATTAACAATAGCATTATCACCGGCTGTCCAACAAGTTCTACATACGAGTTTGTACAACCGATCTTGAAAATCTCTACGCATATTAATAGCAGCATCACCTTTTCCCAACGTCATCAAACCCAATGCGAATCCGGCGGCTAAACAGCAAGTTTCATAATCCTTCTGCAAGTGTTGTGGGTCAGCTTTCCCCATCCTCTCCATCTCTAATAGCATATTATGACAACGTCCTATATGAAATGAATTCATAAAGACTAATCCGATTCCTAGAGTAGCAGCTGCCTGTACAGTAAGGGTTTTATACATGAACTCAGGGGTATCTTCTGGTAGAATGCTAGGAATGAATGCACCCATCATTGTATGAACCTCTTCTTTCCTAGTACCTACGTTGGTGACAGCCAAGCCTAACAGAAGAGCTATTGTCACATAGGCATCCTTTTGAGCGAATAAACGTTGTTGATCGGCATCTGTTAGTCTATCCAGAAACCCATTGAGACCGAACGCTAATAGTGCACCCGCTTCTTTAGGCTCCGGTTTATCGGGAAGAAAACGACCGATCCATTCTGCTGTAATGCGCGATTGAGGTGACATACGAAGTCCCGCTGACACACCGGTATGGAAGTCAGGCCAACTTATGTCTTCTCGCGATATATCCACATTGATATTTGTTTTGATATCCATCTTCTCAAAATGTACCTGAAGATTGATAGGCTCAATGGGTAACTTAAAATGTTCAACTTCGTAGGTTGCGTAAGCATACAGTGCTCGGCCGATTGACAGAGCAAAGGTTCGTTCAAGGACCTTTCTAGCCTCGGCTTCGTAAAACTTCTCTAGATCCTCACCGCTATCTCGTAACCATATGAAAAAAGAGGGTTGAGGTAAATCAGCAATTACAACTCGATCAAGTCCGTTTCAAAAATGCCTACGTTGAATTGAGAGGTTCGCTAAAAAAAGGGTGATATTGCCGACGAGCACCGTCTAGCATTCTCCTTACGCTTTCTGCAACTGCTTCAGTCCCGAATCGTAAATACTCAAGGTCATAGTCTATCTCGTCTGTTGCAAAAGGCTGACTAGGATCGATCGGTTTCGCTAAACACAGATCGGTCATAGAAGAAACCATGATTTCCAATGCTTAGAGCGTGTTACTGAAATGCTATCAAAATATTGCTTGCAGAAAGCTTCAGAGCCTTTCCTAAGTATATAAGGATGCAATACTGAAATTGAGATACGTTATTCTTGTTTTGTCGAGAGGGAAAGCGTAATATGCTTTACTACACGCTTAGATAATTTCAACGTGTAATATAAATGGAGAAAATATCTGATTTACAAAACACGAAAATCCCGCATTGCTGGCCTAATACAAGAGAAGACATGAATGTTTACGACAAAGTTCTACCGGTTGCTTTTGTGCCTTCCCTGTAAGAATTCTATTATGACGAATTTCGGATTATACACAAACAAAACTTCAGAACGCTATTACTTATCTAAATTGCACACAACTCAGTTCTTTTCGTTGACAAAATGAAAGCTCAAAAGGAATTTTATGGCAATGAAAACCGAAGAGGAACGATTTCATATAGAATGAGAAGGCCATTATGTTTCCGAATGCATCATCCTATTTATAAGCAAATTGATTAACTTACGTGCTTAAAAAAACATTAGAATGTGTTCAGATAATTGGTTGCTTTAGTGTTTCTCCTCTTTAGTTGCGTACATAGAATATTTTTAAAATCATGCCGCTCCTCTTAGGAAAACAATACATTTAAGCTGTGTTTAAGAACAACATCAAACCTGCAGTTGAAGAGTATAAGAAGCGAGCAAAGGGTACTATTTAACTGCATAGAAGTATCCAAAAACCTAAACAACCCTCAATATCAGCATATTCATCATGGGTCAAACTATTATTAGCGGCTTTAAAAGCTTATCAATACGTTTACAATTTTTAACCGATTCCAGCTATTAAGCTATTGTATTAAAACGTATTGTTCAGGATTTGCAGAACCTTTAAACAAGAAGGTTGTAATATGTCTCGCCGTGTGGGTTTTGTCTTTGTGCTCTGAATTTTCAAATGCCGCTAACATTGGAATCATTTAGTATAATGTTTCCATGACCTGTCATAAATCAGCATCGTTCTTGCCAAGTATAATGAGCTCTCAAGAATTACCCAAGTTAGGTAATTAGTGTTTAGTTTCAGATTAAATGAAGTGCAACTGCTTCTTACTCACTCAAATCATGCCTGGTGTATGCATATACAGTCTTCGTCACGGGCAATAAGAATAAACTTCTTGAAGTTCAAGCCATATTGAAGGGTGTCATCGATGTCGAATCTCACAAGATCGATTGTAAGTAGCAAATATTCGACTACGAAAATTTGCGACTAATAATGGTTTTGCTTTGGATGTTTCATTTTTAAAGTGCCCGAGCTTCAAGGAACAACTGAAGATATCGCAAGGCAGAAGTGTAAACTTGCTGCTGAAACGGTAAATTTCACCAACATACACATTCATATCATTCAAAGTTGACTTATTGACAATAACCTCAACTCTCTAGCTCAATGGCCCTTGTATTACTGAAGATACTGCTTTATGTTTTAATGCTATGAATGGTCTTCCTGGCCCATATATGTAAGGGAGAAGAAAATCAAAAAAAAAGTCAACATAAGCTATTAACATGCAAGATATGAAATTCACATGTTATAAACAGCAAATGGTTTCAAGATTCAATTGGTCATGCAGGCATCAATAAAATGTTGGATGGTTTTGATGATAGATCGGCATATGCTCTTTGCACTTTTGGTTATTGTGAGGGCCCTGGACATGAACCTATGATTTTTGAAGGAAGAACCAACGTAAGCTTAAACTTGGATTTGATATTCCCAACCCTCACACGCTCAATCTTCTTTCGTTTTTTTCCATAATAATATTCATGTAGGGTAAGATCGTTCCCTCTCGTGGGCCTTGTACTTTTGGTTGGGATGCTATTTTTCAACCAGATGGTTTTGATAAAACGTAAGTTTATACATATGATCCAAACAATGCAACGCGTGTACAACTTGTTATTCATATTTTGTTTGCTTCTTGTTATAGATACGCTGAATTAGATAAAGAAGTGAAAAATTCGATTTCTCATCGTGGAAAGGCTTTAGAGCTTTTAAAAAAATTCTTCGCTGATAGGCAGCAGCAACAAGCTTCATAAAATTTTTCTTCACAATTGCTATTTCCGCATAACAGAAGATATTAAATAGCCATTATTTCAGCCTAGAATAAAAGAGAAGGATGCAAAATACAATATTGGGATTTGCATTCTTGGCAGAAAGTCAGATGAATTTTTTGTTGAAGTGGTTTGATAACTTGCAGTAGTCGAAACTAGCTTAGCGCATTTGTTCTGCGAGACACAACTATCAATTGGCATGTCTACAATAGAAAAAAATTACAACAGCACGTCGCCTACGCTTATATTCTCTAAAACTCTGTGGATAACACTATATTATCTGCCTTACTTGTACCATATTTAGTCTTTCCATATAATGCTTTGTTCTTCATGCATCAATTTAAATTTGTCTTTTGCTGTTAACTTTAATCTGTACGTGCACAAAATTTTGAACGACTGAGTATACACACATACTTGTCCTGCGCAAGGGAAAAGATCGAGATTCAGTTGTACAGTGCAGTACTGAGCCAATCGAATGCATACCAGTTACGTAGATACCCGTTTGTAAAGCACTTGAGGCAACTCCTTTAGGAATCAATTACCCCTTTTTACGCTACCGATAGTTGGGAGATACATACATGCTCAATAGATACAGTATTTCTCATGCTCTGACACAAGTTGAAGAAATAATTCTCGCCAACGAGAAGCTTGTGGAAATGATAGCCTCTCCTTCCATCCTCAATTCGGTAACATTTTACTTTTCTCCTACAAATCATGTATATCAACGATAAATGTCAGAGGGAAGGCAATTTAAGCTCCTTTGTGAATGCTACGAGAGACTAAGAATAAAAACTTGCATATAACTTTCGATCAATGGCTAGATCGCATACAAACAAACCTCGTCGGCATACAGTTGTACCTTTTGTACCACTCAGAAAATAACGGATACATTACTACAAGTGCTTAATATATAGAGTTTTGCATTAGAGTGCATTAAATATATTGACATAGATTTATAGGCATGAATGATTAGGAGATTATTTCAATGTTGAAAAAGCTATGACTGATCTGTATCCTTTTTTTTTTTTTCCCTTTTCGATTTTCAAAAAATTCCTATAATGTACTTCTATATACCTCGATTTAAAATTGGAAGCTTCTACGTCTCCAAACTACAGTATTTTAAGTTTTGAGTTTTTTATGCGTCTTACTCAAAATTAAAGGAATTGATAAACGTCTGTATTATCACAAAATTCAGATAAAGTTAATAGGTGCAGAACGTGCAAATATAAGTGTTTTCTCCAAATCAAGTGATCTCGTTGCGTCTCCATTACAATTGCGTTTGCGTGCCTTAGAAAGCAGCCAGTCTGCTTACCTCCTGTTTTCTCATTGAGTTAAAAAGACTTGTATGTCATTAACAAGTGGTTTTAGTTCAAGACCATTTCTTCACCTTTTCGACTTATGTTGTGGCTCCTCTTATGTACATGCACAGTGTTGTCTCAATTTCCATATAAGATTTCCGAGTAGCTCCTGGTCTCTTTAATGTTTCCCTACGACAAACCCCTTTGTCTGGAGTAAAATAGCATTGATCTAAGAGGTACAGGCCTCTCTTTTGCTTCCTCCCCCTTAGTTTTCAATTTGCAAAGCAAACACTTACGATAGAGAAAAGAGAAGAAGCCATTTTCACAGTGTCTAACTTTTTCTTCTTCTCTTGTTCTTCGATAACCATAGACCACATTATCCAAGCACCTTCTACACTGACAAACTTTTTTAAACTTTTTCAAATTATACTGTTAATAACTTTTCTATTTTATTCTTATTGTAAATGACACATCTCAGTGACTTTAGTTTTCTACGTAAAGTTCTTACTGCAAAGCAATCCCATGAAAAAACCATTAGATGTTGAGACTAACTTACAATCTACCAAAAAAAAAAAAAAAAAATTATATAGAACGAACTGTCTCATTCGGATATTTGTTTGTCTGGTATACATACAGAGTTTGGACACAAGATAAATTCAGTTGCTTAAAATTGAAAAGATTGAAAGAAGGAGAATTGAAAAGTATCGTTACCCTACTTATTCTATTCATGATACCCTTCCAGCTGTTTTATGGTAAATGCGAACGGCTATTATGCTTAACTGATATTTGAAAACTTACAGCCCAATTTGCATATAGACATAACTTCAGTGAAGATAAAATATGAAGAAGGTTTTGCAAACGTACTAGGGCGTATTTTTACAAAACCCGAAGTAATGTGGACAAAAGCTGATAAGGCTTTAGTTATTCCTACCGGTAATATTTGCAAGCTTATCGGTATCGGCCTCTTAAAATTGATATTGACTCCCTTTACTACAACTGACAGAATATAGTTTGTGTATCGGCTTCTCCTTACAAACTGGTACTCTTGTCTTATTGCAATGTTTCTGGAATTACTTGGCCAACTCCGTCGCAGAAGTCAGCTTCATGAGTAGCAAAGAGTTTATGTTCTACATTTTCTGGACTTGCTCAAGCTTTGTTCTTTTCCCTTTATTGCAATACAACTTTTCCCGAGAAATTTACGAGCCTACTTACAAAGAAATCATACCTGAGATGGTTTATGGTATTGAACTATTTATCGTTGGCTTACTCGGTGTCATATCGCATTTCCGTTTCAAAAAGTTGTTGAGTAATTCGAGAGATACCGACAATGGAAGAAGCATTGCTCACAAGATTCGTTACTTTCAAGAAATCAACAAAATTTTGTCAACTGTCTTGTTCGGCCATGGCGGTTTATTAACTACCTTAAGTATTGATGGTCTTACAACTAGAAAATATCTGAATATTCACAAATTTACTGCTGATTTTTTCATTTGTAACAGTAAGTTGTATACTACTGGTCTTCTTTGTTTATTGTCGCATACGTAACTAATCCTTCTAAATCAACTTACAGTCAATATGTGTGCTGTTATCACTTGGCTGTGTATGATTCTCATCTTCCATCCCAAACACAGCACAACTCCAGAAGCAGCCTCCAATAATAATTCAGAAAACGAAATATATGCTAATGGAAACGAAAGTAAGCAATTCAACAACAACAGTGGTATCAGCAGCACTAACACGTACAGTCATGCACCCACTTTAGTTGCGGGTCATTCTCAAGCCCCCAGTGAATACATGTACAAAGGCGTTCACCCGCTATCCAAATCAGGCACTCTGAACAGCAGCCATGCTGACAGTGCATTTCATTTTGGACCGCTACCAACACCCCCTCATAATGATGTCAATATGAGCTTCCGCAATAAGAACAACTCTATAGCATCTACTGCGCCTTCTATGACCACTCTGGTGTCTCCTCAAAACAATCATAATTCTGACAAGAACTGTGGCTACCAATTTAACAGCACACGATCTCATAAGGCGACATCTATTAGCAGTAATTGTGGTGGCATAACAAACGATAGTAGTAACAACAATGAATACTTCCCTATCAATATTCATGATGAAAGGACCTTACCCTCATCTTACATCAATGAGATATCCTACCAGCAACAGCTGCAGCAGCAAAGCAAGCTTAATAGTTCAAATCTAATCAACACCAATAAAGCAATGATGAATGCGAATGCAGCTTCGTATCAGCCAAACAGCTACTATGTACAGCAAGAAGAAAAAGAGTTAGCAGATCCAAAAAACAATTACAGAAAGACGTTACACAATAGTCCTATGAGTCCCTTGAACATGTCGTCTGCTTTTTACCAACACCAACACCAACAGCAGCACTTTTTCCCACCACATAATTCGGCCATGAAAGCCTTGGATGATCCTTTTGGTTCAGTTGTAGAAGAAGAAGAAGACGACGAATATGTTCCTCCTCCTCTCTCACCTGCAAGGAAAAATCGTGATATTGTGTCTCAACAACATCATCTTCTTCATCAACAACCGCAGCTTCCAACTACCACTGCTACTACTGCTGCTACTGCTACAAATGACAACCTCACTGCTTCACATTATCAACAACAACAACAACAACAACAACAACAGCATCAACAACAAAAACAATTGGAAGCGCGTCGCTATACTCATTCTATGAATATAATAACTGGAGAAGAAGATATGAGACGCGAATTTGGTATCAACAACCAACATCAACCTGTAACGTTAAAGGATGAGAGTAGTACAAAACAGCAGATCAATAACAATAGTGAAGAAAAAAATTTCATCTCACCATCACTATCCAATAATAAGCATTTGCATCAACAAAATCAACAGATGACAGAAGAACCTGATACCGCAGTAACTACTGCGATGAATAACACTAACAATACGGCAGCAATCTCCCATCCCCAAGGTGTCGTAGGCTTACTTAATCAATCCACGTCCTCGCTTCTGTTACCGTTACCATTCGAACAAAATTATCAAAACAAATCACATAATTCACAACAGCAGAGCCAACAATATGGCTTTATGGATGAAAATATAGCGATGACATCTTCAACAACAGCAATAAAACCTTCATACAACTATGTCTAATGAATTAATTGTTTACTTATTATTAACATTCATCGAGCGAGACTACATAACTACTATTGTTCATCATAATAAACTTGATCACTAATTTGACATTTTCTGTATGCTCTAAGAACTACTAACGAAGATTGGATCAAGTAAAATATCAAATTACTGTGATGGTACAACATTAACAACCAATTACATAACCAACAACACTTTAAGCTCAATTTAAACCTTAAAATGAGCGCTTTTCCCAAAGTCGTCCATGAACTGCTCATGGAACTAGACAAAGCTCGTCCCATTATTCATTTGAATAGCGATATTTTTTCATATTTCTGCGTCTAAATACCCTGTATCTAACAAATCAAGCCATGGATCGGATTTATCTCCTCGTAGAAGAGGAAGCAGAAAAATCAGTGTTACGCAAAATAGACATTACTTTTCCTTTCTGGATCAAGAATCAGAAAATATAACCTTTCTTTGTTTCTTTTTCCGCTTTATTTATACCTGTTTCCATACACCATTTGCTAAATATATATATACGAAGGGTGTGCCTGCATGCAAAATTTTGAACCCATCCAAACCTAATTCAGCTCATAAAAATGGTAGATACCACTAAGAATATCATTGTAGAAGAAAAGGAAGGATATTATCCTTCAAGTGAAGTAGAATTGGACGAAAAGAATTCTCATCGATCTGATGCAACTACTCATTCAGCAAAGACTGTCAAAACAGGTATATATGCTTGGTGAACACGTATTGTGAGTAGGTCTGTGTATTGACCAACCGGGCTTATATTCATAGAAAATAATACAAAAGATCTCGGAAATATTGAAAGTTCAATCAATGACACAAAAGGTCAATACGAGCCGGCGAAGGATGAAGATGACGATGAATATCCTGATGGTGGCTATGGCTGGGTAATTGTTTTCGGTGCATTTTGTGCGCAAATAACCTATTTCGGTGTCATATCTAGTTGGTAAGTTGAACAATTGTCTATAATTTCCAAACAAAGATCTTATGATTAGCTTTTTTTTTTTAACCGCCATGTAGGGGTAATAAATCTGTTTTTGACTTTCATCGCACATTAGCGTTATTTTAAAATGACTAACATACAGTTTCTACGTTGTCACACACTCAGGTGTCATGCAAGATTACTATCAACAAAATGTATTTACGAACAGTGATCCAAAAGTGGTTGTCGACTTGAGTTTTGTTGGCTCGTTGACCCTGGTTTTTCTTGATGGCATGAGCCCCTTTGTTAGACTGGCCGTAGCTAGATTGGGTGTAAAGCCTGTCATGATCATTGGTTCCTTATTGATAACACTCGGCTTGGAAATGGCAGGTTTCGCTACTCAAGTATGGCATCTTTATCTTACACAAAGTATTGTTTTTGGTACGGGTGCTTCATGTATATATGTAATTGCCATGTCTATCACGCCTCAATGGTTCAAAAAAAGAAGGGGATTGGCTTTGGGCATAGTTGCTGCTGGATCTGGCATGGGCGGCCTTGTTGTTCCCCTAATTGTGACCCCGATCAATCGACAATTGGGAGCCCAATGGACTTATAGAGTACTAGGGTTTATCTGCTTATTCTGCGATGTCATTGCTTGTGTCTTTGTGAAGGAAAGACAGAAGAGAGATCCTGCGGCTAAAAAGAAAAAACTATCAGAAATTCTCGACTTGTCGGTTTTGAAAAATCTCAACTTTCTTCTATTCATCATTGCATCAAATATCGCTCTGTTAGGTTACTTTGTTCCCTTCTTCTTCGTTCCTGGTAAGATAATACAAGGAACTGCTGTACAATATATGCTAGTCTTCCCTTTCACTACCCCTTCCTCTATTTATACTAATTCACATTGTCCCTTTTCATCCAGCATATGCGACATATTTAGGCTTATCTGATTCTCAAGGCTCCTCCTTAATTGCAGTAGCTTCAGCATTAAATTTTGTAGGTCGGTTCACCGCTGGTTGTATAGGCGACTACATCGGTCCAATCAACGCAGATATTATCTTCACCCTTCTTGCATCCATCAGTGGCTTCTTAATTTGGACATTTGCGAAGACCTATTCGTCACTCGTGGGTTTCATGGTTGTCTTTGGTTTCGCCTGCGGTTCTTTTTTCCCGCTTATGTCCCCCATTACTGCCTCAATTTTAGGCATGGAACGCTTCCCTTCCGGTATTGCGCTAGTGATAGGAACCAATATGTTTGCTATGTTTGGTACTAATATTGCTAGTGCTATTGAAACAAGCCCTCTTATTGCATCTACCTCACCACCGTTTTTCAGTTACAAAATATTCACCGGTGTCACGTATTTGGTAGCTACGATAGCATTGTTGTGGCTCAAGCTTAGAGTAAATAGAAATCCTTGCTCGAAATTGTAAAGTTAGCCTACTGTGGAAACAACTACTTTTTCTATTGTATACAATTATATTCACATCTTGATTAATTTCCGTATAAATTTTCCGTTTAAAGTTGGCATTCTTTTCGGTATTTTCAGATCATTCATTCTGCGTTTAGGGTGGAGTTGAGTATATCTTAAAACATAATATTTCTTGATAATGTGAGTTCCTTAATCATCAATGTTTGCTGCTTTGGAAGACTTGAACTTCCGCTACCTAATATTAAGAAACATTTTTTAATTAAATACATGCTGCGTTTCTCTAGCGCATCTTCCAAACATTAGCGCAAACGTGTTATGCAGTCCTCAATATATTTTTATGGCAAACGGAAGAATAGTTGATGACTTTTGGTGATGCTAATCTGTGTCGCTTTATAGATATTACATATTTCAAATAAATCCATTAAGGATAATAAAACATGTTGATTTATTGTAATAGAAAGGTTATCATCAAAAGACCGTCTTTCCAAAAGTTGTTTGACAAAGCTGATGGCAGGGTAAAGAAATGCCCTACATCATAATTCGAACAAATTGTTGTAACAATAGTTGGGCTAGACTTACACGCTATAGTAAGCACAATTTCCTCTGAATGTATACGGATATCACAGGTATAAATTCTGGTGGAGAAACATTTGTGAAAAATATTGGCTAGATTGTCTCAAAATTTGTTTTATGTTTTGTCTTAAATGTGTTCACTTGTATTTCATACAGAGTGAAACCTGAAGAACATTAGCTGAAGACCCACGTTTGAATAATACCAGTGACTGGATTCGAAGGTCTGTTTGAATAAAAAAATCTTTGACAAATCGGGCTAGATAGACTGAAAAAAAAATTCAAAAAAAGCTGCCCTTTTGTTTCTATATCTTTCTGAAAGCTTAATTTCTTCAGTCAACTGAACCATAATAAGACCGTTTAAATTAGTTTGAGATCACGTTATCGTTACACCACCGTTTGGATGAACATTAATAACGTATCACCTTAGTTTACAACATTGACGAGGAAAAAGCATGCTATTATCATCAACGAGGAGTTCGCCTATCTTAACCCCAACGTATCCAGAAGATGATGATTTTGTAGATCCAATACAACTGCAGGTACAACAGAAAGGCTATCGCCATGAATTTAAATGGCTATTGAAGAATGCAATGCCATTAGTCGTTAGTTATCTGTTGCAGAACACTTTGCAAAGCTTCAGTATTGTTTCTGCTGGGCATTTAGTAAGTTTGAAGAGCAAGAAAGAATGCAATCTGTCATTATCATTATTGCTACGCTCATCATTGTAAACTCTATTTAGGGAGCAACTGAACTAGCTTCGGCCACTTTAGGTAGCATGTTTGTCACTATTACTGGTTTTTCTGTAATTACCGGTGCTACTTTATCGTTGGATACACTTTGCTCTCAATCTTTTACAAGTTCGAGAAATGAGAAAGTGGTTGGTCTCCACGTTCAACGCTGCTTAGCTTTCATGTCTTTCTTATACATACCTATGATTCTTTTGTGGTGGTATTCTGAAAATGTTTTTCTATTTCTTCGACAAGACCCTACTGTTGCTCATTTATCTAGCATTTACGTTCGCTGGATGATCCTCGCTGTTCCTGCTTTTGCCGTTTTTGAAGCGCTGAAAAAAATGCTACAAGCCCAAGGTATTTTCCATCCCCCTACTTATATTCTCATCATCTGCACACCTTTCAATTTACTTATGAATTACGTCTTGGTGTGGTTGCCTCAGTTTTCACTCGGTTTTCACGGTGCGCCAATTGCTAGTTGCATCTCTTACTGGTTGCTTGTTCTTTTGTTGACACTTTACATCTACCGTATCGATGGCCATCAAGCTTGGCCGACCTGGTCTACTTTGTTCATATACCAGTTTCGACATTGGGGTCCATTGATTAAACTCGCTGTTCCTGGTATCTTGCTCATTTGTACTGAGACGTGGGCTTATGAAATCATTGCTCTTGGAGCCAGTTGGATTGATACCCCTAATTTAGGTGCTCAAAGTATTATTCTCACATCAATCACAGCGCTTTATACGCTTGCCTTCGGGGTCGGTATTGCTACAACAAATCGTGTAGGTAATTTATTGGGTGCTCAAAAGCCCAAACAAGCTCGCATGGCTGCTCGTGCCGCATTGATTGTTGGTTTTTGTGTTGGTTTTGTTAATAGTATGGTGTTGATACTCTTCCGTCACGTCTGGGCTTACCTTTTTACTACAGATGAAAAAGTTGTGCATATTGTCACACATGTATTACCGTTAGTCGCGTTATTCGTGATTGCCGATAACCTGGCCGGTGTGGCGGATGGTGTTTTGAATGGTATGGGGCGTCAGCATATTGGTGCTTGGTGTAACTTGGGCTCTTACTATTTGTCTGCTCTGCCTATTGGTTTTTATCTATGCTTCAAACGTGGTTGGAAACTGTCTGGTTTATGGGCGGCTTTATCCGGTTCATTGATTGCTGCAGCAATTGCTACGTTATTTGTAGTTTTGACTGCAAATTGGAAAAGGGAGGCTGAGAAAGCCGAAAGAAGGACTAAAGGTGATACGCATTCTCCTTTTGTGACCAGCAGTAATGGCGACAGTGACCATAGCGATTTTGAAGAATATGTCCCATTGTCTAATAAAGTGTATTAAAATCAGCTTTTTAAAAAAAGAATGGAGAAATGTCAGAGCAGTATTTTCTTCTGACGAAATTGCAATCGAGAAGCATGATGGGTAATAAATTGCAGGCTACGGTTAAAATAGTCGTGTAAAGCTGTATCGAAGCACATGTTCATTGCTGATGACAACATTGGGGGCAATGCTATATGTAAGCTTTTCAACGCGAAAGTAACAAAAGGACCCTTGGGTATTCGAATGAATAGTTTACAGTATTGGCGGTTACAAATAAAATAAAGAATAATTGGCGATCATAGAACAACAAAATTAGTGGCTGCGAAAAAAATGATTAACGGCTGTATGAGCTCTCTATGATTGATTGGGTTTCAATTAAGTTATTTGTATCTTTAGGTAACATGTACAAACTTTCAGGAACATGTAATTTTTACCTCATCTGTCAACCCTTACGCTCTTATTTCACATTTTATACGTACAGTACATATCTCTTTCTATCCGGTGGAGTTGGATATCAATAATGAAGTAGTTTTTAACGATTGCAAAGGCCCGCAACGAAGAATTAGAAAGTTCATCCATCCTTGAATTTCTATTTATAGGAAAAGACTCGTCACTGAGCTGTATATATCTCTAATCACTTTGCTCCTATTTCAATTTTCCTCTTTTTCTTTTACTTCAGCGACATCGGCCTTCATAGCAGACATAATCATAGTAAAAAATGAATATCTTCAGATTTAGATCTAGCTCAAATGCTGCTGCAAGCACACCAGAAATTGCCGTTGATCATGGACCAGTTACATACAAAGCGCTTTTAACACCACCCTCAGACTATGAACCTGTTCTGAATGCACCTTTGAATGAAGAACAACAAGAAAAGATAAACAGGCTACTATCTCATATAGAATCAATCATGCTTCCAAAAGACGATCCTTATTATCCCAACGAAAGAGGCTTTGTAACTGAAGGAACAGTGCATCGATATATGAGGGCTAGAAAATGGGACTACGAAGTAAAATTGAAGAAGAATACTCTGACTTCAAGCATTACCTCGGCTGCTTGTTGACCTAACTGTTTTGTGACATATAGGCTGCGAAAACAATGCTGGAAAACACAATAAAGTGGAGAAGAGAATTCAAGCCTGATCAAATAGATCCCAACTATGTTCGTGCAGAGGTAAATAATTGATAATCTTGTCAAACTTTGTGCCTCCTGTTCATTTTTTCTTATGGAAAAAAAACCTCAACATTTAGGCCGAAACGGGCAAAATGTATTTCAGTGGTTTTGACAAAACTGGCCGTCCCTTGTGGATCATGAAACCCCGACATGAGAATTCGAAAGATTCAGAGAGACAAGTCAAGCATATTGTATTTTGTCTGGAAAGAGGGATCCGTTTGATGCCTCAAAACGTAGAAAAGATTTCTATCGTAGTCGATTTCAAGGATTCGACAGCATCCAATAATGCTGGCGTCAGTACATGCAAGAAGTTTTTGGATATATTGGGCAATCATTATCCAGAAAGATTGGGTATTGCATTTTTAGTGAATGGTAAGTTAGACAAAAGGGGAATAAAAGTGCGTCACCATCTTAACATACGCGTTCCTTGTGAAATTACATAGCGCCTTGGTTCTTTCTTGCTACATTCAAAATTATATCACCGTTCATGGACCCTGTAACGAGAAACAAAATTAAATTCATCAATCCTGCCGGCTCTAATCCAAACACTAATACCACCGCAAACAGTAGCCAAATTAACATGGAGGATATGATATCGGCTGATCAAATGGAAATTTCTTTGGGTGGAAAATACAATTTTGCTTTTGATCCAAACGTTTATTGGGCAGACTTGCTAAAAATAACCGGTGATCCTTACCAAGTGATAGAGTACAATTAATTTATTGAAAATCATGTGTTTATAGACAAGAATAAAGCAGAGAGATTCCATTATGATATCTATGCATGTCAATATGATCGGTTTCGAGGTATCATTTCAACCGTATTCGTCTCTATCTCATTTACATCCCCCATATCATCTTCATCCATCAAAGCTTTTATATAATTAACATCTGTTCTTTTCAGCACATAAATCTTTACTAGAAATGCCGTAAATACCGCGCCAATGATAAGCGACGCTGCCACTATATTATAAATCATATAGGATGACTGCTTTGCTAGAGCAGCAGCGGTAGCAATATCCTGTTGCATTGAACTTTGATTATAGTGACTTATACTATCACTTTCGTCTTTACCATTAGCTTCTGTTTCAAAGTTATCAACGCCAACATGCGTTGCTTTTTTGCTGTCTGTCTCCTTTTCGTTGTTGTTACTACTGTCGTTATAACTGTCCACTATTTCACCCCATAAGGTCAATTTCCAATGCACGGTGTCATCGTTTAGTAAGGACACGTCTTCTTGGACGGCATCCTTTATGAGAAGTGTCCAGTTGCCTACGATAGGATTCTCATCCCAATGCTTGACAGTCATGAAAGTCCAGCTTTTCAATCCTGATTCACTTTTATCATGGGGCCTTGGCGTACCCAACTGGCTAACGACACCGTTTGGACTGGATAACAGAATCTCGAAATCGCCACGTCGATGATGCTTCATAGTAACAGTAGCAGTAACGTGTTCGAGGCTAGAAAGGCCTGATTCATCAATCATTTCTTGAGTTACAAAGACATCACTTTTGTATGTCTTCCTAGAATTTACGATTGCACTGTCGCTGTTGTTGCTGGTACTGCTTTCCATGTTACCCATTGTTTTAGCAGCTGAAGCAGATGCAGGTGTTGTAGATATAGAACTTAATAACTGTGCCTGTTCTTGCTGCTTATCTAACGATGATTCGACTTCCACATTCACTTGAGGTCGCACTGTTTTAAAATGTTTTGCTAGCTCTACAATTCGATAAGCATCCAAAACACCATACCCGTATTTATGGTTAAACATTCGACCAGAAGGTAATTCGGCCCAGTCTTCATCATCTAAATTTATAGGTACAGCTGATTGTACGCAAAGATGCTGTATATCACGCCAAGATAAATCAGGGCGAACAGATAGGACAAGTGCGAATACACCTGCTGCTAAAGGAGCCGCTGCAGAAGTGCCACCATGACGGTCTGAGCATTGACGCTCACCGCCTACATCCGTTGTATACTATCGTAAATTAACCAAAAAAGGGAAAACTAGGTTAGCTGAATGGCAAAATAACAGTTCATTCTTGGGTATTAGATGCTTCTTCAGCTATTTTTTCTCTAACTACTTTACAATATATCTTCCACTGCCACTTGAGTAAGCCACTACCAGTTGAGCTGCACATCTTTCAGCATACGAAGGATGGTTACCCAGTTTGTCAATTGCACCTACGGTCACTGTATAAATACTGTTCGTATAACCATCAAAATTACAATTATCACCATAACTGCCGCCATTTCCGGATGCAAAGACAAAGATGGAGCCCAACCCATTTCGGCCATATTGAATGCCATTTTTAAACGCATCAAGCACAATCCCTTTTGGACCCTCTGTTGATTCCCCATCGTCGGGTGGGCCCCATGAGCAAGAATAGATATGATTTTGCTGATACCCGTAGTTGATGGCCGTCGCTTCATCTGCTTGGGTGATATCGCCGGATAAAATCCGTAAGCCAGCTACCTTGGCGTTATATGCAATACCAAGCCCACAAATGTCGTTTTTTGCAGCAGCGATTTCGCCAGCACACCGTGTTCCATGCGTATCGTCAGAAAGCCGAGGCTTGGGATCTTTGACGTGTTCATTAAAATCAAAAGAGCCCTCTGGAAACTGATAAGATCATAGTAAATTGCTTAGCACAAGTATAAAACCGGTGATCCCAGCTAGTTATTACTACTGCTTTTCTGTTTATGCTGTCAATATACTCACATAATTGTCTCTCAGATCTTCATGCTCCATCTCCAATCCGTCATCAACAATAGCCACAATAACGTTTTCCCCTGTAATTCCTTGACTCCAAACACCTGTTACATTCATATCATATCCAAATTCTTCTGTATTGAACTACAATTCAAACAAGACCCCGCAGTTAGTTAGCATAAATACTTTTATACAGTCAGAAGAATAATTGCGTCTTGCTATTACTTACCAAATGCCATTGCCGATCAAAGGCCGGATCTGCGATATTCAACGATATTTTAAGTTTTCCAATATTGCTATTCAATCGATGCTCTTCTTGTACATTTTCAAGTAGGGGTGAAAGTGGGAGTTCGGGTATACGTTTAAATAGTCGCCTTTCGGGTATTTGAGGTTGCAATTCGATATTATTTGTCAATAAGGTATTCCTTTTGTGCAGCTTGATTTTGTTATCGAATTGCTGCATCACTTCTTCATGAGTAATCCGTCTACGAGTTAGTTTAAACGGCGTTGAGGAAGAATGCCATGAAGGAACACTTATCCAATGATATTGTCGTAATTCACCGACTTGTCCTTCATATCTTGCCTTGAGAAGCTTTGTCACTTCAGTGATATTGGTAATAAAGTCAACACGAAATGACGATGATGCTGAGTCGGGTATTTTGACTGTAAAATAAAGTCTGTTCTCATAATCTCTTTTATACAAAGTGCATGAGACATTGAATATAAACGTCGATGATATGAGTAAAATAAATAAATAAAAATAGTTGAATGTTTTATTCATGATTATCTAATATTTGAGAGAAAAATGGAAAACATCAATACCATATACAATCCGTTAAACCAATATCAGAAAAGAAGGAGTAAGATTAAGAAAGGCTCTTTTCATTTGTTTGTCTCCCAACGGTAGTGCATAAAAATGTGCAGGAGACGTTTGAGAGGCCGCTGATAAAAACAGTTACACAACGACGGACATACATGATGACTCCTATTAGAGTCTTTTCCTTTAAAGATCAGACATTATATACACGAGTCAAATTCGTACAAGTAACAGCGTTCAGAGTATCATCATCATATCTCAACCCCCAAAAAAAAAGATAAACCACGGCAAATTTGACTATCAGTGTATATTGTGTTTAGAAACATCTTCCCTCTTGTTTAGTATAACTTTTGTGAATCATTTGTGCTAAATAAGATGGGATAAGTCGGAATGACCAAGGTGCTGAAGTACAATGTATACGATAATGAATATATAGTCTCAAAATACAAACAATTAGAAGTTGGATGTATACTGATACACAATCCACTCAAGTTTCATTTTGAAGCTGTCTAGCACGCTCTTTAAGGAAGAAATGGAGAAGATTTGCTGAATCAGTCTTTATGCAACGCCATTTCAAACTGGCGTTTAAAAATTCTTTACGGCATACGGAGGTGCAGTTCTTTTCAATCTAATGTACATTTCAATTGAGAAGCCTCGTGTGTACCAAGCATTTATCTTGAAATCTAAAGATGACTTATACCTATTGCATGTTGTTATTCCTCCCTCGTGGTATTTTGTGAACGTTTAGTAATATGTCATAAAAACGGAACAATCGAACATGGGTTAACGGTTAAGCGTTCTTTGGCTAGTGGAATCAAAGACAGTCTATTACGTTTGTCAATGAACTAATTTAACGCACTCTTACTAAAGTCGCTGTTACTCTAAACGGAACCCACCTTTTGGTCAATCTCCAATTATTGCAGATACGCATCGACTCTATATCTATTATTTTACGTGGTTTATTGTGATGATATTGTACAAAAAAAAAAAAAAAGGGAAATGCTTTACGGAGTCTTGACCTTGCCACGGAAATCGTCCAAAGTCTTATAGCCCTTAGAGGCCATAATCTCGCTTAACTCTTTACTGATACGAGTAAAACAACCTTCACCTTCTTCCTTCAATGTGGTGCCAATTTGCACAGCACTAGCACCTGCCAGCACATGCATAAAAGCTTCTTTACCGGATGTGACGCCACCGACACCAATCACTTGCTTTCCGGGTGATAAACGACGATAGAATGCATTCACGTTGGCCAAAGCTGTGTTCAAAACCATCAACCCTCCTAAACCACCAAAGCCATCTTTAGGCTTCACCAACACTTGTTCTGTTTCCACATCAATTGCTAAACCGTTACCAACTGAATTAATGCATGTGACATAAGCAAGATTTTCGAATTTGTTGAAAATGTTCGCAGCAATATCGAAATGAGCAATATCGAAATAGGGCGGTAATTTGATACCGAAAGGTTTTTTGATCAAGGGAGCCAAGACAGTGAGAGCATTTTCCATACCTTCGAAATCATATCCTAACTGTGGCTTACCAGGGACGTTAGGACAAGAAAAGTTGACTTCTAAAATGCAAGGCAAGTCGGCATCATTGAAAGCGGTAATCATGTTTACATTATCTTGTACAGACAAGCCAGATAAGGAAATGAAGAGGGGCTTTCCTTTGCTGTTGTTGTAGTTGTAATTCTTTGCAAAATTCAAGTAATACTCATAACCTTCATTAGGAAGGCCCATAGAGTTAATACTACCGATTCCATTAGGTAGCGCAGTATAACGGGGAGAAGGGTTACCCTCCCGGGGTAAAAAGGTAGCAGATTTGGTGATGAGTGCACCAGAATCACTTTCGATCAACTGATTTAATTCTTTTTCAGTTTGACACATGACACCTGAAGCATTGTAGAAGAGATTTGGAAGCTTGACACCCGCTACATTAGTGGAAAGATCAACGTTGGCAGCCATCGTTTATCAATGAGAAGGTTGTTGCCCTAAAAAAAATAGTTTTTAAAGAGGAAGAAAACAATAAGAAAACTCGCCCAGAATTTTTTTTTTTAATTTTGTAAAATTGACAGGCTACAGATGAGATGTGACACTAACTCTGCTACTGATAAGTTTTGACACCCCGACCTTTTAGGCGGCGAGGCATTCATTTGTTTTTATCAATGAAACTTTGTGATCTGCGTTTGGAACCAACCATTGTTGATGTTCCACTACAATTTCGTAGAATTACTGTTTAGCAATGCAGCCAGACTGTTAAGATGCTACATGCTGGTACTGATTTCGAATGTGACATATTACAGTACAGTAAGAAAACCCTCCCTGTCGAATCTGACCAATGTGTTGAAGGGCAGCACATCAGGGACAAATGATCAAGAAACGCTGGCAAATTGTACTAAATCACTTTGGTGCTTATAGTTGGAGCACGGGTTTGATTCTTCAACAGAGGTTATAGTTTCATCAGTTCATTAAGCTTCAACAATCCTCAACAATTTTTTTTCTCTATATTCTTGACCTGCATGCAAGTCATCTAGTGAAGCGAGGAATTTCTAGCCAAATTCGGAAACAATTACTCTTTGTTCCGTTTCTCAGCTGTTGTCTAAGCCAATGTGATGATTTGCGAGTATTGGGAGTGTCATACTTGGATTAGGTCTCTACCAAAACCATTAATCACTCTTATCAATCACTTGCAGATCTCATGGCTTGCTTTCTGCGACATTCTAAGATGCCAGTCAAATCAGCGCCAAAGGACGGATTCCTAATCAAAAGGGCGGGGAATAAATCAACTCAAAGGGCGTGCTTTTAATCTCAATGGGCGGTTTTCCATATCTCAATTGGCAGTTTATTTTTGTTAAAGGGTGGCTTTATTGGATTTGAAGAAGTAAGTCGTTCGATTAAATCAACCTTCAAACACTTTTCAAAAATATTCAATGAGTGCTGTAAAAATCCTCGAAGGTGTTTACGAGGGGAAGTATTAATAATCTTTCATTTCAGGAAAATAATCCATTTCGTCAATCGTTCTTTAAGTGAAATGCAAATAATGACCTGTAATAGTGCCTTCAGGCGCAGTTTTTTCATTTGTTGGTTGGTGCTTTACTTTTATTATTGACAAAGTTGAGCTTTATCCTCTTTAATGAGCGTTCCTGCGGATTTCCGAACTCCATTGACACAATAAATTTTGCTGAAATAGCTTCTAAAACTGTGTACGATGGTGCTCTAATGGTAGGAGTGTTCACAATAGATGATGTACCCTTCTGCGACCATCCTCCCGGAGTTTTCATGTTGACCTCAAAGCCTGGTTCATCCACGAAAACACCAGTTTTCAAGACAGTTCATATCTGTTTTACTCCATTCTTCAACCCACACTGTACGATTGGCGATTTTAGTTGGATTATCTCTAGCTGCCGGTGACGGGTAAATTTTTTAAAAGATTACATTTCTCAGTAAGCGACGCAACTGTGTCATGAGCCTGAGCTGGAGGGTTATCATCGTATAAGTTAGTAGTATGAATTCATCTCGTAAGTTGACTCTTTGGCATGTTAACTTTTGTTGGTTTGTTTTTCAAAGATGTTCCAGTCTTTATCCTCTTTGAGTCTTTTGGTCCACTTCTGCACTGCTCGCTCAGCGGTTCCAATATTGAATAACTTTACTTCGTTACAGTAGACAAAGTTTTTGTAGTGCCTACTTTGTATTTTTACTACGGTTGCAAGTTCCTCCATTAGCATCTAATTCTTCAATGGCCGAAGTCTGCTCAGTCTCTGAGCTCCACAGTAAAGTATAATGCGAGTTCAAATGGTTAGGTGGTGGGGATGCATTTCCTCTTCTCAGTCCATAGCATCACAATCTTCTTCGTCGACAATCTTCCCTGTCCATTTTTGTAAAAAATCGTGTACTCATCTAAATTATGTTATCAAAAACCGCCCATTAACAAAAATAATAAGCTGCAAATTGAGATTTAAAAAACTGCCCTTTGGCTTTGATTTGGCTGTAAGCTCAAATTTATATAAAGATTAAAAAAACAGACCAAAAAAAAATTTGCTTGTGGTAAACTGGCCATTCAGAAATCAACTTGTTTCTTTTTTACTTTAAGAATGAGGTTTGTGCACTGTGTGGAAAAAAATTAACAGTGACTCCGAGCTCAAAGTTTGTATTTTTAACTTCCCTTATTTTGGGAGTAAATGAGTTTTTTTTTTCATTTTCATTTTTTTTTTAAGAAAAAGGTACCCGAAGGCAGAATACCCGAAGGCAGAATACCCGAAGGCAGAATACCCGAAGGCAGAATACCCGAAGGCAGAATACCCGAAGGAAGAATACCCGAAGGCAGAATACCCGAAGGCAGAAGAAAGATGCGAAATGAGGAAGGAAGAAAGAGTGGGTTTTTATACTTTTTTTCAACAAAAAGCAGTCTACATTCTCCAAATCTTTTGGAAATTATTGGTTACGTTAATGTGAGCTCATATCAGGGGCTTAAAACTATTCCAAGTTTCAATTACCTGACCGCAATCGGAATTTCTGTAGCTGTGTTTTCAGGTTTCCCAATAGTAATAAAAATGGTATGCAACGGCTGTAATAAACCCAATAAATAAGTGTGCGTAAAAAGCGTTTCAGCAGTAAGCATAACGAACCGTCAGATGAAAGAAATTTTAAGCTGCTTAAATCTCAAATTGTTGAACGAGATTTGTAAAAACACAATGTCTGAGTATGTATCTTTGACCAAGTTTTTACTTAATTACTAACTCTGCTATTCTTTCTTCTTAGATATTCATATCTGCATTTTTCAACCGTTGAAAGCGCATCTGTCTTTTATAACACTTATGTTGAAAAAGGCCTTACTATAAACAATATGCATTTTACAATTCATCCAACACATTTACCTGATGGCACTTTGGTTACTTATGCTGTTCAAAAGATAAACTTTGGCAATCGTTCTAATACGCAAAGTATTAATGCTCCAGCTGTCAACGCTGCCACTACGCCCATGCCTTCATCAGAGGCTAATGCTGATATTACGAATACTGCCACGTTGCCTATACCTTCATCCCAAGCCATTGCTGATATGACCAACACTGCCACTATGCCTATACCTTCATCCCAAGCCTATGCTGATATTACCAATACTGATACTACCCCTAGCAGTGAATGGGTGCTTAGCACTAAACGTGCGATAAATGAAATTAGTAAAGAAATAAAACAGTTGAAGAAGAGAAGAAGATATTTAAAAAAAGCATTGAAAAAAGAACAATAAAATCAACACGTTCTTCACTTGGTCCAATTCAACACTTTTCTCACTTGTCACCTATGTGAAATATCGAAATAAACCTTTTTTTTTTTTTTGGCTATTGTCCTAAGTACAAATTAAGCCATGTAGACCAAGAACGAAAACAACCTAGATGCTTAACAAAAGTATATTGCACCAGATTGTATTAAGACCTATTTTTTTAAAAAAAATACGACTTTTAACTTTCAAGTGGAATTAATCTAACACGCACAGTGAGTTTAGAGGATTTAGCGAAGACTAGGTGTGAATTAATTCAGATAGGATGCGGATTCGTCTAAACTATATCTGTGATCTCCATAGGATCAGTTATATGATTATCGGATGTGTCGAAGTCGTCAAAGTATTCTTCAGGAATTATAAATTTAGTCATTTTTACAAGTATATTTCTATTTCTTCAGTTACAAAGAAACTTTTTATTCGAAGACTGAAAGACGACCATTCTTCATAAGTTTTCTTATTTTGTGTTTATTTTTAAAACTGCTTTTCACTTTTTTTAAGAAAAGTATCGTCTTATAATAATGCACCTCCAGAATTCATGCATTACTTCAATATTATAGTTGAAATTCCTGATACTGAATTAATTGAAGTTAAAGAAGAACATCATCATGACTGTGATTAAAACAAGAGGTTGTAGGTATGCTTACCTCTCGCCTTACTTTCACTAGCTTAATCCTATCGAGTAGTTCTGGTCTAAACGTAGCCAATTTCAGGACACTGAGGATTTAGCAACTAGAATATCTTAGCTTGTAATACTTTCCCTCGCAAACACCTTCGAGAGCGCTCATTGAAATATTTTTGAAGGTTGGTCCCTTTAATTAGAAAGCCGGCCTTTGGCTCGACTGTTACTGTATCCACCTGACTGTACTGAAAAATGTTATGCTTACGTAATACATATGCTCTCTCTGTTGGCATAGCGCTCCATAAATCATTGCCTGGCATAAACTCATGATACATCCAACTCAAGACGGGATTCGTACTTAAACTCTCAATAAAGTCGTCACTACAAGGCGCCATTGCTCCTCTAGACTCTATTTAAAGCTGGGATTCTCTATGCAGTATGAAGGGAAAGAAAGGAATTTATGCGATGTGGTACACTTTTGCCTTTTGCGCATTCAGAACCCAACAGCGCGTTAAAGAATACACTCGGCTAGTAAAGGTCTTCATTGTAAATTCAATCTCAATTAACATATTTATAAACCTGAAAAATTCAGCAATGGTAGCTCTTGCAACTAAACAGATCGCTATTTACAATTCACGTATCACGTAACAGTGAAAAGCTAGCAAAGATCGTTTGTTGACAGTGAAAAAATGAGCAGCAGTACCATTCTCTGTTTTGGCGAAGAAGAAAAAAAAAAAAAGAAAAAAAAATAACCGGATATTAGCTCTTTGTTCTTTGTAGGAGTGGGCATAAGGAGAGCAAGCTGAAAACAAGTTGCTTGACTATGAATGACTCACCACTTAAACGACACAAAAAATGCTAGAATTCCCAAAACTCCTGTACACGGTTTAAGGCCGCTATTGTCAATCAAAAGGTGATTGGGATTTGCTAAACTTGGTATCAACGTTTCTACTACGATAGCATACTTGGCGTAACGAGGCTACAGAGCCTTTAATGAAGTACAACACACAACCAAGTATTTAAACAGAAGAACGATGTATTTTCCAATCACTTACCAAGCAGTAACGAAGTAAGCAGTAACGAAGTAAGCAGTAATGGGGCTCAGTGGAGCATAAAATAATAAAAAAAAAGCAGAATAACCCGTGATTCAGGTAAAGAAATTGAAAGGAGATTCATATAAATCTAGAGGAGTATGGAAAGTTTAAATTTACAAAAATAGTGCAGAATCTAATCACAAATATTATGTTTGAAAAGAAAAATAGACAAAAAGAGGTTATTCTTCCATAAAGCACTGCATGGTGTTAGACCTTTGATTGTGTTCTTTAAAGCACGAAATACTTTTAGAGATGTGAAAGAAATGTTAATCTTCCAAACAGTCTAGTAAATAGTGACAATACGATTCAAAATTTCTGTAGTTTGATTGGAAGGACGACCGCTTGCAGAGTAGTTAGGAATGCGCCAACATGGTAAAATAGAGAATATATTCGTTCCTTTTATACTTTTTCGCCGTAGCTCCCAAGTCATGGTGAATGATAACTTTGTCAACTACTTGAACCAATAAAATTCACCGAATTTTCAACCAGTCAGTATCGCGATTAAAAAAATGGAAAAAAAGACAGTGGTACATCTCTCTCCCTTGCAGCGATGGCTGAACATGTTTACATGTAACTCTACGAAAAAACCTTTAACAAATGCCGGACTTTTGAGCATTCTAATTACTAAAAACAAACTTTTATTAAAACTCCTGTACCTTCCTAAAAAGGAAGGTTTCAACTTGGAGAAAACGCATTTTCGGGCGGTGGCCATATACTTTACTTTAGCCCATCATGGTAATATCTTTGTCTACTGCAGATACAGCCACTGAGTTATTCAATCCGCCTCTATAAAGCTCCGTAGTCCACTTAGGGAAGACACGTTTGTACAAGCACATCATAACTGTATCTTGTTGTGTCAGCGGACCATCAAAGATACATTTCATATAACCGTGTGTGCCCAAGGACTCCCGGATATGGCCTACACGACCGTACTTCGTTGTAAGCTGCACAGGTTTAAACCAATATATATCTTCGACGTTGAAAAACATGTATCTAATGACAGCTGATCGCTTATGGCATTTGAATGGATGACCACTAAGAATAATACGCTTTGCAATAATTCGTTTGACATCGACATTCATAAATGTACCAGTTGACACTAAGATAGGTTCTATTAAAGGGAAAAAATTGGTTAAGAACGATCTCACTGATCCTTCCTCAATTGCACGTTCATTTCACAGACTTACCATTCGCATTATCTGTTTCTTTGTAAAACATAACAGGAGTTTTACCAAAAACAATAGGGCCATAAACTGTCGCCACATACGAGCGACCAATATTGATAAACCGTTCAAATTTATGTACATTATTCAAACCCTTATTTGTATTTTGTGAATATATAGGTCGCACATTATAACGTCTGAAGCCCATATGCATGACCATTGGATCTTTGGATTTGACAGGTTCTTCATAAGCATTATCTCTTTGAATCTGGATATTTAAAAGAGACATTTTATGTTCATATTGTAAGAGACCGAACACAACAAAAGGTCGTGATCTATCATATGATTCTATAGGAGGATTAATACTGGAGAAAAGAGAAAGTAAGATTTTGTTTATGACGTATACATACCATAAGCTTGCAAAGGCACATTCTTGATCCAAATTGTAATCCTACTACCAGGCTTGACGTTACCAACAATTGCTTGACTGATAACACGCGCCTTAGTACGTCCATAATTTTCAAATTGGAAAATTCTACCATAGTCGATGGGTAGATTTTCATAAGGATCCCAAGGTGAAGTTCTGAAGGATTGAAGACCGCGGTAACGTGCAAAACGTTCTCTAGCAGGTATGTGCATCGGTGTATCAATTTCATCGGGAAATTCATTTTGGTTTTCAAACTCTTTTTGTCTTTCTTTTAAATATTCTTCATATTGCCTTGCTTCTTCTTCAGCATCCAATTCATCCTTGTAAACATTTTTTTCTTCCAACTCTATTTCTTCATACTCTTCATCTACATCGGGAAACGCGCTTTCTGCAGACTGAACAATGTCATCTTCCCCTTCATCTTGCATTGTCATATCCATATCTTCGTCTGCTTCCTCCTCGGCACTATATTCAGCATCTTCATCATCAACGATCCAAGCTGCCTGATAAGCAGAAGTACCTTTAGGCACCCGCTTAACCTGCGCTTCTTCCATTTGACGCAAACGACGCACCCGCTCATCTGCTTCTGCTAATTCCTCTTCCGTTGGCCATGTTTGCTCATTGTTCATCATATCAGGTTCGTTTTCTGCAATAAGATCGTCCTGCTCTTCAGGTTTGGGGGTATCAATAACTGCATCCTCTTGCATATCATTGCTATGTGTCAAAGCTGCAGTGGTAATTTGCTGAATCTGGAAATCGCCGAAATTTTGAAGATGTACTAAACGATTGGCATTGAAGGGGTTACCTCTAGCATAACCTGTCACTTTCAATGTACCGGTTTCTGCTGTGACAGGTTCGTATTCTACTTGGTCAGCCAACATATATGGGTGATTATCACGCCATGATATTGGCTTGGGTCTTTGAGAGGTGATGAAACGCAACACGTTCAATCCATCGTTTGCTGAGTCTAATGAGTAAAGATGCTCTTCTTCTGGGAAAAATTGTTGTATGAAGGCAATCAATGACTTCTTTGTGCTGTTGCGTAGTTTCTGAGGCACACGATCCATATGTTGAACCACAGGTACGACGTTAACTAAGCCTTGATTCAAGATAGCTAATAAACAGTTGATGCCGAATTGATCCACTTCCACATCGGCAGACATTAACAAAATACCCACGTCGGCTACTTTGAAGGCATCAATCACATCAATAAAATTTCGCTTTAAAGGGACGAATTGAACTTTTTGTTTGAAACGTTCGACGTTGAGAACTGTGGCTTCCGTGGCGGCAGTCATGGGCACTTCTTGGTTGAGCGCACCATACATACTGGCAATAGCGGCTTCTGTATCACTATCAGGACACAATGATAGAACTGGAACTATTTTTGGAGCACCCTGACGACCCTCAAATACTCTGTTGATGCGAGTAATGTCTTCACGCTTCTTTTGTTGAACCATTTTGGCAGCATGACGACGATCGGTCTTGGAAACGGTTTTATTAGAACCGTGTTTGACTGAGATACGGTTAACTTTACCCTTGGAGGCTTCCCTTAAAGCACCCTTAGAAGCATGGCGACTTTTAAAAGGCTTATTTGACTGATGTAAGCTACCAGGTCTATGTCTATGCTCCATTACTATTGAAGGGTTGGAATTTTGCAATATGAAAACAGGAAAGCAGCAATAATGGGATTTTTTGGATTTTATTCCCAAAAAGTCTTAAAAGTCACAGACGGTATGGCTTTTCCAATTTTTAACGAGTTGATAGCAGTTGCGAGTACAAGACTTTCCTCTTCTGTTCCGCGTAAAGCTGCACGTATTATGGACACAACGATGACGATTCGAGCTTTGGAGCCTTTGATTACTTTGAAAGGCCACACCGACCCTATAATTTCTATTGATTATGCCCAGAATTGTTTTTTGGGTCAACATTTTCTGGCTTCTGGCTCAGGTAGCCACATTTTTAATCCTCGAATAGAAAACAACAAGAAAAAGTTAACCTTGAGTTTTTGTGTTATTCGTTTTGTTGTTTCGTTAAAAGAGGACAATACCTGCAGAATATGGGACCTCAAATTGAATAAGGTTATAAAAGCAATTAAAGGCTTATCGGAACCAGTAATGTTGTTTAGTTTCAAAGTTGTTTTGAAGCATGTATTTTATCCTTAACCGCCATAAGAGAACTGATACATTTACCCTACCATATTACTTCAGGTCACTAGTATTAAGTTTGCAAAGAAGAAGAGCTCACCTTTTCTTTACCTTTCTTCGGGAAAATGTGTAAATTCTTCGAATCCAGCGTGAACTTCTCAAGAAACTAAATTAGATTAATAAATTTTGTCGATGCAGGTTTATACTTATGATCTGAGGACCAAAGATATAATTCTTACGGAACCAGTTCGAAGATATGAGTTCAGTAATGATGAAATTAATTCAGTGAGTCATTCAACTTTGGTGGCTGTAAAACATATGTTAGCTCATGTAGTACTGCTTATTTTCCTACATTAGATTGATGTCAGTGATAATGACAAATTTTTAGCCACTGCAGATGATGAAGGCGCTGTACATATAAGTAAAGAGGATTTTGAGTTTTATGGAGTAGTAAAGATACCAACGTATTTAACCCACTACTTTTAAATAGTTGACTTGTGCAGTCATAAAATCTTCAAGAAAACAACCAAGAAGCATAGTAATGTAAGTAATGTCCGGGTATTCTTCGTCGTCGATGTCTTCAACAATTTTTATATATGTCTACATATGCATCTAGATATGTATGTCTGTGAAGTTCCGACCTAAAAAATCATGGGACGGTAAGCTATTCCTTTGCTTAGGCGTTGAATACTTGATGATATGATAATTAAACTGATGTGCATACAGTTTGGTCTGGAGGGATGGATAGTTATTTATTCGAATGGGATTTCTCAAGAGGCTCACCGAAACATGTTTATGATATGAGTATGTACGAAAGATGTAATTTTAAAGATTAACATAATCTCCTTATTCAACATTGCTTTTGATGAACATGTTTAGGACCAAAAGAGCCTACGGCTACACAAATGTTCAATCCCCCTTTTGTATATGACGTAGATATATCTGATGATGGAAAATGGATCGCAGCAGGCTTAGGTGACTCAACATTGCAGGTTTTATCATCCTTACAGCAGAAAAGTAGTTCTCTTCAAGATGTAGTATTAAGTGGTGGACATAACGCTATGGTGAATTGTTTGTACGATATCCTTAAATAACATATCGGCAACATATTGGTAAAGAATGACTTAGCTAACAAGCTTTTTGTCTTGTTTGTCTCCAATTTCTGTAGGTCATTTGTAGCAACTTCAAATAGTCATCAAAAGGACCGACAAATACATCTGGTTTCTGGATCGCCTAATAGTAGATTTTGCCTCTGGAGTTTCAACGACACTTTTCCATTGTCGGAGAGCTTAAAGCCAACAATATATCAATTAGATAAATCAGTTGGAAAGCTTAACCACTTGATAGGATATGAACTGAATGGTAATCTCTACATTGTTGCTGCTGGAACAGGAGCTTTATGTATTTACACATTGCAATAAAAACAATTACAGTTACAAATGTGACCTAAATTAAAGTGGTCACAATTGTCTCTGTTTGAAATGCAGTGGCTTGATGCCGATTTCTGTCATGCTTTGCTTTTTAATCTTTCTTTTATAATTGAAGAGTACTCCCCTCCCTGATCAGTCTACTATTTTTATATAAGCTTCATTATGATTATTCCCGTCCGTTGTTTTTCTTGTGGTAAAGTCATAGGTAACAAATGGGACAACTATTTATCACTTTTACAGGCTGAATATACAGAAGGGTAAGCAACGTTATGGATAGTTCGTACTGGCAAAATCTCGCTCTGACTATTCTCGAATCTAAAACTCTGTCACTTTGCTACAGAGAAGCGTTAGATGCTCTTGGACTTAAGCGATACTGCTGTAGACGTATGGTGTTGACACATGTTGATTTAATTGAAAAACTTCTACATTATAACCGTAAGCAATCTACCATTTTGTTAATAGACATACTCAAAATCTCAGGAAATAATTCTTACTCTTTTTCTTTATAGCTCTGGAACGTACAAGAGATCGCGGACGTAATTAGAAAGGCTTTGAAACGGAAGAGAGAGAAAAAGAAACCATCCAGCTCAATATAAACGATTGCGAAATGAACCAATTCAAAAAAAAAAAACATTCTAAATATAATCAATAAACCAGCATATTCATTGGAGCAGCACGTTGAGATTGCGTTTGTTTTTATAGTAATTATTATTATGTATGAAGCTGGGCTGATTTCAGCAATTTATGACAGTGGATAATATAGGATGATACCAATGTATAGCAGAAGCTTGTTTATAGTTGCGCTAAATAGATAAAGGAGATTACTTCAAGTATATTTTAAGAGGGGGTCGCGTTACAGCTAGTTTGAATGCGACCAGTTAACAGCCTTGCAGTTTAGAACCCTCTGTATATATATGATATACGTTTTTCAAAAAGAGAAGTAATCGGTTGGGCACGTTCAATATGAATGTACTATGATGTGTTCCTATTATGGAACACCGTTTTGGAGTTATTCATGTTTTTTTTTTTCAGTTACTTCTGTCCAATCGTAGCATTGAAATATGTATAGTAGTTATTAGAAAACACTGCCTCTCATTGTTCATATTGTGGTTATTAAAAGTTGTCGTACTTTGAAGCGTTACTGACGCACTGAAATGACCAACCTAATTCGTTATTTTCACATACTCCCAACTGTTAAAATTATGTATTTATCTGAAGAAAAATAGAGCATCAATATTTTGGTAAAAGGGAAAACTGAAAAGACGCGATTAATAATTGCCTTTGTATTGTTCGAACTTCAGTAAATAAAATACATCGATACCATTTTCATCGAATCCGGGAAGTAACCGCGCAATCAACCTACCATGTGGTGTAATAACCGGTTTTTGCGTTGCAGTTTTATTTGAATATCTCTTGTGTTCAAATTTATGATACCTTAAGCACTTCATAGTCAATAGGTTGATATCTATTAATCGCTAACAGAAACCAGCAAGTTCACTTGTATGATTAATGATAGTTAAGGAAAATCTCTTACTAAGCTTCAAGGGCTCTTGGAGCTCTCGGGAAAAGCCATATGACGCCTGCAAAGGATTCTCATGGATAATAAAAAAGCAGGCGTAATGCTCTCAGTATGATACAATACAATACTCATCCTTGCATAGATAGTTGTTTTAATTATTTCTTTTGATTGGGTTATGCGCATCAACTTATTTCAACGATTCGATAAAAGGACTTAAGATTAAAGTCAAGCCAACCTATGGCTTAATACTCTTAAGGTTGAACAAATATAGTGACTTTAGTTTATGAGGTGACTACAAATGCTTCTGCAAGAAGCCATAATGTGCTGTTTTTATAGGATTGCATTCAACTTTTACTGATAGTATTAGCTATCTAAACATAGAGGGCCACTGTGATCCTTTAACGTGTATTACGAACCAAGTCAAATATCGTGAAGAAGCTTTTTTTCACAGGAAATGGCACATTTCAGTCTCATAAGTGTTCAGGAAAGGGGGGGGGGTGCGAGTAACAATATTTCTCGCAAATAGTATTCTATACCATCCATTGACGAGCTGCTGCTAACATTGAGGTGGATATTTATTTAAGAGTATTAGGTTCTATAATATTAATAGTAGAGGTATCATTATTATTGTTATTGTCCATGGTATCTTGTACTTTTGTGTCAAAAATGGGAAGATTATTGAATCTTATATTTTGTAATTTTCTGTGCTGATGTAAAGAAGAAGGCCTTTCGCCGCTGTATGTATGGCTTCTACGCAACCCAATTGACTTGAAATGAGTTGTCGTGGTAATAGGTGAGGTTGCAAGATCAGATGTCAGATACTTGTTTTGATGCTTGAAAAAGTATAAATTAGGTGAAGCGGGTGGTGAAGGCAAAAGTTCTTTTTTGTCTTCTAACGATAGGAGATAATTTAATGATTGTTTACTTTCTTCCCATTGATGACACAAATTTTTTATTTCTCTATCCAAATGTTCAAATCGCCTGTTCAGTCTATCCACTAGATGATATTGTGCTGAGGATGAGAATCTTCTATTACTGCTGCTACAATTACTATTAGTGCTGTTGCCTGATACCAATCTCGTGTCTTGTTTACATAAAAATAAGCTGGCCTGCATGTCTTCCATCAACTTTTCAATGGCCGATATCCTGTGCATTAATGCAAGTGCACGTCCATCAAAACTGCTGGTCGTCATGCCATCTGTAGTAGAGATTATCGATTTTTTTTTTCTAATGCTCAGTTCGTTTATAACAGAAGAGGACTGCATTGAGCTATTATCATCTTCTATAAATAGAACTATAATGAGTATACGTTCCATCTATAAACTCTCTTCTCCTCCCACTGCTCCCTGTACAAAACAAGAAATGAGAAAGTGTTTCACGGTTTTACCTGAAGAGACACTAGTTGTGTTTTTATAAAAAAGTTGAGTTGAAGCGCTATTGAATGCAGTATACTCATCAATCAATTGTCTGTTGGCCTGGATAGCTTTGATCCAACTTTGGCTATAATAAGTAGTACTTGTTATATGCTGCTGTTCTTTCTTCATATTCTCTGCTGACAGAACATCCAGAGCCAATAGATGTAAAAGATATTCACGACGTTTCCAAGTAATCATTGTAATTAATAAATCGATGTCTTCCAATTTAAAAGCATCCTCATCGCTGTCGTTGACAATGAGCTGCGATGGGATTTTTTCCTTGATATTGTACATGTCTCTGAAACGAGTCATGTTTCGTTTGTCAACAAGTGGTTCCAAGCTTTTTATCATGCCCATGTAGGATTGTAAATGGTTCGAAAGCAAGGAGCCCAATGATTTGGTTAATTCTTGGGCTCTTTTACCTCCACCTTCTTCTTCATCTGCATAATGAGAAAGATTAATCAATCGATATAACAATTGATCACTGTCTTGTGATATAGCGATGAGTTCATTAATAGTATTTATGGCGCATGAATGTAATTTTCTTATTTGAGTATGTTTCTAATTATATACCACAACTCATCGTATTAATTCTTTCTTGTTTTAACCTAACAACTGGCTTTGTAACTCACTTGGTATCGATATGTAAAGTAACATAAAATGGTATAAACAGGTAGCAATAGCAGCATAGTAGAAGATGTGTCGAATTTAGTTAGGAATATTGAGCTGACAATGACATTAATGCTACTGGTTATGAGAATGTTTTGTATTGTAGGATCGTTTGTTGACAAATTGTCTCTTTTCTGGCTGGCTAACGGTTCGCTACCGATATCATCATTAAGAAACGCTGGTGATTGATTCAGAACACTGGCAGTTGTGGTTGCTGGTTTGAGTGAGTCATTAAATAAGGATGATGTAACTACCAGGTACTTAAATTCCTCTTCAAACTTTGATTGCTCTCTCCGTGACAGAGACAAAGAGAATCTCATCTATACATACAGTAACTATATGTTAGTTTACCCGGCTTGTATTCCTAGTTTCGATTTCAATATCAAAAAGTTTGATACCTTTAAGAATTTATTGAAATGGTCAAGGAGAGGTGAAAGTAGGTTGGACGTTGAACGGCTCATTATTGAAACAATGTAGTAAGCCAAAAAAGAGAACGAGAATGAATGAAAGGGAAAGGATTCAGAAAAAAAAAAACTGGTTTCAAAAAAATAAAAATAACGTTTCCATCATGTGCATTGCTTATGTCTAGTCAGGAAGTGCAAAAAAATGTCAGCTTAGCAAAAAGAAGTGCGATAATGAATTTTTTTTAATCTTGGCCTGTTTTGAAAAGGCCGACTACGAATATGCCTCTGCCATAAACTAATTAGTGGCAGTTGTGATTAGTAAAAGATTACGTATAGTAAACATTGCTTGTCGTTTTCCACTGCTACTAATTGACTATGATAGCATTTTGCGGTAGTTCCATTTTTTGGCGGATTTGAAAATAGTAAAACTAAAATCAGCTGTTGGGTTTTCGTTTTGAAACGCATACACAAAAGCAGAAATACCTGTTCATATTCTACTTAACATTAGACGTATTTGACATGCCTTAGCATATATTAAACCTTTTAGCATGTATTCTGATATGGATTTGTTTTCATGGAAATCAGAAAACGTGCTTATCTAGAGATACTAAAAACCCAAAAAGACATGACAGACTCTTTACTTCCTCAATGTTAGGAGTTCTAAGAATGGAATGAAATGTGCAGAAAAGTCAAAGAAAAAAAAATTTTCCCTTTTTTGTGAGTGTGGCTCTTGATTTTTAAGTTTGGCAGACCCCACACTAAATACACATATCACAATCATCACGGAAAGGAAAATACATTTGCTGAATACATCTCTTTTTGCGTACATTCTTTGTACAAAATAGTCCTGTTTCTTTTCAATTTTTTACTGCTTTATTTCATTATTTCGTAGTTTGCATTTTGTATTTCTTTTGATTTCTTATCAGCAAACTTGTATCATATCTTAGCAACAACCCCCTGTTTATCATAAAACCCTTTCATCTCTTTCCATTTCCTTTTCTATTAAAAATCCTTCGCATTTTAAGCTTGATCACTTACTTAAAACTGCAGTGACTCAATTGACAGTAATCTTTTAATGGGTCATCCTTTTGACGACAGCATGAATCATACTAGCAATCCTAATTACTTTCTGAACGATGACTTTCAAGACTTACTAAATTTTGAAACAGCAGCTACGACAACGATGAGTCATAGTTTACCTTCAGATTTGATTATGGATGCTTATTCTCCATCGCCGCCTACAACCTCTTCCATCACAACCGCCACCTCAAATATATCACAGCAACAACCACATCTCCAGACACAACCCAGTATTGTATTAAATTCCGTCATGGAAGAACATCATCATAAAAAAGAAGATAGTAATAAACAGCAAGAGCAGCATATTTTGCTATCAGATCCCAATTTTTTGCGACAACAACAGCTTTTACAAGAACAACAAGATAAAGTCAATAAAATGATGATGCAACAACGTCAACAAGAATTACAACAACAGCAACAACAAGAGCAACAACAACTACAACAACAACAACAGCAACAGCAACAGCAGCAGCAGCAACAACAACAACAACAAAAGTCAAACCTGTCAGCTATGTTGGATATCAAAAAGACGCCGATCACTACGTCACCTCAACTTACACCCATCAACTTGATCAGTAGTCAACAACAAAAACGAGAAATCATGAATAAAAGACCAACTCATATAAATATACCATTATCAGCTCAAAGTTTCATGCCGTCGGCATCGGCCAACAACAGACCTGTATCAAATAATACTAACACGGTGGATCATCAAAGAAGATTCAACGAACTGCAAGCGAGATTCAGAGTGAATAATTATACAAAAAAACCATCAATCAAACAGCAACAACAGCAAGATAATTACTTATCAACATCTATAGGTGGTGGACCATCGTATGCACCAACAGCCAAGCAAAATAATAGGCTGTCCTCTTCTTATACGGATGGTTTAACTATGAATCATACTACTTTAAGAAGGAGATTATCCCTGGAGCCATCAACCAGCAAATCACGTTTCAATAGAGATGGTGGTAAGATCAAGGTGGCTGGTGGTAGCAACAACAACAATAACAACAATAACGCAAATAATGACATGTTAAAATCCCCTACTATGGAGAACAGTAGCATTAAATCACCGTTGTCGTCGTCCTTTCCGTCGCGTACCATGCCTATTCAAATTCAACGTGTTCAGCGATCTAATACAAACGCTAATAATAGTGGGCTAGGTGGTATTATAAACAGTGGTAATAGTAAACATGGTAGCGGCAGTATAAGCTTTCAATCTGTATTTGATCTAGAACAACGCCAAAAGAAATTGGATGATCAATTGTTGAAAGTTGATTTTGATGATATCACCGTGGCTGAATTAAAAGATATGCTGAGGCAGCGTGGAAAACCTGCTACTGGAAAAAAAGCAATTTTAGTACAAAGATTACAAGAAGAACGTGATATGATTCAACATGCAAGAGCCAATGGAATATCTATTCTAAGTAGAAATCATCCAGTGAATAGGCAACAACAACAACAACAGCAGCAGCAGCAGCAGCAGCAACAGCAACAGCAATTGTTTACAAGCCCCCATCTACAGCAACAGCAATTACTTTTAAATCAATCACCTTTGATGGGTAACAATCAGCATTTAGGTACATCATTACCCGATTCTCTTTACTTAGCCAGTTCGCCTACGATGAGTTTGAATCAGTCTATTGCAGATATGCACATTGGATCTCCTCCCCCTCCGTCACAGCCACAACCACAATCACAACAACAGCAACAACAACAATTTTACCATAATTCATCCCTAAAAGTACCAACTCATCATAATCATTCACAATTCTATTCTTCTTCTGTTCCCACGGGAAGCCTAGACTTGATTATGATGAGAATGCACCAACAGCAACCCATCAATAAATATGCTCCATTTACATCATCTGCGTTAGCAACGCCACCTGCGCAGGAGGAAGATGAAGACGATGTTAATATGGTAGAAAAAAACAGCATACATACTAATAGAAACAGCATAGACAATAGCAATATTATGTCCATCATGAATAATCACACTATAAACAATACAACTATGGGTTGGTCCACCCATCATCATCCCCAATTAGATGAATTTTTATTGCAACAACTACAACAACAACCACAACAGCAAGATAATGTATTAAGTTCTTCAGATGCTTTATTGAATGACAAATCAACAGAGGAATTATTATCATTTCTCATGTCCAGCCATGAACTATTCAGTAATAATGTAAATAACGACCAAGAAAATTGTGGTGGCATACAGATCATCAATTCAAATAACAACGACAATTATAACAATATCAACAACAATGGAATTTTACCACCAGAATTAGGAAATGCCATGTTTGATGACCCCATTATTTATGCCGATAATCCTAATACTAGCAACAGCAACCATAACAATTTTTGATTTTCTATAACAAAAATATGCATTTCAGTATAGGTAGCAATAAAGTTTGCTGGCCCTTGTATATTAGCTTTTTTTTCTTCTATCACTTTTATGTAATGGCTCACTTGATTCTGTAGAGTTTCCTTTTTTGAAATTTCTGAACCTGAATATTTTGATACGACGTACATTGTCGTGCAAACTTTTTATTTGTAAGAATTATCACTGCACTTCTTCTTGTTGATATTGTTTTCGAGTGTGTGTGTTTCCGCCTGGAGTTCTCTGTTTCTTTTTTCTTCGCTGAATGTCTTCCTACATTACCAATACCCGACCTTCAGTGTTTCAGAGAATCTTACATAGTTTTGGACTCATCGAATTACCGATCAAGGTTAATTGTTGGTATTGTTGCCAAGATTCTTTTATTCTACCTGGATCTAAAAATACTGTCGATCATTGGTATTGCCACTTGTGTGAAAGTGTAAATGCCAGAGATAAGGTAAAAGCTCGCGTTTGGCTTTTTCTTTTTCACTACGAGCTCAAGCTGATTTCTTTACCTTTCTGTTTCTTTGTCAGAATGGAGAGGTAGTTGATCCTACACCGTTCGAAACGTATAAACCACGTAAAGACTCGAGCACTGGAAATCGTTGCGAATAAATTACAAAACCACTCACTGTTATCATACGGCTTCTTAGCTTCCGAAAATAATGCACATACATCATCTCGCTTAAAGTCATTGAAAACTTTGAAAAACAGCAATCGATCTTTATGTAACAGCTGCCAGGAGAATCAAAGTCTAATCTACCAATTACTTAGTGATTATATTCCTGATGAAAGTGTAAAGTCTCATTATTTAGGCAAATACGCATACACACAACTGATGACATAGGATATTGCTATATTTAGGATCCCTCTTATGATTTCAAATGTAAAAACGTATACCAATATAAAGCTGATTTGCACAGAAGGTATCGGTTATGCAACGATTGTCAAGCTAAAATCACACAACTGGTAGAGGAGCAAAAAGCGGCACTGCAAGCGAGGAACATGAGCGACGCGATTACAAAAAGCATGACAACAGAAGCCAGGAAACGGCCCAACAAATATCGCTTTTACACAAAGGGTATATGTTGGTCTTTGATTCATGCCATTACAGTATTATTTGTAATTTATTGTAAGATCCTTGTGAAGTACAAATTTTTAAATGAAAAATACGGTGAGAGGTAGTAGTAACTTTCATTTCATTCTGGCTTATAGGTATACTACACCCCTCAGCGTTTCGATTAAGATCATTGCCTATGGGAAATGACTATTACGAACTACTAATTTTTAGAAAAAATAGTATATTATCGAAGCTTCACTCTTCCACAAGCTTGATCAGCAACCTCCATCAGTGCCTTAAAATAACACCTCGTTTATTCTTCGATTTTTTGCAGAACTCAGTGGTCTGTTTATTGAAGTATGATGATGAATTGTGCTCAGTTTCTTCTCCTGCTTGGGTGGAAACTGCCATTGTGTCTAATTTCCTCACTTACGGTTGGATGGAGTGGCATGCTAATCAGAGAAAAGTATTTAATGACAATCAAAGGCTGACGCACTGGGAACTTTATAGGGTAAAAAAAAAAAAAGAATGTTTATGCATTCAAGCATTAAAGAAATAAAACTAAAAGAGAACAATTTTTTTAGAAATGTCAATTTGGTTTATGGTGCCTCCGTATCATCCTCATAGGCTGCATTATATTCAATGTGGGAACATACATCCTTATCTCACTGCTGGTGATCTACGTGCTGATCTTAACTATACCTTATTTCCTTGTTAAACCTTCCAAGGGAAAATGGCCCTTATCACTAGTAGGTGTTTCACATTCATCATTCATGCTGGAGGATGAGGAGGATGATAGAGTGAAAGGAAGCAGTAGTCTCCCAGTCAAGCTGAGAAGAGGAGGCGTTAATAATCACCGCCACGATTCAGAGGAAAATTTTGAAAATGATGATCCAATGATGGCAGACGATATGTCTATTGTACAAGAAGAACCTTCTATTATACAACAACAGCAGCAACAAACGCCTTATTTCCATTTTCGACAACAAGATTCAGATATTTTAGACAATATTGTTTCTGGCTTCAATAATATCAAAATGCAGTAATTTTTTACTAGACAATATGTCTTTATAATATACTACTAGATAATCACACATACACATTTCCCCCAGGCCATTTTTGTATCATAATGTATATCATGACAAACGATTTTCAATAATAAGTAAGACAATTATTTGTTATGTACAGTATTATGTATTAGATATGTCTTAAATGAATGCTTGGTGCGATGTTGAGCAATACTATACATACATGTGTATTTTTTATGACTAATCTTCAGTTAATTTACCAATAATACGCGTTGGATATATCCGTAGTGGTTGATAATGCGGCAGAAGTCTTTTCAGCTCGATTATTCATTTGCTTCCGTCGATCGAAATGTTGATGTATTAAATTGTTATTGTTATCGTAGTTATTAATATGTACAAAAGTTAGAGGATTGCTGGCAGTGGTTATGTTTGTTTCTCTAAAAGATATCTGGTGCTGCGTTTGTTGCTTATCCACTAACATTGACGTACTATTATGGCTAGCGTAATAACTATCATTATTAAATACTTTGCAAAAAGGTGTCTGTGCTTGTTGTTGCTGTTGCTGCATGTTGGATGCCATAAATGTCCCCCAATCATTTTCTTCAAGCGTACCACTTGTCTTTATTGTATTACTGCCGTTAACATTATCAGGCATACCCCATAGAGCGGTTGCCAAAGGATCAAAAGCCTCGAGCTGTTGTTGCTGTCGTTGACGAGAAGGTACAGGTATAATTCCGGGTGCGGCAAATGGGTCCATGGCATGATCTGCTGTACCCTTGGACACTTCAAATGGATCAGGAATAACCAACTCCATACCGAAATGAGTTGTTGGTGGCGTTGCTATTACAGGTGATTGTTGTTGTTGCTGTTGTTGTAAAAGTCTATAACGAAGATCAATGGTTCGTTCGGTTCGAACCACATGAAATGGAACGTTATGGCTTATGTCGTTAATTTGTTGTTGGTAAGGCGGTTGAGGCGAGGAAGGAGATGATGGTTGTTGCTGCTCTGATGATGGTAAGCTGATCGACGCAGAATTTGGAAGCGCTAATGCATCTGCTTGTAACTGCCGTGGTGATGAATATTGATGTTGAGATACTGGTGATGCTGTTCTATCAAAATCCGTAGGTAATCGCATATTTAATTCACGCACTTGTTGATGGCTACCGTTGTCGGTTGCATATAAACCAGATAACTCTGCTAATATTTGACGTCTCTTGCTAGCAGTTGGCCACGTCGATTCAATTTCATCTAAAGCAAGCATACATTTCTTCACTTTCCATTGACAATAAGCATTCTTCTTTGAAAATGGCTGTTGCTGATTCGAGTTATTTTTGCTGTCAAACGATACTTCTTGAATAAAAACAACAGCTGCTGTAAATATATAGTAAACAGAAAAATTCATCAAGTAACGGAGTTTTTTCGACGCATGCATATCATCGATAATATTTACGATAGAATCCGCTGATAAGTTGCAAATGGAGGAACATGGTAGCATTGTAGTAGTGGGTATAAGGCTCTGGTCGGGGCCTGGTATAAAAGGTCGATGCAGCAAAATCATGGTGGTGTGATATATCATATGTAACTGGCTAATGACAACAGGTGAAAGCAGGAGGCGGGTATCGTGTTCCTTATCACTGAGAAGTAATTGCAGAGAATTCGGTAAACGATCGTACCATTGGTGCAATTTTCTATTCCAAGTCGTCAGAATTGAATCCAAATGTCGATCATTGGTATTCTGCAATGAACGAACATAATAGACATTTTTTAAAACGTGTCCTAGAATATCAGCAATCTTAATGAGGTTTTGAAAAACGTCTAAGAGTCTAATGTCCGTATTACTATGTTCGGAAGCTGTTACAACTTCAATAGGCTCCTCATCGTCTATTGAAGGAAACGGTACATCGCAATCTCGTTCCTCAACGGTGAATGCACGCCCATACATAGCGCTGGCCAATCTGTCAACGATATAACAGCACCAAAATACTCTCTTTCTCGTTTCTCGTTCTTCAGGTGATATGTTCCATGTGTCGCAATTTCTATGTAATCCTAGATCTTGTGCCATACGGAACGCCTGTATGGAAAAATATGCAGGATTAGTTTAAAGCGAAACCAAATTAGAACTACATTTTTGTTGCACTTTTAAGGTATTACTATGCCACTGTAAAGCCATGCTCTGGCGGTTCGCATTACACCGTGTTGATGGATAGACAATAATATCAACGCTTGTACAGTAGATATACTGGGTGTATCATAGGATTCATCTAATAATTTTTCGGCTCTCTCAAAAAATACATCACCTGCTGTATTTGAACATTCAGAATTTGATCTCACTCTTATATCAGGAGAAATTCGTGCAGCAACAGCGTAAATGGCATTGAGTAAAAGTGGTGGAGTAGTTGACACTGATTCATTGTCAGCAGCATTTGTAGTACTGATTTGCTGTTTATAAAATAGTGGTAAAAAAGGATAAAAATGCTTAAAGTAAAGTTGAATTAAATGCTCAGATAAATCTTTCGGTGGCAAAACACGTGGATCTGTGGCAGTCTTTTGACATTGGAGGTGTGAAGACCGCTTTTTTCCATAGTTTGCAAAATGAAACGCACCATTTTGATACATTTTACTGTTTTGCAAAAGGTAATAACCCGATGATTTTCCTAGATATCGTACATGGCCACTTTCATCCATTGATAACTGTCCAATGGCCGCTGCTGTTCCATAATTCTTGGTTTTTTGCTTCTTTGAGCGGCACCGTTGTTGCTCCTTGCTCTCATCCTCCTCGTCATAGAAGCATGGGTCTGTCGCTGCTGCTACATCAAGATTGTCGTATCGGTCGTTCAGGGAGACTTGCAAGAAATCTGATTTACTGCTATTATATTGGCGTTGCTCCTCTTTTAAAGCTTCTCGTTTACGTTTACCAGCCTGATCTTGTTGCCAAAAGAAAACTTTGTTCTTATCCGAACGAGGAGCTCTTCTGGTTGGTCGTGTGTGTATTTTATTTCCAGTGGGTGTTTTTAATGGCGCATTCAATTCTTTCAGTAGATCTTCGGATAAGGCATCTCCCCCTTTCGCTAACTCTGCTAGAAAGTTTTCTAATTTATATAAGCGATTTTCAATGGCTTCTATGTAACCTTTGGGTGGTCCGCGCTAAATATGGTGTGAATAGTAAAAGGTATAAGAAGGTTACATAACAGTTTGTCTGTATCAAAATGACAAAGGGACGTAGTCGAACCTTTTTGGACACAACTTCAAAAGTACATTCTAGCTCTAAGGCTTTACAGTTTGTACAAATAGGATTTGCTTCGTCACACTTCACCTTTTTACGTCTGCAATGATCGCTATGCAATTTGGGTACAATTATAAATAACAAATAAAGGACATGAGTCGTTTTTTTCTTTCAGGGCAGCGTTTGTAGAGAACAAATGAGGGACAAAAGTGTATACCAAGCTTTACTAACTCGCTGCTTTGACGTTGAGGAACTCTCACGGAGTGCAGGCGAAGCTGACATTATGCTTGTGTTGTATGCAGATGAAATTGAACCTTCAAGGAAAAAAAAGTAATTGGGGAAAAATGAATTTCCAAACATCAAATAGCAGCTGTTGGTTTTGTTTTCTATTTGTATTTAATTTCAGCAGCCGCTGTTCTTTGCGGAGAAAACAATTCCACTTTTGGGCAAATTATACTGTGTTTAGATCGACCTCCAAAGTCAAGGTGTGATAATGATTGGTTCTACCTTCTTTTGCTTTCTTTTTGCGGCTGAATAAAAAGTCCACAGTTCAACTGTCCGATCTAACCTACATTTGAGTTTTCATTCAAGGCGTTTACTATGAGACAAGCAAAAGCAGGCGTGTGGTTACCATTAAGGATAACATTTTGCTAAAGAAGTTCCTTTCTAGTTTACATCGTTAGCGATAGCTAACAGAATGAGGAAAGTAAGCATGGAAGAAGTCAAAGGAGAATCATCATACTTATTTTATGTAAATATGTCGAGTCTAATTACATATATTTTTCATTACAATTGTTCAACTGTTACCTATATAACGGAACAGCACGTTTGGGATCAGTTTAACGCGTATTCCATTCAGTTCACCATCGTTTGAAAGTCTCGTAAAGCAAAATCCTGTGTTTATTGCTAATGATACGTGTGCCCCGCTAAAATATTCAGTATGTCTCGTAAAACTGTAGACAAAGTGTCGCTATCGACAGAAAAGTGGCCACTAACCTTTAAAATAATGTCTCCAGTGAAAGTTCAAGGATTGTATTCTCAAAAATTTTGAAACATTAATCTGACTATAAACCATGCACAATCTATATTTGACAAGTGCAGGGCGGTTTTGATGGTTTTGACGCTAATACAACCTATATTGTGCACATAACTTTATTGGACGGTAGGCTATTCTTCCTTTTGAATTTGAAGCAAAGGCTTTTGGCGACCTTTTAACGCAACCGATAGTATATTAAGCATTGCAGTTTTTGTTGCTAGCCTGAAAGTCTTTAATTAACCAGTGAGTTCGTTACTCAGCAACCCCAAAGAATGGCTTCTCAAGTTGAGTACTCTACCAATTTACAATTAACTTTGATGGTAAGAGAGACTGTAGTGAATCGATTATCCATCTATATATTTTCTTAAACGTTCGGATTCTATTTTTAAAAGAGATATTCATTCCGAGCGCGGCCTTCTATAGTTAAACCTATTCAATAAAACTAACTGAAGGCATCAATTTGCTGCATATATCAGTTCAGACCTATATATTCTCAATTACTTATCAAACTTGTGAAATGGAATGGTGTGCACTGCTCAGAGCAATAACCTGTTCTAAATGCGGTAGCGCCAGAGTTTGGAACTGACGCATAAACTACGTGTTTGTAGATTCGCTATCCGCTCAAATTAAAAGTAGAATACATTTTACCAACAGAGATCGGCTTGAGCTTTTACGAATGGACATTCTTAAACGTAAAATATACCCATACACTAATGTCAACAACAAGAGGAGTCGCTGAAAATCGCAGTCAACAGCACCATCAGAAACATGATATCAGTTTGAAAGCAATATACAAAACGCTCCAAGAGCCTCATACGGCGTTGGGCGTTCGTTGTTTGGCAAAAGTTACTAATGCATCCGCGAAAGAGATCAACCATACTTTACTTAAACTAATTAGTTATAAAAAGCATCAGACTGCTGATTGGTCGCCGAGAAGATTAGCTCGCTGCCTCAATTTTATATTTGTTCACAATATTAAACCCCATTTACAAGATCGATCCGGATTACCATCTTTCAAAGAGTGCTTACGTTGGATGTTGGAAGTCCTCCGAAACGGTATGGACCAACCTGCTGTTATGCCTCCAACGACTCATAAGCAGGGACACAGCAATACAACAGCGTCAGATTTAGTAATGCTTCAATATGCAGCTAAATTTTTGTGTAATTTGATGGAAACAATTGCTCTTCATGGAAATGATACAACAGATACAGCGATGGATCTTAGAGCAGAAATAAAACAAGGCCAAGGGTTGAGAGCTCTCTTGTACTATTGCCAAAGCACAGTACAATCAATACGGGTTTATGCAATAAGAGGTTTAAATGCTCAGGCACGACATTTTCTATGCGATTTAATTGATCTCGACGCATTTGATATTCTGTGCCGCCCACTAAGTACAACTAATTCGCTTCTTACGACACTTTCTCTTCATCCGCCTGTAACAGATACAAATGACAAACGTGCCGAGTTAAGTGAACATCTACTATTTTGCCGACTACTTGAATCATTCTTTAAGTACGATACGACTGCCACTCAACAAGAGCAATTATCCGCGGCTCGTCTACGATTTGCAAAATCAATGAATTGTACCAACATTGTTTTCTTGTGGAAAGATATTTGTTATCATGAATATAAACGAATTCTTGAGGAACAACAGCACAACAAAAAAAGCCAAACTGGTAAACCAGCAATCAATCAAGGGCAACAACAGTTTCTGAAGAATCAGCGTTTATTGATGTACACATTGACTACAATTGTTCAGAAATGTACCAGAATATCTGTTTTAGCAGCGAATAATGCGGCAAAGGAATATACATTAAGTCGCTGGATACCTCAATTGTACATTTCAATGAGTCGCTGGGTTCGCGATACATGTTGCACGATGAACACGCCGTTATTGACGCCTGTTATGTTGGACAGAGAGAAAAGACTGATTGTCAAATTATTGCAGATTTTGTTAGATACATTACCTATTATTCGATCCAATTTAGAGAAGCCACCCAATACAGACGATGAATATACCATACAATACAATTGGCAATGTTGTGTCGATACAGTAGTGAGCAATTTAACCAATTTTTTCATGGCCTTTATATCGCAACCTATACCTCCAGAGCAATCAAAAATGTTCGGTGAGTTTGTCACTCTCACTCATCCACATGTTTGCATTGATGTGGAAGAAAGGGGGTATCAGTTAGATGGTACGAAGCTGAATCATACGCATCAAGATCTAATCATCATATCCTTGGAATCTTTGATTCAAACTATACAACTGGCGACTTCAGACTGTAAAAAGACCGTAGCCTCCCGTGTTGCATGGTGCTTGAAGTCAATGCTTACTATCTTATTGAATGCAAATTTGTTGCCTGACTCGCCATTACAAGCTCGACTATCGAAATTGGTCGTTTTTTTCCTTCACTATGAAGAAGCCATTACCATGTTTGCCGAGGCTTCATCAAACATAGCGGAATATATTTGGACCCCCACAATTCAGATGGCCAAACACGGTTTATTAAAAGCTGTTTCTTTACACTCGTTACCGAATAATTCAAGTAATAATGTTGACAGTAATAGCCTTTCTGCTGAGGACTTATCAATTATCTCAAAAGCTAAGCGAGCTTTTTTGGCCTTAGAGTTGGTCTCACGCCAACCTCGTGCTTGCGAAAGGTTGGTTGATTGTCAAGTACTTCAATTGATTGACGTGAAACTGATTCCTTCCATTACGGTCATGGAAAGGTATGCACCGTTGCTACCGCTATATGCCCTTTTTGGTCGGTTTGTAGCTGCTCTATCTCGGCGCATGGCCTTTGTGCGAACTCGGTTGCGGGATGAGCACACTTTTTTTCCAATGATTATAAAACTCCTTGAAGGAGCTATCCGATTGAAGGAAGCGAACAGACATAGTTTACACGCTCACCCGGACTATACGACAGGCCATTCTGACGATAGCTTTGAAATAGAAACTCGGTCACTAGCCCTTAATGATTTAGAAGAAAGGGTAAAATCTTGGAATCATGTCATTACAAGTTGTTTATTGGTTATTAGCTCATTCGAGTTCGACACAAAATCTATGATACTATGGCTCTCGTTTAACCTTGCTTCGGAAGACAAAGTTGAAGGAACACCAGACGAGAAGCAACCAGATGGCAACAATACATCAATGAAAGGGTCAGTTTTGCCATCCCTTTTGTCTATTTTGCTCCCATGGCGAAAATATGACACAAAGTGTACCATAGCTATGATTGAGACTGCCTTAAAATCTGACGATATTCAATTAATATCGCTAGCTGCACATGTACTGAGCTTATTCGCACCGATATCCTCATGCACTAAGCAACTGATACTTGATCCAACAGCTTTATCAGATATTGGTCAATTGATTGTTATTGTAGGAAATATATGCTTTGAAGACTTTTCAAATATTAAATTTGTGAACAGCATTATTGAGGGGATTGGTGTTAGCAAGGATAATAACGAAGTCGAAGTGTTTACGAAAGATTCAGTTATGTCATCAAATGGCAATGAGAGTGATACACCAACGGTTCTTAGTGGAAACAGGGCAAGTGATAACGAAGATATTAAGTTTGATGCGATCATATCAGAAAGCGGCAGCGATTCCGGAAATGAAAGCCGGCCTATCAGGATTCCCTTCAATACGTTCAAGACGTTAACGGCGCATCTACTTCGCATTGCTGTCTATACACTCTACTTGGGTAATAATCTTCCTTTAAGTCTTACACACAACTGCTTTACAACTTTTTTTCAACAATTGCTGCAGCATTCTTCGAATTGGTTTATTCGTGAACAATTAATACATTCAATTTGCTCACATTTTTGTAATCATCGAATGCAAAAATTGTTGGACCTGTACAATTTCACAGAACCGGCAGAAACTTCACTTAAACTACATGAAATGACAGCGATCGCTCTATGCTATGCAGTTATAGGCAGTCATTCGGATAGCGATTACTGGAATCGTTTACTTGGGTTAAATGAAGACGTAGAGTCTATACTCGACGCCAATTCAGTGTTTAGTAATGTCTGTCAAATGCTTGTGTACGAGCTTATTTATGAAGAAGATTACGATAATGAAGAGTTGCCCCAAATGCAAATCGAAAGTGATAAAGTGACAATGGTGACTAATTTGCGTAGAGATGCTGCAGCTCAGGTGATTGAAATATTAGCACTCAACTTCAATCCTTTATGGAATACAGAAACGAACGCCATTCCTTTGGTTGAGGTTATACCAACTCCTATTGTATATGATGGGCTACCAGAAACAGTGCACTTTGTAACAGATGATGCCGCTCCGAATACATATATTCCGGGAACTAGACAGCTGCTCAGAGCACGTTCAGCTATTTTTGAAGCTTTGCTAAGCACAGACTATGTAGAATCGCAAATGAATGCTATTCCAATTCATGATATAAAATTTAAAAGCCTACAACAGTTCATCGATGTCATTGATAAACTCAATAATGTCAAGGAAGATATTAGTAACCCAGTGGAGTATGTATTGCCGTCATCTACAGCTTGGCAAGACATCATTGAGCTGATAACCATATCTGACAGATTTGGCTCACAACATGTGAAAACCCTTTGTGAAGTCTGGATAATAAAAAAGGTACAAAGGATTCAAGAGCATGGATATAATAATGGGAAAAGTAATATGCAATCGATGGATTTGAGTGGTATGCTTACCTTGTTCCGACAATGTCACGATGCATATGAAAAAGATGGTGGTATTTCTTCAACTACTTGGCCCTTCACAATGGTACTAAAGGAAACCCTCAAGTGCGTGTTGCAATATATGTCAATATCAATCCAGACTCTCGATTTTCAATTTATGGTGCAAGAAGAAAAAGACGAGGAGCTCAGCATATTCTGTAATTCTATAGCAAAGTTATTGACCAAATAAAAATGTTACACGAGGCAGCCCTTTTTCTAGATTTCTGCTTTTAATTTTTCGAAAACTCCACGAGCACAGACTTCTCTAACTTTGTTGTTGTGACCGTTCTTTATGCTACATGTATTTTCGGTTTAATTCAGACGTTTTTAAAAAAAAAATTGGATTTTATCCACTGAGCAATTTTAGACAATTCAAGTGAATGTTTCCGACTGCATATTTCTGAAATTCGATCACTTTCAGTAAACTCCACAGTGTTATTTCGTTGAGCCATCTTCTTCGCAGCTCTTGTGGAAAGCGGCCGCCTTAGATTAATTATCCACTACAGAGGTTGTCTTTATCCTCTCCATATCCCATTCCTCACCAATGTGTGACTAATTATTATTTTTAAATACACATCTCTGACAATATCTGGCAATAACATTGCTGCATAAATTTTCTTCAAAATATATTGAGTTCTGACTTGTCATCTAAGCATTGAAAGACCATCGATTGATAGGATACAGTGATAGCTTGTCAGCAGTGTGCGTGACGTTAGCAACTACTACCGTTATCATGTTGTTGAAAACTTCGATAAGAGACTGAAGCATTACCTTCGAACATGTCTGAAACACATATTTCTTGTAGTTCTATGCATTATTCATGTTGCTCCAGTAGACGGCACTAAACCATTTACTTGATTATATCTCAGAACCAAGTCCAGATATTAATAAGATCGTCGACAAATACTGCTATATTAAAATCTTGGAGGAAGGCATCACTAAATGGCCCGATGATGTTGAAGGGCAACAACTACTCGAAGAAGTGGATCTTGTTTGCAAGAGTATAATAGTCGTTTTACCAGCAACTCCCAACAAGGAGAATCTTAAGGATGATGCCTCGGAATTTCTGCCCTCACTGGGTGTAATGCTTGAAAAGATTTATACGCTGTCAGAAGGAACCTCTGAAGAGCAAGCAAAACCACAATTGTTTGCCTTATACCCAATTTCATCCTTCAGATAGTGTTATGTTACATCAATGAAAAATCTTTAGCAAGTAATACAACACTGGTAGCAGGGTCTGAATATAAAGACCATGTCAAGGCCTTTTTACTGTCTTTGATTTTTCAAATCGGGCTATTTCAACCTCAACGACTTACTGAACAACCCTGATGCCAGATTTGACTGTGTCATTCATACAGATGGCTATGGTATCTGCTTTATATTTGTCCGTAACAGGAGAACAACTGATACAAGCGCTTTATTAGACGTTGATGACTTCCAAACCGCAGAAGTGGAGCAATTCTTCAACTCTATCGCAGTTGATCCTGGTAGAAATGAAATATTTACTGCTACAATAGGCTTTGATACGAAGAAACATCAAATGAGAAGATACAGCAAGGACGAACGTGCAAATCTTGCCGGATATACCAGAAGGAACAAATATCCGAAGGCATTAAAAGCTAGAAAAGGCATTAAGCCAATAGAAACTGCGATGTCAATACCGAAAATTTCAACGAAAGAGGACTATGTCATTTAAATGACATACATATTAGACCACTTACAAACATTAATGGAATTCTATGCTTTCGAATCTGCTTGCTTCAATTTTGATTCGTACCAAGGGAAGCAAAGAGCTGATGCAGAAGTGGCCAACATATTGTTAGATGGAGGCAAAAAGTACAACAAACGAAATAGGGCACACACGAATAAGAATAAGCAAAGGAAAAGACGGAAGAAGAAAGGCAAAAAGAAGACTAATAAGAGCAAAGTGGGAAAGCGAAAAAGAGAAAAGCGCGAGCAGCAGCAACAAAAGCAGGAACCAAAGAAGAAGAAGAATAGTAGAAACGAGAAGGAAAAGGAGAAAATAATACGAAAAAAATAATACATATAACGCTATATAACATGCTTCCTATAGTACATATAGTCTAACCAGCTTCACTAATAGGTTTAAAATTGACGGAAAAAGTAAGTGGCAGCCTGAAAGGTTTTATGAAGACAAAAAATCGATGCCACTTGTCATATTTGGTGATGTATACATGGGAGGATGCTGTAATAATGAGGGGACGAACCACTGGAATCACCAGTATATTGTATAAAGAGCTACTAAAGAGACAACGGACGTTTTTAACTGCTGTTGTTGATATTGATGAATATCGCACATCAAAAGTAAGTATGCTGGATTTACTATTACCACATTTGATAAGTAACTTGATGAACTTCCTTATTAGATTTGTAACAATTGCAAGAGTGACGATATGGAAGATGTAAGAATGCAAGAGGGCTCAAGACTCTACAGTACTAAAGTATGTAAAACTTGCCGTACTGTGGCAACGCGATGTTAATGCCTCCAAAAACATTATCACCATTGTCAAGGCCATCTGGACAGGCCAGGAAAGATTTAGCCATTACAACAGAGATAGCCGTACCGAAGACGGTGCTGTCAGCTCTTCACAACAGACTGCTTAAAGATATTTACGTGTTTAGGTGAGTTCATCTTGTATGAATTACTACTGTTAATTTTTTATAGTTTTATTAGTTGATGCTTGAACTTCCTACCATACTCGGATAAGACAAATATACTGTGCTTAAAGCACAGCATATTTATTCTGTAAGCACAGTATATTTACCTTATCTGAGTATTAGTAAGCGGCACATTTGCCATTGAACATTTTGACAGAAAAGGTATTATCCCAAAAGCTAAGCTTGGTATCTAAGAATATTGTTGAATTAATCTGAATTCAAATAGTAAAAATGTCTCAATTTTTTAACCATTTCATGCGAAAATTTAGCGAAAAACCAGTACATGTGGAAGCTCTTAAAACGGTTGTGGGGCATAAGCACGGATCCCTTCTCCTTAACTCGCATAACGTTTATGTATAAAAGTAATAAAAGTAATAATATTCTCTATCTAAATTCTGTCAAAGCAGCTCTTTTTGCTGTCGGCTCTTTCAGTACTTCCATTTACGGCCATCCTTTGAATATACTTTCTTCTGATGACGGATTAACTCCAGAAGAACCTCCCATCGACTATGGTTCAGCAGAGTTCTACGAGCGACTCATTGTTATTGCTGTCCTTGTGTTGACAGGTGGCGTCTTTGCAGGCAAGATATATGAAACTGTAAACATGCGTGATATAAAAGTTGTCTTGTTATAAACCAGATTTCACTTAGGTCTGACGTTAGGCCTAATGGGTTTGGATGAGACAAATTTACAGGTTCTCATGGAATCCGGTACGCCAACTGAGAAGAAACATGCTGAAAAAGTATTGAAACTTTTGAATCGTGGCAAACATTGGGTTTTGGTTACGTTACTCTTATCAAATGTTATCGTTAACGAAACTTTGCCCATTGTTCTGGACAGTGTTCTCGGTGGTGGCTGGAAGGCTGTCGTTATTTCCACTGCTCTGATTGTAATTTTCGGCGAGTAAGTTGTTAGTTATCATCTTATTACCAACTCACATTTAGTTAACCTTTCAATTTCTTTAGAGTAATCCCTCAATGTATGGTTCAAAGCAAGAAATAGTAAATCAATAATATGATACTAATTTGTCTCTCCTTAATTTTAATAGCTATTTGTGTACGTTACGGTTTGGCTATTGGCGCTAAAACATCAGGGTAAGATATTTTTCTCAAACCAAACCATCATTTAAAGGCGCTCTGAATGCTCATTATTTACTTAATAGAATGGTTCTTCTTCTGATGTACATTATGTATCCTCTGGCTTATCCTACTGCATTACTTTTGGATTATTTTTTGGGACCATCTCACGGTACCATGTATAAAAAGGCGGGTCTCAAGACACTTGTTTCCCTTCATCGGGCTGTTGAAAACACAGAAACAGATGTTGATGCTCTGACGGAAGATGAAGTGACAATTATTGGCGCTGTACTTGACCTACGATCAAAACCTGTATCACAAATTATGACCCCCATTGCTGATGTTTTTACTCTCTCTACAGAGGATATTTTGAATGAGGAACTAGTCGATAAGGTATAGAATATTGTCAGTATTCCGTTCAGAAAAAGATGTCATTCTTATGATATTTTGCATTGTAGATTCTCATTGAAGGTTATTCTCGTATTCCTATTCATGTTCCTGGAGATAATATGAATTTTGTTGGTATGCTCTTAACGAAGCGTCTGATTACATATGACCCTGAGGATGCTCTGCCTGTTAAGGATTTACAAATAAGTACACTGCCCGAAACCGGGCCTAAAACAAGTTGTCTTGATATTCTAAACTTTTTCCAAGAGGGCAAAAGTAAGTCATACACACCAAAAAGGAAAATATGGTAGTTATACATACCAATTTATAATCCTTTTTAGGTCATATGGCGCTTATAACTTCTCAACCTGGCGCTCACACTGGTGCTTTGGGTGTCATCACTCTAGAAGATGTTATTGAGGAATTAATTGGTGAAGAGATTGTCGATGAAACAGATGTTTATGTGGATGGTAACGAATTCAGTGTAGACATGTAAAAGCGAAAAACTAAATATGCTGACCGAAAACTTTTTTGTATATACTAGTGCATAATAAAATCAGAGTTGTGCGTCGCCATGTTACTAACAGGCGTAATAGCAAATTAGCACGTTTATTAACAGCACACAAACGCCAATCCCAAGCTAATTCAAGAAACGGACCCAACCGTGAGGGTTCATCCAGTTCCCTTAATGGTAAGGTAGTCGAGCCCTACTTGAAGCCTACATATGGTGCTATTTCCCAAAATCAATTGTCTACTTCTCCAGAAAGCCAGCCGCTCCTTCCAAACGGGCAGGATGACTAGATATTTGAGAAAAGCACTGTTATAAGTAGTATATAAATGATATGTTTCCCCTTTTAAATTTGTAAAATATATTTTTTTGGACGATTAAGCCAGCTTAGAGGCTAATGTGTATCTTCGTCCACAATACTAAGTTTATAAATATTGACTTATAACTCTTTAGCCGCAAAAAAAAAAGTTCGAGAAAGGAAACTCGCCTGCAAAAGTTCAACTCCGACTTCAATTTTAGATACCTATTGAACTTCACAGTCATATTTTGTAAAATGTTCCGCACTGAGTACTGGCAAACGGTCGTGACTTACGAACAAAATAATGCTGCACTTTTTGTGCATACGAAAACAGTTCTAGAAAAACAAATTTATCTTTCGATCCTCACTTCAACATTAAATTGTCAAGATGGTACTGGACGGTTAAGTCGCAAATATGTGTGCTTATAATAGTCCTTAACACTCTTTAATTGATAGGCTTTACCAATAAGTACCTCTTCAACTGAAACTAGAGATCTTTTGAGAATGGAGCGCGTCGGTAAAGCTCAACATATTGTACTTTGTAGATCGTAGCTTGGTTGAACCAACCGAATATTTGAACAAATTTAGGGGCACATTCGCACATTCGTGGTTTGGGATTGGACGATGCTCTCGAACCGCGTCCTTCTTCACAAGGAATGGTCGGTCAATTGAAAGCTCGTAAAGCAGCTGGTGTTATTCTGAAGATGATTCAAGCTGGCAAGATCGCTGGGCGAGCTGTCTTAATTGCCGGTCCACCTTCAACTGGTAAAACTGCCATCGCTATGGGTATGGCACAAGGTATGTATTTTAATTTGTTCCGTTAAGTACAGAATTTGGCAAACTTTCATACTTACATTTTACCTTGACTCATATAATAGCTCTTGGAACTGATGTTCCTTTCACCATGCTGGCCGCTTCAGAAATCTTTTCACTTGAAATGAGCAAAACTGAAGCCTTGACACAAGCATTCCGTCGCTCTATCGGTGTCAGGATCAAAGAAGAATCAGAACTTATTGAGGGTGAAGTTGTTGAAATTCAAATTGATCGATCTTTGACAGGAGTAAGTTTCTAATTGTTTTGGTTGTTGTTCAAGCAGACTAGCTGATAATGATATGAATTATATAGGGGTCCAAGACCGGCAAATTGACACTCAAAACAACAGATATGGAAACAATATACGATCTCGGCAATAAAATGATTGATGCGTTGAATAAGGAGAAGGTGATGGCTGGTGATGTTATTGCTATCGATAAAGCTTCTGGACGCATTTCCAAGTTGGGACGCTCTTATGCTAGAGCTAGAGATTATGATGCCATGGGATCAGATGTATGAAAGTATAGTCACAGTATCTGTTGTGTATGCTACTGGTTATTAACGCATGCTTTTATTCTTAGACCAAATTTGTTCAATGTCCTGAGGGCGAATTACAGAAGAGAAAGGAGGTTGTACATACCGTATCTCTTCATGAAATTGATGTTATCAACAGCAGAACACAAGGGTTCTTAGCTCTTTTCTCTGGTGATACCGGCGAGATTAAAAGCGAAGTGAGAGACCAAATCAATACAAAAGTTGCTGAATGGAGGGAAGAGGGCAAAGCAGAGATTGTTCCCGGTGTTTTATTTATTGATGAAGTACATATGCTTGATATTGAATGCTTTTCGTTTCTAAACAGAGCCTTGGAAGATGATATGGCTCCAGTTGTGATAATGGCGTCCAATAGAGGCATCACTAACATTCGTGGAACAAAGTATAAATCACCACATGGTATTCCTGTCGATTTGCTCGATCGTATGTTGATAATCTCCACTAACCCTTACGAAGAAAAGGAGGTGAAAAATATTTTGAATATTCGATGCCAAGAAGAAGATGTCGAAATGACGGATGATGCTAAAGATGTCTTAACACGTATTGGAACAGAAACCTCGCTGCGTTATGCAATTCATCTTATTACAGCTGCCAACTTAGTTGCGAGGAAGAGAAAAGCACCAGAGGTCGATGTACAAGATATTAAGAAAGTCTATTCACTTTTCCTGGATGAAAAACGATCAGTTCAATATTTGAAGGATTATCAGGAGCAATACATGTTCAATGAACACAATAATTCTATGGCAGTTGACAATGCCATGGAAATGTAAATTATTTTCTAGATATAACATATGTATATGTCGAGTCTAAAATTTCTTTTATTACATTTTATGAATAAAGTCATTTAAAAAAAAGGAAAGGTTTATACGAAGCTTTCGTAATAGAGGTTGATAATAGGAGTATGGCTTTCTAATTGGTGCTTTTTGATATACTTTTGAAAATCTCTAAGCAAGGAATATTAAGCCTGCTAATAATAGGGATGTTATCGTAATCATAGATGGGAGACTGGGGAAAGCATTATTAGATACTGCAATCTCCATATTAGCATTATCAGCAGCAGCTGTAGCCATAGCAGGAGTCATAGGGTAAGATTTGACTGCTTGAGCATTCTTGCCTGCCAATTTACCAACGCCCCAAGGAATTTTCGCTCCTACCAACATGATTACAGTTATAAAACTACTCTGACGTTTAAGACCAAAGATGCCTTCCGATGCTTACCCCCAGGTTGAGTAATATGTTCTGGTTTTTCAAGACTACCATCTGCACCTACAATACCAAATCGAGTAGTCCAAGCACTTTGCCCTTTATCTGTGGGCAAAAAATATTTCGTTAGCTGCCTTTGGAAAAAGATAATGACTCAGCAGGGTATTTAAGTGCTTCATTACCGTTGGTAAACTTGAAGAAATAAACAGCAGAATGGGGAGTTACTTGAGGTGCAGTCCAATTGTAGGACTTTAATTGGGTGCCATCAAGATCCTAGTAAAGATACTTAATTATAAGCAGCATAATAATGATGTAAAAAGTTTTGGAAAAGGGAAAAAAGACTTACTCTAGCCACAACCTTCAATAATTTTTGATCGTAGTTATCACCTGTCATGAACTCTATAAAGGATTAATGTTAATAATGATATCTATATATCTTAATCGCAGGCCGCAAATTTACCTATCTTAAACTTCCTCCAAGCCTTATCAATAGACGGCTCTTGCTTATCGTTAACTGTACAGGAGAGTTACAAAAATGTATGGATTTCGAGTATATTATGTCAATTAATTAGTAGTACTTACACCAGGTTATTTCGTAGTTATGACCTTCCTTCCAAACAGTCCCTGGTTCAGGATAACTAGGTGCCATATTTGCATACACATAACCAAGAAGTATAGACACAGTAATCAAAAATTTAATCATCATCAGAATATTGTTATGATCGGAAAAAGACGTATAATCAAAAGGAAAGAGTAAGGTATTCTTTGCTTCGGACGAGTTTTTAAATCTTAGTATTCCAGACTCAAACAAACAAATATCCAAGATTTGAAATACGATAGCTTATTTTTATTTCTGTTGAACAAACTATAATCTTTGATATATAGATACACAACACACGAACTTATCGGATAATATTCTATACACTCTGCTTAAATCTTACTCAACCACTTTACGTAGGCGAAATCAAAATTTTCTGTTACGACTGACGCTTCTGCATTAATACCAACTTGGTAATCTCAAAATCTGATAGCGTGAGCTTGTCACTCATTGAAACTGGAAGAGTTTGCTGGTTCGTAATGGCGTCAATACAACCTTCTGTAACTGAAGTGTTGCATAACCTCACTTCTTTTAGATGAGCACCTGATGTCGTTGTCCTAAACAGATCTAAAAGCACTTTATCTGTTATTTGCAGCCCCTCTAAATGTAATAGAGCTAATTTGCCACCCATATTATTATCAACTAAAAGCATCTTGGATAGAATTTCTCCTAAATCGGGTGTCATTAATGCTCTACAGTTGATAAGTGTTAACGATTGTAGATTTGGATGCAGTTTGTAGAATTGGTATAGTTCATTTGGTGTGATGGCGTCCATTTTAATGAGACATAGCGATAATAGGCTCTCGCTAGGAAGCGACATTAAAGATTCTGTTAACAGAGGCGTTGTTTCCAGTGTTACATGCCGTAGCCTTCTTAAACGTGAAAAATCACATTCTAGCATAAAAGGAAAAGACTCTATCCCTCCCATATAAATGGTATGTAATTTATCGTTGTATTCTGCAATATTCTGTATTGTCTCTGGCCGTAACGTCGTTGGATGCCCTAATCGCATTTCCACTATGTTAGGACAACATCGCAAAAGCCGTGATGCTTTCATATCAATACCATACTTATTAATAGGCGTCAAGTCGATTGACCGAACAAAGTAGCCATAAGGTAAAAGCGCATTGGGTGAAGTGATAGTTTTAACAAAACTGCTGAATTTCAGATAGTTTTCAATTCGATAATTTCTAATTTAGCACACATAAATGATTTCGTTCTTACATAAGTGTTGCTTGTTTTCTCTGTCGACTATAACCTTTCAGCAGCATACCTGTAAAGTACTTGACACGCAAAATACGCCCAATTTTTGTTTACTGTCATGGCGGTAAACACAAAAGGTTCGTTACCAAACTGTCCGATGGCATAACTACAAATTTCAAGTTGCAAATCGATAGGTAATTTCTCCACCATTTCTTTGCATTCTCAGGATAAGAGATGTCGCATTTATGTCCAAGCTCGTAGGATTCGAGGGCTGGAAAGGAAGACTAACCTTTTTTTCTTTTTGAAATTCTTCTGCTGTTTTGATTTGCTGCGGGCTTTTCTAGCAACTCGACATTCGATTCCCATAGCAGAAAGATTTAAGCATTACAATATTATGGCCTTCTTTATTAATTAGTTTGAATAGTGATTAATAATATAAAGCATGAATACATGAGATATATGACCCTAGGTGAATGTTATTAAAAAAATATATAAAAGGTGGCTGTAAGGCAATAGTACGTACAGGCCTCAGGGTAGGAGTAGTAATTTTAACTGATCCTCAAATGTAGTTTGAAATTTTCGATAATGTATTATATAGTAATGCATTAAGCACGGTAATTTGGGGAGTTTGTATTTGGTACATATTCATACTGTTCGATCTGATAACCTTGCTCATCTTCCCTTGTATTATCTGGTAATCCTCGTTTACCCTCAGCAAAGCGACCAACTGGGTCTCTGTTGAACTTTGACTTGCGAATGCCGTAAGCAAAATAGATAACCCAACCAATACCCATCCAAATGAACAAGCGCCAAATTGTTGTCACTTCAGCTACGGCAATCAAAGCTACGGAGATAACCATACCGATAATAGGGAAGATCAGTGATAAGTACTTTCCTCCAGGAATCTTGAATTTACGTGGGACTTCCGGACGAGTAAATCGAAGTACGATTACGCCTAAGTGAACTATAAAGAAGGCAAGTAAAGTGCCAACAGACGTCATATTGCCGAGTAAGTTGACGGGTAAGACAGCAGAAAGGAGAGCAGTAATCGTTCCGACTGTAAGTGTGGCGACCCAAGGAGTTTTGAACTTCGGATGTACTTTAGCAAATATAGCAGGCAAAAGACCATCTTGGGCCATAGAATAGAAGACACGAGCCTGAGCAAGCATGTTAATTAGCAAGACAGACGTCAGACCACATATAGCGCCCAAGGCAACAAGAATATTCAACCATGCGAAGTTTTTTCCAGTACGTTCCATTACTTTTTCTACGGCAACAGAAGCAGGTACTGATGAGCCAAGGAAATCAGTGTATTTTGCAGCACCCGTCATAATGGTACAGAAAGCAATATACAGAACAGTACTGATGACTAAGCTACCAATAATACCGATAGGAAGATCTCGCTGAGGTTTCTTCGCTTCCATTGCAGCTGTAGTGACAGCATCAAAACCAATATAACTATGGGATTATTCATTAGTATGAGCAACGTATTTGTTAAATTATTACGTGCATGGTATGACTTACCTAAAGAACACAGTTGTTGCAGCAGCAAATATACCTGGAACACCGAAGAAGTGCCAATTTCCTGTTGTATTTTCTGGAATATAAGGAACGTAGTTTGGTGGGTACATAAAACCGCAGAGTGCGAAAATGAAAATGAGGATGACAAGAAGTTTGATCGTAACAACAATAGTATTGAAAATAGCAGATTGACGGATACTGATTCCAGAAAGTACATGTTAACAAGCCTTCGTTGAATAGAACGAGTGGAAAAAAATGTTTTTGAGTTTTACGCTTACCCAACTATCAAAATAATTGTAATGAGCATGATAATAACAAACCCAGGAACATTGAAGTAATGACCCTCACCACGGTATATGGATGGTGGGCTCTCTATCCATGTCAGAGTTGGGCTTGTCCAGCTTTCCGCAAAATGAATTCGACCGTTAGAAGCAACTGCGAAAAATTTGACAAAATAACCGGACCATCCTACACCAACAGTAGCAGCACCCACCATGTATTCTAAAATCAGATCCCAGCCAATAATCCAAGCAACAAATTCACCCATGGTTGCATAAGCGTAGGTATAAGCTGAACCTGCCACAGGAATCATAGACGCCATTTCAGAGTAACTTAATGCCGCGAACGCTGTGAGACGTGATTAGTTCATGCAAAAAGGAAAATCACAACCAATAATTAACCTACCAGATGCAATAGCAGCAATAATAAATGATATTGTTACAGCCGGTCCAGCATTCTGTGCAGCAGCTAAGCCTGACAAAACAAAGATACCTGTACCAATGATAGCACCAATTCCGACAAAGATAAGTTGGAATGCGTTTAAGGCACGCTTTAGTTCAGATTGTTCTGCATCGTCCCATAAGAGTTCGACTGGTTTGATCTGTATCAATCGACGGAACCAAAAGCTTTTGGAGCTTTCACCTTCTTTTCTGAGATATGTGTGAGGATCAACTTTAGCATAACGAGCTGTAACTGATTGGAATATTCCCTTTTCCTTGGAGCCCGAAGCGTAATTGCCGTCTGTGGACTGTTTATCGACACTCGTCGTTATATTTTCAGTTTTTTCGTCCATCTACCTTCGCTATGTAATACACAAGGTTTAAAATAATCTGTTTAATAACTAGGATAGCGAAAGAGAGATACGTTAAATAGAAATTTTTTTCGTGGAAAGGTAGATCACCCATTTATACTAAGAGGGTGCCAATACGAAAGTCTAAATTTTTTTATTTTTTTTTTTCTAAATCAACAGTTTTCGTTGCATTGTGCGTCTTTCCAATCATCAGCTTTTATTGCCTAATTACGCAACCATTCTATTCACGAGTAAGGAACGAAGTTGTGTTTTGTACAACTTACTTGTTCGTTTTGGGAGGTGTCTTACAATAACTACTAGAAGTTCGTGATTTCCGACATTTCTAGTCGGATAAAGTAAAGAGGATAACATACAGGCTGGCCGCATGAATTTAAGAGGGAAGCTTACTTCAAATGGTAATTTATATAGCAATAACTTTTGTCATGTGCACATAGAAAACAAGAATAAAGATTCTGTACCACAATTGATTTCATTTGTCAAAAAAAGCAATTGATACATTTCATTAGAGTATTGCAAAGGCGTAACACGACTACTACGGTGGTACGCAAAGGAAAAAAAAAAAACTCAACCTTTTCGTTTCGTTTCTTTTGTGGCGGCTCAGGTAAGTTTAACAAAATTGTTTATACAGTATAATTAAGTCCATGTCAACGCAACTTGGGGTTAGTCTTGGAGCGCTATTTCCATTTAAATGCTCGCCTTATACATGGACACTGTTGCGACGGCAATGAAGCCAAAAACAAAAAGAGTGCAGTGTTAATGTAATATGAGCCCGTAATTGTGGAAGGTGTATTAACTTCTTGTTCCTTTTTGGGATCAGTTAAACAACGTAGGCATGCCTATCTAAGGTATGCCAAAATGATTTAGTACGACAGGGCACTGCTTTGCTCTTACGACAAATAAGAAATAAACACTCGAATGAAAAACACATAAACGAAGTAAATCATCGATCGAAAGTTATAGCTTATATACTGAACGTTTGCTTTGAAATAGTAGAACTTGTCTAATTGACAATAGAGAACCTATTTTGTGCCATTCTAGAATCACAACTTTTCTCGTCCATATAAATTTGATTGAGGAGGAGATAAACGCAAAAGCCTTCCTTCTGTTTCCTTTAAAAATAAAGAAAAGAAAATATCGCAATTTTATAGCCATGGCCTTAATACAGTTACCATTGCTATATAGATAGACGTATCATATTTGATTTGCATCAATTCTGTTAATACACAAATTTTTTTAATGTTATGAAGTCTACCTGCTTGTCCAGAATGGAAGACAATATCCAGTTATTGGAAAAGTGTGTAAGCAAACGTACAGCTAAATCCTGGTAATAAATGGAGAGAGTTGCAAGCGTTTCCTTCTGTACTGATAACTAAATGGATACAGTTAGCAATATTTACCACAGATGCCCTCTTGCTGTACTACCTGTGAGATAAATCCAGATAATGTCTATTTCATTGTCAACGTCTGAAACTGTTCTACAGGTTAGCAGTCACAGAAATATAACGGTCTGATCTTTGTAAAAAAGAACAATTATTTCATAAAGATTGCATTGAGAACAGCTGCATTGAAACTGATTAGAAGGGAAGCACAATCAATCATTGTCAGTAAGCGGATTATAGTGGCTATCCCTTAATACAGAAAGTAGAATTCAAAAAGCTGTGAACGGCTGTGCAAATTTTGTTATTGATGGCAAACAATATGAAATCAGATGTCGTAAAACTATGGAAAAGCTTCTGTGTACACGATCAGCTGATCGGACCTTACTTTCACGCTGTAAGGTACTCTTTTCATAAGTTGGTGACAACAATAATGGAACGCCTTGCCACCAACAATTTTTTTGCAATGAATAGAAAATGGTACCAGGTAAACCGGTGTAACACTACTATACGATACTTCGTATGTTTACAGTTTAACGGTTGCATTTGATGAATGTATGATTCTAAGGTACACTGTCCCTTCTCATGAATAAGACTACTGACAAGGAATCATTTTCTTGAGAACTCCTGCAGAATCAGGAATAGTAGATGATCGTTCGTGCTTGTGAGAAATGTCAGTCATAGAAGCCAATATAGTCATGTACTGTTGAACAGACCCCTTCTTCTCTAACATTTCTTTTTTTGTAACAATAAAACGTACCTTTTTGAAATATATCACCTGTTTAAGAGACATGATTAATATCGTTAAACTAGTGTATACTAAAGCCTTCTATTGGAATTGAACAAAGTTAGATTTCACAAACAAGACCGTAGAGTAATATAAAGAGGAATTTTACAAACGCAGACAAATTTTAGATTGATATAGTCCTCTTCAATTTCATGTTTTGACTAACAGTCAATTTTGTTTGGTCATGGGCGATTATGCACCCTTTCATCTGCTTTCAATAATAATTCCATTTTGCCGAGATAGGTTATGTAGTGACACATTTCTGTACTTCGATAGCGCACGCATACCAGAGCCTTTGCAAACAGCGGTAACCTACAATGCATCACTGTTTACAGAGCAAATGTAACAGACTATAGCTAGGATTCAATAAGTAGATTCTGCAGGTCAGACCATCGCCGTCAAGTCGCTTTTAGGAGCGTGGAAAGAAAAAAAAAAAAAAAAAAAAAAAAAAAAAAAAAAAAAAAAAAAAAAAACCTCAGAATAGAGAGACAAAGATAATGTAACAGGAAATACAAAGGGAGACTCTGTGAAAACTTTGTCTTATTTTACCCCGATTTAATAGAATCCCAAATTTTACCAGATCACAAGATTTTGGTAAAGTGTTGTGTGCCCAAAAATCAGTTTAAATCCTTAACAATTCAACAATCAGTACTACGTCCCTATTACCTATCTATTAACAATAGAAAAACATGCCTATAAAAACTTACCAACTGCCTCTTATTTACATGATCAAATATGGCTCATTTAGCAGTTAAATCTCACTAGTAAATCCATATCATTCAGTGAAATACTCAAAAAATACAGAATTTTATTCTGCTGAACTATTGGATACATTGTATTACTTTTTCAAACATCGTCTGTTAAGGAAAAGAAAAAAAGTACGCCTTTGACTATCATCATAAAGAATTTGGCATCTCTCAGCAGCGAGTTACTCTGCAATAGAAAAGAACGTACATTATTGCATAGATTACATAATTTATTACATTTCGACAAATTCGTGAAATAAAGGAAGCCTGCCTTCTAATACAAGAACAGCATCCAAATATTTTAGTATATGGTTAAATATTATTAAAGTGAGAAATGTAATCATTATGGGTGAGAACATACCTATAGTTTGAATAAGCAGGTCTTAGAGTAGGTTTTCAATAAAGCCCTAGTACGCCACGTTAACACATACAATGCGTGTAAGATCTCTCTTACAGGAATTGAGTCAAAAGGACGTTCGGGTGAAATTTACTATAGAAGGGTGCAACCGAGATAGAGTTCAACCAAGATAAAGTTCAACCTCGACTCGGAAGCGAAATCATATCACGTGATAACGTTTAACTTTTTTAATGGAATAAAACTTAAATGCATCAAAAATATAAATGGCTTCTTGGTTTAGTGGTATAATTCTCGCTTAGGGTGCGAGAGGTCCCGGGTTCGATTCCCGGAGAAGCCCTTTTGCTATGAATTCTATTGCAGTGCGTGTAACGTCTTTTGTCATCATGAAAAATCCAACAAAAAAAAAAGATAGGTGGGAGGAATCTGCGTTCAAGTTATTGCTAGAAGTGCATTACAACTGCCTCTTATAATAAATAATTATTTTTCTCTTATGAAATATGGTCTTTCTCTCTAAGTAGCTAGCAGGATGGAAACTTATCTCGGAGGTAGACATATTAACAGCGGCTGCAACTTAAACTAAACCCGGTGTGTAAGACAGCTGTAAAAATTCAGATGCTTCAATAGATTAGTATGATCGAAACAAATATAACAAACCACATATTGTTTGTTTACATATGGGAAGCATATATTATCTAGAAGAGTAATTTCTATGTGTTGAGAATAAAGTATTAATGCAGAAGAAAAATTACACAATTTCTTGCCACGGACATTTTTAATGGGTATAATTTGCAATCGATAGGTTGTATATAAATTTTCTTGATCTTATAAGCACTGGTAATCAGTTTACCGTTGATAAATTTGCTTAACTTGTTCTTCTAATAATAGATTACAACCCGAGTATATTTAAAACTCATGCATTGTTATATATATTACTATTTTCCGATAATATATGCGTATTATATATCTTTCAATCACTGGGGAACTACATCAATGTTCAGTCAATTGTAAAACGTTTTCAATTCTATTGAATTGTAAGGTAGATATTTGGTATGCCAACAGAACAGATTATAGAAGATGAGCGTTTCTCAGTGTGAGCTGCTATACGTATTGTCACATCTCATGCTTCTCTGTAACAGTATATCCTTCTCAAGAATTTCGAAGGAGAGCAGTTCGTTGTTATTGCTGATAAACTAGCTCGCCGATTCTTCTAATTCTAGTCTTACTGTCACTAAGCTGATGTACTACAATTATAATTCTCGTGAAAAATCAAGTAACTGTTGTTGAAAAGGCTTGCTTCTTACAGGACTAACTTTGTTTAGAATTATCTTTCATATACATCACTTTTTAGGGTAAAAATCTTCGGTAGCATGTTTTTTAATAATAGCTTAGATCCCCTAGCAGGCTAAAATAGTATTAGCAGGCAGGGAGAGTGAAACATATATATGTGAACATTCTATAGCATTTTAAAAGTCTGCACCATAATAAACTTTGTGGATCAACTGGAAAAAAGAAAGAAAAAAAATAACCACTCAAGATGCACTCTTATATTGAATTGCTGATCTATAACTATCTTCAAACTCTCACTTTAATGGTGATTCATAAGAGCGAGAGAACTAGAACTGGTGATGACCAATTAGCCGGTATGCTTCGTTGTATCTGTTATTCTTGAATTGAACAAAATCTGAACAACAGAACGTGAAGGCTGTAGCCGATTTTTTTATGATGCATATTTACAATGAAAAGAATAGTTTGCAAAAAGTGAACGTTCTATAAGATTTTTTATTGAGATACCATTGAATATCGAGTGTTTACGGTTTGATTCATGTGTAAGGCTTTCATACCAAAGTAGCGCAACCCACATGTGTATTTTCTGATCTTTTTCTATCAATACAGTTTGTAAGCAACAGGTACGATTTTCACTACTGCCATTCCGTGGCTTCCTTACTGATACAAATGGTGAATTGATTTTTTGTCTCATGCGAATAATAGAAGATAAACAGCCGAAAGCATAGACAACGAACCGAGGTTTATTAAGTCATAATGATAAGAGTTCCTTTGATATTACAGGTATATTGATTTGAATATGTCAAGTCGCTTTCAAGTTATCAAATGCGGTTTTTTTAACGGTATGTATATCGATAATCTTTGTGTATCGGGAGTACTTGAAAGGTTAGCCGTGTAGACAGCTAGTACTGATGTTGACCTGTTTTGCGGACGGAAAACATTATTTACAAAAGTAAAGTTGGAAATAATTGTTGATATGACATGATCAAAGGTCTACTAAGTACCACATATAATGTTTCTGCCTTGTAAATAGTATTTACATAACTAAAAGAACGTTCTAGTTCCTTCTTTTTCTTGCCTTACTATGTATATTACGCCGCTGACACAATAACCGGCTATTCCTTCTTGTCACATTAAATACATAAAAAGCCAAAGTTAGGTGCAACAGATTTATATTCTCCTAAATCTTTTTTTTTTTTTTTTTTTTTTTTTTTTTTTTCCCACAATCCTCTTCACTTTATCACAAAGGAAGAAAGGTGATTTCTTAATTCACTCTTTGAAAATCAGAGGTGAAGACATGCAGTGGTGCTATACGTAATAATTAGTATCTGCGCAACCATTACAAGTTTAAAGCCGCGAACAGTTCACCTTTGTCGAACGTATTAGTTACAGTGATTTGTTCTCATCGTACCTTTTTATCACCTAAGTTGTATGGTAAGGACATTATACTGACAGAAACATGCAGGAAACGTTCCTTGAATCAAAGCTCGAAAAGAAACTTACGGATCTGCGTCTTTCAATGGGGCGGTGATATCTCGGATAAACTGTTGAAGCCAAGGGCGATGAATCTGCTGTTGTAACCTGAGATTTCCCTCGATTTTCAGCGACCGTGTGTGTGTGTGTACAAACATCACAACGTCAGTCTTCTATTTTTATGCTGTCTCTCCTTACGTTTATCTATCTTTTTCTGCTTCCTTCTAGATCTCAATACTTCATTGTCAATTTACTTTATACTCATTATTAGAACTGCGGATAAAGTAATAAAGACAAAGATCTCGGCAACCATTCGACGAACATCAGTTTATTATTTTTTCTATTGTTTTCTGCAATAATAATATTGATATATGAAGACAGCAACCCGCCGTAAGGTATCTTACGTTGTGAACTTAGGCAACGAGGATCAGGCGCACTGTCTCGGTGTTAATTCGCTCGCCATTGACCCCCGACTATACGATGCAACAATTGTTAATGACCAGACAGAAGGAGGTGTCCTTTATTCAGCAGGACGAGATGGTATAGTTGCTGGTTGGGACCTACATATACCCTTTAAACGAAATATTATGAAGACTGAGCAACAGCAACAAAACAGTTGGCAGATAGACAGGAGTATACAGGTAGACAACGTTAAATTGAGCAAAGAGGGTCACCGGCTTTAGAAAATATTGCCACTCAAGAATGTTTCAATACAACAGACTGAGATATTGCGATCGAGTAACAGTAACAGTACAATTGACACTTTGTCATTTTACTTTATTATGGATAGACGGGCCCGTCCAAAACCTCTTGCAAAGCCTTTTTACAAATGCATACAGATTGGGTCAATGATATTGTGGTCTGCGATAATGGAACCTCAGGTAAAATATAATACTTCTCATACTTTCTGACTTCGTGCTATAATTGAATTGTATTGAACCCATTATAGTCGTTTCTGCATCTTCCGACAGAACAATCAAATTATGGAAACCTTACAGTGAAACGCCCACAATAGCACATACAGTTGGCTGGCATACAGACTACGCTAAATGTTTGACCTATGCTTCACAGCCTGGATGGGTAGCCAGTGGAGGTTTAGATAGACGTATCAAAATTTGGGATCTCGAGAAGTTACAGGCAAGCCTTACTATAGATGCAACGCCAATGAGTTCATTTCCAGGGGGGACCTCCGAGACCAATGGTAACAGAAACTTCTAAGGCGGGAATTAAGCATAACTTACTGATGCCTGTATCTGATGTATTTTTGTAGGAAATGCCATGCATAGCAGCAGCGTTTCTAGTAAATGTTCTATCTATGCTCTAACAGTAAATCCTTCGGGAAGCCTTTTAGCATCGGGCTCTCCTGAAAAAGTTATTCGCTTATGGGATCCTAAATCAGGCAAACGTATAGGCAAATTAACAGGACATACCGACAATATAAGGGCCTTATTGATCAGTGAAGATGGCCAATACGTATGGCATATTTTATGTATTATGTGCTCTAGTTCTGTTTCATAACTAAATGCAAGCTCGGCTCTACTCTTTCGTGTGATAGATACTCTCTGGCTCGTCAGATTCGACCATAAAGTTGTGGTCTGTCAAAGCTCAGCGTTGCATTACCACATATGAGGCACACCCTGACTCCGTGTGGGCTCTTTATTCAGATCACCCTTCTCTAAGGACATTTTATTCAGGCTCTAGAGACGGTTTAGTCATCAAAACAGAAGTCAGTGGTCAAGGTCTAACTGAAGGAGACAGTGAGTGTATTGCATTATTCAAAGAAGAATCAGGAGTCACTAAGGTTAGTTACTCGTTTTATTCAAATCACTCTCTAGAGGATTAAACAGTTAATAATTCTGGTAATATTGTTTAGATCGTTACAATGGAGGATACATATGTTTGGACCGCTACTTCTAGCTCTAGTGTAAATCGATGGGTAAGTTATACATATCCTTGATTGGCATTGAAATACGGTAAGGGCTAATCATTTAAATCTTGTTGTTTCAACCGCTTAAAATAAAGCTATCCGTACCATCTATGCAATCACGTCAAGTTTTACCTCGATCAGAATACAACACAGACATCCCTAATTCAGCAGTTGCAAAGTTACCTCCAGCTAAATCTGTGTATTCCTCACTTCAAGGTCCTGATTCATTCATAGCAAGTGACCAATTAACAATGTACGCAAGTTCCGTTCTCTCAATTCCTATAAGTTATCAAGGCGAAGACATAGACAACGATCAAGCTTTGATCCCTATCAGAACAGTACCAGAATGCACTATTAAGGGCAAGCCTGGCATTGTTTCACACTTGGTATTGCGTGATCGACGTCACATTCTTACTCAAGATACCAATGGCGAAATTAGTATGTGGGATTTGATAAATGTAATGTTATCCATAATTTTTTAACCTCAAGAAGGAAGTCGGTTTACTGACGAAAATTCATGGGTTTAGTGTCTGCAAGTGAAAAATTTTGGTAAACGAGATATAGAAGAAGTAGCCCAAGAAGAAAATAGTATACAAAGCTTTCCAGCATGGTGTTCTATCGATACAAAGATTGGTGTAAGTGAAAGCCCTTCTAAAGACAAGAAAAAGAAAAAATTCACAATATTGATTTCATCACACACATACCTAGGCTATAACTGTTCAATTACATGAGAATAGCTGCTTTGATTGTGAAATGTATGCTGATGAAGTGGAATTGCCAGAAGACTATGCTGTACGAGAGGATCAGAGACGTAAGTTGCTTGTATATGAAACGCATGTCGAAGAAAATACGCTGGTTGACAGGTTTTCAAATAGTCAATGTCGGCAAATGGGTTCTTGTGAATCTATTTCGAAATTTTATCCAAAGTGAGCTCACTTATGAAGAAAAAGAGGGGCATGTTAATTACATTTTAATAGATCAAGCTGATAAACCAGAATCGGTCAAGAGCAAGACAGTTCAAACGCAAAGTGAGGGACGCATAACACCGGACCAGCAGCAGCAGCAGCAACAACAGCAACAACAACAACAACAGCAACAGCAACAGCAACAACAAGAACAACAACAACAACAACAACAAACACCTATAGTCCGACCTATTACTATTCCACCACCAAAAATGCCAGTGGTTGCTGTTACTTCTACAGCGGCGACCAAAGCAGAACAATTCCCTTTCTTACCAACTTCGCCACAAGGAAAACAATTCAATGGCGGTCCTTTCACGGCCCCTCCTTCTTCCAATCCTCAAACAGACTATTTTTCGGGCGCTCACCATGCGCCTTCAAAAGTGCGCAGTGAATCACCAGCAGCTGTACAAATCCCACCTCCTGCCGCCTTACCGATATCAGCCACATCACTGACAACTACAACGGCAAGTGGGAACTTAATGAACCGTCTAAAGAGTTTTTCTGTTAAAGCTAAACTCTCAAGAACTCTCACGCATGAAGAAAAGGTATTATCACCATTTACAGATTCAGTAACAGCAGCAGCAGAGACAACAACGACGACGACAATTAACACGGACAAACAGTTAGGTTTTGACGAACACAAACAACCTATACCGCTTCTTCCTACACCGAATATTATTAAACAACAAAGTGATACCGAAAATGGTGGATCTCCGATCTATTCACCTCCTAATTTAAATGATTTTCCACCACTACAGATCCCCCCATCGACGATGATTGTTGTAGCAGAAGAAAGTGCTGAAGCATCCACAGGAATCGATTTATACCGAGGAACTGTCAGCTCTTTGGGAGACGATGCAAATGCTATCATTAACGTTGCACCATCCTGGCTGCTATCCTATCTTCTTTATGTAAGCTTTCATTTTCGTTTGGCCAGAGATTATCAATTATCATTGTGACTATTATGCTAACATAGATAACTGTATCTCGTAGAATAAAACACCTTCCAAAGAGACCGTTAAACTAACCTTTGTGTTAAGGCCCGTTAATGGATCAAAATTAGATGAGCTTCCTGGCGGGTAAGTCCAAGAAAATTGTACTCTCTTTGCACATAAGAGGGAATGCTAAACTTTGCTTGTCGTACTTTTAGTCCAAACAATCGTTTGTTAGCGAATAGATTACTCCGAGTAAGAAAATTGTCACAATATATATGTGAGAAGCTCGCAATAGAGGACGAAAATTCCATTGAATTAGTATGCGGAGAAACTGTTCTTACGCCGACAATGACGCTTGCAGCAATCAAGCACCATATTTTAAGAACGAGTGGAGATATTCCGATTTGCTATAAATTAAAGGCTGAAAATGAATTATGATAGTTTCCCTTCTTCTGCAGGCAGAGTTGTAATTTTTCTCGACTATGATTTTTTGAATAGCTGCATTAAAAAAATCTTTGTACCTTGATGCTGAGTCTCAATTTCAAAATTGGTTGTCCACAAAAAATGCTCTGAAAGCCCAAAATTCAGCCATCCCTGTCAGTTCGAATAACCTTCACTTTCTATCCATCTTATCTTTCATATTCAACTTGTGCCAAATGGCTTCCCATATTTTTCGCTCTACTCTCCGCTCATTAGCTCGTCCTGCTGTGGTGAAGAGCTTTGTTAAGCCTACTGCTGCCGTCATGGGAGCTGTGCCTCGCGCATCCACCATGATCTCTTTCAACGCCGCTCGCTCATTCTCTTCTGCATTACCTAGATTGAGCACAGGTGCGAGTAAGTAGCAGATAAATGGTTTATACCGTGGATAAATGAAGCGGTGTAAAGAGAGTTGGACCTACTGTCGCTCTTCTTTGAAGGAGGCTAACAAAGTTGCTACGTTAATAGTCGATTCCGAACTTGTACACAAGTTGGATGCAGAACTTCAATATGAAAAGTCCAATGAAGAGCCAAGTCCTGAATTCGTAAAAGAGTTCTTAGAAGCCAATTCGTTTGAGGTAAAGCTAATAAGTTTAGTGTTCTGTTTTATCGGTGATTGACAATGCTTTCTCTTGATGACAAATATGATAGCTCCATGATAAACCAGGCATTGATGAAGTTACTCTCACCCGTACCTTTGGAAATGAGAAGTAAGGAAATAGAAGGAGGATGCAAAAAAAAAAAAAAAGCCAGTCTGGATTTTAGAGCCGGTATTTATACTCAATTGTATATATGTCCACTCTTAAATAATATAGGATTCGCGTATTGTTCTCTATTTCGGATATCAACAATGCACCCTCTGATGAATTCCTCCCTGAGGATGATGTTGCTGAAACTGAAGATGTTGAGGAATCAGTTTCTTTTCCTGTGCGAGCATCAGTTACTATAGAGAAGGTACAGTGAAGCAGAGGAATATGAATTATAACATGTAAAATGCGTGCATCTAATCCCCGCCTTTTTATCTAAAAAAAAAATCAGGAGGGACAAGGTGCTGTCACTATTGATACTATAGCTCAAGATGGTGAAATTGCCGTAGAGAATGTTATGTTCTACAAGGATAACAAGTTAGCTAATGAACAATCCTCCGAAGCTGACTGGCAACGACGTGGACTTTACATGGGTCCTCAATTTGCTGAATTGGATGAAGGATTACAAGGTCTTTTCGAGCGTTATCTTGAAGAACGCGGTGTAAATACAGCTTTAGCAAACTTTTTACCTGATTACATTGAATACAAGGAACAAAAGGAGTATACTAAATGGCTCGAGAATATGAAGGGCTTCGTTAACGCGTAAAAAGATCATTGGATGATATTAGTTTTCCATACTTCAATTTTCCTTACCTCAATTTGTAATATAAACATATTTATAATTTATTTATAATTTTGTAATTATCTCTTCATCTTCTATTACTGAATATTCTGTTCGGCTAACATAAAAACGTTTCATGGAGCCTTTTAGTGCAGAATTTTCCAAGCAGATCTAATTCTGGGTTTCTGGAAGTATTCTCAACGATCAAAAACTAAAAGATCAACAATTTTCATGATTCTCAAAGTGAACTTAAACCATACCATCTTTTGATACATAAAAGTAGAGTTCCTCAAAAATGGCTCTGTAGACGTCGTTTCTCATTCTGCGGTATGACATTATCTCCATTAGATCATTCCGATACCCCCAGAAACATTAAAAGGGCATCCACAAGGCACATCAAAGCGAAAAGTAAATATTAGGATTGCTTTTATTGGAGACACTTAAATCGAGATAGGAAACAAACAAATTTAAATGCATGTGTAACTGAAACTAATTTACAAATGAGAATTATAAAGATTAAGCTTAGTTGGTGAAGTGCCATTTGACTTCAGGGGATCCGTGGTGGGCATAACCGAGCTTTCTGTACGCCTCCCCGCTCAGTTTGACATCATGCTTATCACAGTCATCACAGAAACCAACAATCTTGGCTTCGATTTTGTGGCCTTTCTTCTTGTCCTTGACGTGAAGAGTCTCACCGCAGTTCTTGTTCTTTTTGTAATGCTTGGGGAGAAGAGCTTGCATCTTGTCGTCATTGGGATTTTCATGCTTGCAGCCATAATCTTCGTGCTCCTTCAAGATTTCGATAGAGGCAGTACCGCTTTGTTCATAACGTTTGGCTTGAGCGAGACCCAAGACAGCAGCAGCACAGAGAGCAACAATAGTAAGATGGACCATTTTATTTGAAAGATTGTTAAAGGAGTTGATGATTTTTTAATGAGACGTTGAAATACCTTCTCCTTTTATATCATTTCTTTGACAATGTCCAAAAATCGCGAATGCCTTGAAAAGTCAACTTTCTTAAGCTTTGGGGTTCGTTTATTCAACCTTATGAGATTCATGTTCTGTGCCAAAGATTTACCTATTACAGCTTGCGATCACGCATGGTTCAGCTACAAAGCATGACCTTTTCTTTTTCTGATCCGGGCTTTTACTATATATAGCTTTTATTGGGAAGGTATTCCACAATTGCTAATTTATTGGCCAAAAGTTTTGATTTTGGCATGACAGCCGCGGTACTGTTCGTTTCAAACCAATAACGTGATAAGATTATTTGATCTCGTAAGTTAAAAACTCATTTGTTTGCTTCAGCTGAACAAAATTGCAGGTGCTGTAGAGGCTTGTTACACTCACTTGTTTGCCGCCACTTTTTACCTGAAATACTTGAAAACATATCTGAAGCGATTAACTGCTATATGTTCCCCGCGTGAAATTATCCTGAACACGAATAAGGAAATTGTTGAGTTCGGCCAAAACCTCTCTTCAGAAATTTCAAAAGGTCTTACAATAGGCTGTCTATTTTTTAAAATACTTGATGGTACAGACTGACACTCAGATAAAAGGCATACATAGTTATCTAGCATGAATATATAAAGAAGCAAATACAGTAATGACCAACATAGATGCATACCTCTGTTGCAGTTATTTATTACTTGCAATAGGTGAACCTCTGTCTTTTTCATGAAAGACATTGAGAAACCTAAGTTATTAATTTTTTGTTTTTTCTGAGGGCAGCAGTAATTTCCATGCCGTTGACTTTGAGCAATTGTTTCTAACAGGAATTTGAGGATCAAGGCTTAGTCATAGAAAAAGATACAGTGCTCGCAATCCCAAATGGCGGCTTCGGAAATTTGAAAGGCGGGGAGTTGCGAAGTAAATTTTGTTCAGAGAAATAACAAGTACAATAAACGATTACGTACAACTTGGTTCTACCACCGTCTATTTATATTGCATATAATATACAACAAAATGAATCTTTCATTATATAAATGATTACACTCGAAGCATCTGAACATGAAAGCAGTGACTGGCATACGTGTCCTTACAACAATATAAGTCTCATCAGAGTTTACATGGTAATTAATCTTTACTTATTTTGAAGAATTAAAAAAACCACAGAATTAACACTTAGAGTGTTTTGATACTGTAACTTCTCTGTTCAGACTATGTCTAATACCACATCTAGTCTCGTTCTGGGCAAGGATCTCTCAGTTGAATTAATAAATCACTGCTATTACAGTATAGGTTCATAATCATCGACTGAGAACTGTTATCAATTACAAACTTGGTAAATATCTCACTTGATGTCTTTGATGATGACTACTAGTAGTAGAGAGCATGCAATATGCACGTTCTACCATAAAGATGACGACAAAAATTGCTGTTGAAGAACTAAATCAAGAACTCTGCTCTGGAGATGATCCATGCAAACCATTAGTGCTATATACAAATTCATTAGAAGCATATCTGTATGACTATCTTACCGAAAGATAACTAAAGCCCTTGAAAATAACAATCAAAATGACCAAAAATGAAAAATGTTTTGTATTTTCTATTATTCATTGATAAACATTTTGTAGTCAGTGTCATCCAACTCGTAAATTCTCTGAATTCGATACTAGTATTAAGGCATCATTGACTAGTATTTACAATGGAGAATCTTTTAAGCTTGGTAAATGTCTCAATATGGCTTTTGCTCGCTGGAATGATGTTTCTATAAGTATCCGTTCACATAAAATGATTGAATTGGTTATAGAGTAGGTACGATAAAATGCTATCTAACGCATGATGGTGTCTTTTATATTAGGTAAACAGCTTATTTCTTTCCTCGTTTGAAGCAATTAACGAAAGCAAGCTCAGCCAATAACAACTTTCCTTCCTTCATTCGCCAGCAATACCACCAGATGTCCATTGATGAAGTAGTTATTCCTTGCTTAGAATTTGTTTCCATTCTATCGTCTTATTCAGACACATTATCTTTTGATATAATGCAGCCAGAAATAGTCAAGGACATAGCTTTCACAAGTTGATTTCGTTTTCTTTGTCGCTGTTGGTTGATGCTATCAGAGTTTTCGTTGCTAGTTGAAAAAATGGAAATCTTGGTGAATTTAAGGATTTTTTCTTTGTTGCCTCATCTTAGGGCGTGGAAAAGATTATCTCTGGCGTTGCCTAACAGCAAGGTACAATAAAATAATCAAGTCATTTTATTTCGTTTCAAAAAAAGAAATTCAGGTCTAAGCTTTTACTTTTGAAAAGGTTTTTGTTACAAAAAACGAATACCGAAATTGAAGCTGTCATTCAACAATATGTCATGCGTTGATATGTGTTCCAAAAAAGAAAGACCAGCGAGTAAGTATCTCTCGTAAACGTATGTGATCGATCAACAACAAAGAGATGACCTCAACATTGCCATAACGTCAATGGCTCTTGATAGTCCGATTGTTAACCTTCGAAAGGGTATTAGTTTTTAGATGAACAGTTTGCTTTGCACGTTTTTTTTTTTTTTTTTTTTTTTTTTTTTTTTTTTTTTGCTGAATTCAGCAGAGAGCATGATCTTGAAATAAATACAGATAGTTTATCATCATACACGCTTTATGGCGTTTCCAAAAGATGAAGCTTTCATACCACTGGCTATATGCAGACGCTACTCGAATTTTTCTCGTGAGGAGAATCCTCCTCAGTAACATGCGAAATCTACAGCTTTCCTATGGGCTCGAGCTACTGCTTCATCCGTCAAAGAATGCGGATTCTGTAATGAGTGAACAGCAAAAGTAACCATTATCTACATCGTGTTATGCTGGCCGGTCAATATCTCTACTTACTATCGTCATCACTATTTTCACATCGACTAACTTTCCTATTAGGCAAGCAAATTTCCTTCCCCTCTCTCAATAGTAGAATATTCGTTTTATCTTGACAAAAGTTAATGACTTCCTTGGTCGTTTCAAGATGATAAGACTTGGATATTTGTGGGGGTGAGGCTTATAACAGATCTTCTGGTCTTATTGAGTCGGTGATTCTTTTTTCCTTGATTTTTCATGCATCTTGAATTCGTCTGTAAAGACGGGATTCCATCATTGAGGAGGAGAAACATGAATTACATGCATGATCACGTGCGGATCCAATAGTCTCTTGATATGGCTCAAAGTCTAATTATCTCAGTGGAAGGAAGATTTTGAGAAGACTAATTATTTTGCAAATAAAGATTACAAATTTATCTACCCTCTCCTTTTTTTTTTTTCAAATCATCAATTCGAGTTATTTTTCACTTTGTTGACTTAGTAAGTTATCATCTTTTGTTCGGACAGATCAACATGGGGCAGACGCCTTCCACCACAGCATCTTCAAGTAGTAGTAGTTCGGCTCGACTGGACAATGCATCTACTCGAACATTACATTCTACATCGATAGATTCGCATCGACCCGTTTCTTTTTTCAAACGAATCTCTAACAGGCTTCATGTAACCCATCCTGCAAGGCGTTTTGGGAGATCTAGGTCAAACAACGCAACGACTCTCACTACTGCCACACAAAACACTGGTACCGATAATAGAATCAATAGCCGACAACGCCAACAACAAGACCGGCGTAGTAGCAGCAGTAACACCAGTAGACATCATTATCGAAATACACTACATACTTCTTCTGCTTCGATAACATCTTCAGTCAGACGAGCGACTCAAGAGGCAGCACGTTCAGCGGCAGCAGCCACCGGCCCACCCGCGTTCACAAGCTTTTTAATACAACCGCAACATACCAACAATAACAACAGTAGCAGTCGCAATAGTTTGATATCGACATCAACCTACGAGAATAATAATTTCCTGAGTGAGCTATTATCGTCGACCTTATTCAGGGATAGCATTAGCATAAATTCATCAACAACAACAACAAATAGACATAATATGAATAGTCATCTACAGATACCACATCGTATCCAAGAGAATGAAATTATTACAAATGATAACAGTAACCATCTAAACACGACAGGCGCTTCCACTACTACGAGCCATGGCGGAGTACAATCTTCGGCGTCGTCAACCAGTACATCTAGAAGGATGCATATTCTCGTCATAGAATACCGACCTAACTCTACGAATACGGCTACTACTCAACAGAGTGATAATAGAGCTACTACCATTACAACAAATAGCAGAGCTAACCATTCATCTACTGTATTACCTGCTTCAACAACACCAGCGAGCGGCTCCACGACAGTGACCCCATTGGAACCATTAACAGCACCGCCCACTTACCGGTTTTTAGGGTTAAGAAGACCAAGGTCTGAAGTAAGCACAACATCTTCCACAGAAACTATACAATCTATGCCATTGTCAATGAATTCAACGCAGACGAATAACCGTAGTATACTGAGCGGTACCACCGCTACTGCTAACGCGAACACCAACATAAGCATACAGTCTCAGTCAGCATCCTATGTTTCACAGCAACAGCCACAGCCACAGCAACAGCAACAGCAACAACAACCTTCAGCCTCAGCAGAGGGACAATGGATTGTCTATGTCTTGAATCCGAACAATAATTCAATGCCCAGCGTGGGCCATAATAACAACAATAACAACAACAACGCTACTCTAAATAGTCACCTTCAAGCATTATCCTCCTCTTTGATCTTGGACGATAACCCAAGTTATGAAGATTTATTATGGCTTACCAATATTTTAGGACCAGCCAGGCCCAATACGACTACACAACAAGCTGTAGACGAAGCCATTCCTGTCATTAGTTGGTCTAATGATACCAAAAAGGAATTGAAGGACTACCAATGTTTGGTTTGCTTAGATGAATTTGCAACCAAACAGCCTGTGCGAGTTCTCAAATGTCATCACGTATTTCATAGAGAATGTGTGGATCGTTGGCTATGTGAAGCTCATAATTCGTGCCCTGTGTGTCGTGGAGTGCCTGTTTAATTATAGAATTTACACTATGTTTTATACTACTCTACAGTAGGGTGCTGAGAAGAACAATGAAAACGAATCTAAAAAGTGACATCATCTTTAAAGTAATGCATACATAACAGATACCATTCTATTGATAATCCCCATTATTCACAGTTCATCTATGTATTATAGAATACACATTGACAGTGCTCATTCATATATATATATAGCCAACAATAAAGCTCGATACTGTATACCTTTTTCTAATTTCTAGCGTTACCCTAGCTTTTATATTAGTAAGCTATTCTTATCAAAAATAATCCTCTTTTTAGACACTATTGGGGTTCTGTACGCAAAATGGGTTCGTTGTCTGAACTGGGCTTACCTTGGGCTAGTCTGGGCTTCTCCCCCCCAATTATCCAAAAATGGCAAGTTTATTTTTAAAGTTTTTCCCCACACTCTAAACGGTCGAATTAAAACTAACCGTAATCAGTTTCTAAGAAGAAGCAATAAAAGACCAGCAAAGGCTAAAAGAATTATAGCCGTTGGAGGGTCGTCGACTATAATTCGTGCTTTCCCAGTCTTGAATAAACAAATGGCGCTATTGCTAAACCTTGGCTGAGTCATGTGAAATTTTCTTTTTGTTCTGTGCTGGGGGGGGGGCATATAAATACACCGCAAGGTTAGCATTTGTTACTCTTGCTTCTTTTCTTTAGAATTAAAACTTAGCATTCAAAATGACTGTGGAAAACACGATAGAAAAGGTCTTTACTACCTACAACATGAACCCTTTGGTGAAAAAGATGGAATATGCTGTAAGAGGTCGCTTAGCTATACGTGCAGACGAAATTCGCGAAGAACTTGAGCATGGCAATAGTAACAAATACTCGTTCAAAAGAATCGTGAATTGTAATATTGGTAATCCTCAACAATTAAACCAGCCTCCCATCACTTTCTTCCGTCAGGTAAGAAAACGAGCAGTAGATTGTAAGCGTAATGAATAGGCTGAATGCTGATTCATTTTCAATGACATAGGTTTCATCCCTCTGTGACAACCCGGATCTGTTAAAAAAGGAACATCGTTCCCTTGTTTCACAATTGTACCCCAAGGATGCCATTGAACGTGCCGAGGCCTTACTGAACGCCATTGGCAGCGTAGGCGCCTATTCTCATTCTCAAGGCGTGCCTTATATTAGAAACACTGTCGCTCGATTCATCGAACAAAGAGATGGTCATCCCGCTAATCCCAACGATATTTACTTGACACAAGGTGCTTCAGCTGGCGTCCAAACTATCCTCAGCATGATTACAGAGAACTCAAATACAGGCATCATGATACCCATTCCACAATATCCACTTTATTCAGCTTCGTTAGCTTTGTATGGGGCCACGCCTGTCACTTATTATCTGGATGAAGCTACGGGTTGGAGTTTGGACGTACAACAATTAACGGAAACAGTAGATGCAGCTCGTCGTGAAGGAGTGGACGTGAGAGCTTTGGTCATTATCAACCCTGGAAATCCCACCGGCCAGTGTTTATCAAGCGAGAATATGAAAGACATCCTCACATTCTGTTTCGAGAAAAGATTAGTCTTGCTGGCCGATGAAGTGTATCAAACCAATATCTACGAACCTGAGCAACGTCCCTTCATCAGTTTCAAGAAGGCTTTGATGGAATATCCTGACAAACATGTTCGTGACAATTTAGAATTGGTTTCTTTCCATTCTATTTCAAAAGGTATGGTGGGTGAATGTGGTCGTCGCGGTGGCTACTTTGAGTGTGTCAATATTGACCAAGGGATTATGGAACAGCTTTATAAGGTGGCTTCAGTGTCATTGTGCCCAAATGTACATGGTCAGGTGCTTGTCGATTTGATGTGTAACCCACCATGCCAAGGTGATCCTTCTTATGACTCGTATACGAAAGAGGTACAGTCCATTTATGACTCACTACGACGAAGATCCAAGAAACTTGAAAAGTGTTTCAATTCTATGGAAGGTGTTAGCTGTCAGCCTGCACAAGGTTCTATGTACCTTTTCCCCACAATCTCATTGTCCAATAAGGCCGTAGAGCAGGCCAAGAAACAAGGCATTTGTCCAGACGAATATTATTGTCGCGCTATGCTTGAAGCTACCGGTGTTTGTGTCGTTGCTGGTTCCGGTTTTGGTCAAAAGGCAAATACATGGCATTTCAGGTCGACCTTCTTGCCGGAAGAACATTTATTCGATGAATTTTGCTCAAGTCTCGAGAACTTTCATCGTCAATTCCTTGAACAGCATTCAGAGTATTAAATTCGCTTTACAAATCATTACATAATTATTCAGGATAAATATACCATTTTTTATGCCCCCCTCCCCTCCCACTTCAAAATACATATAAGTCAATCATACTCGTTCATTGCTTTCACTTTTTCATTCTTACTCGAATAAATTTCAATTAACCAATTTTTATTGACCCGATGCCATGCAGAATAGTTGTTGATCCATTAGCAGTAGGCTTTCACCATTCTTACTCCAGCAAGCCTTCTTTACCAAGAAATCTTCTAAATTAAAAACATGAGTGCATCAATATTTGGCTAGCACTATTGCTTACTATTATCAAAAAATGACATACTTGTAGGTGCTTTGATCAAATTTAGTTCAATCTCCCGACTTCTTTTCTCCAAGCTTACAAAATGTATATTCTCGTCACCACATATTACAACCAGGATATGCTCTTCATTAGGATTCCAAATCATTTGCCTGACATTTGATTTGAAAATCAAAAGATGTAAACACGTTAGGGTATTCACTTCCCAAATCCATATCGCATTTGGCATAGAATCATTTTTAGTGCACAGGTAATACGAATCTGGACTGAAGTAGCATCCTCCTATGCCAATTTTTGGGTTGGGTTCATTATAATCAGGCCTTCGAATGCTCAAATGGTAGGGTCGCTTTTGCACGTACTTATCTAGAAAGTTAGAGTATGAACATAAGGTTAATTTGCTCACCTTTCTTACATCAATTCTTTTAAAAAAGAAGCATAAGAGCTTACATGTCACAAAAGGTTGAGATGACTGTATGTTGAGTTGACCAAAAGCTTCGGCCTCTTCAAAGATATTCTAATTAAAAAAAAAGTATGATAGAGTATGAGTTTTTGTCTATTGATAAAAAGAAAGAAAATGGGAAAGCTAACTTTACAATATTGAGTTTGGCTGAAATCGACGAAGGGTGTTTTAATTTGGTAATTAAATCCCATGTATCTGTTGATAAAAGGTGGACCTTCATGGCAAATATGCAATAATGAGATTTTTCTTCCTTCTTCTTATCTGTAATATGCATCTCCACTTACCGTTCCGTCATAATTCCCTACCGCCAAAAATCTATTGTTTGGACTCCAATTTACACACTTTATTCCCAAAGAAGACGGACCATCACCTTCATAGATCCTGCATATAGCGCCATCAACTCTGTATATCAATAGTTTATACTGTTTTAAAAAGTTGAGCAAAAAGCCTCATCAGAATCGATATATATTGTCACAATAGTCGAATAGGTTGAACCCTACATATAAGCAATTGTCCCAGGCAGCAATATACATACTACTCGGTGACCATTTGAGATCCTCTAAATCGACAGTATCCACCTCGAACGACTGGTAAAAAGGAGAATCGCGTCAACAGTTACCGCTGCTTGCAAATGAAAATCAATTCAATTGTGTACCTGAAAAAGATAATTAAAATCCGCATTGTATAAACTGATACAGTCCTTTCCGTCTATCTTCTGTACCACAGCTGTCCATCTGGAATCTGGACTATTTTCAATACCTATTATCATTTTTATCAATAAAGTCTGCTACTGCCTTACGTTATTCTGCCCTATACAAATTCTACCTTTATTATCCACTTTGATATGATCCATATATTTCGCATCTTGGGTCAACAAATTCCAAATAGCTATACGTAGCTATGTTGTTACGAAGAAATTATAGCCCCTCTGTACGTATAAGTAAGCGGGCTTTGCTCATAAATGGGGAAATGAACGTGTCAACAAGCTAGGAAAGCTAGCACGATCGTTTTACCTTCAGTTTGGAAATACAGACAATACTATTTGAATCGCAACTCCATCTTATTCTATGTAGAGAGAATCCTTCATCCTTTAATGTTCCTTTATAGGCGGCATCATGTACAGATCGTACGTCAATGCACGATTTTTCCAAACTGACAGCTGCAATGTATTCAGAGTTTGGTGACCACGCGATGTAATCGATCGGGTAACGCATCTCAAACACTTGTAGCACTTCAAGCTCAGGTGGTTGAAGTCTCCGAATGACAAGTCTCTCATCAATCACATTAGCGAGGTAATAGTTGTTGGGTGACAATTTACATAAGTATTGGGTATGTTTGTAAAGATTACTGAACGTCAACCTCATTCAGATTGAAACGGTAAGAAAAAGAAAGGAAACAAGGGGAAAAAAAAGTGGAAGAACTCAAATTAGAAAAATTTATTACATATTATAATTCCTACTATTCCTTAGTAGATTCAGACTGTTGTTGTTGAAAGGCATCCTTATTAGTATGGGAAACCGCGTTATTCTCATTAACAAGTATTTCTTGGCTTAAAGGATGTGGTTGTTGATGATCTACTTCCATACTTCCATCCTCCTGCTGCTGATCGTCGTCTAATACTGGCATTGGTGTGTTCTCCGCTGTTGTACTTGTATCTTGCGGTGTAGCAGCAACGGAATCGATTGTCATATCGTCATCTGTCATACGTGCCTCTGCATGAGGCGCCAATGCAGGATGCTTGGATGGATCATTTATACTATCTATATCATCCTCGTCATTATCATCTTTATCGGCATCTGTATCAGAGATATCGTTTAGCTTAGGCGTCTGAGATCTTTGATCGTCATCGTCATCGTTGACATCTTCCTGTTGCTGAACTGATGAAATAGTTTTGTTGGTCAACAAAGAGCTGGGACCTCCGGGAATAGAATTATCTTTTATTGACAGTATCTTATTACTATTAGTGTTACTGCCATTTTTATTCTCAGGTACAGTATTAGTCGTAACTGTGGTGATGAATAGATTTGAATAAGTCTTTTGTGTCAGACTTGAAGATGCAACTTATAATGTTTTTAAACACCTTGCTGTTATTACCTGTGCTTTGCTGAGTAGTGCTGCTTGTGACGCTTCGCTGTTGGGATGCTGGTATATTATCTGTTTTTTTCGCATTATCAGTATCGATATTCGTAGCCTTGACTTCTGCATTGGCATCAGAGGAGGGTTGATCCGTTTCCATTGGTGCTACTGCCTCATCTCCACTCTCTTCCTCCGGCTCAAATTCGATCACACGTTCAGCTAAAAAAAGGAAAAACCAGAAGAAATTAGATTCTTTATAGTACAATTTCTTAGTTTTTCCAAAGAAGTACCAGCAATTACATTTGACCCATTTGTATGTTTGAAGAGTTTTTGATGCTGAATGCTGTGTCCATTTCTTATCCCTAGTGAGAGCTATGTAAATTTACTTATATTGAATCTAACTGCAACACAACAGTATCAATACCATGCTTGCACAGGTTGCGATAATGCTCTTAATAAACGGTCGTTATCAGTGGTGTTATATTTCCTTTCACGATGTCGACTGTTCATCATTGTATTAATCGAGTAGATACGCAAGAAACTGGAAGAGAACAAGCTGAGAAAGCAGGCGGTCACTTGAGTTGATTTCGCCTCAAAAATTTTAAATCTCCACCAGAAGTAAATCAAATCTTTGGATTAAAGGATTAAAATGCTCTAACGAAGAACTTATTAAACAATTCGTCTTATCAGAAATGATGACTCAGGGAGATGCGAGGGAAGTAATCTTATGTGATTATAGAATCAGCATAGTCAAGTGAAATGCTAGCCATATGTCATTCCAAAAATCGTCCGTTTACAATATTGCTCAAAGTACCAAGGCAGACAGTGCAGAAAGAAGAAAAAGTCTAACATAATATAGCTCTATCTGATGGGTTGTTCTCCGGCCTTTCTGGGCTAAAAACTCTGTTAACTAAGGCTATCTATTCACGCGTATAGTCTTGCCCTATATTTCTATATTGAATATTGATTTAAAGACGGTAGCTCATGATCAATATTTTTAGTGTATTAGCCTATGTATGACCATTCAGGATCCAGATGAGTGCCAATAGCAGTATAAAAGCTTCATTCTTTTTATCTCATAGCTATTAGTCGTTAGCAATGATTTTAGACCACAGGCGTGGCTTTTGTATAAATGTTTTCAGTTGTTGATGTCAGAACAATTGGTCAATATTCTTTAAGAAAATTCTTTCTTAACAAACTTTATTGTTGCTTATTTCGACGTGTTTCTTCTTTTGAGCAATGTATTCCGCTCATAGACGACGTTTACAGTCCTTAAGTTCCTTGTCAGCTATGCTGTTGTCAGACTCATCTGTATTTGATCAGAAAAAGGAGGTTAGTATTACCATCTTATTCAAATCTTAGGAAACACAATGTGCAACGACAGAATAGGAACTTAGGACACTGCAACTATTCAATTTGAAAAGAAATAGTAGTGTATGCATCCTTTCATGCAAACAACAGAACCATCAATTTTCCTTGTATTTTAGAATGCTTCTGATAGATGATCGGAGATGTAATGGCCGATTCTAAGTAGGTACAGTATACGATGCGGGATTTTCTCTCTCGTGGGGAAATTGCCGTTGTGAATCACGCAGTCAATTCATGAAAATTTTTGTTTCTAACCAAAAACAATAAAGGAGAGCGAAACATTGATTTTGTAAGTCAGCAATTACAAACAATATAAACTCGAGATCCGGTCTTTTGGCTCTTCCTTACAGATGTAATCTGGGTGTAATTTGTTACCATGTCAGAAAAAACCTATTTTAGTGAGTATTTGATGTATTTTCGTGATGGCATCAGGATCTGCATTGAATACAGTTTTCAAAGAGAAACATCTTTTGTGCACTGTTTTTTGAGTTTTAATGAAAAAAAGCCAGTGACTCAGCAGACACAGATCTACGAGGCTTATTCAGTGGATTTGTTTAAATGTTACAAAGAGCGTTTGCTGTAACATTGATTAAAGTGCAAGTTCGTTGTACTGGAAAGCTTAGCTTCAAATCTTCTTACTTCTCTTCCCCGCCAAAATAGCAGCAATTATCTTAATAGCTTTTTTACCTTTTCTTTTTTTTTTTTTTGGGACATTTTTTCTTTCTTTTGTATTGTTTCAATCTCACATATCGCGAAAACGCTATCATTACTGCTGCTCATAGATAGTAATATCATGAGTACTGAAAATGACATAGAAACATTGTCTAAAATATGTCTTAATGGAATTTGTCACTGTGATTGGCGTTTGACTCTACAGGATTGCGTAGAACAGAAGGCAATGATGATCATACATGGAATAAACATCGGCTTGTCTGGTGTTTGTGTTGTGTTGGGTACCATCTAAACTAACATGGTATTTTGCATGTGAGAAGTCTCTCTTAAAACTCTTTTTCGTACAAATGACAGGCACCCTATTACTCGGTCATCGCTTATTTGTGAAAGGACATAGATTGTTTGACATAAATATTTCACAAGGTTGCTTTCGGCCCAAGCCCATCGATTGTATGCTCACCTTCATCATCATTTTCAACGCATGTAAGCAATTAAATATAAATACCCAGCAAATCCAAATTAAATGGTCTAACTTTTGTCACACATAGTACGGTTACTTTCCAGCACTATTTTGATTGCTGACATCGGTCCCGACATGATATCGCGAGCTTGTAAGACAAATAGATATAGCAGCAATTATTCAATTTAATCAAACTGAGCAATCTATTTACCAATAGTTATGTATGAATTTCCTTGGCAATTTGGCTTCGGAGCTTTCGCTTTATACTTGATCGGTATTGCTCGAACATTGGCAGATGTAAGGTTCAACATGGAAACCATGGTATCACCGATTAAACTTTTCGTAAAGATCCAGTAACTCATTGCATCTCCCCATTTCGTTTTATCGGCATTTTAGAGCCACAGAGTTATTGCCAATAGTTGGCTACCATCACCGCGTTTAGTTGATTTCATAGGAGGTACAATCTTTTTAGCACCATTCATCATCAATAATGTGATGTCCCTTGCCGCGGGCATTTTAGCTGAAAGAGACCTTGGGCTAGCACAAACTTTTACGCGATTGCTCTATATTATGTGGTTCATTCACTGTTCAGGTTTATCGATCGCTGTATTTTTCTCCGGATATCGGCTAATTCGTATACTTGAAGAGCATCTAGAGAAGTTTAAGGCTACTGGACCCCGTTATGTCAGTGTGAAAACTGGCATTTTTAAAATTCGACTTGTCATGTCAATTATTGTCACCTGCTTATTGATGTTTGCAGTATTCTTGTTGGTGTTTGGTATCCTTCGTGAAACAATTATAATCGATACAATAGGGTCCATAGTTCTGGGTGGTATCTGGAACTTTTTAGGTGCTGTAGCCACTCTAGGTGTAGAATTTGCAATTATCTTCAAGTAAGTTAAGGACGATCTATGACCCAGTTTTGACCAAATTCAGATCATAACTGAACATCTTGCCATTCCGTAGTCCAAAAATTGACGAAAGTAATTCCTTGGGTTTGAAATCCTCAAGCGCTGAGAAATCAACCAGTCAAACAGATCAATACGCCATCTATTCCAACTTTTCACCACAAGAATATTCTGCTGTAGGCAGTAACAATGGAAAACAGGCGGAAGGAGGAGGCAATAATACTGCTTTCGACGAATTAAAGCTACAACAACTCCAATACCAAAAAGTTTTCCAGAAACACAACAACCATTTATTGCCTCACAATTCTCCTGAATCGCGTATTAGTCAAATACAACAGCAAAGGCATGCGGACACTCCAGCCTTCTCAGACGCTGCTAATCAAGCAATTACACCTAAAAACAGTTTTACAAATACGTGTGTTTTCACTGAAGAGAAGACTTCTGATGCTAGTCCGGATGACAAGCATCTTTTTCAGTATAGTCGTCATCAATCTCACCATCTTGATGATGAACGCGTTTTTGATGATGGTGAAAATTCACAAATGGACCTCGTAGAGTATGTGGCGAAATACTAGGTCAATTTATCTCATTTATCACTATTCAACATATCGATGGCCCTGCTACTCATTCCCATTTGTAATATAGTTTATTCAACATCTTATACTCATTCTCTACGTATATATTCCCCTTTACTTCCACCTTATTTATTAAATCAACTACTACCACTTATCATACAACTGTACTATTAATATGAAATGTCAATAAACAAATATGTAAGCTATAAAAAAAGCCGTACAACACTAACTTGTCGGGAATAGCTGACTCTGAACCTGAGACGCTCATAATTCGCTTATATATCCTTTAACTGTCATAGCAATTCTTGAATATGCAGTGAAACTTATAGTTAGGTCATTTGAAAAACAACTCACTACTCGATATCATAAGAAGATCTTCACATGTTATATTCACGTCAAGAAATATTGGACATTACCGTAATAGTTTATTCCGTCTTTCTTTCATTTAATCCGTGATTTTCAAGATTGACTTCCTACTCACATGCAATTTCAATTAGAGAAGAGATAAATATAGTTCAGTGGCGCGTTTGAAAGTGAGTTCTTATGCATATAGACCGAATACATATATGAAGCTCTTGATAGGGTTCCAATTAAACTGTGAAACATATCAAATTACATGAGTACTATTATACGTACTTTAAGTTAAGTATAAGACAACGTATTAGGATGACCATTAAAGGGTGCATAATGACATATAAGCTCTCTAATGGCACTGATAACTTGAAAATGAAGATGCGGAAGGTTAAGAGTATATTGCGAAGGCGTGAATTTCAGTTTGAGTTTATACTGATACTAAACCTTTTGAAAGTTGTCGAACCTATAGACGTCTCTTATTGAGCAATGGTGGCTTTTCTTGACAATTAAAAAGACATGGGAAGCCACTAGAAGAAGATAAACAAATTGGTGATGCAACTTTAATTAAAAAACGAATAGTACAGCTTAGCAAAAACTAAGATAGAGCCCGCTATTTCAAGGCAAATTTAGGAAAATAAAAGCATATAAGTGTCAATATATCACAATTCCTTTTCCAAAACAAAAGCTTATGCACTATTACAACAGAGCGTAGAGCGGATAGACGGTAGCCAACTAGAAAATTACTAAGAAGATGACATACTTTTTGCTGTAGCAATAAGCGTTTATGCATTGCTTGATCAACATTTCCTGAGTTTGGTGCAACCAAAGTCAGCGTGGCCATCATGAAATTTGACTTCCTCTGGGGGCGCAATAAGATAAGTGCATTTTTTGGCCTCCTATCAAACCTAAATTGAACCGAACTTCTTTCCCTTTTATTTTGAACCTCTTTCTGCCAGTCAATTGCAAGGCTATAAATGAACACCTGAATTTAAAACCAATGCTAACAGATTCAAGTTTAACCAATATTCTTGTTGTGGTATGTCTGTCTAACCAGAGCAAAAAGAACAAATGCAAAAGAGAAAAACCAACTATACTTTTATACGAAGCAAAAAGCGAATGGAATTTTTAACATTTGTCAACTCTCAATATACGTCTTGTTCGTTTTTCTTCAACCGTCTATGATAGAGTGGTGTTTCACAAATTAGATATAGAGTATATAATCAAGAATGTAGCAAAAATACTCTTATTGGCCATCTGATAGGCAGCTCGAAAGAGAACGAGAATGAGAACGAAGACAAAAACAAGAGCGAGCTTACATTATTGAAAGCATATAATGAGTTGTTAGCAATGCATATACCCGTTGTTTGGCGAGTAGTTGATGAAACAGAAAAAGGCAGTGTATCATTGGAACTTTGGGTCTTTTGGTTCGATGATAGACATACTGGAAAGATCGATGATAATGATAGCCTTTATGCTTTAGAAGGTAAAAAACAAACCAATTTTTTCTTCTGCTTCTGTCTATAAGTTACTGAATCACAGATTATGTCTACAGAAATCAAAGTAGGCTCATTTACTTGGGAGAGTGCCTATTCCAAATTGCATTCGCCAACAGCTTCTCCAATATCTGTTACTTCGCAACCCAGCTCCAAATTACCAGTTACAGTTTCTGAAGAATATAAATGGTTTATTAATGCTGTTCGGAATCTAATCCACAGGTAAGGGCGTTTGAGAGGCATTCTCTTCTTGTTTTTAAATTTTCGTTATTGGATAATATCAACTCAGAATCTTACATTTAGTCAATTGAAGATGAGTGGCGCTATTCCTATGGGTGACTTTTATATCTGCACTCAAGATCAGCACGAGTATTCTGAAGAGCGCAAAACAAATTCTCCAAGTTTGCAAAAATTGACAAGTTCTATGCTGTGTTGCTTTTATAACATCTACATGGCAAACACCAATTTAGTTTTTCAACCTAATACCCGCCGTATGAAAATTAGACCTATTACGACAGAAACGCTAAATAATCGAGGAAAAAAGGGTATATAAGAAAAGAAGATGCCGTAGACTAGATTTCGTTTCATGGAATTGATCAAAATTTTTCTGTTAATAGTTATTATTGCACCAACAGGAGAAGCAGCAATGATAGTTACAAACGCCAGAAATATGCTTTCGCAGCATGCAGAGCAAACAATATTAAAGAGATGGGCTCACTTTCTAGATATACCCTGTAGCAGTCTTATCACCTCGCGGCAATTTCAACCGCAGCATTCGATCCATAATCTTATCTCTAAAGAACAATATCAAAAGCAAGAACTACCAAAATTGGTTGTTATTAGACTGTTGAGCGGAGGAGATCACTTTTATTATCCAGCAAAACTTGTTTTTGTACCGTCATCCTCAAAGATATCACCAATTGCGATGGCAGGTACAAATGGACTTTTCGGTTTCAACCAAGGGTTTTCCGAGGATTTGGGCGATAGATGGAAGAGAGAAATATGGAATGAAGATATAGCTAATTATTGGGACTTTTCTAACCCTGATGAAACAACCGCTAATATCATACTCGATTCATTATCACGAGATAATCATACTGGTCAACCAAATAAATCATTAAACGAAACATTGACTGGAATATCGCATGTGGGGGCTACAAAATCTGTTACATCAACTCCAGACTCGATTGAAAACCACCAAGCAATGGAAAGAACAACAAATTCTTCCTCAATGAAAGAACCGAACGATACCCCCAAGCAGCCGCAGGATGTATCACATAACCAGCAATTTCAGTCTATCAATTCTAGTCATATGAGTCTAGCCGATTTCGCCATGGCGCATTTTGCAATACCACATAGTGACGATCTTATTGAATATCCTGTCTTATCTTCCGATATGTCAGTGAATGATACCTCGAAAGCTACAGCAACTATTCCTGAATTTGATATCAAAGCACAACAAGCACAAACACCTATAAAAGCAGTAAACGATACAGATATCACAACTGCAGTAAATGCTGCAACAAACGGAACAACCGCTGTAGGAAGTGTTGCCACGTCTGCATATCAATCGCCTCAACTAACTAACCTTGATTTGGATCCGTTTGGTATGGGAAATGGCATTGAGGTGGATAATATGGTATTGGATATGCCAGACCGATGGGGAGATGATGGTATGGGCGATTTAGATAATTTCGATTTTGGTGTCACCGAAGAGGATTTTGACTTTTTTGCATCAACTGGATCAGCCGCCGCTACCGATACTCCAATAGTTGGAAACCCAGCCATGCCAGCCGTTCCAACAGCGGCAGTATCTGCACCAGCTATTGCACCTTCAACAATGATGACGGATAATAACACTTTGATGGATTCAACCTTAACTAGCAATGGACTAGTCAATCCAGAGAACATTTTACAGGAACAATACAACACTAATACTCCTCATTTTATGGAAGGAACACATATGCCTATGGAGATAGTTCAAACAATAGCCCCTTCTACTGATCAAGAACAATCAAATGTATCTAAAACTAATATGGATTTAAGTCTTCAGAATAACGATATATCTATTACTCCTTTACAAATCAGCATGGCTGAGCACGATCCCTTCAATGTGCAGAAAAATGCTTCTCCAGTCACTCAGGTGGTTGATATGCACATTGAACAACCTTACCAGTCTTACCCTTCAAATGCTTCCCTTCCACAGCAACTTTTGGTGCCGCCTCAATTTGCTCCTGTTGCATTTGGTACGGTTGTTAACGATGCCAAATATACAAACGGAGGGAAATTTACTTATAACCCACCTGCTAGTGATAAAAAGCAAAAGTCACACAAGGAAAATGAAGTATATCGTCCTGATTACAAGCCAGTGATACGTAAACTAAGAAAGAAAAAAGCAATAAGGAAGACAAGCGAAGCGTTATTAAGAGACACCATATCTAGAGAAGATGAATCACTAGTAGTAAGAGATGGTACAATTACACAGAAGGACGATGCAATGCAGTTGGGACCAACTGATGTCACATTGCTTATTAAGCAAGATGATAGTGATTATGAGATGGACTCGTCAGAGACGAGCAGTAATGAAAGCAGCAGTATGGAAGAAGATGACGAAGGGCGATATAACTTTGATGAACTCTCAGCTTCAACTTCTAGCGAGACTTTAGCATTTGAAACTGAGCCAGAAGAGCAGATTTTGCACTCTCTGGTGACTGTGCAAGAGAAGTTTGCTGCAAAAGTTACAGGACGAGCATTTAAACCCGAAGCGACCAAAGACACGAAATTGACGCAGATTACAATGGACTTCGACAGCCCGTTTGCCCGATCAATAGCTGGTGGCACTGTTCGACCTGCTGAAATTGCTGGAAGCATGGATAATCTTGATGACCTAAGAGCCCTCGATTATTTATGTCAACAGGCAGTTATGGGTGGCTATCCATTTTCTGGAGGTATAGAGTCCATATCATCTAATGGATTTGAGGCCAGTGAAGGGGAGTCAGCAAAAGTTATCATCGCGCGAAGGAGAGCATTGTTACAAAGGTTCTATGGAGGTAAATAGTGAAGACTACATTTTTGATATCTTTAAGTTGAAACTAACATTTTGTGATCTACAGATATTATGCATGTACCTTCAACACCAAATGATGTTGATATTATGACACAAAATTTCAAATCCGTCTTAAGTAGTATATTTAATCAAGCAAGGAAAAGTCCTTCTCTAGAGAATTTGAATGATATGAGTATAGATCAGTTACCCCTACCGGCCACAGTAGCAGTGAAAGGCCCTCTCAATGTGCAACAATATTATGAATTATCAGGTAAAGACAAGCACATATTTTGCGGTTCAGAAGCAGGCCAAAATATTTATTGCTCCCCCTTATACTTTGAATAAAAAGAAACCAACCAAACTCACCTCAAATATGGAAAATACCAAGTGAAGAAGCGACGACCGGCAGAACCTAATTTTGATACATTGCAACCTCCCAACATAACTGTGGGTCGACAAGACGATTTTCTTCAAGGATCCTCCAAGCTCATCACTTTTTGGGAAAAGTTAAGACTGGAGCCTTATTCAAACAAGAAGCATATTAACTATTTTGTTGTATATCCTCAAAACAACTGCATCGAAAATACAGCAATACAGTTTTTCAAAGAACTAAGTTCTATGTATGAAACTTGTTTATTGGGTGCCCACCATCCAGGAAACTGTAGCAATTATGTTAAAGGGCTGGTCCCTGTCCCGCTTTTAGGTATGTTATTAGTTTAAAAAAACAACAGCAAAAGTCTTCTTTACGTTGCTAAACCATGGATTACTCTACTAGACGCGGCGGATGGAAATGAAACAATGGAGAGCAGACAGTTAAGAAGTTACTTTTCGGAGTGTTCAAATTTTGGATCTGCCTTACAATCAACCGTGACAGAAGATGTACATATTGTAATATACATGATCAACCCTTTCTTACATTTATCTTCAAATCTTGATTTGAGCCGCTGTTTCAACAAACTGATCGAATCTTATAATACACCGGAACCAGGCACGATCACAAAAACCAAATCACGGTGTAAGCTTGTCTTGCAATTGATCCCCATTGAGCATATATTACGATCAACGGCATTTGGTGGTTGTCTAAAATCTGGATTGAAGAAGATAGCCTTCTCAGTTTATACCAAATGCAACACATCGATTATGCACGATTCACAACAGAAAAATAATTGCCAGAACATACCATCTACAATAGAATTGTTCACACCGCCTTTTATTTTATCCAAGCCTAACCCGACACTTATTAAATACAAGATCAAAAACGCAGTTACTGCGTTCCCCACCATTTTGGAGAACAATGCAGTTTTGCACATTGGATATACGTTGAGTTTTGATAAGCGATGGATGATAATTGTTTGGACTGATAACTCTGGAGAAATGATTGAATTTATGATATTGGATAAGAAAGAAAGGAATTTGTCGCTGTTAGCCTTATTTGAAGATGCTTGGGCCCGTACAGCACAGATAGCACAGAGGACAGGATTTAGTTGGACATTTGTCATTGTCAAGATGGGATTAATGTTCGAAGAGGAACTCAAAGCATGGACAGCCTGTTTGCCTGCGGAGGAGAAGATTGCCATTGTTGGTCTTGATATCGAATCGACTCTACATTTGAATCCTCTCAGTGGGCTATCTCTCTCTACCTCCAATGATGTTATGACTCTTAATAATGATCCAATGACACCAGGCACACCGAATATGTTGAGTGCTAGTAGTCCCACCAACAAAAATACCAGTGCAGAAAACCTCGATTGTGGACAAACTAAGGCATTACTGTTGAACCATCGAATTGCTTATTCCAGTAAAAGAGAGCAAATATTACTGGGGAATGTCCACATGAATTCCACAGCAGAAACTTGGATGATACCCCTAGCCAGTGGCTACATGATTCATACATCACCTACTACCGAAAATCCTAATAACGAAATATATAATTGTGATCCATTTTTATTGGAGGTAAATTGGTTTGAAAGCATAATTCTGTGTCGCTGTCAGCTTATACTTAATTCTCTTTTGTGTGTTTCTAGGTACATCTGGTTTATAATCAAACGGACCATTCAGCATATAGTACATTAAGAGATATCATAAAAACGTATCATGCATTGTCTTTCATTAACCTGATGCCCTCCAACAATAATCGCCTCCCTATACATCTAATTTTGGTAGAAAGACTTTCACGTTTATTACTTGTCATTAATCCTTAATCGAAAAAAATTTGTACAAATATTCTCAGGTTCGTTTTATTATATCTATACTACATTACGTAAATTTTTCTTTTCCGCTATTGACACTACAAAATATGTTAATTTATATACTAAGACTATTTTTATGAGTAAGAAAATACAGCAGATATAAAAATTCCAATTATCCGGCTTTGTATATTGGAAATTTGCATGGCCTTGTTGACACTGTAAAAAAGAATGGACATTACGCTCGGTGGGTTTTGCCGCGGTATCATGGTTGTTTTAAATAACTTTAGGTGCTAAGGAAGCAACTTTTGTCCAATTTTTATATTTCACTTCTGCAGCTACAACTCCCAATACGCGAGTACCCAGTGGTTCCTTCTTATTGTTTAATAAAACACAGGCATTATCGTCGAATCGAATGGTACGTCCATCTGGGCGTGATACTTCTTTTCTGGTACGAACGACAACTGCATGTCGAACATCTCCCTTTTTCACCTTTTGTGCTGCTGCTTGTGTTCCTGCGATCGTTGCACTGATAGGTCTAGCTTTTTTAACGACGCATACAATTTCATCACCTATGGTTCACTGTTATATTAGACCCCTTGTCCCATATATTATTCCTTATAGATGGAATTGTTTCGCCATTCACCTGTTCTAGCAAATCGAGCGCCACTCATCACTCGAACACATTCCGCAATAATAGCACCGGAATTGTCAATGACGTTTAATGTACCCTTCAATCCGATCATAACTAAATCGTTCTCGCTTTGAAGATACAAAAATCCTTAACAGAAAGGCACAAGAAAAAAGTCTGGGGTTCTTTTTCTGCCTTTGAATTTGGCGGGCAACAATGTGTGTTTGAAGGGAGTCACGTTCACTTGTATATTTAAAGGATTAGTGTTCAGCAGCCTTTTTGTCATTCAAGTGCACAGTTTAAAAACGAAATAAAGCCATGACACAGTTCACGTTAGTCGTAGCAGCTACAGAAGAGCTAGGGATTGGGTTGAAAAGCAACTTGCCCTGGCGTATTCCGAAGGATATGGCATTTTTCAAAAAGGTTACAACGACTGTTCCTAGATCAGTTCGAGCACCCAATGTTCAAAATGCAGTGATTATGGGAAGAGTCACTTGGGAGTCTATTCCACGAAAATTCAGGCCTTTGGATAACAGATTCAATATTGTTGTATCGAGAAATACATCCTACAATTTGTAAGTCTTCAATACGATTATTTATTTATATTTGAACAACTGAGACTCTAATGGAACGGTCGTTTCCTACTGTAGGCAATTGGAAGACGACGAACAACAACACGTCAAACTTGTGGACTCTTTAGAAACAGCGTTCAGTTCCATAGATTCATCGAAACAGGCGAGAGTGTTTGTTATAGGTGGAGCTCAAATATACAGATTAGCAATGCAACATGCTGAATGTTCACATATTCTTTTAACAAAGATCAAATCTAAGATTGATTGCGATACATTCTTTCCAGAAATTAACAACAATATATACCGACTTGCGAGTCATGAAGAGCTAGAAGATTATGTCGAAGAGGCAGTACCAGAGGGATTACAAAAGTATAAGGATTTAGAATATGAATTTACGCTGTATGTGCGAAAGTAGTTACTCCGCAACTTACGATAATGAATGCATATGCCCAATCTTTTGAATATATCCATTTCGTTTTTTATTTTCGGATCGCTTTCATTAACAGTGGGGCGAAATACCATATCAATACAGGGAATATAGAGAGTATAATAGGTGGGCCAGCATATTCGAAAAGCCAAGTGAATTTGGATGGCCTTATTTTTTGTATAGCATTTTTCACCTGAACCTCTAACTGGAGAACATCACTTGAGTTATCAATGACAATATCCGCTTTCGCTACTTTTTCCGACATGGGCATTTGTGCTTTTATACGCTGTAATGCCTGCTCTTCCGTTAAACTGTCTCTTTTTCTCAATCGCTGGATCTGCAATATATCGGAACTAAATGGGGGGTGATTTTTTTTTTTGTTTCTTTAGGAGTTCGCTTCAATAAGGTACAGTGTCATTTTAGTTTTCTTTACCAAAAAACGACTATATTTGTTCCCATGAATTTGTCCAATCCGCTTTCGATCAATAATGGCACATCGAAAACGACAATATCTGCTCCCTTCAACCAATACCTAAATGCTTGCTTTAGCATTTCTAATTTGACATAAGGATGGGTACAACGATTCAATACTGATCGCTTGGCAGGATCTCTGAATATAATCTCTCCCATCTTGGCTCTATCCATATGTCCATCGGGAAGAAATACTTCGTCACCAAAATGTTGTCTTATGAGGCGGTTGGCTTTTCTTCCAGGTTCTACAATATCCCGTGCAATTTTGTCGGCATCTATGATGGGTATATTGTGTTCTGCTAACAGTCGAGATACAGTCGACTTGCCTATAAAAAATCAGTGTCAGTGAAAACATTTCTTGTAATGTGGCAGCAAAATCTAATTTTCATAATACCTGTTGCTATACCGCCTGTTAATCCAACAAGTTTCATTCAATAGTCGATGTAGGAAAGAGACGTTTTACTATTTTTTATGAATGAGTTGAGTAACGGGCCTTTTAAACCCAACAACGGGCGCGGGGTGGGTCTTAATTTATGCAGTTTACAAAAGGATAATGAGTTTTATTCAGTAGGAGATTCTAGAGTATGATGAAAGGATCGCAATGCAATGAGATTTGTAAAAATGTACAAAATAAATATAGATGATTTTATATATAGAAAAGAAATAGAGAAACAATACTGGTAAAAAAAAAACGATTTAAGAAGAGAAGAGTTTCTTTTCGAAAGAGTGGAGACCGTGAACGCCACCTTCCATTTGAGCAGCAGCAGTTCTCTTTTCGAAACGCACCTTGCCTTCGAAAACAGCGTCTCTCATTGACTTGACACTGGTATAACCAATATCTTGCAGAGAATGTTGAACACCTGTAACAAGGTATTGCAAGAATTTACGAACAGAGCCTTTATCAACGACATTGCCAACGACACCTTGAGCGACCTTGACAGCATCGCCTTCAGAGAAATAACGCTTAGTAGCGGCGTTGCCTTCTTTATCACCCGACTTTTGACTCATAGCGTCAAGAGAACCCATACCACGATAACGCTTGAGACGCTGACCTTCGTGGTAGAAGTATTCACCGGGAGTTTCACTTGTACCCGCAAGGAGACCGCCCATCATGACAGCACTGGCACCCAAAGCCATGGCCTTGACAATATGGCCGACGTTACCGATACCACCGTCAGCGATAGTAGGAACACCGAAACGACGAGCAAATTCAGAAACACGGTAGACAGCTGTAGCTTGAGGACGACCACATGCCATGACTTCCTGTGTGATACAAATAGAACCAGAGCCCATACCGATACGAAGACCATCCGCACCAGCCTCAATCAAGTTAGCCGCTTGCTCACGTGTGACCACATTACCAGCAATGACCTCCAAATTAGGATAAGTTTGCTTAATCCAGCGAATCATTTCAATTTGGTACACAGAGTTACCTTGAGAAGAATCAAGTACCACCACATCAAGACCAGCTTCAACTAAGAGAGCAAGACGATCTTTATCATCAGGACGTGTACCAATAGCAGCACCCACAAGAAGCTGCTTCGACTTTTGGACCTTGGAGGCATTGGGGTATTCTTGATTCTTCAAAAGATCTGAACGAGACAATAGAGAAACGAGACAGCCATTCTTGTCGACAATAGGAAGTTTACCCTTCTTGGAGGAGAAAAGAATCTCATTGGCATCGGCTAAAGTGATACCTTCTTTACCCACAACGAGGTCAGTGGTCATAATGCTCTTGAGAGGAGTACTGTCATCTGTGTGAAATTGGATATCTCGGGCAGTGACGATACCAACTAATTTGCTGTGTAACTTGCCATTCTCTAGTGTTTTGATAGGCCACATGTCAATGGATGCATTTGATTTCCCACATATTCATCAGCCACACCACATACACAGACCTGCGTAAATACAGGAACCCTCCTTTTTTTATGCATAAAAAACAAAAAAACCCAGAAAACTTACCAGTGATGGGAACACCACAGAAACCAGATTTCGTCTTGATTTCTTTCACATCAGCAACAGTATGTTCGGGCGACAAAACAACAGGATCAGTAATAAAACCATTTTCAAACTTCTTGACAGTGCGAACCATATTCGCTTGAGCCTCAGCAGAACAGTTGTGATGGATAATACCGATACCTCCCATAAGCTGTAATTACAGAGTAGCAACAGCAGCATGAATATCAATTGCAATTTCTCCCAAACTCACACAACGCACATACAAACACAACGTATGTTCTTAGTAATACTTACTGCCATTGAAATAGCCATATCAGCTTCGGTAACGGTATCCATTGGAGAGGACAAGAAGGGAGTCTTTAATGAGATTTTCTTTGTGATCTTGGACTCCAAAGAGGCCTTGTCGGCAGAGAAATTGATGTAACCAGGCAAAATCAAAAAGTCATTGTAGGTTAAACCGCCGCTAAGTTGTTCGTCCATTAAGGCTTCAACAGACAGACCATCACGGCGACCATATTCATTCAATACAGCATTAGCAGTGGAACAATCAAGAAAAGAAGACGACATTGTATAATAGATTTGATTTATAATATAGAGAGGTTTATTTTAATGAAAAATTTTGGGGGTTGTTAACCCCCCTCTGTAAAAATCATCCAAACCGAATGCCTTTTTATACTCGATTCTTTGTGACTCTTTTCAGCGAAAAAAAATTTTCATGTCCTACGTGACCGTCAGCTGATTTTTGGTTGAATTTAAATCTCCGCGGGAAAAACTGCTGTTATTCTGAAAGCTATACTGCGGGAACAGTTTTTTGCATTCCCTCAAAGAGTTTTACTCACTGTTTTTTTTTCTTTGGAAATGAGAGGGAAGATGATGAGTAAGTTTTTTGACAGGTACTGCTGAATGAGCTTGCTGACGAAAACACTATGCACACATAGTTTATTTGAGGAATTTATCTGATTTATCCCTCATTGTCCAAAAGGAAAAACTTGGTTGTAAAACTCCTTTACTTATAGTACGTAGGCTCACAGTTTAAGCATGTAAACATAAACACGCGCTATACAGCCCACTTGAGGTACTTTAGCTTCTTTGCTTTTTTTTTTTCGAACAAAAGCCCCCCCCCCCCTCCCCTGAATGCCTCCAACATGTTTATCCATGTCTTGTTTGCATGTTGAGAGCAATAAAGGAAATAGCCTCCTTGTTGGCAGTTCTTCTCTTTTAGGATCCTTTTGATCTTTTGTTTACTTTTTTGTTTCTACATTTTTGTCTTCTGACCCGTATATTTTGGTTGCAACAGTTAATTTTTGTACAATCTCTATAATACGTACATCTTTTCTCTTTTCTTTTCGACTGTCTGCTTAATACAAAGCATTTAAGTTAATACGTGTTTATATTTATGCAGCAAAAGTCAAAACTCAACTCAGTCAGTGATAGTAGTAGATCCGAAAATAGGCCATCGTCTGTGTCAGACAAGACGAAGCGGCGAGCTGGCTCAGCAACTTTTACAGCATCGATAGCACAAACCTTCAATAGAGTAAAGTAAAAGCCCGGTGCAAAAGCAGAATGATACACACAATATTAACAATTCTGATCCATTAGAATGTGTGGCGACCTCCTGGGCATTTCGAAATACCAGATATTCTTGGTCATGCGTTCCTGAAGCCAGAACCACACACTCCTATAGAATTGCGTCCTCTTGATGTATCCAAGCATATATCCACAGTAAGAATGAACAAAAAGAATCACATCCATTCGCAGCAGCTATCAAATTTCAATTTGTTCTTTTTCTATTCGCGATTGCAATCTTTTTTAGAAACCATGGTACCCTCCAAACCCCTATTATCAAATACCATCCTTAGCCTCGCCATCGAGAGCAAGCAGTAAGAAGTAGGCCAATATAGAGTTGATGTATAATACTACACTTTAAGTCAAGACTTTGTATCGCTCTCATAAAAGAAAAAGAATAAATAGCAACGATGTATTTTATATCTCATTACCATACATAAGTAGATCCTTCAAAACTCATTGAACGAGATGACCCTCGTGCATACATATCACATGACTTTTGCTTCTGATTTATGCATCGTGCATGTAGAATCACTGGAGAACCATTACCCATCCAACATATTCCAATCAATGAACGTGTAAAAATTCCAAGTTGACACTAAAAACCGATGTGGCCTTGTAGAGTAATAATTCAAAGGCTCGGAAATCACTTCTTAACCCCTTATTGCAAAATACTGCTTGCACTGTTTATTATATACAATGGGTCTTTCTTTCCAAGTGATCAGTTAGCTACAAGATGAAGATTCAATACTTGCCTTGACTTATGGTTTGCCTACCATAAACCTTTTTGGACCTCTGCTAGATTTGAGGATGAATGTGTTTTTTTTAATCAGTTGGTTGAGTCTATTCCATGCTTCCAGATTTCGACCTTACCTTTTCTTCACTCGTTCACTGCTATAGTCCGAGAAGGGCGAATCGCCCGTGAGACCCTTCTTTCTCATTCCTCTTTCATCGCCTGGTGTTGCTGCTCCTGATTCCACATCCATTGTTCTAGTGAGTTCATCCCATTCTCCAACATCCGGCTTTGTTGCCTTATCATTATTATTAGAATGAATTTGTCGACGTAGTTGTTCAACTTCATTGTTATATTGCTCCCGAGCTTGATCATTCATTTGAACAGCTTCTTGTAAGCTGGCAATTTTGGCGTCTAGGGCTTGTAATAGTCGTGTTGTATTTTCTGACCAAGAAGCAAGTATATCCATGGTTTCTTCTAGTTGTTGAGGTCGTAAATCACGCCCCATACTGGACATCACTTGTAGCTGACGTTTCCTTTGATCTAATGTTCCTGTAAGTACGCCTTGATAAAAAGCATCAATGACCAAATCTTCAAGTTCTCTCACTGTGGGAATATCGAGCTCAGATAATAACATATCGTAAGGAAGGGTCTGGAAAGTAAGAAAATGTCAGCAGTTTAATTCTTATTTCCTTCACATAGCAAAAATTACTTTACTTGTTGTGATTCAGATAAAGTAGCCATAGAAAGTATTTTAAGCTTCTTTACTTGGTTTTCATTCAAAGCAGGTAATTCTGACATAAACTCTTTTTTTTTTTTTTTTTTTTTTTCCTTTTACAGTGAGGTCAACGTTCGGTAGCCAAGCTGGCAATATTTGAAAGTATGCGTAAACTAAAAACTTACGTTTATAGTCTTTCCAGGTTCCATATAAATAAATACTCAGTAACTTGTAATAAGGTGCCACTTCCGGCAATGTAGAAGCCTGATATTACAAATGATTTGTTGATGGCTACGTTTATGTAGAATTTGTCTAATTTATGTAAACTACTATTGTACCTCGACTAGATTGGGAGATTCGTATAACTCTGTAAAGACGAAAACGCCTGATGCACTCAACGCATCCATAATTAACTTGGCATTAGCTGCCCCTTTCACTGACTTAGATAGGAGCAAAAAGGGTTGCAATTTCTGATTTGTTGACAGTACTGAGTTCGTTTCATTCATATTGTAAGCTGAACCAAGTGCACAACAAGGCTTCAAAAGTGTAAAGCCGTTTCTTTTGAGTATCCCATCCTCTTTTTTAGTTTTAGAACTCCGGATATAGCTGCATTAATAGCTTCTCGAGTTTAAAACAACTCAAAAAGTTGTTTAAATTCCTTTGCCTGACGGGTTCAGCGCTTGGTCAAGCAAGACAAGTTCACAGAGATAAGCACGGAAAGTCTATGCTATTGTTTAGCACGTGTTTGCATCTTCTTCTCTAGCAGTTTAAATCAAGGTTTCGGTGTTGGCAGTTTCTCATGAAATAGTTGCCATGATTAGAGTTTATGATATCTTGGAACCTACTAATTTACTACGTAACCGACAGTGTATACTGCATTTGAATTGTCTTCTCTCCTCACAATGGAAGTTGTTCGGTTTTAATTTAACAGGAACGTAGAAAGTATAAAGTATAAATTGCATGAATTCACCATTGCTCAGCGAGGAAAAAGGCTATTGTCACGTATTATATACGCAGAAATACAAAAACTGCCCGTGTAACACGCATAAAAGGCTCATTCAGATACCAATTTCTACACATGAAGGCTATTCTCCATTACGCCATAAAATACTGCGAAAAGTCACAGCGTCTAATAAGATGCCTTTTATCCGACCTTAATGAAACTCTTGGCTTTTTCAACAGGAACAAATGACTGCATTGTGGGTATATGAGAAATCCATCACCTATTTTCATAAAAGGGACTTTGCTTAGCATGTTGAATCATCCGAGTAGGCCGATTGCAAAGCCATTTTAGCGTGTAAAATGCTTCCTTAAAATTGTCTGGGCACCACTTCAAAAGTTGAAAACTATTATGATTTCAGCCCTTCTCATCAACAAACAAAAAAAAAAAAAAAACTATGATAAATAAAGGAGAAAGAGGAAAGTCCGAAAATGCCGCTTAAAGAACTAAGCAGCAGTAATAAAGAAAACCAACTAGCCAACCCGCCACAAACCGTATATAAATAAAAGTTCAACAAAAATTGCAAAGGTTTTCTTCTTTCCATTGCTCTTATATTATAACTGCAAAAAATGTTCTCTAAGAATCCCGCTGGTACTCTCAACGTCACTGTCAGTAAGTAGTTGCTATTATTAGTATGCATGTTCATGTCAGTATTAGAAAGATAAATAACACTTCTCAACTTGAATAGTTGAAGGTCGTAACTTGAAGGACCAAGATTTGGTCGGTAAGAACGATCCTTGGGTGTAAGTATACCGTAAAGATAAAGCCAGACGTAGATAGGGGCTCGAACTAAATTGCATATATATCATCTTCAAGTGAATTATGGGTTGATGAAAAGTACCCTCAACGTACCCGTGTCATCGATAACACAAACAACCCTGTCTGGAACCAAACTTTCACCTTTCAGTTAGAAGCTAGCCGTAAGGACAAGCTTCATTTAAAGGTTTTGGATAAGGATAAGATTGGTAACGATACCATCGGTGAAGCCAAGTTCGATCTCGATCAAGTTTTCAGTGGTCAACCCGTTGATACTTGGGTCAAGTTGCCTGCCAAGTTGGGTTTGACTAGCCATGGTGAAATTCATCTTTACGTCCAATTCTTCCCCCAACAATAAAATACATTGTTACCTTATCACACCTTCGAATAACTCTAATTCCAGTATTTTAGCACTGAAGAACATTCATTCATATTCTACTGGAACCCCTCACAATTTTGTACATACAAGAATAAACGATATCATCATAATGTAGTAACAGCGCCAGCTGATATGGCTTAAACCACTCTTGTCTTTTTAGCATAAATATTCAGTGACGCGTTTCAGCAATATTAATGTTATCCATCTATTTTAATTTGAAACAAAAAAGGGACTTGAAAAACTGCGGTCTTGTCGACGAGTAGAAGTCTAGAGACTTTGCATCAGCATCCGGAAGTATGTTACACTACCTTGGAAAATACTTATAAAGAGAAACTATCACAACGGGTTTATCTGACAAAATGTGCTTCATTTGGCTTTAGCAATTTTGTTTAGTCAACAATATCTGTGCGCTATGTGCATTAAGAAATGAGCAAGAACCCGATTTTCCTAGCGGAGAAACAACTAACCCGCTTCTTGGAAAAAATTCGATTTAAGGACTTCAAAATAAAATCGGAGCACAGTCTCCCATACAAACAAAAAATCATATAGAAATATGCAAATATTCTCAATGCTGATATGATTAGGAAATTACAAGACTTTGTACAGCCTTCTTAATAATCGTCCAGAGATATGACCGCTGAGAACTTATGAAAAAGCCTCAAATAGCATGTCCAATCAGGTCGATGATACAATAAGAGAAAGTTTCAAACGTTATCACGAATAACAAAAACTACGTATTTGGAATCAGGTTAGTTCAACCTTTTCCGGCTATACGTTCTATAAGAACGACTCAATCAAAAATTGAGAAAAAACCAAGAGTGATTTCCAACTTGTCGAATAGCAAGGATTACGTGTCTAGAGAAATCATAGAAAATTTCTGGCCAGAATGACGAGCCTATCTTTATCTTCTGCATGTTCGATGAGTGAATACAACGTCGAATTTGAAGGTCGAAGGCCATTATAAATAAACCAAACAAAATCGTTTGTTGATTAAAGGTTAAAAAAGCAAGGCCAATAATGCCCACTTATAAGACATAAAATTTTTAAATACAGGGCTTTAAGGCATGCAACCCTTCTATTCAACACTGACTAAGTATGTCTTGCTCTACTGTTAGATGTGCAATAGGCGTAAGATAGCGAATTTTACTCCTTTTTCTGAAACAAAGGTTGAGCAGTTCACAATATCAGTTTGCAGTACTTGTCAAAGATACGACGGATACCAACGTAAACGTTGAAGAGAGATTCATACACGTTGAATACACTCGTGTATAAGCAATTAAGGGCCGTGACGAACCATGCTAGTATGTATGGTCATAAAATCGATACACTTTTGTCAGATTTTTAAATGTCGTTCAGATTACGCCCAAAAAAAGATAGAAACTGAAATATATTGTCATAGTCCTGCAAGGCATCATTTCGGTTTGCAAGTTTCAGCGTGAGATACTTCCTCGAAAGAATACTTACTGAATGAAAGGTAATTACATACCAGGAAGTAGGGACTCCTTACAAACTTCTAATCATTTAATGGTTATTTATTGTTGTTCACATTGTTACCACACTTGAACGACGTCTTGTGTGGTAACATAATTGACAGTCTACGTTTCTTGAAATGCAAGTACGTTTTGCACTACTAAGCCAGGTTTTCTCTCTATGAAAATGCTGATTATCAAAACACGTCATTTTATCACTTCTTTCTCCACAGGAATGGCCAAATAATGTTCAACGCGTTGCATTTCAATGAAAAAAGTGCTAGACAAGAGCAGTAAACCCTTTCGATTCTATCCCCAATACAAGCAAACCTTTCAAGTCTTCCCCTAAGTCAGGACCATATTTTCTATACTTAGCAGTTGAACGCTTATAAATATCGGCCTTTATTTGAACGCAAATGATAGTATAGTTAGGGCAATATCATAGACTTCTGCTTTTTCCCTTTCAACTTTCAATATAAGCATATTCATCATTTGCACTATCCTCCACTTTTACACGTGTTCATCAGTTACTAATAATAATTGTTTGTCGATCGAATTTGGAATTGTTTTCTCGGAAAGAGAAATTGAGCCAGCGAATCAAGGCGTACTAAAGATCGATCTGAAACTGACGAACATTGATTTTATGACAATTTTATGGAAACGATGAAGGTTAGTAATGAGGCGGTATTGTGCAGAGTATGCCTTTCCCAAAATAGTATGCACCATTTCACCTGCCTTTTTGAGGCGAGCTCTATTCCAATTCATCAGTCAAATCGGCCTTTACACCCATAAAGCCGAACTGTTTTAGGTACTCGTGGCTAGCAACATTGTGTCTTACAATAAACCTATCTTTTTCAATAAATTGGGAAAATAGTTGATATGATTATCATAGTTAAGGAAATCCTATCAACTATATATGCCTTCATCTGAGGGCAGGCCTGTACCTTCGAGTAACTTACTTGAAAAATAGGACAGCCTATTTTGAAATTTCTGAAGAAGTTTTGGCCGGGCTCAACAATTTCCTTATTCGTATTCAGTATAATTTCATGATGGGGGAGTGTATAGCAGTTAATTTCTTCAACCATTTTACGTAAAAAAGTGGCGGCAAACAAGTGAGTGTAACAAGCCTCTACAGCACCTGCAATTTTGTTCAGCTGAAGTCAACAGATGAGTTTTTAACTTACGAGATCAAATAATCTTATCACGTTACTGGTTTGAAACGAACAGTACCGCGGCTATCATGCCAAAATCAAAAATTTTGGCGGTATATTGAGCCAATAAATTAGCAATTGTGGAATACCTTCCCTACTTGATCCAAATAAAAGCTATATATAGTAAAAGCCGGATCAGGAAAAGAAGAGGCCATGCTTTGTAGCTGAACCATGCGTGATCGCAAGCTGTAATAGGTAAATCTTTGGCACAGAACATGAATCTCATAAGGTTGAATCAACGAACCCCAAAGCTTAAGAAAGTTGACTTTTCAAGGCATTCGCGATTTTTGGACATTGTCAAAGAAAATGATATAAAAGGAGAAGGTATTTCAACGTCTCATTTAAAAATCATCAACTCCTTTAACAATCTTTCAAATAAAATGGTCCGTCTTACTATTGTTGCTCTCTGTGCTGCTGCTGTCTTGGGTCTCGCTCAAGCCAAACGTTATGAACAAAGCGGTACTGCCTCTTTAGAAATCTTGAAGGAACACAAAGATTACGGCTGCAAGCATGAAAATCCCAATGACGACAAGATGCAAGCTCTTCTCCCCAAGCATTACAAAAAGAACAAGAACTGCGGTGAGACTCTTCACGTCAAGGACAAGAAGAAAGGCCACAAAATCGAAGCCAAGATTGTTGGTTTCTGCGATGACTGTGATAAGCATGATATCAAACTTAGCGGGGAGGCGTACAGAAAGCTCGGTTATGCCCACCACGGATCCCCTGAAGTCAAATGGCACTTCACTAACTAAGCTTAATCTTTATAATTCTCATTTGTAAATTAGTTTCAGTTATACATATGCATTTAAATGTGTTTGCTTCCTATCTTCATTCAAGTCTCTTTAATAAAAGCAATCTTAGTATTTACTTTTTTCGGTTTGATGCACCATGCGGATGTCCTTTTATTTTGTTTCTCGCACAAAAAAATCTAGAGAAGATGTTGTCATGATGAATTCCTTCGGCTTGTTATTCTCAGTCACTATGTCAGGAAGGAGAGTGAGTTTGACCAAGAAATTAATCGTTGTTCGCTTTGCCAAACTAACTAAAAAGGTATAGTAACGTATATTGTCAAAATTTTTGTAGGTACAGGTATTTAATCAAGTAAAGCGATAATGGCCATTCAGTATTGTAAAAACAGCTTTCGACCTCCTTTTGTTATATTTGCTTTGAAGCTTACATCTGTAATACAGCAAAGAGTTTGTTTAGAGCCAAGCTTCAGGCTACAGCGAAAAGCCTCATCTACTGAATTTGCAGCTGAAACGGAGTAAAAAGGGTCGTGAAATTGCTCGAAGAAGCAAATCATGAGTAATGTCCTTGGCGCCATATAACCATTTACTTAAATCAGCAGCTGCAAATGGTTGGTTTTCTCCTCTGCCATTCACAAGAGGGACAATCAACCTTCATACTGACCTTAGTGCTGATAGGAGAAGGAAGACTGTTAAAAGTATTGCGCTTCAGCAAGTTCGATTATCTTCAATATGTAAATTCTTCCACATTTTACAGTTCAACGTTCAAAACCCTACTGTTATAATGAATTACAATAAAAAATAGGGAGAAAAAGGCATTCATACCATATGCTATGTGAGGCAAAACAGAGTTGAGTAGAACAATTATCAGCATGGCATTAAACAAAGTGGCGTTAAAAAGAAGCAAGCGGGAGAAGGAACAATAATTATGAAATAAGATAGGAGATATGGTTAGTATATATATATGATGGAACCCTTAGAGTATATTTCTTATTACTCATTTATTCGTAATAACATGATAACTCTAATGCCTAATAATCTAGGCAAAAGAAAAAATGATAATGGAAGAATTATGGGCAAGTAAGAACCATCAGTATTCAAGGAAGAGTATCTATCTCGTAATACAAGCAACACGAAAGGATAAAATCTGTTCAGACCTGTAAAAGAGTGCACTGATGACGATGCAAATTCAATATAATAAAGATAGATTTATGTCTTGGAAGGTCAACAACAGCAATATAACGAACCAAGATGAATATTTTTGTATAGCTATAAGCAAAAAAAAAAAAAAAAAAAAATAATAATAATAATATAGGAATTAGAACATGGATATACGTGATCTGTAAACACAGGCATCTCGGTCTTTTCACGCAACCATATCTTCATCATACAATCGGAATCTAAAAACTGATTTGTGGGGTTGAATCCGTTTCTTGGTAAAGCATTGATAAAGTGGCACTTTGTTGTAATTAAATACGTGGAATTATTCGATTGATTCAACAAATATCTCCTCACAACGCTTACAACACTGTTGAAGTATGAAAGCCGTAATGATAATCTTTCAGGAGGTTCATGGTACCTGCTAAATTAGCCTCCCGACTGAGTTGCAGAGTTTCTTTTTTTTTTGATTTGACATTGTTCAGTTTAAACTTTTATTTCTCCTTAAACTTGTACCCTCGTGTACGATTATTGAAACCTTTCTTCGTCTACTTCAAACCTTTTTTTTTATTTTGTTTTTGCAATAACCAGACAAAACTATCCAAGATAACATAATGGCAGGAGGGAATAAAAGCAATTTCCAACCAAAAGATGCTCGTGCTGTGAGTATCCTTTATTCTGATGAAGATGAAGACGACATAAGCGACTTGTTTCCTCACGAAAAACCTAAAAGAATGATGACGGGGACTCAAGCCTTGGTTGAATTTTTGAAAACCACCAGTCCAGAAGAATTCCAAAGAACATCAAGCACGCCTGCGGAGCATAAGTCGATGAATAATTTATTTGCAAAAATAAGGAGAGGGCCGAAAAGGAATACAAATACACAGCAACGACAGTCTTCAGCAATGCCCATACCCACAACTTCTTCCTCTGTGTCCACTCGTTCAACAGCATCCTTACCTGTTCATCAAAACAATCTGTCCACCTTTTCAGGCTCTTCCGCTTCTACTATAACAACATCGAACCATCCTCATCATTGGATGCATAGCAGTACGGGAAGTGAAATAAGCAGCAATGGCCATACCATTCATCGAAAAAAATACATAGAAATAGTACCTCAGCATAACCCTACGGCTGCAAGGAATCCTCGGTCCCCATCTTATGATACAACATCAATCCAGTCATTTGTGTTACGTAACAACAACAATAATACCACCAACTCAATTATTAACAGCAACAATGCCACTAATACGAACAGTACAAACCAAAATGGAGGAGAGCCTATTTTACCAAATAAAAAGAGAGAGTCTAGTTTGTATAGTGGATCTTTACGTTATTCAGTATCCGTTCGAAGCCAGCTGAGCACAGCCACTTCATCGAATAACAATATCTATACTAACGGTAATAACCGACGTCACCTTATTAGAGATAGTAATAGCAACGATAACAGCAATCACATTGGTCATCATCAACAGCTCGAAAGTAAAGCAACGGAGGATTATTTGATAGCAGCAGATGGTTTGGATACCATTGAAGCAGCTTTATTGCAGAGATTAGAAAGAATTAGATTGGTTAATGGAGATATTCCTAGTGAACAAGTAGCAGCAGGATTAGCGGCAGAGCATATAAGAGCTTTGGGTATTACTCATGATTTGGAATATCAACATCATCAGCACAGTGAAAAGAGAAAAGTACGGCATATGCAGGTCCAGACAGAGGATAGCTTTAGCAAAATGGTGGATAGTAAAAATACCAATCAAAACAACAGTAACAATGATGAGCCTATCACAACAGCAGCGTCTGAAACGAATCAGGATGAGCATTTAAATGCAGAAGTGAGAGCCAGAAGAGCAGAGGCAGCCTTAGAAAATGCCCTGGATAATTTTGAAGTCATTAGTGGATTAGCTTATAAGAAATTACGCGAACTATGGGAAGAGAAAATGAGATGGGAAAACGCATGTATGGAATTAAGGGATAGGTTACTTATGCTAGAGCAGCAACAACAACGAAGAATACACAAGCAATCACATCAACAGCAAGAAGCAGGAGCCGTCAATGTGAATGATCATTTACATAATGAATACTTTTTAGAAGAAAACGAAGATATGGAAGAGGAAGATGGCTTAGGTCTCTCTGAATTCCCTTGCGATGAAGAAGAAGAGGTGGCATGATACTTGTAATTCTGTACTAAAACTCTTGGTAATATAATAAAGTTCACTCTTTCATTAATTCATACACACTCAAAAAAGACGTTATCAACAAGTACCTTTTCCCTCACTTTTTAAAACGTTTGTCATCGGTCTATCGATTACTGAAAGAAAACCATGATAGTTCATCTTAATGAAATAAGCTATCTGGCGCCACTTTTTGAAATTGATATGTTGAGGGTACTGTTATTACAACGAATGATCATAGGTAAGCCGACCATTGATCAAACCATCGCAACCGAGTGTCGCTGACAGAGCAAACCATGCGTCTTAAAGTATTCTTAGTCTTCCTTCCTTCTTTGTTTTCGTTGCCTAGAGCTTGCTTGACAAAGAACTTCAGCGACTGATCCTTGGCAGTTTTGTGTACGGGTAAAATACTCGTTAATGAATGAATAATGGTTTGTTTTTAGATGGCGAAATGATATCTTTAGATGGGTTGAATCAAACATATTTGCACTGCAAACAGATGGCTATGATAGTGCTTTCCACAAGTTTTATCTTGTTATTATTAGAATGCTTTCGTATATAGTTTGTCCTATTCTTAGCGAAAATGCATAAAAGAAGAAAATTTATGCATCTGATTCATTTTCTTAGTTGGGATTTCTACGTTACTGATATGATCAAAGCTCTGCTTGACTTTCCTAATAAACAAAATATTCAATTTTTACAAGACGAGAAGACAATGATTAAACAGCAAACTTTTGTTGGCTGATGTGTTATTGCCGAGTGCAAACGTGGAATTATAAGACCTTCTGTGTACTTAAACAGGCATTTTCGGTTTGCAATACTTGTTGTCTGTACGATCATAGAAAATATTGTAGATAAAGTGTTGTTTCTCAAAAGGTCCAACGAGTAAGCCAGAAGCCATGCTATTTACTTGGCCGAGGTAATTTTTTTGATAGTTCTTTCAAATAGAACCCTTACTAAATACTTAAGCTATTCCAATGGAATAAAACCTGCGTCAGTCGGCTGCTTCAATCGGTTAGATCCACTATGCTAACTATAATCTGTCAAAAGAGAATTAGTGGACGAGTTATCAAAGATAAATGAACAAATGTGTAGATCGCATTCTTTTATTCCCTTCCATTTAGTCCTTGCGCTAACAATAAGTGTACCATTTAAAAATGCACTGGTCATCTTCATGACGCTTCAATATAGAAGATGATGGGATTTCGGTTCAAAAGCGATCAGGAACTCGCGTCTCAGTAATAAATTTTATTCCTTGTATAAAATTAAACACCTTTTCTAGCCCGACGGAATTCTACCTTTTTCCGCTTTTTGCTATTGTTTATTTTAGCAGTTGGAAAGTGAGATCACTTTGAAGAATAAAGTTGGATCTCTAGATTTTGTTACCATGTCAGCGTCAAACCCCTCGCTCGTTGAAGAGTCAAACCTTAGAGTTTTGAGCATACAGTCTCATACGGTAAAAGAGAGAAATGAAAGCTCCAAAGTGAGGATAAAGCTTGACTAAGTACTGATAAAACTTTAGGTCTCCGGTTACTGTGGTAAAGTAACGTATATTTGTGCACAGCGAAGAACATGGCTTATACATGCGGAGAAGTTGACACCAGAATGCCTTTCTTTCTTTTTCTTTGATTAGGAAACAAAGCGGCAGTCTTTCCGTTACAGTTACTAGGCTTCGATGTTGATATTCTAAACACAGTTCAGTTTTCAAACCACACAGGTAAACTCCAGTGCCACTGTTTGTAGTTATACACCCCTACCTGACATGGTTTTACTACAATATAGGGTATCCTTCATTCGCTGGTGGTCGTCTAACCGCAGAAGAGGTCCAAACTTTGTTCGATGGCTTGGAAAAGAATGAGTTGACTGAAGATTATACACATTTGCTGACAGGTGATAATTCCAAAGCTTTTTTAATTTGATAATATGTCTTCTTACTCGAGTTTTTTTTTTTTTTCTTTGGTGGCGGGATTATATAGGGTATATTGGTAATTATTCTATATTGGAAAAGATAGAAATGATGGTCAAAAAGTTGAAAGAACAAAACCCTGATCTAATCTTTGGTAAGGAGAGTTATTTATAAAGTAGATATATAAAGGTTTGGCTTGCTTTCTAACTGTATAAGCTCTTCTCGATGCCATAAAGTCTGCGATACAGTTATGGGAGATAATGGTGCTTTATACGTTGCCGCTGAAATCGTACCGCTGTACAGAAATATCATGCGATATGCCTATGTTGTAACACCAAATCAGTTTGAAGCCGAGTAAGTCTCTATGTGCATACAACGGAAACAGATGTGACGGACAAGGTTGAATTTAACTGATTGCGTATATACATAGAACTCTGTCTGAAATGAAGATTTCTTCATTGGAAGACACGCGACAAGTAGCCAAAAAACTACATGGATTAGGGACTCCCAATATAGTGATTACATCATTAAAATTACCACTAAAGCATGTGCCTCAAGAAATCCAGTTCGAAAATGAAAGCACAGACGAATCACTTTATTGCTTCACTAGCCAAGAGTTACCCAATGGTGAACTAGTTCAGCATTTAATTTCCTTCCCTACTTATCAAGGTTACTTCACTGGTACTGGGGACCTATTTTCCTCACTCATTGTACCTCGACTACAAGAGTCTATGCGGAATAAGACACGTCATTTCCTAATCGAAGCCGTGTATCGCGTGGTTTGTAGTGTCAACGCTATTACAAAAAAGACGTGGTTGTATCAACAGGAGTATATGCAACAGCGTTACGGAAATGAAGCTTCAGAAATAAAGCCTAACGAAGCAAAAGCAGTCAGGAGTTGCGAGCTGCGACTAATACAAAGTAGAAAAGAGATTGAGCAATCAGATTTATTTAGAGAGGTTGTAAAATCCGTCCAAGTCTAAATGATCATGTCATCACCACTGTTGATGTTTTTTTATCTTTAGGAATAAACAAAAAAAAAAAAAAAAAAAAAAAAAAAAGACCCAAAAAAACGGGCCAATTAAAATTGCTTACTTTTCAATGCGTGCATTGCATTAGAAAAAAAAAATAGCCTTTGTCGCAAAAAACTTCTCTTTTTTTGTTTTCTTATACTTCCCGTTCACTTCAATTACTTCAATTGTTGTATAATTTTGCAGCTCAACGATGGGTTCCACTTTACCGTACAGTATTCAAGACGATATAGAAGCCAAAGAAAGATATGCAGCTCAACAACGATTGGGACGAGGTGGTTCAAAAAAAGTTCGTTTATGGACAGTGATTGCCATCGTGTCATTGACCACACTCTTACTGGTGAGTTACTACGGTACAACGATCTACAGTGATAGTGTATCACCCATGTTAGAAGAAGATACAACCGTACAAGTGTTAACAACAGCAGAAGACAAAAAAGCCAACAACAAGAAATTGACAAACAGTAAAAACAACGAAGCCGTCAAATTTGATAAATCAGAGGCAGCTCTTGAAGAAAAAGCGGATATAAAAGAAGCAGAACTTGAAGAACAGCTAGAAGAAGAACTTGAAAAGGAAGCTGAACAAGAAATTGAAGAAGAAATCAAAGAAGAGAAGGAACAAAAGCAGAGAGAGAAGAATCAAGAAAAAGGATGGACCTTGGAAGACGAGATCTCTGGCTTGATTCAGAAGAACACATTGATTGTGTTTTCTAAAACTTATTGCCCGTAAGTTAGACAAGAGGAGGATAGTGCGTGTGGGTGTATGTGTGAGTCTATGTGTGAGTCTATGTGTGAGTGCATGTGTGAGTGTGAGTGTGCGTGGACGTGGACGTGGGCGTGGGCGTGTGTGTGCCATGGCCAACTGCCAAAGACTGTTTGCATATGTGCGCATCAAAAAAAAAAAAAGAGGATTAAAAAGGCGAAATTGTTGGGGAACATCCAATAAAAGGTCCGTGAGTACCTCGGAAAGAGTCACATAGAAAGCTAATTTTTCCACGTTGAGCAGAAAAGGCGGGGTATCAAACAAAGAGATTAGTATAAAAAGTGGGGATTGAAAATTGGCAAGGATAATTGGGAACGATAACCTTTCCTCCGTGTCTAATACTATATGTATATAGATTTTCAAAGAAGGCGAAGAAGATATTAAATTCTTATACATTAAAAGACAAACTAAAGGTCGTTGAAGTTGACAAGAGAGGTAAGGCTTCATCCTAGAAATCTGAAAAAAAGTAAATTATGATGACGTTTTTCTTGAAAACCGTGTGTAACCTGCCTGTGCACTTCCTTTTGCCTTTAATCATTGATCTTACAACAGCCGATGACTTTCAAGTGAAGGCAGTACTTGATGAAATCTCTGGAAGGTCCACCTTTCCTAACATTTTCCTAAAGGGCAAATCTCTTGGTGGATCGCAAGAGTTGGATGAATTACATAGAAGTGGAGAACTCAGATATTTATTGGATGAAAATGGCCTTTTGGCCGCTTAATAATAACCAATCAACAACCTTAACTCTGTCATTTTTAGTCTATATTTCACAAATCACATTACAGCAGACCAAGTTAAGGGGTAGACCACTAAAAGAGAAAATGAATCTCTCTCTAACAATGATTACTACCTTTTTTTCCCAGTTACTTTCTTTTACTATTAAACTGTTTTATCTTTGTTTTATTCGATCCAGATAATTTTGCGCTTATAATAATGTTGAAAAAAGGATCCTCTGGCTCTAAAATGCTTTCTATAAGCTTGCTGGAACCCATTGTGTTTGTGGGTTCCAGCTTGGAAGCATCGCCGGTGTTAAGGGGAATCGTGAATATACATACAACTCAATCATACACTTTGACACGGCTTTACCTGAAATTCAATGGAGTTATGAAAGCGACTTATAGAGAAGGTGGGGGGTTTTTCTTACAGTCATACAGTGCGTCTTTGCTCCTCGTCACTTAACCAAGCCTTTTCTTTTTTCTTTTGAAATCCACAAAAAAAAAAAGTAGAATTGAAGCACAAAGATCATCACAAACTGGTCGCTTCCGAGCGTCAATTCTTATATCCAGCGGCTAATACTAATGGTGAACGCTCAAGAACAACAAAGCCTTTGATTTTGGAAGCTGGCATCACTCGATTTGCCTTTGAAATGCCTTTACCCGCTGGTATTCCCGAAACTATGAACGGTTCTCAGATCGGTGTTCATCATAATCTCACCGTATGTTTGGACTATCGACGACCCATAACTACTATTTCACAGTATATGCTTCCTGATCAACGATTGGACTTGCACGACGAAGTCAAAAGAGAAATCATCTTAGCGCGTATGCCCGACAGCGGCATGCTCTCCGGTGAAAATCAAATGCCAAACATAGACTCAAATAAACACTTTTCCAACTGGTGTCAATACCGCATTACAATGGAGAAGAAGGCTGTAGCTACTGGCTCTCAACTACCTATAAAAATAGAAATTGCTCCCACAGTCGAGCATTTAACGTTGAAGCACTTCTTTTTGCAGTTGATCGAAAGGCGTACTATCACCGTAATTGATGCTTTAGGTCGGCCTCAAGAAAGAACTTCGCATTCAGTAATTTTCTTGCATCCACCAAAAGACACTACACAGCAGATAATAGTACCGAATACACCCATAAAGGGTGTCTGGGAAGGGAACTGTGTCTATCAAATCCCTAATAATGATAAAGTCATGACCCATTCATCACAAGCTTATGCTGATTTCAAAGTGACCCATATGTTACTTGTGACAATTGTGGTCTCTGTACCCCATTTTAAAAGAAGAAACATGCTTCAGTACTTCTCTAGCAATTCAAACAATAACAATAGTCGTGACAGCAAGACATTTTCGTATCAAACACCTATTGATCTTGTGAATGGTGATGTGTTTCAAACATGGGAAATGGCCAAGTTACCTTCTTATGACAATAATCCAATGACCTCTGAGGAAATAGAGAAGTTAACTGCTCATGGACTTCTCAGCGATTCACCACCACCAACCTATGAAGAAGCTATACTCTACCATTAACAACTCTTTTACATTAGCATGAAATATATAGATAATACATTCATTCTAACATATTTATACCAGTAGCACCTTTGCCTTTATATTCGTTTTTATTATTTATTCGATTTGTAAATTTGCCAAATAAAACAAATCATTAACGAACCTTTTACATAACTGCATTTTGAAAAAATATCTATAAAAATCTGTGCGCTGGGGGAGAGAGTAGTTTCACGAATTATCAATACAATGATAGACGTATCGATTCAATGGACTGTTATCAATCAATTATTCAAACATTATTTGGCAGTAATTACATAGAATTTTAGTATCTGAATTTAGAACCTCAAAGAAGCAAACGCAAGAAGACTACCGGCAGCTCTAAAGAAGAACGACAAACTTGAAACTCGTCCACAATATCATCGCGTGTTTTATTTTTATTTTTTTCCAAGTCAGTTCGTGTACGTGTTTTTAGGGACAGTTTCTTAAAATTTAAATTGATTTCCCTTTTCTTTGCGAAAACTATTTATTGCTGATCAACTTGCCGCCCTGCCAATGCTTTTCACTGATGTCATTTCAATCTATGCTTTTGCTGATGGCAGAACTGTTGCAGCCTATAAAAAGGATGGAAGGTCGGTTTTTCCTCCGAGAAACAAGAATAAACAGAATGGAAAAGTGTTTGATACAATGATCTATAGACAATTGACGTACACCCTTTTGCGTACAAAGAGAGTTAGTTATAGGAGGCACGGGAGGAGAAGGAGTAAAAGTTTACGAGACAGATGTACCGGCGGATGAACAAGACTATCTGCATATGGAAATAACAGAGCATGTAGACGATGTGAACGCTGTAGCAACCTCAGTAAGTTTATATATATCTTGAAGCCTTAGGATCGCAGAGACTAATCGTAAAAATCCTCCTATACAAGTCCACAGGCACTTTTGCTTCTGGTGGTAATGAAGGTTGTGTCTATTTGTATACCGAAGAGAACCAATTTGGAGGTGTTCTTGTTAGAAGTTCCTTCCCTGTTCGCTCGCTTTCTTTTCATCCCGATGGTTCCAAGATTGCAATTGCTACAGAGTAAGCTTTCGTTATACAAGTGCGTACTCTTCAATACTTGGATGATGCTTACCTACCTATATCAACTCAACTAGCGAAACAACAATTCGTATTGTTTTATGTGCAGATAATTCAAAGATCGTTACAGCTGAAGGTCACTCCAGCCCTGTAAAATCACTGACTTATGACTCCACAGGCGACTACCTCGCTTCCTCCGATATTATGGGAACTGTACGACTATGGAACGTATCCCCTTCAGAACCAGCACCCAGATGTATTAAAGTACTTCCCAGTTGCAGTTATAGGTCTGATATGGAAAGCTTACTTCAAACCACCGTTGCGTTCAGCCCTGATGATTCATCTTTTGCATTCCCTGGTGACAACAATGATATATGTGTTTACAGTAAATACGACTGGGAACCCAGTTACACCTTGGCGGACCAACATACACAGCCAGTCATCACATTTGCTTGGTCACCGAATGGAGTCTATTTAGCGAGCTCTTCTTCGGATGATTCAGTTGTGGTTTGGAATACAAAAACCAGAAAGCCTGTACATAATGAAGTAGTCATTGCTTCAGTGACAAGTATTGTTTGGTCTCCAACCAAAAATGAACTCACTCTGGTACATAGGAATGAAATCAGTATGGTTTATATTCAGGTACTCATCAAAAAGGTATTTTTTTGTAAATAGACAGATGCTCGTGGTCAGTTTAGAATTTGGAAGGATGTTATACCTCTCGACCAACCTGACCATCCTCATCCGGCTGCTCCGTTGAAAAAACCAGTGATATTAGAAAATAAGAAAATAAAAACGGAAAAAAACAACGCAACCAAGAAAACTGGCAGCAGCAGCAGTAGCAGTGACATTGGAAAACGAAGCATTAATAGGCTGCTTATTGACGAAGAAGCATCAGATTCAGACGAGGGAGGAGAAGATACAGATATGCTGCTAGAAGAAGCAGGAGAAGACGTAGATGTCGACGACGACGATGATGAAGAACGCGAGGAGGGTCTGGAAGAGAATTTCGTTGTTGATGACGATGGAGCTGGTTATGCAGAAGCAGAAGTAAACGAACTGAGTGCCAATGGAGGAAGGGTTCAACAAAGATTGAATCTAGGTAATATGCATACGAGCCACCTTTTACATCAACGTCAAACAAAGTTAGAAGAAGCATTTGAACTACCAGCCGTTTTCCAACCTGGAGAAACACCTTATCATAAAGCGGAATCAGGCAAAAGTTTTGAGCCTGCACAAGGCGAAAGACGCTATATGGCCTACAATTTAGTAGGTGCTATTTCCACTATATTCGAAGTAGACCACTCTATTATCAATGTTGAGTTCCATGACCAGTCGCAATATAATAATTTCCATTTCACAGATATGAATCAGTTTACACTAGGAGCGCTTAGTTCAGCCGGTACAGTGTTTGCGGTAGAAGCCAAGAAGCAAATAGTGACGGAAAAGAAGAAAGATGAGTTGGACGAGTTATTTGATGAAGAAGCTGACGATGGACAAGAAAAAGTCCAAGAAATCAACTCAATAATTTACTTTCGACCTCACCGACTTGGCTCAGAGAAAGACTGGACACATCATATGCTTCCCGACGAAAATGTCACTTGTATTGCTATCAATAACTCATCCGTTATTGCCGCTACATCCTTAGGGCATGTACGCATATTCTCCATCTCAGGTGTGCAGCGTTTTATATTTACTTTGCAAAATGTTGTGACAATGGCTGCCATGGCGGATCTTGCCTTGGTGGTTTATACACCCGGTCCATCTTACAATCAGCAACAAAATCTCCAATACATACTCTTAAATACAGATACCAACGAGGTTTTGCAGAAAGATACAGTGCAGATGACGACAGACAATGAAATCGTTTGGGTAGGATTTTCCGAAACAGTACAGGCAGTAACCTACGATACAGCGGGCGTTTTGCGCATTTTACACAACCAACGCCGTCCTTTCCAAGGACGATGGATACCTGTGTTTGATAGAAAGCTATATATGAGATCCCACCAAAAACAGTCAGAGACATACTGGCCCGTCGGTGTTTTACGTGATCGTTTTATGTGTGTTATCCTGCGTGGTCAAACAACTTACCCTTTCTTCCCTCGACCACCAGTGAAAGAACTTCCTTTGCAATTACCTCTATTAGATATGGCCAACGAAACAGGACAGCTAGAAGAACAGATATTGAAAACGGAGGTACGCGCACGACACGAACGTGATGAAGCTGAAGCGACACAAACAGAGGGCGACTATCTAGAGATCTTCCGTGATGCTGAAATTGAGATTGATATCGCTGTGCTGAAATTGATTAATATTGCATGTAAAGCAGAGAGAATTTCAAAGGCGGAGAACCTCACATATATTTTACACACACCCGAGGCGATTGATAAAGCGATAAAGATTGCTCTTTACCACCGTTATACCAGCTTGGCGGAAAAAATGACAAATATTAAAGAGGTATTGATTTGCACGGAAGAAAAGGGCAGGAATTAGAAATTGACACTTTCATTTTCCTCTATCTAGGCCAAGTTTATTGATGGACAGACAATACACCACAAAACATTACAAGATTCAATCTCAGAACTTCCTACTGTGTATGGATCTACTAAGCCTACTCTAGAAGGAGATCTTGCATTTGTTAAAAGGGAGAGGGAACAAAACAGTAATAAACGGGATATGGTGGATGCAGACGGAGACGAAGAAATGATGGAAGCCCGCCAGACTGCCAAAAGACCTAAACCATTTCGATTTTCTAACCTAGAAGATTAACTGAAAAATATCTCCAAACGATATCGACTCTTATATATTGGCATTATGTACTAATTTATCTAATACTTTTCACACAATTGTAATATAATAAAATTGCATTTTTCAAAACTTTATCAAATTGGTATTGAAGCAAATACTTGTTGTGTCGAGGCCAAACGTTTTAGCATGTAACGGTTTCAGATAAGAATCTTCGGCATATAATAGTATACCGGCCTAACACTCCTCTGTTCGCGCTAAACCCGACATAGAAACTTTAGTTGTCACCAGTAAACGGGAGAAATAGAACAATAATTAATATTAATGCTATAGCTTTGCGGCTTATGCGCTCACTCCATCCTAACTCAATTGTGTACATTGAGGAGTAATCTAATAATATTAACAAACATTTGTTGCGTAAATAGCCTACAAAACCGACCTTATAGGGGCTCCAGCCAACTCTAAGGACATGTTCAATTGTGTGATTCACACGGATGGCTTTGCTGTCACTTTCTTTTTTGTCAGGGCTAAGAAAAAGAACAGTGACATACCTTTGCTTACACTTGAAGATTTCACTCGCGATGAAATTGAACGGTACTTCGTACCGGTTACTGTGGATCCTGGTCGCAATCAAATATTCACTGCTGCTGTAGGCTACGACAGCGTTCATCATCAAGTTCGCTCATGTAGCAAAGAGGAACGAGCCAACATTGCTGGTTACACCAGGCGCGCAAAGAGGCAAAGAGACGTCAATGCGGCCAAAAATATGCTTACTATTGCAAATTTCGTATGGGAACACAATGGCCACTCTGAAATTTTCTCTCACCATCACCATAGCGAAAATGGTGCTGCAGGTTCTATACCGACGGCTTGAAGAATTTTACGTGTTTAGGTGAGTTTATCTTGTGAAATTTCTCATTGTACATTTCGGAGGTTTTATTAACTGCTGCTTGACGTTACTACATACTCAAACAGGGTAGATATTCTGTGCTTTGGCACAGTATATTTACCTTGTTTGAGGAATAGTAGTTCGCACATTTGGCATTGAGCATTTAGACAGAAAAGGTATGATCCCAAAAACTATACTTCTCATCCAAAATATTTCTTAAACTAGTCTGAATTTTAATTGTAACATAGTCTCAATTTAATAGCCATTTCGTGCGAAAGTCTAGCGAAAAAACAGTATTGCGGTCCGAATTGCTGGCCGGGTCAACCCCGAAACGTGAAAATGTCAATCCTTTGTATTAAAATCAACAAAGGCAATATCATTTGGAAGCTTCTTTAATCGTATTGTATCCTTCGGGTTAAATCGTTACTTGCGAAATAAAACATTCTTTTCCTTCATCCATCTATCTGATCATCAACCATGTCTGCCGAACTCGCTGTCGTCTACGCCGCTCTCATCCTTGAGGATGACAACATTGAAATCACCGTAAGTTTGCAATGTCCAAATGCTTATTGCAGTCCATAGAATTAGAACTAGGGAGATGCCGATTTGTTTTGCAGCCAACAAATATTCTAATAACGTGTTTTGTAATTCAACGATTTTAGGCTGACAAGCTCCAAACTCTTGTCTCTGCTGCTGGTGTTGAAGTTGAGCCTATCTGGTTCTCTCTCTATGCTAAGGCTCTCGCTGGTCAAGACCTCAAGGCCCTTCTTATGAACGTTGGTGCTCCTGGTGCTGTCCCTGCTGGCGGTGCTGCTGCTGCTGGCGGTGCTGCTGCTGGTGGTGATGCCCCTGCCGAAGAAGAGAAGGCTGAAGAGAAGGAAGAGTCCGACGATGACATGGGCTTCGGTAAGTTGTTGACACTTTACACTAGTGATATAACTGCAATTAACTTACCTGTACTTTGAAATTTAGGTCTTTTTGATTAAATAAGCCATCAACTGCAAAAGATAGATCTTTGATGTTTGTATATAATGAGGATATCTAACAGCATGCTTTATTGCTTCTGTGTATATCTTACATTTATGAAAAGAATAAATTGCTGTGGAGACACTTCATTATATATTGAAGCTCACCCCTAAACATACAAAGTAGAAGAGGAAATACATGACAGTTTTTCGGTTTTTTTCTGCGATCTGGGAAGATAAAGAAAAACTATTGAATTTTCGCTGGAGTGTGCCAGAGAAAGATCCATAAACATTACGCTATAAGTGATGTTGATTGCTAATAACTGTCACGTAAAAACGAACGGTCGTCCGCTCAATGTTGATGACGATATTGGAATAACCGAATTCAGTGGTAATCCACTGAAATGTATAAAGCTTTGGTTTTATCGGACCAGACATTCCGTTTAAAGCTATTGTTGTTTAGTGACAGCGTCCGAGCAGCTTATTTCAGAGTACCTTGTAGGTTAACCATGTGCGTACAAAAGGAGGACATTTTGTCCTCGGGTTGAATGATACAGACAATACAAATCTGTCGTTATTTAAATTATATTTTGCTGGTTTCGCACAATTTTATTCATGATACAAGTGGATTTACGTCTTTTCCCCTCTTTCGTGAGTACGAAGCTGCAAATTGTCAACTGGCAATTTTTATAATATGCAGCTGAATCTAACGGAATGCATACAGATATCAGCAAAAGAGGCATTAAACAACCCGCATTTTTCATCGAACTATAAGGAGGAGGCAAATGCAATCATTGGTTATAACCTTTGCAATGATAAACAATACCCAGTTTCAATTGATTTAGTTGAACACATATCAAAAATTTGCCACATATATTTTCATGAACTCATTAAAGGAAGTGGCCTCTATTTTCCTGTCAAAGAAGTGAAACCGCAAGTAAGTTTTGTGTTTTCTAGTCAACTGTAAGCTTACCCTAAGAAAAATTATCCATTTGAAGGACCCAGCATTTGTAGAATATATGACGAACTTACGTGCAAAGCAACAAGAAAGAGAATACAAGAGCATGATTGCAGATGTTATCAGTTCTAATGATCAAAAGTTCAATTTGGGAATCCAATCAAACGAATTAAGAGAAGTGAAAACTCATATTGCTACCATATTCAACATTTTATTTTCAATGGTCGCCGTTTACATTGCCGTTTACAAAGCATCCACGACGATGGTGGATGATCTTGGCTGGGTACATCGGTTCTGACTTTGCGAGTAACACGTTATTGTTGCAATTACTAACGTCCATTTACACAATTATATAGCGAGTTTTATTGGCACTAGGTGGCGCTTTTTTTATTGGTATCGTTGAGGCGATTTTGTATGCGAACTACGTTCACACTGCTGCATCAGACAAGGGGAAGAAAAAGAAAAAGAAAAATAGATTAACTACACTGTAAATATATTGAGGTGAAATTCAAATGTAGTGGCAAAGAACTTTGCAGATATCGTAAATCGAAAATCATCTACGGTTACTATTCTCATATTGTTCGATCACATCATCAGCTTCATCAAACCCTTCATCGTCATATCTCTCCAAATCTCTGAGAGGCTCATCATCATTCTCCGAATAAAACTCTTCATCGTCATCGTCCTCATCTTCGGTAAGTGAGTCATCATCGTCAGGTCGTAGGGGTCTAGTTTCAGGATCCAGTTTCAAACCACCCATTGTCAAAGATATTTCATCAGCTAAGCTTTCACTTGGCGTTGATTTACTCGTTTCTGCGCTTTCTCGCACAAGTTCCATCTTTTTCTTCAGGGTCGCCAGTTTTCTATCCTTTTCATAGGATTCCTGCAGTTTGAGTGACTCATCTAAGCCTAACATACGCGTCTTCCTCTATAAAATCCAAAAATTTCAATCTTAAGAATATATCCTTATAGTGCTATATTGTTTTGATTGATATACCCCAAGCGTTACATTATCCTCAGAATCACTCATTGATGAAGATGCATTTTTTGAGGCATTCGCTTTTAATAAACTTGAAGACATATTTGATTCATTAGAAACCTCGTTCGACTGGTTTATAATTTGTTTCCGCATATTTGGTCGTTTATTATCAGCTAAGGAGAGATGAGATACACCTTTCGTAATATCAGCCGCTTTCGGCTTCAATAATTGTTGTAGTTCTTGTAATCTAGCTTTAAGTTTCTTTCCGCCATCAGGTAGCTTGATATTTCTTTGCAAATAGATCATTAAAGCACAAAGTCAATAAGATTGATTACGGATGAGTACGGAAGGCGCGATTCTACAATCTTACGGATTCTGCAAAAGTGAGGCGATCTTGTCGCATTGATCTTGTAGATCTCTTTCTTTCTCATTACTAGTCGAAGACGGCTGTAATGGTGATTTTGTTGACTGATAGTTTTGTTGGCTTGCTCTTTTATGCTGATTATTCATAACGGTCCAGTTAACGTTGTATTTTTCAATATCCAAAAAAAAAGGGAAAAAAAAAAAAATAGTCGTAGAACTATTGCATGAATGCAGTTGAAGGCGGAGTCGGTCGAGGCGCAACGAGAATTTCACGCATCCTATAGACAACATCTGCTATGTTCATTTATTTGTTTGTTTGCCAACTTTCAATTTTGCCCATTGAAAAGCAAGCTTTTTGAACAACTCTGTTAACATTTGAAAGGTATCCAAACAAAAGGTTTTCCACACTCTAACCCTCTTATCAAACTACTGGAATTAATGCCTGCATGTGTACCAAGAATTACAAAATAAACTACAAGGCAGCTGGAACAGGAAAGATTCAAGCATTCCACAGGAGCATATAGAATATAATACATTCTCTGTATTAGGCTGTCCTCTTTCTCTTCTTTTTCTTCTTGCTTCTACCTTTCATGCACTCAATCATTATTCATAATGACAAAAATCGGAACAGCACAAAATAGAATAATCTTTCGAGACGAAGCCCTCTGTATCTACTGGAAAATGGAATATAGCCAAGCAAATATCGCTTTTTGTAAGAAGAGGTTGGCTGAAATGGATCCCGGAGGAATTCTTTGGCTTTGCTACAGTGACAATCCCGAAAAGCCCACCCTAATTTCAGCTAGTTTGTTTGAAAGTAAGCCTGGTGTATATCACTTGTATCCTACATTCGCTGCGCCTTATTGAGAAACCATTCCCCTCAAACACTGGTAGCCATCGAGAAATTATCTCACTGGCAAACTTAATTACTATGCTCCTTCTTAGAATAATTCCTCGAATATTTAAAATGTTCTTAAATAAATTGTAGGAAATCAGCCTCAACAAATCTAGACTTTAAGCCTTCAACTACCTTTTTCTTTTGTTCGAACTTTCATTGGATAGCTTACGATTGAAAGCTTGAACAATACTATATGTCTTTCACATTTATGCGAATATAGTATCTTTGTGCACTAATTTATAGCAGGGACTTCAACATGTCTGCAAAACTAGACAAAGGAAGGCTTCATTGTCGCAGAAAATGTACTTTTTGACTGCATTATTATACAAAGGTGGCTTGAAGCTTTCCATTTTGATTGCTATCATTATCACTATTATTAAAACCTTCGTCTGTAACAGCATCGCCATCATCTTCAGCAATAATTTTGTTGCCTAGTTGCTTTTGATTCTTTTCCAGATATATTGATTTTCTCTCTCCTGTTACTACCTTGCTGGTAATAATGACATGTTTAACAGTAGATGCTGGGGTATCGTACATAGGGTCCAACAACAAGTTTTCCATAATTCTCCGTAAACCTCTAGCGCCTGTCTTCTTTTCAAGTGCTATTTTTGCAATATTATTCAAAGCAGATCTGCTAAATCTAAGATTGACCTACAGTACTCCCCGACTTAATATTACTCTGATTATAGTTACAGCAAGTCACGTAAAGTGTCTTTTACCTTATTCAATGAGAATAATCCTTGATATTGCTTTAGTAAGGAATTTTTAGGTTCTGTTAGAACTTTAACCAGGTCATCTGATGTCAGGTTATCCACAGAGGCAATCACAGGTAATCTTCCAACAAATTCAGGTATCAAGCCATACTGGATAAGATCTACGATAACGGTAGTCAATGATAGCTCTATGTTCGTATATATCCTTATATACCTGATGGTTCGGTCAGTGTCAATGGTTGTACAGCTCGCTTTCTGCCATCATGAGATTCCATTTCAATTTTGTCATTTTTGTCTCCTTTCCCACTGATAAGCGCATCAAAGCCTATTGACTATCAAAAATATTAATGTATGCACAGTTAGAAACCAAATTGTTCAGTAGCTTATCGTTCCTATACGCATCTTTTACTCACCCCTTTGGCTACTCTGTTTTGTATTATCTTCTCCAATCCAACAAAAGCACCACTCAATATGAATAATATGTTACTGGTATCCACAGAATAGGTTTCGCCTTTTCCATTACTTGTGGCTGATGTAGGATGATTGATGTTATTTCCAGGTATGCCAGGCATGCTAATTCCTCCTTTTCTGCCATTATCACCGCATTGACTACCATTTCCACTAGCACTTGTACTGCTTCCATTGGGTGGTCCATGTTGATGATAGTGCTGGTGGCTATTAGATTTTTCAGTTATATTCACAATAGTTCCTTCCAACATACGTAATAGAGATTGTTGTACACCTTCGCCAGACACATCTCTTGCATTGGACATAGTGTCCGATCTTCGTGCAATTTTATCAATCTCGTCAATAAATACAATACCCATTTCTGCTTTTTTCACATCATAATCACATGCCTGCATATATGTAAAGATATGAAGCACGGGATCAGTACAATAATTGCATATGTTGATTTTATAGTAACTAATATCCTCAATTACCCGTAATAATCTTTGAATGACTAGCTCAACGTCTTCTCCAACATAACCTGCTTGAGTGAAAGGTGTAGCATCTGACATTGAAAAGGGGACCTGAAGTATTTGGGCTAGTGTTCTAGCCAACAACGTCTTGCCCGAGCCGGTTGGGCCAATCAATATGACATTGCTTTTATCATACATTATTATTCTGTTTTTATCGTCTTTGTCCTCCGCTATAATTGCATCTCTTGTCGTTTGATCGTGTAGTTTGTTTATTATTGCTGCTCCGGATGAGCTGTTAGTTGTCTGAGGGTTCTCCCAATTTCGTCGATATTGTTGTTGACCTAAGTTATGATGATTTCATAAGCAACCCTTATTATGAACTGATACTGTATTCTATACACATACCGTTAGCAGTGTTTTGATTGGCGGATGGCAGTCTGTCAGCAGGTACAAAATTGGATCCCATGCTTTGTATTGGTGTATTACGGTTACCTTTCTCGTGATAATATTCGTAAGGTAAGGTTGGATGGTGATGCTCGACAAACAATTGTTGCTGTTGTTGCCGTTGACGTTGGTACTGTTTGTGCTCTTGTTGTTCGTATTGACGCATCACATTCAATCTGACTCTGTTATAGTGATTGAATACTGCTACCGCTAATGTTTTTTTAGCCTTAACCTGACCGATAACGTAATCATTCAGATGGCTTACAATAGTTCTTGGATTGAATACAACGCTCGAGTCTAACTTATGAAAACGTCGTCGCTGAAATACGTTACTATGCAAGGCTTTATTCATATGAACTAATGTGAGACGTGAGGAAGATTGATGGAAGAATCTGGACTCCATGGTATGTTTGCAAAAAAAAAAATAATATTGAAAAAAAGCGACGAAAAATGAAAGAAAGAAATACGGGGCAATGAAAACTAGAGAACGTTGAATTTATGCTATTGTAAATTAACGTGTAACCATTTGCCAGTTCTGTTCCTTCAACTTAAATCTTATCTTGGAGATGAAAGTGAGTTTCTCAAGCATCTTCTTGAATGCATCTTTGCTATCATCTTCGTCATCATAAAAGTCATTCAGCCAATCATATCCGTATAAGTCTTCTGCTACTGCGAGCAAATCTCGACATGACTTTCCGCTTTTATTATTTCCTTGGTCTTCATACAATATGCCATCGTAGACAGCTGCAGCAACAATAGCTAATCTCCTATCATAATCTCCATTTGGATCTAAAAATTGCTGTAAATAGTAATCTGGGCATTTTCCATACTGCTCCGTTAGAAGTGCTAATAAGGCTAGTGATGCCTGCAGTTTGTTCAACATCAAATGATATTTATCCATACTGTTATCACTTATAATATTGCCGCTGCCGCTGCCATCACTACTATTGCCTTCATATTGATGGGATAATACTGCACTTCCTTTGCTCAAAGCCAAAGCAAACATTCTACGAAGAATAGACAAGTATTCCACTTCTCGATCCAGTTCAATGTCGTAATGAACGTCGCTGGCTTCAGCATCTTCTTCACCTTCATCCTCACTACTACTATTACTGGTACTGCTGTTTTGCTGACGTTCACTCAATATGGTTTGCTGAGGGGCAAAAGTTTGGCGTGCATTAATACGGTTATGGTATTCATTGTCGCTATCTACAAAAAGCTGATAAAATGCACTGGTCTCGCTTAATGTCCTGAACAAGTCGGTAATATCGTCTGTAGTCGGAACTGTATTCGTTGTAGTGTTTATATTGACTTCTTCTGAGTAGTTAAAAGTATCTGATTGGTTCGTTCCTTCGACTATAAAAAAAGCATTCTGTCTAAATAGTGGTATTGGCCCAAAACTATCGTCGATGAATGGCATTCCAAACGATTCCTTGAATGGCAGTGGTTTTTTTTTCTTTTTTATATGCGAAATAGCAGAAAGATCAAACAAAATATTCTGGAACAGCTGAACCAAATAAAAAACTGAAAGAGGAAAGGCATTTTAAACTTCGCTTTTGCATAAATAAAATCTAACTTCAGCTTTCCCTTTATCCTTCTGAACAAAGTATGTCTAGCCTTTGCTTAACCTTAATATACTCATTTACACGCTTGTGATAAAGTTTTGGCATTCCGCTTCAGAGTACTGTTTGAAATATCATACAGTTCTGCAGACGAGTTAGACGTTCCTGAACTGATAAAATATGGCTCCGACTGCACTTCTCATCTAATGAAAATCTTCTTTGCAAAGTATTTGAACCACCTGGCAACCGTCTACCGTACTATATCATCTGCTAGTTGAGCTAATCATGAGAATATATGTATCCCCGAAAAAGACGGATCGTTTTGGTTGCGATGCATTTTGCTAGCGTTTCATACTTATTGTAACAGATTGTTGATTTATCATCCCATATTTATGCAGTAAAACAGGAGGGAGTTCTCCAAACATACCCTCTTCCATCAAGACATTGATCTCAAACTAACGAACAATTCATAACCTTTTTCCAACAAAAGGCTATCAGTAAACGATACCTTTCAAAGTAATAAACCAAATGCTGTATTGTAATAGACAAGCGAAGAATAGAATACAGGAGAGAAATAAATGAAACTAAACTGACAAAATATAGAGAACATGAGCACTTCCTTTACAATGTCGGTTTCTAGCCCATTGTTCTAATGAAATTTACAAATTACAAAAAAGGCCGATCTAGTTAAAAACGACCTCCGCGGCCACCACGGCCTCCACCGCGGCCACCGCCACGACCTCCAAAACCACCACGACCTCCTCCACGTGGGGCACCACCTCGACCACCAAATCCTCCGCGGCTACCGCCACGACCTCCAAAACCACCACGACCTCCTCCACGTGGGGCTCCACCTCGACCACCAAATCCTCCGCGACCTTGATTACCAGTAGGTTTACTCACTAAAAAACCGAAAATACGTTAGTTTAGTCTATGGTTGTTCTTACTTGATCAAAAGCTACTACCCAATCATTTCTAAATTTAATTTACCTTTTCCAACAGTCTTTGGCTTTGGCAAGAAACGCTCCATTGGTAATAGTTTATCTGTGCCGATATACACTTTATCATCAGGTTTGAAAGATTTAGCTACCATTCCTTCTTGCATTTTGACAGTAAAATAAACTTCATTTAAAGGGCCTAAAATTTCATCTACTTTGCCAATTTGCGATTTGTTTTCGAGGAAAATAGGTGCATTGAAATACGGAATCTTTGGGTTAATTGATTTGCAAACCATTTCACCTTCACAGGCATGCATAAAGGACCCCATGGCTGAGGAGCGGACGAATACAATAAAAAGTTGATTAGTTTACAAAAAGTAAAATAGTTGTCAAATAAGAATAGACGTACGAACTACTTCAGCAGGAGGACCTTGTGAAGCGCCACCAAAGCCTCCGCGACCACCTCCACGGCCTGTGCAAACACGAATGTAAGAATTGCAAAAGTGAGTTGAACAACGTTTAACGAGTCATTGTTGAAAATTGGTTAGTCTTGAATTTCTTACCTCCACGAAATCCGCCACGACCGCCGCCACGGCCACCACGTTCACCAAATCCACCTTTACCCATTATAAAATGTTAATAAATGTTGTAGTAAACCAATTGAAGGGTTAGGGCTTTTCTTGGTTTTTTTTTTGGAACTGACTGTATCAAATCAAAAGAAATATATTCTAAGCCATGGTGACTGCTTAAAGGATATAAGCAAGATTTCAAATCCATTGTTACCGACAGTATCATTATCGACATATTGAGTTCCTTATACGTTCAAGTACCAGGTATATTACAACGCATGCCATAACTGATGTTCTTGTGTTCTTGTTGACAATTTCTATTGCTCGCATCATGATATGTTGCATTCTCTTAGGGTTGCTTTTTGTTAGACGTTTTAATTCGAGCGTTTCGATTTTTAAGCCCAGTCTTTTGATCCAGCTTTGTGTGTGTGAGTCTCATGCGCTTGAGCCAGCAGGAATGGGAAGAGCACTATTTTTCTAAAAGTGGGGGCCGAAAGGCCATCCATTCCTCCTCTTATTATCCTTTATTCATAATGGTATGTTGCATCCATCCATCCATCTAATATACCATATATGAATGTTGAAGAATTGTAATTATACTAAACCTTATGTCTCTGCTTTGATTGTTTTTACATAACATAGGTCAAGCGTACTAAGAAAGGTAAATTTCTCTTTCAACATTGAAGACACATTCGTTAGTGCGACCCATGTAATCGAACTACTTTAGCTAATCGAAATTCACATTTTGTACATTTTAGTCGGAATTACCGGTAAATACGGTACCCGTTATGGTGCTTCTCTCAGAAAGACCGTTAAGAAGATGGAAATCACTCAACATTCCACTTACACCTGTACCTTCTGTGGTAAGGACGCTGTTAAACGTACTGCTGTCGGTATCTGGAAGTGTAAGGGTTGTAAGAAGGTCTTAGCTGGTGGTGCTTACTCTGTTTCGTAAGTATATCAGCTTGATAAGGATTAGACATTGTTAATTATGATTTGTTTGAATTAACTCGTCTTTATCAAAATTAGCACTGTTGCTGCCGCTACTGTCCGTTCCACCATTCGTCGTCTCCGTGAAATGGCCGAAATCTAATGGATATTCACATATTTACGTGTTTTTCTTTCGCTGAATACATTTACAAACACACGCCAAAGACACATAATATACAGATCATTTATTGATACAACGACCGATGCCAAATTACATTTATTGAATAAAGTGATTTTGGACGCACAACAACAGATTACACGCAATGAAAACGTTGAGAGAAGTGAAAAAAAAAGAAAATTTTGTTGATCATCTTTCGCTGAGATCCGAACACAATGCAGTTCATGAGTATAGTTTTAAAAATAGTTGAACTATCATTGAGAAAACGATTATGCTTTTTTCTATTAGACAACTCGAGACTGCATCTTAAAAAATCCCTATGCCTCTGTATTTTTTGTAAAGACATGGCGCTACGTAAATGTAACAAGCTCCTTAACTTCTGCAATAGGTACTGATAGTGTATGTTTTACTTAACGGAAATATGGATGTAAACGAAGGTGAAAAGGATAATGGTTATTATTGCTGGTAGATATCCAGCAATGCATTTAGCACGTATTGAAGATAAGGGGAAATGATGCAATGCCATAACTATTGAGGCAAAGTGCAGTTGGAGGGATGTTGATTTCATACAATCTAAAGATATCAGAGTTAAGTAAAAATGGTTTCTAGCCATATTTTTTTTAGACTTGCCACATATTACTCTACATTCAAGTATAACCAAAAGATAAACCGTGAATTAACACCTTTTCATGCCGAAGCATAAACTTCTAAGCGATATAAATATAGTATTTTTGAAATGGCTTTTACACAACGTAATTGATGTTTATCTTTTCGTTGCAACAGTTCGCAAAGCAATGCTGTTCCTTTTCAATCACGTTATATTTGCTATTTTCTATCAACCATGTTTTTACTGTACATTTTTGTAGTTTCCATAACTGCTACTAGGAATTCCTAATATATCCAAACAGGGAGGGTATCATGTGCCTTGGCACAGTATATTTGCCTTGTTTGAATATGATTAGGTCGCGCATTTGGCATTCAACGTCTTTACAGAAAAGGTGTTCCCTGAAACTTATCTTCCAAAGTTTATTAAATTAATCTAATCCAACGCGCTCCCGCGTGTTGCTAAGGGCCTACTGTAAGGACGTCCCAATTTGTTAGCTCTCTCGTGCGAATGCTAAGCGAAAAAAAAAAAAAAAAACCAGTAATGTATAGAATGAAAGAAAAGATGAACGCGTTCTTTCAGTTCCCGCTTTGCGCTGTATTCTTCTGCCCCTTAAATTTCACATGTTGAGTAGATAAAGCAAATACATTATTTTGCTCTAACAATTGACTTTTCTCTAGTTGTCTTCTGTACGTGATATTATATCCCAAACCACTATAAATGTCCAACACAGCACTCAAAGACTTTGTCTTTATCGGTGAACTACATACCGATATACTTCGTAAGTACAAGGATTAAGCTGTGTTGCCTTATAGTCTATTGATCAGATCTAGATCTAACTTTTCCCAAATCGCTCGCTGCATAGATTCCGCTGGAGAGGACAACGCTAATACCGTAATAGAAGGTATGAAGGAACTACGCAATGTTGCATGCTTTTTGCTTTTCTCTTTGTTGCTCAATTAAAGCGTAAATTGGTGTATTAATTGATTTCATACTTGCTTAAGTAGGCTTTAGTCTATTCAGAAAGCTATCTGTGTCCACCAATAAAATTGTTGACGTAAAATTTACTGTAACAGCTGTTGTCAATACAGCTGCTATCAAACTCAGTTATCTGGGCAATACTGTCTGGCAAGCGTAAGTGATTCTCAAGGCTTGAGAAACTTCCTACACATGAACTTACGCACTATTTTTTTAACTAGTGCTAGTGTTAATACGGATGATAACGAACTCAGGCACTTCGTAAATTATATATTCGGGGATAAGGTCGGATCTCTACATATCAACTAAAAGCTGAAAGAACTTTCCATTATCATTTTCATTCCTCTAACCTCTATACTATAGTTTAATGAAACTGGATTATCAGAGAAAGCTCTAGTAGTCGATATTAGCAAGCCTGAGAACCCACAGCAACAAGATATGCCAGATACAGACCTTTGTAAGTAAAAATCTTTGCGAATGGGTGGTAAGAAAGGCTGCCAATTAGATGGGAAAAAGAGGCTAAGTACTCCATCTAGATTCAGAACTTGATTCACTTTTAGATAACCATGATCTTCACTTGTGTATTGTTGGCGTAAAAGATTCCAAAGAGGAGGAATCGGTTACAATTTATGCACGCCAATGGCTTGATGGTTTCGGTATTTATCCAGCCTTCCGTATGCCACCCGTGAAGCCTGATATTGACACAGAAGCAATTACTGAAACCGTTAGAACAATTTTTAACGGACCTGCTTCTACAGAAACAGAGGAAATGTCGATAACGACCGCTGAAGAACATCCATTACCGGTACGGACATCCGTTAAGCGGACCCATTGTTCAGAGGAGGAAATGATTCGAAAGAGATCCCGAACGGATGAGACGAAGAAAAAGATCGTCATACCTCGTCGTCTGCGATTACGCAGTCCTCAATCGCTTCAACGACAAATTAACAAAGAAGTGGCAGTTAAAATTGAATCACCACAACGAGACGCTAATTTCCTGGCAATGAAAAGCCAGCCACAACAACAAGAAACCAAAGATGTTCCTAGGAAAAGCAAGTCAACGAGCAATGAGCAAAAACTTACCGAAAAAAGACAACCAACTGCAGCAGGATCAGAAACAAATAGAAATGATACTTATAATGATAACAAATCGGTAAGCTGTCTTGAGGAATTGACTTTATCGTCTCTATTATTTGCGATACAGTGAACGCCGGACGTAACAATTTACTTTTGTAAATGTTAGCTGTTGAAGATGCTGGTGAAACGTCAATGCAAAGAGCGTGAACTGAAGGATGAGACACTTGAAAATCTGGTCTATGCTGGGGTTAAGCATTCTTTAGTAAGTAACAAATATGGCTATACGTGCGCCTTTTTGAATGCTTAAATGTTGATATCGTGCGTTAACCGTTCGCACTCCTACTATTAGAGATACGCAATGCAACGACAGCGTTTGAACGAAGACAGACTTTCGCCGTTTATCATGTCGCATATCGATTTTTTTAGGAATATGGAAAGCATGGGGAAGTCTTTCTTCTAATTATTCCTTTTTAGAAAAGTTACCCGTTCAATTCTTCATTTTACCAAACCATACAAAATACACTTATCAACTACTGGATACCCGAACTGTATATCGCACAATAAAGTAATTGTTACCACTCTGCAAAACTGTTAGTCTTTTATTTATCTATCATTTTTATGTTTGCGAAATTCCGTTGCAATATGACTAAAAACTGAACAGCTGTTGCTCAAATGTAAATTAAATTTTTATCTTAGCGCATACAGTAATAGATAGAATACTAGATATAGGGTACTGCTATTTCAAGAAGCTTTTTATAAGAAGGTATCCGTTTTTTCCCCTTTTTTTACATATTTTCCAGCAGTCAATCATTTCAATGGCAATCATATAACCATACATTTCTTCTTTTTTTTTTTTTTTTTTTTTTTGATGGGATTGAATGGAATATGGATTGAATGCAAAATGATTAAATGGATTGGAATAAATAAACATGGTAACATAATTTATATATGTGACAGTAAATATACAAAAGTAATGTGAATTGCGATGTAAAATAAGATTAAGTTGATGATAGGGGCATTAGCATTTATATAATAGATGAATTTATATTTCTCATCCAGGTCGTGGATAGAATAATAATGTTTGCCCACGTTGCGGGTGCTGTTGTTGTACCTGAGCCTGCTGTTGTAGCAAAAATTGCTGATGTTGTTGATGTTGTTGATGTTGTTGTTGCTGTTGTTGCTGTTGTTGCTGTTGCTGCTGCTGTTGTTGTTGTTGTTGGAGTTGGTGAAATTGTGGTTGCTGTTGTAACTGTTCTTCTCTCCTTAGCCTTCCTCGTTTAAACGGTGGTTCGTGCGTAGGATCAAGATTTAAAGATCTTCCCATGAATGAGAACTCGGAAGATGCTACTCTACGCTTGTTAGCAAGATGATCTTGAGCATTGTAATCAGTCGTCGGACCCCAAAGTCCGTCAACAGATCGAAATTGTTGTTGATGCGCTAAAGCCGGCACATCTTGAATAAAAGTAAACTGGGTATCTGGATCAATTTGAAATGGATAATTTTGTTGTTGTACTTGTTGGTTGACGGTAGACTTCTGCTGTTGTTGTTCTTCTAAACCATTGGTAGAAGATCGCACGGTTGAGTGGGTACTATGATTATTTGAGTTAGGCGCTGTTGATGTTGAATTTTGATGAACAGAATTGGATTGATTACTAGCCACATTACTAGTGTTATTGCTCATTTCTAAATTGAGTTGATTGTTCTTCTCTCTTGCAAAAGTAAGAACATCTTGCACAGGAACAATTCCGTTCTCAGGCTGTGCACTCAACAAAAATTCATACAAATCTTGAAGAGCCTGTTGATAACCTGATGCGTAAGCCTTTCTATTCTGTACAAGCGAGTCTTTGTAGAGTGTTGTCACTTTCAAAGCAGCTGCTTTGAATGAATCCATAAGTGCATTTTCTGTTGATCCATAAGAATCTAGTATATTGAGTTGTTGGGAATTTTCCATTACTTATTAGATGAATGGGAATGCTCTAACGTTGAAGCTTTAAAATTATTGATTTGAAAGCTTTTATATATGAGAGATGTCGCAATATAGTATCAAGCACAAAACAAAAGGAAAAAAAAAAAAAAAAAAAGATGGCCGACGAGAGAGTAGTTTCCTCTAGTCATGACTATCCTTAATGGAGGCTGAGACAAATATGAATGGCGCTGCGTATCTTTAAATGTTCAACATACGCTAAAGAATTGAGAAACATAGACCGATAAATTTTAGAAAAACAGTAAATGTAATTTCTCAAATAGGAAACTAAATATCGACAAACACCATCATATTCAAAAGTTGGGCGGAAGCTTCCAATGGGTTCTCATAGGAACAAAGAGTAGAAGATGTACTTTTTCTATGAAGAACCCTTTTTCGTCAACTTGAATTAGCAATATGTAAGTCCATTATGCTTCGAAGACAATCTTCTGTTCAAATTATAATTTGGAAATAAGCAGGTTCACTGCCAAATATAAATTGTTGGTTTAGGAACACTCTTCTGAAGTTACTGGTGCCTCCTTAACTATCAAATTTTTAGCTTGTTATAAAAGACTTGATCAAGATGGATTAAAGGATTAGTGACACTGACGATCCAGGCCGAATTTTCATAAATTCTTAGTTATAGATCCCTCTTTCCCCATTACTTTCTCGTACTGTCAGACTTTTTGTATCTCTCGTTAACATCATTATTCCTCCTAAAGCAGTAAAAGCCATCTTGAGAAACAATTAGGAAGGAAGGAACGAGCGATAGATGAAGGTAATAACACTGCATGCCTTTAATTATTTTATGTTCTTCACAAAGACAAACGCGCGTCTCTAGTCATGTAGTGCGTGGAAGGGAGGATTTAAAATCTTTTTTTTATGCATTCTTCCGGTAGGAAAAAGACACAGCAGGCGGTAGAAAAAAATGATCATGAAACGAAGGTTGCGAAGATGAAGACCAAGGGAAGGAAGAGAATCACCGGTGCAAAGATATCAAGTCCATACATTTGTGGCTATGTTTATGTAGATATATAAAGTAAAAGTAAAACACACAATGAATATTTTTTTATTGCTGGAAATGGTCTGTCTGAAAGTCAGGTACGATATTGGGAATAGCTGCCAGAGACCTGAACTGGACAGCGATGATGTAGTTTGTACGGACATTGATGGCGATGAGCGGATCAGCCGGACGGCGGAAGAGGCAAGGAACATTCTGCTGGGTGTCGAAGAGCAGAAACGAGCGCGCGAACGAGTGGACACACACCCATGCCAAACTGTTTGAAAACCACCAGTCGGAAGATTCATTCGGCACCAGGGAGATTTGCGTCCACAGCAGATCGTATTCCTGGTCACCCAGGAATGTCGGCCATTGCGGGCGATGATCCCGCAGATTTATGAGCAAGCGCCATCGTTGGGCGGATCCCAAGCGATCGGCCATGGCAGGAGAAAGCCCGATGGCGAATGCCAAACAAGAGTAACCACACCAACCAATGGAATCAGGATCGTAGAGAGAACGAAAGTTGCTTCTCTCAATAATGGTGCCATACGTACTGTGATAGGCGACTGGTGGCTACTCTCCTTCGGAACAATAATAATGGAGAATGTGGGTATCCTCAAGATCGATGCCGACATCAGATTCGTTAATGGCGGATCGAAGGATGGCATCGGAATGGAATTGTTGCATGTTGGATGAGGAATGTCGAGACATGAAAGTAGAGAAACTATTGAAAAAGTAAAGCACTATAAGAGCATGCGAGAAGAATAAAGAAATAAAGTAAATAAAGAAAACCCTGTTTTTAACCCGTGTTTAGTTCCCTAGAAAGAACGTTTCTTTTGGCTTCCTGTGTGATCACGAGGATAGTTTATTTTTGTAAGAAAAGTATTGGCTACTTTTTTTCATGATGAACAATGAAAACCATTTTTATTCGCTACACGTCTTTTTTTAGCGCTTTTCGAAGTCAGGAAGGGAATGTTTAAAAGGGGACGTAATCTCATTGCCGCTTTTTTTTTATTTATTTATTTTATTTCCTTTTCGCTTTTTTTCCTTTCAAGTTATAAACAAGAAAACCACAAGATGCTATGAAAAGGATGTTATGAAAAAAGATAGAAACCGGAAGGCAACTACTACTTATGCTGTGAGAGGGAAGTCGCACCATTTCGTCGTTTTTCTTTCTCTTTTTCATCCCCAAAACAACAACCACGCATGTCAGATTTGCCATTCCACTTCATTACGAACGCTGCCGATGTGGAAGATTCCGACATGCGCACCCATGTCATGAACGCGATCGGTGGACCCCAACATTTCGAATCCTATTTCACGCCGATGGAAGACGGTTGGTGCGGCTATGCTTGTTTAGTCTTTGCCGTGCAGGGGCAGCCGAGGAGCGCCCAACTCTTGGCGCGAGGCATCCGGTTCGCCATTCGTGATCACCTGATGTCGCATGAACAACAATGGCGTTCCGTGATGCCCGATCTGTACGATGGCATGGTGAATCGTGTTACTGTTAGTAAAATCAGTAAAGATAAGGTTTTCTCCTGTCTCGGAATGACTTTACGAAGATATGGTTGTTTATTCGCATCTAGACTTACAATTTTAATTTTTTCACGTGCCCGAATAAACTGCTTAAGCATCCTTTACCATTAACCTGAGTCCACCAATTTGATTCATATTGTTACTTTTATATTCTAGACGTTGTCATCTTGCAATCAATATATTGCTACTATTCGACAATTATCCATAGTCATTGCCCCTATTTATCGATAAAATACCAGAATTGTTAGACGCAACGAATAAGCGGAATTAATTTATTATAGTGTCTCTATGACCCTTACTAGAATATGAAAGCATATGGATGGAATTGTCCGTTGGTACTTGTACAGGTTTGGAGTTATAATCCACACAAAAAGTCATAATAGCCTCATATCTGTTCTAGCATTCAATCGTGTTGTGCAGCGCAAATATCATATGAAACTTCTGTAAAACTGGGCTGTTTAAGTGCTCCAAGCAAAATAATTTTCAACACGGAAGCAGTGTCTTTGAAAAGGTATCTTCCCAAACCCAATTCAATTGTGGAGATCGATAAGCACAAAAGCTTTGACTTGTCGACAATGAATACGAAAGAGAAGCTTGACAGCAAAATTTCAGAGCTTTCCATCTTTATTTCTGTATATTGCTAAATTACAAAATGGTATGTGCGTTCTTATGCGGAAGCCATTTCAAAATATGTTCCCTATATTCAACTCTTTTCGAATCTTTTGCAATCAGGCGGTCATGTATACAGAGGAAGGTTTTGGGCTATAACCGACATATATGTCTATAATATAGTTTAAACAATCCTTCCAAACCCATTATCTCTACTTTTTCTGCTGAATGTTGGCAATCCTGCTATTTGAAGGCTATATTATAAAAATTCAAATTTCTTTCCCATATCCTGCACTTCGATGATGTTGAATTTAGATTGGATTAAATCCTTTTCTATTCTATCTAGCCGCTCCTCTAGTGACTTTAAACACAATCCACAGTATTAAAATACACTCAATTTTAAAATAGCCGCTAGTGAATTTGCCTTACTCGTAATTGGTCGCTCATTCCTTCCTTCAACAGTCTATACTCTTCAGCTACCTCTCTTAACATGTGTTGCCTTTTTTTTAGTTTGATAGCAGGTTGATCTTCTACTGTTGATTTATTTTCAAACAATCCTTGCGGTAGTGTAGATACAGCAACCACTCGCTTGTCGTGTCTAGTTGACCCCCCTTCTATTAACGAAGTATCTTCATTATGAAAATGACTTTCTGCTGTACTCTCGCTACCTTCTTCATCTTCAAGCTTATCTGAAATTGTTGTTTTTGCAGGCTGAAAAGCGTTCAGATCAGGATCTATCATCACTAAATATTGAGACCTACTATATCGCCCTCAGATATAGGTTCATTGTGAACTGAGCTGCAGTTCCACCGAAGGAATCAAAGCGAGCAAATTACAATACCTTCTGAATCCATTGAACTGTATCGATTGTCAGAGACTTGTGAAAAAGCAGAAGAGGAATTGAAATCATAATCGACACTTGGATGGTTTATACTTTGCTGATCTGTATAACTAAAGAGCCTACTTTCAAATTCGGCTTCGGATGACAGTATTGACATTAATTCTCAATACTGTAGGTTCTTTGAGACACAATATTTTGGCTAAAGAAGTATTTGTAAAAATATTTACTTCCGTTGCTCCTTCTACTAAGCAAAAGGGAAACGATACTGTGAGTTAAAACAGTCTTTAGCAGGAGATATAGTCATAAAAACATCATTGCACTTTTAAAAATTTTAAAACGTCGCTCTTTCGGGGAGAGATGCCAGACTGTTTTGCCCAAAGCTCCAACAGCATCAACTATCTTAAGATGCCTTAAGTATTTCTTTTGAACTCCCTGCGATTGACTTTTCTTACGGTTGATGATGGTCTTTTTGGTCTTCACGCCAGCCTCTAGAGCTTTTCAAAATTTACACTGGAGAAAATATAGAAAGGCAGACTTTGAGTATCGCTGAATCTTTTGTAGCTTCTGTGAAGGCGTGTATCCATGGCTTTTTGTTTTAGTCCTTCTATTAGTGTGTCTAGCACGGCAGGCAGGTGCTTGTCCTTTTACATATTGAAGGAGATCGGCTAAATTTTCTACACATATCGATATTTTCTCTTCCATTGCATCATCTCCTGTTTAACAACGACTTTGTATCCCCATAGAGAAGGTAAGTACGCTAGTTTCAGCATTGTTTGGGATAGTTAAGAAACAGCCAATGGGACAACTCAAAATGATCAATTAAATCTCATTCATAAAATTCTGGAAAACAATAATTGCTTGCTAGCGGGTTGGGCCGAAACTGCCAAGTAGTGTATATCGATCTTGTTTGTTTCATTACTTCTCTTTTTCTTTTCCATCAAGTAGGTTATGACACAATTAGCCTTTTCACAGCAATTTGCCCATTTTATCGATATCTCTGTGTATGCATTCAACAGCTACTGAAGAATTATCAACAATAAAAGCAATGGGGCGTGTAGCCATGAAATACTTTCATCCCTTTTCGACTCTTATTAAAGGCAAACAGGAAGTGTGGAAGAAGATCTTGAAATGCACGATCGCCTATGAAATAGGCACTATCCTTGTTTTAATTCCTACTATCGCTAACGTTATTGGCAATCCACCCTATCTTGTACCACTGGGTGCTTTATTTTTTAATGCAAGCGGCACAGCAGGAAATCAAGTAGTCGAAATGATGCTAAATGTGGGAATGATGATACCCTGTGCAGTTTGGAGCGGTCTTGTCACTTTTTTTTGTACATTATATAATAGAGCTTTGCTCAGTAATCCTCATTTATACCACAACGGTGCAGGCTTTATTGGCGCAATAGGCTTTGCCATTTGTGTTTTTACAACAGCTTATGTTCGATTAAAATATCCTCGATTGCTTGTGCCGACTTTACAAGGGTTCACAATGCCTTTTTTTATCATTACTCTGGGAGCTTACAAAACCGATTACGATGTTTTGGAGACGATTCGAACGGTCTATGGATGTATTATTGGTGGCGTCATTGCTTTGATAGTTAATTTAACGATTTTTCCTGAAACAGCAGCAAAAGCAGCAGAGTATGCTTGTATCTATAGCTTTAAATGGCCGGCAATATTGTTCTTGTCTTAACTGTTTTATTCCTTATAGAAAATCTATAGGAAGCACAATCGAGTCTATCAAGGATGTACTGGCTTTTGTACATGAAGATTTGCTAAAAAATGACGATTCGGGTGTTATGACAGGTGACATTGCAGCTAGTACGAAGCTGCAAAATTTGAACGACAAACTCCAAAAAAATATCAACAATATGAGGACAGCCAGTCAAAATGCAAAATATGAGATTATTGTTGCTTATTTTTCCCCAAAAGACTACGTACCTTTAGCCAATTCTCTCAATTCATTATCTCACAACTTGTATGGATTTTCTTTAGCTATCAAACGAGAAGTGCGGATTATGATAGAGAAAAAAGTAAAAACTCATCTAGAAAATTTCGAAAGACAACGCAATAAGTGCGATTATAATACGACTACTGCACATAATATAGTTGAACATCGTGAAGGATCAACTTTGGTATCGACGAAACCTTTCGTTCCAACAGCTCCAATGCCTTTCTTATCATCGAACAGTGACGATAAGAATGATCAAGTGCGTTTGAGTATTTTATCTGATGATACTTTGCTACAACCTCGCGATTTTAGAAACATTGACAGACTACAAGCAGCTATTCAACCTTCGCTCAAAACATTTTTATCTTCCTGCATTACTGCGTTGAATCAGATTGAAGCTAAATTAGTAGAATACAAAGCTATCACTCTTCCGAAATCTGTAAAAGATAAGCAACCAACCTCATTCAATGAATCTGACCTTGACCTCGAATTTGATTTAGAACAATTTAAAGAAGCAGAAATGATACTGCAGGAAGACTACGATCGAGCAGATGCTCTTCCTTCAGAGGATCGCTTTTTAGTCTTCACCGTTATATTCACTTTAGTACAGTTCGGTAAAGATCTCATCCAGCTGCAAAAAGTTACCGATGACATGATTCTGAAGAGTAATCGAGGTAAAGCTTGGCCTTTTAGAATCTATTTACCTCATGTCCATCTTCAGAGCTGGCTCAGCCGTGGATCAGAGAACAAAGGACAGTCAGCTCCTGAAAAAGTTATTTTGGATAATCAAAGACTTCAGCAATCAAGGGGTAGCTTTTCAAATAGTCTTCATAAAAATACACGGCCTTTTTTCGAGGAAGAGGGTGAAGAAAAAAACACTACTACAGCAGCAACGGATGAAGAAGATGATATCGGATGTAGTGAAATATCACGTAGAGTGAGCCTCATAGCCGACCGTATACAGTCTATCCCAGATGCATTGCCAGAACAGGTTGAGGATGAGCTGCATAAAGCCGCTGAAGATGACTATGAGCAACGACATCGATTACATAGAGGAAATAGCGTACCATTGCAGCAAATTGAAGCAAAACAACGATGGAAAAGATGGTTATATAATTTCAACAAATGGCTGCAATATGGTCCTACTCGCTATGGCATCAAATTTATGATTACTTGCAGTCTGTTATCTCTGATGGCCTTCCTACCTATAGATGGTGTGAACAAATTATACAATGAGAATCATGGACAATGGGCTCTTTTATCGGCCATGGTAGTGTTCAACTACACAGCAGGCTCTACTGTCCTACAGTGCTTCTATCGAATTATAGCTACTATCATTGGCGCACTGGCCGGTTATATATGTTTATTAGCTGGACATAGAGATGAAAATCCATATGTTATTGCTGTTTTGGTGTGTATTTTCCAGATACCTATGTGGTATTTCTTGTTTGCTACCCGTTATCCACGCATTGGTTTCATTTCTATTTTGACACTGGCTGTTATTACCTCCACAGGCTATTTGAACAGTTTTGGTGAAGACGAATTTGCTCCTGCTTGGAAACGTACGGTTACTGCTTTCATGGCCATTATTGTGGTTATGTTAGTTGATCAGTTGGTTTGGCCTGTGCGTGCTTCAGAGCGTCTTCGTATTGCTCTTGCGGATCTGTTAATTGATACTGGTATACATTACTCGCGCGTAGCTTCTTTAGTATGCCAGGAAGATACCAACTCACATCGCTACCTGTCTACATTCCGTGATTGTGAAGCCACTCAACGATCTCTCTTGAATCATCTGCGTGTAGTCCGTGAAATGCTCTCGTTAGTCGAAAGTGAACCTAGATTTACGAAAGGACCTTTTCCTGGGAAGGAATATGCTGAAATCTTGGATCACGAGCGCAACATTCTTTTTTGGATATATCACATACAGAAAGCACAGTCATTGATTAGTCCAAGCGTACGAAAAATAATCATGCATCCAGTTAATTCTTACCGCAAGGAACTCGCAGCTGCTGTTCATTTGTATCTTTTTACACTGGCCTGCTCCATCCGTACCAAGTCATCTTTACCGGCTTCTTTACCTTCTGCCGAAATGGCAAGGCATATACTGCAGACGAAACGGGCCTCACAGTGGAAACAAAATTATGAAGAGTTATGCAAAATTTCAGCTGCTTCTGTTGCTCAGCGTAAAAGTGCGGAACATCAGGTATTTTGGCATACATACGCTGCTGGCTGCACTGAAGTAGTTATTGAACAAGAGGCGATGGGCGAGTTAGTGGCCCGATTAATGGGTCAACATGTTTTTACGGCCGCAACGAATGATTGGCTACGTGATACAACTATTTAATTCATACCCTTAATGTTTAACACTGCTTTTTGTTGATATTGTCGGTATTGGGTACTTAGACAACTAGCCGTACCGGTAATTTTTGCTTATATACATTTCCCTTTCTCTTTGGTTGGAATCTTTTGCAAGTTGTTTTATTTCATCCCATGGATATTAATTTTCGTTGCAAAATATTGAGATGACTCGTTTTATATTTATATATTATATATCTATTTACAAAGGGAAAAAAAGAATGAACAATAATATTCTTTCTCTTTCATTATCTTTCACCAATCTAGCCAAGTCTTGAAATATTCACAGTTCATGGGAGTGATGGGTCCGTCTTCCGAGCAAAAGTCAAACACTGGGCATTTCCCACACGGAACTTCAGTTAATGCTTCTGTTGGTAAACGACTTGCCACTTTTCTGATTGCTTTATAGGACCATTGAACCGAATCATCGTCAGCGTCATCATCGTCACTGAAATCATCCATACCAGCCATAAATGGTAATTTCTTCTCAACAACGCCATCATACACTAAAGCATCTAACAAACTTGTGATATCCTTCAATGACAAGTCCACTGATGAAATACGTGATTCTGTAATAAAACGTCGGACTTCTGTAGCTGTGGGGTAATGTTCATGTTCTGCGCTGAAAACTGCGTCATGTACACCTTCAATACGCGGAAAACTTCTGGACATGATATATTTTAGACAAGCAGCCTTTAAACTATCAATAAATTCAAGATCCAACTCTTGATCTGTATACCAAGCGCCACCTGTCACCTCACTTGATGGTTGTAAATTGAATAACATATAGATTTTACGGGTTGGATATTTGACATGCTTGACAGACTTAATTTCTTGTTTTTGTTCTAAAGACTTTAGTGTACGATTCAACACGATAGTGTGAAGGTTGGTCTTCTTCTTCAAATCTTTTGTCCAGATACCATGATTGCCAGCTGCTCTGATAGTATTGTACACAAGCCGTGCATCGTCACTTAGTTTGCTCGCCCTAAACAACAAGAATATATTAGCCCACTATAACTTTGAAGGGTTGTATTGAGGAGCTATTACTTTTCTGCATCTCTCAGATCGATCGCCTTCATCATATTCTCACCATTAACTTGCAGTACTTCCAAAGCATTCTATAACGGTTATGTAAGTTTCTGTTCCTATCTCTTCTTTCTAAAGTAGAGTTTTATACCTTTTTTAAAAGTGTATTCATAGCCATATGAGCATCTGTAACGGACATGTCCTCAGGACGATCGGTGAATTTGATACCCTAAGGTAAAAAAGTGTTAATGACCAACGTCCAAACAAAGCAATCTGTCAAAACTTTACGTTAGGTGAGTTGCGAACGAATTGATAGAATTTCCACTCATTTCCTGATAGACCGAAAGGGATTTCTTCCCCATTGACGGGATCAGCCATATCAACGTCCATTGCTACTTTTTATGTGCTGGCGAAAGCTATCTGGAGCAAATATAAAAATCAATTTTTTCCTTTTTTTTTTTGGATTCTAACTTTTTGAACTCCAGTCACCCTTCCATTGAACACTGCTGTTTCTTTTAGCAAATCCACAAGCGACCCGTACAACACTTATATAACTGAACGCAGATTTAAACCTGTTGATAGTGAAGAGATTGTTTCTACTAATAGAGCTATAATAATAGTAAAGGAATATATGAAAAAGCTGACACCTTTGCTTGTTCAAGTCTTAAAATACTAGTTGTATTGAAGATGGACTTTTCCAATACTACTGTTGATATATTCATGCAACCTTTGACTATCCGCAAATAGTAATCATCCTTATGTCCATCTACAATAGCTAAACTTCTGATTGTGAAGAGCAAATCATCGATAAGCTCCATTACGAGAGCAGTTTCCTTATCCTTCTTTATTCTGCCATCTCTTTGAAGTATATTGATAGTATAGTATATTATGTTTTTATGAGAAACTATTTTATGTAGCTTCACCCCTCATAGCTTAAGGAGTTATCCTCTATAATGTTTTGCGTCAACGCAGCAATTTAATCAATACAATGTAGTAGGCAAAGCGAAGCAAGAACGCGTGAACATAAGCATATTATCTAACTGCCGAATGGATGGCTTTCGTCGTTTTTCTATGGTAGCAATTCCGTGTCAATTTAATAATTACCTTGTGATTTGTTGAACTCAATATCATGTTACGGTATATCAGGAACATTTAGAACATTTACTCCATCATATTACGCGCACTGTGTAAGCCTTTCACTAGATAATTACGCAACTGCCCGTGAAATTTTATAATTCTCATTATAATAGGATTTCGTTTTCTTAAGGAATTGAAGCCATTTCAATAATCCCTATTCGTTCGTTGTTTATGTTTTATACGCTGTGTATATAAGTGTCCCAAATCTACATTCACTCTGTTTTGATTTCAAGAACTCAGATTGAATATAAATAAGTTTGCTTCTGGCAACTGATGGACTCTAGGGCAAAAAGAGTGTTATTTATCTGTCGAACAACAAATCTCGTCAGTATTGGGAGGCATAGGCAGGTATCAACCGAAACGGAGCAATATTACAGAATGTTACGAAAATGGAATAATATGGACGTACAAGGAACCACTTTCAATTTGTCTCTTCATTCTCTCGATTGATTTTCAGAGACTGCCAAAAAATGGGTTTAGTTTATTCACATTATTTACAGTTTATTACAAGCTAATAACGATGTGATCCAAAGAATTATTATCCTATCTTTATGAAAGTGGCTAATACAGTTAGTTTAGCGTTGAAAAGGCGGAGGAGTATGGTATCGATAATGAAGTTCAAGCTTTCTTTTTTTCATTGTTGCATTATACACAAAGGGTTGAAATTTCATTCCATGGGATTCGTTTTGCCGTCTTGCGGTATCTTCTCGGATTCTTCTCCCCGAGGATGATCACGTCCAAACACATCTTTGACATTTTCTTTCATGTCATGAAGGCCATTCTTGATTTTGCGTAGAGTAGGCTGGCTACCATCATTGTCTTTCGTTACTTCTCCTTGATTGGTGAAACTGGATCTCTCGAAAGAAGGATCTTTCTGGTCAGGAGCAGTATCAGTAGCGTAAGCAGGTGCCATTTTATTGGCATTGTATGTAGCTTCTGCAGAATTCATGTGGATTGATTGCGTAGTTGATGAAAAGTAATAGAAAATGACTTTTTTGATCAAGAATTGAATAAGCGAGTTTATGCCAGGCCCTTTTTATACGTTCCAAACAGGGAATGATTTCATTCTATGTCTATCAAAGAAGGAGAAACCGTACATTACATCACACCTGTGCAACACCGATAGTACTTTATTGGCAGAAAATCTTCAATGGAGCCAATCGCGCGCTGTCTTTTGTGAACTGTCCCTTTAATTTTTTCTTGCGAAAGCTCGCATAAATTTGCAGAAAATAAATGTTTTTATTCAATTATTTACAAATGCATGTGCACATTTAGTTTTTTGACACATGAGGGCAGAAAATTGGGATTTACAGCATATATGGTCAGATACGTATTGTAGCACGTGTAAGTTATGCTGTTTCATTCATGGTTGAAGTCATAGGCGTATCGAGTACAATGCCTTCTTCGTCATCCTCATCATCTTCGTCATTACGTCTATCCTGAAACCTATTGAAGGCAGCAGGTGCCGGCTCCTCTTCTTTGATTGTCTCATCTTCGTTATCTGATAATGCGTTCATGTCACCTTCGTCATCAGATGAGACATAGCCCCTTTCCATATCCATAAAGCGCCTTTGATCTTCATCAAGATTATTACGTTCCTCTTCCACAGATTGCTGTAGGTTGGTTAAAGTGTTCACCAAAGTTGATAAGTTCAACTTACGGCGTTCGTATGCCTCATATCTCCGTGCTTTTTCTCTTTCTAATAGATTAATCTCGTCTTGTAAGGAATCTATTGATCTAACAAATGTGTTATTTATCTTCTTCAGTTAGGCATAGCAGTTTGCAATAAATAGTCTTACTGTTTGTATGTGTTTCTAGTTTCATATTTCATTATATCTCTTGCTACACGGTCGTATTCTAGTTTTTGATTCCTCACTTTCTGAGCTTTAGAGAGCTCTTCTCGCAAAGAGACTATATCTTCTTTTGCCTGGCTTTGCACACCCACTAGTTCAAAATTTTGTTATTTAACAAAAAAAAAAAAAAGAATAGATAGTAATAGATGAATAGATAAAGTACCGGTATTGTTAATGAAGTCTTCATAAACGCTAATTTCCTTTTCGTTAGCAATTTGAATTGGCGGGTGACGTTCAAGCGTTGTTTTGTAATTGTTCAAAGAAATGAGTAAGGTTTCAAGGTGATGTTGGCTATATCGAGTCATCGTCGTCAGTTAACTATTTAATCTGAAACATGCTTTCGCTTGTAACTTGCTTTTCTACTACTATTATACTAACGCTTTTTCAGTGGGTTCCTCGTGTAAGGTCTCTAGAAAAGAAAAAACTCCTTTTTCCAATGTTTTAACTAATCGATCATTCAGAGCCAAACGTTCTTTCAAAGAGGCCTCTATTTAAAACGGATATTTGAATGATATTAATAAACTGTGGATGGAGAATATACGTTGACATTATTTCAGTAGGATTACCATCATCCATCCTCGCGATCTGTTACTTCTTGATTAGTGTAAAAACAGAAAGGATGAGTTGCTTCTCCCATTGAAATTGAAATTCCTTCCTCAAGCATTTAAACTGCTCTCTGATTGGACGATAGATTTTCTGCTCGATTCATTGTCAAGTTTGATATCACCTAACAATGATGGAGCTACTATTGTCATTGTCAGCAGACTATACATATATGGCTCAGAGAAAACAACTTTGAAATTTGAGAGTCTTACAATCAATGTTAGTGCTAAGCTGGACAAAGGGGATTGAGAGTTTGCTTGGAGGTTTAAAAGATAGCTCGGATCATTGCCTTAAAATAGGTACAGAAACAAGGAGAAAAGACGACTCTTTAGATATGGCTGACGGAGACAAGGTGCATGAACAGTATCATTGCCTTGAGTTGTTCCTTCTGACGCTGAATTCTAGATGCAATTATATCGCTTTGACTTTAATAATGGCAATAGAATATACCATGGTTTACTGAACAAAGTGCGTCGCGGCGAAGAATCATAAGCTTTTTCAACAATAAGCCCATTACGCCTGTTAATACTGATATGGCTTTTATCTTTACAACATCAAATAGGAATACAGGGATTGTCAGCCCCCAATACATTGATAACATAAAATAGTGATAGAAATGTTGTAGGTACTAAGACATCCCTGCTGACAAAGCATAATAAAGTAGTTGGCTAGCAGAATCAAAATCCTTAAGTAATCTATTCATACCTATTGCCAACGCATGGGGACCTTACTACTAATTAACCAAAAAATTCTATTGGTGTTGGGAACAATTTAGGTTCGTTTAACCCAAAACGAACAGTAAGGCTGCAGAAGCGAATAGCAAGAACAAAATAAAGTTCTAGAAAACAGTCGTATCAGCAATTTCCTTGGTCTGCAGTGAAGAGCAGCCATTTGTGCTTTGTAATACAAGCAGAGGAGTTGCTCTCTTTTTGTCAATTAGAGGTGCTAGCTACTCCTTATTTTACTCCACATCCATCTCCTGGAGTCTTCTTCTTTTTTCATTTTGTCGGCAGCTTCTGTGTGGTTTCCCGGATTTTTGTAAGACGATCACCCTGATGTTTGGACTGCTCTGAGTTTCACAAAAAAAAAAAAAATAGCTCTTCATCTAAAGCAACTAAGAGTAATTAAGAATTTACATAGGACCTTTAGTATGAAAAAAAAGGGCCTGGGAGAGTATAAATTGAGTAGTAAATTGCGTAGAATAGAAAGTCTTATAATATTACAGATGAAGAAATATTTGTGCCAAGTCAATCACGAAGAGAAACCATGGGATATGCATGTAGTAGCAATTGGAACATGCAAGAATCATGCCTGTAATTTGAGTGTATTCAGATACAAAAGATGTCTGAATAAATAACAACAACAATAACAACAACAACAAAGTGATAGCAATGCACTTAGGCTTATTAGGGTGTAACTTTGTAGTGTTCACATAATACTACATCACAAGATCTGTGCGTTAATAGTTTCTTGCCGTTTTTGTGGTGGTAAATTAGAGTGTCAAATTAAAAGCTTAAAATAAGCCTAGAAATGAGACGATTGAAATATTAAAAAAAAAACCACGTAGAAGTATAAGTAATTAGTCTTGATTTTTTTTTTGCCTTTCTTTCCTTCTTTCTTTTCTCTTTCATTTTTTGCTACTCTCCTCCATAGATTTCTTACAACTCAATTGCTGGCCAATTGTTCAGATTTTTTATTTAAAGCACTACCTTTTTTTCAAAACAAACCATGTATTCTTCACTATTACTATGTTCCATCCTCGTTTTATTTGGGTCAATAAGTCTAGTCGAAGCACTACAAATCAGCTTTTATAGACAAGAACAACAAATACCAATATTGGAGTCATCACCAACAATAACAAACCGTATGCTTCTGAAAGACACCGCTTTGGCTCATTATGAATCTATTGTTGATGATGTTCTTAGCGAACATAATGAAAATTTGTTGACTCAATTATCAACCATTATCAAGGATCCACATGAAATTGTCTCCACCTTAAAGCCTGAAGCAAAGCACATCCTGGCTTCTCAAACCGAAATATCAGGTAGATTACATTATTTGGTGAAGCATCGTCAGGAGTGCCAGTAATTAACCGCTTTTCATTTTTTGAACATTTTAGACGTCTGTGTTGCACAAATGCCTGGAATCATCGCTAATTATATTCACGAGCTTACCAATGATATTTACTCGAGTATTGAAGGTATCATTTCCAGTCATTGGAAGAAGAGCGATATAGAATATCGTAGACTAGTGTTGGACGCTGTAACTTCTCATCTTAACAAAAATGATGAGCAGCATGTATTGACTGAGTTGATGGGTTCTTTGGAAATCATCAATATGGAAATTGCAGATCAACTACTTTTTGTTGTGGAACAATTTGACCTTTTTGGAAAGATGAGCGACGCCCTTAAATCATGTCAATCCCTTTTCAGTGATACTGTCGATGACCAACGGCAAGAAGAGGTGAAGAAGGAGGGAAAGACTGCCGGCTTCATCTCCAAAATATGGAACGCTTTCCTCGTTTCTGTTACTCAATCCGCTACAATGACTAGCAACAGATTTGACACCAGAAACAATCATGGTCTATTGTCGAAATATATACTAGAACTTAGAATAGACCTTCAATCTGAGTTATTTTCTCGGGTTTACGAATTGGCCAGGAATATTTACGAAGATCTTGCTTTCAGTGCATAAAAACAACAGGATATATTTATATTGTATATCATCAGAGTATCATACCTTTTGTACATAATCTACATTCCTTTTCTATACATACATTCCTTTAAATAGCTCAACATCATTTTTCATTTCCATTATACATATCAACTCACATCCTCAAAATAAAAATAAAAAAAACTTCGTTTTAGTTGTATATGAATATTATGCATAATCCGCTTCTCACTTTCCTAAAAAATCAGGAGATGCTCAAAAGTTGGTTATTCTGGAGGTGTCTGACAGTAATGCTGCTGATGTCAGAATCTACATTTTAGAACTGATCCTTCTAAACGTACTCTTTATAGTTGAAGTTATTTAAACCAGAACACTGCGTTGCTTACATAATTTTTCAAAAACAATCCCTGGCTGGAGCGGTGGATGAAGGAAAAAATCGTTTTTGATTTCCCCACCTACCCCTTTCTTTTTTGATTCTTAAATAAAAGCTAATGTTCGGTGTTACTCGATCAATTCAAAGAGGTGCAAGTCGTTTGCAATTGACCGCTAAGAAGGGTCATAACTATTATAAAGGTAAAGCATTGTTGTATTTATACATAAGGATTGTATTTTTCAGAATGCTAACTGCTCATTGTCTCTTAAGGTACCGGTTCTGGTGCGATGGGTAGACATACGAAAAAGGGTGGTTATATAGTTGATTGGAATAAAGTGAGAACTTTCGTAGTGCCAGATCTAGAAGGATTCGCAGTATGTTATTTTTACAGTATACAATATATAGCGGATGAAACTAAATCGTTAATTCACCACTTCATTTTTTCCATTTTTTGCATGTAGCTTGGTCCTTACGTATCGAGAAAAACACCCCAATTATCCAAAGTAAACAATAGCTCAACAACTACTGCTTAAAAACTGCGTATTCTATGCATTAATTGTACCGCATACATAGTCTTCAACACAAAGTGCATATGAAAAAACTTGTTTTTATTATTTGACAATTACCCCTCCCCCCCCCTGTACAGTTTTAATATCCTTTTTTTCTGAAATAAAAGTCAACAACATAAGATGTGAATGGTTCGATATTAGAGGTATCGACAGCAAAAGTTGTGCTTTTGGATTTTAGTGGCTCAAGGCGTGGTATCCATAGGTTCGGTCTTTTTACTTTTCTGTTCCAGTTTCCATGTAGTAATCTTCTCTTTCAATTCAGTAGCTGCGAAAAAAAATAGAATAGGAAGTATAAGTGAATTCATTGGATCAACTGGTACTACTTCTTCAATGAAATGTGAAAATACCTGGTTGAACCATGTCCATCGTTAAAGGCTTTCTGTTGAAAGGGTCACGAGTATCTCCCAATAAGTGAGCACGGATTGTACTACGATCAACAATGACATTGGATGTAGGCAACAGTACAGGGTCTTCCATTAAACTGAAGAAAATTGGATCTATAGTTCCCGTGTATGAGATAGATTTTACCATCAGACTCTTTGCTAACAAAAAGCAGCCATCACTTTCATTTATATTTACCTAAGAATTCCTCAGGGGCCTCGCCCAATTCCTCTTCTTCTTCAACACCACTTTGTACAGCCAACTCCACCTGACCCACAAAGGATTGCAGCGCATGTATGTCATCCAGCGGTTTCAAGCCATGCTTTTGCAAAATGGATGCTGCTTTGGAGAAGTATTCCTTACGATAAGATCGACCATCTCTTGCTACGGCTTGAACAAATGTTTCCGAGTTCAAATTCAAGTATATGTCAATAATCTCTGATAGCAATTTACGAGGTTGAAAATGGTATTTTTCGGGGTTGGCCACCTTGAGCTCAGTGCATTTAGGACCCACAAGCTGTACTAGATTGTAATCCAACATAGCTGCTAATCGATCCACAATTTCATTGACAAGGAAAGGCTGTTTAACTTCAGCTGTCATATAATTAAGCATGTGGATAGTTTCGTTGCCAAGTGCCACATAAGATTGTGCTTGTCTTTCTAACGAAGGTAAACTCCCTTCGCGTTCTTGACGGTATTGCTAATGCACAAATGAGAAATTTATCCATTCAATTTTACGTAAAAAAACAAATATCAACCTACAGCTGTTTGCGATTCCCACACCGCCTGATTGCTCATTTCTGTTTGAATACTGTGGATTTCTGCAAGCTTACTCAGACTCTCATCCATGAGATAAGTTACATCACTCATAAGCATATTGACAAATCGTGTAAAGACCTCAGAATTTCTATTATCAAATAAAAAAGATTGCAATGAGATACCTCTTCCATCAACAAATACATTTTGTAAATAGAGATCTGTGCATTAACATTACTGGCTTTCTTCTCTCAATTTCGCTCGGTGGCCAGGATGATTCCAAATAGTTTTCATAATATGACTAATGTTGTATCGAATATTGAACTTATCATAGAATTGAGAACTTGCGCCTGTTTGCTCGACCTCTATTGTAAGTTATTTGAACGTATTCAACAGCGCGTGCCCCCAATCAGTAAAATTAAGGTCTTCTGTACTTCATCGGTTGTTGTGAAAGTACACTTACCGACATAGAAATTCATTAAAGATGGAACTAAATGTTCTAGGGGCAGAGGGTGCGAATTAAGAATAGCTTCTAATTCTCCCGGAACTCCTTTTGCAATGGGATATGTGAAGAAGAACAGAATTTCCACAAATTTGGCCTTCAAATAAGGATTTTTGACGTATTTTGTGCTTTTCAAAAAAGTGATAATAAAGGTAACAAGTTCGTCGTGCGGTGATTGCATCATGACTCGAGTCTCGTAACCATACCTAAAAAAGTACTCGAATTATATCAATTATCCATTTCCTATCGTAATACCGGGAGTTGGCTCAATACAATATTATAAACCTACTTTCCAAGGAAGATATACAACTCTACAACGTCCTCAATGAGCCATTCAGGAAGCATAGCAAATGCTTCTGGTACTTCCTTCGGTAATGGTAATTTGACCTTTTCCCAAGGATGTTTGTGTTGAGGGTCAACTATACGAATAACCCAAGCCATCACAAGATCGTAAAACCTTAAAGCATCGGATAGGAATTGTGAATCAAAAAGCATACTTTCGAGAGCTAAACGATGACACGACATTTCTTCGTATTTCACCTTCAATCTTTGAGCAACGAAATTAGCCATAACTCCTTGTGGTGTCTTTAGTAAATGAAAAAAAAAAAAAAAGATTTTCTTTACTGTAAATAAACTTATATACAATCGTTAGCGGGAAGTGCTCTCTGCGGTTTGCTTACATTAGCTGAACGTAAGGCTTCTTGTTGAGCTTTCTCATATTGTTTCTTGAGTTCACTGTATTCACGGATAAATTCATTGTAATTCACCATAGCCCGAATAGGACCATAATGCATGAAGCTGAGTGTCAAGAAGAACGCTTCAGTAATAAAGTTATGCTCTGCAAAGTAGGATTGAATTTAGTTTTTGTTGAACGGGATTATCGATATCATTTTTGTTCGTATAAATTCACCTTTTGCTTCTATTTGCTGATTATAGTAGGCGTCTGATTGCTCCTTTGTTGCATTTATCTTAGTGTCTTCCTTAATGTTCAAACGCTGGCTTGTACAAAAGTAAGTTGGATCAATCTTGTCAATTTTAGATGCCTTTATATCCAAAAATGGATCACAAAACTGTAATAAAACAGCCGCGGTATTGTGCATAAATCCATCAGAAGAGACAGTGTCAGGATCCACCTGTATTTGCGCTCTTTTTTCGTTTAAGGAAATGATATGTGAAAAGTAGTTCAGCAAACGATTTCTGGCAGTTGGGTCCGACCGCACAATTGAGTTGCAAATGCTGAACATTGTTCTCTGTTGCAAAAGAAAAGGAAAAAAGAAAGGAAGGGTTAAGACTTCATGCTATTGGTCATAGTCATGTTTTACTACACACAAGTAGTTTATTACAGTACCTGAATATATTGGACACTGCCACGAAGACCATTTTTACAAGACTCTATGTCTGCCAGGTTCCTGTTTTCTGACCCTTGAAAATATGATACTGCTACCTTCGGCTTTCCAGATTAGAAAAGAATTGTTAGAACTTCTCAGTGATTATAAGATTGAAATATTCTGCTTCTTACTGCTGCATCAGGATAGGCACTCAATTTGAGGAATGGCCCAAGTAAGGATGTGTTTTCAATATTGTGAGCTTCAGCATTGAGCGGATCAAAATCCTCCAGTCCAGTAATCTATAACGATACATTGTCCATGATAAGAAGTCGAGCATTGAACGGTCTTTTTAAGAAATATAAAGTATATTACCATAGATGCGACGGCTTTATTTTCACATAAACAAGCCAATGACTGAACGCTGTTTTTGCATTCGCCCAAAATATTCTGTGATCTGAGCTCATAGGAGATGTTAACAAACGCAGGCCCCAGAATCTGTTTCATTAATGTTTACGACAGTTGTCAGTCTCTACGTTCTTAGTGTATGTACAGATACGGTATCATCGTTTTACCATTTCCAACCCATCATCGTTGAATCGATTGATTAATTCATTCACATATTCTGATGGTAAACCTGCTGGTGTATCTAACTGAGATTTAATTCGAGAAGTCAATTGTTCAGCAACCAAACTGTCACTACAAAAATAGTCAGTAAAATAGTCAGGCTCATATAAGTAAGGATTCTAACTTTCTGAACTGTCTCCTTCATTCGAATATGAGCAAGCGTGTTTAATACCTGTTCATCTGTGGGAACATATCGGGCATTTGAAGCACAAGCCCGGAGTACGATACAATCAAATTCTTAACGTTATCCAATAAATGTAGTCTTTGGTCAAGAACTGATTTCTCTAAGTTTTTACTCCTCTGCAGAGTGTTTCTACGTATGTCGAAAACTGTTTTCCAGCAATTCAACAGATAATCGAAATGCAAAATATTGAGTGTATTTCTTATATCTTGAGGTAAGTCCTCATGTGGTTCTTTAGGATCTAAGGAAAGTCTTGCAACAATAATACGATCCAAGTGTTGTTCTTGAAGTTTGTTCGGATGATCATCTTTTTTTTTTTTTTTTCAACAGGAGGTTTTTTGTAAGCTCAAAATTCTTAATTAATCACAAAAGGTGCTAGCTTACATACCTTCTTCTTCGATGAGTTCGTTAGCTAAACTGGATAAGTACACACATTTGCCTTGCTTATACATATTTTCCGGCTATAGTGGTGAGTTAAGAATTAATTGATCATTCAAAAAGCTAACATATATAAGCTTGTTTACGTACATTAAGCGTCACTTGCAATATACGAGAAAGAACATCGTCCTGCCAGTCCTCAAACGATTTTGCAGGTTTTACAACAGAAGTCGAAGGGGCTTTTATGTTGTTGGACTTTGTGATATGTTGTTGTGAAGCCTTTATTTTTAATTTCACAGAAGTCCTTGTTAGCTATACATTCATTTTGCTTTGCTTCTTCCTCTTCATGGTTATATAATATGCAGTTATCTGAAGGCTGTTGCATATATTTACCTGTGAAGGTGAGCCAGGCGTCGGCGATCTGGTTGCAGGTGCCTTTTTAACGACAGTTCTTTTAGCAGGCACAAATTCATCCAATGTTTGCAGCACAGGCTTATTTGCAATAGCTGATTTTCGTCCATTGGAGGCTTGTTCCTGTTCATATTGTTGCTGTTGTTGCTGTTCCTGCTCTTTTTGTTGGAGCTTTGCTAACCGCTTAAGCCGGATCTGCTCATGACAAGTTCGATTAGTTGAAATTGTTCATGCTTAAGCAAATCGACTGTAGCATATATGGGCACATACTTTATCAGCGTCAGTTAAGTTTTGTTCACTATTATTCATTTAATTTAATTTTTTATTTTCGAGAAGGTAAGATTGCGCGATCATAAAAAGAAGAAGGTGAAAGAAAGCAAGCTGAAGCAAGGAGAAAATAAACATGCACGCGCGCATGAAAGGTGAAGCGGCACACGTCATGCTCGTGCATTCGGACATTTAATCCGACCCAGTTAAAGGACACAGGTACAGTCCACATCTACAGTCTTTCCTGCATGTATTCTACAAACTACAAAAATAAGCGTAGTATTTATGAAAAATCAGTATCCATCGTAGTTCAGCTGAAAGAAAAGAAATATTATCGTACTTCGTCTATTAAAATGGGCCATGCTCCTTCTGCATCATAGGCTTCCAAATCCTGATCTGTTTGACCCACAAAATCTAAAAACTGTTCGACGAAAAGACACGTAATATTAGCTAATAGCTTCTAACATTAGATATCGTCTAATACTTACTAAAGCCCATGTATCACGGGAAATTGCTTTATTGTGCTTCTCCTTTTGAAGAGGCAGAAAGCGTTAATACAAATAACACAACATCGACTAACAGCTATTTTGACCGTTCATACCTGTAAGAATTGTATCCAATTATCCAGCAATTTATATTTCCCTGATAATAGTAATCGCCATAGTTCTATCGCTGCTTCTAATGCTAAAAGTATTTTTAAGTCCTAGTGTTAGCGCCAGTACTATCAACAGTTTGTTCAAGACTTATTTGATAGTAAATGAACTTTACATAAATTTTTTTGCCCAGTTTGTCTGCCAATGATGAATGCATAATTGTATACTTTGGAAAATCCTTGCTCTGTTTGATACCTTTCTAGTAAAGTTGTGTTTATAGCATTTTTCAATTTTTCTATAGAATCTGCCTCAATTTCAGAGCAACCTTTAACGAAGGCTTCTTCAGTAAATTCACCCATCTTTTCGGATCCCAATTGTTGGGAAAGTAACAAAAATTCCAGTTGTGTAGGTTCGATCCCCAGATCATTACAAAGCGCCATTGTACCATCGATACTTATCGTATTGCTTTGTTGATCGTCTACTCGAGCAAACATCAATGTTATAAGGATACCCTTCTAAAATGTTTTCTCAATTTGGTTTAAGAGTTGCCAACCTTTATAATTGTTAAACATAGCTTTTATTTGTTGTTTATTGGCTTTGGTCATTTTGGGTATAGAACGTTGCTGATGTTGTTCATACACAGAATTCAGTGCTGCGTTGACATTCCAATTATACTTTTGTAATAGTTTAAAGCTATCCTTTTCACTGAGATAGGAAGTTGAAACTCATTATCAGAATTGGACAGCCTCAGCGTTTCACACAACTTTCAAATATTATACCTCAAAAGGGTGAAGTCCATCAGTTGTTTGACTTTATTTTGTAGTTGTCGCTAACGATAAAATATTAACGCTATTTTTTTTCAACGTCTAGTTTATCAGATTTGTCGATCAACCTTACGTTGACTGCCATTTCAATATATCTATTAAAAGCGACTAAGTTTAGGCAAAGATAGAAAAACACTGAAAATCTAAAGAAAAGCGCGAACAGGAAAAATAAAACCTGATCTTCAACCCTGGGTTTGATTCGCTGAGGTTTTTCTGTTTCTTTTTAATTCCCCCACACTAACGGAAGCCAAACAGCTAGAGAAGCCTGCAATATTTCTTACATATTGAACTTTCTTCCCGCAATGACAATAATGTATAAACGCGCTTTGCCTATGATACAGTGGGCTCAACGTAGGGAATATGTTGGGCTTGTTTTCAACAAAGTACAAAGGAAAGAAACTGTCGACACCGTAGATCGTTCCTTAAAATCTTTCGAGCATACAGTAAACGGTCCTTCAGACACCATTTCAAAAGTAGGAAGTGGTAAGATTTATAGAACGAATGGCTGCAGTTGATAACTGTCAGTGTACTTACTTTTGCAAATTTATTCAAATAGATATTGATATGAAAATCGAAAGTGAGCCTATCTTTGAGGTTGTTTCCGCTGGAGTCGGTAAAGTAGTAAAAAAATCATGAGCGTTGGAGACTGAACGTATGTTAAGGATAAGTCTAACAATCTTAGAACTTTGTATCGCTGTAAATGTTTTCAATTATAGGCTCTGCATTGTTAGTCAAGGTTTGACGAACTCCTTTTTATAGTTGGATTTTAAACAACTGATTGTTAAGCTTAGCTTCATCCTTCTATTAGTTGCCGCCGAATGCGTCAATTACAACAGCTGCAGGTTCAGCACTAGCTGCTTCAGTGAAAATCAAAACGAAATTGTCCCTTGACAATAAAAGTATGCTGAAATCTGTCAGCAAGAAGGCACTGGGCGATAGGATTTTTTTTCAGAAGGTATGCAAAAAAAGTTAGCTTCCGTCAACAAAGTAAAATGGTAGATCATTTAAAGTGAAGTATATCACTTGAAAATAGCATACTACCGAAGATGCACCAGGTGATTTACTATTGGCTCCACAACAACTTGGAGAAATCACAGTGATTCAATTGAAAAATAGTGCAAAATACATGCTGAGAAGGAACGCATTTCTGGCAAAAACTGAGAAGGTATCACTTGATTTAGGACTCAATATGAAAGAAACCGTAAGTTGGCGAACATCACCTCAAAAATTATACAACTCTTGATAATGAAGTTGTTAATTATGTTATGAAACGATAGGGCATAACGAATAAACTGATTCATACTGTCAGTGGACCCGGCACTCTCGCAATAAGTCACTACGGTGGTATTTATCGCATAACCCTCGCTGCTGGCGAAGAATATCAAGCAAACCCTCTCAATCTGATTATGTGGGATAAGCGTACAAATCCTACTCAATTACATTCTAAGAAGACAATTATACCGTCTCCTCGTTCACCATTACGACAATACGACTTTTTCCGACATATCGTCGACAGCCCATCTCTTCAACCCAAACTTCAATATTTATACAATTTTTCAAGAGCAGTTCGCAATTTCTTACTCGGAACACCTGTATGTGTTGTTAAAAAATCAGAGTTTTGGTTGTGAACCTATTTAAAACTAATAGAGTATTGCTTTGTTCGACTGTAGGATTTTGTAAAGTTGAAAGGGCCAGGCGACTTCTATATAGCATCTCGTCTGCAACCACGCTTTGAAAGATCTCGATTGTAAGTGACATTTCTCGTTAGCAACTGAAGTAGTTAAATGTTTGAGCTCTGTACAAAACTTACAACAACCCCTCTTGTATTTCATAGAACCAATGCTTTGGCTGCTATGACGGATTCCGTCTTACAAAAGCCCGAACAATTTACAGCAGACATATTCCCTTCTGCTCCCGTTGATGTTATAGAAAATGAGTCTTTAATCAAAAAAAAGCACCGTGAATATGCTCAAAAGTCGACAGATGGTCATCCATCTTATATAGCTGAAATTGGTCCTCAAGGCTCAGTTACATTTACAACAAATGTGAAAAATGAATAAAAATACATTAGAAAGCATTCTAATAATGCTTTAATATGAATTGCTTCTTCGATTTAGCTAAAAGTTGTAGAATTACCTTATTTCTGATAGTATGATATTGTAGTACATAAATCTCAATGATTGTTGTGACTACCTCAAATTTATAGCAGGAACAATTTGACTCAGACCAACCCATCCTTCCTGCAAAACTAAGGTTGTTCTTGCCTTTTACTGTTGAAAAATAAGATAGATTTTCACGATGTCCAGATCACCTGAAAGAATGCATATTGATGAAGGTTAGCCCAATCATTCTTACACAGTCATGATGAGGAAACGCTTCTTAACTTTTCTTCCGCTTGCTACAGACATACATATGAGGGGCAGAGGAGCGTCTGGTAAATTTGAAGACAAATGTTATTCTGTTTCATAGCCACGTTATTTACAATTTCATCTAGGCTCAACCCGACGATTAGATAAAGGAAACAACAAACCAGAGGAGTTACAACCCGTTCGCTGTAAACACAGGATATTTTTTATTTCTCCATCGAATTTTTTAATTAAGGTCACTTTTTTATTTTAATTTGTTGTTCAATAGCGATTGAAGGATGGATTATTGTAGTTCGAAATCTGAACGAAGAAACAGACGAAGAAGCATTGGTTGATAGGTTTATGGAATATGGCACTGTTAAAAATGTTCATCTAAATTTGGATAGACAAACAGGTTACGTGAAGGTAAGGCGAATCCGTTTGTTATTCTTAAGAATTGCCAGCAATATCAAACTGAATAATCAACGAATCTACCTAGGGTTACGCATTTATCGAATACGAAGCTCGTAACGAAGCAGAGTCAGCTGTTATGGATGCAGATGGAACAGAATTTTTGGACAAAGTTATCACAGTTGATTATGCATTTGTTAAAGGACAGCCACCAGCCCACAAAGATGACCGTGACAGACGTGATCGTAGACATGATAGAAGCTTAAGTCCCAGAAGATAAAACTTAATTAGCAATATTTAAAGCATAAGCGATCCAAATTTGTGGCAAAATTTACAAAACTTTCCGCAATACATATAAGCAGAATCCCAAAAAGCATTACCCATTACTTTTTAAATAACCAGCCAAAATGTCACCGTGTGGTAGATGTAATAAAGCCAATCTGTATCGATTGAGTCAAAATGTTTATTAGCTTCATTTTTCTGTCCTTCAAACTTTATCATCTGGTCATATTCGAATATATGATTATCACAGCTCTCAACAAATTAATTTCTTTAATTGAAGCAAAAGCGATAGTCGACCTCATCAATACTAGTGGATATGCAAAGGTATTTTAAAAGCTTGAAAGTCTATTCCATGGAAGTTGTACGGATATAAATTGCACTGTATGCTATTTGTTATTGTTCACCATAGCGAATGAAGGATAACCAAGTTTCCGTAGCCATAAGCTATTTGTCATGGAAAGTAATACTCAGTTAATAAGCAGTATTTCCACTACTGTGAGAAAGGAGAAAAATAATTGCTTCTTTATTTGTCTAGAGTATAAGTGCGCAATATGTATAGCAACTTCTATCGTTATTGAAGATCAATAAATTAAGGATATCTTCTATAAACGTACTATACACAGTCAGATTTCAATACATTAAAGTAGTATAATTGCTGAGAAATATTCCTTATAACACATTGAACTGAGTTAAATACTCTAACCTCTATGCTTTAGTACCCTACGATTATATACTTTACAATATTTATTTTCTCTTGCAAGCAAATATACCGAGCAGATGTCAGCATAATCATTGTTTGAGGGCTGTTGGTTTCTTCCGTTTCAATGTGCATATTTCATACGTTCAAAAAATTGAGAAGGTCCAGAATTACCATTCCCAGATTTGTTTGTCAAGGAGATCAATTCTTCTATTCTTATTACCTTTGTTGCACTAAATTTGTAGTTCATCGGTCTGTACGCTTATTGCCTACAACCTGGATTCGCTATTCTTGCATCTAATTTTGATTATCCCAGTAGTACTTTAAAGAGAAACCGATCAAATGATAGGCAGTTTTGCAAATGCCTAATACAATAGCCAAGGTTTTAACCTCAAAACCTAACTCTTCTCAGTGACTTATGAGCAGCGAAAACGCGCGCTTTAGCGCAGAAGATGTCCGTTTAAGGTTGTGGTTACGAGATTATAGCAATATCAGCAGTGTAGGCATCATCCGTATTATCTAGCCAAGGTGAAGAAGAGAAACCATAAGGTTAAAAAGACAGGTGAGCGTGACACTGGTTTAGACTGCCGCGAGTAGATTACGGAGAGCAAGTCTGCGCTGAAAACAGTAAATTAAAGAGCCAAAGAAACACTGTAAGAAAAGAAATTTGAGGGCAATTTTTCCGTATTTGTATGGTGTGCAAAGTGAAAAAACTTTAAGAAACGGTATTACTGACGAAACACCTTTCGTCCGCTCTCCTTCACATTTTATTTTATGATACAACAGCGATGTCCTTCGGTAATTCTCAAAAGACATTGTATGACTTAATGCTTAATGCTAAAAGTTTTGCGGTTGCTTGAGTCTAGTTCAATAATTCTGAAATATCCAATGGCCTGCACCTTCTGACAGAAACATCCAATAAGGTTGAGGTTAATACACCAACGATTCCACCTGAGAGCGCACATCTATATCCTCGTTTAGCTGGGTCGGACTGGACAAGCTATTTGAGTATACCGATTGTTATAGTTGGGCGATCAGAAGTTCATACCCGACAATTGCAACAGGACCAAACTCAACGAGAAATATCAATCAAAGATAAGCGGCATTTGACGAAGAAAAGGCAAAAATGCAACGTTGTTCATATTGATTTTCCTGACTGCAAAGCGATATCACGGAGGCATTGTGAGTTTCGATTCAGTAACCGGCGGGATTGCTGGGAACTATACGTTCATGGACGAAACGGTATTAAAGTGAACCATGTCCCAAAAAGGCCAGGAGACAAACCGATCATTTTAAAAACAGGAACTTTGATTGAGATCAGTAATACACGTTTCGTGTTCATTATACCCAATTCATTCATAAGACCGAGTAGAAGAGTTTTAATAGATAATGAGCAAAATCGACTTGGCCAGAATCGGTACGACAGCGTTGTTTCTATAGCAAGTAGTAGCAGTGGTATGAGCGGCAATAGTAGCGCCTTTGATCTCGCAGCAACAGCTTCGAATAGCAATTATATCACAGTTGATGTCCATAAAGGATTGGAAACAGCAATTGAGAAGCTTTTTGAGGATAACAGAAAGATTAACAGAATGAGTACACTTGATATCATGAATAAAATCACCAGTGATGAGAGTCACTATGTCGATAAGGAGGCAGTAAGCAAGGAAGGCGTTCTTTATGTATTGGTCCACAGTCCTAAATTTCGGCTATCTCCAGATTCTGTCAGTATTTCATCTGCGCAATCGGACAACGTTGAATGGATGTTGGTTACCCAAGTGTCTTCTCCATTGTCGATAATATCACCTGTGCCACCTTTCGTAGGAAAAGAAACGGAAACTTCTGACAAAAGGCAAAAACATATTAAAGACAATTTCGTTAATGCAACAACAAAAAGTACTGAAAAGTCAAACAATCCTTCTAATTCAATAACGCAATTCCCATCGTCTCTGTCAAGCATTCTGCGCGATATCGAGGAAATAGATGTTGATCGTGCACCCAGCAGTGGATGGTCTTTTGAGATCTATACCGAAAATCAGCCTTCCATATTACCAACATGTCCGCAGAGTTTAGACGAAGTGACAGAAGAGCAGAAAACGAGTGATAGCCAGGCAACTTTTTCAATCCCTTTCTCTTCTCAATCAACGACAGCGTTTACAGACGCAAATCATAAATTTCCTTCATACCGGGTTATTTTGCCCAGACCTACATCCACTATTACCGCTAATTCAGCAAGATTGGTAACTCCACTAACAATAACGACGCAGCCAACACAACAACAAAGCCAATTTTCGCTATTAACACCAGGACGATTTGGTGGATTACCCATAGAGGCTTCATATTTGTTATGGTCAGCAGCCTGTTCACAGTCATCAAGCAATGCTTGTATTGACGTTCATGGAGAAGTTTCTGTACGAAATGATGAGGAAAATGCCCGTTTACATAATTTATCGTCTGTAGAAGATAGCCAATCTACTGTTTCTACCACTCGAACAGCTCAAACAGAAGGTAAATAGAGAAAGAAGGGAAGAAGTGATTCTCGCACTACTAAAAGTCTCTTATGATTCACTTTTTAGCTGACTATAAGGAAAGGAATATATATCAGGAGATTCGTACAAAAATTGTGTTTTCCTAAATTTATATATTAGTGGGGAATTCTCATCAGCGATTATGTTAAAAGAAAACGAATAATGACCACGGCAGCATCGATAAACTCGAGTATACCGCAGTAATCTATATCCAATGTTAGCAATAGGCTGTTTAATTGTGTCAACATCACGGATCATTTGACCGTTGGAGCAATGTTCTGCCACTAACCTATTGATCTCCAAGTATGGTTTCTCTTTTCTCATAGGATAAAGTGTAATTTATGCAAAGAAAAGTCAATTTGTATTTACAAATCAATGAATTGTGTCTTCCCTGTTTTCATTTGACAATGTGGTAAACTATGTGATCGTGGGTGTCTATTTTAGCTACTTTATGATTTAAACCTGCTTACGGCCACTCACATCAATGTATTTTCCCCAATGAGAAGCTACAGCAACAATTGCATTTATCACAGTTTTTCTTTTGGTTCAATAGATCGCCTCAGTTTTTTTCTTAATTCTTTTTGTTCCATTGCTCTTTCTTAATTTGTCTTCGCCAACTCGATAAATGATGGATACTATTTCTTTAATGCCTCAAGAACTCATTCAAGGAATAGCAATGTACCTATTTCATTACGATGTATTTCAGTGTCAGTTAGTTTGCAAACACTGGTTTAGCAAATGGAGTTGCTATCTTTTGAAACGTGTACATACAAGAGGGTCATTTGAATTCAACGCCTTACATAAATACTTGAAATTTAAAACCAAACAAGAAGAAGCAGGTAGCAATGGTATTATAGTTGATGCTGATTTGACCATAACTGCAGGACAGCAAGTTCGCACATTGATTGTACAAAAAGGACACGTTACACCTTCAATGCTGGGCGAACTTCCCATACTTTTTCCCTTTGTCGAGCGATTCATGATAGATGATCTAGCTCTATCAGACAATGCGCAAAATGCTTTTCTACCAGATCATAAATACATTCGGCAACAGAAGGAATTAGAACTTGTTAAGGCCAATTTTATCAACGATCCCTGTCATTGGAGAACAACGTTAAAGAGTTTGGTTGAGATCAATGGGACAACTATCACTAATGCATTACTCTTACCTTCTAACAATGACAACTCCACTGTTAGCCTCAAAATACTTTATTTACGATTTGGTAATTCAAACGATCGAGTAAACGGGAAGTTGAACCTTCTGAAGAAGGGGCTGAATAATGCGCCGCTGTTGCAAACACTATCTTTGGAAAATGTTTTTTTGGCCCCTGAAGAACTAGAGTTGATACATCTGCAATGTCCCCAATTGAGAAGATTAAGACTAGTTGACGTAATTTTATGCCCTATAACAACTAAAATAGTAAGAGACGTTTCCTTAGAACAGGTGCGACCAGCGCCACCTAGTTTGCAAACTCTGGAAATCATAGACGGAGGCTTCCTCAGGACAAATGACAATGACAATAAGGCCTTTTGGCTAGATTATATAAATAGAAAATATAGCCATGTCAACAGTTTGCATATTGAATCATTACAACAAGAACAGGAGAATCAGCAGATACAATTACCAGTACGCCGACGACAACTACCTGTAAGACAAGCCATACAAAGTTGTTAAAAATGCATATGTTTGACTGCCTACAATAGCATAAAATTTCTTATCTTTGGCAAAGGAGTCTTTGATGGTATGTAATTAGCTGTTAAACAAACATAGACAAATCCTTGTTATTATTTCTTTTCTACGACGAATAAATCAATACATCTTTGGTAAAAGACGTCGCTGGTTCGAGAGGCTTTCAACTATAGTCAACAGTATTATCAGTAAAAGTTAATGAGAGGTAGTTCAAAGCTTGAATTAAGAAGATGTCTGCTCATAATCAAGAAAGGACAAATAAAAAAGCATATGTACTTTTATGAGTAGCCTAGTAAGTCAACGTATTCTAGTGATACTCGAATCAATACAGTCCTGCTGATTCCTTCATAATTGCATTTATAAGGTACGATGTCAAAATCCGGCACTTATTTCGTTAGTAATGAGTATGACTGATAAAAAATAAACGTCAGCGGGACATTACTAAAAAACAATTATTATAATTGTTATTCATCCCAACACTGTTAAAAAGAGGCAATCAGTTATTATTGAAGCTTAAATTTTTTAATGCATTCAATGCCCATTCAATACCTTTTAAGTATATGTTACAGCCAATGGAAGCACAACATTATTATATTGTGTGCAGAAAAGAAATAGACATTAAGCACAACAATTTTAAGGCGAAGCTTTCATAAAGTGCACCGTTTGACCATTTTTTATCTATTATCTTTGTCTTTTTACCTAGCAGCATCATTGTAAGCATGTTAATTACTTTTTGAATTAACCCTTGATGCTTTTATAAATAATGTTAGCCGTGTGGATGGTTAATATATATTTGTTTTGTTTAAAAGAACTCAGATGATAACAGGGCCTTTATGTCTATTAGACATTGATGGTAGAAGTCTATGCATAGAAGTACTGTGATATGATGGTTCTGTCGTATTTGAGGCACGATGGTAATTAAGTTACATAAGTAAAGCACCCACAACGTCCAATGAAATATGAAAATAAAACTTGATCTGACACAGGAGCACTGCCCATATCTTCGTTCACATTTGGTAAGCGGTGTGCTCGATTGCATACATTTGAACCTTAGATTAAATATACAGCAGATAATAATTAAATAAGAAAAGAATATGGATTAAGGATAATTCTATGAGAGATTAGCTACTTCACAAAAGAGTAAAAGAGGTTTAATTTTATGAAATATATTTTACTTAGATTATCTATGGCTATATGAGGTTTAGGAATATAGCAGGATTGATATATGTAATTGTAGGATATATTGATTAAACAATCAGAACAAAGTAGCTTCCCGTTCCCGAAATAAAGTATGTTTGGAGATAAAAGGCTCAATCTCTCTTTAATGACACAACAACTGTTCGCGCAATTAAAGGACACCACGCACGAATATCTCTTCCTAGCTAACATCTACGATCATTCCACTATAGCTGAGCTAACAACTGGTGGCCGATAGATATTGGATTATAGATATAGTTGCATGGGAACCCTGGATCTGCCAGGATAGCACATTACAAAACAATTCGCTCTGGAATAAACGAGTAATTATTCACTTAAAGGGAAGACCTATTCTTTCACGGAAACCTCTGACTCAGTGAGTATAATCTGATCATAATACATCAGTGTCAGCTATAGATCTTGATACACACAATTCATAGACAGCAAACAGTATAACTCTTCATTAATAGCAGTAATTTTAGTTTGCTTGTATTTGTCTTTAGTTTGTTTTTGACAGAGAAATAAATACGATGGTTTGATTTCCTTAAGCTTTGGTGTTTATTTTCTCCTGTGTTATTCTTTACTCTTAATTCTATAGTTATAATCAGTGAATGCCACAGGCCCTACTCATTTCTATCTGCGACTGTTTCATCGCATAAAGAAGATTCTAGATAGCTACAGTGAGCATGGAGAAGGAAGAATCATAAATGATGTTCCTCACATAGTGGAAGGGGAAAGAAGTTACGTCCTACCTTTGAAAAGTACTTACCAAATTGTCTAAATTTGGTTTAATACCCAATTAATAAGAACAAAAAAAAACCAAACAGATGCTCTCAATGAAACGATAACAACTATATTCTTATAGGTTCTTCAGTTCAACATTAAATAATAATGATCAGCTTAAGTCCATAAGTTTAACATTCATTTCTGGTAGACCATTGCAATAGATTCCTCATGTACTGCTTGAAGATAGTAATTAAGGAATTGCCTTTGTGTTTCCCTCAGATAGAGCAACCTTGATATCAGATCCGAATGTTGTCATGTCGATCTATTTTACTGGCTACATGAATTTACAATATCAACGATTTTCTGAAGTTGATAAGCCATAATTGAATTACTCAATGATAATGCTATAGCAAATAAGCATTTTTATAAAGACAAACCCAGCAAACAAAAAAGCAAAGAGAGGAAAGAAATGATACCTAAGGCAGAAAATATTGAAAACAGTAATGCTCCAACTTCGAAAACGGGCGAAGTCGCGGTAGATTTCTTAATTCCATGCGGAACCTAGAAACTAACAGCTGAGTTATTCTACTCAAAGAAGACGTACGTTTTCTGAACCGTAAAAGAATAGAATTCTCCCTTGAGGAGTCCACGCATCTACCCGGAGCGGATGGACTTGTAAATATATCCATGGCTTGATCTAATGATCATGCAACTAACCTAGTTTCCCGTGCTAACCATTATGTAGCACTGCTTGCAGGAAAATAGAATTAATTAGGAAAATGGTATTCGTGCGTGGTGTTTGAGTTGAGTGAACAGTTATTGTAAACGATGATCACAACCTATTATCTTGTAATCATTCTTTATGCTGAAGGCAGAGAGTAGTACTTTAAACCCTATTATACCTTGGTGTTGAATCAATATACCCTGCATGTCCATATATTCATTCTACTATATATCCTATGTCATATAGTAGCGTCTTACAGTAAAATAAGTAAACTATATATCCTAAATGACAACCTGTTCAGCCTTATACGAGGTTGCTAATCTCGTATAAGAATCATCACTTATTCTATATTCGTTTCCTACTTCACTTTATATTATTTCAGCAGTAATGAGGTGTGAGGATCTTGTATAATTCGTATACGAGTTCTCCACATCTCATATGACGCTGTCAACTAAACACAACACTTAATTCACGGTACTCATATATTAGAGTTTATGTAGTTTCTAATTATTTCTGGTTTGCAATATTGTATAATTCATCTTTATCCTTCATAAAGTGAATTATAATCTTTACTATTTGTATATCATCTACCCTCAAATACGACACCAGGCATGAGTCGCGAGTCTTCTGGCACTTTCGATGGCCTCATGCAAGAGTTGGAGTGCTTCTGTTGTTGAGATTTCTCCCGCTTTAAGAACTGAGAGTTGTTCGAAGATTTCAGTTGCTGCTCTTCCGTCTAATCTACTGATTTCTGCTCCTTTGTAGTGAGCGTTAACGACTAGAGTCGTGTCCACAGTGTAATGTTTGAGCTTTGGGATGAAAGATTTATTAATCTCTTCTGCGATAGTTCACTCGTTGCGGTGGTATTTGGTAAGGTCACGCTTGTAGCGTTTGAAATTATATTGATGTTGTTGTTTCGTATTTTTGTTCAAAGAGGAAGTGATTCCAATGGTAATTCTCGCTCCTCTCTTGCTTGTTGAGTTTCGGTTTGTTCGGCGGTTTTAACTCGTCGAAGTAATTCGATGACTTCAGCTTCGTAAATGTTCTTAGTTCATTATTGATAATCGGATCAGTCATAGTTTGTCCACGATGCGCGGCTTAGAAAGATATAGGGAAGAAAGGGAAAACATTTTATTATTATCAAAAAAGGAAAATAAAGCGTGGCTCAGAGAGCATGTATCACATTGGAAGCCGAAGTGGAGTCAACTGGGATTCGTTTAGGTACGACAACCAATCCGTATCAAAAAGGTAGGATGAAATTTGCGAATTTCCGACCGCTTAAAATCTTGCAACATTAAAACAAGAGATTATACACACTTAACAACTAATATTAATTTAAGTAAAAAAATATTCTAAAAGTTAATCAGAATACACCTGCTCCTTTTCACCAAAAGGATAATTAATACATTGCCATCAGCTATAGTATGTTGAAGTTACAGAAGAGGAAGATAAGTCGTAACTTTTCGTCTGAAGGCGTTTTGCATCGTAAACTCAAGTAGTCTCCTTTATGTTTGGAATAAATAGTTCTACTTGATAATGCCGCAAGGAATTAAAAGATCATTCCCTGATTATTATTTTTACATTTATTTTGATATATCCAGACAATGTTAAAGCTTATGAAATTGAAAGCATCATCAAAAAAAAAAACTCTTTTTTTTTCAGAATGCTGAGAGTGACTCTATAAAATGCAAGGACGGGTGTTAAACTATTTATACAACTGAGCTAGAGAAACTAAAACCATTTAGTGGTAACAAGCGGGTATCGAAGTGAAAGTGCGTCAGATTATAAAGCTAATTCTACAGTGATCATTCTATAATTGGTTTGATGTAGCACTTCAGTCTGTTCGTGAATTTATTTCCGTCATTCGTGGCCGTCGGCACCGTATGCATATAGCAAAAACTTCTCGCTCGATAGCTTGAAAACCTCGGCTGAACAACATGCTATACTTATAGTGGGACGGCAAAAAGTTGACTTAAGACGGCGTTACGGTAGAAATGCCTCCCGTTAATTTACGCGTCAACTAGAGTTATGCGAAGCAAATTTAGACGCTTCAAAATGTTTAACCAGCGAGTCTCAAAATCATATTTTTGCTCATGTTCAACAAGAGCTAGAAAAACTGTGTAAGGATGAAAGTGCCCCTCGTCAATTTACTAGGCAACTAGAATTATGGAAGTATATCTGGACGCTGCATATTGTTTGACTGGAGAGTATCAAAATCGTATTTTTGATGTTCAACACTAGTACTTTTGCTAAATGATGCAAGCAGAAAACTACCTTTGTAAATGGATTGTTATCTGAAGGCATAATCGTCGAATCGATACATTAAGAATGAAGTAAAATATAATAATTGAAGCAGTTGCTACTTGTCATTTGCAGGCTTCGAGTGGCCATAAATTTTGTATTAAACTATTCAATTGGGCATTCACAGAATTTGGATTGTTATTGAATAAAGACAGCAGAGCTTGGTAATACAAGTTTTGCTGATTTTACTAATGGATAAGTTCTGATGGGTATTCAAAAAATTGTACTGCACTGATGGGTTTACTGTTCATAATGAAGTGTTGATTATTATCACTGGGAGCGCAAAAGCATTTCAACTAAAATAAAGCAGTTAAGAATCTGGACATATCACATGAAATGAATGTTGATTTTCCATAAAATTATAACCGGCAGGGTAATGGTTAATGATTGTATCTGATGAAAATATGGATAGAAGCCCAAATTATAAAAAATTAAGAGCAGGAGTTGCGATTGAAAAGTGACAGGGATAAAAAACGGTGTCACAGAAAAAAAAAAATTTATTTTCACACAAGTGAGCAAGTAACTTACAGTCTCAAGGGAAAGAAAGAAGAGCAAAATTTCGTTAAGTATTTCAGCGTCACGGGCACGAAGGAGGCAAAAGGTATAAAAAGGGACGAAAAAATCCGACCCTTTTTTTCCGTGGTTTCGTCTTTTTTTCCTTTTTTGCCTTTGTAAAGCCTTTGTATTGGCATGTATTGGCATGTTGGCGGCGATGCTGCCAGTGTGCAGAGAGGTTGGCAGGAAGTTGGCAGACGCGTCCAGCAAAGTGCGTGGGTCAATTGCAAAATGGCTTTTGAGAAGGCGAAAGGCATCTTCTGCGGAAGATGGTCGATGTAATTAGCTGAGAAGTGTTGGGCAGTGTTCATGAGCTTTAAAAAATTTACTCGCAGAACGCGTGAAGAGGACCCTGAGAATTCTCGCGGCGTTCCCGTTACGTTAAGGAAAGAAATTAGGCAGAAAAATTGGTTACAGTTTGTTTACGTGGTTACAGTTTGTTTGCGTGGTTACAGTATTTTTCTATGGTTACAGTCTTCTTTTAGTAGAAAGGTGTCGCGGTTTTGGTTACAGTTATTTTCATTTTTTATTGGCGACTGCTTACAGTTCATTTTCAATTTGAATTTCTCCCGATATTTATCGAAAGGTATCACGAAACTTAATCCAGTTTCATTTTGAAAGTTATTGAAAATGTCTTTCAGAAAACTATACATAGTAAAGTAAACATTATCCTAGCTACTTAGTAACCGGTTCCCATCATTGTTCTTCATTTCTGTTGAAGCAGAGTCATTTTGTAATTATTCTGAAACGCATTCAAGATAAAGCAGCAATTGCACCTTTTTTCTTTAAAAAACTATTCCTTCTTTCTCATCTTTGTAATAGCTTTTTTATAAACATGTCTGGTGCAATCAATATAGTTCTATAGAGAGAATTATACATTATGTAAATATCGTTCATTACTTTCAAAATAGTCTGCATCACATAAACAGTAAAGTTGCAAGAGTAGTTATCCAATGGCATGCTTAAAGTTCAACCATGACATTTCAATAACTAGTAATTGATATCAACATTTTAATCAAAATGTTTACCAATATTACAAGCTATTTCATTAGTTTAAGAGACTTGACTCTTATTGTCGTTCACTAAACAAGTTTGAAGTAATAAACCATTCTTCAGAAGTTGAACAATTCATATATGTCTTTAAATACAAATAAATCATTAAAATAATGTAGTTTCTTAATAAAGAGGATGCAGTCGCTCTTCAACAACCTGCTCGACTTGTTTACCAACAAAACATTGCAAAGCTAGCTATAAAGATATATAAGAAAAAAAAACCTAATCAAACAACAATACTTAATAGAAACGTCTACATTCTGCATATAAAAAAAAATTACAAAAGGATTTGAACACCGGCCATCACAACAAACAACAGCCAACTAACCCATCTTCTCTTCACAATAAATCAAACAATAAAAAAATTTTTCTTCCACAGCACAAAAGCCGCCGCAAACACAGTCACACATGAACGCCTCTAAGTCAGAATCCATGCTGGAAACGATACTACTGTGCTTTGATTGTACGAGATGAGTACGAATAAAGCTTTCGGGCTTGAGAACCATATGTGTAGCGTAGGGCATGTTGCGGAAATGCGGCGTGGTCTAGCTACGGATGATAATGCTAATACATCAAAGTGATAAATCGCATGCAGACGACATGAAATGGACGGAGTATTGTAAGTACTAGAGTAGCCTTTGTTGCTACGATGTACTGAGATTAAGCTCTTGTCATTGAATTTGTTCCTTCGGGAACATTTTCAGCCATAAAGAAGATGGGATGATCTATTCTTTCTATTCTTTCTAATTAATAATTTAATTTTTTCTTGTGTATAAGTGAATGGTTACAGTTTACTTTTCCACATTGAAATAAATGTTGAGTGTTGAAAGCCATTTTGGTTACAGTTTACTTTTTTGGAGTAGCTTGTCATACTTTGTGCTTTTTTACCCGTTGTTTTTATCGTGAGACGTTTGCATGGTAATTTTGGTTACAGTCTTTTTCGACGTGAATCTGGTGACAGTCTTTTCATTTGGTTACAGTTTATTTTCGCGAGACGTTTTGGAATGATCGTGTTCTGAGTTCAGGGTGGATGGACTTCGAGAGAAAATAAGCTTGCATCTATGACCAAGAATTTCTCAAGAATAAAATGATTCAACAATGAGATACTTTTTACAATGGATCGCTCACTTGGGGTTGTGCTTCGTTGTAAAGAGGTGACATAGGCTATGTTGAGCTGTCTCTAGAGGAGATTAGACATGTTGAAAGTAAAACTCAGTCTGTACATCAACTGAGTTGAAAAAATAACTATAAGCTACGATCATACAAGGTTGGAAACACCGGATCCCGTTCGATCTCCGCAGTTAAGCAATCTCTGGACTAGTCAGTACTATGGTGGGGGACCACATGGGAATACTAGTTGTTGTAGCTTTTTTGCTTTTTTTTTTTATTATTTTATTCTATTGCTATTGCTTTTCATTTGTTTTCATTGTTTTTATCTGATACTATTTTAGTCTTCTTTTTTTTTTTTACATTTTATAAAGAATAGTTACTTGTTTTTCTTTCAAAACAAAGAATAAAATAAAAAAAAGAATAATAATAAAGTAATCTTGTGTTATTGAAAGTATGTTTATATTATTCTTGTTATCCTGAAGTCATTTTGTTTTAATCAAGCGTGTACTTGTGTCATCAAAAAAGTAATTTGTTTAATTAAGCATGTACCTCTGCTGCAAAACTTGTATTTGTGTACTATTATTTAAAAAAGTCATTTGCTGAATTCATTGAATTCATGGTGTGTACCTGATATTCAACGTGTTGTCTGTGTTATAAAACGATACTTGTATGTTGTGTGTGTTATAAAAGGATACTTGTATGTAAACAACATAAACAACTCTCATCTTTTATATACATTCAAACAAAAAGAGTAGAAAAACAGAAAGGGACAGTTTGAAATAGGCCATAGAGTAAAAAAGGTAAAAAAGGTAAAAAAAAAAAAAAAAGAATGCTAAAAGCCAGTTGTTTATGAATAAACAGAGAAAAAGATAGAAAGAATAACTATAAAAAGGTAAAAAAAGTATCAAGATACAATCCAACTTGAAA